CATCGTCATTTACCTGTGGACATGCTGGCCGTTTCTATACATAGACACACTACAAAAGGAAATTGCACTGTCGTGTACACTCCCTGGCGATGAAACGTTCAAGAGAACCGTCCTCCTGGGATGTTGCGGCCCACTCGTGAACAGACGGCAGGTCCAATGGGGAAATCTGAATCCACCCGGGTCAGCTTGCTGAATGGCAAATTGCTCTCTATCCACTTGTCCCTGAAGCCTCGATCCGAGACTGGATCACAATGCCCGAGGGTATGGAGTACTCCGTCCTGTCCGCAAAAACGGGCGGGATCTCACCACAGAAAAACCCGGGCAGTGGCAATGGTGATTGGCCGGGTAGATTACGAGCCCGATACCGGCCTCACCACTCTTACCGGGTCTGGTGGCTGCCATTGGCGCACTATCGAGAGCGGGGGGTTTATCCGCGTATGCTTCCCACTGTCAGTCTATGTACTGCTTTGGATAACTGACCCCACCCAGTCCACATTCTTGTTTGTGCAGAGTCGCCCAGTGGCTGCGCTAGTCCTTAACAAGCTAGTTGGGGACGGCAGATAGTCGATAGCCGAGCTTGGCACTGCGGGATCGACCAATGGAAAATGCTGCTTACTCGGGCTCCACTGGGAGCTGACGCGTTTGTCCGGCTTCCTCAGGGTCAACGTGGTATGCGAGAACGGTCGAAGTGTAGGAGACAACTCCCGTTCCTGGTTCCTTCTCGTGGTTCATTTGCTCCTATTTTTGTGCATTCGCCAAGTTACGTGGACAAATGGTTATCTCTCGATTTCGCGATCGTGCAACACTGAATGCACACTGAGGTAACCCAACGTACTACACTAATACTATAGTATGTACTCAAGTGACTATTCAAGCCATCTTCAAAGCCATGACGTCGGGGCACCTCTAGTGGCCTCCCCGCAAAAGCCCGTTGGCCCCTCCCTTTGCAAAGCATCCCTCCCTGCGATCCTGGCGGGCTCCGCTGTTGCCGCTAGGAACACTGCCACCTTCCAGGGTCGACGCTAAGGGCTCCTGAAACGCCCGGTGCTGGCACCCAGTGGAGCAGAACCGCCCTTCCGCGAACCCTCCACGGTTGCTCGTTTTGGCTCATCCCATCCACCCCCGAACCATTCGAGATCGTAATGGGTCGCCATCGTGTCGACCGCGAGCACTAAACCTATCTGTCCGTTTTGCCTAAGACCTCTCCGAGAGACAAAGTCCGCGCAGAGGGGCCTCTAATTTCCCTTCGCCCAGCACTTACGTACCCTGTCGCCAGTGCCGACCATCGGGACCTTGACCCTCCTCTACTCAGTGTATCTGTGTACAGTATCACCTCCGTCACCGTTCGACGGAGCTTGTCGGTCTCGGTTCCAGTCGTGATTCGGAAAATCCAGATACAGATAGCCTTCGCAGATTTCGTGCGGGTGATGGTGGCTGTTGGATGACCCCCCGCCACCAAAAGTTAAGGCGCCTGAACCAATCAATAATGGAACTTCATGAGAGCTACTTTTGCCTGGCCTCCGCACTGCAAAAACTTACGGTGTGCACCGGGAACGTGGTCCCATGTCGACAGGTCGACTATCCAGCTGCATCTTGCCCACTGCGTCCATACATCCTCTCCGCTGTACAACCGCGTACACATCTGAAGCTCCATCCACACCTAACACATGGATCAAGCTTCCCCTTGTAAAAGCGCACTTGCAGATAGTGGAGTGAACATTTCCTTGGCAGATGTCACTGGCAGGTATTGAAGGGACGCAATCCCTGCAGTATGGTGGCCTGTCCTCAGCCTTAGCCCCGAGCGCCTGGATGCCCTGACAGGGATAGGGGAGGGGCAGCAACTGGCGAGCATGACACCTGAAGGATGCGACTCAAAAGCGAGGGTGGGAACGCGCCAGGGCGATCCACCAGACGCACCGCCGCTCCCCCTCGCCGATTCGACTGGACAACAGATGTCGCTCTTCCATCACCTGGAGAGGCCGCTGCAGGGTCTCGGGTCCCTTGCAAATGAGATTATGCTGTCTATTCTGACCTAGCTCAACAACCCATCAGCTCCAGCCTAGCCATCAAGTCCCAGTAACAGACAAGATGGAACTATTCGAGAACCGGTCTCGAATAGTAGCAGCACATAGCACCGACTCTGGCCGAGTTCCACCTGCATTGTTGCAGTGCCAATCATCCAATGCGCAATCCTTCTCCCACGCCCCCCAGACCCCTGTCTCTTGACTCTTGCGCAGCTGGCCCCCAGCTTGACAATGCCCGATTGGCCCTGGCTGCTCGATGCGTTCCCCCAATAAAGATTCTCACATGAATCCGCGGTTTCTCGCATAGCTTGACAGGTACACCCGTATACGCGTCCTCGCAGAACCTGCCGCGCGCGACTCTCGACCCTCTTCACATAGCTCTTGGTATTACTATCCATAGTTCCGACCAAACACATACAAACACTCAAAAAATTTTTAAAATAAAATAAAACAAAACAAAACAAAACAAAAGAACCCTCAAATGTCCAGAAAAGAGCTGGCGCTCATGAGAAGTGGACCCTCGGAGCTCACACCCTGCATGTGCCACCAGCGCCTCCACGATCTCAAGATGGGGACGCAATCTATCGAACATCTGGTGAATCTCCATTCGGAAGCCAAATGGACTCCATCCTTGCAGCTAGCATCTCAAAGTAGGCTGGCACTTCCCAAAAAGTGCCCAGTCGCAGCCGGGGGGGGGGCCGGAGGAGAGCGCTTCCAGCCGCCAACCCAGCAGAAGTATAAAAATCCCAAAATCCAAAGCCAAAAACTCTAAACCTTGAATCGCGCCTCCCCGGCAAGCTCCCCCAACCCCTCCAAAGCGGGAACCCGAAGACCCTGAAAATCCACACGCGGTGAAATATTTGCTGTATTTTCTGTAAACAAAATCAAAGAGAGCTAAGCTGAAAAGGGGCCCGCGGTTGCGCGTTACACAGTCAACCACTCGACGCCCCATCTGACGCCCCTCCCGCCCCTTATCTCAGGGTCTGTGTGTTGTCGTTGGAGGTGAGGATGTGAATCGCGGTACCGAAGCGTGTGCACGACTCCATCTCCATTCCCCGGCACCAGAACGTGCCGTGATTGGGAATTTCGCGCTGGACGTCGAATTCAGGGGGAGGCTGTGTTGGACCGGGATGAAGTGTTTTCTCTGTCTCCTACTGCATACATGCCCTCATACTCTGATACCTGGAAACGGGAACTAGGAACCTCCTTTTTTTGCTTATTTTACAGTACCCTGGATTCAGAATTTGGGCTTAGGCTAGGCGGGTTGGGCGCCCAGTGAGAACCATATTGCAACCCAAATAAGGTGAGACAATCACCGCACCCGTACCCTAGGGTAGAGTCATAACAAATCTCGATGACCGAGGCCAAGAGTATACACCGCGCGTACTCTGCTGGAGTAACATCTACCACAACTCCCCTTCTCCAATACCATAAATTCAAATCAAAGCTAGACAGCTGGACTAAACAGGAAAAAAGGGTCCCTGGCTATACCCGTACCAGCGAATTTCGCGCACCCTTGCCCTTTTTTCTCCCCACAGCCAAGAGAGCAGGCCTGACGTCCTGGCGATGGAGAGCTTACGCGGCCACGTCTTGTGCCAAGCCCCACGGCAAGCTTAGGCATTTGGCGCGTCTTGGCACGCCGCTGGTTGGCGGCTCCCTTCACAAAATAAAATTGAGCTGTAAAAAAAAAAAAAATACCGGCCCTGCACGATACGAGGTTCCTGCTGGCCATGATCTCACGCCCCCTCTCCCTGTGTGGTTCTTACGCGTTGGGGGTGGGATTGTGCCCTTTCTATTTTTGCTTGTGGCAAATTGTCCAAGGGCGTGGAGGGGGGGGGGGGGAGGACTCCCCCGTCCAATTTTTTCATCTAGCATTTCATGCTGAATGAACTCCAAAAATTGATTCCTCGCAAAGTATCTAGGCTCCCTAGGCTAGTACTATAGTTGTACACAAACCAGGGTCTCCCCATCCCACCGGCATCGCTGCAGAACCCTACCCCAGACTTGTGTCGCCCGGACAGGGAGAAGATAGTCGGGATTGACATGATTGTCCGCGTCGGGAGCGATCACTGCCCGAAAATCACCCCTGTCACCAAGCTTGGCCCGTTGATAATGCCATGAGGATCGTTGCGATCGACTCTATACACTGTCAACAGAGATATTTTGTCTTTCCGCCCAATTTGCAGGATCGCAGCCTAGTGCACTCCATCAATCCGCACGGATCGCATAGCGCGATTAAAATTCGATCGCGTTTCGATTTAGAGGCAATTAATATATATTGGTCGCGGGCCGCGAGGTCAGCCGGGGGGATAATATATCTCTTGCACTATCTATATTTACCACGTTGAACCACGGACATCCCTATATACTTGATATACCACTGGGGTAGTCGGACAATCTGCGTCCGCCTATAGTCAAAAAGCAATTATTTTATTTGGAAAAGCCATTTGGTTGCCCTATTTTGTGTTCTCACATTGGGTCCAGTCTTGCGGGGTGCGGGTACACCCATTGTCGTGCGACGGCGGACGCCTGAGATAGACCTGGGGCGATCCAGAAGGATTTGGACTTCCAAGGTTGATACCAGATGGCAAATATTCAAATTAAATTGTCGATATCGAATATCAAAACTATAACACAGTGCGTGGTGGTACGAAGTTTGAATTGAATATGTGATTGATTGCTGGTCATTCCTGGTGGATGTTGCCAGCCCTTGACTCAACACCAAGTCTAGTGTGGAATCCTAAATGACTTTTGCAGCTTTATCACACAGAAAACCATTTGTGATGTACAGTCAACCCGCGCCGAACGTCCGATCGTGCTCGCATGAAAAGAAAATGAAAACCATCTGAGGGGGATACAGGAGATAAAACAATGGAGAAGAGTGACACCGGCTAGAAAGCAAAAAATCCCAGAAGAGAAACCTAAGTTATCCATGAGAAAGAAGCAAAAGAACCCAGTCAAATTACAATATTATCCCTAAAGGACAATGGAAAGCTCGGGCCGGTCCAAGCCATCGTCTTTCAGATCCGGGTAGTAAGGCACTATCGCATCGGCACCCTGCACATAGGCATCGTTGTACAGTCGCCAGTAAGGCGTGCGCACCTTTCGAGCTGGGTGGAATAGTCCGGCCCAGATGTAGTTCATGACCAGACCGGGTCCGATGGCCATGCGGATCGCCTCGATGGCTTCGATGATCCGTTCAATAACGTGCGGGCTGGTCTCGAAGATGTTGGGGAACACGAGATTGAGAAGGTGCAGCATGGCATCTTCACAACCTAGACCGACGACACCAAGAGCAATATGCTTGACCACACTGGCGGCGGTTTGTCTGTGAACCTGGTCGCGGTCAATCAGGGCATCCTCGAGAAGAGGCGTGACAGCGTAGACGTAGTCCTTGGCCATCTCGCCGATGTATTCGAACAAGAAAGACATGGCCTTGAGAACACCATTCTGCACGTTCAACTCCGGGACCCGGTATTCATTCATCAGAGCCGGGATCACGGTGAAGGGTGCACAAGTCTCTGCCACGATACCGATCGCGACCGCTGTACAAACGCGGGACTGCCGCTCCTGCACTCGCAAGTTATTCAGAAGAGTGGCCAGGACATCCTGGGGACCGATGGCCTTGGCGATGAAACCGAAAGTGTTGTTGGCCGCACGACGGATGCCCTTCTTGTGGGCCTTGAGCATATCAAGCAATTCGAAGCAGATACGCATCCATTCACGGGCGTTCACAGACTCAGGTCCACGGTCGGCAATACGACCGACCAGGTCAATGGTGTTCTCCTGCACCTTTTCGTGTCGGTTGCGCAGAATGGGGGTGAGACGGGGCAGAAGGTCGCCAATGGGAGGCTTCATCTGGTTGATACCAACGACCGTCACTATCGATCGCAGAGCACCCAAGATAGAGCCTAGTACCTCGGGATACTCCTCACCGAGGTACTCGTAAAGCACAGTACCAAGCTTGGCCATCAAAGCATCTTCACCGCACTGCTTCATGACCACTGAGATGCGCGAGATCAGATCGGCCGCTTGCTGGCGAACGGTTGGAGACTTGTTGTTCAACCGCCAGAGAATAGTACTGGCGATCTGGGGAAGGTAAGGCTTGCATCGTGTGCCGAGGGCATTGACTACAGTACCGAATCCATTCAAAATGATCAGATCCTCAATGCTCTGCTCCTGGAAGACGTAGAGAACACCGTCGATCAATCTCTCTTCCAATCTCTCCGAGATATCCGCAGCGCCAAGAGAGGCAACTAGCTTCTCAATAGTCTCTACGGCCATCTTTCGATAAGGCTCGCTTTCATCCTTCAGGTTGTTCACGATGCGCTCCAGGATCTCACCAACGCCAACCTTCTGTCCCAGGTCAACAGTGGTGTCCACAACTTGGCGATAGTTGCGGCGATCGAGAGCCATACGTCGGACCCAGAAGCTCTTGAAGAAATCGGTCAAAACGTGCTCCTTGAGGTAGCTGGCAGTCACACCGTCCGTGCTGGAGCACTGTGACACCACCTTCAAAACGACCTTCTTCATCTCCTCATCGGGAGATGAGAACTCTCGGAGAAGAATTTCCATGATTTGACTAGTGTAATAGTTGGCATACTCCTCATCCATGAGGGGGATAATGTAGCCAACGGCTTTCAGGAATGCAGCGAGACCTTTGCCACGCTGCTTGCGAGCACCGGTCCATAGTGGGTGGAGAATTTGGTCAAAACTTTCAATACCATAGGGGTTGGCGGCTTCCGCTAAAGCAGCAACAGCCAGAGCAGTGACAGTTCTGACCTTCGCCTGTTCGTCACTGAGGTTGTCCGAAATGCAGTCGACAAGTCCCTTAAGGTAAGGCAGAATAGCACATCCCATCTGAATGGGAATTTGCTGGATGATCTTGACACCCGTGTGTCTAGCCTGCCAAGATTTCTTGCTACGACAGACTGCGCGGAGGAAAGGAAGGATAGCTGGAATACCGAGGGCAGAGGCGACAGTGGCAAAGGCTCGCGCTGTCGTGTTTCGGACATATTCGTCGACGTGGTCGATATCGGGTCTCATAACGCTGATCATCGTGGCAAGACCAGCTGCCTTAGCAAGGTTGGAGATAATTTCTCGACCTTCGACGCGAGCATAGTAGTCTTGATCAATAAGCAGGGGCTCAATGACGACCAGAATCTTGTGAGCGTAGGGACGGACCAAGTCATCCAGCTTGTAAAGCACTCGGTCGATGATCTTAACCAGCAAGTGACGTTCCTGGTCCTCCAAGGACTTCTCCATCAGCAGAGGAAGAATTTGGTTGAAGAGAGGGCCAGCCCCAAAGTTTCGCGCATTATCTGTGAGTTGTCGCAGTGCAGTCTTCCGCATAGGAGGAGTGCCGTTCTTGACCTTGATAATCAATCGCATAATCTTTCTCTCTTTCATCTCCTCGACGGACATGGTGCTCTCATCTGTGTCCTCGAACAATTTTCCGAAATAAGCCATATCCTCCGGCTTGAAGAATTGAAGATCGCCAACTCCAGGAATATCCGTCGGGAGGTCCTTGCCCATTGATCGAATGCTCTCAGGCTGCTGCATCATGAATCCTCCAACTCCACTTGCTGCATTAACGGGCATCGGCGCCGTCATCATCTTGCGCGCGTGCGTCCGAATTGGTTCGTATCCGGGAGGCGGATCCAATATCTTGTAGCCCTCAGAGGGAAGTAGCTGATTCAGCATCTCGTCGTCTTCGTCCTGGCCCGGGCCAGACAGGTCGGCTCCTTGAGCGCCGGACGGATGCATTGGGGTTGCAAGCCCTTGGTTACCAACTGGAGTGGCGGCCGTGAGAGACGGCGCTTGGTCCCATCGTGAACGTCGCTTAGGTGCTTCCGATCCGGCGGGGGCGGGAGCTTCGTCCCATCGAGATCGCTTCTTTGGTTCCGCAGGCTCCTGGACATCGTTGGGAGTAGCTGTATCTTCAGCCGACGTATCCCAGCGCTTCTTACGCTTGCGGCCAGCAGTCTCGGCCGTCGCACTGGCGTGTTCGTTCTCCTTGTCACCGTTCTCAGCCTTCAGGGTAGCCTGGTACTCGGGAACCTCTTCACCACGTTCTCGCTTCTCCTGGATCAGCTTGTGGACACGCTCTTCTTCCTTCTGGAGTTCACGCTCAGCCATTATCTCGCGGTAGGTTTGGCCATCCCCATCTCCATTATCTTGTGCGTTTGCGGCGAATGCATCGGCGCGAGTTGGGGTCAGAGGGCCGCGGTTGAATCGTCGCTTTTGATAGTCGGATTCACGGTCTGCGATGCGCGCTGCTTTCTCACGCCCCATCAGAATATCCTCCTCCTCAACTCCGTTGCCGTGGGCCATTTCATCGATTTGATTCCGGGTTGCAGTGTACTGGCCGACTAAGCTATGTCCGCCGTTCGCATCTTCCATTTCTTCATCGCCATCATTGACAGCGATCGAGGTGTCATAGCCCGAGAACCGATCTGCCCCTTCCCGTTCATACAAACTCGTGTCGAATGATTCGGTTAGAGAGGCCTTGGTCGAGTTCTCAGTGCGTTGAGCAGACGAATCAAAGGTTCTGGAGCCTTTCTTGCTGGCGGCGGCAGCGTTGCGCTCCGCTTGGAGGCGCCGGACGGTTTCGATATCGGCTGTGGATGATGATGATGAGTGTCGTGAGCTTCTGAGAGGAGTCGCGAGAAACTTACCGTCGGACATGGTCAAGGTGTTTCAGAAATCAGATTTTGAGGATGAGATATGATCGCGTAGAGGCCGTAACAGTACCTACATCCGGATCGAACACCGCTAGAACGGCAGCATTGATCGCGATGAAGCTGTGTCGCTGACGGCGGCCTGTCTGGAACACAAAATGCACGTCGCCAGCAAAGTCGCGCTAGTGGGGCATCACGTGATAGAACACAGAGCGATCAGTGAATGATTGATGACCAAGCCATTATGCGCCTCAGGCACCAAGGCATTAAAGGCTATCACGGAAATGACGAGCCCAATTCAGACTAATCCCTTGTATGACAATTGTATGACAATAAAAACGGGATGATTTGGCTCATCTGACTAGCCAGCGGTCATACCCAGCTTACGTATCGCGGGTACTCCCGTCTAAGTGAGCGGGGAAAGAATATTGGAATATGCCTCACGCGGGTCCCCGTGGCGTTCTGTCGGCGCTTAGAATCTATTTACGTCTGACACTCACTGTGTCAGTCGCACAAATCTCAAAATGGATTCACCAGATGACTTGAGTTGTTCAGTTCTGTAGAAAGAGAATGGCAATGAATATACTCGCTAGTGACCTTTGGTGAAGGAGTTTATGTACGGAAGTTTCCCTACAAAGACACTACCTTATACTATATCTATGCGATTTTCAACATACCTCATATCGCAGACGTCCATCGGTGCCCAAAAGGTGTTTATTAAAGAAGTTTGAAGCATGATCCCGCAATTTGACTTCGGAAATTTCAAGAGACGCCTGTTCACGAATCTGCTGAGGTCACACCTTACAGTTTTGCAGGCGGCTAGTATAACATTGGTGTCCAGAAATGTAACATTACTTAGGATGTTCAAGATAGTAACACAATATGAGACATTGTATTGGCTACCATTCAGGAGCTCAGGTCGCTTGTTGAATTCCTACTCGCTAATATTCCCGTTCATTCTCCAGGTGCCAACAAAGAGAAAATTTTTGGGAACACTATGCTGGCTTGCCTAAGACTCAACCATCAAAATTCAGACACTTTCAGGACCTTCGATTGTAAAAATCTGATTGAATACGCATAAAAATTCTTCAAAAAAAACACATTAGAGGGCTCGGAGCCGTACACAGAATTTAAAGTTGGGTTTGTTGAATCTGAAGTAAGCCTTGGAAAATAATCCTAAAGGTTCTCAGAAGAGAAAGCGCATGTGCTCTTTGTCTGAAATTACCCCACTAGCATGTTTCAACCTATTTAGTGTATCTCATTTCCAGTCGGTTGTTCTAAAACCTCTTCTATCCTTTCTCGAGATCTAATTCCTATGATTCGAAGCTATTTCATTTGAAGGAATTATTTGAAGGAAAATTAGACTTTCAACATGAAAGCGATCGCGACATTTCTTTTTCTTTTTATTGGGATTGCGGAGGTATTGTCTCTCTCCGAACCTCTGCGACTCGTATCTGCATTTTCTCATATCACCGGTGAGCTCGACAAGCTTAGCCTTGGGAATTGTTCATTGAAAGGCCTAGAGCTCCCGCTCAATCATACCAAGACAAGGCTTCCTGGGCCATCGTCCCATCTGAGTCTAAAGTTCGTTGCTATTGGCCGCGGCACCCAGAACTATTCATGCTCATCTTCGGAAACATCATCTCACCCGAAAAAGTCATCAACCCCAGTAGCGACTGGGGCAGCGGCTACACTTTTCGACGCATCTTGCTTGGCATCGCAGTCACTTACACTGCTCCATGAATTTCCCGCTGCTATTGGCCATATTTCGCCTGGTTCTCTTGCTTTCATGGCGGAGGCTCTCACTCTAATTACGAATACGTCCGAACTCATCATCGGCGAGCACTATTTCAATACTGCAGGTGATCCCTTCTTTGACTTGAGCATGAGTGGACTGGATATGTGGATTGATGCCAAGAAAAAGGCGTCTGTGAATGCACCGACGAGGGTATCTAGGTCGTCTGGAAAAGATGAGAGTGACGTTCCATGGTTGAAGCTCGGATGTAAGAACTGCAAGGACATTCAAGTAAGGCGAGATCTCTTACTACATGGAGGAAATGATACTAAAAAATTGTGCAGGAAGTTTATCGAGTCCTGACTTTCGAAGGAGTTGCACCCTCAACCTGCATGGGCCAGAATGATACGGTTCTCATCCAATACGCTGCTGAATACTGGTTTTACGGGTAATGATTTGAATGAGAGATATCAATTTAAAAATCAACTGATGGTTTAAGACTCGGCGAAATGCTACTGCTCGAATATTTGAAAACAGGTAGTGGAGCCTTCTTGACTAAAAGGGTAGTGATTGTGGCCCTGCGTACATTGCTAATGCAATTGTGTGATGGGCTGTTGTAATTTCGGTTGTGAGTCATGGGCTAGGAGCTGAAAAGAATGAGTAATATAGTCGCTCTTGGGTATCACGCTGTCAAGTTCAACTGGTGGGGAAACATGGTCGGGTCCAATACGTACGATGCCAATTCTGTTCCTTGGTTGACAGTCCCCCAAGGGGGCTATTTCGGCAAGGGACCGGGCGAACTTTGACCGAAACTTGAATAATGCACTGATATCCGTCGAATCTTGAACCGAGATATTGTTTGCTAGCTGCAAGGAAAGACGAAAGGGACAGGAAATGGGTTTTTTGATTGCGAGAAAGATAGAATTAAATTGAACGACAGAGTTATATCCTCTACAAATTGACCGTCAATTCATCGTTGACCCCGAAGAACAATTGCATCGGATCCTTGTAATCAACGAACCCACAGAACGGTGGACTGATCCCATACCCGAGCAGTCGCTGAGCCTCCGGGGAGAGACTTTTGGCCTTTTCGGGAGGAACCATGAAATATTGATTCTCGACCTGACGGAACATACCCTTACAGAAGAATATGCCCACTGTTTCACGAGCCTGATCTCTGGAAGATGTCAGAATACCAGTTGCAATTCAAAAATTAGAAAAGTTACCCACGTAGTAGTGTTTGCACCTCCTGCATGATAAGTATGACCCAGGAAGAACAAGGTGTCGCCTGGCTCCAACTCCGCAGGAATAGCCTCGTGGTCGTAGGGACATCGGCTTTTGGGCCACTTAGGGCTCCCGGGAATCACAACAGTCGCCCCATTCTCTTTGGTTGTTTTCATAATCGCGGTAACAGCACCAAGCATCATCGGTCGATCACCGTCCTCCACATGGTAATCAATATCATCCCGATGCAAGCCCTGTTGCTTGCTCCCAGGATTTACTTGGAATCCAACGGTACTGGAGATCTGCGGCCGGGAAACAGCAGTATGTTTTTCCTGACCCACCCAGTGATGGAATTCGGACGTGAGCATGTAAGATGCCACTCCTCGTAAGAGCGGATGCAGACATAAGTCCACGCAGTTGTCGGAGATACCAAGGAGACCAATGGCCCGTCGGGTTGTCTTTGGAAAGAATCCGGACGCATCCCCGCCATCGGCATCGAAATGTGGCTTCAAATCGGTTCGAATTCGGGAAGCCGCTTCCTTTGATATGAAGTTCTCGACAATGACACCTCCGTCGCGCTCGAGGATGTGTTGGAGGTACTCCGCCGTGACTGTCGTATCATTGGCATCCACCCGCACTAGACCCACACCTCCAGAAGTATCAGGCAGATCAGACATGGTGCAAAAATTGGTTTCTTTGGAATATGGCTATTTTAAAGTTGATCATTTTGAAGCACGAAAGCAAGCCAATTTATGCTCAGAACAAAGCTACAAGGTCAATGAGGGGTTCGGTTGACCGGATCTAAATGATTTGGAGATGCTCATAGATTCGACGGGACCACTAGTCCCGTTTCGGCAGCTCAGCTGAGTTCAATACCCGAGCGCACAAAGTAGAGATAGTAATGGAACTGGTCCCGTGATCGATTTTCCTCTGAAGATCGCAAATGGATGTCTACCCCGCGAATCGAGACGAAAAATAGTGATGAGACGGACACGAAGTATTATATGCTCAGTAAGTGCTTTTTACATATTTGTAACATGACCGTGCAGGCACGAAAGATATATCCGCGGTGGAGAGAGGCATTGAACAAATTAATGGTGTGATACAATGTATTCTTTGATGTGTAAGTGGTTTTCACTGGCTATCTGAATAGAATGAAACGGCTTCTCGAGCCGGTGAAGCCAGTTCTTACCAGTGCAAATAGGGCAGATGTCGGATATTCGACAACTTCCATCCTTCTTAAGGACCGTAGAGGCCGCCCAGAAGGACTGACGTGGACGGATTAGCTACAGACGGAGAAAAGAAGAGCCAAGACTGTTTCTCTGTTGTATCCGAGTCCACCGAGGTGTGGCGCAGGTGGATATCCCTGGTGTGGCGCAGTGCGCACCTCCGCATTATAGGCCATTCGAATCCCGGTCGAACAGCTGTCAATTATGAGTCAAAGAACAAAGGTATTGCAGATTTTTCAAGCCCAAGCTTTTATTTTTGACTTTGCTTCATTATTGAGCTGGCGCTTGGGCCGGTAATTCGGGGGATTCGCCAGCTGCCAGTGGCGCTTGGCACTGACCTTTCTTGTATACGAGTTCCTGATTTGCTTCCTAACGAGCAATCTGGCAGCCAAAAATTCACCAATCGGAGAAGCCGAATATCGCATTATTCAGTCGGGTTTAAGTCTGAATTTCATTACTTGGGAAGAAATTGTTGTAAACTTTTGTCACTTGCCACCGAGGGTGTCACAACGCATACAAAGAGTTGAACCTTTCACGTGCTTTGTCACGGTTGGATTTTAGTAGCGAGACCAAGGAGACAGACAAGTCTGCCAAAATTAGCCCTGGAAAGAATAATAGACAAAGAACGTGTTGAGTATTCAGCACAAACATAACCCAATTAGGCTTAAAAGCTTTAGCATGCTGGTGACTCGCAGTCACGTGACAAAACAGCTGCTGCCGCGACAGTCAGCATCTCGTCGCGTCGCCATCCCAGACATCATCACATTCAGCCCTTCAATTCCATTCCCCCGGCGCCGAAAATTTGCCGCATAATGATCCAAGGCCAGCAGTGAATTCGCGAAATCAACTTATCTTACCTGGCTTTCCTTCACGCCGATACCAACTGAACCCACTCCGCACCGCACCTCGCATTCCGAAAGCTGTCCCTCAAGATGGCCACCGATTACAGCAAGAAGACCAACGCCGAGCTGGTCGAGATTCTCAAGTCGCGCTCACTGGCGCACACCGGAAAGAAGGCCGACATGGTCGCGCGCCTTCAGGAAGATGATGAGAAGAAGCCCGCTGCTCCCGCTGCGACAACCAAGACCGACACTGCCGCTGAAGACGTGATCGACTGGGACGACGATGTTCCGGTTGAAACTACCGAGCCTGTGAAGCCCACAACCGAGGCCGGCGCCAATGCCATTGCTGCTGGTGGCCAGGGCGCTGTCGCCAACCCGGTTGCTGTCCCGAACCAGAAGCTCGATACTAATCCCGCCGCGACTGATGACCTGAAGGTGAAGTCGACTGGTGCCGCTGCTGATGCTGCGACGGCCGCCGCTAAGCCTGAGGAAGCGAAGGCCGAAGTGAAGCCTCCTGTGGATTACTCGCGCGGCCTTCCTGCCACTGAGCTTGAGGAGGAACTGAAGAAGCGCAAGGCGCGCGCGGCCAAGTTTGGCATCGTCGAGGATGAGGAGACTGCAGTCAAGGAGGCCGAGAAGCAGCTGACACGGGCCAAACGCTTTGGCACTGGAGGCGAGGGAGAGAACGGTTCTAATGTGGGTGTCAAGGGCCTCGACCAGGCCCTTCCCGATGAGCGGTCACGCAAGAGGGGCCGCAACGAACAGGGTGGTCGTGGAGGCAAACGTCGGGATACTGGTCGCAACCGCAACCGTCGCGGTCCCCGCAATGGAGTTCAGAAGCAGGGCGGAGGTGGCAACCCTGCGCCAGGTGGTCAGGGTCAGAAGCCGCAACTGAGTGAAAAGGATGCCGCCGCGATGGAGGCCCGCAAGAAGCGGTTTGCGCAGGCAGCTTAAGCCTGTCCAGTGTACACCCAGCTGTCAAGTTTACTAGTTATTTTCACATATCCGGTCTCTGTTTTTGGGCGTCTCATGAACTTCGGGAATTCGGTTCAATTTTGTTTTATTTTGCAAAAACTTTGTATGCAGGAGAAATCCATTGGAATCAATTATGACCGAATTGAGGTACTAGTAGAATCTGCTATTAGCAGTCACTTGTAGCACATTGCTAGAGCACCTTGTTAGGGTCGCTATGATTGAGCCGGAGTCGACAATGCCTATTGTTATCAAGCGAATTGCATTTATCTGGGGTATCTTTTGTCCTCCGGACGCGGAGACCGCGACCTATCCGCACTTCCCCAATGCGTGCAAAGCACCGAAATGAGAGGCAGGTCCCTTTGAGAACTCGAAACTTGAGACTCAACAATCGAAACCCCGCGTTCGCAGTCAGCTGAAAAGCGCATTAGTCTCCCGTTCCTGCAGCGTGGGCGCGGACCAGTGCGGCCTCAGAACAAAGCGTCGAACGGGGCTGGCCCCTCCAGATCGGCACTCTTCACGGGATCGACGAACCCACCTGTCGAGCCCAAGACCTCCCCAGTGATGGATTGGACGTTCTCCGGCATCGGCTTGGTGCTTGGGGCTTCGTCGCACGGTATCACTTCGGTACGAGGAACACGGAACCAGAGGGCGCACTTCCCCGCCGCCAATGAACGTGACGTGGGCGTGATATCGCTAGGGCATCGCCAGGGCACCTGCGATTGACTGCGAGTTTTTACCGCCGTCTCCACTGGCCAGAGGCAGCGCCCCATCGCAGGGTTCTCGTTCGCTCACGCTGTTATTTTTAGGGCGGCAAAGGGTGCAATGAGCGTTGAGAGAGAGGTGTCGATATGAAGTGGAGTCGCCGTAGCCCACGAGCAGAGCCCACCAGGCTGTTTGGGCTGTTAGGGGGTCAACCACCGTCGAGCGCCATCTACGCAGTCTCACTGGCGGATCCGGAGTGACCTATCCAACAGAGAGAACGGCCAAGCAGCCAACAGCCAAGCCTGGCCCTGTCCTTCAAATTCGGGGTCGGAGAATTGGCCCCCTGGTTGAACGGGACGGGCCTTGTGCTGAACCAGACTCTGGATAACGGTCGTCCCAGGGTTTCCTACTACGAACAGGCACAGCATGTTGGGGATGATGGGCGAAGTCTCATACAGTGGATGAACTAGGTACCTTGTACTACAGGATGGAGTACAGTCGCTCTGCAGCATCGCCCTGCATGCTCTCGTACGTTGGATAATTCTCCGAGCTCCGGAGACACGCTATAGCAACTATGTCTACTATAGAGTACTCGAAGCACAGACGATGAAAAGGGAAACGACTTGACCCGAATGGAGCAGAGCAAAAGCAACGTGCACCGCAACCTTGGAGAGAGGATCGACGGTGCGATCCGATCGGGTTCGGCGTCTCCGATCGATGCGTTGGCAACGAGGCGACGCAGACGAGGTGAGCCTCCCGTTGGTTCCTGCGCTGCTCGACAATCCGATTACGAGTATATTGTGCCATACACAGAGTCGACATAGGCACTTGAAGCCGGCCAACTCCAGCTGAGCGCGCTAATGTTCATGGGATATCGCCCAGGGCTTTCCGACCTGGGCCGATGCGCCGTTCCTTCCACCAGGACGCCACTAAGGGCTGCAACGGCATGGCAGTTCGTGATAGGAGTGCCGGATTAACTTTGCCTGGTCTTTTCGGGGCCGCTGCTACAGGCGTGCACGATCCGGGCCCCTCGCAAGCTCGTCTCAGACCCAGGCGCCCGTTCTCATCACAAACGTAGTCACAACCGGTGCACCCAATGACGAGCCTGTCGCCCGGCTTTTTCTGGCAAAGGACCGGGGCTGCTGTAGGGTCGATCCGATGATGCCACTCGCTGTGTTCTATATGGCGCACACAGAGGGCTTTCTCGCTAATCCCCACATTTGGAGGAGGGGGAAAATCCGAGTCAGCACATAAAGGCCGCCTCGCGGTGTACCTAGGGGAATGTCTTGGATTTTTTTTCTCTTTTCCTCTTTTGCATCGCTATCAACTGGCTTCCGAAACTTGTTTGCTGTGCCGGACGAAATCGATTTTAGACGCCTATGGATCTCCCACCTCTGACGTGGCCGAGGCTGGAAAATCCTGAGTGCCACACTGCTCCAGACTGTGGCGAAGCAGCTGCAGCTCCGTTGGCGCCGATCAGCCCAATGTCGGTGAATTTCCATCTTTTATCTACCTGACATCTGCAATTTTTTTCCCTGGTTGTTTTTCGTCATGCCTAAATTTTGACCGTTAATTCTAATAATTCTTCTGCCGTATAGTTGGCGTTCTCGAGAGTCCTCACGATCTCTATTTTCTATCTATTAATCCGCCCTCGCTGGCAAGTGTCCTGGAGACCTGTCTGGTGCGAGCAATGATTTGAATGTTGTATGCTCTCTCCTCGCTGGGGATCTCTTGGAGTTCCTAAGCTGATGTGAATCTCTGCTCAGTGCATTTTTCTCTCGCCACATCGCTTACGTCCGTGATGATTACGATTTCCATGCACATGTCCCCATCATTAGACTACTTGTCCCGACGTTGGAGCCGTCGACTCTAGCACACGTCGTACCATGTCGTACAATATTGGCGGTCGTCGTATGCCGTCGAGTGGTCCTGTTGTCCAGTCTGCAGACATATCACATCGAGGTACCACCAACTCGGAAAAGACATACGCGCCGCGCCATCCCCGATCTCAAATAGCAAGACCGGTCAACCCTACGCCCCGAAATAGCAGGGCATCGTCGTTATCTGCGGCGGAAGATACTGCGCAGTTGGCAGCGTTGTCTACATCTTCTACGGGTTCTCAAACTGGGAAACGTGCCAACCGTTTGTCGATGCTTCCACGGCCAAGTACTGGTGGTGCAACCTCATCGGCCTCGCCTGCTTCTTCCACATCACCCCAATTCTCTACTCAGTCAATCCCCTCCTCCATTTCCACTCCAGATATAACAGCTGCACCTGCATTTGTACCTACATATCAGCCTCCTCCCCCCGAAACGGCCTCGCAACGTGCTTCGCAGAAAAGCACCGACGATAGGAAGACATGTGGAGCAACAGTCGCAAAAGCTCAGCTTGGTGATACCGCAAAATAGCCAGCCCCAGGAGATCAACCCTGCCAGGGAGCAGTTTGTCTCGAATTCTCAATCAGCTGCACCGCCATCAAATCCGCCAAGCGCAATTTGCAGATCGGGTCGATACTACCAAATGGACACCCCAAAGCCTCATGGACCGGTGGAATTGGCAAGTCTTCGGACAACTGTTGATATTCAGACCCTACCACCGGTGACCACTGCCACTCCACTCATCCCGTCAGCCAGCACGCCTTCGACCAGATACTCGGAGTCTCCTGGCGTGTGGAGTCGCGGTTCGACACCCACTTCACTCTCGTCTTATTCACCCGGAATTGTGCATCCGACAAAGATCGGGCGACTGAGACAGCCCTGCCCGTCGCAGACAAGACTGTCCGTCTTCTCACCACCAGCCACGACGGCAAGTCCGCAGACCGCCAGCGTCGAACATGCCGAATCCAACTCGAGAAAGACCCCACCCCATCGGCCCACTGGGCTTCCCAAGGGTAAGAGCACGACTACAACTATTCAAAGACAACCAAGTACCAAATCTATTGCAAGCTTGAATGGCCCGCCTCATAGCCCCCCGCAAAGAAGGTCATCGGTCAACTTCAGCCCACCAAAGAGGGCCGATATCGATGTGGAAAAGGCAAGGAAAGAGGTGGAGGAAGCCGAGCGAGAGCTCTTCAACGCTCATCGACCGAAAGAAATTGCTTCGGGCGCTGAGGTCAGCGTACCGAAGACTCCCCCTCGACCGAGCAGAGAAGGAACCCACCGTTTGGATCTGGAGGCATCACCCGTGATCAAAAGCAATCTACCATACCTAAGATCGACAGGGCATACGCGCCGTGAGTCTGCAGAGAAGATACGTCTACAGGGCCAGCAAAATACTACTCCTCTCCCAAGTCAACCTGCAGCTGCGTCGACGGATCCTTTGCCCTCTAAAGATTTGTCCCGAATTCCGTCGCGAGAGGCAGGTCCTCCTGTCATGGCTCGGAAAGCGCTTCGAACATTGACAAAAGAGCCACCTGCGGAAATGACAGACCCAAGGAAGACCACATCTTCTTCAAAAAGATTTGGTCTTTTCTCCAAGAAGTCGAAGCCGGCCATGGAGGAGTCGGCGGCCGAACAAACTCGCTCCACACGCAAAGGACCAACTGCAGGAACTGGACACGAGGGTTATGGGAAGTACTCGCATCGTGGTCGGAAAGCGAGCGCTAGTAGCAGCACCGGCACAAGGACGAGATCGTCTAGCACCACTAGAAGTGCGTCGCGCTCGGTTGCGAGCAGCAAGGGAAGCATGTCTAGCCGCCCGGATCTGGAGCTCGACGACTTCTTTTCTAGTCGGCTTGAGCCTGTCATCATTACAGGAGGTGGCAGGGAGGGTTCTACGCTCTCGCGAACTGAGAGCGAGCAGAGTATCAGCAGTATGAGTGTGGCATCTTCGAACCTACCTCGTCCGACGCCGCTTACATCCTCCACTGCGCAATCGACTGAGTCGCTGGCTACATCCACGAGTACATCTGGAGAGACGTACACCCCGACTAAGAAAGGCGCGAGCGAGCCGACTGACAGCAAGAGCCCAGAAAAACGTCTTCTAGCCACAGCTTCTACCCATGGTCAGCCTCAGAAGTCACGGATGCCCGTCCCCACGGGTAGAAAGCAAGTGGTATATGCCAATCTCGACGCCGCAGTGAGTCGCACGTCTCTTTCGAGCCAAGGAACCTCTTCGACCATTCCGCAGAAGTCAAATGGTATCCCGAACCAGTCGATCCAAGTTAAAGAGCCTCCAAAGCCCGAGGAGACACAAGTGAAGAAGTCCAAGTCCTCTCGATGGAACCCATTCCAAAAGAATCGCGGCAATGAGCCGAAGGGCCCCGCTCCGACAGCACCAGCACTTCCATCCCACGCAGCTCAACTGCATGCGGCTATTTCTCCTGTTGCAAGCAGTCGGCAAGTTGCTCACTACGCATTTGTTGATGAGGATTCTGATGAGCTTGATCGAATCATCAGCAACATCCAAGACTCCCCGCCAACCGAAGAAGAGGTGGCAGCCGCTCCCGTGCCAGTTCCTGCAGGGTTGAATATCCAAAAGCGACAGCCGTCGATCCTGCTGCCTTCTCCACCCAAGATGCATGGCGAGTTTGATAATGAGCATCCGTCGCCGAAGACTGCCTTGTTTAACCGCAACATCATGGGACCAGAACCTGAGAACAGCCCCGAAGATCGCCGTCCAAGACGACTTGCCTCCGTGGGCCGCATTCCAAAGGTAGTTTCGAGACGTGACCGAGAACATAAACCAGTCTTGCAGTCTTTCTCTCGCCCCTTCAGCGTTGCCGAGTCGCCTTCCCTTCCGGCGCCAACATTGGAGAATGTTAGCCGATCTCCTGATTTCAATGGATCACCATCGACTTCTCGGGGGTATATCCCAACAAGTGTACCGTTTGAGTGGAACCATAGATTCAACCCAGCCTTCAGTGCCCCCGAGCAGATCAGCGCTTTGGACTTTTTGGCAGGACCTTACTCGGCCGATGACTTCCTTCATTTCTCACCTCCACACAAGGACTCGGTGTCATCAAGCAGCTCTGGCGCCCTTGCTGCTGTCACTGCTGTTGTTCCCAAGCACAATGCCGCCCCAACCGAAGATGAAGTGTGGAATGAGTATGATGACCTGATCGATCATCTCTCTCCCGAAGAGCCGAAGCCTGATCAATCTAGCAACCCGACTACAGAAGATGGAAGATTCCAAAATGCAACCATGGCTAGCAGGGCGCTCCAAGATGGACTGAACAACAGCCCAAGATCGCTTCAACCGCCACCATTGCCAACAGGACACGATTCGAACCGTGACAGCGGTGATTCTGTCCGCCTTCGCCGCTCCAGAATTGTTTCCGCTTTGCACTCCTCGATTGCTCCCTCGACTCAGCCGTCCTATAGCGATCTTATTGCAAGCTATGGAGACGAAGAGCATCCTAGCAGCCCCGTCAACACCAGCCAGGACTTCTCTGATCAAGTTCAACAGCAGCAATCGACATTCCTGCACTCGCTCGCGGCGGTGCCGCCCTCAAAGCCAAAGTCAGATGGACGGAAGCCGATTCCTGGATCATCAGAGCGAGACTGGGATGCTGTGACTCGTACCAACATGCGATCTGCTTCCTTGATGACTAGCCGCTGGCTGTCGTTTGGACGTGTTCTTTTCAGCCCAGCACACAACCATGTCAAGTCCGGAACTCACGGCAGGATTCTCGTCATTGATGGTCTGGGGAACGACGACTGGTCATTTTACTGCTCCTTGACCTACCCCGATGCAGAAGTATACAGTCTGAGTGGTCGACCTGTCTCGACAGCCATGCCTCATCCTGCCGCATGGCAACCCCCGACGAACCACCACACAGTCTATCACGCCGGACTACAGAACCCCTTGCCATTCCCAAAGGACTACTTTGCCGTGGCTGTGTTGAGATTCCCCGCAGCAACTTCTGAAGCAGTCCAGAACAACATTGTCCAAGAATGCAGACGAGTTCTGCGGTCAGGTGGCTATCTCGAAATGAGCCTGCTGGACCGAGACATGGTAAACATGGGAATCCGGACTCGCAAAGCCGTGCGACGGCTGAAGGAAATGACCTGCATGGCCAACTCCACAATCAACTTGAGTCCAACCAGCGATAGCATCCAGCGCTTAATCGGCACCCAAGGATTTGACAATCTCCGCCGCTGCATGGTCCGCATTCCCGTGGCAGGAATGGTCGTCCGATCTTCTGACTCGACAACATCCTCCTCAAACCGATCTTTCTCTGCATCCGCCACCACCCAATCGACCGGCTTCTCACTACCCTCCATCTCTGCCTCAACCACGACAGGAAGCCGAACCGCATCCAAGTCATCACCCTCAGAGGACAACATTTCCCTCGGAGACCTCCTCTCCGACCCTTCTCCCTCTGCCGCGAACGACGAGTCCATTGCCAAAATTGTGGCTCGTGTCGGTCGCTGGTGGTATACCAAGTGCTATGAAGACCCAGTTCTTCCCGACACCGGCGACAATGGTCCCAGCATGTGGAATGACCGCAAGACGCTACGCGAATGCCAGAAACTAGGCACGGGATTCCGCATGTTGATTGCGTACACGCAAAAGCCGAGCGAGGTGAAGCGACGCACAGCGAGTGTTTAATGAATGAACCCTATACCCCGACTTGATATGATCCCCTTTACGAAGTATGATTTGATCCGTTTCATGATATCAATACCCAATATCCCTTGCGAATGTTATCCCCTGTCAACCCTCTTTTTCTTCGTCATGCTTCCTTTCGCCTATATTAATTTTCTTTTTTTCTCTTCTTTCTACCTTGTATCATTTCCAGCATTGCGGAGAGGTAGGCTTTATAATTCCAGACTTGCATTAACCTCGCGGTCACTTATGCTCTATTTGATGTGATGTATAACCTGGCACTGGGGGCGTCTGTCTTAATAGTGCGCATGAGATGATGTTCATGGATGTGATTCGGGGCTCTTTGCATTTGCGGCGATTTCACATATTACATCGGGTCATTTATAATGCGTGGTCGTTCGCTTTATATGTCCCATTTACAAGCAGGACTTGATGGATGGTAATTCGAAACACAATGTATGATATATGCTTCTCGAGACTAGCCCCTCGCAATAATTCAAATGCTCATGAGTAGCTCAGCTTACGCTTGTACTCCCTCGACTTCCTCACCTCCGAAGCCACGAGTCGGTGGCCATGGGAATCATAGGCCTCGGCCAGAACCTGGGCCGGCTTCCGAGTGGTATGGAAGCTGGTCTCGAAGCCATTTCTCTTCGTCTGTCCCAACAGCTTCTTCCCACTGTCACTCTTTTCAAAGAACTTCCATACGTTCGTCTCTGTGTCTCCATTCCAGCTCACATAGAGCGACGTCCCATTCGACTCTGTAAAAGCAACCAGAGCAGGCTCTTCATACGGCTTCGCATGCCAGTCAAACTTGAACGCCCGATAATTTTCAGATCCAGGACCGAATTTCCCGGAATCCAACCCGGTCAAGAAAATTGTCGTGCCGTCCGGCTTGTGCTCCGACATAAATCCATTATACCCCCAGTTGATAAACGCATTGCCATTCGGGAGCAGCTGAAGATTACCCTGCGACCGAACAGAGAGATCGCCCGGAACGCGGAATTCGGCGATCAATTTCGCGGTCCACTTCTCGGTATCTAGCTCGACGACCTTGCCGGCGCTATAGGCGCGTGCTTGCAGATCGGGACCACCGGCAAGATTCTCGTGGGCGGAGTTATCAAAGAATGAAATAATCTGCTTTGATCCCTTGGATTCATAATGCAAGTATTTCTCGTGCATCCTGGTATCATGCTGCCAGCAGAAATCCACGCCGTCGCCCAGCGAGAAACTCGAGTTGTGTCCTCCAAGCTGCCAGAGGATTTTGCCCGTGTCGCCGTCCATCTTGAAAATCGTGCACATGCTCCGGGCTGATAAGAGATAGGTGTTTGTCTTCGGGTCGACGTCAAACGCATTCATGTAAAAGTAATGCCAGACTTGGCTCGAGTTCACGCCAGTACCGGCGTTGCCGCTTTCAAGGGTCAAGTTGGTCCCGACTGGATCGATATGTTCGAGGGAACTCCATTCCCACAGAACACGGTTGGTATTCGTATCTATCTTCTGGATCTTATTATCAAGAATCCACTGCTGGGAATCTGACTTCGCGCCATAAGGCGTCAGATCCGCGATCTCAGGATCAAAGATCGTGAACACGGCCGAGTGGTTATCGAAAATAAGGAACTCATGCTGGTCCGCGAGCCTGTGACCACCGCCTGTGAATTGCTTCAGCAATCGATATCGATCATCAAAGAGGCTGGTATGGCCATGCCCATGGCCCATGGGCGAGTTGTGCGAGCCCTCGAAGATCCCGAGAACTTTCTGGCCGCGATAGGCGTGGACTTGGAAGTTCTCGCTTCTGGGACCGACATAGCCAAAGCCGGACCAGACGAGCTCGCCTTTATCTGTGTAGATGTAGGGGCCGCACTGTGCCGGGCCGTGGCCGGTGTTGTCTGCGAAGGTGCTCTCTGGCGTGTAGAAAATCAGACCCTCTGCCGTGTCGTTGGTTGCAGGGATGGTGATGTTCAACACTGGCACGGCGAGATCGGGTCTCGACTTGAAGGCGAGGTTTGCGCCTGCGTAGGCTGTGAAGAGGAGTGTTGCGAAGGGAGAAAGGCGCGCCATTGTAGATGTTTGACGCTATTAAGCGGCTTCTTGTCAAGAAATCGAGCTCCGGTGAGGGGGAATCCATTGCTTTATGTTTCGTCTGAGGACGATCACTTCATAAGTTCGGATGCTCAATTGGAACCCGGCGAGGTCCGTCTGGTGGTGAGAGAAAAGCGGATCACCATCTTGGTAAGAGATCTTCAGCTTTGTTTGGTAGTCGCAGCCGAAAACGGGTTGAGGTACATAGATCGAAATCGCGGGGATAAGTGGGGCTTGGCGAAAGTCATTGGGGACGTAGAGGAAGGTGCAAACGAAGGAGAAGAAGTGAACTGTCGCTGTGACATGGGAGAATCTGTCAAGGCGAGGAGTTGAGTTGAAGGTTGCTCCAAGCCCCCAAGACCCGCGCCAAGACCATCCCCCCCCCCAAACCCTTCCGAAAAGAGCCGCCTCAAAACAATCAGACCAATAGTTAGTCAGCGATGGAATTCATCTGAGATATATCGAATCGAGCATGCAAGTACTTGCCTTGTATTGACTGAAGGTTCCCTAGTGTAGGTACTCTTTTACCTGGTCGAATGCTCATTTGGTCTCTCATTGCCGGCGGTTATACTTTCTGGTCGGCATCGACTCAACCGCCTTGATCTACTCTGCTAGGATGTGCATGTATGAGACGAAATACATACTTCCAATCTAGACTAAATCTAATCCGAAATTTAGTCCCAACATACCCTAGGACCATACTGTACTGACTTGAAGATGCTATAGTACTAGGGCATACATTAATGTCAGATGTCAACTCATGGGTCGGTCCCTGGTTCAACCATGGGTGCTCTTCCTCCATGCCAACACTAACGACTTGTGTTTCTATTTATTCCCACACCCGCGGTTTTGATAATTCATCGCAATCTGATGATCAGAGCCTTGCTTCGGATTTGTTCTCTGCAGCCTTGTGGCACAGCCCTGTCGATCTCCACCTCGGCCAGTTATTCCCCGATGTCGAGTGCCACCAACACGATCTCAATATGCTGCCACTGCTTTATACGAGTCTCATCCGCCACAGTCGCTTTTCCAGGCAACACCCCAGACTATCACACCCCCTGGTGTGGCTCATACACCTCTCATCGAATCCAATCCAACGGACCTCAGCATTGGCACACGTCAATCCGGCTCTCGAACTGCCGCTAGCACACGCCCAGCAGGGCTCGCACCCCACCAACAGCACTGCGCCACACTGCGAACCAGACGAACGGGCGGACCGACCGTATAAAGTCGTGGACCCCCAGGAATCCCACCCGCGACATACTCTACACTCTCATCACTCCTAATGTCTTATCAATACCCTCCTCCGAACCGTGAGTCGCACCCCTCCCCCGATGGCGGGGCAATGAACTGACGTGCAGCAGAGCCGCCCTACGGTGGATACGGCCATCCCCAGGCCCCGCCGCAAGGATACCACCAACCCTACCCTCAACAACCCTACGGCGCTCCTCCTGGCGCTCCTCCCGGCGCTCCTGCCGGCGCTCCTCCTCCTCACGCTCCTCCCCAGGGGCACTACCCGCCGCAACAGGGCTATGGCCAGCCTCCTCCTCCGCAAGGCGGATACTACGGCGCTCCTTCCCCGCAACCGCCAGCAGGCTACCACACCTCCTCTCCGCAGCCTCCGGCCGGCTATCACGCGCCGTCATCACAGCCGCCATACGGCCAAGCTCCTCCGCATGGCCAACCACCCTACGGCCAGCCGCCACAGGGCCATGCGCCTCCCCCAGGCGGTCCCGGATATGGCGCGCCTCCACCCGGCGCGTACGGCGCACATGGCGCACCGCCGCACGGCGCTCCCGCGATGATGGGACCCCCGGCCATGCCCTCGCTGGGCTATGTCCCAGGCCAAAAAGCACCAGGTGACTTCCGTCAACAAGCGGATATGCTGCGCAAGGCGATGAAGGGCTTCGGCACTGACGAGAAGACCCTCATCGCGGTCCTTGCGACTCTGGACCCGCTCCAGATGGCCGCCGTGCGCGCCACCTACACACAGCATATCGGTCGCGACCTGTACAAGGACGTCAAGTCCGAGACGGGCGGATATCTGGAACAAGGTCTGCTCGCCGTGATCGAGGGCCCATTGAACCACGACGTCATCTGCGTCCACGAGGCCATCGACGGAGTCGGCACGAAAGAATGGATGCTGAACGAAATCCTCCTCGGCCGCTCCAACGCCGACCTTAACGCCATCAAATCCGCCTACGAGCACAAATACCGCCGCAACCTCACCCGCGAAGTCGAGGGCGACCTCTCCTTCAAAACAGCCGATCTCTTCAAGACCGTCCTCCGAGCCGACCGTCGCGAGGAATCCGTCCCTATCAACCCGCAGTCCGTCGAAGACGAAGTCCGCACCATCCACGGCTCCACCGCCGGCCGCATGGTCAACAACGTCGCCGAGGTCTCGGGTATTCTGGCGCGCTCGTCGGATGCAGAACTCCGCGCCATCGACCAGGGATTCCACCGTCGCTATAACGTCTCGCTAGAGAAGCATCTTGAGAAGGAGTTCTCCGGCCACATGGAGGATGCTTTCTTGCATATGCTCCGGACAGCGACGGATCCCGCTATGCGTGATGCTATCTTGCTTGAGGAGTGTATGGCGGGTATGGGGACGAAGGATGAGCAGCTTGTTGTGAGGGTTGTTCGTGTTCACTGGAATAGAGATCACAAGGAGCGCGTTAAGGCTGCGTATCGCCATCGGTATGGTAAGAATTTGATTGATCGCGTGCGTGAGGAGACTTCGGGTGATTATCAGCGTTTGATGGTTGCTCTTTTGGAGTGAGCAACCTGTTGGTTGTTGATATCAAAATTCTTGAGTGGTCTTTTGCAGCATTCATTTATGTTTTATGAGTTTATTTTTTGGGTTTTCATCTGTATGTAGTTTATCAGATACCAGTTTTCTATCTTACCCTACCATAAGGGAGGCAGATATGACTGTTTTATGTCCTGCATGAATTGATAATGTTTACTGCTATCCAGACTCGCCATAGTACGTTGACAACTAGTGTTTCTTTCTTTCTTTAACTCCCCGATTTACAGTCGAAAAAAAAAAAAAAAAAAAAAAAAAAAAAAACCTAGTGCTACGCATAGTCCAAGATCAAAGCTCGTTACGTCATCACATTCGAAGAATTGTACATGCCATGCAATCATGAGTATCATAACCTCCATAATCAGGAATCACGCAAAGGACTCAGACATAAGCGATGCAAGAAAATATCCCACCTGGTCTCTAAAACCCAATTTCATGTTCAAGAAATCTCCTTGATAACTTTGACATGCGAGCCCGGAAACAGTCCGGTGCGACCAGCATAGCAACCCCAATACCAATCATCATTGATATTCTCCACTTCTTTGATATCAGCACCGCGGGGGAAGACCAGCTCATCCACAACCTCGTCTTCAGGGTACCAGGACCATAGGGCATAAACGACCAGGCCGACGCCGCCATTTGGAGGGAACCGGCGGAGTGGCGCGGGGTATGGCGAGGTAGGAGTGCCTGTATTGGAGCCCGTGGGATCCGAAGAAGAAAATGGAGAAGTAATCGGACCTCTCTGGCGAGAAGCCTTCTTTCGGCGCTCCTGACCCTGACCTTCTCTCCAGCTCCAATCACCATTGCCCAATTCAGGAGATGCGATTGGCCCATTTATGGCTGGGGATGATGAGGGCGAACGATTCACATGCTCGTCCTTCAAGGCATGACCACCAACAAGGTCCTTGACAATCGAGCGTCGTTGGCCATCTTCTCGGTCTTCGAATCCAACCACGATCATCCGGTGACCAGCAAGACAGCGGCGCCACCCATTGTGGCCATTGTCCTTGCTAATCTTTGAAGTTGCGACAAGTTTGAGGTAGCAATTCGTGCAAACGTCATAGTCTCCGTCGTTGCATTGCGCGCAATGGAATCTCGTCACCGAAGCCGGGATTGGGTAGGTACAGATATCACAGTTGGTGGAGAATGAGAGAATCTTGAAGCTCTCCGTATTAGGTTGGGTTGGAACGTGACTCGCACCCTCGGCAGGCGTGGCAGCTGCAGACGAAGCGGAACTACCTGAAAAGCGTCGAATAGGTAGCAATGGATGGGTACAGCATCGGCCCTGGTTCACGCAATGGTTGCAAAAACCCCATTCGCCTTCATTGCACTCGCTGCATTTCCAGTAACACTCATTTGCCGATGAGAAGCAAATATCACAAAAGAGCCCCGTCTGCAGTCGACGTGCAGGATTATCATTTGTGAATTGTCGGTCTCCGTTCTTTGCCACCTGTGCGGATTCTCGAGCTCGTTCGTACTTAAGAGAGGTGAAAAGGTGACCTGCATCAGAAATTTGTGCTGGTCGGTTATTCGAGGATGCGAGTATCAGTTCGAAAGCTGCTTGCGAACTCTTGCTGAAGCCGCTCCAGTGAGGACAACCTTCACCATTTCGATAGCATCGGAGGCAGAGATGGTAGTTACCGTCATTGCACTTGACGCATCTCTTGTGTAGATCGTATTGAATATTTCGTTTCCCACAGGAGTTGCAGGAGACAGAAGGTTCAGCGTATGGTGTGTTTTGGGTCGAGGATACATTCGTTCGCGATGATCGAGGGCGCCTTTCGCTCCTGGGCGGGACCAGTGGCGAAGACAGTGTCGGAATCACTCGGTCTGTGGGTGTGGATGTGTGCGAGGAGTTGGATGGCGAGTTGACAGCCGTAGGGGAGTTGGTTGCAGATTGGCTGGTGGTATTGCGCGAGGGTCTCTCTCGTCCTCCGCCCATCCACACGTCTGAGATGCCTTGATCGGATTCTGTTGCTCGTCGAGTTCTGCTCGATGATTCGGTCCTTGGTCGGCCCAATTGACCACCGCGAGTGCGTTCGGAGGTCATATCGCTGGCCGATCGGGTCGCTGGTCGTAGCGTGTCATCCGAGGTCGATGCCTGGTTGACCCGGACAGGAGAAGTACGCCGCTGAGTACTGGCTTGTTCCGAATTTCGTCGCTGATGGCTTCTGGTTGGTCGAGATGTCGTTGAATCAAGCAGGTGTGGTCGTGAAATCGGCGGACGTCTGTCATTGTGATCTCGGGACGTTGTGGCGCCCTCGCCAGATCTTACTGCCGACTGAGATCTTTGACGGGTATGGCTGCTGGTATTGGATGACTGTGTCTGTTCTTGTCCATGGCGGGAACGCGGTTGTTGCATATGTCTCCGACGGTATGCATCCGCAATGCGCTCGCTCAGTTCTTCCTCCTGCAAAGGTCCGAGGTTGTCCAAGTTGATATCATCCAACAGCCCTTCCTCAATAATCTGCCGCATGATTTCCTCCTCCATATTCTCCGCCTCCGATGACAAGCTGAGGAGTGACCGCAAACTCGACTGATGCTCGATACGCCGAGTGCGCTCAGCATCCGCGGAAGTGCGCCTTGAACGCGGCTGTCGTTCTGGGTCTTCATCGCGCCGTCGACGTGATCGGCCATCTTCCGCACGTCGCTCGGGGTTGCTGCTCCGATCGCGCGCGTGATCGGAATGTCCTGCTCGACGAGCCTCTCTCCGCGCCTGAGATCGACTCTCCTGCAAACTCAGCTCTCGTATCTCGTCCAGCACCCGCCGATCATCCTCATCATCGGAGCTTTCATTTTCCGACAGGGGTTGAGGAAAGACCGACTCTCCATGCTTGTATCGCTGGGCGATCTCTACTTTCTCTTCTGTCGTTCTTGCTCGGTCCGGTTGCGACAACAATACCATATCGAGCAAGGTCGTGACCGTAGCATTAGGGCGAGTGCCGCGAACTTCGGCTCGGCATGATGGACATGTAAATCGGGGTGCGGTGCCGGAGGGACGGCGGCGTGAGCCTTGCGCGGAGAACCATTCTTTCAAGCAGGAGCCACAAAAGGTATGCAAGCAGTCCAAAAGGGTGAGAGGCTGGTAGAGGAGTTCGGTGCAGATCTATAAACCCGGGTCTAGATTAGTCTTGGAAATTCCCACAGCAAGGGGGCGGAGGCGTGGAAAGCTTCTGGAATGAGAAACCACACATACCGAGCAGCCCAGCTCCTTCTCGAGGTCAGCCAGGCCAGGACCCTGTACTTGAGACATCGAACAGAAGCCTCCAGGGCCGGACAATGGGGTTGTGGTGTGAAGTATCCCTGAGTTGGGGGACGTCAAGGCACCCAAGGAACGAAGGTGGTGACAACCAAGGCTCAAAGGCGGAATGGGATGTGGGAAGTGAGATGGACTCCACCGAGCTTATCGCCTTCCCGCATCCTCAACTGTCCGACTTCAATCCTCTGGAACTTCCCGTTTCGCACCTTTTGAATCTTTGCAGACCTCTTTTTCAGCTACCTGCTTGATTGTCTCTCATTTGCGGCTCGTGGCTTTGTCAGAGATGGGTTGCGGTTGCATTGTCCCACCAAAAAGGGCTGTCTCACTGGCCCTGCAAAAACCAAGTCCACTGCACGGCGTAAATCGCTTGCGCATGTGAGGCATACAGATGACGAATCTCGATCTGAGATGATCTCGATTATTACGATGCTTTGAGAATGAAGGCATGTGAGGCTCTGGTGTTCGTGGGGTTGGGCAGCAAAGCAACTCGCAGGCGTTCGTCTTACCTCACCTCGAAGAGCGTGAGAATTGTGAGAATCACAATATGCGCGGAATCCCTAATACCATTCGGCGACTAAATTTGTGTATTCGACAGCTCATTTATTTATCGATTCTGCGACGCTTCCCGGTTCAGACGCCGTCGGCGATTCAAACCTCCAGCAACCTCAATCATATTTGTCGAAGTAAAATATTCAGCACTCACCGAGCTGAAAAGAAACTCTCCGTGGGATGCTTCGGGGATTTGCAGACAATCTCCGGGATCAGGCCTGGAGAGGAGATCGATGGAGCCAACATTTTAACTTCTTCGCATCTACTAATCCGCAGAACTTCTTCTTTTTCTCGACATCAACATAGCGACTAGCCCTTTGCCAATATTCGCTTCGGATATAACCAAAGTTCTTACCTACTGTGGTCGGCAGTTGCGCAAATACTGCTTTTGCTCACTGTTCTTTTGCCAAACCGACCATCTCCTTCTCAGCTATTCCTCCTCTTTCTCTGAGCGAGATCGTTGCTTTAAATGATATCATATCATATCTCGTGAGATGGGCTCAATTTCTACGCACCGTTACGCTCTCTTGGTGCACTGCTATCGCATGATGCATACCCTATCGAATGCCAACCTGATCGTTTATATCAATCCTCGCGCTGTCTGTAACAATATCAGAACACTCACTCAAAATCCCAGCAGATGGTTTTTGATCCATGAAATCTTGCACAAAAGAATATCTGGAACATCACAAGGACCCGCAGCCGCCTATCTTGTCATCCGTTGCTGGCCCGTGAATGTCAACTAAAGACAGCCGGGAACATGAAATTCACGTCTCCTCATGCTAGCCACAGTGTACATGATTATTGTTACAATCCACGTGCCTATTCAGACCTGCTCAAACGAACAATTGCCCTCGATGACATTTTGAAGAGAACTAAGATCATCAAGCAATGCATTGTGATTCACCTCTCTGAGAATTGGTCTCGCAATACAATTACCATCAAAGCTATACCAATAGCAATTGCATCGGAATAACCAAACCCAAGATGTGGCCACTTTCTTGACAAATCCTAGCTGCATCAATCACATCCCAGCCGCCATGAAACACTGCTAGTCGCAATCAGAATCATTTCGCCATCTACAACCCCCCCCCCCCCCCCACCTCCTATCCCCAGCATCATCTCAACATCAAAATTCGCCGCGGCTCCGGCCGATCAGTGGTGGCGGCAATGCATGACACGACCCTCTTAACAAAGTCTAGTCTAGCATCCCTCCAAAGCCCACCCATACCATTCACCCACTTGAGCGCTTTCTGCCCAGAGATACCTGCTAGTGACAAACACAGTACCTGGTCTAGACACAGCAGGGGGGGGGGGTGGGGAGGGGAGCACCCCAGAGAATACAAACTCCCTTGCTCCTGGGTCGGGAGGGGGGCGATGGGCGTGCAAAAGTTTTTTTCGGCGTCGACAGTGCCGGGCGTGGCTGGTCCGCGGGGAGCGAGAGATCTGAGCGACGGCGGTGAAGATGGCGTCAAAGTGTCGAATCGTTGGTGTTGGTATGCGAAGAATTGACTTTGTGTGTCTGCTTGTGCTCCAAGCCCCGTTTTGCCTCCCGTATTCGCTGGCTTCTAATTGTTTGGGTTGTGTTTGTGGTGTTGACGTTTTCCTCGGAGGATTTATGGTGGCATTGCTGGCTTAGCTACTAGCTGCTTGCTACTACTGCCAATGCTCTGTGCTATCGTGTCCAGTGGCTGACTACAGCTATACCGGAAGACCGGAACTATAGTTTGTTCAGTGCCATCCATTCCAGACCGGATTGTGCATCATGTGAGAATCGCTTGAAGTGTCCCCGGTGCATCCGGGGCTCTGGTCAGTTGTATGCAGAGGGTCATCAGCGCGGAGATCCTGGCGCACGATGCAGAGCGCGAAGGTGAAACGGGTCATCATTATGGAACGGGGAACATTTCCCTCGCAGCATCGAGCCTCGAGGAATTCGATTTGGAGAATGGGCGTGCGATATATGCATCGTGTGTACAATAATCTGGGGTCTGAACGCCAATTCGGGTGTGGCTGACAATAGTACGATGAGTCCGGGGCAGGAGAGGGAAAAGGGAGCTTGAAAGAGGGGGAAGCGAGCTCGCACTCTGTCATGTCAGTATCTCAGAGTCGAGCGAGGCGTGCTACAGCTTGAGACGAGGCAACCATTTTAACCCCTCAGCGAAGTTCCAGATCATTCCGTTGGTTCGTGACGCGTACTGGGGATGCATGGGCGTTGAGGGGCACAAATGCTGACGCTGTGCAAGTGGATGGCGCGGGGTTCACCAGAACTTGGGCATTATTTGAAGGGATTCGTGACGGACAAGCAGTAGTCACAGCGGCTAGTCCATGGCGCAGCTGGCGATGGACAGAGCAGGGGAAATGCACCCCGCAATGGAACATGACTGAGCGCAGGAGCTGCTGCACTGTCTTTGCGGGGTGTTGACGCCCTGATCTGGAGCCCTCGGCCAACCTCTGCTTGTACAGGAGTAGTACTTGCTAGAGAAGGAGTAGTGAGGCAGCGACAACGTTGGGGAAGATGTGATGGGCCGATGGGAACCTGGGCATCCACCAAGTGGGGAGTGGGGGCTGCCAGTCGCAGCCAGCGATAACACTGACCCTAGCAGAAGTCGAAACTTACTCTCAACTAGTGTAGTAAATACTCGATAGGTAAAAAATGAGCACAGGGACTGCTCCACCCGCCCGCGTACCTGTGCGGGTAGGAGATTGCGGCCATGGGCTCTGGGATCACTCCAGGTACAGCTTGGAGAACTGGAGAACCCTTGGAAACCCGTCTGGTTCCTCATGCCTGAGACTTTGTTGACCATCTCTTGTTGCACACAGCCGTGGAACGAGCCTATTATCCGAGGGGATTCGTATACGGCAAACCGGCCAGATGCAGTCCTCCAGACCATCTAAGTGACTATGAGTTCACAGCCACGGCGTTCCAACCTTAGCAAACTCATCTATCAGAGACTCCCTTAGCGCCAGCTCAAGGGTCCCAAGTGAAGCTGGGCTGCTATTAGTGCTAGCTACTGCTAATTATGATGAGTGGGGCCGGTGCCGCAAGGGAAGTTAGTTACATTAGCACAATATAGAAGTACTACTAATAGCAAGGCCCCGCAAAGCCGGGTTGATTTGCCGTTGTTATCAGGAGTACAGAGCACCGCGCCCAGTGCTTCACGTCGCTAAGTGGATGCTGGTCCGACAGCACTTCACCTCAGTAGTGCAAGTGTAGTGTAGCGCCGCAACGGCGGGCGCCTCTCCCGCCAGAGTGACTTCGCGGCTGGAAGGCCAGTGGGCAAGGCGAACATTCAAAGGCCGAGACTCGGGCATCGCGCAATTTCGTCTCATGACGGGCTGCAGGCCCGATGCATCGTCCCGCTATCAATCGTAGAATTGATCATCGTGCCAGATCTTGCTCGACATATGCCTGACTAGTAGGAAGTAGGAGTAATTCTTTTAGGTGGCATGATCGTCAACGCTTCTCGCGGTATGCTCGACAGCTCATTGGCGAACCGTGCTCTGAAGATTTCCTCATCGTGTTCACAATTTCTGGGCGATCGACTTGTCCCAGCACTTGTGAGAGTGCTAGTACGTTATGGTGATAGTCGACGGGAGCTACTTGGATCCGCTTTAGGTTCGAGGGTTTAATACGAAGGGTGGAACCTTGTTGAGCGAGCAGTTTCCGCCGAGCGTCAAAGATGAGGTCCAACATACTAGTAGTACTAGTAGTACTAGTATACTGGCATGTCGTAGAATGGCGAAGCAAGTACCTCAAGTGCTGGCCAAGCAATGGCTCCGTTTTTCGAGCGTATACTTGCAGACGACGATCCTCCACATGCAAGCCGAACAGGATGTACGTTGCCCCGGAGGAAATCCACCATGTACATTGCAAGTGTACAGTGTACAGCCCCTGAGATAACGTCTTTCAAGGGAACCTCCGCGGTGAGGTGCCAGACAGATGACGCCATGCACTGACCTCCCAACATGCAGCGCAATTGTCAGTTCGCCGCACTACTGCACGGCCTCATGCACCTAGAGGACGGAGGGCAGCCCACCATACCACTTACGGACACGGGCTCCACTGTGCATCGTCGGACGTCGAGTGGCATCAACGGGATCCGCGCACTGACAGCCGCACGGCGAAGCACCTCACAGATGCTGTGAGGGAGGCGACGGTCTCGACGGGCGACACTGGCGTGGACGCGGTGGGGCTGTCTGCTAGCCTGTCTCATGCCATGCATACGCGTCAACTATGTACTTCCCGGTTGCAGCATACCTACATGTTGCTATTTATCGCGGTCCCAAGGTGACGGTGACTAAGGTCCAAATCGGACAAGCTGCCTGTTCACCTCTGAATACCCTCATCGCACGGACCAGTTGGGTGCTGGGCATCTGAGCGCCTTGGTTGGTCCAGGCTCGCGGAGATGCCTTCCAGACTATACCCTAGGATAGGTACCTGCCAATGAGGAGGTACAGTGTGGCCGTTAGGGCACGTCCCCTGCACATCAGCGATGTACTGTACATTGCTCGACAACGTGTCCCCTCACCTGCAGAAAATAGACACGGTCATGTGCACTCGCGTTGCAGAGGCGCCTAGGGTTCTGCTTGCGCAATGCGAGAGATACTGCAGTGTTGACAATGACAAGCGCCCTTTTGGGGTTGAGGGCCGAGGACCCTGGAGCTCAAACAGCGCAGGTCTGGTCTGAGCGAGGCGCTTTCCCCTGAGCTCCCCGAAGAATATCTACTAGTAAACTCATACGGGAGATTTGACGGTCGGGAATAGAACAGTTTCGTGCTCTACTGGAAATGCACGTCGAGTGTATCTCTCACTCTGAAGCTGCAATCAGAGAGAAACCAATTTATCGGAGAGCACACCGACATCTTTTTCTCCTTGTTCAGAGCTGAGGCAGATAAGGCTGAGCCGATGCCTGCGCAAAGAACTGCTTCTATTCGCGGGTTCCCCTCTCTATCACGAATATGCAATATCCCCCGCAAATATGAGCAGGGGGCTGCTGCGCCGCACGCAGTCAGCATCCCCAGATCAGATCCTCCGCGGGGTTTGCACATCTCCTCCAACGCGTTGATGGCGTGCGTACAGAATGGACGCTGGGGGGTGATCCACCGCGGGGTATGTGTCTCCTGGTACTCCGTCGACACTCGCTTTGGACCTTCCCTTCTGAAACTGAAGCTGAAGCCATTGTCGGTCCAGCCCTCGTCCATGGGAATTGAGTCTTAGTGGCCGCCGTGTGGCGGAGGGCTAGGCATTGAGCTACCGCCGCCGCCAGATAGCTAGTCCGACGTAAATTAGAAGCTCGTTTCACCACCTACTAGGTATACCTGTGCCCACGATCAAGTGGGCTGGTGGGAATGCTCGGCGGCGAGCTTGCCGAAGGATAGCTCCCGCGCTAGCTTCAGCCACCGCCGCGGGGGCCGTATAGACGGCCGGGCCTGGTTACCGGTGAGTGGAAAGAGACCCGAGAAAGGGCGCCGAAAGGGTCTGAACGGCGACATCTGGGCCCTTGATGTCTTTCGTGGGGGAAACTGGGGTGCGAGCGGTGTAGTGAGCTGCATCTTCGCTGCACCAGCGAAATAAACAATCCTCGCGCAACGCTGTCGGTCCAATGGTACTGGTAAGCGCAATGCGATGTATCCGAGACTAAGATCTTGGGCTGAACTCTGCGCGGGCGGCAGCTGCCAATCCTAAGACCGCAGAGGGAGCACATCCCCCAGTGGCATCTGGTCGCGCTCGGGCGCTTCGGCCCAGAGATGGTTTCACGACGCAAACAGGACAAGGCGTGATTAGGTGCTGCCATGGACCGATGCTGTTAATCAAACAAACACTGCCGAGTCGGGAGAACGTTGTCCATAACGCGATTCCGGTGAGTCGATGGTTGCTTGGTTGCTTTTGCGCGTTTTTCGTGCATTTGCTTGATATCGGACGAAAAGTGCACGGAGGCTAAGCCTAAGAATGGGTGCTGTGACAGGCTTTGTTGGCGATGCCGCAGTGACAAGCGTGACAAGCGTGGAAGGGGCGAGGGCAGCCAACGGGCGTTATCGCCAGTCGCTACCGCCTCGGAACCCTTCTGCGCCCGTGCAGGTCCAGACTGTTTACAATGTACCCTAGAGATGGAAGTGTAGATTGGATGGCCAATACTCGCGGGTCTACGATCAATCGCCGAGATTGATTTAGAGGAACGCCCGGAGATGCAGACAGCATGGATCTGGGGGGGCCATCCCGCTGGTTCGACTCGGGACGGAGAGGGTTTGGGAGTTTAGGTGGAGCAGACTGAAAACCTGGAGATCAGCAAGAGCCTTGTTATGCAGGCCAGGGACGATCGCGGCAGGCGTGGGAGTCAGATGAACGCCGCTAGAGTCGAGACTCTGTTGCGATGGAGACAGCTGGGGACCGAACGAGTAGCAATGGGGGCCCGGCCGAGTCGTCCGGCTTTGCCAACTGAGGGCTAGCGCCAGCAGCAACGTTGATACCGCCACGGCGTGGTTACTGCCACCCGGTGGCAAAGAAAACTCTGCGGCGCTAGGAGATTCAAAGAACTACAATTAGATTAGAAGTATGCAAGCAGTTGTCAAATTGCCATGACTACAAAGAATACCGCCGATTGATAATGGATAATGGGTTCGAATTTTCTATCGTTGTTCGGTACAGTAAGACATGCGCCATCAAACATTGTCGTGAAACACGGGCCAGCCCTCTCCGCGACCAGGCGCGATATAGGCTAAGGGTTAATTTGATATACGCCAATTTCGATTGTGCATTATTATTACTTACTATTTACTGCCATCGATTTGATATCGGACTCGGACCCTAGTCTACGCGGTAGCTAACGGATACACGGTGGCACCTAGTTGCGGTAGCAATGCTCCGGTCGCAACCAGGGTCGCACGGAAGAAGCAGCGCGACTCTGTCTGGGGAAGCGGCTGAGATTATTCTCCGGCGGATACCAAGTGAGAGTAGTGCTGTTACGTCTTAAAGAGGCCGAGTGTACAGCTGTATAGATCAGAGAGGATAGGCTCCGACAACAATGAGCATGGAAGTCAATACTCGACGACTAAGTACAGGACAGTCGGGCCTAGACCGCCGCCAAGGGGGGCAAAAACCAGGGAAGTGGCCGACCCTCGGACCCGTCGCTGCATCTTGACGTCATGCACGTTCGAGGTGGGGCGTGGCAGTAGCGCTGTATACCTCTTTTGATATCTACACTCGTAGTTTGCCTTACTATACCACTAACCACGGGAGACCGCGAACCCGGGAACCATTGGAACGAGCTTGATAAGACCAGTCGATATTACTGACAAGCTTATTGCGATCCCTCGATCTCCCTCGATTGGCTCTTTTCTCTCATCGCAGCCAGGCCCTGATCTCCCCCGGGATCGGTCGGCACCGCTCTGCTCCGGATTTCGCGGCACACTGGGTCGGTGGAGACTACGGAGTGCAGCTCGTCGATCCACTGAGATATCCAACTGCATGCTGCATGTCACGGAGAAATTCCATGTCTGGGCGAGTGGCCCCCGATTTTCTATTGTCGCAGGGTCTGCCGCTGCTAAAAAAAGGAATATTGAAAAATCGGAATTGGTGCACAGAGGAGATTTGGCTCAATGTTCTCAACGTCGCGTCCCACCACATGATCCGATCGCTTTTCGGTTTCGGTTGGGAAACAACCTAGACTCCTTGCATGGGGATTCCTATCGCAAAAAGTTAGAAGGTAGCAAAAAAAAATTTAGAAGCAGCCTCAATGCAAGGCGAGCACAGTCGACGACTGCTTCGAACAGCAGGAGTTCGTCAGCAATCCATGGTAGCGATCGTGTCGTCAGTGCCGTTCCATGGTCGACCCAGCTTGATTGCATGCTCCAATCCTGCCTCCCGTCGATACGGAAACAAAGGAGGGGCAAGCGATGGTCGCGTCGCAGCCCACATTGGATGACGGTGGATGGGGCCGAAGAGGTTAGAGGGACTAAAGGATCTGGGAGCATTATGCTTCAGCACTTGCGCACTGTGTGTCGCAAATTCTGCGCGTGGTGGTCTGCAGTGGTCAGAGTGCGCCGGGTCGACCCAATGGCGGGCGCCCGTATAGATTTGATCCACGGACTCGGACCTCCGCAACTGATAAGAGCGCGTTGGCACTGCAATTGTACTGTACCAGGTGAAGTCTGGATCTGGGGATGAGCATTGCAGTCGTGGGTCCAAGACCGTTCGCGGCACCGTCGGTATGGCTTGCAATTGCAAGATTCCTTCCATTGCCGATGGTCGCCCTCCATCCTGGTCGCATTCCCGTGATCAGCGCAGAAAGGGGGTACGAGGCCTCCAAGTTGTACAGTCGATGTACGTCAGTCCAGAAACAGGGAACACAGTTGCGAAAAAAGCGAAAAAAGAGCGGGATCCTCCAAGATTTAGCGCCAGGAGTGGGTTGAGTAGAGGGTGGTGCTCCGAGGAGATCGGAGGTCGCAGGTCGCAGGTCGCAGCTACTCTCGTCGCCCCTCGTGCGTAGTGCCTACCATGTGTGCGGGTACTCGGAAAAGAAACCCTGTCTAGCTTTTGTGACGGTCGATATACCTGAAAGTGCTGAAAGTATGGTACTAGACTCGACAAGTTTAGCAAGATGCAAAATGAGAAAATCAAAATGTCTAAATGTAAAAAAAAAAAAGAAAGAAAGAAACCAAAAAAAAACTAAACCTTGGAAGCCCCACCCGGCGTGTCCCTAACCCATGCGACTCTGTATATACGGGACGCACTGACATACTTGCACCCGCACCGGTTTTGCCTGGCGCTTGGAGTCCCTTATTTATCGTGTTCCACTTTTTTTCTCTCTTAAATCCTCCTAAAGGAATTCCCTGTTCTGGGACTTCCTGCTATATTGCTGGGCCTATCTCCCTCGTCCTTTCATTTTTAAACCACACCTTTCCAAGGATCCCTCCCTCCTCCTCACAGGTACTTTCGCGACCTACAACCAACACCCAACGGTCAGAGCGGGAATGGCTTTTTGAATTCGCCTCCCGCGCCACACGACTTCCCGGGTACTTCTGAGGTACCGAGTACGTGCTTGTGCTGTGAGGTGATCCGATCATCTAATCCGTACAATTTTTTTTTCTTGTAATTTTGGCATTGGCATCTGCATTTTTATTTCTCGCGGTTCCCTTAATTCCTCCTTCTTCATTTTATCCCCTCCCATCTGGTGCTGCTATCGGCCCACCATTTGATCGCATTCCCCACCGATAGGCAATCTCGCCATCGCCACCCGGGGGACCTTTGGATGTACGCAGCACGGTAAGTGAACTGATAAGCTCTGGGCTCCGCTCGCCTTCCTTCTACCTCTCAACCTCGATTTCACTTCCCTTGCCTTCTCAACCGGCCCTCTCCTCTCCGCCGGTGTCACTGTGTCGTGATACCTTTACTTCACTGCCTTCCTCCCACTGGCTCTTGCCTCTCCTCGCCATCTGGTGCCACCATCTGCATCTTCCCTGCACCAACCCGGCTCTACTCCTCGTCCTTCCTTGTGCATATCCTGATTCCGTCGAATGCATGGTTATGCCGTCTCCACTCCTGTCCTTGTCCGTCTCTCTTGCCCCTCCGTGGTTCTAAAGCTCTATCGCCACACTGTTCCCGACAAAAAGATTGGGAGCATTGAACTGACAGAAGCTCCCCACTCCCAGGACTCGCATTGTCTCGACATTGCTCTCGTGAATCAATCCCCTCCAACACCGTTTAATTACTTTTTCCCCTTCTTGTGTTGAGACACGCAAGTCGGCCGGATGCCATACACTGCGCCATTGAAGTCGTTGCTCTCCGCGCAGCACATCGAGTACTGTGATTCTCCCGAAGCTCGCGCGGAACGCCCTGGTCTGGTCCGATCAGTGTCCGCGCGTGTGCAGGGCTCGCGCTCCTACTCTTCTACTTCGTACGTCCGCCGACACCGCAGGAGTCCGTCAATCTGCAACAAGTCGACCGTGCATTCCGCCTCGGAACCCGCATCTCGCCACTCCCCCAATATTGACCCTCATACCAGTCTCCGTCAGTCCCCGCCACCACTGAACAATGCTGCGATTCCACCCGGGGCGGTGATCTCACCCCCGAATCGGCGCCGAACTCTGACGAGGAGTCATCTCCGTACGGCGGAGACGGTATCAAGCTCGAGGAGCTGGAGGCTGCGGTCCGGTCGATTGAACAACACAAGGAAAGTTCGCCGGAAAGAACACCAGAGAAGATGAGACCTACAGAGGAGCTGGGAACGGACTTTCGATCCTCTTCGTGTCAACCATCGGCACCAGCAATGGAGCTGAAGATCCCCAAGCCGAACCACATTCGCCTCTCGAAAGAGGCCCGAAAGATCGCCCACTCGCGATCCGCCACCGAGACCGCCATTGATTACAAGAGAGAGGAAGCATTGACCAGCTCTCCCGATGACAGCGATGCCGACCTTTCACCGAAACCACCCATGGTGCGAAAGAAGTCGGGAGAATTGGTCCGTCCAGCTCTTCGACCCCCAGCGGCTCGACGACGACCTTCGAGCATGCCCGGAACTCCCGTTTACGCCAAGGCAGTGCACTTCGACTCGCAACTGGAACACATTCGTCACTTCCTGCAGCTCGATCGACCACTGGCCGTGAGCGCAGAGACATCGCCAGTCGAGACCCACGATGCGGATGGCGAGTTCCCATTTGGTCGCGGTGCGGGCAAGAGCAAGAGCTCTTCTTCATGGGAGTGGGAGCTTCGGCTGTCCAACTTCCCCACAGATCTGTCGTCTCGTGCAAATAGCCCTGTTCGCCTGGAAAGATTGTTCCTGTCTGCCGATAAGAACACCCTGATCGGCTCGGTCGCCGTGGCTAATCTCGATTTCCACAAGCATGTGGCCGCTCGCTTTACGTTCGATTACTGGCGAACCGTGTCGGAAGTCAGTGCAACCTATTGCCACGATGTTCGGAGTATCCACGCGCACGACGGCTGTGATCGCTTCACGTTCGAAATCAAGCTGGAGGATCAGGCCAAATTGGAGAACAAGACGATGTTCGTGTGCATCCGATACACGTCTGCTGGACAGGAATTTTGGGACAACAACGGGGGAGTGAATTACCAAGCTGATTTCCTCAAATCGCCCAAGGCGACGGTTTCGAACAACAAGCCAGCCACAACTGGAGCTCGCCCTGCCCTTCCACGCAGTCGATCATTCACCGGGTCGCACTCCCGCCCGCACTCCATGCCGGTATCGTTCGATGATCTCCCGGATGTCACCAAAAACACTCCATTTTCGAATCCTTTCAATTCCGCCAAGTCACCCCCGCTCAGCCGGGCCACGTCGGACGACATCGACACCGTCGGCCCACCGAAGCGACGCGAGAAGCCGAGCCCGCAGGCTTTCGGCAACCGCTATGACTTCGGCGCATCATTGACTGCTGCCATGCGGACCAAGCCACCTGTTGATCGTACCACACTTACTGCGCGGGCCCGATCGGGTCAGACTTCCGAGGCGAACCCGGCTAGTCCCGTGGTGAATGATGCGGAGACAGGATCTGGCCGGACTTCTCCTGTGAGCGATGAAGCTCGAGAGGACCTGAAACCGTCCTCACTGGTGTCTAGCAAACCATGCCTCGAGTCCTCGGTGTACAAAGAGTTGGTGGATAAATACTGCTTTGTAAGTGTTATACAACATACCACTCATGCATCCAGACCATCAGCTAACCTACCTGTTTTAGTATGGCTCTCCCAAGGCGTCACCTCCAAAACCCCAGAGCTACTCGGTGAACGTGAATGGCGAAGCAGCTTCCCGATACTTTGCCAACGGTACACCCTCGCCACCTCTTTCTCCCCGCTCCCCCGCTCCTCTGGAGCCGGCCGCGACCGGGGGATCTCGCGAGAATCGCCCTGCGTCTTCGAGTCCGCGGACCTCCCCCAGGGCTTCTCCTTCCCCCATGTCCTTCCGCCATTCCTACCATCATTCCCTGCCGAATGGATTCATGAAGGACCCTCAGTCGTCGCCAGTCATCCGAGGGTGAGTGACATGTTAACGCTTGACCGTTACGGAGTCCGGCTATTTCTTCTCGCCACACCTTGTTTGAATCATGTTAACGGTTTTGCTGAAGAGAATTCGATGTTTCGTTACTGGAGATGGATCGATCGGTTGATTCGTTTTCTTACCCGCCCCTTGCCCAATGTGCATATGCCCCCTCGTCGGCGCTCAGTGATTAACTCATATTTTTCTCACTTCGCATGGTTGAGGTTCTCTCCCGAATTTCCAAGGATAGTTGGCGATGGTTTCTCGGCTCAGCTGCGAGTGTTCTCAGCGATCTGGTCTTTGCGATGCAGAATAAACCGCGGGCCCGATCGTTGAGTCATTCGAAAGTGATGTTGGGCGTCAGCGTTTGTTTCGGGAGAAATTATCGATGCGACTGCTGCCCGATGTGATCATCGCCACCACGACTTTCATACCAGCGGGTATTCTTCTGAATACGCCGCATCTGTTTTGAATACGCATGATGAGCATACGAGATTTCGCCTGTTTGTTTTGTTTTTGATTACTTTCTTATTGTTCCCTTCTGTGTCACTTCGACACAGTCATCCTGAGGCCCTCTTCGATTCTTCTCTCTGCCGCAAGGCAGATCTTTTCTTTTACGCCAAAAGTCATCTTTTAGTCCCGCCCGCCTCTACTCTTGATGCATTTGCGTTCGTTGACCTGCTTCCTTTTTGCATGGTGTACGGTGTTTTTTCCTTTTCCTATTTCTTTTTTTCCCCTTTTTTTGATCAGCGCAGTTATGAGGATGAAGTCGAACGAGATGGATCCGTATGCGATATGCTTCCCTCTTCAGGATGTCTACGATGTGTTCAGAGCGACGTACCCTTGAAGGATACGAATGAATGTGATTTGAGCCATGGGTTACTTCAAGTTGTTTCATTGTAGCCGTAGTCGACACTCCAAGCTTTAGTAAATTACTTTACACCCTGAAGTGGAGAACAGACAACCGGACGCAGCCAAGATCTAGTCATATTACCAGCCACCAAAAGTACATGCCGAAAGCTACGCATCACATCTTCAGCTCAAGAGCTATACTATGTATACTGCACCCCACTTGAAGGGTCCAATGAATGCCGGATTCCGCCCGGTGGCGCCCAACCTTATCAGCTCACGGGAGCCTATCAGCACGTGACCCTCCCGCATTATAGCCCACCAGAAAACGCGGGCAGCCCCCATGCCTGGAACAACGCGCTCGAAACCTGCCCTTCATAACGCCCATTTTCCTCCCTCCCCGCCTGCCAATCACCGCCGCATTGCAGAATGCGAAATCCCTCGCTTAAGTAATCCCCACCCACCCGCCGAAATCACGCGTTCGTAGTCAGCCACGTATTTAAGTAAAGTCTTTCGCCCCCCGCTCTTTGGCTGGATTTTCCTTCTCTTTCTTCCATCTCCCACGCCAACTTTTCGACGCGTCCGATACTTCCAGTCATCGGCTACGCCCTCTTCCCACCCTTTTTCATCAATTTTCATCAGGGTTTATCAAACTTTCATCTCCTTCCATCATGTCTGGACGTATGTGATCCCCATTTCTTCTGTTCCTATCGCGTTTCCCCTGTTGTTGTCATCGCGAGTCTTCGATGAAGTCCTTGGTGGTGATGCCCCTGACTGAACACGTGACTTCGACCCCTCATTAAGGCGTGTGTGCCTTAATACCAAGGCACCCATGCATCGCCCCGTACCAATCGGGCTTTGCCTTCTGCCTCACCTTGTCCTCTCCTTCCTCCGCCATCCATCACCATCGATTTTACACCGGTTTATATTGTTTGAAACACCCTCACTAACTCAAAATCTACAGGTGGCAAGGGCGGTAAGGGTCTCGGCAAAGGTGGTGCCAAGCGTCACCGCAAGATCTTGCGCGACAACATCCAGGGTATTACCAAGCCCGCCATCCGCCGTCTCGCCCGCCGTGGTGGTGTCAAGCGTATCTCCGCCATGATCTACGAGGAGACCCGCGGTGTCCTCAAGTCGTTCCTCGAGTCGGTCATCCGTGACGCCGTTACCTACACTGAGCATGCCAAGCGTAAGACCGTCACCTCTCTCGACGTCGTCTACGCCCTCAAGCGCCAGGGCCGTACCCTGTACGGTTTCGGCGGCTAAGTGCTTCGCCGTACGCTACTCTTTCGCTGCGATCTTATGCGCCACGGTGTGATGGTTTCTTTTTTCTTTTTTGATGGTTTTGCTTTGATCGGGCATCCGGTCGGTCGGGTTTTATGGATGGGATTTAAGCCCCTGGGCGCATTTTGGGGTTTGTTTACAATGGATCGAATCAATCAATTAGGCAAATGGGAAACGACTTCTGGATATCGTGCTTCGTAGATTTTATCGGCGGTGTCTTGCATCTGCCCTGCGTAGTGTTGAAGTATAGAAGAGTTGGTACATACTAGATGAATGTAGGATTATCTATGACTTAGCGGTCGATCTTGTGAATATCCACTATTTCCCAAAGAAAATGTGTGCTCTATGCTTTCAGTCTATGAATTGCACGCATGGCACCATCTGGGTGTACTCGCATTGTACTTCGCATCGTCGGTTGTTATCGTGGGATGCCTTCGGGGTTTCGCTGGATCAGCCCATCCTGCACGGACCACATGATCGGCATGATGTAATCGATCTCCGCAATCAACCTCGGCCTTGTACAGCGACACCATCACGTTCATCACCCCTACCTCAACTTCTACCGGTCGCTGGTGGACTCTCTTCGGCCACAATCTTCTTCCCATCTCATACACATCGCGGAGGATGTAAATCGCCCAATATCGACTAAACCCGGCGATTGTACAGTCCGCCAAAGGACCAATCTCACCATCAAAACATCTGACATCTCGCTCCCGAATCCTCCCATCCATAAGAAACGAGGGCAGGGTCTCTTCTATCCAAAGCCATCATGGCTGAATTTAAGCTCTCTTACGAGTCACAGCTGGTACGTTTTCATTGCAAAAATGCCACCTCGTTCGCACTCTCTAAAACGGTCGTTTCTTATCTTAGGATGCCTTCCACCCCTCCTACCGCTGGGAAACTCATGACCCGAAAGACTGGAAGGCAGCTGCCTTCAAAGGCCCCGGATTACCAGTCCTAGGAAATGCCGTTGCCGGTGCCGTGGGATCGGCCATTTCCAATGTTGTTGTGTATCCGCTGAGCGTCATTGTCGCCCGTCTCCAAACCCAGCAAAAGAAGGACAAGTCGAAGGACGAGTCGAGCGAGGACGAGGAATACACCGATATCGTTGACGCTGCGTACAAAATTTACCTCGAGCAGGGAATTGCAGGGTTTTACCCCGGCCTGGCACAAGATACGTTCAAGACAGTCTTGGACTCGTTCCTCTTCTTCCTGGCATACAACACAGTCCGACAAAGGAGAATAATCGCGCGCGTTGGGGGGGTTAAAGCGGCCAAAAGCAAAAATATCGTACTTCCAATCTTTGACGAGCTCGCAGTGGGGGTGGTGGCGGGTTCGTTCGCGAAGCTATTCACCACGCCGCTGGCAAACATTGTCACACGGAAGCAGACCGCAGCGCGCAAGGGAGGGGACAATGATCTATCGACTAGCGATATTTCCGCGAAAATCAAGCGTGAAAAAGGTATACGCGGCTTCTGGTCTGGATACTCGGCGTCTCTAATCTTGACGCTCAACCCATCTATCACGTTCTTCCTGAATGAGGTCTTGAAATACGCTCTGGTGCCGCGGTCGAAGCGCGAACGACCTTCTGCAGCCATTACATTCTTATTGGCTGCTCTGAGTAAGTCGGCGGCTTCATCGATTACCTATCCTTTCTCGCTGGCCAAAACGAGGGCACAGGCCTTGGGATCTGCCCAGGTCTCTGCGGATGGGAAGACGTCGAACCCGTTGTCAACCCTTACGCCCAAGATCGTTTCTACTGTTGGAACTATTGCTCGAACTGAAGGAGTCTCTGCACTCTACGCGGGGCTTCCAGGCGAAGTCCTAAAGGGATTTTTCTCTCATGGATTCACCATGCTAGTAAAGGACGCCGTGTATGCAACTATCGTCAAGGTGTACTACCTCATCCTGCTATTGTTCCGCCGCTACCCTTCTCCAGACGAACTGATCCAGCGTGCGCGAGAGCAAGCGGAGGAATTCAGTGAGGTTGCACGAGAAGGAGCCCGCGATCTAGCAGAAAGAACAAAAAAGGGTGCCGAGGAAGCCCTTAGCAGCCATTCTGGTAATGTAACTGTTGACATGACCTCCAACTCTGCTGCTGCTGCTTCCGCAGCGAAGGATACCAGCGCTGGACATGGCGTGGACGCATCGTCCGGTTTGAAGGTGCCCTCTCTTCCCGATGAGGTTAACGAGACGGCTGAGCTTGTTGGTGACTACGTTGAGGACGAGACGGCGGAGTGGAAGAGCTTTTATCACTGGTTCTGGGATAAGGAACGAGGGCATGAGGAATAGGGCCGTCGTGCGTTCTGCGGATTCCTTTTCCGGATTGCTTGCTGCAGGTTGTCCTTTGATTTATTGATGATTCCAATGTTTGTATAGTACATTAGTGTAGTAACTGCTATCATAGCATTTATTTTCTTTGTTCTGCATTAACTCGCTTGCATCACAATATCATGAACACCGTACTCTATGGAATGAATGGCGTTATGAGCATATAGCATGTGATCAACTTGTACTTGATGTAGGGTATGGTCAAAACCAATCAGGGTAGTTAGCAGCATAACGGAGCCTAGTGCTTGAATGACAGATGTTTGAAATCAATTACGAAGCCAGCAAATCGCTGTGAATATTGCTATCTTAATGAGCATCATTCGATAGTATTGAAATAAATATATAAAATTATGATATTTTTAATCTTAAATGCGATCCGTCTAGGATCCCACATGAATCGAATTTAACTAGCATCATATCCTGCACCGTCAGGTTCAAAAAGTCAATCAACAAGCATCCTCGACACAAGCCAAAGACAGCAGCTAGCTGTCTTCTGTACAATAATCAGTCAACCACCAAGGTTTACCGAAATTTCCGCGCCGAGGTCTGAACTTCTTCCTTGGTGACAAAGGCAGCATGCAATTCCTTGCCGGCTTCCCAAATCACCCACAAAGGAACCCAGACCCACAGCGTATTGAAGAAAAACAAGTAGAACCACAGGTAAACAGGGTCCTCAGTAGCCAGCTGAGAGCTTCCGGTCAACCACTCAGGAGCAAAAGTCATAAATCCACCGTAAAGCTCGCATACGGCCAGCGAAAGCGCAACCGCCCAGAGAGTAGCCTTCGCCGATCCACGCGCTCGGGGCGTGATATTCTCATTCGACGACCGGCACAGCAGGTAGCAGATGTACAGCGCAGCGGGACCACCCAGGAAAACCGTCAGGAGCTCCAGCGAGACGACGGTGACATCGGCGCCAGCCCATCGGCGGTCTGCCTTAGCGTATTCCTGCCAGAGACGCGCGCTGGGGCCAGTACCGTAGGCCGGGCCGTAGATGCGGTCGCGTTGGTTCAGGAAGAACGGCTCGGTGTTGTGGATTCCCGCGATGGTCGCATAGCTGAAGAAGCATTCGTAGAGGAAGGAGCCTTCGATGAAGAGGTGTGTGAGGGCGTCGTAAGCGTGCCAGAAGAAGAGAATTCGGTTTCGCGTTTGTGAGGCGGGGATGAGGGCTTTGCTGAGGAGGTAGGCGATTGGCATGAATGACAGCGAGAACGCGATGCAGAGCAGCGTCGGCACGTCCAGGGTGAAGGATGCGCTGGACGCCATGGTGGTGGTTTCTCGACTTTGTCAATGTATATATATTGGGTGGTCCTTAGGAGGTCGAGGTATAGGTGAGTTTATATTCGGGTTATAGGGGGGTGGGGGCGCATTTGCAGAAAAAGAACGCGATGGTTCAAGAAATTAGGGGAGCTGAAGATCACCATCGATGCCTCAGGCGTCGGTAGTGGGGCCGTTTGTTCAAAGGACAAAAAAATTAAGTGGAGATAGAGAATAATGAGGGCTTGCGATGGAGGTTTGGAATGCGTCTGCTTCATTCTAAGAAGGAATTCCTTGTGATAGGCGACCAAGGACGTTGGTTTAGGCAGGAGATACAACAGAGTCGACCCGAGCGCAGCACAGAATGAGCAAACGATCTACAGCTTGCAGTATGTCTAAATTCATATCCCACTACAAATACTGTTTAATAGTATTTAGAATGAACTTTGAACTTTGACAATATGGCTCGATTACTTTTTTTTTTGGGAATCATCTAGCTATATGCGCATTCTTTGCTGTCGCTGAAGCATCAATGGAACAACAAATGCATAGTGGAGGCCATTGAGGACCTTCGCTGCCAGCCTCTCCTGAGATAAATTTAGATCACACATCGTACGTGAAAGCACGTAGGACCTTGATGGGGCTTCAAGGCAGCCTCTCCATAACTGAAAGTCACACGTGCTTCCATGCGCAGGTGTCGGGAGTGCTAAGAAGTTGTGGTATACTCGGGGTGGCAGCCCCCACCCCCGCAAAACCCGGGGAAGTTGCGGGGCGCATGCTTACTTACAAGTCGAGCGTGACCTAGATTTTCTTCTCCTCCACCTCTACCTGCGCATGAGAAGTCTCCTTTATCCCAGAATGTCAGCCAGACCAGGACTTTCACAGAGCCACTATCTCTCTTTGGGGGCTACTCGTGTATGCGCCGGGTAAATCGACAAGATTCTTTGTTTTCGGGGCTGCGCCGGGGAGCTCCCACTCTTTTCGACAAGTGGACCAAGGAAACTTGAGGTACCTCCACGAGATATCTATCGTTTTTTCTACGTAAATATGTTCGAAACTAAAAGGCCGGGTCCTCGACAGTGACTTCAATAGGCACACTCTGGCTGTCAACCAGGCAGATTGGTGGCGTTTGTAACTCAGCCCCCAAGTCTTGGCTTGCCTAGGAGTGCATCACGCCCCGGTGGGCCTACCCTGTAGACTGTCAGCGCATGTCGGCCTTTTATTGGAGCTACAGGGGTAATAAGGCTCTCTCCGCTTTCATCGCTGCAATCTCTTTCCGTCGGTTCTTCAATACCTCGGAGCTCTCCATCTTATCTCTCTGCGAAGCGAACCAGCTTGGGCCTCCAGACCTGACAATTAGATTTCCCAGATCTGCCCAGATATCTGCAGTCACTTACACAAAGTTTCACTTCGTGCTTCTAAGCCCCCTCACAAGGCTCATTGCCGCTTATTTAGGTGGCGTTAACTACGTTGGCACGAACCGTCTCGGATTCCGGTCACACGAAAGATGACACAGAGTCATTATACCCCAGTGTCTGACTTTCACGATTAAGCGACACCTTTGATTCTCCTGCAGCATGTCCCCGTCGTGTGGGATTCTTGAAATTCCCACCCTAGCTAAACTGACGTGGGAGCTTTACAACCAATGCCATCCTCTGGCTAAGGATGCCCCTGATGGATTTCGAAATTTAGTCAACGACTTGGGCTTATTACAAGGGAACCTTCGAACGCTCAGTGAAGATGTCAGTTCCATCGCGTTTTTCTTCGAGGAGATGGGGTCTGGTAGAGAAAAGACGCTAGAGCGATGCCTAGACGCGTGTCAACAGACCCTTCAACGACTCAAATCACTCCTCGGGCGCTACCGTGAGCTGGGTATCGGGGAAGGAAAATCATTTTGGCAAAGAATTAAGTGGACAACACAACGGGCCCAAGTTGAAGACATTCGTTCCAAGATCATTGTTCATACATGCAACGTGAGCTTATGTATGAGCTCCATAGGAGAGTGAGTCCCAAAAGATGGCTTGATGACTGAATTTTTGTTTACTAAAATACACCAGTGCATCTCTTGATCGGTTAGAACAGACAATAGTGCAGGCTATGGAAGATGACGAACATGCCATGCTTGCTTTTGAAGCTTCTAGTGGCCGTGACTCCGAATCTCCGATTTGGCCTCGAGGTACCAGACGTAGCTTGTCTGGTGAGAATGAAGACACAGGTGATATCGATATCATCTTTCCAGATCGCCTTCACGTTGCCCCTCTACGCCAAGTGAAGCAGGGGCATGGCCGTCCCAGGCATATGTCTACCTCCTCCGAATCCGTCAGGTCGGGATCTGACGGGTCATTTTCTGGAGGCACTGCACGTACTTCTCCCACGTCGATCCATACAACCTGCTCCTACTCTCAAAGCCTCGCGGGGAGAATCAGTCATTCTCGAACTCGAAGCGAACAGCCTCACGAAGGGTTCAATGAAGGTCGTGCGCACGAAAAGATATTCTGGGAGGACAGCTCCGACATCCAGGACAAGAACAGCATTTTGGATAGAAGCAGCGAGTCATCGCATACTGAATTTGGGCACAACAATGTGCTAGAAGCGGTTGCAAGTGCAATGCAACATCTACGCCAAGTTCGACTGCAGGAACAACTTGCCCGACCGATACGATACGAGCCTCAGAGCACTCTGCACAAGCCAGATGCGGAAACAATCAAGCTATTCGAGGCTTCCATGAATGAAGAACTCCAGGTCAGGCGTCTCATCACCAGGGACTGGCTACGAGTAGCCACTTGGTGGTTGCTTAAAGCACGTGCGACTCTCGCCAATTGCAGCAGACATAGCTATGTCAGCGCCAGAGGAAGTTTATGCCCTTCATCAGACTCCAGGTCTATGTCTCCCCAAGCCTATGTCGATCTCTTGAAATCCTCTTATATACTCTACGATATTGTTCTCAAGGACAAAAATGGCCCCGCTCATTTCACCGATGAAAATCGAAAGTCTATTGCAGAACTCTCAGAGGTAAGCATTTTACCGCATTGAGAGGTTTATCAAGAAGTTTGCAGATTCCTGACTTACACAAAGGGAATGAATGATGAGCTATCTCAATACAGTACTCTCGATATACCCGATGCCGAAATTCTACGCTCGCAAAATCTTGTAATCTGGGAGCCACTCCAGCCAGAGGAGACTTCGGATAGTGGTTTGGAGTTTTCATTTGGGCTTGAGAATGCTCGATGGATATCCGTTAACCAGGAAGATGCCGGTAACGAAGAGGAAAAGGTTCTTTATCGCACATTCGTCAACGCGGGCATTGGGGGCAAAAAGTTTCGAATGCGCACGAAAAATGCACCTTACATGCTTTTGCTCGCAACGCGAGAAGGCGAGAGCGAGCCTAAGATTATTCTGTGTAACCAGAGTGGCTCTCTTTGCCTTCAGAGAGACCGTAAGTTTGATCGTCTCACTCCGACATCTTGGAGTTAACACTTAGAAATAGTCACGCCCGATGATCTTCCCCCGATGATCCAGCTCGCGAACTCCACAGCTACTGGCTTTCCTGGTGCACGCATTTCAGAACCGCTGCCATTTAAATTCGAAAACATGAGCATTTCGATCTCCTTCCAGTTTTATGCCGACCTGAATCAATTCATCAACATTCCCAAGACTTATTTTGACGCCGTGTGGCTAAGAGAACCAATTGACTCCCAAGAATTTACCGAGACCATTCTTTACAAAGGCTCTGTTGAAATGCTGGAGCAGTTAAATGCCCCAATCATGAAGCCAATGAATCCGCCAGTCGTCATCAAATCTTGTGGGGTACGAATTCTGGAAAGGTCTTTTGGAGAAGCATGGCGTGCCACTCGAAGAGTGGTCATCAGCCCTTCCGCAGCCCAAAGCATGCCACGATGTCTTGAATTCTTCATGCCAATGGGTGGTGTCCAGATCAACCGCGAAGATCTTTCCCGCCAGGTTCTCCTCAGGTGGTCCGATACTTGCCAGGAACGATCAGACAAAACCGATGGCAACTACAACACCCTCCACTCGTACGTCTATGATGAAAACGCACCCAATCTCGGCTTTAGTATACATTTCCGGACTCAACAAGGCGCCGAAGACTTTGAAAAAGCCATCATGGGTTTGAGCTTCCAGCCGGATTTTACATGGACCCAGACGAGTAGCTCCGGTCGCATCCACGATGTAATCGATGCCGGGACCGAACACAAACAGTACAAAGCGATCGTACTGTTTCGGAATCGATCATCATGGCGTTATCTCGACGTCTTTTACCTCTACCGGAATGTCGACTACGCTTATGAGAGTTCTTCGTCAACGATCCGATTCCCCGCTATTTCCTATACAGACTACGTATCCACCCACGTCGATCAACTTTTCCGTGCCGAACAGCCAGTGGGATTCTCTCATTGTGAAAAAAGGACAAAACAGGCTCTCATTCGCTTTGACTGTGAGCGCGTTTCTTGGTCATTTCTTTGTGCGCTGTCTCCGCTGTACGAGCTGGTTTTTTCACGACGAATCCAGTCCTTGACAACGAAGGGAAAATCTTTCTTTGGCTCCCAGAAATCAAGCAAAGGTGGCGCAGAGGCTCAACTCTGGCGTCGGGGTAGTGGTTTTCGACTTGCAGCGCGATGGGATGATCATATTCCCGACAGATGGTTCACTATGTCTCTGCCATTGGATCACTCTGACTCGTCAAAAGAGAGCAATCGCGTCAACTTCCCACGTTCACCTTACACCCGTGGAACTGTCTTGGATTTGGTGAACATCATGGCACGCAACCCCAAAACTACCAATCTCGGAGGTCGGGAAGGGGCTCTTTCAATCGTCTTTCAATCCACTAAAGGTGAGAAATGGACGAGCTCAGTAAAGACTGACAAGCTAACGTCTTTGCGCCACAGATAGAGAAGATTTCTTGGCAGCTTTGCAAGAATGACCGCTGTCAACTCCCATCTAGTGATATAAACCGGTCAGGAGGAGACAGAGCTTAGCATTGATAATCAATCTCATTGGTCACCTCGTTTACTTGCATGGCACTAAGACAAATTTAGAAGCTGCAATTGATGATCGATTTCGGCTCCTGGGGGCCACTTATGAGTGTTCGTGATTTGGATCCACTATAACAGTCGCAGTCGCTAGATCTAATATGTGAATCCCTGTTCCTGAGGATGAATTTATTACGGAGCCTTGTCAACTCCGAGTCTCAGGACATTCATACTAATGATTTAAAAGGCAGTCACCCAGGCCGCAACCGATATTTCCTTAGTTTTTCTCAACCTTGAATTTATTCTGGCTACCCTCTTTATTGTCTAAATATGGCTAATCAAAACTCAGTTCTCATCACTGGCTGCAGCGACGGTGGAATAGGCTCCAGACTAGCTCTCACCTTTCAGAAACGAGGGTACCATGTGTTCGCCACGGAACCCTGACAAAATGGCCTCTCTGAAAGACATTCCAAATGTCACTCTATTAGCACTTGACGTGACCAAAATCCAGGATATCAAAACAGCTAAGGAAGCTGTCTCCTCGCAGACTGACGGTCGACTTTCTTGCCTCGTTAATAATGCTGCGCGTAACCATTTCATGCCATTTCTCGACGACGATATCGATGCAGCCAAGAGAATGTTCGAAACGAATGTCTGGGCCCCTCTCGCCGTTACTCAGGCTTTTGCGCCTCTTCTCATTGAGACACAGGGCGCGCTGGTGAACATTACTTCGATCGCCGGTCATGGCCCTGTGCCAACACTGGGTTCGTTTAAATTTCTTACTAACTGTTGTTTCCTCTCCTGGTCTTCTTTTTGACTCATATCCGATCCCGATGGGATGCTATGGTGTCACCAAGCGCGCACAAGAGCAGATCGCGGAGGTCTTTCGACTTGACCTTGCGCCCTTCAATGTGAAACGCTTATACGTCGTTACCGGAGCCGTCCCCACAAATGGCCAGTCCTACTTTGAAGATTGGGCGCTTCCCTCTGGATCACTGTATAAGCCGGTTGAAAAGATTATGGCCAGTGTTGTGCGCGCCACTAACGGGATGGCACGAATGCCGAGGGTCGAATATGCGAATACCGTTGTCGATACCATTCTAGCTAGTACTACGGGCAGAATTTGGATGGGTGGGCGAGCACAGGAGGCGAAAATGCTCCAACTGAGGGAGAAGGTGCTGCGTTTAGGGTAGGTGGCTTCTCTTCGAATGGTGTGGCTCATGCAGATGCTAATTGACAACCCTGATTTAGGACAATATGGTCATGAAAGGCTTTGGGCTGGATGGGATATCTCTGTAGACTGATATATTTAGAGATAGGTAAAAAACGAAGTGATCCATCAGTATTTATTTATCAATGAGTACAAAGAACATTTTGAATGCTTCAAAAGCAAATTAAGTGAAAAAGCAAAAGCAAAAGCAAAAAGAAATCTCTCCCTCGGGGAATCGAACCCCGGTCTCCCGCGCTTATCGGTGTTAATGACAAGCGGAAATCATGACCACTAGACCAAGGAAGACGTGATAGCCGAGTTACCGCTCGACCACTTGGTGCTGGTTGATGTAAGGAGAGCTTTTTGGAACTTAATGTAGAATTCCTTAACGGAAGCGATGCTATGTATAGATAAGATACCTTTGACTCCCGTCACTCACCAACCAACTCTCACAACCTGCATAGCCTCGAGAGCTTATTCCGATTGGATTAGGTTGACCACCGATCACATTCTATTACTATCTACTCCATCCAACCATGCCGGGTGATCCAAGACCCTGCCTTCTTCCGCGACAATCTCGTCATGCGACCGATGCACCTCTGGAGCCCGGTTGCCTAGCCGCGATCGCTTGACCCCATCAGCCCCAGCGATCATTTCCAGTCCATGTATTCGCCCACTTGGTACCTGGGACACTTTATGCAGAAGTTTTACCTTTGCTACCCCGGGCCTTTATTTTACGAGGTGAATTTTAGGTTTTTTATTCAAGGGGCTGTTGAGTTGTGTCACTTCGGTCGCACATATATATCCTTCACGGCTGCTCCACCAAACGCCGGGGCGAGACAACCTGTCTCCGCTCCACCCATACCTCTAGGTCATGCAAGACGCCAAATGATGAGTGAGTCACCCGGGCGGTCTTCGGGACCTGCACTCTGACCAACAGGCGTGAGTCGAAAGAGGCACAACCCCAGACCCGTTAGTTTATAATCCCGATACCTGCCAGGCAGACCAAAACCTCCCGGTGTCCCTTCTGGGTTTACACTTGATCTCTCAGACTGAACCTCAAAATAGCAGCATCATACTAAGCCACGATAATGGCTTAGGTGAAGAGATAAATTCCGAAGCTGTTGCCTTTAATTAGCGTTGGCTTTGCCTGATTTTGATTGCTATTGTTCACTTACCTCCCCAATTTCGACCATGCCGCACCTTCGCAACCATAGAAGACACCATTCGTGGCCCCACTGTGGCTCAGATCCTTGCATGCGAGAGTCGTGCAGGGCTGAGCTGCCTATCCCTCAGCCAGGTGCTGGACAACCTGGCCCATTTGTTACACCGTGGTCATCTCAACAAGCAGCGGTGGTCCCTCTTATCACAGAGGAGTTCTCCAACGATGACGCCGAGATGGCAGGTATTGAGCGGACTCAGATACCCCGAGCGCATCGTCTGTGGTCTCGACCTTTGAGGGATCGACGCGAAGATACTCCTATCCCCGCCGCCGCACCTGAAGCTCGAAAGCAGGTCCATCGCAGCGTTCTCCAGCGGCTCATTCGTCGACCACCACTGGACAAGACTCGATCGCTCTTCGTCATGCCGACAACCAAGACTGCAGGAGACCAGCTTGTGATATCTGGATGGATGCTTCCTAGGAACTCCGCACGACCGGTTATCATGACAGATAGGGTACGCACTGCATTATCTGCGGCTGAGGAGGCTCGACTCGTCGCGGAAAGACGACACCGACGATGTCATTCTGAGCAACCCCGCGCATGGAGAAGGCCAAGTGCCACTCTGTGGACTCTTCAAGAGGAGGGAGGAACTGACGAGACGGGATCATCGGTTCCTCGTTCTCTTTCTGAAACTTAATTGCATTTTCGGTATGATTTCTTTCTTTTTTTCTTTTTTTCCCTGTCTTCTTTCGCGAATCACTCAGGAGAAACAATAAATGAGAGAGGCTGGCCTCTAGAATAGTACTGCATGTGGAAGTTCAATTTTGAAAATTGCTTGATCTTTTGATAAAGCACAATAGAGAAAGATCCATGGATACAAAGACACTACGCTACCCTAAGGTACATTGACGTAGGACATAGGACATCACATCCGATTGAGAACTACACTACCAGTATCTACCACTCTTAGATACCCAAGTCATCTTGCTCATGAGTGGCTTCGGAATAGTACTTTGCCCACTTTTCACAGTTCGACTGAATGTCTGTAGCGGCTGGTCGCACCAGACCTGGAATTTCAGCGGGTCTCTCGACAAATTGAAGGGCCAGGCTTTGACTTGCATGCCAGGCGATGTGACAATGCATTAGCCAAGACCTAAATATCACACTTTTGATTAACGATGGACTAAAGAAAATGTAATTAATAGCCTCTTACCCAGGGTTATTATTCTCAAATGCGATAACAAGGTACCCAGAGCCAGTCATTGTGACAGTGTCCCGTCGAGGAGGGTTTCTCCGATTTAGTTTCACCAATGAACTGTATAGTCCGAACCCCCGGGCAAAGATATAGAAATAATGGCCGTGAAGATGGAATGGGTGATACGCATTAACAAACCCAAGATCTTGAATCACCCAGTATGTCCACTGAATTCTGCGTCATAGGTCACTTGGTCTGGACCCTCTGGTATTGTTGATGTGTCAAGCACACTGATGATGATGATGATGATTTCATTTACCCTGACCCCTCGCAATTGGAAAGCGATATGCAGGATATAACAACTATATATATCCCTGTACGTACATGTAGATGTCCCCTTCCTGAAATCGAACTCAGAGCCTCGTCACGGCCTGCCATGGCCTAATTGCCGTTCCCTTTTTAGGCTGCCCTCGTGGCGCACGACTGCAAAACCGTTGTGGCGCCTCAGCGAAGCCCAACACGGCCTGGACCATCTTCGCCCTCGAGACGGTGTCTGGTTTACCTTTCTCACCTTGTTTTGAGCCTCCCAGCAGACTCGACACGCTACCAAACGTGTCCCCAATTTTCCGCCTCAATTCCCTTCGTGACTCCTTCAATATTGGGCAATCCACCAGTATGTGGGTGACTGTTTCTTGCGCGCCGCACTCGCACTGATCGTCCGGAAACCAAAGAGCTCGGCGTAGGTGGATAACCAATTGTGGCCCGTGCGTAGCCGAGTTAACAAACATGCCCGACCCTTGGCCAGATTTCCGTACAACTTTCTGGTGTATGCCGACGGCAGAGTGTTGTCGATCTTCCGTAGATGGCCGCCTTTACTAGCCGATCTCCACTCCTGCTCCCACTGAGCGATGATGGTGCTACGAATGAACGCCCTCTCCCTCGTGAGCAGCGGTCGGAATGGGTGGGATTTGCCCGGTTTGGCGGCTGCCTTTGCTATTTGGTCCGCGGCATCATTGCCGGGGTTATCGCAGTGCCCTGGCACCCACTGGAGGCGCAGCACAATTCCTGTGGCTCGGACTTCGGTGGCGGCTTGGTGGATCGCGTGAACAATTCGTTGTCCTGACTCCCTTCTCGCATTCTGGATTGCTTGTAACGCTGACCTGCTGTCGCAGCGGATTGTTCCGGTCGTTTGTTGGCCTTCCATTATTGTTCGCTGGTGAGCTATATTAAAGACCATGCTGATCGCGTAGAAGATGCCAATAAGCTCCGCCACGTGAACCGACCAGCGGTCCATCGGCCCAACCTGGACCTGTTGGGATTCGACTACTTCCATATTGTCATTCAGTGCTACCACGGCTGCCCCCAGGTGGCCGTTGCGACCGGAAGCGTCTGAATAGACGACTATGTCTGATGTTGAGCGGATGGCCTCGGCCTGTTCCCTTGCTGCTTCTCGGTCTGAGCCAAGCTCAATCTCTGTAAAAGGATCAGGACGCCACGGTGGTAGCGGTCGTGGGTCAATTGTTTCCAGTCCACTTAGTCTCTCGACATTTATGGTCTTCAGCTCTTCTACTAATGGAAAGCGAGCGTGCGATCCGATGTTGTCTCTACGTTTCTGAGCTCGTGTGAGTGCGTGCCAGATCGGGTATTCCCGAGACAGCGTGTGAAGATTGGCGATAGTGCGCTGGGCTCGATGGCGAAGACGAAGATGGGTGGGAAGAACGTGCGTTTCGACTTCCAGGGCCATTGTGGCCACTGTTCGGAACGCCGACAGGATGCGGATCAGCGAGGTTCTCTGTACTGTGTTCAGGTGTCGCAGATGAGTCTTGTCTCTCAACGGATCGTACCATACATTCGACGCATAATCTACGATCGGTGTGACGCCCGCTTGGTTCAAGCACACTGTTGCATCAAAAATAAGCTTAACTTTAGTGACATGATCCCTAGTGAGGCTCTGTTGTGGGTATCCTATTGGTCGGGTAATATACCCATCCGCATATTTCTTTCCTGTATCTCCGGGTATGTTCGCCAAGACCTTAAGACTTAATCTATGCCCGGAAACATGCACTTGACAACTAGCCCCTCAACTGAAGCCTGTTCTTTCCCGGTACTATGATCATTGTGCTTTCATTTTGACGTCTGACCAGTTCTAGACTAAATCTAAGATAAATCATGTGGACCTAATCATGTGGACCTAAAACATACCCATACGCACAAACTAAGGTGGCGAAACGATATGACAGTGTCTCGCTCGTTCTATTGTTTCTCGGTCAAAAAATGTCACCGAACATCCATAGCGTCATATATGACGACGACAAATATTTCAAGAGGTCTCGGTGGTTATAAAAAGTCTCTATCGTTCTTCCAAAACTTTCATCCACAGACATTCAAGTTTCAAGTTTCCAGAACCTCAATTATTTTACGCTAAACACCCATTTGAAGATGCATTTTAGGAACACCATTGCAGTCGTCCTTGCCGCTGCTACTGCCGCATCTGCCGGTTGTGATGGGGTGGGGCAGACACTCTCTTGCTCACGAACTTGTGATTACTCCTACAACTTTACACCCGCGCCGGCCACGACAACTCGAAATTGCAATGTAGAGAGAGCGACATCTCTATATAGTTGCCCTCCTCAAACTACACAAAAAGTCGATGGAGTTTGTACTGCATGTGTTCAAGGCGAGTGCCCCTCGCCAACACCAATTCCGACGCCCGTGTGTACTGCGGGCGGACAGGCTTGTCCTCAGTTCACCTCCGCGTGCGGCCAGCCCACGTGTTCTTTGTAACCACAATCGTGAGTTTCTATCAATTTATACCCGGATCCTGTCTTGGTGCTCTAACATTGCCAAAAGTCCAAAGTCGCGCCTTTCTATTCTGGGTTATAGGGAATAGGGACGCCGTCCCAGGGCCAGACAAAGCCAAAGGAAGTATAAGACAAGGCTGAAAAGAGCGAAATTGTCTTGGAGTTTCGGACAAAAAAGTTTTTTACTCTTCCTCATTCCTCAGACCTATAGGGTCTTCACGTCTTCTTTTACTCGTTCGTCAAAGCTTAGTTGCTTAGTAATTTTATGCTTTGCTTTAATCCTAAATCTTCTACTGGTTTAGTGCGAGGGTTATATGTTGCAGATAGTATATACAATAGCTATACACGTACTGGATAGTATGGTGGGCACTTTGAATGCACGCCAAAGATTTCTCGGCATTATGGCGGAATCGTGGGCGTTTAGCAAGGTCCAATTGTCACCTACGCTGGCTGGCTGGTTGAGCGGTCTGAACGGTGTATTGCGGAAAGTACGCCTTGGTGACACTTCAGCGCTGCTTCGTACAGCACTATAGAGTACATGATGGGCCATCCAGAGGGGTAGAGAAGACTAGTTTCCCCAGCATGCGTCAGGGACTATCGGGGTGGTTTCGTGTCCCGGATTACCTCGAAAGACAACAGCCAGCAGCAGTTGAATGCCACCCCCCAAGACGGCAATGAAAAATAGAAGAGTCTATATTCCCCACTTGCTGAATTGACAAGCGTTTAAGTGGCGATAGAATTCGATAATCGCAGGTTCCTGTCGGAAGAGCCGCACATACGAGGCAGTCAAGTACTGTATGCTTCGTCTTTGACCGATACGATTTAGGGGCGCATGAGAGTCTACGAACAGGCGCAAGTTCCTGCGGATATTTTGCATCGCCCGTTCACTGCATGCAGCTGTGTTAGCCGTTTAAGACGTGGTTAGTGACTGGCTTTGTATAATGTCACGAATAAAGTATAGTTTCGAGGAGGGGTATTCTCGGTGTCATGTTGCGGTTGATTCTAGCAATTCTCAACATGGGGGTTGCAGTAGAGGGATTGATGCTAGGGCCTGTGAGGTCGATGGGTATGAGGGGCATAGAGGTGGCAGGTGTATAGGAGTTTCGTGTAATATACAGCACTGTACGTCACACATGCGTTCTAGAAAGGAAAGTGCCAAGTGAGAGGAAGGGTTTACCTTCGTGGGCGCTGGGAAGACCCTTGTTAAAAACTTTATCTATGAAGTGATTACTACCCAAATTCTTGTTTTTCATTCGCTGCCTCTTGTGTCTACACTGTCCACGCTCTCCTCTGATTGCTGTTCGAATTCCCCTCTTGGTTTTAGTGTGTTCGTCACCTTCCACCCTCTTTGTGTGGTCTACTGCTCTTCTACTTGCATGCCTGTTGTCCGTCCCTCTGGTCTACTGCTCTTCACCTTCCCTGCCTGTGTCCTTCCGGCTTTCTCCTATTCGCTTGAGCTTGCATAGAGACCCTGCATGCTATTGCGACGCTCTCTTAAACTCTGCGTCTGGTTGTTATGTATAATGGATTCGTCTACCCTTCCTTTCACCTTCGATATCTCATATTTTATGCCTTCATGACCTTGTCCTATAATGCTCTTCCCTTCCCCTCTCCGTTTCTTATATTCTTTTATCTCGTGGCTTTTGTCTGCACGGATGACCCTTAACAAGCCCTGCAGTACACTGTAGCAAGACCTAGCTGTGTGTTCCCGTGCCCATGCCCGCTCATCACCGAAATGTACTGTAAGAGCAGCAAGATTAACTCAACGGGGATGATCATAGTAGGAGTCAACGGCTCGATTCGTGCCCTCGAAAGAGATTTACTTGCTCTGGGACAGGCCTGAGATTGATGCATATGAAGACGTGGCCACTCTCAGCGATCCACCGATGGGATTTTGGACGGAGATGTTCATTTTCTTCCACTGGACAAAGCACAAATCTCCAAAATTGTCAGCAGCATGAAAGGTTCATGGAGGATTTGCTCAAGAGAACCTCGCTACGGCATATGAGTGGTCCGATGCAATACCACACCATTATCTTGCCCGCCACAAGCACTTTGCCCATCAACAAGAATCAAGCGACCACAAGGGCCATTCTAAGCTCCTCAAACTGACAAATCGATCACGCGCACGATGATTGGACAGATATTAGGGAGTATAGGAGCGGCTTACTGCAAGGTGGAGTTCAACTTCTGAGAGGAAGGGAAGGAATAGATTGGAGTTGACGCGGAATCCAGCGCACGGAGATTGGATCTTGCGTGGCCACAAAGCACATCTTGATGGTTTTGTATATAAGTCTAACTAAATTTTGGAATTAAAATGAAGTTTCCAGATCGTGATGAAGCGTTTGGACGGAGCTTTCATGAAAAACATGGTCCTAGCTGTTGAGGTCTTCCCTTATCTAGACCCTCAGCGTCAGCTTCAATCCAGTATTATGAGCTCCTCTTAATCAAAAAACAACTGTTGTACCATGTGAGAAGTTCGATATCATATATCATTGGTGAAGAAAGAAGTAGTAGTAACGCCGGGGATTAAGCTTTCGGCGGGTGACCGCTCACGTGTGCGGAGGCTATCGCGATCTAGATGAGCGCCGACGAGCAAGTTGCGACCATATCAAAAAGCACCAGGCGAAAAGAAGCTAATGCAATTGTCGTAATAGAATAACCATACCAAGCTGCTTCTTTTATACCTCGATGAGAAGGGTAGCCCATACAAGTGCTACGACAATGTGCTTGCGGTAGTATCTACTTCCTCTCTCATGCGGAGTTGGTGGGTACGGCACGCCTCCGGGTTCGCATATGTTTGGGATCGTGCTGCCCCACCGCAGTTGCATGAAGTGCGAGATTCCGGCTTATCCGCCGTCCCTGGGTATCCGCGAATTACCCCACTAAATACCCAAGTAGGTACTATGTATTACCAGCAAAGCGCATGCCATAGACCTTCCCCAGACTTATCGCCGGGTCCACGTGAGCGGAGCAGATCCGCGTACTGCAGCCATAGAAGACATCATCGCGAGCTCTTAAATTGGCCTGCGTCGTCGCGGAGTGAGTTTGTCAGACCCAAAATCATTCTCATCTGCAACCAAAAATAAATAATGGAACATTTTGACGTCGCTGTCGTGGGACTGGGTGTCCTCGGAAGCGCCGCTGCGTACCAGGCAGCCCTCAAGGGAGCTAAGGTCCTTGGACTGGAGCAGTTCGAGTTCGGACACGTTCACGGAGCTTCGCATGACACATCCCGCATCGTCCGCAAATCTAATTCCGAGCCGGAATATGTGAAGCTCGTCAAGGCTGCCTATAACGACTGGGCTCAGCTGGAGAAACTCTCCAGCCAGAAGCTCCTCACAACCACTGGCGGCCTCTTCTTCGTTCCCAAAGACGCCCCAATCCCCGTCAGCAATTATACACAAGCCCTCAGTGCCAATGATGTCCCCCACGAACTTCTTGATAGCAAGGAGGTGAAGAAGCGGTGGCCGCAATTTGATGTGCCCGAATCGGTGGATACAGTATACGACCCGGACACAGGCATCGTTCACGCGAGCAAGACCGTCGCAACAATGCAGTGGATTGCGCGATCCCGGGGTGCTGTGTTGAAGGAGAGGACCCGCGTCGAGCGCGTTACACCCAAGTCGTCCGGCAAAGGCGTTGCAATCCACACCTCGCACGGAACCTTCCACGCCAGCAAGGTGATTCTCACCACCGATGCCTGGACAAATAAGCTGCTTGCGCCCTTGGGCGTACACATTCCGCTGCAGATCATGCAGGAGCAGGTCACCTACTTTAAGCCCAGCGACCCGGCTGACTTCGAATCCCCTCATTTCCCCACTTGGATCTGGGGTGGCGCCCCGGGTTCATGCTACTATGGTTTCCCTTGCTATGGCGAGCCGACCATCAAGGCCGCCCACGACTTCGCCAGCAACATGATGGCTCCTGAAGAGCGCACTTATGTGCCATCGCCGCGACTACTGGGGGAGTTGTTTGAATTTCTGCAGAAGCTTATGCCGGATAAGGGCCGTGAACCGCTGCGCACGGTCACCTGTCAGTATACCATAACGCCCGATCGGCGATTTATTATCACCCCCCTGGACAAGCATGAGGACGTAATTGTGGGTCTGGGTGCTGCCCATGCGTTCAAGTTTGCTCCGGCTTTTGGACGTGTGCTGGCGGAACTGGCCATTGATGGTAAGACGGACGAGGATATCTCCAAATTTGGCTTGCCAACGCCCACTCCGGTTACCAGTAAGATTTAAAAATCTGCTGATGAGCAATGATGTTTATGACCCTTTTAGAGAGATACTCTGTTTGAATTAGGAGATGCCAATGCCATGACGTCACACAAAGGATTGAGCGCTTCCTTTTAAATAAATTGTCTCAAAGGAACTGGGCGGGGTGTTTTGCTATCTCCCGCAGATAATGGAGCGCCGCATAGGGTATGTTTACAGCCATCGTCGGGTTGATCCTCGTCCCGTAGGATGATGTCAATCCCGATTGAGAACAAGGTATGTAACGTGCGCCTAGGTGGTGCCAATCAAGCAACCTTGAACAATTCTCGGAGTGACCGTGCCGAGTCGCATAATGCCTTCAGCCGTCTCTCTTGGCTGATGTGCGGTGCGTGGAGGCCGAATGAGTCAGAAGCACCCAAGCCGTGTCCCTCGGTTAGGACGGCCTTCTCGAAGGGCGCTAGAAGGGCGTTGTCTCACGTGTGTCGTGTTTATTGGCGAGCACAGTGCCCCGAAGCGGACAGCGATGGGGTCTTATCTTGGCCACTGGGTTGGATGCGTAGGGCTGGCGACTCGTATTCGACGTGGGCGACTTGACCTGGAGAGTCTCGTGATGGATTGGCCAGCACCTCGGTCGTGCGACCCACATGTCTGACGAAACAAAGTGGGTGATCTTTCAGAGAGTGGGATTGCTGGTTGCCTAAATCCGCGGAGGGGGAAAGAGGCTCGCCATACGCATGGGCCGAGAATGCCAGCATTCACGCAACAACGAAGGGCGTGGTCTGGGACGAGCTAGACAATTGCCGTTGCAGCCCTATGGGCAGCCGTCGATGCCAGCTGGACACAAGCATGCAGCAGAAATGGCGACGTGTCTCTGAGCAGCGGTGAATCTGCGGGGTCCCACCCAGACCTGGAGGAGGCTCCAAGGAAGACAAGCACGCAGATTGGTCCGATGGTCAAGAACGCGGTGGACTTGGGCGAATCCTCACCGATAGCAGCAGCCTGAACAAAACACCGCTAAACCTTACCGGTGGGCCTGCGGGTTCGCCTGCTGAGGCCTCCGGTTGGCCAGTGCCTGGGCTGGTCCGCTGTTGATGGAGTATTCGGGCTGAACGCGCAGGACTGATTGGCGACATGCGGCTGCGGGCGTTCTTTGCGACAGGCCCGAGGGCAGATTTGTGACACCCCCAGCTGCAATCTGAGTGGTTGCCCTACGGCCATTGTGACGATCACAGGGAAAATGGAAATTGGCTCCTCGCAACAGGCGTGTGGGTACCAGGTGTCGGGAGGGTGCGAGGGTGCGCGAGGTAAGTCGACGGAGGCATAAATATCCCCGCGGGCCCCTGTCCTCAGGCTTCCTCTTTTCACACCTTATACTGACCCTCGAGCACTCAACATATCATTACTTCATTTCTTGTTGCTCTCTCTGCCTCTCTCGCGCTCACCAGGTGATGCTGATGCACTCGCAACCCTACCACTCTGGTCATTATCCTAGGCGATCACTGTCCCAAACATCATCCACCACCACCTCATCGCGCGCCAGCCAGCATTCAACCGAGAAGAAGCACTCTCGAGCATTATCCAACCCACTCTCTCGACGAATTCTGGGTTACTCTCGCCAGACATCCTCCACCATGTCTCAACCTCGCGATATCCCCAACCACACCTACTTCGATCCAAGCCACGGCTCAACTAGCCCCGTCCAGATGTCTCCCGACGAGTCCTCGCCCCAGTCGCCCAAGGGCGACTTTGGCCCGAAGCGTGCCTCGACGCCGACTCGCAAGAACAGCGATGACTACAAGCGTTACAGCGGAACCATCAATCACTATGGCCGCCACTCCAACGACTGGCTCTTTGGTGGATTCAGTGTCCGTGAGACCGTCCGGGACGGCTTCGATAAGCTGCGCAACCGGGAGGGTTGAGTAATCATTCCCCGATTTACTTTGCACGATCCGATTGCCAGTATTATTTTGGCACCCTCTCTTGATTTGAGAGCCCCCGGCATTAGTCTCCCGCCCGCCCCGCCGATCCAATGATCCCTTTTACTCCAGTTTTGGGAATCGACGTTTGATTCGCCGTTGAAACGCCCCTGTTTCTCCCATCACTTGATGTCATTCCCGGTGCGGAGACGGCTCGAGTCCCAAAATGCTGATGCACACCGGGGATGACCTCTCCGATACATTGCAATGGCCGCTTTGCAGGATTCCCTCTTATTGGGATGCGCTCTTCATGAGAAATCTATTTCTGGCCCCCATGTTTCTTGCCTGTTTTCAGATCGAGCCACAAAGGTTCACCATCTTTGCTGGTCATGGCCATATTTAACTAGTATATTGTTGGTTATGCCTTGCTGTTTGCATGAGCTTGGTCCTTGTTGTGTCATTGACTATATGACGATTACCAATTTAAATCCTTATCCTCTTGAATGATACATCTGCCTCATGAATCCGAATCTACATTCGTAATCTGTCCTTGATTTCCGAGTATCGTATGTAGGTATGGTGGGTGGGCGCGGAGTGTCCCGGTGGACCGCTCCGCTCCGAGAATCGGCAATTCTTTGAGCATCCCAATGTCGCCCTCACAAAGATGACCCCCCACGCGCCAAATCGTGGACCCTTTAAAAGCCATCACGAAAGCACTCATGCGTGATTGATTCCCAAGCATGCAGAATGCCCATTCAAATTCGCCGCTTCTGTAACATCCTACCCCTCAATCGACTCGCCTGCAGCCCCCACGGCCAGCTCGCTCTCCTAGCCCAAAGCTTCTGCATGCTCCGGGGCCAAGCTTTGGCCCCCAAACTATACTCCCAAATGGCTCCCAAGAAACCTGTTATCGCGGTTCTCTACCAGGCCCTTGCGCCGCCGATGTATGATGGTGTGAGCAAGCCACCTAAGCCCGGAGGTTTATGCAGATATCCCCAAGATTACAATGATTCTGCAGCTGACTATGGACAGGTTATCGCGATTCGGGCGCTGATGTCGCATATACTCTCTCAAGAGAAGGGTTTACAGTCCTCACCCCAAGAGATTCCCCAGATCCCATGGACCAGGACCATTGGTGCTATCCCGACACCGAAGAAGGCATTCTCGAAGCGGTGCAGAAAGGCGCAACACACCTGTGGGCAAACACAATATTGTTCGCCGAGCATCCTCTGCAAACCTCGACCCGATTGACTCCCTACAAATCCAGTGTCAGGGTCATTGGCCAGCCCCCGCTATGTGCGGACCGATTCGATGACAAGTCGTTTACCAACGACGAGCTCCGCCGTTACGGGGGACTCACGCTGCCCAGATCATGGACTGTTGACGATCCAGCTCCCGAGAGCGGAGATGACGTCGCTATTCAGAAGACTCTGGATTATGTCCTTGCCTCGATCCAGAGAAGTGATTATCCTATCGTGGCCAAGCCGGTTCGTGGTCGCGGGAGTCACGGCGTGAAGATTTGTGAGGATGTTTCTGAGCTCAGGGCGCATACGGCTCATTTGTTCAAAGAGTCACCTCGGGTGCTCTTGGAGGAGTATTTGAACGGCGAAGAGGGTACCATTACTATCATGCCACCGTCTCAAGAGAGTCTCCTTGGATCAGACTTACAAGACCTCCGTACTCGACACTGGGCGCTGCCTCCAGTCACTCGTTTCAACCACGTCGATGGTATCGCTCCTTACAGTGGGAATGTCGCTGTCAAACTCAACTCGCGAGCTGTCACGGCCGCTGAGATCGAGGCAGATCCATCCTACGCGGCTATCATGAAGGAATGCGAGACAGTGGCAGAATTGCTGCAAACGACAGCACCTCTTCGAATCGACATTCGACGGTTTGGGCCCAAGACGAAGTTTGCATTGTTCGATATCAATATGAAGCCGGTAAGTACAGAATGTGCTATAGATAATACACAGAAATCAGTCAGACTGACTACTGAACAGAATATTACCGGACCCGGACGCCCAGGTCGCGAGAATCAGACCAGTTTGATGGGCCTTGCGGCTGAGAGCCTAGGCTGGAACTATCCCACCTTCCTGCAATACGTACTTGGGTCCGCACAGGAGCTGAGACAGCTTCGGGATTACAAGAGCGCTTTGATCAACCGATGCCCCGGATTGGGGCGAATTGCTGCCCAAGAGACGAAATATGGAGGAAAAATAGGACACGCTATAGGATAAATTCCAAATAGAGCCAGGATCCATCACAGTCCTAAATATAATTTCTTTTTCTAATCGCGCACTTTCATTGGATTTCCCAGAAACAAAAAAGAAAGAAGGGACCTCCTGTCACTTCATCACAATGAGCCTGGAGAACTGGCGCCTCGTGTCGAGAGACTGCTCGGCCCCAGTGAACATTTGTAATGATGACAAACGAATTAAAAAGTAGTTAGTCTAGGACAAACCCACTCGTTTTATGACTTGACTTGTTAATCCTTCTAACCGGATTAGGAAAGGCTACGATTTTACTAATATATCTCGTGCGAGAATACTAGACAGGTCGTCTAAATTTTGGCTTTGCACGTGGAAATTTGTGGGGTATAAAATAGTATAAAGATCCAACACTTGTGAATGCCAGGCGTGAAGAAACAGGTTGAACTAAGCCCGAAGTTGTTCATCGCAGTATGTAAGTACACCTAGGCATTGCGTGGAAATGTCAGTGCCCAGAACATCCATGCCGGATTCAGGGGGGACCAAAAATCCGTCCCTAAGGAGCCACTAGAGACAAAAGGCGAGTGCGATATTGATATTTCAATTTGGGCTTAGCATATATACCACGCCAGACCTAAGCTAGCAGCAGGCTGCGCACACGGGGTGCCCACGTCGTCGCCCTGACAGGGACCGACCAAGTTCAAGGCTTCACACTTAGCCCAAAGCAGCAGGAACACCGAAGAGATCAAAGAAAGTCTAAAAACAAACATCGAAGAGATATCATGACCCGCAAAAAAAGCAAGACCAAAAAAGAGAGCACAAAAATGAATTACCACCAAAAATAATAGGGGACACCGGAAACTCCCCACCAACACCCAATAGTAGTTCCCATTACTTCCAGGGCTGTCGATCACGCCGCTTGCCACTTGGCGATATCCGCCGCAGAAATATCGAGGTTTTCGGCCGTCAGCCGCTGTAGGGTTACGGCTTGGAGGGGGGCTAGAGACGAAAAAAAAATTCAAACCGTCAGCAAGAATCCAGAAAAGGAAGCGGATAGCCCCGCCACTGTGACTTGAGACCCAATACCATGGGTCGCCGCGAGGAGAGAGGGGAAAAACAGGAAAAATAGGAAGTGATATGATAGGGCATTGGAAACAAAATGTGACATGAGAAATGACCCACTTGGTCGTTGGCTCGCTGGCGCAGCGGCCTGTACATTGATGACCCCCGAATCGACATATTCCTTGGTAACCACTCCATTGTACGAGGCTGCACTCAGCATCACGCGCACACGGTACTTGCCCGGCGTCGAGATGGTCAGCGGGCTGAATTTGGCATATCCGCTCATCGCATTGTCCGTGCGACTGCGCACGCTAGCTGTCAAGTTTCCACTGAGACCGACGGCTGGAGCGGTACTGTTTTCGTTGCGCAAGCTTGCGCTCACGACGAGATGTTGCACATTTCGGGCCGGCGTGCCGATAGGCCGGACGGCTATGACCACTGGAATGGTGAACGGAAGGCTAGGGCGAACAGTTGCAGGAGGAGCAATCTCGAAGGTAAGGTTAAATTCACGGGCCGCCATTTTTTGGGGTATCAGTGTTTGCAATTAGGATGGCTCTGCCGTCTGGGATATTCGGTGAATATAAAGTAGAGTTCGCGAGAACGGTTTTTAGGCCAATCGGGGCGCAATGGAGGAGGGGAAAGATCGGTGAAGTATAAGTGGAAAATTGGAGTGGATCTCGCGATTAAGTTTGGATCGAGCGATGGGAAGAAGAAGTATGCCAGAATGGTGATGGGGGGGAAGTGTGCTGTCGAAGAATGGAGTCGAGTTGAGGAGAGAAGGTTATAGTTGAAGAGTAAAGTTGACGGGAGATCGCCTGGTCTTCATATACCTTCCCGGCAGCGGTCGAGACACCAATACTGAACGTTCAATACTCTGTAGATGATCCACGTCCTAGATTCGGCGTTGAGCGAAGAAGGGAGCTAGCAGATGTCGCCACCAGCAAAAGTACCACGCGATGAGCGCATTAATGGTCGGTGGCCAGTTCCTGGGCTTCAGAGCCAAGGCAGACGTGATGCGGTGCGAAAAGTAAATTTGACTTCACATTGAGAAAAATCCAGGACTAGTCGAAAACCGGGAAAGTGAGGGAAGAGATCGGCCGGCCGAGGAGGAGTTCCTTCTGGCGGATGCATGCATCCTTGCAGCAGCACGTTCCGGGTAATTGGAACATCAGAAAATCGATGGGGTACGTGCTCAGAAGACCAGGGGCAGGATGAGCAAGCACTAGATCTGAGAGATCGAAGATACGCTGCAGGAAGATCTGGTGCTAGCGTGCATATCGACTCTGGAGCACTTCAGCCTCTAGTACTCGGTCCCACCGCCAGAAAGCTGCTCCTCTGATTTGATCTCTTCGTATGCCTCCATCGCTCGCGAACCTGAGTACTGGACGCCTTGGCATGCACGATCGACGTTCATGTGCAGGGGCAAAAACCGGAGAACCCCAAAGTAGGGCTAGAGGGGCAGCTGCTTCAATAGTTCCGTGCACGGATCCGCCTAATGTCCCGCCTGTGACAACCGCCCTGCCGCCGCTGTCACGGTGTGGTGGCATCACATCGTGGCGTTTGACGCTGGCTCTTGAAGAGATGAAAAAAAGGAAGCTGGCAAATTCAGCTGTGGTCGTTCTAAGCTGCCCCTATCAAGGCAACAACAATATTTTGATATCTATGGGAAAAGGTCGAGTGGCCACGGCACAGTGGCACCGTCTGTTGCCGCGTCCGAGTTGGCCAAATAAGGACCCGTAGAGAGACCAGACCGCAATATGCCAGTGATTGCAGGAGTCGAGGCCCTCCTCGAAGAAAGCTGCAAGCCACAACGGTAGAATTGTGGCGCGTGGGGCCCATTTGACATTTGGTAATCAGGCCACGAGGCTTGGGGTCAGTTCCCCATCGGTCACTCCGAAAGGTATGCGGTTTTCCGCTGGAGGGGTCGCAGCCCAATATTTGCGTCGGTTTCTATTCTCTCCTCGCCGTGCTTTCACGGTGTCTGCAATGGTGTTGCCTGGGATGCCGTAATAGCTTGTTAAGGGGGTGACAGCTCCATCATTTCACTAGCCACAGTTTGGAGCATCATCAGCCTCGCTTTTTGGCGCCCAGCGGAACAAAGACGCTCCGCCGGGGCTCCGCTCCGCTTCGTTCCGTCCGACCATGAGAGTGGGATCCGCAGCACCATGTGTGCGCTAGGACACGATTTGGTGGTTGGCAATCTCCAGTGCGTTCTACGAGGAAGAAGCTTCAGCCAGGCCCTGTACGACGCGCTATCCAGGCGAGGCTAGAGCTTACGATCATCCCGCCGATCTGGCAAGGACCAGTCAATAGTCCATCGCGGTTCATGGTCTGGGGCTTCCAGCATCCACTGCAGCGGGACAGACCGGGTAACTGGGCCCAGTAACCAGGATTGGAGAAAGTAGACGCCGACGATAGAGAACGGAGTCGTCATGATAGTCGCTCTGAGAGCAAGTCAGGACCGGGACCAAGCTCCCGGCCATCATACTGTGACACTACACGTCCGAGTCAGTGCACGTTTAGCCTTCTGTCATGTCATCCTCGATCATTGTCCAAGATCAGCCGTTGGCCTCTGCGAGCTCCGAAACAGGATGCGACACTGAATCATTCCGGTGCAATTAGACTTTTGGAAGTAAAGCGTCGCAACCCTGCGTGAGCCTGAGACGTCCTGCAGATATGACACAAAACAAGCGCGATCATCCTCCCCATGCAGGAAATCAAGAACGGCGAAACCAGGCCAGGGTGAGAGTGCTTCGTCGGTGTAGCGCAGAGACCGAACCCCAACAAAAAAGGCAAAGGGGGGGAAAACTCGACGCGAACCTTGTTTGCTTGGTCGATCGGCGCCAGACGTCAATAGTCGCACCGCCACTGCGGCTGATGCAGTGGCTATGTGTGGCTGAAGGCAAGGAGTGGCTGGAGAAGTGTGGCGGTGGACCACTCGCCTACCAAATTCGGCAGGTCTCACGGTCCGTGCTCCTCGTATCTTGGTGGGTTCCGATTCCCATCCCGGCACTTTATAGCCACTTTTGGAATTTCGACAGCTGTTTTACTATGTAGGATTCACTTCTTCCGTTCTGCCATTTGAACATGGATCATCCCTCTTTCCAAAAGGGCGGGTTGCAGATTCCCCAATCTTGGGTCGTTGACATTCACATGTGAAAGCCACATCATGATGGTGCCACAACAATCTTGAAATCCTTGCTGCCTACACATTTCCACAGCTATGAGGTCCCATGGAGAGAGATGACCTGTCATTCGGATTTCATCTTCATCCATACTTCCATGCCTCGAGATGGTCGTCAAGAAGTGCCGGTGAAGAAAGCACGTGGTATGCTTTCCTCTTTCTTTTTTCTATATTATTTTATTTCCTTTATCTGAAACTCCAAGCATACAGGGTGCAGGAACTGCCCAACGTAACGTACTAGTATTATGATATGTTCTGGACTAGCTAACAAGCAACCTCTAGATGCAAACAGATATGAAATCAGAATGACGAATACCGTAGCAGTTGGATTATCTGTGCCACAGCTTGAACATAGCATAATACATATAAACGGCGGCGGCATAGAAGGGATACATAAAAGTGGACAGAAGGCCCTTATCATGAAAGGTCGTGATGCGCAGACCGACTTTCTCGATGACAGACCGAGGCGAACCATCGGTGAAGAACATCCATGTCATCATGTCATTGGTGAGACCCGCGGTCTCTTTTGCCCTGACGAATAAATCTTTCTCAAAGGTCTGGATCTCTCCTGGAAGGCTAGCTTCAGGGTCGGGCGAGTTGGAGGCTGTGATGATAGCACGCGACAACATGAGGGCATCTTGCATTCCCAAGTTCACGCCCTCGCCAGCAAACGGTGTCATGACATGAGCAGCATCTCCAATGATGGTAACACCAGGGTAGTTCTTCCACGACCAACCAACAGGAAGCATGTAGAGAGGACGGAGGACGGGGTCCTGAGCATGACGAAGAATGTTGAGCAGCCGTGGATCCCACTCGTAGAATTCTTCCAGGAGAGCATTTCTAACTGCCTCGACGTTGTCCAGGTGGGATGGCACGCTCATCTGCGAATCTTCAGGTCGTGGAGAAATAGTATACACATTCAAGCTTCCATCTCCAAGTTGCTGGCTGAAAATCCCACGACTGTCAGAGTAAGAGTACAGTGACCCTCGGTTGACGAGTTTGTAGCATTCCGGCGCCTTCTCTTTAGCATCTGGAATCGTCCATGATATTCCAGTGAGACCAGAGTAGTTGGGCATTTGGTCTGAGATCAGTTTGCGAATTTTGCTCCAAGCGCCATCGGCCCCCACGACCAAGTCAAAACCGGATTCCGTGCCGTAGTCAAAAATCAAGTTCCGTTTCTCATCAATGGAGCGCAGGCGACAGCCCCATCGAATCACCCCTTCTAGAACGGAGTCGAGGAGCATTTCTCGCAGTAGATAGCGATCAATCTCTGGTCGACCACGAGATGAATTCTCTTCCACGCCAGGTAGGTTGACATATTTAATCAAATGCTTGTCGCAAATAGTCAGTGCCTCGCCATCAAAGCGCGCCCGCTTGAGAAATTCGTCGTAGAGTCCCGCCTCTTTCAAGGCTGCGAGCCCAGTGGTCGGGTGAAGGTCGAGGGTGCCACCCTGGCCACGGGCATCTCGAGATCTTTCGGATTCAAAAACCACCACTTCGACGTTGGTCTTGTCGGAGAGCAGCCGGGCGAGAGTGAGGCCGACTGGACCCGCCCCCACAATTGCGATTTTCATGGGCGCCATTTCAAATGAGGTAGATCAAGTGTTGGTTGCAAAGCACAAAGGTATAGACAATGGAGTTGAAGTCGCAAATGGATATATCGAGGGGTTGTATGCCCGATTCTGGTGAACTGTCAACTGAATTCAATGTTAAAAGGTTATGCTCTGGGGACGACGATGTACTTATATCCTGACAGGCTGCGTAGCATGACTTGATTAGACGAGAAGGGATTGTACTCCAAGCGGCAACCATCATGTCGCTCAGCCTCGCATCTCACAATGATTCGGACAATTATGTCTTAGCCCCATGGCATCGAGAGCTACAGGTCAGGCGTTGGAGAAGCACCTAACCGTTAAGAAATACCAGTTCGGTTCGACACTTCTCATATGGCCAATCATAGGGCAACAAAGTATGAAGGACGCCCGCTTGTATTCCGCATCCGTAGGACACGGAATAGTTGAGGCAGTCCGGCCCCCAATCCAAGTACTAAGTTAGCGGTAGGTAGCACGCGTCAATGACTCGGGGTTAGGGCCGAAATCGGGGTTAATTTGCCGAGTCCGGAACCCGTCACCCGAATGTTGTGGCAAGACTGCGGATAATAATGTATACAAGGATCACCCCAAACAATATGCAGATTAGCGCAAAGGATTATCAGCTTCAAGGAATCAAAGTTTTGGATGTTGCTCGTAGGTGGGACATCCTACTATCCTCGGTACTTTAGAATTGTGGCCAAAGCAGTAGACAAGGGCATGATCTTGTCGAGGCAACTGCGAATTGAGGGTTGGCTGCTCCCCCATAAAACAGCAAGTGCAGCGACAACGCCGCAACTCATGGTGACAATAGATCCTTCACTTCAAAACTACCAGCTACAGGCCATGTGCGATATCTTTACCACATTCTGATCGTGTTGGTTCTCGCGCCCCGAGAATGGCGCCGCTGAAGATCCGACAAAACCACTCCTTTACACCGTCGCCTCCACGCCCCCCAAAGGGACCATACACCCTGCCAGTCAATGTTCAAGCGCGGATCAACCCAAAGGTTTTCGGTGCGCTGCTTGGGGGAACCGTGGGCATATTTATCTTTGCCGTCTTATTCTGGAAAATCGGCAAGTATATTCGGTCGTTCAACCGGCACAGGGTGCTGCGAGAAGGCAAGCTGACGACTTCTCGGTACGCGAGGACGTGGTATGGCTGGGTACCATGGGAGACACACCAGAGGAACAAGAGTGTTCTTGCCCATTCTTTCAAATGGATACTAGACTGGCTTTCCTGGGAGTCGAGCAGAACAGACTATACCTGGGTATGGTGGGATCCTGGTCAAGAAAAAATCGAGGAAACGCCGGCAATACCAGAGAAAGCGATTCAGAATATTTCGATTCCTCCAGAGCTACGAGCCTCCCCATGCCGACGCAATGTGGAACCCAGGACCACCCACGCATTGTCACGGAGCTTTGATGGGCAGCTTCGAATCCCAGACTGATGATGCAACGAACGATGGCGGAGTACAGTCCATGATGAACACGAGCGAGCCTCCAGGGTCGTCACATATGCGCATGCTTGAATCGACGGGAACCTCTATTACTGAGGAACTGTTCACGCCTCCTGAGCAAATGGATGGGGCTTGCGACGGCCCTTATAATCGACAAATATCGGTGTCCGACATCAATGCACCGATGCCATGCATTACCAAAAAGTTGGATAAATCGAGCGGATTCAGACGATATACAGATTCACCACTGAATGCAGCTGCATGGTCGACGCTGGATCTCGAACATTCAGGTGTGCGTGTGCCTCGGAATCTTCGGGATCGCTGCAATACCCGAACTGGTCAAGGAATTCACGTAGACGGCCAGAGTTTGTCACACTGTCCAGCACAAGTTTTTGAGCCTGCGATGCACGCCCGTCGTGCGCAATTGCGCAAATGTCGAGCCTGGTCGGCAAAGATGCAGGTCAAAGCCAAAAGTCGAACGTTACGCGCGATACGAGATTCATCTGGTCCACCCGGGACTCCCTTCGTCGAAATGTTAACCAGCTTTCTTTCGGAACAAAGCGTCTCGGAAATCTTTATGAAGCAGAAATTCCGCAGCAATAGCCGCCAGTCTAATGCTGTGTCTGTCCAACGACCCATCTCAATTGACCAAAAGTCCCAGCGCGAGGCAAAGTTACCAGATAGAGCGAAGAAATATCACACAACGCCAGTCAGGCTCCGTCCACGGCCAGGTCAAGCACCAGAAGCCGGTCGAAGACCAACTGATACATGGGATTTTCCATTGCACGACGACAGTATCTTATCTCCAAATACGTCTCTCCGTAAAATCTCGTTGTTCTCCAGAGGAGAAAATACGAAGCCCTCGAATCGCATGATAGGATGGTCAGAGGATGGACTTTGCGACTGGGAGGTGAAACTGGTGGATGAACTGAACCGCAAGCTGGGATGGATTTTCGACGAGACTACACCTGGTCAGAAACCGTATCAGTTCCCTCTGCTGGCAAACCATTGGTTAAACCGTGAGACCTGGTTGGTGATTGATCCAGTATCGCGAGTTCCCACCGATTCGAGACGAGCGTGGGGAGACCCACGATTCAACGTTCCCTATCCAGAGCCAACCTATAGCCCCAGACCGAAATACTCAGGCCTCATTCATAGGCGCGCATATAACCCGCGGATCGACTCATGGCGCGCCGCAGTTAATCGACAGAGAAAGGCATCTGGACTCCGTGATGCTGTTCGAACGGTGGAGCTCTACGAAGACTCGGTCGAGGAGCCGCCGGATGGACATCTCGACCCTGGAAGCTGGATGTTTCCAAGACCCCCTCAGGGGTTCGAGGTGTCGACAAAACAGAAGAACGCCTGGTACGAAGGCGGAACTGGCTGGCAGGAGACACTCGAAGATTGGCAGCATGTTCCTCGAGGTTACCGAATTCGAAAACTGTTGCAGGAGGGGCGTGTGAATCGAAATTGGGTGAAGAACGTTGCCATGAAGGTCCACCGATCCTGTCGCTCCGTGTCTCACAAGATCATTTCCCGAGATATCGAGCGAATTCCCAGTCCTAGTTTGAGTGTATCATGAACCACCCGAGCCCTATACCCCAGTGCCAGCAATTTAGGCCAGGCAGTTTCATTCGTTTGTTGTGTCGTGATATCATGAGAGCCTCTCATATTTCGGTCGCTCTTGTCAGTGTCATATCCTTACCGACCACAGACTGTCTTTCGACATATTATCTTTCCAAAAGCCACCGAATCCATTACGCCACACGGGGATCATGTTCAAATAGTTGAATTGGAATGAAATTCTAGTCGCTGAATAATAGAACATTGTAAGCCATATCATCTTCGTCGCGGCGGTGGCGATTTTCTCGAATGCCAAAAACTCCGGTCCTTCCTTTGGGCCCAACCCAGACCACAAATCAACGATAGCCGGCTGAGTCCCATGCGTATAATACAAATGCCGATTCAGAATCCGCGAGGAGACGCATCGGCGAGCGGGAAGAGTGTGTTCATGCTAGAGGGGTTGCGATAATCGAACTTAGAAACCAGGGGGGTTCACACGCTGGCTGACACGAGTCCACTTGGGCAACTCTGAGAAGAGGATTTTGGTTAGCATCGTCTGCAAGAACACGGAATTCAGTGCTGGGTTAATGGCATACTGTGAATGCTCTTCCGATAGTTCTTCTCCTTTTTGTCGAAGAGAGTGTACTTGTCTTTAGGCAGCATCTCCTCCTCGCGCGGCATCTCCGCATACCACCGGGTCACAGCCTTAGCACTGTGTCCATTGCGAGTAAGAGCAGCGCTCAGCGTATCGACGACGCGGTCCACGGCGCGAAGGCGTTTGCGTTGCCGGGCCTTCTGGGGCGAAGAGAGACGCCACGGGGTCTTCCTGGAGGTTCGGAAAGAGAATTAGATTTTTGCGGTTGAACTCATCAACATGAGGTCCCGAGTGCAAGAATTGCATACCAGAGAAGACCTCCAAAGAGGGCGTTTGTGGGCTTGAACATGGCTGCTGGTCGTTGCCGGTGGTGAGTTGCTGCAGCAAAATCGTGCTCGAAGTCGGAATCGTAATTGGCCCGTGCGCCCGTTCTATAAAACAATCACCACCGCGGACGGGCTGCTCAAATTTGCACAATTGCATTCCTCTTCCATGGATCTTTAAGAAGTAAATAGTATTAGGCAATAGAACAAGTAGAAATTTGCGAGACCTATTTCCATAAAGCCCTATATTCATCTGTTTCTGTGGAAGATTGAACGTTTACCCCGGAGTGGATCATGTGATCACGATGGATAAATGTGTCCGCCGAGAAGTCGCGGTTTTCCTCCAGCGCAACCCCAGCTTCGACAAAGGGTCTCGCTACCCAGGCCACTCGCTGCGTGCTCGAGACGCGAAGCTCGTCTATGGATTTTTTGTAGCGTGCGCATCTCCTCAAGCCAGCACCATGGACTGCGGCGCAACGGCCGAGGCCCCGTCCCTCCCCTGGCGGACCTGGTCTAACACAACAATGTGGGGAGTGGCCGGTCTGTGTCGCGCATTTCTCTCGACTCTATGCCATGCGGAGGTCCACGGTTACGACGAATTCACTGCCCTGCTGGACTCACGGAAGGACCCGGCGCAAAGATCGAGGGGTTTGATTACCGGTAAGATTTCAGTCTACAATTGCGTTGTACACTTTGAAATCAGTCCAGTTGCTAACAAATCTGGTCGAAATTTAGTATCGAATCATATCAGTGTGTACGTACTCTCGAACTTGCCTAACTTGGCGAAAGATCTATAACAGCAGCGCGGAAATGGCTGACATTGTATCGCAATAATTAGAATGGATGACCCATTGATCTGGGGATTACTTCCTATGCGTTTCTGGAACAAGCGGTGGTCATTCGGTAGCCATGATATCTGCTTCCAAACTAGGTGTGTCTGACAGTTGACTCGACATCTGTTTGTCAAGGATTTATACTGATGAAAACTGCCGTGTTTCCGTGCAGACCTCTGTCATTCTTCTTCACCATGGGCCAAGTTTTGCCTACCCACCGTCTTGCCCATTCTTCCTTCGGAGGACTGGGCCAACCCGCCATCACCGAAGCTGTTCGACTGCTTTCCAAGGGCCCCTTCGCTGTTGACCACCACCGTGCCACCCCCGAACGTCAGTGTTTTAGTCTCCAGAATGTCTGCATCGACCCTTTTTCAGACCTTTCAATCGCGTACACCACCAATGGTGAGGATGCTCATCTGGCACCCTCTGCATACTCCCGAAACTCCCATTCATGGGTTCACATCTTCCCCGAGGGAAAGATCCACCAGGCGCCTCGCAAGACAATGAGATACTTCAAGTGGGGTGTTGCACGACTGATCCTCGAAGCGAACGAATGCCCGGACGTTGTTCCGATGTGGATCCAGGGATTTGACGATATCATGCACGAAAGCCGCGAGTTCCCCCGATTTCTCCCTCGGCCCGGAAAGGATGTCAGTGTGACCTTCGGGTCGAAGGTCGACACCGACGAGATATTCGGGGAAATGCGATCACGTTGGCAGAAGCTGAGGGCTAAGATCGAGAAGAGAGACCCGCAATCTCGAGATCTCCCCGCTGGAGTTTTGAGCGATGAACTGCTTCATAACAAAGAAGCAGTTGAACTGCGCAAAGAAGTCACCATGAAGATTCGAAACCTTGTCCTTGATGTACGACGCACACGCGGTCTCCCAGACGAAGACCCTAAGGAGGGACTCGTCGAGACATGGCTCGAAGAGGGACCTAAGCGTGAAGGCCACATGAAGGACGACTCCTGGGTCCGAGACATCTGATCCAAATGTAAATACTGTGTACATATTATCGTGTAGAATCTACCAAATAGAAGGCAACAAATGCCAGTCTGCTCAACAACGAATAGTTGATCTATTTCACAGACTTCCCCGGTACTACAAAATATGTGTATGCAAACAGAAGGGACACCCAGGGCCCGGCATTTACGAGAGGGAGGGCCCCCGGTGATATCATCCCATCCTTGCTCCAGCAACAGAAAACGGTCCTGCCCTACACGCGTACAGTATCATAAGGTAATTAACAAATTCAATTTCAAAAATCGGTCTAAACGCACTTCGAGTCCCCAGACGACTAGAAATCATTGTGCTATTGAATTGTGGCTTGGGGCCAACAGCAGTTGACTCATACCTTCCTATTTGTTGTCAAGCTGAACGTGGGGGCGATAAGATATAACCTGAGCTTAGCCTCGGAAATGTTGCCTCGCCACTTTCCCTCCACCACTCCGCAAACACGACACTCTCATGCCCAAAAAGCAGAAGCGAACATTCATCTTCAAGCCTTCCAGCACCCCGCACCATTCTCTCGGGCCTTCCAGCGTCCGTCAGGATGTTCAGACCCGCCGAGACACAGCTTTCGCGACCGATTCGTCTGTCAATGGCTTGATCAGCCACCTGCGGCGCACCCAGGTCACTGGCGAGACGCCTCCCAATTCGCGGTCTTTCGTGTCTCCTCGATCTGTCCATCCTTCGATTCGCAATGTCCTACAGATTCCAGAGTCTCCGTCTCCTCAGCAACGCCGTACTGTCTTCGGCAGTCGTCCAGTCCGTCCAGTCCCCGGTCCCCCGCCGCCTCAAAGTTGGCTATCTGGGGAATCTGACGGCGCGCCCGCGCCGGCCCAATACGATACGTGGGATGATGGGCAGTGCTATGGTAAGGTGATAGATCGCCTTGACATGTTGCCTGGGGCTACCTTTCCTAGCGACCGCTCACTTATGCATACAATCTTGGTGTCTATGGCCAGCCGATGGACCTGGCACCTAGAATACGACGGTATCTTCTTGGCTCAGCTCCCCACTCATATCAAGCAGCTCCTTCTGAGTTATGTGGCAATCTACTCACATAATTCGGAGCAGGGTGCTCGTATGAAGGGACTAAAGCCACTTTTTCTGACCAATGCCGAGACTCCTGGTGTTGAACATGGGTCGACTGGAGCCCTTGACGACAACACCGCGGTAGATGGGTCGGTCACTAGGCTGGACCTCAACCATGCACTAGGCCGCTGGATTACCTTGAAAGAACTTTCTCACGAGTTGTTTCTTAGCCCGAAACAAGCCGCCTCCGCATCCAAGACTGAATCCGAAGCTGTTCCGGCGTCCTGGGATCAGGAGGAGGACTCCGAGCATGAAGATGACTCGGCTACACTAGCTCATTCATCCTCCGCCAGTACAATCCCCAAATCGATTCGTCATGGATTGCGATTCACAAACCTACGCTATCTTTCTCTCGCCCGTCCAGATCCACAAGCTGCAAACTGGAACACCTTGCTGCACCTCATGTCACGCCTTCCAACCATAACGCATCTATCACTAGCTCACTGGCCTCTCCCGACCCGCACTCCAAATGCCACCAAGGCCACCATAGTTATGCCCGGCAATCTCGAATTAAGATATTCTTACCTTGGCGACACTACGCACGCCACGACAGAGAACTGCTGGGCCGAAGCTGCTGGTGTCCTTCGCCAACTATCTCACTCTACATACTGCCTGAAATGGCTTGATCTCGAAGGATGCAATGACTGGATTCCCGCTCTTACCTGGACGGGCAACAATCCAGACGGTGATCCTTACCCGCCCGGCTCAAACGGACCAGCCTGGACAGGAGCATGGAGGGATGTTGAATGGATCAACCTAGGTCCGGGCTTCGAGTCTCCCAAGCATGAAGAGTGGGTGAGCAGGGTATCTAAGTCGGAGAGTCAACTCCGAGCGAGATGGGAACACTCGCAGGATGGGCCCCTTTTTGGGCTAGTTTCCTCAATGCATGCCTCTGAGCAGTCACCTCCTTCCGCGAAAGAGCTCTGGGATCTGGAGCGTGTGCGGATCACAATGAGATTCGACAAGAAATGCAAGATTTGGAGAAATGCTGTTCTCGAGGGCCAGAGAGTGCTCCGGGAAATCCAGGACCTGAGAGTGAAAGCCAAGGGCAAATGGATTGAAGGCTACATCACCACAGAGGATGTCAGCCGTGTCTTCTAACCACAACAATATCAAACAAGGTAAGTATGTATTCCCGCGAATATGACCATGACATGACAATGTATTACAACAACGCAAGTAGCGCGTCCTTTCGTAAAAATTTACAAGATCAAAGAAAAAGTTAAAGAGTAAAAGAAAAGAAAAAGATAGAGAATGCTATTGAAAATTCCTTTTTGGTTCCACGCAACTTTACAATGGTATCATGTCATGCACCTATTATGCCTCGACCTGCCTCTATTTCCGTCCACGATTGAACGTCTTCAAAGGATCAACCTTACCACCAGCCTTTCTTCCCTTCCCCTTGTTGCGGTTACGATCTCTCGCTTTGCGAATGCGGTTCTCATTCGACTTCGAGAACCCGACATATCCCACATCCTCCTTCGAGATACCCTTTCGGCCCTTTGCCGGCATCAGGTAATCCGGAACATGCTTCAGATGGGGCTGCACACGGGCAGCGCGCAGTTCTCCATCATGACGAAGCTGTCGCAGCTCGTCGGGGTTATCCTCGAAGTGGCGTTTGAGCTTCTCGCTCTTGATCAGTTCCTGGCGAATTTCACGGGCACGAGCTTCTTGAACTGCTAACCGAGTGACAGCACGCAGAGCGTCGGTCATACGGTAGCGGAAAGCATCGACTTGCTGCATTTCGAAATGGTAAGGCTTGACCTCGTGGCCGAGCTTTCCTTGGCGTTTCACGATCTTTGCGAGGACGGGCTCGTCGCGCTTGCAGCTTGGCACTGAGGTGGGCTTGTGCTTGCCGTACTGCTCGATTGGAACGACAAACGACAGTGCCATACCGGCCTTGCCGGCGCGGCCGGTACGTCCGATACGGTGGGTGTAGGATTTCGAGGTGGTAGGGAGGTCGAAGTTGAGAACACAGGCGACGTTCTGGAAGTCGATACCGCGCGCAATACTGTAGTCCTTTTCTTTGTTGGTCATCTTGCGTCGCTTTGAATTCTGTTTGCTGTTTTCTTCCTCGACCTCCTCGTCTTCGTTGCTGCCGATTTCCTCCTTGGCTCCCTCTGCATTTTCGATGGCACGGGACTTTTTGCTGGGCTTGGCCACTCCCATGACCTCTTGGTCATCGGCAGCGATGATAATATCATAAACACCCTTGTTGAACTCCTCGACGACATGTAGACGGGAGTTGATGGGGAGTTCTGAATTGAGAACACAGCTCTTAATGCCGAATTGCTCGAGGAAAAGCTTCACACGGTAGCATCGGTCCACATCGCCGACGAAAATAATGACCTTCCCCTTGACGAGTTGAAGCTTGAAAATGACATAGGTGAGAAGGAATTTCTCGTCTTCCGCACACTTCACCACGAATTGGCTAACACCGGCGCCTTTTTCCTCCTTTTCCTCCAGCTTCAGAATGACGGGGCTGCGACAGAACAGGCTCTTTAAAGTGTCCACCTCGGATGTGAGTGTGGCACTCATAAGAAAAGTCTGCACGCCACGGGGAATGGCCTTTGAAAGAATGTTGATGTCGTCCTCATAACCATAGGACAGAACCAGATCAGCTTCATCGATCACCAGGTAGGAGAGTTTCTCGAGCGACAGAGCGGAATTGTTGACGTTGGCCAGGACACGAGTGGGAGTGGAAATGATCAAATCGGGAAAATCGGCAAGCATTGTACGTTGGACGGCGTCGGACACTTTTTGAGTGAGGTTGATGGAGCGAACATCTTTTCCGCAGAAGGCAGTAAATGAGGTGATAACTTTCTGAACTTGTTCTGCGAGCTCGCGGGTAGGGACAAGGACAAGACCGGTGGTCGCTTTCAATGCAGGGTTCGCCTAGAAGATACAATAGTTAGCAACTTTCTGAAGGAAGATGCCATGAGGGGTATGTGATGAGACGAACAGATTTTTGTTGCAGGATAGATTGCAGAACCGGGAGAATATAAGCGGCCGTCTTTCCAGAACCAGTCTTTGCGCGAGCTGCTTCTGTTAGTATTTTGAACTTGTGAAGCAGTATTTGGGGCTTGGTAGCTTACCAAGAATGTCTTTGCCCTCGAGTGCTAGCGGAATTGCCTTGGCCTGCACGAGAGTAGGCTTGGTGAACTTTTCCTTAATCAGAGCTTGACGCAGTCGCGAGTCAAGACCCAGCGCTTCGAAGTCGGGTTCCTGCTCTTCCGCGCTCTTAGGCTCGGGAGACGGCACGTCGTTTGCATCCAGTTTGCGCTTCATGGTTGCTATGTTGTATTAATCGGGTTAGAAAAAGTTGTTGCTGTATGGGAAATTTCGGCGGGCGGTGAGATTTTTCAGGGCGGTGAATTTCTGTATGCCGGTGGCATTGTTGCCTGGAAAACGGGGTGTCAACTGTAGACCCACCGTTTTCATCTGGTGTGGATTAGTGGGACGGCGTGGGCCAGAACTTTTAAAATATTACCTACGGCATGTATACCTCACGGTACTCTTTGGAATTGAACTGTGTGTTTTCAAAGTTTTGTTCGAACATTCAATGGCAAGGCTAATTCGATTACTTCAAGTGCGTGCAAATCTAGGACGTATAACAGTAAAATTGTTCAGAGCCTAAACAATTCAGGGAATTGCTTCAGGCAGAAGGGACTTTTCTCCATGCATCATCTCAAACAGAGGCTCCCATATGGTGGTTGCTCGCCGGGTGATGCGACCGTTTCCGGGCTCGGGCATAGGATAGTATATGAGCTGTTCGGCGGAGCATTCTAACAACTCCCCCGTCATACCATTCTTATCCTCCAAAAATGTATCATACGCTTTCAAGATGGTGGCAACTGGCGTAATACTAAAGGAGGCCAGAGTATTAGTTGCAATTTTTCGGTAAATCACAAGAACGACATTTCCACTGAACTCACCATTCAGGTGTGACAGCCTTGATCATCTCCGGTGGAACAATCGGTGTGTCCAAGATACCGGGCAGTACGACATTGATAAGTATTTTCTCCTTCTGTTTCAAAAGAGGAGCAACACCGCGGACAAATTGGTTCACAGCGGACTTTGTGCCACAGTAGATCGGGTAGGACTTGTGGGGGAAGATGCTCCCAATGCTACCTGTGATAACAATTCGACCGCCTGGCTGTGGATTGTATCGCATGAAGTGTGTAGCAAGCTGAGTGCAATTTACCACACCCTTGTAATTGATATCAACGACAGAGGTGTCCGGGGCAGGAGGAATGTCTTCCACGGCTCGGCTCTGTTTATCGTAGATGTAGATGGAGGATTTGTCAACGATACCGGCATTGACGCACACCGCATCAATGCGCCCGAAGCGTTTGTGTACTTTCTGGAATACATCGGCAGTTTCATTATAGTTCGAAACGTCGGCGGCATAGAAGAATGCTTTGTTTGTCGGCAGGCTTTCTAGGAGTTGCTCCCCAGCCTCCTGGCGCCGTCCCGTGAATGCTACTCTCCATCCTCGGGAGCAAAGGTGCTTCAGGATGTCAACTCCAATTCCGGACTAGGAATACAATAGTCAGTGGACAGCGTTCAGATGCGGTATCAATGTGCTATGTACTGACGGTAGCCCCGATCAGGACAGCAACACGTTCTTCCTCTGCGTAGGAGCCCATTTGCAAGCGATTCTTAAAATATGACGATTATGAGGGATTAAGAAACAGAAATTCTAATTTTGTGCACGCCAAGCTGTCATTCAAAAGGGGGCTACTAACACTAAAATCCGGAAGATCGATATTCCAAGGGTCATACCCCTCCAACGCTTCTCCACTGAGCCAGTTAGCCTCTTCTGGATGCCCAAGACAATTGGACTATTTTCGTTGAAGGATTCTTGCTAATCGATGGTGAACCAGGGAATTTCTTAACAATAGTCATAGGACACTAATAGTGTATGATACTGGTTTAAGTCGGAGTTAATGGTCCGCTCGACTGTATATTGATCTACAATCCTTCCTGTCAGTCAACCGCCTATCAGCTGCCTCGTGGATCAAACACTGTGCGTTTGTTCCGCATCTCTGAAGCCAACCCGAGGAAAGCGATCACTAGAAATAATGTATACACGACCTCTTGTGATATAAGAATATGATCTATCAGTTCAAGTACAGAGGCATATATGGCAAAGCATGCAATAAGGATAGATAATACCAAAGTCTTTCACAGAAAGCTCCAGCCTCGGCCCAGCCTGCAGGGTGTTGATATGATCGAAAGTCTCATGGATTTATTTAGAAGTTCATTCCGAACATAGGCTTCAAACCGAGGTAGTGACGAGTCAGCGATCCGGCCGACTGGAAGAACCTTGATATTATGCTCAACAGTATAAACCTTGCCGAAATTGATACGGGATATCGAATCTAATTTCTGATCTTGTTTGGCTGTTCTAACCTCGATCGGATCCTTGGTCATTCTTGCCTCGTTGGCTCTAGTCGTGGGGCGAGTGCCGCGCATGTATATCACTGCATGTCTGTTTCGGTCTACCCCGGACTTGGCAATATCTTGTCCGCTATAAGGAGTTATAGGACTGTCAAGGAAAATAGTCAGAGAAATTCGATCAAGAGGGTCTGTGGGATTGGCATACAGGCACCAGCAACAGCCCTTCTGCTCCTTGATTACGATTATGCGTCGAATGCTGCTGTAAGTGGGCTCTTGGTATTTCCCCGTGCTGTATCTGCGGTTGGGGGGAAGGGGGTGCTTCTGGCTCGATACAATTCCATTTAGTCTGGCGTCTTCATGCCAGAGCATGCAGAAAAACCTAGAGAATAGTCGTTAGACCATGTTCCAATTCCAAGGGCAAACGGAATCTTACCCTTCCCACAACTGAAATATTTCCGCGGGTCGGCTTGCTTTTTGTCCTCTGATTTGGGAGACTTATTAGCCGCTTTGCGTATGGAGAGCACAAAAACAATGGCAACTTACGTGGATCCAGTGTATCATGATCACCGGTAGTTGCGGGGATAACGTATGAAGGCCCAAGTGACACTCGCTGACTTATTTTTAGCCAAGTGTGTTTCAGGATGTTTGGCTAGGCAACGTACCGTTAGGTTGTCATGAGTTCTTTGAACATCACCGAGTGGGGTCGGTATGTTGATACTCAAAGCTGGCAACACAACCAGGAATCATCTGCGAAGAGACATGCGCAAAGAGACTCAAACCCTGAAGGTCCTCTGAGATAGACCTTTGATTAGAGGCATCACTTCGAGAGGATACCGTTCTGTCACTGCGATCGGAATCATCATCTCTCACTGCCGTCCGGCCATAGACGGTCTCTGTATTATTGACCCTGGACCAATCTATAGTGGACTTGCCCCGATTGCTGGGCAGTGCTGTGTCCCCGAGCTTCCCAGCGTCGCTTGGTCATAATCCAGGCGACGCTTGTGGTTCCTCTGCTGTACACGAGGTTGCGCATGCGTCTGTCGACTGGTACTGGCTTGGATCGGGGCCCAGCGACATCGGCTAGCGGTACGAAAGCTGTTCCGGGGATGGCAGCGCACTCCCAGAAGTACTCAACCGATGCAGTGTAACACTATTCACGCACGATTAGCAGCCGCGCCCGATAAATCCACAATTCCCCATACGCATGGATACAGACATTGTAGATCGATCTTGCGGTGGACCTTGGGGCGTCACTGCGCCTGTCCATTTGTAGCGAGATTCAGCTATCGGGTTGTGAGCTGTCATTTCACTCTCCATTGGCCAGTCTGCCTACCAATGCAGTTGTAGATCGGGCGACACATGCGACCGGTCTCGTTCTGGGCTACCCAATCTGCCGTCACGGCGTTTTCATGACACACAATAGCGCAGAGACACAGAGGTGAGCGAGGCTTCGCATAGGGACGATTTTGAGAGTATCCTCAGAATCAGGTCCCATGCCTCTTTTCATAGTCCCATCCCTGCGGCTCGGACCGTCACCTCCTCTACCACTGTCACGATATAGACCACGATTGTCCACCCCATCTCCATATGAGGCCATAGTAGTGCTATTTGTGATCTTCGGAGCTGTTGGCATAATCTGACTCGTGGGCCGGGCAACAGCTGATGATCGATGGCCCCGTGAAGCAGCCAGTGGGGGAAAGGCGACCGAGACGACGGAAGCGCGGGCGCTAAACCAGGGCATGCAGGAAGAGCTCCGAGCAATGATGATTGGGCTGCTCGACGCCTTACGAGGCTCGCCTGGGCAGAACGCCATGAAGTCGGCCACACAGCCCCTGCAACGACGTGCCAGAATCACTAATCACACCCGAAACTTCCTTAGGTACCCTAAGTTATTCTCGTAAGTGCCAGGGCTGATAGACTTTACTCTCGCCTCGCTGACCAACGCGGCGACTGTTGGCTTCTGGCGGCCCCGAACACTTCTTTGCTCCGAGATGGAACCGGCGCCTGCTGGTTTTTGAAAGATGGCATCCTGGCCCGGAGTCCTGTCCAGCCGTGCGGCGTTGGTGAGCTCCTTCCATGCATGCAGACCTCAATCTTCGACATTGCTGATCACCAGGATCCCATATCTCTAGACACCACTTTCGGGACATTCTTGGTCCACAACCAGGAGCGAGATCTACGCGTCCAGTGATGGCTCGTCGTTGCAGGGGAGCTGTCTGGATGAGGATCGCCAATTATGGAGGGCGCCTAGCTCAACAGTCTCAGGCACGCTGCAGCCGCTGTCCTCTCGTCTGTCTGAGGAATCTCCTCCCCGAACAACATCAACAGCCTCGATGGTCGGCAACCCCGCAGAGGGGAGTAGCAAAAGCCACGACGCAGGTCTCAGCCCGAGAGTCTGGGACAGCAATGAAACGCAACAATTCACTTCTCTAGCGCCGTCCCAGCACTTCAACGATTCTCGTCATGTGCCTGATGTTGTCCGAGATAACAGCGCTAATCTGGTGATTCTTCTGGACGAAGTCGTTGCCATCCTGCAAGATGTCTCCAATCAGCGCTTCGTTGTCAGGCATCTACGGGATTCCCTTCGACAGGCGCGTGAAGAAGAGGATGAACTTCGACTGGCACTTCGCAACAAGCTCAATCTAACTGGCCCCGAAGCGGTTCACGTAGACGCTACGCCAATCAACAAGGTGATTGAAGACCTCCAGGCAGCTACGACCTCGTACCTCGCGTTGGAGAAGAGATATCTCAAGACAGAAGAGGGGCTAGGGGAAACGGAATACAGTTTAGACAAGTGCATGAGAGAGCTCACCAAAGTGCTGCGCCAACAGGGGACACACCTGACCCAACAGCAACAACCTGACAGTGAGACCAAGTACGATTCGTCGGTGGCCTCTACATCTACCGGCAATGTAGGCCCATTATCACCCGAGGTGTCGGGGTATTGCTGTCTGGTTGGAGAAGTCCACATGCATCGTGAAAACCTCGGCGCACTCGAAGCTGAATACCTCTCCCTCATTGACCAACAGCAAAGGCGAGAGCGCGTGGGCCTCACTCTGGACCAGGATGGGAGCTCCTTCCTAGATCGTTACGAAGGCGACAAAGCGGCGATCGAAGGGGAACTGCGCGCCACGCTCCAGCGGCTAGAAGAGCACCCGCAGCACAGGACTCGTGCAGAGAATGTTGTATCAGATGAGCAGTGGCGGGATGTTCTGCGAGATTACCTCCCTGAGATGCCCGAGGACCAACCGCCTCCAGATCCTCTGCGTGCATCTGAATTAGATGATCGGTCCCCGTTCTTCGAGTCGGCGCGTCCGATCCCGTTGAACAAATCCAACTTTGTGAACCATTGGCTTCTGTATCGCCTCCGCCATTCGGCCGTCGAGATAATGCGATTCAAGTCACAGCCCAAGTTGCTAAATTTAGTAGAGGAGGGCTGGGATCGGGATCGTATTAGCCAAATGGCAATGATGCTATGGTACCGGGATGAGACGACACAGTTGGAGTCGGCGAGGAGTAACTCGGCTGGTTATTGACCCCTCACCGAATGGCCATGTCAGGTTGATGAGCTGTTGGATGTTTTATTTTTAGCGCCTGCAAACCCCCCAACGGTCGGTTCATGAGACGTTCTCCTGTATTTCTCTGGAGTGATAGTATGATACATAAGCCCCCGTCCATGTACATTGACCCGGTCTTTTTTTATCACCTTACTTTGCGTGCATATTTTTTGAATCATGTGAAAAGCACTCCCATATTAATCACGGCAGCTTCAGCAGAAGACGTGACAACAATTTTGTGAGCCTAGAGACAGATATCTCAGATCAAATTTTTGCGGTAACCTCCGCTGCAATGTGGAGACCGGACCGGTCAACGCCTGGATATCCTCGGGTGCCGTAGGGACCTCCGATGATGTCGATTCCGATACCCGGACTAGCGGACATGTGCGCGACTGGATCGGCAATACAATTAGACGTGCTGCCCGTGGTTCCGCCTCGTTTAGCCCTCTTTATCCGCTCCTTCATCGCCTGCTTTCCCCATATTCAATCCTCCAACGCTCTCTTCTCCGCACCCCGCAATGGCTACTCTCAATGAGAAACTCGTGACTCTGACTGAGAATTACACAGCATGCGATGTATGTCCTACATAAAACTTGCGACTCATAGCATCGCATGCCCCATGCTAGATCTAGATCCGTCACTTTTCCTGCAGTTCTTGCGTCTAATCATCCCATGATACCAGATATCAGATGCCCTCCTCAAATTACAGAAAGTCCCGGAAGGCGGCAGAGCCCGCGCAGGCTTTCTGGCTGATCTGAGTAAGAATTTCCAATATCCCATTTGACTTTTATAAATGTATCGCCATGAAATGTCTTGAAATGCCCCTGTGCAGTGCTAGACTATACTACCAAGAAACACAATACTCACGCTTCCCTCACAGCCCCCTTCTCCCCGATAATCGGCAGAAACGACACAACAAAGATCGCCGCACCAGCAACAACCTTCAAATTCCTCTCCAAGACCGACACCCCACCGGCAATCGCAACGGAGGACCCCGAAAAACACGGCTTCCCACCGGGCAAGCACTGGGTCGACTATGCGGGCGATTTTGCCGCGGCAGACCCGGAAAAAGCGGGCTCGATTATCGTTATTGAGCAGCCGGTTGATCAATACTGCGCGGTGACTGGGGGTATCATGGCGACGCGGATGAAGGTTCTGGGTATTAAGGCTGCTGTTGTTGGGGGGAGGATACGGGATTTGAGGGAGTTGCAGGCGACAGAGTTGCCGGTTTGTTTTCCTTTCTTTTCATCATACTAAGGGTTTGGTGAGCTGAGTGGCTTTGAGACTAATTGTTCCTATAGATTTGGGCTCGGTCTACGTCGACCGTCGGGACCGGAGCGGAGGCTAAGGCTGCTGCGCGTGATGTGCGTATCTCTATTGGAGGCGTGGCTGTATCTCCAGTGAGTCTTCCCATCAACTTTCTTTTCGTTCGGAGAGAATTTACTGATGAATGATCAAAGGGTGACATCATCTTTTGCGATCCACTTGAAGGAGTAGTTGTCATTCCTCGCGACTTGCTGGAACCGGTCCTCGAAGTGATGCCCAAGTTGATCTCGATGGATGAAAAGGCCATTGAAGCCGTGGCAAAAGGAATGACCGTCGCAGAGGCATTCGAGACCTTCCGGGCATAACACGGGGCATAACACGTACCCTAAGGAACATCACATTACTAGTATACTGCCTGATTGCTACGCGAATCTGATAATATCATGCTAGGAAGGACTGAGGTGAAGTGAAAATGTACATGAAAGTTCGATCTCTCGTGGTATCCTCAGAGGTATTCAATACATATCAGAATCCGGGCCTGTAGCAGGAGAAAAGAAAAAGCAAAAACCGCTGTGCAATGTACAAGAAAGGAAGTGGGGCGCCTTACTTTTACTCGGCCACCCAGACGGCGGCCATACCCATACCGGTACCCACACACATGGAGGTGACACCGATCTTCTTGTTGGTCCGGTTGAGCTCGGTCAGCAGGGTGCTAACCTGGCGAGAACCGGTGCAGCCAAGCGGGTGACCGAAGGCAATCGCACCGCCCTTGGGGTTGATCTTTTCCTGGGGCAGGCCAAGCTCGTTGACACACCACACGCACTGCGAGGCGAAGGCCTCGTTAATCTCGTAGATGTCGACATCATCCTTAGTGATGCCGGCCTTCTCCAGGGCAACGGGGATGGCGGCCCAGGGGCCAACACCCATAAGCAGGGGCTTGACACCGACAACGCTGGCAGCGACGTACTTGCCGATAATCTTCTGGCCCAGGCGCTCGGCAGTGGAGCGCTTCATGAGCAGGACGGCGGCGGCACCGTCGGAGATCTGAGAGGCGTTACCGGCGTGGATGGAGCCGTCCTTGGCGAAGGCAGGGCGGATCTTGCCGAGAGACTCAGCGGTGATACCCTCACGGATACCATCGTCAGCCTTGACGGTGATGGTCTTCTCCTCGCCGGTCTTGGGGTCGGTCCACTTCACATCAAGAGGGGCAATCTCCTCATTGAAGAGACCGGCCTTTTGGGCCTTGACGGCCTTTTGGTAGGAGGAAGCAGCGAAGGAGTCCTGGGCAGCACGGGTAACACCACGGTCCTTGGCCATGTCCTCGGACAGAACACCCATGGGAACCTTGCAGTTGGCAGACTCGGGGTGGTTCTCGAGGAGCTCGGAGAACTCGGTAACGGCACCGGGGCTAGATTAGGCACATGTTAAATTACATACTTGAGCAAGCTGGGAAGGGATATTACGCACCCGTACTGGGAGGACATGCTCTCAACACCGGCACCGATACCGACATCGATCATGCCGGACTTCAGAGCATTGGCAATGTCAACGATGGCCTGGAGACCGCTTGAGCACTGACGGTTCAAGGACTTCACGGCGGCAGTCTCGGGGAAACCAGCAACCAGAGCGGCGGCACGGAACTCGGTCGCACCACCACCCGGGGGCAGGACAGAGCCAACAGCAATGTCCTCGACGGTCTTGGGATCGATGCCGCTCTTGTTAATGACGGCCTTAAAGACACCAGCCAGCAGATCGGCGGCGGCGGTGTCCTTAAAGCCACCCTTTCCACCCTTGGTAAGAGCAGTGCGCAGAGCACATGTCACGACAATATCATCGGGATGTTTCTCGGTCAGGGCGGCGGCTCCCTTCTGGCCACCAGGGCCGATGTGGGAGGACACTTGGTTCAGACGCTGCTGGGCTGTACAGAACAGTTAGCCCGGTCTTCTGTGTTCGGTAGGGGCTCGCTCAAGAAAGCAGTATGTGCAATACAGTGGCAGACACTGCTGACGGGGAAGTACTCACCAGAAGACATGACGTCAATGTAGTTTGTAGTTTAGGTAGTCCGGGGTTGCGGTATGGGGGAGGAAAGAAAGAAAGGCAACACGGGGTAGGATGATGGACGGTCCACGATGCCCCGGGGCGATGTCTCTCTCTTATAAACCACAAGCGTGGATCCGGTGGTATTTCCCTTGTTCGCAGGCTCGCCCGCTGTTCACCTCGCAGCAAAAGTGCCGAGGTCCAGCGTATCATAGTTGTTCCGGGCCGAGTCACGGGATCCCGTGGTTGCCACGCCACATGTGTGCATGTGAACATGTGAATGTGAGGTCGTCTGCCCTCCGAAACCTCGATTCTCACGTCATGCAGTCAACCTGTGGCGCCGATCGGTCTGCCTAGCTCCGGATTGTCTCGGCATCCTATCGATGAGCCTGCAACATGAATGTGATTCTTCCGAGACTAGCCCAATTTCAGTACTCGGGGTTCGGAATGTGGGGACCTGGAGATTATACGCCTCTGTTCAACTTCATCACAAGCTAATTCAATCGACATTATTACTCTCAACCTTTTCGTCTGAATCGTGAAATATCAGATGATTGACTAGCATATTAATCCGGAAATGAAGTATCCGAAGAATTACTGGTATATTCCATTCATTACAAACCATGAACTGGGATGATACCTTCTTAGCTACCGTCATTATTTCCTTATTTCAGAGCGCGAATTCCCCAAGGTTGACAATTGAAAAGAAATCAGCATATACCACCGCATATTACTTTTGAATAGACGATTTATCAAATTTAAATGCGCGAAGAATATGAAATAGTTACTACCGTAGAGTACCTTCAATCAACCCTAAGGCGGTATGGTACTTCGCAGGCGATGCTGGCGGTCAAACTGCTGAGGCACTCCGCCGCCCGACCTCAGCCCGCGACGGGAATTTCCCTGACCGACTTCCACGAAGTGCAACGCTCTGCCTCGAGTCACTAATAGTTCACACGCCGCGCACTATGATCCGACAATTCATTTCTTCAGTCGGTTTCTCGGCTCGGGCTCGATGCTCGAGCGCCAGCACAACCTTGCAGGGCCAGGTCACCCGACAGCCAACATGGCTCCAATCTGTACGTCGATCTCTAGACTGCCGATATGACCCCAAGGCCAGTTCTAATGGAGGCGCGACACAGAAAACATCTCCGACCATCCTTCCTAACACACATCGCCTCTTTTCCTCCACTCCTGCAGTGCCCTTCGCATCCACCACCCAAAAATCCTCTTCGCCCTTTCGCCTCTCCTCTGATAAACAGGAGCGACCTCCCTCCTTCGATGATGTCTATTACAGCCAGTACCAGCCCAAGCGCCAATGGCCACCGGACATGTCGAAGCTCTCGCCGAAACACCAGTTCCGCCTCGAGCGCAAATACCGTCGGCGCGCAGCGCTGAAATATGCGCGGCCGAAGTTTATCAAGACGGTGACTTTGGTGCAATGGGGCGTTATTGGATGTGAGTAGCTCTATCGCATAGCTCTTCGAAGAGTCCTTTGGACAATTGGAAAGATTGAAGCTGGTTGCTGACATTTGAATTGCAGTTGTCGCTATCTACGCTGTGCTTTTCATGGACTGGGATACAAAGGATACGCCATTTGACGGGGTAAGTCCGACCATTAGCATGCTTCGATGATGCAACGTTTTTGCTAATAATACTTTTAGATCCGTGATAGCTTCTTCTCCGGCTTGCGGGGTATGTTTTCAACTCCCACGCCTCCTGGTCCTGTCAAGAGGTCGTCAGATGAGAACAACTGAACTCGACCTTGAAGTGCATCATAAAAAATCAGGCTCGGCATGTGCTTGCTGTAAATTACCTGCCCATCTTACTGTACAATATACCGACTAAGTCGCAAGCCCATTCCATTACACAGGAGTTCAGCATTTGTTAGTACCTAGAGTGATATCACGTTAATTGCCTCGAGTAGATTCAGATGAAATTCTCTCGATAGGTCTAAGCTATGTCGCAATTTTACGCGTAGCCTTCAATGTATGAGCAATGATCATTTGATTCTCATTTCTGTCATCAATAAAAAATCATGAGCAATATCAGCCCGGACAACAGGCGTCGCTATACCGCGGAGAGGAATGGAGAGTAGAGTAGATACATTTCGACATAGAGTCCGACCTTCCTCCCCCCGCCACCTGCACCGTGACTTGACTTCATTACATCACGTCTGCCAGGAAAAGTCTCTGGGCAATGAAAATGCAACTCCCAACAACACCAGAAATGCCAACGCCGATAGAGTCAAAACCAAATGGAAACTCCAACAGCTGGAAAGGAGACAAGCGAGAAACGCTGGTCAGTGCTGTAAAAATGAAAACCTCAACTCCAAGTCATGAAGCGTGTGAAAACAAAGAAATGGTTGAGAAAAACACAAGGAAAGAAATGAAAATTTGTCGACCGGATGTTGTATCCTGGTTGACATTTTAAAGCCAGCTGCGCAAGTCACTTGAGGGGGTTCCGAGGCCGGCGGATGGTCGGCTTTCTGGAAGATCAAGTGCAAGCTCCAGCTTTGGTGGCTTCTCCTCCAAGATGCCCTTCTTGGGACTGCCAGGGGCCTTCTTGGGGGATTTGGTTGGCGAGCCAGGCTCACCAGCGCGAGGCGGGCCTTCCCGGACGGCAATATAGGGCCATCCATCTTCAACAGCAGCAGCAACCCAGGTGCGAAGGCACTCATGTACAGAAGAGTAGAATTTCTCTTTGCAGGTGCGCAAGCTGCCACCCATGACCTTCTCGAAGCCAGAGGCGCGCAGCTCTCCGCGAACCTGGTTGCGCTCATCGATCGTGGGAAGGGAGGCAATCAGGCCGTTCAGGAGGTCCAGGTGCGCAGCCAGGTAGTTTGTTGCGTCCCATTCAACGCCCCCGACGTATGGAGCGGCAGGAACAGGCGGGCGAGGCGGCGGGAAGTGTCGAGTATAGTATGAGCTCGAGTCTGGCTCCGTCTTCTTTTCCGTGAAGGGATCCTCCATTGTGGAGCCGGAGCCCGATTTGGGCAGAGGAATCACATTCAGGTGATGCAGGAAGATCCAGAATACCTCCTTCGTCACGTTGCTGACTTCTTTGCACCACACTCGGTAAGGACGTGTCTGGTATATATTGGCGATGAATGAAACAGGCTGTTTCTCATCTTCTGGAGACGGGTCTCGCAGGTAAGAAAGGATACGTCGAGCACGGTTGCCGGGCATCTCGCCTGGCGCGGTGGAAGAGAGTTGAGTGAACAAGAGGTTGATGATGATTCCTCGAGTAGTGAACTCACTCGGACCCTTCTTTTCCTCATCGAACAGCATCTTCAGCAAAGAGGGGAACAACTCTCCTTCGATGCTGGTGAGATGCGACAATGCGATAGATGTGGTGCAAAGGGCTTTCAGGCAAAGCAGTGCTTCGTGGAGGAGAGTATCCTCATGGTCCTCACTAGCGCAGACATTAGTATGTGTAACTATTTTTCGGAATTCCAAGAAAGTCAGACTTACCGCCACTCCATCTTCATGATGCGATAGATGAGCTGGACTATCTCATCCATTCCACCTTCCATGATGAACCCGTTGACCCACGCTACCGTCTCGTTACGGAGGAGTAGGCGGAGTTTGTGAATCTTTCCAACTTCCACCATTTCCGGTTTTTGGATCTCCCGCAGATAGTGCACAAAGTCAGATGGGTCAGCAGCTGTATCTACAGCCGCAGCATCGGTGAGAGACGCTGTCGACCCAGCAGCTGATAGGGTCGTGTAGACACCCACGGGCTGGGAGAGATCAACCGACTTGGGGCGATGGAAGCTACTGCCACTCTCCGGTCGAGCTTTCTTACCAGGAGAAGAAGAGCCTCGGCCAAAGGTAAAACCACGGCTTCGAGACCGCGATCGAGAGCTTTTGCGGTCCTGGGAGTCCTTGGCCTCCTGGCCACGACCTCGGCGACTTTCAGAGGTACTTGCGCTGTGGGGAGTGCCATTCTCAGTTCGATCCTTCTGAATAAAGTCGGCCTTGATGTTGGTATCGAGAGACCGCATCTTGTCCCGCATGTTATGGGGAATGTTTCGTGCATCCTACAGGCATGTTAGTAATTAGACAATGAATAAAACATCAGGGAGACAAACCAGTAGCTTCTCAAATTCACTCTCAAGATCCTTAGAGTCCAAATGCTTCTGCACATCGGCATCTCGCTCTTTGGCGTTGAATGCTGAGATCGCAGCCTGGACACGAGACAGCTTCTTAGGACTGGACTGCTCCTGCGGAGTTCGCGAACCAGGAGACTCTGGAGCGGACATCTTCCGAGACCTTTCGAGTCGATGCCCTCTAGAAGAGGTCGTGTCCACCTTCTCCATAGCGTACCCCTCCCGCGACTGTTCGCGCTGCAGAGGGCCCAAGTATTCCTTCACCTTCCGGTTGCCTTGCAAGCAATCCGACTTCGGTCGAGGCTTGCCTTCATTTGTTCGGACGAGAGAAGGCTGATGGAAGTCATAGAAGTTACGTTGTTGGGCTGGGCCGTATCCCTTTGGTGTATACAGGGAGACTTCGTCGGCCACACTCCGGCGTTTGTCTGCGTTCGAATTCTGTCGGGAGCGCGTCACAGAGTCATTGTAGAGTGAGGCTGATTGCGGCCAAACTGGAGATGGCACTGGGGAGGGCATGTTGTCGACGAGTTCGGTAGGGCTGCGGTTTTCTTTGTCACGGCTCTGCTTCGAGCCGTCGCCTTTGCGTCCCCGCTGGGATCGCTTGAGGATCGCGGACAGGCTGTTAGTCGACTTGGTCTTCTTGGGTAACATTTCGTCTGATGCCACACTGTTGGCTTCGTCTGATTTGGAGTCTTTTCCCATGTAGCTTCTCAAAGACTTGAGAGATACGGCGCTTTTCGTCTTCTTGTGCAGAGTAGTTTTGCTCCCCTTGTTTCCCCCCTTGTGGGCGGGCATGCCATTGTCTCCGGCGTCGCGATTTGGGACGATTTCACCCAACGGGAGGTGACCGGGGCCTGGCGCGGGGCCTTCTGTCCAGGGAAAAGGCACAGAAGTCGGTGGCTTGTTCGGGAGGGACGTGGCCATGGCATCATCGGCCGACTGGTTTCGCTTATGAGGCTTGGACATGATGGCCCGGAAAACAGAGGATCGGGCGGGTGGACGATTGGCATCGTCAAAGATCTGAGGGCCAACGGTACTGGGCGCCATTGCTTATCACCTTTGACCAGCAACTGTCGTGCGTCACGTTAGCACATCGCTGTTCGATCGAGGACTGGACTGGGAGCGGGCGGGTTGTGGCAGGTCTCACATACGGGATCGATCAACGCAGCAAGAAAACAGGAACAAGCGCAAATGGGCAGTCTAGATACAGCCCAATAGCACAAGAAGAGAACAAAAAGAAGCAGACAAGGAAACGGCGCAATCAATGCAAGAAAACAAATGCAATGCTGGGTGGGATGGTAGAACGGCGGATGGAGGAAAATAAGAGCGGGCGCCCCGGGAATTTGAAGCAAGTCTTCGCAGGTCTCGCTGCCAACGGCAACATCGAGGATCGGGTTCTCCACTCGCCTTCAACCGGGTCAACTAGCGTGCAAGGCGATCCTTGGGGTTGGCTGCATCGCGGGTGGAGGAGTAAACAACGTGCGGGCGCGCAGGTTGCTCGGGGCAACGCGGTGGGTGGCGGTGAACGTGTCTGATGAACATGTCATCCTGCATCATGAGCGTATTTATTGCCCATGAGGGACGAGAGGGGCCTGCAGGCCGACTTGGTTGGATCCTTGCAGTACGAGGAGTCTGTTTGTTTCGCCGTGATTTGTTTGGGCGGCGATCTAGATCGTTCCCGGTCGAGTGGTGTCGATGTATACCGTTCCCCGCTGGATGTATATATGTTGTCCCTCCGAGTACTTCGAAGTATACCCAACATTGAATCAACAACAACAACCCCGCTCTACGCCCGCCTCACTCTACTGTGTAAGAGTCCACTCCATCAAATCCGGTGTAACGACTGATTTTCAAGCCGTTGCCATCCCCAAATCGACTTGCCTGCTTTCCGCACCCTGTCCCTGCTGCCATGTGCTCGTGGTTTCCCCATACTAGGGTGGCGTGTCCAATTTTTTCGTTTATGCACTGTAAGGTCGGCTGACACTTTCTGCAAAACCATTGCTCTCAATTCGCCGTCAAATTTGATATCTACTGAGGAAGAATGAAAATGGGTGACTCCAATATTTGCACAATGGCGTTCCCCGGGCCCATATCTGGATCAATCGCAAGGCCATTGTCCGCCGGTTGAAGGTGGCCACGGCTCCACTCTTACCGTTTGCGATGCCCCTCCGACACGGCGATCTACCGAACGCAATTCGACTTGGAACCACACCTGCAGCACATTGAGACATGCGCCCGCATTTTCATTTCTAAATCTCGATTTGCCCTTAAATCTTGGCAGTGCACGGTTAGCGTTCGCACAGGGTTGACCACAGACCCGCTGGGAAGAGGCACTGGCCCCGACAGCGACATCACGACAGTCGGGCAGAGTCGGACACCTCCACAGGGTACTCGGCTTGCTATCTGGCTCCGACTGGTGCCCACCGAGACCGCTCCGTCAACTACTTAGCCTGCTCCGAGTCCACCAGCGCCAGGCCACGCCTGTCGCCGACGCATCATGAACTGCCCATCGCGGACCGACGACGATCTCGAGCACCCGGGCTGGAATCAGAACCCCCCGACGCTCAGCCCGGATACCACGACCCGTAGTGACTTCAATGGCATCGCCAACTCCCGGGTCCATCGCAAGCGGGCCGGCAACGATGGCAGCGCCCTTGGGGACGATACAATGTCCGTCGATTCCAGACCGCAGAGTTTGAACGATCCCGACCCCGCCAACGAGAAGACCGCGGACGGTGATGTGATCGCGGCTTCAGGGTGCCCACCACCCTCGAAGACCGGCAGATCACCTCGCCGTCCTTTCAAAGAATCTCTCTCCGAGTTAGCTCTGCACTGCGGGCGCAGCCTGGCCAAGTTTGGCCGCTTCATCGGTCCCGGGTTCCTCATTGCGGTCGCCTATATCGACCCGGGAAACTATGCCACAGACGTTGCGGCCGGCGCAGAGTTCAAGTACGCTTTGCTCTTCATTGTTCTCCTCTCGAATCTCTTTGCAATCCTTCTACAGTCCCTATGCATCAAGTTGGGTACCGTGACCGGCCTGAACCTGGCCGAAAACTGTCGCGAGCACCTGCCACGCTGGTTGACCATCATTCTGTACCTTTTTGCGGAAGCTGCCATCATCGCCACCGATATTGCAGAGGTAAGTTGCCACAGTCCAAGATGTGACACGGAATTTGTACTGAAACCGATGCCAGGTTGTTGGTTCGGCGATCGCTCTGAATTTGCTTCTTAACATCCCTTTAGTCGCAGGGTGCGCCATAACCTTAGCTGACGTCCTCTTCCTTCTGATTTTCTACCGCCCCAACGGCTCAATGTGGGGTCTACGCCTTTTCGAGTTCTTCGTGATGGCTTTGGTGCTAGGTGTTGTTATCTGCTTTTGCATTCAACTCTCCCTTATCAAAGATCAATCTGTGGGAGAAGTGTTCCGTGGCTATCTCCCGTCGTCCGCGATTGTTCAATCCGAAGGGTAGGTAACACCATCTTGGACGAGATTTTTTTGGCGAGGTCATCTTACTAACCTGTACTTGATATAGTCTTTATCAAAGTTGTGGTATCCTTGGCGCCACGGTCATGCCCCACTCACTCTTCCTTGGCAGCGGCGTGGTTCAGTCCCGCTTGAAGGAATTCGATGTCACTTCCGGCTATGTCGAATCTACAGTTCCTCTGGGCAGCGCTGATGGCGAGGTCGAATACCGTCCAACCCTGCATGCCATCCGGGGCTGTTTGAAGTATTCCATCATCGAGCTGGCATTGTCACTCTTCACATTTGCCCTCTTCGTCAACAGTGCCATCCTCATCGTCGCCGGTGCCTCTCTGTACGACGTGCCGGGTGGAGCTGATGCTGACCTTTTTGGAATCCACAAGCTCCTCTCTTCTTCCATTTCACCTGCTGCCGGCTTGATTTTTGCCTTGGCTCTGCTGCTTTCCGGTATATCTGCCGGAATTGTCTGTACCATGGCAGGACAGATGGTAAGTGAAGGTATGCTGAAGTGGAGTATTCGGCCCTGGCTTCGCCGAGTCATTACTCGGTCTATCAGTATCATCCCCAGCATCATCATCGCTGCCGCTGTTGGTAGAGAAGGCCTGGACAAGACCCTCACTGCCAGTCAGGTTGTTCTCAGCGTCATTTTGCCGTTTGTCTCTGCCCCTCTCATCTGGTTTACTTGCTTCAATCGTTACATGACCGTGCCCGCAGAGCAGACAAACGGGGGTGACGGCGAGGTTTCGGTGGAGCAAGTCTCGATGCGGAATAACATCGTCACCTCTGTCATCGCCGTTCTCGTTTGGCTCCTCATCGCCGTGATGAACGTGGCTCTGTTGGTGCTCGTGGGGATGGGCAAAGCATCTTGATTCTACTCATAGCGATAACCCCTTCCGTACATGGCATTCGCATTTCACATACCAGCATCATGCACGTGGGATTCATTGCATTAAAAAAAATACTTGTTTGTATATTGAGAAGGGGGAGGAATTGGTTGTGATAGCGCTACATGTGGTGAAAATCCCATCGCATGAGTGTACAACAAATAAATTCGTCATTAACAGTGATATGGTCGTCGTACTACCGAGTAATAACGACGAATAAAGTACCCAGATCCACTCCACAGCCTGTGGCCCACGTGTAGTACGAAAGTTGGCTCTTTCAAGATTATCCAAGACCGCCAGCGGCCTCTTTAACCTTGCCTTGCTCGGGCGGCTCATCAATGAACTGTGGCGGCGCAACCTCGTCTTGCAAGAAGCTCGGCACAGCATCGGCCCCAGCCTCAGTCTCAAACATCGACTCCTCCCCCAGAGCCTCTAGCTCAGCATCTAGGTCCGCCTCGTCTACTTCCTCGGGGAGATCATAGGCGCGCGAGATGCTTTCCTGGATCTCGTTGCCGACTTCCATCAGATCGGCCATCTCGTCCTGCATCTGCTCAATCTTGTCGATGTCCACCTTTCCGTATTGTTTCTTCAGTTCCTTCGTGGTCGTCTTCATGGCATCTACCGTTGTCATGACATTCTTGAGGTTATCCTGCATCATGCCGGCCTGTTCCATATTCCACGATTGCTGGGAGAGTTGGTCTCGCTGGGCCTCGTACTGTTTTCGTCGTTGGAGGACCTTCAGAGCCTTCTGGCGTAGTGCGTTCTTCCCTGGTCCGTCGCGCATTTTGGAGAGCTTGGCTTGGTAGGTCGAGAGTTCGGAGTTGAGGGCAGCGAGTTTGACGTCGATGCTGGAGACGCGGTCTTCGACCTGATCGGATTGAATGTCAGCTCAAGGATCGACAACGAAGAGTTTGATTGAAGGGTATACCTTGGTGATAGCACCGTCGAGTGTGGGCTTGGGAGCCGCACTCTTGGAGCCGAATAGACGGTTCATTGTGAGGGGTGGGCGTGCGAGGAGGGGCACCAGGATGAACCAGTGAGGGCCGCAGGTCTCGATTGTCCGATGGATGGAGGCGAGGTTTGTTCAAGCTTGCTCAGGATTGAAAATCAAATGCCGGCCGAGTTGCTGCTGCTTATCTCACCACGGCCGCCTGAAGATCGCCTGACCACAACACCGATAATGCGGAGGACGACGTCAGTGGGGCCTTGCAGCCTGAGGCCAAAGGCACGTGACTTAAGGATAGCGGAAATCGTGTGGGTTTGATGCATTTGTCAGGTCTATCCTAAAGTACACCGAGTTCTCCGGACTCGGAGGGGTTGTAGTACTACGCAGGATATTTTGAGGTACCGCGATCGATGGTCTGGAAGCTCCAGAAGGAGGCTACGCTGCGATCTCCCGGGCCACCGCAGATATCAGATGGCCGCAGCGCTGGGCATCGTCACCCGGAGACCTCTTGGGCGTGGATTGGGCACATGTGTGGGACGTGACGAAGTACCGGGTACGCACTCTCCCCACGGCGCTCGTGCGAGCGATGCTGGTACCTTGTACCCGCATTTTGATCGTGGCCAGCCCCGATCAACCCAGATGACCGATGAAACCAAGTGGACTGGGAAAGGGGGAGCGCCCGGGGCCAGCTGGTGAACCCAGCTCTGGAGTCGTCGGGGTGAAAGCCAGCCTCCGGGCGCAACGCAAGCTGGTCGCAGGATTGCATTTCTAAGAATGGTTCCGACGGCGAAACAGCCTGAGCGGATGCACATTGAATGCTAATATTCCGGCGAAAGTACTCTGTCGTATTTTGAGAGGAGGATTAACATTAATAAATGCAGATGTAAAATGTAAAGGCAAATGTAAATTCAAATGGCTGTTGAGACAGCTCATCGTCGACATTTGACTGCAGGCTGGTGAAGGCACATTGTCTTTGTCAGGCTTATCGGGGGCTGCGACTCTCCCCCGCGCACGATGACTGTGTGTTCCGCCCCTGCTCATCTGCCCTCAACTTCCTCTCCTCTCTTCCACCTCTCCTTGATCCTTGATGGACCGGTGGTGAGTCCTGCATTCCCGCACCCATTTCGACTCGGCTTCTCCCCTTGAACCCACACGGAGGAATTCCTCCCCTCTCTTCCTCCGTCACTCTTTACATTTCGGAGGTACGTCAAGGTCGTGCACCACACACCCACACGTCCTGCATCTCAATCCCCAGCTCCTGCTGCCTTCGCGGATCCTTCACTTGATCTGCTGCGCCGTCCCCGTGCCTGTCTCGTGAGGTCAGTCCTGTCGGGGTGCACATCATCTGCTCCGTGGCTGATGCAACCATTCCGACCTTCGATCGCTGACACCAACTCCAGCGCCAGGTTCGCTTCGGCCGATATTGATTTCCTCCTTCAATCTTTCTCCCTCCCTGACAGGATAGTCCACCTGCCCGCGCCTCGCCATATTCTTCGCGACGCTGTGTGTGTGTGAATTTCCCGGTGTATCGCGCTCCCGGTGAACTCCCGCCCCCCCCCCCCTCCACTCCATCCTCCCGCGCAAACACCTCCCCCCGTGTACCATAGACCACTCCGTTACGACACTCCGGAGCTTGACGACTCAAAAAATTTCATGAATCGCTCTGCTTAGCTATCTACTCCATCATGTTCTGGCGTTTTGGGGGATATGCAAGTATCTCCACCATCGATACCCTGCTCGACAAGCCCGATGTGACCCTCGAGGACCTGCTGGATGAACCGGAAATCACCCAGGAACTGAAGCAGCATAATACGAAACTGATAGAATACCTGCGCGAGGATCATGTCTTGAAACGGCTTATGGACTACGTGACCGCACCGAGTCTGGTGAATGACGACGAAGAAAATGACGACGATACCAACGAGAAGCAGGTTGCTAAGGATTCTGCCACCGATGCTGGCGCAGAGGCCTCGACAGACGAACAGACAGAAAAGGAGCAAACTAAGACCGACTCCGATCCCTTAAAGGATGTCTTGGACCCGGAGGATCTGGAAAAGGTCGAGAAGAACCGCATCAAACATGCCTACGTCGCGTGCGAGATTCTCTCTTCAGAGACATACTCAATCTTGGAATCGATTATGGAGAGCCCCAACTACCTCCGGGACTTCTGGGGCTTCCTGCGACGACCTCCACCTCTGGACTCTTTGCAGGCCAGCTACTTCACAAAAGTGAACGAGACCCTACTGGATAAGAAGACCGAGGAGATGCTTGATTTGCTGAAATCACTGGATGGAATTGTGGCTGCGCTTCTGCAGCATGTCGATAACCCGATGGTCATGGACCTGCTATTGAAGATAATCAGCTTGGAAAAGGCCGAGGGTGGCCAGGGAACTGTGGACTGGCTGAAGTCTCAAGATCTGATTCCGACACTCCTTTCATTCCTCACCCCTGAGTACCCAGGCTCCGTCCAGACATCCGCAGGCGATTTCCTGAAGGCCATTATCACCATTTCTGCGAACGCGACCCCTAACGACCAGTCTTGCATTGGGCCCAACAGCCTGACTCGCCAATTAGTCTCGCCTAAGTGTGTTCAGCAGCTGATCGATGCTATGCTGATGGGCGGCAACCCGCTGACTGTTGGTGTGGGTATCGTTATTGAGGTGATTCGCAAAAACAACTCCGACTACGATCCAGAGCACCTGGGTGGCCCTGATTCCATGCCTACCCCTTACGATCCAATCTACCTCGGGCACCTACTCCGCTTGTTTGCCCAGCATATTCCTCAGTTCATGGCTCTTATACAAAGCTCCAAACATGCTGTTCATGACGGCACTCAACTGAAGAGTGTTGACCGTGGTCGGTTGAACTCCGCTTGGGGTGGTAAGATTGAACCGCTCGGTTTTGATCGTTTCAAGACCTGCGAGTTGATGGCCGAGCTGCTGCACTGCAGTAACATGGGCCTTTTGAACGAGCCTGGTAGTGACGAATATGTTCGGCATCGAGACTCGGAGCGCGAGAAGTTGATTCACGATGGATTCTTCAATCCTCATCGGGACGAGCACTCGGGAATGGATTATAATGAGACTACTGCCGATTTCACCAATGGATCTATGATGGACACGGGGTCGCCAGAAGCTTCCAGAGTACGCGCAGGCGAAGAAGACGGGTTCGAAGATGTCGGATCTTCTGGTGTTCTGGTTGGCGAAAAGGAGAGAGAACCCAGATCAGACTGTGGCTCCCCAGGAGACCCCGGAGACAAACCCTGAGTCGGCTTCGACTGAGAAGACTGAGGACCCAACCTCCACCGGCCTTGCGGATCAGGTATCTGATATCAAGCTTGCGCCGGATACTCAAAATGAGCAGGAAGTTTCTGCACAAGCCGAGGAGAAGGACCCAGTTTCTCCCAAGCCCGAGGATGTTCCCCCACCTCTTTTCTCCCCCAAGAAGGAGGCCGCAGAGCCAGTCTCGAACTCCGAACGACAGGAAGTCCCCCCTCCTTCCGAAACTCCCGCTCAAGAATCCGAAACCATTAACGACGGCGGCGCCGAGGACCCTGCCGAACAATACATTCAGTATGATACTGATGGACGTCCCGTGGTTGGAGACTTCCTCAAGATCATGTTTGTTGAGAATAAGGTGGTTCCAACGATACTCGTAAGTTCCTAATTTTGAGCGTTCATCATATATCCGCCCTCATATTAACTTTGCATAAGGGTTTCTTTTTCCGCTTCCCTTGGAATAACTTCCTCCATAATGTCGTCTACGACGTGGTTCAGCAAGTCTTCAACGGCCCTATGGAGCGTGGTTATAACCGTGCTCTGGCTATCAATGTTTTCGAGACAGGCCAGATCACCACTGCGATTGTGGAAGGACAGAAGCGTAGTGATGAAGCACAACGCACCAAGCAGATCCGACTCGGTTACATGGGACATCTGACCCTTGTCGCTGAGGAAGTCGTGAAGTTCAGTGAACGTCACCCACCAGAGCTTCTGTCGCGGTCCGTGATGGAGTCAGTGCTGAACCCCGAGTGGATCGACTATGTCGAACAGACCCTGTCTGAGACACGAGAGCGAGACAATGCCATCCTGGGTGGCGTTCGCCCGGACATGTCCGTCGGATCGCGCCAGACCGTTCTGGGCTCTGGTAGCTCTAACCAGGGATTCACGAGCTCCAACGCTCTAGCTGAAGCAGGCTTGAATGGAGGCATCGGGGGCTCGACTTTCCAGGGCTTTGACATTAACTCAGGAAGCGTTTCTGGGGGAGCATTTGGGGCCGGTGGCGGCACATCGCTTCTGAGTGGTTTTGCCAGCTCGAGCGATGACGAAGATGAAGATATGGAGGACCAGGATGACAACACTATCCATGCCGATCAAGGCGATTCTGAGAATGTGGGTAAACGTAACCGATGCGCCAGTTTATAATCAGCACAATCTGAGACCGACGTGTCTGCGAAACCTCAGAATTCACCTTGCCCTGGACCTGCACTTTATACCCTTGATGAATCGATCCGATGACATGGACAAGGCCGGCACAAGATGGACTATTGGATTGAAACAGGGGATGAAAAGCATTGCTGGCTTCGCGTTTCGTCAGAGATGATCATCATGACACCTGCAATCTTCGAGCCGTCCTGTTCCCTTCTTCCCTAGTTCATGACCCTTCATATCTTAATTGGATCCTGCAAATTCATGTACCATGTTCTCGAGGGCTGTCTAAATTGCCCCGGGGACTTTTTAACGATCTTGTGGAAGCTGATTGTTTAATTTTTGATTTGTGCACATGTTTTATCTAGTGCTGGCCTTGTCCATTCAGTCGGTGGCTCGTTTCGTCAACCCCCTCCCTCTTATCCCATTTTCCACATATCAGCGACAATGAATCAACTGACATGTTCTTTTCTCCCAGGTATCCGAAAATTCAACAAGTCAACCAATTCCCATCATCCCGCCTCCCCCTGCTCCCCTGAGCATGGGACCCTCGAGAGCAAGGCGTCAATTGGCTGCCCGTCTTGCTGCTCAAAAGCAGCAAGCCGAGAACCCCGATGAAGATGACAATGGCAAGGGCGAAGAGAGTCGAGACTCGCAGTGGTCCGACAATCCCTTTGTGATCGCTGGCATCGACGACGACGCGGATGGAGTCGGCTCCTCAGCTTTCCCCAACACAGACTTCGGGACCGACGCGGCCCAAAACTTTTCTCCCACATTCCCTGAGTCTGGCTTCAGTCCCCCAGACTCATTGTCCGACAACTCCTCGGATGAAGATGGACACGGCCACTCCGAATCCGTCCGGCGGCGAGACCGCGTCCCGCTGGAGGTTGACGAAGATGACGACGAAATGGGCGAGATGGTCGCACCTTCCGCCACTGGCATGATCGACTCTGATGACGAAGACGAAGCTATAATCAACGAATCCCTCGGTTACTCAAACCACCCTGGTCAGAACCGGTACACTGGTTTTCGCCGGCCAAGGGCCGTGAGCTCCCACTTTGACGATGAGCAAAACGACAGCAGCGACGGTGAAGATGACGGACTAGTTGAGATTCTCGTCCCTGGTCGAAAGTCCTCAACCTCCAACTAGAGATCGGACTCAAAAGTCTTTCATCATGTCCCAAATACCATTTGGACTTGCATTGATTCAAATGCTTGCCGTTACCCAAAATAAGATGGGTGCTTCTTCAATTCGTTTCTTTGTGTTCTGACTCTTTTCGCCATGGCCTTATGGGATTTGTAAATATGTTTCCATCTTTGGTTTAATCTGGGGGATAAACCTGCCTTATGATGACATGATTGAGTCTTAGGAGCCATCGCATTTCATTGACTGAAGGGTCCCTGAAGTTCTACGCTTCTTGGTCTGCACCCAAGTTGACCGATGCCCTTGTACGATAGCTGGTTAGAGAAGTTGAATTGATTTTGGATGCAATTTTGACAGGCCATGGCAATTACGCAGTATGAAAGTACGGTGCAATGTACCTTAGGGTAGTGTTGTGGGTAGCGTCTACCAAAAGTGATTTTGATGCCTCCCGCGTGGAAAAAAAGTGGGTCCACGTCGAGATCGCCCACCATCCCGCCGAATCTTTTCTGGCGATGATATCACATCACTCTTCACCCTCCCTTTGCTCAACGTGAACGAAAGCTGGGTAGGTTAGGGAAAAAGAGCTGGAAGGAGATATTATCTCCAAGACAATGGCGTCGTCTGAAGAGTAAGCCTCTTGATTACATGTGATTTCTCGATTTGCGGGCATGTATCCCACAATTGTACCTCAGTCACTAACACACATCGTAGTAAATCAAGTGGGCACTCCTTAGCAGCCCACAAGGAACTTGTGGACTGGGTCGCCAAGCACGGCGGTTGGATCGCAGACAGTGTGACTGTCGCTCAAGATGCTTCACGGGGTGTTCATATGCAAGTGAAGGCCGACCTATCGGAGGCCATCACCAAAGATACACGGGTAATCAACACGCCTTTGGGAGTGACGATGTCCTACTTCAATGCAATCGACTACAAATGTGCAAAGGGCGACTTTTCCAGCCATGGTGTGGTGTTCCCAAGGGAATTCATTGATGCCGTTGGCAAGGAAGAGGCTACGGCATTTTTCTTGATGGGCCAGTTCCTGCAGGGTGAGCGGGGATTTTGGCATCCCTATCTGCGCACACTTCCCCAGCCAGGACAGCTGACTACACCGCTATTCTTTGAGGAGCAAGATGTGGATTGGCTTCAAGGGACTGGTATTCCTGATGCGTCGGTTTTCAGGTATAAGGATTGGGTTGAAAAGTTTGATCACTCGATGTCTAAGCTCGATGAACTGGGCTTTGAGGGCATCGAGAGTTATACTTGGTAAGTTATATGTTTGAGGTAGTGTCACGTTCTAAGTCTAATTTAATTATCCAGGGACTTGTACTTATGGGCGTCAACCATCATTACTTCTCGTGCATTCTCACCCAAGGTCTTGTCTGGTGCCGTGGAGGATTCAGACCTGCCAGAAGACTCAGTGCCGGTCTTGCTGCCATTGATCGATCTTCCTAACCACCGACCATTGGCAAAGGTGGAGTGGCGCGCTGGGGAGAAAGATGTTGGCCTACTTGTGCAGGAAAATGTCGCTCCCGGCGAAGAGATCTCGAACAATTATGGGCCCCGCAACAACGAGCAATGTGAGTATTTCCCCTTAGAAAATAGGATTGGAGTCCACAGACTGACGATAGGCAGTGCTCATGAACTACGGATTCTGTATCCTCAATAACCCCACCGACTATCGAATTGTCAAATTAGGTCTACCGGAAGACAGTCCCCTCGGCAAGGCCAAAGCTCGCCAGGTCCAAATGTTCCCGGAGCTGGCCAAGAACACCGATGACCATTATTATATATTCAACATTTTTTACCCTCTTTTGGCCCGCGAAGGCCCCATGGAATACTCCGTTTTCTCGCCAGCCCTTTTCAATGCCATCGCAGTCATGCAAGCAAATGAGCGCGAGCGCAAGAAGATCGAGATCACAGAGGCCGGAATTTCCATTCCAACTGGGTACGGCAGCGGGCGTAATACACTGGCAGTGCTGGCGCAGATTAGTTTCGAGCTCATTGCGCATATTGCTCACCTTCAAGAAACCACGGAAGGTCTACCAGAGGAGCCGTCGAACTTGAAACAGATCTTTGCACAAATTTATCGAAATGGTCAAATCACGCTGGATAAGACTGCTCTAATCATCTCTGCGTGGTCAATCTTGCGTGCGCGAGAACACCAAAGAAGCGAATCTTGGCAAGATATTAAGGTCCTCCTCAGTGAACATATGGGCCGAATCCCTGAGAACCATCTCTCTGATGAGATCATGTCCCGGATCCGAGTGCGTGTACTGGAGAGACAGTCACTTCTCACCAAGAATGGCGAGCTATTCCGGCTGGGCGAGATATACAGCTTGCTTCCAGAGGATATGCAAGAACCGAGTCAAAAATGTTTCGCCCGTATCTTGGGACAAGCTACCAGCCAGCGCGTCCCGAAACTCCAGACAGACCCCCAAGCCCTGTTTGCTCTAGTCGTGAATCTACTCGCCGCTACCAGACGCTCAACTCAAGTCCAGTCGAAGCTGTCGTCTCGTCTTACTCGGTGGTTTGATTTCCTGCTGGAGGAGTACCCTCCCAATGTGAATACCGAGGATGAGAGTGACGTCCTTGAGCAGTTGGGTGCATATGCTCGCAACCAGAATGCCGGTACATGGGCCGAAGCCGACGGAGTGTCGTGGCTGGATGATGAGAGTGGATGGCTGGAATCAAAGTGGTTACAATGGGCTTGGCGGGTAGTTAATGGGGAGATGGTGTTGATTCCACTTGACCCGCTGCAAGTATTGGCGACTGGCAGCCCAGCGATGCCGAAGCAGGCGGTGCTGTATGTGCCGCAGGAGTAGACAGCTTCGATGTCAGTACATGAATAGAATGATAAATTCGATGGAGGTTAAACCTAATTGACTTAAAAACAATGGAACAATGAGATAATAAAATAAGAGAGTTCGGGCGTATGGCGCTTCCCAATCAGGAAACCACCGGAACGAGGTCATTACTCAGCACATCACGTGGACTCACCGCCCAATCAGGCGCCACGTAAAGGCGGATCGTTCAGCAGAGCGCAGGAATTGCCGGCAGCTCCTCCTTCCCTTTCCCTCCATGATCGCTTGAGACCCGCCATCACGCATCGCAATCCGTCATCATGATATCTCGAGCGGCGGCTCCCTCGTCCTCCTCCCTCTCCCACCTCTCCACCCGCTCCCTCCGCGCTCATGGGGCGGCCGCCCGCTCCTTCGCGACTGTGCAGGAGGCTCCTCCCGTCAAGCACCATGGCGGCCTCCAGGACCAGGACCGGATCTTCACCAACCTCTATGGACACCACGGCGCGGATCTGAAGTCGGCTATGAAGTATGGTGATTGGCACCGCACCAAGGATATCGTTCTAAAGGGTCATGATTGGGTGGGTTTTACGATGTTTCCCGTCCACCTCGGATGGTGTAGCGGGCGGACTCCGTGAACCTGATTTTGCTAAAACAAGTTTTCAGCTCATTTCTGAAATTAAGGCCTCCGGCCTGCGTGGCCGTGGCGGTGCTGGTTTCCCCTCGGGTCTGAAATACGTAAGTGGGATGGAACCGACAACCCGACCTTTCGAAGTGTCGAAACAGAACGCATTGTGGGGGCAATTGGCTAACCAGGGCTTCGTTTCTTCAATTATAGTCGTTCATGAACTTTAAGGACTGGGACAAGGACCCTCGCCCGCGCTATCTGGTCGTCAACGCTGATGAGGGTGAGCCCGGTACCTGCAAGGACCGTGAGATTATGCGCAAGGATCCCCAGAAGTTGATCGAGGGCTGCTTGGTTGTTGGCCGTGCTATGAACGCCAATGCCGCCTACATTTACATCCGTGGCGAATTTTACCACGAGGCGACTATTCTGCAGAAGGCCATCAACGAGGCCTACGAGGCAGGTTACATCGGCAAGAACGCGTGCGGTACCGGTTACGATTTCGACGTCTACGTCCACCGTGGAATGGGCGCCTACATTTGCGGTGAGGAGACCTCCCTCATCGAGTCCATTGAGGGCAAGGCCGGCAAGCCCCGTCTCAAGCCTCCTTTCCCCGCTGCTGTTGGTCTGTTCGGTTGCCCCAGTACCGTCACCAATGTCGAGACCGTGGCTGTCGTTCCCACCATCATGCGCCGCGGACCCAGCTGGTTCTCTTCCTTCGGTCGTGAACGTAACGCCGGTACCAAGCTGTTCTGTATCTCCGGTCACGTCAACAATCCCGTAACCGTCGAGGAGGAGATGTCCATCTCGCTGCGTGAGCTGATCGAGAAGCACTGCGGAGGTGTCCGTGGTGGCTGGGACAACCTGTATGCCGTCATTCCCGGCGGTTCTTCGACACCCGTTATTCCCAAGTCTGTCGCCGACAACCAACTCATGGACTTCGACGCCCTCAAGGACTCCCAGACTGGTCTGGGTACCGCCGCCGTCATCGTCATGGACAAGTCCACCGACATTGTGCGCGCCATCTCCCGTCTCTCCTCTTTCTACCGCCACGAGTCTTGCGGTCAGTGCACCCCCTGCCGTGAAGGTAGCAAGTGGACCCAGCAGATGATGCAGCGCATGGAGGTTGGCAATGCCCGCGAGCGTGAGATCGACATGCTCCAGGAGCTCACCAAGCAGGTTGAGGGTCACACTATTTGCGCTCTTGGTGAGGCCTTCGCCTGGCCCATCCAGGGTCTGATCCGTCACTTCCGCCCCGAGCTGGAGGCCCGCATCCAACAGTACCAGAAGGAGCTGGGCAGCGCTCCCTTCGCTGGTGGCTGGCACCCCGAGAGCCGTGCTGAGGGCAAGCTGATTTCCCCCGGCATGTAATACAGAAGAAAAGAAAAAAACGCCCAAATCTTCTTCCCTTCAACCCGATTTCCTCTTGTCTCTCTAAAAGCGAAGCAGGAACAGGTCGATGTCTTCTATACTAGATCTCCGTGAACCTCCTCTTCCGGGCCGGTAATGATTCTTTCCTGGCCGATGGAGGCGGTTGTCTCCATATTTCCTTTACTCCGTTCGATCCCCTTCCTGTCGCGTCTAGGTTATTTTCCTTTCATGTACAGTCGATAGCAATTGATGCATTTTACGTGTTCACTTACTCTTAGTTCACTCGTAGTACACAGTTATCACCCACCTCCAAATTGGGTGGAAGTCACGTGGCACGTCTCATTGCAAAGCAGTAGTGCATGATAATAAATACCTTGTAGAATCAGACATGAAGCACCTGTTTCAAATATCATTCATCAACTTTGGTCATTTCAAAGCAAGTAACTCTATTTCGAGTTACATGTTATACCTCGGTGCAGCACTGCAATATTTCCAGACTCGTGCCACGACCAGAATTTTGGTGTATTACGCCACTTCAAATGTCATAGGTACAACTGGGAGCGAATTGTTACAACAATACCCCGGCGTAGGCAAGGCAAGGAGTCCAAGATAGGTTGAGTAAAATAAGCGATGAATAGAATTTGGAACGAATAGGACATCAAAATAGGTCGGATGAGATAGGAATCGGATAGTAGATCCACCGGTATAACATAGTAGGTAGAATGTTTACTTAGAAAGAACACTTCTGGAGGTGGAAATTACTGAGGAGCTCATACCATATTTGTCCTTGTCTAAATTGAAGATCTTTGAGATATCGGCGTAGCCATAGTCAGAGGCAAGAAAGGCGTGCTTACAGTAATGCCTAACTGAGATTTCTCGAATGAAATTCAATCGTTTTATTATCGCGCAACCAGACTCCAACAAAATAACAAGGCAACATCTCAAGGTGACTGCTATAACACTTCGGACCACAACCGAGCGACATCTAGAACAACAATCATCTTCAAACTCAATCGCGTTATTTTATTCACAGTTTTGCAAATATGAGGCGACGGGGTCTCCACAGCCGGATCCCAGGGGAAATGGGCCTATTCGGCGGATCGGCCCATTGGGGAGATTGAGCGTTAGATGATAATGTGATCATATCTGATGCTGTCGATCGTCCATTCGGTTGTAACGGCGAATAGGAGAATCGGGCTGCTGGCCCGATTCTTCCGATTATGAGCCGATATTTCCCAGCTTTCGCACTTGGCTCGGCTTGGCACCAAGATGCCCGAGTTTCTCGTTAGTCATTGATTGAGGCTTTTTTTTTTAGGTTGAGTATTTGAGGATCGGGGCTGATGGAACTTTGCAGGAGATCAGGTTTGAATTACCTAAGTCATTGTCACGCTAGTGCCTCTCGTATTCATTTCGTGCAGATCGGAAATAGACTCCGCGAGGTCTACGGTTCATTAAACTCGACAAGGAATGCCCAGCAGGCAACATTGGAGACACTATTATTAGCAAAAATCGCCAAGATCATCGTAGCCAACACGTTTCCTCCCTCTCCATTTTTGTTCGAGAACAATGACGATCGCCGCTCATTACCTCTCTGCACGACTCCAACTGTGCTATCCGTCTCCACATCCGATCCACCCCTTCCGCGCCTTCTACAGGGGCGGAGTACGATGTCCTCACCCATTGACTACGGGGACCTTGATTTGAACCAAGTGGCCAAGTAACAAACCTCAATTCGTCAAAGATGCCTAGACTCTCGGGTCCGCAAAAGCCGAATGACGCAATAAGCGCTGTCCGAGCAGTATATAGTTCTGCTCTAGGTGCTCCGGGTTTGTGGAAGTCAAGCAATTCAGACACAAGATCCCAATTCCTTCATTCCTGGGAAAAAGATCGAACTCCAACTATGGGTCCCAATTTCCAAACGCTGGCTATCTCAGCCCTCGTGGCTACGAGCTATGCTTCTCCTTTGATTCATTCCCGGGCGACAAACGTCACCTATACCAACTCCAACGGCCTGAAGTTCAACCACTTCAATGCTTCCCTCCCGAACGTGACCGTCCTGGCTACAGGTATATTGCTTTACAATCCCCACCAAAAACGTCATCCAATCATATAACTTACAATTATCAGGTGGCACCATCGCTGGCACAAGCGACGACAAAACCGCAACAGCAGGCTACGAATCCGGGGCACTGGGAATCAACAAGATCCTCTCGGGCATCCCGGAAGTCTACGACATCGCCAACGTTAACGCCGTCCAATTCGACAATGTCAACAGCGGCGACGTCTCCTCATCTCTCCTCCTAAACCTCACACACACCCTACAAACAAGCGTCTGCAATGACGCCACCATGGCCGGCGCCGTCGTCACCCACGGCACCGACACCCTCGAGGAATCTGCATTTTTCATCGACGCAAGTGTTAATTGTGGCAAGCCCATCGTCTTCGTTGGCTCGATGCGTCCCTCGACTGCTATCTCTGCTGATGGACCCATGAACCTCCTCCAGGGCGTGACCGTTGCCGCGAACAAGGATGCCAAGGAGCGTGGTGCACTGGTTGTTATGAACGATCGTATTGTTTCGGCGTTCTTCGCTACGAAGACTCAGGCGAATACCATGGACACGTTCAAGGCCTATGAGCAAGGGAATCTGGGAATGATCGTCTCCAACAAGCCGTATTTCTACTATCCGGCCGTTCAGGCGAATGCCAAGCATGTCGCTGATGTGCAGGATGTGGATGCTATCCCCCGCGTGGATATCCTGTATGCTTATGAGGATATGCACAGTGATACGCTCCAGAGTGCCGTGAAGAACGGCGCGAAGGGTATTGTGGTGAGTATTTGATCCTCGGCCGTTGATAGCGGTAAGAGTTTCCATGATTGCAATGCTGACGACATGCTAGGTCGCTGGTGAGGGTGCAGGAGGCATCTCCACTGACTTCGGGAACACCATTTCCGACATCGTGTCACGTACCAACATCCCCGTCGTCCTGAGCCACCGAACCGTCAACGGCGAGGTTCCCACAGCTGATATCACGGGTGACGACAGCAAGATTGCTAGTGGTATGTTCAACCCGCAGCAGTCACGCGTCTTGCTGGGGTTGCTGCTGGCGGAAGGAAAGGAGATGAAGGAGATCCGGAATGTCTTTGCGAAGGCCACCGTTGCTTAAAGACTGATTTCAGTGACATCCATTTCCAATATAGACCCGACAAAAGTCAGTGTATACTAATAGCAAAACAAACTGTAATTATTTGGTTTACTTCCACATCATGTCTACGTAGGAGTATGAATTGAGCAAGAATTGCTGGTTAGAATACAGTTCATATCGTGGTCACAGAACAAAGGAGAATTAAACGTAGAAACAGGGGAAGATGGCACATGACAGACCACGGAAGTAAGATGTGAATGTACTTGCTCAGAAATAGATCAAGGGTAAAAAAGGCTTAATAGCCACCAGCCATGATAATACCGAAGTAACGACGGCTCATCTCCACTGTTTGCATAACACGAGCATCGCCTGTCAGAGGCAGACCGAGCATCTTCGAAGCTTCGACCGTCTGTAAGGAGTTGTTAGCAAAACGTTCACAACAAGAACAAGAAAAAAGGGTACTTGCCTGGACATTTTCGTGGGTGGTCCAGCTAGCCACAGCACGGCTCATCTCCTTGAACGCAACGCGCTCTTCGAGACCATCCATACCCGAACCGTTACGGACATGGTCACTCTTAGCGACGAGGGCATTCACCAGTCGACTCAACCGGGTTGGGTCACGTCGACCACGAGTCGCGGTGGCGAGCCGCAGGAAATCTTCATAGATACCACCGCCAGACGACCAGCCACGCATCTTGCGCTCCGGACCATCGCCGAATCCGGTGATGAGCTTATCCAAAGTAGCGTAGTCGCGTGAGATGATGGCCGTGGGGCCAACGACGCGGCAGAAAGTGGCATGAGCATCATTCCAGTGCTTGCCACGGATGAGCGCATCTACCTCGCGGATAGCATCGCCGCTTGCACGGGCATAAAGGGCCTTGGCGACCCAGATCCAGGCTTCCGGAAGTTGGAAGTCACCGACAAGGAATTCCCAGACTGGATCGGTGGTAGTACCGTCGGAAGTGGTGGGATCGGGCAGAGAGGCGCCAAAGCGGGCTAAGGTATCCTGTACGGCACGCTTTCGATCATCAGCTTGAGACAGATGTAGGAGAACGAAGATGGCAGCGCAAAACTCTTCATTGGCAATGTTCTCAGAAGCAAAGTCCCACGCAAGCCGATCGGCCTGGTACTGGTCAATTTTGATGGCTTCGGTCGGACCGATAGCAGCAGTAAGGACGTAGTGAAGTTGAAATGAGAGGCGGTTGGTGAGTCGGTTGCCAGACAAAGATTCCGGCAGGATGGCGGCAGGGAGCTCGAGAGGCGGGACATTCTTGTGGCCCCTGACTGCGGCGTAAGTCTTCAGCAGCACCCACAAAGGAGATTCCCGGCCAAGGGTATCAGAGCCGGGTTGAGGGGACCCGCAAGAGGCGCGATGGGAGGGATGTGGGAAGGCAGGTTCAAGACCGGTATCCAGATCATCGAGGAACTTGGAGACAGCAGCCTCGATTGGCTCATCCTCAGTGGTACTGTACCAGAGACGGAGACCAAAAGCCTGGAACCAATCCAACTCGAATCGCTCAGAAAAGATAAAAGTAGAAGCCCGGTCTTCCAGGGCACCACCGGACTTGCCCTCGCTGCGAAGACCGTTACCTGCAACGAGGTCGTAAAGAGCACGAACAGGCTCGCTCATCTCGGCGAGAATGTTGTTCTGACCCCAGACCTTAATCTGCCGCGCCATATCGGCCTGAGAGGTAGCATCGCGGCCGATTTGCGCCACGAGCGTGGCCAGATGTGGGTTCCCACTCTCCACCAAGGTCTTGCAAGCTTCTTCAACCCGATGGGAGCAGAGAAGATAAACAGCACGTTCTTCCGCGGAGCGATGAAAGTCCAGAGACTGACTATGTCTCTCACGAATGATATTTTGCCACAGACGGGTGAGACGGTCTTTCTTGATGCGATGCGCAAATTGCTGTCGCAGCTGCGGTGGTACACCAGCCGAGATATCATCCTCAATATCGTCATTGAACAGGATGTTGACCAGTTGCCAGACCAATCGTTCTTCATCTTTGGAAGGCGCGAAGGCAAATTGACGCAGGTCAACCCCGGAGAGGCGGACGAACGGAGTGCCGTCCACACGGGCGACGGTAGATTGCTGTTGTTGCAGATCCAACATTCCCTTTGACTTCGCAAAAATGAGCCCCAGCCTCAAGGGGTTAAACATAAGGTGACGACGTACCTGACCAGTCTGATTAGACTTCATGACTGCAATGTCTCGTTGTTCGCTGAAAACAGAGAAGCTCTCTTGCCACCGAGTGTAGATATCGGAGATTGGATCGGCCATGTCGTTTTTCGCACAAATAAGGGAGTCCATTGGCCCCCATCGAGGCTTGAAAGAATCGTGGAAAGCGGCGTCTGCCTGATCCATCTCTGTGGTGTCACCGGCGAAGGTTTTGGGCTGCTTGTTGTAGGGCCACTAGAGAGAGTAAAAAAGTTTTAGCTTCAGGATTCTCAAATTGGTCAACTATAGGTGGGGCATGTGCAAATGAATGGAATCGGGCTAGGTACATCTTGCAAGGATAAAAACAGGGTGCTTGGGGAAATAGTGGGCAAAATGAAGCGAATAAAGAAAACTGAAATCATGTGCAAACAGGGAAGGGATTGCGGACCTCGAAGCCCTTGGGCTGCATTTTCGAAGCTTTCAGTGGCGAGGGAGCATTTTGCTTCCGTGGCTGCTGGAACAGGGAGTTCATCAAGTCGATGCTGTTTGAAAAACCTTTCTTCGGAGAACCGGTCAATTTCGGTTCTGAGGAGCCTTCGTTCAAGAGAGGCCGATCCGTAAAGGCATTGGCCTGAATCTCGCGCAAGGCGTCACGGTTTTGCTTGCGAGGACTAATCGTGCGCTGAAGCTGCTCAGCCCAATCGCCACTGAGATCCAGGCGAGGCTTAGGAGGTGTGCCAAAGTGCCTGACAGGGTGGGTAGTTTCCAGATCACCATCGGTGCTCTGGGATTCTTCCCGCTCCACGGTGCGATGAAGATCAGGAAAGGAACCCGCCATGTCCATCTCCTGATCGCCATCTGATCCAACTACAGAGTCGCCAGAGCGCTGGCTCTCGGTGACATCGTCATCCTGCTCAGTAGCCGAACCCGTGGAGCCTTCCTCTAAAAAAGACTCGGTCTCGCCCTCGGATCCCATCTCCTCGTCTTCCATGTCCATAGCCTGGCTGCTGAACGAACCGGGCACAAGCTTACGCTTCTTGAAGTCAAAGGTGTCGTCGTCGACACCAGCCATGGAGCCGACAAAGGACTCGTCGATGGAGAAGGTAGCGGACTGCTCAAAGCTCGCGGGGTGGTCGGGTTGAGCCTTGGGGGTGCGGTTATCAACAGGGCCTGCACCAAGGGCGCTCTGGTTGAGACTCTCGTCCTCTTCATCCTCGTCATAGTCAAGGCCATAAGTAGTGAAATGAGGGACCTGGAAAACCCAAGTACCGGTCTCGGTCTCGTAGTCCAAGAATTCGGTATCCTGCACCTTCTGAAGACGGTCAATGTGCTTGTCGAAGAGGGGACCGCTGGTGATAGGAAGTGGCGATTTTCGGTCACGGCCACGAGGCCAGGAGTTCTCAATGCGAAGAGTAGAAACAACGTTCAGGCCCTTGCCCATTGGCGGCTTGACAGCCTCGTCAGGGTAGACGGTAATCTTGCGGACACCGATATCCACAATCCTCCCGTAGAGGTTATCGAGGTCGACAGTTGTAAGATCAACAGCACCGTTGAAGGTGACCGAACCACAGTGCTGGCGACCGACTGTGAAATCCATGACCTGCTTGAGTTGGTCACGGCTCATCCTGCTGATTTCAGCGCGGCTAGGCTTCATCCAGTACTCGCCAGGCTTAGGATCACTACCAGGAACGAAGGCAAGACGCTTTACAGAAGAGCTGCCAGCGGGGATAGGCTCGCCATTCTCGGGGACGACAGCAAGGTCACGGCTAATGGACTCCATCTCAGGGCGTTCATTGTTGGAGCCATCGATACCATTCAGGCTACCGCTTCGGCGTTGGGAGCGCAGGAAGCCGAGCTCTTGAGGAGTAGGATCGGGACTCTTAGATTCCACGCGAACGACTTCATTGCTAGTCGGAGTGGAGTCAAAGCTGACCTTTTTCTTGAGCTTGTCTGACTGAGCGGAATCATCTCCATTGGTGATAGTTGCGGGCGAGTTGCTCGCGGAACGAGCGAAGAGATCGGTTCTCAAACTGCGGTCGATGGTAAGGCGCTTAATACTACCACCGTTACCGCGTCCGCCGCTAGACTGCAAAGCCCCCGGCGAAAGCACGCTGTCGGACTCAGGGTCGAAGGTCTTGCGAAGGTTGCTGGTGGAGTAGCTCTTGCTGAAGCTGCGGCCGAAGCTACCGCCAATGCTGCCACGCAGGCTGTTGCTACCAGCACCACCCAGGAGACTGTTGCTGAACCCGTTGGGCGTGCTGCTGGAGCTAGAGGGCGATCCATAGGTCGAGTAAGAGAAACCGTAGCCTTGACGCTTGGGAGGAGTGCTCAGGCGGCTGGCACCGTTGGGTGTAATGGAGTAAGGCAGCGGAGCACGTTGCTTTTGCTTCATGCTGGAAGAAAGAGGCGTGGCCAATGGGCCCGGCGAGGGAGCCTCGGGAGCGGGAAGACCAGAGAAGATGGACTGGCTGCCGTATGGGTTACCGCCAAGGAGACTCGTAGTCAAACTGCCGGGGGCCGGTTGCGACTGTTGCGGCGCGGGCTGGGAACCACCGAACAAGCTACTGCTAGCAGGCTGTTGCTGCTGCTGGCTTTGTCCGCCGAAGAGCGAAGAGCCCGTATTTTGCTGGGTGTTGTTGGCTTGACCGAAGAGGCCACCGCCGGTGCCACCCGTAGAACCCCCGAAAAGACCGCCAGGCTTCTGTTGTTGCTGATTCTGACCTCCGAATAGACCACCTCCAGCGGGCTGCTGGGTCTGACTGCTGCCCAGACCCCCGAAGGCACTGCCGGTAGTACCGGTTCCACCACCGAAAAGGCCGCCGGGCTTCTGCTGCTGTTGGTTTTGACCGCCGAAAAGACCAACACCAGAAGCCTGCTGGGATTGATTACCACCAAACAATGATGATCCAGTGTTTTGCTGCTGGTTCTGAGTGCCACCGCCGAAGAGGCCGCCACCGGGAGCGGGTTGCTGAGTCTGAGTGCCTCCTCCAAACAAAGAAGAGCCTTGCTGCTGTTGGTTGTTGGTACCGAAACCACCACCGCCGCCGAATAAAGGCTTGTTCTGCGTTTGATTTTGGCTGGCACCTAGGCCACCGCCAAAGGCGCTAGTGCCGGTTTGCTGTTGCTGACCGAAAGGTGTGGATGTAGAAGTTGTGCCACCGCCGAAGGGGTTGGAATTGGTAGTGTTTTGCTGGGTGCCGAATCCACTACCACCGAATCCAGTGGTACTTGTTCCCGTACCGCCAAAAGCGGGCTTGTTCTGCTGTTGATTGCCACTGAACAGGCCACCTCCGGTGTTGGTGTTGGCGCCAAAGGCGCCTCCAGTACCTGTGTTGCTTCCGAATCCACCGCCAGTGCCGGCAGTAGCTGTGCCACTACCAAAGAGACCACCGCCAGATTGTGTGGTTGCCGTGCCGCCACCGAACATCGAAGTTGCAGGTTTGTTTGCACCCCCAAAAGAGAGGTCGAGTTGTTGGCAGCGCCAAATCCACCGGTGGTCTGCGTTGCTCCTCCGAATGCAGATGGAGTGCTTGTGTTGGCACCGCCGAAGGGAGTAGTGCCGGAGCCAAAGCCTCCAGTGTTCTGTTGGGTCCCGAAGCCTGTTCCAGTGCTGCCGAAGTTGGAGTTCCCAAAAGCACCTGCTTGGTTGCTACCATTGCCATAGCGACGTCCCCTCTCATAGTCGGCCAGTCGCAATTCTTCGAACGAGTATTTCTGGTAGGGTTGCATAAAGTTGATGCTCTGGTAGTGGTTCATGATGCTGGAATTGGTGTCCTTCTCGGTGAAAGGATTGAAAGGAGTAGAGCCGGTGCCATCGCAGGGAGGCACAGCACCGCCCGAAAGTGCAGTCCCAGCTCCTCCGAAGCCGGTGCTGGGCGTGGAGCCAAATGCGCTGCCAGTTGTTCCAGATCCGAATCCACCGCCAGTGCCGGAGCCGAATCCTCCAGCAGGCTTGTTCGCGCCGAAAAGGCCACCGCCGGTGTTGGTGCTGGAGCCAAAGGCTCCCCCAGTTGTTCCCGATCCGAATCCACCGCCAGTGCTGGAGCCGAATCCGCCAGTAGCGCCGGTGCCTGAGGTGTTTCCGAATAGGCTTCCGCCAGTGTTGGTGTTAGTGGTGCCGAAGCCACCAGGGCGGTTTTGCTGGCCGCCGCCGAAAAGAGAAGTAGACTGATTGGTGTTGTTTGCGCCGAAACCTGAAGAAAAAAATCAGATTAGCCATTGTCAAGAGTCGCGTTGGTTAAACGAAAGCCAAAAGTCCACACGATGCAAAAAGAGAGCTCAGTTGTATGAGGGTGTCCTTGGATTCGCATTGCTCAGGGTCCGGGATGTTGTCGACGTGCCAGTCCGAATTGATTGTCGCACTTCACAAGCTCGAAATGGCTTGCAAAGCTGGTGCGCGGAACATGGGTCGTAGACCATAGCCACAGATTGAGGGAATCACCAGAAAAAGTAGTCCCAATTTCGTTTGTGTGATGCGAAAAAGGACCAAACTCCTCAAAGACATAGGACGAGCAAAATCGCGGGACTCCCTCATTTCCGAGCACGTACCTCCGCCGGTGCCGAAGCTGCTGGACGTGTTGCCGAACAAACCACCGCCAGAGCTTGTGTTGCCACTACCAAAAGCGGAGGGGGTCGAGCCGGTGCCGAAGCCTAGATAACGAAGTAGGGATCGCGGTCAGAGACTGATTTTTCAAGCAGGCCCCTTTTAACAACGCCTTTCCGTTGTCGCGGTGTCGCTGAGCATCGAGAGAGTCCGCGGGAAATGTATTGTGGCACGATCAAGGTTTTTCAAGTTGAGATCGGTCGCCTTGCGCGCGTTGTTGTCCATCGCGGGTCGACGTCAGGGAGCACCGGTTTGTTGCCGACAGCGAAGAAGGTCGTGTAGAGAGCCAGATGGGGGAGAACGAAAGCACCCAAGCAGGAATCAAAATGAAGTGGAAAGCGCAAGGAAAACAAGAGATAACCTACCTCCGCCGGTGTTGCTGGTTCCGAATGCAGACCCAGTCCCAAAGCCGGTGCTTTGGTTGTTGGTCTGACCAAATCCTCCACCTCCAAAGCCGAAAGACATGGTGTCGGTTGGAGCTGAAGAATTAGAGGTTCATAAGGTGGCGCGCAGATGGATGGAAGAGGTGAGATTGAAAAGGCGAGAGAGTGCGCGTGAAGGAAGAAGGGAGCGACGCGACAGAAAAGTGAAGTTTGCCAGCTCAGGCAGGAACGCTTATGTCAGCCCGGGCGACAGTGGTCCGTCACGTGAGTACTACATTATTCGGGCGGTCGCCCGAGTTCGAGACAATTGCTTTGTTCGTGCCGTATTGATGCAGCTCCAGATGCAAAAGCACGGCAGTGTGCGGCTTGATCGCTGCTTTGATCTCTCATTTCATTCCACGCCTGGAGCTAGTGGGGGAGCAATGCCATCTGTTGGACACTACAACCGTGAGGAGCTATTTACTATTGTCGTAAGCTACCCGAAAACAGAAAGCTAGTGCATTGTACTTCCGCATAGCAACTGCACTGCCAACATCCCGAGAGAGCTACGAATCTACAAATAGAACATAATGGAACAAAATGAACCTTGAAAGGAATTCCTATTCACATCATTGCATGACGAGCCTACCAGGGAATCTCAAATACAATATGAGGCAATGCTCGTAAGCAGGAAATAGGGAAATACCAACTTTACCTTAAAACGCTTGGGGGCAGGGACGACGGTCCGCCTTCAGCGCGATGCCCATGGGCATTATCGCAGAATGAAATTCAAAGAATTATTCTTTTCTGATTCATTATCGTGAAATCGTGGACCCAATTTTTTTAGTTTTTTTTCTTTTTTTTGTTCTTGTTGTTCCGAGTCCAGCAGGATCTCTCACCGACCTCGCTTACTTGCGGCTAGCATGAACGGTGGCGATGATCTTCTCAACAACGCTGGGGTCGGACAGCTGTAAAGAAAGTTAGCAATGTTCTCAAAGATTCAAAGTGCTGGCGGAACTTACGGTAGAGATATCACCGAGGGAATCCTCCTCGCCACTGAGAATCTTGCGCAGGATGCGGCGCATGATTTTGCCGCTGCGGGTCTTAGGAAGATCCTCAACGACAAAGACGGCCTTGGGGGCAGCGAAAGGTCCAATCGACTTTCGGACTTGCATGACCAGGTCCTTGCGCACCTCATCGTTGGTCTCGTTGCCCTCCTTCAGGGCGACGAAGGCGTTCACGGCCTGTCCAGTAAGTTCGTCGGCTATACCAACAACAGCGGCTTCGGCGACCATGGCTATATAACCAGTTAGCTTTCCTCCCAACGGAGTTATGAATATGAGTGGAAAATGGCACTTACGGTGCTCGAGAAGAGCGGCCTCGATCTCGGCAGTGGAGAGACGGTGACCAGAGACGTTGACGACGTCGTCAACACGACCGCGGATCCAGTAGTAGCCGTCATGATCGCGGCCAGCGCCATCACCGGTGAACTATAAAGTGGTTAGCATCTGAACTCATATAGACGTCGAGAATTCACTTACGTAGTAGCCCTTGTAAACGTTCAGGTAGGTGTCCATGTAACGCTTGTGAGCACCCCAAACGGTGCGGGCCATGCTGGGCCAGGGCTGCTTAAAGGCGAGAACACCCTCCACATCATTTCCAGTGATTTCCTCGCCGGAGACGGGGTCGATAATAGCAGGCTCAATACCGAAGAAAGGTAGCGATGCACTTCCGGGCTTGGTAGGGGTGATACCACCGAGTGGAGTGATAACGTTCGAACCGGTCTCGGTTTGCCAGTAAGTCTAGAATAAATGTTAGCACGCAATTCATTAACAGCACTCGAGGTAAACGGGGGAAACGGACATCGCAAATGTGAGCCTCCTCCTTGCCAACAGCCTCAAAGTACCACTTCCAGACCTCAGCGGCAATGGGCTCGCCAACTGAACCCAGGACACGCAGGGACTTCATCTTGTGGTGGATGTGTTCGTTGCCAGCACGCTTCAGCAGGCGCAGGGCAGTGGGAGCGACGTAGAACTGAGTGACATCATACTTGTCGATGACATCCCAGTAGCGGGAGAAGTTGGGGTAGGCAGGAGTACTCTCGAACACGACGGTGGCGCAACCCAGCAGCAGAGGAGCATAGACGACATAGGTGTGACCGGTGATCCAGCCGACATCACCACCACAGAAGTAGCGATCATCGTCGTGGATGTCAAAGACGTACTTGCCGGTCAGCGCGGCGCCAAGCAGGTATCCGGCAGTGGTGTGCATGACACCCTTGGGCTTGCCGGTGGATCCGGAGGTGTACAGAAGGAAGAGGGGATCTTCAGAATTAACGGGCTCGGGAGCGAGGTAGTTGGGGTACTTCTCGACCTCCTCGTGCCACCAGATGTCGCGGCCCTGGGTCCAGGGAACCTCAGCGCCGGTGCGCTTGTAGACCAGGCAGGTAGTCACATCAGGGCACTGCCTTAGGGCCTCGTCGACAATGCGCTTGGTACCAATGACCTTGCCACCACGCTTGCCCTCATCGGTGGTGATGACAACCTTGGAGTTGGCGTCGAGGACACGATCGCGCAGGGAGTCGGAGGAAAACCCAGCGAAAACGACGGAGTGGACGGCACCGATACGAGAGCAAGCCAGGAAAGCAATAACGGCCTCAGGAATCATGGGCAGGTAGATAGCAACTGTATCGCCCTTCTTGACGCCGCGCTGCTTCAGCGCCCAGGCAACGCGAGAAACCTCGCGCATGAGCTCTCCGTATGTGATGGTGCGGCCCTCATTGGGCTCGTCGGCTTCATAGATAATAGCGACCTTATCGGGGTTCTTCAGAGCGTGGCGGTCGACACAGTTGAAGGAGGCATTGAGCTGACCCTCAACGAACCAGGCATTGTCGCCGTTCTCGAATGAACCGTGGTGAGTGGTCTGAAAGTCCTTGTCGAAGGTAAGCAGGTCGCGGGCCATGCGAGCCCAGAAGGTGTCGGGGCTGCGGATGGACTCCTCATAGAGCTTCTTGTACTCGTTGATATCCTTTAAGTGGGTACCGGAAGGGTGTTTGTCGTGGAAAGCTTGAGGAACGTGGAAGGTGTCAACCTCGTGGGCTTCCAGCACCTGCGTCGGGAATTAGCTGCGATCGACTATCACAAAGGGGATTTTTTTTAATGAGGGGTACACTGCACCTACCACAGAGGGCTTGGGGGCGGCCGACATGATGGCGAACTCCAAATCGCAATAGGTTAATCAACGTGTGGAGATCGGCGCAACTTGCAGTCTGCAAGGGGGAAGCAGTTAGTCTCGGAGCGGGGCAGTAGTTGAGAGGATCGTGAAGCTTAAGTAGGGTGCGGGCGGGAGGAGGTGAATTGGGGGGGGATGTGAAGGAATCTAACGACATGGTGGACTCACTTCAAGAAGGTGGGGGATGGTGGGGAGAGGAAGAAAGGAAGAGAGAAGTCGAAAGGAAATAAAATACGAGCCCAAGGCGGCGTTGGGGTTATTAGTAGCCGGCGTTGCGTTCGGTGGGCAGAATATTGGCGGCGTTGCGTTCCCACCCCGCGGGTGGAGAAGGCTGTCGCCCATTCGCATTCGGGTCGAGGCTGGATGCGGCTGGTCGTTGCCGGCCACGGTGAGCTCTTTACTGTTAGAGCGGTGCACGAACAGGGCTATCTTGCCAGCTCCAATCAAATCTAAGTATCATTCAGTTGTACTATTCAATTCCATTCCTTTCTGTCTGAATCATTAAGCAGTTTACTATCACAATTCAGGCCGTTCAAATGCGTGCAAACACTCTCGGCCATGCGGGGGGTGATGGCCCTTCCGTTGCTCCGGGGAAGCTCACACTTGGGCCGCATCTCCTCCCGTGCGCCCCCCCTGCTGGCGTCTCGCTGTCTGTGAGAACCATTTGTCCGAAGCGATCGACCCCGAGGTTATCCCCCGGCGCGTCGGACGGACTGGGGGAGATTACCCCCTACCCGCACTCGGCTCACCCCGGGACCCTGGGGATTGGGATGCTAGGAGATCTGGGACTTGGCCTTGGCCTAGTTGCCTCCATAGCGTCATCCCCTTTCCCCCGATGTCATGGCAGACCAGCGTGTGATCTCCCCCAGAAACCCAGAAACCAGATCCTTGGCCCGAACCCCTCCAAACCCACCAAGCAGAGGCCAGAAGAATACCAAGATCGCCCGGAACCCGACACCGGCATCCCACAGCTGCAGCTCCTCCGATCGTCACGGGTGCGGGGTGGGGGGGGGGGGGGATGACTCAGCCAAGACTCTATTCTGTGTCTCTTTATTCGACAGTTTTGCCAGCAGGACAACCACCGACTCCCTAAGTTCCTCACTAACTATACGCTAACTCCAGTCGGGCCTCATTCTGACTGAGACGGTTCACTCCCGTCCCGCACCTCTAGTACGCAAAACCGCCACAGGCCCCAGCCTCGGCCCTGCCCCCCACCTTCCACTGCGCCTGCATCAGTGCGGTAAAAGGTCCGTCAACAGGGTGTGTACCCGCACTCATTGTGGACTGTCAGCGGTTGGGATTGTGGGGGTGGGAAATTTGTGTGTGGGACCGAGGGGTCGGATTTGTGCCTGGCAGCAACCGCTCTGGCGGAGGGGGAGAAGAGAAAAAGGGGTAAAAGGCCATCCCCTGACTCCGGCTGCACTTACGCCGTGATCATCGGTTGCATTGTGGATGGATCCGATGCTGCATTTTCCATCGTCTGGTTTCCCGAACGCCTGGCCATCGGCTCACCCCTGGACCCGGTTCTTTTCCTGGTCCTCTGCGATTGCGACTGCGCTGCCCCCAAAAGGACTACTCAGCCTTGAGACACACCGTAGTAGACAGTGGAGAGCGCCCTACGTTGATCCGCCACCCTTTTGTGCGACTGTAGCATGTGCAGCCCGCGAAGATCAGCGGGACTCAGTGGGAACGGCCACCACAATGAGCAGCCCGCGTCGACTAGATAAATACTAATCAGTGCTAAACGCTGCTAAACTCATAGCGCTATGCAGCCGGGTGTCTCTGCAGTCGCATACACACATCGTGGTTGCCATGCTGCTCCACCACATCCCACTTTGGGCCCAACAGTCTACAAGCCTCGTCCTCAACTGCCCCTTTCCTGTCTCCGATGCCGCCGGGAACCGACGGATCGTCCTACTCAGGAAACTTGAAAACACAAATCGTCTCAGCCAGTCAACGTGGAATCGCGCTTTTTATGTGGAACAATCGGGGGCTCTGAGAATGACCCCCATGCGAACCGGCGGTTCTTCGTCTGTCCCGAGCATAGTGCGACAGACTGGGAGACATCCACCCCGAGAAAATTCCGTACTATCTCCAGAGCCTTGATTTTTGATAGTGAGGGCCGGACTGATGCACTCATTCAACAATTATTTTGATTATATCTAGCCGAGCTCATTGGTCAATGGTGCATTCCAGCCCCTCCTTGACATGTTTGGGAAGGAAAAAGTTCCGCGCCAAACCCGTCCAACGCGGGCCATCCAGGCGAACAAGCGCCAGGTTCAATACTTCGCAGCCTTGGCTTTGGCCTCTCAGGGCTTGTCGCCACATATAAACGAGTCGCCGAGCCCGGACGGCATGTTCCTTTGACGGGGCTTGTACGATAAGCAGCATCATGAAGCTGGAAACCGTCGCAAAGCCGACCCGCGACCCTATATTAAAACCGTGAGGATTGCACACTGACAATAGGCTCGTTTCCTTGGAGTACCACTTACATGAATACCAAAAACCCGCCAAATCACCACATGCCATCCTCATCACCGACCGTAGCATCGTCGCCGCGCATTTTTCCGCGGTCTTGAGCACCGCATTGCCAGCTCCATGCTCATCGGACATATCAATCGCAGGCACCGGCTCAATATCGCTCGCCTCAATGATCTGAGTGATATACTCATCAGCCATATTCGTGAAGCTGGTTGGGTCCTCGGTCTCTTCGAATAACCGCGGCGGAGCGGCCGACCGGACCATCGGGCGAAGCAGAGACCGAAAAATGAAGACAATGTGACTGCGGTCCATTTCGATCAATCGTCGCGAACAATTTATTCTGGAGTCTCAATTGCGGCGGGAGAAACGAGTACCACTCTTTTAGTTTCTGTAAAAGACCGCGGGCTGTATCGAGGGACTCGTCGAAATTGGAGGATAGGCGCTGGGACGCGCGAAGCGAACTGGTAGTTGGAGTTCATCAGCATCGTAGACTTTCTAGACAGAAAAACAAAGCAGATAAACACTCACAACAAGCGAACCTGTACCTCATCCGCAATCCTCGACAACCGCGCAAAATGCTGGAATTGCTTCGCCAAAACCCCATCCCGCAAGGACTGATCACTCGGCGAAAGCAAAAAGTCAATCTGCATCTGGTCGATCCTAAAATCATCGTCGTCCAGATCCGTCATGTCCCATTCGTCCTGTCGAATATCAGGGGGTCGACCCATCATCAAACTGCGCCATTTTTCTTCTGCGTAAATCGCCCACCACAGTCTTCATCGTAGACGTCGTTCCCAGGCCGGTAGCCCCATTGGACGACATTCGAGTGTGAGGCCTAGTGAAGTTGCGAGTCCGACTAGGAGACCGACGAAGGACCAGACGAAGGAGCTGTCTGCTACCGCGCTCTCTTTGCCTTCGCTTGGTTTGTGGAGGTATAGAAGGCCTGCTTGTAGAGTGGCGAGGTGGGGGGTATGTAGTTCTTCGAATAAGAGCTCGAAGGTTATTCGCCATAGTTGATCTGTTGATGGGGAGGAGTAGGCGTTCATGACGCAGAGATACTCGTCGAACTTGGCGAATGGTTGGGCGGAGGCGTAGATGGCTGCAAGAAGATGGACGGGTATATTTTGCAGTACCTGTTGCTCCGGCACAGTTTTTGATGAAGAGAGTCCATATTGAGACCGCGAGATGATTGGAAGATTGGGAAAGGCAAATTTTATGAATCTGGTGCCATTTGCTAATAGTACAATGAATGCTTCTTTGGGCAATGGGTCGTTGGCGTGATAGCGCAGAGAACTACTCACAGCGAGACCAGTCTTTGCCCGGATTCTAACGGAACAAGGGCGTTTAACTCATTCCGAGCTTTATCCCTCGGAGGAAATCGAGTCTCCTCTTTTGCTCGATCATATAGTTCATCCGTCGTCACCAGGAAATGCACCGGAATCTTCTCATCAAGTGGCACACCACCGGCATTGCGAAAGTGAACCTGATGAAAGAGCAAGAAGCCATGGTCGTCGAACATGCAATGTCGTAAGAGCCAAGGATCCGACTCGCCCGATGCGCCAATAACTTGCGACGAAACCCCTTTCAGTTGATCCAACGTCTGAATGGCCTGCGGCGTCGGCCTCTCCGGGAAATGATATGCGGGCTGAAGTGGCAACAAGAATTCATCAACAGGCGTATCAGTTAGATGCGAATCAAGAGCCGGATCAAGGTTATTACCGAAGGCGGGCTCTGCCGGTATAGGCGGATTTTGACGGTCTGCCTCTTCTGGTATACTATTTGACCCGGAAAAGACAGCGGTCTCCCGCGCAACCGGCGAAGGTCTCAATTCCGGCAACGTGAACCGACGCGACGAGATATTGAAGCTGCATGGTGAGCCGGTCGCTTCGCATCGTTGGCAAGACTTTGTTCCCTGAGGTTCACAGCGTAGCTTCTTGCGCCGACACTGGTCGCATGGCGGATGCCGTTTTGACCGGTACGGACGGGCGGGCATCTGATGAGGATTCTACTGGCTTCGCAGTGATTGACTCTCCATGACGGAGGTAGAGGATCCGAATATGAGATCGCCGACGTTGATACCGAGCGGCGAACGAGTGAGCTCTTCTTGCTTAGATTGGGATTCTGGGACTGAGAGGCTCGGTGAACGGGGCGTTTGATTGGGCGCGGAGTCTGCGCTGTCGAGAGGCGGGCGGTCCGGTGGGGCTTGATGTAAGTCTTTCCTACTACCTCAAGGTAGATCTGTGCAGTTTGGCATTTCTAACCAAACGAGACGGTCTGGTCCGGGGAGCTTGATCCGAAAGGGTCTATACTTGGCTGAAGATTTGCCAGTTAGGAAGTACGAGGCCCGGGGATGCGGCATCGAGTAGTCGTTTGGGGCCCACATAAGTTGGCAGCAATCAATCACGACGCGAGTTGGCCGGTCCTCTCAGCTGTCATCCGATTAGAAATCGCCCGGTCGAGGAGTCAATCAGAGCTGAAGTTCACCGGTTTATCTGTCCGGGTATACTGAGTCCGACTGAAGACGTGATGAGCTGAGGAGGTTCACCGAGTTGCTTGTCAAAAGCCGAACTTAGCAATTTTCACAGATTTTGTCAATAGAATTTATAGACTTGATATCTTCTTCCAGTAAATGATAAAACGTTCAGTCTGATAATCCCCGGGTGAAAAGAAAGAAATATGGCACAGACCGAGTTGGCAGCCCAAAAAAGGGGAACAGAAGAGTCACCTTATACTTCAGAGGGAGTAGTTACAATCGAAAATCCTGACTACCCTGAAGGAGGTCTGCAAGCATGGTCAGTAGTACTTGGAGCATGGTGTGCGATGATTCCTTCAATGGGACTCCTGAATAGTCTCGGGATCCTTCACGCATGGACCAGTACCCATCAGCTGAAAGACTACTCGGAATCAAGCATTGGCTGGATTTACGGTGCTTATGGCTTCTTCCTTTATCTTGCCGGTGCTCAAGCGGGTAAATAGCTAACCCTGGATCGCATAACTCTATGTAACGGGTGCTAACGCAAATGTTATTGTAGGCCCAATTCTTGATGCGTATGGTCCGAAATGGGTAACTGTACCCGGCTCCATAGGGATGGTGGTATCTCTCGTGTGCTTCAGCTTTAGTGAACGTAGGCCATATGCAGTGTTTTCTGGGTAATCAGGTTATCACTAATCCTTCCAGAATACTACCAAATATCCCTTTCCTTCAGTGTGCTGGGAGGACTTTCGGCATGTACGCTGTTCACTCCGGCAGTCTCGACAGTTGGGCACTGTTTTGATGTACGGCGAGGCTATGCCACTGGCGTTGCTTGTACGGCCGGTGGTATCGGGGGCGTGGTTTTCCCACTCATTATTCTCTTCGCGGCACCCAAGATCGGATTCCATGGGCAATTCGGATCGTCGCACTCCTATCCGCCGTCATGTGTGTATTAGCCTGCCTTCTTTTGAAGACCAGGCTGCCGCCAAACCTGAAAGCCGGGGTATCGGTGGACTTCCGTGCCTTGCGAGATATCAATTATGCCATGACCACCATCGCAGTTTTTCTGGTGGAATTCGCCGTCTTCATACCCATTACCTACATCGCCTCCTACTCCATCTACGTCGGGATCGGGGATTAAATTTCCTACCTGCTGATCGTCTTCTTGAACCTCGGAGCGATCCCCGGGCGATTTTTGCCCGGCTTGATCGCAGATCGACTCGGTCGATTCAACGTCATGGTGCTGACATCATTTATCTGCACCATTCTCACCCTTGCACTGTGGCTGAAAGCCGGTGATAAAATGGCTTCGATCGTCTGCTATGCTGTGCTATTCGGCTTTTGGAGTGGAGCAGCGATTAGCCTGACGCCCGTCTGCATCTCGCAGGTCTGCGCCACGCAAGATTATGGGAAGCGCAATGGGACCACGTTCACGATCGTCAGCATTGGGACCCTGACGGGAATCCCTATTGCAGGAGTGATCCAAGAACGGGATGGAGGCGGCGGCTATGGCGGTCTGATCGTTTTTGGCGGTGTTTTGTATTTCGCGGCTACAGTTGCCTTTACTCTGGCCAGAGGTGTTTGCAGTGGATGGAAGTTGACCACCAAGTTCTAGAATTAGAGAATGGATTAGAAAATAGACTAGTGTAGAGTACGGGGTTGAATGGAACTGCCAGGACAAAAACGAAGAACTGTTATTGATGCGCCAATTAATGCCCTCCCGCTATGGTCGTTTCTTCAGGGCATCGTGTTTGTTCACCGGCGAGAAACATTTAGGTAACAACATGCTTGCCGCAGCTTCCAAAATGCAAAAATTCCGCTCCTTCAGGAAGGTTGAGACTACGGCCCAATTGTGGTAGGCGCGCGGTTCGCCAATCACCATCCTCCATTTCGATCGGTCAGGGCGCTCCTCACAGTCTTTCCTCGGGATAAGACATCCAATCTCATCTGTCACGTCGATCGACCGGGCAATCGCCGACAATACGATGCCCGATAGGTAATGGCGACCCCTATCGCATGGACTTCGGCGCCCGCCGATATACTTGTGTGTCACCACGGCTCCACCCCACGTAATGCTCACTTGCCGATCCGAATCTCGAGCCCCAAAATAGTTTTCCGGGGAAAGGTATATGAAAGAGCCGGCGAGTCCCCCAGGTTTTTGTTTCTGATCTCATGCCACATTTTAGATCTGGGGAGAGGCTCGAGATCACACCTGTGACACCAACACCATAAACCTACACTAAAGCAAACTTCTGAGAACGAAATCCCGCTTCAGAACCAACACACTGCCAAGATGTCTGGACAATATGATAACAAGAGCCTGAAGGAGAAAGTGCTGTCCATCCTGCCATCGCATGGCTCCTCCAAGGCCAAAGACTTTGATAACGACTCTGTGAGAACATTTGAGTAAGGTGTTCTCGACGACAAAGCCGTCACTCCCTCTAACCTTTCCCAGTGTTCATTCTTCCAAGGGGTCAAGGGGAACAAATGACACTGCTTCGCTTCCTTACAACGGTATTCTTGCTCCTAGAGTGACATATGCAGAAGTATTAACCGTTTTCAGGCGATCAGTGCTTTGGCAGTTGCTGCCGCGGGAAAGGATATGCCCGGTAAATGGATGGGCGGACTGGATACATTGTGTTTTCGAGTTGGATGGGATCGATGATCGGAGTTTTTCTGTCATGGCAAATTAAATTGCTCTTTACGACTTGGGATACCTGGACTACGACTGTGCTTTGGAATATTTTCGGATGGTTTGTACCTACATTCAAATGTGCTTTGGTGTGTTGTTTGAACACTCGCTATACCACGACTATGCAATTGAACATCAACCCTTTTCAAGGAATACAAAAGAATCCTCTCTATGTGAAAGTCCGAATATGTATACCCAATTAGGTGACCGTCCTGCCCATGCTGCTTTTATCTGCTCCTTGGTGTCCCACTGTACAGGCACGTAATTATCACATGACCCTAACATATCTCTCCGTTACCTGCTTCTTGAACTTGTTTTCTTTCCTCCCGGTGTCGATTTCTGGATGTTTCAACGCATCTTTACTACATAACTCAACCGATCGTGACTTACCGTCATAATGTGAAGAATTCTAGGGTTAGGTTCGCAGATGTCGCGGGAAGGCGCCCGAGCCGACGGGATCCGCCCACCATTCTTTTACATGCACCTCCGCCACTCGCTTTCCCAGGTGCCCGAACCAAGTCGCGTTCGCCGAATTACGAATCAATAAATCCAAGTGGAACCCACGGTGCATCCATCGACTGTCTGGCGTGTTCCAAGAAGGCGTTCCTTCAAACCCAAATACCGATCATTGCGTGGCGGACTCGGCAACCTGCTACATATACCCATCCACGAGTCTCCTTGCAGGACACCTGATCGAGAATTGTCAGTGCAGACCACAAACCACGACTCATTCTATGAGAATGTATGGACCGAAGTGTGCGACGCGCACGTTGAGGCCCAACGCGACGAGGTCCTTTTCGACTACTTCTCGATTCCAAGCTCCATCGTCACTCAGCATCAATGCCGGTCGGCTCTGGGAGACTCTGCACAAGACATGTGAATGGGGAGCATCCCATCGCTATGGCGAGTAAGTACTGGAAAATCGTCGCAAGTTGGATAAATATTGCAATGGAACATGCTGACAGGAGCATAGAAACACAAGAGACACTGGCATGGCGCGATTGACACTCAATGACGACGATGCGCGCGTGCGACGTTGGTTTGCCGATGAGGTCCAGAAGCTAGGCTGCTCATTATCAGTCGACCAGATGGGAAATATGTTCGCACGACAGTCCGGAAAATTGGGATCGTCTGCTCCGATGATCGCAATGGGAAGTCACCTTGACACCCAGCCCCGAGGCGGTCGCTATGATGGCATTTTGGGTGTCATGGCTGCGCTGGAAGTGTTGCGGACGATGAAAGAAAACAATTTCCAGACGATGTTCGATGTTGGTATCGTGAACTGGACGAAGTAGGTTTCCGCGTTTTCGAGAAACTCGAAATGTCGCTGACTGAGTGGATAGTGAGGAGGGTGCTCGATTCCCAAAGTCCATGTGCTCTTCGGGTGTTTGGGCCGGGGCAATTCCCATCGAGAAGGCGTGGAACCTGCGTGACATTCACAACCCCGACGTTTCTCTCAAGTCTGAGCTGGAGCGACACGGATATTTGGGTGATATCGAATGCTCCCCGAAGGGATACCCACTCGCTGCTCACTTCGAACTTCATATTGAGCAGGGGCCGATCCTTCCTGCCAACGAGCGAAAAATTGGAATTGTCCAGGGCGCCCAGGGATATAGGTGGTTGACCTTGACTGTCCAAGGAAAGGATGCTCACACGGGAACGACTCCCCTTGAGAACCGTCATGATCCTCTGCTTGCAGCCTCGAGAATGATTGCAGCTTCAAACGATATCGCAAAGAAACACGGCGCTCTTGCCTCAACAGGCATTATTCGGGTGCCCTCAAATGCGTCGACTAACACGATTGCATCCGAAGTCGCTTTTACCCTTGATATCCGTCATCCTGACGACCATGTCGTCAACACTGTTCAAGACGAATGCTTGAATGCCTTTGACAGTATTGCCTCTCAAGATGGAAAGGGAGTCTCCTATAACTGGACAATCGACACCGACTCCCCAGCTGTTAAATTCGACAAGAACTGCATCGCGTGTATCAAGGCCGCAGCGGACCATCTTGTAGGCCCTGAGAAGTCGATGCTGATGACTAGCGGCGCTGGACATGACAGTGTGTATACCAGCCAGCAATGCCCGACCGCCATGATCTTTATCCCCTGCAAGGATGGTGTCAGCCACCACCCAACCGAGTATTCTACACCCGAAGACTGGTAAGTATTATGACCCGGGAGCGAAGGCTGGTAGCTAATTTTGTCCAGTGCTCTTGGTACCCAGGCCTTGCTTGAGGCAGTCGTGCATTACGATCAGTCTCGCGCCTACGAAGGCAATGTAATCTGATAATCACAGAACCTGAAAACTTAGAAATTTTAGATTGAATAGAAATTAAATTTCGTGTTACATGGTGCACTGCAAAGAGATGTAAAAGAATACCTCACTGAACTCAGCTCACAAGCTTCATGCAATGATACATTTCTTTTCTCATCATAATTAACAGTGCACCATATGAGGCAACATTTGAAGGGACTCGTTCCCCGTCAATGTGTCCGACGGATTTCGCCAAAGGAGATCCGAATATCATGCGCGTGACTGAATACGTGGCTAGCACCACATCTTAACTGTCTGATTACTAAGCATACGGACCTTGCTTAACGTAACCCGTAAGCGAGTGGATCATGCAAGCGGCCGGATCAGCCCAGAACACCATACTTAAGGCGATATTTTAGGAGTCTATACCTCAACACCTCTTATCTATTTTTAATCAACACTTTTATATTATCTTTATAGTAGCAATATAAGTTCCAGATATTTCAAGATAGTCTCATAGAAGATATATATGTTTGGCTTCGTTTAGTCAAAAATACAATGTAATTTATGGTAATTCTACTAAAATCGATTTGAATTATTTCAAAATCTAATAGCTTTCTCTATGTATTTTAATAATACTATATACTCAATTTTAATAAGTAATACTTTATTATGGTTGAGTTATTAAGTTATAAAATATCGCCTTAAGTATGGTGTTCTGGGCTGATCCGGCCGCTTGCATGATCCACTCGCTTACGGGTTACGTTACTAGTTATGTATGGCACCAAGCTATTCCGATTCGTTCGAGGCGACCAGCAAACGTATAGCATCGATCGACGGACCAACGGGTGTTGTTCAAAGGCGTTCTATTATCGTGCCTAGGAAGAGATTCTTCATTGTCCACGTCGAATTCCGACCCTGGCACAAGCAAAATTGCCGAGCTCCACCCGCAATGTCACAAGAAGGCGCCGGCGTCGTGGCATGTTGGTGGAAGGGGGAAGGCGCTCTCAACGACGGCGCGCCGACCGTATGAATATCATTAATTAAGAAGTTGTCGCCTGATACGGGCAATCAGTCACCTAAGCCACTCCCCAAGATCTGGAATGTCGCGACGATCAATTTACTTCAACCCCGCCGCCGCGGGCGAGCGTTTCGACTACTCGCAGCCCCTCGGCGTGACTGAATTCCACCAATCGCTTCTCAACTATACGCCAACGCCGCTAGTATCGCTTTCCGGAGTCGCGACCGAGCTGGGTGTTCGCGCGGTGCTCGTGAAGGATGAAAGTAACCGATTTGGATTGCCATCTTTCAAAGGACTGGGTGCTTCGTGGGGTTGTTTCCGGGCCGTTGCGAAGCAGCTTGGACTGCCGGCGACTATTAGCCTGGAAGAATTGTCTGCAAAAGCCAAGACGACCTCGATTGCATTGATTACCGCGACGGAAGGTAATCATGGCCGAGCTGTTGCTTTCATGGCCCGTCTGCTGGGCATTGCCGCTGAAATCTACGTCTCGAACTCCATGCCCGAAGCTACGCGACAGTTGATTACTTCGGAGGGCGCTCAGGTGATTGTTGTTCAGGGATCCTATGACCAGGCGGTACAGAAGGCGTCGGACCGGGTCAGCCAGGGAAAATATGCACTTTTGATCCAAGATACGGCATTCGAGGGGTACGAGGATGTCCCCGCCTGGATTGTGGAAGGCTATTCCACGATGATGAATGAGGCCGAGCAGCAGGCCGCTCAGATGGGCCTCCCAGGCACTGTGATGTTCACTCCAGTTGGTGTCGGTAGCCTTGCCCATGCTGTAGTCAAGCATTGCAAGTCCCGACAGAACCCCTTGTCAGTGGTCGCAGTTGAGCCTGACTCTGCCCCGTGTCTGTCAACGAGCTTGCGGGCTGGCAAATCAATTCCCGTGGAAACTTCATCGACTATTATGAACGGCATGAACTGTGGGACAGTCTCTTCTACCGCATGGCCGGATTTGAAACGCCTTGTTGATGCCTGTGTCACTGTTTCTTCTTATGAGAGCCACTGTGCCGTTCAATATCTTGCCTCGAAGTCGGTCCCCGCTGGACCTTGCGGTGGAGCTTCACTAGCTGCTCTCCGTCATATCGTCTCCAACGGAGGATCCTCACTGCTGAGCAAGGACTCCGTTGTTGTCCTCCTTAGCACGGAAGGTGCTCGTAAATACCAGACTCCGCGAGATGTTTTTGCAGAGGATGCGGTGACCTTGACTCAAGCTCTCACTCAAATCAATTCCTCCAACCCTACACTGTCAGTGGACGATGGTGTCGGCGAGTGTGAAATCGCCGAATTTCTCGAGGCATGGTTTGCACACCGCGATATCGAATATCACCGCGTGGAACCAGTACGCGGGCGGCCGTCTGTTGTCGGTGTTCTTCGTGGGAGCGGCGGTGGAAAGTCTATTATGTTCAATGGACATATCGACACAGTCAGTCTGACCAGCTACGAGGAAGATGCCCTTTCAGGAGTCATTGGAATGAAGGATGGCGAACGAGCAGTTTTTGGACGTGGCTCTTTGGATATGAAGGGCGGCCTAGCGGCAGCACTAGTGACCATTGCATCCATCAAGGCCAGCGGCCAAGTTCCCGCCGGTGATATCATTGTTGCAGCAGTCTCTGATGAAGAGGATACATCCCAGGGAACTCGTGATGTTCTAGCGGCGGGATGGACAGCCGACGCAGCTGTTGTCGCGGAACCAACTTCCCATGTGATCGCCACAGCACACAAGGGGTTCGTGTGGGTGCAAGTCGATATCCTGGGAGTAGCAGCCCATGGATCCAACCCCGCAGCTGGAGAGGACGCAATCATGCAAGCATGGCGATTCCTGCAGGCACTCGAACAATATCAGACCGAGTTGCCTGTGGATGACCTTCTAGGCCAAGGGTCAATGCACTGTGGCCTGATCCAAGGTGGCCAAGAGCCCTCTTCGTATCCCGGAAAATGCACTATTACGATCGAATTCCGTACTGTGCCTTCGCAGACGGAAGATTCCACCATCAATGACCTGTCGACCATGCTCCGAAAGATCGCCGAGGAAAGTCCACAATTCAGGTATACTGAGCCTCGGGTCACGATGTCGCGCCCGACGCAGAAGCTCCAGGTCGATCACCCCCTCGTCCAGAAGGCGATTGCTTGTGGGTTAACAGTTTGGAATAGGAAGCCTGCTGTGCAGAGCATGCCTTTCTGGTGCGATGCGGCACTCCTTGGACAAGCTGGCATTCCATCGATTGTTTTCGGCCCTTCTGGAGAAGGACTACATGCGAAGGAAGAATGGGTCTCGGTTCATAGTTTGCAGCAGATGCAGAAGATTTATACTCTGCTTGCTCTAGATTTCTGTTCATAGACACGAATAAGAAATAGAGATACTAGACTAGATTCTCCCCAAATTTTCGTTGAAACGGTCAAAGCCATAACTTCAACCATCAAGTGAGCTTCTCTCCACTATTCGATCAGTCTACAGGTAGTCCTTTAAGTCCATCACTGTAGCAGTCACCGAATTCGAGGTTCCTTGCAACACACCACCACCATTAACCAGCAAGTATCGCCCACCATTACCCTCGAGAACCCGCAGTGAACGTGTGTAGCTGTGTGCCTCAGGCGACTCTATCTCTGTCCATTCGCCTTCGCCCAGTGCCTTGTTAATGAACAGAGTACTTTGCGTACCCGAGCTGGCAATGATAGTACCGTGCTTGCCGCCATACGGAGTCCAGACGACATATGGAGAGGAGGTTGGCTTGGTCCCGCTTGAGACGATGAGCTTGTTATCGGGGGCAGATGCAAAGTTCTCTGGGTCGGATGAGATACGGTAGTAGAGCGGGAATGAATACGATGATGTGTTGAAGAAGGAGCCGTATTCAAAAATGTAGAAGTATTTGCCGTTAGGCAGCTAGAAAATTATGTGTTAGGATTCAGACTTTTGCGTTGGGTCAATAAGAAAGTACCTTTGTCACGATAGGCATTCCAGGACGGTCGGTGTATGTGGGATAGGCGCTATATCGAACAATGTGAGCAGTGTCTCTTGTTAGTAAACCCTGAGGAACATACACATCATCCACGACGTCTCCCCATTTCTTCAAATCGGTGGAGATTTGGTGGACCATCTTCTGGCCGTGCGTAGTATTCGCCCGCTGGTCTGAGTAGTAGCAAATTAACTTGCCATTGCTGTGGATTGGATTAGTAGCTACTACGAGTCCTCGCCAAGGAGCAGTGGCGTAACTTACTGAGCAAGCAAGAATGGCTCCCAGACTGGGGTCAACCCGTTATTCGGAACAGCCTCCCCACCAGCTGCAATGTGGCTCACAAACTTCCACGTCGCACCATCATCATGCGATGCATATAGATCGATATTGGTCGAGGACAGATCAGTCGGAATGCTGCTTCCCGCCAGAAGCAACGTACCCTTCTTAAACGCACCAATGCGCTCTGGGAGATAATACAAAAATGGCTGGTAGCGTAGACCCAGGTGGTTAGCAGTATCCTGGACCTTGGAGAGCTCCTTCCAAGTTTTGCCGTAGTCCTTGGATCGATAGACGGGAAAATACACCAGCGGTGGTTCTGGGGAATAGTTTTCCCATGTTGCGAGAATGTCGCCGTTAGGAAGCTGCTCGTTGCGTGCGTAGAGAGTTCGAGGAATGTTGTAGTCGGAAGGAGGAGAGAAGATGGTGATGTTCGAAAGAGACTGCGGCTTCGCGCGGGAAAGCGCAGCTGCCTGCGCCGCGCCGGCGAACACGAAAAGACCGAGAACTTTCATTGCTACCAACTTCAAACTGTCACTCAACAATTGAGTCCACACTGATTCAACCACCCGGATTAATTTGGATAGCTTTTATATTTTACTTGCTTTACTGACTGCCAACCACTTTACTGACTGCCAACCACATCCCACCGGAGTTGTCCTTCTTCCAGCCAAAGCCAAGGCCATCTCCGGCATCGTCCATTTTAGCGCGGGAATTTCCATCAATCGCCAGCCCGCCGTGCCGCCATCGTCCATAATCCCCTGCTCGCTCGAGATTCCTCGCCTGCAACGTTTAGCGAAGGCCTCACGTGGTGTCCTCCGGGGTTTCTTCGGCAACTCAGTGTGGGGGATCGCGATTCCCCCGCATTCTGATCGCTTCCCCCCAATTTTGCAGGCAACCATGGCAATTGTGTACCGGCCATGACCAGCTCATGACTGGGGTCTGTTGGTCTGAGAAGGACATGCACTAAGGTTGACAAGAAGTGCAGCAGAATAGGGTCCCACGAGGGGTACCTTGTCGCATTTCGATGACTTACCACAGAGAGGGCGCAACCCGAGCGCAAACATGCCAAGTTTGTTGCTCGTGGGGTAGGCTAATTTGTTAACATCAAAAACCTCATTGCGAGGTTGGGTTTTCTAGGGTTTCTGCAATTCTCGGATATTCCGAGTCTGACGTGGAGCGTCTCCCCACTGAATTTCATTCGAATCGTCAAGAGAAGACATGATCGACGGCTCATGAGAGCAATTGCGTTCGACCGGAGGGATAATTGAGATGTCAAATACCGGGCTCAATCATTCAGCAGCAATACCCTGAGGTGTCTCGACATCAATGGACGTACCTCCAATTGTCGGATGGATGTCAAGTCCGAAGACATGCCTACCAAAAGGGCATGATCTTCACGAGGTCTCCACAAGGTATATTGCGCTGCTGAATACTTTCGGTTGAAGATTCCCCGAGTCTTATCCTTTACTTGAATTCTGTGGAGCAGCCTACAATCTTAAAGGAGCGTTTCCCTGGACAGTCTGTGATATACGATCTGGTTTCGGTGTTTGATGTATTACATCAGAGTCGGCCCAAGATGCGCTTCAAATTGCTCCTCAATGTTGCTTTCTGGGCCCAAGGGCTTCTCTTGCCTGCACGAGCTGCGGTGATAAACTCTACCAGGTAAGTTCAAATGGTTTCCTTGGCTCTGGTGTTCATGAAAAGCTGATGACAATAGTGTCTTCACTCCCAAGGCAATTGCAACGGGGCAAGATATCAAATGGCCAGATTCTTCGCCCAAGGCTTTTAGTCTCGATTCCGAGTCGCCTTTTGCGACCATCGATTATGGATCGGAGGTGGCCGGGTATCCTTTCTTCCAAGTCAGCACTTTAGAAGGGCCGGTTCAAATTGAAGTGAAGTATAGCGAGCCCTATCATGGTCGGCAGCACCCGTGGAGTGATGGGCCGTACAGCTTCGCGACAAGTCTGTCCAACGTGGCCCGAGTGGAGACTTTCGAAGTTACGCATACCGGAAAGCTACAGTCTCCTCTGATAAAGAGAGGTCAGCGATGGCAATCTATTCGCCTCGTTGCTGGAAAGAGCGTTATGTTTTCCGCGGTGGGGTTTGTACCCACGGTCAACGGCACCGACCCTACCAAATACCCATCCCAGTTCCACAGTGACAATGCTGTGTTCAACGAAAATTTGGAAGCCTGGCGCGAAGGCAGCGAGCCTGGCATGTCTCGAAAATGGCACACAAGGTCCTATCTGGACGATCGATCCAGTGAAAGGTGCCTTTGTGCATAGCACCCGGGCCCCGCCAAACGTGGAGACTGCAACATTCGAAAACTATACACTGGTTTTTGAAGCTTTCATTGAGAGAGCTGGTGTCTGGTGGACAATGGTAAGTCTTTTACCCCAGCAGCATTACCGCACCTGCTCAACTAATCCATCCCGGCATATAGGTTCAACCAGTGGCAAAAGGGTCCGGCCTGCAACTGTTGCTCACAGGTGAATTGCCCAAAAAAAACCACATTTGCTAACATTAACAAAACTCTCACTCCTGCAAACAGCATCTTGCTGGCGAAGGGCTATGACTTTGTCAATCAAACGACGCTAGAGACATATTTACTTGACACCTTCACCATCCCTTTTGTAGTGCACGAAAAGCAATGGTACAAGATAGCGACTGTCCTTTCTGGCGGGGACCGAATTTCCGTCCAAATCAATGGCACACAGGTCTTCAACACCTCCCTGTCTGATTATTATACCGGAGGCTCGGCAGTCTCATTGAGTGGTGCGATTGGCTTCGGTGCCTACCAAGATCAGTCGGCCTGGGTGTGAACGCAAAGGTCTACGACAGTGAGAACAGCACTCTGTTGTACAAAGACAGCCTCCGAGATAAAAAAGCACCTGCACGTTACGGTACTCAGGCATGCGTGGCAACGGTCTGCTTGGATGGACCGAAACGTGACCGCCTGGTTTGGCTGGGTGATTTCTACCATACCTCTCGCATTATTGGCACTAGCAGCTCCCGGTTCGACTGGACTCGCGGCACCCTCTCTTTCCTTTGGATACCCAAACGAGAAACGGTCAACTGAGCTTTGCGGCTAGGATGGGATATCACCCCATCAACCACTGTTCAGGCTTTCGGTGAGCGTGGCGAGTATCCGGCTCTGGAGGACTACCAAATGCTAGGGTTCTTGAGCTTTTATCATTATGTGAATCAAACCAATGACTTCGACTACGCTGCTCATACTTGGTCGCAATGGCGAAAGCAGATGCATTGGATGCTCTCTACGAGGAATTCTATAGATGGGTTGATCGACCTGGCCAGCGCCTTTCTGGGTGTCAGCTCGGGTGGCTCGGCTGTTGGCTGCCTTACAGTTGAAACGCTCAAAGGCGCTGCTGGGATTGCTGAGGCATTGGGACACGCCGCTGATGCAAAGAAGTATCAAAGAACTGCACATGATCTGGTCCTCCAATCCATCAACGCTCATCTTTGGAATGAAAAGCTTGGAGCACACGCAGAGAGTCAGTAATCACACCAGGACTTCAGTGTGTCTTCTCTTGGCTGGTGCATCACCTCTGGGGTCGCAAACCCGACTCAGACCTCGAAAATTCTTTCATCAAAAGTCCTCAATCAACTCAAGCTCGGCCAGGGCTACAAGGAATCCACCACTGTCAATGAGTCCGAACCCAGCGTGTCTATCTCGCCCAACACCAATGGATTCTTGCTGCCGGCACTCTTCATGGGCAATGCGACTTCCGCGGCGAAGAAACTTCTCGTCCCTATGTGAGGTGCCATGCTCTCCGAGGACGTGGAAAAGGGTATCGGAAACGACACTACAGCCACCGGTGCGAGCTGGGAATACCTGAGCGTTGAAGGCTCACCTGGCCTGGGCCTCTTAACAAGCCAAAGTCACCCTTGGGAAGGAGCTGCCACTTATGTTTTGACGGAATGGGCGACTGGTCTTCGACAGGCCAGCGGTGTTGCAGGCTATGGGTGGAACGAGTGGGTTTTGGCCCCCGAGACTGGCATAGCGATGGGATTGAACAAATCTAGTTCTCGGGTTGTCACAGGCTCTGGAGATACGCTGTCAGTGTGGTGGGCTTTGCATCAGACGGGTTTGCGAGTACACGCCGATGTACCCGACGGCACAAAGGGAACCATCCGATTCCGTGGGAGCTCCAAGACCTTTTCTGCGGGTCACAATCAGTCGGCTACCCTTACGTTATGAACAGATGCGAAACAAAACCCACGAGCACATCTACAAAGCAGTAGATAGTATGGACGCCTCACGGGTTCGATTCCCCGTTCCCTAGTATTTTTAGAAACAACCTCTGAATCAGGTACCAACACTATCGATTGCTCGCATCCAACCATCTAATAAGCTCATTAAGCTCAGTAACTCTTAAGCCATGAAAACATTAGTGAGGTTTACCGGACACGAAGCTGGTGACTTCACATGAGCGGACATCGGCACATCGCACTCGATCGGGCAAGTAAGCCATGGCAAAATCGACCCAGCGCCGCGCGTACCTCGATTAGGCCTGACGGATCACCGATCGGTCACCATTAAGGCCGCTAGCTACAGGAACCTAATCGGCTCGACCGACTGCCGCAGAACTAGACCAATCAACGCCCTGTTTCATAATGTTGGACCGCATAGCCGCCTCGTGGGGGCCATCCCAGTGACCGACGCTTGCATTACCCTATTTGTCCCCCGCATCTCGAGGAGCAGGCATGTCGGAGCGCTCTTCACAATTGAGGCTAGTCACCCCTAGGGCTGAATAAGGATGGACCCATGCCGGTGTTTCATCTGGCACGCCGAAATGAAAAAACACAGCCAATACCGACTCTTCCTTCAGATGAGACAGCTCGTTGCGTGAGGTGCAAGCTGAATTCAGTTCGCGCCAAGAAGCAGTTACCTGTTCTAGTTTCTGATCAAAGCATTCTATTGATGACATCGGAGCTTCTATTGGCTGCTGGTACGAGCCTCTAAATCGTGATCATTTCATGGTTCGTGTTAATGCTGCGGGCCCCGAAGCCAAGATTCCACAGCCATCCTAGTCTAACGGCCATTCAGACACTGGTCCTCAAGACACATGGAGAGATGAGACAAGAAAAAGATTCATGAAAATCAAGAAACCTACCCCATATGAGCTCTTTAGGCGTCTTGTCATTGACTGCCTGCGCTCTTGGCTCTATCCACCTTGCCTGAGTGGTTTCTATGGAGGGCTCCACAACACTTGTGAGCTATAAGGACCTTCCTCGAAAGCCGAAGCCGAAAATAACTGTACCCAGCGAGGAGTATATTAGATCCCCATGGCTCTCGATGAAGTTTGGCATTGCAGTTCTCCTTCGCCCCAGACATTCGAATAGGCTCAAAACACCAGCTTGACAGCTTCTCTTGTTTTTCCCGCGATACATATCCACCTTGTCTTTTCTATGTACCATTTGCCAAAATGATCCTTGGAGGAACCCCGTTGGAGCTGCTCGGTGTCAACACAAACGATTCTGGACGGCCGAATTCTGGAAATCCAAACTCGGTCTCCACTTCGATCTCTTCAACCAAGCCCCAGGCAGGCTCAAAGCCATCGGGTAAATCGGGAGAAGGCTCCAAGGGCTCTTCTTCCAATAGCATGAAATCAAAGTCATCGTCATGACCGAAGCGCTCGTTTTCGATCTCTGGATGACAAGGTTGAGAATAGCCCAGAGGCTTCTCCTTGCATAGCACACACTGTTGAGGTAAGTATTTTGGAATATATGTATATATATATAATATATGCATGCCGCCTTGCAAGTATCTACGTTACTCACTCCAAAATTTTTAGCATTTTACTGGCGACTTTGTTGATTTTGAGGTCGGTCAATCCATGGTTGATGAGATATTGTCATCTGAACGGGAGAAGATAGGACTTCTACAATTTTCTGCAGTTCTCAAAGCTTGTGATAAAAAATTATCAATCTTTAAATAATGATTCTTCGCTCTGAACCATAGAGTATAGCCTTATCAGGCCAGGAGAAAGTGAAGCGAAGTTTTCCGAGGTGGGGAGATTAAGCTATTAGGTTCTATCCGATTGTGCGCTTTTCGTTTCATGATTTTATCCACCCTTTTGCCCAATCTAAATATACATTCAATATTGTTATGGAAGAATTAGAAACAGCTTTGCCTTTTGATCTCAGTTGCACATTTCTTCTGGCCGCTCTCTTCGCAGTAGCCCACAGTAAAGGCCTGGCTATATGATTACTCAGTATGTTCGCCGACGGCGCTGTGGCTCCCAGCGGCGCCCTAGCCTCTTTTGGATTAGCGGCAACAAGCAGTGCTTCGACGGGCCTCCGAGGATAGCGATGATGCAGAGCCCAGCAATCGTAATCGAACCTCACGCAACCCACTTTCTCCCAATACAGTAGGGCCCGTGGTCTCTGACGATCTTTATGGCTTTCGGATTGTGATATATACTCACCATGGACCCGCGACTGCAGCCCAACTCAGCTCCGCCCCGCCGGTTGCCAGAGTCACTGCCCGAGCCGGGACTATCTGGCATACTGGATTCCAATGTACCGGAGGGCTGGCTACATGAGAATTCACAGGCAGACTGGAATGCCCTTCATGATTTTTACTTTTGCTCCTCCGACCCGACAAATCTAGAATGGTCTCAGTTCACGGGACTCGACTCGCATCAATCTTCAGTGACGTCCGAGCGAAACTATTCAGTACTGCAACCTGCAGATGTTCCCAGTCAGCACTTTCAAGAACATCGGGATCTAACGGAATTGACTGACATCTCTGCGCCCTTGCCGGACCTCGCAAATGTTCCCCAGTGGCTTGATGGAGCCCATCGACCACCAGTACCGTGTAACTATTGCCGCAGGCATCGGTTACAATGTCTGATCATTCGCACGACAGCCGCCAACCCCAATCCTGTAACCGCGTGTTCAAGTTGCGTGGCACTGTTCCGGGAGTGCAGTTTAGCCAGAGGAGAAAAGCGTCACCCATCTGGCTTCGAGACATTTTCGCCTGTGCTAGGCCACCTCCATGGCCTACCCGAAGACACAGAGGATGGCGTAAGTGCTCAACAGAAACTCTTGCCGATCGCAGGCTGATTATGACCCAGGGAATGCATTTCAGCTTTGAAGGACTCGAAGACCGCAAGGAATCGAAACAGTTTGTGAGAAAGGGTGCCAGGGTTCTGCGAGAGTGGTTCTACCGGAACCAGGAATACCCATATCCGACTGAAGCCCAAAAGGAAGAACTATCGAAAGAAACCGGGTTCTCTCAAAAGCGTGTCTCGACTTGGTTTGCCAACGCTCGCCGACGGCAGAAGCAAAAGATCCAGTCATCGAATCAGACATCGACCTCGCGCTCGCGTGCGGGCTCACCATTGATAACAAGTACTCTGAGCTCGGTGATGTCACCTATGGAACGGTGGAAAGCATCACCACCAGAGGATGAGCCTGTCCCAGAATCCGCTATTCAAGATGCCATTGCGTTGGACGTTGAAGACCCCAGTCCGGCGATGGACCCGTTCCACTTTGATGGGAATGCCATGGATCTTTTCAATTTCGATGAAACATCATCGCACCTCGCATCTTCTGCTTCCAGCTTTGGCAGTCGGGCGTCCGAGACATCGGAGAGCGTTTCATCGACATGGAGTTACCAGTCGGGAGGTGAAGGGAATATGCCCTTCCCCCTCCTCCCAAAAACCCCAAGTGCTCGTCGACAGCGACGAAAACGACCATCCAGGGACGAGGGTCAATACGAATGCACATTTTGCACTTCATGTTTCTCGAAAAGACATGACTGGGCGCGACACGAAAAGAGCGTCCACCTACAACTCGACTCGTGGATCTGCACTCCCAACCTCGCTGCGCTGCAACAACAATTCTGTGCCTCGATCGCAGAATGTCCCTTCTGCGACGCTAGCTACCCAACACCAGCGCATTGGGAGGAACACGAGTTCCATATATGCGCTGAGAAACCCACAGCCGAAAGGTCATTCAGCCGGAAAGATTACTTGTTGCAACATCTTCGCAAGTTCCATGCCTGTGCCAAATCGCCTGCACTCGACCTGGATGCTTGGAGAGGCTCTGGCGGTAACGTGCAAAGTCGTTGCGGCTTTTGTGATTGTTCGCTACCTACTTGGGCTACGAGGGCAGAGCATATTGCGGCGCATTTCAAGAAGGGGGCGCGCATGGCGCAGTGGAATGGCGATTGGGGGTTGGATGTATCGGCTATGAGTATTCTGCGAAGTGCGGTTTTGCCATCACAGCGACCTCAGTCTACTTGAATGCCTATGGACGTGACAAACATTGCGGATGTTGAATCGGTCCGCCTGAATGAGGATCGTCCTTTCCAATCGATAGCATGTTTCGGCAACATTAACGTCTACTCCGAGTTGAATAGAATTCTAATGAGTCAATAGATTCTGTTAAACAGTACCTTAGGGTAAGTTGGCGCTGTGAAATTCTCGTCCATTCGTTGTAGTTATGATGCTATCATGCAATTGTCTGCCACTCGCGCGTGTACCAGGCTCCTAGACCCAGTGCAAATAGCACCAGGCTACCATCGCGTACCACATCTTTGAAAAGCTGCATAACCATACCAATCCCGCCAGGTTTCCCACCAATTAATACGCGACCACTTGTCAAGAGAACCTCCCCGGTAACGAAAATCAAGAACGGGTTCTGGGCCGTAGCAGGTTTCGGGGGCGGGCTTCCAAATGTCGCAACCGACGCACCAATGACGAAAAGCAGATAGACTGCAATACCTATGGCGAAAACGATATGCAGCCCCTTCCACACTCGAATAGTCTTTTTCTCCTGCTCCGTCGGTTTCTGGGTGGCTGCGCCGAGCATGTTGGCGAGGAAGGGTGGTGCGCCGAGCATGGATGCGATCACGCCCGGGGACAGGCCGGATTGTTGTTCGGGCACGGCACCCGGGGGAGCACCGGGAGCGCCGGGAGATGCATTGGGATCGCCTTGCATGTTGCCGAGAAGGGAGCTGAGGAGCTTCATCGTGGGGTCTTCCATGTCCTCGCCTTGCGGACCTTGTCCTTGGTCGGGTGCGGACTGTCGAAGCATGGCTCGGAAGGCTTCTTGTTGCGCTTGGATGGCTTCATTCGATGACATGCTTGGTTGCGGGGATGGCGAAGGACGGTTTTGAGGGACTGGCGATGGAGATGGGGAGATGGCTGGCTGCGGAGATGGTGAGGCTTCTTCGCGGACTGTGGGATAACATGTTAGCAATGCGAACACGAGCGAGCTTGCGCGGAGGGGGTCTTCCGAACGGCAGGAGGAAGGGCATCATTACATACCAGATTGAGGAGTGCGTCCACTCAGACTGGTGATTTTGTCCAGGCGCGCTGAGCCTCCCTCCTTGATTTTGGCCTCGCGACGCTCACGTCGCAGGCGTGAGGCCCGCTGAGCTGGTGATTCCTCCGGTGTTGACATAGCGACAATTGTATTAACAGGGGAATGGGCTCCCAATGTGTTCAGGCGAAAGGGCCTCTGGATTTGGGCAGCGGTGGATCTCGGATGGTTACGACCTGAGGTGCTCCGAAGTCGTGGGAGGGTGAAGCGCCAGAAGGTCCCGTGGTGATAAAGAAACCCACTTTCTCCAGCTCGGCCGATCTTTGTAGCCTGAGGCAATAATTTCAGGCATCAACTCATCTAACTATTTGATATAACTATCAAGTCGCCCTGTTTATTACTCTACCCTAGTCATCGCTGGTCTTTAATAATGATGAAAACAATATCCCATCTGGCCTAACCTCTAGTGGCACATCTGGGGGACAGTGTCAGGAACTGGGACGTTTCAATGGCGATCTCATAGATCGTACACGTGGTCGCTCGCACCAAACTCTCGAGATGCCTCATGCCGGCACTTCATAAACAAACACAACTCCATCAAGCACCCTGACGGGACTAAAGGATTTACCGGGTTTGGGTGATAGGCCTGTTAGCCTTGTCAAAGGGCACATGCTCTCTTCTGTGACATTTTAGAGATGGAGTTCAGACGTATATCGACAGAAGGACTTCTCAATGTACAACCGCGGTGCATAAGCTGAAGAGACACAAGGTACATCTATCTCAATGCCTTTTGAGGCTACTTCGCCTTCATCCCCTGCGGCCGAGATACAGTTACATGTTTACTCGTGGCGAACCCATCGATCGACAGTGCCTGTACCACGCTGATCCCGGGTCGCAAGGCTACGGGGAAGATTCAGATTTGCATCCCAGGGATGAACCATATGATATTTTCCATAGTTGTAGCAAATCGCAGTAGACGCTGCATTGCATTGAAGTCATGAACGACCGCAAGCTCTCCTAATGACATCATGGCCTGGGGTTCATACCTCCACTCGAAAATGACCTGTCAACCCGCCTATGCTCTTCGTATGGACCAAAGTATCGAAGAAAACCTCAATCGCAAAAGCGTACAAATCGATCGAAGTCGTAAGTACTTACGACATGGCCGGAACGACCTTGGGTATATGAAGTTATGAGCGGGCCCAAAACTGGCTGGACCCTATGGCCTCACCATGCCAAGACAAGATTTCCGCCGCAATGGACGGGCAGACGAACAGCACAGCAACAGTTGTGGAGAATAGAGAAGAATAAGCAGATTGATTGTCGCCAAGCTGCAGCTTCCGTGCGAGCTGACAAGTTGCAGCGTCATCGATGAGTCCACAGCGCAATTCCCGGGTTCCGCCCGCCGATGACGTAGTTCCGGGGTGAGCTTCGCAGCCAGCTCTTCCGCTGCCTTTGAAGACACCGCTACCTAACAGCTACCAAAATCACATTGCCAGACTTAACCTCCTCGCGACCTATTTTTCAATTCCTTCTACCATTGCAGTTCGAGCGGGGGCTGCTGTCAGGAATCCCATTCAACATTCCATTCCCTGCACTACAGCCCCCGGGTATACATCGAGCAACGAATACGAATCATACGCATATATACCTGACGATTAATTCCTACCATGGCGCCGCCAAACGACAAACTGACTGAATCGCCCCAGCAGCATCGCGTCGGCGAACACTGGAGCGGCACGAATCCGGTGCCGACTGTGCAGAAATTCATCGAGCATCTCGACCAGGAGAAGAAGGAGCGGGATCGTCGAATTGACGAGGAGAGTAAACAGAAAAAGGAAAGAGATCAGAAGCTCAAGGAGCATGATGAGGAAGGCACCCAGGGCGATGTCTCTGCGCATAAGGCTCGGGAGGTATCCCAGGCCAAGGTCCGTATGGTGACCGATCCAACTACCGGTCGAGAGATTGGGGTGGAAGATCAGGATGAGACGTCGATGGATGCTGTCAAAGACCCTAAGGTGAGATTTATTCTCGTATATACAATATCACCCAGCTAATTGGTCGCAGTTGACGGTGCCTAATGCAAATCTCGGACGACCGACCGTGAGTTATAGCAAACCCATGAGGAAGACTGGCATGCATATATTGACAACGACTCAGGAGGTCCAAACAAGTCATGACCAGGAATTCTCCGAATACAAAGAGAACCAAGATATCACCGCGCCTCCCGACCCAATTGCAGAGGGCACGACGTCCGATGTGCCCATCCGCGGCGAAAAGACGAATGTGCTCTTCCACCCCACGCCTACAGTCTCATACCAGCCCATGTTTGATCAATTGGAGAAGCGGGCAATGACTCTCTGCATTGCGATCCCGTTCGCTATCATCGTGCTCGGCCGTACCTTTGGTGGATCATTGCTGGGTCTTATTCCGTTGGCTGCATGCATTGCCAGCGGTGTCTGGCTCTGGGTGCAGCAGGTCATCAAGAGTGGTAAAGAGATGGAGTGGAGCAGTGAGCAGCTACGTGGACAGACGGTATGTCTCTTTTTAAAAAATACTAGAGGCTCGCATTGTACAATGACTAATGAGGATAGGCTACTGCAAACCTGCTTCCCGAATCTGTCGAATGGATGAACAGCTTCCTTGCCGTGGTCTGGGGTCTTGTCAACCCCGACATGCTCGTCCCAATGGCCGATACGATCGAGGACATCATGCAAGCATCCGCACCTAGTGTAGTGGAGAACGTTCGCATCGCCGAGATCGACCAAGGAAACAACCCCTTCCGTATTCTGAGCATGCGAGCTCTACCCGATGAGCATGTTACAGACCTGAAAGAAAACATCCACAAGGAGAACGTCGAGAACAAGGACCCCCAGGAAGCTGCCGCCGCGGAAGAGGGAGGTAGCTACTACAACATGGAAGCTTCATTTGCCTACCATGCCAAACCAAGTGGGTCGACTGCGTCCTCCAAGGCCAGCAACATGCACATGCAGATCGTGTTCTACCTGGGTATTCGTGGTCTTTTCGGAGTACCGTTCCCGGTCTTTGTTGAGCTCACTGAGCTGGTGGGCACAGTCCGACTTCGTCTGCAGATGACCCCCGAGCCTCCATTCGCGAAGGAGCTTACTTTCAGTCTGGTCGGCATCCCGCACGTCAAGGCAGGATGTGTACCTATGCTCCGTCGAGGAGTTAATGTCCTCAACCTGCCTTTGATCTCGAACTTCGTTAACTACGCTATCGGTACTGCTTGTGCTATGTTTGCTGCGCCAAAGTCGATGACCATGGACCTTAGCATGATGCTCAAGGGCGACGATATTCACAAGGATACTCTCGCTATAGGCGTTATGTGGGTTCGTATCCACCGTGCCGTTGGCCTGAGTAAACAGGATCGTCGTGGCAGCGAGGGCGGCGGCAGTGACCCGTACATCAACCTCTCTTTCTCCAAGTACGGCAAGCCCATGTACTGCACTCGAGTGATCACGGATGACCTGAACCCGATTTGGGAAGAAACTGCTGCGCTCCTTGTGTCACCTGAGCTTATCAAGGCAAACGAAAACCTCAGTGTCGAGCTCTGGGACTCGGACCGCAACACGGCAGACGATATCGTCGGCAAGGTGGAACTGCCTATCCGGGAAATGCTCCAGCATCCTAGCCGAATGTACCCGCAAGTCTCCAGGCTGCAAGGTCTTAACGAAGGCAGTGAAATGCCCGGCCAATTGCATTGGGAGGTTGGATATTTCGGAAAGCCGAAGTTACGACGCGAGCTGCGCACCGATGGCAAGAAGAAGGATCTCCCTGAGAATCTGAAGGGTGACCCCACCTTTGAAGATGAGAAGGGAACTATTAACAACGAGGAAGAGGATGCTGTCATGCATACTCCACCCGATCCTATCTGGCCGAGTGGTATCATACATATCGTCGTGCACCAGATTGTAAACCTGCAGCTCCAGAATATCAAGGGTAGCGATGGAAACCGCAAGGGCAAGGAGTATGAGCCTGCGAAGCCATTTGGTGAAAACACCGAGGAGCAAGGTGGTGATCTTCCTACTAGTTACTGTAAGATTTTGCTGAATGATCAGCTGGTAAGTACCTCACCTACATCAGCATGCGAGTATTCTCGGTATTGACATGATCAGATCTACCGTACCCGCCCCAAAGCCGTGAGCTCCAAGCCCATCTTCAACGCCGGAACGGAGCGCTTTGTCCGCGACTGGCGATCCGCCGTCGTGACAGTCACAGTGCGCGACCAGCGCTACCGCGAACACGACCCCGTCCTCGGCGTCGTCCCCATCAAGCTGTCAGATATCTTCCAGACGAGCTCCCAGGTAACCCGCTGGTACCCGCTGGACGGCGGAATCGGATTCGGCCGCATCCGCATCTCGCTGCTATTCCGGCACGTTGAGACCAAACTCCCGCCTACCATGCTGGGTTGGGACGTCGGCACCTTTGAGTTCCTCGCCAGCAAGGTCGTTGCGAAGAATTACGGCCGCCAGGCGAAGATTAAGCTGCGCACTGGTGGGAGTATCGGCAAGATCACCCGACATATGTGCAAGCTGGAAGGCAGTGATACGGTCTACGATGTTTCTGACGAGACGTATCGGGACTCACTGCGGATGCCTGTCAAGCATCGGTATCGATCGCCTGTTGTCTTCGAGTTCCATAACCAGGGCAAACGCAACGCGGCTGCTTATGCGGTATTGTGGCTGCAGCATCTCGTCGACAACGAGGATACGGATATCGACATCCCCATCTGGACCACCAAGGCCGGTCCACGCCTGACGCAAAACTACGTTACAGAAAAGAACTGGAAAGCCAAGGAGGTTCCGGGACTCGAAGATCTGACCGAGGTCGGCAGACTGCAGTTCCGCTGCAAGTTCTCACCTGGCATCGACGAGTCGCACGAGCAATTCGTCGTCGACAACGACTCCCGCGAGACCTTCGAAACATGGGAAGCATGCATGTCACAAGGCGTTCGCTCGCGCACCGTCGAGAAGGAAGTCCCGGAAGAAGTACAGCAGAAACACGAGCTGTCGCTCATTGACAGCCGGGATGTTCTCAAACAAGCTGATCCCGCCGAGCGTCGGCGCTGGATCGATCGCGAGGGGCACGATTGGAGCGGTGCATTCGGCCATGACCCGCGCGCTTATACGGATTCCGACGGGCAGAAGGTCGCGGAGCCCGGTCGTGATGCACCTGCCCATGACCCCGTCACGCCGCCGCCGCTGGAGGGCCAGCCTGCTCATGCCTCGCGGCCGCAAAATGGGGAGCAGGCTGTGCCGGAGGAGGACAACCAAAATGAGTCTAGTGACTCGGAGGTAGAAAGCGAAGCGCGCACCTCGTCTTCCTACGGTCCCTCGACCATCAGCCCAACGGCGGAGGCGTCTTCGTCCCGGTCCAATGTCAAACAGACGAAGGAGTCCAACAAGCGGAGTGACCAGCGCCAGCAGCGGGGCTTGATGCAGTGGCGTCCGGCGCGAAATGCGGTCTTTGCGAGGGACGAGGTGAAGTTCGGGTTGAGTAAGATGAAGAAGAAGCTTGGGGTTGGTGGATTGACTGGGCGCGAGCCTGATGTCGAGACGGAGACTTGATCACCAAAATATTGTTACATTTTCGGGCTTCGATTTTGGATTGGATCTTGGATTTCGGGTACACTGGATTGTGTTTGGCGCATATACCTTTTGGTGCTGCAGTACATTATCACGTTGTACATGACAGGAATCATTAAGCTGCTTTTGCATACTGGAAATATGCCTCAGCGAATCATTGCCATGTACCCCAGGCCATGATTGGAGGGTCTGTGAAGCCGCTTACGAGTCAGAGTCTTAACATGTGCACCTCTCGCGATTGGCAAGATGCAGGTGTTGCAGTGACAGCGCCCGTTTTTTGTGGCTGCAGCGTCCTGCACGCCCATCACCTGCCAAGTGATCGCGTCACGCTGGTGGCGATGTCCCAATCTTCCCAGGTTAGAAACTCAAGTACAGTAGGAAGAAAAGATTGATGTAAAATGAAATGTATTCATAGAATGTAATATGTGCAAGAATAAATTATGATGGGTTGAAACCATGCAGTGAGAATGTAATGTATGCCCGCGAGTCAAGTCGCCGGGATGAGAAATCGCTAGAAAAGAATGGAGACAAAGCCACCAGCGCCTCTATAAAAAAAGGAGCCATGATTCATCGAATCATGAGTTTAAAAATTGCATCACCATGACCCCGCGGATACTCTCAAGTCAAGACTTGTGCAGGGTTATTGGAATTTTGAATCCGGCTGCGGCCCAGCCAATACACAGACAGGCTGCTCAATATGCTCCAAGGGCACTTGAAACGACGGCACATCTGCATGAGTGCTTGCAGTAGCACTATCCGGACTCCCCTCAATCGGGCCAAGAGTCCACCTCCAATCCCGACGCCGCTTAACTCTCCCCTGCCGCGGCGTCTGCGGCGTCGAGGCATACGGATCCGCCTCCAAGCCATCCAGCAGCGCCACAGCGCGAACCTGCCGCTCCGCGCGCATGGTGCGCCGTTTCTTGCGCTCCAGCTTGGAGAGCGATGTATCGCTGGCAGAAGTCTCGTCGGTACTGCCTTCGTCGGAGGTACTGGACTCGGAGAGCGAGAGGCTACCCTCGGAATAGTCGTCGGGGCTTTCGGCGGTGTGTGATGCGGAGACGGCCCCACTGTCGTTGTTGTCTGCCTCGTGCACTGCCTCTGCCTCCTCGCCCTCGCGCACCAGATCCAGGTGTTGGGCTGTGTATCGCTCTGTGCGGATTTCTTCTTCGAGCGTATTGCGGAAGCTCACTGATTTCTTCGCGGGGAAGAAGACTCGGCGTGCGCCTGCGCCGCCGGGTCCACAAGCGCCCGCTGAGATGGAACCTGAGCGGCGTCGTGAGGCTCCTTCCAGCGGCGAGTTGCGGAGGATGCTGCGCACGCCGATGGGGAGTTGGTAGGCGCTGCGGTAGTTGAAGGTATTGGTAGTTGATGGGTTGGAGGCGGGTTGATGGACGTAGGGAGAGATGGGTTTGCCGGTGGGAAATCGGTGGCTGGAGGTGGTTTTGGAGGGCGAGCTGGTCGCGGAGGAGGGCGAGACGACATCGTAGGCGTTCTTGAAGGTATTGCGCACTGTCGGCGATGCCCCAGCGCTCGCGGCGTAGCGGGAGAGGCCGGTGGTGGAGGAGCCAAAGGTGAGAGGCAGCGAGGTGGTTTGGAGAGTGAGTTTGGGTCGTGATGGTATTGTCCGGTGGTTACCGGGCGGCTGGAGGCAGGACATAGTGGACGCAGAGCATGAAGAGGAAGGCGGGTCAGGCGAAGTAGAAAAGCGAGGAGCCATCGAGCATGGGCATGACGTGGGGGAGAAAAGTGCAGCAGCAGACGATACGAGTGGCGGGGTCTGCGCTAAGAATAGTCGGCGCTTCCGAACGTGATGGACGTCACGTCGATCACCCTCGTGTAAGGCTCTTGCAGCAGAATTTTGCAGTTGCAGTTGCAGTTGCAGTCGCACTGGCTCAAGTCATTCCTTAAGAGAATCACGGTTTCTGGAATGCGGCAGAGATTTTTCGTGACTATCGACGCCACCAGCCACGGTCGGCGATGGGAGATGGGGATCGCCCTCGATTGCCGTTCTAATTTAATCTTAAAAGGCCTGTCCTCGACTGTCGCAGTGGGGCACCAGTACACTAAGGGTGCAGTCTGGCTGCCTTCCAGCTGACTCCAGCTGTCTTCTTCCCCGAGGACACAGGTTTGTATATTATTGCAGTGCCTACTGTCGGTGCTGTCAGAGAATAAGGTGATCCGTCTGGACTGTTCTATAAAAAGACGGGTGGGGCGCGGATCATCGAGGGTCCGAGTACGTGGTCTTGGGGGGAGTGTTTGTATGGGCAGCTTAGTCAAAAAATAATTGTGTCTTTTGATTGTCTTATTTGCCTCCGTCCAAAAGTGACTGCTAATCGCGACTCAAGAATGAGTCTTCCACGAGCCGCGTGGAACAGACTGAAGCGATGGTTGTGGCGGCGGTCTGGACACCCAATGTCTTACCCCGTCCTCGATCTAGGAGTTGAAGAGAAAGACCCGGCCAGGCATCGGAATTAATTTGATTGTACCTTGCAGGTGCTCTGTCCAAACTACTAGTATGCCCTGGTCTACCCCAAGCTGGTAGCTGCTCCGTGCGATCCGGAGTGATCTCGTGGTCGAGTAGAGAGTGGTAGACCTCCCCTTTCCCCCGGGATCAACCGAAGATCTTCGGGGACTGCCCAAAGCATCCAGTGCACTCTGACTACTCGTAGTACTAAGCACTACTGCATATTACTTTAGTATTTCCCCCCCCCTGGAGCAGGGGGCCTCCCCTATTCATAATGCATAATGTCGTAAGCAGTCTGCAAACTCAATTACCATCTACGGATGATTCTGTCCGTGCTGCCGGTGAGATCGCGATCCACGCGATCGGCTGATGTTTCCGCCAGCAGCCCGTCGCTGGTTGGTCTCCACGATGGAATGTGAATGCATCGTGGAGAAGGCGGCCGCCACACTTCACATATGGCTACTGCTACTATACCATACATCCGTTTCAGGTCGGAGTGCATTCCACGGTGCTGTTCGTTTCGGAGCACGCATTGATTCATCGCGGTTCCAGAGAACTGTGATGTGACACCCGTGGGCGTGTAGCCATGGTACTACGAACGCAAAACGAGTTACAGAAGGGTACCCACGGAAACAACAGCAGAAGCACACCAGCACAATAGCAAGATGAAATTCAAGGTACTCGACTTTCAGTATGACAATTCCAAATATCACGAGACCACAACTATTCAAAGATGGCAGCAATCTCCTCCTTATACAGCCTCAATGTCTGTATCCGCCCAACAGTCCCCTTCGCCGTCCGGAAAAATGGCTTCTTCTTTTTCGCCATAATGATCCGGTCTGCTCTCAGTTTCACTGCGCTGTGCACCTGCCTATTCACGTTATCAATATTCGGCTGCAAAGAAGCAATAAACGACGCATGGTCATCCTCCATCGGTCCGGGATACAGATCGATCAAAAGAACCGGTCCCTCATACCCATGTCCTCCGATCAGGGCTGACTTTACCGCAGGATGAGCTTCGATCTCCGGCTCTACCCTGCATGGATACCGTCTGCATGAGAGAAGCTCACATGGTCATCTGCCCGGCCGATGATCTTCCACAGACCTTTCTGGGTGGGGTGTTCTGTCCAGAGACCCTTGGTTTCGTACCCGTCTCGCTCGGGGTATAAGTAGAAAATAATCTGTGTGCTATAATCCGGTTGACGGACAAAGATCAGTTCGTACAGGTCATCAAAGCGATGCTCGAAAACGGCCCCCGCAGGCTCCAGAAATCGAACATAGGCCCATGAATCGGGGAGGTCATTCCCAGTAGTTAAATACCCGCCAGCCTCGGAGCTGCCGATGGGAGGGATCACGTGGGTGTGCGATATCAATAGGTCGCCGGCTTTGGATGCCAAGAGTGCGCCTGCGTAGTAGACGGATTTCGTTTTGCGGAGAGATTCTAGCCCGCCTGGTGTGCGGCACTGCTCTTCGATGATGGCCGGGGAGAGGATGGTGACATCTACCTTTCCATGGTTGAGGACGTCTCCGACGAGCTTTGGGGTTGGTAGGACTGGTGGTCCGACTACCAGAGTTGTTTCGAGGAAGCAGGTAAAGAATAGTGCGCATGCCATTCCAACAATCTCCTTCACCAAAAGATACTCAATCTGATTACTACTGCACGCCTCCCATTCCGGATTGTTGAACACCCAGCCTTCCTGGATCTTCTTCAAACCACAAGACATGCTGAATCACAGCTAGAAATCCCCTCTGCACGTAGTATCCGACGTCTCCTTGATGATAATGTTGCAGAGAGGCAATCTAATGTTGCAGAGAGGCAATCAAATGTGCTTAATAGACTTCCAGTTGGAAGCAGTCTATCAATTGCACTAGATTGTTGGACATCCCCTTTCTCCCAGGCATTTATGGCAATTACTGGGTACTTCCTAGATCAGGATTGGAATTACTGTGAGGTCCTTCTTGGGTTTGAGCCACTAGATGGCTCACATTCTGGTGCACATCTCCGTGAAACTGTGATCAAGATCCTTCAACAGCATAAGATTATGAACAGACTGCTCTCAATCACTACTGACAATACATCAAACAATACAATGGTTGCAAGTATCCAGGAACTTGGCCAATCTCTTGGGCTTACTAAAGATCAACTCTTCCGTGTCCCATATATCGCTCATATTATACAATTGAGCCTTAAGGAGCTACTTGGGAAGCTGAAAGCAAATCCAGTCAATGATAAGATAAGAGTCCATATGGAGAGACACCCAACAGCAACCACAGCAGTTGAATACTCAACAATATCCAAATAATACTAAGACTCTTAAGAATGTAAGTGAAATACCTTCTACCCTATTTTTCGGCCGAAATACCTCCCACTCTGTTTTTTAGCTAAAATATCTTCTACCTTGTTTTTCAGCTGAAATGCTAATCCTTATTCTTTTATATTCATTCTAGATCCGAGATCTTGCTATCTTCATTACTGCTAGTCCACAGCGTCGCAAAGCATTTCTTGAGCTTGAAAAGACAGAGCTAAAGCTTGTGCCAATCCAAGATATTTGTACAAGATGGAGCTCAACCTTTTTAATGCTTGATCGGGCTAGAAAGCTCCAGTCAGATATTGATCGATATTGTGATACTCACCACCATACACGATTTAAGCTTAATAAGGAGGAATGGCGCCAGGTTGAGTATCTTCTTCTTCTCACCAAATCAAAAACAAGAGATGTGACTATCCAGCATATCTTTAGCATCTACAACAAGCTATTCAACCATCTTGACCATGCTGAGAAGAAGCTTCAACGAAAATCAGTCCCCTGGAAAAATCATATGCTCCAGGCGCTCCAAGCCGCAAACAAAAAGCTCAGGAAATATTATACAGAGACAAACAGTGAGACATATAGCTCTATTTATGTAATTGCAACTATTCTGAGCCCATCAAAGAAGCTTCGATACTTTGATAATGCAGATTGGAGAGGCCAAGATGAGAATGGTAGACCAGTTGACTTTATGAAACACTACCAGGATATCCTCCAAGCAAAGTTTAATCTCTATCAACAACAACAACATCATCACAGAGATATTGAGCACTTAATATAGAGAAAGTACTTCATTCAGCTGAGGATGAGCTTGAGGAACTATGTGATTCACAAACTGCTCCCCAGGCTGAGGTTCTTGATCAACCAGAAGATGGGATTAGTCGGTATCTTGCAAAGGGTAAGTATTATCTAATTATATTATATGGTCTATTTACTAAATAGTAGAATATGGCTTACCAAGGGCAATCCTCGGGTATTCTGGAAGGAGCATGAACAGGAGTATCCAGTCCTTGCTCAGCTTGCAAGGGATATCCTTTCTATACCAGCTAGTGGAGCTGGTGTTGAACGGCTTTTCAATTGTGCTCGTGATATATGTCACTATCGTCGAGGGCAGTTGAAAGAGGATACAATCAGAGATCTCATGATCCACCACTTCTCAACCAAGATTGAGCTCAAGTACAGTGAGCTTGATTTGATGAAAGAGCAGCTCTGTATTGGAGAGGCCGCATTATCTGATCAGGCAAGTAAACCTATCCCTACACTTGCAGAGCTTGATCCGATCAGTGAAGATGAGGAATATGGACATGAAGTAGATTATATCGCTGATTTAGATTCGGACTCGGATACTGAATCATCAGAGCAGGTGTTACCTTTAACACAGCCCACTGTACGTGTTCATCAAGCACATAAAAAAGCGGGCTCACAGTGCTATTGAGTCTCAGGATGATCAATCCCTTCCCATGATCTCTGAGGACTGTACACAAGGACGATCAGGGAGGATTCGGAAGAGGCCTAAGATGCCAGATGGGTTCGAGATAGAGAAAATATGATGTAAATAAGTCAATATATGTCAGCGGGATGATGTCATCTCTGAAATAATAAGAGAAATCTGAGAGTATAATTCAATTTGTATTATAGAGTATAGAATAGAGAGTAGTATATACCTACCAGTACACCAATATTACCAAAAAACTGCATAATCTATACAGATTCCATGAGATCACGGGGCTTGGCAAGTTTGGCTTATTTATATAGAGATGGGTACCCGTGGGTAACACGTGGGTATCAAGGTGATACCCATCCCCGCCCGCAAGGCTTGCGGGTATCAAAATTTATATCCATACCTATCCCCGCGCGGTGATGGGGATGGGTACCCATGGGTACCCGTGGGGATGCCGCAGTTTAGCTGCACTCGCTGGTGCTGCGACACTCGCTGTGGATGGGGCCGGTCGAGCCTTGCGGCGTCGTATGTCTATAACAGAACATGTCCCAAGAAACAGAGTAGATTAGCTGAAGAAAAGGAGAGACTAGCTAAGGTACACTAAATATAAAGGGGTGAGGTTGGCACGAGACGAATGTGAAACGGGGGTGACGCAGTAGCGACACCAAAAGGGGCTACGGCAATGGCCGTAACGAGAAATCGGGCCTAGCACTTTACACCTTAGAAATAGTGCAACAGTAAACACCACTTCTAAACACAGTAGAAGCCCGTTACCGGGGATGGCTCTTTGGTGATGATGTTGGGAAGGCGGATCGAATACTCGAAGTCCTTGCTGGTGCATTCCGATATACAAGTTTGGTAGGAACGACAGAAGTCTCCCGATTCAACTGTTTGTTTATATCAGCGAAATACCTCCCACCCTAGTTATCGTATGACTCACGGGCCATTCCTGTACCGACAAGGGTGATGACAAAAAGCAATTGTTGAAGCTTCATTATATTTTCTTGGTTGGAAACTGAAATTGTGCGATCGATGTCAGGATATGTGATTTATAGTGGGATGAAGACATACGTCTTTTTATTAACAAACCAAAGTGGTGGAACTGGGCGAGAAATATAAGGTTGGTCGAGTGGATTATTTGTGAAGATTCGTATGATTCTACAAATTACTAGGGAGTAGGTGACTCTTTATATATATGCCTGTGGAGCTTTGTTTGTATATACGTGACTTTAGAAAACCTATTATATATTACTTGCGTTATATACACTAGCAGAAAAATAACTTGTCTACCTCTACATAATATAACCTAGAGCTCCACTATTTGCTATATATATGGTTACTGCTAAACCTCACATGGAACATAAGTCCAATTATTGAAAATAATGAGATGAACCCCCCATAAGTGGAAACATATAGAGGAGAGTTAGTCTGCTCGCAAGCATAATCGCTCAGTATATAGTTTCTTTTCGAAAGAAGAGTAAAGTTAGATGACCACTAGAAGCAAAAATAACTATGTACTATTTGGCTTCATCTCGTCCTTGATCCTCCTCCCGTACACAAGGGGCTGTGGATTTGGAACCCCTACCTGGGTAGTGGCCATAAGATTGTTTCGCTATAACATTGCTAGGTCCTATGATCTATGTTGATATCGCGATCATCCGGACGATCTCGGATCAGCGCAAACCACTATACATAGTAAAAGATATTATTGAACTTTATCCTCTATCAGCTGAATTACAAAATACCGCACAGGTCGTTCTTCTGAGGAAGGTCATTAAAATGAACATTTGCTAATCACTCAGCTAGAGCTAAATACACTCCGCAACCTTATAGGCTGATTACCAAGCAGTGGGGCTCAGGCTCAGAGGAAGCTGACTATAAAGCCAGAACGGAAGGAAGAGAGAAAGGCTGAAAAACCTTTGGATGTTGAAGCTATCTCGAAGCTATAGAACTCGCTAAAGATATGGGGAAAGGCGGTGGGCCGACGGCTGGTATTGTGAAGGGCTAAAGCAAGACTTGGGTTCAATCTGACTAGGCCACAAACTGTGTACAAAAAGCTTGAAGAGAGAAAGAGAGACAAGCTAGATACACAACTGATAAAGGGGGAGCGTGCTGAGTAACTAGCACATGATGAAAGCGAAACGGGAGCGGCAAAGCCGCAGAACGGATACGGGGGTCCGGCCCGTGACAGGCATCACCTCAAGGACCCATCTCCATTATAGGCTAATATATGCCCCATTATTGCCGATCATTCATCAATTATTGATCTATAGCGAATATGCTAGCTAATCTAAGTCATAGTCTAAGTGAAGTCAATAGGTGAGCGTGGACTGGAATTTTTCGCCGCTAATGCACCTCTTGGGAATGAAGCTTAAAAGGGGAAGCTCCACTTTTCATCGGATTAGCCAGCCACTGGCTAGGTTTGTGAGCCGGTTTTTTGCTTAGATAATGATTAGCGCAGCACCAGTGAGTGCCGCAGCACTCCTCAGTTCTGCCGCACTCCCTGGTGCTGCTGCACAGTAAAAATTCGCTCGATTGAAATCAGGTAATCTAGCCGTGTATATGTTCACTTCATTTTGATATCTGCCCCATCGAGTTTCTCAGAATTAGTGAACAGACTGAATGAAAGCGGAATATCCAGGCATTCTGGATGAGACCTATTGTAATGGCTACATTCTTGACTGCCGCCGGATTTGACTACATCTTGATAGTGCTGAGATCATTAAAGAACTAGATCAGATAGATACATGATTTGGATCACCAGCAGTCACAAAGCCAAAGGATACCTCATGTATATCAAGAAAAAGACTGCAAGTAAGCAAGGTCATACGTGCACAAAAATTAACTATTCCCTTTCACGACTGGGATACCTGGGAAGAGTGTTTCAATAGAGGGCAATTTAACACATCTTGTTTAAACGGAGACGCTCGGGTTACAAGTGTGAGGGCGCTAGTTGTCACAGAATAAATGACCCTATAGGCCATACTAGTTCGGGAATAGCAAGAGATACGATCGGAGGAATCCCCTGATTGGACGTGGAAACATCATTTGGTGACTAAGCACTGAGTGATCACTGAGCAAGTCGAGCAATCACTGAGCTGCCCTGATTGGTCACTGAGCGATCACTGCGCATTGGTCATCCCTCACGTGACTACACTGACTGGATCACTGAGTCTGAGCCCGTGCTGAAATCTACTCACTGAGCCTGAGCCTGAGCCTGAGCGCCCTCATAAAAAGCAGCGGCAGCCAAAACAGGAAAGCCCCACCTGGCAGATATTATCTGGTCTATATAGCTGCATATACGGTCAATCAGCTACACAGTCGAATTACCTAGCTAGAATACAAATGAGGGGATATCGCTCTGTTGGAGGATCAATATGTTTTCTTTTACTGCCTCAGTGCTGTATAACAGAAGACAAACGCTGGCCATGTTTCTTCCATTTTTCCCGCGAGTTCATCTGCCTTGGCGACGGGCCTATCTGCCCACGCACAGCCACGTACCAACCAGCCACAGACACTGCCTCAGCCACAGCCGCTCGCTCGGCGCGTCTGCCGCAGTCGCAGATCGTTCGTTGTGCAGTCCTCGCCCGCACCAGCCATAGTGACCCATACCGACCCAAAAGACCCCTGATGACATAGCCCATGGAGACAGGCAGGTCATTCCAGAGTCCATGGCTACTGTACCGGTGCGCAACGACCGTCGCATCGTTCTCCATCTGGTAAGCGAGCAGATAGAAACACTACTAGATACCCCCAACTGACAAACACAGGACTATGACTGTTTCTACGCGTCCGTCTTTGAGGTGGAGCAACCCGCGTTGAAGTCACAGCCGCTGGCAGTCCAGCAGAAGCAGATCGTCGTCACATGTAATTATGAGGCACGACGACGAGGCTTGTTCAAGCTGCAACTCATCAAAGACGCCAAGCGCATCTGTCCTGAGGTGGTAATTGTCTTGGGCGAGGACCTCACGAAATTCCGAGATGCCTCCAAGGATATCTATCTCTTTATCCGCAGTTTCATCTGGGGCGGCCGGGTCGAGAGACTGGGCTTTGATGAAATTTCGCTTGATGTGACGGAGATGATCGACTATAATATTGGATTGCTGAATCCGAATGATCTGACGAGATCTTTCTTCTGTCTTGATCAGAAGGATCCGACTGTGGGGTTTACTTACGACGCAACCTCGTTTCACGGTTCTACGCATCCGTTCCGGGAAGGGTGCGCGGATGCACCACGCGAACTCTCATCTTTGGAAATGCGTTTGTTGGTCGGCTCGCATCTTATGGGACATTTAAGAAGCCAAATGGAATACGAGAAAGGGTTTACAGCGACAGGGGGGTATCTACCTCCAAGTTGCTAGCCAAGTTAGTGGGCAGTGTCCACAAACCCAATCAACAAACCACCCTGGTCCCGCCATATGAGCCAGGTAGCGATGGCACAGAAAGTAATGTGACCCAATTCCTGGATAACCATGAGATCCGCAAAATTCCCGGCATCGGATCACGGCTGGCGCAAAAGCTTCGAATCCGGGTTACGGGAGAAAGCACCAGTGAAAAGAAGGTGACGGTGCGTGACATTCGCCTCTACCCCGGGATGGGTCCACCGTTGCTGGAAAAGACGCTGGGCGGACCCGGCGCCGCGAAAGGGATCGGTCAGCGAATATGGGGGATCATACATGGCGTGGACAATACTGAGGTGCTTGAAGGGCGCGACTTGCCAACACAGATCAGTATCGAGGACTCATATGGGCGCGGGCGCCTCGATAACGTGGAGAACGTACGGCGCGAGCTGATAGTGTTGACGAAGAGTCTGATCCGGCGAATGCGGACCGATCTACTGGACAAAAGCGATGACAAGGGTCAGCCTCGATGGCTAGCTCATCCGCGCACGCTGCGACTCTCGACACGGCCACGAAACGCCCCAGAAACAGACGGGGTACGCACGTACAACAGCAATCGCATCTCGCGCTCGACTCCACTCCCGAGCTCCATCTTTAATTTGGACGAGAGCATCGACTCCTTGGCTGAGCGGATCGTGCGAGACCACGCCATGCTCATGTTCCGCAAATTACACGCCGAGAAATCTGGTTGGGACTTGGGGCTAATGAATATTGCCGTGACTAATATGGTTGAGAGCGCGGGGGACCAGAAACAGAGTAGTGGGAGAGATATTGGGAAGATGTTTCGTCAGCAGGAGTCGACGTTGCGCGAGTGGACGGTGCAGGAACCGGTGGGACAGCCACACGAAGTATCATCAGATGAACCGGTTGGGTTGGAGGAGACGACTGAATGGGCCAATGAGTGGGAGGATGGCGATGAGAATGGCGATGGAGATGTGCCGTTGCTGAGCGTCGAGTGTCCCCTGTGCGGGGCTGCGATTCCGCATTTTGCTCAGCAAGCCCATGAAATATACCATGCCAGCGATGGCAACTGATTTTTTTTGGTGGGTTACGGTCTTGCTAAATGCTAAGCTGCATACCAATCTAAGCGAGGGCTTATGGCCAGAGGGAGGAATTAAAAGACGAGATTCTAGATTGCCTTGAGGCGTGGTAGCTGCTAGTATATTAATTAAGGCTTGGTCTCGCGTGGATATTATGAGATTAGTTAGGGCTTCAAATCGCATCGCATCACAGTACTCAACAGATGCAGCGTTGAGTAGTCGCTTCGGCTAACTGCGATACTCCTGGGGAAACGCATTAGAGTTCCGTCTTGCGGGGGAGCGAGAGCAGAGTTGAATGTCTCCACATCCCGCAACAACACGCGACTCCCTGATGGTCAGGATGTTGGATTGACCGGTAACCCGATAAAAGTCCGGACGAAAACGCCAAGACTTGCCAATAAAGGCAATAGGATTTTGGGAGGCGGACCGATAACCTTAGTGAGACTGGAAGGCCAAGAGCGCTGGTTGACAGTTTGGCCGGTGGCGCGGGGTAGGGTCTGCGAGCCAGCCACCAAAGTGAAAAGCACGAGCTCGATCGAGGCTGATTGGAGGGATTTGCTCGCTTCGTGTGATGCGGGGAAATTAAACCCGTTCAAGGTTTAGTGCCGTCACCGAAATGGGGCCAAGGTGCGTTCCCCTGCATGGCCAGACCGGGACAGCACGAGACTGTTCATGATTACCCCAGATTACCGACTGCAATGCAACTGATATTTCAAGGCTGAGTGGATAGTACTGGAAAGCAGGGTCCATGTTTGGGGATGGCGATGACCTTGACAGAACTTCTACTCGAGTACAGCAATATGGACAGCCAACTTCTCTCCGAGTGGGAGAGTTCAGCATGTGCGTGGGGCTTAAAGTGAGAGAATTAACATGCCACCCTGTCTTGGTCCATCCAATCACACCCATGTTCGCCCTCGTTTCTTTTTCTCTTTATCCCGAGTGCTACTAACTCTGGCAAGGACCTCACGGCGTTTCCAAATCCGTATATCTTTCGCCAACTAGCGTGGGATCTGACCCCGGACCATCAGCGACAAGCTCGAGAACCCCAGAAAAATTAAAACCCGGCACTCTTCCCTCCATCCACCATAGTACAACAGCATGGCCATTCTCCCCTGAGTGACCATCTTCGTCTGTGGATTTTTGCTTCGCGGTGCGGAGGCCACCCCGGGCCAGAGGTGCCTTGGTCAACCACCACCCTTGAAGTATTGACCGATCTAGGTAGTTCGCGCTGGAGATTGCGGACTCTACTCGGCGAGATCATGTCTAGCGGCTCTGAGAACGGGATCATAGGGGAATACTCGGGAAATGATTTCACCATCAAGGCCACTTTCACCGTCTTCCTCGGGATCGCCCTGTACAACTCCATCGAACTCCTGGTCCTCATCTTCGCCTCCTTCCGTCGCTACCATGGCCTGTACTTCTGGAGCTTGATGCTCGCGACTGTGCTGGGTGTCATCCCGCAGTCGCTCAGCTTCATCCTGAAGTACAATGACATCGGCCCTCTTTGGTTCTCTATCACACTATCAACCATCGGATGGTATTTCATGGTCACCGGACAGGCTCTGGTGCTATTCTCGCGCCTCAACATCGTTGTGCAGGATCTGACCATCAGCCACCGCATCCTCGCAATGATCATCATCAACGCGATCATCCTCCACGTTCCAACCACAGTACTCACTTACGGCTCCAACTTCGTTCGCACCTCCGTCTGGGTCCATGGCTACACCATAATGGAACGCATCGAGCTCACAGGCTTCTGTCTACAAGAGTTCATAATCTCAGGCCTCTATATTTCCAAAACCATCAGCATCCTCCGCATATCGCCACCCAGTATCCACGGCCACAATCGAAACCGCAAGGTCATGTACCAGCTCCTCGCCATTAACGCCCTCATCATCGTGATGGACATCATTCTATTGGTCTTCGAATACCTCAACTACTTCGTGATCCAAACGACTCTCAAATCAGCAGTTTACAGTATCAAACTCAAGCTGGAATTCGGCGTTCTCAACCGCCTCGTCTTTCTCGTGCATTCTCATCGTCACTGGCCGCATGAAGCGACTCGGCCGTATACGCCCTCCCGGCGTGTGCAAGAGCAGGCGGATTATGATTATCATTCGTTTCTTGAGGCTTCTCATGGGAGTCCGGAACTCCCTTCAACGCCCAAGAGTTGTGAGTTAGCTACGACGCGACATATCTCGCATTGAGCCACAGGCTGTGTGGATGTAGTGGTACAATCATCCTAGCAGGTAAAATCTTATTGTTAAAAAGCTCTATTAACATCAAAAAGTGGCTCCAGCCACATTGTTACGACGATGTACTTTAAAAAAATATGTATGAACAAAATTGACATTTAAAACATCAACCAAAAAACAATCCAAAAGATCATGTGATGGGACTAGCCCTCACAGAAACCATGTGAATTTGGTCGCCTACACAATTTTTGCATTGAAAAATTTCATATTTGAGCAAATTAAAGTGTAAATGTAGATGTGGATATCTTTTATTAGGACTTTGGTGCCAGCCAGATTCAATTTGCTGTAGATTACACCAAGCCCCTCGCAATGCCTGCCTAACTGCTCACTGCACTAGTCATAGAAACTTGGAGGCTGAGAGTCAACAATAGCTTGTATGCCACTGTCCTTGATATCTAAGCAGGCCAAGATGATTTAGCTTTTGCCTAGCCACAAAGGCATTAAGTTGACGCGTAGACATCATCTGCCAAGAAGACAGGGCTGATGTGCAGGCGTGAACAAGCAGATCTGCCGAGCACAATTATCCGTGCTGTACCAGTGACTAGCACAAGGGCAGTAACACCTGTACACTGCCTAGGTAGGGTACCTTCCCTAGTATACTGGTATAGAGGCTATCCCTAAGTGCTATAGGTAATCAGCAGAGCGGCAACATCTCACTCATTTTACTCATCTCATCCCACTTGAAAACAGGGCTCTGCCGGAAGGACCGGGTCATTGTCAGCCACCCAGCCAGTCAAGGACTTGGCAAATCGCCCTACGGTACTTTAATGTACAGGCACTGCGCAAGTGGTGGGCCCGGTGGAGCAGCCAGCCGGACAATGCAACGTCAGATGCTCTGAATGGCAGACGAGCGCAGCGGCCTGTCCCTGGATAGAGTCCATCATCCAGGTGCGTCTTCAGGCGCAGCAGCCAGGGTGGGTGAACAAGCAGAGAGCAGCAGAAAAACAGAGGGAAGCGCTGAAACAAGTGTGACCAGTCGAGCAGTTGCTGGCCGGACGAGAATAGTACTTTGCCAAGGCCAAGCCTCGCGGATTCCTCGCTTGGCGACGCCTCTCTTTCGTCGTTGCCTTGACATTGGCATTGTGCCACTTTCCTTCATTTTCGCCATTCAACTTGCGGCATTGGTACTCTCACCTAATCCCTTCGTTCTTCTGCACTCGCTTTTTTTCCATCCAGCACCGGGTGGGTTGTGGCTGTGCCGATCCCGACATCTCCGAGACCGGTGGACCCTGCGATCCCTGAAATCTGCTACTCCATGGTTGCCTGGCACCCTTGAAGTCTATCGCAGAGTCCCTGCGGTTTGCCCGGTTGCTCTTCAAACAACCACCTGGGCCATGAAGTTCTCCCGGGGTGTCCTGCCCGTATTGGGTGCTCTATCGGCTCTCTTCGCGCTTATTCAAGGTACGTTCAGCCGCCGCTCATCGCCCAGAACGTTGCCTAACCGCCCGTTGCAGCGCGATCTCAAGCTTCAGAGGCGATCCGCCAGCTCACGCCGATCGATAATGCCATTATTCGAACCCCCTCTCACCAACTCGACCACACCTCCCAGTTCGACCTCACCTTCGAGTTGCATCGCGATGGCAAGCGCATAAAGCTAGAATTGGAACCGAATCACGATATTCTGGCCGACGACGCATCTGTGCGATATGTGGACACTGAGGGCAACTGGCAAACCGAGCCCTTCCAGCGCCAGGAACACAAGGTGTTCCGTGGCCGAGCTCTGGTTGGATCTGGCAAGGGGAGATGGACGCCGACAGGATGGGCCCGAGTCAACATTCGACGGGATGGCGCCGAGCCGCTCTTTGAGGGTGCGTTCAGCGTGGATGGTAACAAGCACCATATCGAATTACACTCGACCTACGCCGCCAAGAAGCGACCGATCGATGCCGATGTCGAGGACCGCGGACACGACTACATGCTTGTCTACCGTGACACTGATATGATCAAGGGACATGTCGAGCTCAAGCGGTCTCTGTCGGATTCCTCAGGGTGTTCAGCGGATAAGCTCGACTACAATGCTGACCTGAGCAACTCGATTTTTCCTGCCGGATTCGACATGCCCAACAGCCCGTGGGGATTCACCTCGCTCGACTCCATGTTCGGCCTGAGCAAACGCCAGTCCGACGTGGGCGGAGTGTCTGGAAACACTGGCGGGGTGAATCTCAAGTCCACCATTGGTGATTCCTCTGGATGCCCCAAGACCAAAAAAGTCGCGCTGATTGGCGTGGCCACGGACTGTGAAATGACCAACCACTTCAAGTCCAATTCGACTCCCAAGGACGCTGCCAAAGAGTGGGTGATCAATTTGATCAACACCGCTTCGAGTCTCTACGAAGATTCCTTCAACGTGTCCATTGGTCTGCGCAACCTGACCATCAACGACCCGTCCTGCCCTACGACTGCTAACGACGCTCTGCCCTGGAACGTGGGATGTGATAGTGGAAATATTACCTGGCGTCTCAACGAGTTCTCCAAGTGGCGTTCCGAGCACGAGGACAACAATGCGTACTGGACTTTGATGACTGGCTGCCCGACAAGCTCGGAAGTCGGCGTCTCATGGATGGGTCGACTCTGCACATCGGGTCTCACTAGCAATGGAGATAGCTCGGTCACCGGCGCCAATGTTGTCGTCGGTAACCGGGGTACCACTTGGCAGATCTTTGCCCACGAAACTGGACACACTTTTGGAGCCGTGCATGACTGTGACTCGGAAACATGCGGACAAAACCTGGAGGATTCATCACAGTGCTGCCCGCTTTCCTCGTCCACTTGCAACGCCAACGCCAAGTACATCATGAATCCTTATGCGGACAATCGTATGACAGAGTTCTCACCATGCACAATCGGCAATATCTGTTCCGCTATCAGCCGGAACAGCATCCAATCCTCTTGCCTCTCCGATAACAAGGGCGTCGTAACGATCAGCGGCAGTCAGTGCGGCAACGGCATCGTGGAGTCTGGCGAGGATTGTGATTGTGGTGGTGTGTCTGGCTGCGGAGACAACAACTGTTGTGACGCCAAGACATGCAAGTTCAAGGACAATGCTGTCTGTGACGACTCGAATGACAGCTGCTGCTCGAGCTGCCAATATGCCTCGGCGAATACGGTGTGTCGAGCCAGCACCAGCGAGTGTGACAAGGAAGAAAAATGCCCTGGTGATTCTAGCTCCTGCCCTGAGGACCAGTATGAAAAGGATGGAACATCTTGCGGTGACGGTCTGAAATGCGCTAGTGGCCAATGTACCAGCCGCAACTACCAATGCCGATCCGTGATGGGGACCTTGTTGAATAGCAACGACACCTGGGCCTGCGACAATACTAACCAGCCCTCGTGCAGTCTTGTGTGCGGAGCACCCAAGTCCTATTCCGAGTATGCCTACGGTACCTGCATCGAGATGAACCAGAATTACCTCGACGGCACACCGTGCGAGTCAGGCGGCCACTGCGAGTCAGGTCAGTGCAAGGGCTCCTCCGTCGGCGGCTGGATCAGAGACCACAAGAACTTGGTCATTGGCATCTGCGTCGGGGTCGGCAGTCTGATTCTCCTCGCTCTGCTCTTCTGCATGATCAACAGATGTCGAATGGCCAAGGCGAAGAAGCGTATCGCGAAGAAACCCCCAATGGGCGCACCTCCGATGGGCCGCTACGGTCCTCCACCTCCCCGGGGCCTCCTCAGGGCCAATGGTATGGGTATTCCAATTATGGATACCAAAACGTACCACCGCCTGGACCACCCACTGGTCCTCCGCCTCGCTACGGTTGACGAATTCTGTTGTCTGTTTCCTCATCGATGGTCTTATACCATCGATCTTTTGCATTAGGGTATCTGGATTGATTTGGGAATAGCCTGGAACTGGACCCGGGTTTTGCTTTGGCGTCAATTAGGGTCCATCGATTGGGTCGGAGAATTTAGTCTTCTCCCTTGCATTTTCTGAAATTTCACTTCGTGTGCATGTGCCTTATGTTTGTTTTATATGCTTTAATTCTAGAAAGGAAACGATCCCATGAATTGACTCGAATCAAAGAGATCCAAAATGTTTACTGCTATTAGCTGTCTGAATCAGACGGACAGGTCTCATCAGCTGATGCATCGACGTATTCATTCACAGATGTAAATTCGTAAACGCAACAGCGTTGGCAAAACAAACTACAAAATAACCAAACGAAGTTCCTAACACCGTCAAAAACAAAGGAAACCCAACGCAAGTCCGTCAATCTGCGCGGTACCACCTATTAAAAAGAAGAAAAAAGTCACAAAATGCACATACACCGTACCCAAGGGATGAGTTTAGAACCCTCTATTGCCAGCAGATGCCAATAAAGGCCTCCCGGGTAACACCACCCACACCCTCAAGATCAAACTCCTCAATCATAGCGCGAAGCTCCTCCTCTTCAAGACCAGTCTCGCCGAGCTCTCTAGCAACGCGCCGCAAGTCCTCCAGGTCAATAAAGCCCTTCTGGCCCTCGTCGAACAGCTCGAAGGCGCGGATGATCTCCTCGCGGGGGTCGCGCTCCAGAATCTTGAGAGCGGTAACGGCTTGGAAGGAGGAGAGCGGCATCAGGAGGTTGGAGGGGTGTTGCGGGTTCCCGCCGGAATTGCCTTTCGGTGCTTGGGGGTTGGCGGTGCCTTGTTGTTGTTGGACCTGGGGACGGGGGACGCCGTAGGTTGTGAGGAGCGAGATGAGTTCTTGTTTGGTTAGGCTGAAACCGAGGGCGCGAAAGGCGACGCGGAGCTCGTGGTAGTCTAGGTGGCGATCGCGGTCGAGATCGAAGAGAGTGAACTGGTTTTGTCAGCTTTTGTGGTCTTTTTTCCCGGTTTGTTGCGGTCGAGATTTTCCACTTGGGTGTTTGTCGGTCTCTGGCTCTGCGATTGTCGACTTCAGAGTCCGACTGTCCCAAAGACAGTCACCCGACAAAATGATTGAAGGGGTCTCCTTACCGCTTCATTGATTTCCTCCCTCTGCTCCTCCGTCAACCGGTTCAGCGGGTTGGTATCCTGCGCAGCGGGACCATGAGACTGCGACACGGCTGCGGGGCCAGCAGACTGCTGCTGGTTCTTAGGTACTTCACCACCAGCGTAATCAACGGGGGCAGTAGCGCCCAAGGGACGGTGTCTCGAGAAAGAAGAGGCACTGAACGGCATGGCGTTCGCGTTGGCAGCTCGGTCCGGTAGCTTGTTCCCGGCGTACGAGCGCGACGCGAAGGGTTGGCCGCCGGAGGCCATGGCGGGTTGGTTCTCGTGCAAAGACGAAAAGAGACTTGAGGGTTTCTGGGGATAGATCGCAGGTGGATGTCGAGGGAATTGGGGCTCGCGGCCCGATCGTGTGGAGCTGAGGTGTTGGCGGTGGAGAGATTCTTGAGACGCGCGGGACGCGGGCGGAATGACTGTCGGGCGTGGAGTAGCACCTGCCAGGCACCAGGTATGTTTGGGTCGGAGCAAGAGCTGACCAAGTGGATCGGGAAGAGCTACTACGAGTTGTGTTCAGGGTTATCTTAACAATGTGATAAACTGAACATGTAGCACTCGATTTACCTGCTAACTATCCATTTTGCACTAACTCTACGCTGATTTTTGGGATCACCTGCAAAACAATCAGATCTAGAAGTACCCGCAAAAACTCCAGGGATCTACTGAGGCCCCGAGCGCGTAGATTGTACTGCTCAAACACTTTGTGTATTGTCAATTGTTATCAACTTGACGGAGCGAGGAAACAAAACAAGAGTAACAATAGCCCAAGCTTCACACAACTTCCTAGGCGTCTTTCCATTCCAGCTAGAGCTAGACAACCTCGTTTTCCTGTCCCCAATCTTGACCATAAACAAAAAAAAAAAAAAAAAAAAAAAAAAAAAAGAGAGACACCTAGCCGTGACTCGGGGTATACAAACTCCACAGTGCATCAACAGTCCCTGGTAAGAGCAAAGCATAATGCCTGCATGTACAGATCAATGAGAAAACACAACGAACGAGAAATCCATGGGTTCCGAGTTGTTGAGATCAAGTCCTTCTATCGAGATCAAGCCCTTCTATCAAGGACGTCTCGTAGGGCAGCAGCCATGGAGGAATGATAATTCGGGTCGTCAACATCAAAGTCGACAATGCGCGCGATATCAGCAGGAGTGAGAAATATGTTGTCAATGGCATTTCCATAGGTGTTGGGCATTTGAGACGATGTCGAATGTACATTATTTTTTGACGGTAGATTGCCCGGCAAGCCCGAGGCACCCGGATTGTCTTGAGGCAAGACGTTCTCGATAGGCGGGGTGATCGCAGAAAAGTCGTCTCGCCGATCCTGATCGGGCGAGGAGGAATGTACATCATCCGACGGGGTGTTGTTTGAGCTGGTGGAGAACTTCATCTTTCGAACGCATTGCAGGCCCCGTCGTAGACATTGTCGACAAGGGTTGCCGGGATCGCATTTCTTCTTGCCCTGATAACATGGGATACACGCCCCGCCGGATTGTCTCAGGATCTTCATCTCGTCCCTTTGTTGCCCGCGTTCGAAATCGGTCCGGGCACTCCGTTCCCAGTAGGCGCGTTGGTTTGGATGAGTAGGGTCTACGACCACAAATCTGAAATTTTCCCCCATAAACTCACGTCCGGGGTTATGGTATTGTCGCGCCAGGTCCAGGTCTTCAGGGTTGATAGAGCTCATGGAGCGAGCGGTTTGGGGGATTGGGGGGTATCGGTAGAGTAGAAATGGGAATCCACCAATGTTCGGAAGATTGTTGAAGAAGTTGTAAGAATGAGTAGTGTTTGGTGATGACCGGGAATCCGCTCTTGGGAAGCCTCTTTCTCTCAGTACAAAAGCGATGCCGACGTCTGTTGCAGGTGCATTCAGATCCCACGTGTAAAAATAACCAGCAAGCTGGCCGTCGTCGTTGGTCGTAGCCCAAGGGCCCGATTCCGGGTTTTGAGACCGCATGATTACCGTTTCGTAGCTAAGCAGATATGTCTTCAGGAGTGGTTCCTCGCAGCAGCAAGTCCGTAGGCCGGTTGGAAAGTCGATAAAGAGTGGGATACTGCAGGGACAAGGCCGTGATGTTGGAGTATGCGGGCTCGGTCGTGGATGGAGATAAGATATCGCGTCGCGTGAACCGAGGACAGCGCGAACCTGGGCACTAGAAGAGCCCGTAGATATGGAGGAGCGACACAAGCTTCGGAACGAGCGAAGACCTCGAAAGAGAGGACGAGTGACAGCAGCGACGAGTTCTCAGCGGAAGTTGCGACGACTTCAAAAGATGACTCCAGTAGGAATGAGACTATACCCCCAGGAAGATAGCTGGGGGCGATGTCTATGTCTGGTACAGCTGCCCTGGGAGGCCATTTCCTAATCGGGAACCGGAGCCCTTCCCTCGGGAGATCTAGTAGTAAGCACTCGTACCATAGGTGTGTGTAGCTGTTCCCTTGTCTCGAGTCGGTGACGAAAACTTTGGTCATATCTCGGGTGCATGACTGCCCACCATCACAGGTAGGTTCGTGTAAACCAATACCAGTATATGCAACGCAGCTGAAATAGGAAAGACAGCTTCTGATTATCATGACCGCTTGGTGCTCCAGCGATCAGGGTCCCGTTGTGTACCCAAGTCCAAATCCTCGAGGAAAGTCCGCCCAAGGAGCTCCTCGGGGAGATAGACTTGCTCAACCTCCCCATTCACGTAGTTGGGATTATACTTGTATTCTTTCCCATAGCCGAGCTCCTTCATCAGCTTGGTTGGGGCATTTCTGAGGTGAATCGGAATCGGCAATCCAGCCACACCCGGTTCATTGAGAGCGGCAAATGCATTATTGAGGCCTCGATAGGAGCGAGTACTCTTTTTCGACAACGCCATGGCAACGGTAGCATGGGCCAGGTTGATACGAGCCTCTGGAAGACCGATTTTCTCCACAGCGGCGTGTGTCGACATGGCCAGGGTGAGCATGCTGTTATCTGCCAGTCCGATGTCTTCAGATGCAACAACAATGAGCCGTCGAGCGATGTATAGTGGATCTTCTCCGGACTGGATCATGCGTGCCAGATAATACAAAGCCGCATCTGGGTCGCTTCCCCGGAGGGACTTGTGGAAGGCCGAGATTGTATCATAGTGTTGGTCACCAGCCCTATCATAGACAAGGGTCTTTGTTAGGGAGCTCTTGAGGACATCCTTGGTCATTCCACGCCGCTTCGAGAGATCCATGGCGAGTTCCAGAAGATTGAGTGATGTTCGAGCGTCTCCATCAGCAAATCGGGCGAGGTAGCCGATCAGTTCGTCGTCCACCAGCTCTGAAGGCGAGTAGTTGGGGCCTTCGACCTTTAAAGCGCGCTGCAGGATCGACTTGATATCTTCATCTGTCAGCTTAGCCAGGGTAAATGTCCTGCATCGAGAAAGCAGGGCATTCTGGATCTTGAAAGATGGGTTTTCGGTAGTTGCGCCAATCAAAGTTACCTGTCCACTTTCAACAGGCCCCAGGAAGACGTCCTGCTGAGACTTGGAGAAGCGGTGGATCTCATCACAGAATATAATGGTCTTTCTGCCCGTCAGGCCAAGTTCGCTGCGAGCTTCATAGAAGATCTTCTTGCATTCTGCGACTCCGGTGCTTGTACTGTTGATTTCCACAAATCGACTTCCAACCATTGAAGCGATGACTCGTGCAATAGTTGTCTTTCCTGTTCCAGCACTTCCCCATAAGATCATGCTGGGCACTCTATCCTGCTCGATGAGGCCCCGAAGAACTCCGTTCTCGCCAACCAGCTCTTGGCCACAGACCTCCTCCAGATTCTTTGGCCGCATACGCTCTGCAAGTGGAGCCGCTTTATGGAACGCGTTCATCTTCGGACGTTTGGGTTGGGACTCCGTGATATCGCCATTGGACTGTCTCACTTTATCTTGGTCTCGGGGCGGCGTTCCTTCCATGAAAGATCTCTTGCCATTGAGCGGACGAGGTGTCGGAGCCGGTGCACGAGATGGTGATTCTTTGACGAGGCTAGCTTGGCTCGATGCTTTGCGTGCTGACGGCGGTTGGAATATGCTTGGAACGGGGCCCTTTTGGGACGACGGCTGATCTCCCGGGGAAGATGACGGGTCTTCGACGAAGCTTTGGCAGTCGGAATCCAGGTGGTCGTTGATCTTCAGTTGCGGGACAGACTTGCCACAAATCGGACAGGACACCATGATGGTCAGATTGTCGAATCCTGAAGACAAAAGATGGCGGTGCAGCTGGTTGATTTCACGTTGCTTAATGGCTTTCCGCCGCAGAGACGCGTCGCGCCAGTTACGTAAAGCCGCGATCCGGGGTTGGTACCTTGGTGCCTTGGTGCCTTGCGCCTCTATGCTTGAGTACAGAGGGAAAGAGAAAGGGATAACACGTTGGAAAAGAGAGGGACGTTAAAAGCAAAAATACTAGAGCTTTAAACAACTTATTTCAGCTCTCCGCTACGAATCCGACGTATCTATTCTGGCCCTTATCCCAACTTATCGTAATACCTCTCCGTTGACTTGCTAAATTGATCTGTCGCATGCACGGCAGTCCCCGCCCGAACTCGGAAGCACGCCATTCGCGCACGATGACTCCTCCCTTATGACAGCGGTCCCTCCGTCCCGTATACCGAAGTCGCTCCACGCTTACTCTCCATGATTCTCGGTCGCTCGCTCCTCTCCCTCGTTCAATCGACTCGCTCTCCCAGACAGCTCGCGTCAGCTTCCTCGCTACCCCGCATCTCCTGTTACGGCACAAGAACCATGTCGGCTACAGCTGCGCGGCCCGACCCTTTCAAGCCAGCCAAGAGAGTGGCTGGCCAGCGCCAGGATGTTTGGTACGGTGATCGACGAGCAAGACGGAAACAACACAGGCAGCGCTGATGCGAAAGATATAGGTCAATTGTCAACGAAGCGGCCGCCGCTTCGCCGGTTCAGCCGATCGTGAACATGGGCCAAGGGTTCTTGTGAGTACTTGGGCATTCTACCTATGCTGCATTTGCAGGTTGGCATATGTTGACGTGTCTTATCACTGTACAGTGGCTACAACCCCCCTAAGTTTGCAATTGATGCTGCAAAGGACGCCCTGGACCGGGTAGAGTGTAACCAATACTCTCCGACAAAGGTGGGGCACGCGATATATGAGAGCTAAATAGCTTGCTCACACACAACCAGGGTCGTCCCCGCCTCAAGCAGGCCATTGCGGATGCATACTCGCCTTTTTTCGGCAAGAAGATCAACCCAGAGACTGAGGTCTCGATCACCACTGGAGCCAACGAGGGTGAGAACCGCCAGGAAAACATATTGCTCTACAGGCAGACTAATGGGACCATATAACCGGACCAGGCATGCTCAGCGCTTTCATGGGTTTCATTGAGCCCGGCGATGAAGTCATCATCTTCGAGCCTTTCTTTGACCAGTGAGTTTTGAGACTCGAGACCTCTCCGGTATATTTATACTCAAACACTCTGCATAGGTACATCAGCAACATTGAAATGCCCGGTGGTACGATCCGATATGTTCCCCTTCACCCACCCAAGGACGGTGCAACTCGGACATCTCCCGCGTCGGAATGGAAGATCGACTTCCAGGAGTTGGAAAACACCATCAACTCCAAGACTAAAATGATTGTAAGTTCCTAACCCTGGGAAAAACTAGTACTATCGATTCTAACGCTCGTGCTAGGTTTTGAATTCTCCGTGAGCAATGCATCTACCCTCTCGCTCTGCGTCCCTTCAACTAACCTGATCTAGTCACAACCCTGTCGGCAAGGTCTTCTCTAGCGAAGAGCTTCAACGCATTGGCGATCTCTGCGTGAAGCACAACCTCATCATCCTCTCCGACGAAGTTTACGACCGTCTCTTCTACGTTCCGTTCACCCGTATTGGCACGCTGTCCCCGGAGCTTTACGAGCGTACCCTCACCGTAGGCTCTGCGGGCAAGGCCTTCTACGCGACTGGATGGCGTGTTGGTTACCTGATCGGACCCGAACATTTGATCAAGTATGTTGCTGGCGCACACACCCGTATTTGCTACAGTAGTGTATCCCCTCTTCAAGAGGCCGCGGCTGTTGCGTTCGAGCAAGCAGACAAGCAGGGATTCTGGGACGAGAGTAGAAACGAGATGCAGCAGAAGATGAAGCGCTTCTGCGAAGTCTTCGATGAACTGGGTATCCCCGTACGTCGATTTGGTCTCCCTTTAAGAGAAGGCAAGACGAAGTAATTGGCTAACATGACTCTAGTACTCTGATCCTGAGGGTGGTTATTTCGTCCTGGCAAACATGGCCTCGGTCAAGCTGCCCGCTGACTACCCATTCCCGCCGCACGTTGCTAGCCGTCCTCGCGACTTCAAGCTCTGTTGGTTCCTTATTCACGAGGTTGGCGTGGCTGCAATTCCTCCAACAGAGTTCTACACCGATGCCAATGCCCATATTGCCGAGGATTATCTTCGTTTCGCCGTCTGCAAGAACGACGACGTCCTCGAGACTGCCAAGGAGAGACTTCGGGGCCTCAAGAAGTACATCACACAATAGACAGGGATAGTCATTCGTGGGAGTTCTACATAGATCATCTACGAATCAAAACAATACACTGGCAATATTAAGAAGAACCATATTTTGAGGAAATATTCTTCAATTGGCAATGGCTACTAGTATTTATTTGGAGGCGAGGGAAATGGAGTTCAAACGGCCCTCACATTTCCCTCCCATCCACCCCTAGATGGCCATCACCAAGATCTCACCTCGTCCTCACTTCACCTTCAAATGGTTTGGGGGAGGCTAGCAATTGTAGCCTTCCAATTCCATCGGGCCCGTGCCCGCTCCATCCCACCCCAGCCCACGACGGAACACACGGCGGTAGGGGAGATTAACCCCCGCAAAGCCGTTTCCTCGCATGCGGTCCGCTGCGCGGTGCACGGTCGGATGGGTGGTCCGGCTTGCCCGGAGAAGCCAGTGCGAGGCTTCCATCCCCGCGCACTTTCGTTCCAGGCATATGCAGCGGGTCCGCGTCCACGTCCTGTGCCCCAACCGCTGTTGAACTACGCAGGTCGGGTCGGGGCACCCCTTGGGGTTCTTCCCTGTCCACTCTGCTTCACAGGCGTGTGGATAGGCGACCCAATCAAAAGGGGCAATGAATCCTGTCTCCCTTTTGAACTGCTTCTTGAGGAGCCCCTGCATGCCTGTTTCCATTCGATATGAGGCCTTCAGCTTGTCACCGATCATCCGGAATGCATATTGCAAAATCTCAACGTTTGAATCGGGGGCAAACAGACTGATTGCCATGCATCGGCGGAATCGATCTTTCTCCTCTGGGTCGTCGAATTGGATGATCCAGCTTGGCAAGGTCGCTTGATCACCTCCCCAGGTGCGACATTGACTTGGCATAGAACAGCCGATCTGCCGATCATCGAAGAGGAAGTAGTCCCCTTTTGCTTGGGCGGAACTAAACCACAAGGCCTGTCGGTGACGCTCAACTGTGTTCCAGCCATGGCGGTTGATAAGCATAGGAATACCCTCATGGATACGTTGTGGAATCGAACTGCTGACACAGAAGTGTACAAAGGGAGATGTCCCGCAGATTCTCCAATGAGTGAGAACGTCCCGCCGCAAGTGATCTCCGCCGCAGTATCGAACCGGCGAGAAAGGTCCGCACCCTGGACAGATTACCGTGTAGCCATCATACAGGTTGCAACGCTGCTCACATCCAGCAAGCTGGCATCGCAGACCACGAGTCAGGTCGATGAAGGAAATATCACCCGCTAGTCTGAGCGGTCTCGAGGCTTGCATCATCGCCGCGGCTATGGGCACATGACTCAGTGGGCCGTTCAAAGAAAATGTATTCAGAGGGCTTTCTTCTGGAGGGGGAGAAAGGAAAGTTCCCGGAGGGGTCGGAGGTTCGGATCTGGTGCCAACAAGCATCCTTCCTCTGTCTGGAACTGGGTATCTCACCGTGGGCGTTTCAAATGTGTCACTCCAGCGGTCATTTTCCAGCTCTGATCCTTCCGAATCGGTTGTTGCTACCGCGCCAGGTCTTTTGATCGAACTTGAAGCAATACGAAGTTGCGGAGGAGCACTAGCGGCTCGTTGTGGTAATCCCGCGATCGTCGCCGTAGTAGGAACATAGGCGGTCATGCCCAGACCGGCAACTGGTGTAAGAGTTCCCCGGGAAATAGACGAATGTGTTGCTTCAGATTCCAGTTCTTGCTTTTTCGAACTAATCGTCGTGTCCGTAGGTTCGTCGGCTGAACATCCAGTCGTCACCGGCATGCGCAGACCGGCAGTGGGTGTGAGGGTTCTCGAAGATGAAGATGTATTTTCATGCTCCCGTTCTTGCTCCTCCAGACCAATCTTCGTGTTTGTAGGCTTGTCGGCTGAGAATTCAGTCGTCACCGGCATGCGCGGGTCGGTGGGGGGAGTGAGGGTAGCTGGAGACGGACATGCAGTATCATATTCCGGCGTTGGTTTCTCCGAATCGATCTTCGTGGCCTCAGTAGGTTTGTCTGTTGTGCCTTGAGTAGTAACCAGCATACTCGGGTCGGCGGTAAGTGTAAACGTACCAGGTGGTGGAGTTGAATTCTCCTCCCGAATCCGACTCTCTCTCTTGGTGACTCCGCCTGACAGTGTGCTTTCCGAAGAGCTTTGTCCGAGGAGAAGTCTTTCGCGTGAACCTGTAGCCTGTTGGAGCATCTCCTCCGTCTTTCTTCCTCGCGTATTGCCCTTCTTGTTTTTCTTTTTCTTCTTTTTCAGTGCCGGACTCGCAGTGGGGGGACTTTGGATATCCAAGATAGACTCACCGAGTGACTGATTAGTGGCCTGAGGATCGGCAGAGGACGTCGAGCTGGTCTTCACTGGGTTGGGAAAGACAGTTTGCTCCTCGAAGGAATGCTGAGGTAACACATCGGCTTCTGCCTGATTTGTGTCGCTGTCATCGCCCTCAGTGGGGTTCTCTTCGAGTGTCCAGGGTGTCATGGGGGCTTCTCTCTCAACGGCAGGAATCGGGAGATAGGCTGGTCCGGGTGAGTTTTGAGGAGAGAAAGAAACGGGAGGAAGGATGATCAACGAATGCGGTGAAGGAGTTTCGTGGGGGGGTTGGGGGGAGAAAGAGGGTTTGAGGGTTGGGAAGAGAAGTGAAGTGAAATGATCTGGAGGAGTAGTAGTAAGACCTCCGCCTAGATCAGCCGTAGCAGTCACTTCATTAGAAGGGTGGCTCGGCTGAGTGATCGCTGTGTCCTCTTCTGATTGTCCACAGAGCTCTTCGCCCTTGGAAGTCATCTCCAACCGGGAATCTTGCCAGAGAGTCCGTCGACGTTGTCTCTGTCGTAGCTTCTTTCGAGCATTTTTCGAGCGGGAACTGCCGACGCATTTGTCTCTCGAGGCCTGACTTTCCAGGTCAGCAGCTCCCGGTTCGTCATCACCCAGCTCAGCGACTTCTGGGTCAGCGGCATCGGGGTCAGCAGCATCTCGAGTCTTCTTGTCCTTTTTCCTCTGCTTGCGCTTTGCCTTGCGACTCGCGGCCTTCATCGACGCGGTCTCTGCTTGAGCAATGACTGCGTCCACCACGGTTCCGTGGGCGATTTCCACCGGAACTCCAACCTCACCTACGCCATTGAGACGCACAACGAGATTCTCAAACGAGAGACGGATCTGCTCGTTGGTCCTTTGATAGAGTCTCATCCAGAACCGAAGTCGAAAACAGGTAAAAAACATTGAGAACGTTATGACCTTCGGGAGCATGGATTGAAAATGCGTCGATCAGGATATTGTGGAGTCGAAGTTGAGGAGGCAGTGCGTCTGTCGGTTTTAAGCTCACGACTCGGATCTTTTTAGGCAGGCACGCGCCGTCTCGTCAACAACAACAATCGCACCTGCCAAAAAAAGGAAGGGTGACTCATCTCCAGTATCAGTCCTTACAATGCCAACATACGAATAGCCGAGTGTCCCTGTTTGGACTCGTCTTCTCTCTGGCCGACCTTGCGGTTATACAGATGCCCAGATGGAAACTCCCATCCCACCCCAAAAACCACCTGATCCCTTAACAATCAGCCCATCGCCATCCATGAATGGTAGCCATTTATCTCCCTTCCATACCATTCCCTCAAGAGCGCAGCCGCAATTTAACTTTATTCGATCAAAAGGATGATTTTTCGTATGCCCGTGTTGATGACAAGGTGATTACCATCGTAGCGGCGTAAAAAAAGAAAAACATGTGCCGATTCGTGATGGTAAATACCCCATGCAATACAAATCATGTTTGAAGATATGATCATCTGGATCTAGTCTCAAACAGCAAGTACTTTTTAGATTCAAGTGAAATTCAAGGAGTCATCAATACATATCCTGATGAGATGCATGCCGATCTCCCGAATGATGTAGCATGCGATTACCGTCCTGATCCAGTTCAGTTGAGCAGGTTTCAGTCAATGTATAGATAATACCATATCATGTTTAATATTTTGGAGAAGCAAAAAAGCAGGCGTTGCAACTCAATTTGAAGACAGACTGCGACAGGCATCGGAGTAGGGTAAGGAAGGTCATGTGACGCGATGGAGTTATGCGATATGGTCACGTGAGTATGTCTCGAGCTACGCGCCGAGAGGGAAGACGGCAAGATCGACTCACCAACCCCATGGCGAAGGTGATGCTGTCTGGGACGCTTCTTGTTTCGAGACAAATACCTAACTAGTTTTAGCGATGGGTCACCGGGAGGTTGCCAGCCGGGCATGGTCTTTGTCCTTGGCCGGACAATTGCCAGAACAACAAAGCCAAAGACGCCGGATCACCCCAAGGGAGCAACGCGACAAAGAAACCCGCCATCCACATGATCACCATCATGGTCCTCGACTGGCGACGATAAATCGCCGAGGACGGCAGTTAATCAAAGAATACTGGTTTGAGCCTTGCCTCTGGGGGAGCTGATGATTGGCTCTGGGCACCGGACGCTAAGCGCCCACGGGGACTATATTTGGTAGGCGGCCACTTACGCGCCTTGCTGCAAGATGAAACGGACCCTGGCACCGATCACTTGTCTGCAGAACTAAAATGACTTTAAATCAGAACTCCCTTTGTTTTGACCAGGCCGGGGCCTTGTCCTGACTGGTTGTTCCGGTGCCAGGGGCTCGCTAACTGCTTCAGAGGGGCTTCTCTATAAAAAGATCGAGCGTCATGCGAAGACTTTGGGCGCCAACCACCTCAAAGAAATATTACAGGACATATGGGGCCTGCAGGATTTAATACCCGACTTTTCCTCTCTTGCGCCTGTGCCTAACATTTAATTTTCCATTTTTTTTTTCACTCCAAGCGGCCAGTGAATACGCCCATCATTCACCTTCTCTTTTGAATTATCCACAATGATCAATGAATAGCCTTCTTCAGAAAATACCGCTTCTGGATATATCATTACTTGAAATCCTTTCTCTTTGTGTCTTCTACAAGATTTTGTCTGAGACGCTCGTCTTTCCGATCTTCATCTCCACCCCCAAAGCGCAGGCGCAAAAGCAAAACGCATTCTTCGACACACATCACTATGATTTTTTCGAGATCTGGACGACCTGTGTTTCCTCTCCTTCCTCCATATGGAGCACATGATCCGAGTGATGGGCGGGTGGTCCCATCGCACCCCGATGGACTTACTCCGTACCTGGGCCTACGCGCTCGACTCTCACAAGTATGGATCAATCGCTGGACGATTTTGCTCCTACTGGTGCTGGTCCGTGTCCTTATTGCCGTCGGAGGTGTAAGCAGCAATATGGCAAGTGCTAAGCGGGAGGCACTCTCTGCTTGTACATCAGTCGAGTCCATGGGCAGCGCGATGGCGTCGATGCCACACTATCTTTCTCAGGGCGTCAATGAGCTCACTGCTTCGGGGATCGACTCGACCGTTCATGGATTGCGTTCCATGCTCCTTATGACCATCACCGGTGTAGAGGAAATCATTCTTTTCATCATCAAGATCATGTATCAGACATATTTGTGTCTCATCACAATGGCCGTACGGGGCACAGTGTCGGTAGCAACCGGTTTAATCGAGGATGCTCTCGATGTTGTGAACAGTACACTGCACTCTGCCACTGAGGCCATCCAAAGCACCGTCAGCGACTTTGAGAGTTCCTTGAACGACTTCGCCAAACTTGTCAACACGGCTGCAAGCGCCCTCGGAGCTGACCTCCCGACACTAAACCTGAATAGCTCGCTCGATATGCTGGACAGCATCACAATCCCATCAAACGTCGATGACAAGCTCAACGCTCTGAACAGCTCCATCCCGACATTTGACGAGGTGCAGAATTTCACCGAGACGGTGATCCGAACGCCGTTTGAAGAAGTCAAGAGATTGCTCAATAACCATTTGGGCAACTACACCTTTGATCGTTCGGGTCTCCCAGTTCCAGAGAAGAAGCGGTTGACATTCTGTGACGATAACGGTGGGATCAACGGTTTCTTCGACGGCGTGGGCAACGTCGTTTCCACTGCCAAGAAGATCTTCATCGCTGTCCTGGTTGTCGCTGCCATCCTAGCTTGCGCTCCCATGGCATGGCAGGAAATTCGGAGGTGGCGCCAGATGAAGGAGCGCTCGCAGCTGGTCCACAACAACAGTCATGACCCCATGGATGTCGTGTACATTGTCTCTCGCCCGTTCACTGCTGCTGCTGGTGTAAAAGCTGCTAGTCGGTTCAGCAACAGTCGCCGACAGATTCTAGTCCGCTGGGCAATTGCATACGCGACATCCACGCCTGCGCTTTTTGTTCTCGCCCTTGCCATTGCTGCTCTGTTCTCCTGTCTGTGCCAATACATCTTGCTCAAGGCTGTCGCCAAGACGGTTCCGGAATTGATCACCGAAGTAGGAGCCTTCGCCGACAAAGTCGTAGATTCGCTTCAGGATGCATCGACGGAATGGTCAAACAGCGCGAACAAAATGATTACGGATTTCGACGATGACTTGAACAACAACATCTTCAGTTGGGTCAACACCACGACCCATGGCGTCAACGAAACCCTCAACACCTTCGTCGACAAAACACAAGACGTCCTCAATGAGACCTTCGGTGATACTCTGCTCCGTGAGCCGGTGGAGGAGCTGTTCAACTGCCTGATCGGCCTGAAGATCGAAAGCGTGCAGAAGGGACTGACATGGGTCTCCAACCACGCCCACATTGACTTTCCACTTCTACCAAACGATACATTCTCCCGCGGCGCACAAAGCAGCATATCCAGTGGATCCGACCCATCGGACAGCTTCCTTGCTGACGCAGGCGACGAAACCTCCAACAAGATCAGCGAAGTCGTTACTTCAGTAATCAACAAACTGTACGACGGCCTCCGCACCGAAGCCATTATCGCCACCTGCATCCTTCTCCTCTGGGTATTTATTGCTCTGATTGGCGTGACCCGCGCCATAGCCCTCTGGTGGGGACATGACCGGAATCGTGGCGAGGGTGGTGGCCACGCCATGGACGCGATCCCGAACCCTCGTGGGCCAGCGCCAAATGCATCTGGCGCTGACTTCACCGATGTACCTCTGACTGCTATCCCGAAGGGTCTCGGCACCATTAATGCTGTTCCCCAGTATGAGAATCCAGCCGTGAGCTCCGGCGCACGGGCTGTGCCAGGGCTTGATAATGAGAAGATGGGTTTTGCCGGGAGGCGGGACTATCAGGTGGACTCAGCTGCGATGCGGAAGAGCAACTACGTGGAATATGATATGAAACACTGAGTGTTTCGTGCATGGCTGGTGTCTGGGTCTTTCCTTTATTTATTTTTCTAACTACCATTGAACATAAGCGGTGTCATCATGATCACTATGGGGGTTGCACATAGATTAGCGTTCACGTATACAATATTTGCAGATGTAGGTGTCACCACCAATTACAATCTTTTATTTGTAAAATCATCCTTCTATGCTTCTCCGGCTTATCAAAATTCAGCTCGACAATAGCTCACGCCATTGGCAATTAGCGCATGCACCATTGAAGGTGCCAGGAAGGCGTACATTCCCGCCGAACGGACAACCATTGGTGGAATACTCACAGGAGTTGGGCATCGGGATTCCACGAGAAGCGATGAGGAGTGCGTTTACGTACGAGGGATGAGCCATCTTGATCTAGAAGCGAGTTAGCATAATCATACAAGACCCTCTAGAGTCCGATTTACCTTGGCCACTTTAACGCAGGGTTCACCGTTAATCACTCGGATAGTGAATTCGTAACATGGCCAGGACCAGACCTGGCGCTGGATGGGGGTATGACAGAGTGTACAGAGAGCTTCATTACCAGCTGCAGTGAGCTGGACACGAACATACTCGCGATTGTTGTTATCGCGGAATCTGACGCGGTGGTTGAGAAATTTGTTGCGATCAGGAAGGACCGAGGCTGGATCATATGTGCGTTGCGCAGCCACGGTGGACAGTTGGCACGCGGGTTGGAGATCCATAGCGAGCATAAATAACAGAGGAGAGATCGAACAAGCGAAATAAAATAGGTCGAGATGGTTAGTGAAGAAGTTAAGTTCCTAGGCGAGAGGAGGGAACTCCTTTATATAGCTGAGGATAGACGGCCTGAAGACTTCAATATTACTCAATCATAGTTCCTATTGACACACAAAGCTGAATTGGGCTACCAACTGCATAATTGTGATGTAATGGGAGCTGCTCAGACACTTAACTGTGCAATAGTTGCCTTGAAGGGGAAGGAGGAGGCTATTTTTATGGGACCATCAGACAAGATCCTAAGTTGGTGCTCGGCCTGAGGCCTCACAAACAATTCTGTAGAATTGCACTATCGCCTTTCATCCAAACTTCACCTTGAGCGTTCTATATATCATTTACCTTTCTTGAACTGTTCCTTCTTGTGCAAGGACACAACGTTGTTTCAGTAAGTTAGAGTGTCAAACTACCATTTCGGGGTGTTCGTTAAGGCCGGTAAGTTGAGAACCTTAACAGTGTCATATTAGCGAAGTCAATGATGCGACATTTCTCCGAGAACTCCTCACTGAAGGCATCTTGACAATTGACTGAGGCGGAATACATAATAGATACAGTCGTTGGAAGCGAAAAGAAATGATGATTGAAAAGTTGAGCACCCAGCTGTGTCGAAAAGTCAAATGAGGCTGTTCCATTCTCCGTTTTTGAGCGAAGAACCTACCCTGCTTTATACCCTGCCCAGGTGAGATCAACTAGTCCATTTTATGATATATTTGGCGCAGTCTAGGCTTTTACGAGCCGAATGTCTGTCCTGGTAGCACAGTCTTTGATATCTCATGTCATCAAAGTAGGTCTTTCCAATTGTCCAATAAATCTGGTCTCCAATGCAAAACAGGAAGCCGCTGCATAAGCAGCAAGCTGATCTGTCTATTTATCCATAAAAAAAATACCGCTGGTTCCATTAGGTTCCGTGAAGCATATGTTGTCTACGCAACAGATATCGGTGAGCTCTATTTGCCAGTCATTCTATCGCCAAGATCGATATAACTTCTCTCGCCCGCCAATAGACTGTGCAGTGAGGGAAGATAGAAACAACAAGGATACTTGTCTGAAGCGAGGCAGAAACGTACCGCAGGTTCCACTTTGTTCCATAAAATATGTGACATATGCCCTTGTTTGGAGATGATGGTGGAGTGAACATGTGTTTGATGAAGAAGCTACATGGGCTCTGGAATGTGAGGCAGCGTGGGGCACGATGGGGCCTGAGTCACATGACCTCAACCAGCCCTTTACGGATAAATCGCGCCGCGATGAGGAAACAACACTAGCTGGGTTGGAAGCTCTCCGCACATTTCCCAATACCTGCATGCGCCCCGCCTGCAAACTTATTCACGCGTCTTCTGGATTGACTATGACTTCCAGAAGCTGACAAGGAGGCCCCGAGATCTTAAGCATCTCATCTCCAAGTGTCGGAACAGATACCTCGAGCCAATACTGTCCTGATGGGGTCTGGCGAGAAATGCCTGGGATCGCGATGCAATCTGGATATATATTCTCCACCATAACTTTTTCGAAAGTTGCTCCTTCGGCAATATGTCCTTCTTGATCTGGAACACAAAGCCGTCTTCCTTTAATCCACACCCAAACTTCTTTGTGAATGAACAGAGCCAGACGTGTGAATTCGCCCTCTTTGCTGCAATAAAATCTTTCATCCTGAATTTGGTCCTTCATGATATTCCAAAGCTGTTTTTCGTATGACGCTCGAAGCCCAGCAAGGCCGGAATTAGCTTCCATCGCCAGGTATATCTGTGACCGCCAGTATACTTCACATTCGGACCCTGGGAAAAAAGCCCTGCATGTAGCAGAAAGTCTGCTGTAAATGGGTATGTAGAAATTTGCACGCTTCGTAATCTTCTGAATGATGATAGCATCTAAAACTGCTTTAATTGATATTCTTCAAAAGTGCAAATCAAACGATACCTGAATGGACGTGACAAACTGGCGTAGAACCTCCCCATTGCCAGTAAGGATCCCCGAACGACATTTTCGAATCCACTTTAAAGGTTGGAGATTTAAAATCTTTTTGGTATCGGCGGGCTTACTTGTACTTCCATCTAATTCAATCCAGTCATGTGTTTTAGCTTATTACTCTACCCCTATCTGCGCAAACTCTAAATTATTATGGCACTGCGCAATAATTTTGCAATATTATACTATTTATATTCTGATTTCGCTTAAATTCTGAATCATTCTTGAGCCTAGCAAGTGCTGTATACCGTGCTAAATGTATCAAACACATAAAATAAGTTTGCCGAACGAGATCAGTGAAGGCACGTTCCACTCAATATTAACCCAACTAAGATACTTATCAAACTCCAAGGTCTGTGGTTTACCGTCAAGCGTGTCAATGAAGTCCCAACTATCACGCGCACTCATCTGATTTAATTGAAGAATGCCAGCGGTTCTTTTCGACCGAGTCTACCATTTTCAAGCCCGCGGAGGTCTACGTGGCCATGATGAGCAAGTGGGTAAAGTCTACTTTGGAGATTTGTGAAGAAAATGCGCTTTGCTTTGAGATGCGATGGAAACTCTGTCAACCAGACGTGTACGCGAGCAAAGAAGGATCGCTTATTTGAATTGCTCTTGCGTTGAAACGAAGAGGTGTGTGCATGAGGATCCAGCAAGACCAGATATTTGATATTTCATCAACAGAAATACCGGAGAGGTCTTTTTGAAAGAATATCAACCTATGTTCTTTGCGCTGAGGAAACCAACCGGAAAGTACAAGATTGAGGTGTCTTTTGCCGAGCCTTTACAGTCGGTGTCGAAGATTGGAACAGTGACAGAATTTGCGAGTACCTTTCGCTTTCCTACATAAACTCGGTGTTGTTTTATTGTGAAACCGTGGATTCTCAACAGAAAGGCTAAGTATACCCACCGCGGTGATTGTCACTATTTCCTGATCGCCGTCATGACGAGCACGGTAAGCTTGATTATACTTGATTCCTCTTGTCGCGGGAAAATCCCGATGACGGACATTCTCCGCCAGAATGGTGCCTCAGGCATCAGTTTTGCCGAGCATCCCTCCACGTCTTACTGGATTCGTGGCAATCAAGGCGCAGAGTGGACTTGCAGTGACTTCACGGGGCTGAAGTTATTCAGGCAAAATCTAGAATGAATGAAACAGTGATGCATTCTGACTTCCTATACTAAACATTCCCTGATGGGTTTATTGCCGTACAAACATGAATCATAAATTGAGTAAACAAGCCACTAAATGGAGACAAAGAAGCTCTTCTCGCCCGCCCTTGGCTGAACCCGAGCACGCTCAACGATGGGATCGGCACAGCTGACACGGATACGTTCTGGTGTGGCAGGACTGACCAGGCTGAGGACCTCCTCAACGCCCCACTGCTTTCGCGCGGCCTTCAGAGCATCGCGAATAGCGAAGAAGACAGCGCTACCCATGAACAAGGGCGGCTCACCAATACCGCGGGAACGTTGGATAGTCCGCAGATTCTCCCACTCCACATCCTTCAGGAGACTGACATTGAAGATCTGAGGGATATCACGGAAACCGGGGATCTTGTAATTACCCGGGCCGCGGGTGAAGATCTGACCGGAAGCGCGGTGCCAAAGACTCTCCTCGGTGGTGAAGAGACCTTGTCCCTGGACGTAAGCACCCTCAATCTGACCGTAGTCGATGGAAGGGTTGATGGTGCGTCCGACATCCATCTTGATGTCAGTGCGCAGTGGAGTCCAGTCTCCTGTCAAAGTGTCAATCTGGACTTCCGAGGCGGTCACACCTTGTGTGAAGTAGAAGAACATCTGGCCAGTATTCTCGTGCCACACATAGCCAATATCAGGCGTACGGTAATAGCCCTGTGCAGAAAGGTTGACTCGGTCGAAGTAGGCCTTATGCGCAAGTTCCTTCATACTGGCACCGGGCATCTTCTCACGGTACGGGCGGAGACGCTCGTTGATTTGCTCGCAAGCATTGAAAATGGCGTAGCCGTTCAGATCAGAACTGGCCGATGCGGCCGTGGCAGAGGTGTTGGCGACAGTATTTGTGGCTGTTTCGGCAATGAAGACATCCTCCATGGGCACTTGGAGAGCCTCGGCAGTAATCGTCACCATCTTGGTGTGAAGACCTTGGCCCATTTCAACGCCACCGTGAGCAACAAGTACACTTCCATCGTGGTAAATGTGCACCAGAGCTCCAGCCTGATTCAGAAACAGAGCAGTAAAAGAAATACCAAACTTGGTTGGAACAATAGCCATGCCACGTTTGGACCACTTGTGTGTAGCATTATACTCTTCCACGGCCTTGCGTCGCTGGTAATAGTCGCTCTCCTCCAAGACTTGCTTGTACATCAGCGGCACGTACCAATCCTTGAGAGGCTGGTTGAAGTGTGTAGTTTCACCAGGCTCGTAGAGGTTAATTTCCCGGATCTTCTCTTGCGAGATGTTGAGATGGTCAGCAATTTCGGAAATGTAGCTCTCGGCAAAGAAGAGACCTTGAGGTCCACCAAAGCCACGGAATGCTGTGTTCGAAACAGTGTTTGTCTTGCAGATACGACCGCGCACAAACACATTCGGGATCTTGTATACACCATCGATATGCGACAAACTTCGCTCCACCACGGCACCAGACAGATCTTGCGTGTGGCCTCCGTTGGCGAAAACATCCGCGTCCAGAGCAAGAAGCTTTCCTTCCTTCGTAACGCCGACCTTCCACTTGCACATGAATGGGTGACGCTGGCCCGAGGTGATGATATCTTCATCACGGTTGAGCATGCAGCGGACGGGTCGCCGAGTCTTGTGGGCAGCAAGAGCGCAAATTCCAGCCAGCTGAACAGATCGCGATTCCTTGCCGCCAAATCCACCACCAAGACGCTTGACGCGAGAGACAATCTTGTTTGCAGCCACGCCAGTTACCTGAGCAACATATGTTTGCCTGTAATCTTTTTGTTAGATTCAATTAAATAAATTTTATCTGTATCGGAAGTTGAGACTCACGTTTCAGTGGGATTCTGGGTACCACTCCAGATCTCCATTTCGCCATCTTCGGGTTTGGGAATGGCCAAACAGGCCTGAGTCTCCAAGTAGAAATGCTCCTGACCACCCATACGAGCAATACCCTCGAAAACATGATCGGCTTTCTTGAATGCCTCCTCGGTGTCACCGCATTTGATGTAACGGTAGTGACCAAAGAAGGACTCGGCCTCGATTGCGTCCTCAATGCTCAAGATGACTGGGAGGTCCTCGTATTCAACCTTGACGGCTCTCATACCTTCCTCGGCAATCTTTGCAGAATGGGCCAAAATCACACCAATGGGCTGGCCAGCAGTCTTGACTTCGTCGACGGCGAAGAAAACCTCATCTGTGACAGGGGCTCCCCACCAGTTGGCCTCCGGGGTAGGCATATCCGTGTGATCGAGAAATTCAACCACTCCAGGAATCTCCAATGCTGCGGATGCATCCACGCTGATAATCTTCGCATGTGCCTTTGTCGACAGAACCATACAGGCAAACAGCTCATTTTGCTGAACCGGGATATCATCGGTGTATTGAGCCTGACCGGTTGACTGCTTGAGTGCTGCAACGTGAGGCCGAGCATGACCAAGAACTTTCTGCTGATAGGCAACCGATGCTTCATTGTCCTTTTGGCCGGTTGAGATAGCTCGTTCAATCTCAGCAATAACATCGGGATCCACATCAGATGCTTTGACTTCCATTCCGGAGAGCACGTCGTGGTAGAATCGATAGAAGAACCCCAGAGCCAGAGACTTTCGATAGGTAGCCATACCACCAGGGACGCCGAATGGCAAACTGAAATCTTTCTCCAGAGCGCTCATCACGCCTTCCAGGGTGGCAGGGTTTGTGAACTTCTGTCCGACCAAGAAGGCCTCGGCATTCTTTGCTGACACCGTCAATGGTGCCATACCACCAAACACTAGATTGCAGCTTGTCACATCGTAGTTGTCTGATAGCGAAACGCGGAGCGCAGCATTGACGATAGCGATATCGTCATCCTTTCTCTTTGCCTGCTTATACGCACGCATATGTTCGCCCTTTTCTGCGGCAGCAGGAATGCGGAGGCTGGCAATAATCGCATCCGGGGGTAGAGCTGTCTTACGATAGCCTTGGAAGAACTCGGTCATTGGAATTTCCTTATCGCCTGAAAGAGATTTGGCAACGAGGATAGTGTTTGTCGCCACGAATACTGGGTTCAAATCTGAGATGGGGGAAGCAGTAGCCAAGTTACCTGCTGGCGACGCGACATTCCGAATCTGTCTTCCGGCGAAGTATTGCAGTTGCTTCTTGATTGCCTTGAATGGCTGGCTTCGAGTCGGTCCATATTTCTCGACTGCCTGCTCGCAAATAGCTTCGAGGTCCGTCAATGTTACGTTGGCGCCAATCTCCAAGCAGTCGTCGTGGAAAGTAAAGGTCTTGAGCTCGGGGATGTCGCCCACATAAACGGAGGCCTTGTATCGCATCGCCTTGAACTTGATTTCAATCTGGGTCTCGGTACTTCCGCCAACCAGTTTAGCTTCGGGGTGGATGTTCTTGATTCTCAGCAATTCATCCACCGTCACGGGTCGGTACCACTTCTTCCGCTTATTGCCAAATACCAGTGGCTTGAACTGGTGCTTTCGAAGGGAGGCGGGGAAGATCAGCTCAGTATCCGGGCTGTATGCTTTGAAGTCGGGCTTAGGGAACGTCGGTTCATTGGGGCCAAGCTCGTCGCTCTGCGTCGAGGACCCCTTACAACAGCCGCCACCCGCGCCGCCATTCTTGTCCATGCAGCAGCCAGACCCGCCATTTGCAGCGGCCTTGCCGCAGTTGTTCTTGGAGTTGAAGCTCTGGGCGGCATCGAGGATCGGTCTGTATCCAGTGCAGCGGCACAAGTTGCCATCGAAGGCCTCCTCCACGGCGTGTTCATCGGGAGTCGGATCGTTGCGCAGGAGCGCGTACAGACTCTGTGCTGAAGTTAGACAGATAATACAATAATCGGACGCTCCAAAATCAGCGGAAACGTACCATAACAATTCCAGGAGTACAGAATCCACACTGGCTCCCGTTGCCGACCGCGATCCGCTGCTGGATCGCATGGGGATTCTTGACATCGCCAATTCCTTCTACCGTAAGAACGTGTTTCCCATCAACACTGACCAACGGAGCAATACAGGCGTTCACGGAGGCATGGTAAATCTTCTTCGTAGTCAGGTTGACGTGAGAAACGACCTATGATGCCAGAAACAAATGAGGTTATTCATGATCGTCATCACCAAGAACCGGCCGGGTTGCCGAAGGGTGTACCCACCACCGTACAAGCACCACATCCACCCTCGGCGCATCCCAACTTTGTGCCTGTCAGGCCTATCCCACGCAGATATTCGAGTAGCGTGACCTCGGGGTTAACAGTATCGAGGGCGACCTTGGTGCCGTTGAGGTAGAAGCGGATAGTATCGTCCCAGTCCTCGGTCAGCTCGAACAAGGTCGACGGCTTCTCAATCTCGCCGGTGGACCCCGCGGAGTCAGTGTCGATGCTGCTGCTGCCAGGTGCCATCGCGGTGAGGGGAGCAGTGGCTGACAATGGAGAGTATCACGGATGTCACGAGGGGCTCATGCTGGGTACCATATATATCTGGCGGGACCGCAAGAACCTTCCTAAAGCTATCGCCACGATAACAGGACGAGTGTCGGCGAGCGAGATCATAGCGAGGAGGGGCTCAGTAGGGAAGCTGCGGGTGAGCTGGGTGAGATGGGCCGCCGGTCTGACAGCATCGGATGCAAATGCGCGCGTGCTGATAGGAAGACCCCCGGCGAGGTGACCCCACCGCGCTCCACGGTGGATCCGCAATGCGGGGATCGCCACCGTCCGAACAGCCTGGATGCATCTGCACCCTTTGGGGATATGTATAGGAACTGGAGTATGGTCCTGTGTATATTACTATTATGGTACATTATTCTGGGCCAGGGTACCCTAGTGTACCTGGTGCATCTCATTCCTAAACTACGTTAGGCCACATCAGAGTAGTAGTATAGTGCTTTTTCGGGAGTCCTGTAAAGAAGAACTGAACAATAGATCGATTTCTATCCTGATTGCGCCGGAAATGCTCGAGTACACCAAACCGTATTCCACACAGAGATATCAAACAGCAAATACAAATACTAGCAGCTATTAGCAATCCGCTCACTGCGAGCTCGCAAACGCCTTCTCTTCTTCCTCCCACTGCTTGCGCTCGACCACACTTCGGGCACTAGAGAAAGGCCGTGTCAGTAAGGTATACTAATAGGCAGGTACAAGAACATGGCGGTATGAACGCAACTCACCGATACGCTTTAACAAATCGCCACACCTCGGTGTCCGCCATATTCCAGGCTTCGGAGACGGCCTTGATGTTGACCCGGTTGGGATCTTGGCTCTTGATCGCCTCTCGGGCCTTCTTGATCAGTTCGTACTCGCGAGCGACACCCTGCTGGCTCGGGGTCTTATCCTGCACACTCTCCTTATCGCCCGGGGCGTTGGGATCAATGGTGCCTCCGCGGGGAATCTTGAATCCAAATTGCCACTCAAACTCATCCAGGAGCTCCGACGGAAGACTTTGACCGGCTTCAGCGGGCAGCGACTCGACCGTCATCCAGAGAGAATTAGACACGGCCTGATCGCCAGCGACGAACTGCTTAAACATCACACCCCGGTATGAGGCGCTCAGTTCTTGTCCGTCCTCACTCAGATGATCTTGGGTCACATCGGTCAGCCATGGGTCCCGTTCGGTCTCACGACGAATTTGCCGCACGGTGACTTCGTCGGAGCTCTTTTGTAGAGTAACGAGAGTGTAAGGGTGAGGCAGAGTGCCGATGGTAAAGAGGAAAGGCGTATTCTTGAAGCTCGTGGGCTGGCTGATGCGCATGGGTCGCTTTGCGGAGCCACAGGGCCGGCACTCGGGGATATTAGGGGGGCAAGAACTAGGGACCGGGGACTCAGGGCATTGGATAAGAGACTTCGCCAGTCGGAGAGCAGGTTCCACAAGGGCGGTCGTGTGTTGCGGGAAGGGCTTAAGCACAGCCAGACCCGCCGGATAGGCGTTCTGGAAGGTATTGTGGAGATGGGCATTGATCAGCTGCACAAGCTGAAGACGGCCATTGGCAGGGCTCTGGCTGATCTTCTCGTGGACCTCCGGATAGCGCGAATTTATGTTGGATCCTTTGTAGTATGCCAGTGAACTTGGCTGCCGGATCTTGAACAATTCTACCGGCATCAACTCAGAGAGAGAGGTCGACTTGTCGGCCAGTTTCTTCACACTGATATCAATTGCCTCATCGATGCGGTGCTTTTCTGCTGAGAAGAGACCGCCCTGGAAATTCTCGAATCGTGTGATAAACTCGGGCTCTGTGCCCCGGCGAAGAGCCGAAAGGAGCTCATCGTCATACCGTGCCATGGGGAAACAGGTGAAGTCAGCCAACAGACCAGTTCCCATGTGACCCCACGCCAGCCATCGGAATACTTCATTTTCCATCTCTGGAGTTAAATGAAGCCTCTGCACCAATTCATAATGAGGATTTTTCATCGCATCGCCAGGTCCCAGGACCACAGGACGGAAGCCCTGTGCAAACCAAGCTCGGCGCCAGGCCAGGAGCAGCTCCCCATCAGACTTTTGGTTCTCCTTTAGATCATTCGCAGAGTATTTCTTCGGGTTATACTTTGGATTATAATAGGTGTAGATTGCTCGTCGTTCGGGCAATGGCGGAAGGACGGATCGGTCCTCATCGAGAGTGATAGTGGACGAAAATGGGTTTAGCCATTCCCAATTCGAGAACCACTTGGACTCGCCGCTTGTGCTGTTCGTTTGTTCGGGCGGAGCTTCGTGCGAAGGAGGGCGAAACGAGGGCAGATGGATTTCGGGGAGCGATGGAAGGCTCGGGACGGAGATGAATTTTCGTGGCCCTGAAGGCTCTTTTGGTCCTTTTTCGCCTTCGGTTTCGGCGGCGGGATCAGGGATGGGAGAGGACGAGAAGATGAACAGGAGGAGCGCAACAAAAACAATAATGGCCAAAAGACCTGTGCTTCGGTGCGGAATCATTCTTCGCACATGCGAGGTGCCCGAGGAAAGCACCTGCACAAGGGTCTTTCAAGATGCAAGGACACGGGACAAAAGTCGTACAAGCTCGTCCGCGATACTGTATTCTCCTATGGAGGCGGCCCCGAAAATACCGGAATTGGCGACGCGCTCCTAGATTGGCGGGGAGTTGGCGGCAAGATGAAACACTTTAACGTATTATTCCATCGATGGAATTAATGCGACCGGATGGATTCGCGTGTGCTTCCTGTAGAAGACACAATGATGTCAGACGAGAAGACCAGCTTTCTCCTGAAGATGGACGGCAGAACGGCGGTCCAGGAGGAGCTGCGCGCCTCAGGCAGGGATAGCGCTGCTTATTCAGCGCCATTGCATCACTAGTTACCCAGCACCGACTTGCTGGGGATTTGTATGCTCGCGAGGAAGCCCAGAGAGGCTAAAGCCTGCGCAGAAGGATTAATACAATTGATTGAGTTACAGATGCCATCATCCGGCCAAAAATATTCAGGTAGACCTTGTTTTATCTTCACATATATGAAACTCGCGACACTTCGCATAGATCTGAGGGCGGTGAGAAACAATTGTATGGAGGGAGAGCCGCCGGGCCAATCACCGCGGGGCGATCGCGGCGAAAGCGGACTTTTCTGTGTGCCCCTCGCCGGCGCCGGAGCAACGGCTTGACTCATCTTCGTTTCTTATAAGGTCCCCGCGAAAGCAATTTGCACAGCTATTCATCATGGCTGTGGGAGCGGCTTCGTTACAGGACCGCCTGGAAAGGTGGTCGCAACGCTTAAGCAGTCTTACCGTTTCGCCATTGACTCGGGACTACCCCGACACCCAGCAAGATGGCAAGCGGGCCATCGAGGCTTTCGAGTCCATTAAGCTCCCCAAGGAGACCCAATTGGCGCTGAAGAAGCTTTCGGGCTCTTCATCTGAATTTACAGTGTTTTTGACCGCATTGGTCATTCTGGTTGCTCGTATGACCGGCGATGAGGACATTGCAGTCGCCACGAGCTCCGCCGAGGACAGTCGTCCCTTCGTCCTCCGTGTGCCCATCGAGGCCTCGGAAACCTTTGCCCAGCTTTATGCTAAGGTCAACAAGGTATGTGTGGTTTAGTCCAATTTTGATATTTTGACTGCACCGCTAATGCCAACATAAACAGGCCTTCGAAGAAGGTGCCTCCGATATCGTCCCTATGGGCAGCCTCCGCTCCTACATTCAGGACAAGACCAACTCCGAGCAGCCGCCAGTCTTATTTCGTTTTGCCGCATATGATGCCCCTGCTTCCTCCCAGGAATACCCTGCCAACACATTTGAAAGCACTGATTTGGTTATTAACGTCGGCCCCGGTGGAGCGGGCTCAGACATTGAGCTGGGAGCCTACTACAACCAACGTCTCTTTTCGAGTGCCCGTATCTCCATCATTCTGAAGCAACTAGTCGGAATTGCCAGCAATGCTGCGTCGGACCCCGAAAATGCCCAAATTGGTCGCATTGATATGATGACCGCGGACCAGAAGGCCCTTCTCCCAGATCCTACACGGGACTTGAACTGGTCCAAGTTCCGTGGTGCCATCCACGATATCTTCGCCGCCAATGCTGAGAAGCACCCCGAGAAGATTTGCGTCGTCGAAACCAAGTCGACTGACCAGGCCCACCGCGAGTTCACCTATAAGCAGATCAATGAGGCGTCGAACGTTCTCGGCCATCACCTTGTGCAGTCTGGAATTCAGCGAGGAGAGGTGGTCATGGTCTATGCCTACCGTGGAGTTGACCTGGTGGTCGCTGTGATGGGTATCTTGAAGGCCGGTGCCACTTTCTCTGTCATTGACCCCGCGTACCCACCCGAGCGTCAAAACATCTACTTGGATGTTGCTCGTCCCCGCGCCTTGATCAACATTGCCAAGGCTACCAAAGAGGCTGGTGAATTGTCCGATGTTGTGCGACATTTCATCAATGAAACCCTGGAGCTGCGTACCGAGGTTCCAGCTCTTGCCCTCCACGATGACGGAACAGTCACCGGCGGATCTATCAACGGACAAGATGTCCTGTCAAAGGTGGTTGATCTGAAGTCGAAGCCCGTCGGAGTCGTCGTGGGCCCTGACTCGACCCCTACCCTCTCCTTCACCTCTGGATCGGAGGGCCGTCCCAAGGGTGTTCGTGGCCGTCACTTCTCCCTGGCCTATTACTTCCCTTGGATGTCTGAGACCTTCAAGCTGACCCCGGATGAGAAATTTACCATGCTCAGTGGTATTGCGCACGACCCGATTCAGCGTGATATCTTCACTCCTCTGTTTTTGGGTGCCCAGCTGCTCGTTCCCGCCAAGGAAGACATCCAGAACGAGAAGCTCGCTGAGTGGATGCAGAACTACGGCGCTACTGTCACTCATCTCACCCCCGCTATGGGTCAGATTCTGGTCGGTGGTGCCTCCGCGCAATTCCCTGCTCTTCACCATGCCTTCTTTGTTGGCGATGTGTTGATCAAGCGAGACTGCAAGGTCCTTCAAACACTTGCTCCCAACACAGCTATTGTCAACATGTACGGAACTACTGAGACCCAGCGTGCTGTCAGTTACTATGAGATCCCTAGCTACTCCAGTGACGAGAGCTATATGTCCAAGATGAAGGACATCATCCCCGCCGGTCGCGGTATGCTGGATGTCCAGATGCTTGTCGTCAACCGCTTTGATCCTACCCGTATCTGTGCCATTGGTGAAGTAGGCGAGATATATGTCCGGGCTGCTGGTCTTGCCGAGGGCTACCTGGGGACTCCGGACCTAAACGCTCAGAAGTTCCTGACCAACTGGTTCGTCAAGCCCGAGGTTTGGGCTGAGAAGGACAAGGCCGAGTCTAAGAACGAGCCTTGGAGAGAGTTCTACGTTGGTCCCAGAGATCGTCTCTACCGCAGTGGTGACTTGGGTCGCTACACTCCGTCTGGAGATGTGGAGTGCTCTGGTCGTGCAGATAACCAGGTCAAGATCCGAGGATTCAGAATCGAGCTCGGCGAGATCGATACTCACCTTTCTAGCCACCCTCTGATTCGCGAGAATGTTACTCTGGTCCGACGGGATAAGTTCGAGGAGCCGACCCTGGTCAGCTACTTCGTGCCGGATATGAGCAAGTGGGCTCAATGGCTCGAGAGCAAGGGCCTGAAGGACGATGAGTCGACAACCGACGGTACCATGGTCTCTTTGCTTCGTCGCTTCCGCCCACTTCGCGACGACGCTCGTGATCATCTCCGCCAAAAGCTTGCCAGTTATGCGGTGCCTGGAGTTTTGATTCCTCTTATGCGTTTCCCGTTGAACCCTAACGGCAAGATTGACAAGCCCGCTCTGCCATTCCCGGATACTGCGGAGCTCAGTGCTGCTGCCCCTCGCCGCCGCTCCTCTGCGATGCAGGCTCTCTCCGAGACTGAGCAGGCTCTTGCTCAGATCTGGGCTAAGCTGATCCCGAATGTGACCTCTCGTATGATTGGGCCGGATGATTCTTTCTTCGATCTTGGTGGACATAGTATTCTTGCTCAACAGATGTTCTTCGAGCTCCGCCGCAAGTGGCGCGCCCTCGATATCAGCATGAGTGCTATCTTCCGCAGCCCTACCCTCAAGGGCTTTGCTGGTGAGATTGATCGTCTGCTTGATCAGGAAAACCTTGCCACAAGCGATGACTCCAGTGCTGCCAATAAACCCGATGACGAGTACTCCAAGGATGCTAAGCAGCTGGCGAACGAGCTGCCTACGTACTTCCCTACTCGCACTGATGCCATGCTTGACAGTGAGCCCACTGTCTTCCTGACTGGTGCTACTGGTTTTCTGGGAGCCCACATCCTGCGTGACCTGATGACTCGCAAGTCCCCGTCCGCTCGTGTTGTTGTTCTGGCCCGTGCGAAGAGCGACGATCTGGCGCTTGAGCGAACTCGCTCTACCTGTCGTGCCTACGGTTTCTGGGACGAGGCTTGGACCAGCAGACTCGAGGCTGTTTGCGGTGATCTCGGAAAGCCTCAATTTGGCCTTTCGCTGGCCACTTGGGATGACCTGGCCAGCCGTGTGGATGCCGTTATCCACAACGGTGCCCTGGTGCACTGGGTTTACCCCTACTCCACCCTACGACCTGCCAACGTCATGGGTACGATCGATGCCCTGAAGCTGTGTGCTTCTGGCAAGGCCAAGCAATTCGCCTTTGTCAGTTCCACCAGTGCCTTGGACAAGGACCACTACGTCCAGGTTTCGGAGCGCAGCCTTGCTGAAGGCGGCAACGGCGTCAGTGAGGAGGATGATATGGAAGGTAGCGCTGTTGGCCTTGGCACCGGTTACGGCCAGAGCAAGTGGGCTGGTGAATACCTCGTCCGCGAGGCCGGACGTCGTGGACTGAAGGGAACCATCATCCGTTCCGGATACGTTCTGGGTGACTCTACTACTGGAGGTGAGTGAAATACACGACACAACAAATAGTTAATCAAACATAATGTTAACAAGATACACTTAGTGACCACCCCGGATGACTTCCTTGTTCGGTTCCTCAAGGGTTGTGTGCAATTGGAGTGCCGACCCTCGATTCGCAACACTGTGAACATGGTCCCCGTTGATCACGTTGCTCGCATTGTGATTGCCACTGCCTTTCACCCTCCTCGTCTCCCTGTTGGTGTTGCCCACGTCACTGGCCACCCGCGTCTGCGCTTCGACCAATTCTTGGGAGCGCTGGAGGTCTACGGCTACAAGGTCCCGCAGGTCGACTATGTGCCGTGGTCGATGGCCCTTGAGAAGTACGTCAACAACAGCCAGCTGGATAACAAGGATTCTCAGCATGCCCTGTAAGTTCATCTCACCTTCGAGTACCCTATCATACGCTAACGTCTCTTTACAGGATGCCACTTTACCACTTTGTCACGAACGACCTCCCGGCGAACACCAAGGCGCCCGAACTCGACGATCGCAATGCCGCCGCGGCTCTCAAGGCCGACGCTGTGTGGTCTGGCATCGACGTTTCTGCTGGTGCCGGTGTGACCGAGGAGCTGGTTGGCCTGTATGCCTCTTACTTGGTTGAGATTGGGTTCCTCCCTACTCCGACTCTCGCCGGTGCCCGCCCGCTGCCCGCGACCGGTATTACGGAGGAGCAGAAGAAGACGCTCCTGAGCGTTGGTGGCCGTGGTAGTGGTTAGACTATTGTCGCATTTCCTGTTTATATCTTGGTATAGTTTTTTTTTTTTTTTGCGCGCCACATTGGTGGTGAAAAGCATATATATTTGTACGTGGAACGAGTAATGAGAGATCAATCAACGAGATGTCATCTACTCAAGGTCCGAAGTACAATTTCATTACTCCCTAGGTACCCATGTAGTCACCGGCAGATAGATCAGGAACTGCATTCCGCATCAGTCCGTAGCTCCGTCATTGCAGAGTGGGCATGCCAACCCAACCATCGGATGCATCGCCGGTCAACGAAAAGCGCAGCCCGCCGATCTCGCCTTCCCCTCGGGAAGACTCGCCCCTCCACAAATGCCAGGTACACCTCGTCTCCCCTGGTCAACATCCTCTGCTCGTCGCCCTCCTCCCTCCCGACTGCATTCAGCTGGTTGCTTCCTCCCGGTTACAATGGATTCAGGTACGTGCGGCAGCCAGAGTGCTCGATGATCTCGCTCTTGGCGGGGTTTTCTCTCCCCCAAAACTCTCTTTCTCTTCCCAACATTTCTGCTGCTCCCGCACTTCGCGATTCTACTCGCACCCCCAGTTCGGAGGACATCCACGCTCGTTGTCGAGCCTGCTTGCTGCTCTGTACTTTGGTGGTGTGAGACATTTCTTTAACTGGACCCCTGCCCCCCGAACACCCGTTTCCCCCCACCGTTCGTCATGAATGTCACAGGATTGGCCGGGCGCCCTGGCTTCATGGCTCGAAATGCCGTAGCGCGCAGCGCTGTCGGTCCTCGGTCATCACTGCCTGTGCCTCGCGTATCTCCATTCTCGACTTCCACCTCTCTCTCCTGCGTGAACCACAAACCTGGCTCGGCCAATCCCTCCGACTCCGAGACTAACAGGCCCGGCTCGCTAGCAGACAAATACTCCGCCGGCCTGCGCCAGAACAAGGACTGGGCTGCCAACACCGCGCGCGACCACCCCGACCTCTTCCCGACCCTCGCGACCGGCCAGCAGCCCCAGATCCTCTGGCTCGGCTGCTCCGACTCCCGATGCCCGGAGACCAGCATGCTGGGCCTGCAGCCCGGTGATGTCTTTGTCCACCGCAATATCGCCAACATCCTCCACCCCGGCGATCTCAGTTCCGGCGCCGTCATTGAATACGCCGTGAAGCACCTGCGCGTCAAGCACGTCGTTGTCTGCGGCCACACTTCCTGCGGTGGTGTTGCGGCCGCCATGGGCAACAAGGAGCTTGGAATCCTGGACCCGTGGCTGCTGCCTCTGCGCCAAGTGCGCGAGCGCAACCTGCCCCTGCTCCAGTCGCTGTCCCCGGAGGAGGCGGCGCTGAAGTTGGTGGAGTTGAATGTCCGCGAGGGCTTGAGCGTCGTTACACAGAAGAGTGCGGTGCTCAACGCTATTCAGGAGCGGGGCCTCCAGGTCCACGGTCTCATCTACGACGTTGGCTCCGGTGTCCTGCGGGAATTGGATATTCAGGAGACCGAGGAGTCCCTCCGGGCCCGCTTGGTTGCCTTCAAGACGGACAATTGAATTTTCTGATATATATAATGGAGTGCATACTCCTACAGTCGGGCGTTGGTGCATGTTGGCCCGAAAGGACGGGGAAGATTATAGACTTGAATTTTGGTGTTTCAGGTTGAGAGCGATGATTTACGAAAAGAAGACTGGTTGTTAGTTAATATCAAGATCGCAATCTACATAGCGCGTTCTTTTACAACTAACTGACTTGGAAATCCTTACCCACTAACATTAATGAACATGAGGCTTGATCAACGACGGCTGCCTCAGCCTAATTCCAAGCGTGGCGAAACAACTTGGAGACATGTGCAGAGCCGCACGCGGTCACAAATGACATCTCCGAGACCGACGTGCTGCCTAGCCACAGCTGGTTCTGCAGCCTCATCGGCCCTGACTCACCCGTGGGGCCATGCGGTGCGGGTGTGGGGCACCAATTAAGGCAATCCGTCCGCCGGCATCAGCAAGGCTACCGTCATTAGTAGTGGAGTAGCATGTACTATGTACATGACTGTAGTACTGCGGGCACTCGATGCGGACAATCGGGATGGTCGAGTCAGCGGGCGAGGAAGTCGGGGATGCGAGGCAGCGCTGGCCGTTGACTCAATCAGCCGGCCCGATGAGGCTGATCGTGGGGCGGATGCATATCGGTCTATCCGCTTTGCAGCGTGCAGCTTATGTACAGCCTGAGCTTACAGCTACATCGGGATCGGGCCCAATACCATGTTTGTTCTCCGCTTTCCAGAGCAGGCACCAATGCATTTCTTGATCCTGGATCCTGAATCCTGCTGGTGTCTTGGGGTATAAGATCGAGTGCCAGCTCGGTGCTTTGAGTGTAAAGTAATTTGTCTCGACTTCTTATTCACTTTTCTCTTTTACCTTTTCCCATATCACACGGGACCCCCAAATCCCAAGAAGATTATAGACCTTTTATCATCAAACAAGTCCGTGGATATCGCAACAATGGCGGCCCCATCTGATGACACTTCCACTGTGTCTTCGGACACCACCCAGCAGCCCGCTGACAATGGCACACACACCCCCGGTACGTCCCTCGTTTTCCAGAGCTGATCAGCCACATCTACTAGTAATAAGAGCTATACTCACACCTCCGAAGCCGAGTCTGAGAACGAAGAAACCAAATACGCACACCCAGGCACAATCTGCGGCGTGCATAACGTCTACGAAACAAAGCCCGATGAGAACGGCGAGACATCATGGTCCAAAGAGCTCCCGGAAACCATCCTCGATCCCGCGGAAGACGCAGAATCCGCACAATACGCCCTGATCGTACGAAACCAGAAGTGCTACACAGGCCGGAAAAGTCTCTCAATCCACTCGATCGTCATTCAAAGCGATGCGTTGAAGAAATACCTCGGCAAGGTGCTAGACGGCTATCCTGGTGTCACCGTCACCCTAGAACGTCTCGAATTTTACGCTCCCTTCAAGCCTCTTGTGCACAGGTGGGAGGACTTTGTCAAGGCGCGTGACGAGGAGGAACTCGATGAGGTTACCAAGGGGCATGTGGATCTCTTGTATACAATTCTGGAGGGAGAACTGCGCGACATCCTTGCGAGGAAGAAGGATCTCATTCGAAACGGGGTAATCACCCACCCTCTTTTGTGGACGCTGTTCGAGCCGGATGATGTCGTCGTCGCCAATGTTGGAGGTCGCCAGTGCGCATACCTCTTCGTCGACGACGCGATCAACTGTCGGACAAAGGCCGTGCTCCTCGATGTCAAGTACGTCGATTTTGATGGCGACGATTTCGGATACCGCGACTACCAGTTCGAGGTCCCCGTCTTCATTGGCACGACCCCGATCACAACATTGCCCGCCTTCCCGCTGCGATACCATCCTGACAAGGACGCTATTAAGGAGAGGCTGATTGCCCGAGGCAAGATCTGGGAGCAGCACAAAGGCTACCACTACAAGCAATATGAGGGTATTGCTATTGGATTCTTGGAAGACGACGAAACCCGCCGGTACCATGTGAAAAGCCGCATTATCATTGACGCCGACGCATTCAATGTTTTCCACCCACACGAAAGCGTCTCTGTCTGGGGCGATGTCCCCAACGAGCTGACGGATGACCACCGACTCGTCGCGTCCCCTGCAGTCTACGGATACTCCTTGAAAGATAAGGAGTGGCTGCAGTTCTACCTCGACTGCACGACCGAAATCAAATGGGACACAGCAGCCTTCGACGCCCTCGTCCTGCCAAAGGAGCAGGAAAACCTCAAGGACCTCATTCTCGCCTTCGCCAAGGCCCAGTCCAAGTCGCTGGACCACTTCGACGACGTGGTCCAAGGTAAAGGTCGCGGTATCATTATGCAACTCAGCGGACCCCCAGGCGTGGGCAAGACCATGACGGCCGAAAGTGTCGCCGAGGTCATGCAAGTTCCGCTGTACGTCATGAGCGCAGGTGACCTGGGCAGCGAAGCCTACAAGGTCGAGCGAAGCCTCAAGGACATCCTCCGCATGGTGCCGAAATGGGGCGCAGTCCTCCTCCTTGATGAAGCAGATGTCTTCATGGAAGCGCGTACAGCGACAGACCTCAAGCGCAACGAGCTTGTCTCGATCTTCCTTCGAATGCTGGAATACTACGAGGGCATCCTCTTCCTAACCACCAACCGCGCCGACGAAATCGACCCCGCCTTTGAATCGCGTATCCATGTATCGCTGGCTTACCAGAATCTGGATGCGACCTCGCGTCGACACGTTTGGTGTCAGTTCCTGGCTCGGTCGGCGAATACGGAGGCTTTCTCAAATGTTCAGTTGGATCAGTTGGCTGCGGTGGAGTTAAATGGACGACAGATTAAGAATATGTTGAAGACGGCGGGTCTTTTGGCGTGGTCGCAGAAGAAGGATTTGAACTTTGAGCATGTGCAGACGGTTCTGAATCTGCGGAAGAGCACTGCGCCGTTGTCTGCTTGATTTCTATACCCTTGGCTTGGGATGAATTATGATATCTACAGTCGTTCGGCGATAATACCACTCAGTATTTTATTCTTAGATCGGCAATGGCATGATTCCTGCCCTGACAAATGCTGAGCTTCTACAGTAGGCAGCCCTAATCACAGTGGGGTCAAGATGATGGTCTTTGATTGGGTATTCTGGGTCTCTTGGTCCCTAAGGTGGGGCAGCTTCAGCTCAACATAAGCATAATTGAAAGGTTCAAGCCAGTCGTTGATAAGATAGTTCTAAATCTGGTACGCGGGCCGTTTTGAGGCCTGAGAATAGGCTCATTGTGTGATATCAGCATCAGGTACTCGAAGCCATACTCTGCATCACGAATGATTTGAAGTGGTAGTATGTTTCCACTGAGATAATCTTGGATGGATATCTGCTTGGGTTAAATGCACGGCTTGCTGGCAACGCGTCAGTTCTCGCCTAGCCAGCTATTCAGTCTGGGATAGAAGTGTCTATCATCCCTTTCCGCGTCATGACCGACTATCGTTCAGCTTGGCAGTCGACTGTTTTGACGATATGATGTTATGGTGGAGGCGGAACGGGTGGCCGCCAAGTCCTGCAGGCACCAATATTTCGCCCATATTTAATGTCACGTGATAGCTGTGCGATGATGAATCAGCGGATTGCCACCCCCTGAACAAATTGCATTGAAGATGAAATTGATATTGGGATGGCATTGGTTGGAGGAGCGGCTCGCGGGAGGGCTGCGCCACTGTTCTACCCTGTGATACAGTCTTGGAAGTAGGTACCAGCAGATATGGCAGAGGTTGAGCATGAGACTTGGGCCCAATTTTGGGCCTTCGATCCATGACATGTCCCGATCTGAGACTTTCTGGGGTCGCCCTGAATTGCTGTGTGATGGGTCGAGCTAGGGATAGGCCGAGTCGGTGGAGCGCATCCAGCCCTCTGGAGACGACTTCGCAAGCGCCAAGGCGAGATGTCGATCAGGGTGGCCCTACATGGATCTGCCCTGCTGCCAGCGCGTACCACACCCACCGGCGCCCGCGGACTCGCCAGCGGAATTCCGTCGTTAGAGCCAGCAGTCCCGCCGTGCGTCATCTCAAGGGCGATCGTTGGACTGACCACTCTTTGAATGCTTGTGCCCCTTTTGGCCCCACCCGGGTCCAGTTTCAGTCCCTCTCAGGCTGTCGGCCCTTTTTGCCCCCGTCGCGGCTGTGCTTGTGCCTGTGCTGTTGCTCAACGCAAAGTCCTCTCCATCACTCTTTTCAGCCCCCTCCGGCCCTTCGCTCCTTCATGGCCGCTCGTTCCTAACTGTCGCTCTTTTCTTCCATCATGATTTGGTCCAGCCTACTGCTGCTGCTGCTCGTGCACAATGCAATTGCCTGGCAGCACACCGACGATGATTTGATGTCGTTTAAGACCGTAAGTGGTGCGCTCGACCAGATTTCCGACCCCAGGCTAAGATCGCGTCATACTCTAGTTGCCGGACGTCAAGGCTGTCAAATTCGACATCGAACATCTTGATCGCGAGCGCGCCGGCCCCGGTTACTGGTTTGTGTCGCCCTATCTACACATTGCGCCCGATGGCCCGACCAGTGTGTTCGAGCCGTTCCAGGTCGGCCCGCATATCTACGATCAAGAAGGTGTACGTGGAGGACCTGTCCCAGCCAAACCCCGGAGGAACTATCGCGCTAACCCTCGGTATTCTGTTTTAGCGTCTTGTGTGGACCGGCTCGCTCATGTTCGATAACCGCAACGTCTTCGATTTCAAAGCCATCAACAGCATCGGAAACGAAACCCATATTTCGCTGATCCAGCAGTACACCTTCGACGGAAGCCACAAGGGCTACGGTTTGGTTCTGGACCCCAGCTTCCAAACCGTGCGAAAGGTCCCGCTGCGAGAGGACCTCGGTTCTTTTGATATTCACGAATTCAACGTCCTCGACAATGGCAAAACGGCTGTTGTCACGGTCTATCTGACCGACGAGATCGACCTCGCGGCATTCAACCGACCGAACGAGCGAACGAGTTTGGAAGTTGGTGGCTTCGCCGAACTTGATCTGACCACCGCAGAGGTTCTTCATGAATGGAAGTCGTATGACCAGGTCCCGCTGGCGGAGACTGTTCACTACTCCCAATGGTCTCGCGTGGAGGGTCCTCCCGGTTGGGATTATGTGCATATTAATTCGGTCGATAAGAATGCCGCGGGCGATTACCTTCTTTCTATGCGATTCACCAACACCATTTACCTGGTCTCCGGGGCCGACGGCCGCATTATGTGGCGTCTGGGTGGCCAGCATAACGGCGACTTCGATCAAGACTTCATCTTCTCGAAACAACACGACGCCAAATTCCTGTCGTCGGAAGGAACACACCACGTTATCTCGCTTCTTAACAACGCGTCCGATGAGGAATTCAGCGAGGAGGATATTTCCTCTGCCCTCATCATTGAAATTGAAACCGGCACCACTCCCATGACGGCTCGCGTCCTGAGACGCTACAACCGTCCGGATGGCGACCTCACCCGCCTCCGTGGTAACGCCCAAGTGCTTCCCGATAAGAACATGTTCGTATGCTGGAGTCAGGGTGGCTATATCTCGGAATTCACCGAGGATGGCGAGCTGGTCATGTCTGCGCGCTTCACATCCTCCCGCTTCTCCAACTACCGCGCCTATAAATTCGAGTTCACAGGCCGTCCCACCGTCCCTCCGGATATGGTTGCCGCGGTTCACGGCACCGATGAGACAAACCTGGTTACAACGATCTGGGTCAGCTGGAACGGTGCCACCGAGGTAGACATGTGGCGTTTCTATGCGCGGAAGTCGCAATTCGACGATCCTGTCTACGTCGGCAATGCCACCAAGTACGACTTTGAGACCATGTTCATCGCCCGCGGGTATTTGGACTGGGTCACGGCCGAGGCGGTGGATCGTGAAGGCAACGTCTTGGGATCGTCCAACGTCCACCGAACCGACTTCCCCGATTGGCACTCCGTGGGATGGATGGGGTACGGCGGAACCCCCAAGCCGCAGGATCCCGGGCGACTGTACCCGAATGGCCATGGCATTGCGGATAAAAAGTTTAGTGACCTTAGCCCAGCAACATCATCAGACGATGGTACGGCCAGAGCGCAGGTCATTAAGGCAACGCAGTTGCTCTCAAAAACCCAGGAGACGGTCCGCAGCATCGGCGGCCTTTTCGCTCTCATTCTCCTGCTTGCTATGATGAGCGGCATCATGGCAGGCTACATGCTGATTCGGGGCTGGCGGGTCCGCTTCTATCAGCAGGTGCGATTGGAGGACGGGCTGCCCGAGGAGGAGACGCGTCTCCGGCGGTCTCACGACGATTGATTGTCCGCTGGTCTGGAATGCCTCGGATTTCTTTCTTGCATGGCTTGCGGGAGTTATTTGTACATTAGTGCTTTCGCACTGGTAAGGCGTGCCTTTTCATTTGTAAATAGCACTGGGTCTTGTGATATCCCAGCTCATATTCCAAGCTTTTCCCCTATTTTTCTACCCTGCCCCCACATACAACAATTGGCGTTCTCTGTCTTGTTGACCTCGATAGGTGTAGTGCGAATGATCTAGAATCCCCACAAGCCGTTGGGAAGGGCGCTAAAGTCGGTCCTAGATGCAGGAGGACCCTGCGTAACTGAATGCAACGCCGACCTATCTATACCGCAGTTCTGTATTTCCGACGCGATGCGATTGTTTGGAGCATGAGGTATGCTGTGAATCCAGCGGCGAATTTCTAATGTGAAACACCTATCCACAGGTATCCGCCGGAATTCCGACAGCTCTCACCACGTCGCACAATCCACGTTGCCGGCATGGTACTTGAGTTCTCTTCGCTAGAAGCTTTTGATCTTGTTAACAGGAATGCTGGTATCTATGCGCAGGTCCACATATTACATGAGAAGAACCAGCTAGCAAGGCAAGGGATTCCCGGTTCTCGGATCTCGGGAATAACATCCACGATTATTCCCGAGATCTTACGTACTATTCCCGCCGCCGTCGCTATTTTTTCTTTCCCGACTACTTTATTTAGTCTGGACTTGAATCGCCACACAGGCATTGAATCAGAGGCCATAAATCCACTTTCTTTTTCCCAGAAGCTCTGCCATATCTTCTTTCTCATCCAATTAGACCGAGAAAGCAAGATATAACATACCGCCATGCCGTCAACAAGCCTCTGCCAAGACGAGGCCTGCCCACCATACAGTCTTATGGACGACTACAGCGAGGGAGCTCATCCACAAATCCTCGAAGCTCTATTGCGGACAAATTCAACCCAACAAGTTTCTTACGGAAACGATGAATACTCTGATGTGGCCAGACGATTGATTCGGCAACGAATCGACTGCGCTGAAGACGAGGCAGATATTTTCTTTGTCCCTAGTGGGACTTCCGCAAATTTGATCTCTATCGCCAGCTGCTTGCGACCCTACGAAGCTGTCATCACTGTGGACTCCGGCCATATCGCCTGCAAGGAGGCGGGGGCAATTGAAGCCACTGGCCACAAGCTTATTCTGGTTCCCGCTGTTGACGGCAAGATGACGACAACCAACCTGCAAAAAGCTATACAGCAAAATCAGTTTTTCCCGCACATGGCCAAGCCACGGTTGTTGTATTTGTCCAATGCTTCGGAGACTGGCACCGTATACACCAAGCGCGAACTGAGCAGTCTGTCTGCGTTGTGCAAGCAATTGAATCTTGTACTTCTGATGGATGGTGCGCGAATCGGAACCGCGATGTGCTCCAAGAAGAACGACATGACTCTGCACGATATTTTTGAATATACCGACATTTTCTGGATTGGTGGCACCAAGGCGGGTGCGCTCATGGGAGAAGCAATTGTCGTCAAGAAGGCCATTGCAGAAGGCTTCGTGTTCCATCTCAAGCAACACGGTGCTTTGCTGGCCAAGGGTCGAATAATGGGTGTGCAGTTCATGGAACTGTTCAAGGAGAACCTGTTTTTCACATTGGCTACACACGCCAATAACATGGCTGAGAAGATCTCTGGCAATTTCGAAGAGTTGGGATATCAACTGGCTGCGGAGACGGAGACGAATCAGGTGTTTATCACCATGCCCCAGAAGCTTGCTCAAAGGCTGCAGGACCGATTTAGATTCTATATTTGGGACCAGTTGGATGATGGACAAGTTGTTGTGAGGATTGTCACGTCGTGGGCTACGGACGAGTTGCAGGTCGACAAGTTCAATGCGTGGGTGCGAGAGTGGACGTCGGCGACGAAAGAATTCGCCACTTAGAGCATAGCGGACTGATATTTTTGCATCTGGTACGGTTATTTAATAGACATTAATGAGAGACGGCCTTTCCGTATTACCTGTTTAAAAATAAATGAGTAGAACATGGGTCAAGTATATAGATCCCAATCACATGATCCGTGGAATCGACACCTTAAACTTTTGGCTCCGGAGTCCTTCCCTTGTAACCTCCGCAAATCCCTCAAGACCAGCAGAGGCCAGCGCCAATTTGGCGTTAGATTCGTCATAATAACGGGCTACTGCTACAGAGGTTCATGCTGCCCAGCATACTCTCCGGTCATTGGCAACCTCAATCTACCCAATGAGGCTATCAATATCATGTGATGCTTGTCGGTAAGTTCCCATTGCTCAACACACCCGGACAATTCCATATCAACAACGTCTAAATTGGGTCTTCTAACATTGAATACAGTCGAGCCAAAGTCAAATGTGTTCATGATGGCAGTCCTCCATGCAGGCGCTGCGAGAGGACCAAGTCCGAAGGATGTGCCCTAACAGATCCCCGTGTCGCAAAGCAGGGGAAACCAAAAGGAGATGGAAGGGCCGGGAATTCCAAAAAGCGAAAAATCGCCTCTGAGCTGTCACCGGTCCTGGGAGGTGACCAAAGCTCTAGTAGGGTGACTCCTGTTCATCTTGCGCATGATCAGGTCAACCTCATCACGGCGTTGTCGCAGTCCACCGTGATCAGTGCGGTCGAGACCTACCGGAAAAAGTTCCCGGTCGCCAACTTTCTCCATTACCCATCATTGATTTCAGACATCTCTTCTCATTTCCAATCTGTGGATCCGATCTTTATCGCGTCTCTCTTATCGCTGTGCAGGCGGTTCATGATCGGCGATTCCCTCGAAGATGAGGAGACCTATGCCGATTATGCGCGAAAACACCTCGCATATCGGGTTTTGGAAGCCCCTTCATTATATCTTGCCCAATCCCTAGTCATCATCTCGTTCTATGAGTGGGGAACTGGACGTCCATACCAAGCGTGGATGTATAGTGGTGAGTCTCCCAGGAAAATGTTTGGCTTTCGGAACAATGAACTAATGTTAGCAGGTATGGCTACGTATATGATTCAATCGCTTCTGAAAATGGCGGATGACAGCATGGAACATAACCCCCAGGAGTTCCACGCCTCACAAACCCAGTACGAGCAGCTGGTCCGTACTTACTGGGTTTGCTTTGCGCAGGATTGCGAACTGAGCTCAGGAGCCCGACAGCACTTTGCCCTGTCGTTTTCGCAAATATCAGTGCCACTTCCAATCAGCGACAGAGACTTCACCTTTAATCAAGTTCCCGAAAGGAGACTGATGCCCGTCGATATGAACAAGCAATGCGCCTTTGCCCGAAATTTGACGATTGAGCACGGATTGACGATTGTCACTCGCGGATTCGACATATTTGTGCGGATATTGCGGTTTGCGAATGAGCACCGACGAGCTCTCGCTTCGTTGGGAGCAGACGATTCCGAGACATCACCACTGCATCAGACTTGGCAGAGACTCAAAGGGGAGCTGGACGAATGGAGGTCACTCCAGGATAAAACTGTCCGATATCCCGACACGACTGCGCAGGCACATGTAGCTCTTGGATACGGAGAGCTTTTTGCGTATATCAACTTGCTCTATTTCATGAGGTAAGTGCCAAGTCACCTCCGGCTTGAACTCACGTACTAATATCGGGTGAAGTATTTTATTTTTACATCGCGATCGGTTTCTATCTAACCTCAAACCGCATTCCGATGTTTTTCACGACATGAATGCCGACGACCAGTACGAACCTTATACAATCAAACAGCTCTTCGAGGCTGCGCAGCAAATTGGAGGGTATTATCAGCGTTGGAGAACTCAGAAGCTGCAGTTATGACCCCCTACTCAGGGTTTAGCGTGTTCGTCGCTGCGCACATCAATATGTACGGCACGATCGCCCCAGCACGCTACCCAGGGGGGCTTGAGAGAGCAGAAGAAGAGAAAAGCCAGAATCTGACCTACCTCGAGCGACTGAGCAAATTATGGCCAGTGGGTCGGAGTTGGGTGAGTCCTTTCGAAACACTTTAGCCCCCCTACTGAAACTAACTAGTGTTATAGTGGCGGACTGTACAAGAAGCAAACCGATTTTATGAAACGGTGAAGAGTACCCAGACACACACCGATTCTGGAATGCACAGCCCAAGGCGATTCGCATTGGCAGGCACACTTGACGAGTACGGTGATATTCGCTCGCGCCCGAGAGCGATGAGCACGGAGACAGGAAGCATCCAAGGCTCCCACCATACCCACCAGGCAACTTCATCACCACACCTCGAAGGGGATGCCTTGCTTCTTGCCCGAGAGAACGCTGCCATCGCAGGCCATCCGGATTTCGAGACCGACATGTTCCAATGGCCTTTTATTGACGCGTCGTGGTCTGCAGGCTTCGACGCGGGACTGGATGGGCTGTGGCATAACTCGGGGTTATTTGACCCGAATCCTCCCCTACGATAATATCTATCACTTAGTGCATATTGATCGACCTAGGACGCATAAAAACACAGTCATGATGTAATTGAACATTGCTCTGGGCAAGAATGACGCGATAATTAGGTATCTAATTTGTACAAAAAGAAACATTCAAGGGGGTCATTTAGCGTTAGCGGCTGTCGCTGTCTCTGCTTTCAACGGTCTGCTCCACCGCCACAGTCTTGCGAATCCCATCATCATTATATACCGAGTCGGTTGCCTCTGGCGCTCCAGCAAATGAGATCAGGTGGCTCTGGTCCCCGAAGTTGGGAGACTTGTCCCACTGAGAGTTATTCTTGGATGTGCCTCCCGACTTGCGGTCTCCCAGCTGGAAATCCGAGCTCTGGTTGTAGTACTTCTGCGACGAGTAGTTCCTCTTGTAATGGGCGAGCAAGGAGTTGAGGACGGGGAGACAGGCGCAAATGAGACCGACACCACCCTCGGCGTTTCTAAAAGAAAACAGGTTAGCGGACATATAATTCAAGAAAAAGATATTAGAATCACTTACCCAGACAGGATAACACACATGAAGACGATGGATTGGTCCGGGGAGCTGCCATCCTTCAGAACCAGCACCAATCGGTACAGACTGAAACCAACAGCGAAGCCACCGGCACCCAGTAGACCAATAACACGCAGCTTCTTGTTGCGCGACATCTGAAGGGACCAGGTCAAGGGCAGGGGCAGGACGAGAATGATGATGTCGCTAACAACACTGATGACGGAGTCGGCAATAAGAGCAGCGGCCTGGTCGAGGCAGGTGCCGCCACCTTCCAGCTCTTCGCCGAGCCAGTAGTAAGGGATTGGATAGCAAATTCGGATTTTGATAATGAGGGCGATGGAGTAGTAGATGCAGAGGGCGCCGAGGAGGATGTAAATGAACCACACCTTGCTGCGGTAGGGAGCGAAGATGCGTGTGAGGATCGATAGAAGGGCGATCTTAACGAATAGGGCCATCGGACAGTAAAGGAGAGTAGCGATGTAGCAGAACTTTTTGAATTGGATGGCCATCTCAGGACTTAGGTCCCCAATATGGTAGCCTCCACCATGGCGGCCAACTGCGAGAAGTATTAGCATTGTATCTGGACTCTATCTGGATTGCTGAGGGACCTACCGAGAATACTCACTCCGCAGTATCCCATAAACAGGAGCTAGATGTTCTGTTAGTGAGTGTTGAGTGATTTTCAGTCGATTATAGATAATACCCAGGCCACAATACAGGCATCTGATTTCCACGTTAGTCGGATATCTGCAAGGGGGTCCACCTCAATAAACTCACAATCCTCAATGCCCAAGTTCTGCTTAAACCGGAAACGAGTGTAGAAACGCAACGCAACAGCCCCGGATACAATGGGAATGCACAAGCATTGTACCACGAGGTTCAGCGTGTGATAGACGTCGTCTGGGTGAGCGACGGTCATGTTGGCAGCTGCCACTCACACACAAATCGATCGAGAAAACAAAGTTGGGGATGTCAGGGCACATAAAGGGCCGGACAGCGGATCACCGCTCGGCGCGAACCCGCCCGTAGGCGCTCTCCGACTGAAAATTATGAATGGCAAGACAAGTGATATCAAGTGGAGCCCAACGACTATTGATCCTCGTTCTCAATAGCGCGCTAAATCACTAGGATCGCCTGACATGCATCGCTGATTGCCTGCAGAAGCGATATACTTCAACGAAGCTCGGATGTCGGATTCTATTACGTGGCCGTGTTCCGATAGATGGTTCTTCTCGAGTTCCGTGAAATCCTACGAGCTCCACTCAGCGCCGAGCCACTGAGCCTCCACTCGCCGTTTGTAGGCAAGTGCTGTGGATATCCAAGCCTCGTATTTGCATTTTTGGGACGCCGGCAAAGTCTCATGCCCACGTTCAGTGCAACCGTTGTTTTACCAAGCGGCACATTGTGGATGTCGAATGAACCCTAAATTCTGGTTTGCCGAGTTGACAGTTTTGACAGGAGACAGGTGGCTTTGCGAGAGAAAAAAAGGGGGTACTCTTTACTAGTGGGAGGCGGTGGTGGTGGTCGGGCTGTCTCGTGGCCAGCCTCGTGGATTTAACGTTAAATCCTTGTTTCCATCCTTTTTCATAGTTAATCATAATCCCATTATCACTCCCGCCGCCCGCAGGTATCCCGCCGCCGCCATGACTATCCACTTCATCAGCGGCGAAGAGTCCGCCCTTTTCCAGCCCTTGACTATTTCCAATGGCGCCCTCACTCTTCGCCACCGTATCATCCATGCGCCGCTGACCCGTAACCGCGGGGTGCCCGCGAACCCTATCAGCACCCCCGACCAGCCTAATCGCATCTGGGTGCCAGGCGATCTCATCGCTGAATACTACGGCCAGCGTACCACCGACGGCGGCCTGCTCATCTCAGAGGGCATTCCCCCTTCTCTCGAGGTAAGTACAACCACTCTTGAATACCATTTGGTCTATTCTTTCCCTTATGAAGATCAAGGAGGCGAGAATCTTCGAAACGGCGCTATTTTTATACCACGCCGCTGCTGCCCGCAATTATCCCATTCCATGGCTCAGGCCTCCCCCATGTGGAGTCTCGCACTGTACATTCTGAACATTTTGGCTGACAACTCTACTCTAGAGCAACGGCATGCCCGGTGTCCCCGGTCTCTTCACGCCCGAGCAGGCCAATGGCTGGAAGAAGGTGGTTGAGGCTGTTCACGCCAAAGGAGGCTACATCTTCTGTCAGCTGTGGCACGCCGGCCGTGCCACGATTCCCCAAATGACCGGATCGCCCGCAGTGTGCCCCTCGGCTAGTGTGTGGGACTCGCCAACGGAATGCTTTTCCCATCCCCCTGTCGGCTCCACCGAGCCCGTCCGATACGCGAGCCACCCACCCATCGAGATGTCCGTGCCACACATTAAGCAGACGATCCAGGACTATTGCACCGCCGCCAAGACTGCCATGGACATTGGTTTTGATGGCGTCGAGATCCACGCTGGCAATGGCTACTTGCCCGAGCAGTTCCTCAGCTCCAATGTCAACAAGCGGACTGATGACTATGGTGGCTCGCCGGAGAAGCGCTGCACCTTCGTCTTTGAGTTGATGGCCGAGGTTGCGAAGACGATTGGCGAGCATAACCTGGCTATTCGTCTCTCGCCGTTCGGTTTGTTCAATCAAGCCCGTGGCGAACAGCGTCTGGAAACCTGGACCCATCTGTGTGAGGGTCTAAAGAAGGCTCACCCCGCTCTTTCTTATGTGAGCTTCATCGAGCCGGTAAGTTGCTTGTCACCTGTTATCCTGCTCCTCTTCATGACTGATTGTTCTTTTTGTTGGTGTAGCGCTACGAGCAAATCTTCAGCGAGGATGAGAAGGACTCCTTCCTCCAGAGCTGGGGCTTGAAGGATGTGACCCTAGACCGCTTCCGGGAGATCTTCGGCTCAACTCCGTTCTTCTCCGCCGGAGGATTCGACGATAAGAACTCCTGGGGCATCGTGGAGTCAGGCAAGTACGACGGCCTTCTGTTCGGTCGCTACTTCATCAGTAACCCCGACCTGGTGCATCGTCTCGCCAAGGGCCTGCCCCTGGCGCCCTACGATCGCACTCGCTTCTACGGACCGTTTGAGGATAATGCCTTCCACTACACCGACTACCCGGCTGCTGGCAAGCATTAATTTTACACTGGTGTAGGTATTCAAGCATGATATTACGATAGACGAGCTCCATTATATTCATTGATGGGAAGTATAGAATTAGATTATCTCCCCCGATTTAAATTTTATCATCGACGCAGTATATTCGAATTGGAATTGGTCACTTGTAGATATTCCGGTGAAAGCGTTATAGGTGAATCCTTCCGGGCTGAATTTTGGCATGCAGCTCGCAATCTATTAAGAAAATACTAAGGATGCAGGGGGCCCCATTCATCGAAATCCTTCAGGCGTGATCGGATGTCAGCATAAAATTATGCAGGCGCCTAGCTCTCAGGAGGCGCCTTATGGCTTGTGCGTTTCGAAAGTGGTGCAAGCCACTACCGATCCAGCGTCACCTATCCCGAGGCACCGGTAACGATGTCGTGCGGGTCCGAATGGCTCGAAAAGCAGCCCAGTGGTGCCTACTTATCGATCGGCTGTGTTTTCGTAATATTTTTCCAAGCTGGACCGAGAATTCCGAATCCTGCGCATGTGAAAGGCATTGTACCCAACAATGGAAGGCAAGGAATCTCGAGTCGTGTGTGGTATGTGCGTGATTTGAACGATTCGCCCTTAGAAGATCTTCAACTTTTTCATAGCCTGACTGGCGCCGCCAATCCAAAATATTCAATCATGACACCAAATTCGACAAGAAAGAGAATCAACCCCAAACATCCTCCTGCCATTTGTTCTTCTTCTTGACAGCCTTGCTCCAGTTGTTCACCTCATCCTCAGACCAACCCTTCACCTTGGCCATGGTAGCCCCTACAGCCTTCTCGACCTCGCGAGCCATACCTGCCCGACCGCAGACATAGAAACTACCACCCTCATCAATAAGCTTGACAACATCATCGCCAAACTCAGAGACTCGGTCCTGCACATATTGTCGCGGGGTGTCCTCTTTCCTTGAAAATGCAGTCACGATGCGAAGCTTGTCGCCCAGGGTATTCTGCATCTCTTCCAGCTCCTCACGATAAATGAAATCCTCTGCCGGATTGCGGCATCCGAAGAATAGAATCATTTGCCCGACTTCCTTCCCGATCTTCTGGACTTGGCATCGCTCGGATAGGAATGCCCGGAAGGGCGCCAGACCTGTGCCGGCCGCCACCATGATGAGAGGTGTCTTGCCGGTGATGGGCAGCTTGAACTTGCTTCGGCGGATATGTGCGAAGACCTTTCCGCCTTGCAAGGCGTCGCTAGGTCCATTGAGGTGGTATCTGATTCCGTGCGGGTGCGGTTGGGATTGGGCGTGCTGAGAGATGGCGAGGAGGTAGTTGGACGTGACGCCGTGGATGAGTTCGTCGGAGTTGTCTGGGAGAGGGGTCGTGGTGGCGATGGCAGTGATGGAAGGCTTGCGTGGGGAGACCACACTGCTTGATGAGATGGAGTAGTAGCGAGGACGAATGTGAGGTAGAGTTTCGACAAGGTATGAGAGAGGGATATTAGACCAGGCCTGACCTGGGCATGCTAGCTGGAGGAGACGGCCGAGGTTGAGATGGGTGCGGTTGATGACGTTGGCATAGTAGTCCTTGTCTTGTCCAAGCTGGAGAAGATAGCTCTTTGCCTCGGGGGTTGGAGCAAATTGGGCGAGGTCTCGGACGTTGTCACGGTTGACAGGCGCGCAGATCTCGAGGTAGTATCGGAAAAGGGCATTCGTGCTAGTCGGCGATGGAATGGTGACCTTGGTGGCTGAATCGACGGCCTTGATGTGAAGAGGGATGTCGCTTCGCGATGACAATCCAACTACGTGGAGTAGTAGCTCGACTTCAGCGTCTGGGTTTCCAGGCCAAATGGCGAGGTGGTCACCAGTCTTGTAGGTGAGGTCTGGTTGACTGGTCAAGTCCAGGTCCATGTGCAGACAGTGTCTGTCGGAGGAAGTAAACAACTCTCGTGATTTAGAGATGCTGAGTGTCCGAACGGCGGAGGATTGATTGCCCTTGGAGCCCTCGGAACTACCGTGAGGCTCGCCGTGATGCAAATCGATCGGCTCAAGCGACTCGTCCTCCTGCACTAACAAGCTCGGCACATACTTGGCCTCGACTTCCTGAAAACCCAACTGTTCCTTGAATACTGTGAAAAGATCATCTTTCCACGTCATGAAGTTTTCTTCGGTGGCACCCTCGGCATCATTTGCCTTGCCCACCGGCATGAGTGCCTTGGCTCCGAATTTGTCCAGCCCTTCTACCACCACATCGACAACCCGGTTGTAAAATTTGTAATTGGTGTTTCCGAGACCAAATGCAGCGTAGTGCAAATTGGACAAAGAAATATCGCCAGCCTTGTTAATCCAGCTCCAGAACTCGGCAGTGTTGTCGCTGGGGTCTCCCTCGCCGTAGGTCGAGACAATGAACAAGGCGAGCTTGGATTGCGGGATCTCAGTGATGGAGATCGGGTCATAGTCGGAGAGGTCTGCAGTCATGCTATCTTGTCCCCATCGTATGGAGATCTCTCTCGCCAAACGATGGGCGAATCCCTCTGCAGTACCAGACTGGGATCCCCAGAAGACGACGATGTTCTTGCCCGTCTCCTCGAGCTTCTGTGCAATATTCCTGGTTTCTTTGCTAGCGTTTGCACCAGCCTGTCCGCCATTCTTCAATTGTGGTCGCTCATACGCCAGGTATGCGTATGGATCAGGTTGGTCCCAGAGGTATCCCCGGGATAGGTAGGCACCCGATACTCCGGCGATGATGGCCAGAGCCGAGTAATCAGCCAAACCGGTCGGCGTGGCATACTTGGAGAGCTCTTCGAGCAACTCCGGCGAAATGTTCCATTGTGATGCGAGCTGAGCAAGAGATGCCATTGTGTACAGAGATGTCGGGTCTCTGGTTATCGTCGGATCAACATATATATCGAGAAAAGAAAGAAGAAAGAAAGGTCTATCAGTGGAAACAGAAAGTCCAGTCGAGCAAAATCCGGGGCCTCTCCGACATTCAAATATCTTGACCAGAGCCTACGCGAGACCCTCACAACTGAGTAAGATATCCCGATCAGCGTTGAGATCGGGGCAAAAAATAGGCATGGGATCTGCATCATCTCCAAAATCACCCCTCGTGGCGGGGCAAATTGCCTATCGCGGCGATCTTTTCGGCGGTTATTGACAGTCGGGAACTGAAGCAGGCCAAACGCCACAGCCTGGGACCTCCCCGTGGGGAACGCCGTGTAGGAAAATATCGCCCGATTCGGCCAAACAGGTAAATTGGCCAGCCGCAAGATGACGCTACGGCATCCACCTCGTCGTCTCGTCCTGTTTCACTCGGTCGGTAGGTAGAAACCGGTCGGATCAAGACCGATCCTGATATCATGTATGCCGTGCATTTTTAGTTCCCTTATCCATGTGTTCAATAGGGAATTGTTGGTCGGCGGGCGCGGTCGGCTCGGGCATTTCGGGCAATGCAGTCGACTACAGGCGTGCAGGTGACGAACATGTTGCTGCATGGCCAGGCTGTCATATCCCAAAATACCCTGACTTCGGCGATGGGCATTCAAAACAGGAAAGTGGCGTTTCCAAGGTTCCCCAAGCCTGCGATCGCAATGGAATGATGCAAAGCACAAGTGGTTCATGTGGGGAAGGGCTGGCTGGGCACGGGGTAACTTCCCCGATGGACAATCTCCCGCGGGGATTATCACCCTGCCTACACTCCTACCATTGCATCTATTTGAAGTCCCAGAGTGCATCACCGATGGCGGGGTGTCGATCTGAAAGCCGATGGGGATCTAGCTAAACTTATCAATCTCGCGCCGCATCTTTTGACGCGTGTGATTTGCCCGAGAATGTCAGGTTTGCGTATTTGCAGCGCAGACTGCTGGTCATAGCTTCTTGCGGCGTTTTTACTACAATCAACTTTTCAAAACTACCCGCAAGAATGATGTATTGAATCGGATATTCAGTTAAGGCAATCTTTAAAGATATTCAGTTCTCATTTTTGAGCATCCATAAAACAAAATGAACCATCTAATTCCATATCTAAGGAATACCATCATCAAATCATGCAATGTGGTATATATCATCACAAAAAGTTGTAAAAAGGGGAATCATGTCAGAACGTAAAGGTGACCCATCAACCAATCACAGTCTATTTATGCCTCAGCACCCAAATCACGTCGCCAGATCTTAACCGGCATATCACCCAAGATCAAGTTCATCGTCTCTTCCCGCTTGAGTTCCCAACCAGGATATGCGAGAGCAAAGTCATAGCGATGCACCATGGACGCGATCGCCTTGGTCTGTTCCAGGTACGAAATATTCCGGCCAATGCACGACCGGGCGCCAGCGGAGAATGCAATCAGGTAAGGCTGGAGGGCCTTGCCTTCCTCGCCGAGCCATCGTTCGGGGATATACTGGTCGGCGTTGGGGAAGATGCTTTCGAGACGATGGGCGACGAGGGCCGACATGCTCACGGAGGTATTGCCAGCAACCCACTCTCCGAGAATGTTGGTACCCTCGGCGGGGGTTTCGCGGGGCAGGCCGTGTGAAGTCGGAGGGAAGATGCGGAGAGACTCGTCGAGGCAGGCGCGCAGGTATGGCAGATGCTTGACCTTGTCGTAGTCGGCGACCACCTCGTCTTCGTCCAGGACGGCATCGAGCTCTTCACGGAGCTTGACCAGGGTTCGTGGGTTACGGAGAAGTTGGTACATCACGTTGGCGATGGCAATGGCGGTGGTGACACTGCCGGCATTCATCATGATGTTGCACTCCGCAACCACCTCGCCCCATTCCAGGTTGTTCGGGTTACCATTCTTGTCCTCCATCAAGGCCTGGAAGAAATCGTCGAGCCTCTCGCCAGCCTCGTAGCGGCGCAGACGCTCGAGTCCTCGGCGCCACATGATGTTCTCCCAGTTCTCGGATGATGTTTGCATCTTGCCAAAGTAGGGGATCACATTGACCATTTTGTTGAGAGTTGGGTACCAGTCGTAGTTCCACAGAATGAGAGACTGTTTTCGCGCGGTAGGATAAAGAGCCTCGCGAAGACTGGTCTGATAAGTCGAGCCATCCTTTCGCTCAGCGACACACATATCATTGCCGGCATCAAGGAAGCCCAGGTGCTCCGACAGACCGATATCGGCAATAGCATCGAGGGTGAAGAAGTTGGTCCAGCTACGCAGGTCAAGAGTCAGGTCCTTCGGGTCGGGGGCGACCTTTCCAGATGCGACATCTTCCTTTGGAGCCACGGTGCAGACTTTATCGAAGTGTTTGAACATCCGCTGGACCTTGTCGGTGACCTTGAACTCCCAGCTCTCCAGGTTCTTCAAGGCGTAGGCCGAGGAGAGAACCTTGCGCTTGCGGGCATGGTCAGGCTTATCGACAACATCTGCCAGGTTGAAATGGCTACCCGCTGTAACGGAGTAGGAGCCGTCCTTGGTGCATTTCGTGTTGTGACCGTAGATGTCTTTGATGGCTTGGGCGTGTCCATAGGAGAGCGTGTTGGGGCCGGTCCGGATCACAGGGTGCTTTTTGTGCAACTCAGATAGCTCCATTGAACGGAAGCCTCTTGAGGCCATGAACATGAATGGCAAGGCAGAGAAGCCCGAGATGGGAGTGAGGTTGGGGTATTTACGTAGTCCTGGTCTCACTGTCAGTCACTCATCTTCATGTTTGGAAGCTTCACACCATCGATTGTGTCGCCACATACCTTTAGGATCACGGAGATATTCAATATAAGGCACAACAATAAAATAGGCCACAGAGAACAGAGTCAGTCCGATGGCATACGGAGCCACCGAGAAAATCGACCACATGCTGTCGGGATGGCTGATGCTTGTCGCCAAAGAAGCCATGATGAAATGAAGGAGAAGTCCTAGACAACTGAAGGGGAGTCTTTGGAATCTCAGTGTTCAAGATGGAACAACTTGCTATAAAGAAGAAGTAACGAGAATGAATGTTCGGATCCAGAAACAGTTGGACGGCCATATAAATAATCTTCGTGTCATGTCCACACCCTTGGCAGAGTATACCCGCGGGCCCTTCCCCACCATCAGCCGGACTGGATTGGAGGGGTGCCTTTTCGCCTGGCCTGGAAATACAACCCGTCATCCTCGACGACAATTGCCGCCAGACGGGCTGAGATGCTAGTTTAGCGCTGGAGGAATAAGCATCCCGTGGTCGATCATGACTTGCATCGAGTGGTGTCAAGACGTCGGGGTGGGTCGGTCGAGGGCGGGGAATATTTCCTCGCTCGAGAGGGCAATCATCCCCGGCGGACTGCCACAATTGTGACCTGCGGGGTTCTTAGCATAGAAATCCAGGGAAATTGAAACCCTGAGCTGCCCAGATGGCATCGGTGATCCTCTTCAAGACCTTTTCTGTCATCTCCACGTTTCGTTCTCCGGGCCGAGAGGACGGACGATTAGGGGGTGCCCCGATATCCTTACTTGGTCCCCAGATCCTTACTTGGTCCCCGGACCTGGGGATCCAAATGCATTGTCTCAGATGCGGCCGATTGGTTTGCAGACCCCATTTCTGAATTTGAATTGTAGGCTCGTTCTGATAGACTATTGCCGTTAAGAAAAGGTTCGCCTGGCCGTCGGTCGGGCTTAGCCAAGATCGAACTTCCGATTGTAGTTTCTGATCGGTTTCAGGGATGGCAACTTCTAAGGTGACTGACGCGTCGCGATTGGGTAGATGGTCCTCGTTTCGGACCCCAACTACCATCTGGTTGCTTGCCTCGACCTTGTCCTTTCCAGCCCCATCTTGCCCAAGGCCATCATCAATTCCCTGTCGATGCTTCTTGCGCGACCTCGTGGGGAAGGGTGGTCATCCTGGCAGGTATCAAGCTGTCAGTAAGATCGTAGGCACAACTAGGTTGAGAGTTCTGTATCCTCGAGCTCTGTATATGCATCGGAGATATGTGTTATGGTTGCCTCATCAGCACGGAAGAGGACATATTGGAAAGCGGTCCTTGACCTCTATAACCATGCGTAGTGAGCCTCATCGACCTACTCCCGACCTCCTATAATGCGTTATGTCTCTTTATTTCTTGTCCCAAAAACTTGGTCAGAAATCAAGTTGGTTTAGAATAAAGGCACCAAAAAAGGCCTAATACTCTAGCAACACCGTCATGGTATGACAACAAATAGACGCGTTGTATTAAGAAAGTCCTCATCTTTCTCTGACTCGAATCTCACGGAACAGCTTTGTCAGGCCCAAATCTCCTCTCGGTATTCTTGACAGTATGAAGAAACATCGAAGGGAAGCAATGCCGACCGTAACGGATTTCTGTTGACTGTAAACACCCCAATGTTAGTATCAAGCACATGAGGAGGAACCAGCAGGAGACACGACATACCCTCTTCCCCCCCTTCATTCTCTGCAGTTCGGAATCCCAGCCACCGCCGATACAAGTCCTCCGCAGTATGTGTCGTGAACATGTACGAAAGCCGATACATGATATGGTCGTACAGGTGGTCAAAGTTCCAGATACTATCCGGTCCCCCATTGATATTCTCGGGTGCACCCCGGTTGTAAATGCGAGCCAGCTCATCCGGTGTCCACTGACCATCCGCATAGATCGGATGGGGCACGTGTACAGCCTTGAGGCCGTGATACATGGCCCATGAGGCACCCGTCATCTCCGACGCAAGGCCCAGTCCTTTCGTTGCTTGTGCGTTATGAATTAGATCCAAAAGACGTCTTGAATATCGACCCATCGTGATGACCGCAGCACGACGCGGGGTGTCGAGGCCGTATCGAAAATTCCAGATCATATCGGGGAATGTCCAGGATGTATCCTTGGGACTGAAAATCGGGAGAAATGTGATCATGTCTGCTTCCTCGCCCACTCCCCATGTGTAGTTGTCGTCTGCTGGGCGTGTGGTCGGCGGGTCGGGGCCGAGTGGTCGAATCCCGGTGCCAAATATCGGTCCCCAAACTGTGTTGTCGGATATCTCTTTAAGACTTTCGTCGACTAGTTGAGAAAAGTTCTCCCACGGTCCGTGTGTGCCAGGGGTGTAGAAGTAGGCATTTCGCTCCCAGAGGTACTTCCGTGGCTGTTTCTTGGCAAAGGAGATCACTTTATCGAGGAAGTGATAGACATGTCCAGTGTGACGGCCATCCATCTCTAACTGCCAGTAGAAGTCGAAATTGGGATATAGCTGTGAGAATATTTCGAGAGGCTGGTGATGCTGTAGAATAGGACTAGAGTGAAAAGGCATCAGTATAGCCATATAGCCACATCCCCAGCTGGGGCTTCTTATGGAGCTTATCTCACCTGTGCTCGGCAATCTTGGGATACCACGCCTCAAGCAGCTTATTGTTAAAGAACAAGGCCATACTGCGGAATTCTGGCGGAATGGACTTCCGGAGCCGATCCATGGTCCTCGCATCTGAAAATATGGGAAGATCGTCGTCCTTGACATGAATAAGGAGAAACACCTCATATTCCGCTCCAGAATGCAAAGACAACTCCATTATCAAAGCCCGCAGATATTCACGGTGGTTCGCCGTCCAGATCATCGTATGCCAGGCTCGAATAAGCAGCGCAGATCGACTATGATACCGTTTCTGACCAGGGAGCGGGACATCGTACGAATCGTAGGTCTTGCGTGGAGGCTGTCGGAGCTCGAATGACAGCGGCCGTACTCCTGAGTGATTGATCAACGAGCTGGGGTGGTACCGGTCGGCATTTCTCTCGAAGCAGAGAGACTGCAGTTGATACCAATCAATGTCGGACCAAGGCACCTGCGGCGGTCGAGTGAAACCGGTAACATCCTCCTGACTCTCTTCATCGTAGCCATAAGCACCAAACCGCGAGTATCGGTCCGTACAGACATTCCCATCCAGCTCCATGGCTTCGTAGGACCCGAAACGAGGCTCGGGAAATCCGATTTGGTTCCCTTTGTAGACTAGCATCATGTCTTCGAATCGGGTTCGATCGAGATCTCGACCTCGTGGGCCCAGGCATGGTCGGAAAACTCCGTGGTTTTCTTTCTTCCATTTCTTGCTGTTGTAATCGGGGTAGGGATCGTAGATGGACGGGGTGGGGTGAGGAGGATCGTCGGGAAAGTTGAAGACGTTCGTGCTGGTGAGGGTCAAAGTCCCGCCGAGGTAGAACCGCTCGTCCCTTGAAGGTAAGTTTAGTACTGTCTTCTCCCTCTCTCATGCGGCAGACAAACCTCTTTGAATGAACAAAGCCCATATCATCCACATCAACCTCCATCTCTAGTGTACTTTCATCGTCTTCGGGATTCCCAGGCACATACTGAATACCATACGTTTCTCGATATTGACCAGGCCGAATGACGCCCGGTTTCTGACACGAGCCGAAAATAGAGAGGAGCGACAGTTCAGGATGAGCAGAGAGGCAAGAGTACGTCTCGATGACAATCAAAGCGAAAACCAAGCAGCCAAGCCAACGCATCCATGTCGCCGGACGCAACCGCAGCGACCTTCGAGTTCGAAACCTCATCGGGCTCTTGCTGCGTATTGCTAGGATCGGACTCATCGTGGGATGCTTGGCTAGATATCGCACAGGGGACGCATGCTCCGGTTGCTTGCAGGCATATGGGAAGCACGCGGCAGTGAAGAAATCGAAAATGTACCAAGTTATCCGAATGAGCGTTTGATCATTGCGCTGGCATTTTGTTTTCCTGGATTGGACCCATAGTGAGAGTTAGGGACAGTGTGCCGAGTGTTGGAGACAACGATGTCATCAATACGTGGTCTTGACTACAATCTCTCCGATTATCTGAAACGGGCATTTGAGCCAGACTGAAATGTTACCGATTATCGAATTCGATACGAGGGATTTATGTGTTTATTCTATAGAATATCCCTAAAACCAAAATCTTTGGTCATTACTGGCAATATCTAGTCAACGTAGTACGCCCAGTCTCCAGCTTGTGCACTACCATGCGGAGCGTGTTTCCATTGCCCCGTGATAGAAGACCATTCAGCCCAGGCATGAAAAAACCGGCTTCTAGAAATCATATTTTGAGTGTTTGTGTCATATGGTTTTATTATCTCTACGCCGGAATTCCAAGGCTTGAGTATTTTAAATGAACAATGGAAATTCATTTCTTCCAGATAGCCGACTCGGGAATTTACAACACAAGCATGGTCGGGAATACGAAGACTCTGGACCCATTCTCTGCTCCGACTCAAGTTCTGTTGGAAGAAAGCCTGCATTAGTCACAGGCTCACTCAAAACATCTATGGTTGTACTCGACAATGGTTGTATTCGTGACAATAATCTGACAGGTTCTAACTTACATGAACAGGTTTGCCATCCAAAAGAATCCACCCCTGGGTATTACACAAACAAGAGATTCGTTTGGATTAAGCAAAGTAGCTCTTCCAAAGAACACCAGAAAGATCCTCCAATTGATCCGGAGTAAATGCCTTATTAAAGAAAAAAAGTTAGTACATGCATCAGGGCCATGTGTCCAATTAGATTGTAGCTTACCTTAGCATCAATATGCCAAGTATCCTGGCGGGTCTTCTTGAATTCACTGATGATCGTCTTGACACTCGAACCCACGACGCCAGGGTCACTGGCAGCGCGGATGCTGATGGTAGTCAAGGCTTCAGGCATCCAGTGCGGCGGAGGACTATTGTACGGGAATGCCTGAATGAGCGCGCCCAGACCCAGCACAGCACCGTGACGGACAATGATAAGACGGTTGTGCTCAGGAGTGGGGGTGCCAGTGCCGGAGGAAACTGCAGAAGAAATTCCAGAGCGGAAGTTCTTCGGCTTCTTAGGCAAAGGATTATCTGCCAGAAGCTTGGTGAAGCGCTCCTGGAAGCGGCTGACCATCTTGTCGCGCAGGAAGACGGGCGAGCATCGAATCATGCCCGACAGCGTAGCCGAAGCGCCGGCGCGGACTTCATGCTGAGGGTCCTCAAGCATGGACGCAATGCACTCGAAGAGCTTGTCGCGATCGGCCGGGTCAAGCAGGAAGAGACGACGGAAGTAGATGATTTGGATGTTGATCATGACACGCAGACGCTGGTGCCATGAGGGCGAGGTCTGGCCGATACGGATAAGGGATTGAATGAACTCGGAGTTCTTCTCCGCAGGGTAGGGGATGTTGGGGAGATGGCGGAAGACATGGTAGGCAAGGGACTGCAGTTCTGGATCCTCCTTCACATCCATCATGTGTAGCAGTTGAGCAGTGAACACATCGGGGAAGAAGGGAACAAGCTGAGTGCACTCGTGGGAAGACAAAGTCGAATCCAGCCAGAGAAGCACCGTCTTGCTACCAGAAGTGTAGGAGGATGGCGTTTGTTGTCCAGGAGTTCGGGACTTGCGCCATTCTTCAATTCGAGCGAATACACCGCGGACCATGGCCGAAAACTCGTCAGAAGGTGCGTAGGGGTAGCTACCCACGGATGATGCGGACTTCTGATCATCCAGGAGGTGTTGAAGATCTGGGTATGACTCGTGATACCTCGTGCGGTAGATGGTGGCAAGGGTTTGACCCATAGCCTCACGAACGCCCTTGTAAGGATGATCCAGGTGCGCGAGAAAGTCTTGAACGATCGGCTTTTCAAGCTGGAAATGCCAGCCAGCATCGATGATACACTGGTGGAGTAGGTTGATCTTCGAGCTCTCCTTGAAAGCTGCGTTGGTAGACATATCCAACCGGAAGCTAGCCAGCCAGTCGACCAAAGGCCATGCTCGGCGGGGATCGCGGCATTGCAAGATCATGTGAAGGAAGGTTGTCCAGTAGCCAGAGTTTTCAGGTGTCAGGCCATCGGTGAAAATCTTCCTAACAATTGGAAAAGCATATTCCCAAACCAGCGAGCGGTTCTCGACACTGGAATCGGTCACAGAGCTGATCAAAGCACCGAGGATTTCAGCAGTAGCACGGTGCTGGTGCTTGTCGCTACCATCTTCGAAGACAGCTTGGATTTCTTGTTGAATGTCCTTGAACGAAGCAGCTGTGAGGCCATCACGAAGCATAAGCTCGAAAGCATAAAGGAGCATCATGGCGCACGACATGCGGAATTTATCGGCAGAAGGATCCCTTGGCTCCTGCTTCAGATAATGGAAGAATTTGGCAAACCACTCGCGAGTGAATTGCTTGCCCATTTGCTTGCGCACGTTCCATTCAGTCTCGTCATACTCGATGTCCCGCGCCACATTGGACTTGTAGGCAGGCAAGGTCTTTCCCCAGACCAGCCAGCCAGGGAAGTCATGGTCAACATAGTACTCAGCCTCGGGTTTGGCAAAGCTAGCAAGGTACTCATGCGTCCAGTCCTTCTCATCCGGGCGAGTTGCGACCTTGATCTTCGATGGGAAGTGCTGATGGCCCAAAATGTAATTTTTGTAATCGTGAGTGCAAATAGCACGCACATCGATCATCGTAAACAATGCAATCAGTGCCTGGGAATACATGCCTCGCAGGCCGGGGTGGTCGTCGATCGAACCGAGGGTGACAAGCTCAATCAAATTCTCGCTAGCGATGTAGTCAAATCGGAGGCCCATCGTGATGACAATGGTCGCGGCCCTGCTAGCGATCTTCCAGTGCGAAATACGCGCCAGGTTGACCAGCTCCTCGGCAAGATCGGCCTTCTTCTTTTCAATTGCCGCGCGCTTCTTGTTGATCATCTTGCGCTTCTGCTCAATATTCTCGGTAACATCCTCACTAGGAGCGACAGCCTCCACGATTTGTCTATCCAAAATGGCCATCCTTTCCATGGCGCGACCATAGTCCATGATCTGGAACACGGCACTAGAGCAAATCTTCTGAACGGAAGGCTTGTCAACAGCACTAGCGTCGATGAAAGTACGGATCAAAGTCGGGGTGAACTTCCAGTTACGTCCGACTGTCTTGGCGACACTGCTCAAAAGCAATGAAAACAGAGCACCCTTGATGCGCGCATGGTCGTTCTCTTTAACGCCATTCTGGAGGGCCTTGAGAAGAGGAGGGATGACGAGGTTGCGAGCCCCAAAGACTGCCTTCAGTGCTGATTCGCCCGCATTCTGGGCGTTGCGTCGGGTTTCAGTGTAAAGAGAGACGCAAGACTCGGCAAGATCATAGAGGAGAACTTCGTCAAGCTTAGATCGCCGGCGCGGCGCGGCATTGTGACGAAGACGTTGCAGGTGGTAGACATTGGCCCTACGCACGAGCAATGCCCGAGGGTAATCTTTCCGGATACCGCTCATCTTGTAAGGGTGAATATCGGCCGCGAGTAGTCTGGTCACACGATCCAGGACATGAGCAGATCGCTCGATACCGACATCGACAAACCAGGACCGGAAGGCTGAGTAGAGCGCACCAAAGGAGGCCACATCATCCTCTTGCTTGTCACTGAGGAATCGGTGGGTCTCGTGCAAGACCCAGCCAGCTCTTTCGCGAATTTCGTGAATTGTAGTATAGAGAGGATCTCCCTCTTGCAGAGGGTATCCAGTCGGGTATGAGAAGCTTTCCCTGATGACGGACTCGTCGGTATTATCGAGAGCAGCATCGAATTCCATATCCGTTCCATTTGAAGCCGAGTCATCCACCATTTCGAATTCACTTGAGACAGTGGATGCACCGTTGGAAGAATCCGACGAGGAGTTCGCGGCCGCCTTAGAATCGAAGAGGACAGAGATACCGGACAGGAGCAGTCGAAGAAGAACCAGATTACGGGTAACTTCATCGGACCACTCTTTGCCACTTCCGTCTCGTTTGATACTCGAAGTCTCGTTCGTCAGACCAGTCAGGTGCTTCAGAGCCGACTCAGCCTGATTCTTGAAAACTTCAACGGCAAATTCCAGCTCCTCCCGCTTGGGTACATGCCAATTAATGTTGAGATTGCGAACATCGGCACTGTAGCTCCAGTGCTTGGGCTCGATACCTTCGGTTGTATCTGCCTTCTCATAAAGAGAATAGTCACTGGTGTAGGTCCCAGTCAGATTCAGCAGGAGGTGATGAATGTAATTGGAGATATGGACGGTGGGGATTCCCCGGCATGTCTTTTGCATGTACACTGCAATATCAAAGAGCTCTTGACGATGAGCCAAGACGGCGTCTCCAACATGGACAACACACATGCTCAGCATACTAACGTTCCAAACCAGACCACGATCGCGGGGGAGGACATCCGTGCCAGTTGTCCGAGTCGACCCGGCACCGTTGTCTTCGATTTCGGTGCGAATGGCTTGGGTGAGAACCGGGATAAAGCGTTTGAGAGCCTTTTCGGGGTTGACCTTGCACAGCGCATTGCAAATGAAGGCCATGGCATCTCGAGCCTGGTGGATCACGTGGTTCGAGACGAAGTCGACAATCTTGGACAAGGCAATGTCGTAATACTCCGGTGACAGAGAAGCAAGGAGGGGCATGAAGGTAGCAGGCAGTGTATTGACAATGTTTTCCTCGGGAGACCCATTGCGAACCCTGGTCACATCGGGCAAATTCTCGAGAAGCGTAAAGACACGACCAAGGAAGGAGATGGTAAAATCACCGAAACCACAAGTCGATGAGCGCAAAATCATCTCTTCGGTCGCGTCGTCAAGCTCAGTGTCATAATTCAGCTGCACGTCTGAGCCCTGTTCTTCCATTCTCTCCATTTCGCCGGTAATCCACTGCACCGCGAGCATGTTACAGTTGACGTCCTCTCGTCCCTGGGCCATATCAATCATCGGAATATTGTAGCATGCCGACTGGATAAATGAGAGGGCATGGAGTGACTTTTCCAGGTCATTCGCGTCAATACCAGGCAGCGCAAGACCGAGTAGTGTAGTCATATGGCAGCGGTAGCCCTTAGTCCGAGTGATGACCCGGGAGAGTACTTGCATGGCGCGGAGGGAAGAAGTTGTCCGGTGAACCTCGACCAAACCTTGAAGAGAAGGGTAGATTCTCTGCAAGGCGCCGGGAAGGATCAGGTGTGGCTCCAGGTAGGCAAGACCTTGAAGCGTGGACAGGGAGAAAGTCATGGCAGTACTGCTTTTGGCGTAGATGCCCATGAAGATTACGTCCCTCAGGCACAAGACAAAGCGGCACTTGAGTGCTTCATTTAGTCGCCGCTCAGGAGGCACCTCCAGCTCTCCGCTTTGCTCGCGATTCCAGCGCATCACAAAAAAATCTGTCAGATAATAAACTAACTGCGAAAGTGTCTTGGTCCAGCCACCCGAGTTCGAAGGGTGGAAGAACGTTTCCACCGCTTGAATGAGTCCCTCGAGCTGTGTGAGTATGGAATCCTCCGACTCAAGACAAGCAGGAGACAGCGACATCACAATCCAGCGGGCAATGTGGTGAGCCACGGGATGCTTCCGCGTGTCGCGATCAAGCATTATACCCAGACCAGAAGAGATATCGACCAAGGCGCTGTATGGCGAAGTGGACTGTCCTACGGGAATCTCCAGCAGCCTCAGAATTGCAGTGAAAATCAGTGAGGACTGTTCCTTCGTGAATATACCATGTTCAGAGAACGGAATGTGAGCAGCTGTCAGCGAATCGCGGGCCAATCGAGACAAATAATCGAGATATGTCGTGTCAAAGGTCTTCGAGCGTCCCACCAAAAACCAAAGATGGAAATGAGTCGGCAAATGAGTTTGCGGGAGGAGGTCTTGTCGGTCTGCGGGGGCAGGTGATGTGGGCAGCAAGAGATTGACCAATCCCGCAACCACGAAAGCGCCTTCGGAGAATGAGGTGGTGTAGTGAGGAAGGAACTCCTCGAGCATGGCTGGTAGTTCGCAAGGGTCGACGAAGAGCTGCGCGAAAGCGCATAGCTTGGTCAGCGTCTTTACATTCCGCTTTAGGTTGGTCGAATGGACGAGGCCAGACTCGGTGGGGAGGACAAAAGCTTTCAGTTCCTTGTAAAGCGGCTTCCAGTCTAGGGTCAGGTCTTTCACGGGTCGAAGATAGTGCTTGCGCCTAGATAATAATTGGAATTAGTGTTGGTTCTCCTCAATCCATGTTTGCCGAGAGGTTGTTACTCACTTGGTAAGAAGCATGAACATGCTTGCAAAGCGCTCCGAGACACCTGGGTCAATTCCCGGAGCTAGCGAAAGTTCATAGTATAGCTTTACCAGGTTGATCCTTTCCGTTCGAGTGGGATCAAACTTCAGTGAGAGCCATCCTCGAAGCTCGCGTGTCCAGTGCACAGCCCCCGGGTTGAAATCACCGGCTTCGACTGAAATGTAAAGCTGTTTCAAAATCTCTTGCAGGGTCACTTCTCGCTCTGATTCATCTTCGAGGGGGTAGGGGAGGTATTTGAAGTATGGATAGGTGCGCGGGCGGACGCGGGCTTTCGGTTCGCCACCACCGTTTACCGCGGCGGGCTCACCACCGGGTGAGGTAGCGCGGGAGATCTCTGCACCATGGGAAAAGTTATGGGATGTGAGAATCGCCTTGGGGGCCGAGGCGTCCATAATCGCACGCGAGTGAGAGGAGAGAGGATGAGAGGACGGGGTGGAGATGGGGCGAGGGAGGTGTTGGCGCGGACGTCAGATCGGGCTCTAAAACCGCTACGTCAGCAACCGCGGAGGGTCAAAAATCGTGGATGTGCATGCACAAGGCTGCCGCAAGATGAGAGGGTGATAAGTTACCTTTTACCACGAAAATCGGAGTTCCAAGCCCAGTGATGCGGGAGTTGAGGCCGGAGGATGCGTTCCACACGGCCGGGTGCGCATGAGGTACTGGGGCAGTCGAGACGGTCGCAGTAGTTGAAGCTTGAGATAGGCTGGAGATCCGAATGGGGGCCAGATCTTAGTAATCGGTGAGGGTCTAGGGGCGTTCGTCTTTTGAAGGGGAATCTGATGTTCGTGGGGAAGTGTCGAAGGAGAGGTCGGCGAGACCTGATGACATAATTCCACGTAAAGAGCTTTGGCCCTGCAGCTGGAGACCCGCGTGGGAGCAACAAAAATAGATCGCCCTAAGCTGGTGGATATTCGGTCCTGCAGACGTTCTACAGCTGTCTACTAGCACTTTATTTTGTCTTCTAGCACCGTGACAATCTACATTTTATACCAGTTTTGGGGGCAAGCAAGGCATCACCAGTACGCCTCAGCCAACTTAGGCAGCCGGTCCATTACGCAAGCGGCACACCCGGGCACAAGCGGAGCCGCCAACTACATTATTAAGTCAAGCATAGTATTACGGTGAGATGAAAATTGGCCAGTGGTATATTTCCAACACATGTGGCTTTCTCATGCTGGCGGCAAAAAAGAACCGAAAAGAACCGCTTGTATCAAAGCATAGCCCACCATCGCTTGGCCCGTGACCGACAGAATGCGGTAGCTCTTGCGGGGATCGTGCAGGCTATCCATGGCGGTCGACACCAACCACCAGTACCACAAAGGGTACCCCGACGAAATACGATTGATAATCTGGACATGATAGCTCGTCAAGGCCATGACCGCCAGCAGTCCCTGGGGGACAGCCAACCGAAACAGCATCGACCCTGGACTCACTGGGGAAGACGAATGACCGCCAGATCCAGAAGCCAACGTCGATGGAGCTTGAAGCGCCCACCACGATGACTTGACCAAAATCGCCAAGACTGGCGCAGCAAGAAGAAAGAGGGGGATGTTGGAAATTGTCCAATATCTCAAAAACCCGACATTCCTAGAGGTCATCATTAGCAACAAAGAACTATCACACATGTAGCCCGGCCCCCCCGCCGGGGGAGGGGGGGGGGGGGGAGCTCATGAGAAAGATGGCACGCACCAATAATGACCCTGGACCCAGCTATAGATACTAGGAAGAGGCCAGTTGCACCAAGGTCGGGCGCTAGTTTCCACCATGCAATAGCTGCGGTAGGCGAATATTTGGGGGACAATCATCCCCAACGCTACGATGGATCCACCTAGGATGATAACCACTAGCCGACGAATAGTGCGGTAAGGGATACCTTGAGTAAGGGCGGTCCAAGACAAGATAGCAGCATCGTAAGCAAACAAGAATCCGCTCAGAATTCCGTTACTGCGGACGAGGGTCGCAAGACCAAAAAGCACGCCTGCCGTGAGCACCAGAATATCCCGGAAGCGGATCGCCCCATTATGCTCGGCGATGAGGGACGACGTGTACAAATAGAAGCCCGAGATATTCAGAAAGGAGAAGATGGATTCTCCGTACGGTGCAGAGAGAAAGGCACCTGCCGGACAGATGATGTGCAGAGCAGCCGACAAGAAGCAAATTAGCCTCTGGGTGGCCGTTGCATGACCAAAGACGTTGGCAGAAAGCCCATACAGGGCTAGCACGGAGAGATAATGCGCGACGTGGGACAAGGCCACGCCGATCAATGCAGCTGTGACAGGCCCACCCTGGCCACCGGATCTGCGAATTCCTGATGACCGATCAGTGATATGATCTCCCGAGATTGGGGCGAGGCAGTCGGCCATCGGAGCAACCATTGAAAACTTACCCGAAAGAAAGAACCCGAGGACTCGGGGATAACTGAAGGCCCACTCTTGCTCGAAGATGTAGCCATTTTCCGCGGTGTGCAGAAAGTAAATGGCATCCCATCGGGCGAACTTGAATGTGAAGGGAAGCGACACGGCCTGGCTGTCGGGGGCCAGACCGGCCTGCTGGTCGGAGATCAATGTGGTGGAGGTGTCATAGCCCGGACCTGGACAGGCGACCACCACGAAGAATATGAGAGCTTTCCAGAGCCAGAAGGCGAGAGTCAAACTCCGACCAGGGTTGTCTACGCGTAACAGAGACGCCGAGACGCGGCCAATGGAGGGCATGACGGTGCCGCTGTTGTGTTGACGTCGATGGGAGCTCCTTGAGCAACAGCAGCCGAGGCATTTCCGCCCAGCTTTCATATCCCGAGCATAATTAGTCAGCGGAGCTAATGCAGCGCCGTACCCCGGCGGCGCCGCCGATCGTCCTATAGTTCGATTCGGCCCCAAGGTTTTCCTGCTCCGATGGAATCTTCTACTGAGGAATTACCGTGCGTCGTTCTATTGAAACAGGATGGTCGAATGCCACTGTACAAGATTTTGCACAAATTTAGAGCAGCGGTGCTTCGGAGGTGACTTCTAGCGGCTGTCAGCTAATACAATAGTACCGATCCAGGTCCAGTGGCAACAGAGACCGAGCCATACGAGACCTCTTGGCAGGTGGTCATCCGACGAGAAACGAAATCTGGGCAATTAACAACCAAATGTGATTCGGCCCACCGAGAACCTTGGGATGCTCTCAGCCCTATTGAGCTGGACCATGCGACGGAGTAAGGGTCTGATTCTCGATATACCGTATCGTATATTATGGGATGTCCTCAGGTACTCCCGTGAGCATGCCAAGCATTATGATCTAGGAGTACCTCTGCTTTCCTACGACCAAGTTTGTATTGGCAGACAAACATCACTGTGGTAACTCACCCACACTGTGCTGACTGCTCAAAATCAAGGAAACCCTAATTCGCCAGTGGGGCTCCGAACGCAGCCGGCGAAAGCATTTCGGCGCTTTTACAAACAGTTGCTCCGCGCCGACAGCTGTGGACTTTCTGCACTTTGCGGACCCGGTCTGCGCGGGACTTATGCTGGACGGCACGAACCGGAGATCAAGGTTTTTTTCGTGTTATTCGGTCTTGCAAGCGTGCCACGAGGAAAAGTCTGTCGCTGGCATGACCTGGAACCCCACCAAGAGGGCCTCGGGCCAAGTCCGCCCCTCTCATCGCGATGGAGTACAGCTGCTCAGTAATCACTTGCGCTGCTCAGTACAGCTGCTCAGTAATCACTGGCGCTGCTCAGTAATCACTGCCAGACTTTGATGGATGAGAATGGATTCGTGGTTCCGGGGTTGTGGTCGTAGAGAGGGTTCTTTCAGCCCGTGTTTTCGTACGGACGTAATGAGATGAACGGTTCCGCCCTGCTGCTGAGCGAAAAGCTGAAGAAGTTCGGCGCCGTAAGCGTCCGCCCTCTGATGCTCTTGGGACCAATAACGCCCGGAAATGGCCCAAGACTGCAGGGATGGGGCATCGCCAAGCAGCGCCCAGGGCCGGATGGAGCCAAACAGGAGGCCGGCGAGGGCAAAATCAGCTCAGTATGACGCAGGCTCGGTCTCGGAGCCTCAACTGCAATCTTCCTTCATCTGGATCGGCGGCCGGATGTGTCGGAGGCCGCAGTGGCCGATCCGCTCCACTCGCGAGAGATGCAGAGGTGTATAAGGCTGACCGCCCATTGATTTTGGCATTTGTGTACTGGTCAAGTCGATGCGACAAGACGGGGAGGCACCCGACAGCTGCACACGCCTTCCTTTCTTTTTGCCCCTTGCATCTCCTCCCAGCCCGCCATCTCCTGCCTGGATTCTCCTTCCTCTCTGTACTTGCTCGGCATTCTCGACATTCTTTCTCGACCCTCTTTGCAATCTGTTTTTCGCTGCGGTTTTGGGCTTCCCCCCACCAGCCTGTTTTCCCGCCCGCAGTTGACGCGCGGACGGTCTTGGATGCGTACGTGGATGCCTGGGGTTCTATAAACACCCTGCTATTCTGGGGAGGAGTTCGAATGTGGCTCCGCTTTTGAGTCCAAGAATGCTGTTGAATCTTGGTCTCACAGCGGATGCCGCAGCAGCTCATCCTCTGGATTCCACCTCGCGACCAGACACGCCGCCCACTGTCAACTCTCCTTACTATACAGCCGCTTTTTCGTTGCCCACGCTCCCTCTCCTAGGGCATTTCTACCCCAAATTACCGCAGCCGGATGCTCCTACGACCGGCTCTGCGACTGCCAGCGGTTCTGGCCACCCTGCGGGATCAGTATCCGGCCCGGCCATGAGCCCCGTCGCAACGTCGGGCGAAGGCGAGTCCTCACAAGCGCCACCACCTACGCTCACTAGACCTCGTGTCAGCTCGAATACCAACCGGAAGTTGACGCGCCCAAAGACCTCGTATCAGCTCGCGCACCCTGCCGCACATGCTCGTCACAAGCGTCTGAAACTCCGCCCCCGGCTGCTGCTTCAACTCCAGCAGGTGTCGCAGACACCGCGGCCTTTACCGATTCTAGATGTCCTCCCATCCACTCTATATCTGCCACGCCTAGCTCGAAGATTCCCGGCGTTGTTTCGCGGCCGAAATGGATTAGGCCCGAACGATCTCATCATTGTGATGAGTGAACTATACGAGCGGACCGTTTCCAGTATCCCCGAGAAACAGCCAAGCGTAGAAGGTGAGGATGAGGACCACCGCGAAGTTGTGGCCACCATCTGCCAGATGCTCCAGGAAGACGCGCGCTTGAAAGGGAAGGCGGAGATCTGTCTGAACTTCGGACCGGTCTGGGAAGCGACCCCGTTACCGAGTGGTTCCTATGAGTTTGTGGCCCGCACGGACAATGGCTTGCGCATTATGCGATGGGCATTGCGAGCTGGAAAGAGCCGTCGCGTCTCATCTGTTGCCCCGGGTACTCCGTCGCGTGACGACGGCAAGCGCTTCACCTTCAGCGTGATCGATCCTCACACTCGTCGGCATCCCGTCATCGCCTCCTTGACCCGAAACCATTTAGAAGTTTTCGATGAATATTCCGCCATCGCTCGATCGAGTACAGGCCCCACCACACCCACTTCAGCGATGTCGGTTGTTAGTGACATGTCGGACACTGAAGCTCCTCTCGAATCCAGCGACGTGGTCACCGTGGATGATGGTCTGCGCACACTGATCATCACTACTGGCATCTGGGTCGCCTTCCGCGAGGGTTGGTCTCACAACTTCAGTTATGGCGACCCGGTCTCGGCACCCAACGGCAAATCACTCGTCTCTCCGACCTCATCCAAAACCGCTTCGCCGACAGTGACCAAGGCTGAGAGCAGTGCACTTGTCGATCGGGATGACCTGAGCCCTATGGAAGAAGTCACCAACGGTGTGAACGGCAAGCGTTGCGCGTCTGTCTCTAGTGTCCGCCGGTCGAATACCATGGCGCCAGCCCCGTCGGAGGGAGGAAAGTCCTTTGGAAGCCTTTCTAAGCGTTCCAACTCCACCGGCGCCGCGTTCATAGAAAGAGCCAAGCAACGGACTTCCTCGGGCATCAGCAATCGATTGAATCGACATAGCATGTTCACTGCCACCGGCGAAAACGGCCGCGAGATTGTAGTCTCTCGTCCCCCATCCTTACGTCAAAACTCGAACGAACCTGAAGATGTCCCTACTCAACCCGGGCAATACAAGAAGAAAATAAAAGCTCAGCTAGCACCTGAAACTTCCAAACCATCACCATCCCCCGATGGTTTCGTCGACCGTGCTCCGGCAGGGCCTTGCCAGCCTTTAACTGTGAATGGGAAAGACCATGACGCGGCAAAAACGAAACGACGACACCGATTCAGCTCTCTCTTCGCGATCTTTCACCGGAAACAGGGGACACACTGATACCACCATTCCCTCCGCCCACTATTCTCATACGTATACCCTTGCATCTTGTCAGCGACCTATTTGTACTTCTTACACCGAAGCATCTCCTCGGTACCCCATTGCATCTGGAACAGGCGTTCCTCTGTCACTGTGGCTCGTCTGGTACGCAGCCCGGCCGACGCAGCCCGGCCGCTTCTTTCTTCCCCACTTGTCTATTTCACCTCACATCTGTACTACTCAAAGCCGCATCTCAGATAGCCATGTAGCATCATGACCAGCGAACCCCTGTACGATTGTGGATGACCTTTTCTCATGCCAACATACACATCATTCCCCTGACCTGGTCTTCGCAGGGGCCATATGAATATATTCCACCCAACCAATACTTGTGAACCCATTATCAAACCCGCCATTCTGAAATAGAGTAGACATCGTGAAAATGATGAATTCTCGATTAATGTGCATTTCATTTTTGACGTTCGACGTAGATGGTCTGTAATTAGACAATATGATATGTATTGGAGAATTAGATATCGGGAAGAGAGGCACCAGGCTATGCCATATGGTGCACAAGTCAATCTTATCGGCCACCCCTCATGCAAAGACAAGAACCCCATCAAAGTCTCAAGCTAGTCGTCACTTCAATGGCCTGGCCCTCAGCACTAATAGCCCACTGAGTGAACTTGTCCGCCATCTTCTCGTTCTTGCTGTCCTTTCCGATCAGAACGTGAGCGGGGTTAAGCAGGGGGTCCGAGGCGTCATCAGTGGCAGCCTTGTAAATGAAAGTCCGGTTGGCGATCTCCTGATCAACAGACAGATAGGTTAGGTGCTACGGTCGGTAATGGTGTATTCATCCAGAAGGACAGCAGCCGTCAGAGCCTGGATGGGGTAGGCAATGTACTGGTAGTACCAGGTCGAGCAAGCAGTCGCCCAGGGGACCTCGCCGATCTCGATTCAGAGCTGCCAGTCCTTGATGTTGGCGGCGGACATGTCGTAGCGGGAAAGGAAGCAGACGAAGAGATCACTGGTGCCGGCATCGGCGTAGCTGTAGATATTCGAGAACATGGTCTTGATGTCCCTGCCGTGGGAGAGCTTGGCCGGATTCGGCTTGGGGCCGACGAGGAGGAAGCGGTCGCGCCGGGCGTATCAGGCCGGTCCCTTGGCGAAGCCTTTCATGATGGCGATGGACTCGGCGGCAGGAGTATAGGTGATTCCGATGTCGATGGTGCCGTCCTTACAGGTAGTTGATGCTCTCGATGGTATCATATTGTACCACTCGACGGCGAGGGGGTCGGAGCCATTGCGGACGCTGGACTTGATGAAGGCGTTGGCGAGGGCTGTTTTACATCAAGTTATGTCAGAGAATGGCTCAATGGCCAGTTGAGGGTCATCAGTGAGTAGCGACATACCCTTAATCAGACCACTCTGGCCAGCGCCTCCGTTACCAATACGGAGCTGGACATCGTCTTTGGCATCATCAGAGTAACCACCGTCGTAGGTCGCAGCAGGGTCGACGGCAAAGGCCGAAGGCAGCGAGCATCAAGCCCGAGAGAACATTTAAGGAACGCATGATGAGATCGAGATATCAGAGCTACTCCGCAAAAGAAAAGCAAAAGAATGACTGGGGGTGAAGGTCTAAAAGAAGGACAGGGTCGGACAAGAAACGCCTCGATCGAGCACAAAAGCCAAGAGATATGCGATTTTATACTTTCTGGCGGAATGCCACGAACAGCTCTTTTTTCGATTCATTTGAGGTCATAACATATTATCTGCGAGTGGCTTACAGATATGTTTTGAGAGAGTGGCCCGACATTTGGATCTCCATGAAGCACGCTTTTGATTGCCTATAGCCTCGTCGTCTTGCTCAGTCATCTTTCCAAGGTTACTTCAATACATCTACTATGCGGGGGCATGTGCCTTTTTAATCCTCATTCCAGATCTATTTCAGATATCACTGATATGCTGATTCTGAAACGACACCTTAGACTAGTCAGCTCCCTGATCTATAAATTGCAGTAGAAAGTTTGCTTTTCGACGGGAAACTCCAAAAGCAGGCAGAATGGCACATAATAAGACGCAAGCAAGTGAATCGAACAAAAGAAAGGCAAATAGCAACAGAGGAAAGCTCGAGGTATTCAAGCACCAGCCTACAGGAGCGTGACCCTGATCAAGTGTCTTCTAGATTTGAATCTGGCCCTCCGGGAGGACCCACACGTAACTGAGGTTCGAGAGCCTCTATCCCACAAATAGGAGCTTTTACCGAACTCAGATCAATGCGATTACAGTACACATTGTTACTTGGATACACTCTTGATTCAATCCTCACTGTTTGACCAAGCTAAAATTCCTACGAGCAGGGCAACTGTTCGGACTGACCTACCTGGCGCTCTACCTGGCACGCCCTTCAGAGTTACTCTAAAGACCCGAGCCGCAGTAAGGCTTAGCACAGCAACGGTACGGTTGCAAGTCAATACTCCTAGGAGGCCCTAGTGGTGCAGAGAAGGCCATTTCTGGCACACCAGCACATATCGTTATTGTACCCATTTACAACTGGTAAGTTGCTGACCTAACGTTTGACCATGCACGGTGGCCAGTTAAAAACGCGTAACACCAGGCGCTCACGGTATTTAGATCGCCAAGAAGCGCGCTTCTGGTTGTAGAAAAACCGACTTTGGTAATCTATATTTGCGTTCGAGATTGTAATTAGAAGAACATTCGAGATATTCTATGCATTACAGTCACAAATATTGAATCCGAGTCTATGATTTGTCGTTATTGACTCTTAGAGGCAGAGTCTTTCCGTCATCTGGTGGTCAATTTTTGGCCAGTTCCAATTTTGATTTGTTCCATTTTTGGCCTGTTCCAGTTTCGGTCCCTTCCAGTTTCGGCTGCTTCCAGTTTCGGCCCCTTCCAATTTTTACCTTGTTATCTTTGGAGTAGGACTAAGATACAAATAGCCCTGATTGTCTAGCGAACAGCAACGCGATCGCATTCATCGGCCAATATGGGAAGAGGCAAGAGAGGCAAGAAGCCCAACAGTCGCAGAAACCAGCCACCAAGCGCACGAGATATTCAAACTCCCGTCACAGACAGAGAGAATACAACTGAGCAGGAGGGAAACCTCTCCCATGAAGAATCAGCGGGGGAAGAATTTGCTTCCAATGCTGGAGATCCCCAGGGGTCAGACCCAGAGACTGGGAGCGAAGAGGAGAATGAAGACCCACCAGCCGAGGACAAGCCAATCCCCTTAAAAAGGTGGGTAAAAGAAGTGATTCGTGATGAGGCGAGTGGCGATCAAGCCGGGTCTATTGAGAAATTCTTCAATTCCGAAGACCTTGACGCCAGTGCGTGCAGGCCTTTTTCGAGAGGCTTAACCAGCAAATCCGAGCTGCCAACCACAAACATCAAGTAGCCGACCTTGATGAAGGGACTATTCCACCTAGAGCGTACGATCCAATTGCAGATACCTGCAGGAGGGAGATCTTGGCGCAAAGAGGCAACCCAGAAGCGGCATGGGATGCTTTCCATCGGACTCGCGATCTACTCAAGCTGCTCAATCGGCCACATCATCTACCCAGGAGCTGGAACTTTCACCCCTCCTGGTATGAAAGGCTATGCGGGCCTGATCCGACAATTCGCGACCTTTCCGACGAGGAAAGTGAAGCATCGGAGGACGAAACCCAAAGTGTGGATGATTTGAGACGAGAGCAACAATCTACCGATGATTATTCAGGGTCGGATGATCCTGAAACCTCTATGGAAAACCGACCAACGCGCCTGGATTCATTAGAATCCAGGGCAATGAAGGAGCAACGTCGGCAGAATGGAGGAAAGGTTCTCTACTGGTGGCCTAAAGGCACTGGCTCGCAAATATTTGTCCGCTATGGTGATCGCTCTGCCCCGATTTATCGAATTAGAGCTGGATCTCACGAAATCTATGACCAAAAGCGCGTTGAAAAGGTTCTTACGACCAAGACCCGTGGTAGTCAAAAGGTCGAAATTATGAAGGATGGAATCCTATGCGAAGAGTGGCGGTTTAGTCGACAGCATGTCGAAGATATTCGCGGCATTGGTTGGAAGGTCGAAGATGATGATGAAGTAGGCATCGACCCCTTGTCATTTATTCAACCGGTGCCTCATTCCGTGTTTCCACAAACTCGAGCCTTGGTCAAATGGAAAGATGGCACCTTCACTTTGGAGGGCAGGCAATTCGTCAGACGTATCACGAACGGTTCCTCTCATCAAGGCGACCAAGTAATCTACCAAAAAGCAAAGGATCTCGAAATTGCCTATCGTCTCAGGCATGGCTGGGACGAGTCTGATAGTGAGATCGACCTTGACGACGATAGATCGCCTCATTGTTATACAAAGGTGAAGCGTCGATCTGGAATTGAAACCGATACTGAGACTGACAATGACGTCTCCTCATTGCGCTATACCAATCAGGCACTGAAGCGAATGCCTGCTTCAGCTCGTCATCGTGGAAGAGCTCGAGCTCGTTTTGAGGACGACGTGGATCTACAGAGCGATGAATCGGGATCGGATCGCATGAAGAGGAACGGTGTTAGGTCAAAAAGATCTACACGACATCCAAGACAAGGTAATTCAAAAGATAAAACGATCCGCATTCTGGAAGAGAAATTGCAGCGACTTGAGATGAATCAACATCGTCGCTACCGCTGATGAGGTATAGAGGTTTATGTTGTCTTGCTATTGAGTTGTTCAGTATTTAGACGAGCAGGTCTCGTTGTCAGAATGTATTTGCACTTTCACTTTTTCATACTGTAAATCCCAGGTCGAAACTCTCCAGGCAGACTGTAATTTACGCACCATCATGCAACAAAAGTACAGACGTCCACGGGATCCCGTCGCGGTCCACACTGTCGAACTAGTGCCGGGAAGTCCTTCCGGGCGGCAGCGTTCCAAAATTCGTCTCCAGTGACGACCAGGTCTGGGCTTTCCAATTTTGCCGCGATTTGAACCGTTCTCGATGGGACTAATGTATAATTTGATCCGGAATACACTACTACCCCGAGACAAATGGTTATGGCGGCATGTACCACAATCGGTAGGGCTGAGATGCACACCTCGGGATCCATGCATCGGCGCCGACCGGCCCGTTCCCGACGTTGTGAAATAGCCGGTAACTGGCCTACATACCTACTTCCCATTCTCAAATTCGACGCCCGCCTCACCAGCATCGTCAGGATATGACTGGAAAATTTGCAGTCCGGTCGCTGGACCACTTGGTTCTCACAGTCCGATCCATTCCAGAGACAGTGGACTTCTACACGACCCATCTAGGGATGCGGCATGAAGTCTTTACATCACCGAAGGATCCCTCGGTAGAGAGGTGAGGACATCCCACCCACACTTTCGGAAGAGGACTTAATGACCGAATGAACAGGCACGCCCTGCTCTTTGGCACTCAGAAGATCAATCTTCATCTTTCTGGGAAAGAATTCGAACCCAAGGCGCAGAATGTCAAGACCGGCAGCGCCGATTTGTGCTTCTTGACAGATGAGAATGTGGATAAAGTTCACCAAGCCTTCCAGGATGCCAAAATAGAGGTGAGCCGATGGAGGATTCCGACGAGTAAAAGTGCTAAGCTAGTTACCACAGGTCCTTGAAGGTGACCAGGTCGTCGATCGCACCGGGGCGGTTGGAAAGATTCGAAGTGTCTATGTGAGAGACCCAGATGGGAATTTGATAGAGTAGGCAACTCCAACTCCAAAACCAAAATGAGGAATTAGTCTGACAAGCCACAGGGTTTCAAACTATGCTTGATAGGGTTGGAAAATAGTGGGAAGGTTGATTCGATATTCAAAAAAGATGAGAGTGGTTAGAAACTAAATACCACTAAGGATCCATAAATATGAGAATATCTCAGATAGGAAGAATGAAATAAGAAAACCAGAAAATGTGTACGAATGTGGTTCTACAGGAGTTGGAAAAGGTAATGCAAAGCCTGAATCAGAACAAAATTCAGCAGAAACGAGCAAATTAACAACGAAAACAATCAAAAAGGAAAAGGAAAAAGATTGACCAGAAACATAAATAATTGACAGGAAACGTATATGGAACTGGTGTTATAGCAGACATCCCTTTGCACTTTCGTGTTCTCATGGCAGTATCTTTCGAGCTCCGAGGCTGGCATTTGACACAACGGCATGAATCTCGCAAGGCTTGTAGAAATGGTCTACCCACAGGGGCATCAGCAAAATGCAACAAGCCTAGATCTGGTGCTCTCTCAATTCTCGGGATATCTTCTGCGCCTAATATCAAAGCACACTCGTCGAAGATTGTGTTCTGCGATGGGAACGGTGTGGGTGAAAGATCAATTAGATCTTCATTCATGTCGAAGAAATCCCCAGGCCAAAAAGTTAGCGACGTGAGGGTAGAGTAGATGAAATGTGGAATGTAGGTTCGAATAATGCATTTTTCTGATGGATCGAAACCAAACTCGCTAAGAAGCCATTGGCAATAGGTGCTGAGATTGACCATACATTTCCAGTCATTCTGTCTATTGCCCAATGAACATATCAGAGTCTCAGGACTAGAGATGCTGTAAATACGCGTGATTTGTACTTCTGAGCCCCACTTTCCAGCAATCACTGGAATTATAATGGTTATTCTAGAGCCTTCCGCGCTTAATATGGATTGCTGCCTCCCACTCTCGGTTTCCAAGATAATTAAGGATGGGTCAGGGCGGGGTGCTTTTACCTTCCTTTTTACAATAGTGCTCGACAACACGGGCACTCCCTTTCCCCCTCTGCCGACCATACATCACTAACTATTCCATGAATCTTCCATGATCATCATCGAAGGCAGCGACATTTCCATACTGGCCATGTACAGGAGGTTTTATATCACAATTATTTACGTATTATGAAGAAATTCAAGTATATCGAAGAATACTAGATCCAGAACCGGGATTAGCGACAGCAATGAATCGATGCGCACCCGCCATGAAACTATGCTGAGACCCTGGGGCTCGGGGATATCGATACCAGCGAGCGGAGGCGTCCTCGGTTGTCAAAAGTACTGCGTGGCAATATGAACCAAGTTCAAATCTTCTCGGTGCCGAGCCATATCAAGTTTTTATTGAGAAGACCAACTCATTCTGCTGAATAACTCTCCTAAGAATTCGAGTCAAGAGGAAACTCATCGGTCGGACTCAAGCTTTTTCTTCTCTTCGAACTCGCCGCCGCCGTGATCGCCGATTGACAGGTTAACGACGTAGTCGGAGACTAATTCTTCGTGAGGAGGGGCAAACTGCGTGTAAATTGGTTACCAGGATTCCCGCACGTGATAGTTCTGCCACTCATATTGATCACTTTCCCGATGGCCGCTATCGTCCGCCGTATTATGTGGGGCTACCCCGTACAAAAACTCATGTCCCGTCACTGTAAATATTCAGATCAGGAAATTGACCCCGGGCCGCTTTGCCCTGGGACACTTGGTTTATTTGAGTGAAGGGTTCACCCACATCTTGACACCTTTGCAACTTCGCACCTTTCAACCCATTGACATACCTCCAAGGGCTTCACCAGTCCCGTCGTCCAGGATGGCAACACAAAGCCCGTGGATTCTGCGTTTCCCCTCTGAAATAATTTCATCCATTGTGTCGTTTCTGCCAAACAAAGATGTCAAGTCCTTGCGCTTGACGTGCAAAGCCCTCGGCGAGATTTCACCATTCTCCTCCTCACGTGTGTTCCTTTCGGCCAACTCGTTGAACATCCAAGTTTTTCGGGCTGTAGCAGACCATCCAAAGTTTCGCCACGAAATCAGGGAGATCATCTGGGACGACGCACGGTTTGTATTCGCGCCGTTGATATGGGAAACCGTGCACCCAAGCATCGACCCAGAACGTATGGAAATCAACTCCAATAAGGGATGTCCCATCTGGTTCACAGAGGAATGCGAAGAGAACCGCTACAGGATAAAGCATCGGAAATACCGCGACGTGGACCGACCTGACCATGCTGCACGTCAGCACCAGATGGATGCCCAAATGCCATTGAAAGCCTGCTGGAAGTATTATCGGCAACTATTGGATGATCAGACGTCTGTGATCGGATCCGAAGACGACAAAAAAGCCTTTCTTTATGGCCTGGAGCGATTCCCACGGCTCAAAAGAGTGACCGTTACGCCTGCGGCTCACGGCTGGCTGTTTGCTCCACTGTACGAGACACCTATGATCCGAGCATTCCCATACGGATTCAACTATCCGATTCCACGAGGATGGCATTGTGATCCTGTTGAATGTCAGGTTGTCGGGCCGCTACCGTGGTCAGAGGCAACAGAGGACTACAAGGAGCTATGGCGAGGGGCTCGAATTGTTCTTCGCCTTTTGTCACAGGCTGAGAAGCATAATGTTTCCGAGCTGAGCTTCGACTCTAAGCAACTCCACACTGGACTTAACTTTTGATTTTCGACCAGCCATGTGAGGAGTACAATCAATTTGCGGCCATCATGAAACGTCCAGGCTTCCGGCGTCTTCATCTGTCTTTACTTACTGGTAGTAGTGGCTACTGGACAGGATTCCAAAGCGGATTATTCCGTCAAGCTGTGAGCCTGGCCAAGGAATTGACCCATGTCCATTTATCAACTACATTCAATGATGGATCTCATTCAATGAGGGATCCACCTATTCCCCTGAAGGAGGTTCTGCCTATTCAGGAGTGGCCGAATCTGTCTCATCTGGCGCTCTCTCGTTTCAGCATTGATACGTCAGAGTTGATGGACATACTCAAATTGGCACCATCCTCATTACGATCTCTTGACTTGGAATTTATCGAGTTCCCCTTTGATGAACTGTGTTTGACTGGTCTACTAGAGAGGATACGAGAGGAACTGGATTGGACTAAGCGAGATCAACCACTGAAACCGACTGTCACAATCACAATGAAAGGCCATCGCATATGGCCGGGGAGGTTCATCAAGCTTTCAGACGAGGTGGCAAGCTTTCTCTATGGCTCTGGAGAAAATCCCCTGAATGGACCAGATACACGCAGCCCCAAAGACGGATACGGGACGAATCATGACCTTTTTGAGGCGGAGTACACTCGGCCCAACGTCAATTTCCTGGATCTTAAGAAACTGGGAATCATTTGTTAGGAATGCTACTCAGCTGATCCCAAGCAAAAACTCCTTGAGGAAGTTTGCTGGCCGCCTTACACGTCCAATTCAAAGCGAGATTTACAGCTCGAGGAAGCCGAACGGTCCCTCGCAACTCCAGAGGCATCCGATAACTCCTCGATAATGAAAGAAGCCGCGTACCACTCCCTCCAGGCGCGCGGTGACTACGACCCTTTCCATCTCAAGGCAGGTAAGGGTGCCGGAGTGCCTAATACGTTCTTCGGCCTCGATGACACTGTCTACAAACAGGCAGACAAGATGATGAATAACAATAAAGGAAAGATCGGGGGCAGCTGCACTGACTGCGTTGGATGTATCGACGATCCCGAAGAAGACATGTGCTGTGGCTGCGTTTGCATGGACTGCGTGTATGGCTACAGTGATCTAAAGAACTGTGATTCATGCGATGATATTCCGTCCGGTACATGGCCGTGGGTTGATTATGTGGACATCAGCATCAACAAGCGAGAGGACGCCGAGGGTACCAGTGAGGATGTCCAGCCTTCTCATCATCATGGAGTCTCCCATGGACATCATGGTCATTCTCATCTGCACCGACGAGTGAGCGGTGAGGCCACCCTCTCCGTGAAGAAAGTCACCGTATGCGACGATTACAAGTGGTGGGTTGACGGGGTTGGTCGATACCCTGCCTTCCCCAAGGACGCGCAGAATCCCTGGGATGGCATCGAGAACGGGAAGTGGGATTCGATCTCGCGGTACTGGGGAAACAGCTCGGAGTCCTGCACCAGTTGGGCTGTTTCCCAAAACCCCGTGGCGGATAAAGTGTGGGTGGGACCTTCTCTTCTGAACCCTCTTGGGAGCATGGAGAGAGCCCAGTATCAGAGTACGTATTGAGGGTGGCGAGACTGGGAGAAATTAAAAGGAATGGACCACTGACGTCTTTAGCCGAGCATGTCTTTGAGGGGCAACTGATTGGTGACTTTTTCACCTATTGGCTTGATCAGGGCAAGGCGAGTGCTCAAGCCGCGAAGACGAGCACGGCCAAAATTTCTTGCTCGGATATCAAGGATCTGTTTACGACATCTAGTAGCGCTTTCCCATGGAAGATTGGCATCACGAAAGTGCCATTTATTGAAAAAATGCTTTATGAGCTTGGCAATATCGGTCATCTTGACCGGCTGACTATTTTCATGGGCCGACCCAACCTGAGAAAAGGCATTGTGAGTTCTTGTTTCGTGCTGGTCTGGTATTTCATTGTGTGTGTTCATCGCTAACCTTGGGCCCCCTGTAGCTCTTCTCCGGGAAATCGAACGATATAGACGTTTTCAAAAGAATGACGGCCGATCAACAGGTCCTTTCGGCTAAAGAGCTTGGAATGGTCTTCAACTACATGAACGAACCGGACGTTTGGAGCAAATTCTGCGCCACTTACGAGGGCATCTACGACCTTCTGGGTCAGTGGCAGACTTACTACAACAACAACCCCAACGCTCCTCTGCCCCAAGGCCTGAACCTTCCTGACCTCCAAGATGAGTGGAAGACTTACATCAACACTGCGCTCGATCAATCAGATGCATACCTGGTCGTAAGTCAACATCGATATATCTCTTTCTGGCTTGCATCTAACACGGGGTTCGTTTTCTTAGAACTGTCACCAACCCACAATGGGTTGCTAGATGGGGTGGTCTTTGGTGGTTCAACAAAGGCCAGATTCGGATGGGCCGCAGTTGTCCTAATTTGCCAAGGTAGTAAGTAACCTTGGAACTGCGAAAGACCCTGAGAGATTTTGGCCCTCATCTCAATTCTATACCTGAGTATATTTGCATATCGAGTTTCTCTTCCAAGGTTCGATTTTCGATCCTGAATAGTTAACGAGTAGAATCTCTTGTAAATCGCCATCAAAAAGGGATAGGATATCTAAAACTTGACTCATGACCAGATTTGTATGGCTTGATTCCACAGCTCCAGGGTTAACTTTGTCTTTGAAGTAAAGGCAAGATGTTGGTTTGACTCGGGTACATGATAGTACAAAAGACGAGTTCTCGACCTGAGGTCAAAGGGTTCGGCGGGTCGGAGATTCGGGAATCAGCCTGTCGAAAGGCCTGACGAGATCCAAGGATATGGATGGGAGGCCCCGACTAGAAGAGATCGAGCAGGGATCATTCCATCGAGCTCGGTGCCATGTCAGAATGGTAGCTATGATCGGCGTTCGCCAAGCTTGATACCATCTTGTGAAATCGATCTATGCAGGATATTGGCACGCCAGGAATCCACCGTGGCTGGAAAGAGTGCCCCTTCATCACTGAATAGTTACAAATAGTTACAGGTGGAGCTGGAGTGTGACCAAGAAGATCGAGAGGGGGTGTAGATTGGCTCGGCTTGGCGGATAATACTTCCGCAAAGGGGTGGGGCAGTATTCTTGCTTCACTGGGCGAAGTATGCAGCGACGGCAACTGGAGCAGGCTGGGGTAGATGTAAACTTTATGTTATCTCGACTTCGAATGGTGGTATACTTCGCATTTGGGGCTGGCATTAGGTTGACAGTATCTCAGGGTCCCAGCAGACAGGATAGCATTAGAGTCAAGGGTTTCGGCACTCTGCATCGCCTCGCAGATCAATGGTTCCTCTGAGTGGAGGGAGCCGCCAAAGGTCTGACATTGACCCTCGGGCATTCCCCCTTTCTGGAACTCTGCCCACCGCACGCCAGGCAAAAATTGGTTCCAAGTGCACATTTTCATTCTCCATTGCGTGTCCCGCGGACAAAATACGGCATTCGGTTGGGATCAATCGCGTGGTTGACAGCGCAGTTTGTTCGGGTCGGCAACGCTCGCTGCAGGATCGCGAGGCTGCTTACCACCGGAATAAATCAGGCGACGCCATGTGGAGGTCTGGGCTCAGCAGCTGAAGTGGCTTCACTGGATACCGAGGACGGAGTGGTGTGTGCTATTTCAAATCTCCGGCTCTTTTCGTCTGCTGGCATACTGCGGCCTTGACGTGGTGCCTCTAAAGCCGAACGCAATAGGCCCGAAGAAAGTATGTCGATCCTCAATCATTTTCATTTCAAACATGGCCTGCCGCGAGAGCAAATGGGATAAAGAACACGAGTTTGCATGTGAAGTGATGCGTTGGAAAGGAAAAGCAAAAGTGTGATTTCTAGCAGCTGCCGCGACATGTGATCCAGCCATGCAGCGAGAGGGCTTACCGCTCCATCGCAACAAGTCCCTTGGCAACATAAGGCTCCTCCAGATATTGAATCTCCTCCGCGCTGAGCTTCACCTTCAGACTGCCGACAGCCTCATCGATACGCGCAGTGCTACTCAGACCAACAATGGGGCACTCGTTCGGGTGACTCAAGGACCAGGCCAGCGCAATCTGCGCCATGCTCACCCCCTTTTACAAGCAAGCTTCTCCACCCGATCGACGATCTCTTTGTCCGATTCGGTCTCGCGGTTGCGGACCAGCACCTTCAGAGCTCCATCGGTGTTCTCGCGCACCGTGGAGCGCGAGTTCCAGGGTCTGGCGAGGACACCGCGGGCCATAGGGGACCACGGGATGAGGCCGACGCCGCTGTCGAGACAGTAGGGAATCATCTCGCGCTCTTCCTCGCGTGCGATGAGGTTGTGGTAGTTCTGCATCGAGATGAATTGGTGCCAACCCTTGCGAGCGGCAATGTTTTGGAGGGTTTGGAACTCCCAAGCGGCCATCTGCGAATGATCATTAGTATCGAATGCAATTAGAAACCACGGAGACATACCGAGCTGGCGCCGATGTAGCGCACCTTTCCGCTCTCAACAACATCGTTGAGAGCTTTCATGATCTCCTCGCGAGGAGTCTCACGGTCGAGACGGTGGATCTGCAACACATCGATGTAGGTGCCCAGCCGCTTCACGCTGGCGTCCACGGCATCGAGGATGTGCTTGCGCGACAGTCCAACGCGATTAACGAAGTCGCCATCATTACGGGCGGACGCGGCGATAGGCGGGAATTTGCCCTCGTCGTCGACGCCGTAGAAGCACTTGGTCAAGATCACGACGCGGTTACGCGGGATGTTGTACTTCTTCAGGGCCTTGCCAACAACCTCTTCGGATCGGCCGTGCGAATAAACATCCGCCTTATTTCGTTAAGTACATATTCAAGATACTTCTGCGAGACTCAAACTGACCGCTACCCCCGGAGGGTGGGGGATTGACTTACAGTGTCCCAGGTGTTGATGCCCCTCTTATAGGCGTGTTCGATCAGCGGCAGGGATTCCTCTTCATCCAGAACCCAGTCTTGCCATTGCTTGCTGCCATAGGACATGGTACCCAGGATGATCTTGGAGATCTTCAGGCCCGAGTTACCCAGGCTATATTTCCATAGAGCTCAACATGGGCTCGACCAAAAATATCAGGAGTCGTGCTGCGGGGTGCGGGGTCCTACCGAAGGTATTCCATCTGCGTGTCCGACATGTTTCAATCGAGAATATGGTAAGAATTCTGCAATTATGAAGAAAAGAAAAAGAGTTAGCGAGCACGATATCTTGCTCCTTTTAGTCGACAAAGCGCGGTATAGTTGGTGCGGTATAGTTGGTGACGTGAAATCGCGATTTGTGAGGGGAAGCCTGACTGCAGGGCATTTTGATCTTTAATGACTCACCAAGCTTCAAGACAACTGATCGGCGACAGGGATTGTGAGACAAATGATGCAGCGCAACCAAATCCGAGATACAGGAGAGAAATCAAGCTCCAACTGGTGCAAGTGCAAGCGGAATTAATAATCTCGTCTGGAGAAGGTGATATGCCGAAATCCACAAGCGAAGCTCCCTTAGCCGACGGTTACCCGGCAATCTGTCCTCTCGCCCACTCACAGTCGACGCAGCGCACCACTCGGGCTGAAGATCGGTTGTAAAGATCCGGGGTAAAGCCTGAATTCTTGTGGTGTCTCAACAGCTATTTTGGATAGCGCTTATTTAGAAGCCAGCGCCTCGACACAGACATTGGTGTGCACCCTACCACCTCGAGAACGTTCGATAAGATTTTTTGTACTACTTTGTCTGTCGACCATCGCCAATTGTGTTTTCGATTTGCATGATACATGCTTGCACGAATGTGGAGATGACACGAAGAGGTCCTCGGTCGCATGGAATTCTGGAGTGGAACTACGAAACACCCAATCGAGCATTATTCGCAACAACAATCATGGCACAGAAAAATGTACATGCGATCGACTGAGTCCATCTGCAACCTCGCTAGGTGTAATTGCCGCCATATGTTCATATGTCTGGCGCACTGCCATGTAAATCGCTTAGCTCGTCATGGCGATACCCTCGAGGTGAAGATATGGCTGAGCGTGATCTTGCCACGAAACCAACTCTTGTCCCTCAGGCTACTCATTTCTCTACTTCAAATTCTTCCAGCGAAATTCAATTGATAATAAGGGGTTTGAGCTGGATGGCTTCGTGCATGCTGGGAACCTTTATAACGCCTTCTGGGATGACCAAGAGTTTATCTTTGGTGATAGGGACGGCGTTGTTTTTACTGGCTTCACGGGTGAGCTCGATGTTATCGGTCACGGGTTTACCCATGGTGTGGTGCAATGCGCAAGCCGACTTGGATTCCAATCCAGAGTGGTGCTCTCAATGAGTCTATTGCAGATGCCTTTGGTGTTATGATTAAGCAGTGGGGTGAAGGCAAGTGTCCCAAGACGGTTGACCAAGCCGACTGGCTTATCGGGGAGGGAATTTGGGCTTCTGATGTCAATGGCAGAGCTCTCCGAGATATGAAGAACCCCGGAACAGCTTACAATGATCCTCAAGTGGGGAAAGATCCCCAGCCTGCGCACTGGAAGGATTTCAAGGAACTCCCCTTAAGCAAAGACCGAGGGGGCATTCACATCAACTCTGGCATCCCAAATCGCGCTTTCTTTCTTGCTGCCACTATGATTGGAGGATATGCTTGGGAAGGTGCTGGTCTTATTGGTACCGCACTCTGACAAGTGGTAAGCTTCGGGAAGATGCTAAATTCAAGGACTTCGCCGACCTTACTATTGAGAATACTGGTGAGCACGAGGACAAGATCAGGGAAGCTTGGACACTTGTTGGATATCCATTTCCTGAGAAGAGGGATGAGCTGTGATTGCTTGAGGCACGAGTTAACTCATAATAATTTCAAAAAAGCCTCAGATTGAAATTTTTGTGACTGTTCTTCCTACGCTTTTTCAAAATTTTTGGCTTCGTATTTTTCATCTTATTCTTCACGATGATGGATGTTTAACAGGAAACTAGCCTTGGAGGATGAGTGGGAGTTTGAATCTGTTCCTATTATAAAATTGTTGAATTGAATGTTGGCGTAGCGATCACTCATGAAACTGAAAATCATTTCATCTGCTCATCGTCCTCAATCCCATGATTTCAACATTAGCACATATTGCCCAGCATTTTCTAGGCCTTTTTATACGTTTTTAAAGAAGCTCCCAAACGAGCAGTAGTGTATATTCTTCCCTCATCATCAGTTTTTAGCCTTGTGGAGTGGGTGTGGGTAATGCGAGGTACAAGGATGGCCAAATTCCCCGTTTTGGTCCATCTGTTTTTCTTTTTTCTTTTTTCCCCTTTTTTTTTCGCATGGATGGAGTACCAGTTAGTCCATAGCCCATACGATAATTCAGGACACTGCCAAAAAAAAAAAGGCTCTGAACACTCTGAAAATAATGGATATAGCGTCCGGGAAGATAGTGGGGAAGAATCAAAGAAAATAAAGCGGAGTGGCTGATTTCGAGAGCGTCTGTAAAGCAAAGGATTAACAACTCTTTTCTGTACCCGCGGACTGTACATCATCAGTATTGCCCCATACAGACCGGCGACGGAAAACTACTGTGTCGTGGTTATTGATATTGCTTACCATCCCAATTTCGAGTTTGTTGTGCTCTGAAATTTATGGTAGCTAGTGACGATCGAAACCAGTCCGTGTTCAATGAAGATACTTCGATGACGCCCCTGGGGTGTTACAGTGCCGCATAACACAAGCTCAGTCGCGCATGCGGGCTGGCCACCAGTTATATGGACTAATAGTAAAAGCCGCTGCAGAAACTCATCGACCCAGTCAAGATATGCCCAAAGCAGCCCTATATTCCACTTGATACAATTTTCACATTTGGGCTAGATCGCTTGCCGGCTTGGATAAAGTCCTTGTGGAGAGACTTAATAGTCAAGATACGATCTAGCATCCAACGTTCGCCGGTTCTAGAAAGGAGCTGCCAGTTTTGCTGTGTTTAAGAAACTTCCAGCTACGTTGGTTATTGTTGGTATCACCAGCTAGGTACTGTGTACATAGTTAAGTGGACAGTGTGTATGCTCCAAAGCAAAAGTCAATTGTGTTGATAGATGTAGATAGATGTTCAGTCTAGTTGGAAAAACACCCCTAGATCCCACACGCCGGCCTTCGGCGGTCACAACACCGAGGCCACAGCCCAGCGCAAGAATGTGTACACCAAGCAAGGGATGTTATCCATCGGTCGCTAGCAGTGGGTCACAGCCAGTTTGTTCTGACAGGAGAATATATCCCGACAGTTATTGACCGGGCCATCCGTAAGCTGGTATAGCGGCAGCTCGGGTATTATATCAGCGCGTGATTCAACTTCATAGAGTAGAAAGAGCCGTTCAAGCTCAAATTGTGCAAGTTCATCTTAAGTGCGGATGAATTTTGTGAGTCCACAGTGAGCTGGAGGTCTCGGTAATGCAATGACTGATGGTCGTCAATCTAGGCGAGTGATCCAACGCTGGTAAACGTATTTTGTATCTTCATAAGTTCGAAGTCGAGTGATCCAACTAAATGGTAATGGAGAGCCATATATTAGGAAATATTCTCGCATTTCATCGAGAGCATCTCGGAGATGCTTAACCTTATGTGTATCTGTAAGACCAACCGCGCGCTGGGCAACTAGCATTTGCCAGATTACTACCAAGGGAGACAGATGGGTTGTATAGCTGCCAGGCTCATGATATATTTGGTTCTTGTGGTCGATTCCTAGTAGGTCTCGCCATGAACAGCGGTCCAACCTCCAGAACCGCGCTGTGGTTCGGTTTATGCGAGACTTATGTGGAGAAAGGGGAGAACGCACTCTTCCTCACGAGGAGGACAATGAATTCGTTCAATATGACTGCTGTTACCATGCATTATTAGGCCTTGGAGGTCATTCACCTAGTCTACTGCGTCCTGTCAAGAAAAAGAATGATCAAGTGAACACGAGACAAACAAATACATCCCTTGACCAGCTGCACTGTCGAATGTTCTTCCATTTTGCACGGATGCTCCCAGTTTCCACCTTTGGTGCAGATGAGAAGTTGTTTTGAAATGCGGGTGAAAAGACACTCACGGAATTTCTCTCCTTCCAATCATGTACGATCTCTTGGAGGTCTGGTACCAGTTTCTTTGTGATATAACCAGTCAGACCGGGCCTTGAAGATCAACAATCACGCACAGACTTTAATTTCTTAATCGCCGCTTGGTGATGGTAGATGTCACCCCCTGGACGACCGCGGAATGGTCCCGATATAGCGCCATAAAGTAAACTGCAGCTGCTGGCTCTCAGAAAAGATACGCACACCTCTGCTACACTGAGAATTTACAAATTACCGACCATATTTCCTAGATTAGCTAGCTGTCGGGACATAACATCCCTTTCTTGGTGTACGCATTCTTGCGGCTCCGGTGTTGTGACCGCCGATTGTCCGTGCATGGGATTAAGGGGTATCTTGGAACCTGACCTGGGAACACATCTACATCAACATATCTACATCTATCAACAAGAATCAATTGACTTTTGCTTTGGAGCATACACACTGTCCACTTAACTGTGTACACAGTACCTAGCTGGTGATACCAACATTAGCTTTTGTATAGGGTAGTGTCGGAATATAAATAAGTGTTCCTGTGCGGTGAGGTGTGCAGCAAATTACTGTTTCAAATAACAGCCTTTCTGATTACTATTACCATGATGAAGTCACGACAATTTGTGGTGGTGAAGGAGGCAACGCTCTTTTTTGATAGCCATTAATTCAAACTCCACCTTCGCTTAGCCAGCTAGGATGTGAACTTCGGTGCTGTTTGTCCTAGTGCCACATTTCTTTATCACGAATAAATCCGATCGGTCATTACTCCGCCGCGGTGCCACCTGAAAGACAAATCGTTTGTCTGTGGGATGGAGCGTGGTGCCAGTCTGAAGCATGAAGTTTCGAAATTTGAGAGCACCAGATAGAATATGCACCTCCGTGCTGCTAGTCCCTCCACCGCGCTTCTTGATTGCAACCAAATCGAGGCAACGGTCCCCATTCCAGTCGGTGAGGATAAAATCAAAACTGTCATCAACCTCTTGAAGGGCCGTGCCAGTTTGTAATATAAACGTCTCAAAGTTGGAGGCGGCAGAGAGAATATGTACTTCGACACTATGACTGCCTGTTTTACTCTTCTTGATCGCAATCAAGTCATCGTGCCCGTCGCCGTTCCAGTCACCCATCAGGAACTTGAAGGTACTATCGGTTTGACAAAGTGCCGTTCGGGTCCGAAGAAGAAAGGCTTTATATTGCGCGGTCCCGGACAGAATATGAACCTCTGTTTGGCCTGTGTCAGTCCCCTTTTTTTTATCGCAACTAAGTCTAGGGACTTGTCGCCATTCCAATCGGCCATAGCAAACTCAAATGTGTCATCCGTTTCCGGGAGAATGGTATCTGTCTGCAGGAGATACTCTTGGAAATTTGACCTCCCTGATAGGATATGCAACTCCGTTGTTTTACTAGCGGTGTTTTGCTTTTTTATGGCGATGAGGTCTTGCACCCCGTCTCGATTCCAATCAGCCACGAGGAAGTCAAATGTCTCATCCGTCTCAAACAGCCTTGTGCCTGTTTGTAGAATCGGCTCCTGGAAATTGGATCCGATAAGCGATGACCTTGGTCCAGTCAGAGTCGCATTCATTCGCGCCACTTGACCCTTGGTAAACATGAACATAGCCTCATCGTCCGTGTAGTCCATGAAATTCATGAACATGTCCCCCGACTGGCCATTACCGCATGAGACGTGAGGGAATTGAGGCCGGCCCCGATTAGACCCAGCCTGATTTGGTGTATCATCACAATAGTCGCTCCCAGAGCATGCGAGACCATCATCTCCCCAGATATGATACACATTCAACCAGTGAGCAACTTCATGAGTTGTTGTACGGCCGAGGTTGAAAGGAGAGACTGACGTGCCAGTAGTGCCGAATGCTGTATGGTTTATAACCACGCCGTCTTTTTCGATAGGCCCACCGGGAAACTGGGCATAGCCAAGTAATTCCCTGCCGAGATCACAAACCCAGATATTGAGGTAGCGGTCGCTTGGCCAAGCGTCATGTCCTCCTTGAGCGGCAGACTTCATTCTCTGGTCAAGTTGATTACCATTCTGGTTGAAAGCTTGGATACTTGTCCGTGTGCGAGTAATCCCAGGGTGTCGTTTGCCTTGTGGATCCCGTTGCACGCGAAAAAAACGTATGCGCGCTTCACCAAGCAAGGGTTTAAAAGCTGTCGGAATTTCACTGATGTCCGCATTCTGCGCGTTGAAGTCGGCGTTTAGTGCGACAATTTGGCTATCAACTTGAGCCTCGGTGATATTTGCGGCGTCTCCATTATACACAACATGAACAACAACCGGAATTAATGCCACACCGGACCGCAGCGTTTGATTTCGGCGATAAAGATGGTTAAACTGCTCAAGTGATTGCCTTGTGGGCTTATAGGCCGGCTCGGTATCAATCAGATAGCGATGATACTCATTGGTCCCACACTGGCGAGTCAGTTCTGGCGCGTCCGATGACATCATTCCAAATGCCAAGGTGGAAGTAGAAACTTATATGTCAATGGAATGATTACAGTTAAAGTCCAAAGTAAATCTTCAAGTCGTCAATTTCGAAAAATCCCCACTTACAAGTAAAGAGAAAGCACTCATTTTATAACATTTTTGGGCACCTGGCAGTTGCGCTCGAGGGAATCTCCCGTCTCCTTCTTACGTGCGATGTCCGTAATGCAATGTCTGCGTGGCAAGAACTGCTGTGTGCCATGGTCATATGAGTATATGAAACTCTACATTCTAGACTGGTTCACGAATATCGAACTCGCTCTTATGAAAACAGATCTGAAAACAGATCTCAGCCTTTTAACACTTGCATGGCAAGTTTTTGATGTCATGTCGGCCGCTTTTGATGCAAATCTTCCCCGGTCGCATGAATGCATCGTTTTAGTGTCCCCTACATCTGTTGGAAATTTAATTACACTAGACAGATTGCAATCTACTGCTCACGTTGGAAACTGGATTGCCGAAAGCTCCGACGTCATGTGCTTCGAGGTCTTGGCGCAGACCAATCAGCCCCCGAACTGCAATATCCAGTCTTGGGGTGCGCGTAAATATATGGCCGTTTGCGGCCGTCTTTATGAGCCAAGCTTTCAGAATCTTGGAGCATGCCGCTTGGCACCTCGGAGCTCGGAGCCAACTAGTTGCGCTACGTCATGCCTGAGCTCCAGATCATCCTAGACATACGATGTTACCTGATGAACTGCCGACTGCCAAAGTTGTTGCACATATACCAAAAACAGAGCAACGGACGATCGATAATCAGCAGGCGACAAAGGGAGCCGATGCATGCCATCGTGCGACCAAGCAATCGAGCTTACCCAGGCACTATGGCGCTTGAGAGTTGACACACTCTGGCCGGTGGCCGGATCCCATGTGTGATCATCTGACGTTGATGCGAGTCGACTGCTATCTTGCGACCAAAAAGTTGATTTTACCGCGTCACTATATGGTTCATCACGCACTGGCCAGTGGCCGGATTCCAAATCCTCACGGTGTTATCAGAGGACGCTGACGCAAGTGTGCTTCCATCTTGCAACCAGGAAATTAAGCCCTCCCAGTCACCATGTCCCTCGAGGGCTGCTACGCACTGGCCAGTACTGGATCCCATATTCGCACGGTTTATCAGAGGATGCCGATGCGAGTTGGCTTCCATCTCTCTAAAGTTGGTGAAACAGTACCCCAATACGCTAACTAAATATTGACATCAACCATGACTTGCACACATATTCCACATCATAGTATTCGGCATCAAGAGTATTATCTTTTAAAATGAAGGTTGACAAACTTAACAAATGGTGACGAAGTTGACATCGCCCCGTAAATTCCGGACCTGGCTTAGGAGCGTTTTCAGTAATAATTTTTTTCTCATCGATAGAGTCATATCTGGCCAGGCCCAGGCACCAAAGGATGAACTCATGGTATCAAAATCCATTATAAATGGTGCTATATAGTAGTTTTTGCTTGATTTTGAACAATTCATATGCATATGACATGTTGGATCTAGACTGGCCGGAAGAGTACGTATTCATGAATTTACTCTTTCATAAGATTTCAAGGTTTCTATCACCTTCAGACACTCTTGAGATGGTGGTGCCAAGGTATAGAGAACTGGTAACCAAGGTATTCAATAGATAAAGAAGACAACCGTTTTCCACCGCCAAATCCAATCCCGGGCAAGGCTGTTCGGGGTGGTTTCTAACCAAGGTCAAATGTAAAACGAAGGCAACCGCCACACAAAGTCCCTACTACAAGTTATGACATAGAGGTAGTATTGTTCCAGAGGATACTGTGTTGAGAACTCCCGAGGGCTCTAGGTTAACATGTCGACGCTTTCGGTTGGGTAAGGGATTGTTTAGCCAAGCAGAAGCAGATACTAGGACTAATTCATCCTGATAGTTTATTTGTTTCGATATTTCGCTGCAATATGAAACTCGGCAGCTGGGTATTGATGCATGACCTTAGTAATTAATATGTTGCGGACCGAATCTCTTCGCGACCTGTACATTAAAGTAGCTTGTCAGTGCAGGTGAAGGGGTTTGATTCCACCACTCGTACTCTTATACTAGGGAAATTTCACTTAATCCATATTTAATGCCCAGCTGCTAGAAAAAACTGCAAGAGTCCATAGAGCAAGGATCAATATGGTAGATGTCACTAACAAAGCCCTACACAAGTCGGTCAGATCTAACCGAATAATAAGCTTCTGAACTCTGTTGTCAAGCCATCTTAAGATTGATCGGGCCCTATTGACAGGTATGGATTCAAGTTCTTCTAGTTTCGATGATGTCAAAGATCATTCTTTGTGGCAGTATCAGGCGTAAGGTTAGAGCAAACTTTACACTGGAATTTCTATAAAATAGTAACCAGTAAGTGTATGTGCAAACGAAGCAAGATGAGTAAGAGTATTGACTGGTGCACTAAATTGCCAGCGAATGGACCGATGCTACCGAGAACTTACGCTCGCCACTATCATTTCCAGGGTATGGAAGCTCCTGTCGGGCCAAGTTCTCCAGCCTGGTATCGAAGGAACGGCCATTGTAATGTACGATACATGTTATTAAAGCAGATTTATTTTTGTGGTGCTTCGGTTAACACCGCAGCGTTAAGAGACATTGGAGACCACTACTAGTATGCTCCCTTTCGTTTCTAGTATAATCTTCTATGAGAACAATTCTTCCGGCCCGCTGTGCTCTTTCAAAGAGGAGGTGATCTCTGGGAGGATTCGGGACGCAAAAATACTAGTGGACGATAGAGAGTGGCAGCATATAATGAGTGAGGCTGACCAGGACAAAGCTTAGAAAATCAAAGGGACCATCCGCAATGTAGGCCTTTTTCTGCTCAGAGAGCTGTACGTCAGGGGCCTTGTATGGCACACAAAGCGCAGTTGGATCAAACACAAGCACCGGCGCAAGTGTTACCTGATTAGAATAAGCGTGCTAACGTGACTTGTTGGATGCTTGGCAACATAAACGATTTTCAATGTATGCAACAACTGAATAAAGAGCTGTCCCTTTTTTTGCTGTGAAATCTGGTGACAAAAGAAATCGGCAGATCGGATGTATAAATGGTTTTAGAAGTTACAAACATCCTGGGTATATTCGCATTTTTCCAGCAGAGGATGCTGATAGTCTAGACCAGTTACGGTCTAGCGCGGGACAGTCTACCGGACAAAAGCTTGCCGTGAGTCCACCATGACTTTGGTTGTGGCCAGACACCTACTCACCATGAAGACCTGTACCTTCGTGACGGGTAACCCTAACAAGGTTATCGAAGTTAGCGCTATCCTGGGAGAATCAATACCCATAGAGCCTCTTGCATTGGATATTCCAGAAATCCAGGGGACGCTGGAAGAAATCGCAAGAGATAAATGCCGACGAGCTGCAAGAGTTGTGAGAATCAGTGTTGCTAAATTAGTCTGACCAACAGCTCAGGCAACTAATCCTTTTCGTTTCTTCATAGGTAGATGGGCCCGTCATTGTTGAGGATTCGGCGCTCGAGTTCAATTCCATGAATAAACTCCCGGGTCCTTACATGTGAGTCATGGCAATAATACACAAAATACCCTGGAAATCATACTTATGTCATTGTGGCCTTTCCAGTAAATACTTTTTGGAGTCGTTAGGAAATGATGGTCTTTATAAACTTCTATATTCGTACACCGACAAAAGTGCACAAGCTGTGTGCACTTTTGCATTCACTACAGGGCCAGCTATGGACCCTATAATTTTCCAAGGGAAACTAGAGGTATGTAAAAAGAACAAGCCCGAGGTTTCAAAATGTTCATATATTCAAATCGGCTCTTTCAGGGCCATATTGTACCTGCAAGGGGGCCACCCGTGTTTGGTGAGTACTATGCCAGAAAAGATAATTCCATAAGGAAGTAGCTCAAATCAACGCCCAGGCTGGGAACCAATCTTCGAACACCAAGGCGAAACTTTAGCTGAAATGGCACACGAAAAAAAGGTACCGGGCTCTTCAGATATGAATCGAAGTGTGCCTCAAAATTAACTTTGTCTAGAACAAATTGTCGCATCGCTACAAGGCGCTGGTCAAATTCCAGGAATGGCTCAGGTCACAAGATACCTCAAAGTTGGAAAATAGTTCATGATGAATATATAGCCTATTTTTGGGTCATTTTGATGGCTTTCATCTGGTATCAACCGTTTTCATCTGACAATGTCTTTCATTTCATCTCATCCACTTTCATTTTATGACCTCGAATACTCCCATCCTATTTCAATCTCAGGCTGACAATATTTCCTTAAGGACGGTCAAAAGCGTAGCTTCGCAGCCTTCTGGGACCTCCTTACAGCGCCATGCTATAAAACGGTCTGGTCGGACTAGGACGGCGCCACATTCATCAATCTCTCTGTGAGCTTCCCATTCAAAGGCAGGATCTTCATAGTCCTGGCCATGTCCAATTGAGAATACCGCTATACTCAGTCCAAGGGCAGCTGCGACTTTGGGAGCGCATATCTTCCATTGCTCTCCGCCAATCCCAGTAAATATGGTGAAACGACCATGCCCTGCTAGGTCAATTGTAGAAATAGGCCTAGTCGGAATGGCCGTATTAAGCCATGCATGGGGAAGACGGGAGCCCGGAAAAGTTGTTTTGTGATAAAGAAGCCGTGAGTCTGAAAGGTCCTGGGGCTCACTTTCGTCTCGGAGCCAGATAGCGCTAGATTGATAATGTTGGTTCATTTCGATTCCAAGTCCCTCGATTCCGAATTTGGAGTTCTCGAGAACTTTTCGTAGACTCTTACGCAAACTTCGGCCCTCATCACTATTTTCAGCGAGCTTGCTTTGTTGTTCCCTCACTGCCTTAGCACATCCTCCTAGCACGCCGAGAGCTTCCCAGATGGCCATATTAGCAAAAATGGCATCCATGGAGCTGCAAAAAAGTTGTCAGATTAATCATCTAGATCTCCAGAATATCACTCTTACCTGGAAGCAGCTTGAGCTCCGACTGGATTCCGTTCCGTTGAGTAACTATCGAGCAACCCCGGGCCGGCTTGTCCTGTACACTAGATTAGCATGTCTGCCATAATGGGAGATAAAGAAGTACCTTTAAGGACATATGCTATTTTCCACGCAATATTGTATGCATCTTGAATAGCCGTGTTCGACCCCAAGGCCCCACCAGGTCCATGACGATGAACAGCATCCCCCAAACAAAAAACACGACCTTCAGATGAATGCTGTGCGACCGCATTATCCATTTCCCAAGTGAAAATATCCAAGATTTCTGGTACGATACTATCATCTCCGACCATCTTTTTTAGCCTCCTGCTCCAGTCTTCATGGGTTGGGACCATCTCCGACTCGGGCGCTGCACCAGGAGCCCAGGAGAAACCAACGACCCATTCGTTCCAAGGCTTATACACACGGGGGTGAGCCACCAAAAGTCTCCCTGGGTGCAAGTGATCATCTTGAAACGTCCAATGCAGATTTCCACGACGAAACTGCATTGTATGAGAGAGGTCGACTCTTACCAAAAGATCCCATGACTTTATACCAGCACCCTTTCCTCTTAAAACGGGAATTTTGAGTTGCTGCAAGACAAGGCTGTGGGCGCCGTCGCACCCGAAGAGATATTTGCACTGAACCGTGTATTCCTTGTTGAAGACCAAGTCTCTCACCCGCACTAGGACGGCATTTTGAGGTTTCACCTCCGAAAATGAAAGAAATTCGGTATCAAATCGAACAGTGAATCCAGTCGTTGCGGCTTTCTGGACAAGTATTGGCTCTAGAAGGGTTTGTGCAAGATCTATCGGTGTACAGGGACTAGCTCCTCGATACCGAGCCTTGCAAGATTATTCTTAGTAATTGTTTTCCAGTAGCCGGCTTGTGAACTTAGATGGTACTTCAAAACTCACTTCACTCGGGCCATTTCCCCACGCTGGCAGCCGGGCAAACTCCTTCCCAGACATGGACTCGTCCCAATGGACGGTGGACATAGAGGACCATTCCAATCCATTTCGACGACATTCATGCTCTAAGCCAATGTCTCTCATACACTCTTGTCGTTAAGTTGTCAGCTATGAAATTATGTGTTCCTGGAACGATCTCCTACCCATGGTAGCCATATTGGTTATGTGTGCGCGGGGGGTCTGGGTAGTTGTAGACTTTTTACCAATTATCAGCCCCTTGATGTCTAGAAATGTCAGACAAATTTCCTTGGAAAAACATAAAGAATATCACAAACCGTATGATCCTAGAAAGGCTGCCAATGAGCCCCCAGATGGTCCTGTACCAACTATGACACAGTCTACCACATAATCAGGTATGTGTGACACGCTGCCATTGATAGATTGCGATGAAGTTTCTTCACAAATTTGAATCATTGTGCTCGACGCAGTGTTTGTCTTTAAAATCAATTGAAAGGGTGACAATCTTTTGCTTTTGAAGGTTGTTGATGCACGATCATTTATATAAAGCGAAAGCAGAATGATATATTCAATAACATTTCCAATTGCAGACCACATAATTATTGGCAGTCTTTCCAAGGTCCTGAATGGCTGGTTGAAAAACCCTTTTTTGGCCCATGTCGTACTAGCAATTACATACTCTCCGAATATTTCATGGCGCGTCCCTAATTTGCTTGGCATCCGGCTGACCGGAGTGCAATTTGATATCTTACTGGTTGGAGACCGTATTCCAGAACACTTTGAGGGTATAAATTGCCACTCTCTGTATCTATGATAGAGATACCCAGTTTTTGACGTCTTGGCACCTCTTGAAGCAACCACGTGCGACCGTGTTACGAGCTTCCGAAAAGGGAATTTGCCTAGCTTGGTTTGCCACGAACATTCAGGAGCGTGGTCGCAACCCTTGGGAGCTACGGCTCATTGTTTCATGTTTCATGAATGTTTTTGTAAAAATCGAGTCCTGGCAGTGTCAAATTTATGTGTTTACGTTCAGGTGTATATAAATTAATCTGAGGTTCGTACGCCCAAAATCGAATTTGAGGTATCAAATAGTACGTATCACTGAAATTGGTCTTGCTATGCACTTATTCTAAGAGTGTAAATAGCATTAAGGTGCCTCGGCATCAAATACCACATTATAATATGTGCAGCTTTTTCCAAGACATGATCTTCCATTTCCGCATGCCATTTGCTGGACAGCTTATGAATCATGTGACTTTGGCTTAGTCATTACGCAGACCCACTTTTCCATACATTGGTAGCTTTCTCTTCCTACTAGCCTAGCTATCAGTTCATTCCGCTATGCGCCTCATATCTTCGTGTTGTTCCCGGATCACTCAAAGCATTTAAGCGAGTTCACACTCGATCAAACTCTCAACCCCACGTTGAGCTGTCCAAATCTTGCTGAACTTCAGTCCAACTGCCCCGATCAGCGCATGCCAATCACCAGCAGTGCGCTCGGTGGACGCAAAATCAGCCATCATGATGATGTCTGAGCTTGTCGTTTCCCAGTACGCATTGGTCTCTGGGATGAAGTTCTCATTAATCAATTTTTTGCTGTGTCCACATTTCATGGCAGGCACAATGTTCTTCAAAATCTTGACGCAGTTCTCATCGGTCCAGTCGTGCAGAACGGAGTGCATGTAGTAAGCACGAGCCCCTGTGAAACATTCCTGGTCAGACTCTGGGTCTAAAGAGAGACAGTTGGTGACGAAGATAACTTACCCTTAACAGGTTGCTCAGTGATGAAATCATGCTCCATGATCTCAATCGACTCGTGGAGAGACATGGATCGAGCCTGCTCCAAGACCTCCGGCAGGTCCTGCAGTACCAAACGACCAGAGGCATCAGGCCATTTGCGACGGAATTCTGACAGATCGTGGCCCACGCTACCACCCACGTCGACCAGGAGCGCATCCTTGTCACCCACGTCCATCTTGACAAGCCTGGGCACGTCATAGAAGCCGACGTCCATCCAGCTTGGCCGCCCCTGGTGGTATGCTGACATATGGTTGTCAAACTGCTTGGCAGCGACAGGGTGCGTTTTGAGGAATCCGAAGAAGTGGTCAGGGGTATCATATCCAAGCTGAAATCCACAGTCCATGCCGTTGGACGGGTTGCGGTAGCTGGTCCTCTTCAACTGGGCAGGAAGGGCCATGATACCCTTGGTGATGCAGTCGGTACTAACAAGTGATTGGGTTACTGCCGCTCTAGGAGATTTCCCACGGTTAATCAGGGACATCAAGCGCTTGCATGCAAGGATAGGCATCGCTGTATCTCTCTGACATCAGCGAAATGGAGAATTCAGCGCGGCGATACTCATCAGGGGCGGTCTCTAGGATTACGCCCATCGCACCCAGGTGCTTCAAGATACGAGCTTTTCGGATGTCAGCAAGCCCTCCTTTTTTCCCACAGAGGAATAGGTGGTAACCCACCAATCAGTTTGGTATCGGCCCCGACAGCCTCGGCCAGTAAAAAGCAGTTTTGGGATTGTCATCCTTCGACAGGGCGGCGAAAATACCAAGATCTACACCAGTCTCGATACAAGCATAAACTGTTGACTGCAGCGAGAATCTGTTTAATTGATGTCCAATAGTTCCGGATGGCGAAAAAATTTGAAATTTTCAGTTTAAAAGCTTGGTAGGTTCTCTCTGTACATATTATAAAAATGACCCTGGCTTATTCTTACCTGAAATACCGAAACATCGGCGAGGCGGGTCTCGTGTACGTAAGTCTTCAGACAGCTGGTCATTTAGGTGACTGGGTAGATGACTGGGTGGATCATCGGAAGGGATTAGGAAGTAGTACAATAGGCAACTATTTTCATGAAATTAATGTTCGTTGTGTATATAGTACGAATAGGCCTGATACGTCAGAAAACGAAAAACAAAATGTGCAATCAAACTATGTACTTGGGTTGAAGGAGAATCTCCAACGGCCCTATAATAAACTAAATGAAAAGCAGTCGTAAAACTCAGCATGTTCTTTTATACCCCGTACCTCTCAAATCATGGAAGCAATCCATGCTCATGACATCGTTAAAAGTGATATGCAAAAACGCCACTCTATCCTCGGTTGTACTTTTCGTTGAAGGCATTGACCGCTAGAAACCAAGTTAGCTTTAGTAATTCAAGTTGAGAATCTGCTGGTGTAGCACTTACCAATGGCAATTTGTCTGTACAGCCAATTCCGAGAGCTCTCGTCTTGAACAGGGATGAAGGGCCCGTTAGCGCCACCCTTGAGCGTGATGCTCATTCCAGTGCGCTCCTTGGAAATGGTTTGGATATCCGTCAGGCGAATGTCCCACTCGGCAGAGAGCTTCTTCGTGCGCACGAGCATAATTCGAGTGTATGTCAACAAGACCATGATGTCACGACCGGGAAGCTCCAGATGGGCGATGTAATCCTCGTTGAAGTACTTTCCGTCTTCGGTAGTCTTGAGCCAGAACTGGCCGAGAGCTTCACGTTGCGAGTAAGGACGAACGATTCCGTCGATACCAATGAAGCGAGTAAGTCGAACACGGTCCAGACCTTCGGCATCAAAGACGGTTGTTGTGTTCCGAACGCCCTCGGCCAGATTCGAGGCAAGGTCAAAAGCACCAATGGCGGGCTTGGTAGCCAAACCAATGACACCCTTTCCAACCCCCTTGAAGAAACCTGCGACCCCTTCTTTCTCAGCGCCTTGGAGGGGATGACGTGCCAGGCCGCCAATGCCGCTCGCTAGACTGGTCGCAAATGCATTTCCACCGGCTGTAATACCGTAGAGCGCATGCTTGGGGCGGTTACGGGACTTGGAGAATCGGCGTTGGTCTTGGAATTCCTTGTCCAGGGTGGCGGCAGTCAGACCCTTGGACATACTTCCTGTGAGCTTAGCCATGCTGTCTGAGAATCCGAAAACAGATTTCTTGACAAAGCTAGTAGCTCCCTTTGCGATGCCGACACCAAGCTCTTGAGGACGGTCCGTCATGACGAGGCCTTGGTAGGGCTCGTAGAAGATGTCGGCCACACCAGAACTGATGTTATTGAACAGACCAACGGGGTTACCGATGAAGTCAGCGGACCCAAGAATGACATGGACTTGGCGTAGGAATTCTTGAGTGTAATGGGCGCGGACGTTGCCGAACAGTCTGCCGAAAGAGACACGGGCGTTTTCCAACATCAACGCGTTCAGCCGAACAGGGGCATCATTGACATTACCCATCGACATGGTCATCACATTGACAACGAACATCAGAGGATTCGATGGCTGCATAGTGTCCTCGACGTTGACACGCTCAGTTCGCATGAAGGAGATATCAAGCTGCATGGGCTGCAAGTGAAGGAGCTCGAAGTAGACATCCTGGCCAGCGTCAATTTGTTGCGGCTCGGGGATATTGAGATCCTCGTCACAGAGGGTGCCCTCTTGTTCTTCAGACCACGATGCACCTGGGATCTTGGCAAAGTCTAACATGGCGAAGACAAAGTCCTCATCAAGTTCAAGCGTCATTTGCTGCAAAAGCAAAGTTGCGTACTTGATGTACAATACACCATATGAGTCATCCTTCACTCTGGTGATCATTGCATGGAAAATAGGGTGGGCTTCCATCTCCTTTCCAGTCTTTGGAACCACACTAGGGTACAGCAGAATGGGGAAGATGCCACCATATAACTGGTTGTCGACCTGGATCCATTTGATCGTGGTGTTGAGAGTCTGATAGATTCTCGACTCGCGGAATTTGATTTCGATTTCGCGGAACGTCATGTAAAGGAGCTCCTTCAAGTTCTGGTTGATCAGGGAGATGCCGATGCCACCCAAGCGAAGCTGAGCCTTGAAAGTCACTTCCGAGTTCATCTCTTTGACTTCAAACCCAGTGCTCATGCTATTCTGTGATGACTGTCCCTTCTGTTGCTTGTACAGACTCTTTGATGGCTTGAAGTTGGACAGCACAAGAGTCTGCGTGGGCCCGTCGGCAACGATATTGATATCGATGATCTTCTGATACTCGCCCGATTGTCTGGGTGGGATGCGCATTGGGATCAGGTTACCAATTTCAGCAAGCTTGATGCGACGCTCTTTTCCGTGGCAAGTCAGAGTGAGAGACTTGTTCTTAGTTGCAGGGTAATCCCACGCATAAGGCATGATACTGCGCGGCGGAAGGCGATAACGAATGGGCTTCCAGCTAGTTGATCGGTCATCCTCGTCATCTTCCACATTGGGGTTGGCTTGATAGAAGATAAATTCCGTGTCGCTTTCGTTGCGCATGGAGAAAGGCCAGTTCCGAGTCTCGAAGCCGAAATGCAGGAACAGAGTGGCTCCCTCGAGAATCACATCAACCTTAATGAGCTTCTGTCGCTGGTTGGCCTTGGCCAATTTGACGTGAACAGTTCCCACATCAGCAATATTGAAGGGAGAAGACCATTGGTTGTTAACGCCAGGGAAGCATAGGCAAAGCTGCTTGTCGGCGGCTTGACGAAGGAAGTGAAGCGGAACGAGTTCACCACTCTTGATCTCGAGGACATTCGACGAGCCAGGCTCGCGAACCAGAAGATCCTCGTTGAGCTTGCTCTTCAAGATGAATCTTGGTGCAATTGTGACGACCTTCGTCATCTTGTACTTGCCCTCGCCCTCGACAACTGACACACCGGAGTGGAATTCAGAACGGCCATTCCTATCAGGGAACACAGCCTCGAAGGTACTACCAATAGCCTCGAAACTTTGCGGCTTGCTCCATGCTGAGTCACCGATCTTGAGGATGGATCGATTTCTCTTGTCTTCAGCGCCATAGGAGTACATATAAGGAAGAGCACGGCCACCCTCTCTCGGGTCAACTCTCATTCCTTGACCTGCGGCGCTGCGTGCAGACTGAAGGAATGCCTTGCTCTGGATATCCATAGGAAGTCCAGTTTTGTTCAGAATGAGGTACGGACTGTAGACAGAGACCTTGAAAGCACCACCACTGTTGGGAATGTTGAAGTAATGAAGCTTCAGTTTCAGCTGGAGGCCTCGTTCGTCAGTCAGTGACAATGTGTGCTCTCTGCGGTAATCCTGAGCGTTGCCATTGACAATCGCAAACTCGCTCTGTCGGAAAACGGTGTCCTCCAAATCGATACTGAGCAAAAGTAGGTGGGAAAGTTCTACCACATGAACAGGGCTTACGCCCCCCTTCCTGAGGAAATTCGTCCAGTCTTTCTTGGTGTTCTTGTCATAAATGCGGTATTTGAAGTCGTAGGGCAGAAGGTTCTGGATTTCCACAGGGGCAAAGATGCGAATCCTCATGTAAGGATAGGAGCTCGTAAGTGAGTCCTTGTTGTCAAAAGTGGCATTGACTTGGAAATAGAAAGGCGGAGACTGTTGGCCGCCTTCACTGACGCATTTAATGGTTCTAGTTGGTCGGCGAAGCAGCTCCTTCCAGAATAGTTGGTCGTTTGACCAATCATATCCAAAGCCTTGATCAGGACGAATGACAACGGAATGGAGATAGGCGGACCCAACTGGAGCGGGTCGTGCATCGCCAGGAAGGATTTTCTCGATCTTCAGCAGATGACCATCGTTGGGGCTGAAAACACCCAGTTCAACTGGAATCTGCGTGTTGTTCTCCACGAGAAGAGGCGAACGGAATGTGATATACTTGACGTTATCTGCTCCAAGAGTGACCTCCACCAAAAGCCGGTGAAGTACATTGTCCCGCTTCGGCTTGAGACTGTAGATAACCTCGCCTTCTCGAACCACAGGAATACGATTAATGCTGTCGAATCCACTTCCCTCGAGCTTGACACCGACAATTCCACCGTGGCCTTCGGGGGTGAGAGTTTCTCGGACGGCAGTGGAATCCTCGAATCGCCAGGGATATTCCTCTCCATCGCTAAGTTTAGCAGCAGGACCTTCTTCTCCGGCGCTGACATCGGCCCACACCCGAAGATCGAAACCTGTATAGTTGAGGATTCTGTAGGGAGCATCAGCACCCCGTGGTTTAGAAAGCACATCCTCGTCTGTGTTAAGGAACTGGAAGGACTTGGACGCAAGTGCGATCGTTGCCGATGTCATGGTCAACTCCATAGTCTTGTGCGAGTAAGCATCAATAGAGAAGACATCCGGGTTGACTTCCTTAGCCATATGGAAGCCCAGCTGCCATGGCTCGATCAGGGGCTCCCAAGAAGACTTCGAGAAATTATAGACGTTGAGGAACGTGTCAAAGTGCGTGTCAACACTCAGGGTGGAAGACCAGTCGCGGACGTCTACATTGAACTTTTTGACACTCCAATCCAGCAAAGGCAAATCATGAAGATCTCCAATCAGGATCACTCTGAGACCATCGACCTTGGCGGAAAGTTCCTCCCTTTTGAGAACAGCCGAGCTTTGGGGTACAGCAGTGGCAGTCTTGTCAAGACCGTCGGCTGTCTGGCTGACACGGCGACGGGTTCTGTAAGCCGGAGTTGACGATGTCTTGCTGCCAGATCGGCCTCTTGTACTCTTTGCATCGGTGATCTTCTTCGGCTCTCCACTCTCGAGCTCCTGCGCGTTCCGGGCTCTCATCTCCGAAGCCTTGTTCACAATCTGGATCGCCATCAAGATATCACGCAGAGACAGTCGAAGGACCAGAGGCTCGACATGGGCCTCAATTGAGGTAAGCGCAGAGCCCTTTTCTTGCGAACGACTATCAACAGAAATCTCCACCGTGAAATCGTCCAGGATACGGAGGCGACTAGTCTCGAACTTATCCATGCGGCAAAGGAACATGCCCACTTTCTCGATCTGCAAAGTTGAAACGTTTTGATGCGAGATGAGAATCTCCTTGGTTCCAAGGACAATAGCTTCGGAGTGGGGAATCGCCGGGTTCGCCACCATAATCACCTGGGCATCAACCAGGTTGACGCGGAATGAAACTGTTCTAGACCCAACAGGAACATCTCCAGCAGATACTTCAGTGGCTGCCCTATCAGGAGATGTAGCATCGTCGGAACCAAGCTCCGATTCTTCTGGAGAGTCACCCTCCTCTTCAACGACTTCTGTAACCTCCTCCGAGGCAAACGCAGTATTACTGAAAGATTGCAGGGCGGACAGATAATCTAACGCAAACATGATGCGAGGGCTATCAATCGTCAACATCGCAATAAGATGCTTGTCTGGTCCAGGAGACATAGAAACGCTAGCCATAAACTGCTGCTGCACATCGTTGTTGATCAAAGACATGATGTTTCTGAACTTGTTTGTGTCCTGCTTTCTGCTGTCACGAATCGAGAACGAGTGGATCAAGAGCTCCGACTCCATGGACTCATCGGTCAGCATACGCAGCTTAACTCGGGTGTCATTGAGAGAGAACTTGGACAGACTGCAGTCCTCGAGGTGGCCCGCGGGTTGGTTATCATTGGCCAAAATGAGTTCCAGCCCGACACTGTCAACCTTGAAGATCATATCGAGTCGGACCCAGGTTCCCTTGTTCTCGTTGTCGGGGGCTGACTGTGCTTGCTGGTCTTTCTGTGCTTGGGCAGCCTTAGAAGTCGCTTCTCTCGTGGGTTCGGTGACAGATGATGGCAGGGATTCCAGAGCCTCAAGCTCTTGTTGCTCAGCGTCAGTGGCAAAAGCACCAGGAATTGATTTCGAGAGCGCCAGCAAGAACTTGAGCTGACTTTGCGATATTCGGAGATTGATTGGGGACAGAGAACCTTCAATCTCCATATCTGGTCGAGGGTTGTTGGTCTGGTGCTCTAGGTAGCAGATGCTGAAATCGAGGTTGACCTTTTGAATCATGTCTAGCTCCTCAACGACACCATCTGTGAAATGGAACTTGGACGTGAGGCGGATGTTGCGAACGCCGGTTGAAATAACATTCACGGCAGGACTGTCCTTGGAGTCATCCATTGGAACAAACTCGTTCTTAGCATAAATCTCACCAAGATGGGCAGTTATAGTGTCTCTGGGTCGGTCATCGGTCATAATTCGAGGGAACACCAGAATGGGTGTCTTGATCACGATATCGAGGCGCATGCGGGACGCATTTTCCTGCAGTTGGTTTGCTTGATTCGCAGCAGCTTGGCGAGCGGCATTGAAAATTGCTTGCATCTTGCCGAACTTGACAAGGAAATTGATAATTTTCCGGTAAGGCTCTTCCAGGAAATTGATCCTGATTGAACCGGACCGCAGATAAACCTCAGAATCGTAACCGGGATAGGTGTCACTTTCAGGGTCGAAAGTCTCATATTTGAAATCAGCGAAGTTTTCGCCCTCGATGGTCAAAAGGCGGCGGACATCGGAGTCCTCTGAAGCACCAAGGTTAACATCGTCAACCAATGTCAAACTACCGATTCGAGACTGTATGGTCATGGCACGGCCAACGAGGAATATTCCAACATCAGCAGTATTGAGACTCAAGGTCGCCAGTCGTACACCATCATTGTTGAGGATAAGAGCAATACTCTTCAGGTTGGACTTGATACGAAGTTTTCCAGCTTGCTGTGGCGCTTCCGGTTGGCTTTGCGCTTCTTGCAGAGCCTTCTCCGATTGTGGATTTTGATCGGCCGGTTGCTGTGGGCTTGTGAAGGTGAGAAGAATGAAGTCGAGAAGAGTAAGCAGCGTCTTTCTCGTCACAACAAGATTGATGGTCGAGACTGAAATATCGAGATTCATCGCTACACCTTCGTAGGTAGACTCAAACTCTGGTGATTCTGGCTTCACTCGAACCATCTTCAAGTGGAACAGATCCTTGTCTTCATCTGCATTAAAGCCCTTGGATGAGATGATCCGCTTGAATTCAGGTACTGGGTTCTCTTCAATATAATCGTCCACACTCAAAGACTTGAGGATGACTTCTGCGACCATGTCATAGGGGCGCATGTAGAAGTCGAGTTCGAAGCCCTCGGCAACCAGTTCGACCAGCAGCTTATCTTTGAGGGGATCCTGGGAGTCCGCACGAAACAGCGAACCACGAAGGCGACCAACGTTGAATTTGAACTCAAAGTCCCGACGATGGATATTATTTGAGGTGTCGAGTGCTTTCTTTGACTGTTCACTTTCAACTTCATGGTCTTCGTCATCGTCAACAACCGGGAGGTCTCGTTGTACTGGAGGCTGGAAGGATGCCGCTCTAGCGCGAGTTGCGATTGCCGCCTCTTCTTTGGCTTTCTCATCTGCCGGACCAGTAGAGTTATTGCCAGTGTCAAATTGTGGGATCGCAATGTCGATCAGTTTCATCAATGCCTTGTACTTTGTATCAGACATCGAGGCATGCAACTCCGGCAAATTTCCGGATATCCGTGTCCGTGTAAGCTGCGTAACCTTTGGAACAATGCACATCTCTAAAACAAAATCCACATTGATTCGATCAATGATGTGGAAGTTTTTAGACTCAACGGCCGAGGTGAGTTGTGCTTTCGTCGCTTCAATTCCAGGACCGATCAGAACCTGCGTGGAATCCAGCTTGATAAGGAAGCGATCATACAGCAAGTGTTCAAGCTGCTTATAGTCTTCTTCTTCATATTGTCGCTTGTGCTTGGATTGGAGGTCTCGCATTGCTTGTCGGTCGACAAGCTCGCTGTTAACACTTGCATGACCAGCATCGATGATTAGGCACAAAGAGCTCTCATACGTAATACTCTCAGGAACAATGATCAGAGGTGCGTGAACATCAAATTGAGCATCGACCTTCTTGTGCTCTTGCAAGGCGAATTCCAGACCTGCTCGGGTTTGCTGGCGCAGCCCTTCGACTGTAGCACCGGCGGTGTCGAGCAGTGCTCCAATCGACTCCATGTGGCGCTCGGGCGGTTCGAAAAATTTGACAATTCCCACAAGGAATCGAGGATTGTAAATTACCTCAATACTTTTGAGCTTTACCTTGACCGCGGAGTCTGCGTCGCTTTCTAGGGGATTCTTCTCCAATTGCAAATGGAACAGACTATCTTCATCTTCAAGATCATCCGCGCTGGCTTGCGAGGCAAGGTCATCGTCATCGGTACTCTGCTCCAGGGCCTTTGTTTGATCTGGGAGAGAATCCTTGACCTTCACGATTTGCGGGTACAGGGTGCCTGCAGTAGTACCATCGTACATTTTCAAGCCACCAAGATCCAGATCCAAAAGATAAGAATCGGGACGTTGGAGAGCTTTTGCTCGGAAATTGTCGAACACCAGCTTCATGACTTCGTTCGCAGCACCATGAGGGTCCTGTTTGAGGGTAAAGCTACCGGCACGGAGACTCCAGTTGATTTGCAGTTTAGCCCATTCTCGGGGGACGTCAACACTCTCGGAAATCGCCTTTTTCTCATCCCAATCAATGGCACTGTAAAGCTCCTGCCGTTGCTCCTCGGTCATAGCAGTTTCTTCAGACTCTTCCTTCTTGCTGCCCCAGAACCACTCCGACCATGACTGCTGTTGAGCCGGCTTCTTAATGCCAATATTTTCTTTGCGGAGTTGATTTCGGGCGAGCGACCGCCAGAATCGAAGATCCTCGTAATTAAGCTTCCATTCAAGTTTTTCAAGCTGCTGAGTTTCTTCTGGAGTGAAGGTCTCTTCGCGTTTTTTCTTCTTGAATAGGTTGATGTAGGCAATGCGATCATCTCTGCGCTCTTTAATGTAATCCCAGGTCCATCGCCGATTACGGTCGTGAATCTTACTGAGGACCGCATCTCCAGCAAACTTCATCCAGGCACGAGGATCTTCCTTGACTGAGCACTTGGGCTGGAACCGCTTGTATTCCTGGTGGCGGATGAAATAATGGAAAAGATCGACCAGCATCAGGGCATCGCGATACTGGTTGTCATCCAGGACAAAGCCGAGCTCATCGAACAGCAGGCGCGCTTTCATGGCCGGACGATCGTATTTACCCGATTTGTCCATTTCGAGTCCTGCACGACCACTAACAGGACGAAGCATGAACTGGTTACCATCGCCGTTATCGATGGCATCCCGTAGTTTGGCCATTAGGTCGTCATGGCTGATTCCTTGTGCCTCAGCGCCAATATCAGAACCTCTACCAGTTCCCAGCAGCGTTGCATCTGTATTCCAGTATACGGATAGAGCACCGAGGACAGCTAGTTTGTGAGTGGTATCGGAGGTGGATTGGATGAAGGTAGGATTCCATTCAGAGTCCGTGCTGACAGCACTAAGCTCCTTCAGAGTCAGACCGACAGCAAATGGGTGACCAGGCGAAGCGATGGAATCCTCATAGCGGAAGTGAACGTTTTTAATGGAGATCTGCAGGTTATCCACCACAGCGGTTACCATGCTCTGAGTAAAGCTCTGGTTCCGACGTTGCTCCTCCTGGCTCATGCCTTCCGCATTACGATCTCGCAGAATCTCGGCACCTTCAATCCTTTCCATCTTCAAGGTATGCGCGCGCTTGTCTTCTTCCGCGGGATCGTAGTCGGCATCCTCCTTTGGCGCCGCGAGCAGGAAGACATCTTCGATGTCGACCTTGACCGGCTTGCCCCTCAGGTTTGACCATGGAATAGATAGTGTAAGTTCTCCGAGATGACCTTCGACAACGTTCAAGGGTAGGCGAAGCTGGTCGAGCGCTTCCCGGCGCAGCTCCAGATTCCGCAGTTTGACATCACCCGACCAGATGCCGATATTGAGCTGCTTCGCATCGAAGTTCTTGACATAGATTCCGAGGAAGCGGTTAAGCAGGTTGGCAACCACGCCTTCTAACATGGTTGCGAGCTGCGGCCGTAGAGGCCGGGTGGTTGGGCTCTATGGCCGGTGATGTCGTTCAACGGAGTGGGTCGAGATCAATCGGTCAGTCCTAGCTATCAACGGCAGGTCAGTCAGTGGCATATTTCGCTACGTTAGAAGAGAAAGGGAGTGGATGAGCTCTCACATAGCACCAGTAATCCTTTGCGATCGTGGAGAGTTCATTCAATCCATCCAAACAGGGCGGGCTGCACGCGATACCGAGGCGGGACCTCGCCTCTGAAATGAGCGAGAGCCAGGGTCTAGAGTGAGACGAGGATAAAGAATGATGGAGAATGTTGGAAATGCGATCAACGAGATCGCGATCGGAGGTTGGGTATCGAAGCCAAGTCAATGGCCCTGATTGCGTGGATCAGGAATGGCCGTGGCTATCTGTTACGCAAAGGCGGCGTACGGGGCTAAGGTACGACGGGGGGCTGCCCGCCTTCCAAAGCGAGGAATGTCACTCCCGTGACTGCCCAACTCCTTGGTCAAGGACTACAAATGCACAATATCCAAAATAGGAACTTTTTCCATAGTTTTCGCAAATCTAGAGATTATACCAAGCTATAATTCAAGGGCAAATTCAACTCGCTCTGCCAATCCTTCAGCAGCCTCCCACAGCCCCTCCAGTCTGTACCAGAGTGTACGCTTGTTTACTCACGTAGAGTGACATCAGTCCCGTGCAGTCGACTTTACTATCGGATCACGTGGCTTGCTAGGTGCCTTCCGTTTGTGCCACAATCCCTACGCAGTAACTAGTAGCAATCTTTCTGCCTGATTTTTACGGTTAGAATTGCGATGAAACACCACATCATACCATGTTTTTCGAATTCCTGAAATGAAAAACTTTTCGTAATGTACATTAAGATCACACAAGCGTACCCTAATTCATCAATTTGCATCACGTGCCGTCACGGGATCCCCGGGTTCTCTCATAATTTGCGGCCTGAGGCATATATGCCATTCGGGTTGCTGCGGGCCGCCCGAAGACCACACCTCACCACTCAGTCACTTCATTTCTGGATATTCTTATTTGCTCCCTCTCGGAAACACACGGCCTCCCCGACTTCGATCTCGAGTCTCTTTCCGGGTTGATACCCTTATCTCCACTCTTCAATCTCCTCTCCAGCTTCTTTTTAGGCCAATTGGGTGAGTAGACCCGGCTGTCTAGCCATACCCGAGGATTTTCGTGCCCGCGCGGCTTGCTAACCCGACTGCACACGAAAAGCTTCTTTCTTCCATCTCCCCGCCATGCTGTACCGCACCACCGCCGCCCGCTCCGTGCTCCGGGCTGTCTCGAGCTCTAATGCCTCCGTGGCTCGCTCGTCTCTGGTCAACCCGGTCTTCAAGGCCCAGCTGACCTCGTCCGCCCGCCATGCGGTCCGCCCATCCGTCAAGTCCAGCTTCGCGCTGGCCGCTCACAAGCCCGTCACCACCGCCCTTGTGCGCCACTCCTCCTCTTCCAGCAAGGTAAAGATACATTTTGTTTATGCGCGACCCAGCGGGGTAGTTCGATTGCTAATTTGCGACTGATATATAGGACGGCGAGGATGTTGACATGATGGCCGGTATGAAGTCCGAGGCTGTACGTTGCCCCCACGTCTTCAGTGTTTTGAAATAGAATAGGATCTAACTCTGGAATTGCCTTTTATAGAAAGTTATCAAGGACACCTTCAGCCTGGCTGAGGTCCCTAAGGAGGCTCTCTACCTCGGTATGGCCGGTGTTATCCCCTACCTGGCCACCTCGCTGGAGACCGTCTACCTCTCCTACGAGATCAACCGCGCCGCTGCCCTCGGTGACGGCCTGATCTTCTCCGGCCAGAGCGCTGAGCTGATGTTGCACATGCTGGAGCCCGTCCAGGTTGGCTACGGTGCCGTCGTAAGTAAACCATCTCTGACGTCGAGACAAACTTTGAAGATCTCACCCCCGCTGACTTGGTTGACATTTAGATCCTCTCCTTCCTCGGTGCCGTCCACTGGGGTCTTGAGTGGGCTGGCTACGGTGGCAAGTTCGGCTACAAGCGCTACGCCGCCGGTGTGATCGCCCCTGCTGTGGCCTGGCCTACTCTGCTATTCCCCACTGAGTACGCTCTGATCACCCAGTTCCTTGCCTTCACCTTCCTGTACTACAACGACGCCCGTGCTGCCGCCGTTGGCCGTGCTCCCCACTGGTACGGCATGTACCGCTTCGTCCTGACCTTCGTTGTCGGTGCTTCCATCGTCGCCACTCTGATTGGCCGCGAGCAGATCCAGCAGACCGTCACCACCGAGCACACCATCACCGACAAGGTCAAGGCTCTGCTCTTCCTGCAGAAGAAGGAGAAGGAGGAGGCCGATGCTCGCCGCAAGGCTGAGATTGAGGAGGCCGAGTAAATGGGACGCCTCGGATCCACGTCATGTTTGAGTTGTTTGAAGGGGGCTAATTGGAAAGAGCCCCCGTGTTCTCTCTTGATTTTTGCATTCCCCGTGATTTCCTGTAGAATATAACGCAGAACGCACCCGGGCTGAAAGCTTGTTTTTTTCCTTTGTTATTTGGAGAGTCAAAAATATTCGATATATATATCAGTTCATGGGAGCGTACGCTTGTACCACCTGGTAACAATCGGAGCAATCGTATACACATCGAATCATGTGATACCATGTTTTTATATATATGGGGTAATTTCCAACTCTCAAGGCCACAATTACCAATGTTAAACATTATTATGATTATCAAAAGTCGGATTGTTAATGGACCAGATGATTGACGTGCCCACGTGCATATATCAAATCCTGCTAAGCCACATTGAGCTACCAACCAGGAAAAAAGTATACGGGACACTCGTGGAGTCGGCGGGAAGGGGAAATAGATAGGTCCGGGTTGCCGTGGCTGATCGGCCCCACCGACGGGTTGGCAGCCGATATTTCCAATTGACCATACACGAGGAAATGGAGGGAGGCAAGGAGAGGTCGGGTGCCGTTGCAAACGACGATCCCGATTCCCGGAACCCGACCCAGAGCCGCGCTGCATTTCTATTTTTGCCGGGTCATTTTTCGCGTTTCTCGTCGGGTTTACCTTAAAACCAAGGTTATTTCTGTGGCATCTCCCGATCTACGAAGGCATCTACAATTATTCGCCAGTCACCATTTCTCCCAAGAAAAAGAGGGCCCCAATCTAGTTGTTCTAGGCGGATCTAGCGTGCCCATGGTAGCAACCCTTGGGTGTGGCTGGCGGGGTTCTAGGAAGGTAAGGCGAGCCCCAGGTGCATAACGTCCCCCCCCCCCCCTCCGGTTGCGATAGCAGAACATGCGAGATTCCCGTCGGATCGTCGGCCACTCCTCGCGTGATCTACTCGCAGCGCACGTCCCCGTTCCTGGCAGACTGAGCACGATGGTTTTGAATCCCCTTCCCCGGGCTGCGAGGGCCTATCCCAGAGTCCCTCCAAGCCTTCGGGCATCTCTTGGGGGCCGCACGAACCGGTTCTCCAGGTTTTGCGCAGTTGGTGGGCGTTGAACGGCGCCCTTGGATCCACGACGTCACCACCCGTTGGCGACGACGGCCCTGATTGGAGCTGTCGCAATTAGGACCATCCTGGCAGGAAGGCGATGCACAGGCATGCTTGCCCAGACCTCCTCAGATGGTGGATGGCTGATCATTGGAAAGATGGGGAGCGCCGAAGTGGATTCGATTCGGGGCAGGGGGTGGCAGGGACCAGACAAGACAGGAGGGGCAAGCACCATTGGGAATACTCCATGCCCTAGGGCAGGACTATCAGCAGAAACAGCCGAACGAGCAGGGGGAAAAGGCTTCGCGGGTTCCAGGGTTGTTCTTGGCCGCGACTAGATCCCGTCTCCAGAAGTGCCTCCTTTCTCCAGCCAACAATTCTTCCGCATTTCTCCATGAATAGGAACGGGAGGCGCGTTGCGCCCCCGGGGAGCACTAGTTCGCCAGCCAGAAGGGAAAAAAAGAAATCAAAAAGGGGGGTCTAGAACCACTAAGGGACCGCAAAGGAAAAATGGAGCGTGTCATGTGGGCGATCGACGGGGCTCTATATACCCGCTTTCTTCTCAGGTGGACAAGTTGCTGCTCCAGGGTGGGTTTGCGACGTGTGCAGATAGGAGGGGAGGTTGCAGGGACAATCGCATTAAACTGCAATTGTCGGACTGGGACGCGCCATTGGAAGCGGTCAATATGGTAGTCCTCCAGTTGATCTACTAGTACTCGTATGTATACATTCATGGTTGTATCCTCTCAACTCCTGCCTGGAGTATGCCCTGATCGAAAGAATAGGGAATCGAGCTAGAAAAAAAGGAAAACCCGCTAAGAATGATGCACGCAAAGTGGGGAGGTGACGAGGTCTTCTGATCAGAAAAAAAGCCCCGAACCGGATTTGGAGCACCCCCCCACTCGCGCAGGCCAGGCGGTCCACTTTGTTGGATAAAAAGGACGGCCAACCTGAGCTCTTTGCCTTCGCGCCCCTCGTACGTCACGCTCCACTTTTTGCCCTGCCTTGGAGCTTGCCGTATTCGACCGCCACCTGTAGAAGTCTCCCCTCCGTAATTGTCTTCCCCCACACTCTTTTCTCTCCTCTCTCTTGCAACCCGATTTGACTCATCTTCGCCTTTCGACTGGAACTCCGTTCTCTCTCGACTCTGCAACCACCGTGACCGCATCCTCCGTCACGTCCACCACCACCACAACCAGAAGATGCGCAACCCCTTCGAGTTGGACGAATCGAGCGTGGACGGCGACTCGGAGCCTGGCAACGAGTTTGTGGACCGCCCTGATTTCCACGTCCATGTCGAACCCGAACAGACCGATGATGGCGACCGTTCCATCTTGCAGGACGAGGACCGCCGCGGCGACGACCTGAAGGAGCGTTTCATTGGTACCATTGACCAGGGTACCACCAGTACGCGATTTATCATCTTCGACTGCACTGGCGTACCCATCGCCAAATACCAGACTGAGTTCCGTCAGATTCACGAGCATCCAGGGTAGGTTCCCGTTCCTCTCCCACACTCCCACACTCCCACACTCCCACACCCCCATAATCTCTTGGTGCCCCGGGGCCAAGGTGCCTCCCCCGCCTTCGACCCCTCCCGGGCAGACACGAACCCTGCAGGCATCCATCACCGCCCGCCCAACCTTAACAACGCCCCCCGCAATATCTGGATTTCTGCGAATGGCCGGTTAACGTATGTCCTCACCATGTCTACAGATGGCACGAACAAGATCCCTACGAGCTGGTGGAGTCCGCCTTTATCTGTATGGAAGAGGCGATGAAGTCATTCCTCGCTTTGGGCCACTCACGATCCGATGTCGAGGCGGTCGGTATTACGACGCAACGAGAAACCGTCGTGGTCTGGGATTGGGAGACTGGTGAGCCGCTGCACAACGCTATCACATGGACCGACACTCGTACCATGAACCTGGTGCGCGAGCTCAAGGAGAAGCCGGGTGCCGACAACCTGGTCAACCTTTGCGGTCTGCCCCTCTCCACATATCCGTCTTCCGTCACATTACGATGGATGCTGGACAACCTGCCAGACGTCCGAAAGGCATACGACGAAGGTCGAGCCGCCTTCGGTACGGTGGACTCGTGGCTGATCTACAATCTCAACGGCGGTGTCCAAGGCAAGCGCCACGTCACCGATGTGACCAACGCTTCGCGCACGATGTTTATGAATCTCGAGACCCTTCAATACGATGATGAGCTTATGAAGTTCTTCGACATTGACGCCAAGAAGCTTCGCATGCCTGAAATTCTCCCTTCCGCCGACAAGGAGGGCTTCGGCGAGATCTGCGAGGGTCCGCTGGACGGATGCCGCATCACCAGCTGTCTGGGTGACCAGGCATCCGCGCTGGTCGGCCACTGCGCTTTCACTCCCGGAACCGCAAAGAACACTTATGGTACCGGTTGTTTCCTTCTTTACAACGTGGGCGAGAAGCCCGTCATTTCCAAGCACGGTCTGCTGGGCACAGTCGGTTTTCAGCTGGGCCGAGATCGCAAACCCGTCTATGCCCTGGAAGGCAGTGTGGCGGTGGCAGGTAGCGGTGTTTCCTTCCTGATGAACAACATGGGCTTCTTCCGCGACTCGCGAAAGGTCAGTGATCTGGCCGCGACTGTTCCGGACAGTGGAGGCTGTATCTTCGTTACTGCGTTCAGTGGTCTCTTCGCTCCTTACTGGATCGACGATGCGCAAGGAACAATCTGTAAGTTCTTTTGTCTGCTCCCAGCCTCATAAGCATCTACTGACCGTTTTACAGGGGGTATTACCCACCACACACAGCGTGGACATATCGCCCGCGCAACCATGGAGGCGGCATGCTTCCAGACCAAGGCTATCCTGGATGCCATGGAGATGGACAGTGGCAAGGCATTGACGGAACTCGCCGTGGATGGCGGTATGAGTAATTCCGACATTTGCATGCAGGTACGGAGTCTCCGCAAAATATTCTCTAGGTCTACGCAGGATACTGACAGTCTTCATTCCACCAGACCCAAGCGGATATCATTCAGATCCCTGTCGAGCGCCCCGCGATGCACGAAACCACCGCCCTTGGCGCCGCCATCGCCGCCGCTTTCGCGATCGACGTGTGGAAGGACTTTGCCGACCTCAAGTACATGAACCGCGCCAACCGCGCCACCTTCAACCCACAAATCTCCCTCAAGGCCAGCAAACGCATGTACAACAGGTGGTCCAAGGCGGTCGAGATGTCCCGTGGCTGGAAGAACGAGGAAATCCACGAGTCCGACGGCGAGGACGAGGACCCCAAGAAGGAACCGCTCGCCGGCAAATAAAACGCACACCACACATCATATACCTACCATTTTTTACATACGTGACATGACTGCGAGTCGGTCTGTCCCATCACCCGAAGACCGAGGAGAGGCACCCAATCATTCATTCCTCCATACCTCTGCCGACTCATTTCCGCATCCTCCCCCTCGGATTCTTCGGACGTGAATTTACAATTCCTGCGAGCGCACACTGGGACACACATACTCATCTTCCACTATACATATTTAGATCCTTAGATAGCCTCCCTGTCCTAATAGGTGTGCCGGCAAGCGTAAGTGACACGCTACATGCCCGCCTCATGACTGTGATGATGGTTGTGTTCTTGCTTCATTTCCAGCTATGATTTCGGGAAGGAGGAAAGAGCTGGCTTCTTGTTCTTTTTTCCTTCCTTTTTTTCCTTCCCATCTTCCACTTTTTGGCTTAACTTTTTGCTTTTTTTTGGCGGTTGACTGTTGACTACGTTGGTAGTGCATTCTGTATATATCATCCGGAATTTTCGAAACAATTTTAAAAAAAATTCCAAATTACTCAATTGGTCATTACTGTAGTGTGATTGCAATGTGCTTAGGTATGAACTTTCATCTATATAGAATGGCGTGGGGTATGGCTTCTTTGTTTCCCAGTGTATCTCTGGAAGTCATGTCTAGTGTTCCCCTGCAATTCTCGGGAACCTTGGAAATCTTACGAGATATGATGCTTTTCCGATCGAATATCCGGACGCAACAGAAGTACATAATCGGCAGGAGTAAGACTTGATCCTGGCGTGGGGGCTAGCCAGATTTGACGCGTAGTAGATCCTGATTCCTGCTCAGGTTCTCAAAAAATTCCATCGTGAAGTCCTACCATACATTCATTCACGTTGCAGCGCGCCGCGCATTCTACGGCCTCAATACCCAAAAGGAAGGCCCCACCTCCATGAGAATTACAACACCCTGTCATCATGCCAACGGCTATGATGCCGGTACCCGCATCGTGTGGCATCAACTTCCTCGTGAACCAGGCACGGGTGGATGGGAGGTGGAGGAGGCGACGATCACGGCCGATATTCTAGGGTATGACATCATTTTTCTGATGTGGAGAAGAATCGGCATGTTTAATCATGAATGGGCATTATGGGTGAGATTTCCCTGAATCAGATCTTGCTTTTTATTGAAGGTTCTTTGGCGGGCCGGTGATGTCTATCGCTTACGGCAGGTTTTGCGAATGCTTGTCTGGACGCTCGATTGTTTGGAGTCGATTCTTCGACAGATAGGAATTCGATTCGCTTGCGAGTTTACATGGTAGGCGTACAGATTTGTATGTACACGACACAATACAAGACCCAGTTGGGTGGGAAACAGAAGAAAACAGCGAGCGAGACAATGGAATGGAAAAGTGGTGTGGGAGGAGTTGGAATAATGGTATTTTCGAAAGACGCCCGAACGATCCGGGAATGCACAATGAGGAAATATTAGACTACTTCCTCGGTCAAAAAAAAAAATCGAAATGACAAAGCAATCAGATACTTCCTTGTTAAGAGTAAGACAACAGAGAGGAGAATGTACAGCGCAGGTAGGAGATTACTCCGTGGCGTGAGGGGGTTGCTCTGTCGAGGCTGTCGGGTTGAAGTTGGCCGCCTGCAAGGCATCCGGCAACATAAGCGGCGCGCTGGGCGACGACGACAGCTTGTCGAGCTTCTCTCCCGGAGTACCTTCTCCATCTCTTCCTTGGTAAGGGTCTCGTACTCAATCAGGGCATTGGTCAAAAGCTCCAGTTCCTTTCGCTTCTCGGTCAGGATCTTGGTAGCCTTGTCACGGGCTTCCTCAACCAGTCGGCGGACTTCGCCCTCAATCTCCTGCTTGGTTTCAGAGGAGAGGCTGTCGTAGTTGCTGGACAGATCGACGTTGCCCAGCTTCTTGGAGTAACCAAAGCGAGTGATAAGAGTGAAGGCCGTCTCGGTCGCTTGTTGGATGTCCTGTTAAAACGGTTAATATAAGCAAATCATAACTGAAAAGGGCCGAGGAAACTTACTCCAGAAATACCACTCGAAACATTCTCAGGACCGTAGATCAACTCTTCGGCGGCCCGACCACCCATGGCCACAGCAATGTCAGACAGGAACTCAGAGTAATTCCGCGAGACGGTATCCATTTCCGGAAGGAAGTGGGTCAGACCAAGAGCCATGCCACGGGGAACAATGGTGATCTTGTAGAGAGGGGTGGATGACGGCGAGAAATAAGAAACGAGCGCATGGCCGGCTTCATGATAGGCAGTCGACACCTTATCCTTGTCCTGGATAATACGACTCCGAGCTTCAGCACCCATCATGATCTTGTCCTTGGCCCAGTCAAAGTCCATAGAGCCGACCTTGGGCTTGCGGTAACGACTGGCATGGATGGCGGCCTGATTAACAAGGTTTTCCAGGTCGGCACCAGAGAAGCCAGGAGTACCACGGGCAATGACACCGATATCAATATCGGGGCTGAATTGGACGCCCTTCATGTGGTGTCGAAGAATGTCCATACGGCCACGGACGTCAGGAAGGCCGACGGTGACCTTGCGGTCGAATCGACCGGGTCGGGTCAACGCCTTGTCCAGGAGCTGTGGGTAGTTGGTAGCACCGAGAATGATAACACCGCTGGTCTGGGAAAACCCGTCGAGCTCCGTCAACAGCTGGTTAAGCGTTTGCTTCACATAGGCAGCATCGCGCTCGTTTCTCTTGGCACCAATCGCATCCAACTCATCAATAAAGATAATGGCGGGGGATTTCTCACGAGCTTGGTTGAAGAGTTCGCGGACGCGCTTAGCACCCACACCAACGTACACTTCGTCAAACTCGGAGCCAGACATGTAGAAGAACGGAACGCCAGCTTCTCCCGCAACTGCACGGGCAAGCAGGGTTTTACCAGTACCGGGAGGGCCAACCAGAAGAACGCCCTTGGGAAGCTTACCGCCCAGCGACGAGAAACGCTCAGGGTTGATGAGGAACTCGACCAACTCCTGAAGCTCATCCTTGGCCTCGTCACAGCCGTGAACGTCGCTGAAACGAGCTTTCTGCTGCTCAGGCTTGGCCTCGTTGTTTTGCGAACCCCGGATGTTCTTCAAAATACCAGTGCTCTCGATGAGGATCGTAACCACAACGAGGGACATATAAGCGAAGAAGCCGAAAATCAGAAGGAATTTAACCCAGCGGAAGATGACGCTACTCAGAGATTCGTCCACGACAACGTAGAGTGGGGCGTCCTTAGCACCTGTACCACTTTGTCTTGTTGCCATTCCAATTTGACCACCGCCGGTTTGCGCAGCAACTGCCTGGCCAACAGCCTGCAGCTGCTCCGACTTCAGTCCCTGGTTCTGGGCTCCAAAGGCAATGGCATCCGCACCACCCACGCGTTGCAGAGCTTGTGTGTAGATCGCTTCGGTCGTTGAGTTGCTGGCAAACTGAGCAGTCCGGTGTCTTTCCACGACAATGGCAGGCATGTTGGCCCGCAGAAGAGCCTGGTAAAAGGCATTCTGGGCATTGGCGCTATTCGGGTTGTTGTTCGCTGTCTTCTCCTTCTGTGCCAGTAGGTTCTGCGAAGATCCCCCAAACATAAACCGTTGTTGCATGAACTTCGGCAGGCCTTGAGGCTTCGGCGCGGAACGCAGCGAACTGAGGCGGAAAGGCGTTAAAGTAGAGTATGCACGTCTAGCCGGGACAGCGCTGGCACGAGTCGAGGCGAAGGTTGACAAAGGAGACAGGGCATTAGCTGATGAATAAACTATGTTAGATATGCACATTGGTTAGAAGGGGGATGATCTGCTTACATCCGCCCAAAAGCGTTGTTGCACGCGGCATGCGCCGATTGACCATATCAGCTCTCAGCGCCTCAACAGAAACGGAGTCCAAGCACCCCGGCAGAGGAACGCGCTGTTGTGTGGAGTCAGAACCATGACCTTTAACCGATTCAAGGATACTTACCACTTGATTCCCTTGAGGCGAGTTCCGGGACAAAGTATCGCGAGCAGCGGGCGTCGGAGTTCGTCCGGTCTGTTTCAGCGGAGCAGACAAGACAGAGGACATCGAAGGCCAGAGATCGGAAGACACAGCGGCAAGACTCTGAAGCAGAGTCGCGACCATTAGCGATGAGGTTTTGGCTGGAGACCAAGGACCCAGGATGGTATTACTCACCGGCCGGGGAATCGTCGCTTGGAAGGCCATAGTTGTCCGATTTGCGGCGGCACTCGGCCGCGTGAGAAGGGATTATCTGCTCTTCGGAGGTGAAGTTGAATCGTCAAAGAGGGAGGAAACAGGGAGATGTAGTCTTTAGGATGGGGTAAAGGCCATCACTGATTGAAAAGCGGGAGGCGAGGGGAAACGGTGACGAAGGACGGCTTTTGCTCCGCTGCTGCGGCGAATGTAAGTTGCCACTTGGGCCCGGACAGTCAGCCGTAGGTCACGTGGACAGCCATTCCAGGTTGGGTTGGCAGTAGAAGTGCTAACCAAGTTGGTTACACAAGTCGAGCTTTTTGGATGTTAGTTGGGTTTTCCTTAATGGGAGAGGTCTGGTGAGAATCGGGTTGAGGTTTCCACATAATATATGGTTATGATTGCCATGTGTTGACGATACTCAAAGTGTGTCCAAGGCGGTGATATACAATTTTTCGTGTAGAATACGGCCGGTGCTGTCGGCGGTCCACGGTTCGGGCTGAGGTCTGACCGAACAACTAACGTCGGAACATCAACCCATCACGATCGCCATGACTCTCCTCTACAGGCCAAGACACAATGCAAATCATCAAGAGAACCTGTGAAATGTAAGGATCTACTGAGCGACTCTATACTGTGACATCAAACTTCACCATTCGAATGCAACCCCCCCCCCTCCCTTCAAAAGAGATGAAAGAATGAATCGACAAACGGAAGCCGTCTAGTGCCAAGCAATTTGGTACTGTGCGCCTAAACAACTGAATCTGGCAAGGCATCAAGTATTGAAGAAGGCTTGCCTCTACTCGATTGATCATCATGTCCCTCAAGATGATCTTCTTGGTTGGTGCACCGATATCTAGCAGCTTGGACTGGGATGCAGACGAGCTGCTTAACACACCGTTACCACCATTCTATGATATCGAAAATCCCGACCATCATCGGCCATCTGTCGACCTCGAGCAATCCTCCGTAAAATGGAGAGTTCTGCAGCCTTGCTTAGAGGACGAACCGAACCACCAGCATGTCTTTTACCATGGCCTAAACGACCCAAACTTCCTGACGACACGCCAGTTAGGCGCCGCTGGAGATACATCAACTGAAGAAGATTCAATACTATCAATGTTCTACAGTCACTCATTCGCGATCCACGAAAATACCGATGTCAATGTCTCCATATCTGGACTGGAATATATAACGCAGGAGGGCGAGACAGTCCCAGACAGCATGAGAACATCAACCATTAGTTCATCTGGAGAAAGGGAATTAACCGAACCACAACCATCCTTGAGGATGAGCGGACCACTCAGTGACCTGCAGGACATTCCCACCGCCAGACATTTAGAGTCGATCGTTCCGCAAACCATGACAGTGAACTTGATTGTGGGGATCATTGCCATCTATCCACCCCGTCGCGTGGTGACACGGCAGTGGAAGACGGAATTTGATATTATTGAGATGGTGGTTGGAGATGAAACTAGGACTGGCTTCGGAATGAACTTCTGGCTTCCGTCCGAACAGTACACCACTGCCAAGACCAAGGAGAGCGATCGCCTCGGCCAAGCGCTGGCCACGCTTCGACCCCAGGATATTGTCTTACTCCGGACTGTAGCGTTGAGCTCATTCCAGGGCCGGGTCTACGGGCAGACTTTACGCGGAGGCATGACCCAGGTCGACCTCTTGCACCGCCGGCCGGAGGATGAAACGGATGCGGATGGATCCTACCAAGCAAGTTGCTTCCAAAACTTAGCCGCCGATCAGCCGCATCAGAAAGCCCGCCGAGTACGCGAATGGGTTCTGGCATTCGTGGGGGGTACGGATCAGGGAGGCGGTCATCTTTCGGGAATGTCATCGACACATGGCCACCATCGGTTGCCTCCGGACACGCAATGAAGGGGGAGGACGAGATCTCGGGGGGCCGCAGTTGGATCTGTCTCAGTCATATGAGCTTGGGTGGTGCGACGGAAGGAGTTCTATTTCCCACGAGACCGAAACCGACGACCGTAAGGTGCCACCCTCCCTAGCGGCGACATCGCCTGACCTGAAAGTACGGAGCATGTGCGGAACATGTACACCTGAGTCGACGACATACAACACGGCGGCGTCAAGGTTCGCGGGGAAGCCAACTCGGCGGTCCCGATCCAGTCAAAAGCGGCATTGGATGAATCGGCGCCGGGATGGGCTGGGCTGGACCCAGTGTGGCCCGTCCAGAGATGCGGCGGGAGGGGGATTGAGGGAGACCAAGAGGAGGGAGCCCACCCATCGAGCGTGGTTATAGCCGGGTATGAAAGCAGAGAAAGTATCAAGCATCAATTGATCAAATTCAACTTAAGTGATCCATCGCGAGAAGCGTACCCTCAGGTGCGGTAGAAAGTATGAGGTACCTGGCCACGACTTCGAGGCTCCACCACCCCCTTTTCGCTGCAAACGTGCCTCTCCCCAATCACCGCCACTCACGTGCCCCACCTGCCCCCCAAAAATAAATCCATCAACGGCCAGGTGTTCCCTAAATAATGCTATCTCCTCCCTGAGTCTCGACGGCTGATGCTCTCTGGACATCCTCCCATTATCTGATTGAATCCAAACAATTCAAGTGCTTCTTCTTCTACCCCACACATCATGAAGGGTATGCATACCCCTCACTGCTGCTTCCCCCCTCCCCGCTCACCACTGACCACCTTCCAGCTTTAATTCTTGTCGGAGGGTTCGGAACCCGTCTGCGTCCTCTGGTAAGCTCATGTCGATCCCTCAACTTCCATTGACCGACTCAATGGCTTCCTCGCCGGCGGACTGGTTGATGATCTCTCATCGGACTGATCTGGCTAACGCGTCACCCCCTCCGCACAGACTCTCACCCTCCCTAAACCCCTCGTCGAGTTCGGTAACCGACCTATGATCCTGCACCAAGTTGAGAGCTTGGCTGCTGCGGGTGTCACCGATATCGTTCTCGCTGTCAATTACCGCCCCGATGTCATGGTCGCTGCCCTTAAGAAGTACGAGGAGCAATACGGTGTCAACATTGAGTTCTCCGTCGAGTCGGAACCGCTGGGTACGGCTGGTCCGCTCAAGCTGGCAGAGAAGATCCTCGGAAAGGATGACTCGCCATTTTTCGTTCTCAACTCCGATGTCATCTGTGACTACCCCTTTAAGGAACTAGCCGACTTCCACAAGGCCCACGGCGACGAGGGCACCATTGTGGTGACCAAGGTTGACGAGCCCTCTAAGTACGGTGTCGTCGTCCACAAGCCCAACCACCCCTCCCGCATCGACCGTTTCGTTGAGAAGCCCGTTGAGTTCGTCGGAAACCGCATCAATGCCGGTATCTACATCCTGAACCCCAGTGTGCTCAACCGCATTGAGCTCCGCCCGACTTCGATTGAACAGGAGACTTTCCCCGCGATCTGCAAGGATGGCCAGCTCCACTCATTTGACCTCGAGAGCTTCTGGATGGATGTCGGCCAGCCTAAAGACTTCCTTACTGGTACCTGCCTGTACCTCAGCTCCCTGGCCAAGCGCAACCCCAAGCAGCTCGCCTCCAACTCCGAGCCCTACGTCCACGGCGGAAACGTCATGGTCGACCCGTCAGCCAAGATTGGCAACAACTGCCGCATTGGCCCTAATGTCGTGATTGGCCCTAATGTCGTGATCGGGGATGGCGTTCGTCTCCAGCGCTGTGTTGTGATGGAGAACAGCAAGGTCAAGGACCATGCTTGGATCAAGTCTACCATTGTGGGTTGGAACAGCTCCGTCGGTCGCTGGGCTCGTCTCGAGAACGTCACCGTTCTGGGAGACGATGTGACCATCGCCGATGAGGTATACGTCAACGGTGGCTCTATTCTGCCACACAAGAGTATCAAGCAGAATATTGATGGTACGTCGCTCAGGTCGCCCCCGTATTTATTCAATAAATACTAACAGATTGGTCACAGTTCCTGCGATTATCATGTAATCAACCCTTCACCTTCTCGCCTCTCCTCTCTCTTCTTTCACGTCGCCACGCAACATCACAACCTTTCTCTCTTGCCGATACCTTTCTTCCTCTCGTCTTGATGCATGAACCCGGAGTCGTTTTCTGCGTGATCTTCTCTTCTCTTGTCTCGAGCCACTTCGATCCTTGTTTTCCAGCATCTCGCCCGCGACAGTTCATCGTCCCCTGCTTTGCTCTCGCGAAAGTTATTAAATTCCCGTCTTTGACCAAGCCGCCGCGCCTCGAAGCCTAGATGGCAGACCACGCGGATCTTCGGCCGTTTGCAACCTCTTATCTTATTTTAGTCACCTTTTTTTATACTTGATCTGAAACACTAGTACATCCCCCACACCTTTGCGTTGATGTTAGAGCATTTTGCCTTTTGGTTTCTGCTGGTATACCAGCGCACACCGAGACCATACAATATCTGGATTAATGATATCATGGGCGCAGGGCGGTAATGTTGATGTAAATAATAAGGAGGCGGAAATCAAAAGATTCAATTCCAATTCAATTGGCTTCCGTAGAGATGCTGGGTGTCACCTATATTAAATTTTTTGTACACTTTTCTAAACAGGGTAGTAAATTACAAGTAGTAGTCTATCCGAACATTATGGTACATTAGTGTTGATTCCTCATGAGCATCCCATTGGATACTCTCCTGATCTTACCCTAGGGTACCCTAGGGTAAGATAGGGCCCCCTCTGTGGTATGCACACTGTCTCTGTCATCAGTTCTCATCAGCCGCCGACTGCTCAGCCTGGTCAAGAATTGCATCCCACTGAATTCTGAGCTCCTCCATCTGCTTCCAAGACTGGCGACCAAGCTCCTCGAAGTTCTCCTTTTGTTCCTGAGTCAAATCTGTCGCACCGCGCTTGCGACGTCGGTTCCGATCAGCGTCAACAACAGCCTTTCCCACAACGCCGCCAAATCCCCAGCCCTCAACTTCAGTACAGGCCGTGCTTCCCACTCCGCGCCGGGAAGCCGACGAACCCCATTTCACTCTTCCGCCGCCAGCCGCACGATAAGGCTCTTCCGCCGCCTCGAGTTCAGCCAGTGGCGACAGAGCAAGAAAAACTGGAGAGCAGGCGCCGAGATAGGTGGACAAAGTGTGCCAGGGAGAGCCGAGCATGCGCGCGATCCAAAAAGAAGCCACCATCGCCCAGGCAAGTGGGAGCGCCAGAGGAACGATGGAGGTCGCGCAGATACCAGGGTGAGAGACGTGCATGGAAGGCTTGTTCGAAGGCTTGTTGTCGTCAATTGCCTTGGGTTCGTTGTCTGAGTGCATGAAGCTATCTACGGCCCACGGCGCCGTACTGGGAAGGTTGGAGGTCAATGCCAGGACATCCGTGAGAGCCTTGGAGGATTCGTAAGGTGTAGCAGAGCGGAGGCCTTGGATATCGTTGATGTCAAACAGCTTGATAGTCGCCTCGATACTCGACACCCAAACAACTCGACCGGGTCCATTGGGAGTATAGGCTTGCTTCAGCAGCGGCACTACATTATGCGCAAGCATGTAGTGGCCAAAAACATTGGCACAGAAAACAGAGCCCAGTTGTGGCTCCTCTTGTCCCTTTGTCTGTTTCTCAGTCAACACACCAGTGGGTGCGAGCTTGAAGCAGGGCCAGGTCACTTCGTGGACGAGATCGGTGATGACGCCCCAAATGGCCTTGGGCCAGTCAATGCCGGACCAGCCACCAATTCCCGCATTCAGGATGATCGCATCGAGTTTCGGGACATTTTGTAGAAGTCTGCGGGAGAGGGCGCGCACGGAGATGAGGTCTCCCAGGTCGACGCTCTCGGAGACGAATTTCACACGCGCGGAGTCGGAAGGGGATGGGTTGGAGGATTGTAAGTGTTTTTCGAGCTGGCGGCGGGTATCTTGAGCTTTGCGGGCACTGCGAGTTGTGAAGATAATCGTAAGGCATTCGTCGGCAGGGCGCGAAAACAAGAATTCGTCTGCAATCCGACAACAGATCGAGAAGCCGAGCCCGCTGAGGAGGATCAATTAGCTGCGATGCGCGATTGGCCGGGGCAGGCCCTGGGGGTTCAAGCCAATTTTCATTCACATACCTGTTGGCACCAGTCACGAGAACGTAGAGATCCCGTTCCTCCTGAGGAGGCTCGTAGTCACCCATGGCGTGCCTTCTTGAGATTTGGGATCTTCAGGGATCGGGATTGCTATCACTTATGGTCGGGGAAAGCGGTCATGTGATGATAAACCAGGCACCAAAGAATATTTAACCTTGGGAAGTCAACACAAACGAACTGTCAGTGTTGAGACTCAGCTTCGTGGTCGTGGGTCTATAGGAAGAGATAATTGTGTTAGTAAGGAGTTGAATGACGCAGGAAAATTGTTGAGGCGAGGAAATCTGGTACGGAGAGAGTGTTGCTGTCTAGTGGCACGAGATAAAAGTATACAAATACATCACGTGACTGTCCATATGACGGCGATCGCGGCAATCATGGTCGCGGGTGCACCTCAGGACCGCAACTTCGAGGCCGCAGCTCCGCGGCCCTTCAACCTTGCCGCCAGATGCCGCGTGCCTCGTACGGTATGCGCGGGCCACAATGACCACCGCGGGACTCGAAAGATTCGTCCATTCGGCAGCATTTTTCTTCTTCGCCCTTATCCTCTTCTGCCTCATCCTCCTTAGCCCAGCCGATGCCATCTACCAATGTTACGAGACCAACCGACTCAAGAACATCTTCTTTATTACCGGAGCCTATGTGATTACGTTCCTCCTCGCAGTGCTCATCTACGCGACACGTATATACACCAATCGCAGCACCTTAGCAGGTATTCCGAAAGCTTGGATCCCCGTTGAGAAGGAAGATGTGAACAAGAGCGTGAGACACTTGGTGAAGGATGGACTCACCCGGAGCACCGTCCTTGCGTACCAGGCCCGTCCGCGCGATATATCAGAAGAGATGGGGAGCTTTCAGAACCACCAAGATCTTTTGATCGACCCGAAGAATCCGCCATGGGGTCATGTCGAGCACCCGGGCTGGTCATCGCCCGCCTCGCCAGACCTGCCCGATCTACCATACCGCACCGTCATCCCGGAACTTCCCAATCTCATTGAAGCGAAAGCCGTGTCGCTAGCTCCCGCCGACGAGCTAGCTCCCGTCGACCTGGATCCTTTCGACCCGACCGGCGAGCTTGCGACATCATCTCTTCCCGATACACGTGTGGTGGAAGTTCTACAACGGCCGGCCTCGATGGGTTTGCGGCAATACATTGGTCATCTCACGTCATTAGGAGTGATCAATCCCCCGGAGGTTGGCGCCGATTTTCTAGCACTTTATGAGCGCGCACGATTTTCCTCACATCAGTTGCACGACGCGGAATTCCGTGAGCTGATGCATCTATTTGCGGAGATACTACGAGGCATGACATCCCCCGCTCCACCGGCCGTGGAGGAAATCCGAGACAGCGCAAGCAACTACCGTCGCGCGGATACCGAGTCAGTCATTGGACCATCGGATGAGGAGGGCGAAACCGACACCGTGGATAACGATGGGTACAATGGAACATTTACACCGGTTCGAAGCAATAGTCTTCGGCCGTCTATTACATCTACATGGGACACCCAGTCAGGCTATGACACTGCCCCAGCCGCGCAGAGCCCCGACTCGGGAATGTCACCAGTCAGCAGCCCTTATGTCAACCAGGGTATGCTCCATACACCATCAACGCGATCCCTTCGGCGTGTACAGTCTGTACAGTCGGGCCAGTCAGGTAGTTCAGGAGGAAGTGTGATTCGGCTGGCCCAGCCCCAAAACCCGGGGGATCTGCCATATAGCATCAATTACGCAGGGCGTAGATAGGCCCACTTTCCCTCCACCACACCCCCCCCAACATCACCACAGTCCATTCAGACCATGTGTATTATTAGTTTAGAGAACAATATCACTCGATAACGACCCAATCGACCTCAGTGGGGGCTTAGTCATTCGGCAAGAATTGCGATGGTTCCGAGCTTGGCCTTGGCAGAAATGCAAAATGATTGATAAGATCACACTGCATTCCCGACGGTAACGCTTCATCCCATAGAATCGCAACGGCCCTTTTGGTCGCTTATCCTTCCTCCCGTCCGATCTGAACATATCCCAAAAGTACTGCAGAACCGCCGAGCCCTCTTCACCCACCGTCGCAATGCATCTGTTCCGCCGAGGCACCTCGTCCCTCTTCAGTTCCTCGAACGTTTCCCTAGCCTCGTCCAAGACCGACATCACAACCGACGCTGTCGGCGACAACGAAAATGCCAAGGAGGGATTCCAAACCATTTCGGCATCAGACAAACTCTTCAGGAAGCCTGACCCGGCCATTGATGGCGAAGACTGTCTCCACGACTGCGCAACTTGTACAGTGAAATACCCCGCAAAATTTGATGTGGACTTCCAGGATGAGCTGTACGGACAAGTAAATGGATGGGCTACACATATGCTCGTGGCTACGGGCAAGTCAGATTGGGTACGGGATGTTGCAGATGAGCAAGGAAGTGTCATGGAGGCGATCGAGAAGGGAGGAGTAGAGCCTAGCAATGGGGTAAGTCGTCTGCTCCCGGATATGATGAAGTCTTTGAACTAAACTTGTGTTTTTGGTCTAGAGGTTGAAACTGTCCGCTTCAAACATGCCGGTTCCAGATGAATACCACATGCATGAGCCAGGCAAACAGCCTACAGATGTGCTTCTGCTCCCCAGCTTTACAGTTGTGGAAAACGTCACACCGCAGCTGGCACCAGACTTGATTGAGCATTTCGTCAACCGCTCTCTGACCACCACAACACCACTCGGTGCTTCTTCCAGCCAAGAGTCACAGTCCTTGAAAGAAGACAAGAATGGTTATCATTCTTCCGAGCAGGAGCAGGAGCAAGAACAGCCTGCTGAGATACCACACCCAGCCAGCACATCCATCGCCTCAACTCCGCTCAAATCCCACCCTTGTCCCCATGCCGCTGTCATTCTGCTTTGCTCCCAGCGGACTCGCGATGCGCGTTGCGGCCAGTCAGCGCCCCTGCTGCGCAAGGAATTCGAGCGTCATCTGCGGCCGCTGGGGCTATACCGTGACATGGATGACAAGCGACCTGGAGGTGTGGGTGTCTATTTCATTAGCCATGTTGGCGGACACAAGTACTCAGCCAACGTGATCGTCTACCGAAGAAGAGACTTTGACTGGTACAAGAATGAGGAGACCCGCGCTGCGGATGAAGAAGAGGGTGCCTCGCAGGGTATCTGGCTGGCACGAGTGCGGCCGGAGGAGTGCGAGAACATTATTCGATACACCGTGTTGCAAGGCAAAGTTCTCAAACCAGAGACTCAGTTAAGGGCTGGATTCGATCGTCAGCGTGGGTTGACCAGTTGGTAACGATTTCCCAAATTGGGGCTTTCATGTTGGAATGCATAGATCTGAAAGGACACATACCCCTTGCCATATAGTTGTGTAGGATTCACCGTAGCATATTAAGGGATCCACCGGGTTCTTGTCTGGGGTTTGGCTTGCACGACTTTCTCCCTCCAACTCCATTCCCTCAAGCCACTTGCCACGTCGTGGAAACGGCATGGCGTACAGCAGTGGAACGGTGGCGCTTCCCAAGGTGCCTTTCTTCGAATGTTTTTCGTCGGTTGGCAAGCACATCTATTCCAGGCACCTTCTTAATCCCGAAAGCTACATCGTGGCGCACGATAATCTATCCTGGAGCACATCACTCCCGTCCAGAATCTCCTCTCTGGTCGTCAATTGGAAATATTAATGACAATTGACCAGGGGCGAGCATCGGAGACACGGCTTGAGAACTGCTTACTCTGTATAGTGTACAGAAGACGCCCGACAGGGCAACGCCTGAAAGCGATGGTGCCGTCCACCCTTGTAGCACTGCAACGGACCATTCCAATATTGACCAGGATCCCGAGATAAAAGTACGCCGACTGCACGGAGTAACCTGCAAAAATCCAGAGTGGGCATTGCAGCCCCACTATATCTACAAGCGCAACAACAAGCCTGCTTCCATTTAGATAGGGCAGTGGGCAGTCGACGTGGATGTGAAGTGAACCCCTGGCCCCACGTCCACATTCGCCACAAATAGAGAACATCCCACATATTCTAGTGTCAAGTGTGTCACGGCTAATGCTCGCAGGAACCCCAGAGAATGGCACCCCTCACTCACATCGCAGGGGGGAAACTGCGTGCAGCATACTTACCCGACTGCCGAGCCGCGCACTGCGGACACGGCGGACTTTTCTCCAGGGAACATCCCAACTTCGCGCGCGCCGTCTACGCCTGCGACGTCACGGTGCCTGTTCTCTTCCACTGCCTCGGAGACATCACCGTAAAGGAATCAGATGACTGACCCGGGACGTGAGAGTCGCCGCGCCAAGCGTATCAGCCCCAGCCAGGTTGGCCCGACGGGACGAGTGGGTGTTCCTTGGCTGTCGTGCTTGGCAATATTACTTTGGTGGTGGACATTGGATGGAATGATGCTGACATGGAGAGATAAACTCCCTACGAATGACAATATACCTGGAAGAAGGCGCAAGACACCCTTCTCCACTACATGGACTCGGCGCTCTGCTGGTTTATCGTCGCTGAGAATGCGACGCCGGAGAAGGAGACTGTTGCGGCAAACCCGGAGCTCATCGGCAAGGAGGTGAGCGTATCAGCGTGCAGGTGGCGCCCGAGGCGATAAGCCGTGAAAAGAAAATGGTCCAGTATGCTTTTGTTTGGAGTCACTGCGAATCCTTGAGGATGGGGGTTCTTGGTTGAGGATCACAATCTGGACGGGAAACGGGATGGTCTTGTCGGTTGTCTGCCTTTCTTGGCTGGACTAGCGTGCGTTGCATGATATGTGATATATTCGCTGCATGGCATGGGAGAGCTCCAGCTCCAGGTGCGCCGGAAGAAAAATGGTGGCTTGCGTGTTTTCAGCCCCAGAATTCCATCGGACCGGAGAGTCTCCGTATGACACTAGCAGTTTTATCCTCTTTTCTGGGGGTGACAGGGTGGCTGAAGGCTCCTGACCGACACTCTTGGGGCGACAGCGCGATCCCGTTTCATTAGAGCCAGTGGACAGGAGTAAACACCGAATGGAGAGACGACGCGCTGGATGAACAGGTGGACGATCGTCCAGCTGGACGTGTGATGAACCAGTGAGATACGAGGTGAAATGAATTGCGGCGGTTGTCGTTGGTCAGGGATGCCAACGGACACGGCGAGGAAATGAGAGAGCTCGTATGGGATTGTGACATGGACGGAGTCATCGTCCGCACACTGGAAAGCGTCGGGAATTACTGTACAGTACTATCGGGATTTAGGCTTTTGCTCATCTCGCCTGGAAGATGATACTTCATTCAGATGACATCTCTAGGGTTCCCCCTCTCTTTCCCCTCCCTTGCTCGCACCCATGAGACGAGATAGACTAGACGGAAACCAGACGCCCCTCCTCTACCAATGATCTCTTGGAGGCTCCCTTTTTCACATGGCGCGTGGAAGGGGTAAAGTTAAGCATTTGCGGGTAGACAGCGCACGGCCAGCCATCCATCCATGGGTGCTCCACCAGCCCGGAGGTAAACCAGTTTACTTAGAAGTATAGAGTGCCCGCTGGAAAATAATACTGGACCGGCCGCTTGACGATTTAACCAGTGATGCATTTCTGTAATTTTTTTTTTTTTCGCAGAAACCGGGCAGCCTGGCGCCAAGTAGGCATTGCATCATTTGCTCCGTCGCCCTCGCATTCCAAAATGCGGGGTAGCTCGCCCTATTAACGCCGCGGTGAGTCGTGAACCTTGAATGAGTATGCAACTCTCATCACAATCTGCCGACGCGTGATGTGGAATGCGAGGCGCCGGGAAAAAAAGGGGGTGTAGGGGGAGATCCAAAACAAAATAGAGCGCAAAACTGGGAACTGTAAAAAGTAAAGATACCTGGCAATATCCCTACCGCATCCTGGTACCGGATACTTTCTCCCTTCACACCCATTTGAAATGTGCGGGAATACAGTCAGATCTGAGGTCCGTCATAGATCCGATGACCTGGCTCGCGGTAATCGAGGAAGGCCTGAACTGGCAACCCGGTCGAACATGAAGTATCGAAGTATCGGTGCATTTTCACATTCATGGTCATCTATTCGAATTCTCTGCTGTATGTGGAAACGAATGTAAATGCGTATTACACGATTACATGATTTAGTTCAACAATGCGATACCATTGGCACAGGCGTATACTATGACATCGGGTATCCGTGGCTGTGTCTATTTTCAACGCTCCCTTGATAGTCCTTCCATACCCCTTCGCGAGCTCGGTCTTGGGCCCGCTAGATCCGCCACCATCAACGCCCCCTACCTGCCCGTAGTGATTTCGGTGGCAGCACCCGCGACACTCTCCGAGCACCCAAAGCAAAATCGAAGGAGTAAAAAAGCAAAAAAAAAAAAAAAAAAAAAAAAAAAAGCCGCCCCTTATTACTGTACACTGCGGGTGGACACTAAACTACGTCCATCGGTGGGCCGAATGATGGCGGTGCATTCGGGCTCCACAGTCGCGTGTTGCCTGTGGCCGGGGAGACTCTTTGGTTATTTGTTGGCTTGTGCTCACTGGGGCTGCAGGAAGCGCCACGCCGCTGGTTACGCCGGATTACGCCAATGGCTGACCTGGATGATGTCGATGGTTGCCCGTCGCGGACGGTCATTTGCAAGGCTGCGATGCTTCCAGCCCAACCAAGACCAGTGGGCGTCCACTTGGGTAGCCGAGGAAGGCGCCATTGGCCTTGAGTGGTGAGGGTAGATGAGCCTCCCTCCCACAGACGTCGCCATGAGGAAAATCAAAATGCACGATGCATAAGAAGCTCTCGAGAGGCGAGACACGGCTTGCTGATCTTGAACGCCCACGACGTTCTTGGGGCCAACCTGTTTTCCTCCGAGTTTTTCTTTGTGTTAAATTTTCGGGAATTGATTTGCTCAGATTTAGATTGCCGGGACCCTTGTGGCTGAACCCCCTTGGAAGGTGTTTTCCTCGCCAATAGGGTTGGGAGATCGAGAGGATCGCTGGTTTAAGATTACTCGGGTGGATCCCCACGTTCGGGAGCAGATACCACCGAGGTGCCTCTGCGTTGCTTTTTTGGTATTGACCTTTTTTGACTCTGACTTACCTCACCGTACAGGTACATGCTGCGCCGATGATTTTCGATGGGCATTCCTTTCCGGATCTGCCGATCGAATCTTGCGTTTGACGGGAGGCAAAAGACACGAAAACGGCTGGCGCCGCTCAACCGAGGCCAGCCGACATCTTGTGAAGAGAGGCGTTAGCACTTTGTCTGTCCTTTGACCTTCCCTTTCCATCATGTTTATCGCCACTGATGTAAAGCTGTTGGGGAAAAAAAGTCCCGTGCAGGAAATGGCTGCCTTACCTGCCGAATAACGCCTGAATTAATGTTAAGTTGGCGGCACCCAGAAAGAAAACTAAAACGCCCAACAAATGTTAAAATTGGCCCGCAGCTACTAGTAGCTAGACCCAACGCACCTTAGACCTTTCTCGACTAAGAGTCATGTAAACAGGATTCCAGGAAAAAGAACGAGAACGCCGAGAAAGCCCCACAGGAAATGCCGAGTTGGGGGTGCAGCGGCACAGCGGCAGAAGTGGGATGGACGGTGACCGCGGACGGTGACCGCAGACGGTCAAATCGGGGGCTGGCCCATGGGGATGGTTCTTTGTGTCGTGCTCTGCAAGACTCGCGAATCAGGGTCTTGTCCGCATCGACGAAGTCTATCAGAGACTAAACCGCTGGTCGTGGGCTAGTGCCGGACACTACAGCTCCCCGCTAGGTAGTAGGTACTGAGGAGACGAGTGTCGCACTATCTGCAACATCCCATCCAGCGTGCCAGGCCAGTTGCCATTGTTTGTCTCCCTAGATCCATTCTTCTCGGTGTCGAGTACATCTCGGTACCGCCGAACCAGACAATTAGAGTTCTCTCCTTGAGCAAACAAACGCGTACATGCTCAGGAATCGTACTGTCCTCGAGGAAGTGGAGTCCAGGTAAAGAAAGGGTTCCTCCCATAGTGAGGACTCCAAAGGTGACTGACTCGGGAACCTTTCGGGACCCCCACGGCGAGCTAGAACGGCGAAGCTAGAAAGCTTGGAGGGACGACACGACTCACGAGTATTATCGCAACCTTGGAAGAATCAGGCAGGTCTGTCGGGCTCACGATACACGGTCCAAGAAAGTCTCCCCCGCTGCAGACGCCGCGTCATGGGTCTCTTCATCCCTTGCGGTGCGTGTATTGCGATCTCTCGTAATCTTCCCGGATTCGAGGGGAATTGCGGGGACGGGACCCGGAACATTAACGGAGATAACTGCGCGAAGAGCATCAATACCTCAGGGTAACCTAGGGTCATCGGTCTGGATTCTGTTCGATTCGGTGCGAGGGCCAGTCGGCGCTAGTGACTAGCTGGTGTTTCTTTCTCGCTTCTCTCCTGGCGAGGGTGGTTTTTGCTTTTGGTTTTCTCCGCTGTCCTGCTCTCTGTTGCCAAGATCGTCGACTGGGGAAGGCCCATGGCAAGGTCGAGACTAGAGACCGTAAAACGGACTAGAGGTATACTCGAGTCCGGAGCAGCTCGGTCGCGGCTAGCTGGCTTGGCTGGTACAAGCTGTCCCGATCAGCCATCCGATTACCTCGGGCACCATACTTACTATGTATACCCTAGATACTGAGGATACTCACACTCTCCTGCGACAGGGCGCCATAGCTTAGAATCTCCTAGGAGGTACTCGTACTCTGTATAGTACGGTAAATAATGATCGAACACCCCGACTGGCTAGATTCCCGACTGTCAACCGTGACCAATGATCTCGTGGGCAGCTCGATTGCTTCCCCTCTCACTGCTCCTGAATCCTCCGGACAATCCGGGGGGCATCAAACATGGTAGATTTCTTATCCTTTTTTCCCTTGGGGAATGTTGACGACTAATAGTATCTGCATCTTTCATTCCCATCCATTTTTTTTTTTACCTTTTCTTCTTTTTACTTTTTATTTTATTATGGAGCGGCCCCGGTAGTCCAGTTCCAACGAGATTGCGAATTAGGGGGCGCAGTTTCAGAGCGACCTAAGGTAACTAACTCTATTCTCTGCTCCTTGGTACTCTTACAATATTAGGAATATTACCTAGGGATTCGTAGTTGGTCATACCCACCTCGTATCCCCACGCACCCACCGTCGAGTGCCATACGCCATACGGCTTGTGGGTCGGACCTGAATGCTGGGTCGCGCTGCCACAGCGCTTTCCTTTCTCTTTGTTTTCTGCTCCCTCGCCAGCCCTCGCCCTCCTCATGAACCGACAGCACGGCATCGCAATTCCAACGCCCCGGTCGACAACCCAACTCGTTGTTTAGCTAAAAATACCCCGTATGACACAATCCCGACGCGGTCCCCCCTTTTACCATGACAGGCGGTGCCCTGTGTAATCTTCCCGTACGGTGGAGCCTCGATACCGACTTCTCGCGGGGGGTACCGAGGGTACCTCAGGCTGGGTCTGGTACATACGGTAACTTCAATACTCAGGTACAGTAATGTAAGAAGGTAGATACTAATGTGCGCACATAGGTGCTGATGAACTGGAGTACCCGGTACACCACTAAAATTAAAATGGCAAAAAAAAAAAAAAAAAAAATTTGTTTTATTAATGCGAGAAAAATAAATCCCCAAATTGTCCACCCAAAATAGTCCCAACTCGCCCTTTACGGTCCTGTCCGCGCCGTTATTTCCCTTCCCAGATCTCCCAAGTACGAAAGGTATGACTTAGAATGTCCCCCAAGTTGCCCCCCCTCTTTTTATCGTCTATCATCATCCTTCCCCCCCCCCCCTCCTCTCCTCCTCTCTTTCCCTTCTGCTTTTCCACTTTATATTAAACCTCTAGTATGCCCCAGGCTCGCTGCAGCATCCCGGCTACCACTCATCCAGCCTGACCCAAGGACCATCCCGGGCTCCCTTTTAATCATTTGCCGCATGCGCTGACCTCCCCCCCCTCCCTCCTCCTCTCCCCCCTTCTGTTTTCCTTCTTATCTCCACGTCGTCGCTTGGATCCCGCGACCCGCTTCCCCCGCAACCAGTCGTCTGGAGCAAAGTCGCTCGGAGCAGCTCGCAGTCATGGCTTCTCGCAGTGGGCGCGATTTCAACTGCTCCTGGGAGAATTGTGGCAAGGTATGTCTCCGCGATTTTTCGTGTCTCTGCCTCCAGTCGGATTTAGCCCCCTCCTAACCCGACCTGCGTCCACCCTCCAGTCTTTCAATCGCAAGTCAGATCTCTGTCGCCATTATCGCATACACACCAATGAGCGCCCGTACCACTGTAATGTGGAGAATTGCAACAAGAGCTTCATCCAGCGCAGCGCCTTGACCGTGCATTCGCGAACCCATACCGGCGAGAAACCACACGTCTGCGATCACGATGGCTGCCAGAAAGCGTTCTCCGACGTAAGCTCGCCTCCCTCGATCCCCAGTTTCGAGTGGACGTGCTCACTAATTTCTTGCAGTCTTCCAGTTTGGCTCGTCATCGTCGAATCCATACTGGGAAACGGCCCTATATCTGTCAAGAGCCGACGTGCGAACGAAGGTGGGCGCGGTCTCCCCTTCTTCCTCTAAACACACACTTACGTGTCGCGACGAACAGTTTCTGTCGCAAAACCACTCTCACCAAGCACCAACATCGTTCGCATCCTCCAGGATCCTTAACTCGGCCCTCCTCGGAAGATGCGACCTCCGAACACTCGTACCAGCACCATACCCCAGTGTCGGTCTCCATCCCCAACGGCAACGACGGCTATCTTCTCGCGCAGCAACCGTATTACCCCAATTCAGCGACGCCAAATCATGATTTCTACTCGCCGCAGAGTGTCCAGATGACCACGGTGCCAGTCCACGAAACGGCGCCCCCGATCGTCACGCAGAATGTGCCCGTCACCTCCTCCATGAATATGCCGCATGCTCCACAGCACCCGTCGCAACACCCGCAGGCGCACCCGCAGCAACAGCAGCAACAACAACAGCAACAGCAACAGTACATGCATATGATGCAGCAGCGCTACGATCCCAACCCGCCGCGAACGACCTACTTGCCACCCGAGTATCATCAGCCGCCGTTCCCAGGCCATCAGTTACCGGATGGGCAGCCGATGATGGTGGGATACCATCCTAATTTCCATCAGTACAAAGCCCCTACTCGGATCTTGAATCAACCGGAGGGGACTGACTGGGGTTTTCTGGGAGTAGGCTAAGAGGAGACCGCGCATAGAGGTGTGCACACACGTGTGGGGGATTATGGTGCGATTGATGCCCGTCACGACTTTTCTTTTCGATTCCGATTCCAATTCCCGATTCCCGATTCTCGATTTCCGATTCCCGATTCAGATTCCCAGTTTCACTACGTCCGTGTTCGTGTTCAAGGTTCTTCTTGCGTTTTCAAAGACCTCCGGAGGGACACCTAGCATCTCTTGACCTGACTTGACTTTATTATGAGTCTGTATTTCTGCCAGCGTTCGGCCTGGCCTCGGCTTCCGCTTCCGCTTCCGCTTCCGCTTCCTGAGCGCTCTTCTGGATTCCCCCCGACCATTTTGGGATGTTTTCGATGGTTCCCCATGCCTCATTTAAAACGAGAGGGAAGGCGTTCGGTTTTCTTACATTCATGACTTTCAAATTTCCCATTTTCTATTACCTTTTTTTCTCTTTTTTCTCCTTCTGCACCGGTTCTACTCCTTGATACCTGGCATGAGATGTGTTACTCGTTTTTACTTTATGATCTAGTAGTTAGTACCTGGGGCCCTTTCATTGCCCTCCTCGGAGTCGAGGAAGAATCTTCACGAGTGACTTTCGCATAAGAATGCAACAATTTCCCTCTCACTGGTATACTTCCCGACGTGGCGTCGGCCAATAATCGCGATTCGGCTGATGGGACGTCTCCCCACGCGTCCTGTCATTATCATTAGATAATCCCAGAGAAGTTACGGTAGTTGCCCACTCAGTCAGTGACATTACATAGATAACTACAGCAGTCGACTCTCATTTTTCCAGAAGGATCTCGGAATGACCTACTCCATACCTCACGCCTGTCGTGTATGTCCAAGCAACCCAGTACTACTACAATGTACAACTAGAGTGGCGGCTTCCCTCTAGCTGGAGCGGCCGCTAATTGCACGCCTCGCTGACAAACTTCCAACATGGCATGTATGCACCGCCCAGATTGGCGTACAATCCGAGTCATGCATGGCGTGCATGACTCGTGGCTTTTGCGGTGGGCCCATTGGGGGGCCCTTTTGGCCACGGCCAAGCTGCCAAGGTTTCGTCCTGGAGGGTTGGATTTGAGGTTTTCACATCCAGGTTGGCTCGCCTGCTGTACCTAGACCTAGGGTAATGGATGGCAGGAGATGTTTATTATTTATTACGTTGGGCTGTGAGTCACCTTGTATACTCCCGTAGACTACCACCAGGTAGGTACTCAGCATTGGTAAGTAGGGTAGTAAGTGGTAAACTCCCGAGCGAACCGGCGGTTCGGGTCGACTACAATGAACGAACAAAAGGAGTCGAACCCAAATAGCAACGGGTCGTATTCGATTCAGTTTTCTCGAATCCGCCGTAATTTTTTTTTTTTTTTTCTTTTTTCTCTGTTTCTGCGTGCATATGATCCAGCCCAGGTGAAACGGATAAAAATTTTACATGCTCTTCCGACTGGATCGCCACTGGCATATGCACGCGTGGATAGCCAGATCGACACTACATGCGACATGGCGCTTCGTAGAATCGATTGTGGCAATACCATCACGCTTTACTTGGGTGTCTATTCTCAAGCAATGCACAGTACCCTCTCGAGGTCAGGCTAAAGTACTCGCCCTGGTGAGACATGGCGCCGAAATGCAGGTGCTCGTACAGTAGCGTTGACATTCCAGACAAGGTGGTGAAGGTCGGAGTCCGCGGATGACCGGGGTGGAGGAACAAAGGGAACAGCGAAACCTCGGAAGAGGACAAAAGGTGCGACGTCCTGTGAGAGGATGAAAAGATGCAGGGCGAGAGATAGCCGACGCCGAAGAAAGGGGCGAACTCGTACGAAGTTCAACGCTTTCTTCTGATGATACTTGCCAGTGATTGGCTCACGAGTCTGCAGGTCTGTCACCGCTTAATCGATCACTCACTATAGTAGAAAGGTTCGGGGGTTGGTTGGTTAAAGTCTGTCGGCGGCGCCTTCAGAACCGGTTTTGTGTGAACACTATGGCTGTGCTGCGCTGGGTATGATTATGCCTGCAGCTATGCACTGCACCAGCTTACTACTGTGACCCTGTGGTGGAGGTACCTGACGTAGTGATGGACGCAGGGAAGTAATCCCTTCCCTGTCTTACTTCATGATGGCCTGCTGATTGGACTGGTTTTAGTTTTAATTTTCCGCTCGCTTGCAAAGACATTCGCTGTCTTAGTATACCTCGGTATACTAGTACTAGTATAGTATCCAAGGTAGGTATTAACTCCGGTGGTGCAAGATGCGATAGTGGTGATAGCATGTTCATAGTTGCCTACGGCGAATCACCGGGTCTCCTGGGTCATGACCCATCCTGCCTTACCGTAAGGTAGGGTGCAGCAGAGAACAACTAGGTAGCCAAATGCGGAGTCTCCGGACCCTGCGGGCCGACCTCAACCGCCAGCCCACTCAGTTGCACCTCAGGGTATGGTAGAGGTCGATCGGACAGGGGTTGCTGCGCGGATACACGGCTCGAGCTTAGCCCGAAATGGTCATCGCTCAGTACTGCACTCCGTATGGAGTGGGTAGACTAGTTGGGGGCCGGGGCCCGTCGGATGACACGGCTCATCTTGGTTCTGGTGCTCGCGCTGGTGCCTGTGGCGGGCTAGGCGAACCTTGGGAGATCGAAGCGCCTACGCAAATGGCAAATGGCTTCAAGTTCGGGCATTTGTCTGAGTTGAGTTGAGGCTGAAAAGGGTTGTGCGTTGGTTCTCCACTGTCGCGGTTACGGGAGGCCTGAGCTGACGGCGATGGTGAGGACGTTGTTCGCAGATCATCCAGCTGATAATTAGCGGAGGTGGGAAATGAGGAAATGAGTATAGAGAAGGGTGGGGGCCATGGAATAATTTCAAATAATGCGTACTTTCGACGGGTGCGACTCAATCGTCAGGAGACATGGGTTGCAATGAGGACAGGGGTTGCTGTGCCTGCCAACCCGCGGATGCAGGGCACTTCCTTCACTCACTCTCACTCACTCACTCACCTACCTCGAAGTGAATGTGAAAGTCCGATCGGAGCAAGATCACGTCAAACTGGGACGCCCAATCCGCGCGCTTGCTCACATCCCCAGTCGGTCTCGCCCTAGACCGATCGGTCTGGAGATGAGAGCTTGGCGATGCGACGCGTTGACGAGGCGTTGCGCGGTCGCGATGCGATCAACACTTTTTGACTTTTGACTATCATTTACTGCCAGTGTTTACACAGTACATACTACTGCGGAGTACTTTAGTGGGGCATCCTACCTACCAGAGTATGGCCCTACACTACCTGAGAGTATGATATCAGACATCAAATCCGAGGGGAATCGACAGTGAATCCATCGATCAGCGTCTGCACGCGAGCCACTATTCCATAGTTGGTTTCCCTACCCCTGGTGATGATTCGTACCTGAGGATATCCTCGAATTCAAAATGCAGAGCCGATAGGCGAGACCAGGATCGCATATTCATTTCATCTTCATTAACGACCACTGGGAGACGAGCATAGTCCGTGACCAGTGGATAAGTAAGTGTCCGTTTCACCTCGCCAGCAATCGCCCTAGTACCGAAGGATGCTAGTGTTGGGAGTCGACGGGATACATCCCACAATCCATTATTTCTACTATTTTGCGGTCCCTCCCGTTCGATCCACTGTCGAACATCCTCTTGGGTTGGCATCCACCATCACCGTGTCTGGTAAATTGCAACCGTCAACCTCGAATACAACTTTCCATTAGGGATTACGACCGATGCGAGAGCTCACCGGCTGTCTGGGAACGGGTAATCTACACCACTAGCAGTATAGCATTATAACAGCAGTACTGTATGGACGAGGATCGACTATCGTACAGTAGCTTGAGCTCGAGCTCAGACTGAGCTACTGCACCTGTGAGGCACTAATGCTAACAATACCTGAAACAAGGAAAAAGCACCAGGCAGAGACGCCAACGCTGACCGACGCCATGGGATCACCGTTCTGCACCTCGATGTATCCACGGTCATTTCTACAGTTGGTGTCTAATTGTACTCGCATTATTCTTCCTACCAATATCTACACACCACTGGTAGTACTGGTAGTACACATACCGCTGGAACATGGCTACTCCACCCTTACTACGAGATACTAGATCCAGGCAAATCATCGCGTGCTCCACTGGTACAGAGTCGAATCGATCTCGGGCGATCGAAACCTGGCGTCCATCTGGATCGGATTGGCTGCCCTTCGTGGCCAAGCGCCCGGCGAATCGAGTTCCAATCAGCGCGCCCGACCGCCTGGATCGTCTGGAGAGTGGATCAATGTTTCGACTTGTTGGTATATGAAGTGGAGGAGTGGAGGGCAAGGGAGTATCCGTCGGCGCGTTAGTGCTCTTTTCGTCTCTGCACATGATCTGTTGAGATGAACAGAAATGAAAAGGATCAACTCGGAATGAAAGTGTTGCGATCGGCGAGCCTTGCTCATTTCGACTAAGAGACTAGACTAGACCTCGTAGCGTCGCGATTCGGTTTTCTAGCTGCAGCCCGAATCCCTTGGCCAAGGACAATTACCAAAAGGTGCCTCGATCCAGACTCTAGCCCGACGCGTCCAAGCGAGAAAGCGATCTGCGGTGACGGTCTGCCTAGGACATCCCTATGGTCTACACTAAACTAGTTGTAGTGTAGACAGGCCTCTAGTTGGCGTTTCGCACTTTATTCCCGGTCGGTGTGAATGGCTGCACCGCCAACAGGGGGGTTCCCTGGCCCATGACGTATTGCTGGGCCTCCAGTCTTTTCGCGGACTAGTCAGGAGGATTTCTGTCGGCCATTCTCTCTCTCTCTCTCTCTACGACCCTTGCGAGTCTAGGCGCTCGTCTGTTGGCGCGCTGCGGGGCCGTGGGGACGAGGCTGTGGGTTCTCCCGGACAATCGAGTATAACCATCCATTGTCGTATTCAGTATCCAGTACTCGCTGAGATACGTCTGTCGGGTTTTGAGATCAATGAGGAAAGGTGGAACTCTGCACAGGGTGAAGTTCTGGAAGTCCTGTCACACGACCGGTTGAATATCTTTCCAAAGGATGGTACCGATATGCAGCACGCATGGCGCTAGCCCGGACGGTCATGATCAGAAAAAGCGCAACTAGGTATTAACTCGGGCATGCGTTGAACCTCGAAACACCGTGGTTGGATGATGCATCACGCAAGGGGTACATTCACCAGTGCCATGAGTAAGTAAAACACTGGGTAAACGAGGCCGGGGTAGCTCCCGCTCCTCCAATCCGAAGCTGCGGATTTGAAGGAGCTTGGGCCGCGGACGTTGACGGCGCTGGCCAGCCGGTGGTGGGTGCTCGATTTACCGGAGATGGGTTTTGGGGGCATACACGTAGTGGGGATGGACGAGGGTATTGGAAATACCGACGGGGCTCCCGCTAGGCGCAGACGGGCATCCTGGTTGCTGGAATGATGGGGCCTTCGAAACATGTATGGGTATTTACGTACCGCGCATACGTATTGACACTTGGTCTCTGAACCCACTGCTCGGCTGTCGTCTCGAAATCCGAATAATCGCGCATTCACCAAGGTCGGCTTTGCTGGCTCTTAAGTGTTGTAGGGTTCATATGTTGCTATGATAGTATGATAGTATTTGGTAGAATGTAGAATGAACAAAACACTAAAAATGCCAAAAAAAAAGGAAAAGAAAAGGATATTGAAATAAATCAGTGTAACACAATGCTGAACAACTGACACCTCTTCACGACGATCCGACGCGTATTTGCTGTTCCAGGCTAGCCCGATCGCGGAGGGCGAGCAAAAACAAGCTTTGATGGGGCCGGGGGGGGGAACTACTGGGCGTGTCGCAGTGAAGCGATCGATTACTCTCCCTACCCTGAACTGAATCGCGTTGCAAAACCAAATATTGCTGTCGTGTGTAGGGTCTGCTCAAAAGACCACGACTGGGCACGAGCGATCGACATTAGAGCCGAGCCGGCTTGCAGTCTTCGAGCTGGGCAGTCCCAGATATACCCAGGTACTACCCACCTGGGCAGGAAGGGACGGGGTTGCGTTGTGTCGCGGCTCAGGCCGAACCCAAACTGTCTCGGCAACTCTATAATAATATTGTTCCTAGGGTGAATTGAATCAATGCGTTTCAGAATAATTAGATGTCTCAAGGCGGTCATTGGACAGTTCAGATTTATCCAGAGTGAAAAAGCACTGCCGGTGGTAGCACTGGCAATCTTCAATCATATCGGAAAATGGCGGCCGGGCACCTCGTGTGGTAATTCCTCCGTCCTCGCTGGACGCGAATGCTGTGTCACCGGGGCTGCTGGATCGCTAGACTCCACTTGGCAAGATGCGAACCAGACCAGACTAGGATCAACCGGTCCTGAACGCGGTGCTGAAATAGTTCATCGATCATCCGCGTAGCGCGATGATCACGGCTGGGTGTCCGCCGTCTGGGGTGCTAGTGCAAGGCAGCGCGTACATGTAAGTAAAAAAGGCGAAGAGCTAAGAGCTAGCAGAGCTAGAAGCTTGGTGCCAAGAGACCATGCCCCAGCAGAGACATGGCAGAGAGACTCGGGCATGCCCAGAACCATTCTGTCAAGTGGGGGCCCACGCTGTCAGATCGAACTCTCGTCGGCAAAATGAGATTTAGTTGGGGCTCCCAGCTGGTTCGTGCCTGTCCTGTTCCTACATTGCTAGTGTAGCAACTGCCTACCTGGGAATAGAGCCCTTGTTCGTCGGCTAGGTTGTAGTGACCGCTCCCCAGATACGAGCGGACCAATTGGAGGGTGCGGTTTCGATACCCTAGCAGAAAGACCTAAACTGCTTCGAGTAAATCTAGACGAATTGCGGCCTCTGCTGCCTACCATTGGTTCCACTCGGTCTCGCTGCTTGCGCTCTTCTGAGTTAGCTGCAAATCATCCGCGCGGTCTGAGTGGCTCCGGGGTCTTGTTTCCTGTCATTTTCATACCGTGTATGGTATTCCTGTATGTTACCGAGTACGTCTTCCATGTACTTGTATTGTCCAGTAAGTCACCCCTCGTACTCGTATAGAGAGTACCACCCAGTAGCCCTTTCCCTGAATCGAGAAGAGGCGAAATAATCCAGGCGAGTATGTTCGAGTAGCGAATTGCGTCGGGTGGTGAAACCAACTGCAACTCTACAATGGACGGTGGTTGTGTAAGAAGTTTATCGAAGACGAATACTCTGATGTACATCTATAGTAGTGCAGGGCCGACAAGACCGGTCACCTGCATGTGTGGGACCTGTACTCTCATTGGAATTCGCTGATCAAGACAACATTCTGTGGAAGGTACCGATAAATAATCGAACTGCTTGAGCAACGTCAATGAGGACTGTACCTGAGCGGAGTGCCCTACGTACTGCCTATCGACAACAGTACAATAGCATAGATAAGTGCAGGTACCTTGCTGCCTGGGGATATTTCCTTAGCATTCCAATCTACTACAATATCCATTTACAACAGCATCGCCAAGTATACTGCCAGTACTGTCTACGAAATGCTCTACATCTGGACTGAAATGAAACTCATCGATTATGCTGCGAGTGCTCAATCGCTGGTCAGCTGTTTCACGAGACATTCAATCATAGCTTGCGATTAGCTCATAAAACTCATTGTAAAATCACATCCGACGGGGCATTGAATCACTCGAACAATCTAATCATCGGAAATGGCAACCTCATCCTCCCACTGCTTCTTCACACCCATCTCTCGAGCCCGCTTAATCACCCGTTCGATACCGTCCAGACCCATCTTCAGCACATCCATCTTGGGTCCGTAGCTGAGACGCACAAAGTGATGGCAAGGACTATCAAACAGATCACGACGCTTGGCCGGGTTCAAATCGAAGAAAATACCAGGCACCACAATGACCTTCTCTGTCAACAGCGCATTGAAGAAGTTCAGTCCATCAGAGATGTTCGCCTCCTTGGGCAGCGGCGGGTCGAGAGAGGTCAGGTCAAGCCAGACGTAAAAAGTCGCCTGCGGCACGTCCTGGACCCGGAATCCAATCTCATGTAGTCGGCCTAGGACATAGTCGCGCTTCTCCCGGAAGTGCACCTGTAGCGCCTTCATCTCCTCGCGCACCAGCGACGGCTCCAGCATCGGGATCGCCGCCTCCTGGAAGGGCACATTGGCGCCGCCGTCCAGGTACGAACCGGCTGAGCCCAGCGCATCGACGAACTCCCGCGGTCCCACGACCCACGCGATACGCCAGCCGGGGAGACGGAAGCGCTTGGTCAGACCATCGATGAGCAGCACGTCATCCTGGTTAACGTCGACGACGTGCTCGGCGCCACTAATGGTGCTGCCGTCGCAGTCGGTGGTGTAGTTGTAGCCGCCGTAGAACTCGTCCAGGATCAGCGTCGCGCGGTCCCGGCAGATATCCTGGATCTCGGCGAGCTCTTCGTGCGACACGAAGTGGCCGGTCGGGTTGCGGGGGTTCGAGGTGAGCAGCACCTGGGTGCCACGGGCGATTTCCTCGGCGATCTTGTTGGGGTGGATGTGATAGTGGTCGTCTTGGGAGAGCGGGATGGGGATGGGGGCGATCTGTCGTTCAGTTAGTATATGCGCGATTGCTTTATTGGAAGGACATTCACGTACGTTCTTGAACAGGGAGAGCATCTCCGAGTACGCAGAGTAATCGGGGATGGGGAACGAGAGGTACGAATTACCCAGGATGGCCGCAATCCGGATCAAACCCGCACGGCCTCCGGGCACAATGCACACATTCTCCCAGGTGTACTGGCTGGCTTTGCCCTGTCGATAGTGCTCATTGTACAGACGTGCGACGGCCGCGCGCAACGGCTTGATACCGGCGGTCGGGCCGTACTCCCGGGAGGCGGAGGTGATGGGGATCGACGTTGGGCGGGGGAAGCTCCCCTCAATCTCGTCGTCGGCTTCGGGGGCGCCCTGGCCTAGGTTGGCCCAGCCCGTGGGGTCTTCAGCGTAGCCATGCTCGCTGGCACGCTCGGTGCACCAGACGACACCGGTGGAGGCCCGCGAGGCGTCGAGGCCGGCGTGCGGACGGTGGCCCTCGTGGGCGGTTCGGAACTGACGATGAGTCTCGGACCGTTCCTCTGGAAGATCGGGCCGATTAGTCCGCAGTCACAGGAGAGGAGGGGGAGCAAAGACATACCGTTCTCGGAGAGTCCCTTGCTGAGGGAAGCCCGTCGGTCGTTGGAGGGGCGGAGAATACTGAGGCGGCGGCCGGAGAATGACATGCTTGGCTGCGTGGGACTGGGTCGTTGGATGCAAGCCTCAATTCACTATCACTATCGCGGAAGGGTTGGCAATGTAGTAGCCAAGTAGAACAGTCGTAGGCTGGTTCCAGGGGAACTATGTAGATGCAAAGAAAAAGAGGGGGTGAGGAAGTGTTTTCCACCGGGTGCTGGGTTGACCGCAAAACCCACTATAAAAAGACCGCTGAGGTGGCTCTGTTCCTTCTGGCGGGCAGCGATTCGACGAAATCACCGAACTGCTCGACCCCAATTATTCAACTGAGGCTGGTCGGGCACGTCCTCAGCTTCCGAGCGTCCAAACTCCCCCTCCTATTTTTGCCCTACAAAATGCCGCAATCGCCGTTGCAGGGACCTGGCGATGGCTCGCTCGTTGCGTTATTTTCTACGTTTTCGCAGGTGGTTCGTAGGGAGGCGATCTGGCCTCGTTCTGAGTGTTCGTCTTCCAACCGAACAGTATCGGGTGGAGGCTCGGGGACCTCCCGCAAGTGATCGAGAAGCTTGATCAGCTCAGAGTTTCAGGTACGGTCCTTGTCGAGGTACCACGAGGCCCATCTATACTTCAGTGCCAAGCTTCGTGAAAGGCCGAGCTTTCCGAGCAGACGGCATCCCGATCGGCGCCAATGACGCGACCTTGATACGCGACGGGCTCCGCAAAACACAACATTCTACGGTTCTAGAGTATGGATTTGTGTACGACTAGAGAGAGAGGATGGGTATGTAGATCAAAACAAATAGTGTCAGATTTCCAAAGCGCCAGGACTATGCCTGCATGCAGGCGGCCACAAAGTACAGGATCCAAACAAGTATGCATACATCATGTAAGGTGCTTCATACGTTCGTGGATATTCGAACAACGTTGATCAATATAGCAGTCATCATGCGCTCCCGCCACGGAGTCCAGGCTTCCGACGGAACGGGACGTAAAAGGGGATGAGAGGGTGGAAAGGGGAGGGACGGGGTAGGTAGAGGGGGAAAACATGGGAAAGGGAGCTTGCCAGGAGTCGGAGTCTCTCCACACTGCCACTCCCCTTCGTTAAATGCCGCAATTAACTCATTATATGCAGAAGCCCTTGCCAAAGACACCATAGCTTAACCGCATGAAAGCCACAAAGATGTGACTGGTGGAAAGGCGGGTGGAGATGAGGAATGGGGACAGGGATGGCAAGATCTCTCCTCCAAGCGTGGCTGTTCAACAGACCCAAGCCAATCCAGTTGGGAAATAGAGGAGAAAGAGAAACAAGCGCCATAGCGATGCTAAAGACTTCCAAGACGGGTGGACCATTGTTAGGGGGAGGACAAAAAAGAATCAATGAGAGAGAAATCACAGGTCACGAGAGGACGAAAAAATCTTGACCGGATCTAATCGACCACTTGGCAATACAGCTGGATTTCACCCACCATGCCCTTGGCAAGTATGTCCCGGTGCTGCTCCCGCCATTCCATAAAGGCCAGTTGAACCGCCTCGTCACTGTCAATGGTCACAAAGTCGCCATCCTCGTCGCGGTACCGCAGTCGGACCGTCTTATTGCCAATCGATCGGTTCGTGAAACGGGCCAGCTTGGCATCCACACGATCCGTCAGCGAACGGAACAAAATATTGGTCGCAATCACCAGCGTGACGTAGTTGTCGTCAAAGTTCACCTTAGCCTTGAGCTGCGTCGGCATGAATGGGTCCCCATCAGGCTCTTGGGTCAAGGGAGACGTAGCTTGTTCGGAGACCTGCCCCGAAGTACGAGCTTCGTTGTATTCTGGCTCGGTGAATTGTGTGGTATGGATGTTAGGTTGCGACCGAATCGGAAGCTGACTGTTGGTGGGAGAGTTGTTCTGGCTGCGGTTGACGGGGGCCTTCATATTGGCCATATGTGCCGGAATGGGTGGCACTGGCACATTGTCAACAGTCTGCATGGTATGAACTCCCATGTAGCGACGGGATTCGGGAGGAGCATTGTTATGATGGTGGATGTCAGGACTACTGGCCGAGCGCAGGCGCTGAGCAGTTCCCGTGGGCGGCGGTTGGCCCTGGGGTCCAGACAGTGGAGGCAGCGATGGGCGTTGAGCACCCCGTCCATTTGGTTGAGATGGGGGGGAAAGTATCCAGTCGGGGTCGTACCGTCTCTTGAGGTACCCCGGGACAAGGCTGGTGCAGTGTAACGGTTCGACTCCTCATTCCAAACAGTCGATGCACTGGTCGAGTTGGTGTTTTGGCGTCCAAACGAGAACCCGGATTGGGAACTGGAGCGTGTCGACGGAGTTTCCGTAGGGGAGAAGTATGAGTTCGCGTTCCGCTCACTGGGGGACATATTGCCGGGGAATTGGGTATGCACAGAGAGCGCCGGATCATTCGTTCCGTAGCGTGGTCGGCCATTAGAATGAGGCACGGAGTTCGAACTGCCTCCGGTGGCAGAGCGAGTTCGCAAACTGGTGCTTGAGGCATTGCGACTCATGGTGAATTCGGAGTAGTATGGGTCCTTGTGGGCGTCATCCGCATCGTACTCTTGCTGGTACGGGTTGGGCATGTGGGCCATGCCCTCCATGTACGTGAATTCGCTGTCAGATGTGCCGGTGTGTCTAAGGGTACGTCGCTCCGATTGAATAGCTCGCTGCGTGTCGATATCCTTGTACCAGTTGCGCATCGTGTCTTCGTTCGAATAACGGATGATGAAGTTGTCAACAACGCCCGGGTCGCCCTTCCAGAAAATTTGAATGCGATAGAGGCCTAGTTTCATTGGACCTTGCGTTAGAACCTACAGTCTTAAAACTGGACATGCGTGGTACATACCGGGCTTCTGGAGACAGACGATATCCGTCACATTGGCCATGTAGATCCGGCCCTTCAACTGAAGGCGAGGCTTACCCTTCGCCAAGAGACTCGGCTTATCTTTACTCATGATAAGTTTGGTCTTTTGCTTGTTTGGGTTGATATCCTTGCAACACAGGAGGATTCGCTCAAAAAGGAAGATATGGTACTAGAAACGGAGTCAGTGAGAAAGTTCCTTTTGCTTCATGCAGGCTGGGGGGGGGGGAGCACAAACCTCTCGTTCATTATCCTTGCCACTATCACCCTTGACCACCGCAAATGTACCGAAGCGGAGCAATTCTCCAAAAGCATCCATTTTCAATGACTTCCAATCATCGACCCTCTCTGCCAGGTCGACGACTGCCGCAGCCAGATGTTCTTTGTGAATTGCCTCATTCGCCTGGTCCAAGACATTCTGGATGGTATCAATTGCCTGGGTGATATCGGATTGGATTTCGGGGTCCTCGGCTTGTTTGCGAAGTTCCTAAAAGGAGAGAATATCTGTTAGGGCAAGGTGTGATGGACGAGAGAATGCAAGATAGAATTTACCATCAACATAAGCGGGTATCGGGTCAACCTTTGGAAAGGCTTCACGAAGAACCCGTTCAGCGTTTTCGGCTGAGCAACCATCTGCTGAAGGTCCACATGACGCGGAGCGGAGCGAATCTTATCCCATTCCTTCAAACAAACTTCATCGCAGCGCATCTGATTGGCGATGAATGGCTCATATTGGCGAAAAGCATCTTCGTGCGAGTAAAAGAGTTTCCCCCAATTTTGCACTTCTTCCGGCAGAGCATAATGTTGTTCCATCCGGATCAAGAATCTCTGCGCAAAATCCAGGAGATTGTTTAGGTTCAAGAAAATCTGGTGGCTGGAGTCACCGGTCAGCGCGCCGGTCTCTTCTAACTCTTTCTTGAGCGCCTGGAGATTCTGCAAATGATGAACGTAATCGCGTTCGGTTTCCAAAAGCTCCTTCAGGATATGCTCGCGTTTGGTGAGCTTCACGGCACCCTGCGCACCCACTGGCGCGTCAGTCACCTCAGACTGCTTCAGCTGACCTTGCATCTCAAGAATGTCCACCACTCGATTCACCATTTTGATCACTTTGATGAAGCCTGTCGTGCTCTCACCATAAAGATCAGTGATCAAGAAACAGTCTTGTTGGGGAAATGCCAGGTCCTGCAAGCAGGCCTGGAGGAACTTGAAGGTTGCGGCCTTGGGGCGCTTGGCCTCCGGCACCTTCGCCGGGTCCACTACCAACTCCTCTTCGGGGCCGGATGCATTGTAGATGCTGAGCAGCGGATATCCATTACGGAGGCATTGCCACAACGAAGACACTGGGTCGGTGTTGCCCTTTGCCCGATCCTCCTCGTCCATTTCCTGCAAGTACGGCTCAAAGTTGGGAACCTCTGAAAGTCGTCTCTTCAGATTGACGCAACTTTGATAGATCGACTCTCCACCACGCCGATTAATAATATTATCCTCCGCTACCGGAGCGCCGCTCATGGTTGCGGAGTCAATCATTTCAGATGACTTGGAGGGCGGTTTTCTGAGTCAGACCAGCCAGGCTCGGTTCCAATCCGCACAGCAGACTTGGGGTATGTGTGATCAAAGAAAGCGACGAGCGTCGAGCGGTCGGGATGCCGATCATGGATTGCCCGCGACGCGATGATGTGAGGGGGCGCGATGGGAGGCGGGACGTATGAGACCGATGCAAATGCAGGAAGTCGGAAGTTTGGATTTATGGCCTGCGAGGTAGGCCCGACGCGGTTCCTGTGCGTTTGTATGCGATAGAAATCGTTTCGCCCTGACAAGGAACGGCAATGGAGGGTTTATATATAACAGTCAGAATATCGACAGGCGCACCGCCACTTGCCCTATGGTAGGGACACTATATGACAGAGAATCAAGTCTGCTCGACGCAGCTGACCAGTTCAGATCGCTCGATTTTCGGGTACGACACTGCGGCCGGGCAGGCGAGCCGATTCACGGAAAGAAAGAGCGGTTTCGAGCCCCCTAGGGTTATCGACAGGACCCGGCTCGGCCACTAGGACAGAGCAACTGACAAGGCAGGAGTAAGCAAGGGAATAAGAGGAAGAGTCAACTTCCAAGAAGTGAAAATAAGAGGCCTGCACGGGTCCAAGAGAGCACAACGATGTGGAGGCAGAAGAGATGGCAGAGAGGAGATGGCGGGAGGGAAAGGAGGTTCTGTTCAGTTTCCCGTTGCGGTTTAGCGCGTGTTCCATCTCGGCGGTGGGATGTGGAGAGGGGCAGCTGACTCAGCGGGCAACCCATTGTAACGTAACCCGTAAGCGAGTGGATCATGTAAGCGAGCGGATCACCCGCCCAATTTCCGACCGCGTTCTGCAACGCGTCCTATTCAACCACATACCATGCCACCAATTCGCACTCAATCTCAACAAAATTCGACTGAGCAGGAAGGCCGAATCCTACTTGCTATACAAGCTCTCAAAAATGACGAAATTACTTCTATTCGCGAAGCAGCGAAGCAATTCGACGTTCCATATACCACACTACAACGCCGTATGAAAGGAGGCGCGTTTCGCTCTACCACACGCGCCAACAACCACAAATTAACCCAATTGGAAGAGGAATCGCTTCAAAAATGGATAATTTCGCTGGATTCACGTGGTGTTGCGCCTAGGCAAGATATGGTGCGAGAAATGGCCAATATACTGCTCTTAAAACGTGGAGAACGCACGCCTCAGTCGGTTGGTAGTAAATGGGTATATAACTATATCCAACGCTGCCCTGAGCTCAAAACACGCTTTTCACGTCGATATGACTACAAACGCGCGTTATGTGAGGATCCGAAGATTATACAAGAGTGGTTTGATCGATTCCGACAGGTCATTATTCAATATGGTATTCATGAGAATGATATCTGGAATTTTGACGAAACTGGCTTCGCAATGGGCCTAGCAAGCACTTCACGTGTAGTCACACGTGCTGAATACTACGGCAAAAGGAAGCTTATGCAGCCAGGTAATCGAGAGTGGGTTACAGCGATCGAGTGTATTAACCGATCTAATGTTCTCCCGCCGACTATTATCTTTAAAGGCAAAAACTTCAACTCAGCGTGGTTTACTACTCCGCCAAGAGACTGGCGCTTTGAAGTTAGTGCAAATGGCTGGACTACGGATCAAATTGGTCTTGCTTGGCTTGAAAAACACTTTATTCCGCATACTACCAACTGTCGACATGGGGTATGGCGGCTATTAGTGATGGATGGCCACGGAAGCCATGTTACACCTCAATTCGACGATATTTGCCAGCAAAACCAGATTATTCCAATCTGTATGCCTCCGCACTCTTCTCATTTACTTCAACCTCTCGATATTGGCTGTTTTGCTGTTTTGAAACGGCTATACGGACAACACGTTCAGGCTAAGATGCGAAATGGCGTTAATCATATTGATAAGCTTGATTTTCTGGCCTCATATCCTCAGACGCGTACAGAGGTATATAAACCAGCTACGATATCAAATAGCTTCGCCGCTGCAGGACTTATACCATATCAGCCACAGCGAGTGCTTAATATTCTTGATATTCAGCTTCGAACACCAACCCCTCCAACCAGCCGTGGTAGTGATAGTAGCCGCGATTTCATACCTCACACGCCAATTCATCCAGTTGATATCCGACGGCAGGCTTCTTCAATCAAAACACTACTACGGCAACGCTCATATACGCCCCCAAGTCCTGCTAAGATTGCGTTACAGCAGCTAATCAAGGGCGCTGAACAAGCAATTCATCAGGTTGCTCTAGTAAGCAATGAGAATGAGCGGTTACGCGCTGAAAATGCCCACCAAAAGCGAAAAAGGGCATTACCAAATCGGCGAATAGCTAATAATGGTGGGATGACTGTTGGTGAGGCTCAGGAGCGTATTGAGAAGGAGGCAAATGGTGTTGAAGCAGAGATCATAGACAATACGGCGGCGGCTGCGGTAGCGAATTCGGCCAATCAGAGAGCGCCGCCGAGGTGTTCAAATTGTTGGAATATAGGGCATAAGAGAACTAGGTGCCCTAATTAGTGTGTGAACAGTGTTAATTGAATATATTGGTTGGTGGTTATTTTATATATATTTTCGTGGCTGGGTAGTTGGGTAAGTGATCCGCTGGCTTACATGATCCACTCGCTTACGGGTTACGTTATTCGAGGACAATCTCGATGAAACAATTATCGAGGGTGGAGCGACAGCCAGGTCGGACAAGATTATTGACAAGGCTGGTTGGGGATTTATCCCTGGAGGGGTGCCCTACTACTAATGCTAAGGTAAATCCTAGATCGACTGAATTGACATTCGATGCTGAGGAGTGGACAATAAGCTTACGCCCAGATTTATGTAGTATCGAGTACCCTAAGGTACCTAGTCGCATGTGTAACAAGTACCTCCCCTGCTGAAGGCCCGTAGTGTAAATCTACCTGAGATACTTGTCAGTATTGCTCTGGGTACCTTCCCTAGGTATAGTACTAATGGTTGTAGTGTCTGCATTTTTCAAACAAAGAATATGTGCGGGAAGCATATTCCTCGCATCTCCTTCATGTACTCCTTCCTTGGACACAAACGGAAACATCTCTTCTCAAGGTCATTTCGTTAAGAAACCCCCGCGTTGTGGTGTTTGTCTCACATTCCCTGGATCGATCCGAGGCACCTTCATACTTCAACTAACCCCATCCACGTGACCGTCGGCCGTCGAGCAGATTCCTAAGACCGTAGACCCTTCATTGCGCCGGTGAAAGGCATGTTTATTATTTTCCCGTCTCATTTCCCGCCGGAATTCTTGTACTCGCGCTTTTCTGTGGCCAGCTCTGTTGGGGTCTAGGCTACTGCGAGTGTTGCTTTCCAAGTACCACCTCCCGATCTATCACCCAGGTGGATCCCGCCGCTCTTCGTGACGACAAGTTCCCGCCTCCATAATCTACTTTCCCACGACCTTCTTCCTACGCCGGAGGGACAGATTTCGTGTGTGTGTTTTCGGCTAGTGCGACCTGACAGCAGCCGCGCCTGCTCCAGGCGACCCTGACGAACTCCCTGCGAACCCAGCGCGACCGCGCCTCGCCTCGCCTCGCCTCGCCATCCTGTTGTCGCGCCGACTCATCACGATCCGCCGTGTACTGAGTCTTCACATCCGTATTACCAGCACCCATGGAGGCAGATCCCCCTCCACACTCCTCGACACGGCCCATGCTACGGCTGCAGGCGACCAGCTTTTCCGGGTACTCCGCGCCCTCTCTCTCGCCGTCCTTCAAGCTGGATGAAGGCTACTCGGATGATACACGGAGCCAGCCCGACAAGGAAACTGTGTCAGACGATGCCATGGTGCTCCCAGACTGGGTACTATCCCAAAATGAGGCCGATAGAGCTGGTACGTTCAGAATAGGATGGTCTCGTTTGCCTTCTCCGACCGCTAATTCGTGGCCCCCCTCGACGACAGAGCTCGCATATAGCCTCCTCCGTTCCTTGACCACCTCCAACCTCATTGCTGTGATTGATCGACTTAACCCATTACTTCATATGGACCCCGTGGTCAAGCTTCCTCCGGAACTGACCTTCCAGGTCTTTTCCTATCTCGATACGCAAACACTTCTAACAGCTTCGCTCGCATCCCGTTCATGGCGGAGTCGTATCCTAGACTCGGGTATTTGGAGGGTGCGCTACATCAATGAAGGGTGGCGAGCGGACATGCACGCTATTCGAAACTTTGAGCAGGAACATGCAGAAGCCATGTCACCCCTCACACGCCGAGCCCGACCCCAACACTCAGACCCAGACTTGGGAGAGCCGAAACACAAGAAACGCGTCCTTCCAACATGGTTTGCTTCTCGCGCAAATAAAGATGGTGCAAATGGTCATACTCCCACAGAAGCCGATGAAGAAGGCGACCACCACATGACCGATGGCAGCGACCGAAGAGGCTCTCATTCGCTTTCAGTCACACCAAGCTCCCTGCCTCGGCCTCCCTCCGTGCTTATCCCGCCCCTTAAATCCGCTCTTCTTTTGCGTTGCCCGGACGGTACCGTGAAGGTAAATTGGCTCCATCTGTACAAACAACGCCGAAGGCTCGAAGCCAATTGGCACCATGGTCGTTTCACCAATTTCCAGCTCCCGCACCCCTCTCACCCGGAAGAGGCCCACCGGGAATGTGTCTATGCAATTCAGTTTGAAGGCCAGTGGCTTGTCAGCGGAAGTCGGGACAAGACAGTGCGGGTTTGGGATTTGGAGACCAAACGATTATGGCATCGCCCGTTGGTGGGCCACTCCAAATCAGTGTTGTGTCTTCAATTTGACCCGAGTCCCGAAGAAGACATCATCATCTCCGGCAGTAGTGACAAATCTGTGATCATATGGCAGTTTTCTACGGGAAAGAAAATCCAGCAAATCCAGAACGCGCATTCGGACTCGGTTCTCAACCTCAAATTTAACCACCAATATTTGGTGACCTGTTCGAAGGACCGGACAGTCAAGATATGGAATCGCCAAGAATTAACCCCGCTGGACGAGAGTTATCCCCGTGTGAGCAACACCAGCGGAGCAAGCTACCCTTCCTACATCGTCGATTTGGACGACATCGCGCCCAGTGATCTTGAGACGAGCATCGCGAATGGCCATATCAAAGCGTTGAGGCCGTACACTCACCTCATGACAGTGGAAGGGCATGGAGCTGCTGTGAACGCCATGGAACTCCGTGGCGATGAAATAGTTACTGCCTCAGGAGACCGCATGATCAAGGTCTGGAACGTCCGCAGTGGAGCTTGCTTGAAGACGTTGATGGGTCACTTGAAGGGCATCGCATGCGTTCAATTTGACAGTCGCCGGATCGTCAGTGGCAGCAATGATAACACGGTCAGGATATACGACCACATTTCCGGCGCCGAGGTCGCATGTCTGCACGGCCACAATAATCTAGTTCGCACTGTGCAGGCAGGATTCGGAGATCCTCCCGGTGCTGATGAAGCTCTGCGCCTCGAAGCTCGAGAGGTCGAACTTGAATTCATAAGAGCACAAGAAGCCGGTGCACCCGTCGAACTCGGCCCAAGGGCCCTACGACGCGCAGGTCATCATGTGAACACTGCCGGCTCCCGCGATCCCCGCAATATCTCGGCCATCGGTGCCCAAATTCCCCCTGGAGGCGGGGGTAGTCAATGGGCTCGCATCGTATCCGGATCTTATGACGAATCCTTGGTGGTCTGGCACAAAGAACGGGATGGAGCATGGAAAGTTGGCCTGCGTCTACAGCAAGAACACGCCTTATCCAACGCATCCCGAGCTGGTCTCAGCGAAACCGCGCAAGCCACAGTCTCCGCACAAGCCCAACAATTGCAAGCTGCCCATGCACTGACAGCTCTACCTGCTGGTCAAGGGCCGGCTGCTGCTGCTGCTGCTGCTGCTGCGACACCGGATCAAAACGCCAATGACGAGACTCCGCCTGCCAATCATGCCCATAACAACGCGGCCACAAACGGGTCTCCGCCAAATGCCGCCGTAAATCAGCCTCCTCCTGCTCAGGCTATCGCTCCGGCGGCTGCTCCACAGCCCCTTGGCCCCCATATGATCGCCCATGGAGCACGCCGACCAGCCTCGCTCCCTCATTCTCGAGTCTTTAAGGCCCAATTTGACTCCCGCAAGATCATTTGCGCTAGCGTTGATCCTCGCATCGTCGGTTGGGACTTTGCCTGCGAAGACGAGGAGATCTTGGAAGCATGTCCCTTCTTCCAGGTGCTTTGATAAACTTCATTTTTCTCTGGGGGTTTTCTTTTCTGTCCCGAACCTTTCCAGAGAAATAAGGGTGAAATTTCGGTCACATCGCGCAATGCGCATGATTCCCAATACCTTTTTCTTTTCACGAACAGGCAGCGCTGACTATTTCGCATTTGCATAAGCCACTCCGAATTTTTATTGCCTTTCTACTCATGTTACGATGTCTCTTCCCTCGCCTACTCTATCTATTATATTCTCTGGGGCTTCGCACAATTCGGCTTCATGCCTGTGGCTTTGCACACCATATTTTCCTGGCAACGGAGAGGCTCTCTGTAATATTTGCCATGATCATCTCGGCGCTATCGGTTTTCGCTGTCACTAGTCAAGGATTACTTGGTGTTTGCATAGCGAATTGAATGGTGTAGGGTATGCTCCTTTCCTACCCTACATGTATTCCCTGGCATCGCGCCCAAGTTAGCAGCAGCCATATATGGAGCCCGTAGCGTAGATTTCGGTCGAGAAATCATCTGCTGTACGCTAACAGGAAGGGTGATCTGTAGAAGCAAAGTGATTAACACAACCCAACAGAAACATGTTGACACTAGACGGGGCATTTCTCCGCTGCCGAATTCCGTTTTCTATCTCTTTCCCTGAACTCGATGTTTTGGTACATCAAATAGAATCTTGTTGCCAATTTTTGATCAGGCTGTAGACTGTTTATGGCAGTGAAAATGTTCGTGACTTCTGATTTTCTATCCTGAAAGGGCTCTATGCAATGTATCAATAGACAACAGTATCTACCAAGGAATAGTCTGTCCACTATACTGGTCATATCCCGAGACAGAGATGGTCTTAAAACTTCCGTTCGAGCTCGTATCGACACTGGCAACGAGATCCGCAACAGCACTTGCGCCCTCCTCCGCAGAAAGATCACCATCACTACCTCCCATGTCCGTTCGAAGCCACTAAGTGAAGAAAGTTAGTCTGATTCTAGCACTGTGGAATCAGAACTTACACCTGGATTCACAGAAAGGAAGGTAAACCCCTCTGCTTCGTGAGAAAGAGCATACTGGACAGTCAGTGAGTTCAGTGCAGCCTTGCTTATCTTGTACGCAGGACAAGGAGCAAAGTAAAAGTCTCGAGCTGACGAAGTCGAGCCCCATGGGCTTGAACTATGCAATTGAATAACGACTTAGCGTGGTTTTCGCGAGCCAAACATGGACCACTCACATGTTGATTACTTTCTTCACGTTCGCAGACTGGAGGAGTGGCAAGTATGATCTTATCATGTTGTGTGTGCCAGTGACATTGACTCTCAATTGATATCCAAGATCCGACCTATTTTGCTATTAATTGCATGCCAATCTCCCGCGAAGCGATCATACTGACATCTGGGAAACTCCGCCATCCGTCCACGAATGTACACCCGCGTTGTTGATCAGGATGTCAAGACCCTTTCCTCGAAGGTGAGTTGTCACCGTGGGTGTCGACTTCAGGACGCTCGACTCATTCGAGATGTCGACTGCAACAAAAACGACACGACTCCCCTCTTGGTTGACAATCACTCCTAATTCGGGACTCATATTTCGGGCAGCAGCAATCACCAGGCCATCATCAGGCACACGGCAAGAGTACTGCTTGACCAATTCGAGTCCAAGCCCTCGAGAAGCACCAGTGATCAACACACTCGACATGGTTGTTTGTAAGTCTGCGTGGGATGCAGGCCAAGATTGGATGATAATTTCCGAATGACGAAGGGTAAAGAAGAGATTGCCAGTTGGAAAACACGGGTATATATGTAGTTTCCACCTCGGAAACCTCGGAGTATTTATGTACCCATGCCACTGGTAGGGATTCGAGACCTCCAGCGAGAAGCCCCACGCCGTCGCTTTTGACATCACAATCGTGACAAGGCTGCACGGCGCGTCCGACCAATCAAAGTCCTGTCGCACATACTGATCATTGTGGGAATGATACCGAGACTGATGCAGTCAGTACGTGTGGTCATTCTCGACCAGAGACCAAAAATAAAGGTGAAAACGATATAGGCGGCGCAGCCAATGAATGGCACTTCATGTCTGATCATCGCTGGGCAAACTCGACTCGCGCTTGTTGGAGCGAAAATGTACCGCACAGACCTACCTGAGATACCCAAGTCAGTCTCGCGCTTACAGCGTCAAACCTTTTCTTTCCGTTTGCTGTGTAGCGTGACGAACAGTGGATTGATGGGTGCAAGTCACTGCCACGTTTGTATGCGGCCTTCCTTGTCCGCTCGGCATCCGACCCAAAAAGGGAAAGGCGACGGTCTTTTCGGCCCATGACTCAGCCGCCTCGGAAGGATCGGTCGAGACCGCGCAGGCGCGGAGTGATTTAGATCGAGTCTGCACGCGAAGAAACCCTCACGACTTCCTGGCGCTAGTGTTGAACGGACCGGAAGTGTGACAATACATTCCGATGAGTGATGAGGCTTTGCGCGCCGTGAGTGTCAACCCTGTAACATACCACCCAGTCCGAGCGGAGACACAGAACGCTAATTATCCTAGTGTGACCTTTGTCACTCAAGAAAGGTAAGGACGGGAAATTCGTTTTCTCTGAAGAATAATTTATGAAGACTCACGTGGATGCTTGGTTAGGTGCGGTGCGATAGGCAACTTCGTTGTGCCAACTGCGTTGACGCAGGTCTCGAGTGCCAACGTACTCGCCCCAAACGACCAACTCGCCCACCAGCTGCAACGTATGTTCTTAGCCTGGCTTCTATCGGTCATCGTTTTTGGAAGAAACTAATTATTTTAAGTATCTCTACCCTCGGAGAAAGAATTCTCAGACTAGAAAGTGCAATCTCTCATCCGCATGAGTACGAATCTTTGTTTCGTTGTCTCATGCAATCAGACTAACAAACTTTCCAGTACTTCAAGAAGCCTGAGCCCTGTCAATGGAGCAGCACATGGTGACGAAGAAAGGCATTCAAAGAAGCGGAAGGTCGACCCTGTCTCCAATCTTCAAGATGTGTCGAGGTCTCCTCACAGCAGCTGTACCGTTGTCACCCCAGATGAATCAACACACCATGCCGAGCAGGCCCGAGCAGTCTTTCAGGGCGAGCTCGAAGGTAATGAAAGCATGGATCGTGAGCGACAGTCTATTTTGAGGTCTGCCTTGGACTTTGTGAATACCATGGCGCAAAACAGAGCCTCCAACATCGACGAAGGTCTTCCATCGGAAATAGCCCCGGATGGCTGTGAGAATCCTGCACAATTCACTCCCCCTTCGCCCGAAATATGCTTTATGCTTCTTCGAGGTACTTTTACTCCGACTCAACCCCCAAGTGCATGCATTAACAGAATCATAGAACCTACGTCTGCAGCTGGGGCGCTGAACGTACAATGGCCGGATCATATTTCCCAGAAAACCCTGGAGAAGATGGTAGCTGTTCTGGTCAACAGCCATTCTCAAGGCCAGACCTTCTATCATTATTGCATTTGCATCTATGTCAAGGCCATTTTCCACCTAGCCCAAATGCCAAGGGCGTATAAAGACCCCATTCTCAACCAGCAATTTCTCAATTCCAAAAGATCATACGAAGCTTCGGCAATTATTGCCTTGAGAAACCTCAATTTTTTGAGTAGCCCGAGTCTCTCTTTCGTTCAGTCACTCATATCTGCGGTAAGTCTAGCACTCATCCGGAACGAAGCCACCCGCTGACAAGATATTCTGGCCAGGCTTTTTTGATGCAATATACCGGAAATATGAAACAAGCCTGGGTCATTAATTCATATGCCGCTCGTCAGATTGTTGCTTTGAAATATCACGAAATTGGAAATCCCGTTCAGAGATCAGATTTGAATGACGAAATCCACAGCTCCCTGTATTGGTGCTACTATCTCGACCGCACGCTCAGCGCTCTTCTCCTCCGCCCTTTGTCATTACCCGAGCCGCAAATCTCTCCTGCGGACCTCATCGTTCCAGATAAATCTCTACCTCATATGCCGCTCATACGAATATTGCTCGAATTAGCGCAAATACAAGGCGATCTTTCGAACTGTGGAAAAGCAGATAATACCCATCAAATACTTGCCAATCACTCGAAACTGCAGGACAAAATGGAATCCATCAAGTCAAGACTGCAATCTGTAAGTACAGTGATTTTTCCGCAACCGATCTACTGGCGCTAACCGGGGAACAGACGCGCCAATCTGTCGATGATTTTTTATCCTGTGATTGGGTTGCCGGCGAGTTTTGTTATTACGCAATCCTGGTGGATATCTTACGCTCACGATTGAAGTTCGCATTCTCCCCTTTAACACATAAAGAATGCGTATCATACGCTCGCAAGTCTCTGAAAGCACTTCAGTATTTGCAGAAGAATCCATCCAAGAGTCCAGGTTTTGTTGATCCATACCCGACATTCTTGACATGGTGGGTTTGACTTCATCCCCGACGTGGGCTATCTAACATGGACCAGGACTATCTTTCTCTACCCTCTGAGTCCATTTTTTGTTCTGTTTTGCAACATCATCGGGGAGCTTGATCGAGACGACTATAACCTAATCGAAGAGATAACCCAAAGCTTGGCTCCGTTCGTCGCAAGCCCATACATCTCAAAGCTGTTGAGGCTCTTGGGATCGCTTCAGAATTTCTGCACCCCGTTGATTCAAGCCAAGGAGCGTTTGGGACCGAGAACTAAAGTTGCGTCATGGTATCCATCGATGACGGGAGCACTACCGAATACCTCGGCAGCCATCAATGGCAGCAGCTATCCGATGAATATCACCTCATACCCAGATTCGGTTCCATCCGCGATGTCACAGATGCAAACTCAACCGTCCGGAGATCAGGCTTACCCGCCGACGGACGAGCTCATGTGGCATTTGTTTAATAGTCAATTGTCGATGGAGTGTTTTGAGACGGACTGTATTTCACTGGACACGAATGTTAATGCTAATTTTTAGAAGTATATACCCCATACATGTCTCCACTCTGTCTGAGGGTGTTCCTGAACGTCATGCATAACATCCTAATGTACGAATTAATCTAGAATGGAGTCGATGACAGATCCTCATAAATATTGCATTTCCCCTATCACATGTGCAAAAATCCTCTTATCCGATAAAATATGGGTATATAATACTAAATCACTCCAACTCGTGAACCGTAGACCCTTCATGCTTTGCCTTCGCGTTTATGGAAGCTCGTGCCTTTGTCCATCAACGCCGAGCTCGACCCGTTGAGATTCTGCAGCCGCCAGTTCATGCTTTTTGTCCATCAATACCAAGCTCTGACAATTCCGATAGGTCTCTTCTACCTGCTCGAGCCAGCCTTCGGTGTTTCTGATTGCGGCGGTAGAGAAAGAAGGCTAAAAATGCCAGTAGGAGCACGCCCAATGCGACTCCAAATCCGATTCCAGCTGAGACGCCCGCGGAAAGCCCTGCTTTTTTCGAGCTCGTGGATTGTGTGGACTCGCTTGTTTGTTGACTGCACTGCTTTGATCTGACAAGGAAGGGGCGTCGGTGCCAGTTGCGGCGGTAGGACTAGAGCTGGCTGTTGTGGAAGCCGGGAGGCTTTCGGTTTGGGCTGATGTTACGAAGACTACCGTCGGCTGCGCTTCATAAGACGAGGTGGTTGTGACGACGTCAAGCGTAGTGGACTCGCTTGTAGTAGTTGGCGCAAGTGAAGAGGTGGTTATTTTTTCCGGAACCGCAAATCCCACTATTTGTCCTGAGTCAGGGTCCATTTGAGTGTTGACCATAAAAAGGCCAGAACAGTAGGGCAACAAATAAATGACTGAAAAAGCAAGGGCGTATGCCAATGTATGGGACGGGTATGAGAGGATCAATTGTTCGAAAGAAGGGGAAGAGCAAGCCGAAAGGACAAACTCGTGTGGCCGGGTGAGTTTGCACGGTGACAGGAGGCTTGTAGAGGCGAGATAATTTAGTTAGAGCGCCCTGCATGTTATACAGATCATAGGCCATGTGCGATCGTCTAGGAGTGGGCTCAATGCAAGCCTGGTTCGGATTAAAATAGATACAACTTCGAGCATATACCTTCGTCGAAGACACGCAGTCGAATGAGTACGTTTGGATCTACAAAATCAAAGCCGATCCTTATTCACATCTCGCGTGGTCGTCTCCTTCTCGCGTGGAGGGTGGAGTTGCCCCCACGGGACATGGTTCCAAGGTTAGATGAAATGCACGACGCCTGGGTGAAATGCTAGCCAAACTCAAAATACGGTTTCAGGGTTCAGGGGAAGTTTGGCCCAGTTTGAGCCGCATCCGACTTTCCAAAGTCACCGGAAAAAACTTTCAGACATGTTTTGATGCAGTGCCCCAGATGATGACAAATCAGCATCCCATATTCGTCAAAAATCCCATGCTGCTTTTTCTCCAGGATTATTAGACGAGAGTACATAGTACTAAATTATATACGTTCCAAACAAGACCAGGATGCCATCAACAACAATGAGATAGTCTAAGTTAGAAGACTTTTCTAGCTATCTAGCGAGACTTATAAATATGTTAGCGTACTCGTACCTGCACAGTGTGACGTCGCAAACAAATTTGAGTGTCCGTGGTGAACCAGTCGTGTTTGGAGCTGTGGATGGATCGCGAAGTTGTGCATCATTTGGCTACAGTATTTCATGAAAATCATTATACGTCATTCACAGCCCTTCAGTCCCGAATAAATAATACCATTGACCCTTGAACCACCTCCGAACTGTAATCGAAACCCGCTCGTAAACCGAACATAAATCCGAATTCGACGTCCACCCACTCTACCCAATTTCGCTCGGAACCCGAACGTTTCGGGTCCTCGGCCTCCCGAAACCACGAATGGTCGACATTCAAGCTCCACGCGTCTGAGAAAATATCCGGTGATAAATGCTCCCCGTGTACCTTTTCAAGCAACTGGAATTAAACAATCATAGCAATATGCGACCAATTCTTCAGCGGCTCATTCAGACAGCCAAAATCGCCGCCGTTGGCGGCACGGCTACCCTCAGCTCATTCTTTATTTACACCCGCAACACAAAATTCACGCCAATCGATGATTCGGATCCTATATTCCGAATTGCCCGAGAAAGGAATTTGAACCCGCATGAGAACCCGACAACGCATGATTTCTTCATTCGTCGAGTTCCGCTGGGAGATATTCGTTCTGAAGTTCGCGATTCGCCAGTGAAGTTGACGGAGGCTTTTTGTGCTGGGGTTTGGAGTAATTGGGGTAAATACTCACTTGAACATGTCGCCATACCTTCATATGAATTCAAAAGCTGATGCAATCTCCCTTTGACCGTATTAGGATTCGCGATTCAGCGAGCCCTATCAAGCCGATCACAAAACGAGTCAAACAAAAGTCAGCTATGGACACGCGATGGTCTCCTCTCTTCAAAATATAACCCAGGTACCTTACTCATGGATAGCTTTGAGGTTTTGGAGAAGAGAGACGACGGAGTCATCTTTCGGGGCGGAGATTCGCCGTCAAATAAAGCGCTGCGGCCATTAGACGTTATCTTGGAACTGTCGGCTACAATCAAAGAGGATGAGCAAGCGGTCGATTTCGGATTCAAATCGGTTTTCTTCGCTGGAGATAAACGGATCGAGAAGCCTCCGATGCCGGGATTCGTGGTTTGGTTGCATTTGCAATATGCGAAGTTGCTCCTTGAGAATGGGGTAGCGAATACGATATAGGGCATCGCGCATTGGTGTGTACGATATGTATATAGTAAAGAATTAAGAACATCTCCTTTCCAAAGGAAAAAGAATGACTTTGATTATTTAAGAAGTGTATTGAAAGGCCGTGGGCCCACAGAAACTCTAGCATAAAAATAGAAAGCATGACAAGGAAAGACGCGCCAGAATCAAATATAGTCTCAGGTAATAGCGAGCGCTTACATTTGCCGGTGTTGAAACAAGCAGGTATAGTGTCTAAGGAAAACGCTGAGTGAAAGCAGCTGCACCCCGGCGGACGATTTGATTGAGGGATGACATCCACGAAGATTCATGCTGAACTGAAGGCTGTTGTGCCGGGTTGATGCTTGAAGTTTGTGGTCTAGAGGGAGATGCGTGGCTCTGAGCAGTTTGATAAGTGTCTCGCGAGCTGAGTACTTCCAGTTGGTGTTCTTCGTGACTTTCGTGAAGAGAATTTCCGGTCAAACAACAACAAAATGGAATTTGAATCCGAGCCCAAGGCAGAACGCCGGGGACATTGCGCGGTTGATTTCCAGATTCTTCTGTTTCTTCTTGGATAGTTTCGTTGACTATTCCATGCCGCTGGAATGTCTCCGGGCGAGGAGGATACTGCATTGCAGAAGTATGCCGGGATGCCACGTCCTGGGTTGGAAACAACGTAGGTGACTGTGGCTGGCCCCGTCTGGCTAGATTTCTGGCTGGATTCCTGGGCGGCGCACTAGGCGTGGGCTCTGGACTTGTTGAGTGTTGAGGATCTGCGAATATCCGTGCAATTGATGGTCTATAGAGTCTTCCATGACGCTTCGGACGAACCATCCAACTTTTGAAGCTAGTAACCGAAGTCTCAGTCCTCGCTCCTTCGCTTGCGTTTGTCTGAACAGGGGCAAGTGGAAGCTCGGTTGTATGAAAGGGGTGGTCCTCTAGCTGTCGAGCAAGACTTGTACCATGCCCACTCTGTCGATAGAGAAATCTTCCGTGAACCATAGTTCCATCGGCAGCTCGTCCGATACCAGGAGCAGTTCGGAACGCAGGAGCAGTCTCAGTTCCAGTTCCAGCCGATGAACGTAGACCAAAGAATCTCCTGATGGCGCTGCCGTATGAAGTTGTGCGCTGACTCTCAGTTGGGCGAATCGTCCCCGACCACGTGCCCGTCATGAACTGAGCAGAGGCAGCCATCGCCTCCGGTGTGCCGAAGGATGGAAGTCCTGGAGGAGTCGGGATACGTTCTGGTGGTGGATATGGTGGTCGATGGACTCGGACTGCCGGTACATTCGCTGGCCACTGAGGGCTCGCTGAGCTGCCATCGAAGGTATCAAGAGAAATAGCATTGCGTCGTGGGCGCTGGGTGGCTGTTTCAACGGGCAGCCCCCCTCCGCCCTCTGGTTTTGACTGTGGTCGGTATAAGCCCGCGGATTCAGAAAGATTGCTCCACCAGACTTTGTCCCTTGTTTGCCTGGGCATTCTGCCCTGTTGCTGTACTGTGTCTGCATTCCCGTCTTGAGATGAGTCCGATGGAAGGAACATGGCGATGTGAGCTGCTGGTACGTCTCCCAGCACCGGGTTCGCATCTTGGCCCACTTGGTTGTCTTCGCTCGGAGGAGGTGGTTCGGCGGTGGCGTTATAGATAAGTTCTTCGTCGCTATATACAGCTCTTGAGTTTTCGTCCGACGGTGTTCCGGAGTGGCGATTGTCACTAATGTGCTGCGCGGTGTCGGGCCTGGAATAAAATCTAGATCTGTCTGAGCCCGACTGGTCTTCGTCGGTACCGGCTGTACCACTGTCGGGCGGGAATGCCATCGTGAAAAATGATCGGGAATATACTGTAATTGAATGTGATCAAGGAGAGTAAAATGTGTGTAAAGGGAAGAATTTGAAGAAGATCGAGGGTTCAGCCCGCGAGGTGTAGTCCGGGGGAACACTGGCCGTATTCGGACGACAAGCACCATCGCGCCTGCCACATGGAACTTATTCAACAACTATCGTACAACGGAGGGTCTATATGTACAGTGTCTCAAACAATTGCAGTCATTGCCGGAAAATTAGAACTTGAACAGGGTCATTCATCATAAGGGGGTGCCAACCGGGCTCGGTACGGGCTTGCCAGTCACTTGCGCGTGCTCCTTCTTCAGGGCCCGCAACAGCCCTTCGATTCTGCGACGCTCTTCTTGTTCCGCCTGTGCAAAGAATTAGTATAGATTGAAAGGGCGGTTGTAATGGTCTTGGGGTTAGCATACCTTGAGAATCCTCATGTTCTCGTTGCGAGTGTCGCGCATCATCTTCTTGAACTCGTTCTTGAGCACCATGGTGGATGTTGTCTCCAGAGTAGGATCGCGGCCCATAGTCGGGCTGCTCAGGTTCATCCAGCTGATACGTTCCTCGCTCAGCTGCTGTTCCAGCTGCTCACAACGATCCCGGAGACTGTCAATCACACCCTCGAAACGCTCACGCTCCTTCTCGAACTCAACGTTGGACTTGACCAGGGCTTCATAGTCGTCGATTGTCTCTCGGAGCTCCTTCCCGAGGGTGTCGGCTCGCTGCTGGATATCACCTCCGCCTTGCTTGCCCTTGAGGGCAGCGAGCTCCTCAGTCAGCTCGATATTGCGGGTTGTCAGAGCTTCCATTTCGTTCTGGAATTCAGGGTTCGCTGCCGCTTCAGCAGCGCGCTGTGCGCGAGTACCGTAAGCTCCATCAAGCTCGGCCTTGACCATTGTGAGCTCAGTGGTGATTCGCACGACCTCGCCCTCCAGACCGGTCATCTCATCTTGAAGGCGGGTAGCGTTCTCTTCGGCTCGCACACGCTGGTCAACTGCCTCCTGGATGCGGGTATCTACATCCTGCATGCGAGAGTCGGCCTCTTGCAAACGAGACTCGGCCTCCTGCAAACGAGACACCACTTCCTGGGCCCGTTCTTCTGCCTCCCGGACTCGAGATTCAGCCTCTTGCAGACGAGGTTCAGTCTCCAGCAAACGAGACTCGGCAGCCTGCAAGCGAGAGACTGAGTCCTGTGCGCGAGTATCTGCCTCCTGTACACGAGAATCGGATTCGCTGCGAATTTGCTGGATATCAGCCTCGAGTTGCGCCGCTAGCTGCTCTGCACGATCCCGAGCCTCTCTCATTTCCTCAGTTCGAGCCTCGGTCTGCGATGCTTCGTACTCTGCACGATCGCGAGCTTCTCTCACCTCCTCGGTGCGCGCGTCAGCCTCACGGTGCAGTGACTCAACGACGCTCTGTAGGCGAGCGATCTCACCCTCAGCTTGCACCAGAGAAGCCTTGGCTTCATCCTGGGTCGAGCCATCACGGCGCATGGCTTCGAGCTGTTCCATCACAACCGCCAGCTCGTCCTGAGCGGACTTGCCGTCTCGGCGGGCATGGGACAGTTGTTCAGTAAGATCACCAATATGAGCATCACGTTCAGCGTCTGACTTCGAGTTGAGTTCACGTTGCTGCTGGATCTGAGTGGTTAAGATACTCTTTTGCTCAAGCAGCCCATCCACCCGGCTGGCCAGGCCATCGATACCTGCTTGGAGATATGACAGTTGCTCCTCCAGGCCTTCACCCTCATAGGCAGAGGGAGGTGGTGGGAGTGTAGGTGATCGAGTCAGCCCGAATCGGTCAACAATGCTCTGAACACGTTCATTGACGTCGGTGATTTGCTGCTTCCAGGCACCTTCAGTCTCTGGTGCCGGAGCAGAAGAAACGACAGCAGGGGCGCCGTTCACGGCGGAAATTGGGTGTGACTCAAGGGTGTTCAGGCCGGTCTCGATGTAGGCCAGATGCGCTTCGGTGGCTGCCGCAGGGTCGATAGATCGTTCCGAGGACTGTGGAGGGGGATTGACAAATTCGTCCGGGGTAGCCTGGATCAACATGTTGCACATGCGCTCGCTGAGCTCCTCCAGTTTGCGCTGCGTAGCTTCCATGGCCTCCGAGGACGCTCTTGACGAGGGGGCATCATTGATCTGGATCCTTCCTTTCGTGCCATAGTCATCCAGATGCTCGGGGGTACGGTAGAGACTGCGGTCATCAAAGTCATGGCCATCGTAGAGGTTGTCGGAAGACCCATCGGTGTTCTTGGGCGTCTTGCGCATACCCTTATGGGTCATTTGCAAGACACCCGCGGTGTGCTCCAACAATCGCTGATTGATCTGCTGGGACCGGCGTTCTAGTTTCCACAGCTCTTGCGCCAGATCTTCACATTTGCGCTGGCTCACTGCCAACTCCGAATCGCTTTTATCGAGCACCTCGGCGGTGCCACTCTTGCCAAAGATGCTACGGCTTCGACGGTGCGACTTGGAAGATCTATTGGCGCCATATTCACCGCTGTCCCGGGGACTAGGGGGGCCGTAGAGTCGACCAATCGACTGCGCGGCATCGCGGAGCTTGGTCTCGAGGGTGAGTTTCCTCTTCGTACCGTCGATGCGGCTTGACAGGAGAGTGCGTTCTTTCTTCAGGTCTTCAACTTCTTCCAATGATAGAATCTCAAAGTTGTTGCTGTCCCCAATGGCAGTCTCGGTCAAGAGGTAAAGTGTAACGGGGTCGTTCGTGTTGACGAGGGCGGAGCTGCGGGGGTGAGCTGCATTGAGCTGGAGGAACGGAGCGGACTGGTTAGTTTGGTGGAATTTCTTCCATCGGGCGAGCGCCTTGACGCGTGCGATTGCCCTGAGCATGGGGGTTCCCCTTACCGGATTGTACCGTGATCGGTCTTCATGTTGCGGGTCGACAGCGTCGCGATAGCCGTCTACCAGGGATTTTCCAACCGGGGCGTGGACATCAGAGGCGGTTGCAGTGGAAAGATAGCGAGGGTCTCCATACGAGGACTGACTCGAGCGGAGGCTGATATTCATGCTGGGCGTTTCAGGCGCAAGGAATGCAGCTGGGGAGTTGTGTGGAGTCGGGAGATTTCAGGAGCGGCCGTCGCACATCGTGTGAAGATACGAGGCCGACCGTATAAAGGATGTTGAGTTAAGAATAGTCTCCGTCCGAGTGCGAACGACGAGCTGCGAATGCGAAAGACGGTCAAAAATAAAAAGGGCGTGGCTGAATGAAGATGGCGGGGAGAAAAGGAAGATCAGCGGGAAGGACTCAGCCACGCGCTTTTCTCCCGCGCCCGCTCAAGTGGCCGATGTGAGGTGTCCCATCTTGCTGTCCACCAGCGCAGCATTTTGCTGAGAAGTTGCTTTACTGTTGTAGATCTCGCCCGTCGGACACTATGTATCCATTCCACGGGTCGAGCCGTCTCCAGGTGTTCTTCCCAAAGATTGGATTGATCGCCAGAGTTCGGGCTGGTTTCACATTTAAATTAATGACTAGTCCCAGCAGGTATGCTAGTATACATCGGGCTGCATCTGACCAAATAGCGAAACCAACACGGAGCTCATTTTGCTTCCGGGGTTTTAAGCGAAGGCACATGCCCTGAATAATGAGGCCGGGTAAACCTGGGGGTACCTGACGTATGCTACGTAACCGGTGGGGTTGCATGTACCAGGCAAGTATTCCTTGGAGGGGAAGGTAGAGTCGCAGAACCTCGGATGCGTCTCCCCCGCTGGATTGGGAAGCCCCCGGGGCCGCGATGCTACAAAGAAAGTGGGCGTCGTCTTGGCCCTGGCCTACTTTATCTTCCCTTTCCCTCACCTCTGCCAGCGTCCAAGTCCTTCGTGCACCGCTCCGCCATGGAGGCCTTGGGCTCTGATGTCACGCGACCCCAGTACCGGGTCTACAAACGACGCTTCTGGGGTCTAGCGCAGCTGGTGCTGCTGAATATCGTCGTCAGCTGGGATGTATGCGCGCAGTTCCCCAACCCTTCCCCATGCTCTCACTCCGTGAAAGACATTGATCACTGACCAAAGTGTATGTATAGTGGCTGACCTTCTCGTCAATCTCCACGACCGCCGCCGACTACTTCCAGGTATCGGAGAGCGCTATCAATTGGATGAGCACCGGTTATCTCTTCGCATTCTGCATCGTCAGCCCGTGAGTGCTAGCACATCCTCTCCGAGTAACACACGCACGTCCCGAGACTTCAGCCCACTAACTTGCCGTCTCTTTGTACAACAGGTTCGTTATCTGGGTCTTGAACAAAGGCGGCCCCAGACCAGCCATCATCACCACCGCCACGCTCCTGCTCGTCGGAAATTGGCTGCGCTATGCCGGCACAAGAGCAAATGGTGGGATCTTTGGCCTCGCCATGTTCGGCCAGATCCTGATCGGTCTGGCGCAACCGTTCTGTCTATGCGCCCCAACGCGGTACAGCGATCTCTGGTTCTCAGACAAAGGTCGCACGAGCGCAACAGCTGTCGCCAGTTTAGCGAACCCGCTTGGTGCAGCAATAGGACAATTGGTGGATTCGGAGTGGGTAACGAAGCCCTCAGATATTCCCAATATGGTCCTATATATCTCTATCATTGTGAGTGATGCTGCGAAGGCCTTCACCTGCCCCCGGGGTAAGGAGCGACGCTTTTCTATTTACTAACCATTTTCGTATGAACAGTCGAGCGTTGCATCTATTCCATCATTCTTTATCCCCGCTGCGCCTCCCACTCCCCCCAGCGCCTCATCGGCCATCCCACGTACCCCATTGATACCTGCGACACAAAAGCTGCTCGGGACCGTGGAGTTCTGGTTAATTCTAGTCCCCTTCGCTGTATACGTGGGGTTCTTCAACAGTGTCTCGTCGCTCTTGAACCAAATTCTTAGCCCATATGGTGCATCCGAAACAGAAGCAGGAATCGCCGGCGCAATTCTGATTGTAGTCGGCTTGATCACTGCAGCCATCATGTCACCCATCACTGATAGATACAAGCACTATCTGGGATCGATCCGCGTGCTCGTGCCGATCGTGGTGGCGTCGTATATTGGGTTGATCTTTGCGCCGGGCAGTCCTGCGGGAATCGGTCCCTCCTATGTTGTGATGGCGTTGATGGGTGCTTCCTCCTTCGCATTGCTTCCCATCGTGCTGGAGTATTTGGTTGAGATCACGTATCCGTTTTCCCCGGAAATTGGAAGTACCATTTGCTGGACAGGTGGACAGCTGCTCGGCGCATGCTTCATTCTCATTCAGGATGCGCTCAAGGCGGGGGATAACGCAAGCCCTCCGTTCAACATGCGCAATGCTTTGATATTTGCAGCTGTAGTTGCGGCAGCGGCGGCTCCTTTCCCTCTGTCGCTTAGTCTCTTCGGTAGAGTGGTGAAGCGACGGCGTCTGGAGATTGATCGTGGGGTTGAGCTTTCTCCCTCGAACTCTGCAGAACAAGCCAGGCCCGATAGTAGCACCAAGGATGAGATCAAGTCTTCATCGGCTTTGAAAGAATCCACAATCAAGGACGTCTGAGGACAACTGCGTGGTGAATGATTGCGAATACTTCGCTTCTGGAGACTGTGTCTCTGATGTTAAGGACCTTCTTTGCAGCCGATTTTATACCCATTTTGATACTTATTACCTTTGCCACTTGAATTATAATATGAAGGATACCTTGCGCTTGTGATCCCTTGAGTAACCCCTCAATACCTTCCGGTAGCGGCTGAGCAAATTGGAGTTGAGAGAAAGGTCATCGACTGAAGGATGTAGTCAGAGATCAATCAGCCACTCTCGGTAAGATTCGCCCCATTTTGAACCCACATCGGATTGGTAACATACTCAGCAAACTACGCCTAGATACCTGACAATTGGAAGGCAATGGAACCGAGGTGACTTGTCCCTCGTAAAACGTTTTGAATGCAATAAGCCTTGCGTTTTAACAGATGAGATTCGTCTTAAAACCAATAAATAAAAACACAAGCACAGTTCGAATAGGCGGAAGACCAGCTATCTGTACATGCAAGGCAGAGAGAAGGCAGTCTATTATCCTTCTTTTCCCTCCAATGGGTTCCTTCCTCCCTGCCTTGAAACACCATATGCGTACACCTCAGAGAAAGAGGGCGTCTACTCCCTCTCCCTCCGTGCTCTCAAATCAAAGACAAAGACGGCAAACTGTCGGAGGATGAAGGCGACAGTCATCAAGAAGCGGAATTGGCCTCCGTTTCGATGTGGCGTTCCGGGTCTTGTTCATATCGAATCCTATCAAGACATGTCTTGTAGTCGGTACGATGGGTGAACGAAGAAAATTTGCGTCGAAATGGAAGGCCGCATTGATCCGCTTATTTGAGCTCCCTCCAGAGCTTGGGGGCGGCGCAGGCAGTGGCGCAGTGGGTGAGGTGGAAGACTAGTATATTGTGTCAGCATTGGTTGGTCCAACAGAGTAGAGAGAGTCGCTGGGTTCGTGCGGCCCCTCTGAATGCAAACTTACACTCCTCAACGCAGTCCTCCTTGGGACCCTTGAAGTCCTCATCCTCCTCCTGGCGGGTGACACGCTCGACACACTCGTCGAAGTGGTGCTTGTAGGGGGCGCACTGAGCGGAGTTGGCGCAATCTAGACGAATATCGAGTCAGTTAGGAGTATCAATGCAAGAAGACAGGCTTTAATCAGAAACTTCGGATGCCATTGGGTACGTAACGATGAGTGTTCCGGCTCCAATGGCCAAGACGAGCGAATGCGAAACACCCACCCATCCGGCGCGTCGTGATACCAGAGCCCCCATCATCATGCCAGACTCCTTTCCGAACGAATCTGATTATCGCCACAGCGATGGAATAGTCACTCACCCTCCTCAAGCTTGGGCTTGATGTCCTCAGGCTCCTCTTCCTCCTCTTCTTCCTCTTCCTCTTCCTCCTCCTCGGCGGCCTCCTCCTCTTCGGGAGCCTCTTCAGAGGACTCCTCGGCGGGGGTCTCCTCAGCGGACTCGGACTCGGACTCGGCCTCTTCGGAGGCCTCCTCGGTCTTCTCGGCGGGCTCGTCCTGGGGGGTGGAGGTCTCGACGTCGGCAGCGGGAGCCTCAGCCTGGGCCTCGGTGAAGCCCAGGGAGGAGACGACGTCAGTGAAAAAGTCGGCGAGACCCATGGCGGCAGACAATTGGCAACGGTGACCGGAGGTCGTGAAGTGGTGGGGGTGGTGAATGGGGTTGGAGGTAGGGGTGAGGGCGAGGATGTGGTTTTCCAATTCCAAGCTCGGACGGGAAAATCGGGACGCCCCGGCCGCTGCGAATTGTGCCGCACGTGATTGGCCAGTGGTCGCGGGCGGGCGAAACGGGCTGACCACGCCGGAATTACCATACGATGGCAGTATATTAAGAGAAGCATAATATTCTACTCTCTCTCTCTCTTATACTTTACGAAACAGGAGAGATTTATATGTTGCTTCGAGTCTCTTATCTCAGAATTCAGGCAATTCGTTAATTCATTCATGGTCACGATCGCGCAAGTCAGCAATACGCTCATATCTAGTTGGAAAATGGCCGCATTGGGCTCAATACAATATAGTACATGATGAAGATTTGGAGGGCCAGGCAAGATCGAATGGATCATACAAAAAAAACGAAATCGGGTATGTGTTGATTCTGAACTTAACGATACTTGTCTCAGCTGGCTCGTCGCAGCCGCTCCTCCAATTCATTGGCCACACTTTGGCTCTGAGCCTCTTCATAGCATGGCGGTGGCTCAGCTGGCTCAGGTCCGACCTCAGATACCCTCCGTGTCTGTTGGGGTGCTACGGGCGCATCGCTCGCAACGGTAGTGTGGCTGGTGTTCCCGTTGGCTTCGTAGGCCGGCAGCTCTTCCAGGTGAACGGCAGACATGTCCACACCTCGAAGGCTTCTCGCCCCTTCGCTTGAATTCTCCACCGCCTGTTCTAATCGTTCCCTGATCCGCTCGAAATTGGTGTGGAAGTCAAATGCACCTCCTTCTTTGAAGGTGATTTTCATCTGCACTGCGGGTAAGTTGGCCGAGATGCCACCGCCAGGTACCGGCTGGACGAGAGCGGTCCACACATTGGGACCGAAGAACGGTGCAGAAACGTGGGAATCGTGGACGTGAAGGAGGGGAGCGGAGAAGGACTGGAAGTTGCTGGACTTGTCGGCGGGGAGATAAACGACCTATTCATGTTGGTTAGCCATTCCCAAAGGTTGGACGAGCGAGCGAAGAGACGGTGGTCTGGTAGGGAAACACGCACTCGTTGGTTGGTGAGATGAATACAGCCGGCGCTGCTCTGGAGCGAGAGGGTCTCGGGGCCCTTGTAGTTAGGGAGCGGCGTCAGCGCAAGAGTGGTGCGGGGAGGCGAGAAGTAGATAAGGCGTTCGCTGGGCAGGCGGACAAAGCCCTCATCGTTGAGCATCACCCAGCTGCAAACGTCAGCTTCCGTTTTGGCAGGATCAGGGGGTTGGGGACTTACTTGACCGACATGCTGAGAGCATTCGGTGGGGAGAGGATCAAGTCGAGAGTACCTTGGTCTCGCAGACATGCGTTGGTCTGGAACGAAGAGAAGTTGGAGTCGGGAGTTGCGGGGCAGGCGGGGCTCGGCTACTCTATGTACATACTTCCATCGGTATACCCCATGTCTACAATGCAAACTACTGGTACTTCCAGCGGTGCAGCTCTTCGGATCTGCGGAGGCAAAAACTATATTACTAGTAGTAATGATAGGACCAAGCCTAATGCCTAGCATTTGGTCTGATCCCCTGCAGCTGCAGGTTGCCTCCGCTTAGACGATCTCCCCAACAAAAGAATGCAAAGACGTTGGGATGCCCCCAGGCTCGCTTTCCCGCGATTCGCGGGGGTCGGCATTCTGTCTGGGCTAGCTGTGTTTTTGTATGCCGTACTGTATTGTGGTGCGCTCCGTTGATGTTTCCAGTCTGCCCGAAGGCTCTGGAATGTTGACACCTTTGTACGGTAAGTCCAAACAAACACAGTCAGCCTAAACGAGATACTTAATGCAGAAGGCGTCATATCACAAACCATATCCCCATACCCTGTTTGAAGGGTATCTCTTCGCAGCAGACTGGACTTTGTCGAGCCTCTGCTGTTTTATTCTGGAATTCTAGAAGCGTCCGCCAAAAACACGCTAAGCTTCCCAAACTTCCCAAACTTCCCGGATGGCGAACTGCCTTCCTCCGCCCAGCCGGTTTTCGTTCTGTCTGGTTTCCACTCTGCCCTCGTCACACTTTCACCTCAGCTCAAAATCATCTACTACTATCAGACGAAACCGTTTCGTCTCAACTCTGTGAACCTTCCTGTTTGGTGGGGCAGCAAAAAAAAGAGCTCCCGAGCCAAGCGGGTCCAAGCTTCGCGGCTAATTTATCGCAACGCTTCATGTCAATCCTGCGACCTGACCGTTGCTGTCTCCACTGATTGCGCCCTCCGAATCTATTAAACCTCCTGGCGCACGGCATCATGGGGAAGAAACAGCCGTACATTCCGCCGCTCGTCGGCTGGCTGTATGACCTGGTCTTGTGGAGCTTCTCCGTGCTCATCGACCTCTTCTTCCGCGAGGTGCATCCCCGCGGATCATGGAAGATTCCCCGGCGCGGTCCCATCATCATTGTTGCCGCCCCTCATGCAAATCAGGTACGTTACTTGCGCGCGCCTTGTCGCGTGATGATATACCATGAGCGCCCTCTTTCCCGAACTGGAGCTGATTGTTGCGCCTCTGCTAGTTCGTCGACTCGCTCGTCCTCATGCGCGTCATTCGCAGCGAAGCTCACCGTCGGATTTCATGGCTCATTGCGGAGAAATCGTTTCGCCGCAAGTTCATTGGTCTCTTGGCCAGAGGTATCGGAACTCTGCCCGTCGCGCGGGCAATGGACAACTTGAAACCCGGCACTGGCACCATCTACCTTCCCGATCCGATCAACCAGCCCAACCTCCTGCGCGGAGTAGGTACCAACTTTGAGGGCCCCGGCTTTGAAGTGGAAGGAACTATTGCACTGCCTACAATCAACGGAACCTCGCACAGTACGGCTATTGCGGAAATTCATGGACCCGAGGAGTTAATTCTCAAAAAGCCATTCAAGCACAGGGATGCCTTGTCCCAATTGACGGGCCGGAAGGACATTGATAGTGAGGGAAACTTCACAGGAAATGCGACCGATCAGGACTCCGAATTTAAGGGGACCAAGTTCAAAGTGGCGCCGCATGTGGATCAAACTGCTGTTTACGAGGCTGTTTTTGCCAGACTGAATGCCGGAGGCTGCGTGGGCATCTTCCCTGAGGGCGGTAGCCATGATCGGCCTTCCCTTCTTCCTCTGAAAGGTATGAACTTATTCTTGATTTCATGTCGAAAATGACCAGTAACTAACATAATTACTTAGCTGGTGTTGCTCTCATGGCTCTTGGAACTCTCGCGGATAATCCGGATTGTGGTCTGAAAATCGTCCCCTGCGGTATGAATTATTTCCATGCACACAAGTTCCGTTCTCGTGCTGTGATTGAATTTGGTAGCCCGATCGAAGTCCCGAAGGAACTGGTAGACCGGTTCAGAGAAGGCGAGCGCCGGGAGTCGGTGGGTGCACTTTTGGATATCATCTATCAAAGCTTGGTTGCAGTCACTGTCACCAGTCCTGATTATGAGACATTGATGGTAGGTCCACCACTAGTCCACAGAGGTCTCAAATTTTCTGTTGTTCCATCGCATCTAACGAATCATAGGTTATCCAAGCTGCCCGTCGCCTTTATAACACCAGGGGCAAGAAGCTTCCTCTTCCTATGGTTGTGGAGCTCAACCGTCGTCTTGTCACCGGATATGCCCATTTTAAGGATGATCCACGCATTGTGAGTCTGAAGAAGGCCATTGTCGATTATAACAAGCAACTTCGCATTCTTGGCATTCGAGACCACCAGGTGAACTACGCCAAGTTCTCCATCGTCCAGGTCGTCGCCACTCTGATCTATCGGTTGGGCAAATTGGTACTGCTTACCATTGGCACCCTGCCAGGTCTGATGCTTTTCACTCCCGTTTTCATTGCAACCAAGTATCTGTCGATCAAGAAGTCTCAGGAAGCGTTGGCTGCTTCTTCTGTCAAGCTGCAAGGACGCGATGTCATGGCCACATGGAAACTGCTTATCGCATTGGCATTTGCCCCGGCTGTTTACGCGTCCTACACGGCCACCTTCACGTATTGGACCTATCGAAACCGCATCCAAGGTTACATGCCTGACTGGGTGCCTCTCTGGCTGGTAGTGGTGATCGGTGTTTTCCTGTTTCCCACCATCACTTTCGCTGCCCTCCGCATTGGTGAAATTGGCATGGACATCGTCAAGTCGCTTCGGCCCTTGGTCTTGTGTCTCAACCCATCCCCATCCAACCCGCTGGTGAAGCTCCGCGCAACCCGTGCGGCGCTCGCTCAGCAAGTGACCGAGGCCATCAACACTATGGGACCAGAGCTCTTCCCGGACTTTGACGCTGCTCGAATCGTCTCAGGCCCCTTCCGGGAGCCCAACCACGAGGAAGCAGTTGTGGACGGCGACGAACACCTCCCAGGACTCAAACGCATTCGTACCTCCGACCAGGGGGAGGACTTACCGACCTCTGAGCCTCTCCCTCGCAACGAGTCGTTCCACAACCTGGCCAACATTGGCTTCTTCTCCACGCGGCCTCCGAGTCGCAACCGTAGCCGCAGCAGCTCTTCTGGGCCGCGGCCGGGTTCGCGGCACGTTTTGAAGCCGCTGAGCCCTATGACCCCCAAGGATCCCTTGGAGGATGTCAGTTCTCGCATCCGAGATGCCATGCGAGAGCGTGGAGAACGACGTCGTCGCCGCAGTGAAGATGGAAGCTGGGACATGGCCAGCTCGGGCACCCGAACACCCTCCAGTGGTGATGAAGGGCGCAAGGATCTATGAACATGACCTACTACGATGACCGCTTTTGTATTGGAACCCTCTCCAGACCCTCCAGTTTCGTCCCAAGCACCACCACTGGCAGTGCTAGGCAGCGGAGGAGTATGTATTTATTTTGCTGCGTTTAAATAACCCCTCTGCGAGATATCCCAGTTGCTGTTTTTGTTTCATCCTGGCTGTTCTCCGTGTAAGGATCATTCCACGTATTCGCCTGTAATGAAATCGCCTGCACTATGATGTAAAGCGTTCGTATCGAACCCAACATTGAACGCCCTAAAAATACCAAGACAATCAGCGGAGACGAAAACACTCCCGAAGGCCGCGGGCCTCGCCACAACCCCCTGCACCGCCGAGTCTAGCAGCCAGAGGGAATAGTGCAGCCTGTTCGCATCGCCTCAATCGAATAAGAGTACCTCCTTCCACTGGACATATATCAGTTGATTTCTCCCTGCTCTTTTCCTCTTCTCGACCCCACTGGCGTCTCCCGCAAGTCTGACCACGTCGCCCGTTGCACCGCGTACACCCGTTCCGCTCTCATTCCCGGCTCGCCTCTCTTTTTTTAACCCTCCGCCAGCACATCAACCCTCGATCCTAGTCCTCTCCTGTCCTCCGCCTCGCCTTGAGCCTCGTCCTCCCGCGTCACCATGGCGGGCTCAATGCACCTCTCCCGGCTCCGCAAGTGGTTCCTCGCCTCCCCGCCCATCGAGTTCGCGATCACCAACCTCAAGGAGCTCCTGGTCGGCGCGCTTCGGCAGGGCCCTATTCCTCAGCATGTCGCGTTTGTCATGGACGGAAACCGTCGGTTTGCCAGGTCACATGGAATTGAGACTGTGGAGGGTCACAACCTGGGATTCGAAGCGTTAGCTCGGGTATGTTCTTATTCTTTTCGTGAAGTTCGCGCGAGCTTGCGAGCTCGTACCGAAAAGAGCTCTTTTTGCCACTATCAAGACCGGAAGCTCATACACAATCTCCAGATTCTAGAGGTCTGCTATAAGAGTGGAGTCAAGGTTGTCACGATCTACGCATTCAGTATCGAGAATTTTAAGCGGTCCAAGTTCGAGGTGGATGCGCTCATGGATATGGCCAAGGTGAAGCTCTCGCAAATGGCACAACATGGCGACCTGCTTGATCGATACGGAGCCAAGGTCCGCGTTCTGGGCCGATTGGACCTACTCAAGCCCGACGTCCTGGCCGCGGTCAACAAAGCCGTTGATCTGACCAGCCGTAACGGCGACCGCGTGTTGAACATCTGCTTCCCCTACACCTCCCGCGACGAGATCACCTCTGCCATCCGTGAAACCGTCGACGACTACAGCCAGCCTCTCAAGCCCGCCAACGGCAGTCGCACGCCCTTCTCCGAATCGCATATTACTTATAATATCCGCGCTCAGAACCTCGGGTCCAAACCGAACGATACGCACAGTGACTCCGGCTCGACGTCTGCTGATTCTTCGGCACCAGAAGACGACTCCTCGGCTTTACGACCTGATCATTCCCACCGTGTATATGAGTCCGGCTCCTCATTCTCTTCCTCCACAACTCTCCACCTGGGCCAGCAGGATGGACATAATCAGAAGGGGGCAACCCAGGGAAACATCTCCGGCTCTGAAAAGCCGGTCTTCAGCTCCCCTGAAACCATTTCGCGCCAGACCCTGTCCGACCATATGTTGACCAAGGGCACTCCGCCTTTAGACATGCTGATCCGCACCTCGGGCGTCGAGCGTCTGAGCGACTTCATGCTCTGGCAATGCCACGAAAATACCGAGATTGTTTTCCTTGACGTCCTCTGGCCCGAGTTTGATTTGTGGCACTTCCTACCCGTCATGCTCGGCTGGCAACGGCGCATCTCCAAGTCTCGCCAGAACCCAGAAGCCGAGGGCAACTTTGCTGGAGACAGTCCTGAGTCCAGCGAGGAAGATTTGGATGCCATGGTTTTGCGACAAGGCAAGGTCAAGGGCATCTAAAACATTCTGTAAATTTTCTTTCCTTTCGAGTACCCCAGATTATAGTATCTTTTATCAGCATCCAGCGGTGTTCGTGGCGTTTTGGCGACCCCGTCTGATCATTGTTTCCAATTCATACACCAGCATTGACAGCATTGCCTGCCGTTGTCTATACATCATCACTACTTGAATGCATGTCTATCCATATCTATTCTTACTTTGTCAGCCTCTTGAATAGAATGTCTTAATGACTCTTCGCTCAGTCTTCTACCCGATCACCTACATATTCAGCCGCTAGTCGCCTACTCCCTATATTGATGGTTCAGAATCCCGGCCATAGAAAAGGGTTTAGGGCCCGGTGGATTCTTCACAGAAGCATGTATCGTAGATAGGTACTGCTGTATGATCTCGCTCCACCAAGCATAACATTATTTTACGCAAGTTCAACAATTCAATCAGGCTTGCAGCTAGCCTCATCAAAATCTTCTTGAATTCATTATCATGAACATCACTTTCCTCTATCGTAGCATCATTGCATACCCCAGTCCAAATCAACACCAATGGAAGCAGACGAGGGGTCAAAATGTAAAAGCAGACACAAAACATCTAAGAAACAAGACCACACAGCACCGGTTTGATTTCTTCGAGAAGCAGAAGAACCTCCACGTCCGACCAAGTAGTTCTGTAGTACCTGACCGGAAAGTCTGGAAAATGTTCGAGGGCTCTTGAATTCTTGCTTTGTGTTGTAATAAGAAGACGTAAATGCAAAGACCGATCTCCATATCATGCAGCGGGTAAAATGTCACGAAGTCGATCAGAGAATAGTGCCAAACCTACACCAACGAGGAAAAGGACGAGTGTTAGCGACAGATTCCTGAGAAATGCAGAAGACGAAAATGTATATCTGGAAAAGGTTCCCGCATTGGTAAAAATGCCAGGCAAAAAAGGAAGGGAGCCAGTGTTGGGGGGATGCGATGGAAGATACATACCCGAAGGTCTGCTTAATGCTGCGCACATAGTACAGCTCCCAATTCTGCTTCGTGACGTCCTCCTGGCCAACAGGGACACCAGACCACTCGACGCGCAGCTGGGTGACACCGTCGACATCGTTCTGGTCAAGGTTGATCTGGAGGGTACTGAAGTGGCCCGCGGGCCACTGAGCCAGACGCCACTTCTGGACAATCTGCTTCGGGGCATCGAGCTTGACGTACTCGCCAACCACGTTACCGTCGAAGATGGCGAACTTGCCGCCAACCTTGGCGCCCTCGAACTGGCGGGGAGAACCGCGGGTGAAAGCGGCGATGCGCTGGGGGTCGGTGAAGGTATTGTAGAGTTCCTCGGCGGTGGTACGCATCTCGTCGGAGGCAGTCACAGTGGTAGTGTTCACGGCGACCTTGCCAGTGGTCGAGGTAGTCGTGGACGTAGCGGGAGCGGCATCTTTCTTAGAGGTCTGGGGGTGGACGGTGGCCGGGGTGAAGCCGGCAGAAGGGTTGACGCCGGGGGCGTGCTGGAGGTCCTTGGCGTGCTCGCTGACGAGAGCGTTGGTGAGCTTGGCCAGGGTCTGGCGTAGTTGAGGAAGGATCTTGGAGCGGACGAGATCCTTTACGGGCTGCTTAGATGCAGAATCGCCGTGGTTCTCGACCTCGAACTGGTTCATTGCAGATCGCACGTTAGTTTCGAATCAATCAAAGCCCTGGATAATATCCAATGGATGTGGTCCATGCCAAGGCCCTCGCGAAAGGGGGAGGGGGAGGGGGAGGTTGATCTCTAGGGAACGTACGACGTACTCATCTTCCTCGGTATCGTGGGCGACCTCGGGAATGCTGATGGAGCCGGTGACCTCCTCTTGGTCCTTGGTCTTACCTATGGAACAGTCTCAGCTGCCGGTCCCTCGAGATTGGAAGAAAAAGAAAAGCAATTGGTCTACAAACCTGAATACTCTAGCGACAGCTTGACATCGTACAGGGTGATGACCTTGCCCTTGCGCTGGCTGACGTCTACGTCGCCATCCATGGAGGTCACCTTCTCTACTTTGGCGGACACGCCTGCATCCTCGGCACTGACGGTGCTCAGGTTTTCCTGCAGCCAGTTCCGGGCCCAGGGCGCAGCGTCCTTGTTGACCCAGTGCCAGTTGTTGGGGTTGTGGAGAACCATGATGAATGTTGACTATGGAAGAAAATTCTGATTGGGATGGCGATTCGGGAGGGCCGAAAGAATTCTTGCTCCGTCAAATCTCTCCTCGTGCTGGGGGAATCCGGAACAGCTCAGGAGCTGCTAGTTTGTTTCTTGTCTTGGAATCGTGATCTAGATTCTAATTTGAGGTTTCAAGTTAGCGAAATGTTCGCGAAGCTTGTGTGTGGTGGGGAGGTCCAAAAAAGTAATTGCGCGAAGCAATAAGCCACAAATTTCAGGTCACGGAGCGTATATTTCCGGACGGGAAGCTTATCAGCAGTGAAGATGGATAAATCCATCCGCGTCTGACTGGTGCCAGCTGGTGTCTCATCATTTGGGCTGTTTTGAGTGTCGCACCCAGGTGGGTGAACAACAAAGGACACGAGGAAAGTGTCTTTGAGGTCGAGGGGCATGACAATCGATAACACAGTAGGAAACTTACAATTGAAAGAGGAGAGGCTCCAAACGCGAAGCTAGAGATCAGGGAATGTGTGAGTTGAGGAGAAAGGAGAGGATGAGGGAGGAGGGATGGACGATATTTGAGAGGACGGAAGACTCTAGAAGCGCACGTGATTCGGTGGATACTTGCGCTAGCGTGCAGACCACCAGGAGCTGCACATTTCGAGGCATCGAGGTCAATAGAAGATCAAAGAAGGCAGGATAAATGGGTCGGATAATCGAATATATACTATGTGAGCCCGGTTTACAGCGAACGAATGGGGATATCATAAAACGCAAAAAAACTTCACCGAAACCAATTTCAAAATGACACCCATGTACGACGTATACCTCCCTCCCTCTATTCCTGCTCCAATCGCTCCAAATCTTCCCATCCGTCTTCGGCCAAAAGCTGGTCTTTGACTCGCTCTCGCAATCCTTGAATTTGACTACCCAATGCTTCTGTCCATTGACCCTCAACGGTAGCAACTTTATCCTTCAAGTCGGTCGTGAGGGCAAGCTCCTCATCTGCTCGGGTCTGCTGCGTCCCCCGTCGCACATTCTCTTCCGGCTCTCCGTGCCATATTCTTTCTGCCTCGGCGAGATTCCGATTAGCTCGCATCAAGGCTGATCGAACTTCGTGTAGAAGACACAAGAGGTTGGTCTGTGACTCGATATACTGGTAGCTCGACTTCTCTGCATGTGACAGCAAGGAATAGAGATACTGTAGCGGGTGGGTGCGGTAGCTCGGATTCTCTTCGTATTCATTCGAAGGAATTTGAACCTGGAAGCCGTACAAGTCTTCGGGAACTTGCTGCACCATCTCCAGCAGTGATGGAGCAATATCCCAGAATGCGGATAGCTGAACCTCCACGCCGCGAACAACGTTCTGTTCGATCACGTCCAAGAATGATTCAAGCCGAGTAAGAGCCGAGGTCTCATATTGTACACGTCGGTCCAGAGTGTCCTTGGAGAAGAACGCCTGTGTTTCCCGGAGCTTCTCTTCGTTTTTCCCTTGCTGATATGGCAGCAAGGCCACGGCCTTATACTTCTCATCGCGGTCGCTGACCAGATCGAACGATTCTCGATGAAGTTGCTCCCTCGCTTCGAACAGCCATTTAAGCTGTGTGAGCTTCTCCAGGAGCTCAGGTTTCTCATCGCCTTCCTCCTGGGTTTGGTCTGGAGTCTCATGCTGCGCATCGTCGAAGAGCTTGCTGCTCAACTCATCGATACAAGCTGTCGCTCTATCGATCCGGTCGTTAAGAATCGCAAGCATCGGGTTCAGCACTGTCTCTTGATAGGTATCGAGTTGACGCTTGACCAATCCCCGTTCGAGCCTGTTCTCCTCAACCAGCATGGCGGCTTCGGCCTCCGCAGCTTCCGCAAAGGTGAGGCTACCTTCTTGGATCTGGCTTTGGATATTCGCTTTGAACTGCTGACGACCCTCCTTGACTTGACTCGAGTGTTCCTGCAACATCGTCTCCATATCTTCCTGGTATCGCTGCCGGGTAGATTTGATCTCGGAAAGATCGGTGATCGAACGAACTACAGTTCTGTAGGACACAAGATCCGGGTGGCTGTTGTTGACGGCGGGATAATGACGCGGGTAAGGCGGGGGCAGAGTGATCAGTCGCGAAATGTCTAGTTTCTGGCTCGCTCGTGGCTGTCCAAATGGGTTGCCATTCCCATTTACCGAGTAAGAAGATCCTTCTTCATGCCAGCCCACCTTCTCTGCTGGGTACTCGTCTGGTCCATAAGCGGCATATTCGCCAGTGTAATGTGCACCGGCGTCATCGAGCTTTGACGGCGTCTTTTCCGAATCCCATTGCGTGCCATCCCGCGGCAATCCCATGTATTTGGACTCTCGTTTCGACCGCTGAACTCTTCTCCCGGCTCCATCACCGCTGGATCCGGTTTTCGATTCCCACCAGCGACTCGGTGCGCGCCCTCGAGAACTCATTTCGTCATTGCTCATGCTGAGACTGGCGATTGGTGACAGGCAGGGCTGGTAGTTATTCCACCACGCAGAATCAGGTCGGCTTGTTCGGTTTTGGGGTATCTCGAGCGTTGGCTTCACAGGTTTTGCTTTCTGGGGCATTGGCATGGTGAATAGCTTGTTAACAACATCTTCAACTACTGCTGGGTTTGACTCCCAGACAGCGGCGTAGCGCACACGGCGAATCTGCGATTCTTGGATGATGAACTCGGTGAAGAGCTTCAGAGCCTCATTTTCGTCGACTGCGGCGGCTTCTTGTTCGATGAATTTCCTGTGCCGTTGCATGGCATCCTGAAGAAACTCGGTATCTTGCTTGATTATCGATTCCAGGGATGGCGGTTGTATCACTTGTTGGCCTGGAATCCGACGCGGTGACAAAGGTTTGATTCCCGAGATGACATCGTTGGGCATGTGCAAGATGTGAGAGATGGGTCTGTCTTCTGGCCCTCTGGATGAGGCACGAGGGCGTGGTTGAAGGTCTTTGCCAGAATTTAGAGGCGGTGTCGGGAGTGCCTTGGGAGGGACTGTCTGCGAGACCTCCTGGGAATATGATGAGGTCGATCCCCCTTTTGGTGAGAATGGTGGAGTGTGCGCGAAAGCGGCTGACGGTCCAACGGGGCTTGAATCAAGCTTGATGGGCGTTGTATACGATGATGACTGGTCTGTGAAAAGACCTCCAGAAGATGCTCGAGATCGAGACCCAGTACGTCCATCTGAACCAATACTGCGACTGCTTTGAGGCGTAAACCGTGACGACGTGGGCTGGTGTACTGGGTCAGGGCTCGCCTTTTCATGGTCTGGGAGAACAAGATTCGAGGGCTTGATTTGCTCCAAGGCATCTGCCCAAGGGTTTCCACTGGTAGAAATTGCGCTCATGTCTTCGATGCATTGACTTCGTCGGTTGCGGCGTTCGATTCTTCTTTCACGGATACCTTTGGCACTGGGATCTCGAATTGCTGAGCTGCGGAAAAGACCACTTCCTCCACTCCCAGGAGTCCTTTGGGACTGCTGAGTCACGTCATTGGAGTTAGGGTCATCCACTGGATTTGGCATTGCCCTTGCCTTGGCTGTATCAACATAGAGAAATTCAGACTCCTGGGTTGGGCGGTGGTTCATATACTCCTCATCTACCCAATCAGCCGGTGTAGGAGGTATACTCCCAAGACCAGTCCCTAGCACCGGGGGTCGAGCTCTGGTTCTGCTGGGCACATGGACTGTTCTGGCAGAAGATGATTCCGACGATCCACTCACACTGACCGATGCCGTGGTTGGCGGAGGGCCCGGAGGAGGTGGCGGCAGAGGCATCCCTGGCTCCCAGCCACTGTTTGAAGGTGACCGGTTCCTCGATTGACTTGCTGCGCCTGAGGACCCAGCACTGCTGACCACAGCACCAGCAGATGCTGCTCTGCGAGAAGCAGGCGGTCTTTGTGGGGCCTCGAGTTGACCATATGACGATCCTAGTGCATTTCCTCTCATGGCAGGTGATGGCAGGGGCTGTTCATAGTTTGATGATGATATTCTGGGCCGAGGCTGCTGTGCGACAGAGTTATAGCCCATCCCCTGGTATCCATCAACACGACTTTGCGAAACCGATCTGGACCCTGGATGGCCTTGTGGCGGTGGAGGAGGAGGTAGTGACTGTCGAGAAGGTCCTGCCTCACTTGGGTATACCATAGAGAGTGGCCGGGGGCGATGTACAGAGCGTCGTTGATAATCGGTCGACACATCAAAGTCATTTTCTCTGACTGGATTTTGGGGTGGGGTCACGCTAGAAGATACTGCGATATTCGGATTTGGAGATCCATATGTTTCTGGCGAAACACGATTTTGACTGCTTGGGGGAGAATACGGGGGTGGGGGAGGTGACAAAGTCTCGTCTACAATAACTAATCGTTTTAGTAAAGCAGCCCTACCGGGTCACTGGAACGGGAACGAAGCTGACCTGCATAGGTCCTCTGCTGCGGTGCAACTCGAGGAGTGTTGCTAGACTGGTGATATGGAGCCTGACCAGGGGCGCCCATGGGTCCCCAGTCTTGCGGATTGTAAGGGACACTATAGCCAGCTGGCTGTCTGGACGCCATTGAAGACGAAGACGATGCCGATCTTCCGTTGGCTGGCGAAGCAACATAGGGAGAATGACTTTGCGTAAAGGGGCTCGATAGCGATGTGGTGGAAAGAGGCGTGTTAACATGGTGAAACTGCGAGCCTCCAAGGGCCGTTGTCAACAGTGGAGGTTGAATCGCATGTTCGCGACGATTTGGCGACGGCTGGTTGCTTGACCAGCCTGGATACTGGGAATTCATCGGCTGCTCGTTGCTCGCATAGTTCGAAGTTGTCCAGCTAGGGAAATAGCAATCAGCATCGCAGACATAGGGCAACACGATGAATAGGAGACTGAATATTGCGACAGCCAAGCGAGCCAAGCGTACCTATTCATCGTCGTGTGTCCTTCCATCAGGCCGCGGCGCAGATCAAAGCCATGGTTTCATCGTTGATCTGGAGAGTAGATCGCAAGCCCACGACGACCAGCGAAGGAGGCAACTCTCCCTGCAACCAGAGAGAGACGGCTTTTTTTTTCCCTCGGGAGATTCGCCGCAGCTGTAGCGGAGAGCAGTGGGAAAAGAGAATCAGCCCTGGTGCATAGGGCCAAGGCCTGCAGACCCAAGGCAACGGCACACACTCCACCAGGAGAGGGGGTCGTAGCTAAATTTGGAACACAAAGAAGACGGCCCTCATGCTTTGGAGTGGGGGAGGCCATCTGCAGGTGCGAGAATCTCATCACACGCGGGCTCCCGGCCAGCGCGTAACGCCATCGCTGAGAGGCCCAGCGCCATTCGCCCCACAGACACGGGCCCCTATGCCCTGAAAAGATCCTGAGCCGCTCAGAGGTCGTCTGCGATGGCCTCCAAAGCCTGCTGGACGAGTTCGATATCGTATTATCCCGAGACGACGGGCGAAAGAAGAATTGTTCGACCCAGTGGCCAACTGATAGTCAGGGAGGCTCACTTTTAGGAATTCCCTGGAAACAATCGAGAGAGGAGTCGCTTGGCGTCATAATGCCGATAATAAGTCGACAGCATGAGTCAGTAGCCCATGGAGGTTGAGTTTCTGCTGAATTTGGGGTTCATTGGTGGTCTGGAGATATGGAGATGTGGAGAAGTATGAAGGGGCACTCCCGTGGTCGTGCTGGGCAGCTGTCAGTTGTACCAATACATGTGAAGCAGCGGCTATCAACATACCTAGAGTAGAGTAGATAGGAGACGCAATTAGTACATGATAATAGTTAATACAAAGTGGCCGAGCTTTGGATTGTATAAAGACACCATTCCAATCAAGCGAGAGCATCATGTTCAAATGGACGGGCCCGCATAATACATAGAGGATGCCTTGGAGACTACGCCGTACGACTCAGCAGCTCAGACTCAAACTACCATTAACCCAAAGGTTGCTACAGCTAGACACGTGGCGATCAAGACCAAGACCAATACGTTTAGAGTGATATATTTTTATCAAAGGATTTAAATTACTGCACGCTAATGCAATTTCGAAACCTGTGAACCTAGACTCGGCCGAGCTGGGTCCGAGGCTGGAGAGCAGCATACTGCGAGTGGAACCTGTTTACTGATCGACGTTAGCGTCAATTCAACACATTGCGACCGACAGAAATGTTGCTTTAACAATGGGTGTCAGATAATATGCCCTGTCACAGGCTGTGGTCATCAATTTAAAATCCTTATGTTGACCGTCGTGATAATTGAAGTAAATCATCATATTACAGGAGAGGGAAGTAAAGGAAAAAGAAAGAAAACAGGGTCACTCACGTTAGTGTCCCTGGCCAAATGGCAGCGACAGGAATGGAATCAAAGTTCCTGATAAACCCTATTCAAGACCCATCAGTATCGAGGACTGACTGCATATTGCAGGCATCGACGAGATGTTTCGCGATCGATCAGGCATGACAGGTGTCGTCTTTGCCAGCAAGCTGACTAGGACATATGCTTGTCTTTTTGTATTGTCGATTCATCATGGAAGGGCGAGGAAGAGAGGCGACTAGGAGTGACATACACCTTACGCTCGTGGAAGAGCGAACAAGACCGAAGTCCAGAGCTTGTTTGCTCATCGAGATCACTGCGACAAACAGTATTAGTAACTATTGTCAAATGGTCTTTTATGAATGTGTCCACGAAAAAAGGTTTCAGAGAAGCATGAATGGTATTAAAAAGATGTTGTCTGCATCGATAACTCGAATAAGACTCGTCATCTAAGGGAATCATCACATAGGGTGGATAGGGGAGGAGTCCGCAAGGTTTGCATACCTGTTGGAAAGTCCCGACATTCATTATCACGTCTGTGTCAAATACATGCATGACTGCTCGAGGGAATTAGCGACTCGTCAAGAAGTCTTGTGTGAGTCGACGATGAGCATGAAGTATGTCTCAGTGGGCGAGGTTTTCTAGGCCTGCCGCAAAAAGGGCGTATCCGTCATGACCGGACGTTGTCAAAACGACCGTCGGAGCCCAGTGCCGTTTCATCTTCGTGACAGGGAGGGGTCTCAAGTGAAGTTGGATGAGCCGGAGGGCTTACCATTCATGAGCCGGGATAAACATCTGTCTTCAGAACAGTTAGCAACAAGTTCCGAAAATTTTTCCAGTGAAAGAGATTTGGAAAGGTGACAATGATCAGTAAAGCCATTAGTTATCGTCAACGATCCGAAGATCTTGGACGGTAATTTCCAGCGTATATTTAAAAAAGCGTTCATCATGCGAAGGTGTCTGGGTGCAGAGGGAGAAAGGAAGGAAGGCGGAACTAACCATGTGGAATGACTTGCCGGGCAAGCTGAAGATTGAGGTCAAGTTAGTCCTATGAGAGGCAAGTTAGCTTTCTGCCTCAGTCCACGGCCAGTGTGAGATAAAACGAAAAGAGGTGTGAAGTGATCAGCCTGACGTGCAAATAACAGAAGTTTCATACCCTTGTCGGGTCAAAGACTCTAGTTTGAATTGGGTTATTGGTATCATCATGTTGAGGTACCATTGGGTGTGTGTGAAGAGAAATGAGAACGAAGACGGTAGCTTACCATTTTTCCTGGTGCTGTCAGCGGCGTCAGTTAGTGACAGAGCAGGCGTAGAAATGAAAGATATTCATGTTGAAACCTCGAAGCTAAAACCCAAATGGCAAAAACATCAAATGCCAGGAGGAAATTTTGCTCTCGGTTGGGGGAAAGAGAGAAAGCGAAAACACAGAAAAAGTTCTTTTCAAGCTCTGCTGCCCCGGATCCATATTTTGCCGAGCCGAACCTAGGCCGCATGTCGCCTAGTCTGAAGCCTCAGGTGCCAAGTGCTTATGTCACTATTTATGCCTTTTTTTCAAGGCATCGTTTACACCCGCGCACCCCGCCCACTACCCCCTACCGATTTTGAATATTACTCAACCACCAATAAAGATATGAGATTGATAAATATACTAGACTAAACGTTACACATTGGTCTTTTATGTCCAGTTGTGCCACAATTACCACAGCGCGGTGGTGCCCTCTGGTAGCTATATTGCCCTGCGGTACTGGGCTCTGCGGCTACTACAGCAGTGGTAGTATTAGCCTGAATATACTCTTCCTCCCATTTTGCCTTCGTACAACCTTCTGATCTGTGTATAAACGTGCTAGGAATAGCACGTTTTTTCTGCTGTTTCGCGTTCGCAGCACGTATTCGGTCAAGATCGGCCAAATATAGAGCTCTGTCATACTTAAACGCGCACCCTTTGCTAATTGTTCAATCTGCACTAGAGCCCTCTCAATATTGCATAGATCTGGCTGTTGTAATAGCTTGCTGATTGATCTTGTTTGACGCTGAATTTCAATGGGCTTCTCCGGCGTACAGGGGATAAATCCACTGCTACCACTATCGCCTGCTCTACTACCTGGCGGGGTAGTATTGACCTGAATATTCAATTTATCTAATACCCGTTGCGCAGAGAGAGGTACAAGACCAGCGCCAGCGAATGCCTCGCTATAACTGATGGTGTATATGCCTCGCTACGCGCAAGAGAGTAATTTGATAAGAAATCAAGCTTGTCAATATGGTTAATACCATTAACCATCATCGACTGTACCAATTGACCATATACCCGCTTGATAATAGAAACGCAGCCTACATCAAGCGGTTGGAGCAAGTGTGGCGAGTGTGGAGGCATGCAGATCGATATAATATCATTTTCCATGCATAATTGATCGAACTGGGCGGTCATATGGCTTCCATGCCCATCCAATACTAAGAGGCGCCATCTACCCTTCGTCCGACCATTAGTTAATGGTATAAAGTGGCTTCGTAGCCACCGAAGGCCAATCTCATTCGTCGTCCATCCGTTATCGCTAACTTCAAGAGACCAATCGTTCGGAAGATCAATTTGCGAGGAAAACCTGGCCGAATTGTAGGTTTTAGCTTTGAATATAATCATCGGCGGTAACGCCCATCCGGCCGCGCTGATTGATTCAATTGCTGTTACCCACTCACGATTTCCAGGTTGAATCTTAGCCCTTTTCCCATAGTAACCAGCGCGCGTTACTACCTTAGCAGTACTGCAAAGACCCATTGCGAAGCCAGTCTCATCGAAATTGTATATATCATCTTGATGGATGCCGTGCTTGCAAATTGCCTCTTTTACGAGGTTAAACCATTGTTGAATAAGCTTTGGGTCCTCACAGAGAGCGCGTTGATAGACTCTGCGGCGGGTATAGCGAGAATCAAGCTCTGGTGTACGCTTGATATAATTGGTAACTCAATTTTTACCTACTACTCCCGGAGGGCTCTTGCCGCGCTGGGAGAGTAGTAAATTGGCCATCTCTCGTACCAGTTCGTGCCGGGAAGCAATTCCACGATCGTCCATAGAGAGTATCTAATTCGGTCAATTTATGGTTGTTTGCGCGAGTAGTAGCGCGTTCGGTGATACCACTGCGGCGTTCGCGGAGGGTAGTCTCGGGGACTTCGAAAATGCGCGCGGCGCGTCGAACAGATAGCTTTTCGTCATTTTCGAGAGCCTGTATAGCAAGTAATAGCCTGCCCTCCTGGTTCTCACGCGAATGGGTAGAAATAGTGCGAATTGGTGGTATAGTGAGTGGATGAATTGATTGGGATAGTAAGAGGTACGCGTTTTTGGATGGGGTGTGCGGCTCGCTTGGGTGCGCAGGTCGCTTGGGAATTACGTTAGTTAACTATGAGAAGTCTCTGGTTTTTCGTTGCCATATCCCAGCATGGCGACCTATTACGTATTTAACTGATGATCCAGTTGTCGAGGTCATTTTCCTCTCACCTTTCAAGAGAATACCCAGAGAAACACTTTAGATTGTCAATCACAGTAATGCTAGCATTTACGTTTCGGAACTTTCCACCATCACCATCTCCGAGTGTCGCTACACGATATATGTTTCGACACGTGTGATATGACCACACAACTCTAGAAAGCTATGGTACGTTAAAACATCACATATGATTCACATAAATGTTGTTGAGATCGGCTACGACGAAGCACTGAATATTGAATGAGGGCCTGCTAGACAAATCGACCTTGATGGAATTGACAGAACTTGACTTGACTGTATCAAACTGTCTACATGCGATTCTGGGATATTTATCCCTGAACGGGCGGCAACCCCCTGACAGTAGTAAACCCCTCATAATCGGTCTCGATCGGTGTTCGTCCACGAAGATCCTCTGAATGTAGGATATAATGACGGCAAGAGCGCTTGAAGCGCATATTAAGCTCAGTGCGTGAGGCATCAATTCGGCGCCTTATCCTGGTGTGATCATTAACAGCGTGAAATTGTGAACTCTATTTTCCAAATTTATTTTACATTGTATTTCCTCATGCGTATGGAATATGAACAGTATCATGAATGTGCAGTTCTCTGGTCTGCAAGCTCAATAGACTCGTCCCGCATACTGAAATGCACCGTTTTCAGAACGTGCAATCCCTGTCCAATGGTCTCGGGATCATGTTCCATTATAGGATCCTCCTCGCATTCCCAGCCCCTCAATTGGCCCTCGCTGGTACTTGTAGATGCCGGTGAGCGAATTTTGCTGGAGATGGCAGACCCAATGTCCTGCTTCAATGATCTGGACCCAGATCCGGAAGCACCTTCTGTGTATGAGATCCCGTCCCTATCCTCGTACGCTGCGATGAAAGATTTGACAAATGCCGTAACCAGGCACACGACACTCAAAGCGAGGTATATCTCGGTCGTCACTGTTGCAAAGGCACCGAGCAGAGTTGGATGGGTTGAGTCGAGCTGGACACTGGTATAGTAAAAACGAATGGCCGCGAGAGGAATGAGTCTAGAAGTAATTGGTCTTGTCAGTTCACGAAGTCTCGGAATGGTGGCGGCGACAAACTCACAAGACTCGACTCTCGAGAGCCAGAAAAACCATTATCTTTTCTTTTGTCGATATCCTGACTCTGTAGACTGCAAGCCCTGAATATACAAACAGCATGACCTCGGTGACAATATCGATTGCTGTGATGGCTTGCCATCGCGGAAGCTCGAGGGCCGTCAGTATGTATGCTTTACTATGAATGCAGTGTCTAAGACTCTTACCAGGGTGCTGCACTGCGCAGCGCTGATGTCGGACCATGGATCACTGCTACATCGAATTGCGACAAGGAGCACCGAAAGCACCGTCCAAATAATTGTTCCCGCCAGAATTATGCGAATCGCTCTGCTCTGCCTGTTTGAGAAAAGACCCTCGTAGAACAGACAGGTAGTTATCTTAGAGCATCCTAGTACAATCATGGATAAAATGTCGGCAGCGTATCCGGCCTGCTTTCATAGTTAGCAACGGAAATCACCAATTGGCCCCGTGACTTACTTTCAGCATTCGATCGCCAGTCGCGTTGCCAGAGCCTTCTCGAGCTCCCCAGCCATAATGGACCTGTGATAACACCACTGCAGCTTGTGCCGATGATACTATCTGATCAATTCGTGTCAGTCAATCAAGGAAACGGGAGGGTTTGAGTAGTTCAATATGGAACGTGAGGAACCCGAGTAAAAGCTCACCACAAGTGCGCCGAAAAAATAGTCATCCTGCTGGAGAATATGCCTCTGATAAGAGGAAAAAACCCGCGCAGCAAGAGAAGCAACAATCAGCACCAAACAAAACGCCGTAATTACTACAATCAACCCCGTATGATTGTCGGCATTGTCTGTTGTAAGAGGCGGGCTCACTCCGGAAGGAAGCGCCGTTGAAGAGGTTGACATGACAGGCTAACATGGAAAATGAACGTCGTGCAGACATTGGATGAGGTCGAATCGCACTCAGATAAGTATCTCTGGAAGGCAGATAGACGAGGCTCTGGGCGCGTTATTTTTCACGTCCTAATTTTGGGAGAAACACGCCTGGAGAGCCGCCCAACCGCCCCAAGTGTCTCGAGGGACGGAGAAGAGTTGGGGCCATATGTATTACCCATGTCCGGGCGTATTTCCCAAGAGCGCCACCCAAATTGCTTGTCGCTAATCACATCGCCGGATCAAAGGCACCAATCTAAACTGACCGGGGTATACGGCGATCATTGCTTGGTCCAGCTGGCGAGGAACGTCGCACGCGATCGGCGCAGGAAGAGGAATCGAATCGTTGCTCGGCCTACCCTCCCTTGATATCGTGTTGGAAGCATATCATGCCGAGTAAGCGGCATTTTGTGCATTGTGTTACCCGCCTCAGTCGTATCTCAAATCAGTCAAGACACCTTGCAGCATAGACATGGATCATGACGGCATTCGTTCAACGGATGGGATAAGATGGCACGTCGGCCACCGGGTTCCTTTTGGACATGCTGGTGGCCATCTTGGAGATTCTTCTCGCGAACACTCCGATCGGGTTTTCTTCCGGCTTGTTGGCACCAGCCGGAAAATGACCGGGTTCGTGGTGTACAGGATGCGGCACAGGTGTTCTCCACATCGCCAGCGCGCGATGGAATCAGCTCTGCAGCTCATATTTAGCGCACTGAACATTTTCGCTGGAGACACGTCGGCCTTCCCCGATGCTGCTTAGCTTCTGGAAGCCTTCTATTGTCTTGAGGCACACTTCATGCGCGGCGATAATCGCATTTCTCGAATATCAATCGATCGCGGACGGAGTAGGAAGTGGAGAGGCGGGAGTGGCCCCGGAATCTAGGGATCGGCCCTGGCGAGCACGCCCCTCGACGCGGCCCGGTGGGTTCAGACCCGTCCCTTAGCTGCCCTAGGGCCTTTCCATCGCCTAGGCGTGTTTCGGGCTCGGCCCTGTCCCGCTACTCATCCAAAAGTTTAATACATGGTTTTCGCCTGATTGCAGTCGTCGTGCTCTTTTTTACTTTCCACTTGGCTACATTCCCTCTGCTGTGCGGCATTGATGCTTGATCACCATGCAGGTTCGGAATAAAACAGCCCGTTCGGAGACACAAGACATGGAGGTCCAACCGATGGATCAAGATGTTGCTCCGAGCCCTAAAACGGCTGTGTTGGACGACAATGATATGCACCGAATGGGAAAGACCCAGGAACTCAAGGTGCGTTGGCCCATCACATTGCATCATATTGGTTTGTAACTCATATTGCCTAGAGAAACCTGCGCCCCGTGGCTGCGTTAAGTTTTGCTTCGGTCCTACAAGCGACGTGGGAATTTATCCTCATGTGAGTTCGAGCAGCATTCAAGGCATCGGTGCCTTTCTAATTCGGATGAACGGGCAGTTCAAATGACGAGGGCCTACAAAATGGAGGATTGCCTGGTATGTTCTGGTCTTATATTTGGACGTTCATTGGGTTCGGCTTCATTATTGCATCCCTCTCTGAAATGTCGTCCATGGCCCCGACTTCTGGCGGACAATACCATTGGGTCTCTGAGTTCTCCTCGCCTCGATATCAGAAGTTTCTAAGCTATGTTACCGGTAAGTTTCCACGTATTGCGCTCTGAATGAGAACACCGCCACTGATTTGTCTGTACAGGATGGATGTCTGTACTGGCATGGCAAGCTGGATCCGCTTCAGGATCTTTTCTCACCGGAACTATCATTCAGGGTTTGATTAGCGTGCGGAACCCGGACTATGAGCCTCAGAATTGGCAGGGAACCCTCTTCGTTTTCGCTATGGTTTTGATCATCTACATGTTCAACGTCTACGCGGCCGAGGCAATGCCAATCATGAATAATCTCCTGATGATCCTACACGTTTTGTCCTGGGCTGTTATATTGATTGTCCTCTGGGCTATGGCTCCTCACCAGCCACCTTCTGCTGTATTTTCGACGCAATGGAAGAATATGGGAGGCTGGTCGACCATGGGACTAAGTGTCATGATTGGACAAATTTCAGCTATCTACGGCTCCTTGAGTATGTACCCATGAGAAACTTCACACTATTCGCTTGATACAAGCTAACAGATCAACAAGGCTCTGATGCGACTGCACACATGTCTGAGGAAGTGAAAGATGCGGGCCGCAACGTCCCCATTGCCATTGCTTGGGGGTACTTCAGCAACGGCATCATGGCCACCATCCTGCTGATTACCTATCTTTTCGCCACTCCCTCAGTCGAGGACTCTCTCGACGACGTGACAGGCTTCCCCTTCCTCTATGTCTTTAAACAAGCGACCTCGGTAGCAGGAGTAAACGGGCTCACCGCAATTATCTTGCTCCCCGTCATTTTCAGCAACATTCTCTTCAACGCATCTACCTCTCGCCAGACATTTGCCTTTGCCAGAGACAAGGGTCTTCCATTCTCGAGATGGATCGGCAAGGTCGATGCCAAGCGCCGGATCCCCGTTAACGCCATTGTCCTGTCTTGCATTATCAGCTGCGCCCTTTCACTGATTAATATCGGGTCTGAGACCGCATTTAATGCTATCATTTCTCTGAATGTGGCTGCGCTGATGTATACATACATTATCTCGATCAGCTGTGTGATTTACCGGAAGGTCTGGCACCCTGATACCCTTCCATCACGCCGATGGGACATGGGACGGGCAGGATTGCCTGTCAACATCATTGGACTGCTCTACTGCTGTTTTGCTCTGTTCTGGTCTTTGTGGCCGAGCGATCGGATTGTCACACTTGATAACTTCAATTGGAGCGTGGTCATCTTCGTAGGCGTTTTCATTATCAGCCTGTTCATGTACATAGTTAAGGGGCGGAAGGAGTATTCTGGACCAGTGGTGATGGTTCAGCACTGATTGAAAAGCGGCAGGTTTAATTTAGATCGACTACAAAAGTTCAATTGCATGAGACGATACCCTTCTTGTCTCCTATAATTGACTCCCTGACTTCTCACACGTATAGTCATTTGGTCATACATAAGCCGGCACATTTCGGCGCAAAGTAGTCCCGGCCTTCTCTGCCATCTCCGCACGTTGTGGAGCAGCAAGGGAAGAGCTCCAATTTTCCCCTGCGGAACTCCAATCAGACTGCAGATTCGACAGTCTCTCTGAGTTTGTTTACTACGTAGTATATAAATGCGATGGGCGACACACACTATGCATGGCCAAATCTATACCGACATCAACAAGCGACTTCTCTCGCCCATTGAACGGACTGGAATGAGCCCCTGCGGCGCCAAGGAGGGGGTGGGGGGACACACTTCGAAATCCTAACTTCTCCAACTGCCACCATCCGCAGTTGTTTCCCGGCGCAAATCCTGTCGTCTCCGTAAATCGGCGGGGTGCTCGGCAAAGCTTGTCGAAATCTGGCGATAGTGTCGTTTTTGGTGTACCCGAAGGCATCTTAGGTGTTGTCGCTGGCCTGCGCTATCCTTCCGATCGATGGCGTGCTCCGGCAAGCAGACCATCAAAACGCCAAACACACATTGCAGTCCGGCAAACTCGACATGGTCATGCCACAGCTCGAAAAATAAACCGCGACGATGACTTCTATTGAAAAGCCCCCGCAGAGCGTGGGGGCCGCCGAGACCACGATCGCATCGAGTGTCGAGGATAAGCACAAGCAGGACGCCGCACAGATCTCTCCGGTGCCGGAGCGCCAGAAATGGTACGAATGGTTTGCGCCGACAGATACCCCGGCCGAGCGACGCCTGATTCTCAAGCTGGATGGCTTGATTATCGTGTTTGTGTTCTTGGCGTACTGGGCGAAGGTGTTGGATTCGTCGGCGACGAGCACGGCGTACGTGAGTGGGATGAAGGAGGATCTGAAACTCTATGGGAATCAGTTGAATTATCTGAATACGGTATACATGTATGTTCAAGGCCTGCCAATATGGGCTGAGTTGCATACTAACGAGCAACCTGTATAGGGTCGGATTCATTACGATGCAAATTCCCTTGACACTTGTGGTTCGTCATACAATCCGAAAGTACAGTCACGGCGAAGACCTAACAGATTGAACTTATAGATGACACGATGCCCGGTGAACTACTTCCTACCAGCAGCTGATCTATTCTGGGGCGTGTTCACTCTGGCGCAGTACAAAGCTAGCAATGTGAACCAGTTGTATGCCCTGCGCTTCTTTGTGGGAGCTCTCGGTGGTTTCTTCTTCCCGGCAGTGCAATGGTACCTAGGCAGCTGGTACAAGCGCTCAGAGCTGTCTCGCAGAGGGGCCATCTTCTTCATTGCCAGCCAGGTCGGCAACATGAGCTCCGGATATATCCAAGCGGGTGCCTACGCTCGCCTTGATGGCCAATATGGAATTGAGGGATGGAGATGGCTGTACATCATCTGTAAGTTCGACCTCTCTTTCTTTCTCTTGATAATCTAACACATAATAATCTCGAATAAGGTTTTGCTTGTACTATCCCCATTGCCTTCATGGGCTTCTGTCTTCTACCAAGCACCCCCGACAAGTGTCGCTCCCGCTTTCTGACCGAAGACGAGATCCGTCTCGCGCAGGAACGCATGGCATCTGAACATCGGGAGGCCCGCCAACCATTCACCATGCCGAAAATACTCAAAATCCTCAAAGGATGGCGGCTGTGGGTGCTCGTTGCATTCGCCTTGTTCTTCTCCCAGGCCGACGGTGTATACTCGAACAGCGGTCTATCACTGTGGCTGAAAGCCGAAGGCTATTCAGTCGGGAGCATCAACACTATCAACACTGTTTCACCGGCAGTAACAATCGTCGCCTCGGTGATTTGCGCCGTGCTCTCGGACGTGTACAACGCTAAAGCAAGCCTGATCGCAACCACAGCTCTACTCAACATTTTCGCTTGCATAGTCCTTGCCATCTGGAATGTCCCCGTGGGCCTCAAGTTCTTCGCATTTTTCCTCTCTGGAACAGCTGACGGTATCGCGGCTATCATCTATGCGTGGGCCAATGAAATCTGCGCGCATAGTGCGGAGGAGCGTGCGGTTGTGATCAGTGCCATGAACACGATCGGCAATACATTTGGAGCTTGGATTCCCCTTTTGTGAGTGTTTTGAGTCTCTGGTTGGCTGGACTTAAGCTAATATTCGTATGTAGTGTCTGGAAGACTGTTGATGCACCACGATATCTCATCGGGTACAATTGGACAATTGCGCTTGATGTCTGCATGTTGCTTATGCTGGTAGTGTTGCAGCATTTTTGGACCCGTGAGCAAAATTTTACCAGGGGCTAGAAAGGATGAAAAGTTCTATTACGGCGTATGCCACTACTATCTTGCTACTAATTCGGCACCTATAATAGAAACTTCAATGAATTCAGAGCCATTCCATGAAATTGAATTTATCCCATGGGTTAAGTCGGTCATAAAGATGGGGATCAATTTACCTGACCAAACATTTCAATTTGTCGGTGTACATGCGAGTAACGTGCGACAACACAAATAGAGAATATCTATGCTGTGGTACATCTTATCGTGGAGATCTATTTTTGTAGGTCAATTGATTGGATCTGGCCGTCCGTATGGGGATGCAAGGGATGCTTCCTCGCTGTAAACAAGTGCTCAAAAAGCAGATTCTTCTGATGTGCAGCACCTAGTCTAGATGATATTAAATTGGAGCCACCGGAAGAATAGTGAAAGTAATGATATTCTAGGAGAAGCTACTCTGTAAAATTCCACTGAATCAACTGACCCTCCCCACCGAGCTAGTCAATGGGTCGTTGGACCGACGTGGTCGATCAGGGGCTCGAAGTATAGACCGGTCGCTAAATCTGTAGCTTCTGGCAGCACGGACATGAGAAAATCCGTGATTCACAGTTGCTCGTATTAATAATGGCAAGCCCAACTCCCTCAATAATCGGGCGGCTAAAAAATTGAGTGTCCAGGTGATGGAGGCCCGCAGTGGAGGGGTTTATTTCTTCCGCTGGCTCTCCCGGGTTCTCGGCCTCGGCGATCTGGTGGTTCTAGGCTTTCGGGCAACCTGCCCAGAGCTCTCAGTTGATCGCTATAATGGCAATGCCACGTGAATTACAGTAACTAAAAAAAAGAGAAACTGAGAGAGATAGAAATCAAAAGAAACCAGAAAAAGAAATACTTTCATAGATATCCAATTCCAGCGATAAACGGGGGTAGCCGGCGTGGAAGGAGAAAACCGGAGCGGGCAGGTCACGCGGGGAAGAATGACGAAAACTCGCGGGAGTTCGGCTGGTGAAGTCACTCTCCCCCCGCCACGTACTTAGTCCGGTTTGCTTCCTCCCTCCTGACGTTGAATCTCCACCCGATCTGCCTTGTTCGTGAGCTTGCCACCCCGAGACGATCTTGTTGCAAACACCTTGAATTCTGACTTAAATTCCTCTAGTCCCAACTCTGCAACTCAATTGAATTGCTCAATTGCTCAATTGCTCTGTTGCATCTGTTATACATTACCGTTATCGCCCGCTCTATACCACCCCGCCTCCTACACCGCAATCATGGCCACCAACAACACATCCCCCGTCGGCCAAGAGAATATCAACACCGATATTATCACTCTCTCCCGATTCTTCACCGAGGAGCAGACTAAATACCCCGAGGCTTCAGGTGACTTCACCCTGCTGTGCCACGCCCTACAATTCTCCTTCAAGTCGATCGCCTACTACATCCGACGAGCCTCCTTGATCAACCTGACTGGTCTGGCCGGTTCCTCCAATACCACCGGTGATGACCAGAAGAAGCTGGACGTGATTGGCAATGACATCTTCATTTCCGCCATGCGCGGCTCTGGCAAGTGCCGCATCCTTGTCTCCGAAGAGGAGGAGCAAGTCATCAAGTTCGACGAGCACCCCGATGCCCGCTACGCCGTGGTCTGCGACCCCATTGACGGCTCCTCCAACCTGGACGCTGGTGTCTCGGTCGGCACCATCTTCGGTATCTTCCAGCTGCCCGACGAGGTCCTCGGGCCCAATAAGACCGTCGGCCCCGAGCACCTCCTTCACCCCGGTACCTCCCTAGTCGCCTCCGGTTTCACCATGTACGGTGCCTCCGCCCAGCTGGTCGTCACCATGCGCGGCGGTGGTGTCAACGGCTTCACCCTCGAAAACTCGCTGGGCGAGTTCATCCTGACCCACCCCAACATGAAACTGCCGCCCAAGCGCGCCATCTATTCCGTCAACGAGGGTAACTCCAAGTACTGGGACGAGTGGTGCACTCAATACTTCCACAGCCTCAAGTACCCCGAGGGCGACGGCAAGCCCTACAGCGCCCGTTACATTGGTAGCATGGTTGCTGACGCCTACCGAACCCTGCTCTACGGTGGTATCTTCGCCTACCCCTCCGACTCCAAGAGCCCCAAGGGCAAGCTCCGTATTCTGTACGAGTGCGCTCCCATGGCCATGCTCTTCGAGAACGCCGGTGGTCTCGCCGTCAACTCGCGCATGGAGCGCCTGATGGAGGTTGTTCCTGAACACATCCACGACAAGAGCGGTGTCTTCCTCGGCTCCCGTGACGAGGTCCAAAAGGTCATTGATATGTACAACAAGTACAAGAAATGAGCGTGTCTCCCGAAAAGCAAAATGAAAACTATAGACACATGGATTCTCCGGCCGGCTCAACCTCATTTCTTTCTTCGCGCCAGTCCTACCTTTGACATTTCATACTTATACGCCTTTTTTGTCCTGGAGTGTTGAGCTTGTTGGACCTGTGTCTTGCTCTTTACGGGCTATACTATCTATTTGAGTCGCCGTTACTTTCAGCGCCTTTTGGGATGTTTTGCCGTTTGGTTGGATAGTATATCATGACTAAAAGAATAAAAAAATATTAAAATATATTCTCCAGTTCCTTCGTAGATTCTTCCGTTCTGATTTGCTTCGACAGGGTTGTTTTTGTAGAAGCGTGGCGTGGTGCATCGGTGTTATGCCTGCCGAGATGACATGTGAACGCACTGCATCGTGACACTGCATGGTTGCTCAAGGTGGACCTTAATGTAATCTACCGTGTGTGACCGTACGCAAAAAGCACCCCATGGATATACACTATGCATTTATGGTGCTTTTACGATCTCCCGAAATTCGTAGAAGTATATATTCTAAGCCCTTACAATACATGAGACAAAGAAACCCAGAGAATGAAAGAAATCCCGCAGGGAAGATAAGAGCGAAAGATGCATGGAAGAGGAGAAACAGACATGAAAGAGCCTGACGACAGGCTAATCGACTGGATCTTCTTCTAAAAGAGTCTTGAAACTGAAAGGCAAGAACGGAACACCCTCGCCGATGAAATGCTTGCTCATTGCTTCGACCCAGTGGAGACGAAGAGAGTGAAGCATAGCACTGGTTCCTTCCATGACACACAGAACGATGACCTAGAGGTAATGTTAGTATCAATGATATTAGAGAGTTGGGGAAAGAAGGCCGTACCGAAAGGACAAACCACATGTAGAAGGTCACAATAATCATGATGACCCGGGTGACAGGGCTCTCGGTCTCGAAGGCGCCACCGATGGTCATGGTCCAAAGCACAATAGACAGCTGTTGGTGAGCCAGAGACAAGGCCCAGAGACGAAGGTAAGATGCAGTGTGGGAGATACAGTTCAGGCAAAACTCAATGGTGTGGATGACCTGGTGAATCATCTCGTCGCCAAACTCAAACTCTTCATGCTCCTCGTCATCGATGTCCTGTGCCAGCATGGCGACACCATCACCATCGCCAGCAATGCTATCGCGGAAGCCTCCGTTCGCATCACCGTCATCTTCAAGGGCACTGACTCGGGACTGCTCGCCAAGTCCTCGGTAGCCGAGGGCACGAGCCTTGTTGTGCTCGTGACGGAGCCAGAACGGCTTGAGGAGCAGCATGATAGGGACTTGGACGACAGCAATGAGAAGCAGAATAACCTGCACAGCGCTCTGTCCCGAGTAAAGTCGCTCAGTGACGGTACCAGGGCTCAGGAACATGAAAATCAACATGTTGAGCAGACTGGGGGGAGCATCACCAGTCTCTTGCCAGTTGATGGTCCACTTATAGAGAATGGTGATGGCAAGGTAACCAAAGATGGACTGAAAGAAGAGCATGCCAGGAACGAAGTTACCCCAGATGTCGACCTTGGACTTGAAGTGGCGGGCGTTGACATATTGGAAGCAAAGGGCGAAAGTCATGTGGGCCCAGCCGAGCAGGACACTCATTTTCATCTTCATACTGTTCGAGAAGAGCAAGGAGTTCTCGGCCTCGTGCCAGTTCCAATCCAGACCAATGGGGAAGCGGTAGCCATCCTTCAAGGAGGCTTCGACCGACTCACCCGCGGTGATATCCGACGGCCATGACCATTGACTGGAGAGGAATGTGAAAGGGCGAGAGAAGATATCGTTATAGATGAAACCGGTGTACATAGAGAAGAGACCCATGAGCAGCATGATGTAACGTCCGTAGAAGAACATGGACGAAATTTCGTCAAGCTTGACACGCTGCAGCTTCTTTTCAAAGAAGCACAGCGTTGCCGCGGTCAAGGTCATCAAAAAGCCGTGACCGAAATCACCAAACATGACAGCAAAGAGGAAGGGGAAGGTAACAACGGTGTAAATGCCAGGGTTGACCTCCGAGTACTTCGGGATACCGTAGGCATTGACAATGGTCTGAAATGCCTCGGTGAACTTGTTGGTTCGGACATAAGTTGGGGGAGTCTTGTTGGTGTGGATTTGATTGACGATGGTCGGAACAGAGAGGCCAGCGCGGTCGTTGACATCCTGCAGAGTTGACTTGATCAGTGTAAGGGAATTGGTGGGGCACCATGCCTCAGCAATCAGAGTCTTGCGGGCCTGGTCATACGAAAACTTGTTCAGTGTATCGTAAACCGCCTTCTCCTTCTTGACGATGATCATCCAAGCTGCGAGGGAGCGGGCGATCTGCGACAGCTCCGCATCCAGGGTGTTTTTGGTGTTTCGCAGCACATTGGTCACATCTCCCAGGCGAGTGTTGACCTCGTGGATCTGATCCCGTCGCAATTCGCTGTTCTCATCCACTCCATACAAGGAGGCGCCCAGGGACTCGGAGATTTTGCGAATCTTAGCAAGGATGTTTTTGCCGTGGGCGAAGATCACGAACACGTTCTTGTGGATCTCCTCGTTGTTTGTGGGATCGATGATAGGATCAGGGATTTCGGACTGGTTCATGTAAAGGTTGCCGCGCAGTGTTCGCCAGAGGATACGCTCGAAAGCACCGATTCGGTCGCGAGGAATGACACCAGAAACGAACCCAATGTTCATTTCCGAGAAACTCTGCTGACCCTGGGTATCTCCATTCGCGCCAGCAGGACCGTGCTGCTCAACGTCGCGTAGAAGCGGCGCCTCGTCGTTGTCGAACGACTGACGGATATCTTCGGTGTGGGTATGAGCCTGCATTCGGTCAGTCTTCTCTTTTGCCCAAGCAAAATCCATATCAAGCCTCTACTAACCCGATCGAAAAATCCACCAGCTTCCCGTAGAACCCAGCGCCATTCAGCGAGCTCGACTTCACGCTTCTTGAGCGTCTCGTAGCTATCGTTCAACGAAGCAATCCGCTGCTCAAGACTTTCACTACGCTCGGCCAGCTCATCAATCTCCGAGGCCAGAGGGGCGGCAAGCGTATCCGAGAAATCGTTTGAGGGTCGCATGGGAATACCAGCCTTCTCCATGTGAGTGTGGAAGTAGCCTGGAATGGAAAGGGACTAGGTCAGCAGCCTGTTCGGGAAGCACAGCAAATCGTAGACTTTATCGATTCGACATACGGAGTTGGCGTTCCACATTATCAAGACGGCGGATCTCCTTGGTAAAAGTGCGTTGGAAGGCGTTGGTGTCGGGGTTGAGCTGAACAAGAGAAGATATCACAAACATTAGCGGGATCTGCCTGTCGAGTATCACGACGGAGATGGATTCCAGCATCCACTCACATCTCTGAACTGAACCTGCCCGATTTCACCGAGAGAGCTGACGACCTCGCGGCCAATCTCGTTGGCGATATAGAGCTGGGTCAGGCTCATCTCCGACGACCGGAAGAAGGTATCCTGCGGAGCCATGATGGAGGGGAGGGCTGCTTGGAGCCGTGCCTTTCCACCGTAGGGTACACCGAAAGGAAGAACTCGATGAGATCTGTGGGAATAAAAGAGGGACACAGATGACGGCGTCGGCCGGGGACTCGACTGCTACCCGTGGAGTACTCCTGGCTCTGAGCTGGCCGCATTGCACGTGACGTCACGTGTAATCGACCACAGTTGCGTCGATGGGACGCTTCCGCATTCTATAGATCGGATGCATTGAGATAGAGATGAAATATGCATCTTTGCTGATATTGAGTCTCGGTGCGATTGCCTTTCCCAGCTCATATTACCTCTGCATAAATTGCTCGTCGTTGGAGGCACAAGATCATTGCCGTATCAAAAATTTGGCCGGTAAGACACTACTCTGCTGCATGTGATTATTCGTCCCAAGGCATCTTTAGTCTGTTATCTAAAATCTGCCAATGCTTTCCTATCGTTTCATCCGAAGTCCTGTCCTTGCCGACACAACCCCAAAGCCCTGGAAACTTCGCCAAACGAGACAGCCGATGATATGACTCCAACACGTCATCCTGGGAGTGATCACACAACCTCGCCGCAGCACCCAGTCCAGTGAGTTGAGCAACATAGGGATCACTTCGTGCGTATAAGTCAGTAGCTCCAAAATTGAGCACCATCTCTCGAGTCCACGCATTCGTTCACCTGCCGAAGACCTTATACGTCAGGCTTGGCGTCCAGCTGGTCAAGTGATGACTGTTAATTTCCTGCATCACACGTCTGAATTCGCCTCTCTGTTCGTCGGTCAAATGCAGAGCCTCCCGATTCTGCTCCATCTCGTCTCGCAAAAGATTCCGGACTACCCGCCGCGGGCAGCCTGCATCTTCAAGAACAGCGAACAGCACTGCAACCAAGGAGAAATCCGCGTGGCCGGTATCTTGGTGATATTTGCATGGCCAAAATGCCATACACTGGAGCGGGATGGGATCTCTTCCAGTCAATATTTCCAGGCGCTCAACTGCTTGCTGAAGCCCCCATGTCAGGTCTGGATATAAGTGCTGGAAATGATCGAGATAGAACTTGCACGGGTGGCATGTCCTTTTCTTGCAGGCCTTGTTTTGAGGTCCAATGGTAAAACGAATAGGGCAGCGTAAAGATGAGTGCATTGATGCTGATAGGTAACAGGATCATCTTGTATAAAGAATTTGAGCGTGACTGGAGGTGTAGTGCCATGTTTTATGGAGGGTCTTGTTCATCCTGACGGACTAACAGTACACTACCTAGCACCGGTACTGGCGAGACAGGATACTCGTGGAAGATAATAAAATAAAAAAACAAAAAGAAATTGTCTCCGCATGAACATGGAAATCAGCAATTATTTCTGTATTTCTCCGCGCCTTTCTCGAAGATAGTAATCTACTGCTAAGAGAAACTAATACGAGAAGCCTGCCAGAGGCTCGTATTCGGTGATGATCACTTCACTACCTACTAATGCAGTGAAGTATATATAGACTATTAATAGTCCTGGTGTATCAGAGAATTTGTTCCTGGAAAGCCTTGCTCAAAGCCTTGTCAAAGTGGTAGTCGAACACACCATCCTGAAGCCGCGCCACGACCACAAACGGTGGAAGAGGCTTTCCAGAAGCAGTGTTACTACTATCTGGTCATACTGGCTGGAGCCTTATGTAGTGAAATGCAAGTGTCTCTACCGCGACGGAATTGTAAGGCAATTATGAATAAGGTAAGGACGGATGCAATACTCAGTTTGCTGGGGACCAGCCGGGTAGACTCCCAAAACCGGGCAGCTTTTAGGGCACATAATGGGTAGCCCTGTACCCCCTCCACCCCCCACCAACTTCGTCTTCAGTCTTCCTCTCATGGTCGGGTGCGTTCAATGCTTTGCCATCAGGGAGCTGGTTTCCCGTCTACCGTCCAGCTGAAGATTATTTCAAAAGGCAACGATCAGGCCAGCCAGAGCCCGCTGAATGATTATGCCCCTTACCTACTGACATTCCCAGCTATAGCTGCAGGTGATTTACCATGTCCCTCGCTGTGCCGACTTCACCGCCCTGCTGCTCGTGACCGACGAAAGCGGTGTGAATCTGCCACTTACTCTACTATATAATTCGACTAATGGGTTTCCGATTGTCCTTCGGGACATTTGGTCAAATGAAAATATACAGAGAAGATTAGCATGGCCCCTGCACTAAGGATGACACGCTCAATCAAAGAGAAGCTACCATTTTTTTTTATTCCTTACAGATCCTTTGTTGAAGTACGAGACGTGGTTGAAATTTTGATATCAGCCGTTCGAATCGCGGCAGGGACATTCTTTTTTTCCCCACTTTTTTCAGTATTCAAAATTGAACCGCCGACGCAAGTTACATTTTTCGAATTGCCGCGTCACCCAGGCAAACTACAATATAGCAACTTTCAAAAAACAAATCCTGTATCAATTCACGAAATGAGATGAAACCCTTCATGCGTCCAGTTGCGAGGCAATTGCACAAATTTCTCTAGAAAGGTGTTCCATAGAAGAGACCGGACATATACTCCATACTTGAGTACAATACATGCAGGTACAGTAGTAGATCATAAAGCGGAGAGGTGGATCATAAAGCATCACGTTTTTCGAGAAAGTATAGAATTTGGAGAGGGCATGAATGCCGCCCGACATTCTTGGCATCCCCTGCCCACCTGAAATTTTTCCGTCTAGCCCACGTTTTGACCACCTTAACTCCCTGAGATCGAGATTATCGTCGGCCCGCAATCGCCGGCTGATTATCGGGTTGCCGCGTTTCCGGGGAAAGTGTAGGGGATTCCCAGTTGGACCCGGCGACCCCGCCATTCCGACCTCCCGACTCCTTCACCTCTCTCGGCTGCCGACCAGCCGGCGGCCAAAAAGAACCTCCGGGGGCAATTAGCGCTGGCGCCATGGCCTCGTACCCCGAACCTGAATCTGCGGGCAGGAAACGCATCTCGCAGGCTTGCGACAACTGTTTCCGACAAAAGGTGAGCTTCAGGATCAGAATGACGCAAGAGTAAATTCTGATCAGAACCGACAGATCAAATGTGATGCAGCACACCCGCGATGCAACTGGTGTGCGCACCGGGGCATTCCTTGTACATACGACAGGAAAAGGTTACGAGGACCGAGAGGGTTGTCTTCTCAGCGGTATGATACACTGCACCCCGGGATTGGGACTCACCATCCATCTTCTCGCGCTGACCAAGAGCTTGAATCCACAGAAAATCCAATAAGCAGTCAGTAAGGTCACTTCAAGCTGCCTCTCCGCAAAACCAAAACCCAGGTTTGTCAAGTTCCTCCAGCTCGAAGCCGTGAAAGCGCAATATATTAAGAGAGAATCACTCTCAGCCTCCGACCAGGTTTTCCCCTTTTTTCACCATGCTGGGAATATCAATCTCAGTGATGGTGCCATCTTGTTCTCCTCGGAAGGACAGAGGTGGGTAGAGGGCCTGACAGGCGAGACATTACCTGCGGATCTTTGCTCGAACAACCCCCGCCCCTGGGAACGGGATCCGGTTGAACTGGATCGATCCCTCAACGCATCGCCTCTGGATAAATTCACGTTACCCGCTCGAGCGGTCATGCAGCAGCTCACTAACGCCTATTTCAACTCCGTTCACAGTCGATTCTGGCCACTGCCAGACGTAGTCTTCTTTCAGGAGACGATGGATGTAGCATATGGAATCCGACATGAAAGCCGCTTCCGAGTTCATACGGCCAAAATTTGTGTGTGGGCTACATGGGCGTTCATCTCGACATTTCCCACAGCCTTTCCGGGGAGACCACCAATGCTGCCAGCTTCACAGAGAATCGACATTATGACTTCTATAATGGCTTCGATTAATTTACTACAGCAACCGAACATCGAGCTATTGGAGGCGATTACAATGCTGGTCACCTTTCATCTCCTCTCAGGTAACGTGCAGGCGGGCGTGATGAGCAATACAGTCGCTGCAAGGCACATACTGTGGCTTGGAGCTAATACACGAGACTGCTTTGCAAATGCGTGTGCATTCATTTCCACTGGCTATCAAAAGTTTCGTCGTGATTACCATCTACGCAATCTGTTCTGGATCTGCTACCAGCAGGATAAGGAGCTGTGTCTCCGTTCAGGACAACCACCCGCGCTCTCTGAATATAATTGCGATCTGGATCTCCCCATTGGCTACGAACAAAACTACAATGAGTCTCTCAGATACGAACCGCGTACCAACGTCATCTTCCCAGGAGATCTGCGTCTAAGCCAGATCAAGTCGAAAGCATACATCGATCTATACTCCCGACGAGCCCTGGAGAAGAGCGACGCCCTAATTCTAAGCGGTATTCGACAACTGGACGTCGATCTGGAGCAATGGCGCATGAGCATAACAGCGGAATACCGTCCTACCTTGCTCTTCTCACAAGAAACATCTCGCAAGCCTGCCCCTCCTGATATTCGGACTCTGATGATGCGCTTGGAGTATCACTACTGCATGGCATATATCCACCAAGCCTGTGGGCGATATGGAACCTGGTCACGCATGCGGGATCAAGAGATCCAAGGTGTCAGCTCGAGCCTGACGCTTTCAATCGCTGCGTGTCGCTCGTCTCTCTACTATCTACTGGCTGTGGGCTACGCGCTCGCGCCTAAGGATTTCTGGTATGCGCTGCAGATGCCCTTCCGATATACGAAAGCTGCATGACACTAATCCAGAGAAAATCAGGTTGATCTTGTTCTACCCCCTTTCCGCAATCGTGACCCTATTTTGTTTCATCATCTCAAACCCAAAAGCACCCGAAGCAGAAAGTGATTTGGAAATCATCAGGCAAATGGCAGTTCAAATAAGGGAGTTGGGGGAGCAAGAAGATAGACTGAGTGGAGAGCCCTCCCAGTCAGAACGAGCATGGAAAGTTGTTTCAGGACTGGAAAATTTAGCGAGGAGGACACTAGAGAAACATAGACCATGAGCTAAATGGCTGAAAATGGCCGGTGTATCCAACAAGAAATAGAGAATAATTTCAGTTCAAATGCTTGTGAATTCAGACATTTTATTTAGTTCTAGTCATCTCTATATGGACAGGCGATGAGCAGTGTAAGGAATGACGTTGACGTCACCAATCAAGCTAGTATCAACCTTGCTTGGCAGCGAGGTCAACAGTGGTTTCGAACCAGATATCTCAAGGCCGTTGTGAATACTGCCGATGTAGTTCCACATCAAGGTTGGAACAATAGCAGTGATGTTGTTACATCCTCTCTGCAGAGAGGGACCAATATCAACACAGGGGCTAGCGAAATCCAGTGTCTGTACAGCCTGTTCATTGACGAACAATTTGAGGCCATGAGAGATCCGTGGTAGAGAGATGTACGCCCCATCGGCTGATCCGTTGTTTGAAGCCTTTGGAAGCCAGGTGAGCTGAGTCGAGTAATACCCAACGCCTGATGCATTGTGTAGCCCAGGAATGTCCAACTAGGATACTAACGAGTTGAGGTGATGCGTTGTGTTGTGCTTCTCGGCTATGATGGTTGCATCGGACATGTTCTACGGAGCCTCCCAGTGCTCGGCAATCAGGTTCCATTTATTCAAAGCAAATGAGGGCAAGGTAGTGCTAGCCGAGATATTGTAGGTCTTGCTGTTTGCGAGCTCAGTGACTGGTCGCTTGCGTGTCCATTCTCGGTGGCGTGAACAATCAATTCTGAGTGAATGTAGTTGTAACCCACAACATTCGAAGGAACATGAACAGCATGTGTCGATGGTGTAGTAATTTCGGAGATCCAGTCATCGCTAAAAGCAAAAACAGTCGTCTGACCAGAAGCCAGGCTGAGCTTCGTTGTCTGTCCTTGGATCTGGTATTCGAGACGATTCTTCATTATAAAGATAGCGTTGGCGCTCTCTAGGCCAAACCGCGTCATAGTGGCCAAAGGGGAAAAGGAACATCCACCTGAAGATTTTAATCCCAGGTTGGCATCGCCTTGAACTGCGACTATCGTCATACTGGATCGATTCTATATAAGCGGATCATGCCTGCCCTGAGGACCGACCGCAGGTTTACTGCAAACTTCCGTTGACCTGGAGGGTTCTAATGCATTTCATGCGCAAGAATAATAATCCTGCTCTGGTCATTTGCGTACAGAAATGGCCACAGAAAACACCTAGCTTCTAAGCGGGGCCAAAATGAGCCACTCCAGTTGAAGATTGTCTCATTCGTTTAAATCGATGCAAATGTGTCTCGGTAGTCTTTACTTAGAAAACCGCAGATAGAACACCCGAGGTTGGAGTTAGTATCCCCGCTTCACAGCAAAACAAAGAGCCCGACTTAGGACACCCCCCCCCAAATCCAACCAAAACCCCCATACCCATATGGTTTGGTTTCAGCTTATGTGTCGACACTGAAAATCATTGCCAGACAAGGAGCACCCCAGTCCAGTGATATATAGATTCCTGGACCCTCGAATACGTGCTTCGCTGGGATGCAATCGCCAAGTGAGCGTAGAGCCTCAGGAAGTCCGAGCAGACCGAGAAATCAAGGACTCGGCACGGGAATCGGAGCAGTGATCGTCCCTGAGAAGTGGATAATGCGTAGGGTATCAGGTGCAATCCGATCCCAACATGGAAAATGACTTCAATCAGTTTGGGCGCTCGAGTTCAAATCTCGCAACAGTATCGTCTTCAACCCGTACCACGCCAAAGTTCCTGAATCCATTCTTCTGCAGCACTTTCACGCTTCCAATATTTGTGTTATTGCATCCTGCAAAAAGTCTCTCCGCCTTTGGAACGGCCTCTGCGTTTACCGGGTCGATTCTCTCCAGATTCCACCATGCACCGATAACTCCTGCCACCGCTTCACTAGCGTATCCCTTGCCCCAGATGTCGGGGTGGAGACCGTACCCAATTGAAGGAGCCGGGAGGAGAGAGTTTATTCCAACTGCGCCGACGACCTTTTGCTTTGGGTCGGAGGCACTGATGATTCCAAAGTAGAATCGTCTGCCGATGGCCCCGGATGCATCGGGGGTCTGGAAGGTTTTAGTCGCGATGTTTGCCTCCGTTTCTTGAATGTTTTTGTGAGGGTCTCGAGGCCACCTAGATCGCGAGTTATTAAACTGGAAGCTCTCGAGTGTTGTTTTGTCGTAGGAACTAAGCTTACAGCCAATCTGCTACGTCCTGCCGAGATCGAAATTCGAACAGGTCGGCAGCGTCGCTCAGCATTAAGGGTCGGAGACGAAGGTTTTTCGTGTGGATGACATTTACATCTGCCGGTATGATGACTCTTACTGGTTGCTCTGGGTAAAGTGTCCCCTTGGTAACGACCGGCGGCTCAGCCTTCATCATTATTGACACGACAAACGCTGTTTTTACCTTCCTTCTGCGGTCTTGATTCTGAAAGATCTCAAATAATCTCGACTGATGCTCCGAAGGTTACAGATGAAACTCAACAGGGGAAGTCGTTGGTATTGGAGATGATTTTGGATTAGATTGTTGGGGCTCTCGCCCATCTCGCCGACATCCTTCATTGACTCATACCCCGGCCCCCAATTCAAGTGGCCAACTACAAGCCAAAGAGCCACCCAGTGACTTAGATAACCGAAAATAAAATATGCAGACTTGATTCGATATATCCTTCAAAACGCCAGCATATAATGGGCAATAACGTACAGTCGTAGAGCATCACGGCGTGCGTTGGCCGGCTCCAGCACCAGCCTATGATGAGCCATCGCAAAGGAAGAAACAGTATGAGGAGATGGATGCTTCGATGAGTTTCGATCCCGGTTGTCGCCCGATCAAGACAGCCTATGCGCCGCCCTCCCTCTTCGCGTATTCCTCTTCCATGCGTTCCTCGTAAAGACGGTCGGCCTCTTCTTTGCTCAAGGCTCGGTCGCTCTCGGCGTGCGAGTCACCTTGTCCACCGGTGGCGTTACTATAGCCAGCTCCGAAGCCTTGGCCAATGCTATGCGGCTGCGAGGAGTCGGATGAGGTTGTTGAGCGCGTGTTCGACTGGAGATCCTTGTTCAGGAGATCGGCGGTTGGAATGGGCATTTTCGCGGTAAGAGGACGATCGGTGGTCGCGAATCGAGTCGTAAACAATCTGTATATGTGCACAGGCGATGAAGGAATTGGAAGTTGAGAATGTGGTGGTGTTTGCAAAGAAGTTCGCGGTTTCGAAGGAGCTTTGAGTTGCCGCCACGCGTGGCGAGAATTTGGTTGGCGTCCGACGTCATCCAGCTGCCCTGCGGGTCCAACGTTTGAATCTTCCAGAGAGTCCATACCAAAAATCAGACTATGTAGGATCTATCTGCGACAATGTACGTTCAAATTCTATTGCACGCTGGTCTCTCTGTGAGTGGCAAAAAAAGAAAAGAAAAAAGAACTATCCTCAAGGTATTGATACCGCGACTTTAACAAAAACAGTGAAGTCCGAGCTAATACCCTAGCTGGACCTCTATCGTCATGCACAGAATCGTTAAGACATAAAACTTAAACAAAAAACACGCTAATTTAGAGACGAGAACGGAATGGCTTCTGGAGCTCGGAATCCACAGACGGACCTTCGGCCAGCATGCGCTTCATGTCCGGATCGTACAGTGGCTCAGCGGCGATGGTGGCATTGATGCGCCGGCCAAAGTACTCGATTTCAACGCTGGCGCCTTCGGCCAGATTTCCGGGGAGCCAGGCATACGCAATGGGCTTGCGGACAGTGAACCCGAAAGCAGCACTGGTCACGTAACCGACAGATTTGCCGTTCTTGAAGACGGGCTCCTTGCCCAAAATCATAGAGCGACCATCGTCAACAGTCAAGCAGCGTAGACGGCGAGTGGGCTTTTGTTTGGAAAGGCGCTCGAGCGCAGATTTACCAACGTACTCTTCCCATTTGCTTGCGCGAATGGTATATGAAAGACCAGCTTCATACGGGTTGTGCTCTGTGTTCATGTCGGTGCCGTATGTTCGGTAGCCCTTCTCCAGTCGCAGAGAATTGAAGGCAGCACGGCCAGCTGCAATGAGGCCATGGCTCTTACCTGCCTGATAGATGGCGTCCCATAGTCGCTGACCATATTCGGCGGTGGTTTGAATCTCCCAGCCAAGCTCACCAACATAGGACTTTCGGAATACTGTTGTCGGGATGCCGCTGATGATCGCATTCTTCACTCCGAAGTAAGGCAATCCCTTGTTAGAGAAGTCATCAGTGCTGACAATGCTGATGACATCACGAGCACGCGGCCCCCAAAGGCCAATACAGCAAGTGCTGCCGGTGATTTCGCGAACCTGGACCCATTGTCCCTGGCGGCGGGCTTCCCGGGAGAGGTAAGCAAAATCAGTGGCAGAGTTGGCGCCGATCTGGAACAAATTCTCCTCCAGTCTCGAGACGAAGATGTCGCTGCGAATGCCACCGTGATTGTTGAGAAGCAGAGCCCAGGTAATGGTCCCCGGTTTGGCAGAGACATCACTAGTTGTCAGCCGCTGGAGCAGTTGGAGAGCCCCAGGGCCCCCTACCTCAAATCGGTGGAATGAGGTCATGTCGAACATGGCCACGGCATTTCGTGTTTTCCAGGCTTCTGCAGCAACAATAGGAGAGTAGAATTGCGCAGACCAAGTATCTCGTTCGACGGGCTTCCAATCGGACGGAAGAGAGTTGAGGAGTCCTGCATTGGAATCATACCAGAATGGGCGCTCCCAGCCTCCAAGTTCAAGGAAATATGCACCGAGCTCTTTTTCGCGAGCATGGAATGGACTGGTTCGAAGGCTTCGAGGAGACTCCTTGGGCTGAAGTGGGTGTAGAATGTCATAGATCTCGACAAAGTTTTGCTGGGATGTTTCACTGATGTAGTCCTGGCTGAGTTGGATCTCTTCAAAGCGAGTAAGCTCACACTCAGTCATGTCGATCTGGGAGCGGCCTTCGGTCAAAACTTCAGCGAGGGCCCGGGCAACGCCGGCAGAATGTGTTACCCAGACAGCCTCAGCCACATAGAATCCGTCCAGGTTGGGCGCTTGTCCAAAGACGGGACCACCATCTGGGGTAAACGAGAAAATTCCATTGAATCCATCCTCGATTTGAGTGCTTCTCAAGATAGGCAAAAGGTTCTGTGTTTCCTTCCAAGCAGGGTCGAAGTCTTCCTTGGTAAACTCGAGGCGAGAGGGCATATTCTTCTCGTCAACATTCTTAGAGGTGAGTCCCAATGACCCAGCATCAACCGGCATGGGCCGATGTCCATAATAGCCGATACCATATTGTCCACCATGTTCACGGAAGTATAGATCCTGGTCCTGGTGACGGAGGATAGGGAGAACCGCATTTAGGCCATTCGGTTTCTTGTTGAGGTCGCGGCCGGCAAGAACAGGGACAGCGGTCGTTTTCGCGTACTGATGCGCCAGAGGAAGCAAGGGAATGGGCAATCCAATCATTTTTCCGATCTCCACACCCCAGAATCCAGCACAGGATACCACAATATCGGCAGGAACAGTACCGTTGGGGATAGTGACACCGGTCACTCGTCCGTTTACTTGCTCTATCCCAATAACTGGGGTAGAGCCAAGGTAACGAACACCGGCCTTGGCGGTGCGTTCGATGAGTAGCTGGGTTGCCCGAGCAGCGAGAGCAAGACCATCGCTCGGGATGTGCAAGCCGCCCAGAACCATGTCCTTGTTAAGGTGAGGATACATCTCAAGGCACTCCTCAGCGCTGACGAGGCGCGCATTGATTCCCCATGACGAGGCGTAGCCATGCTTGCGTTTGAGGTCCTCGAGTCGTGCGGGAGTTGTAGCCAGCTCAAGACCACCAACCTGATTGAAGCAGTTCTGCCCGTCTTTCTCGATCGACAAGAGCTTCTGAACTGTATATCGAGCCAAATGCGTCATAGTTTTGGATGGCGTAGTTTGAAAGACGAGACCCGGAGCATGGGATGTCGAGCCACCCGGCATGTGCAACGGCCCCTGCTCGACAACTGTGATATCGCTCCATCCCCGTGCAACCAACTCATCAGCGAGATTGGTGCCCACAATTCCGGCTCCGATGATGACAACACGTTTCGCGAATGCCATTGTGATGAAGCAATGGGTTCGCTGGGCGACGGTAGCTGCGGACGGCTCCTCCTTTATGTATGCACACCACGGCGAACCTGGAACTTTCGTAGCTTTGTGCGGGGGAGGGGAGGTTGTCTCCACAGGTCGTGCCACGATGATATAGCTATCATTCTGATGTAGGAAGGACAGCCCAGGGCCCCGCATCGGCTCGGACGGTAGCTGGGCGAGTATACCGACTCAGATCGGGGTGCTTTTCCCGGATCAGGTAAGGTGGAGTCACATGGGTGGGAGCATGTGAGCTTTTGTGTTATCGCATATAAAATCTCAATGGCAGCTGTTTCCCAGGATCAAAGTCCTTGTTGAAGAGTTAGGGGACAGACAATGCTGGTGGCTTCCACATAACGAAGCTCAATCGGGCCCGAAAGCGATCGACCGTCTGAGCTTGGGCCCAAGATGCCCTCGCGGGAGGTTGGAGGAGGCTACCATTATCGGAATAGCCCCCGGTCTGGAACGAATGGCTTTTCCCAGAGATTAGAGACGAGCCAAAGGCAATCGACGCCTGTCCGGTGATCCGCCCGTGAGCCGCTCACGTGTGCGGGCGCCCACCCCACGTTCGGAGGCAAACCGGTGGGACTGTACGTTTCTTTGGATTTAGACGCACTCGGTTCGACCGCGGCTGCCGTTACCTATCTTTGGCTATCTGGGGAAAATCAGGTGGGTGGCGAAAGCGGTGCATCGGGTCTGAAGGACGCTTGGCGGGCGGGCGACGTTCGGGTGTCTCCATCTGATCGCAGCCATATTCTTATTGAAGGTCTTTTTGCCAGCAACCTTCTAAGACAAAGCAACGGGCGATTCTCATTGCTTGGAGTTAAGGTAGTGTCCTATCTCCTCTAAACCACCCGCTATCGGGTCCCCCGCCATGTTATCTGTCGCTCTCTCCGACGCTCCCAGCTAAGCTCTCCCTTCGCTATCAGCACTATATCGAGCAATGACGTCGTGCAAGAGGATCAACACAAATCATTCAAATATTTGGGCTATGACTAACTTTAGAACCTTGGTATAATCAAATATGCCCTCTGCATGGTTTGGCAAATTCGTCGTCTACCGCTCCAAATGATCCAGAAATAGGATAGTCAAGATTCCCATAGATCACGCGATACGGCGAACGGCTGTTTGAAGAGAAATCTCAAACGATGAACTAAAGATTATCGGAAATCTCAGATCAGTTGCATCTGGGCTAAGATGCCAGCTCCGAAGTTCTCGCTTTCTGTGAGTTTAGTACTCCTGAGCCTTCTGCAACTTCAATTGTGGCGAAGTCGGAATGCCCGTGAAATATCTCGTGGCACTGGTATATCAAGTGACAATGCTCACTATCGCCACAAGCCCAATTGCTGCGCAGGTGTGGTTCATTGATTCCGGGTTGACGGGCGACTCAGATGGAAGATTAAAGTCACAAATGCAAGCAGAAGGACTAATAGGCCAATCCCGTTGCAAAGAAGCGAGATTGGTAGAGGCAATGCATATTCTCCATTAAAAGTGGATTCCTGGTGGCCCGAAAAATAACCTAGCAGTCGTGAGAACACACACAGGCATAAGCGACATCTGAATCTCATTTTGCTAGTGCTCCCGGGGGCCAGTTCCAAGCAGGATAGATCATGTACTCACAAAATCCCGTAGATGCTATGGAAAATACAGTGTTAAAGCCTGTCGCTGTGCCAAAATAGATCGCGTTGAGTGCCAGCTGAACGGTTCTCGTCAAAACAATAGCGTATAGCGAAATTTTCTTCCTAGGCTCCCTTTTGGAAAGCAGTTTCGAAAATGGCAGTTCATGATCCCGTGCGAAAGCATATACGGATCTCGATCACCCGACCAACAGACTCACAGAAGTGGCTAGAGTAATGACAGTTACCTTACTTGCCAAAATACAAGTCCCAGTATGGTTTGCGTGGAGTCGTAAAATATCTTGGATGATCGGAACCTCCGTACTAGAATTACGGTTCCTTCAAAGACTTTGATGGAAAAGCAAAGGATGATGAGACAGACAAGACCCGTAATTGCACTAAGGCAAACTGATAATATGATCACTCTTGGTGCATCTCGGCTCGGGTGTGTCATTCCCTCAGTCATATGACTCGCGGCGTCATAACAGCACATTCCAAAGAAACTTTGTAGAATCCCCACCATGATTGCCATTGATGATCCGAATCCGGTGAGGTTCTCAAAGTCTTGGAAAACAAAAGTTGCATCTCGTTTGTGATCGTTTGTCGCTAAAAGAGTGATGATGACAACGACGAAGCTCAAAATGTTTCATAGCAGAAGAAAACGAGATAGCCGATGGGGAAGGTGCAGCGCAAAAACATTTACAGCCAAGGCAAACATGCCTGCAGCCCACGCGAGAGGAACCGTGTGCCATTTTTCGATCGTATATTTGTGAAAAAAGATTTGACTGGCCAAGGATATAATTTGATGCAAATGTATTGTTCACGGCGCTCATGGTTAGGATACCTGTGGTACTGCGTCAGTATGGGACTGGAGAAAAGGCACATGCCCGGGCACCTACCGGGGTAGGTGAATCACCTGTCAGCATGAACCACCCGGCCACGTAAGATAGTTGAAGAGATACTCGCCGCGGGGCGAGCAATGCCACCCAGGAGTATTGCTCACCGGCTACCGGCCACCGCGAGCACAACTCGGCCATAGCTAGGGCGACCAACATTGTGAACACACAAACCCTGACCCAACCGAATATCATGACGGGCGGGTCACCTGCCCTGACCCCGATTATGAGCACGCCTCCTAGTGCGGTCCAGCTTTAAGAAGGCGTTAGCTCTCATGTCTCCCCTCTGTTACTTGGTTGTCGCCTGAGGTGCGTTTCTTACCAAGTAATGATGCTGAAGCTAAACCAAACCATACTGAGTAGACCAAATGATCGCTAGAGAGAATAAAGTGCGGTCGAGGGGGAGAAGTAGGAGGGGAGCTCGGCTTCTTCCACCGGAGCCCCGGCAGGTGTATTCTTTGTTATCAAGTGTTATCTCGATATATTGAAGCTGTCGAGATTTGAGCTCTCTTCGTTCTTCTTTTCTCTCCCATGAGATAGAAAGTCAAACACCCAACTGGGCCCGTCCTCTACCATCTAAATTTTTGCAATCGAAATGCCCAGAAAATACAGAGCGGAAACGGAGACAAAAAGAAGGCTCGCGATGCAACCTAGCCCCTGTCGAAACGAGCTGCCTTTTCATCTCATCTTGCGGTCTCCAAATCGACCAATAAGAAGAAGGCAGTGCCCACGGAGGAAAAGAGGAGAGGTTATGCCACAAGAGCCTTTCTTTTGGCCATTTGCCGGCTCTACGACTTCGCGCATAACTTGGCAAGTCGGACTAGGGCCAAAACAAGATTCCCCGATCACGGATTTTGCTGATGTCCCAGAGGGTTGGGACTGCAATGAAACTGACGGGTCAGCAGGTCTAACATTTCGTCTCACCCAGTGATGTCCCTGCTCAGATCGAAAGAGCCAAGGCTAGGATTGAAGAGGGCATCGTATCAAAGTTTTCCGTGAATGGCTGAAGAAATATGAGGTAAGGAAGGAGACAAGCGAGTATGTTTCTATTTTCTCTCTTAGAAAATGAATATTGAGCTAATTCATCCCCAAGTGCAGTGATTGCCAAATCACCACCAGGCATCGACGAGCTTACCATTCAGCGTCTCGGGGTGCTGAAGCTAATGCAGAAGAAAACGACGATAAGCACAGTCAGCATGTCAACATCCACGCAGTGATCGAGGCGTATGAACCCGGTAGAATCGATTGTGAAGAAGGAGAGATGATATGCAGGTCTCGGGGCCGAATGATTCGCAGGCCGATACAACACCACTTTTGCAGGAATATATAAAGCGCAAGCCGAGCATGGAGAACAGGTCAGCTTTTGGGTCGAGAGGGTTTGAAAAATAACGTGTTCACACATATGACGTTAACATACATATGTGCGGATCAGCTCGTGATACTGACTGCTATATTTCAGCTGGATCCGCTCTCTCCTTTGTCATTGTTTTACGGTGTCGACAAATTGTGGGTATGACTCGTTTGGTCTTCCTCCGGGATGATACCTACAAGTTCCTTTATCCCACCACCACCTTTGGAAAATCTCAGGCTAACATGATGGTACCCCTTTCCAGGCATCGTTACTGTCCAGGTCCCCGGAACTTTATACCCAGAGAGATTTTCAAATCGGAAACAATCAACGACTCGGGAAGTGCAAAGCCCATGCTTTATGAGGAAGACATCAAGCAGCTCCAAATCATGAACAAAAATATGCCCCAGTGCTAGGTGTTATTACTGCTCTCACTGTGCGTATATAGAGTGCGATACGGTCTGGAGGTGGCCCTTGTTGTTCCTGGCACTACAATGCAGACAACCTGGATGGAGGTCGACGCCACGGTGAAACCCGGTGCCGCAGGTGACTTCGATATATGGTCTACTAGGCGACCGTCCCAGATGTTACCAACCGCATGTATCTGAGAGATAACCCCCAGGACTTGGGAGATATCGTGCCCAGTATCGTGCCCTTAAACCCACCACAGGGCACTGGATACAATTTCCATTCGATGCCACAATTCCCGAGATCGCCCAACCTGAGTGTGCACTAGATTACCGGCGCTGGGACTTGAATGAATGTCTGTCACAACGAAGGTATTAACTAGATAGGCTCTTGACTCCATGTCATGAAGGAGCCATCTACCCTGCATTTAGCTTTACAGGTGTCTTCCGGTCGTACTCCTTCCAAGGTTACTGATGCATGTGTACCCTAGGGCAATGGCAGCGCGTAGAGGGGTAAAAAGAAAGATTGTCCTAAAAGATGCAAAAGAAGAACTCCGATAGGGGGAATCGAACCCCCGGCTGCCGTGTGAGAGACGGCGATGTTAGCCACTACACCATATCGGATCACTACGGTAGTGCTTATTCGGGTTTAGTTTTTATTGACTCGGTTTAGTGCGTAGTGTCCCTATGCACGCACGTGCGTGCGTGTATCACTACGCGCCCTCTTCCCCTCTCGGTCCAACAGCCCCCAATCTGCTTTACATGCTCTTCCCTGCTATTTTTAGTTGAGGCATTTTCGCTATTGATCAGGATCGCCGAAACCTCTGCCATCCCCTTTCACCGACACCGAGCGCCTCGCTTCCTTTTCTGCGAATTCTGCCTTGCTCATCCAAGGCGCTTATTGCGCGTTGCTAAATGGTCACGGCGAGCAGTACGAAGTTCATTTGTGACTAACTAAATTGTGGCGCAGTAATTTCCATATTCGTGGCATAGGAACGGTGCGAGTAGAAATGACTCCGATTCCTGCGTTCTTCACTGTGGTCTGTGATCGTGCATGATTCCTGGGGAATGGTTGGCTGTCAGTGGCCTATCTATAGGCTGCGGTCCTTTGTGTGGCAGGTTTCATAACATCTATGCGCCCTGGTCGTCCCCTTTCAATCCAACCAACCCCAAACTGCTTTATATTCTCTTTTCTGCTCTTCATAGTTGAGGCCATTTCGCTATTGACCAGAATCACAGTACTTTGGCCACTATTCAGCGATTCCTGCTACTGTGAACTCTGGAGCACAACCATATTTTATGCTTTAAGCAGGGCGCCAATTTTGTCACACACACATACTATATGACAATTCCAGGATGTCTAACAGATATCTTTATGATTGGATAATTTCAGCTTCTTGAAAATTCACAGCCAAATACTACTTTAACAACTTTCATGCTAAATATGTCTAAAGAGCCTTTGACAAGATACTTCTATCACTCCTTTTCAAAGACCAGTACAGGCACTTTAAAAGCCAGCCTGTGCTGTGGCAGTCCTCTCACATTTAGAGCTTCTCTTGCAATTCGAACGCCATCGCTTTCTGGAAAATAATCTACTGCTCTAGTTTCCGTCAGTGATCGCCTAATTGAAGCCCTTCACGGCACATTCTGCAAATATTATAATGATCGCGAAGAATATGGAGACATATAGATTGTCATCATTTCAGTCTCGCTCGGAAAGAATAAATATCCTACCCTGCTATCATGCAGAAGACCTTGCCCTGAGCTAGGTATGTGACATGATAAGGGTACGAGACTTAAGCATAAGTATGTCTTTGAAAGGGAAATTCTAAATCTATATATGGAGCATATAGTGTCTGTCAAGATGATTCTGAATCGTGGGCTAAATTTGGAGCGATATCTTGAAGGGGTTCTCTGCCAAAGCTTTAAGACTTCTAATGCTCAATGTTCAGTATGATTCTAAGCAAACCTTTAGACGGATACTGCGTTGGGAGGGAGATTGGTCATATAGCCAAATGTTTTGGCGCGAGGGCTCTAGTGAATACAATCGCCCACGATCTTCTAACCGATTGTCCAACATAGATCCCATGAAACAAAAACACCTAATAAGTTGAATAGAGATGGAAAATCGGCTTCGACATTCATACTTCTAAGTGTTTTGATTGTGAGAGTTTTGACTTAGAGCACCTGTATGTTTGAAGGTTAAGTGGAGTCTGGCTTTACAAGCTAGGCTTAGCACTCTTTGTCCCTCCTCCGAGAACAGATCTTTATTGCCAATTTTATCCAACAGCAGATACTTCGTGCAGATTTCGAGCTAAAGTCCGTCCACATTCAGGCTTTTGATAGCATAACCCGTTGGATCAGTTTCTGTCGGGATATTTCCCCCTGTCAGAACAAACTAGCGGTGACCCACTGCTAGCGACTGATGGATAACACCCCTTGCTTGGTGTACACATTCTTGCGCTGGGCACGGCGTTGTGACCGCCGAAGGCCAGTGCGTGGGATCTAGGGGTGTTTTCCAACTAGACTGAGGAGGAACATCTATCTACATGAATCAATAGACTTTTGCTTTGGAAGCATACACACTGTCCACTTAACTGTGTACACAGTACCTAGCTGGTGATACCAACAGTTTCATTCGAGGATAAACTATTTGGATCAGATTGTTTGACGACCCACTCTTTCATAGGCTGATGAGTGAGCCGGACCTGAGACTTTTTTTAAATCATCGTAGTCGGGAAAGCAATGAATAGATAGATAAATCCTATGACTCTTTGATAGTCCACCAGTTTAGCAAACATATCCACAGTTATGACATCCTGAGCCAGGCTCATCACCACAGCCCACACTAGTTCAAGTATGCTCAGAGATCTGTGGCTGACAGCGAGAATTTTCAGAGCTGTAATGGCGAAACGACGATTTTCATCGTTTGAAGTGCAACTAGATAGCAAGGAGTCGTAAAGTTTCCGAAGTTTTTGAGGAAGGGGTAGCTCTTCCCAACCAGTTTGCCTGGCTTGCATTATTGTATACCTGTCAACGTGTATCCTATGAGGTCAGATCTGTCCTATACGGTGTGAATCGTTTCACTCCTGAGGAAGTGGAAATAACGAATTACCGAAGCAACATCCTAAAATCATTCATAAACTACATCGGACCTGTCAATGCCGGATTTCTGACCAACTTACGCATCACCTTTCCGGCCACAGAAAGGATAGATAATTCAGGAGAAATCAAGCTCAGGGAAGACATTTACAGAGTCTTCAACTTCTCCGAAACAAGTCCACCAATTTGAATACGCTGGAAGCTCTCATTTACGTCAAAAGCTCCATCTACTTAGTTATAGAGGATCTGGACAATACTAAATCTGCTCGTGAAATATTCTTACAAGTCAACGCGGAGCTTAGCAGCATCGTTTCTCTGAACAGAATCATTGTTAGGGTCTGCAGCGGATCTCTAGCCTCTTCAGTGAGATACTTTCTAGAAAATCTTGGATGTGGTGTCTTGGTCGGTGATAGATAGATCGCAACTGAAGTGCAATATAAATGATAACCTTGCTTTTAATGAGTGGCCAGCTGGGAACTTGAAGTTGGTCATTCAGATCCGCAGCCATGAATCAACACCTAAGGAAGCTCGTTTACCAGAGCCAGAAAGTCTTAGCTCATCATATCTACGTAAATTCCAGTGGCAAGACACCCGCCAAAGTTTATTCATGATGAGCCGTACTGGCAGACGCCGCCTATGGTCCCGCAGCGCCGGCTCACGACGTCACCTGGCTGGATATCATGGTCCTCGTCCGGTCGAGCGACCCTGCCGCGTATGCCGACCAGAAGCCCTCAGCGGAGCTTATATTTCCAGTGCAGCTTTCTTAAACTGTCATCTACATAGGAATTACACACGGATGCACGACAGATGAAAGAAAATAGAATTGATATGCTAGCAAGCTGATGATGAACTAGGTTCTATTCAGCTACTCCTACCCAAATATGAACTCATGAAGTTCTTCATACGCCTTCTCGATGCTGTCGTTGACAATGATCTTATCATGGTTGCCCTGGGAGTCGGCGTATTCAAGTTCGGCTTTAGCCTGAGCGAGCCTTTTCTGGATGTCTTCCTCGTTCTCCGTGCCACGATTTCTGAGGCGCATTTCCAGCGCTTCAAAGCTCGGTGGTTTGATAAATATGTACCGCGCATCGTTGCTAGGATTCTCCTTCATCTGCTTGACGCCGTGTATCTCAATATCTAGTACCACGACCAGTCCCTTGCGAACCTGATCGTCAATTGTCTGCTTGCTCGTGCCATAGTAATTGCCACTGAAATATGCGTGTTCCACGAGTGCACCTTGGGAGCGAAGAGAAGAAAACTCGGCGGGAGATACGAAGAAGTAGGTGAAACCATCAATTTCGCCCGGTCGCGGCTTCCGCGTCGTGTGGGACGTGGTTAAGCCGAATATATTGGGATGTGCGTCGAAAAGTCTTTGAATGAGTGTCCCTTTCCCGACGCCCGAGGGTCCGGAGATGACAATGGGTCGAAGATCTGGGGGTGCTGGCGAGATCGTTAGAATTAGTTTAGGCCCAAGAGAACTGGGGAACGGTTTGAAACGCGAAGACACACTCGACACCATCGTAGTTTCTTATCAATATTACGGCGAATGTGTAACGTCACTTCTTTTCACAAGGTATTCGTAGACTGATTTTCTGGTCCTTGGCGGTGAACGGGGTCAAAATGGAACAAGTTCCTCGCTGAGTCACTCCCGTTTCTGGCAACTTACCGCTGGCGACTGATAGATCACATTCCTGTGCTGGGTACCTTGCGTTAAGCTGCGGCACCGGTGTTGACACCACCGAGTATCGGCGTATGGGATTCAGGGGTATTTTGGACCGGACCTGGTACACATCTACATCTATCGACATGAACCAATTGACTTTTGCTTTTCGAGCACGCATGCTGTCCAATTAACTATGTACACAGTACAAGGCTGGAGATACCAACAAATACATTTCTAGCTTCTTATATTTTTTTCGTTATCAGTGCCGCAAGATCGGCTCTGACTTCGGGGTCCTGCTCTTAGACCAAATCGTTCCAGTAAACCATCGTCTTAAACATAGATATACTAAGGCAAAGGAACATGAAGCACGGCTTTAAATAATAGGCACTCATCTTAGTTTAGAAAGGGCGCTCATAGTCAGGGTCGCCTCAGAGATCTTGAGCCAACCGCATATTATCGATTAGCCCTCCCAATTAGGGCAGTGATAAGATCCGCATAGTGCGGAGCCCAAGTTCCAACACCATGGCCCGCACTAAATCAGGCCAAAAATCCGCGAAGTGTAAATGCGACGATTTTATCTTCTTGTGCGCACCGAAAGTTGTCGCCATCCCACCGTCATCTACGTTTACACCATATCGATGGAGCTTATTCCGGTTTAGTTCTTATTGACTCGGTTTAGCGCCATGTGTCCCTAAGCACGCCCGGGCGTGCGTGTATCACTACGCGCCCTCCTTTCCTTCTCCATCCAACAGCCCCCAAAATCCGTTGTCTTCTTTGCCTTCTCATCCCTACTTCTGCAGTGGCTCTACGCGCCCTCTCCGCTAACCAAATCCATAGCCCCTAAAGTTCTTTGTCTCTTTTCCCCTGCTCTTTGCAGTTGAGGCATTTTTGCTATTGATCAGAATTGTGGCAAGCTCCGCTACCTCCTTTCACCGACATCCATCGCCTCGCTCACATCTCCGTAGAAACTGCCTTGCTGGATTGTCCGAAATCTGCCTCGCCCTTCCAAGGCATTCAGCTGAATCCGTGCATGATTCGTTGCCTATGTTTGCCTCCTGTCGTTGTTGGTTTCAGAACCCTTGTATCGCAGATGACACAGGCTGCTGGCTACAACAGAAGAACCTTCCTGAGAATCTCCTCTAATATAACAATCTTCGGCAGCGTCAAAACCCGCTTAGTAAGGGGGGTCAAACCATAAAGCGTCACTCTAGTTATTCTAGAAGCTTTATGCGATCACCTGATCGAGTAGTCTCGAGGACAACTTCGCTATCTAAACAACAGCATTAAGTATCAGCCACGCTCTTGCATCCAAAGGCTGGTCAAAATACTGTCCGATTTAAGGCCCGAGAACGAAACTAAGACCTACGTGATAAATATTGTCGCCTCTATGCATACTAGAGGGCACCGACCGGGCAATTAATCGACACCAACTACCGCTTTGAAATGAGAGCTTCCGATGCCCGGAAATCCGCTGGGCTTCCGAGCTTATATATTTATGCGAGGTACTTCTTTCTAAAGATCTCTGCAATCAAAGAGGCAGCGAAAATGCACCGATTCACAATGAATTTGCGGGATATAATTGTCAAGACTACGTCCTTGAGCTCCTGGACGACTTGGAAGATAAAAGAATCATCAATGGCAATGACACAAACTATAAGAAGAAGAAGGAACTCGTCAGAAGCAAGCAGGAGGGCCTAGCATAGGTGGAAAATATTCTCAACATTTTGGCAACTGGGTCGAGAAACATCTGAGATACTTAAAGTCATTAGCCAAAAAAGGCCTTCCAACAAGAACCTGGCCGGACTGTTGGTATCCTACTATCTAGATTAGGGAGTTTGCTGTATCGGCAATTGAATTCATGCATCTATTTTTACAAATGTTCTCCCTCATCATCTTATACGGCCCCATTGCCCAGACTATAGTTAAGCTTTCTCGTATTAACTAGTACAGTCACTAGTAGACTTGGTGCTGTGGTATCCGGTCTTCTTTTAATACAACTCCGCTGCCTTGCCATGCATAGAACGGGTCCAGAGATGATTGAACACCTCTTGAACCAGTATGGAGTGAAGAACTTCTGGAGATTTAAGGGTTTGTATACTTGTGAAGTCACGAAGCAAAACAAATAAAACCATAAAAATAAATAACGCCATTCAAAATAATGAAACAAGCAAAAGCGATGATGGTCAAGATCTTCCCTTCTTAATCAAACTCTGCGATCGTCCCGCATCCACAGGAGTGACCTCCGGGTCATGCAATCTTTTGCGTTTGCCAGGTGCTTTGGTATTAGGGTCATGTAATAGCTTTGTGATATTCGGCACAGAATACGCGGTACGGTCTGGTACTGACTACCATGGCTCGGTCAGCCAGTACGGCGTGGAACAGGCTTAATAGGTCCCGGGTTGGGATACTGAAACTTTGATTCAGTACGCTAGTGTATATAAGAGCGTATGTCCCAGATAGTTTTCAGAACCGGACAGTCCTTTCAGTTGACAGAATCACAGCTCTAAAGCGTGCTGAATAACCTCGCGTGCGAGATAGGGCGGTGTGGCGGTAGAGACGAGAGAAAGGCGGTCTGAAATTGGAGATAGACGAGTTATTTTGGCCACCCACTGTAACAAGGATCAGAAGCTGGCCCCTAAATGACCCATTTTTAACCCATTACCTAAGATACTAACTGACACCTGCATTGAATTAAGTCACATCCCTCATGGATCTCCCCCTGACAAAACAACTACAACCACAACCACAACCATCATCAGGGGCCGCCTGAGATGATGAATTTCGCCCGGAACCGCCAGTACCTGGTTCTCGTGTCGTGCATGCTGTTCATCCTGGGCTTACTGCTCTACCTGCCCCAGTTCAGCAAAACTACGAGCACGACATCGGAAAATTGGGCACCACCAAGCCCGAAGCCAAGTACAGAGATCCCGCTGGATGGGCAATGGAGTTATCCTCGTGATCGGGATAATTTGCTTCTAACGTCGGGCCAGTGCGATGCTGCGTTCCCGGAATTATTTGTTGAGATTGAGCGGGCGAAGAAAGTTAGGGCCTCGAGGCCGATTACCATTGCTGAGCTTGATTCGATTCAGCCGAAGAATGGTTTTATTAGGGCGATGATTTATGATATGCAGGTATGTCCTCCTCCACCCTCCCCCCGGACCTTCCCTCTTCTTTATGATTACCTCTTCCATCAACATAAAACTGAAATACAATGTTAATACTTTCACCGCAAAGCTCTACATAATAGCAAAAGAAGGCTCAATCTGGTCCCGCGAAATCGCCACGCTCGCCGCTATAAATCGCGCCCTCGTAACATCCCCGGAGCCTCTCCCCAACATCGAATTCGCCTTCAACACAGACGACCGCATCGAGCCCGTCGCACTATGGGGTTACGCCCGACAATCAACCGACGAACTGATATGGTTAATACCAGACTTCGGGTTCTGGTCCTGGCCGGAGATAAAAGCGGGATCGACGAAGGAGATCCTTATGAAAATCGAACAGGACGAGCGAAACAGCGTAACGAAGTGGGCGTCCAAACCGGCAATATTATTCTGGCGCGGCGTTGCGAGAATGGGGCCTGAGATTCGGGATAAGTTGTTGTCCGTCACGGCGGGGAAGAAGTGGGCTGATGTTAAGGAGTTGGGGTGGGGTGATGATGAGAGTATGAAGAATGATTATAAGACAATGCCGCAGCATTGTGGGTATAAGTTTATTGCGCAGACGGAGGGGAATAGTTATTCGGGCCGGTTGAAATATTTGCAGATGTGTCGGAGTGTGGTTGTTTCGCATACTTTGGATTGGATCCAGCATACTTATCATCTTATGAAAGGAGATGGTCCGGAGCAGAACTTTGTCGAAGTTCGGCGGGATTGGGAGGATCTTGAGGAGAAGATATCTTGGTTGAGGAAGCATGATGGGGAGGCGAAGCGCATTGCGGATAATAATGTTCGCATCTTTCGGGAGAGGTACTTGACGCAGTCTGCGCAGGTTTGTTATTGGAGGAGATTGATTCGAGAGTGGGCTTCTGTTAGTGATTTTGAGCCTGAGTTTTATAAAAAAGATGAAGAAGGCAAGGATGTTTGGAGAGGTCTTAGTTTTGAGAGTTTTATGTTGATGCGGAAGATGGAGTGGCAGACTTAGCTCGGTTCTAGTCTACTTATGGTACTACAATGATGATACTCGTTATGGTCATAGCATTCTCTTTGAAAAGTCTTCGATATGATGAATCCTTTAACTGGATTCCCCACAAAGCGGGCAAAGCCTAGTAACCGTGTATATACTACCCATACCTCGAACCACTTCCAAGGGCACACAAACCACAGAGCCGGACGGAAGATACAGAATCTCCCAGCGCAATCAATGAGGATGACCGAGAGCCAATCCAAACACAGAAACAGCCAGACAAGCACAAAAGATAGACGGGACGTCAGTGTAGTGCAATCAAGACGATCAACAAACTCGCTTCTTCAAGATTGAAAGACATTTACTTCTTCACACCATTGATCTGCCCGCCTTTACCCACCAAAAACCTGTATCTTCGAGCCTTCATTGCGAAAATGGCCTTGAGTACTTTCTTCTTTTGCGCCGACCACATTAATGCACCATTCGAGGAAGACGTCAAAGCCTTGATCGGTATCCCTTTCATAGTAGCTCCAGTGACGTTTAAATAAAGAAACTTTGAGCTCAGCGAAAAATTCTTCAATCGGATTTGAATCTGATGAATAAGGTGGAAAATAAATCAACTTCACCCCCGCTTCCGTACACATATGTGCAAGTGACTCTGAGTAATGGAACGATGCATTGTTTATTACCAGTGCAGAATTAAGCTCCGGCCATCATCCACAATGCTGGAGTAGCTGGGCTATGAAGTCCTCAAATACGACAGCATCCGTGGAGCCGCGAAAAATTTGCGAGAGAACGATCCCATCCTGGGCATATGTAGGCAGGTATCTGATACCGCTGATCCCGGTGGAACTGCGTTACCTTCAAAGGCGTTCTGCCAAGTGGCGCCCAGCCAGTCCGCATAAACCCAGCCCATTTATCATATCCAGATTCATCAAACATATATCAGGTGATATTATAGAAAGTCTGACAGGTTGTGTAGGTAATAGTCTCGCAAATCGGAGTTTCGCTCCTTTACGCGTTGCTGGGAGGTTTCCAGCCCTTGGCAACAAGAGCTCATCTGATGTTAGCGATCGTGACCATAGTTTGGAATTCTTCCCAGAGGAAGACAGTCATCTCATCGAGGTAGAGCCCGGGCTTTTCCAGGGGTGGTGACAAAGCGCTTCTATCGTCAGCGGTTTCCAGTTCGTTTCCGGAATATTCGCGTTTGGGGGGCATACATGCTTCCATCTGTCTTCACACCTTGGCTCGCAGAGTCTCCCATCGCTTCTCATCGCATATCCGTGCTTCTTTTTCCGGTTTGTCACAGCTCTCTGTTGCCATTAATTCAGAAGAGAATTTACTGTTCGACCTGTCCATAACTCATCTCGTTCTTTTCCAATTCAAGCCAGGCGTTACTGCAGACGTGGTCAAGGATGTGTGCGTTTTGCCCAGAAAAACATCACTTTAGGAGGGAGAAACAAGGTTTTTAACGAAAAGAAAAATAAAGGTCTGTACCCGCATGCTTGCACTCAAAGACAAATGTTTACATCCTTCGCCTCAGAAGCCATACATCAAGAAATCATCTGGCGGAATAGACAATTCAATTCAAGGAATTCAAGTGCGTCATTTGTTTCGAAGTGGAGATCCTCTATATAAAGTGAACGGGCCTTCTGGTAATTACTATCAGTGTTATACTGAACTTGCCATTCGCTCCGGGAAACAGAATGATATCACTCATGCCTTCGTCGTCGAATTTGCCAGAGCCACGGATCGAGAGTGCTATGTCCGCGATGACCCTGTGCATCAAGAATTTATACGAAGTGTAGAAGTTCTTGAAAAGGCGCAAGTAGTCGATTTTTCAGAGGATATTTTTTAGACAGCGCGGTTTCTAGATTTTTGGACTCAAAACTAGAAATGTTATGGAAAGTGTGGGTTAGCTTTGCTGGGCACAGTGTAGGATTGTTTACCTTTACTATGCCACTTCCATCCCACATTGAATCGCCCTCGTAAACCTCGATGAAGACCTCACGGCTGGAAAAATTGCCTTGAAACGAGCTTAAACCTCCTCATGATTATATTATGATCGATAACATGTCTAAGCAACTACTGGAGGAAGTTGTTAATAGCGGGTACTTTGCCTAAATCTGATTGGCTCCTTGATCAACATTCACCGCACGAGGCCTTATATTCTCATAACTTGCGAAATCCACGTCTGATGGTTTGGCACTCATAAATATTCATTCATTGCCCAATATGTGAACAATTGATAAACTAGGGCGATTTGGTAGGGTCAATATAAAACCGCGCGACCGAGTAGTCTTTACGCCCTCCGACTGTCTCGGGAAGGTCTCGGCTCGGGCCGCCAAAATAATGATGGAAAGTCAAAAATAATTCGGTTCGATCGGAATTATTAGATGTTAGAAACATTGGAGTTCTTTAAAAGCAACTGCACCTGTATAAATACATCCGCTTCACACTACCCTCAAGATCTGGCCAAGGGCGTACCAACTGGTCATCAAGAGCGACCGTACAGTTTGGTGGGCCATACATCTCTCGGATCTGAGGATCATCACGCGAGTCATTCGTACAGTGGGTATTTCTCCTGTCCCATGCATTTGGCCCCCACGTCGTGGCTGCGCTCGGGTGCAGATCCACATCCTTTCTTGGCCAATTAAACAATAATTTCAATACATTACAAGCACGTTATCTATTAGGTATTAATGGACGCTTACCCTGCGGTTCCGCCGGTCGCCAGTTGGACCGAGTGTTCGACACTTATTGCTGATTGCGCCCCTTCATCTTCTTTCCCGATTGCATCAATTCATGGAGTGGTGCGGTCCGTACTCAGAAGCCTTCTTGGCTACTACGAAACGTCGGGCTATCGTTATCTTAACATCGATCCTCCTTCTGGCGGCTTACGTCTGGTATCGACAACCAGTGACTGTTCGCAACGTGGGCAATAATGTGCTTGGACGAAAGTTGCATTATGGTGGACTATTCAACGGAACATGGGATTACCAAAGGGACAAGGATAATTTATTGTTGGACCAAGGGGAGTGCGAGCAAGCATTTCCAGCGCTGTTCGATGAAATCGAACGAGCAAAGCGCGACCGCCAATCTAGGGACATGGATTTGTCGCTGTATTGGTTGTAGGCAGCATTCTACTAAAATTGCTAGAGTCATGTAAACCTGCGAATCATAGTGCCCAACCACAGGGGGGAACCCTCGTATTATATTATTATTCGGGTCATGGAGGGGTGGCGAAGAGTGGTGATGCCGCCGAGGAGAATAAGGATAGGAATAAGAATGTGAATAAGTCGGGGGATAAAGACCAGCAGCAGTGGCGCTACCAGTTCCTCGTCCCAGTTGACTTTGACCAGTCGACCCCTTATGAATTTCGCGGGATCACTGAGATCGAGATCTCGTACCTCCTCCGCGACACGACGGACCAGACGCGCAATATCACTGTCATTTTAGATTGTTGTCATTCTGGTAGAATGGCGCGGGAGCCGTCGTGTGGTGGCAACGCGACGCCGAAGAATCTGAGTCTGCAGGGTGCGCGGTATTATCGCGATATCGAACGGTCTATTGACAGGCTACTTCAGGCGAAGGATCACAATCACAATCGCATATGAAGCCTCAGTGGTGGCGGTGGTGGTGGACGCGCGGGTCGACAAGAATACGTCGAGGGAAATCCACACGCCGTGAGGATCGCAGCGGCTGCAACCGCAGAGACAGTATGGGAGTATGAGTATTCAGACGGAAAATGGACGGGCGCCCTGTCGGATGCGTTGATCAGGGTGCTTGGGGAGGCGAAGGGCCATAGCAATAGCGTCTCCTGGCGCACGACGGTGCTCAGGGTGAGGGAACTGGTTAATGCGAAGTTTCCGCTCCAGCGCCCGCAGGTCGAGGGCCCTGCAACGCGGTGTCACTTTTCGCTGAAGGAGATGGGCTCCGACGCATTGCATTTGAAGATGGAGGGGGATGATGGTCTGGCGGTTATTCAGGCCGGTAAGGTCGCAGGCGTGCGTGAGGGGAATGTGTATCATGTCGTTCCTTTTGATGCAGCAACGACAACGACCAAGGACAGCGACGACCAGGCGGATAATATTATTGCAGAGGGGGTCGTCTCGCACGTCGATTGTTTCCGCGTGGTTGTAGGCCTTGCGTCCAAAAACGAACAACTCGCTGAAATCCCCCTTGAAGGGGCATTGGCCTGTCTCGAGCAGGAGGCGCTGAACAAGTGGCCTGCCACGACCCACTCTGAAATACTGCCTGCGGCGCTCGAGGAGCTGATCAGAGGCTCTCGATACCTTTGCATCGCAAGGTCTGACGAACGGGAAGCGGCTATCGGTCGAATCCAGCGTCTGGCGGACTTGATCAGTCTCAGAACAAGAGAGGGAGTGCAAATAGCATCGCAGTGGATAGAGCCATCAAATGATTCCATGTCTTCTCCGGTGGCAGGGACGACTACTCTTTCGTCACGGCGCATTTTCGGCCCAGCAATAATCGTTTGCACCGTTCTATTTGGACTTTCTGCCATTGTTTTGGATTATGGTGCTGTTAGCGTTATTTGAATACATCTTTTAAACCAAGGTCTTTCATTAGTAAGGAATTAAATAAGACAATCAATCCGACTTGAAGTTCTGTATCTGTTTGTTTTGAAATTATGTGGATGGATGTTGCAATGAAGGGGGAGTGTCGGGTCACTGGTATGGCGGGACTCTAGGGTAAGGTAGGCTATGTCTTTGTATAGAAGACTTTTCTGCCACCGAAGAAGACATGGAATCATTTGATGGCCGTATCTCGGTTTGATAGGTGCATGGCGCAGAATACTCATGCACAAGATTACTCAAAAGGTGGCTCAGTTGCTCAGACACTAATTATCTAATCTTGCATGCCAGCGCTTCGGGGTGTGGAGGATATTTCGGTGGTAAAAAGAATGCGGCGCCAAGGCGTCCAAGTTGACTGGCTGAAGGGCTGCAGAGCTCTTCCCCAAAGCAAGAAACCCCTCTGTTTCTTCTGGAACGGAGGTAGCGGACCAACCAAGCGTGCATTGCACCTCCTGTGTTTGCTCCCACAATAGCAACACAAGGCCAACAGAGAATGCCAGGCGCCCTGGCTTTCTGGCATTTACAATGACCAACAAAGGATGGGAGGACACAAGCACTTGGGATATCTGAAGACTGGGAAATTCAAGTAGTTTGAAGTTCAACACTAGGCTAATTTTATGTTGACTTAAAATTAGGAGTAGTTAATATTCCTGTTGGCATAATATTATCTGTCTGGTGAATTTGTAACTGTTCCGTTTCAATGGAGAAAAGGCGAGCCAGGATATGGCAGTCCAAGAGTGATATGGTAACCTAGGCATCAATGTTAGTTGAGTCTGATTTTTAACATTCCTCAGTTCAAGCACTGAAAAATATAATCGACCTGTGCGGTATCGATTGCTCCATACCTTCGCCTGGACTCTGGGCTTGCTATCGGTACTCGATTGGATACAATTTCTGCCCTGAAAATAGAATCCAAGCTAAAAGATTCCGCATGTCCGACCCCGGCATGATAAAGGAGATCATGGAAGCCGTCACTATTCCCATCATGGCCAAGGCACGTATAGGCCACTTTGTTGAGTGCCAGGTATGTTCAATTCATCCTCATCTACTGGCGACCAGCCGGAGATGAGCTTTGATCCCAGATCGCGGGGCCGCCGGAACGCTAAATCGTTCAGCTGCTGTTAGAGAAAGGAGCTAAAGTCAACGAGCGGAGCGGGATCTACGGTAGCACTCTCCTAGCTGCTCTTGTACGGGGGACGTAGGGAGGTTGTGCAGCCGCTTTTGGAGTATAGTGCTGATGTTAATACAATGTACGTCAACGACAATAATACTCCTCGAGTTGCATCTTCTCACAAGAACCTGGATGTCGTGGAACTGCTCTTAGAGGAGAGTGACGACAAGTCTCTAATCCATCTTATTTTGACTACCTCTGCATCGCACATACGGATAGACATAATTCCGTACGGATTCACCCTCTTACGCTAAACCAAGTAGTGTATCGTGTTGGTCGTGGCACTGTGAAAGGCCTCAAAGAACACCCTTCTTTTTAAGCTTTTCGTAAACAGCAATTGTCCTACTATTATTATCGGGCCTGTTGTTACTCAGGCCTACGGTGGTGTGCCTATATTGCTAAGGTCCATGCCTGGCGCAGCAATTGCCCTAGTTAGATTGAATCAAATCTAGCTTTAGCGCTTCATATCAACTAATTCAACACATTCCGACGCCAAGAATGGCTTAGATAACTAGGCGTCCAAACGCCAAGGATGGCTTAGATGGCTAGGCGTCCAAACACCAAACGCTTTTAGATATAAAAGAGACAAACTAGATATTTCTAGCCTTTGAGTTCCCCCTTTATCCCAACTCAATAACTTCCTATAACCATCTACTACTGAGCATAGTATTTATCAGCAATCATGCATCTCGGAAAGACCTTCCCACTCTTCTGCCTTATCTCTGGGGCTTTTTCATACAAGATCCGCGCCTTTACTGGCGAAGACTGCACTGGGGATGCCAAGGAGGTTAATGTGTGGGACAATACGTGTAGGGATTCTAATATCCCTGAGACGAAATCTTTTCGAGTGTTAGAGTATGGGGGTTATCACCAGAGAGCAACCTTTTTCCTTGGAGCTGCTTGCTTCACGGAGGATGCTGCAAGTGCCTCCTGGTGGGCGGACGGTGGGAGTGATGAGTTTATTAAGGACAAGTGCCTTAATTTGGGTAGCCTTCCAATGCACGCCTTCGGCTCTATTTCGGGTTAGCTATAAATACCCTGGTAAGTTGCTCTTGCTTTAATTTTCAAGGAACCAGAAATGTCTAATGCTACTATACAGGAAGCCATGATCAGTCTAACTTTGGTCATCAATCTATAACAACTTGTGCTACTGTGAAAGATTCCCCTTTAAGGATGATTGGGATGATAATCAAAATCAGTCGGGTGGAGAAGAGTGGTCTAGCAGGATGAAAGGTTACGCACATTGTATCTAGCTTCCCTGCTCTAAGAAACAATGTTGTCTTATATTACATCTATTAGGTCTCGGTCTCACACGCACGCGACCCTTCAAGGGTCACACTTCGACCCTCAGTATAGTTTGAGACGGCTAGAAGGAGGCCGTTTTTCGCTCCTTGTTTGCCTGACTGCCTGACTGCCTGACTGCCTGATCGTGCATGTGATTGGAAGTTGCATATAACTTCTGGGAATGGTTGGCTCTCGGTTGCCCATCGGTATGTCGTCCTGACCTACTTCCTGGCCTCGTTTCTCTGCCGTCGACTGGGAAATTGGAGCACGCAAAAGCCCATAACGGTGTTCTCCGGCCTGTCGCCATATAGTGACTCAGTCGCCAAGACATCAGTGAACTAGCGAACTCTCAGCTGAGACAAGTCCAGCGGACCGAACTACCTATATTAAGCAAGGTAGCAGGCCTATTACTTGATTCACTCGATCTTGTCAGAAAACATGGACCCCTTTCACGACGACTCATGGGCTACACCATGGCGCTCATCCGAAGTTCCACGTGAGCAAACCCCCTGTCAGACAAGAAAGCGAATTAAAAAAAATGCCAGAATGGTCCAATGTCTGTAATAAATGGACTTCTCGATTCTTTCGGGACTAGGATCTCTATGCTAGAGGTTGGCCGTGGGGGGATGTTATCTATCGCACGAGCTTCACGACTACTTCTGATTGGGACTGGGCTGCCGCGATTGAGAAGCTTGACAGGTACTGCTATGCCAGCATGGCCAAAACTAGAGACGTGGAAAATTTCCGATTCTAGCCTAATATTAAATCCAACAGCGCCCATATTCCTTTGCCTTCTCTTTCCTGCTCTTTGCAGTCAAGGCATTTTTGCTATTGATCAGAATCACCGAAAGCTCTGCCACCGCCTTGAACCGACACCCAGCGCCTCGCTCAATTCTCCGTGGAACCTGTCTTGCTGGATTGTCTGAAATCTGCCTCGCCCCTCCAGGGCGCTCAGCTGAATCCATGCATGATTCGTTGCCTATTGGATCCTCACTGTGAATGACACATTCTCCTTGCTGCCTGGCTCCAAGAGGTCCTTCCGTCTGTTCAGCAAGGCATGTATGCATCTACTCAGACAAAAGCAGACGCACAAATTCCGTTTTTCTGGAATTTCTGCTACCTGCAACAGTCCGTTCTGGAGAGTTTCCGGAGCCGTCAGACGGCCTTGAGCGACCGGCCGTGTTCTTTGCAGATGGCCTGGAGAAAGTCCAGGCTTCCGCTGCATTCCTCAAGAGAGAAGCATTGGAGGACGTGACTGACCATGCATATCTGTCCTAGACCGGTGGCTAGAGACGGACCTGGCTGGGTGCAATGACGAGACCGAGGCGGTCATCTGAAGCCTTTAGCATTCCTTCTGGCGGAGCGAGTATGAAACGGCGACCACCCACAAATGTGGGCCGCCACAGCTTCTCGACATCGCTGTTTCAGTTGAGCACGCTTCTCGTTGCTGCTTTTGGCCATGACTTCCGGAAACGCGACCGACAATGGCAAGCCTTCTGGGTGACGATTTTCGTAGGACGTAAGACTCTGGATGGTAGTGAAGCTCTAGATTTTCATCGGCATTTGCCATCATTGAAGGCTATTGCTGGGAGTCACCAAAGAAAAATAAGCGCGAAAAGTCGTTGAAGGGCAAGAAGGGAACTGGGCAAGGACCTTATTGCGGGGATCAATTCGAAGAAGAATCAGGAGGCGTTAAAAAATCATTCTGGGGAGCTGCTGGAAGGTTTAGTGAGAGGAAGTCTTTGAACAGTATCACTTCAAGGAGCCGTTGGAAAATACAGTTGAAGGTAATCAATTAAGGTAGTCGCTGAGAAAATAAATTCTGGATTGTTATGAGAATATTTTTTGGGCCGTTGAGGGAAAGAATTCCGGGTAGTCATTGAAGTTGTTTAATCTCAGGTTCGGTGAAGGAATCATTAAATCAATGTCAGAGCATTCGATTGAAGAAGTTGTTGGAACTAACTGGAGGGGATAGTTGAAGGGGCCATTGGAAAAATAATTTTAGGTGGTCGTTGAAATTTATCAACAGAAGGGTTTATTAGCAGAATGAGTTTTATAGTATTGTTGGATAGATAATCAAAAGCACCGCAGGAGGATTCAATTTAAGGGAGGAGAAGACGTTGGAGGAAGACTTTGGAAGAAGACTTTGGAGGTAGTCGTTGAAGGGCGACGTCGAAAGAATCGTTAGTTTAATCAAGTTTCGAGTTGTTGAAAGAATTGGTACAGAGAGGAGAAAATACATTGTTGAAGGGGGTCATTAGCAGCATTAGTGTCGGAAAGTCATGAAAGGTTTTGATGTGTAAACAGGTGATCTGCCAACCCCTGGGTTCACTGCAAGGCAATCTCTTGACCCAACCATACACCGTGAGTCCTGCGACCATAATATATACTGCTCGCGCTTTTCCATTTACAGAAATTAAGTCAATATCATATTTTCACTGTACAGGGTCTGAAATCAACAACGACACCAGGCAAACATAGGCGCGAACTGGAAGCAGCTAACCAGGATCTTCGCGAGCTAGATCAGACGGGCACGCGCGTAGGATCGTCTCTGGATGAGAGTCGTAAGCTGCGAGCCAAGGACTGCATGCTTGAGCGCGAAGTAGAGACAGGATGTCAACGATGCGCTGGGGGAGGGAACAACTGTAACGCTTGAGAGGGGGGTTGAACAGGCTATGCAGGCAATGCAGGGATTGTGTCCATAGACCAAAGGCCGAGTTGTTTCCGGAAATAATCAGCCTTGCAGTTTCGACCCATTTAAGCCGCTTCTGGCGTCTAAATGTGTTAGATATGCATCTGGTACCCGAGTCAGGGATCCTATTGGTCAAGGTCCAAAGTAGAGCTGTTTTCTAAATCTCATTAGCCTTTTGTTGATATCTCCCATTGGCCACATAACTGCACCATAGTATCAGACTCTTCCAGTCTACCTTTTGTCTCCTTCATAGTTACGCAGTTCTACAAGATCGGCATACTGAGTTTTTCATGCGTTATGATCTCCTTTACTACAATGTAGATATAGACACTGTTGAACAGCGTTCACCTATTTCCAAGCCATGTCTAACCGCATCGTTTGACATCCAAGTGGCGCCAATAAGAGCAATGCTGTGTACTTGCCGAACGGTCCTTCATACAGTAAGCCTTCGAGGTAAATATTATCCAACAGTCCATGCGGTTTCAGATTGCATCAGTTGCCTATGCACGAATATCTGCCTCGGAGACGACAGTCCCGAAACCATCCGCCAGCTCACTCAACACAACAGACACCAGAGTCTCAGCCTTGACACCAGGGATATCCCTATCACCAACTGCATCCCTCACAACGAGCACATCATATCCAAGCTCAGCAGCCGCTCGGGTAGTGGTGGAGACACAGACATGCGCCATATAGCCAACCAACACGACTTTCTTTCCTACATCGCCTAGACCTTGCAGATAGGCATGCAGATCGGTCTCTGCGAATGAGCTAGGAAAGTTCTTGGTGACCACTTTCTCGCCCGCTTTGGGAGCGAGTTCTTCAAATTCTTGTGCCAAGGGGGTGTTTGGCGTGAAGATGGGTGCGCCTTCGGGCACCTCATGGACGACGTGCACGATGTTCTTGCCGTTACTGGCTTGACGGTACCGTTCCAGTAGTTTGGCAATGGATTTTCGGGTTTCTGTAATGTTTTCGGTCTTGAGAGCCCCTGTGGCGTATTCGTTCTGGGCGTCTATAATGATGAGGGTTGAGTCATGCGGGGAAGCTGAGGAGCGGGGAATCCCGACGATCTCACGGAAGGATTGAGCGGAAGAAGACATTGTAGAGTAAAGAGGTTTTTGTTGGAAAATGGAAGATTGGATTGCGATGCAGTAAAACTTTTGGATATTAAAAAGAAGAGTGGGTTTATATGTGTTTATATGGAGGTACGTTGTACTTAGGTACGCTTTTGCTTAGAAATTCCATTGGTTTTGCGGGGAACAAAGAATCACGGACGGGTCGGCATCCCACACGGGTCGGCATCCCACACGGGTCGGCATCCCACCCGGACAGGCTGGGGCGATCATTTCACGGCCATCCCACCTGGGCAGGGATCTAAAGATGAATGACATAATACATGACTTCCTAACCGGTGGATGTGGACCTCGGGGTGACGATGGTGCGGGCCCAATGTGGCTACATTTTTTGACAGAAAAATATTATAAAGGTATTTTTCAAAATGGTATAAAAGTCTCTAATATAACTGGTTCTGAATTGAAAATTTGTACGGCCGATTAGAGAGCAAGACTATATATGTAGTATTATAGAAACATGGGTTTCCGGTAAAAGACCGGGCAACCAATGTAACACTCCTGTTTCTTCACATTTATCAAGGCTTTGCCATTCTAGCAGCCAAGAGGTCGTATCTGTCGTCTGGTAATCGGCATCGCATGCTCAAATCTGTATTAGCATTCTCTCTTGCTATGAAAAGAGAAAGGATGGTATTCAAGAGCAGGCTTTGAAATGACGTTATAGACCACGAGGTATTTGTGTGTCGGCGTAGACTCGAGTTGGAGATGCACCATTGGTCCTAGAGCAAAAGGATGATATCAACACACAATTCTATGTGCAATCAACGTTATAATGCTTCTTCTTCTCACCATTTGAGCGTCAAATGCGGAACATAGTCTATTGTGTAGACGTATTGATGCGTCTCGTGCCTCCTGAGTCCCTTTCACCCAAAGTCCGATTGCGACAACGGATTGAACAAGTACACAAGGTTCCTTGGCGAAGTCAAATGTACTTCGATGGAGAAACGGCCACCTTGGATGGAAATTATCAAAGTAAATATCAATATAGTCATGAGCAATCCACCGGGGAGCGCCAGAAACGGAATCATTAATCGCGGAAACAGCCGGCAAAGGACAGAGATCATCGATCGAAAATTATTGTTTGCCTACGGTTTCACCACCGCTAGGCACACAGAGGACGCCGCGATGTTGACAGGCATTGCATGGTAATACACCTTCACAACGGACTTTCCGTGCATGACATGCACTACATGCCCTAAATTTTCGAGACGGCGGCGGTTCTCTCTGCGGATGGTAAGTCCGGATATGGCGTCGCAACAGGTCACTGATTACTCTCTGACTTGAAAGTCTTCCCACGGGATCGAAGAAACCACTCACTTCCTGGTCAGGACGCTCTTACAATAAGGACAGACGAGATTGATTTCCTTATCATGATGATTACGATGTCGATTCAGGTGCTCTTTACGCCGATATTTGGCATTGCAATTTGGATAGTCACATTGGAACCACAAGGGGACAATATCGGCAGGAGGCGGCATTGTGCAGAATTTTTGCAAACCTTTGGATTTCACAACTTTGTGAAATGACAAAAGTGAAGGAGGCAAAAAGGGTAGAGAAGGTAATGACCAGGAGCTCCGGTGGGGCCCCGAGGAAAGTCACCAATGAAGTTCCACCGGTCATCCCACTTGATGAATAACTCTACAGTTGGCGCTAACGTAATCCACTAGCGAGTGAGACACACGGGCCCGTGAGACAGAAAACCAGCTACTATAATTTCAAACCAATTTATTAAACCAACAACGCCATTGATTTCAAATTTCTATCTATTAGACCTATCAGGGCATTGCGTTCTTTTATGCCCTATTTGATGACAGTCGCTGCATCGCGGGGGTGCGCGTGTAATTGGCTGGGAAGCTGACGCAGCTGGTTCCGCCGGGGCAGTATTAGGAGCTTCATGAGCCTGGTTCATCGACTCCCTGGCTTCTTGGCCCGTAAAACCCTCCGTATGAGCTACGCGCTTAGTCGTTCTGTTGCGTTTTCGCTTTTGTGTCTCGTTTTCAGCCCGTAAATCGCGGACTTCCTTTAGAAGGATTGCATTAGAATGCAATGATTGCTGATAGCCCTTGAGGAGCTTATCAATAGCTATATTCGTAGGCGTTGGTGGGCTTTGCGAGCATTTCTTAAGCAGTGCCTTGATTGACGAGCCCTGTCGATTCAATTGTTTGAGATTTGCCGGCGTTTTAGGGCTCCACGCGCTCGATTGGCTCCCTGGTCGACTACCTGAGGGGGTAGGTGTCTGAAGTTGAACATCAAGCTTTGAAATGACCTGATCGGGATCATATGGTACTAAACCAGCTGCGACGAATGCATTTTGAATAGTCTCTGGTTTAAAGGCCTCTTTGCGAGCTTGTGGGAATGCTGCAAGGAAATCAAGCTTGTCGATATGGTTGACCCCCAACCGTGCTTTGCGCTCAATCAAGCTCCCATACGCGCGCTTTAGGGGGGCAAAACAGCCTATATCCAAAGGCTGTAGTAGATGAGACGAATGCGGAGGCATGCAGATTGGAATAATATCATTTTGCTCGCACAATCGATCAAAACGGGGGGTCAAATGACTGCCATGGCCATCGAGAACTAGTAGTCGATATTTACCCCTAGTACGACTAGTAGTCGCAGGGATAAATAGCTTTTCTAGCCATCGAAGCCCAATTTCGTCTGTAGTCCAGCCATTCTCACTGATTTCGATTCTCCAATTGTCGGGTAGGTCATCAAACCATGCATATTGTTGGTACTTTGACGATTTGAAGATAATGCATGGTGGGAGTATAAAGCCCGTTGAATTCACACATTCAATCGATGTGACCCATTCGCGATTCCCTGGCTGTAGAACTGACCTCCGACCATAGTATTCAGCTCTTGTAATGACTTTCGCAGTGGCTATAAGCCCCATTGCGAAGCCAGTTTCATCAAAATTGTAGATATCCTCAGGTTGGATACCATTCTCATCGATCGTGCGTCGTACAAGGTCGAACCATGGTTTAATAACCCTCGGATCTTCGCATTTTGCCCTCTCATAATTATATCGACGAGAATACCGCGATTTGAGCTCATCATAGCGCTCTGTATATCTGTAAACCCAATTGACTCCAACAGTCTGACTACCACGCTCTGCTAGTAGAATATTGGCCATATCCCTTACCATACAAGGCCGGGGAGCTGATCCACGTGTATCCATAGAGAGTATCCACCGTAGGAGCGATTCCTCTTCAGTTGGAGTCAATTTATAATTGCTGGCGCGGGTTTCCGATCGATGAAGTTTGCCATTGTATCGGCGATGGAGAGTTGCGGTAGGTACTTGAAATCGGCGCGCAGCTTCGCGAATTGATCGAAATTCTTTGTTCCGAAAGGCTTGTATTGCGAGCTGGATCCTACCTTCTTGGTTGATAGAATTTTGAGGATTTTGACTGCGAATTGGGGGCATAGTGGGTAGTTGAAATGAGGAGGTTGACGCGCCGGGGCGCGACCGCGGTTTCTGTCTCACGCGCCCGTGTGTCTCACTTGCTAGTGGATTACGTTAACTAAATAAATATCCGTGGATAAACCAGCAAGTGGGATAGGCCGACTATCCAAGTGTATATCTATAAATGGTAAATCTTCGAAATGGAGTTACTCCTTTTACTACCTCCACTAACTTGGAAAGATCTCTTGGCAGTTCAGTGGTTCTCAATTAGAGTGCACCACAATGCCCAACCTCTATCATCCTGGGACATTGCGCAACGACTCTGAACAAACTGACAGCCTCGATGTCGGCACCGAAACCTACTTCGCCTCACATCTCGAGCCAGCAATTTCCAAATTGGCCGGCATACATGCACCTCCGGAATTCGAAGTTAACTGGGACTCTGACGACCCCGAAAATCCTCGCCTGTGGCCGCTTTGGTACAAAGGCCTCACTGTCGCTGCTATGAGTCTTGGTACTACAGTTGTCAGTCTCTCCAGCACACTGTACACATCTGGGATTCCAGGACTACAAGAAGATTTTCGCGTTTCGAAGATCGTGGCTCTCCTTGGCGTCACCACTTATCTTCTTGGAATGGGGATAGGCAGCATCATTTTTGCTCCACTTAGCGAGCTTGTGGGACGGCGGCCAGTCTATATTGTCTCAATGATAATATTTCTGCTTTTATTGTTGCCGAGTGCTTTAGCTCAAAACATTGCTTCAATCCTCGTGAGCAGATCCTTTGGAGGATTCTTTGGAAGTGCATTGATGTCGAACTCGCCAGCATCTGTGAATGATATTGTCTCGGATAAGCACCGTGCTTTAGCATTCGGTTTCTGGTCTATTGGCCCCACCAACGGCCCTGTATATGGCCCAATCATAGGAGGGTTTGTGTTCCAATATCTTGGCTGGAGGTGGACAAATTGGATTGTCCTCATCAGTGGGAGTGTGGTCCTGGTCCTTTTAGCCTCTGTCAAAGAAACATACGCCCCCGTGATCTTGAAAAAGCGCGCTGCAAGAAAAAGAAAGGAGACACAGGACCCAAAATGGTGGACACGCTATGACGATGATGTCGGCTTTACATCTTCACTGAGAACCAATCTCAAGAGACCTTTCGTGATGCTCCTAACAGAGCCGATATGGTAAACTATCTCCCTCCATGCTATAAAGCCAAGGCTAACATCCTCGTAGTATATTTTGGGATGGCTACGTTGCGATTGTTTATGGAATCCTTTACCTATGTTTCGTCGCGTATCCAATCGCTTTCTCACATGAACGTGGGTGGTCGCCAGGCATCGGTGGTCTTCCGTTCGTCGGTATAGGCGTTGGTGTCTTGATCGCCATTGCATGCGAACCTTTATTTCGTAAAGTGATCAATCTTCATCGCAAGGATCCAGAAACCGGCATGGTACAACCAGAGGCTATGGTCAGCGTCGTCTTTTTTGGTGCTACTCTTTTAGCCATTGGCCAGTTGTGGTTTTCCTGGACTTGTACTCCAAACGTTCACTGGATTGTCCCCATCCTAGCCGGTGTTCCCTTTGGAATTGGTAATGCATGCGTCTTTATTTACGCCTCAAACTATATTGCCCGGTCTTATGGCATTTACGCCGCATCTGCGCTTGCAGGAAATATGCTCACTCGCAGTGTCATGGGAGCATTCCTCCCGCTTGCGGGACCATCAATGTATAAGACTCTGGGCTTGAATTGGGCAAGTACAATCCTGGGGATTGTTGAGGTAGTGTGCATCTTGATACCTGTTGTCTTCTACTTTTACGGACACAGAATTCGAAAGGCGAGTCACTTTATTAAAGAGGTAGAAAAGCTGCAGGCAGCCTGAAAAAACTTATTAAAATAATGTTTGTTGGTATCACCAGCTAGGTACTGTGTACACAGTTAAGTGGACAGTTTGTATGCTCCAAAGCAAATAGTCAATTGATTCTGTTGATAGATGTTCAGTCTAGTTGGAAAAACACCCCTAGATCCCACACGCTGGCCTTCGGTGGTCACAACACCGGGGCCACAGCCCAGCACAAGAAGCGTACACCAAGCAAGGGATGATATCCATCAGTCGCTAGTAGTGGGTCACCGCTAGTTTGTTCTGACAGGAGGATATATCCCGACACTAATAAAGAATAAAATTAGTAATACTGAAAAATACCTGCGGATTCTACATAAATCATACATATCACGGGGTTTTCTATGTTTGATTTGTTTGTAGGACCGCAAGACCACACCAGACCGCACAGGTGCGGTCCGGTCTGCGGTCTGGTCCGGTCCCTTGCGGTCCTTGCCGAGGTCTAGTCCAGTAAAGCATACATTACTATGGTAATGCAGAGCAAGGCAGCGCAGAGTGAGTTCACGGCAGATTCCTTTCTTACACAGAATGGCAGATCATGGTGGACAGACGATGAGCTCGAAAGTAAGCACTAGAGTAGAAGCATGATGACACGCGTTTAATTCTTCGCCCGGGCTCCTAGGAACGGCCGTAGGCAGCAACACGCTTACCTTCGGAGGAAGTGAAACAAAGAAAGAAAGGCTGACGTCGGTGAGCGATCAGCGTGCTCCGGGAGTGCTCCGGGTTGCTCAGGGTGCAGCTCAGGGTGGCGGCGGGACTAACTCAAGCTGGGCTTCGGGAGCCGATCGCTTCCCGAGGCGGCAGTTTTACCGTCACCTTTTTTACAATCCAAGGCGAGTCTTCTTCATTTTTATTAATATATAGCACAGCTTGATGACTTATTATAGCCTAGGTAATAGAAACTTAGATACTCAATCATTCTTCCACAGTCAGGAGATTAATGTCCTGCTTGACTCGCAGTTAATCTATAAGAAGTGAATAATTGTTATCAACCAAAACCAAAACACCGTAAGATACGGCGCTGCAAGTCCTACTGATAGGTGTTCGCACTATCCTAAGACCGGTGAGATTAATCTAGGTTTAATAGGAACAAGCCTAGGCCGGTTTAGCTAGGCGAAAGACATCGCTGTTGTAATAAAGAGGGTACAGGGAGCTAGGGGCTTCTAGAAAGGCAAACTGTTCCTGCCAAGCAAACGCAGGTAAAATCGCTAGCAGTGTGCTATTCTTACGAAAATCAATCAAGGCATAGTCACATTCACTGGTAACTGCCAGCAAATGGTCCTCATCTATGCGGCGACCCACTATTTACACCACAAAGGGCGTTCAGAAAGATTTTGTGAAGGTCTGTATATCATCAGAGTGTACTCTAAACTGCCGGTCAATGAAACTTACATTCACCCCTTATTTCTATTTTGATCTCATTCCGCCCCTTGTAATACCCTTTTCTGTCTTCTACATGTGAAATCGTTGTCACAGGAACCGTTATCGCACAGTAGTCAAGTACATTCCACAGACTTGTAGTTTATCGTAGATGAACCATATCTGAGTCTGTCGGATTTGCGATTCCTTCAGACCAGAAAGCCTTGCCTCTATCGAGACGCGAGAGACTACCAATCCACAATACTGAACACTGGGGCACATCTCTAATACCAGACCATCACATAAATACACTGTAGTAGCCGTCTTTACGTTTGAACTTACATCGATATATAAGTATTCCTACAATATATTGAATGCGTATTGTGTAATTGATGCATTACTTCAACAAAGAAGTGATACCTAGCCCACACTACCTGAGATCAAATCACAAAACCTTGATATGAGCCCGACCGGTCAAAGGCACAGCAACATGAACCACCAGCTTCTTATTCTCAGCATCATAGTCGGCATTACGGAGTGCCTTTGGCTCGCGCTCCACACCAAGAACAGTGATAGTCTCAATACTGACACCAGCGTCGTACTCAAACGATCCAGTCATACTGAGCTTGCCGTGCGCATAGTTGAAATCGATCTCCGACACAGCGTCCTGTACAATCGACTTGCCATCGTCAAGGTACAGCGAGCCCTTGGCAGAGCCATCGAGACCAGGCGCAATGACAATGTTGAAGCCCTTCTTGCGTAGCGCGGTGGTGGTATTGGCACTCTCGATGCGCTGTGGGTAGATAATGCCGCCCTTATAGTGGACCGTGATATCTGTGTAGTCGACCTCGGCGGAGACGTACTCACCATTTCCGCGGACGGGTTTGCCGGTGCCCCATTCGTAGAAAATGTCGTCGGGAAGATAGTAGTTCACGCTCGTGCTGTTTTCCTCGGTAACAGGACTGACGAGGATGCCGTCGCCGTAGAAGAACTGCAGGTCGATGGGGTAAGTGTTTCGGTCGTTCGGGTAGTTGAAGAACAGAGGGTTGAGGGTCGGGGTGCCGGTCTGGTTTTGTTTGTAGATGGCAGTGTAGATGTAGTCGACTAGAGAATTGTCAGTTATAATGTCCTTCGCGGAGAGGGGTCTGCATGGATCACCCACGGAGTTGGTATCTGATGGAGATTCCCTTGCGTGCGGCCTCGGCAACTGTTGGCCAGCGGTAGAACTCCTGGGAGGTCGCGGAGATTTCGGCGTGATTGCGGAAGAATGTGTAGAAGGAGCCAAGAGATGCCCACCTAGTGATTGACATTAGTCAGACTTTCCATTCTGGTAAAGAGATTGAATCCTGACCTGGCACAGAGCGCCTCCGTTACATTACCGCCGAAGCCGCAGACATCGGGGCCCACAACGGGAATCTGGTATAGCGACGCAAACTGCAGAATCTGACTGATGGAAATACGGTACCAGAGCCACCCGGAAATATTATCTGCAGAGGATTGGAGTTAGCATGGGGTCGTTGCTCGTGTTGAAGAGAGTATTCGCAAAAGGAATTATATTACCTCCAAGCCAGTGAGACACGTCCTTTCCGGAGCCAGCAAACGTGCTTCTGGTAATTACCAAAGCGCGGTCATCCGGACGCCTGGCACGCATGGCGTTGTGAGAATGGGAAGACATCATAGCACCGTAAAGGTTGTGGGTATCATATTGAACGTATCCGCCGCTTTGCACCACATCAGTGTCGGCAGTGCTGTCGGCAAGCGTGGGACCTGCGCCGTTTTGGATCATGAATGGTGGCCTGACAAACTCACGACCTGGAAGGCCTTTGCACTCGTCAGGTCCGCAGCCAGAACCAGTTTCCCCGCCGTGCTGCCAGCCAGAATGCGAAGGGGCCCTGGCAGTGCGCCAATGGCCAGCGCCGAGGTTGCGGCGGGTTCGAGGCCGATACTGATCACGTGCGACAACTGCGGTCGAACGCTTTTCTTCTGAGTTGCCAGAAGCAAAGTTTGGCTGAAGACTGTCTGGGAATCCGGGGATGGGAGCATCTGGACCATCTCGCACTGGTGGTGGGGTTGGAGGGTCACCATCCACCTCTGCGAATCTCTCGGGTGTCGTGTTGTTGCCCGGGTATGGCCGATTGAAGAAGTTTGCGGGTTCATTCATGTCAATCCACAGTGCATCAATGTCCGGACCATTCGTTCCGTCGAAAAAATTAGCGAACTGCTCACTCCAGTACTGCTGCGACTCGGGATGGAACCAATCAGGGAAGTAACTCGGACCAGCCCAGACGACACCTTGGTATTCGGATCCGTTCGCCTCCTTCATAAAAGTGCCGTATTTGAGGCCTGCCTCGAGCGCTGGATTGGACTCCTTATAGAATACGGCGGGATCGACCATGACGATGTAATGCTGATCTCTCGCATGGATTGTGTCCACCAGGTCTTTGTACAGATTGGCCGGGAACCTCTCTGGATCAATGGTGAAAACGCGTCGACGATCCATGTAATCGATATCGGTCCAGATGGTCTCCAGAGGGATATTGTTGGAGGAGTAATTGGCGGTGACAGCGGCGACCTCATAGACATCTTGATAGCCGTATCTGCACTGGTGGAAACCGAGTCCCCAATAAGGAGTCATCAAAGGGAACTGTGCAATTTCCGCATACTGAATGGCCACTTCGCGCGGGGAGGGTCCAGCAATGAAGTAGAAATCAAGAATGCCGCCGATGATGTTGTACTCGAGGTATTGACCACCCTTGTTATCGATGAAGATATCCATGCCATTGGAGTTAAGTAGGAAGACTCCGTGAGTAGAATTCTGTCTGTGGTCGAAATAGATCGGGTGAGCACCGTACAGATTCTCGCCCTGAGGTGTCCCATAGGCATCGCGGGTATAGATTGTTCGAGTGTAGTTGGTCGTGTTCAACATGAACGAGTCGCTGTGCTCACCCAGTCCATAAAGGTGCGGGTTCTGTGGCAGATGTGTCTTGAGATACACATATTGACTCTCGAATACCAAATTGTTGCCCGTAGTATCGAATAGTACCTCTCCGGTATCAGTGCGAGACACGGTGAATGAGAAAGGGTCGGCATTGAAGTTGAACTTGAGCTTTGAGTTCTTTGGGGAACACCATTCACCGAAGCCGGGACGCGGAAAAACACTGTCTGGAACCTGGTAGACCGTGTTGTTTGTGTCCGAGATCTTGACGTGAAGTCGATCGCTGGTCTGATATTCCACCTGGAGCTTTAGGTCCGGGAGGTCAGTCCCGAAAACATTGCACGCCGGCCCTGCCAGGGTAAGTTCCGCGTAGAATCCAGATCGAGTCTCCCACTGCTTAGTCGCCTTGTATCCAGGGCATTTGGACAGGTCCTTTTCGTAGAGGTCATTCCCAGGGTCATCGAGATCCTCGACGCCAGCTTGGCTCTGGGCCCAGACACAGCCACCCAGGGCTACAGCCGAAGTAAGTAGCTTGTTGAGGTACATGCTGAGGCCTTGAATACCAAAAGATTTCACGTCCGCACGTTGCTCTTATATAGATCTCTCCGCCCCTTTGCCAAGATGGATCATGTTGCCAGTGCGGAGACTGCAGCATTCCCCAGGGCCGAGATCCTCACCCCGCAGAATTGAACGATATTTCAATTGCTCAAATTTTGGTCGGGCCAGTACTAATGCTTCTTTTGCCCTTGAAGCTCTCCTGCTGATATCTTCCAGAACCTTGTGCATTCGCAAGATATACATGATTTTCACCTGAAGATGAAAAGGAAAGCCAGAGGCATCAACCCTGCGCAAGATTTCCATAAATTCAGTGATGATACCCTGGCCTTGGCATTTACCGAACTTGCCGAGTTCTCCGATAAAAGCCCGAGAAATGATGCGGTCAACTTGGCGCCAAAGCCAAGAAAGTGATTACGGCGCCCACCATTGTCTATTTCTGTTGGAACAGCTTGTGACCCATTTACCATGACCAATCACCAAGAACCTGAAGTCTGCATTAGTTATGTCTGTACACACACAAATTTGTAACTATGTGCGCGACCATGACTAATCTGCTTGGTTAATTTACAATGATACAACCTGACAATCACTTACAATACCAATTCTCCACTGATGCCGACAATTTCTCCGCTAAAAGTCCGCCTTTATGGGGCTCCACGGGGCTCCAAATCTTCTCCCCGGCACCCGACAGCGTGTGTGAATGTCTTTTACAGTCTCATAACCCAAACATTCCTGAGCTCTTCATAAACCAGACGGGATTATTATTGAATTAACCATTTCTATGGATCGTGTGGCAAGACAGTTCAGCCGTTGTGGGAGATAGCCATCCAAGAGAAGGCAAGAGGAATGTTCGGCTGTGTAAATGCCAAGAGAACCAAGAGAATCGATCGCTATGATCCAATGACTGTTCACGCCCCTCCGCTGAGAGGTTCTTGTCGTTCTTCTCACCCCTAAAGCGCATCCCTAACGGGGCTCACCCATTAGTCATTCCAGCGGGATTTGTTTCGTCCCAATGGCCATAGTTATTACACGGCAGTGATTACAGACGTCTAGCAACCTAGACCTTTAATTTCCATTGTTTCACTTATCAGATTCACGGCGCTCTCACGCCCTTGTCTTACTGTCCCGAGAAGCTTCATCGTTCTATTGTGGCTTTCCGCGTTCCGGTAGACTCAGTGCCCGGCCAAGAATTTCATAGGTCTTGTGAAATCAGCACGCTACATGGCACCTGGCTGCCAAACCAGCCGGAATAAAAGGGGAGAGTATGATGATATAATTAACAGAGGTGATCCAACTTCCCGACAGGCGAAGACGCTACCTGTACAGAGAAGCAAGCGCCTAATCATCAGCCCAACCCAATCCGCCGCTATTCGCTAACACCCAAGCTCCGTCCATCGAAACCGAGCGACCACGAGCATCACGCAAATGATACCAGAAGGATCGTGCGATCGCCTAGGGGAAAAGCCGGTTGGATGCTTCGGGAGCTGGAGCTTTGTGCTGGGTGACTTTGGCGTTTTCTATAAAAACGAGCACGATCAGCGATCATTCGCATATCACAGTAGGATCTAAGAAGAGAGCTTGGCAAAAAGGTAAAATTGGGAACTGCAAATTTACCAGATGATTACTGCTTCTAGGCTCTGATATCCAAAGGGCACAGAGAAGGTGGTCATAGAGGTGAAAGGACTTCGTGCAGATTCTAATGCCACTACAGTACGCATAGAACAACTGGTGAATCGACATGATTCAGCTTCGTTATCCATGGATACCATATAAGTTTCCTCCCTTTCTAATTACAATCGTCAGTCAATGTCAACCGAGGCAGTGGGACACAGAATATCGTTAACGACAACGGAAGGCAATGGATTGCTCAAACCCAGACTTTCGGTAAGATTGAAGCTTGTGGCTTTTCTCTTTTCAACTCAATCAACAGCGGAATGGGAATTTTGCGGTCGATGTTCTCTCAGAAAAACTGGCCTTCAATTCAATGTCGTACTACATGTGAACAACTACATACTCAAATTTGGATTTTGATGTCCTTCAGAAGTGTGGATTCCAGGAATTCGGAAAGTGTACAATGTTAGTGATAGAGCTTTACTGACGGTTATTCGTTGTCACTCCGCAGAAAGAAGATTTCTCATTTCGCGGCCCAGTTGGTCTCTGTCTCCGTCAAGCGCCAAATACCGCCAAAGAGCTCTTTTTCGGCAGAGAGTCCGAGCTTAATGACATGAAACCCCATTTTGACGAACAGAATGCGCCGTGTCTAGTTCTCGGTGGGATAGGTGGCGTTGGCAAGAGTCGACTAGCTATCGCTTACGCAGAATCCACGGCGTCCACGGGATTGCCAGTCTTATCTTCGGAGTCCAAGATTCCAGAGTCCTTGATGGTAAATATATTGTTGAACGTGTAAATCGTTGGCTGACTGATCCGAAAAAAAACTCGATGGCTTTTGATATTTGACAATTACGACGATCCAAGCCAATTTGACATCAGTGATTATTATCCAGTTACCTCGTCTGGAGCTATCATAGTCACTACTCGACAACCAGAGTGCATTCCTGGGAAGATTCGAATTATTCATATAGGAGCTTTCCAAAACATCGAGGATAGCCTCCTAGTGCTTCAAACCCGCTCGGAACGACAGAATGTTCAGTCAGGTCTGTTTCCATGGTAGAATTGCCAGAACCATAAAGCTTTTGTTGAACGAGCTAACAGATACCACAGATAAAGGTGCAAAGCGCCTCGCGAATCGGCTAAAAGGATTTCCGCTTGCTTTGGCAACTGCTGGGACATACCTCAAACGAAGTACTTTCAGCTTTCAGCGATACTTGGAAGAGTATGAGAAGCGCTGGAATATTGATCCTCGACATCCACCTGAGCTTCCAGAGTATCGCGAGCGCACACTTTACACGACTTGGGATTTGTCATACGCTTTCCTAGAAGAGAAGGAGCCTCGTGCGGCAAAACTGCTCAAATTGTTGGCCTATTTCGATAACCGAAATCTTTGGTTTGAGTTTTTCCATGGAGGACTAACCGAAAAGTCTCCCGAATGGCTTCGTGAAACGGTTACCGGCGAGGTGTCCTTCCAAGGAGAGATGAAAGTCTTGACCGAATACTACTTCCTCGAAGTCCATTCAACATCGAACTCATGGAGCATGCATAACTGTGCACGACTGGACAATGGCCGCGCTCAACAAGAATATCAACATGGAGTATTATTACTATGCTCTTGATTGTGTTGATGCAACCATCAGCGAGAATGATGACACTTCGGGGGCTTCTTTGATGAATATCACCTATTCCCGCCCAGCTGGTTACGCAGCACGACTAGCACATCACTGGTTCCTCGAAAGCGATGCGATCGATGGCATTACACTCAACCTATACGATCAGTACGAGAAGCTCTCTAAGGCATCACATCTACTCAAGCAGCAAGTTCAGTTTGCTGCTGCCAGTTAAATGTATGCATTTCTGCTAGCTAGGAAAGAGACCGCACTAGGACCGAACCACATATCAACCCTTGCCACTGTCCATGGTCTTGGAACAAATTACTGTCACCAACATAAGCACAATGAGGCTGAGAAGATGTACATACGAGCTCTCGCTGGGAGAGAGACTATGCTAGGCCCGAACCACACATTAACTCTGAGCACTGCCTATGGTCTTGCAGGTCTAGGCAGACTGATCGAGGCTGAGAAGGTGTGTGCACGGGCAATCACTGGGAAAGAGACCACACTGGGACCGAACCACGTGTCAACCCTTGTCACTATCGAAGCTTTCGAGGAACTACATTGTCACCGAAGTCGGGCAGACAAGGAGTGTACCGATCAGGGGAGGACCATTTCGAAGGCGCTGCGCCGCAGTCTCAATAAACTACAAAGATCTTATTTTTGATAGCGAAATGGTATTAATACACTTTTCTGGACTTGGGACAATGCTTTTTCTAGCACGCGCTGTTTTACTGATGGGGTTCCTAGGAATAGACATTGCTTCAATGTGGGATTCAACACGAGACAAATACTGCGGGTACCGCGTGGTTGGCTTGGGATCCAAGTATGCATGGGAATTCCTCAGGTCTTAGCTGAATACGCAGATACAGTTAGTGGCCAGTAATTGTATAACATATTAAAAGGGAGATGCGGCCAAGGGCCAGAGTTCAGACACGGGACGGGAGAAGCAAAACTTCTTCAGACAGAACTAGATGGTTCTCTTCTCCAAGCCCGAGTCTTTGACTCGGGGATTGATGAAAAAAAAAGGAATCCACTGAGTGGAAGGTGCCAAAGAATACGCCTGTCAAAGACCCAGAAGGCCTTTGAACAGACCAGTCCTCCGCGCTGTGCAATGCAGGGCCCAGACTGTAGTGAACCGCCTTCATGATCGCGGACACCCAAACAAGGTAAGTATGAGGAGAAAAGAAGAAGAAGAGGAAGCGATGTGGGCGAGAGGTGGTTATATAGCGCTTGGTCACATTCCGCACTAGTCCTTTACGGTAAGCGAGATGACCCGCGTGATATGATCCAGTCCCTCGCATCTGACTCGGACCTTCAGGCACTCAGGCATCAACATCCGTGAGCTGTCACAGCTGCACCTCTAACTTAGCTCATGGCCAACAAGTCACATTGCGACTAACGAGGCGCACGCACGACTAGGGCGGAGGGGCAGATTTTGGCTTGAATGGCGTCTGTACCTTGCATCCTGGAATCTATAAATCGGCCGATCCTACCCACGCCTGGATCGGAAGGATTGGGCGGCGGACGAGTTCAATAATTGGGTCTCCTTGTTAAACCGCGCCAAGTGGGCACCGAAGCTCGTGTGGAGCCCTTCTCTCCCCTATTTCACATTTTTCCATGGACGGGCAGCAACTCTGTACGGTGGTCCTCGCGCAACCGTGGTCCGGTTCTACACCCAACCTTTTTATTTTCTTTTTCACCTGCTGGATGTCTTCAGTCCTCGAGGACTGAACTCAAGATGGGCGCGATCGGACTCATATACCTATTGCAGAAATGCTGCTCCGTCTCTTAACTGAATCCACCGTGGTCTCAGTGATAGTGCGCGCATCCTCATCAAAGGGTGCCATGGTTATGGGAAGGCTCGACGACCGGTCTAGTGGACGCTAGAATGGACGGGGGGACCTCGGAGGAGAGCTTAGATGGGCACGAGAGTTTCAATTCGGGGACAAGTCCTCCGTAGTGCATTTGCTAGCTGGGTACCAAGCACACCGCAACGACGGAAATTTGGCTGGTGTCCGTGTTCTGCGCTTGGCGAGTCTCAATGGCGGGATCTTCACGCCATTTTTCGATCCATCCGGTTCCCAGAGCTCGGTCTTCCTGGTGCAGTAGTGGCACGGCGGGCATCTCCGCCTTCCCACCGAACGCTATGACAATAGGATAAGCAACTTGGGAGGTCGCATGGCAGCTGCAGGGCCAGGGAAAAAACCTGTCACCGAAACCGCCAGCCGAAGAGATCGACGGGGCACTGACCATTCATCGGCCACAGTCCCGGGCTCGGCAACTCGTGACCTGGGAGCGCAGCCGTCAACGTTGTGCCGCACGAAAAGGGCAGGATTGGCAACTGGTCGCTTGGCCATAACGCCTGACGGGTAGGCAAAGTGTCGAAAAGGGGCCCGCGAAGCAATTGGCTGCCGCGTCGCTAAGTGGAGCAAGTGGGCTATCACTACTGGAAATGCTCCAGTCGCAGGTGCTCGCAGGGGAGATGGCCATGATCGACCTGATAGGGCGAAGCGTAGCCTAGAAGATGCTACTCGTAAGTGGGAGGGGATTGGAGAGGGGGGAACTGGAATGAGTCACACCAGAAGCGCCCAAGAACCACACCAGTCGAGTGGGCGCTTTCTGCGACGTGAACCAGAAAGCAGCGAAACTGGTCTGAAAAAGGTCGCAAGGTGAAGCACACAGATCGTATAGGAGTTAGGGCTGGCCAGCCACGGTGGATGGCTTAAGACACGGGACCACTGGGTGGGGCAGGCTGGGCTTAGGCCGGCGAACGTCTAGAAGCTACGGAGCCGCGATGGCAGACGAAAAGGGGGCCCTTAATTAGGGGCAATTCGGGAGAAGTCGTCGTGTGGACCCAGAGCAAATGTACAGATTGCCTACAGTAGTAGTAGTTACCCGAGTAAGGAAAAGGACACGAGCAGAAAGTCGGTATGGACTGTGTATGTAAACAGTACATGGTACATTGTTCCGCAGTATGTAGCATGTACGAGTATGTACGTAGACGGGACAAGAAAGGGAGGTGGAAACGTCTGTGATACCCTCGCGCTCGTATCACGCCAAAGAATGTCGTGCCGATGGCGAACCAAGAGGCCGTGGACGCATCATGCATCATGGGATCCTGGAGCTGATCGCAACGGTCGAGCTCATGCGCCCACTAGTGTAGGGCACGACATAGAGTTATGACGCGCGCAACGAAGGAGGGGTTGTACTACCGCGCTGGTTGGCCACGAGGATTCGCACGCCACTGGGAGATGGGCTGGTCATGGGGTGAAAGGACCAAAGATTACATCTTGGGGAGACTCGCGCACTCTCACTTGCTGGCGCATTTCGCGTATCTGGAGATGGAGACCAGTAAAATGCTCGAGGAGCCGGCAGCCAGTTCCGTCACTGCTGGATCTGCGCCATGCGAGCGAATCCCGATAGGCCGCCGGCCTCACCCTGGCTGATCAGCATGCAGAGTGAGAAAGGCAAAGCGCCAACAGGCAGCAGGGTTGGAACAGGCCCAGCGCCATGGACCAGATCCTTCCGCCGCCGCCTCCTCCCCTCTTTGTCCCAGGACCCGGCGGGCCTCTCAAGAGCTGCGGAATACGATGTGTAAGTATCAGTTGACCGTTGGGGAAAAGCTACCAGACTTTCAAGCGCAAGTGTGCGAGAGGCGCGCAGCCAGCGAGGACAGGATGGACTGGGTCGAATCCTCGACGGTATCGACCCCTTGAACGGTGTAACTCGAAGGGTGGACGGAAAGCACCAACGGGCGGTCCACACTGTAATCGCCCCGTGACCAGACCGAAGCAAAGAGCGAAAAATGAAAGCCAAAAAAAAAAAAAAAAAAAAAAAATTTGGGCAAAGCCAGTTAATTTGCACGGGATGGGACCCGAACTGCACGGGTAAATTAGGGGGCCGTTCTAGCTGCATGGCCGATCTTGGGGTGGTGTGATGTTTGGGATGCGAAAGGACGGTGATTCCGCTGCGACTGCTCCCCTGTGCGATAGTTGCCCTGCGAGGCCCGAACAGGAGGGACAGATGGAGACAGCCTCACATAGAAAGCACCACAATCTGGACGACGAAATCCCAAGGCATAGTGGAAGGATGTAATGTATACAACTGCCCGCTAGAACCAGTACCCCTGACTCTTACCTAAGCGACTCCACTTGGCTCCCTGCAGCTCTTTTCCCCTTTGGTCGCCCAGCGCTTCCCCCCCTCCTCGTTCTTTTTTTCCGCCCTTCCCTCCCTTTTTCTCCTTCCCTTTCTTCTCTCCCGAAGCAAATACCCCCCTTTCCTACGTCGTTGTGATACCCGAGCTCTCTTGACGCTCTTATTTCTTTTGCTTTCGAGATACCCCCCGATACCCCAAACTCGCTTTTCTTCAGAAGCTCAGCTTCAATAATCGATACCCCAACCACTTCGGTCTAATACTTTTAATCATGTCTGACGTTCAGAAGCCTGTCGAGGAGACCCCCGCGGCCGTCCCCGCTGAGACTCCCGCTGAGGCTGCGACCACCGAGGCTCCCAAGGAAACCACCGAGGACGCTCCTGCTGCTGCCACCGAGGAGGCTGCTGCCGCTGACAAGCCCGCTGAGACTGCTGAGACTACTGAGCCCGCGAAGGAGGAGGCCAAGGAGGAGGTCAAGCCCGCTACTGAAGGCTACCTCGGCTACAAGCGCTCCGGTACCCTCAAGTAAGTTCTTTGTTTATCTATTCGCGATAATCGTGCGCGCAAGAAACCAGCATCTAACAAATGATTACAATAGGGGCTTCCGCTTTACCAAGAATTTCTTTTACTTCAACGAGGAGGCCACCGAGGCCAAGAACCTCTCCGTTTTCCAGCAGAACGAGAAGGCCGCCGCCAACCCCACCGTCGCCTGGGCCACTCAAACCGGCAAAGGTTTGCTGTTCGTCACTAAACGCGTCGAGGACAAGGGCAGTCCCGCTGATATCTTCAATCTGGCTGAGGTCTCCGACATCACCAAAGAGGGCACCAAGGAGTTCCTCTTCAAGGTCGGTGGCCAGAAGCGTACCTTCCAGGCCTCCAGCGCCGCTGAGCGTGACAGCTGGGTGGTTGCCCTCGAGGCCAAGGCCGCCGAGGCCAAGGCTGAGAAGGAGACTATCACCTCGAGCGAGGGCTACAAGGCTGAGCTCGAGAAGCTGACCAAGCCTGCTGCCACTGCCGCTACCTCCAACAGTGATAAGAGCGAGTCCGTCGGTAAGCGCAACAGCAGCTTGTTCGGCCGCCTGGGCAAGGGCAAGGAGGCCGCTGCTGAGACCAAGCCTGCTGAGCCCGCTGCTGAGCCTGCCGCTGAGGAGATCAAGCCTGCTGAGCCTGTTGCTGAGGAGACCAAGCCTGCTGAGCCTGCCGCTGAGGATACCAAGCCTGCTGAGGAGACCAAGCCTGCTGAGCCTGCTACCGAGTCTGCCGCCGCAACCGCCACCGAGACCGCCGAGACGGCCGAGGTCCCTGCCGACGCTGCGGAGAAGAAGGAGGAGAAGAAGGAAGACAAGGAGAAGAAGTCGTCCAAGCGCGCTTCTTTACTCTTCGGTTCTTTCTTCAACAAGGTCTCCTCGCCCTCCTCTCCTTCCCAGGAGAAGTCTCAGAAAGAGGCCACCGCTCCTGTTGAGGAGAATGCTGTCGCCAGCACTGCTCCCCAGCTCGACAACCCGGTCGACGAATCCGCCGTCGAGCCCATTAAGCCCGAGAGCGTGACCGCTGCCGCTGATAGTGAGGACGGCAAGAAGGCCGCCGCTGAGGCTCCTGCCGAGCCTAAGGACACCACCAAGGCTGCCAACCGCCGCGCCTCAGGTATCTTCGGTGTCTTCGGTAGTAAGAAGGACAAGGAAACCTCCGACAACGAGGCCACCGATGGCGAGAAGGAGGCCAAGAAGACCGATGGCGACAATGAGGCCAAGAAGTCCAACCCGCTTGGTAAACTGTGGCGCAAGTCTACCCACAAGGGCCCCAACCCCAACAAGAAGGCCGTCCCTGCTGAGACCGAGGTCAAGGCCGACAAGCCTGAGGAGGCCACCCAGGAGGCCACCCAGGAGACTTCCACTGAGCCCACCGCCAAGGAGACTGCTGCTGAGTCTGATAAGCCCGCTCAGCCCGCCGCCGAGGAGGCCAAGAATGTCAACGTTCCTGCCTCCACCCCTGTTCAGGCCGCCGCTTGAATTGGGTCTCCGCGACGTGTTGAGTTTGAGCGGTGGTGGGATATGACAGGTCCATCGCCAACTCAAAATCTTCCTGAAGGACTCGGTTGCATCCGGTTCTGACGGTGCAAATACGGATTGTTACCAATTGTCGCTACCGTTCCTTGTTTGAATCTTTTTTGTTCCTCGCCACTGGTACTCTTTTCGTTATCGTGGCCCTTGGCTTGCCTAGGCTCCTGTGATTCGAAGAGATGCCAATGAGATACCCGCTGTCGCCATGTTTTATCCTTTTTATTTGCTTTTACCCAAAAAAAAATCAGCCCCCCCATTAGTTATTCTCGGCGCCTCGACCGACGCCTTTCATTCCTTTCACGACATGCGTCTGCAACCGAGTTTCGATTCGCGACGTGCTTATGCGTTATGTGGTGGATCGCCCGATTAGATTGATACCACTGCCGTTTCTGGTTCTGCGCTTTGCTTTTCGTGTTCGATACCCTCTGGGGAGGAAGGGTGCTGTTATCTTTTGCGAGTCTTGAGATTTTGAGTTCTCACGCTTGATGTCTTTGGTACTCTAAATTGCGCCTGGACTGTTGTCTACCGTTGTTCCCGTCTCACGGGGTTATTCTACACTTCGGGGACGTGGCACATATTGCGATAGGTAATAATTAATAGAATCTAGTTTGCTTTTTCAATCTGCGAACCTACACTAGTGTAGTAATTCTTATTTTATTCTACGTAACGTTGTCGATGCGATCGTGGGTTGATGGGTCGCCGTGCGTGGAGTGGACCACTGGGGCTGCAAAACATTATGCATGCAATGGATTCGACTCCATCGCAATGCGTTGGCTTCCTGGGGTACATCTCGCGCTGGCCCGTCTCCACTCAACGGGAAGGGCGAGCTTGGCTGGATATTCCGATAGCTAGACATTGTACTCATTCGTAGGGGGATATCCAACCCCACCCGTATTGTCTGGTCTGAAAATTTTATTGAGATACCACGCGGAGTCGGTGCGATCGGTGTGGGAATCATGGATGCGACGCGAATACGTTGCCTACTGCGGTTTGTTGGCCATGTCGATCATGGTGCAATTCCCTTGAATGAGCGTGTTTACTTGCGATAAGTTGTTATGTTGATTTCAGGATTTCATCAGTATTTGCGTAGTACTACAATTTACACCCCTCGGACTCTTCTTGGGCTTCTATGGGGAAACCTGGTTCTGGGTATGGAAGAATAGCATGCACTTGAATGTTCTGTTCTCTGTTTGAAAAATCTAGGCCTAGGTTCTTTCGTTTGTCCTGGGCCCGGAGACGTCGCGTACAAAAAAGCGACTAGGGGAATGACCACGTAGGTGACATCACTATGGGTAGACGAAGAGGCAGACTATCAGATGGGTGACCGCACTAAGCAGGAGATCAGGCAGTACAGTGTAGGTGAAACACATTGTATAAATCGTGTTTAATATGAAACAACAAGAGCATCACATGGCGGGGGTGGCAATCAGCGTCGAAACCGGGATCATACAATACAGTATTTGACCTGAGCTTGAATTAAGCATTTCGATCTGAGAGCACCCGTGAGATGCCTAGTGTGGGGGCGAGATAAGGGACAAGGTGGTCGTGGTAGTAGTTCCTTGTGATTTTAGGTATCCATCATATGTGACACTTTGTGTAGGTAGCCATCCCAAATGGAATCACTTCCCGTGCCACCCGTGGGGTTGTTGCCTACGCTGAGCATGATCTGAGATGTTGTGAGATTAAGTAGGTGATTACACGTACCCATCAAGATTGAGGCAACAGTGTATTGTGTTGTCGAGTTCACCATGCGTGGTTGATCGGACCGACAACTCACGAGCCATGGTAGCAGCTGCTTTGGAGTGCCTCATGGAATCCACAATCAAATTAGGAGTGCATCGCTGAGCCGACGAGTCGGTAGAATTTTCAATGTCAGATGATTTGAATTTGAATGACCAGGGTTGGGCGCATTTTCGCATCCAAGTCAAGTCACGATACCTGAATGGTTGGATATATATGTCGATCCGAGTATGTGATATGGTTTGGAAACCCGGACAAATCTCTCACTCCGGTCGCATGGTTGCATATTTCCGAAACCTAGAATTCGTTCACACACAATCTGTGTAACAATACCTTTTACGTAGGCTGCGCGGTAGTGCGCTGAAGAGCAGCATATGAAACCGGACCGGTGCTGCCGCCAGACACTGGTTTTGGGCCCTCGGAAAATTGCGGTGCAACGGCCCGCCAAGGGAGACTAGGTCAGATGCAAACCCTGTTCTCGATGTGGGGCTGCCAGGCACGAGGCGAAAGGATTGAGATGGGATCACCACCGCTTGGGAGACCAGGACGATAAGAATTGGCACGGGTAGCTTAGCCTGTGATTGTTGCAGGATACTCCGAGTAGTTGTCTCGGCGCTCCAGTTCGTCTCGACGAGACGGTGAGGATGAATGCAACGCTTGCCAGGAGATGTATTTCTTGGAACCGACGATCGAGAATGGGGGGGGGCGCGGTAAAGTCAATTTTCACGCCCTTCGGCAAGACTAAGATCAAAGCAGTTATCGAACGGAACACGGGCCACGGACATAGCCCACCGCGGGGACAGAATTAGGAAAAGATCAGTGGGGCCTGGCAATCGGAGGCAGGTACTTTGCTCCGAGGGTCATTCGTATCAGCCCTTGGGGTACGCCGAGTCCTGGTCCTAACGGGTGCGTGGTTGGATTAATAATGCAACACGAGTCGGCGCTGACTTTCAAGTGAGGCTGCTCGCTTCCGCCTGAGCCTGCGTACGACGAGTACGAGCGTTGCCAAGAATGGATCGAATGAGTACTCGCAGAATGCAATACTCCGAGGACACCAGACGTCATGGAGTACACACTGATCTGCCTTAATCTAGGCTTCCAATGTGGAATGGCGGATGGGCGGGTGCCTGGACATGCCGAACGAGGGATGGTCACTGGTCAATTGGGAACGGAGGAGGAGGAGGCAGACCCAGCGGTACTTGCATACCGTTGCGAGGGGTACATGCGTCGCCACTGCAGATGCGCGCAGGCGCAAGTACCTCGACGGGCCTGCCTTGTACTCGTATGTACTCGAGGACTCCGCCAGCCCCTGGTAGCCTCGAGTGGGGCAATTTGTCTGCCTTCCACCAATAAACTGCCCCAAATCGAGTGTGACTCACACCCCGTGACCTGCGCCGGCGTCAGCCCCGTGCGGCTCGGCCAGTTGATTGGCTGTGCGGCGCCCTCGGCGCACACAGCCAAATTGGCTGACCGCTTAAGAAGTGCCTGAGTCCCCCCGTCGATGCCTGCAATTTTTTTCCTTCCATCCTCACTTTTCACCTCTCCACACCCACACCCACAGAAACATCACGTCTTTTCCACCATTCTGCCTACATTTGACCAGCCTTTTGATTACCTACTGTGCCAAAATGGACGCTTTCTAAGCGACTCGTCTCGACACGCTTCGTCTTTCTCTCAAGAGACAGACATCATTGATCCCACGGGAACTTCGTCTTTTTTCTCCCCTCAACAACCCCCTTCAGAGTCTCCTGTCCCAGGACCTCTGAACTTCAGCAGCTTTCCCGCTAGCTCAAGTTCTCCCAACAACCTTTACCCGGTCGACTTTAAGTCTTCCACCACGGATACCTTCCAGCAACCATGGCTTCCCTCACCCCCGCCCAAGCAGCCACAGGCTCCCAGTTCGAACAACAACAGCAACAGCAACAACAACAACAGTGCGCTAGAGGACTTTGTGCTCTATCCCGCTCCGTCAGCTTCTCGTCCGCAGCCTCGCCCCAGAGACTTGCGTGCGCCAGCACCCTCGAGTACTGCCCTTAAGCCGTCGGCTCTTCAGCCCTTTCTGGCCCAGAACAACCCTCGAAGACATTCCTTCGGTCTGCAGTTGCACCGTCACCTCCAGCAACAGTTCTCTGGTTCTCCCGCTCCGGACCCCAGAGTCAACCAGTTTGCCCAGTCTCCTTCCTACTGGTCTCCATCCAACTTGAAGCACTCTCCGCACCCTCAGGCGGCTTCCGTGCCTTCATACTCGCCTAATAATCGCCCTCCCGTCCCGCCTTTTCACGCCGGAAACACCGATCTTGCCGCTCTCACGAAATACAAACAACGCATGTTGGCATATCGTCGCAATATGTCCACCCCGAACTTCCAAGGTAAATATACACCTGACACTTTTCATTCACCCAGCGTTCATCGCTCATACCCACTCCGCAGACAACGACGCCGAACTCTTCGGCCTGCCCTCGACCGGCCTCCACACCGGCATGGGTTCACCGCTCGACCTCGGTCAGCTCCCGCTGGGTCCCGAGGCCGATGCTGCCTTCTCCCCCGTCGCTCCAACGGGCACAATCTCGCCCAAGGATCTGATGTTCGACGGCTCCGTGCCTTCTTCAGGCACCTTTACGGATCTGAGCACTCCTCCATATGACTCGCCCGCCACATTCAGTCAGAACCCGTCTCCCCTGTTCACTGATGTGGACTACATGGGCCAAGAGGAATGGGCCCCGCTTTTCCACGATGCTTCGACCGCCGGCAACGTCTTCGACGCTCAGTTCGATGTTGCCGCTGCTCTCGCTGAGCCCCAGCAAAAGCCCGAGCCAACTCCCATGTCTCCCGCTCACAAGCGCGTGACCTCTGCAAAGGCCTCGCCCATTCCCGCGACCGGTACCACCAAGCACTCCAGTGTCTCTGGCATTAGCCGTTCGCGCAAGGAGCTGTCACCGATCGACTTCGATCCGACGGACCCGGTTGCCGCCAAGCGTGCGCGCAACACTGAAGCCGCTCGCAAGTCTCGCGCTAAGAAGCTGGAGCGCCAAGCCAATGCCGAGCGCACTATCAGCGACCTGCGTCAGCAGATCGCCGACCGTGACGAGACTATTGCCAAGCTTCAGGCTCAGCTCCGTATCCAGGAAAACTTCGAGTGAAGTTCATGGACATTCCCCAAAAGAGAACAAAAAAAAATCTGCGTTTCGTTTTCGTGATATCTTTAGCATCTTGATCGTTCGTTTTCATTCCGGCCAAAATGGCTCGTTCGGCGCGGGGGTCATGGGTAAAGCCTATCCCCGACGTCTCAATCGAGATGCCAGAGCCAATGCCTCTCTGGATCTCGCCAAAAGTTCGACATGACCGAGGCGTCATGATATATTTTTCTTTCCAAATTTGTCTCTAATTTGTTTCCATTATTTGTTCCCTGTTCCAGCCGGTTCTGATTGTCTCCCTCGCTCCAGTGATGGGATTGACTCGTGGCTCTTGCTTGTTTCTCAATATTTTTCAATTCGAGAATTTCTCATAGCGCTCCATCATCGTACTGTCAGTACTGTAGAAAGAAACTTAGTATGAGGTAGACTTGAGACCGTAGTGGGTGGGACATGACCCAGCCAGCGATCAGCCTAGTCAATGCAATGTACTGAGTACATATGGCTCTACCTAAATTTTGCTTTCAGAAAGAACCTAAGTGTAGCCATGGGCACAGACAAATAACTTTAGAACAAGCGAGCTTCGTCTTCCATCCTAATTCCAATCGCTACTCGCTGCATACTGCTAAGATATCATTTCTCGTATCTTCCCGTCCCGTCTTCCAACTCTATCTTCTCGATATACAAATGACCGTTGAGACTGTGTCAACTGGCCATCCGCTATTTTTATTTACGAAACAACGTCACATAAATGGCCCCTACGCTATGCCCTTTGACAGATCCCCGAATTCAAAACGTGTTCCTGCCGCGCGGGCCTAGGGACCTGCCGTCTTGCATATCGATCTCCACTGTTTCTTCTACCAGCCGACTTGATGTCATCTCATTGTGGCTTTCACTATGCTACATCCATAGTGATTTTGTATGACATTGAATCTTTGGATTAGATTGATTACCCAGTAAAGGCCTTGGCCCTGTTGCCAGTCGATGGCCGATTTTGAGATCTGCTGCTTCATAATAATCGCTTCAGCCTCTCCTTCATGGCCTGAGAGCTGCGTCTGCCGACAAATCGAGGCTGTGACACCAGCCCGCACTGGATTCTGCGGTGTGATAGACATGTTCATCACTGATAATCGCGGTTAGTGGTATATATAAATATTTATATCAGTGGTTATCATCATTTGGGGCCACCTTGACAAGGCTCACGTCCTGCTAGGCACCCCCCCCCCCCCCCCCCCCCCCTAAGAGGAGTTCCTGAGGTCTCAGTTCCCTCACAGATGCTTAACACTTTCACCGTCTCAACAACCATTGTGAACAATCTCACTTGATCTCATTTAAACACACAATAAGTCAATCTCTGTTAATGCCAGGAGAAATCCAAGCCTGCTACGCGATCCGCCGACAGGACGAATGCCTAAGCCAAGAGACGACAAACACAACCTGGGATCCGTGGGTAGTCTACTGTCCGAATTCATTATCGCCGAAAGAATATGGAGACAACGAGCAGTGCGACGAGCATATTAATTATACCGGGCCGGTCCCGTATAACTGCGCCAATTCGACGTGGTCCCTTTGGTTGCATGCGGGATACCTTTGCTGCCAATAGGATCAAGGGGTAATTTTGGGTTAGCGATTCGGATAATTGGGCGTATAAATCCTATGGTTGTGGGAAAGAGAGACTTGTTCGCAAGAATGGCAGCTTGACTATGGCGGAGCTGCAGTCTTCATCCAATATGTCATTTCATCTTTCCCTCGCATCAATCGCGACTAACTCGTTCAAGCACCAAAGCCAGGTCCGAATAAAGGAGCCATAGCCGGCGGCGTGGTCGGAGGCGTGTGCGGGTTACTTACAATATCAGGGATGGTATGGTTTTCCTTCGTCGGCGCCATCGTTCAAGCGCATTCAACAAATTCGACGAAACCTCACTGCACTCGCCCAAGACCCGCTCACAACGGACGGGGGAATTAGGAAATGATCATACCGGACACGGAGTGAACGAATTGGCGGGGGATACCGGCTTGCTGGGTGAATTATACGACCCTTCGCCGATTCAAAACGAACTTCCGACTGATGATCGATTACGACAGGAGCTGGCTGGTGGTCCTCCTCAGGGTGTAAAAGTGAAGCAGGATGCGCCGTGCGAGCTTCCTTGATGCGAAATACCCTGCGATAAATAATAATGAGCACTTTGCGAGCACTTTGCGGAATCGAGTGATATGTTCCATGTATTCATGTCCACTTTCGATCAATGTTCGGGACGATCTATGCCATCCGAGCGACCTGTCAATATCAAAACTCAGGCGAGATCTATCTTTGCAATTCGGACTGGAGTGATTCTGGCATATAGTCCAGCTTTGGGGTATGAAACCCAGCAAGGACCGTCTTGGATCTAGTAAACGAGCATATAGTAGTAGTACGGGGGTACGAACGACCCCAGAGGAGGCTTTAGAGACAGTGCAAAACCCCGCGAGGGTACCAGCTCAGACTTGCCTTTTCACCTTCATGAACCGCCAGGCCCTTTAAACCCAGGTCCTCACCCCGTCCGTGCTTATGTTCACACCGAAAAGAGAACGCGCGCACGCTTACAATTCATTCCAATCCAAGCCCCGCGCCGTCCTTGGACTGCTGGTGCTCTGGATAGAAGAACGAAAGGAGACGCATGCGAGCAATTCAGCTCGACAGTGTCGGATGGTGACCACCTTGAACTCCGACACAGATAGGAGAGGCTGGTTAGGGGATGAGGTTTCAGAAGTATCTGTTTCCATGTTTTGTCATCATCGCTGGTTTGGAGATTTGGTCCTTGTGCGGGTACCTGGTAGGTGGGGGAGGGGCTGGGAGGTGAATGGAAGGAAAGGAAATGGGAAGAATGAGGTAAAAAGGGGGTATATTAAGGGAAAAAAAGGTTTAAGAAAGTAAATTCATGTCAACGCATCACTGCCTTTCGTTCGGCCCTTCTCCATCTTAGCGGTTCTCGCGCCAAATTGTATAGCTCGTTTCTTCTCACGCGCAACCCGATGCAGCCCCAATCGGAGAGCTACAAGTCGGAGTGCCATCTTCTCGAAATCGATGCCAGATGTGATCTCGGCTTCATCGTCCCCGCCGTCACAGGCGGTTGGCTCTGCAAGACCAAATCCGCACTTTTCCCAGACAGGCAAGCGCAAAGTCCATGCGACAAAGTCCTCGTCCAAATATGGGAATCGAGTTTCTCGGCCCCAGTGTGAAAGGACCCGATCGTCGCGACCGAGGTTGCGTTTCCCGAGTCGGCCGACATCGAGTTGGATCTCTGCAACAAGTCCTTCGAAGCCGCAGCGGTTGAACGCAACACCGTGACGGCCGTATCCGGCAAAGAGTTCATCGGCGCCAAGACCTGAAAGAAGAACGCGCGCCGTAGTCGTATAATTTTCTGGTTTTGGCTCTGCGCTGACGTCTGAGGTGGAGGTGTGAGTGGTTCCTTGACCACGCGATGCGAAGTACAGGGCGCATGCGATGGAGAGATCCATTTCAGTATTGTGAGGTCTCATGAGACGTTTGACTTGATCTCTGTGTGCGAGAGTTTCGTCGTACGGGATGTTGATGGCGATGAAGCGCCATGTGCGACCTGGACAAGCCTTTTGGAGCTCAGCAAAAGCCGAGCGACCTGTCATTCGGTCGGGGCATGCCTCGTAAACAGCGGTAGGATCTGCAGGGGGTGGAGATGATGAGTTATGGAGGTTCGACCTCGCCGCAGCTGCTACGCGAGGATTCTCAAACGCGACATTGAGAAGATCTATGGGTTCAGTGATGGGAATGATGTCGTGTGAAAGACGGGCGAGGAGGGTGCAGTCGAGTCCACCAGAAAACAGGACTGCAATTTTGGCGCTTCTGCCTTCGATATAGCCTGGAGGCTCAGGTATATCGTCAATCCGCAATGCCAGCGACTGGTTGAGTCGGAGCTGAAGCTCTTTGATCACCGGGGTATCAAGTGCCAATGGCGGCGGTTGTGTTTTCGGGACCGACATATTCATCGGTGGAATGGGATTCTTCTGTGAAAATGTTAGAGTGAGATTCCAAAATTGATAATTTCAAACTCACAAGATGTCTTGCTGGAGGCGAAGGACCGGAGCTCCATGGTAAGGTTTCAATCTTGTATCTCTCTTCGATTGCAGTTGGAGGATCTTCTTGCTTGGCGAGATCGATAAAATACACCCCACTGAAACCAACCTCCTCAAAGACAGTCGATGATGAGCCATCGCATAAGCTGCATATCCTCAGAGTGCCATCCTCATCTTGGCCCTGCAGGAGGGATCTTCGGCCGAGGCAGTCTCTGCTAAAGAATATCCGTGAACTGGTTGCGTCGTAGAACACGAAAGCAAATGGCCCAGATATACTTGCCACAGCTTCAGATATCCTGTCGAGAGCCTCGTCACGATCGCAGTCCACAGCCCTCAAGAGCAGGTGGAAGACAAGCTGTGTATCGTTGCCCGTAACTCGCTCGCCGGCAATCTTCCAGGCTTCTCCATTCCAGCAAAGTACCGATTGCGTGGTGGGGTCCACGAGTGGCTGATTGTAAACATGGCCACCTCTCAAGGACAGGACTGTCGAGATGAATGTGAGGTGGTGCGACAAGTGCTGCGACACTCCATCTTGCGCCGGGACGCGTTTGTGCACCGTATGAGTTTGGCAGCTGTCGGGTCCTCGTTTTTCGAGCAAATCCCGCGTTTCTTGATTCGGTAACGTGGAGCTCGACGATAGTGAGAAAAATATCCCACACATGATAGACAAGTGCTGACCCTCATTGGCGGAGGAAGGTGTGTTGGTCTCGGCGATTTTCTTTTTGATGCCGCCCGCGTATCTTAGTCATCTCTATAGAGTCAGCCTTGTGGGAGTTCATGTCTTCTTTTGAAAGGCAATCTCTTTAATTGAAGAATAGAAGCACAGCGGAACAAACTAGATCATCGCAAACGCTTTACAAATATCCACGAAAAAACTGGATTATCGAAAACCCCGCATCATCCCCGTGTAAATCCACCCGCATTGTATGCCATGACGGAGCAGTTGCTGGCGGGCCTCGGCCCAATAATGATCCGCCCATCAATATGCGAGACTCAGCTCTCTCACGCGCCCCCTCCAGATCGCTCTGAACCTATCGTCGAGGTCTGCATGCCGGATACAGCTTATGTCGACTACCGCGCCCTCGTCCTCCCCGCATCCCGGGCAGCGGGACGACCAGCCTGCCCCTGAGGTGCCCCAAACCTCCACTTCCCCAACCGGAGCCCCCGAAACGCAACATGAGCCCTTGATTGAGAACGTGCAACCGAGCGGGGCCAAAATGGAGTGCACCACGGAATTAGGTGCTCCATATCACTCGAATGAATTGACAAACGAATCGGTCACAACTGCGCAGCCGCCCGCACCAGCCCCGTCTCAGCCGGACCTGCTGGCGGGACAGATGGAAGGGCTGTCAGTCTCGACGAAGAATGAGGCAGAATCTCTGCCTACTTCTCAAGCCAATACTCCGCCGCCACCTCCGCCACCAGAGAAGGACGAAGCCTACGTGAACTCGGCCGCCCCTCCACCTCTCGCGATCCCGACAGCTAGCGAACCGAACTTCACCCCAAGCCCGGAAAAAGAGCTGCCAGATGTACCTGGGGAGAGCGATCCAGAGTCAAAGCAAGCGATAAAAAAGGATGAACCAAAGGATGACAATGACTCCCAACCGGAGATTCAAAATATTATGGGCCAGTTTCAGGACCCTGCGCGAACCACCGATCAACAAGAGATCATGTCACCTCGATTAGAGCTGGCGGAGCAATTTCGTGGACACCAACATTACTTCCCACCCCGAAAGTCAAGCCTGGAATCTGCGCAGTCTGCCGCGACTAGACCGTCAGTCACTTCTCCACCGAGCACACAGCATCATTCGCCTGGACCTCAATATCATCATAAACCGAGCGGTCACGACGAACCACCCCCATTGTCGCGACAATCATCATCCTCAACGGTCCCACCTCCACCTGAACCCGAGCCAGAACAACGGTTTGATTTCCACCGATTTTTAGAACAACTGCGTCACCGCACCGCCGATCCCGTGGCCAAGTTCCTACGGTCATTCCTTATGGAGTTTGGAAAGAGACAGTGGATGGTGCACGAACAAGTCAAGATTATCAGTGATTTCTTGGCTTTCATCACCAATAAAATGGCCATGTGTGAGGTGTGGCGCGATGTGTCGGATAGCGAATTTGATAATGCCAAGGAAGGCATGGAGAAACTGGTGATGAACCGCCTGTACTCCCAAACATTCGCGCCGGCCATTCCAGCTCCACCCACCATCCCAAGAAGTGCCAGTCGCAGTCGGAGGAGGGAGATTGAAAGGGCTCATGGTCCCTGGCGTCGAGGCCAACACCAGGAGGATATCGAGCGTGATGATATCCTGGCGCAGAAGATTCGCATCTACAGCTGGGTTAGCGAGGAACACCTTGATATCCCCCCTGTGAGTGGCAGTGGGCGCCGCTTTCTCAGTCTGGCTCAGCAAGGTACGTCATTAATATCTTCGAAAATTCTGTTCCTGTTTTTACTAACTAAGAATCCAGAGCTACTGAAGATTAATGGCTATCGAGCACCTCGAGACAAGGTGATCTGCATATTGAACTGCTGCAAGGTTATTTTTGGTCTTTTGAAGAACACCAAAAAGGCCGACACTTCAGCCGATGCCTTCGTCCCGCTTCTCATCTATGTGGTGTTGCATGCGAACCCCGACCACCTCGTCTCTAATATCCAATACATCTTGCGATTCCGCAACCAAGACAAACTCGGCGGCGAGGCTGGTTATTACCTTTCCTCACTGGTGAGCTTAATCGTTTCCAATGATCCTGTCGCGATATTTGCTAACCATTATCATAGTCTGGAGCCGTTCAATTCATTGAAACCCTAGACCGAACGAGTCTCACAGTTAGTGATAAAGAGTTTGAACAGCATGTCGAAGCTGCGGTTATGGCAATCGCCGAACAAAACCGTGAAATCGAATCTCTACAAGAAAAGCCCTTGAACCAACCAAACACTTCCCATGATCCTCAGTCGCAGCCCGGACCAAGTCGCAAAGATGCTTCTCAGTCAAGCGACGACGACACCCCTGCGCCAGTCGCCGGGCTTTTGCGAACGATTCAAAAGCCCCTAACAACAATTGGCCGCATGTTCTCTGACGAGACAGACTCCGGTCCATCTCAAGAGCGGACAACTCAACCAGCCGCAACTCCACAATTGGCCCCGGCACCGCCCCGTCTGACTCCCAATGTCTACCAACCTCCACGCTCCAGCAGCGAAGGGAGACGCTCTGGCGATGAGCGTGCAAGACCCTCGCAAGAGGGTGCAAAGAAGAACCTGACTCGCGTACTCGATGCCCAGGACGCCGCGGCACGACAGGCTAGCGCTGAAGATGCCGAAGCCCGGCGCATCCAGCGCGCTGAACATAACAATGTCGTTGAGACTTTGTCCAACATGTTCCCTAATCTGGACCGCGACGTCATCGACGATGTGGTCAAGATGAAGGAAGGACGGTATGCTACGTCGAATCAAAATCCTCACTCGGTTCATTGCGCTAACGTCTCATCAGAGTTGGTCTCGCGGTCGACGCCTGTCTCGCTCTCAGCGCAGAATAGTGTATAGAAAAGATTCCCCCAACATCCCTTTGGCAAGACTCACATTGGAGGATTGTTACTGGGTGATAATTGATGACTATATTTGGCATGCTGTAGCTTCTATCTTCCTCTTTCCTATCCAATATCCCTTTGGAGGGTTTCGGTTATCTACTGGTGGGCGTTGATTGTTACCCCAGAGAGGAAACGATTGGTGCGGTGTCTACGACCAAATCCACGTCTATACATCGAGTATATTTCTTAGCGACCCAACGGAATTGTATCTTGCGGGTGCGTTGATACTTAACGATTATTAACGATCTTTCCTATTTTCATTTGTTGTAGGTCATAGGTCATTGAATATCGTAACGACTCTACACTAATATACTGGCAGGGTCTCACATACGACTGCGTAGTTGACTGTCAGAGATAGACACCCGTCGAGTCAACTGTGAGACGGACAAACACACCACATTCCAATGTGGGTGGTGGCATTTTGCTGTAAGGGTCATTTAGCATTTATGTAGCTATGAGGATGTACATTGAATGTATGAAGCAACTCTCTCTCCAATAAATGGGTTTCGCTCAGATCATTTCAATCAGAAGAAGCAATGCACATGAGATCAGATGCGAATCGGAGGCCTCAAGCAGCCATCGTCAGCACGTACCTAGGGAACCAATTAGTTTCACATGCACGATAGTAAGATAAATGCAATCAGACACTTACGAAGTGATACTGTCCATCCTCTCCGTAGTCAACTTCAAGCTGACAGTCAACAATTCCCGCGCAATCCGTGGCTCTTTCTCTTGCATTTCTTTCCAGCGCTCGTCACTCAGACACCAAGCGACACAGTCATGCTCGGCCTTGACTGTTGCCGTACGACGCGTGTCACTGAAGAATGGCAGTTCGCCGCAGGGCCGGCCCGCGACGACAAGCTCAAAGTACCGACCTTGCGGTAGATCGTACTCGCAGCGCAGCATGCCTGATTCGAGAAGATAGAAAGCACGTGGGACATCGCCTTCGTGGTAGAGGATTGTGCCGGTGGGGAAGGACTGGCGTGAGAAGTAGGCGCAGACAGGGAACCAGAAGTCTTCGTTCTCGGTTGAGAGGCCTTGGAAGGTTTGGAGGAGGAGTGGGAGAGGTTGACGCATGGCAGACCAGGCTGGGGCGGCCATGAGGGCTGTTTCTTGCTCATGTTCGCGGATTGTGGTTGTTGCGGCCCGCTGGAGGAAATGGCCCCGTGGCGAGCTGACTATGTTGTCTGTGAGGCTGGGGTGAGATGTTGGTGGGACGGGCACCGGGACTTGGAGATGATTATCGTCATTAGGGGTAAGAGGTCCGGTCGGTGTCTGGATGAGAGCTTCTTGGCGGTTGTAAAAGATCTTCAAATAGTCGTTCTCGCAGAACTCAAGGGCTGAGTTGAGATCTTCGAAAATTGGTACCCCAGAATCGGGTTCGAAAAGGCCCACGTTCTGAAGGCTTTTGCCGACGTCACCTTCGACATTGAGACCAGAGATGGTTGTTTGGACATTGCGCTTGCGAAGAATGCGGTTGATGCGTGTAAATGCCTCGGCGGCCGAGAAGTCCAATCCATAGACACGCGAGAAATCCAAAATCAAGAAGCGAATGGGTTGCTGCTTGAACGCTTCCTCTTCAATCAACCCCCGCATGGTATTCTCGACACTGACAATTGTGCCGAAGAAGAGATAACCACCGAGCTTCACGATGAAGGTCTGCTGTCCAGCTTCGTGCAGGAACTGCTGTTGGATGGGAGGGCGCCGAACCGTTGAGCCCGCAATTTCTCCAGAGAATGTTGCTCGGATGGCAGACTTGCGAGAGGTCTGAACCACAAAGTTGACGCATGCTAGGATAATGCCAACCAAGATACCCATCACGAAATCAACAGCTCCCATGGTGGCAACAATGATGACCACCTACAATTGATTAGTACCAAGCCGAGTCCTTAGGAATAGAGTGTCACAAACTTACCGTCAGGTACTCAAGCTTCGAAAGCTTGCCCCAAGTGTCTACCAATGCCTCCTGCAGCAACTCAATGCCTAATAGGAAAATCAGAGCGCCCACAACCATGACTGGGATGAAGCCAATGATCACGGGGCCGATGACCAGGATCCCTGCAGTGGCAGCAGCCAGCATCAGACCAGCCAGGCGAGAAGTTCCACCACTCGCAATAAAAAGCAAGCTATTTGTGTAAACGAGATAGTTCTGTCTGCGTCAGCCTGATCATCTGATTTAATCCCCGCAGAAGTAACATACCTGAATGCTCCCCGCAAATCCGGAGAGGGCATTAGTTACACCGTGTGCCATAAGCTCTCGATCCACATTGAGGTTATCTTCTCCGGTAGAGATGCCAAGTGCAGGGACATTGATAGGGACGTGAAGAACTCCAAAGAAGGTCAGCGCAAACATGGCCGGGATTGTATCGGCAAAAGCAGTCCAATCGACCGCAGAGAAATCTAAATGTGGTTAATGGACTTGATTTGATAGAGAGCGATTCAGCATAAAGTGACTCACCATAAAGGGTATAGAAATGGTACCAAGGATTATTGGACGAAGGCGCGTCAAAGACCCATCCTTTCTGATGCAAAGAATCCATAGAAATGCTGGCACCGAGAACGATGACGTAGAATAACACTGCCACCGCAACGAAATAACCACCAACCAAAAAATTTGACCGTACGAAATGCTTCAAAGCAAGAAGACCAACCGCGAGGGACAAGGGGATTATCCAGAGAGGAAAGGTATCGAGATGGAAAAGTATCTTCAGAGTATTGAGGTTGTACTCGAGAGAGCCAGGCAGCCGGGCGGAAACCTCGACTCCGGTTTGAAGGAGAAAGTAGCCAACGCCACCAATGCAGCCGATAAGGATGTGTCGAGGGAAGAACCCAATTAGCGAACCGAGCCCGCAAATACCCATCAGGAAGAAGACCAGACCAGTGAGCACGGAGCTGACCGAGAAAGCCAAAATCGTGGTTGCGAGTACCGATTGGGGGTTGTCTTTACCGACCCGGTTCATGATAGCAAACGCCATCTGATGGAAGAATGGCACAACCTCAATCATTTCACTTCCGATTCCTCCTTTGAAGATCGAGCCTCCACAGGAGAATACGACCTGAGAGAGAATGGTGCTGACGTAGAACATCGATATTCCGTCCGCGCCAAGGTCGGCAAATAGTGGTTCTCCTAGTGGAAAGAGGATCATTCCGTAAGATAGGGCATCGAGGATGTTCAGAAGAAGGCCGAGCAGGACAGCCGGGATCAGACTGACGGGCTGAACCACGCCCTCACGCCATATGGCACGCCTATCCCATGATTTCGGATTTGCCAGGATCCGAGACCACTTTGCCAAACCAGCGGTTCCTTTGGTGAAGGATTTCGCTGGCCGGTGAGTCGTCCTACCCTGATTCTCAATATCCTCGACCGCACCATAGCCATGTGGAGATCTGGATCGAGCCTTAGACAGCAAAGAAGTCCGCTCCGAATCCCGGGGTTCCGGCTCATCCAAAATAGTCGGTAGCGGCGGGAAGGGTGTCTCTTCAGTAGGTTTGGAATAGTCATCCACCGGATCCGGGGATGTGTGGCGCATCATGTCGGTCAAGACCGAAAAGGAGGAGGTAGGGTCCGCGGGAATAGAGCCCGACCCGATCGAAGACTCTCCTACCGTCGGATAGGAGCTTGCGATGGCATCCTGTGCACTCTCCGGGGCGGAGGGATGTTGGCGGTGTTGCTCTCGGAAGATGTCTAGGCTGGGAGGCAAGCTCGTTCGACCGCGCGAGGGTTTCTTATTTAATGACAGACCGTAAATTGCAAGCTCTGCGGTCTGCTCTCGTAGGCCGTTTGTCGCATAGTGCGCTGAGTCTGGAGGAATCTCAGTGGTCAGTAAATCGCTCGAGAAAGATCACAAGGCGAGTGTGAGAATTGCGGAGTGAGAGTTCCATCGGCTGTCGATTTTGGGCGAAACATACCAGTAGCTGTATTGAAGGAACGGTGGTAGAACGAGCGACTGGGCGTCCGCACACTCGAGCCGTTATAGCTCGAGGGCTCCATGCCGGCACCGGGGGAGCTGCCCAGGTTTGCGTGTTCCACCGGGGAGGAGGCCGCGATGGGGAGGTCTGCATCTCGATCGAAGCCCCAATTGCGATGTGACAGGGCAGAGGCGCGCGAGTCGCGCCGAGCTCTTGGTTGTAGCACACCCATGGCCGCGAGTCGCGCAACGGCGATAGTCCAAAAAGGTCGGAAGATTATCGGCCACTAGCGCATGCAGCGGCGTTGGGATGACGCAACGGGGTTCAACGGGCCATGGCAAGGTAAATGGTACTTGGGGGACAGGGCGAGAATAAAATACGAGAGAGGCAATCGAGTGCTATCGACAGCACAATGCTTCACGATATCTGATTTGATCAGAATTGAGAATCGGTGCAAAAACCTGACACTGTCATTGATAAGCGCCCTCGCGGGGCTAAACCGCTTGCGGGCTGCGATCCATTCGGGGCCAGCAGGTACCGCCGAGATATGTGCGGGCCCTCTCGATTTGCCTGGCCGAAGTACCTCTTATCTCTCCAACGCCGCACGGCTCCTGACACGCCCTAAGGCACTGCACGCACCTAGGAGCCTCCACCGGCACAGACAAGCTAGTCGAGGCTGTCTCACTATGGCCAACTAACCCCACGTGGTCCTAGCTGTCGCTGCACCCTCCACCAGCTCACCACTCAGCCTTCACTACTCCTTCCCCCGATCGACGCCATGCAGTCGGCTAGTCGCCATTCCGGATTTATTCCTGAGCCTCGTGCAGCAGTCGACGAAGCCACGGCTGCCCTCGATGCATCAAACTCAATTCCTTTACACAAACACTTGACTGCACAAATGCCTATCTCTACGGTCCACCCTCCTCGAAGGTACTTCGTGTTACTTGGGAGTCGACAATACGCCGAGTTCGGTTCTCCGCATGAGTGGCGTGGGCCAAGCAACACCACGCAGAGGATCGACGACCAGGCTCACAAGAAGTGATGGAAGAACTGCCGTCGAACAGATGGTCAAGACATAATGCATCACAATCACGATTTGGTCGCCATCCTTTATCCTACGGATGGCGGGGGTATCTCAAAGTACAGAAACTCCTCACGTCGTGCCACAGCGGTCATGCCATGCCGCACTCCCATCTGCCTAGGTCAATCGCTCCAGGAAGCCTTGTGCAATCAGTCGCTCGACATCCCCTTGTCGGACATAGAGCTGGCTGTTCTTGGTCAAGTTGATCACTCTGTCGCGAAAGACAGCGCTGGGTTAGCCTCCGGCCCAATCCAATCTCACGTAGAGTCTAGAAAAAGTAACTTACCCGTATTCCGTCTGGATCTCCCCCGCATCCTTCAACACGCGCACATCAATGAAGAGGTCCTTCGGCGGCTCCAAGGTCCCCGTCAGATCGATGTCCGTCCACTGACCCTTGTACGCCGCCAGCATGTCGCCATATTGCCTAAAGTATTCTTCCTCCTCGGGGCTCAGCGAGCTGTGTCCGCCGGTGCCCTGAATGGGACCTCGGTCTTCTGCTGCCTCGCTGGGCTGCTGCTGCTCCAAAATATCTACTCCGTTCCAACAGAGCTCTTCAAGCTTCTCGGTCCGCACTCGGTGGTATGCGAGGAGGCATCGCTTGTTCCGACGCATACACAGGTGGTCCACCAGGAGCGCACAAGCGACAGCGGGTTCAGCGGAGGGATTGAATGCGCCCTCAAAGGGGTCGAGAAGCCGGGCTACATCCCGGTCCAGGTCGCGGACTTCGCGAGTCACGGCGCGGACGATCTCGGTTTGGTAGGGCGGGAGATGGGCGAGCGCTTGGGTGCGCTTCGCATGTTGGACCTGTAAACAGAATCAATGGCTGGTTCTCATATTGAATGACCCAGCTCGGGTAAAAGATAGTAAAGAAATCATCACGTACCAGTTTGTTCCCAAGTTCGCCGTACATCGTAGCCACGCGATCAGGGTCGCAGGTGAAATGAGGGACACGCGCGACCAGCGCGGATCCATCGCGCCCGGACGCCAAGTGGTCTTAGTCAGGTGGGGATCGACAGAAATGAAGTATGGAAATAGCCTGGGTGGGTTAGAGGATGGCGAGGGGGAAGCAGAGCGACCAGAGGAAAGAATAGATATGAGAAAAGATATGATGGATTGGATTCAGAGAGGCCGTAAGGGTTTGGTTGGTTGAGACGTTGGCAACCTAGAAAGTGCGGTTTACAAGATCGAAGGGAAACCAGAACACCGCTATGGATGTACGAGTCTTGAGCCTGAATAGGGTATCAGGCATTCGATAATGAACAAAATGAGCACCATTTCTTCTCCAAGCAACCGGGTAAGCCGATCAAATGATGAAAAAGGAGGGTCGCGTCGATCGGAGGTAGTGTAAGTCCGATGACACTGTGCGACAAGGCATACGCAAAGCACAGAGGCCAGGCCGCGAGGAACAAAAATTGGAATAATCAAAGTGTTTTCCGGATAAGGCATTCAGAGATTAAGCTGAAAAGAATAGATATTACACTTGATCTAAGCCAAAAGGCAAAGAGAACTGGAGAAGGAGAGAAAGGGAGGGAGGTTTTTGGGAAGTGGTTGATAGTTAACTGGTTAATTTTAGTATAACAGTGTTTATGAATATCTATTTTAGAAGGCCTTATGATAAATTGATTGAATGAACAAAAGAATTACTCTCAATATTGCATAGAGGCTCGCATCTGATTATACCCAGCCTGCGTGATAGGTTCATACTTGGGCGGCTCGTTGCTGCCCATACAAGAAGAAATGCAGGCGATCACCGAGTCAGGATCTGGCGATAGGAAATACGGGATCGAAAACCGTCTACGAGTCATGCGCTGTTTACCCTCAAATCGATCCGACAATGGCGGTAGCGTAACGCGATGGCTAGTTGATCGTAGGTGATCTATGTTTGTTAGTGGCAGTTGGTTGAGGCGAACAGTCAACAGTCCACGAACCATTGCTCCATCTCTGCAGTAGATCTCCAACATTCATTACTATTGCATTCTTGATGGGCGTTGCTGGCACGAATTTTCCAGGGCTCGTCACATCCTCGACTTCCAGCCCGCCACAGTCGTCCTGGAAAAGTAGAGTTATAGAGCTCCAGTCTGTATGGGCGGGACAACGTGCGGCTCGTTCTGTTTCCAGTGCCTCGGCGGGAACTGGAGGGTAATTGAGAAGACGCAGTTGGCCGTTATGCCCCGAGTGCTTCTTTAGCAGATGATCCTCGTTTTCGAGTCCCATGCCCACCGCGAGTGCTTGAAGGATCTCGCCTCCTACGCGAAAGCAGTCCCAGTAGAACTGTGTCATAAATTGACGGAAACCAGGGAGTGCTTCATCCGGAATCCACTGGTTTGGCTGGGTAGAATTCTCATCGCTACCGATGTCGTAGCTCTCCTACTGGCAGTCAGCAGGGAATCCTAGATTCGCGCAACCGGGCCCTGATGGCGCCATCGCAATCCACTGAGTGTTCCTCCATCGCCCTGCTGCTCACCTTTATATCGGGAACTTCTCTCAATTGCTGCGCCCGCTCCTGGTCATTGTCAGCACTGATCGCCTGCGACACTTTCTCAAGCCCTGGCCAGGAATAGCCTCGATGAACAGCCCATCCTTCGGGATGAGGCGCCTTGAGTTTTTCTTCTTGCGGCAAGTCAAAGAAGCGCAGGGACCATTTAAAGGCCTCGTCGATTTGATGCTCTGGTAGTGAATGATTGACGATGTAGACAAACCCCACTCTTTTGCAAGCGGCGACGATATCCTGTGCGATTTGCAGACGACTGGGTCCGCCGGCGGCCCACTTGGCAAAGTCGACGACAGGAATTGCTGATTCAGAGATCGGGGCCGAGGCCATGGTGGTGAATTAGTATGTGGCTGTTGGGTTGGAGAGATGAAACAGCGTCCGGGCCTGTCGGTGAATAGGGAGGGGAACATTGGGAGCATTGTTCAGACTGTCAGACCCCTCGTTTTAAACACCCGCAGGTGCAGCCGGCATGTCCAATGGGCCAGAGGTCGACTCGATCATTTCATCGAATATCGCCGAGCTCTATGGGAATCTTTCATGTCGGATTAATTTCAGTCACACCGACTCGGGCCATCCGGAACACGTTTTGAGTAGGCAAATCGCTTTGTCGTGGGGACTGGAGGCTGGAGGCTATGCTGGTTGGGCATCGTGCGACTGGTTGCTGTGGCACTAGAGGGATCTGCCGGTGGGGAATCGAGAATCGCCGTCGCAACTACATCATCCCCGTCCATCTCAGGCCGATCGCCTCTGCCCGATTTTTCATTCTCGAAAATACTGCTTCGAAACTTGTCGGTATGCCCTCCAACCCCAACGAATTGTCCAGTGCCTTTTCCCCTCACCGCGCGCCTCTGCTGACGCCAATCTTACTCTTTCGAGTAGTTTGTTGACATCCCGTCCCAACTCTCGATAAGCCCTCACCACTGCCCTCGAGCCATGCCATTTGGCGGCGATTGAATTGAAGAACGATAAATTGAGCTATAACTAGGAAATCGCTCGGTCGTATCACATATATCTCCGCATAATCCACCCCGACTTCTCCCCTCCTGACTTCGAGAATGCGGGCGTCTTGGTGGGTCGGGATTTGGGCCACATTCCTGCCCACGACCGTATTATCAATCGAGGCAGAGCCCTTCTCCTTGCCAGAACAAGGAAAGCCCAGCCGGAGGGCCTTGGAGGTTCTCCGGCTCCTGCGACGAGACGACGACAATTGTCCCAGCGGCTACAATGCGTGCTCTGACCTGGGCAACTCCGACGCCTGCTGCAAGAGCGGGACTCGGTGTACGACCGATGCGGCAGATAACATCGCTTGCTGTCGAACGGGCGCAAGCTGCACAGGCAGTCTGACGGGGCCATCGACCGGTTCGTCCGAGACAGGGAGCAGCTTCATGTTCCCTCAGGGCACATCTGCGACCACAACAGCCGAGGGCACAGCTGCGTCCGTCACTGGATCAACGGTTGATGGGGCATATCCATTCATCTACGTCCCTACAACATTTGCCAATCACGAGAGCTGCTCTTCATACTACTTGCTCTGTCAGTCGGAATATACCCAGTGTACTGGTAACTTGATGGGTCGATACGGAGTGACGGTTGGCGGTGCCGGCGGTGCAGGAGTAACAGTTGAAGCCATCACAGGATCTGCGCAAGCGACCTCGATCTGCTCCAGTCTAAGTGCAAAGGCCTGCCATGGCCTTCAGCTGCACAACTGTGCCACGGCGGCAACGGGGACAAGTACGCAGGATGCTAGCGGGAACGCCGCCATTCCAGCACGGACATCCAGTCTCCACGACTTGGCGTTTGGGCTGATCGTTGGAGTTGCGGGGATGTTCGTTTAATGTGATATGATTTTGGACATGAACCAGGCGACGTCAAGTTCCTGTTGGGCTCCTCTCTTTTTGATGTATATTGTTCCGCTGTTGATGACCCGATTTATGCTGTATGGATACATAGCCCGAACCATTTTGAATGAACTCAATCATGATAATTTATCCTGCTATCTATTACCTTTGAATGAAGCTGTTTTGTGGGGCCTCCAGCACAGACTGGACTATTGGTTGTTGGGCTGCCTGCGCAGCATCCGAGGACAACTTTGGGCTTCATCTGGATGCTTAGGAATACGTATTGGCGCAACGGTCATTCCGGCAATTACGGAAATTGTGTGATATTCTCTTTACTATTGCTCCGCGGTGATCTCTTTCGTAATAAAATAAATTGAAGAAACAGGTGCGCATATGTCATCGCGTAAAGCTGTGTAAAGACCTGGAATCCATTGGACGGTAAGCAAGATCAACATCAAAGCATCTTTCTCAGTCCCCACCTGCACGACATATCTCACTTCCCAAGAATCAATCGCCGCCACCTCCTCCACCACCGCCCCCTCCTCCATCTCCACCACCACCCCCGCCTCCATCTCCTCCACCACCACCACCACTACTACAGCCGCCGCCGCCCGAATCACCTCCACCATGACCAGACCCATAGTCGCCGCCATAAAAGCCACCGCCGCCGTTACCTCCACTGCTATATCGAGAGCGGTGCGGTCGCTGGTATGATGAGGTAGTCGTACGGGGCGGTGTGATGGCTTTATAGGGGGGCACTTCGCTACGGGGCGCGGTGTTGACTTGAGGGTTTAAGACGTTGTACTGTTGAGCGCATTCACGCGAGCGATTTTCCTCTTCTTCGCATTTTTGTCGGTCCGCTTCTGCTTTCGCAGCAGCCTTTTTCTTCTTGGATGACCCGAAACCGAAGCAACCCATGGTGAGTCTGTATGGGATGTCAATGACAAGGTGAGAAATGAAGTGATCCTAATTCTCACTTCTGATGAACGATGAGTTGCGCTACTAAGTCTCGTGAAGTGTTGTCAGTCCGACGATCAGATTCGATTGCTGTGTGTTGATACTGGATTCTTGATACGTCTGCGTCAGCCGTCCCATGGTTTATATACATCTCGAGTCTTTGCTCAACGCCCCACGTGCCGCCGCAGTAAGCAAACCAAAAGGGATATATTGCCCGGGCAAAGCTCAAAGCTACAACAGTATTGCACCTACACCAAGACTCGAGTGTGTATAGACCGGGAACGCTTTTCTTGGGCGCTCGTTTGCCGGGTTTACCCCGGGGCGGCATTCGTCTAATTTTCCTCGTTTCCGCTAAGCCGCGGTGTGCCCCGGTGGAGCCTCGGAGGCTGAGGCTCACGCGGGCAATGCAGTCATAATTCGCAGTGCAGATCGCCGTTTATCAGGCGCTGATTCGAATTTTTGATTGGTCCAGGTTGCATTTACCGTATGACGCTGAGATATGCACTCGTGTTGGCTTCACATGTTGTTGACCACGACGCAATATACTTTTTATATCAACGATATACGCGCTGCGCCTCTCCCAATATGGCAAGGGCAAACATTTAAGGTATTTAGTCCTATCATGGGATTCAGCCAAGGCTCACTGCATCATGGAAACTACAGAGAGTTAATAATAATGGGATCACTGGCTTGTGTGCTGATAGCACATGCACAGTGAGTAAGGGGAGCGAGAACGAAAGGCTATGGGTTCCGCTTAAGCCCGCTCACGATGCCTTAACCATGCCCTGAATGTATCGTACCGGTGTTTTTTTCAATTCTGAGTAAGTCCGTATACATAAATTTTTCGGATCGATTGATGTATGTCTATCCAAAACATGCTTTCAACTTTTCAACAACAATGGTCAGACATTCACTAAGTCACGTATGACTTGTCCTGGGTGGGTGTCAAAGAAGGCGGCTCGAGGACCTTCTTGATCGATTTCCAGCCAAGGCGCAGAACATACAAGCTCAGGGTACCAATTTGAACCATAACGTGACACAGTAACAGACAAAAGTCACAGATGGCATCCAAACCATACGACGGGATCGAAGCCCATCGATTCCTTCATTTTCTCTGCAGATTTCATATCGAGTTTGGCATCCTCCGGAAGGTGTTTTTGTGACTTTTTGAAGGCCACCGGGTTCTTCAACATGAAATCACCGAGCTACTCCAAACCGTCAAGAAGAGCATAGCGAGTAGCTTCCAGAGAATATCGTAGATCCAGGCGCAGGAATAGCGGAACGTCACCGAGGCCCCACGGCGCGAGTGGCTGTGTGCATTGCTCACACGGGATGCCATCGAGTCATCTCAGCGGCTCTGGCAAGCCACAATCAGACGACATATCAAATACGTGAAGAGGCCAGTGGACAAGATGGGGCTGGTAGTCTTCCAGTTGGGGTCAACGAAGTCGAGGACTGCGAAGCCCAAAGAGGCGGTTAACCACACAACGAGAAACCTGATGGTGATGAATGAGTGAAATCGACGGTGAACCTGATTGACGAGAACCGCGAAAGTAGGAGACATTTTGATTGTCTTTCGTTGCAAAGCAGAGACGTCGGATGGAAGAGCGAGACCGAGAAAAATTCACTCCTGCAGACTCTGAATCATTATTAACGGTCATTGCCTTTTTTTGGGCCCTATTTATTCTCAATCCACTCTCTGATTTGCGGCTCAACCTGAACGGCGTGGATTCTTTTCCAGTCCGAGACCGAAGTGTCTTGTCATTGCTCAACACAGTTAGCGCGCCATACAGTTCACGTGACTATTTGGGCGTGAACGCAGGATCTCGCTGTACGGAGTACCGAAGCTGCAAAGCCGTGTCTGGCATTTTAGAAGGCATAATCTGTCGGTCCACGATGGCTGCTAGCCCTTGACCCTGTGGTAACTGGCAGTGTTCATTGGACGGCAGCCATCGAGCTCCTGCACCTAATTCGTTCTTATCACCAACATTGATGGATCTTCGGGCGGACCATAGTCACGGATGTCTGATCGTTATTCACGGCAGGGTGTTGGATGTTTGGAATGCCATCAGTTGCTTCCGACTGATCTTTTGATCAAGACAGAGCCAGCGTGGTACCTAGTAGTGACTCAGAATCAGACCGCTGGATGAATAGCAGCCCAAAGAGGGCTAAACCTGTTGACGAGTCGAGGGTGTGGGGCTGATGGAGCCCGACCGAAGCCAACTCTTGAAACCTCAGTGATCTCAGTCGGTGTGTCCTGCCAATGTGCAAAGTGCACGAGATGCAGCAGCGGGCGAGACCAGAGAAGATGCGTCGCCTGGTCTGTGCAGCCCAAACCCAATCGCTGTGGGGCGTTCCAAGGCCAAAATACCCGAGGAACTCTCTAGTGCTGGGGGCGTGGTTAAGAGGTACATACTACAAGTGGGATGGTACCTGAATGCATGGACAGCATGCAATGTTAATCGCCTGACAGGCAGATCAAGAGGGCATAACGCATGGCCAAGCGTGAAAACAACAAACCCAAAAAACCACGAACTGTCTTTAATCTGAAACCCAGCCCCCTGTCGGCGTCACCACGGCGATCCGAGTCGCAGGAAATCGGGTGGTTGGGTATACGGCGGGAGGCTGGGAAGTACTCGAGTCCTCGCCATTTTCTCACCCTCCTACTTTTCCTTCCCTTTCTCTTCTATTCTGCACAACACTCCCTCTGGTTGCGAATTCAACGCATCCTTCCGATCAAATCCCAACTTGCACGCTGTTTGCTCGGAACGATCTGTTCGTATAGATCGCTCAAAGTATACAGCCACCACCCCCACACGCGGAGCGTCCAGCATTCCCGATCAACAACGTGAATTCCCAGTGTCGCATCCGAACCACATTCCTAGCACACCCTCGGCCGTCACTGGACTCCCAGTAGGGCGAGCGTTCCGTCGCTCCTCCGCGATGCGATCCGTTGCCGGCATTCCGTTGATCCTGTCGCTGATCATCTTCCTCGTTCTCACACCCACGGCACTCGCAACCCCGCTGTCCCTGGAGGAACAGGAAGGAAGCACTCTTGAAGCGCGAGGATGCTCCAACCCATGCGGCTTCTATAGCCAGCTGTGCTGCGCGTCCGGCGAGACTTGCACCACGACAGACAACGGTCAGGCCAAATGCGTCTCTGGCTCAAGCGGTAGCAGCGGCGGCAGCAGCGATAGCTGGGAGTACTTTACAACCACTTATGTCGTCACCGAAACCGACAAATCCACCATCACTTCCGTCTGGAGTAGTCGCGCTCATGCTGCGACTGGCTCGTCCTCAGGGACTTGCCGTGTCGATCTGGGCGAGTCCAAGTGCGGCAGCACCTGCTGCGACGCAGCACAAGAATGCCAGGACGGCGAGTGTGTCGCCGAAAGCTCTTCCGCTGCCATAACGGGCGCGGAGGCCACAGGAGAGGCGACTCCTGGCGTACGAGGAACGAGCAGCGGGGCAGCTACAGTGACGCAGACCTCAGCACCCACCACCACCGAGGGATTCATCGCGCCAGTGGGAACAAATGGGGCCGATCTGTTTGGAGCGAAGGCCGCTTCAAGTGGAGGTGGTTTGAGTGGCGGAGCGATTGCAGGTATTGTGATTGGTACAATTGCAGGTGTCATCCTACTGCTGCTCCTCTGTGGTTGCTTGTGTTTCAAGGGCGCACTGGATGGTCTTCTGGCCGCTTTGGGGATCAAGAAACGCCGCAGAAACGAGACGACTTATGTTGAAGAGCGCTACTCTCACCACTCGGGCAGCCGGCCTCGTCCTCGACCTGCGGGTGGTAGAACTTGGTTCGGCACGAGACCTGCGGCCTCGGACAGCGAAATCAGCGAGAAGAAGAAGTCCAAGTGGAGTGGCTGGGGCACAGTTGCAATTGTACTGGGCGCTCTTGCTCTTTGCTTGGGATTGAAGAGACACAAAGACAGAGAGCACGACGACGACGGATCTTCCTACACCTATCCGAGTAGTTATTCCTACTACACCTACGACACATACACAGGCAGTAAGTTCCCCTACCTCACCTGCGCAGATTCATGCGACAAATGAGCAGCACTGATATTCCGGAACAATCCAGGCAGCGAGAGTTCCGACAGACGAACTCGCGATACGAGAAGAAGCCGCAGATCGCGTGCACGCTCACGCCGATCCTAGAAGAGGCTTCCTCGAACACATCTAGCCTGGCATAAAACCAGACGCTCGTCTCGCCACGGGCTCAAACTGCCCGTTCTTTGGCAGTCACGATCTGAATGATAGGATCGATCCTTGCATTTCCGGGCGCTATTCCGTTTTTAATGATTCATGTATGACTACGACTCTTTTCACGGTACAATTTTTCGCAATATGACGATATGGCTGTTTTTCCCGATGTCGATACGGAGGGTTGATATTCGATTGAGTTTTTATCTGGTTCGCAGAGGATGAACCGAAACATGATTTGATGTACATATGAGGAAATGGGGTATGAGAATAAGAAATTCAAAAATTTCAATTAATGATACAGATACTGTTGGTTCCTGTTTCCAGCAGTTGACTGCAATTGTGCTACGAGGACCCGGGAAGGGCGTGAAGACTTGACGTCTCCTGCCATTCGGAATAGCGGTTTCACATACCCTCCGTTGTATGCGAAATCTAGAGCCAGTGGCCCCTGTCATTAGCATTCAATTGATAGAGAGCCAGTCAGCCGAGAAGCTAAAGGTTGCACGAAAGCAACAAGCCGTGATTGGGGCCGAGCTTGCAGGTTCAATGTGCCGTGGCCGCAAGGATAAACCCCGCGCCGACTGCAAGTACGATGTGAAGACATCCAGGAGGAACCGGGATCGAGCTCAGACGAAGGATGTCCTTTCCAAGTCCAGAGACCCGGTGTAGCAGCTAAAGGTTGCGTCGAGGAGGCAGGTTGAGGGCACCCAAAGGCCCAAGGCGCACCAGGCTAAGGCGGCCAGGGCACACAAAGGCTTAGTGGACTTCCGGACTCTCTCCCCGCCTTCGGGACCCGAACTTCTCTCTTCTCCCTTCAGGCAACTCTTCCCACCATTCATCCATGAATCGCGCCCCGATTCCTGTTTTCTGACCCGATCTTACAATCCTTATCTCATTCACGATACCCGAACGCTTCATCGGGCCGCCCAGTACGCTACATCACCCCCCGACCGAGGGAGCATTACGAGACCCCGAACCGAGTCATCATCGCTCGCCATGCTCCAAGCGCAGAGCCAACACGTCTTTTCCCACCAGCAGCAGTACCCGCAGGCTGATCCCTCGTGGCTGCAGCACCAGCAACATCAGCAACAGCACCACCAAGCCCAGGCACACCCCCAGCACCAGCAGCAGCATGCCTCCCTGGTCGCTCAGCAGCACGCCCAAGTCCAGGCCGCCGCCGCCGCCGCCGCGCAGCAGCAGCAGCAGCAGCAGCAGCAGCAACAGCAACACTATGGCCGTCTTGCCATGAGCGGCAACGGTACTGCGAATCCCGCGCAAGCCGCAGGCGGCGCTGGTGGCATTGGGGGAGAGGGTCTGGCGAACGCGGTCTCCGTCATGGACGGTGGGATTAGCGAGGAGAACCGCAAGGTCTTCATCTGGGTCGCAGAGCTTCTCGACCCCGCCCGTCGAGAGGCCGCTCTCATGGAGTTGAGCAAGAAGCGCGAACAGGTTCCTGAGCTGGCATTGGTAATCTGGCATTCCTTCGGTAAGTACCCAGTCGCATTATTGGGGATGTGCGACCCATTTGAGCCGACCGAGACTAACTGAAACCTGCAGGTGTCATGACGGCTTTGCTCCAGGAAATTATTTCTGTCTACCCCCTGTTGAACCCTTCTCAGTTGACTGCCGCCGCATCAAATCGAGTCTGCAATGCGCTGGCGCTCTTGCAGTGTGTCGCATCTCACAACGAGACAAGGACTCTTTTTCTGAACGGTACGATCCACCCTGTGACCTTGAGCCATTGAACTCGAATGCTAATTTCTTCTGTCTACCTCTAGCTCACATCCCTCTGTTTCTATATCCCTTTCTCAACACGACCTCAAAATCCCGCCCGTTCGAATACCTCCGTCTGACTTCGCTGGGCGTTATCGGCGCGCTCGTGAAGAATGACTCGTCGGACGTCATTAATTTCCTCCTTACTACCGAGATTATTCCCCTCTGCCTTCGCATCATGGAGACCGGCTCGGAACTTAGCAAGACCGTCGCGATCTTCATTGTCCAGAAGATCCTCCTGGACGATATCGGTCTGGCGTACATCTGTGCCACATATGAGCGGTTCTATGCTGTCGGCACAGTTCTAAGCAACATGGTGACTCAGTTGGTAGAGCAACAAACGGTCCGACTTCTCAAGCACGTCGTGCGCTGCTTCCTTCGGTAAGTTCTGCCCTTCCGCAAGAAGCATTGATCCTTCCGTCGATTAATTCGCTAACGATTTGACCCTTCTTCTAGATTGAGCGACAACAGCCGAGCCCGTGAGGCATTGCGACAATGTCTGCCCGAACCCCTCCGAGATGCTACCTTCTCTTCTGTTCTCCGCGACGACGCAGCTACCAAGCGCTGCCTGGCCCAGCTCTTGATCAACTTGTCGGATAACGTCTCCGACGGAGCCCAGGCGGCCATGTAACATACGAAAACGCATTTCTTTTCTTGCGGGATATCTCTTTGTTCAACTTATGATATGCATGGGACAGGTTTCTGGCGATTATCGGTCACAAAGGCGCAAAAGTTTATGGGTCAGCATCTGATGGACTCGCACCACCCTCGTCGTCATCTATCATCATGGTGCTGGGTCCATCACCTGTTTTCTCTTCGTTCTCTTCGGTTTTCACGCAACATTTACACTGGGACAGTTTCCGGGCTTCGGTGATTTTTTTCATGTCGATGGGAGGGGACTAATGTATTCCTATGTCCTTTTTTTTGCCAGCTGTGATTTTTTCTTGCATCCTCTTTGCGAGAGACATGATCTCAATTTCTGCCTCCCCCTTCGTCTTCCTGTTTTTCGTGGCGCTCGCACTCGGTGGCGTGGGTTTCCGGTTGGCGCTGTCGTTTGCATTTTACCCCCGTCGTGTTTGAGGCATTTTGAACCTTTTCTAAACTTGTGTAGGTATTATTTTAAACTTGATGCCTTTGGCCTTGTGAAACTGTCATATGGCTCTACATGACTCTTATATTTGAGTCGCGCTCCCTTAGAATAACCTGAATTGGCTTCGAACTCACTACATATAGATGGTCGACGCAGGGATGCATAAATCTGGCTGTCTCCATTGCTTCGCACCTTTCTCGATTTACCATTCGCGCACAAAAATTGCAACTAAGAAGGAAATATTATGATGCTGACAAAGACATCTCCCATTGTCTGTTCCGCCCATATCAAGCAGAAAATAGACGGCAATAGCGAGCCATGGGACCTCTGTGAAGCTGGTCCATGCCGCTCTACCGAGCATCCAAAACGAATTACCGGCAGAACACTGATATTCTTACCATACAAGATTGCGCAATAATATTCACCAACTCATGGTGCGCGTCCTCGTTGTTCTATCATGCTACTAGCAGTGAAAAAAGCTTCACGCTGCGTCTATACACATTCCTTTGCCTAAAACACGGGTCAAGGGAGTTGGTTCACAATATCATTTTTCATTCAATAAAACCAGCAGGGATTGTTTCGGTAGACAACAAAACCCGTAGGCTGGACTTGGATTCACTGGGCTCGAGTGAATGCTGCCTAGAGCAGACAGGATTTATTCCGCTAGCGCCCGCCCAATTTGTCCTATTTCGCAACGTTCGCAAACGCGCTCCTCACGTGACTTCCTTACTCGACGCGCCTTCCTCAAGCTCAACTCCGCCTCCGACAAAAAAAGAGAAGGGAGTCCACTCACCCTACCCACCTTTCGCACTCCTCGAGTTCGTTGCGAAATCGCAGCACCTCCTTCGTCACAGGAAGTTCGACTCGCAATCAACAGAAATTGCTCCTTACCAGCACCCTCTTATCCGCAGTACCTTCACCATTTCCGCCCCGGCCTTAAGGGCCTCATCCCACCACGATGGGATCGCGAAAGCGCAGCCACTCTGAGGCGGTTGCCGCCCCCAAGCAGCAGCCCGTAGACGACATGGGACTGCTCTCCCGCATTCGAAACTTCTGGCAATTCGCTTGCCTTATGCAGTACATTGCTATCTTCGGAAAAGTCATGAAGATCGACGAGGAGTTCGGTATTGAGGTATGTTCGATTGCTATCCTGTGGGACTATACCAATGGTGCGCATTGCGTCGCATCGATGCAAACGATGACTTGGCCCCTTGAAAGACTGCGCAACGTGAATTGAAAGCTGACTCGAATTCTGCTGAACCATAGGATCTCGAAGACGAGTGCCTGAAGCCCGAGCATTCATACAAGTTGTTGGATATTGGATTATGCCTCTTGAAGTGGATCTCATCGCACCGCGGCCTCACGTACGTGACTTGGTGTCCCTGCTGAACGTCCAAGGAAAATGCTAATTGATCGATGAAGGTTCGACAACTTCGACGAGTACACCCGCCGTCAGTACAATGCAAAGGCCCCTAACGAGCCCAATCCTTTCGGTTACGACGAAGTACCCCTACACTTCCTGGATTTCGATGTTTTTCTCAAGCTACGTGTCCTTCACCAACTTTCTGTCTGGACGTTCTGGAACCCGGACCGCATCCGTGACAAAATGCCCGAAAAGAAAGAGGGCGACCAGATCCAATGGGTACGTGATTCCCCGTCAATGTCTTGCCTAATGAATTGTCCGTTGATGGCCCCATTATAGCGCATCGAAGAATTCGGCTGGGATCGTGAAGGTCGATCCTACTTCGTCCTAGACGACAACCGCCTCTACCGCCGCACCGATCCTCCTATCCCCGCCCCCCAACGGACCAAGAAGAAGCCAAAGAGTCGGTCTTCCCGAGTATCCCGTACATCGAAGCGCGCTTCAGCTGCTGCTGTGGAAAATGGATCCGGTGAAGAGAACGAAGATGCCAACGGAGCCAATGGTTCTCATTTCGATTTCAAGTGGGAGTGTGTCGCAGTCACTCTCCCTGAATATCAGGATTTCGTCGACAGTATCCGCAAAAGCAAGGACGCCGATGAAAAGACTCTCCGCAGCCGCCTCGAGGAACATGTCCTGCCCATTTTGGAGAAAGCAGAAGAGGCACAACAGCGCAAGCGACAAAAGCGCGAAAAGGAATTGCTCAATATGCAAATGCTCGCTGGTGCCAAGCGGTCCAGCCGACTTGCAGCAAAGGAAGAAAAAGAGCGATCCGAACGCGATGCCGCCGAGGCCTCCCGAAAGCACGAGGCTGCTTTGGCCGAGGCTCGTCGAGAGCAAGCTCGAAAGCAACAGCTCGAACAAGACAGACAGTCTCGCATGATGACGCGTGAACAGCGCATCAAAGACCGCGAACAGAAGCGGATCTTGCATCAGGAGGAGATGGAGCGAATCAAAGAAGAAGAAGCGAGGCTTGAGCGAGGCGAGGGTCGTATCTCTGCACGAAACCTCAAGGCCGAGCGAGAAAAGATGCAGAAGAACATGGATGACCTCCAAGAGGAGTCCTGGGTCTTCGACTGCTCTGGCTGTGGAGTGTATGGAGAAAACATCGATGACGGAAGCCACAGCGTTGCCTGTGAGCGTTGCAATGTCTGGCAACATAGCGCCTGTCTTGGCATCATTAGGGATGATGCCGAGAAGGATGACTTCCATTTTGTCTGCCAGGATTGCAAGCGAAAGGAAGAGGAGGCGAACAAGCCCAAGATTCCACCTCTCAAATTTCGAGTCAGCACATCCGCATCTCCGTCCTCTGTGCCTCCGTCCTCTGTGCCTCCGTCCTCTGTGCCTCCGTCCTCCTCTATCCCCTCCCCTGCCTTTGTTCCCCTGCCTGCCTCTGTGCCTCCGCCCTCATCAATTCCTCCACCCCCATCTGCTCCTCCGTCTGATCATAAGCGGAAGGCTGAAGAGGACGTGAGTCCTCCATCTCCCACCAAACGGCCTCGAAATGGCCTTGAATCTCCGTCCACCCACAATGGGACACCGGGCCTAAGCCCGACGAAACACGACTCTCCCCGTCCCTCGACATCCGGCGGCCTGGCGAGCACTCCTGTGCTTCCGCCCTTCCACAAACTCGACCCAAGCCCGAATCTTATGGGTAGAAGATCGCCGGATGCGCCTATTCCCCCTCCAGTGAAGTGCATGACCCCGGAACAGGAAGAGCGTCGACGAAAGGAGGGGACGTCGACGCTGTTCCAGGGTCACACATATCCATACAATGGCCAGGCATACCCGATGTCCTCGCCATCCTCGATCCACCAGATCCCTCCTCTGGGACCGGTGGCGGCCTCTCCCCTGCCTGACCCCGTCCCATCTCCTCAACATCACACATACAACGGCCAGACCCAGCCATTGTCCTCCCCCTCGATCACCCGAATTCCTCCCCTGGGACCGGCGGCGTCCTCCCCTTGCCCGACCCCGTCCCATCTCCTCAGCACCAGCCATTCAGTGGCCAAGGTCGACACCCTCCGTCGTCCCCACCCAGAAATGCTAGGCAAGAGTAGAGACGTTCTTCTTTTTTTTCTTATTTTTCTTAATAAATTGATTTTCAATTCAATTTCAGTTCGATTTCAATTTCAATTCATCTTCATTTTTGTTTCATTTCCAATATCTAATTCGTATTCCTATTCATTTTGCATTCATTCTCAATTCATTCACGTTTCAGAACCACTTTGTTTCTTTTTCCTCTCATGTTCGTTCTTATTTTTTTGATCGATTGATTCTTTAATCTTCTATGATCTGGCATGGGATTTTTTGCTTTTGGTTTCGCTGACGCTTATAGATTATTATGACTTGTTGTTTCTCTCTTTTTTTCTCTGCTTCCCCCCCTTTCCCCCGCCTTTTGCTTTTGTTTGTACGATGTATCAGGATGGTTGGCAATCTCGGCGTTATACATTGGAGGCCGTCCATGTTCCAGGATTTTTGCGCAGCCGAGGGCTGGCCATATATTTCAATAGAAATGTCACGCGCGGCTCGTTCTAAACTCCTGTTGTGCATTTCAAGTAGCAATCGTAACACTGAAACGGCCATGCTGGAGACACTGGAGATACTAATTGACAGTGCTATACCAAGAGGATCACAAGCCAATCAAGAGGAGTTGTTTAGTTTTCAGTAGAACTAAGCTCTATACTGCACCGACATGGTAGTCATCAATATTCATCAATACCGGATATTATCTATACCTTAAACCCCCGGCGAACTATCACAAATACGTATATCTTTCCCTTCCCATCCGCGCTAGACGCAACGAACTGCGCTAGCGTCACGGATGTAACTTTCTTGTCTGCGAGATCGACCGGATGAGACTGTCGAAACAATTGCAAACAGATAAATTCGCGCATCGACGATCTACCGAACGATTGTATTTCGCAGTCCCATCACGCTCCGGGGCACGTTGCTGCGCATTTAAGGATACGCGATCACATCACGCCCCGAGACATGGTATATAGGACGGAGTAGATCGCTCCTTCACCGCTGAAGATGGCGATGTCTCGATCTAAATATTAGCTCGCCTTGGCAGACTAGTTTGCGGCTGGTGTGGACTGACACCGCGTCCAGTGTCCCTTCTTCCAGGCTCGTCGTCCCAGGAGGAAAATGGCGATCGACCGAGATGGACTAGACATGCAAGCGACGGCACTAAATATAAGCGCGGGGTCTACAACTTGGCCCGAGCTGTGCGGCCCTGGACCTGCTGGTGGTCCCAGTGCTCTCCGTGTGCGGAGAAAGTAACCCCCAAAATGAGCGGAAAATGATGGGGCAGGGGCCGCGTACCTGAGAACGTTTAGAGTGGTTTCAAGTGTTGTGGTCTCTGTGCTGTGCTGATCTGATTAAATGCTGGCCAGGAGAATACTAGATCTCTTAGCCGACGTGCAGATCGCAGCGTCCGTTGGCTGCCACAACAAAGTGACAGGTCATCTTGCATGCAATTGCACAGCCAGTCAGGTCACGACAAGACCATTGCGGCGCGATCAATTAATTCCATCTCGTCCGCCATCAGTGTAGGTGGGGGAACGATGTTCCTGATTTCTGCTTTCTCCCCGGTCTTAGGAGATCGTGGGTTGAGGAAGGAGGGATCTCAGCGTCTCAGTCAAGACAAAAACACGGCGCCGCCACACACATCTCTATACGAAGCCCCGAGACATCAAATCCCGTCGCCACCACCAACATTCACCAACACTACCTCAGATACTAGTAGTAGTAGTAGTAGTAGTAGTAGTAGTAGTAGTAGTCGTCTACTCGTACTATCGCTCACGTTGGTCTTCGTCATCATTCACGCCGGTAAATTCGGCCGCCAAAGGTTCTGCCGGGCTTTTCGTCTCAAAGTTTGTGACGCATCACGACCGCCCTGCCCAACCCTCCCGTTCCTCCCTGAGGGTTACCCGGTTCCCCCAAGTACCTGCCCCAAGATGCCCTGGGGCAACCCTTCCGGCTGTTCCCCTGAGAGGAGTGGGGACGTGGAACGCATCGGGATGGTGGATCACATCTCGATCCGCAACGCCTCCGATTGGGCCCCTGGCACGTTCGACGGCAGCTATCACATCCACTTGAGCGTCGAGCCGTCGAAGATGTGGTCTGGGCCTCGTGCCTGAGTATACGGAAGCGCTGGCATCTCCACGGAGCATACGAAGCTCTGGCACCTACACCCAAAGCGAGAGTCCTCGAGTCCTTGGGAAGGGTGGGACTAGTACACTCCGGCAGTAGTGTACGAGCGGAAGGGGCCGACTAGAGTCGACTACGCAAGGCCAAAAGAGACCACAAGGGATTCGCCGTTACGCTGTCAGGCTGATCAAAAGGCTCCCACATTGTCCGCGAATCTACCAGTCGCGCCAATCGGTAGGGAGTAGCCGCTGCACAGTGCGGATCCAAATAAGGCATTCAGACGTGCACCTCCTCTCCACGAGACACTAGTTGCGGATCGACGTGAGGCCCTGCCCTGTCCAGGGATCGCCCGATCGATGGTGGCCTTCAGCCACTTCCTCCTATTTTCCGTCGGATGGCTGCCGGAGACTCCCTCCGATCCTCCGCAAAGGAGTCCTCTAAGGAGGCGTCGCCTTTTTTTTCATCATTTCACGAATGCCACGCCTTCTTTCGTGTCGACATAGAGTTTGATGGGGAAGACCGTTTATGGGCAATCAGGAAGCGGCGAAAGGCAGGATGACGACGAGGGAAGAAGCGCTTGCCCCTCCCTTTTCTCCCTCTTGACTCCACTCATGCAACTCATTTTGCCAGGTGGACCCGTCCGGCACGAACCCGTCCACTTGCGGGGTATCGAGTGCCATGGGCGTGCGACACGCCCTACCTGACTCTATGGAGGGACCGGATCCGTTGACCACAAGCTGTGCACGTTGCCTCTCGAGCTCCCTCCTCCGACCCTCCGATCGTATCAGGCGTTTTATCGGCGTCAGGACAGATACGGTGGAACACCGCAAGTAAAGCCTCCCCCCCCACCCACAACTAAGCCCTGGCCCCCATACTGGATGGCAAGTGTGAGAAAATAGCGCGAAGGTATTTGTCACGGTCCAACCAATGCGGACGGCTCCAAAGGGAGATTGAGCCGGCTCATTATTCCTCTGTATTTACGACCTGGTGGGCTAGAGCAGAGTGGGTTAGCAGGACAATTGCATTTACTCTTATCCTTCGTTAAAAAGCGATTTACGGATACGATGTACGATGCTCGACCGAGACGATTAGAGGACACCAACTATGCGAGATGGTGACCGCTCGACTTGGTCCGAATTACAGAATTTGGTACAATGGAAGAACTTACTACTTCCAGGGACTCAGTCGCATTTGATATCTCATCTGGTCTCTTGCTTGACACTGTTCCATATACTTCGCTATGACGCTGCACATCTGTCCCCAAGCGCCCTGATCGCCTCTCAGCATTTTTGATCGTCATGATCACCCCTGATCGTCGTGAACTCAAAGCAGGGAAGACAACCGGTTTACCCCAAAATGCTTGTCTGGAGCACTTCGTTTATTCCGGAGGAGTCGCTGGAGATGGCATCCGGGTGGTCTCTATAACTTCGTCCCCGAGAACTTGTCCCCGATGATGATACATGTCGCCACCAGTTCATAAAGTGAAGTTCGCGGAGGAACATCGAGACTATCACGAGCCGGTTGGGAGACAGCGCGCGGGAAAGGTGACTTCTTCATTGGCCCAAGGTATAGGGTGGGCCATCGTCTGTCGCCCAAGTGGGCGGGAGGCTACCTCCTGTGCTTTTCGGATGAGCTCGGGCGAGATGAAGAGCAACGGGTCAAATGCGATGGGGCCGTTGAAAGGGACCTTTCGTGACGAAGCCTTACCTGCCTTTCCGAAAAGGCACCAGAAACTCAGTCTGCCACCGTTTACCCTGTTGAGTAGGCACGGTCACCACGATGAGCTCCGTCGATCATCCAGCCGGGGAAATGCGCTTGGACACGATGGAAGGGCGGGCAAGCCACCAGTCAGACACCGGGATGAGGTTGGCGGAGGAGAAAAACGATGGTTCGGACCAGACAACCTAAAATCGAACCCTTCCAAGCGCTCTGGTCGGAGTTCATCATTAGGGCTTTCGGCGAGGCCGTGCTCAGATGACCAGAGCGCCTCTACAACTAAGCGAGAGTTCTCACCACTCACAGGCGCACTAGGAGACACCACGATTTGACTGTGCCGTCAACTATGACGAAAACAGTCACACCCTGTCTAACCCAAACAGTCCGCGACCAATCCGCGGTGGAGACGCTGCCTTTTTATCTTCCCCTTTTTTAGTGTCACTGCTCAGGCAGCCGTGTGGGACACGATGTGTCTAGGCCACGCGCGGAGGGGAAAGTTTCGTGCCTCTTCACGCCTCTACACGAGTCATGTTGTCGTGAGGGTGATCTAAACTACCACTCGCTAACTCAACGTTGGAGAACGAGAACCGCTCGGCGGACAATCCTCGGTCAATCCCACCCCCTTCCATTATGTGGTGACTGAGCTAACGAGAATTGCTTATTCGAGGACATGATTGAGCTTGGCAAATGCACAGCAGCATGCATCCTGTCAGAATTGATTGTTTGGGGGAATGCGGCCACCACGTGGAACGGTGTACGTATGTAGGGTGGTAGGTATCCTGGTTACTCTGGAGAGCGTAACTATCAGGCTCAATTGCGCTGTTGGGCGAACGACCCCATTGTCACGCGTACTCTTGCGTAGGGAAGGCCCCATCATGTTCTGGCCACTGCCGCCAGCTCTCTCTTAATCGGTGTGTGGATATAGGTATCTCACCAGTCTGAAGCTAAGCTAGAGCTAAGCGCCGTTAATACCTTGTGGTATTATTGCTGTCTTTCTATTCCGATATATAGACACAAAAATCGAGTATGATCGCCCGGCGCCAGGGCTATGTCGATTGCGGCGGTTACATCTGCGTGACCCTGGATCGATGACGAAAACCCCATGACGAGGAAACTCGTGGCGGTCAAAACTATGAAGTCTTGCGTCAGTTCCATGCACAGATAGACAGAGCACGGTGCAGGCAAGGAAATGATTCATATTCCGCGTCATAGGGCTTGCTGTGCTGGAAAGTGGACGGAAGCGCCCCGGGCCCGCACGGTAACGATCCAAGCTCACGACATGAGGATCGACAGCCGTTAAGCAAGTAATTGGCCACTCGTTGGCAGGGAAAATCGGCAAGAGAGGCCCGCCAGTGTCGCCAAGATGAAGGGTTAGGAGGCAATTAACGGTCCACCAGGCCACTTGAAGCAGTTGTGGAACGATTCACTGAAACCCAGGCAATCAGGTGGCGAGGCATGAAGGCACGCGCTAGTGGATCTTGTGCGACTTGACTGTACACACTGGCGAGAGACGCCGGCGGGGTGGCCAATTGTGAGATTGGTTTGAGTGTTGGTTTCGAAAGTTCAGACCACCAGTACGGAGCGCAGAATTAGTCCCGTCCAAGATGAGAAGGCGGATGGACCGAGATGGACGAGAGTGCAAGTTGTTGGTTGCATGTTGCAGGTCGCAGCCATGCGCAGCTTCACGTCTGTCTAGCACATTGCCTTCTCTGTGAGCACTCTTCGTGGTGGATAGGTAGAGCGAAGCATACCGGGAGCATGATACCGTACCGTTCAGGGTAATTTATTGCTGAATGTACAGAGAAGTCCCTTCTCTAAGGTTGGGAAGCTCAGGAAACAACGAACTGGCGGGGAAGTCAGATCTTCGGCAGGGATAGACCTTTGCTTAATGCCGTGGATGATCTTTTCTGCTCCTTCCTGCCTTCATCTCAGCAGACTACTTCACCCGTCTGATTTCCATTTGAAAGAATGCTTCAGGAAAAAGAAAAGCGGTCAACCTGACAGGGTACAGAGCTTGATCGCGATGGCGCCCACGTTGCTCCCCTCACGTCTTTCACCTTCTCATTGATACCCTTGCTTGACAGGGGTGGAGATGGAGATTGCCCGCTGCGATGGCGAATGAATATTCATGATCCTATCACGTCGTGTCCCAGCCGCCAAGTTCCTGGAGCCCCCATGCAACATGACAGGCTGGGTTATAGGAATTCGGGGACCATCCGTGAGCATTTGGGCTCGAGAGTAATTCCCGAGTGTATTTGACGGTTTGTCGGCAGTGAAGTGCCAGGGCTTTCATTCATCGAGCTGCGCACGAGCAGTGAGTAGTATCGCCAGCCTGTCAGTGGGTTCCTGGCGTTGTTGGGACGGTAAGACCCACCCTCCAAATTCGTGACAGATGTCGTGCCCTGCATAGGTTCCCTGGGAGTCGATGGGTGAGCACTACTCATGCTTAGCACTAGTAAATTTTGTGATTTTTAGATATTTAGAAATTTTTCGACCGCTGGGCGTAGAGAGCAAGGGCCTCTTCCCACGTGGAATTTGTCAACTCAAAGCGCTGGACGATACGGCGGGTCTTTGCCGCATGGCAGAGGGCTGAGGGACCTGCAATCGAGGCGGCTCCTACCTTCCCTTCACGTCAATCAGCCCATTCTGGGGCGCAACTTCCAAATAAACATACTCTGCAAAGAATACCAACTTCATAATTTGAACATGAAGCACAGATGAGGCTGGCATGGAAAATCTTGAAACCGAGATAACTTCAGCTACATCGCCGGAATTGGCATGGGAGATTGAGGCAGTGATGAAACACTTTTGTTCTGACTGCAGTCTCTCCTCCTGATTTAGCTCCGGTCAGACGACTATATGGACTGGGATATAATTTTGGGGCTAGAGCGATGGTTTTTCATTTCATTTAATTTCCTTTTTTTTTTCTTTTTTGGAAACCCGGATCAGGAATTCCCATTCTGGTCCCATTCCTTCTCAGGTACCAACGTCTTCTGAGAATGGAGACTGCAGGGAGGCTCGGAGTTAGAGGCCTTGCAGACGGGATCTGCTTGCCGGAGGATCCTTGCTGTTAATCGAGGTTCTAAGGGTGGAGAGGGGAACCTGCAGGGTTATAATGTCAAAACACGGGTCGAAGGGCCTGAGCCCTCGACTGAGCCCCTCTCACGTCGTCTATCATCGGCCACATGATTATTTGGAATCACGTTAGATCGCATTCAAGGAGACGAGAGAGTCGAAGAGGCAGACTGTGGCGGTCGGTGGAGTTGTGGGCTCGGGATAGTCATGGCCATAGTGACGTCTCCCTGCGGGAATTAGGTGCTGTCAGTTGACTGCAGGTCCCGCGTTGTAGAGTGCTGACAGGAACCACCTGAAGAGGGGCGAAGTTAAGCTCAGCGAGCAGGATTCTCAGCTCAATGCACCGGAAATCTGCCCTCCAGTCCGCTCTGGCCCTCTCACTGCAGGGGCCACGCTGCGCCTTCAAACCTTGCCAGGCCACATGGCATTGGCGTTGATCATTGCCCTGTCAGATTCGAAAGTGATTCGAGCAAACAAAGAATCTGCTGCGGCCGAGCAACACGGGAGAAAAAACGTGGCGGGGCGCATGTTCCCACGCCACCGAGGACCGCCACGGCTTTCTCGAACTCAAGTTCGTCCACTCCTGCAGGTTCACCGCAATCCTTTCCGGCTCCTCAGTTTAGTCCCCGAGAATATTGCGAGGGAGACAAAGACAAAGACCACGAGGTCTGCTGGCAAGCTCCCTCCAGTCCATGTCTAGCCCTAGAAGGCTGGGGCTCATCTGCTATACCAAGTCCGGCGAATGGCGTCGACGCGTGCTTGTGGAGATATGCTCCTGATACCCCTGTCACCTGCATAGTAACCGATCCCAGATATCGCGGAGGTAATCGTGTAATTGTAGGTATCGCGGGTGTTCAAAGTAGCTCGAGTCATGGAGTGGCCGTTTCAATGGTTCGCAGGATGTCCAAGTTGTCACCTTCCCGCCGTCCCGTCGTTATTGGTATCACACACACACGTGACGGAAGACTGCACCTCTCGAACGATCTCAACCTTCACACCTCCCCAACATCGTTCGTCAACGTGCATCTGGGCTCCTCCCCGGATAGGAAAATGGATCGCCCACTAGTGCCCGGTCCGGTCAAGTGCAAAAGCAAGCTACGCCCAATCCAGGCCCGCCAGACTCATCAATCGCCCCATCGAGCATCCAATCACTGCGCAGGTGGCGCTGGCTGGGGACGATCCTAACCCGGCCTGAGCCGACCCTTTCAATCGTCGATCAGGAGGGATCGCTTCTCCACACCCAAACTATAGCCGAAATAGACGGTTCACGAACACCCCACCTCTCAAGCGGAAACCTATCGTCGTCCCCAAATCCTCCGGGGTTTTATCACACTCGCGGCCGATCCGGCGGCTTCCTCTCGCGCTATTCGCGCATTTTGACTTGCCCAGTTACTTCCCCGTCACAAGCCGCACCCTCGTACAACTATGGTTTAAGTGCGAGAGAGGAATAAGCCCGTCAGATGCCATGCCGGACTATGGAGATCTGGCACATATGCTGCTCGGACCGTGGAGATCTCGACAGGGTCTATGAAGGTGTCGATCATGCTGAGCCGGCCGCCCTATCAGCGATCAATCCGATCTCTCAATGGCCCACCCTGCGATCAACAGCCCACTCCAGGGACTAGTTCTGTAGACCGTTACGGTACCAGCTTACACAGGAATTTTGACACCCGTTTACGATGACTTGCAGGCTTTAGCTTAGGAGCGATGACCGCTAGCCAGTGGAAGCTTTACATGCCCAACACTGCCCCATCGACCTGGCGGGGACGGAAGGAATGGAGAACTGTGGACTAGTTAATTTACGCATGGCAAGCCAAAAATTATAGTGAAAATGGAACGTGCCAAAAGAAAAATCGAATCAAAATGGCAGATAGGAAACGAGCGGCAAATTCGCGGTTTTTACTGTAACAGGCTATTCTTGCATCACCCAGCGCTTGATGTTCACCATGATTGCTTTTTGCTAGTGACAGGTTCCCACCTTCCCTTTACGGAATTACCGTGCTCGTTGCTCTCCTCTCTGGTCTCCCCGAAGTTGAGAGGCAACAAGCTACTAGTCGTGCTTAGCCCGAAATGCAGGCAAGCTTCGGGAAATTCGCACTTCTTTCCGGACCGCAGGTGTTTCCCTTGGGTTTATATCTATCCTATGACGTCCCCGGATTCTGCGTGACGGGCATTGGAAAGTTTCCTGGAGATTCACAGGTCCATGGTTGTCGATGCTGGGCATTCTTTTGCGTCCGGAGGATTGATGGGTCCAGAGCAACGCGATATCGGCCTTTTCCCCTTCAGCAATCGCCTTGCTAAAACCCTTTCTTCCGTTTTTTTTTTGGTCCTTATTTTACCAAAGCAGAATTGTTGTCGAGTACCAGAGAACCTCCACAGTTGAGGCAATGCTCTCTTTTCCTGTCCATAATTAGCACAAAGCGTGGGAGGTATAGGGTGCTGCGCCGTGTTTATTGGGGAGAGAATGGGATGCATGTCAGAAAAAGAAAGCACAGCGAAGCCCCAAAGAAGGAGGGAGAAAAGCTGAAATTAAAAAAGGGAAAAAAAAAAGAAATAAATCCAACCAACGGTAGGGGCGAGTGAATGGTTCATGCCGGTCAAAGAAGAGCCACTGGCGACGACACAAGCCCCCGTTCGTTGGCCAGATTCGGCCAAGCGCGAAACTGGGAAATAAAGAGGCAAAAAATATAGAATTTAAATCCAACAAAATAGTTAAAATAAAAACCGATAAAATAATAAAATAACCCCAAATCACACTAGAGGCTGCATTGGCGAAATAGAACGGCGCCATCGTATTGTATCCAAGCTCTCTTCTTCTTGAGTCAAGTTTCAGCCTCTCTCGTGCTCTACCCTGGACGGGTGTTTGCAACCATCCACGCCTGCTGCCGCACCCTCCATAAACACCCCCTCCTCTCCTCTCTTCTCTGCCCGCTCTCTCCCCATTCTCCACTTCGCTTCCACTCCCCCCCCCCGTGGGCAGACACAACCTTGATTTCACTTATTTATTCATCGGCCCCGCCCGGTGGAACTCTTCAATCTATACCTCCTGCTTAGTTCTACCTTTCTGTCCCCAGTCTCCCCAGTCCTCGGGTATCCTCCCGTTCTCATTGTTGTCACGGCCTGACCGGTTCATGCTTGTCTTACTTGCTCCTTCACCTTCCCGGCCTGTCTGAGAACGTGTGCGGCTTTCAGTCTGCAAATGCAAGATCTCCTTCCGCAGTGTCGGACAACATCCACGCAGGCGTCCTTCTTCTCTCTTCTTCTCCTTCTTTTCTTCTTCTGGACATTCTCCTCTGACAGCCACCCTTCTCTACTGCCGTAGAGTTATCTTGCGAATCGGTCTGGTGCCACGTTCTCGGATATCTCTAGCTACTTCCGCGCTCTCAAGCTCTCAGGCTTTCTCTTCTCTGTTCCACACCCCACCGATTATGACAATCATCAAACTTGCTGGTGGTCTACCTCCATCACCTCCCAATTCGTCAGAAGGCGAGTTCAGTCCGGAGCTACCGCTCGACGGTCGCATTTCATATCCAGCAGTGCCTCCTCCCGGCTACACTTTTACCAACAGCGGCATGGAGCACCCTCGGATGATGGGAGACTTCACTCCCGGTACTCCCCCACAACAAATGGTGAGTTCTGAGCCACAGACAGTTTACCTGTCAGCCATTGAAGGAGATTCCCCTGACAAGTATCAGATGTATGGCACTCCACCTACCTACTACAGTTCCCTACCTACTTCACACCCGGTAAGTTCCCGTTGCGCAACCCGAACGCCCAACGCCATGCTGAGAGATACGGAAACGCAGCAACCAATTTTGCCGGCCCATCAATCTACTACCCCCTCGATGATGCCGATTGACATCCCGGGAAGGGTTCATTCCGCTTCGCCCTCTTCTTACAACACATCTCCAAGCCAGAAGGCTACGCCCAAGGGCAAACCCCGAGCCGGTCGTACTAGCACGCAGAGGCGCTCTCGCTCTCACCGAACCAGCGTTAGCGGTACGAAGGTGAAGATCAATCTTCCCGGGCCTTTGTCAGAGATCACAAGAGACTTCCTCGTGCCAGTCCGCGACATGGAGGCCTATGTACACCGACCGACAGCAGTCCGCCTCGAGGAGGCCACCCAGAGGAAAGCTGGAGAGAAGAAGCCAATTGCCCGCCCAATGAACGCGTTCATTTTGTATCGATCGGCTTATTCCGCTCGTTGCAAAGCTTATCTTGGCATGGAGAACCACCAGGAAGTATCCAGGGCCATGGGAAATAGCTGGCACAAGGAACCCAAGCATATCAAAGATCAGTTCAGCGAGTGGGCACGGGTTGAGCGCACGAACCACGCCATTGCCTTCCCTGGCTACAAGTTCCAGCCGAAGAAGGACAATCTCGGCGCACGCCGATCAGAGCTTACTCCTCCACGTTCCGTCTCGGGGCTTGGAGAGACAGGCAGTCCCCCCGAGTGGGATGCGGAGTCCGATTTTGCAATCGCACCACAGCCAGTCCACAGACGCACCCAAAGCTATGAGGTCTCTAGCAGAGCCTCGACACCCTTTGACGGTGATTCCGTTTTGGCCTCCAGCTTCCCCGGCTCATGGAACACAAGTTTTACCTCCAACGGCAGCCTTTCGACTATCCAACCTGGTATGCTTTCCACTATGACAAACCATGTTGAGGATCTTCATTTCCAACATGGTAGCCCTGCACCGGGCATGAAGTACGACTTCGATGCAAAATACGATTATGACTCGTCCAGTGGATTGACCGGCCTTCCTGGGGGCAGTCACGATGATCTCCTAGAGCCTCAGTCTCTCCACCATGTCACCACCCACTTCGACAACGAGCACATGGATCCGCAGCTGCTGCAATATCACCAAGGCCCTACAATGTCAGCCGATCCCAACCACCTTTCGCAAGTGGGTGGCTACCCACCAGTGTGGCCGAACGGTGACTCGGGCCACTATCTTCCCACCTCAATGGCCTCCAGCCACTCGAGCCCCGCTGTTTACCCTGCCATGGATCCCCATTTCATGCAGCGCGAAAACTCTTGGGATTTTATGGATCCCCCAACTTCGTCTATCTAGACCACGCAAGCCATCAACGACGCCCATGATTGAAGACGAATCATGATGAAAGGACCACTGTCTATCAAAATGGACATCTAATCATGTTGACCAGCTCCATTTCTTGGTCACGCTGTTGAGTTATGTGGAGCAAAGCTCAAAAAAAAAAAAAGAAAAGAAAAGAAAAGAGAACGGATTTTGGGCGCTCACGGGCGCTGAACCAGGGACGGGAGATATTTTTTGTTGTTCCATAATTTTTGTCACAAGATTTCACTTCTATTTCCTTTTGTTTTAACCCAATTTGTCTCCACCGTCATCATGTTCCTTTGCCACTCTACTTCTCCATTGATGTATTTTCTTTCTGGGAGCTTTGATAAGATCTCGAGTCACTTGGTATCTGCTTTGAGTTTTGGGTATGGGCTTAGATATCTTAGCTGGACAGGCAATCGGACTTCGGGCGAGGCTTTTTGGCTTACTAGTTTAGATTTCTAGTATGTTAAAGAGCTGGTGTTGGCTTTTGTCTTTTAATGCACAATCTTGAGTTCAAAGTTTGGCTTTGTTTCTTTTTGTTCTTTGATTTGTAGCTTACAAGCATGCCTGGAGCTACCACTGAACTTGACGGAGAAGAAAATTAAAAGAAAATGAGTGCAACTCTATAGACTTTCTTATAGTATAATGGATTGGATTCTTCTAAGCTGATCATGTAGTCTTCTGAGTACAGCACTCACGTATGAGCACAAAAGCAATAACATAATGCGCAGTTGTCTGGAGACGCGATGTTTGGCAAAAACCAACTATTTCTCGCATTTTCCACAGTTAATCCAAAAAACATCGAAATAAAGGACTATGGCTTATTTTTACTGGTGATGAGTGAAAATTAAGTAGCCAACGCAGCTTGGAACATGCATCACTGAATCCATGATGCACGTGGTACAGCAGCCGCATTCTGCACCTTGCCCTAAGTCCAGTCCAAACAACCTCACCGCCCTTCATCGGCCCACCTCCCACGGGCCGGCCAAAGCAGCCAGACTGGAACTCCATCATCAACACTGCATTTCTCCAGACATTGCGTCGCTGCAACTACGCCGTCTGTTTCAGTTTCCGTTGTCTCAAAAAATCACACGAGCCTCAGGAAATTCTGTCCCGTCAGACCCGACCTTCCCTCCGACTTGGCCTCCGCCCCGCACCTCCCCCCTCTTCCGAATCAAAAGCTATAACAAACGACCTCCTTCCCAGAAAACAAGATGTCGATCCCTAATGAAGCCCTGCAGAAGGTACGGAACATGAGGTTCGGGTGACGCACTGTCCATTGAGCTCGTGATGGTCTACCCAGGAGAAGGCCAAGGCACCATACTAACGCGCCCGCAGCTCCTGCAAGAGATCGAAACACGCGCCCTTGCTTCGCAGCAGCAGATTGGTATCACCAAGGCTCAGATGACTGCCAGACAGCGCGATGTTCGCATGCTGCAGCTCACATCTAAGGAGTTGTCGGAGTTGCCTTCCGAGACAAGAGTGTATGAAGGTGTGGGGAAAATGTGAGTTTCTTCTCTATTGAAATCCTTGTTTCCATGCTTTATTATACTTCAAAGCAATTATCTGCATTCAATAATCCTACTTCTCCTTGATCACCGCTCACAATGCTTTTGTCAGGTTCGTCAATGTTCCCATCGATTCTGTCAACAAGCGCCTCACCCGTGAGAGCTCCGAAGCATCCACAGAAATCACCAACCTGGAGAAAAAGCTTCAATATCATGAGACCACAGCCCAAAAGAGCAAGGAGAATCTGGAGCAGATTCTGAAGTCCGGAGGCAAGGCGTGAAGCGATCGAAATGATGATATACCGTACTGGATTTGAGGATTTAGATGATGCGGGATGCACCATACTCACCTATCGGAAGGACCTGGGTACAAGTTGCTGGGTGTAACCTATACTTGGGATCTTTCTACACCTCGGGCTCTTTGTCGCCACGGAAAGAATAGCAGCATGGAGTTTGGGCTTTGACAAAACCTGGCGAGGATGCATTTCCAAAGGAAAAATGAAATCGAGGAGACAAATCCAGCTGAGATGAGAAGCAATAAATGGAGACATCATATCTCCCTTTCTGATTGCTATCCATCTGTTTCCTCGGTTCGGCATGGCACTTTGTCTCGGCGACTTGGATACCCAGGAGTTTTCTTACTTGGTTTTGTACACAATGAACAAAAGAACTTCTTTATGAGGATATCATTCCCCAGAGCATGTAGTCTAAATCATTCTTCCTTGGTTTATAAAGGTACAAGATTTGTGCGGTGATGCTGCTAAGGCTTATTATCTCAAGCCCGAATGTATGCTTAAACCGGCCGGGTGGGGCGATCAGAAGCTTTCCCGCACCGCGTGGAATGCCCGCACGCAGAAGGCAGCTTCGACAGGGCACATTCCGGCGCTTTTGCGAATGGCATTATTCGAGGAATGCAGCCGAGAACACCAATAGTAAACGGACTGGCCTGCCATCGTCAAAGGTGGGGACTAGGGGACTACTCGAACCGGTCAGCAAGAACCAACTTGTTGAACCCTGGCTCTGTCTAGATCACTTCAGGCATGAGATACGTACCAAGCCTACCGACAGACATCGTTTAAATTAACAAGTGGGCCCCCCGGATCTCCGTTTCCTTCTGTCAACCAATCCAGGTCGCAATATGGCCTAATACCAACTCCTTTATCCCAGCCCTACTCCAGCAAACGCACTAATTGAAGGATGTGGCTCAATCCCCGACCCCTACGCCATGTCCTGGCGAGCGCCATTGGCGTCATCGTTGCGTTCTGGTTGCTGAAGACCTATCTGCACCTGACGCTAGTCCAGGTAAGCCGAGCGCGGTCCCGATATTAAAAATGACGTCTTCGGGCAACTTGGCTAACGGGCAAGATCCCTGTCGCCACGCCGGAGTCTGTTGAGCGGTATTTTTCTGCTTTGAGGACGCTTGCACCGGTGAAATCGGATTTCGAAAGATTTGTTCTTCTGGGGTTCCATAATAATGGGCTCCCAAAGTCTACGGCGGATTGCGACGGTCGTCGACACTCGGCTAGGCTGGGCGTGTTACCGAGCTTCTCTCTGCAGGGTGATCTGACGCAGGCGATGGAACGCTCGCATGATGACGCACAGATCGACCGTGCTTTACAGAATCAGAGTCTCTCGTTCGAAGACCTGATTGAAGAGAATTGGGCGGAACTACCTGGTTCGGGGGTCTGGCTTCCTGAGTATCAGGTCTACTTTGTCGTCACTCGAGCCATATACTCATCGGGAAGCTTGGCCGAGTCGCCGATCAGCTTTCTGCGCGGCCGTATCTTTGATGCGTTGTGGAACCACCTAGACAACTATACCCTGGACTGGGACGAAGACCCTATTATTTTCCCCCGCACGTTTGACATTCCCCTTGTTCGGGATGAAAATGGCACTTTTGTCGGGCCTGAAGATCCACGAGTCATTCTCGAAGCTGACGTACCCGGCGCCGAACCAGTTATCGTTTTCAACATGCTATCCGAAGAGGTGGATGGGAAACGGGCAATGTGGACGCACCGTCCATTCACGAATATCACCAAGGCTTTGACAATTCGCGGCGAAGTCGTGAAGCGAGAGGAGAGGAACTGGGCACCATTCTTCCACTCCGAACCTTCAGTGCCCAGGCAGCCTAGTCACCACCTCAACTTCGTCTATAGCATGCAACCTCTTTGCATTCTCCGCTGCCACCTACGCCATGGCCGCTGCGACTGGACATACAAGCAGGACCTATCAGAAAAGCAATCAGAAGTCCTCGTAAGGATGCGCGGCAGCACCAACTTCATCCAAGTACACGAGTCCGATCCGGATATCTCTCTCTGGGTTGGATTCCCACGTACCCAAATAGATGGAGGCTGCGGCTCCGGCAATCCCATCTACCGCCCAGAACTGGTCGTCCTCGCAAACAGCGGACGTGAATTCCACATGGTCTATGCCAGCGAAGCAATCGACTTTGGGACGGCGGTGCTCGACGAAGCCGCGCGCGAAGCGCCCTGTACCGATGGGCGCCTTCTTATGCCGAATGGGATTCTGCGCTGGGACCAAGACCGGCGCGATCTGTTGCAGCTGGCGCTGAACGTGGGCGATCGTTCGACGCGGGTCCTCCCCCTACGCGGCGTCTCGCAGCTTGTGCGTTCGTTGCCGTATCTCATGGATTGGAGGCGGGAAGCCAGTCCGGACGGCCAACCGTGGGGGCAGCGCTGGTCAGCTGTTGGGGCGGACGTGGTTGGATGTGCGATCGGAATTTGATTGAAGGACTGAAATGTTCAGGAATTCGGGACGGCATGAGATTCTGCAGCTGAGGCGGAACACATGGAAATGTCACGCGTGGCCCTTGGGTCACCCCGCGGGAACACCCGACCGGCCCTTGGTTCGCCTTCCAGCCCGACTTTATACCTCGCCTTGCGGCCCAAGAATGCCCTCCCGATTCCATTCCGATGTACTGTTCAAGAAGAACCGCTGGGTACCCCAGCAAATGCTGCCAGCGTCTGCATTGTTCGCCCTGCGCTCGAGACTCTCAAAACTCCCGTAGAGGTAGGTGTATGCGACAGGGATTTAGTGGTTTCGGGAGGCGCTGGCTTAGGGCTGGAAGCGCCGGATTGACGCCGGGCATTTGCGACCGGCTATTTTGAGACGATGGTGGGTTCTTATACCTGGGCGATTCGAGCGATGGCAAGCAACGCCCTACTGTACGACGTTGGCCCAAAAGTGGAGCCGGCGGCCCTGCAGAGCCCTGGAGGTGGCTGGAGACGATGATGCTATGCCCGAAACCTTGGAAGCAAGCGCACAAAGACTGGTCTCACGAGAGGCGTGGACATGGCAGAAGGGCGTGAGAAGTATACGCGTGAGATGCTATTTCGTGGGGTATGCCGTAATATTTCAGGAGTATATCGTGTATGTATAGAAATGGGGCGTAGGCAAGGGACAGCCCCGCATGGCAGGAGAACAATGCACGAAGATTCTAGCAGCGCGATCTGACAGACGATGAGGCTGAACGCCAATTCCGTCTCTTAGGGTACAATATGTACCCTACGCCTGTACCTTAGGGTAATAGGCTGAGCCTTGTGCTGTGCCCTGGTCCAGGCCCCGCGAATAAATACCCGCACGCCCTCCAACCTGCTCTTCTCCCATCTTCCTTCCAGACCCCCCGCCCGCCTGACCGTCGATCTCCGATAACCACTCGTATCCCAGGGCCGCTTTCGTGCCCAAGTCGGTTGCCTCCTTTTCGTCCAAAATTTTTTTTTTTTTTTTTTTCCTTACTGCTCGACTTTTCGTCTCTTTTTGTCCCCCTCCCCGCCAGCCCCTCTCCCGACCATTCTATACGCACGAGTGCCTCACCGGGTCGGTGCTTACCCTACACCCCCTCATCCAGGGCTGATAACAACCACCACCACCGCCTGCGCTCGCCCACCTTCGCATCCTGCGCAGATCGCCCAAAATGCCGCACACGCAGATGATTTACGATTCCGATGACTCGGACTTTTCGGAGACCGATGTCTCGATCCAAGGTCATCGAGGCGGCCGTGCTCACTTCCGCCGACGTTCTATCTCCCGCCCCCGTGTATCGGAGACTCTGCTTTCGCCTCCGCCACAGCGAGGAGTGTTCCGGTCGTCGTCGACAGGTCGTCGCCGGGACCGTGAACGCGACCGCCCGGTCAACGTGATGATCCATAACGATCTGGAACAGCGCAGCAACAACGCCAGTAGCAGCAAGCCCCGCATGAAACAATCCAAGATGGTCGAAGTCCCTGACCTCGACGAGGAAGAAATCAGTCGCTCTCGCGGCCGGGCAGCTACTGGTGTCTCGCGCGAAGCGTCCCCTTACCACCGTGACTATGAACTCGCCTTCAGCCAGCGGCTCCTGGAGCACGACAATACGCGCCAAGACTTAGAGATCTTCAAGCACCAGCAGGAGATCGAGCGCTTGGAGCGCGAGCTGCAAAAACATCGTGAGCGGGCGGAGAATCCGCGGAACGCTCATGAGTCAAGCCTGCTGCATGCCGACGAGGATTGGTACGAGGCCAAGATCAGTGAGCGTATGCGCTGGATGGAAAAATTGGAGAAACAGGAGCGCAAGGCCCGGAGCGAAGAAGTGCGCCAGCGAATTATTGAGGAGGAGATACGCAAGGCCGATGCGCAGCGACGCCTGGAGAAGTTCGAGAAAAAAACACATGAAGAAGAGGAGCGCGAGAAGGCCGATGCGCAGCGGCGCCTGGAGAAGTTCGAGAGAAAAATACATGAAGAAGAGGAGCACGAGAAGGCTGAGGCCGCGTGGCGCCTGAAGAAGTTCGAGGAATCTGAGAAGGAGGCGGCCGATCAGAAAGAGTTGATGAAGAAGATTGAACTGCAGAAGTTAAAGGAGTTGGCCGACGCTCAGAAGGAGAAGGCCAAGCGTGACAAGCTCAAGCAGGAGTTTATCGAGGAGCAGGAACGCGCCGCGCGTGAGGCGAATGAGAAGAGGCAACAGGAGCTCCTGATGAAGAAGGCTGCCATTGAGGAGTGGAAGATGGAACAAGAGAAGGCGAAACAAAGGGCCAAGGAGGAGCAAGAGAAGAAGGACAAAGAGTTCCGTGATCGCTTGCGTCACGAATTCGGCTATACCGAGGAGGAGATCGAGAAGATGCTGAACAAGGAGAAGAAGGAAGAAAAGGAAAAGAAAAAAGAACACAAAGAGCACGACCAGAAGCAGCTCGAGGAGTCATCCAGGACCACATGGATCAAGGTATGGCATGCACCTTGCGTTAGCTTCTCACTTATAACAACTGACTAACGCTGACCTCCCTCTAGGTCCACCGCAAGCACCTGCTCCCCGAAACCTTGCTGGCATACAATCTTCCATGGGATTGGGACGAGGTAAGCAACAATGTTCTGACATTTGGTGACCCACGGTTTACTAATATTCGTCAGCGCGACACCAACTATATCATCATCAAGCGGTGGGTCTCCGAAGACTTCCAGGAAGAGCTCTTTTCCCACACCCGCCGTATACGCGAGGGCAAAATGATCGCCCAGACCTCCAGCTCGACGACCGAACTCAAGGTCAACGACCGCAACAAAGACAAAATGTACCTGGTCCGCAAGAAGAGCCCCAGCCGGCGGCTGCGCCTCTTCTTATAAACATCGCTCTTGGCTTGACTTGACCTGCCTCTGATTCCTTCACCTCTGTTTGGACAAGTGGAGCATGCTCTTTTCTTATTTGACCCAGTTATATCCGCGTTTTGCTACTCTTTGCGTCGCCCTTTCTATGAGACTCGGGCAAACTGCTTGTTCAAACTTTTTTTGTTTTTGAGTTGAGAATCTTGAAGCTGGCTGTCGCTGTTGGTGGTACAGTAACGAGACACGAGTTGACGACCGTTTGTTTTTGATTTCCCTTGCTTCTTCGTCGTTTTTTTTTATTTTCTATTTTTATTTCTTGTGCGCCATGTTAATCGCATCATACGCCGCTCCGCTCTATGTATTCAGACGTTTTTCCTTCCAGCATTTATATCTCATAGTCTCCATGCGTTGCATATTTCGGCAATGTTTGGACACCAGGTCCGCAACCATAAAGCGAAGTCCATTGTAAATGGGGTCCTAGAGTGAAAGTGGTCGATGAAGCTCCAAAAGAGTATAGATATGTGATCTGTTGCCAGACCAAAAACTGGAAATGAGATTCTAAGCTATTTATACATGAAGTAGAGTTGGTTGAGGAAGAGCCGGGTGATTATAGGCTCATCTCATGGTTCGCAGCCCACCGCTTCTCCGCGCGAAGAATGAGCTCTTCGTAGACGGTCCACGCCAGAGCCGAGCTCAATGCTTTCCGCGCCATGCGGAGGCCAAGGCCACCGAAGAGACTGCGCATGCCGTCCTCGTGGATCATTAGACGCGTTGCTCGGAGCATGTTGCCGTACTTGGCAGGCATCAGCTGCAGACGGGTCTTGACAGCATCAAAAGGGTTGGTGATGGCGGTCGCGAGGCCAGCAGCTGATGCGCCCGAAACAAAATTGATGGATGAGGACGATGCGCCTGTAACTGGGGACCCGTCGCTTTTGCTGGAGTCTTTGGTACGCATAGCCGCGAATCGTCGTTTCAGCTGTTCGTAGAAGAGCACATAGAGCCCAGCATAGGGGGCATCCCGAGCAGCCGTGGCGCCGAAACCTGCAAAAAGACCGCGCATTCCTTCAGTTCGTACGATATCGCGACCGGCACCCACGAGGCTGCGGTAGGCGTAGTAATCGGATTCGTAGCGGACCTTGAGGACAGTAACGGGCATCATGACAAAGCCGGCAGCGACCCGTGCAATGGCGCCGGTTGCTAGGTTTGCGGTGTTGGAGAGTTTAGGAAGGGCGGAGGAGGATTTGGGAGTCGTCGAGCTGGCAAGAACAGCAGGGGTGTTGGCTTGAGCGACTGTCTGGCGAAGGGCATTAAGGCTGGTGAAATATAGGGCTGACCCGAAACCTGTACGGAGGGCCGACGGAAGTGTACCGCGCCATAGTCCACGGACGGGATGTGGAGAGGAAAGGATTGATTTTAGGGTAGGAAGGAGGGTGGCACCGTGGCCGGACTGTTGAACTCGGGTTTTTAGGAGGTCGGCAGGTTGGAGGAGGATCGAAGAGGTGAGGCCTGAGCAGAGACCAGCGGCGAAATGAAAGACAGTTTTTGATGCTATGGTTGGGGGAGCAGTGTTAGGTTGGGGGGTTGTTCCTATGCATCAAGGATATGCGCGGGCTTTGCAGTAGGCGTACATTTTGAGGTGCCGGTCTTCACCTGCGGCACTAAAGCGCTGTTGTTCGACATTGCTCTTGAACAGGCTGCCACAAACTCACCCGACGGCCGTCGGCTGGTGGGCGTATATAGATTGAGGTATCAATAGTAGGAGATTCGATTCCTGATCGAGTGTCATCGGAGTCGCTCGGGCGCTGAATGAAGATTTTCATGTGGATGCAAGAAGAGGATCCGAAAAATGGCGCGGGAACGGCCCCGACCGGAACAAGCACAATCGATGGGATCACAAACCCTGCATTCCAGGGAGGAAGAGGGATGCGGCTGAGACGGAGGTCCGGGATTAAAGATGAGCGTTGGCCGATGTTGACGGGAAGAGTCGATGGAGTTTGGTGAAGTCATCGGGTCGACTCGACCTCGGTATCGATAAGCAATGGCAACTGCCACCAAGAACAACTAGCGAAATTCCAATTAACGGTGTACTTCCACCCAGATTGTATTATGTCGGACTAATTTTTATTGACTGTCGATCTTCAAATACCCATCGATACCAACATTCTCACCGGACACAGAATAATACGAATAATACTACTGTCTCATACCAAGCCAAACCGCAACCGGCAAGCCGCGGAGGCGCCAATCAGCAGGGCCCAATTGCGGGTATGCATCCGACGTCATGGCCAGACGGCACTTTCTCTCTTCTTCACCACCTTCATCCCAAAAATGCGGTGGCCTCTACCTCATATCCCATACCCGCCTGCGAAGGCCGGGTTCTGGAGCCCTGTTACCTCAACTCTGAACTGGTGCGAGGAGGTAAGTCTACCCAACTGAGCTCGCCCGGAGCCTCCGGACACGCCACTAACCGCTGCGCCAGGACTACTATGTCACCGTTTACTCTGCTGAAGTCGTCAACGCCGTAACGAACCTCCTATTTATGTGGCTGGGTATCAGGGGCCTGATCAGTTGTCGGCGCAATCAACATGATCAGATCTTCTCTGTCGCCCTTTGCGGCTACTTGGTTGTCGGCACAGGAAGCTTTCTCTTCCATTCCACCCTCAAATGTAAGTCGGTTCAGCTTCCTGCGAACTCTCTCCGACCAGTGCACGAGCAGCGGGATGGCGTCCGGGTCTTATCAGCTCCAGATATCATCATCCGAGGGAGGAATTTTGCTTATTGGAGCCTGTGTGCATATTGCTAACCGTTGATTTCGCGCGCAGATCCCATGCAGCTCGTGGATGAGCTTTCCATGATCTATACCACCTGCCTAATGGCTTATGCCTTGTTCTCATACCGCCGTCCTACGGGTGTACGCCTGGTCCTTGCCATTGCCCTCGCTGGGATGGCCGTCTTCATCACTCTATACTACCACTACCTCCAGGATCCAGTGTTCCACCAAAACGCCTATGCACTTCTCACGACAGTTGTCGTCTTGCGCAGCATGCATACCATGGAGGTAACCTTGCGCCCGAGATGGCGCCACTCGCGCGAGGAGGATCGCCTCGACCGCCAGAAGAAGGGCCTGCCGGTTCCCTCGAAAGAACGCCAGCACTACGAGAATGTGCGCGATAAGAAAATCCTCAAAACTATGTGGTTCATGGTAGTGTACGGACTTAGTATGTTCCTCGGCGGATTTCTCATTTGGAACCTCGACAACCAATTCTGCCCCCAGATTCGCCGGTGGCGCCATTCGGTGGGTTTGCCGTGGGGTATTTTCTTGGAGGGGCATGGTTGGTGGTATGTGCAAACCCGCATCTTTTCTAAAAAATTTCCCACTCATCCTCTGACTCTCTATTCTAGGCACGTCATGACCGGGATCGGTGCATACCTGTATATCATCTGGGGAATCTGGCTGCGACACTGCCTGAACAAGAAGCAAGACGACTACCATCTGCACTGGGCCCGATTCTGGCACATTCCCGAGGTGATTCGTATCACTCCCACAGCGCAAAACGGTGCGGCCCGAGCCAAAAAGTCATCCTAAATGCCCAAAGCACGGTTCATTTATCATGTCGTCTTTTACTTGTTGCTCAACAAAAAGAAACTGTGAAATAGCGTGGAACGTGAACGTCCTATATTCTTACCCATATCAATCTGGGGTTCTCTCGTTACTATCAAACCCGATTGGGGTACCCTTGATTTTTCTACATCAAATTGTTGGACACTCTCCGTTCCTGGTGGCGGAAAATTCACTGACGATAGATATACCTTGCCAGTTGCGCAAAGGACTATATGGCGCAAGGTTGTTGCAATAGACAGGATCAGGGTTCTTGGTTTTTGGTTGCAGTGTCTTGGTCTGCGTTTGGCCAGCTTCCTCGATTCTTCTGTGCCCCGCATTCTTAGGAAACAAATTGAAATGGAGAGAAATACAAAAGGTGTGACGAAGCTCCATTGTGTAGTAGCATTGGGGTTGTATTTACATCTGTCGAATGTCACCTCGATCAAAAATCCTCCTAAATGTGTCACAAAGTCCAAAACCGCTTTATTCTGAGAGAAGGACAAAGAGTTATCAATCCCTATTCTTTATACAACAAGCCTCAATCGCTCAGAGCTTCGAGCCAGACTGGGTAGAATCGGCCTTCTTGGACCTACGTGCAGGCGCAGGGACATGTTTCAGCCAGTCCACATCGACAGTCGTCTTCTCCAGCTGAGTCTTCTTTTCCCACTGGGAACGGAAGCTCTCCTCCTCGTCCCGCCAACGACGCAGCTCTGGGACCAACCAGGAGACTGCCGCATCTGCACACTCGTTGACGGCCTCTTGTGCAAGCAAATGGCCCTTGTCTTTAAGTAAGACATCCCGCACCCGGCCAGCAGCAACGCCACCGCTACCTCCGAGACCAACGCCCGTGTTGGCGAGTTTGTCTGCCATCATCCAGGGCAAGCACATGTCGGATTTTCCGGCGAAGATATACAATACGCTCGGGCGGAGATGCGGCAATTGGGAGAAGATGCGCGCCGGCTCGGGCCGGTAGAAAGGATGCGAGTCCGGGTGGTCTGCGTCAAGATCTGGGTGCGTTACCCGGTTCACAGGCTTACCGCTGCCAGGGATATGGTTATAGTTTGGTCGCGAGAAGGTAAAGACCTCTTGGTGAAGCGGAGTGCGTAGTGTCACCGGGGTGTTCTTTGGATCGGTTATAGTCTTATCGTTGAGGGGATGCAGGGGTGTGGGCAGGTCTCGTAGGCCATACTGGACCCAGCGCTTCAGTACTCGCGGGTCCCAGGCCTGATAGAAGGGACTCCGCTGGAATCCTTCTTCTGCAGCCTGTCGCGATGGCCAGATATCGCGCCGGTGAGTAGAAAGTTGAGTCGTCTTCGCAATCACTCGTTTTCTCTGCTCAAGGCTGAATCCATCGAGCTGGGTGGTTTGACGCTGAACTACCGGGTCAAGTAGTACCAAAGAATGGAACAACCGGGGATGCATCAAGCTGAGTTGTGTGCTACAGAGTACCGTTGTAAGCCCCTGGAAATAGGTTTGAGTGAGGTTACAGTAGGGCCTGTTACTGACAGATGCGCGCCGCCGAAACTGTGACCGATGCCGACAATAGGTCGGGGCATTTCAGCCCGCTTGACGTTGACTAGGTGGAGAAGGTCTCGAGGGTGGTCAAACCAGCTTGCTATTGATCCTGTGTGAGCATTTTGAAGCACTCGGGGGACTCCGATCACGGGTCACATACGGTCATTGCCCAAGATATTTTCATTTAGCACGCTGCTTTCGCCTTGCCACGCCACATCGGCCATCCATATGCTGCGAATCCGAAAGCCGTCTTCTTTGGTTCGCTCGTGGATTTCCTCCCAAAGCGGTTCATATAGTTCCTAGCCAGTGTCAGTCTCAAGCATAAAAGCGACCTTAATTCTGTCCGAATAGCCTCAAGTCGGAGCTGCGACACACGCTCGACATGTTGTCATACCTTGGGAAAACCATTTGCATGTGCGGCCAAAATGGTCACATCGCCTGGCTGTGGGTTGGGGTTGTCGAGAGGGATGTATTGTTTCACAACCAGGTTCAAGAGCTCTTCCTGGCTGTTGGCCGTGGCAGCAGGATACTCGCGGATATGCTGGCCAGGCACCACATGCTCGACGATGCGAAAGGGAGAAGATGCCATGGTAAAAAAAAAAAAAATGTTCCTTGAGGATCTTGCGAGGGGGGATTCGTCGTTCAAGCACGTCCGCTTCCCCGGAATATCAATGGAGTTGACTTGCCGACGGGCGCAGAAGAGCCGAGGCCCTTTGGGTCGGCGCTCTGCATCCGCCCAACTGCCGGAGCTCCACGCGGTGAACTTACTACGAGTAAGCACTGCGATCATTGCCAGTTGCGATCGCGTAAGGTGTTTGAATTTGAACTCTATGCATATATCCCTCAAAGATATCTGTGAGTGGTGTTTGTATGAATGATTTTACGAAATATTCGATTGGACTTTATGTGACGCTACATTGTAGGATTTATACCATACAATATATAGCACTCGCACCGTCATTGGGGTTAGGAAATATAGTAGTTGCTTGAGAGAAAATACCTTCGTACTTCACGAAACCAAGGGGACGACTGTCTTGGAGCTCGCTCAATTCATTATAGCATCTTCAACATCAGCCAAATTACGTTGACCGTGTATATTCAACTTGTCGCACCCGAGTTTCTTTGCCCCCGCGCCAGCACGTGACCTGGCGTCGGCCGGCGATGATTGAACACGCGCCAACGCGTTCTCGACCCTCCTCCCCACAACCAACCGCGAACACGCCAGTTGATCGCCATGGCGGATGAAGCTCCCAAGCTCTTCGAACAGTGCCGCGTCTTCGTTGTATGCTCTCAGGAGCTTCCTCTGGAGACGGCTGAACAGGTATATGACTCCGCCAATCGGCGCACGAAGACGCGAGGCTAATTACCCAATTTCCTCAGCTCGCAGCTATTATCGAAGAACATGGTGGCGATCCATCGATCCATCAGAGCGGCCCAGAGAAATTTGATGTCATTGAATGTACCCATATCGTTTCGAGCACGATTCAATTCCCCTCATACGACTACTTTTCCAACGCTTTGATCCCGGTTGTCAAGCCCTCCTGGGTCCATGCCTCCCTCTCCAAGCACAAGCTGGCGAATCCGCGCCAGCATAGTCCGGACCCGAGATTATTTCTGAACGACGTCGTGGTCACCTGTGGCGACATCCCCGAGGGGGACAAAGACGCCATCATTGGCGGCGTGTTAGCCAAGGGTGGCCTCTACAGCCCTCGAGTTACCGGCATGGTCACCCATCTGGTGGACTTGACGGAAAATTCAGACAAGGCGCGCATGGTGAAGATCAAGGGAATGCGCGTTAAGATCGTTCTACCCCACTGGTTGGTTCGGCCGGTCACCCTCACGTCTGAAAGTTACTGACTCCATGCAGGTTCGATGATTGTCTGAAACTTGGCCATCGTATCGACGAACGACCCTACATGCTCCCCGATCCCGAGATACTCCGCGCAGGTCCCGATGACCCAATTCGGTGGAGCGAGAACAAAGATGTGGCTGGCGCCTCGACCCCTGCACCTTCTGCTATGCCTACTCCTGGAAAGTTAAACCAACCGAGCGTGTTTGAAGGCAAGAGTGTGATGCTATCCAAAGACCTAGGCATCGGATCGCACCTCCAACAGTCCATCGAGGCAGTGCTCACCAGAGGTGGTTGCAGTATGACGCGAAATGTCGATGAGGCAGATTGGGTCGTGTGCCGTTTTCGCGATGGATTTGTGTACCGGACAGCTTCGCGGCTCGACAAGGTTGTCGGTAACCTTGCCTGGCTATACTACCTAATGACGTTCAACACGTACACCCGCCCTCTCAGCAGACCCTTGCACTACCCGGTCTCCCGTACGCCAATACCTGGATTCGCAGGACTGAAAATCAGTCTATCGAACTACGTTGGTGAGGCGAGAATATACCTTGAGAACTTGATTGCGGCCTCTGGAGCAGAATGCACGAAGACATTGAGGCAGGAAAATACGCACTTGATCACTGCTCATGGTACCAGTGAGAAATGCAACGCGGCCAAAGAATGGGGACTGGAGGTTGTCAACCACCTATGGCTGGAAGACAGCTATGCCAAATGGAAGGAACAACCAGTTTCTGATCCCCGATATACTCACTTTCCTTCGCGAACAAACCTGAGCGACGTTGTTGGTCAAAAGATGCTGGATCATGACGTTCTAGAGGAAAACTTTTTTCCATCTACGGACGCAGAGGCAGAACCCGTCTTCCTGCCGCAAGCCATGCAGACAAAGGATCAGAATGCGATTGCACGACCTTTGGCCGGTAAATCAGACCAGGAAGAGGCAAAAGACTCGGAGGCAACACATGATACTCCGCAGCCGACTGGGAAGAAACCTCGCAGACCATCGGAAAACAAAAAACTCCAAACACCTGTGCGATCGCGTCTCATACCTGAAAACAAGGAAAACGAGACGCCTTCTTCTACCAGCAGTCGAAAATCCAAAGATGCAGCTACAGCTCGCCTTCATGATCTAGCTCCAGATCTTGCTCTTTACGAAAAGGAGAGAAAGCGCGTCGGGGGGGTCATCTACGGTGGCCGACGCAAGTCCGATGAAGACCGGGTCGACATGACCAAAAACCAGAAGAAACGTCGTTCTGCAGAGCCACAGGACGAGAGTGACGACGAGCAGATGACGGATGCAAAGCGGCAGAAAAGGACTCGGCCGCCAATTTCTATGCATCTACTAATTACCGGCTATCAAAAGTGGGTTGGACACGAAAAAACGGAGGATGCAGATAAGGTATGAAAAGATACATCCCACAGACACAGAGACACACCAACATGCTCACACGTTTCATAGCGTCACCTCCGAGAACTGGGCATCATGGTCGTCCAAGACGCTCGCAGGTGCACACACCTTGCAGCGCCTGCGATTCTACGAACTACAAAGTTCGTAAATGCGCTCGCTTACGCCCCACAGATTGTCAGTACGGAGTTTATTACCAGCTGTCTAAAGCAGGATAAGCTTCTGAATCCATCAGATTTCCCCTTGGTGGACAAAGCGGCCGAGACAAAGTTCCAGTTCTCTCTGGAAACGGCCGTGGGAAAGGCCAAGGCTAACAGGAACAAGCTCCTCAATGGATTCCGAGTTTATTGTGTTGAGGACATCCGTGGCGGGTTTGACGCTTTCAAATCGATCGTCGAGACAAACGGCGGCGAGTGCTTGCTTTTCCGCGGTCGCCTGGCACTCGCAAAGAATTCTCGTCGCGAGGAAAGCGACGACGAGGATAGTGATATGGATGGCGATGAACCGGGTCGCAACGAAGTCTTTCTCTTGAGCAGTGTCGAGCCCAGACACGCTCGGTTATGGCCTCGCTTCCGGCAGGTGGCGGAAGACATTAAGAAGACACCTCGAATTGTCCGCGTGGACTGGCTGTTAGATATAGCCATGTCACAAGAGCTCCGGGCCGCGGGGGACTATGAGGTCACCGAGGAAATGGTTGAAGCTGTTGACGAATGAGGTCAGGGACGTGCAGCGTAGTATGTACATGTTAGGATATCGGGATTAGCAGCTGGGGTTGGTGTGGCCGCGGCTTTGAGCGTTTGCTTTTTATCTGTCACGAACAGCCACGATCTATCATCAAAACAAGTATTTGATCAAAATCTTGCCTCTAGAAAAACTTGACTCCCTCTTCGCCCTCACTGCCAAAGATCTGAGTCTTGCCCCGCTTAACGAGGACATTCAGCGTCTTCATCATTACATCCGTATCCATTCCATGGAATTCTAAGGGTAATTAGTGTCCAATTTCCCGTCTAAATAGAGCAGAGGCAGTCGCTCACCTTGTGAAACAGTCGCTTCTCCCTGCACCAACTCATAAACCGTCAGTACAGCCCCGCGCTGCCCGGTACTCTCAACCCAGTCCACCAGGACATCTGCCCACTCCTCCGGCCTCCTCCACCAGATATAAGCGACAGACTTGGGTGCTGCATTCCCTCCTGTTGCACTAGCATCCAGCCACTCGGCCCGTCGCCCACCACCTCCCTCCTCCTCGCTCTTAGCCATCCAATCTAGCACGGCGCGGGCTTCGGCAAGGTCGAGTCGCTTGCGCAGGCTCGCATTATGGAAGAGCGGGCTTTCGATGGCATCAATGAGATAGAGACGGAATTGACGGTGGTGTCGGCACCAAGCTTGGATCAGAGAAGACCACTTTTGTAGCTGGGAGAGGCGAGTGCTGCTGTTCGGTTGCGGGGTGAAGAAGGGCGGGAAGTTGTAGGTCGGAGGAAATACGAAGGGCGCGGCGGAAGTCATGATGGCGAGCTTTGTCGGCCGTATAATCCCTTATTTATCGAAGGGAAATAGCCCGGCGAAGTTCAAAAAGGAAAGCAAGGTGCGAGCAGTCCTGCGGAAGCTGTGAGTTGGTCCCGCGATCCGCGCGGAGAAGTGGGTGGGGAGAGACCCGCCGCAAATTAATATTCCTTTCCATCCAAGCTCCAACTTTCCGACTTCACCTCTACGCACATCCACGCCCACTCCCCCAGCTAACATGACCACGCCGCCGCCACCCAAGCGCGCAAAGCGTGAGGAGTACCGCCGCAACCTTCAGAACCAATTTGAGGCACACCAGAATCCCGATGCCGAGATCGCCGACGTCAAGATGCCGCAGAAGAAATTCTTCCGGCAGCGCGCGCATGCGAACCCCTTCTCCGATCACAAGCTGGACTAGTATGTTGAACTTCTCTAGCCCTCCTTTCAAATATCTTCTATATTTGGGCTTCATTAGACTTGCGCAGAGCTTGTTACGGGCGCTGGTAGACATGACGAAGACACTGAACTAACAGATCCGTGAATAGCCCTCTGAGCCCGGCGCATATGGATTGGTCGTCACATTTCCCCGCCTTCATTGACCCCGATACTTCGAAAACCACACTTGGGGGTGCACGCAAGCTGCTGAAGGACGTTGAGGTCGTGGACATTGGATGTGGATTTGGTGGATTGCTGGTTGGACTGGCACCTCTCTTGCCAGACACCTTGATGATCGGTAAGCTCATAAACATAGGCTCCTCAAGATACATACCTGTTTTGCGAGGACAACCTCTGACGCCTCTTTAGGAATGGAGATTCGAATCTCTGTTCTCGACTACGTCCGTTCGCGCGTCCACGCTCTTCGCATCCAACAGCAAAAACTTAAGAATGGCACGGCCGCGCAAGCCTCCGCCGAAAATTCGAATAACGCCGAAGCTTCTGTTGATGAGGACGAGGTTGGGAGTACAACAACCATCGTGCCAGGAAACTACGAGAACATCAGCGGAATCCGAGCCAACACGATGAAATTCTTGCCGAACTTTTTCGCCCAGCACCAGCTTTCCAAGATCTTTGTCTGCTTCCCAGACCCCCACTTCAAGGCGCGTAAGCACAAGGCGCGCATTGTCTCCGAATCGCTGAATGCCGAATACGCCTACGTCCTGCGACCTGGTGGTCTTATGTACACCATTACCGATGTGGAAGAGTATCACCACTGGGTCCTCCGGCACTTCGAGTACCAATCTGAAGAGGAGAGAGCGCAGGGCGGTATCAAGGACCTCTGGGAGCGGGTCTCTGAGGAGGAATTGGCAGCTGATCCTTGTGTGCGGGTTATGAGCTTCGAGACCGAGGAGTCGAAAAAGGTCTCCCGCAACAACGGCAATAAGTACGTTGCGGTGTTCCGACGCAAGGCCGACCCCGAATGGATTGCATGAACTTCTGGGGGAAAGAAGAAAAGCATCGTTCCTACTATATTATTCTTTGCGAAGAACAAGACCGGTGTACAGGCGTTAATCCGAACTCTATTGTATGCATTTTCAATACCACGAACGCTAAACACGATCTGCGCATGCTAAACTCAAGAAAGAAAACAAGAAATCTCCGAAATGAAAACAAAAACCCTGAATGTAACACAATTTAGAAATGAATCAAAGCGCCATCATAAACTCATGACCGAAAAACAAAACATCAACAGGTCATCAAGCAGTAAATCATCAAAAAACCGTTGAGTCGAGGACAATAGATGCATCAACATCTCAACACATCCCAGGTGCTTTGAGGCGAATACCCTCACATCTTTCACAGATAGCGAGTTGCACAGGCCCGCCAATGATGCGGCCCTTGGCCGTACGCTTAGGCTCTCCCTCGCGGACGAAGAAGCGGCCCTCAGGCCCGAACCCATCACCACACTCATGACAGACAAAGCACCGTTCGTGCCACTGTCCACCGATGGCAGTAATCACAACATCGTCCAGAACATGCTGCTTACATCCCAGGCAACGAGGGGCCGTGCGACGGGAATGGCATTTGAGACACCAGGCAAAACCGTCCTTCTCCACGAAGGGGGTCTTCGAATCAAAGGGCTGGTGAATCGTTAGTACAATGGCCGTACATAGAAAGGGAAGGGGGGTTGAAACGTACATCACCACACTCAGCACAGAAGAAGTGGCCGACATGCCATTCGGCACCACAGGCAACGACCACTTCTCCCTCAATAGGCGTCTTGCAGCTCTTGCAGCGCGGGCTGAAAAGCTCATGGAAATCCAAGTGGCAGTAGAACCGAGGCACGGGGGACTCCCCCTCCGGGTTGCTTTCAAGCCTTTCAGCCCTGCTTGCTGCGGGCTCCTCATAGAACGCCACACACTCAAGGGGTGTATGACAGTGGAAACAGATGAAGCATTCGGGGTGGAATCGTGACCCTCCGGCAGTGACGATCTTGCCAGAGATAGAGTAAGAGCATGACTCGCAACGAGCGGTTGGAACACCAGAGCGAGAATACGGGGTATACCTGCGACCCTGGGGATCCGAGTTTTGCCTGGCCGGGGAAGCCTGTTTGCTTTGACCGAACGCTGGTTGATGTCTCGGCCCCGTCGAAGTCGGTTTGCCCTTGGGCCGAGAGCTCTCGTCGATCTCTGAGATCGTGGGCTCTTGAATGTCAGGAACATTGATCACGGGCACCGGGGGCGGCTGTGACACTTCAATGCTGGGGGTCACCTCGACGGTTGGAGTGACCTCGATGCTGGGAGCCACCTCGATTGTGGGCACTGGTGGTGGTGCTGATGCAGGAGCCGGCGATGCCGAGCCGCGAGAACTGGGGCTCCATCGTTCAGGCTTTGGCTGATCACTCGACTGCCATTTCGGATCAAAGCTCACAATGGGTCGTCCCATGCGGTCACTGACGGCGGATGGCATGGGCAATTTCTCACTGCGATCCTTGAGCTTCTTGCTTGTTGCTGCACGGATGTCATCACTACGAATCTCCTTGCCATCTTTCATGGGTACCTCTTCCGTCTCCTCACGGGAGCTTGGAGGTGTCGGGGGAAGAGGATCATTCTTCATGTAGCTAGGGTTACGAGACTGGGTTGGAGGATTCTTGTGGATATCGAACTGAGAGATTCGGTCGCGCACGGACGAGTCTCCAGTCTTTCGGTCTCGTAGCCAGGGAAGCGGTTTGATGACGCGTGGTAGAGCGTTGCGCGGTTTATTACGCAAAGCCGAAGAGTCAGATTGAGAGAATTCTGGACGAGGCTCGACCACTTCCTTGGCCGAATCGATGGGCTCTTCATAGATATGGTCGTCAGGGTTTCGAAAAACACCCTTGGAGGAATCGCCACTGATCTGTCGAGGACGAGCGTTGGTATTGACATCGCTGGGCGCAGTAGGCTCTTCTCCGGGTAGCGCAAAGTTAACGCGGCGGTTCTTCTTGGTGTTCCCACCAAGGGAGGATCTCCGAGTGGACGAGTTGAGAGTCGCGTCGGCAAATTCAGGGCTGGAAGGGTTACTGGAAGAGCCATTTGACCCAACCGAATGGCGAAACTGGTTCGCAGAACCGACAGAGCTCTTTCGAGACTGACTTCGAATGGATGTACCCCGCGAGCTGGCATCGGGGTTCTGGTATGGCGCGTATGGGTTTTTGTAGGCCATTCCAGGGTTCTGGTGCATCCACACTAGCTCCGTAGCTTCATCTTGAGCGGCTTGATGAAGGCGAACATCATCGGACAGGTCCATATCTTGCAAAGCATCACGGAGTTCGCGCGCTTCCTCTTTCTCATGGCGGCGCTGGCCACTCTCCCGGTACGAGGGTACGGGAGATGCGGCAACTGGACGCGAGAATACTTGGGATGGGAAGACATTCTTTCTCACTGACACCGATCGTGGCTCCTGGGCCAGAGGACGTCCAACTGGGCCGCTCTCGCCGGTTTGGGAGGATGTGCGACGATGAGATAAGGCGCTTCCAGCACGAGGTTCTTCTTCCGGCGGAGTATTCTGACGATACATGGAAAAGGCAGACGCTGCGCGTGGAGGCAGGCCATCTTGGAGATCCGAAGTTGATGTTGCTGCTTTACCAGGGAGGGGACGAGATCCTGTGGGACGTGCTGGTCGGTTTGTTCGTAGATCTTTGAGATAGTTTGCTGTCGAGTCTAGCATTAGTTCTGTTATGGGTTAAAGTGCAGCTGCTTTTCGACTCTGGTCGTCGATGCAAAAGACCAGCTAACCAGTCGCGATTTGAATCGCCAGCTTCAAATGGGTCACTCACCAACTTGATCGTTGGACATGTAGGAGGGACCCGGCGGCGAGACCTTGCGCTGGCCGGCAGGCTTGGTATGCTTGTACATCATGGTTTTGGGGAAAGTATTCCAGGTCGGATCCCACTGAAAGTCACGCAGCAGCAGCAATCCAGGGAGGTGCGACGTCAGGATCAGCCAAGGTATGGAGCCTAAAGACTAAAGAGCTAACATCGCTGCCCAGAGGTGGACCGGTTGCGATCGCAGTGGGACCCAAACAAACACCGCCAGGGCAACCTGACCCGATCGGGACAGGGCTCAGGGCTTCTCCACGGTCACCTGCTAGCATGTGACTTGCATATCTCCGAAAAAATAGCCTACCTTTAGTTTAAGTAGGTATGTATGGTATCTTGACTACTGCAATGTATAGGGTATACTGGTGTAAATATATTTGATCGCAGCATGCGAGGACATGTCCAGCTTTTGTCAACACTTCATCTTGTATCCACTGCCCCTCGATGACATTCATAAGGTCTCACCGCCCCATCGATGTCTCCGCACCGGGTCGACGGTTCTTCGGGATTCGGCACTAAACCCCACACCCCCGAATTGGGGATGCAGAGGCCCCCTCGACGCGCTGGGATTTCCGACCAGGGCTCCCTCGGGCTCCCAGGGCACAGTAATCAATCTATACTCCGCGATTGGTCGACCGTAGCCGAACAGCGGCGTTTTCAAACCCCGGACATCTTCCCCGTGATGCCAACACTCGTAAAGAAAATTGTCGGCCCCATGTCCGACGTATTCCAAGTAGGGAATAGCCATGCGCTAGTCAAAGAGATGACTCCTAGTGTCCGTAGCTATTCGAGTTTTCCACCTACTTCTTGTCCGATATCACACCTCCCGCACAGAGTACTATACTACAATCGAGATATTCCATGTTGCGCCGAAAACGGTAAAGTTTGAATACTCCAAAAGTCTGGCTGCGCATATATCCGGCATCGCCACTGCCAACCTCGGGAAACCGACATCAGTTGAATATCTCGGCTTCCATTACCGACGGAAATGAACGACAATGAGCCGATAGAAGTGATTCGATCACACCAGGATGATAGGGACTCTATGCACACTAGCTCTCGGCGAGAGCGTGAGAACCCGCAGGGACCATCAGAGCCGCCAGTCGACGTCGACGAGAAATACAAGCGGGACATTCCTCCTGATGGAGGATATGGCTGGATCTGTGTTGCCTGCGTCTTTTGGATCAATGCCCATACGTGGGGAATAAATAGCGTGAGTGCATTATTCACCAGCCATTCTTGGCAAAAGACCTGTACAATGCATCTTCCACTGACAATCCGAGATCCTCCAGAGCTATGGAGTTTTCCTTAGCTACTATCTCTCTCACGATGTTTTCCCCAACACGTCAGCTCTCTCCTATGCCTTTACTGGAGGACTCAGCATCTCCTGTGCACTCCTTGTGGCCCCATTAGCCACCCGTCTCATCCAGGTCCTTGGAACCCGCTTCGTGCTGAACCTAGGTGTCTTCTTCGAAACGCTGTCTCTCATCGGGTCCTCATTCGCAACTCAAAAATGGCACATCTTCCTCAGTCAAGGCGTTTGCTTCGGCTGGGGTATGGGCTTTCTCTTCGTGGGCAGCGTTGGTATCGCTCCGCAGTGGTTCCATAAGCGCCGCAGCGTCGCTCAAGGTATCACCGCCGCCGGGTCCGGACTCGGGGGCCTGATCTGGTCTCTCGCGGTAGGTGCAATGATTCCTCGTCTCGGCTTAGGATGGGCCTTCCGTATTCTCGGTATCATCTCGTGCGCCGTCAATTTAGTTTGTGGTAATCTGCTTCGAGACCGCAACAAGCTTGTCGGTAGCCGATTTACGGCATTTCATCTCCCGCTGCTTCGCCAGCCAGAATTCTTGCTCTTCTTGGGCTGGGGTATCTTCAGCATGCTGGGATATGTGGCGCTGCTCTTCAGTCTTGCCAACTTTGCCCTCTCGGTTGGACTCTCGTCACATCAAGGCAGTATTGTCGCGGCCTTGTTGAATCTGGGTCAGGGCCTTGGTCGTCCTTTTGTGGGAATGTTCAGTGACCGACTTGGCCGCATCAATATAGCGACCTTATTGACTTTCCTGTGTGGCTTATTCTGTTTGGTAATTTGGATCTTCGCTGACAGCATGGGTGTTGTCTGTTTCTTCGCTGTCCTAGTAGGAACTGTCGCGGGAACATACTGGGCGACGGTGTCGCCCGTCCTCGCCGAAATCATTGGTCTACGAGATCTACCTTCAGGCCTCAGCATTACCTGGCTCACACTGGTCGCGCCGTGCACCGTCTCTGAGGCCATTGCCCTGCAACTCCGCACCGCCAAACCGGACGGGAACACTTCTTATCTCCGAGTCCAATTGTTTACAGGCTTTGTGTACATCGGTGCATCTCTGTGCCTGTGGCTCGTACGTGGTTGGAAAGTTGGAGAGCTAGAAATTGCTGAACAGCGCAGAGAATCTGTGGCCCGAGAAACGCCGCTTACGACCGCGACGGTGGGAGAGAAGCAGGATCGTTCTGCGACCAGAATACCTTCAATTGGCGTCGCTGATACACAGATATGGACACCATTCAATCTAGCACGGAGAATGGTGGCATTAAAACGTGTCTGAGACAATTGCCTGATTTGTATGGAAAAAAAATTCTTAGATATAAAAACTACGCGCATACACATCCTGGGAAGACGGAACAAGAAAAAAAGACCGTTGTAAAAATTTTCAACAATCATTTGTGAATTCCCCAAACGCCCATTTTTGTATCTATGAACTGCATAAACTCCATTCCATTAGCCGGTGATCAGAATTCGCACCCGCCTCTTGCCGGCGCCACGGCCTTCTTCCTTAACCGAGCTGACGTTCACCTTAACCTTCTGGAAAAGTTCCACGGTGACACCGCGCTCCTTCTCAGAGTGGCCCTTCTCCTCCACACGGAGTTTGTATTCTTCGATATCGAAATCTGTGGTCCGATGAGCCGCGAGTTCCTTTCGCTCCGAGACAGTCCAAGCGTTGGACTCGCCGGGGAGTACAAAGTCCTCCAGTCGAACGGTGCCCTCGATACCAAAACGGGGAACGAATACCACCACACCGTTTTCAAAGACACGCATCACGTAGCCCTCTTCATCGATGCCGCTATCAGTGCCGCCCTCGGCCATCTGTTCACCACGGGCCTTGAGCGCCTGACCAACGTAATACTCTATGCTAGCACGACCGGCGAACTGGGCGTTGCGGTGTCGGTAGTTGATGTTCTGGCATATATCCTCTAGCTTGCTACGGGTACTGACACCCTCGATAACCGCGTGGCCATCCTCACCCTCGTATCCGATGGCAGAAGCAAGTTGTCGGTGGACGATCAGATCGGCATATCGTCGGATAGGAGAGGTAAAGTGAGTGTAAATAGGCGAAGCAAGACCGTAGTGGCGGAATTCGGGCTCGGCATGTGCACCGGCACAAAAATATTCGGCAGATGTCATGCACCGAGTTGCCAGGATACGGACCAGAGTATTGAAGAACGGATTCTGAGAGTCGACACAACGATCTAGGGAGCTAGCAAGGGCACCAGAGCTGGAAACATCTAGCTCCATGCCTCGCTTCTTCGAGAGTTGATTAATGAGGTCTTCGAAGTTCTGTGGCGGGGGAGTGGCGTGTCGTCGGAGAAGGGCTGTTTGCGAGAAGGATTCGAAAATCTTAGAACCAACAGTAATGTTGGCGAGAAGCATAAACTCCTCGACCAGGCTGTTGGTCTCAAGCATAGCCTTTGTCTTGACATCGGTCAATGGATCACCGACTTCATCACTATCGGCTTCGATTCGGACTTCCGGCGAGGCAAGATTTAATGCACCGGCATCATAACGCTTCTGGCGAAGGATCTTTGAGAAACGCAGGAGGTTACGCATGCTTTCTGTCAGCTCATCCGTTTGAGATGGGTCATCAATGCGCTTCTGAGCCCTCTCATAACTAAATGCTTCACGCGAGCGAATGACTGATTTGGTGAAATCTGAAGACACGATTTCTGCGTTGGGCGTGACCTCCCAAATGACGGAGAAAGCGTAGCGCTCGACGTAAGGCTTCAGAGAACACAAATCTGTTCCAAGAAGTGAAGGTAACATGTCGATACGCTTGTCCACCAAATACACAGTGGTCCCACGAACACTGGCCTCAAAATCCATGGGGTTGTTGGGCTTGACAAAGTGTGACACATCCGCAATATGGACACCGACTTCGAAATTTCCGTTTGACAGAGGGCGGGCATGGAGAGCATCGTCAATATCTTGACAGCCTGGAGGATCAATGCTGCAGATGAGGAGGTCACGAAGATCTCGTCGGCCTTTCCAACCCTTGTCTTCCTTGCTGGCGGGAACTTTCCAGTCATGTCCCTCTGATGGAAGACAGTCCAAAACAGATTTGGGGAATGGCTTGTATTGCACATCATACTCCAGAAGAAGTGCCTCGGTCTCAGCAGCCTTGGTCTCTAGCTCTCCCAATGATCGGATAAAGTGGCCAGTTGGGTATCGGGAATCCCGATCCCAACTATCGATCGTAACGAGGATGCGCTTACCGAGAAGGTCACCAGCTTGCCGTGTACGAAGTCGAATCTTTGGAACTTTTCTGTCCATAGCTAGTACGAAGACGGTCTGTTGACGGCGACCAGAGGCAGCCTGAGAGCCGGTTGAGTTGGAGTCGACATGACCCACATACTGGCGCCAGCCACGCTTGATTATACCGACAACCTTGGCAGTTGGCTGAGGCTTTCCTTCCGAATTCTTTCCGTGAGCCTTTTTGACTTCTTCTTGAAGAGCTTTGCGCTCATTTTCCGAAACAACGTTCTCGGTTTCTTCAGAATCAGGGTTGTCGTTTCGAGTCACGGCTTCCTCGTCAACAATCTTGGAGGAAGGGGACTTCCACTGATCCTGCGGCAGGACCTCAATTACAACAACGTCACCTGAAATTGCACGGTTGCTGTTGTCGCGACCGAGAATAAGGAGAGGCTTGTTAAAGGAAGGAACCTTGACAGACCCTTCGAGATAGTTGTAAGGTGATACGTTGAACACACCTTGGTGTAGAGTTCCTGCACGCAATCCTGTCATGATCTTCGACATGGAGAGGTATTCCGGGTAGAAAAGTTGACCGGCAGTGCCTCTGGACTCCCGGGCTTCCCGAGCCTCACTGATCATATCGAGCAGTCTCTCCGAGTCCTCTAGGCCAGAGACATAGTCCGAGAGCGAAAGAGCGGTAACATTTTCCGCTTTGGCCTTTTTGATATTGTCTTTGTCGTCGGTGATGACAACAAGTGCAGGAATAGACTTTTCCTTCTTCCCCTTCTTAGCCGATGCTCGGAGGTGCTCTTCGTACCAGGTCGCGACCGCGCGCACTGCTCGGTCGTTGCGATCATTAATTGACTCTTGCGGTCCTCTGCGCACATGGGTTTCAAGTCGAAATTCGTTAAAGAAAAGGTAGAAGCGTTTCTCGTCGGTTTTGATGAGAGCGAGGAGACGGTTGTAGAGCGGCAGCGACAGATTGCGAAGCTCCTCAAGAACGGTCTGCAGAATAATCACATCGTAAAACGCACCAGTGTGCTCAAAAAGATCCATTCCATTCAATAGCGCATTTGTATCAGGAACGAGGTAGTGTCCGTGGGGAAAGGCTTTGGTGCCGGCGGGACGATCGGAGAGGATGAACGGTGCAACTGTCTTTGTTAGCAATCGGTCGCGATGAGCAGATTGATGGGGCTCTTACTGTTTCCATTGGCATCTGCAGGGGCGATCGAGGGGCATATGGAGCAAAGCTTCGAGGAGCAAGGAATGTCTTGCCTAAGATAGAGCTCGCGAACAATCTTTTGCACTTTTCCACTTTTCGTGGACCTCACGAAGACCTTGCTGGCGACATTGGAGGCCTGGGGGTTGGAAGGAAGGTCCCTCCTCAGACTCTTCATCGCGACGGGATATATCTGTCTGTGAGTAGCAGATGGTCGGTTGCAAGACACGTCGTGAGCAAGAACTGAGAGATGAACCTTGGCGTGCGACTTTTGAGGTTATCGCACTGAGCGGCATCGCGATAGCTGACTAAGCGCCTATCCGTCTCATCGTAGGAGCAACTGAGCAACGCACCTTCCGAAACCCCTCCCTTCTGCGGCCAGACACTTATTTTGATATATTTGATTTTGGGCTCCCGGTGGCTGTATAAACCATGGTTCACGCCGTACGTGCTCGACGACTACACTATCCATACTGACTATTTATTAATCGACTCTTCCCGATGTCCTATAGGCCGTTGGGCAGTTATGCGCAACAGCAAGCATAACCTCCAATCTAGTACAATGCCAAACATTAGTTCGAAAAGCGGCAGCAGCAGGTGCCAAGGTGATACATTCTCAAATTGACTTCTATATATTAAGTAGATGTTCGTAAGCTAATGCGTTACTAGGTGCTGTTTCTTCCAGAGGCCGCGGATTATATTGCTTCTTCCGCCGATGAATCTTTCTCTCTGGCACAGTCGCCGGACAGTGGAAACTTTGTTTCCGAATTGCAAAAGATCGCCAAGCTCGAGAGCATGCATATCAATGTTGGAATCCATGAGATGGCTTCAGAACACAAGCTAAAGAATTCATTGATTTGGATTGACGATAAGGGTGCCATCACCCAGAATTACCAGAAGGTCCATCTATTCGACGTCGACATCAAGGGTGGACCTGTTTTGAAAGAGAGCACGTAAGCTTCTTAATAAGGTCGCCCTAGACCCTTAACCCCCATGGTTGCTGAGCCAAAACACAGGAATGTCCAGCCTGGACAGAAAATCCTCCCGCCTTTCGAGACCCCTGTTGGGCGCATCGGGCTAGCGATTTGCTTTGATGTAAGTACGACCGCATGGCATACATCTTTGGTCTGTATGGTGCGCATCTAACTCGTATTGCATATTTCAAGCTGCGATTCCCAGAGATTAGTCTTGCACTGAGGCGCCAAAATGCCGAAATCATCACCTACCCATCGGCCTTTACAGTCCCAACTGGCAGGGCTCATTGGGAATCGCTGCTTCGTGCACGAGCTATTGAGACACAGTCATATGTGATTGCGGCCGCACAAGCGGGTCCTCATAACGAGAAGAGGCGAAGTTATGGCCATTCCATGATCATCAATCCGTGGGGCGAAGTGGTAGCGCAGCTGGGCGATGAACATCAAGAGCCAGAAATAGCGACCGCGGAGATTGATCTCGACCTCGTGTCGAAGATAAGGCGAGAGATGCCCCTGTTGCGGCGGACTGACCTGTACCCGGAAGTGTAAGGTTGAAAAGAAACCGAGGCAGATCAGCAGCATCAGTCAACAGTGCTTTCAATCCAGAACATCTAATCGGTTGGCGGGGTATGCTCCAACGGGATCTTTAGCAGTCAACTTCAAGACTCAGAAAAGGAGAAGGATGAATATCATTGTTTTGATCCATCTGTATTGATGCGATGGAAAGCAGACCCAACGGAATATAAAGTAGTACAGCAGGTAATGGAAATAGAAACACATGCGAAAACCCCATCTAAGAAAAGGAACGGAACATCATATCTGCCACCACGGGTGGTACAGGCGTGAACCGAAATTGTCCTTTTCCGATCTCTCTATGTACAGTGTACAGAATAGGCCCATGAACCAATCCGCTTAGTTCTTGGCCTTCTCAGGGTCCTCCAAGATACCCTCAGCCTCCAGTCGCCGGCGGGCTTCCTCAAGGGCCCAGGTTTGTATGCTGAAACGAGAGTCAGTTTTGATGTCTCAGTCACACGTAGATAAATCCGCCCAGGAGTTTGGTTTGAGGGCTGGACGGGTCTTGGGGTTGATTAAAAACTTAACACGTACGAGGTATCGGGCTTGAAAACATATGCAACACCGGCAACCAGGAAGCTACCAATAAATCCGTAGTACCAGATGCCCTCCCAGCCTTCCTTCACGTACTTCTGGCCGGGCTTAACGCCGAACAGCCAGCCGGTCGGGGGATCGTAGTGGTCACCGTGGTCAGCGGCACGGAGGCTGCTTCGGGTTGAGAACCCCTGGATGTTTTGCGGCCGGCGCAGCAAGCAGCGCGAACGGAGGAGTTGCGACACGGGACGAGCGGACATCTTGGAGAGTCGAGCGGTAGAAGAGGTCGGAAGGGACGGAGTGGAGAGTTCGAGGAATGGGAAACAAAGGCCAGCAGTCAGTCGCCTTGCCGATGTGGCAACAACAATTGCAATTGGTATGGCACTGCGATGACGAGTGGAGGGGCGGATTGATGTTGAAGCCGCAAAAGGCCGCTGGGGAGCTGACCGGTGACGGCGCTAGTCCTGTTTGGGCGATTTTCCCTGTCCGCCTTTACTGCCTGAAATACAAGGCTTCACAAGACCCGGGTGTTTCTGCCTGAGGAAGGAGGCAAAGACTCACGACGCGCGACGCGTTTCTTATCGCAAACCACCCCCAAATTAATCCCATTGGAGCTCACTGTCAACATTGTCGAGTCATTGCATCTGCCTACCCATACTGGGCGCAAGAGCTTCTGAGTACATATATCTCTCTACCTTGTACGTCCTCTCCAATTGCTGAGCGCAGATTTCGCGTTCCGTTGCTAATATTACTCGCCCCAGGCCAACGGGCTCGAGAATGTATCGTTACCCGATTTGAGACAAATTTCTGGGATATCCTGGGCCAGAACACGGCTATGGCGACGAACAACAACGCACACCCCATCTCGTCCGGCTCACGCACAAAACTGGATGCCTTCCGCTACCAAGACGCGAAGACGGCCCCAGAGAAGGTGCCCTCGAAAGACGGGACACAACCCGCACATGGAAATAAAGAGAACCAGAGCTCATGGCTGAACGGTGTGGTGGAACCGATGCATACATCTCCAGACAAGAACGACCCTTCGCCGGCAGAGTCCTCAGTGAATGACCTTAAGCCCGTCAAAGAATGCCCTCAGACTCCAGGAAATCGGATACCTCTCGCAGACCTCATTAGCAATGCTGAAGATTCTTTCGACCCGGCGCCGGGTCCAGAGGTGACGCCTGTGGACCATGTTGTCTGGCAACATATTCCTGCAAGCTCAAACCCAGACACTTCGTCCCAAACACCGGGCGGCCGTCGAAGGAAACGTCGTCACAGCTCATCCCCTGCCGGCTCTCCCTCACGCACATACTCGGAAAAGACCAAGGAACCACTCGATCTTCAATCCATACAAGCTCTTTTTAAAACCCCTCAACATGATCTTGCTGCAGAGCTGTGGAATAACTACATGGATAAACATGTGGTTAACGGGACCGAGGATCTCCCTCCAAACCGTCTAGCAAACCTTCTCTCCTCTTCTCCTCAAACGCCGGTTTCGGGAAGGACAAGTCGCGATTCCTCGGGCTTAAGACGCTCGATTAGCTGTGCTGCTGAGTGGCCAACAACCAGAGCGAAAAGAAGACGATTCAATCGCCAAGATCAAGGCTCAGGTCGGGGTATCTTCTCTCGCACCAGCAGCAATGTTTTGGACTCGGGGAAAAAACAATCCTCAAGGATCAACTTCTTGCTGGAGACCATTGAGAAAAGCCTCCAGCCGCCCCAGCCAACCGAGATGGGCCCACTTGGTTCTTCTCCGTTGCGGCAAAGGGTCGATGCCCAAAGATGCCGTTCGTCGTCTCCAATAACAGACCGGAAAGGACTTGGAAATGCTGGGACTGAACAGGCTCTCCCTGTGCCATCCGAAGAAAATAGCGTAATTGCCAAGACAAATAAGTTTCACGACCTCTCATCTGACTTTGGGGACGACGACCTTGATCAAGACCTTATGGATCTAGCAGATGCTTCAGCGGATCCATTTGTCGAACCAGAAAAGGACCGCAACGACTCTGACTTCTTGGGCTCCTCTGCCTGGTCGAGTTACGCGGCAGGAAAGCTTCATTCAAGCCATCCGAAGCCAATATCCACCACGGATGACAAACCGTCAATTGTTAATGAAATCATGAATAACGAACCCAAACCCGATGATTCGGATGACTTCGATGACGAGTATGGCGATCTCGACAATTTTGAAGATATACTTGCAGAATGCCACGGGAACACGGAACAGGCCAATTCGTTCAAGCCGCAGGCCGTGGGCCTGGCGACCACTGCATCTGCTGTCGCGGCCGTGAGCATGCAAGGCAAGCCTAATATTCAAGCCCCAGCGGATGTGACAGCATCGTCTGAGGACGAGTTCGATGATGACTTCGATCTGGACGCCATCGAGCAGACTATGAAGCAGGCGAGTCAAAATGGTGATTACGTTTGTCACTCTTAGTGAAACCTTTCTAGTCGTGTGCTGAAATATTCAAACAATAGAACCTGAAAGATCGAACCGCCATTAAACGTTACCTGATCGTGGAAATTGCAGAGAGCACGTACGTGTCTCTTAAAGGACGTACTCAACCCGAACAGGTTTGTATTTCGACTCCGTTCTCAAATGTTTGCTCGGGTGCTAATGAGCGAGTAGGTACTATCGGTCGAGGACGAAAAGACAAAAGCCCGAAGAGTCATAATCCTACGGGATTCGTGGTATGACACTCCCTGCAGCAAGGACTCATATCTTCATTTGGTCGGAAATTTCGATTCTTCTGGTCTATGCGTCGTAGACAACTCCAATCATATGATCATTCTTCATCCTGATCATTTGATATCAGCCACGGTCGTGGCAGACTCAGTCGATTGTCAACGTCGAGCTGTTTTACAAGATCGGATCAAAGCCTTTGCCCAACTCGAAAAGCCGCAAGCATTCGGTGTATTTTTCCACGAGGTCTTTCAAGAGGCCTTGAAGGCTAACCAATGGGGTCTGGATTCTTTGAGGTCTTTAGTCGAGAGAGTTCTGGTCGGACATATCGAAGAATTGTACGCGATCAACATGAGCGTTCAAGAAGCAGTCGGCGAAATCATGGGCAAAATCCCAACTATTCTGGCTTGGGCAGAGGTTTTTCTCCATGCAAAGCCACAGGTAATTTGAACTTCGTCATATAAACGATCGGGTTTCATGCTGACTTTGCTTACAGGCTAATTCAATGGTTGAAGATCGCAACAGCTCAAAGCTCAACCTCAGCATCAACAAATTACTCGAGGTTGAGGAGCACATCTGGTCACCCATGTACGGGCTCAAAGGCAACATCGATGCCACAGTCCAGGTTGCTTGTCGCGATGATACTGGTGTAAAAAATCTTGTCGTTCCCTTGGAGCTGAAGACTGGGAAACGCGATACCAACCAAGGTCATAGAGCCCAAACAGCTCTATATACACTCCTCCTTTCTGATCGATACGGTAACAGACCTATTTCTCATGTTGGGACTATCGGACTTGCTAACGTTTTCACAGATATTGAGGTCACTTTTGGCCTCCTTTACTACCTTGAAACCTCGAAGACACTCAGCATCCGAGGCATTCGGCATGAGCTTATTCAAATGCTGCAAGTAAGAAACCAGCTTGCTGTTTACATACGCGAGAAGACGCATCTCCCTCCGATGCTCAAGCGGTCGCGCATGTGCAATAGGTGTTATGCGAAAACCCCTTGTCTCGTATATCACAAACTCTCAGAAGATGGCACTGGTGAGACAAGCGGCCTTGGTGAAAACTTCGAGACTGCAACGCAACACTTGAGCCAAGGTGATCGTGACTTTTTTCGTAAATGGGATGAACTCCTTACCAAAGAAGAAGGGAATTTGGTGAGGTTTCGACGGGAGCTGTGGACTCTGCTCAGCAAGGAACGTGAATCCCTTGGTCGGTGCTTTGGTGACGTCGTGATCAATCCGCGTTCTGCGTCAGAGGATAAGAATGGGACGAAGATCAACCGTTACCGTTATACCTTTGTCAAGCGCCAAAAGTCTCCCGGTTTCTCGTTCGCCGAATCGCAAATATCCGTTGGTGAGCCAGTTGTTGTGTCCGATGAGAAGGGACATTTTGCTCTTGCCAATGGCTACGTGGTTCACGTGAGCGCGTCATATATTACAGCTGCTGTGGATCGGAGGCTACATAACGCGAGATCAAAAACGGCCGGTTTCGATGCCAAGACAAACCAATCTTTCAAGGGCATCATGGAAATTGAAAATGCTGAACCGGCAGCTTTGGAAGACCCGGACGAACAAATTGTCTATCGAATCGACAAAGACGAGTTCAGCAATGGCATGGCAACGGTTCGGAACAATCTCATTTGCATGATGGACAAAGACCTCTATCAAGCAAGACATCTCAGGCGGCTCATTGTGGAAGGTCAAGCTCCGGTTTTCAAGCCACAACCCGCTGCATATACCATTGCCAGTTCCGACAACCTCAATGTTGACCAAGAGCAAGCGATTGACAAAGTCATGAGTGCTCAAGACTATGCGTTGGTTCTCGGTATGCCCGGAACTGGCAAGACAACCACCATTGCTCATATCATTCGAGCACTCGTCGCGCAAGGGAAAAGTGTTCTACTCACTTCTTACACACACACAGCAGTCGATAACATTCTGCTGAAGATTCGTGATGACGACATCCGTATCCTTCGCATCGGTGCTCCGACGAAAATTCACCCTGAGATACAAGATTTTGCAGATCTCGCGGCTATTCCAAAACCGACCATTGAAGAGCTGAAGGACTCGTACGAAAATCCGCAAGTCGTGGCTACGACTTGTCTTGGTGTGAATCACAACATCTTCAACCAGCGCATCTTCGATTACTGCATTGTCGATGAGGCATCACAGATTACGCTTCCTGTCTGTCTAGGTCCAATCCGTATGGCAAGGACTTTCATCTTGGTTGGTGACCACTACCAGCTTCCGCCATTGGTACAGAACAAGGCGGCACAGGAAGGAGGCTTGGACGTCAGTCTCTTCAAATTGTTATCCGATGCGCAGCCCGACTCGGTTATCAGTCTAGAGCATCAGTACCGCATGTGCGAGGATATCATGCTGCTTTCGAACACGCTCATCTACTCCGGCCGCTTGAAATGTGGCACACCTCAAGTTGCAGCCCGCTCACTTGACATTCCAAACATCCATGCCCTCAAGCAATTTCACACCGATAATGAATGCTCAGCGCAGTCCCATCAACGTATGTGCTTCGGCCCTTCACATGGCCGATGCTGGCTTCTTGATTTATTAGAGCCATCGTCCAAAACCCTCCTGGTCAATACGGATCCTCTTGGTGCCATGGCTCTCGAAAGTGCGCAGGGTCAGCGCATTGTGAACCATGCCGAAGCCATCCTCTGTTCCCAACTTGTCGAATCCTTCATCGCCAGCGGAGTCCAACCTCAAAACATTGGTGTCATTACGTTCTACCGCAGTCAACTCTCCATCCTTCGGCAGACGCTTCGCCGCTATGCCCCGGACCTGGAAATGCATACCGCGGATAAGTTCCAGGGCCGCGATAAAGAAGTTGTCATTCTTAGTTGCGTTCGGAGTAACTCAGATAATCATGTTGGCGAGCTTCTTCGTGACTGGCGCCGTGTAAATGTCGCGTTCACGCGCGCTCGCACCAAACTCCTTGTCGTCGGTAGCAGATCAACTCTTCGTGATGGTAACGAGCTTCTTTGCAAATACGTTCGCCTCGTCGAGAGCAAGAATTGGGTCTACAATTTACCGCCAGGTGCCACCGAGAACCATGTTTTCCAAGCTACTGGTTTCAACTCCACACAGCTACCCTTTCAGTCTCCTGAGGCATACTCAATGGATGGATCTGCAAAGAAAGGAAATAGCCCTACTGTCAAAAAGTCCCCCTCGCGCGAGCCACTCAGCCCCTTGGGCTCTAGGCAACCTGGGCTGCGCAAGCCTGCGAAGAAAGGTGCCAAGCTGTTCAATGGAAATTCTGTCATCGGAAACAGGCCTATCATTCAAGACCTGGTGAATGACATATCTGGATAGAATTGTTGATGATTCATTTTTGGATCAGTCTCTTCGGAGACTTTCATGGATAGATGGCGAAGAAGCAGAAGTGCATCATGTATGGCGTTGAGAATATTGGATAGGTATTTTCTTTCTATCAGCGTTCGAGTAAAGTAAGATGCATGCGGCATTACATTATATTTTCTAAAGAAAGACCAAAAATGTAGCAAACCCCCCCCGATATGTGAAGAGGCTTTATTCGGTTGTTCCGGTTGTCCCACATCGAGTCAGCCATCGTCTGAGTCAGCGTGAGTGTGATTCTTAAGAGCCTCGCAGCTCGGAACTAGTAGGTAATTACTAGAATTGTACTAACAAGTAGAATGACGCTCTACGTCATTGCCGAATCATCAGCATCCCTACAATGCTAATTGCTAGACGGGCTGTGTCACATCTCATGGAATGGGTGCGTAAATTTTCCAATAATCATAGTAGGTTACACAAAAGAACGGATTCAATAAAGCTTCCACAAAAGGCTCGGGGCTTCCAAGAACAATGTAAACAAAACAAACCAGCGCCAGACATGCCCAGAACGCCTCGATGTGCTTTCGGGAAGAGGAATTTTTGAATCATGAACAATTCTCGAAGTTTACCCATCCCATGCTCCTAATCTATCACTTGCGCTCAACGCATGCCTGCTTTACTTTGGGGGCATTCAGATATGTCCGGTTTCCATAGCTGTCGAGCTTCCAGCGGCCATGATTATTCGGGTTGACAACAAAGTCGATGGGTACTTCGGGTTCCATGAACACGATCGTGTTCTTGTTTGCGGTTTTCTCGGGAGCCGAGACAGTTGAGACGAATTTTGAATCCCAGTGGTTGTTTTGAAGGTTGGAAACGGTCGAGGTTGGTGCTTGGGATGCAAATTGAGAAAATGCATTGGTAGCAGGGTATCCGTTGGATGCATAAAAAGATGCAGCTGAAAGTTTCGGTGGTGCAGGTTGAGCAGGATTGAAATGTATTTCTTGTGGTGGATATTGATGAGATGCAGTGCGAAATTTCTGCAATGCAGGTTGAGGAAGGGCGGCAGGTGGTTCCCATACCGGGGTAATGTAAGGGTGATTGACAGCAGGCCCTTGGATCTGAGTCCTGGGGGGAATGGGCCCATGGCAAGTAGAGGGTGGAACTGCTGGAACAATTAAAGCAAGGTCATTGTCGCTCGAATGAATGCGGATATAGTCTTGGCTTCCCTCGCTGGTGAGATGAAGAAGTTCCTCTCCGTGGACGCTGGTGCAAGTGCTGTTTTTCTCGCTATTGGTATATGCTTGGGGATCGTGTTCCGCGGTCGCCGCTGTAGTCACTGATCCCTCAGTCAGGGATGTGTGCCCAGAACTCGCCGACTGTGGGCTGGCATCCTCTGGATCGGACGGTGCATGGATGCTGGCAAGGTTGCCTGGGTTGAAAGTCACGAGCTCGCTCGGCTGCGAGTCCAAAGCCACCGTATATTTTCGGAGGGCGGACTCAAACTGATAATCGTCATGATGAATACCCTTGTTGGAGTTTCCCGGTCCATCTCCCCAATTCAGCAACGTTCGCAAAGAATCAGATGTCACATCGTCGAGGCTCGGGTCGAACAAGTATATGTCATTCGTCATGTCCATGTTGCTATCCCTTTTCCCCCAAGAATCGTCTAAAGAGCCGCCACCCATGACTTTTTCTTATTGCAGAGCGAGTGTGTAGCGAGATGGGATGTCGAGAGTATAGCGAAAAGAGTGGTATCAAAATAAAGGAATGCTTAGCGAATATAAGCAAGAGGCTATTGGTAAGAGTATGGGCAGAGAATGTGTGAAGGGAGGAAGAAACAGCAGAGAGCATGCCGAAGGCGAAATACAACGGACGATGCAGTGAAGACATCGCCGTTCCGAAGACGGAAGGATACCTGAGACCATAATAAGGTCGGAAGCAAGAGCAAGAGCTCAAACCTTATAAGCCGGTCAGGGCGTATCAATAACCGTGGCTCCGACATACTCCCAGCAGATCGCCTGCCTGCCGTTCAACGTGGACGATTCACGATCGTTCGCACCTGCCGCAGCAGGCTGTAACATGTCTGGAGAAACAACGAGACTGAATCCATCCCTTCCTTCTACAACTTGCTTGTCAAGAGCTGATGAAGAAAGAATAAACCAGGCCGAGGGAGACATCGGTTTTGCTGTGTAAGATCTGCCGCCGCCCGTTTAGGGCAAGGTTAGCCTTTAGCCAAGAAATCACGGATATGCCCTGGATCCGCGGATGCGAAAGTCGACTCACAGTAGACTCAGGAAAAGTTGCATGGTCCAAGTGGAAGAAATCAGACCATGCCATTTCAGGCAGATCAGATCGGTGGTCACCTTATCTGTGAAGTCCGGTACACTGTAGCGGCTCAGGTACGCGTCGATCTCGTTCCCAGCAGACACACAGGCGGACCCTAGCTGGACCATGGCAATCCACTCGGAAAGAGCACCGCATCGATCTTGCAAGTCTGTCTCTGACATATCACTCGATACCATATCTTGAAGGGTAGGTGTATGGATGGCCTCGAGTTTAGTTCGGAGCGGGGACGATTCAAGTACTTGCGGTTGTAATTTCATAATAGGCTTAGCATCTGTTTCCGTCATTAGTTTCTTGTTTGGTTTGATGGTGGGGATGATTAATCTAACCATTTGGCTGACTGGTTGGGTCTAAGTCGCAAAACAACCAAGCCCTTGATTGATTCAGGACACGCTTGAACGCCGACACGATACGTTCGAATCCCTTTTTACCGTGGAGCATTGATGGCAGTCGCAAGTTCAATTCGACCACTATTGACTCTGTTAATTTGACTCACTCTATGGGTGGAATTCGGTGCAAGGGACGTACAAAATCGTTCCTTTACGTGTTTCCTGCCACCGCCGCAGATGGGTTTGCCGTTCAGTCCTGTGCGCTCATAGATATCTTTGCCCATCTCAATCTTGCAGATACCTTATTATTAAATGCAACGTCAATATGACATTCATTCGGCGGGAGGAAAACTAAGGATTGGAAACACTAACCATCTCGCAGCGTGAACACTGTATCTGACCCTGACTGGCCTTCTGATATCATGATTACATTTCCTGACAAGCAAGTCAGCTTTTTCGTTCAGGCTAAGCCCTGTGATCATGAGCAAAGATCATCTGTGCCTCAAGCGTTTTACCCAACACCAGGCGTTGGGCATGTCAAGGAACATACCGGTTTTGATGTATGCATTGAAGAAGTCGTGCTCCAGCAGGTCAGATGGGTACATGAAGACTCGAGCATATCGAGGATTTTCCGGTTTGTGACCTAGGGAGTCCTGAATCTCGATGTACACTTTCTCTGGGAGAATGATCTCGATCTATTCCAATGTTGTCAGTCTGACTTAAAGAAGCCGGAAACCTTTGAGATTTTTCCAGGTACTACTGAACGACTTACCGTGTGTGCCAGTGGATGATTCACGATGGCAGAGAAGGGCGATTTCCTGCAGGGGATTTGCTTCGGATCCACGAATGTAGGAAGCTGGGCGACCGTGGTGAAGCACTTTTCGCGCTCGGACGCGCTGTCCTCGAAGTCAAACATGATATGGGGCCAGTGACTGCAATCGTACGGCGTGAGATGGGGACTGTCGTAATTTGCTCTGGCCGACGGAATTTGCGGAGGGCTTGGCGCGCTGAAATTTGGAGGTCCGCAAGCTGGGAATGCTTATCGATAGGCTTGCAATCACGAGGATCGGCAGCCTACCGGAGAATGTGACCTCACTCATATGGTCTGATGGCACGGTCAGTGTAGTGGAAATGAACAAGGGAACATTGAATACTAGATAATTTTGAGTGCTTGCGAGATTTTCCAGCTTGCTAGATTGGGTCGTTCAGTCCCGTGCGTACGGCTCAAAACCAAGAAAGATACATCTGGAAGGGTGGGGCCAGAATGAAATCAGTTGGGCAGTGCATTGTAATGACGATATTTTCAAACCGTTTTCTACAGTGAATGAAACATGAAAGTGGAGAATATTTATTATATTGCAAAGAAGGGGTGATATTATTCATCATCATCATCATTAATTCGTCCAATTCGCGACTGGCCACCTCATTGAAGAGTAGTCTCCGACGTCATGGTTGCCTTTGGCATGATGCATGCAAGGCTGGAAACGGGACGTCTTGGAACAACAAAAGTCACGAGGGTGTACATTTCTCATGGACACAGTCGCAGTAGGTGTACATTGGGCTGGGTTTCCATCGAGTTCGGCAACTTCGACAAGGTATGCACACACTCCGGGCAGTCACCGGAAGGCGATCCAGTGGAGGCTTTTTCCCCCTCATTATGATGGTAAACTCTGAGGTAGGCTACCGCGGGGAGTTCTAGAGCCGCAACGCTCAAGGTGGAAGGCTATATGCATCTGGTAATGACACATGTTCGGCATAAACACGCACCAGGCCTATGAGATTCCCCATTCACGGCTGACGCCAATTCTCCCAGCCAGCTCCACTGCCATTGTTTTCCAGGATTTGGGCCCATTGAGTCTCGCTAAGTGAGTTGACATTCAGATCGCCCAAGTCAACATTGGCTAGACTGGAGCTTGGCGTCGACATATCCCATCCAGGGCGCATGGAAAACTCATTGCTGTTGCCATAATCAAGGGGTCCACTGGACCTATTGGTGTTGGAAAACATCTGCCCGGCAAAAGAGTTCATGTCGGGGATCAGTGGAGACTCAGTACTTTCAGGAGAGATGTGGACTGAGCGGACCTTGTCGAAGGACGTAGTGGATGTTTGACTATGTTGAGTGGAAGCGGTGCTTTGCTGTTTGTTTTCAGGTGATGGATTATCCACACCCGTCATGGAATACGATGTATTGGAAGAAGAGTTCAGAGTCGAAGGTGTCGGGTGATCGGAGGGAGGATTCCGTTCACCAAGCCCGCTAAAGTCGGGGGAAAAGTCCATATCGATATCCACGATGCCGCCTTGGCCAGCATTGTTAGGATTGACACCTGAATCGGGCATGCCATGTGGGAAGAAATGAGGTGCGTTGCTGCCAGGTGCTCCAGAATTGGAGCCAGGAAGACTGGAATCTCGATAGCGACTGGGCAGTGTTGTTGTTCTGCCATGCGGAAAGGTTTGAGATGGGCCGTCAGTATTCGCATTTCCTTGCGTTGTTTCATTAAAAGACTGTGTCTGGCGGAGACTGTATATGGAACTGCCTTCGATATTATCCGGACAGCACGTATTCTGAAAAAGAACCTGCTGTCAGCTTTCGCACCGGATGAGATATGCAAAACAACCATTAAGAAACTCACCATCACTTGGGCGACATAGGTGGAATTGGTTTTTGTGCTGTCCATCGATTTGATTCCGGTGCCCTCTAGATCGACATCCAGCTGAACGAGGAATGATTCGGTCAAGGGGTTTTTGTTCTTCATCGCATTGAGTGCGGACACGACAAATTGCAGCGATGAGTGGACTGTTGAATCATCAGGTCTTGATTTCAAGTACTGCACAAACACTCTTGCCGAGATGTAAAGACAGAATGACATAAATGGATTCAGCTGTGTATTATTAGCTCAATGTTCTGCGGTGCCGGGCCATAATCAAAGACCAAACATAAACATACAGTTGTTAGGTCGATGTGGCTGACCATCTTCATGATGCTCGATATCTGATTTGCTGCAACAAGACACCGCCGTTTGCTTTCAGTAACAATCTGATTCGGCATTTTGTTCTTCTCGGCCTTGAAGATTGCAGCCTGATGAAGACAAATGGTAGATGTGTGAATGCTCATATTAGAAAATATGACATTTACATCGTCCATCCCACCGGGAAGACGAAGGTGGTCAGGCAATGAAAGTGCAATGTGGAGGAGAATATTGTCGTGGCTCCGATGCCGTTTCCAAAACTCTCCATTGAGATCATAGTCGTTGTCTTGGGGTTGGGGTCGGTGAATATGGTTGAGATTGCGGCCGAAAAGGTTGGCCAAAACGCAGACACAAGCGAAAGGTGACAAAGTCGAGACACCTTCGCCAGCAATGATGTCAGACAGACGGAGAGTCCGCTGTGGCTTGCTTTTCAAGAAAGATTCCTCGGAAGCGGGAAGGTTCGTCATGATCTAGCTATGGTCAGCACCTGGAACCAAAACATGATATACTTAGCACTTCGAGAGCAACTGACATCATTTTCATCAATTACCATCGGCCAACCAGTTCCGATACTGGCATACCGATCGGTGCAAAATGCCATCCAGAATGTTCGCCGCCGCTCTTCACGCTCTGTCCAGTCTTTTGGTGGAAACATAGATTGCTTGACATCAAGACCAACACCATCCAGTCGATTGAATCCCATCATGAGCGCCAGTCTTGTCGCCTTTCCAACACTCAGCCATGCTCGCGGAAAGTAGATCATGCGAAATTCATAAGTGCCGATGAGAATCCAAGTCTGGCAGTGAGAAAGACTGATGATACTCTCTCCAAACCCCTTCATCTCATCCAGTTCCGCGTATTTGCGAGCGCGATGGTAGAAATGACTGTGCAGACCATAGTACTTGTCACTGACAGATGCTGCATGGCACCAGATCATATACCGAAGGCAGATAGGCGGTCGCATATGAGGAGCCAGATTTAGGTTGGTGAAGTATCGCGGGCGGTGGATAAGTGGAAGCATAGGATAGATCTTTTCAAAAAATATACTCTCCCTAAAGGTCATTATGTGAGCATTCTTGTCCCATATGAGTTGCAGGGTTGACTCACAATTCGGCAATGACATCCAGGCTAGGGAGTGGCTCTTCCAACCCCAAACTGATCATGTCCCATTGCGGATCATTAGGAATACCGGGCGCTGTGCCGAAGAGGATTTGATTTGTCTGCGAGTCGCCCATTCCATTTGTAGATGGAGGTATTGTGTTTCCTAGGTCGGCTTCAAGGCCTGAGATCTCAGGCAATGCGAGAACGGAATCGTCTGGAAGGGATGCCGTAAACGCATTCTCCGGCGGGTGAGGCGAGGTTTGGTGAACGGTATCGGAATCTTGACCTTTGAGAAGTGTCTCTACCTGGGCTAATTCAGGGACTCATTAGCGCCATAATTCTTAAAGCATGGGCGAACAGGACAGCGGCAAACCTAATCGCGCCTCCAACTGCTTCACGTAGCCCCGCTTGGGACCGCTCTTTTTGCGCACCTCATCATATGCGCATTCATGACCTAGACGCGAGCAAGTCCCACAGCTTGGCCTCTTGCCGTCGCACCGGAGCTTCCTCCGTCGGCAGACCACACACGCTATGCGCTTCGGACGTGGTAGGTAGTTTCTCTCTCCTGCGGAAACGCCCTCTGCGGAAAAGCCAGCATCCGCGGTTGCATGGTCTGTTCTGGATGGCTCGGGGCCCGATGGGTGTTGCGACGAGCCTTGCGATAATGCGGAGGGGTGGAAATTGTCCATGGCGGGCGCGATCGCCAGTTGGCGATCTTGGGAGTTGGGATGAAGATGCGGGTTTGAGACCGATAGCGAAGTTGACACCGCTTATCAAGAAAGACCACTCTCAGGAAACGGACCCCTGCAGAGAAAAGAGTGCTTAATTACTGAGGTATCGACCGCGGCTGGGTCATTCTTCGATGGGTTGGGGGTCGGCGGGTATAAGCAAGGAGCAAAAAGTTTGGGATGCAGATGACGGGGTTTCGTATCAGACCACGGGCCAAGCTTGGCCGCAACGGGGTGGTCTCGACCCCAACTTATCGAAAGGCTATCCAAACTTCGACGGGCTTCCAATGGTGACTATAGAGATTTGAGCGTCCCGGAACAATGGTAGGTACGGCGGGCACATGGCGATCGGCGCCTGAACGTGTATACGTACGTCGACGCTGCCTGGGGGGCCTTGGCGCATCACCAGCGAAGGGGCCTAGCGCGACCACATCTCGTATCGCATGGGACGATTGCACAATTGTCACCGAAATATTGTCACTGGAACTCCTGGAAAGGTGCCCTAAGTTGATTCTACAGTGGTTATTGCGTCGATTAAAGGATGGCATACCATAGAAGGTAGATCTATTTGCTTCACTTCATGCGCGTGGCCGTAGGCCGTCATACTATACAGTGCCCCCGTTGCCTGAGCTCCAACCAACGATAGAAACAAGATTCTTAACAGTACAACGCATCAAAGAATCCACCGGGGGTGCAAGGAATATGAAGGCGAGATATCGTACAGAAACCCCCTGTATGATGGGGATGAGGTATAAAAGAAAGAAGAGCACTGGACTGGGTTGGGAGCCCCAAAAGAGACTGCGTCTAGTTGTATCCACGACGACGTTGACCTTGGTTGCGGGGTCGAGGGTGCACCACGGCCTTGTTGATCTTCCACTTGGGGCGAGTCTTGTAGCCAGATTTGGTCTGCAGGGGAGAACGGATAGTTAGCACCTGGGTAGGCGAAAGGAAGAAGGAAAAGTAAGTGACAAAGCAACAAAACATACCGGAATGCCCCAAGGACTCTTCGGGTCGACGTTACCCTTGGACTTGCCACGACCACCACCGTGAGGGTGGTCCATTGCGTTCATAGCCAGACCACGAACAGTAGGGCGGATGTTCAGCCAGCGTGATCGACCGGCCTTACCCAGCTGGGTGTACTGATAGTTGGGGTTACTGGCAATGCCAATGGTGGCACAGCAATCCTTGTGGATGAGACGGCTTTCACCACTGGAGAGGCGGACGGTAATATGCTGCGCCTGACGCTCTTGCTTTTGCCGCTCACGCAAAGTCATAGGCTTCTTCTCCGTCTCAGCCTGCTCTGCGGGTTCGGCTTCAAGGTCTTTCTGCCGCGAGTCGCTGCCCTTGGCCACAACAGTGGCATAGGTACCCGCACTGCGGCAAAGCTGGCCACCCTTTCCGGGGCGCAATCCAACATTGAAGATAGAAGTTCCCACCGGAATCATATGCAGGGGAAGGCAGTTTCCTCTCCATGCAGTTCTGGCTGCCAACACACCGGGATCGACTGTTCCGCCCATGCTCTTCCACAAATCTTCCGGGATTCCGGACATGTAGCTCTGCACGGTTTCGCCTGCTCGCATACCGTCCGGAGCAAGAATATAGCTCAGTTGCTTGTTTTCTTTACTGCGGACGAGAGCGATGTGCGCACTCCGTCCAGGGTCGTATTCAATGCGCTCCACAGTATGAGGGCCAGGGGCCATTCGTAGAAAGTCCACTGTGCGTATCCGACGCTTCGCACCACCTCCGTGGTGGCGAACGGTGACTCGGCCACTGTTGTTACGACCACCCTTGGCATGGCCACGCTTCGGGAAGGTTAAGCGGTGGACAGGGCGACCTTTGTACAGATGGTCGTTGACAGGACGACGCAAGTGACGGATACCGGGGGTGCGAGGGGTATATGTGCGAAGCCTGACACCAACTTCATCTCGTGGCGGAGGAGGAGCGAAGGTGATACTGGAATCGGGAGTTGAGGTCGAGGGTTTAGCGGAGGATGTGTCAACGGATGCGAACCGACGAGCTGGGAGAGTAGGCAAGCACCTGAAGGGCAGCCGAATGCTCTGCAGAGCAAGCCGGGGCTGAAGCATCATGGCGCGAGGAAGCCCGACTGATGGAAACGCAGCAATGGCAGCGAGATGAATGAAGAGACTCTGACGAAGAAACCGGGCCGACTGACTGCCTCCTCCGCTGCCGTCTCACAAAAAGTTCTGGGTCTCACGTGACTGTGTACAAAGCACGGCCATGGGATTCCGCCACAGAGGAAATATGTGTGGCTCGTGTATTTGACACCTGAGGCATAAAACTCTGGTTGCCCGGCAACGGGTTGTTTTGGCACCGCGCTTCACGTTTCGGCCGCGCCCTCTCGCGTATCCACCGTTACGCTCAATACCGCCCCTGCCACCCCGTCAACTCCCCTTCATTGCTGGATCGACTCTTCCATCTGGACCGGCACGAAAATTCCATTGACCTATTCTGGTCCCCATCTTCGGTTCTTTGATTCATCTTAGAATTAGAAAAAGCATCGCTACGTTTCATCACCAAAAACGAGGGTACACGGAGCTCCGCGACTCGCAGAGTGGGGCGTCAGTCATTTTGACCGGTTTTCCACGCTAACACAGTAGGGCCCAAACATCGCTTGGCCCTCTCGAGTTCTTCCTTTTCCCTCATCATCATTCCACTTCAAGATACCCAACCCTCCCCTCCCATCTCCATTTATCTCCGACGAATCCTACCAGCAGGATTCCACGTGTCAGCCAAATACCTTGACGCCCTGCAATCCCGGATCTCGACGCGTTTTCCGTTCGAAGCGACCAGGATTCACACGAGTTTACTCAACATCGATATCATCTTGTATTCGGCGTGTTTCGCAACTCCACACATTCAACACCGTCCCAGCTGCTACATCTGCCATCCGGCAACTGTAGTTTCGTTACTGTGACTGCATTTCACGCGTGGTATGTGCACCCCAACCTCAACCCTCTGGCATTTGATCTCCACTGAGGTAATGTCCAACGGAATGCTGACCTGAGCCGGACAGGACGAGGCGAATTACCTCCGAGCCTCCCTCCCTTTTCTTCCGACGCGTCCCTCTCTTCTTGCCTCTCTTGAGTCTAGCACGATGCCTTTGGTAAGCTGAACTGGCTCCCGACAGCTTCTGTTTTCTATCGCAAATCACGTTCTTTGTCAAAGACCCAGACGCGTGCATTGATTTCTTTACATTGAAAAGCTAACTGTGTATCAGACCCGTCGTACCCGAGGCGCGATGAATGAGAACGACGAGAACGTTCCCGCTGCGCGCATGACGCGGGCTAAGGCCGCGCTCGGCGCAGATGGTGCTGTCGACGGGGCCAAGAAGCCCATGCCCGTCAAGCGCGCCACTGTCAGCAGCCGAACTCAACGTGCTGCTCTGGGCGATGTTAGCAATGTCAAGGTCGACGCCGCCGACATTAAGGACAGCAAGAAGGGTGCCGGTGGCAAGGTCACTGCTCTGACCGATGTAAGCAACGTGAAGGTCGACGCCGCCGACATCAAGGACGCCAAGAAGGGTGCCACTAGCAAGATCACTTCGAAGACCACCCAGGGCGGTGCTATCCAGAAGATCGGTCGGAACAGTTCTACACGCACGAACCCCAATCCTCGCCGACCCCCCGTCACGAAGAAGCCCACCCCTCCCGAGGCGAAGCGTCCAGGAAGTGGCTTAGGTGGTGGTGTGAGCAGCAAGCGTCCTTCCAACAAGCCAGAGTCGATCGAAGCCGAAGAGCCCCCTCACAAGAAGATCCAGACCCACAAGGAACAGAAGGAGCGTACTCTGCCACAGGAGGTCATTAACGATGCTGTTGAGACGAATGACAAGGTCATGGACCTGGACACTGAGGACTTGGACGATCCCCTGATGGCGGCCGAATATGTTGTCGAGATCTTTGACTATCTGAAGGACCTGGAAGTCGCCACACTGCCCAACCCCGAGTACATCGACCACCAGCCGGACTTGGAGTGGAAGATGCGTGGCATTCTGGTCGACTGGCTGATTGAGGTCCACACCCGTTTCCGTCTTCTTCCCGAGACTCTCTTCCTGGCTGTCAACATTATCGACCGCTTCCTGTCCGCCGAGGTTGTCGCACTGGATCGTCTGCAGCTTGTTGGAGTCACCGCGATGTTCATTGCCTCCAAGTACGAGGAAGTGCTCTCTCCCCACGTTGCCAACTTCAGCCATGTCGCCGACGAAACCTTCTCGGACAAGGAAATCCTCGACGCTGAGCGCCACGTCCTCGCTACTCTCGAGTACAACATGAGCTTCCCTAATCCGATGAACTTTTTGCGTCGTATCTCCAAGGCCGACAACTACGACATCCAGACTCGCACCTTGGGCAAGTATCTCATGGAGATCAGCCTTCTCGACCACCGCTTCATGGGCTTCCCTCAGAGCCAAATTGCCGCTGCCTCTATGTATCTTGCCCGTCTCATTCTTGAGCGCGGACCTTGGGTAAGCTAGCAGTCTCCTTGATGGAGGCTTTTTGATTACTAACGATATCTTAAGGATGCCACTCTTGCCCACTATGCCGGATACACTGAAGCTGAGATCGACCCTGTCTTCCGACTCATGATTGATTACCTTCACCGTCCTGTCTCTCACGAGGCCTTCTTCAAGAAGTACGCCAGCAAGAAGTTCTTGAAAGGTATGTCTATTGCTGTTTTTGTAGCCAAGTTTCTCTCTGACTGACTTTCAATCCAGCCTCGATCTTGACTCGCCAATGGGCCAAGAAGTACCACCACATGTACATCGACAGCTCTCTCTCCGAGCCGTACACTTACATCAAGGACACCGAACAGTAATTATGCCATTGATGATGTTATGCTAGCCCTGTGTCGGCCTGTGTCCGCGTCCTTCATCACGATCCCAAGGCTGTCGCGACTCACCGACCAGGCAATCTCCAATTTCCGCATCTGTTGGCATTTCATTGTGCTGGTATCGAATACCTCTTGCATATTCTTAACGATGACTTGATTGAATTTGTGCGCGCTTCGGCATTTTTTCTTCTCTGACGGGGGTGTTCGGCGCTCTAGCCTTCTGGTTCTGCTCGGGTTGTTTTCTGCATGGGGTGCCTTTTTTCTTGCCTACCCCTGATACCTTTCGATTCTTATTCGGGTCGCGTGACTGGCGTCGGATTCTACTTTTTCCCCTACTATTTTTTTTCCAGATCGGAATCCTGTCTTATTCCACCCATGAATTCATCATTTGTTTGTTTCACATGCCCCCTTGCGGCTACCTTTGGCATGATGACTTTATTTGTCATATTCCTCAGGTTCTTCCATATGCATGGAACCACCTAGGGAACAAAAGGACCTGCAAGGCCGCGATGATTGTTATTTTGGTTTCCCAGGGAGTTTCGTGATAACCGTGGTATACAGTTTTCTTTCTTGATTCTGTTTATCAAACGGTTTGGTTGGTTGGGGTAATGTGCATCGGGATGCTTCGGTCTGGGTCTTGTTAGATTAGCTGATTTCTGGGCTGGGTGCCCCAGCGAGATTCCCGGTTGCAATTCTGATCTTCATCAACTCCTTTCTCCCCATAATTCCGTAGAATTCGTAGTATCCGCCTCTCCTTGAATGGCACACGCCGAATCATCGCTTTTTACGCCAGATTGGCTGCGAAAAACTGTAGCCGAGGTTCCCCTTTCTCGCATCAACCGCGACCGAGTTCTAGCCTGTCCCGCATTTCCTCTCACCCAGATCGACTCGGACCTTTGCGGCTTACTCTCCCACGGTCTGTCTGCTAGCTGCACCACGCTTTTGTCCTTCCTTTTTCTGTTCCTAATAGTCGCATCATACTGAAAACGCCACCAACCCGCTCGCCCTCGGTCTTCCACCTCTGAATATACCAGTGAAGACACCCCCCGCCAAAAGCCCATCCTTTCATGCTATCATAAAGGCTGTTGTCACGCTATGTCAATATCCTGCGCTTTCTGCAACATCGCCACGACAAATCCGCCCATCCCTTCCAAAGTGCCCGAAATAAAACCAAATGCTTCAGAATCAAGTCCCCACCAAACAGCTCACATTATACTGTCCACTGACCATGTTCTCGCCTTTTTGGACATAATGCCCCTCACTCGCGGCCATGTCCTTGTGGCGCCCAGGAAACATTTTGAGACATTGGGAGATATGGGCGTCACGGCTGGGCAGGAAGTATGTATCGAGCTCCAGCATAGTCATCCCCCCATTGCCTATTCGCATCAAATATACTTCTGTGTCCTCCCCAGGCTAAATCCTAGTTTCTAGATGGGCAAATGGCTTCCGATTCTTTCCAGGGTTGTGACAAAGACTGTGTTCGGCGACGACACAGATAGGCACTGGAATGTTGTACAAAATAATGGTATGTGCCTGGGTCCTGAGTCCATCGTTTAATTCCTTTTCTTTGGCTTCTCAAGGCTTGCAAAAGTAAAATCTCTATCTTTGGAATCGCTATGGGTTTACTGGCCATACAAGGCGCCCTTGGCATACTCAGATGTGGAGGCTCTTATGCAGCCAGCGTGGATTTTCTTCGTATCTTCAAATCCTAAGATAGACGCAATATTAACATTGAAAAACAGGTGCCCGAGCCGCGCAACAAGTCCCCCATGTCCATTTCCATATCATCCCTCGCCCTGCTACAGATGGACCTCAACGGCCAAGCTTTGCCATGTTCGGTCGGGGGCAGCGGGACGAGCTCGACGATGAAGAGGGAGAAAGATTGGCTCATGCCATGAGGGTCGAGTTAGCACAGGAAGTCAGTCGTCTTGGACTGGATGAAGGCGTGGACCTTGGCCAGAACTCTGCGTTGGGCTCGAAAGGGCGGGGGAAACTCTGAAACAATGACTTCGGCCCTTGTATCTGAAATTTGTGCTGCAGATTTTGTCTCAGGAACTCCACTGGTGTCTCGATGGCTAGTCCAACGTATCGACACCATTCAATGAACATGTACTTGCGATGTATGTGAACCGCCATGGTCGCTTTCATTGCGCTAATTCGACATTTTCTGGCTTTGGACCATTTCGGGTGAAATACTGTAGAAATTGTGAGCTCCTCTGACGTTTCAGCTCATGACTTCAAGATTGCAGATTTACCTTGCGACGGAATGAGTTGAGTTCATCTGCACAAATACCACGGGCGTCGGTTTTGTCTCTTCCTTGTGTAGTATCAGATAATTCCCCCTCGGGGAGACGTCGGTAGGTCATCAGTCGACGAGACCCTGGAATTTAATGTCAGTCACCCAAATGTAAAGCAACCCTAGCGTGGTAGTTCTCACAGGCTTGAAAGTATTGGACAGACACGCTAATAACCTCTAGATTCGGATGCATAGGAACCGGGAATTCGATAGCCTCGTCGTTCGATGTGGGCATCCACATTGCGAGGCGACCGTTAGGAACGAGATTACGAGCTGCAAACTCGAGAACATCTTTTTGCAGTGCCTCGAATCCATATGGCTTTTTAGGTGGAACATAGCCAGGTCGACTGAGCAAGATCGTTAGTCTTAAGGTACTTCACAAATGTTTGAAGTGAAAGAGGGAACTCACGTGTGAGCAAGAACTCCGTCGATGATTCGCGGTTCCTTGAGGACCCCGTCTCGTGTTCCCAAAACGCGAAGACCCTCTCGTACACCGTACGGGGGGTCGCAAGTAATTCCATCCAGGAGCTGGCAGTTCCTTAAAGGTGTATTGGTGAGATCCGAGCTGAAAAGATCCATCATTTTGCTTTCCAGGTCATATTGCTTGAAGTTGCGCATGAGAGCCACTTCGCCTTTCTCGCGTTCCGAGTCTTTTCCCCGAAAGCTGCGCGGATCAATGTCCGAACCAAGAGTCAAGGCTCCAAAGTGTGCGGCAGCCACCAAGAAGCTCCCGGTACCGACAAATGGATCGTAAAAGACCTTGCCTGGAGCTGCGAGCGCCATGTTCGCCGTCACCAAGCTTAGTTCTGCGTCCATCGATGTCGTGCTGATGTACCGGCGTTTCTTCAGGTCATGTTTGACAATGATATCCCGATTACTATTGGCGATCAAACGGCCCATGAAGATCTTCCGTGGATCTGACACTTTCGGTGTGCCCAAGATACTTGCTTCCGGGTCCGAGACGTATTCCTCCATCACATAAAATTGCTCATCGGGATTCCTCAAGCGAATGGGCCCTTCAAGACCCATGTATGCAAATGATTTGATGATTTCTGACTTCTTGCTCTGGCTTCTCTTCCCTGCAAACGTATCTACCGCGAACGCAAAGGATTTCTCGCGGTAATATGTCCAGCGATGCTGTGTCCGTTGGTGAACCTGGGCGTGCAGTCCTTCATAGTTTGTGCCTTGGCCCCATAGCTCGGAAATATCTTTAGCAAGGATACTTCGCGTGATAATCGCGCGTGCTGCTGCTTCGTCTTGCAACTTTACAATGCAATATGGTGACTGGTGGGCTTTTGTTAGCTATTGGCTCTAGGGAATTAAATGACAGTAGCACGGGCGCGAAAAAAAATAAGCACCCTTGGAATGCGAGTCTTAGAAGAATCTGATTATCCAGGTGGTAATCGGAATCGAGAAGTCAAATGAGGTGCAATCTGAGGCTGGTCACATACGTAGTCATCATAAGAAACAATTTCGAGGTCGACGCCAGCAAGCGTCGCAAGGGCCTGGATTTCTGGCTGCCGAAATGTCTCGTGGACCTGGGCGAACCGGATCAGGTACTCCATACTGAAAGAGTTGGCCGATCCTGTTGTACCCTTGCTAGATGTGCGCGGGAACTCGACTCACGGGGCCAATTCGTGAATTGATCGGGTGGGGTGTCGCTGCGGGATCGAGTTTTTTGAGGGGGAAACCAACGGAATTTTGGGTCTCCGCGCCTTTGCAACCGCGAGTCCCGCAGCCATACAACGGGGACGGCCGAGCTGTGCATTCATTTTATTCGCAAGGGAAAATGGACAAAATTCTTACATGGTATTGAGGATAGTGTCAGCGCAGGTCCATACACTTAGGCTTTATTATGCGACACAATATCATGTTCCGCCAGGGCATCATGTATCATATGATCTTCATACAGCAACGCTCTGCGCCGATGCATGATCTCCATCTCCGCCCCGGGGTGCATGACACCTCAAAGGGCATCTGTTACGAATGTACACTAGCGTATAATATCTAAAAATCATCAAAATCAAGCCCCCAAAGAGCCGCCATAAATTAACTGGCCATATCTGGAGGGATTCAAAGAGTAGCTAAATCTATCAAGGAAAAGTGCCATAAACAGGAAACCGCAAAGACTGAGAAAACCATCCCTTCAATTCAAGAGAATGAGGGAATCCACGAAGACGCCATCCTTCACGCAGAAGCCATTCCCGTAACTCCGACGCTATGCGCCAACCACCTGAAACACATGTCGTGACTCATATCCCTCTGTGGGAGTAATGTCTACCTTCTCATCAGCGGGTATCATGTCGTGCTGTAAATCCCAGCCGGCCCGACGGCAGAGTTCTGATACAACCACGTCGCAATCACCCAACAGATCAATATCGAAGCTGGTGTGTGACACAGGCTGCGAATGTAGATTAGTAAAAGCTAACAAATTTCGCACCCCTCTTGGCTTGAGAACATACTGTGCGTGAGATATAGATCTGAGGAACATTGCGAGGTAGAACCCCCGGCACTTCGGCGACGGGGGCGACTTTGAGCGATGTTCCAATGACGATGACCAAATCCGCGAGATCTTTATCATGATGAATCAGTCGCTGGCCAAACTCATCAGGTAGGCCTTCACCAAAAAACGTGATATCGGGCTGGAAAGACAAGTTAGAATGGAAACAAAGGGCACAGTTTCTAGGATATGACAATGTGACAAACCTTCATCACACCAGGGGTCGGGATGTTGTAGTCATCTTCATCCGAGCTATCTTGGGAATCCTTTCTATCCTTCTGATATCCGTTTGAGCTTCGCTTCCGCTTCAGTCCCTGCGGCTTTAGGGCTTCGGCCTCGATACTCTGTCGACAAGCACTGCATTCGGGAATATTTCCTTCCTTGATATCACTAAAAATCGTATCCCCCGAGACCTTGAAGTGGCACTTGGTGCAGGTAGCAGTCGCAAAGGACCCATGGCACTGTACGATTTTCTCCGGCAAAACACCCGCATTGGCTTCAATGTTGTCGATGTTTTGGGTGTAGTTCGTCAGCAGCTTGCCCTTGTCCTGGAGGAGTTTGATAAATCCATGTGTCGGCGAGTATTTTTTTTCAGTGGGGAGAATGTCCTTCGCAATGGAGAAGAAGATGCTAGGGTCTTCTCGGAAGACGTTGATGTCAAAGACCTCCTGCGGATCACTGAGACCAAGATGCTCCAGCTTGGAATAAAGGCCAGTATCTTTTGATCGAAAGTCAGGGATCCCGAGGCTCGTCGAAATCTAGTCGGCAGAGGATTATTAGTGTCTGGACGTAAGACATGTATTGGGAAGTACTTACGCCCGCGCCTGTCAAGACGATAACGTTCTTCGACTCCCGCAGTAGCCGTACCGCATCGTCGACGGTGTTGTACTCGGGCAGCTTTGGTCGACGAGAAAATTCTCGGGAAATGGCGATCGCCAGGAGACCATGAAAGCATGCATCTGGAGCGCCCTCGAGAAATGCCGGGGGCATGATACCGAAAGCCGTGCATAGCTTTTTTGCTGTGACAGTCTCGCGCACGATGGTCTCTTCCACAAACTCAGCTTTGCCGATTGCATGGAGGCGTTGACGAAAAGCAATGGCTTCCTCAAGAGTACACGCGCCGGGAACTGTATAGGCGCATTGTAAGCTTGAGTTCAATGTGGATTCCGATAGCGGGGGTGTCCGGGGTAAAGGGGGCAAGTGAAATAGGATGGCCACGTACCAAGTCCATTCCGCAGCTGCTCATCGCGGAGAAGCTGGATCGTGTGCTCGGCCTCGTCGCCATTAGACAGAATTTCCCAACCGTCGGAGTCGTCGCTGTCCGTCTCGAGCTGGGGGGATGCCTCGTCCAGCGCGCCCGGCTCCGCGTTGACCGTCTCCGCGACGTCGACAGCCTCCACCTCGACCACAGGAGCCTTCACCGGAGTCTCCCCACTCGGTGCTGTTACAAGGTCCATCCTGCAGGAGTTTTGACGGCCACAACGTCTCGTTCGCGCAGAGAACGTCGACAAAAAAATCGGCATATATGAACACGGGGGCAACTTTATCCGGCGCCGAGGTAAGTGGCGAAGGGCAGGCGCAACCGTGGAACTCGCCCGACGGGCTTTGCCGGCCAGGCTCAAAGAGTGAAAGAAGTATGGAGATGTAATAATTTTGTGGTATCAACAAAGCGCGAGGAAGGGGGACATAAAAAGTGACAGGGAAATAAAAGAAAAGGTACATGCAGCAGGGCGTCGTGAGTTTTGGTATTCTTTATCTGGCTTTGCGCATTCTGTCTACGAATCGGCCATCTCGTGATCATCATCGGAGACCGCCTCGATCTCCTCATCCTCCCAGTCCTCACCCTCTCCTTCCGCCTCGCTGTCCTCATCCAGGTCTTCACCGATCTCTTGGTTCATTCCCTGGACCAACTCTAAGGCGTGATCCCGGAGTCGCTCGTCCTCGTATTCGAGTAGTCCGTAAAGCTTCAGGCTCTGCTTCAGCCATTCCCGACTGGCCACCAGCGATGCGTGTCGAGGCGATTCACTGGGATCCTCCTCCGTCGCATCCTTCGGCGCCTGTTGCTTCTCCGCCAGCAGATATAGACACCAGCCTCCGAGGTACCACGCTTCCACGCTCTGGTCGTCCTCCAAGATCAATCGCTCCAGGACCTCCAGAGCTTCAAATTCCAGTGATACTTCCATCAAGAGGCGGGCAAGACTGATACGCACGGCGAAATCGGGAATGCTCAGATCCTCTGGGGGGAGATCTTTCCACAAAGCCATACTTTTCTTCAGTGCTGCTTGAGCATCATCAGTGCGCAGCTGTGATATCCGAATTGATGCGAGAGTTTGCAATACCTCGGGGGCATCTGGTGTGACGGCAACAGCCTCCGTAATAAGAGATTCGCACCGAGCTTCTGCGTCTTCCTCCCAACTGGAATAGTAGGGAATTTGTTAGCGCAGACTGATTTGGAAGACGGGTTGAAACTTACGAAAGATCGGTCATATAGATCTCGGAAACAGCACAGAGCGCATTTGACAACTTAACCTTCTTTTCCTTGGCACTGTTGACATCTTCTGTACTTGTCTTCCCTTCCAGGGACTGGAGGATCTGTCTCAATGATGACACGCCCTTCTCAAACCACTGGACGCTGTCGGCACCGCCTTGCTCACTCAATTGAGCCAGCCACAGGAATTTCTCAGCACCTCCACCTTCGGATTCCGAGATGGAACCATTCGGATCCAGATCCACGGCACGGAGAAAGCATTTTCTCGCGGTATCGATATCGCCCAGCTCAACATTGATTTCTCCCAGTAGGTTCACGGCCGATAGCTGTGTAGACGCATCGTTCCCCGCTAGCTCCAGTGCCTGTTGTGCGGTGGGTAGCGCTTCATCCGCACGGCCAGTTTGAAGCAGGATCGTGGCCTGGTCGAGTAATGTAGAGGGGTTCTGAGCCATGCTGTGGTTCGAGACCGAACCGCCGGGGCCAAGGACGGATTTTTGGGAGGATTTGGAGGATTTCTTCGATTTCTTCTTTTGCGGTCTGGGCTTTCCCATGGCAGGTACCGAAGGTATATGACTGAAAAGCGAAATGACCGGATTGGCGTGCTGTAAATCAGATTGACGGGATCGATTGACGGGATCGCGGGGGATTGGAAGCAAAAAAAGTTGAAGCTCCGATCCCCAAAAATTGGGGCTGTTTGACGGGTTTGCATGTGGGACCGCAAGATTGACATCGCCCACGCTTGGGTTTGCGACGGCGATGCTATAAACTCTAAACAGATCTGCCTCTGAGCTCTGCACCGACAGAATACGATAACCGCTAGGGACCCTGCCGTCGTTACTGTCGCGCTTTCAATACGATAGTTCTTCTTTCTCCCTTGCCCAACCGTGACCATTCCATTCAGTACCCCTCCAATCCGCCGGCGGAGCCAACACCATGGGCCGCGAAGACCAGACGGAGGAGCGAGAGGTGCTCGACTCAATTTTCCCTGAGGAGATCACAGGTATGTCAGCCTCTTCCCCAAGGAAAGCCCCGGTGCGGAAAGACCTGCCATTGACATGAAACCCCGCTACTTAGACATATCCGACACTTCGTACCGAGTATCGATAGCTCTTGATGTTCCCGAGGTTGAAGGCGAGGATGCAGAGCAGCCAACTATCTTGCTAGAAGTATCATACCCGGAGGAGTACCCCGATGTTGCTCCAGAACTCAGCATTTCCTCCCCACCGAATGCCCCGAGGCACCCGCGGTTGGATGTTCAAGAGGATCGGGAGCGGCTTCTCGAGACCCTCCAGCCTACAATCGAAGAGAATATGGGCATGGCTATGGTTTTCACACTTGTGAGCGCATTGAAGGAGAATGCGGAAGAGCTTATGATTGAACGTGCGAACGCCGTTCAGGCCGAAAAGGACAGGGCAGCCGCAAAGGCCGAGGAGGAAGAGAACAAAAAGTTTCAGGGCACACCCGTCAACCGAGAGACCTTTTTGGAATGGCATACGAAGTTCCAAAAGGAGATACAGGAAGAGGAACAGCGACAAAAGGAGGAGAAGGAGGCGGAAGACAAGAAGAAAAAGTCTACAAAGGAGGAGAAGAAGCTCACCGGCCGACAGTTGTGGGAGCGTGGTTTGGCTGGCAAGGGCGACTATGACGAGGACGGTGAAGATGCTCTGCCAGCTGTGGACAAGCTCAAGGTTACTGCATAAATACATTCACATGGGTTGCCAGTCCCTCTTGAAAATACTACTACACTCGCGTGGCTTGGAACTTTGATCGTAATATAGCCCTTGAGAATTTGATGTCTTGCTTCCTACCTGCCAATTGAAAGGAGGACGATTTTGAAAGAAAGGCAGCGAAGTAATAATGGGTATCATTTTTGGTATTTTACATTGGCTACAAGAAAGCCATACTATTATACAATGGAATTTCATCAATCAATCTTGACCCGCAAGAGATTCCGCCGCCAACTGCCTCTGCTTCGCTTCTTTCTCTGCTAACGCACGCTCTTTGAGAACAACATCCCAAAGGTCCTGGGCCAAAGCCATGGTCTTATCGTCCGATTCTCGGATCTGTTGATTGACTTCATCCAATGAAGCTTGCACATCTTCACACCAGGTGCATGGCTCTTTGAATCTGGTCAAGCGATCCCAGGCGTCTTCGTCTTGGGCAAATAGAAGGTCTTCGGACAACCTGTCACGACGCAATATACGCTTCCAGCGCTTTTCAAGCTTGTTCCGTAGGACACCGCTCAGGTTTTTTGGCTGGGGCTTTTTGATGCGCAAGAAGGGCATCCCCCTGGCACTGACTAAAGAAGGCACTTTACGTATTCCTTTCACGGGATGCGGGCGGGATAGAATTGGTGAAGTATCCGGATGACGCCGTCGAGTTGCTTCTTCGAAGCGTGTCGTCTCTTCTTTTCGTTGCTGCTTGATGGACAGCGGTCGTGGTGACTTGATCCCCCGAAGCTTCTTTTGCTGCTCCGCCTGTTTCTCTCTGGCGCACCTAGTCTGTTCGAGTGTTGCGATAATTTGATCGGCATCTTTTTTGTTTCCTTTTGACGCGGAGTCAAGTAAGTCGAGTGTCTTTTCCGAATAGCTTCCTTCGTTAGTAAAAGTTCTGTAGGCGAGATCATTTCGCGACGCGCGCACCTGGTAGCCTGCCTTCAAGGAACTGGCGATCTGGGTTGGGCTTTCCAGTCCTTTATATTTTCGGAACCGTTGTTTGACGAGGGATTTTGTCTGATTAAGCCACGGAGGCGTGCGGGTTGAAGGAGAGCATTGTCGCAGGAGAGCTCTGTAAAGGGCCAAACCTGGGAGAATTAGCTAGGTGAATTAAATAAAGACACAAGCCCAGTATGAAGGTGAAGACTTACAAGCAAAGCGATGCACCCCAGACAACTTGGGTACAAGCATACTGTGACAACCAGGACAGCGGATCGGAATCGCGGAGGATCCATGTTCAATAAAGCACTCATATCACGTGATTCATCGACGCGTCATAGTCAATTAGTTCCCAGGGCTTTTCAAGATACTCTGAACATTTAAATAAGACAGGCGTGATCCCCAAAGGGGACAAAATACAGGATCGCCTGAGTCTAGTACCTAGGGTACCCTAAAGGGTTTTGCTGCACTCCCAATTTTAAGACTGGTTGCATGATGCCATCTTAAACGGGCATTTAGCTTGGAGAAACCCGTACTGTTCTAATTAGTATGGCTTGACGTTTGCTCCTAAAGGACAAGATGCATGTGTTTACCCGGAGGATCGAAAACAATTCAGTTTACTACTGATACCGGAAACCATCTCCATTTTGGTTCCTACCAACACCCAATACACATACAAATGTGGTTAGAAGGACCCGATAAATAAGTTAAATTGGGCTTCGAAAGAAACCGCGCCGATGCTTTCATGCAGTGACTGTACACGCTCTAAGAAAATGATGTAGGAAAGAGGAGAAGCAAATAAATGTGAGAGGACTGCCCATGATACTCCGGTATTCTGAATCCTATGGATGATGCGGAATTTAGAAAGTCGAGCCCTCCGGAGGCTGAGGGAGCTTCTTGTGCTGAGGCAAAGCCATGTATCTATCAGACAACGGTTAGCACCGGTTCAGTTTCAGTATCAAGAAAGAAGGGGATCGAACCTCCGAAGCTCAATCAAAACGGTCTCCATGGTAAATTCCCGTTTCCACTGTGCGAGACAAGGAAGCTTGGTAGGGTCAACCTATCAAAACTTCACAATTAGTTGTGATCCCTTGTAATTGGGGCCAACGTCCGGTTCTTACCTTGCCGGACTTTTGGTCGACACAAGGAATGTTGACTCGCGACGTGAACTGGATCGTGGGAGGGTTATCGGGGTAGTCGTGTCCGCAATGAATGTTGACACTGTAAATTCGGTTCTCATGGACGCTCTAATCGAATAATCCAAGTGTTAGGGTTGTATCGACGACAACAGGTACGGAGCAATGCGAAGGGGAATACGAACGTGGGGCGGGCCGAGGATGGTTCCATTCCAGTTGCTCATCATCATATCTTCACCGTCGGCGAGACCGTAAGAGCATGCTTCTATAATTGAAGGAACCCACTGGTAAGCGATACCGTTGAGTGTTTTTAGAGTAATCGGCGATTACGGTCGTACCTGCGCCCAAGCCCTTTTCGCCCTTCTCCAGCTCCTCCAGGAGACGGAAGTTCCGAGGTACCTTGGCAGACATTTCCGGTAGATGCGACGCGAAAAAACTGCTAGAATGGCAGGTAGAGAGGTGTGAGGAAGTGTGCGAGAGTGAAGAGTAGGAGGGGCAAGTGACTTCTGCCCTGCCAGGCGGGCCGACCATGACGGCCAATGATCACGTGCGATACGGGTCTTATCGGGTGTCTTGGCACTGGAGATGCCACGCCGGGGAATTGTTGACTGCTCCACGAATTCGCTGCGCAGGACTAAACACGGCTGGGAGTCTTGGTATCTGACATCCGGTACCTCAAACTGGCGACCCGAATTACGGACGAGCTTGCTGCGCGCTGATACATGCTCAAGCACCCAAGTATCCACGATACTGGGAACCCCGGCCACTGGAATCAGGGCTTCGGCCATGCGTTGATGGAATCATTCGACATTGGAAATGTCCTCCCAATTCTTGCAGACAGAGCTTGCAAACCTCATCCAGGAGTCCAGGCGAAAGAACGCCGATCTGCGCAATGTTGGTCGATCCCTTGTTAGCCATCTCCATAGCACGGCCATTAACCCAGCCGATATAGGCCGCCGAACAGTCGCTCAGCGAGCTGAAAGCGTTGCCATCAACCTCAGAGGCACAGATATCAGCAGGTGAGCCTCGGATTTCGAAACCCGAACTTACAGGATTACTAACACGGGACAGACCTTGTTCGCAAGCCGACATTCGTTGAGCCATTTATCATTGCATGCCATACCCGGCATGCTAAACTTGCGGGCATTGGCGTAGTTTGTTTGCAAAGGCTTATTGCGTCGAAATCCTTGCCATCTCATCGCTTAAAAGATGTTCTCGCCGGGTTGAAAGAGACCACGAACCTCAGTAGGGATTATGCTACAAGGGTCGATCATGCATATCAGAGTCATTAACCTCTCCCAGGTCTCGATATTCAGCTCAAGATCTTACAATCCCTACCATCGCTTCTACAGTATTACTCTAATGATCTGAGCGGGGAACTCCTTGCAGGTACATTGGAGGTATGTGCGACTCTACAGGCTAGCAAAACGATTGCAGTGAGCAGCACGGCGGCTGCCACTCTTCAGCAACTCGTCGTTTACTCATTTGAGCGAGTATCGACTGAAGATAGTGAGTAACTAATGTCCTTAACAATCGGCGTAGCGGCTAAATCTTCTCCCAGGGTTGCCTCATGATGCAAAATCTACAACGCCCGTGAAGGTCGATGGTCATTCCGTGGATGTTGCACAGTTCGCATTTGATGCTCTACTGGTGCGTTCAATATACCTACCTTGATTGTTCTTAACGCTGATACAAGTTTCAAGGTTCTTGATGATCTCTGCCGTTTGATTGACGGTGAACAACTGCAATTCCTGCGCGTAAAGACATTGTCTTCAGCCTTTGTCCTGGAGCTCATTGAGAGTATTATCTTGAACAGTGGTCGTCTATTCGTTGGGCACCCTGAGCTGTCACAAGTCCTCCGAGTTCGCCTGATGCCTCTGACAGTTCGATATCTTTCCGAGCGTCATTCCTTCTCTGAAACCGTTCGAGTGGCTAGGATCCTCCTCGTGCTCCTGAAACGGCATATGTCTCTTCTTCCTGCCGAATGTGAGATGGCATTTGGCCTGCTCACTCATTTGCTGGAGCCGGACGGCACTGCGCCGTGGAAACGAGTCTTATGTATGGAAGTGTTCCGGGGCCTCTATGCCGAAGCAGGAGTTGTCCGGCAAATTTACTCCCTCTATGATGGAGAAGAAGGCAGAAAAAATGTTCTTCGTGATCATATGGCCTCTCTTGTCAAGCTGGCTTCGGAGAAGCCTTCGTTGATCGGTGTTAGCAATCAATCGACGATACCGCTGCGAGCGGATCACTCTCGATCCGCTACCGACGATCAGATTGCACTCGAAACGGGCGGAGTTACTGGTGTTATTGGATCATCAGTTCCCCAAACCGAGACCAAGGTACCGGGAATCAGCAGTCAGTGGAGTGTTGTACGGACACCCTACATAGATCTCCTCGACAAGTCCGACCCGCCTTTTCCCCCAGAAACCTATATCTATAGTCTTGTTCTCAACTGCATTAGCAGCTTTGCGGAGGGTCTCGCGAAATTCATTCTCCCGCTTACTGTTCCCGACCTGAAACAGAAGCGTAAGAACCGTCTGGTGAATCTGGACCAAGGTCCGGACTCAGCTAGTTCTTCCCAGGACCTCCAGGCATCCGATTTTGGAAAACCACAGCCTTACCCTTCAAAGAGAACCTCTGTCCCAATCAATCCCCTGGACTTGCAATCTCATGTCCAGTATTCTGCCATCAAGGCTTGTGCTGGCATCGTTGAGAATTGCTGGCCCGCCGTTCTCGCAACATGCTCTACATTTCTCCGCGCTTCGATGGATGATGAGTTCTATCATAATCTGGTACGAGCGTTTCAAAAATTGGCTCATGTGGCAGGTCTCCTACGTCTATCTGTGCCTCGTGATGCTTTCCTCACAACACTTGGGAAGGCCGCCATGCCGGCCAGTCCAGGCACATCCAAGGGGCAAACTACTTCTCATCAAAGTGCGGCTACTTCTCAGTCCAGCGAAGCGCCCCAGAAAAAACGAAAAAGCTCAGACATACCCAGGGTCAACCCTTTGCCTTCGGATGCATCTGGGGCTGCAACAACCGAGATCTCTGCGGTATCTCTGAGCACCAGAAACTTGCTTTGTTTACGGGCGCTGCTGAACCTCGGAATTGCATTAGGTCCGACGTTAGATCAGTCGGCTTGGTCCATTCTTCTTGAAACACTGCAATACACTGGGTTGGTTATCGGCGTGTCGTCCAGTACAATGGTTAAATCGGCCAGTGGACCCGGGGAAATGACAGTCATTTCAGGCAATGATGTACCAACCGCAAATCTGGGCGCAGAGGTCATTGCAGTGCAAGCAGCCTCAACCAAACTATTTGAAAGCACCAGCGATTATCCCAGTGGCTCGTTCCGGGAGATTTTGCTTGCCTTACTGAACCTTTCCGCCTTCACCGAGCAGGAAGCTGAAAAGGAACCTGCTAAGGAAGTTTCGGAAGTACCTCGCTCGCCGCAATCGTCCCGGCGCCCCGGAGCCTTGAATCAGAACGCCCGACGGGTGTCTCACACTGTGGGCAAATCAAGAATGCAGGATGAGGAGCTTCGGTTTGTGCTTGAGAAAGGGAATGAACTGGCTAAGGCAAACCTTGAGAGGTTAGCCTCTCTTGAGGAAGAGGACTCTGAGGCATGGCAGCTCTTGACGCAAAGCTTGATCTCAACATCCACAAATATCGCCATCAGCCCCAACCTTCGTCTCCAGGCTAGTGGGATCTTGAATTCGTTGGTATTCCTGACCATGAAGTCGAGGAATGACGACGAAGAAGACCAAAACAAACTACAAGTGAGGAACTTGCAGACCCTCAAAGACCAGATTGCTTCTTTGTACTCATTGGATCTGGTGTCTTCAAAATCGCTTCCAATCACTGTGACTGAAATTCACGAACAAGGCTTGGAAATCCTGCACAGCATACTCGAACAGTACGCGGAGACGTTTGTGGATGGATGGAGCCTCATCTTCGACCTGATAACAGGTGTCTTCCAGGGAGTGGAAAAAGTGGAAAGTGGAGATCAACTTAGTACTTTAACGGAGCGCAGGGCATCGGGCCTTCCGGCTGGCCCGCGTTTGGTCCGCGCGGCCTACAAGTCTCTGCATCTTGTGGCATCAGATTTTCTGTCTTTACTCCCCGCACCTTGTCTCTTGAGCCTTGTGCACTCCTTCTCCAGCTTTGCTTCTCAGACGCAGGACTTCAACATCTCTCTTACAACGACATCATTTTTCTGGAATGTGTCCGACTTCCTTCAAGGGCAAATCGAAACTTTCTCCATTGAGAGTCTTGTAAACGCGTCTGTTAGCGAAAAGGAGCTAGGCAGGCTTGCTTGTGATGCTGATCCCTCTGTATCAAGGAATTCTCTCTGGCTGTTGCTATTGCTCCGCATCGTCAGTGTCACAACGGACTCAAGATCTGAAATTCGGAACAGCGCAATTCATACTCTCTTGCGCATTTTCGACGCCTATGGTCAACAGCTCTCACCGAAAGCGTGGCATCTGTGTCTCAACAGAGTTCTCTTTTCGATGGTTGAAGGGATTGAAACAAAATTGCTTCCTCCCAAAGGAAAGCAAGGCGGTAACAGGGAAGATCTCATATCCAGGGTGACGACGACAGTTGTGATGATTAAGGGTGTTTCCAATCTTATCACGAACTTCTTCGATACAATTGTCAAGGACGAAGGGTTTGATCAATCTTGGACACGGCTCCTAAAGTATCTGCAAGCATTGCTTGACCTCCATGTCCTGGATTTCAGTGAAGCAACATTCTCCAGCCTGTCGTCCATCCTTATTCAAGTTCAGTCTCCCAAAGATCTCAGCAAACAAGCCCTCAAATGCGCATGGGACCTTTGGGCTAATGGTCACCCTGCTGGGGATGGCACAGCCCTTGATCTTGACGAACCTAACCAAGATGCCGTACTTGCCTATATCCAAACTTTCCAGCAGGTTTACCGACTGTACAAAGATAGTCTGACCACAGAACACATTGAGAAAATTCTTCAACATCTCCGGCACTTGGTGTGGAACTCGGTATCCCCGCCTTACTCTCCAGATGGCGACCGACCTTCTGCCGTCCAGGCATCAATCACTGATTGCCTCAAGACTCTTTGCTCCGAGAAAGAAGAGTCTCAGGCTGCAATTCTCTTGTGCCTTGCAGAGCTATCCGACTCGGCGTTGACTAAGTGGACGCCCGGTAATGACTCAAGGAAACCGGCCTTTGTGGCTTTCTCCAAAAGCACGATCGACCTCATTAGCTGGTACGTCGCAGACTTGGGTATTAAACAAGATATCTTCACGAACGGCGCACTTGCAACCACGCTGGGGCATCTCGGTGCGTTGATCAGACAAAAGTATACCTGGCAAGGGAAAGATCGTGAGCCTTTCTTATGGCAAAATGCTACGACTGTTGCTTTGAATGTTATTCAAGCTGCTGTTCATTATGTCGAGAAGCAGTACAGCAAGTCAAATGAAAAGGAAATCACCCAGTTCTGGCAGTGCGTCGTGGATATCACCCATGGTATCGTCTCGGCACACGGCTTCCAGACCCAGCAGCTTCCAAACACACGGATCCTAGCCGATGAAGCTTTTGATATCGCGGCCTTAACCCGCCTTAAGACTCTTATTCTGCCCTCGTTGGGCGCGCCCGCCATTCCAGATTCTGTTCGTCGCGATTTCGCTTGTGCCCTCTTCCGCTCCTCATTCATCTACGCACCGCAGCGGTTCGACTTACCCAGCGCTCCAATCGAAAAAGATCCTCTCAAAGATTTCTACAGAGTCCGCGCCGGCCGCACCTTCGACCCGCCTCCAACATTGCGTCCAAGGATCGCCTATGTCCTCATGGATACGCTCATGGAGCTTGCAGTGAGCTCCGAATCTGACACTTCGGATATAAGCCCCGGGACTCTGCTGGCCCGCTCCATCTCTCCCTATCTTCTCCTTCGCTGCGCCATCGAAATCAAATCTTATATCGCCGATCAGCCCCTCCGTGGTTTGATGCCGCAGCCGACTCCAGCACGTAAGGCGCTGCTTCACTTGTTGGTTCATATGATCCAACTTCGGAGTGAGCCATCTGCCATTCCTGAACCGCCATCCATCAAGACAGTCACGGTGACAGCAGGCTCGGGTGAAGATACGCCTTCTCTACATCATCGCAAACATCTCGAGTGGCTTTATCCGCTTGTTGCCCAGGCAATTCAGGTTGCGGGCAAAGAACGCGATGACGGTCAAGTTTTGGAAGCTCTTGGGAAAGTATTGCACGAGATCGGGCGTTTTGAGTAATTGAATATCACGGGAAGCGGAACAACCTTGGTCAAGTTGAAGCAATCTACAGCATGCCAGAGCTGACATTTCAGTTGCGCATGCTTGTTTGATGCATTCTTTCCATGTATCTAATCCCATCACTACCCAGAGACGGGTGTCACATTGCAAGGGTAATCATCAAGAATTCCAAGTCTATTTTTTTGCTACCAGTGTGTTGATTTCATTGCAATGCGTACATGATAAAAAGCCGAGAACGGTAGACTGCAGTAATATTGAGACAGGACCTTTAGGGAGGAGCCTACTGATCAACACACGGATATGTAGAAAAGGGTAATAGTGAGAATGACAGAATATTTGTGTGTTCAAGAGTGATGTGGGTATCGGAAGGGAGAGAAAAGCTAGATCATCACTTGCGATTACGCTGCCGGGGCCGAGACAGGCTGAGTCGGCTGTTGGGGTTGTTGAGCCGGCTGGGCCGGTGTCACCTCTCGCCCAGGACCTGCCGTAGCAGAGCCTGGAGGCAGGGCTTGCTGTTGTTGTTGTAGGAGAACCTGCTGCTGAATTTGCTGTTGCTGCGCAATCTGGGGCGTGGCGGCAATCTCGGGCGCTTGACGGTAGAGGGCAATCTCGGACTGCTTAAAATAACGACGGGCATCTGCAACATAGAGAGTTCAATCGTTAGTAACGCCATACTGAGTTTTGAACTGAAATTCGAACACAGTGATTCAACGTTGGTGGAGGTCTGTGGTGCCAAGACCGGCTTAGTGTGGGGGCGGGCAGGCCGCGGCATGGAAACTTGGGAATTCGGCGTGGGATATGCGACTCGGGCCGACCGACTCGTACCAATTGCCGACGGTTATTGGTAATATATCTTTGGCACCTGTCTGCTCCACACCGATCTTGGGTGCATCATGGCTGGAATCCGAGGGCAGAACTAGGCCAGAGAGAGGACAGCATACCTTCATCGATCAGCACCAGGCTGAGATAGTATCGTGTCGAATATTTCTTGTTAACATCGCGGAAAGTGGGCGTCAGATCAAACCCGCCAAGGAACAGGCGGATGGGAATGGTTTCACCTGATAACAGGTTAGTATCATGATGACACCGATATTTTCTCCGCAATGTTTGCCCCTCAATGATCTTGGTTCTCGATCGCAATCAACCAGGGCTGGGGTCAAGGCGGTTGAAACTAACCTCTCGATGGTGACCCGTCCATGATCTGAAAGTAATGTCAGCAGTCTGCCCACATCAAAACACACCGGCTCCCCATTTCGAACGGGAGGTGTCAAAAGGCGAACACATACCTCAAACCGCACAAGTGTCTCACTTTCGTTATATTGATTAGGAGGAGATCCAGTCGTTTCCCGCCGAATGATCGACAATTCCATGTGTTTGATCTTGAGTCGCACGAGCAAGAAATAGATCCGACCCACGATGACGTCCTTAAGGTGATACTTGGATTTCGAGTACTCGAATTCGATATGCAGGCAGTCTTCAATGCCAACATCCATCTTGATGGGGCTGTTGGTCTCGGGTGGCATGCGGTACGAATAGACCCAGAGGTCCTTCTCGCGGATGACGTCGGCCATGCGGCGCGAGACCGTCACGCGAACAAAGTAGCGCAGCTTTACATTGATGCCGTTGTATGATTCGTACTGCTTCTCGACGTTCTTGAAGTTGAAAGGGAAGGTCTGCGGGTGGAGCAGCTCGCCGGGCGCGGCGAGCTCTTGAACGAGTGATAGGAATTCGTAGTGGTTGCCTCGGTCGTAGAACATCTCTTTTTTCCCAGCAGTTAGTCTTGTGGCCCCTGGCAAGGAACCTGGGAAAGGAAGTTCCGAACGCACCAATTGTGCCAATGAACTGCACCTTGATTCCGGTGTGCTCCAATCGCTTTCCGTCCTTTGGTCGGATCGTCACCGCACCCTTGACGGACTCTCCGTCCATGTACAAGGGGACCCGCTCGCGGCGGCCCTTGTCGAGCTTGACATCAACAGTCTGGCGATCATCGAGGTCGTCGAGGACGACGTCGATATCGACGGGGGTGGAAAAAAAAGCGAAGCCATGGTGCGCGGCGCTCGTGAATAGAGGTGAAGATTGAGGGAGCTCGATGATCCAGAACGTGGCCTCGTTGCTTAGTCATACCCCGCAAGCCCATCCGACTCAACCATCAGCTCTCCTTCAGTTTCCTTCATCTTGTAACTTAATGTACTTCGACTGGGAGAAAACCGTCCGCTGTCCAAAGGGATAGTGATGAAGGTACTGGGCTCATGTGTATTTACTCTGTGGGACAGACACGCTAGTGTCTGTCCACCTTATTCAGCCACTACGTGCTTAGAACTATATTTCGCTGTCACTGCGCTCAAAGTACGGTATACCTAGGTACCATACCCCGATGCAATCATATTCTAGGCAGTATTCCACGCTGTTGCATGAAGATTGCGGCTAATCGGATCCCCTAGCCTACCTAAAAGTTAGTCCACGGGATAACAAAGATACTGCATCGATGGAATTGCAACCATCGGATTCTGCTTCCCGAAATGCTTCCCTATAGGCTGCCACGAGTCGAGGATCCGAACCCCTTGCGGCCACTGACCGTCAACCCTGTCAACCCCGCAGTTCTTCCCCGGATTCCTGCGATTGCGATGTAACCTGGTGGGGATAGGGGCCTCTGGCCCTCATCTTCAAGGGAAAAGCCTCGTGCGGCTTCATTTGCCGAAATTCAACCCGAGTCGGTGTGATTCAGCTGTAGCCATACTTTCTCACTGCCATGGTAGGTACTCTTTTTTTACTCTCTTTTCATCCGGAACTTGAAACGCCTCACTTTGGGCTTGCCCCCCGCAGGCACCAGCAGTCCAGGCCGTGTGTATGATTCTTCATACCGTATATGCATGGGATTTATGTCAGCACACCGCTGACATTGATCCGGGTGCTTACAAGTGGTGACTCTGGTGCAGATTCCTTGGCCTGTACGAGTATACTGGGGATACATGTAGTGTGCTGTACATAGTACGCCCGGAGTGGACAACCTGACAGCGCCTCAGGTGTCGCGGGACAGGCAGTGAACAGGGCCGAGTCGGTCCCAGACCAGCGGTGACGGTTAGCGTGGGGGTTGTTTACCGTATTGTACAGTGATGTCATGCCCGAAGGACGTGGCCACACACCAACCAGGAACTTGAGCGGACACACAGTACGTCGGGGACTGGACAAATCACGAATGATATAGGGCCCTGTCACAGGCTCATTTGCGCCCTCCGGCCACGTCTCTGGAAGAGCTGCAGCGCATCCGAAAGGGGCCGTCGATCGATCTCCCGGCGGGCTGGAGACTCATCCCACTCTCCTCCACTCGGGTAATGCGCGCAGGCCAATGAAGCGCCCCCCACTCGGCTTCTGGTTTTCTTCTTTCGCTCGACCCACCGTCATACTTAAAGAGTAGGTAACTGCTACTCCGCCCCGGATCGCGCGACTCCTTTTCTTTCCCTTTCTTGCCCTTCTCTCCCCGCCAGCGACCCCATCGAACACAAAGTTCTTGTACCAAAGCCCGAAGTATACGGCGTTTATTGACCACCGACCTGATCTCCGCATCGGAACCGTGTATCACCGCGTCATACCGCCATCCGTTCGACCCCGGTTAATTTCCTTGGAACGGCCGGTCCAAGAACTCCTGTGAAGACGCAGAGGCTTTTATCTGTTCAATTCGCAACTTCCCTTCACCACAACACCATGCTTTCCACTGGGGAGCGACCTCAACCACCGGTTACGCCAGCCGTAGTTTCCGCCAGTGTGCCCTTGAGCACACACATCATGCCCCTCCAGGGCTCATCCGCCATGCCCTCCGAACTGCACACCGAGAACTCTACCGTCTCATCGCAGACCCAGCACATCTGGGTCGTGACCGGCCCTGCGGGGTGTGGAAAGAGTACAGTGGGCCAGGCGCTGCGCAAGGAATTGGGAGTGCCATTTCTGGAAGGGGATGATGTAAGGAACCACACCACTGTTCATTGAGCCTGTTTCGAAGGAGAAGAGAAAAAGATCGAAAAGTATACAAGAAGAATGAAAGCTAATTCGGATGCGCGCATTAGTACCACCCGAAGGCCAACAAGGACAAAATGGGCAACGGCATCCCTCTCACCGACGAAGACCGCTGGGACTGGCTCATCTCCCTGCGCAAAGCCGCAATCGACGCTCTTTCCCCCTCCGAGTCCAATAACTTCCAGCCTCCCACCGGCGTCGTTGTTGCCTGCTCCGCCTTGAAACAGAAGTACCGCGATGTCATGCGCGTTGCTGCCTACGGCTCGCCCTCGGTCCAGATCCACTTTGTCTACCTCAAGTTGAGCGAGGATGTTCTCATGCAGCGAGTCAGCCAGCGAAAGGCTCATTACATGAAGAGCGATATGGTCCGCTCGCAGCTGCAGGCACTGGAGGAGCCCAAGGGCGAGTGGGATGCCATTACGATCAACGTGGAGGGCTCGCAGCAGCAGGTAGAGGAAAACGTCCTCAAAGCCGTTGCTGCCAAGCTGTCTGAGATGAAATGAGGCCTTGAGTTCATTCCAGCGTCATGAAAGATATTGATTTGTTGCATCGGAGGAATGAATACCCTCCACGTGGTGTCATGGGAGTTTTTTGAGATGGATGTTTCTAGAATTGGCCGGCTGACCCGGAGTGAGGACCTCCAGGTATGATGCTGTGTCTATATGGAGTTTTCTGATTGTTTGGATCGCATTTACTTTTTGGCGTGATTGCACTAGCCCATGGCTCGTCTCTGATACCCCCATTCTTCGGGGCGAATGACATACACTCTTGTACATGGCCCATCGAATACCATCAATACATTGACTTGGCTCGGTCATGAAAATTCTACATAGGCCCGCCTTTCGGGAAGTCTACTAGTAAAGAGTAAGGACGATGTCAGACATGATGACTTTAGGTCTTCTATGCTATTCTATGCGTCGTCTACTATTCACCTCAAGTTCAGGAGCATCAGTTCCGGCGCCTCGACAAAGTCACGCACCCGGTTACCCATGCGTGCCATTGTCGCACCATCAATAACCCGGTGGTCTGCGCTCCAGCTGAAATTCACCAGTTCTCCACGGGCGACTTGTCCCTCCTTATCAAAAACGGGCACCGTTCTAGTACGCCCGACACCGAGGATTGCCACCTCTGTCGGTACAATGACAGGCGCGACGTACGTCCCTCCAATGTTTCCAATATTTGAAACGGTAATTGTCCCTCCATTGAGGTCGGAAGGTGTCAGCTTGCCTTCTTTGCCGAGTGCACTGAGCCGTGAGATCTCCGCAGCAATGTCGAAGATCGACCGGCTCGCAACATCTTTGATATTGGGTACGATAAGACCGTTGGGTGTGTCCATTGCAATACCAATGTTATGCTTGGAGCGCATGACGAGTTTTGGTTTGGCAGGGTCGCTGGCATCGACTCGGGCGTTGAGGATAGGGAACTCGTTCAATGCCAGGGAGACGGCCTTGACCACGAAGGGGAGGAATGTGATCTTTTTGGGATCTTTTGCGTCACTGGTGAGTTTCTTTCTGATGGCAGTGATTTCGCTGGCACTCAGCTCATCAGCATAGAGAAGGTGGGGTGTGTTGAGAGACTTGGTCATTGTCTTAAACATGGCCGATTGGATCGGTGTCAATCTGACTGTAGACTCGGTCTGGCGTTTGTCGGGTGTAGTAGAAGAGACGATAGAGGCTGCCGCGGATTCAGCGGAGGAGTCTCTAGATTCAACAAATCTCAAGACGTCCTCTTTCAACACCCGGCCATCTTTGCCTGTTCCATCGATATCAAGGATATGGATATTATGGGTTTTGAGCAAGCCTCGCACTGCAGGCGTGGCAAGAGATGCATGCTTGGATTTTGGCAAATCGGGTCTCTCTACCGGTGCCTCAATGATCATCTCGGATGTTGGAGGAGCAGCCTCAGATGATTCTGTTGCAGTTTCAGGGGTCGAAGCCGCTTCGGTGGGTACTTGGTCGGCCTTTGGTTCAGGCGGAGGGTTTTCATCGGGGTATTTCGCATCGTCGACCTCAATATCGCAGAGCGCCTACCGTAAAGACATATTGTTAGTTACAATCATATTGTCGGCTATATAATTGCAGCACACCTTTCCGGTAGGGATGGTATCGTCGGCCTCGAAATGGAGCTTTTTAATCACGCCTTCATATCTTGATGTAATCTGTAGTTGTGAGCTGAGACATACTCCAGGAATCACTGTATATCAAATTGAGACACTCACATCGTCCACAGCTTTGTCGGATTGATATTGGCACAGAGGCGCCCATTCCTCAATGTGTGCTCCTTCTTCAACATACCATTGGATGATCTGCACCTCGGTGATACCTGCGCAGGAGATTAGCAGCCAATTCGTTTGATACGGCCGCAGTACACGGTATGTATGACTTCACATACCTTCACCAACATCCTTCAAGATCTGCGATCTTGGTCCCAGCAGCCAGGGTGCGGCATGAAACCCTCGGTTCAAGGCGGGCGATATGGGGTAACGAGTGCGGAGAAGAGTCTGGGGTCGACAGGGCCGTGAAACCCGGAGGATGCCACCCCCGCTGCGCAAGACGTTCATCATGGATAATATGCTTGCGAGATGAGTGAGAGGAGATGTTTTCAAAGTCACATCCGAGAAGAAAGCAAGCGCAGATGGACCGATGCATTGCGTTTATCTACCCTAGGGTACGGCAGCTCTCCGCGCCGACGGTAACCGATGCTAGCCACGTGACCTCCCCGCATGCATCAGAGCGGGGAATCCACTCAGGCGCTTGCTAGGTGAGGTAGTACTATTTACCATCGATATTCATGTCGGTAATAACCATGGTGCTTTTTATTTCCTGCAAATTAATCTTGCTTAATCGGGTTGCCCGAGGATAGTAGCCAGCGACCTGCTACCCGACTTAATTTCTCTCCGTCTATCCGTTGGAATCTTCTGTGAGGTAAAAGCCAGGAATACAGCCTCCCAGTGTCCGTCTTTGAATTTGGAAGTCTAGGGATCTGATTCACCGGGCCCATGAAGTTTAAAAATGGGGGTCGCAAGTTAATGTCACGTCAATTCAATGTTGCACTACGCTAAAGAGGCTCAACCCCCTAATTTTTAACTTGGATATATACCATCGAGATAACTATATTGTGTACTCTTACTTCATCTTCTGTCAACTCTCACGGCAAAACACCCCGGACCCGCGTAATGAACATGGAGATATTCAACTTTCGTATCTGTAAACAAGGACTGCGCTCCCTCTGCTAGGTCTTTGCCTTCCACTACCGTGAAGCCTACCATCATATGGTTTGCGTCATACGAACGCACAGATAGCAAGCGACGGCGTTGCTGCTCAGGCACTGACCCGTCACACTGGTATCGCATGCACTCCTTCTTGTGGACGAATATAGGACCAGGTCCACTGTAGGGTGATGCCGCAGGGAATGGATCATAGGAAATGAGGAGCATCTCCTCACCTAGCTGACCATCCTCTAGGCACCGCCTACATGGGAAGCTCCTTTGTTCATCAACAATCTTAGAGATTGTGTTATGTTGGTTGATGATTAATCCAGCAGGAAGAGCAGTGTATCGCAGCATGACTTAAGGCAGTTTCTAAATGTTAGTTACTGAGAATCTGATGGTGTTTAATGGAACATACTTGCTTCGCGTGAAAGGATGAAACTTCAAGGCAGCGGCGTAGATTAAAGGCGGAGGAAGGATTTTGGGAAGCGATCCTCACTATTTATGTCTCAATACCCGTGGCTTAGAATTAAGTTTTATTTACCTTGCTCTGGATATAACCAATCATCAAACAATAAGCTCCGTGGTAATATAGTCGATCTACGGTTTTAAAATAACCAATGGGATGCGAGCCTTCCGTACTATCATCTGGCTCTTGGCACTCTGGTATTCCATGGAATTCCAACCCATTTGGCTTATCATATCATCCTTACGGGTCTTTACGGATTCGAGAGCGAAGCAAAGCTGGCCATTTTCTCTGACAGCCAGGCGGCCATCCAATCCATTTCCAACCCGAAGCGATCATCCGGCCAGTACATGCTCGCACGCATATATGATCATGTACGGGCCCTCCGATCAACTTCTCACACGCCCACGTCCGGCCAGATTCCCGCCGTTGAGATCCGTTGGATCCCCGCACATGTGGGCGTGCATGGTAATGAAGCAGCTGATGTTGAAGCTAAGGTTGCTGCGGAGAACGGAGATGGGGCGAAGAATAGTGCTCCCGAAGCATACCGCCTTGCCTCTCAGCGAGGCGCTGGGTGCGGCAGCGGATGAGGGATAGATGGGCAAAGGAGTGGGTAAGAGAGAAGACAGGAAGACCGACCTATCGACTGGTCAACACACCGCACAAGGCTCTAGGTCTATATGAGGGGCTCTCAAAGCCCTACACCTCAATCCTCATTCAGATGAGGTCACAGCGAATTGGGCTTCGACATTTCCTGTTCAAGATCGCCATCGCACAGCAGAGGGCAGAGGGGGCCACAGACCGGTGTCACTGTGACGAGGGCAACCAGACTCCCATGCATGTTCTTCTCCAGTGTCCGTTATACACCGGGCTTAGGACCGTGATGTTGAACAAGATCTGGTACAAAACCGAACTGGGGAGAACAACCGATTATGACACGATCATGTCGGACTCGCAGGCTATCCGCTACGTGGCCGAATTCATGCACCGGACAGGACTCCTCGGCCAGTTCAGGCACGTGGACTACGAGGGTGTTGATGCAAACATTAACACGCCAAAATAACTTGGCAAGGTGGCAGCAGGAGGTGAAGACGCTGGGTATAAAGAAGAGATCAAAAACCTACAGTGACGAGAGGCAGTGGGAGAAATACAACGCCGATGAGGAACGATATCGAAGGAACAGGGCATGTTGAAAAACGGCATGCCAACTGGAGCAGATGTGGAAGCAGAAGCATGGGATGGTGCGGCAATACGGGGATGGGATGTGGCCGCATGGCACGGCGTGTGCTGGCATAAGCCGATTACATTCATTTTGAGCGTTCTATGACGGTTTCTGTGAGATTATCACCTGTTTTTGAATCGCGACATGCAGTGTTTTCTTTGTATTTGTTACTGTTGGGCGTGGCGTTTGGACGAGTTCTTGTTTCCGACGGAGGAAGCACCTGCATAGCCATTACGTTCTAGTTGGGCTGCATCAGGTTAATGGAACTTTGAATTGAATTGAATTGAATTGAATATGTATCATCATAAGCTATTACTATGCCTGGCTAGTCCGTTTGAGAAGCCTGTGGGCCTCGAACTTTATTTAATGCCGTAATCAATGTTTTCTATGTATGGCTGGCTGTATGACCGAGCTGTTCACCCGGCAACAGTGTCGAGAACTTCGGGGCCCATGTCTCCATCAGTCACGCCCAAGATAAATCAGAGGACGAAGGAAAAGACGGACAAATCGATAACGACAATTGGCGAGGAACTCTCGGCCCAGTGGCAATACCGTATTTAATCCATGGCTCTCGTTTATAACTCTCTAGACACGGTAAAGTAACCACGGCTCGATTAAAGGGTGCGATTTTGGGAGGTCTATATAAGGAAAGTGAAATTCCACGACGGCAATTCAACCAAGTCTTCTATCAAATAGTGGCTTCTTCAAACCACGACATCTAAAAACCTTCAATTTGCTTATCATGACCATGCCGTCTCTCCGGCAGGTTAAGGACGCGAATCTGAAACTGAAAAACGTCAAGCCAGGACTGGTCACAGTCTTCGGTAAGGTTCCCAGTATTGACTGCACAATATGGGCGCTAACTTCAGTGTGACCAGCGGGTGGAACTAGTGGAATTGGCGAAAGTACTTGCAGGGAATTTATTCGCAACACCGTCCGTCCAAGAGCATATATCATCGGTCGGAACAAGATGGAGGCGTCGAGAATTGTGCAGCAGTTGAAGGAGATCAACTCCGAGGCCGAAATTCGCATCCTCGAATGCGACTTGACGTTACTGCACAATGTGGATCGAATTTGCAACGAAATCACAAAGAACGAAAATTTCGTCAACTTGCTCTTTATGAGCGCCGGTTTCCTGAGTATGAAGAGACAAGGTTAGCTTGTCTTGAATCTGTCAGAGGCGCTTCGGCTCAAACAAAATGTCTTAAAATAGAAACATCTGAGGGACTGGACAGTAGGATGGCTATCCAGTATTATTCAAGAATGCGGCTTGTCGTCAATTTGCTGCCTGCTCTGTCTGCTGCGTCCGTCGCGGGCGAACCGGGTCGAGTGCATTCGGCTCTCAACGCTGGCAAGGAGGGCAAAATCTTCCTAGATAATCTCCTGCTAGAGCATCACTTCAGCCTAAAGAATTGTGCTACTCAGGGCATCACAATGACCACTCTAGCATTTGACCAACTTGCACTGATTCATCCAGACGTTAACTTCATCCACACCTCCCCTGGTGTTGTTCGCACCAACATCACGAAGGGTTTTGGCCCAGTTGTCAGTTTCATCAGTGGTGTTTTCCTCATTCTTTTAGCACCTTTTCTGACAACGCCTGTGCAAGAAAGTGGAGAGAGGAATCTTTATGCGGTTTTGAGCAAGTGCTATCGACATGACCGAGCTATATGTATCCATCTTGATCGTTTGTAATTGGCCGATTTTGAACCATTAGCCCGGCGTGGACTGTGTGGTACGAACGTATCTTCGGTCCCAATATAAGCAGTGGAAGTTGCCAATTTTCCATCACCACTTTGGCATGTCGAGAAAGTATTATCTACCTTATGCGCGAATTTTCTCGTTTAAAGTTGGAGAAAATTGGACTATTCAGTGCTAGGATTGAAACTTTAGCTGCTGATTGTCTCTTCTTGAACTATTGAAGGGAACAGGTGCATGTTGCCTATTTTAATCTACTGTATCCAAAGTACTATGCGTGATCAAAACCCTGATTGTATATGTAGGTAGTATTATTGCGATGCGAGACTGCCTGCATACTCTACTGAACATATAAGGGCTCTGTATTATCAGAAAATTATAGGGATTGTCAAAAGCTACTTAATTCTACATATTATAAAACCTCAAAACAATGCTTCCAGACTTGCTCTCCTGGAAAATTCGAATGATTTATGACATGATAGCGAGCAAGACACTGACCCTGGCTGTGATGTCTTACGAGGCGGAATGCAGTGAAAGCGCGATAATTATTATTGGCAAATATCTTCGAGTCTTTGCAGAGGCAGAGGCAGAGGCAAAGGATAGAAATGTGGTATACCGATGTCCGCCAATCTTCTTCATCAACATTCTGCCATCCTTGTACAATACTTCGACAAATGCTGTTGTAATTACCTTACCAAATTAGTTCTAGAGTCCTGGCAGAGAATACTGTGGGAACTTCTAGAGAACTACTACTTCGATGACCTAGCAACCGGTCGTATATTCTAGAGCTCTACATGGAGAAATAAGCATCCTGATCCTGCTCATGTGAATGTAGCTGCTCTTCTTGAATTTACACAGTAGTGATTGCTTGACCAATTCCTCGTACAGTAGCCATCGATGATCTTGGGCATATCCATTGGCCTTTTTTTACTTCTGCAAGCTAGTGTACATCATATGCTCAGAGTGACACTTGAAGGAAGAATAACCATGAGTATCCTCTGGTTAACAGATATTATTCTCATAATAGCTCTTGAGCACTGTTTGTGTTGGCTTGGGGCTATAGCTGCTAAATGCTAGGAACGGAAGGGTCTGCCACTATCCAAAGACAATTAGTCTAGAAGCGCTTCCAGGTATATGAAAATAATTCAAAAACACCACAAACCAAAATGCACTATCAATCACGTTTGGTAATAGTTACAATAGAGAATCTCAAATAAATCAAATGTCCTGGTACCCTTAGGCGAATTCAAAGCCAGATACAAAACCTATCACTGCCATTCAATCATCTCGCAAGATATCGTCTTGGAGAAAAGTCTTGATGCTGTAGTTGGTAGCCACCTTAACGGTGTTCTTAAAATCACTGTAGGCTCGTGCCAGAGGGTCCTGGGAAATTCGCCGACGACCTCTTCATGATCGTCCCGAGCTACAACGCATAATGCTGTCTCTCCACTGTAATCCTGAGCAGCAACATCAACTCGTTCTTCTTTGAGCAAGAGATCAATAACAGTTAATCTTCCACGGGAAGCTGCCAAGGAAAGGGGAGTGCGTCCCGTGTAAGCTCTAAAGTTCATCTCGGGCCGAGGGTTGTGTGCAAGCAGGAGTCTCATAACTTCAAGGTGACCGCTTGCGGCGGCAGCGCAGAGAGGCGAATCATTCCAGTCTTTCAAGTTAATATCGATGGCATCAATGCAAAGGAGTCGACGTACAACGCTTAGATGGCCATTTTAAGCGGCATGGAATAGTGGAGGAGCCCGTCGTATATTTACTTGTATGTCTGCTCTGGTGAGGAATAGCTCCACTATGAGTGAATTACCATGAGAAGCAGTATAGGTGAGAGGTGCCTATTTTTGATCGTCGAGAACATTAGGATGAAGATCATCGATATGGAGGAGGGCAGCTGTGATAGGTATATTCCCCGTTATCGCGGCGAAATGAAGCTCCGTCTCACCCCACTGATTAGCCATATTGACATCGACATGGTCATCCATGAAAATTTACTGAGCTATGCCATTATGTCCCTTCTGCACAGCTAAGCAGAGTGCTGTTGCTTGGTTGACATCCACAGCATTGACATCCACAGCATGGCAGTTCAAGAGAGCCTTTGCGATCGACTTGTTGCCGTATTCTGCTGCGATATGCAAGGCAGTGCGACCGTAATTATCTCTCGCGTTGACATCAGTCTTTTCGTAGACAAGCAGCTGTTGAACCGTCTGCTTGTCGCCTTTCTCTGCGGCTTGATGCAGCAAACTTTTGTCATGTACATTTCTCGTATTGGGATTTGCGCCATGGGCAACCAGCAGCAGGATGATATCTCGGATATCTGTTTATACAGGTCTAAAAGCTCTTTCCAAACAAAATGTTGAACGGGAACTAGTGGAACAGTTAGATGCCAATTCGTTTCCATGAGCGATTATCGAGATCTAATAATTCTACTCCCCAAAATGACAAAGGCTTGCGGGATTTGGCCGTCAAAATTACCATGGATCACTTGACTACGCTGAGAAACGCAGGGGAATCGGGCTCTAACCCAAATGCAGCCTTGGGCACTGGCACTTGTCTGGCCCGATTTCATTTGATCAAAAATTTCCCGAAGTTCAGCTGTCGAAGTATCGATCGCCGCCCCGCTTCATTTTCTTCTGGGACATTATTGTGTCGATGGTACCCACCACGGTTCGTGTTATGGAGTCTGTGCTTTCTCCTCTGAACACCAGCGATCTCATTTCCGACCAGAAGAAATAAAGATCGACGGGTTGGTCATGAATGGAGTGTCTTTCCCACACCGACTTCTGACAATTAAGATCTTAGATCAATCCTTTGACTTTCTGAAAATACACTATCATCTCTAGCACGGAGATTATTCGGATCTCGTGCTGGCCTCATTTCATTCATCGATAGATGAGACATGGCTCTAACATGTAGCAATTTTGAATGAGCACGTATTATGGTTGATTTAGATGTGACTGGAAGTTAAATAATATGCTCGAGATGATCTCTTGACATGCACAACGTGCTTAGAGCGAGGCTCTCTAGTTGTACAACATTTCCCTTTTTTAACCTTGCATTTTCTTTTTACAGGGGCTGGCTGTGCGTATTAAACTATTAAAATGCCTAGCCAATCATGATTTTTCAGCAACACACCTCCGGGCCACTAAAACCTCCGTTCATGAACATGTTCAAAGGCTTTATCCGGTTCTTCACTCTTCCTTTGCGGGCTCTTTTCATACATAATCATCCTCCTAATTGGAAATTAAATGAGATCGATCGATCATCTAATTCATTGTCGTCTTGAAGTTCTCAATTTTAGGACCTATTCCCACCCCCTGAACTTTGTTGAGTTCCCGATCAAGATCTATCCACTTATGGAGTGGGGCCCGGGCTCAGCTCAAGATCCACTAAGCCCTGGTATGGAGTCTTTTCGTACCTACAAGCGATCATCTTTACTTCATATGTATGAAATTCATTGGGCCTGGTGGACTCATGGCGGTCCATGTACTCCCTCAATGGAGGTGAATTGTGTCGATCCCTGGCAACCATCTATAAGAAGAAACCGAAGTCCTGTTCCCGACCCTATTCAACCACCATTACTACAAAATCGTTTAAAATGCAGTTCAAACTCAGCACAATTGTTGGCCTCCTTGCTGTTGCTTCTCCCGCCCTCGCTGTCGATGCAGTTAGCAGGATTGATGGCTTCACTGTCTTAGCGAAGGACGTGCAAACAACCGCAAACTCCATTGAACTAACAAACGCCCTCTCGAAAGCATCTGTTAGTTTGCCCACGTACATATCACAATAATTTACGTCATATACTAACCATGAATCTAAGGATACTATCGATCGCTTTTACAAGCTTCACAACGCTGAAAGATTAGCAAAGAATGATCTCGCCCGGAAGGGAGAAGCCTTGGCTGCCGACCAACAACAGGCCGCTTGTAACTCATTCACCAACGTAAGTTGTTCTGGTCTCTAATAATACCGAAGTCATATTAACCCAAAAATATCTAGTACGCTTCCGCTGCCACTGATATGCTGAATACGGTCAAAGAAAAGCAAGTCGATGTAGAGCTTGTTGGGAAAGGATACCAGATGGCTGCGCACCTCCGTGCCTTAGAGGGTGTCAACGACGTGAGTACAAATATTTCAGAATCAGAGGCTAGATGTTTTGTTTGGAGTACTGACAGTTGTAGGATTTTGCCGACCTCCTTACCGAACTCCTCGCACCTAGCTGTGGAAGTAGCTTGGCCGACACCATCAAAGACCTCGACAAGCTCCTTACTAGCACCAAAAAAGCTTACACCTACGGCTTGCCTTGATTAATTGAGGTTTAATTATATGTTACCATAATGCGCATTTGTTTGAAGCCATAACGATATAGAATGAGGGACCTTGGAAGTCGGCAGTCTGATTTCAAAATTAAATATAGTAGTAAAACATTTGCATAATGAGAACTCCGCACATAACTCTAAATATTGGAATCTTTGGATCATTATAAAGCAGTAACTACTTTGTACGGAGTATATAAAAGAAACAAATTTTAAACCTAGGGACTTCCATTTGCACTTCTCCATTCCAAGGTTTGCGATGTATCGAGGCGAACTAGGTACAAGAGGGCCAAGGTGCGCCAGAGAAATGATGATCGACACAGGGAATGACGAATCGGACCCTCACCCAACCTCGATCATCGGGCTGAGTGCTTTATGATTTATGTACGGAGTTTCCAAGGTTTTGTGCTCTTATGCCAGCAAAATACAACATGATAATAAATCCACTGTTAAATCGACGAACATAGTCCATATTTCAAAGCGCACGTAGCTTCTTAATGAGCGTATGCATCAGAATCTATGTGGTTGACAGCCTGTTGGAAATCAATTATCGCTGGTAAATGCCCTGTGGGAGTAACTGCTAAAGGTCCTTCTCTGTTTTGTGCTTTTGTGAATGAAATAATCGAAAACGTTCATTCTAAATTTACGACCACAGATTAGAGTTCGATGGACTTAAACGGTCGGTTGTTGACACTTCTGGCTTGCTGGATTGATCAATGGTTGTGTTCATGCCATATTTAAACGCTTTGGGGTTTTTTTTTTTTTTTTTTTTTTTTTTTTGATGGATTTAAACGATGATCAACGGGAAACCATGCAATTGAAGGGGCTTGGTCAGAATAAAATTACTCGATATTGCAGTAATAAATGATGATGATGATGATGATGATGATGAATTCATTTGCCCGATGTAGCTTGCTCTAAATATATGCTGCTATGCGGGAGTGCTGTCAGGCCTGCCGACAGCTTGAAGGTGGTCGCCAGTCCACTGAACGATTGTTTCCATGGGTTGCAACGCAAGCCCCTGATTGGTCGCCCGAGAATGTATGCAAACATGACAAAATAGACAAAATAGACAAAAGAAATCCAAAACGAACGTCGCTTCCCCTCTACCCACTCTCCTTTCCACAATCAGACTTCATTCTCTGATTTACTTCATCCCTCACCGCCTTCATCTGCGCGGCCCTCTGGGCCGTCGGCTACCGCTCCTGCGCTCGCTTGCATCAAGGGAGTACAGTGGACCTGGCACTGCACTCCTAACGGGCACCATCCTTCTTCCGTCACACTGTCCTGAGGGGTCATCCTTTTTCGTCGCCTTTTTCCGTGCCGAGAGCCAATGGCTCGATTGCTTGAAACTGGTTTAAGAGACCTGTCCGGACCATGAATTCGGCCACAATTATGCGAGCCTCTAGCCGCGTCAGGAGCTCGTCTCGTCGCAGAGCAACTCCGCGGTCGGACAGAGCGTTTCTCATCCAGTTGCGCTCACCTTGGAGTAGCGGGCATTCAAGCAAGATATGATCGACGGTCTGGTTCCCCAGATTGCAACCACATCTCGCTGACTCGCGCCGATTGATGCGAGTCAAGTAGGCAGCAAGGCCAATTCGTCCAGTACGAAGCTGCATCAGAATGGACGCTGTCGCTTTCCGCAGGTCGGACCAGTATTCCAGGGTCTTCTTCGTTGGTCGTTCGACTAAGCGTTTCGTCGGTCGACCTGTTCTCTCTATAGACCATGACCTTTCCCACTCGATTTTTGCCTCGCGGCGAATGCGGCTTTTAGCTGCGGCTGCAAGGCGAATATAACGATTGTTTGGGTTTTGTGGTCCTTCTGGTTCCTGGGCCGCCTCCTTTGCGTGTCGGTCGACACGTTCATTGCCGGCCACTCCTTGATGAGCAGGTATCCACCTGAGGTGGATTTGACGGCCATTGGCTGCGTGTTGCCTTACCAGGTGGAGGCATTCTTCCAGGTAGACCTGTCCTGATGGCATCCGTGGTTGGCGGAGCGCCTTCAATGCCCCTTGGCTGTCTGCAAAGATGACAAGCCCGTTTCTCGCCTGTGCCGCCCACGGTTCCGTGGTCTCCAGGATTAATTTGAGTGCCATTTCGATGGCACTGAGCTCGGCAGCGTATACAGTGGACGTTTCTTCGCCGCCCATTTGGCTGTGAGCGTGGTGATCCTCGAGATCAACGACTACTGCTGCTCCAATTTTTCCCTCGATCCCGCTCCCGTCGGTGTAGAGAATCAAGGGTCTTTCGCTTGGGTCTTTGGATAGAATGTGGTCGTGAGTTTTCACTGCCATCTCTCTGTCCTCGATGAACACTTCTGGCGGCGCTTGCCATGGTGCCTGGACGAATGCCTTCCGACTCTCCCAGTCCCTCGCCAAAGTTCCCGGGGGAGTCGTAAGGCATCCGCCCGTTTTCCAGGCTTGCGCGTCCATCGGTGTCCATCCAGACCAATCTCTCTCGTCCACCGGTCGGCGTCGTAGCATGAAAATCATCAGAAGACCACGTGCAACGACTGAATAGCAAATCCGAGTTCTGTGGTGAGAACCCTGTATTGCAAGAATACCGGCAGAGCAAGGTGGGTGCTCAGATTTGGGAGCATACGTTGCAGATTTTCAGCAAGTATATTTAGCTTTTTCTGTCCGGCAGTTCACGTTTGTTTGTAGTAATAGTGTTGCTTGATTAAGGAGTCGTGCGAGTTGGAAAAGGTCAAGGACGTGTCAAAAAGCTACCCTACCCCCCATAGTCAAGTAGCTTCCGTGTTAGTTTCCTTTAAAATGAACCATACTTCAGCTCTCAAATACTAAATAATGCCAATGTGGCTATCGTTGTAATGAGTATCGTTAAGTAAATCGTTGCGCTAGCGCCTTGGTAGTGAGGCCTGTGAAACAAAAAGCAGTCGTTAAGGCGGAAGCAGATTACTTTTAACGAGGAGTCTTTAGTGAAATATGTCGTGGGAGGATACTATAGTCCAGTTTCTCCAATATAAAATTTGTGTTAAGGCTTCTAAAAGAAAGAATCCTCGGCATAGATCACCATAATACTATCAAACTTACTGTGTTTAGCGCTTTTTCTTAGTTCCTATTTCTATTTGATTACGCCCTCCTCGTTCTGAGATTATCACTTTCTCTAGTAGATTATGCGGAATTGATCTATACTTGAGAATACCAAAGCCTCTAGCTATAGTTAAGTGATAGGAAAGGCAGATCCCGCTGGCTAAATAATGAGAAACGGAACCGTCAGTTAGGTGCGAGCAACAGCTTTTCCTTAACACTCTTATAAAACTGCACCGGGCTAGTTTCCCGAAATCATAACACGTCGCTATTTCAAGACATCAAAAGCCCGCAAAAGCCCATCGACTGACAGGTTCTAGAAGTCCAGTGAGTGCCGAAATCGAGTATATCTACAATTTCTTCAGAGACTACCTACCAGTGCAACATCTTCTGCATCTTCTTGTAAAAATTGAATGATTTCATTTACGGCTTCAAGGCCGCCATCTAAGGTGTCAAGCCAGTGGTCCACGGCGTTTAGTTTAGATCCCAATGCCCGTATTTGGACCTGAGAGCTGGGTGTTTCTTAGTGATAATCAATATTTTCTTAGTGATAGCCGATTCAGAGCGACGGTAGCCTCGCCGCAGCAAAAGATTCCGAAGTGTTCTGGGACGAAGCAATCGGGACGAGAAATAGATGATAAGAATGACTTTTTGACTCAACCATCTTTCCTCGACTTGCATCCCTGTATGTTTAGATTCAAATTTCGAGAGAAGTGCTGCATTAGGCACTTCATGAGCAGAATCTTCCATGCTGCATGCTGCGGAGGAATGGGGTTATATAATGGCCGGAATCTTCGGAAGCATCATGACATGTGACAGAAGGGATAAAACCGGCAGTGGCAAAGAGCACTAAAGCGCACTGACCATCCTGCTAGGGTAGAAGTCAACACATTGACCGGTCTGTCGATATCATTGACCAGTTCGGTTTCTCCAACCGTCGAGCAAAACATGACCCACTGGTGGTTGTAGGCGGTGAGGCCGTTCGAAGCGGTAAACCTGCACGGTACACTCCATCTGAGAGACAGTGACCCTCCACACCGTCACCTGACATCTATTCTTCTCTGTACCATTATCAGAGATCTGCTGCAATATCTGTGCAATATGGCACCACCACTACCTATGTCAAAGACTGGCTCTATTAGCGGACAACGCAAACCTCAGAAGAGGAAGAGACTCGTCATGTCCTGTACCGAATGCCATCGACGCAAGCAAAAAGTGAGCCGCCTCAGGAAATAGCTAAACAAAAGTTTACTAAAGGTTGAATAGTGCGATCGCCAGCATCCATGTTGCAACTGTATCCAGCGAGACACGCAGGTATGTATGCTTCTGAACACAACATTGCTTTCGGTCGTCTGATTGGCGACTGCAGAGTCTTTGCCATTATGAGGCTGAACCGAAGGGCTGCCAAGCCACGAGAAGCGATTCCGGTGAGAGTGGTCCTTCGAAAATCAGCCGTGGTACGAATATGATGCATATCTGTCAACCCACTGAACCCAACACCGAGTGGTCTAGCGAGTTTCAGGACAAAATTCGAGATTTTGGATACTCCAACCACGGCAATTACAACTCCATGAGCCTATTGCGTACTACTGAACTGCATGATGGTCAGGCTGCTGGTTTATTTAGCTCCAGTACCGCAAATCAGACCCTGTTCCGAAATGATGCAAACCGCAAGTATAAAAAAGCAGTGCGCCATCTGCCTTCACAAACCTGCATCGACATATTGGTTCAAAGATTTTTTTCCGATATCAATTGGCAGTACGACCTGCTCGACGAGGAGACTTTCAGAGAACATCTAGTCGCATGGAGAGAGATCTCATACTCTGACCTTCAAGTGGGGTTTGAAAGATTGGCACTGGGAACCGTTGTGTTTCCAGCACTACTGTTTCAAGTCCTCGCTCACGCCCTTCTTTTTCACCCTCCTCATGATGAAAAGATCAGTTCTCTCATTACCATGGCTGATATGACCTTCCATGATCTTGGAGGTGAATATAGCGATACAGGTGCTAATTTACTCGCGCTCCTGGGGAAAAAGGATATAACAATTGCCATGGTACAAGCAGGTCTGCTGCGAGCCTCGTTCTTGAAAAGTAGTGGCAAAGTTATTGAAGCGTGGCATGCACTTGGAGCAGCAATCCGCGATGCACAGGAGATAGGCCTACATACCGGACGAATTGTATCCGATCAGCCTCCAGTGGGGTCGAAACGCGGCACGCAAAGTGCCAGTCTCTTGGGTCACAGAATCTGGGTGGTCTTGCATATTTGGGACGTCCACATGGCTGTCGTTCTCGGCCGACCGATTGCCACCGATATTCAAATCGATCATTTCGCTCGCACAATAGAGGACGACGAAAGGCGACGAGAATTATTTTCGCATTGGCAAACCGAGACTGATCCACCTAGACCATTTGATATCATCCTCGCCGGCTATAATGTGGCCTATCGATACTTCAAGGACATTCACCAAATAGAACATAACGGTGCTAACTCCCAAGACTACCCGATTGTCGAACACATTCACGCCACAATAAAAAAAAACTTGGAGCTTTTGCCCTCTTGGTGCCGTCTGGAAGATCCAGATGCGAAGTTTGATCGATTATGTGGATGCCAATGGCTACCTGTTGCTCGAGATGGACTATCGTCGCTCATACACTTCGTTATTCTCGCACTCCATCGACCCTTCATATTCTCTGTTGCCGACAGTCGCACAGAAGCCTTGAATGCTGGGATATCCATTCTTCGCGCACAAGAACGACTGTTTGAAAAGTCAGAGCCACGCCAGCGCAAGGTGTTTAATCCGGTCTACGCTTCTTTCGATGCGATTGTTTTGATTGCAGCTCTCTGTATCGTTTTTCCGAATGAGAATCACGAACGACACATGGAGTGTATCGAGGTTGTTGAAAGAGGGATGCAAAGGTTGAGCATAATTGGACAATCCAATTTCATGGCAAAGTCAGCATATGGCGTTGTGTGCAGCTTGTACCATCGTTTAAGACATCGGCTCGACATCTTCAAACCTACCGAGGACGCTATAGCATCTTTCACCAATCCAAGGTGGATCCCTCCCAACAGCGATATAGATTGTTCTCGTGGGACACCGTCGGAGCTTTCGTTTGATGCCGTTTTGCCTCCTCGTCCTACCCATGATCTATTCTTGGATCATATCTCAATAACGCAAACACCGTTCACAAATACACCCGACAACTTTCCCTTGGACCCTTTTACTGTGAACCTTACGGAGAGATGGAATTTTGGAGGCGATTTCTCAAATACCAGCTTTTGGAGTTTGATGAACGAGCTTAACCATTGAGATGTACGTGTTAGACATTCTATTTGATCTCGGCAAACCAGGCTGCAATGTCCCCCACGTTGCGATCAACACAATCCGGCTGGTCGTAATGCTGGAAATGGGAAACCTCGTTGTTCCAGATCAATTTTTTTTGACTTGTTGGAATGGAATCGTAGTGGCGCTTCGCAGCCGCCGCATTCATACAGTTGTCGCCGTGGATGAGAAGCGCTGGCTTATTCAGTTTCGCCACGCCAGGTACGGTGGTATAATCAAAGTGGTCCACGTCGCTCATCACCGCATATCGGTTTTCAAATCCCTTCAGTGTCCACGGCCCATACCAGGACCAAACCACTGGTCCCGGAAGGCCGGCCAGTGACCCAGTTTCAGGATCAGCGGCCTTGGGATCAACCAAAGGCTGGTACACCACTTCTCCGGTCTGGTCGTATAGCTCACGGGCTTTTCTAGCTCGCTCAAGCCGCGCTCTGTACAGGGCTTCTCCCTGTTCGGGAGTGGGCATTTTCATCGCTGCGATGTCCGCGCCAGGTGTCCATGCAACACACCCAGCGCAAATCATGTAAATGTCGGTTTCATGATCTCGATAGTATCCAGACACCGAGGCTACACCTGTCACTCGGCCATCGTACGATGCCACATCCAAGGATTCGGGGCCACCCTGGCAGATCCCGACTAAGAAGAGCCGAGATGAATCGACATCGCCACGTGCCGATAGATAGTCAAGTCCTGCGACCATGTCCTCGTTTTTCATTTTCGGGTTTTCTTGTCGTCGGGGCTGGCCTGTGCTTTCACCAACGGTGCGTGGGTCGAATATCAAAGCTGCATAACCTTCATCTGCGAGACGGGTTGCGTATTGCAGCGGCGCTTGTTCTTTCACGAAGGAATATGGACCAGTTACAACGACACCGGGTGGCTTCGTGACATTTGTAGGAAAGAAGAGGACTCCGGCGACTGTATCCCCGTGCGAGGCATATTTGACCTTTTCAGTGGTGTATTGACCATGGGAAGGCATTGTGGATTCGATTCAATGAATTCTGGTTATGAAGTTTGAAAGAGAGGATTTTTGTTCTCAAAGCGACGATTTTGGCCAGGTTTAAATAACCCAGACTCATCGGCGTTATGCCGTGGTCATGATCTCACGACGGCCTATTGTAGTCCTCGTAGAAACATATGACGCAATGGATTCAATGGACAGCACGACAATCCCCAATTATATCGACGTGTCTATCTCCGTTTTCGTAATTGCTCCAATTATCGCCGATAAAAGCGGGTCAGGTTAGGACTTAACGCCGATAGACCAATAGAGGGTAGATAAGCTGTGGGGCTTATGCGAAAATGACCCGCTCAGTTGAGAGCAACCATATGGGGCAGTAAATTACTGCGTAAGTTTGGCCCTGACGATAGCCAGCTCCAACGCGGAGAGAACTTCACGGGCCAATCTTGAACAGGGATACCGACACGACTAAAGGGTGTCGATCGGAGAGACTGATATTACAATCAGGAGCAGGATGATTCAGCAGATACCCAATCTCCTAACGTAATCCACTAGCAAGTGAGACACACGGGCGCGTGAGACAGAAACCGCGGTCGCGCCCCAGCGCGTCAACCTCCTCATTTCAACTACCCACTATGCCCCCAATTCGCAGTCAAAATCCTCAAAATTCTATCAACCAAGAAGGTAGGATCCAGCTCGCAATACAAGCCTTTCGGAACAAAGAATTTCGATCAATTCGCGAAGCTGCGCGCCGATTTCAAGTACCTACCGCAACTCTCCATCGCCGATACAATGGCAAACTTCATCGATCGGAAACCCGCGCCAGCAATTATAAATTGACTCCAACTGAAGAGGAATCGCTCCTATGGTGGATACTCTCTATGGATACACGTGGATCAGCTCCCCGGCCTTGTATGGTAAGGGATATGGCCAATATTCTACTAGCAGAGCGTGGTAGTCAGACTGTTGGAGTCAATTGGGTTTACAGATATACAGAGCGCTATGATGAGCTCAAATCGCGGTATTCTCGTCGATATAATTATGAGAGGGCAAAATGCGAAGATCCGAGGGTTATTAAACCATGGTTCGACCTTGTACGATGCACGATCGATGAGAATGGTATCCAACCTGAGGATATCTACAATTTTGATGAAACTGGCTTCGCAATGGGGCTTATAGCCACTGCGAAAGTCATTACAAGAGCTGAATACTATGGTCGGAGGTCAGTTCTACAGCCAGGGAATCGCGAATGGGTCACATCGATTGAATGTGTGAATTCAACGGGCTTTATACTCCCACCATGCATTATCTTCAAATCGTCAAAGTACCAACAATATGCATGGTTTGATGACCTACCCGACAATTGGAGAATCGAAATCAGTGAGAATGGCTGGACTACAGACGAAATTGGGCTTCGATGGCTAGAAAAGCTATTTATCCCTGCGACTACTAGTCGTACTAGGGGTAAATATCGACTACTAGTTCTCGATGGCCATGGCAGTCATTTGACCCCCCGTTTTGATCGATTGTGCGAGCAAAATGATATTATTCCAATCTGCATGCCTCCGCATTCGTCTCATCTACTACAGCCTTTGGATATAGGCTGTTTTGCCCCCCTAAAGCGCGCGTATGGGAGCTTGATTGAGCGCAAAGCACGGTTGGGGGTCAACCATATCGACAAGCTTGATTTCCTTGCAGCATTCCCACAAGCTCGCAAAGAGGCCTTTAAACCAGAGACTATTCAAAATGCATTCGTCGCAGCTGGTTTAGTACCATATGATCCCGATCAGGTCATTTCAAAGCTTGATGTTCAACTTCAGACACCTACCCCCTCAGGTAGTCGACCAGGGAGCCAATCGAGCGCGTGGAGCCCTAAAACGCCGGCAAATCTCAAACAATTGAATCGACAGGGCTCGTCAATCAAGGCACTGCTTAAGAAACGCTCGCAAAGCCCACCAACGCCTACGAATATAGCTATTGATCAGCTCCTCAAGGGCTATCAGCAATCATTGCATTCTAATGCAATCCTTCTAAAGGAAGTCCGCGATTTACGGGCTGAAAACGAGACACAAAAGCGAAAACGCAACAGAACGACTAAGCGCGTAGCTCATACGGAGGGTTTTACGGGCCAAGAAGCCAGGGAGTCGATGAACCAGGCTCATGAAGCTCCTAATACTGCCCCGGCGGAACCAGCTGCGTCAGCTTCCCAGCCAATTACACGCGCACCCCCGCGATGCAGCGACTGTCATCAAATAGGGCATAAAAGAACGCAATGCCCTGATAGGTCTAATAGATAGAAATTTGAAATCAATGGCGTTGTTGGTTTAATAAATTGGTTTGAAATTATAGTAGCTGGTTTTCTGTCTCACGGGCCCGTGTGTCTCACTCGCTAGTGGATTACGTTACCTGTTTTGTATGGTAATCGGGTATTCTCAGAAAAGCAGCGCTGTAACACACTAAAAACCCCTGAATAGATGGCATCCTGAACGGGAACCGAGAGATAGTTCTTCAGTCAATCAATCGATCGCTGGGATGGTTCAATTGGCCCCTCGCGAGTACTAGTCGATACCGATATCCGAAAGTCCGACAAAGGGTTTGAGTTCATTCGTGGTTGAATTTGATTGATTGGACTACAGCTAGCACTCACAAGCTCCATGTGCCTCATGGTCTGAAAGCAAACACTCGGTTCAATGAAATTAGTGTGAAGGATGCTTCTGACGAAGAATCTAGAAACCAAAGTCGATTTTGCGAATTCTAGTGTGTCCAAAGGCGACGCTAGCCCCGACGAGCTTGTTCTTCGAAGCAAATTCGGCTCTCAGGAATGCATGGTGAAGGTCCTAGATGGGAAGCACGATTTAGCTTACATGCGCATGTCGCTCTTTCTGTAAGCCACTAATAAAGACAGCAACCACTGCAGACGACGATGAGTGGAGCTCCCGAATATCATTACTATTTCAGCATTCTTTCTGTCGAGGGAGCCGTCACATCTGCAACAAATATGTCGGGTTAATCCGCCCAAACTAAAGCAACGAACGGATACCTTCAGCCGATCAAAACAGTCGGGGTACAATCAATGCTTAACCGAAGATCACAATACCGTATATCTAAAGTCGTGACTCCTTACTCTGAAGGTGTTGGTCTCATATTTATCTTAAAACTAAATATATGAAGCCTTAAGTCTCTTCGACTCGTTGGTTAACGGCTAATAGTTTAAACACCAGCCAATCATCCTCTTCCTGAATAAGATTGACATTTTCAAATGGAAGACCGCTTCATCACTAATCTCTGAACACCTCTAAGATTTTGAGTTGGACTCGAACATGCGGGCAGCTACAGGTTATTTTGAAACCCCTTTCTAAGGTATCAACCGAACTCAGGGTCGTCAATTATATACACATTACACTAATATTACTGATACGACTTGGTTAGGGATGACGATGAAAGAGATATATGTTATGCTACTTCAGCAAAACCTTATTTCCCTAGGTGTTATCTAATAGGAACTTTGCTGTGTCATGAATTGCCACTATCTCATTCGGAATTTGTGAGCGAAACGAAACAAAAGTACGAGAATGCAGCACCTGCATCCGGGCGGGTACGAAAAAAAAAAAAGATGACCAGACCCGGGCTCGATCCGAGGACCTTGTCGGTGTTAACGACACGTGATAACCAACTACACCATCCGGCCAATTCTTGTGTTGTGGAGGTTGAAAATTTTGCCATATAGCAGTGGGGGGACCCAAGGTGGGGCAAATATTCTGCGCCAAGTCATATCACGTGGTATACGCGACGGGTACCACTAGACCTCGCTGTTGAAATATCCCGGTTACTGAGATAATCATGGGGGCAGGGATCACGTGCGTACATGTATACCTGTCTACTAGCCTACTTGTAGGGGTGCACACGAATAATCACTTTACGAATATTCGTACGAATACCGTAAAATTTTACGAATACGAATAAGCATCGTCGCTTATATAATTGTTGAGTATCACGGTGGCTGAACCTTATGGCAGGGATTGGGAACAGATATATAAGAGGCATCTGGCCCCTGTAATAGATCACTCCTCAAGTCAATCAATAAGATTCAATCAGACAATCACATATCTCAACAGATGGGTTGGGTTGGGTTGGGTCATGGGTTTTTTGGGTTCTGCCGAAGTCTAGATATGAGGGCTGGCAAAGGCGTCATCCTCAAAAGCATACGTGAGTATATCTTGAAGGACACAAAGACCCAGACTGTCATTCCGTTCGGTATACGTGAAGATGAGGCCAAAGCACATTAGAGGCTCTGCGTCAAAGATCGTCAGTTCTTCTTTGACTCACGGTCTTCTTTATTTCGTCTTCTTTTTATGAGCCTTTGCTTGACTCTCATGAGGAGCTCACGCCGATTTGGATCTTGGGGGTGTTTCACCATGAAAAGAGCCACATCTTTCCATTTCAAGACGTCGCCTGCATTTTCATGCGCGTTGGACTCAATCAGGGTTCCAGGACGAGCTGTGGTGGAGCACATCATTTTTCGCAAGGTATTTAGTTGAAGGAGCATGCGAAAGGTGGGAAAGGTCAAATCACACACGGCTAGAAGGTGCCATGTGGTGAATAAGAGATCATCAATGTTGATAGTAGGTTGCTCTTTTGCGCCTTTATCGAAGTTCCATTCATTGCTTAGGGTGGATGTGAGCTTTGGAAGTTAGCTGGGAAGGCTTTTGTGCCGCAAATTGCTGAGACTTACGTGGGTCACCTTCCGTGATAAGTCCAAAGGCAGTGGGCGGTCGGTCTCTTCACGAATCCACATCCTCCAATAACGGGACATGGTGAGGAAGCCTGACTGGTACACTAAGGTGTGGTTTTCATGATACCAACGGAAAAAGCCCTGAGGATCTTGAGGGAAGTCTGGTTGTTTCCTAGGAAAGGTAACGGCTAACGGGGCACAGAGGTACCTTTATGCACTATTTCAACTATAGATCTAGTTTTACAGAATATAGGCTTATCTTTAGCAGTGCCAAGTACATACGACCATAGGGTGTGGAGAACAGGGCTTCACCTGTTTTTCGTCATTCGTTGGGTCATTTGCTCTTGCCGCTCTACTCTGCAGCCCCTTCAGGCTCCTTCACCTGCCTGAACACCCTGAAGGCCCTCTAATCTTCACCCGAACACCCTGAACACCCCTGAAGCACTGACGTTGCCACTCGGCTAAACTTTCCCTCCCTCCCAGTCTCATCTTTCCTCTTTGGGTGGCTTGAACTAATCCTGATCGCAGCTGACCACGGAAAATAGATTCACCGTAGCAACTACAACCGCCTGGTCTGGTCTTGGTTATCTCTTCTCAAAGGACGCAGTGAAGATTCTAACTAAAGAAGAGGCGCAGAAACGAATAGCTCGCTCCAATGCAAATAACCACGATTGAAGCCCTCTAGCTGACTTTTTTATTCTCCAGGACGGGCCAGTCGCGATTTGTTTGTGGTCACCCACCCATCCTACCAACAGGCCAACCGCCGGCGTGTGGCCAGGGTAAGCAGGAAGAGAGGGGGTGGGGGGAGAATGGTTCGTCTCCTGTCCGCGCAAGTCGCGCATATATCTCTCAGCTAGTCTACCACTGAATATCACTGGATTAAATTCATCCTCTTGAAACGCCGCACTCGGTATCTGAGCACAGCCATCGGATGGACTAATTTGTCGTTCCTGTCACCCTTCGTGGAAAACTTTTTCCGGTTCCCTAGTTACAGTGAATACGTAAAAGATCTAACCCTGGCTCGATAATTCTATCTTATTGCTGATAGGACTATCAGTCAATTACCTATGATAATAGGGACGTCCTCCTGGAAAGCAAGTACTCATCATGCTCATCACCTCGCCTTTTTTTCGCCTTCTGCTTGGACTCTCTTCCACCCCTCCAAATTCTCCAAAATCGGGCTCACCCGTCTTCTCGCTGGATATTTGACCCCCACCGAGATACAGCCATGCCTGATACTGATACTGTCGGGAGGGCTCTTTGTCGGGTCTTCAGGAAGGAACCTGATTCGATACCTTCTAACAGATGCCGCACAGCTTGAGCTTCATCAGGAACCCCGACCCTCCCAGTTTTTCCGTTTTCACGGGCATTTACTGAAAAATAATTTCCATCTTCACTGAACAAGTAGCTCTTGACATCTCTGGCGTAGGCGTTTCCTTGCTCACACAGTGTATCGTCAGAGTTTTCAAGGGCCTGAGTGCACAGGGAACAGTGGGTGGCGTGTTGCTCAAACTTATCAAGGACAAATTGTTCGTCTGTCTCCAGTGGGTGCACCGCGATCGTGGACTCGATTATAACAGGGCTCGCAGTTCGTGGTCTTTCACTGGATGTCCTTGAGATTGCTGCTTGCGACGATGGCGGGATTATACCGGCGAGCTCCAGCCTGCGAATCCTCGACTTGAGATCTTGAATTTCGGATTCTACATCATAATAGACTTCAGACAAGTCGGTGGAAGACGCGGTGGTTGATAATGTTAACTCTGTGCCATCCGCGCGCGCCTTTTCTGCCTCGTCGCGAATTCGTTCTGCTGCCTTGGAGGTCTGCCCCGAGATCTGTGGCTTCGCCAAGTCCTCAATAATTTTCTCAGGCTCAATTTCTGCCCCAGGCGACTTGGGAGCTGTAAAAGGTCTTGCCGGATTGGTTTTGAACCTCGACGGGGAGTCGGACATCCGGGGCATGATACCCAGCGATATATTCACAAATGGCTCATGGTGATCTTTCTCCATGGCTGCAGCCTTCCCTTGACCCTCTTCCTGTTGATGAATATCTTCGCGCTTCGATTTGTCGTAGGGGTACCTGAAACCGTAGGTGGACTGGGAGCTTCGTCGATGGGCTCGTACTGACCGCCGATCATCCCGATCCCGTCGCAAATCTTCCAATTCTCGCGGGCTTGTACTGTCTGACGTACTAGAATACCTCGAACTAGCCGTAGCACTAGAGTACCTGGAACTACCAGTCACACTAGAGTATCTCGAGCTACCCGAGGTAGTAGAGTAACTGGAACTTCCTGGAGGAGAGTTGTAACGACCATCCAGTTCCCGAATGCTTGCAGTGTCTGCAGGTCTAAAGTAGAAAGGCAGGGGTTTTGGCAGGTTGAACTGAACGCCACCCGCATTGCGGCTTCGAACATTAATCGACTTGCCCTGTAGCGCTTCCTCTGTGAAACTTATTTCCATCCCATTCACCACGAGAGTCTTATTCATTCTTTCGTCAGCATCAGAACGATTTTCACTGTCCACATCACTATCATTACTCTCGGCGTCGCCAGCTGCCTTCGGGATGAGTGCCTCAGCCGACAGAGGCAGCGAAGCGGCAGTTGTAATGCTCCCAGCCCCAGCAAGTTGATACTCTTCGACCACTCGTATAGGATCCTCTGAAATATCATGGCTGTCATGGTCGTAGTTGTACCGCACTGAATGTCCGGGGTGGCGTCGACGGGAATTTGCGACTGTGACCTGGGCACGTCGCCCGCTGTCATAATCGACTGTGGACCATTTGCTCTCACAGAGACCCTGACTCCGTTCGGGCACACTTTCTCCAGACATTCGACTATGGTCGTAATCAGGAAGGGCGTCAATTAAGTCCGATATGTCAAATTGCCCTGTTGCTCGAGACATATTGCGTTGCGAGGGAACCACTTGCCTCGCCTGGGTGGGGGCAGTACCTTCGTGCTGGGCAGAGGGCTCTCGAAGGTCGTAGGGGAGAATCCATTGAGCCCAGTTGTCTCTTGGACGCAGGCGATCCACGCCATCTTCACTGGTTTGATATTCGACGGATCGAAGTTCGCGGGAGACACGACGAATAAGCTCAGACTCAATGGTCAGGGACTTGATACTCCTCAAGCTGGCGATGACGCTCAAAGAGACAAAGCCTTGAGAATCCATGTGGCGACGAAGAGGCATGTCCCGACACAGGTTATCCACCGAAAAGTAATACTCGAGCTGCATAGAGAGCTTGCTTGTGATCGAAAAGGGGGTCGCATACTGCTTAAAACGCTCTCGAGGCGGCGGTGGGACAACAGTTTTGCCATCATGCACCAAACAGCCAAGGCCGCTGTGGGTCTTGTCGTAGGAGATTATTGGGTCAGGCTGTTGCCTCTGATCTGTGCTTTCCAAACTGGAGTCTTCTTGAATAGTATTTAGATGCCGTGTTTCTGGACTGGGTTCATCTCTTGCAGCATTAGCCTTATCGGGTTGGGGTACGTCGTCATTCTCTCCATCCTCGGACCACGACAAAGGTGCCGATTCTTCCAAGTCCCGATCTGAAATAGCCTGTGCTGCCTCTGGATATTTGTTTGCTCCATGCTGCATGTCGTATGGATCAAAGAATGTGATTTCCGATGTCTTGCTGCCAAGTAGACGATCGCACTGGGCCGGTCGTTGAATTAAAATCGACATTTGGAAAAGGTTATCAATAGTATCACGAAAAGCACGATATATGGACTGAAGTTCCGTCTCATCTTCATCTGTACCGTCTGAAAAGTCATCTTCGAAGTCATCTTTGCATTCAGAGCCTTGCAAAACTTCTGTCAGATCCTCCGCCGTTCTCTGCAGTCGCTCGAGCAGTCGTTCGAGCAGTCGTAACGTTTGATCTTTGATATGTAATGCATCTCGCAATTGAACATCCAGAGAGCCTTTTCCGGATTTATGTACCCCGATGTTCGCGGCCCATACTCTCAAACGTCCCAGTTCGTCTTGCCACAGCGCTGGATACACCTCCGGCTGTTCTTGAAGATATTGATCGGTAAAGAGACGAGTGAGCTGCTCGAGGCACTGGATAGCTACCACTGAGACTGAGATGGCATTGTATAAATGTGGTGACGGGTCGATGGTTAGGTTCTGCGGGTCTTCATCATTGGCGTGCGAACCCTGTCCCTCTGAGTTCAGTTGACCCATCCTGGATACTCCCATCCTGGGTCAAAATTATTCCGTTCGTTCTTGTCCACGATATGATAGAGCAAACCCTTTCCATTTCACTCGCCAATTATCTGAAGACTGTATCTTAATTAGTTGGAGACTACATACATACCACTCCTCCGTGAAGCCTGCAGTTCGCGGATCAAGGAATCACCATGGCATGTCCGTTGGTTGTAGGTACTCACTGCTGCTGTAAGATCCAAATGGCTCTCATTCAGAAATCTTTGGAAGTAACTTGTTACTGATTGGCAATAACGGAATGCCACGTGTCTTTTGCCAGCCCAGGGTGTGTTTCAAGGCGCTTCCGAAGAGAGGCTATCGAGCAGTGCTTTCAGCTTCCGGAACCGATGCCGCAAAGAGTATATGGAGGGAGCAGTGGTAAGTGAGTGTTGTGCTGAAAGGAAAGATGCGTCGATAACAAAGAGATCCAATGCACCGGTCGCGAGAGCGACAGTAGATCTTCGAGTCGTCTCAAACGCGAATTTTCTTTCGCGTGACGAGCTGCAGTGAGACGTTTCCCGAAGCGCCGAGGAGGGGGCGGGGGGCGGGGTTGCGGCTGAACGATGCCAAGTGCGAAACCCTCCCGACCAATTTCTCCATGCTGGCTCTCACTCGCTTTCCTGCAGCAGGTCGACCTCTATCTACCAGGTCCATTTTTTCAGAATGGAGACCGCCGGGGTTGCTCTCGCCGTCCTCCCGCTTCTCCTTAACCAAATGGATAACTATGTCCAAGGAATCGAGACTTTCAAACTCTTGAGATCGAAACGCTATCGCCGGGAGCTCGAGTGGTATCGAACAAACCTGAAGACACAGGAGACTATCCTAAAAAACATTCTCTTGGGTTTGGTGAATGGTGTGGTCGAATACGAAGATGAGGTCGATGACATGATCAACAACCCGCTTGGCTACCTGTTGAGAAGTGAATGTCTGCGATCAAGCCTCCGACAGAAGCTAGGCATCTCATTTGATCCTTTTATTCAGATGATGACTGAGTTTTCAAACCTGCTCAATGATTTATATCGAAAGCTCGGCTGGAAAACCGGGTCTTCTGTGGTGGTGAGTTTCGACCGCGACCGAGCAGTGCTTGGTTTTATGGCAGACCTAATTGTGTTTCTCTTTCACAGGATACCCGAAGGGACAAGTCTCTTCTCAAAGCTGAGCTAAGAAAGTTTAAGGACATCTTTTCCAAGAGCATCTACGAGGGCATAATGACCCGGATCGAAACCGCCAACAGTCTGCTTAAAACCCTGGCAGAACAGGCCGACCACAGAACCATTATACAGAAGATGCGAATCACGAAGCGCCCATTGATACGCCAGAAAAAGGTTCGAAAGTCTGCACGCAGCCTACACAGCGCGATCATATCTGGCAAATGTTGGAAATGTTCATGCAGGGACCGACATGCCGTGCATTTCATGCTGAAGTATCCAGAGCTCAGCAGAAATGAGGAGGAGAGCGAAGCTTCACCAGATTGCCGATTTCGAATGATATTTGCATACACGGGTACCATAGATAACCCTCGACTACGGGACCCTGGTCTTGAAATCGAAACCGAATCGGAGATATCTCAGTCTGAGTATAATCTCAACAACTGTCCTCCGCACTGCATCACAGGTAAAAGAGCAATTCCCAAGGAAGCTGGATTTACAATTCAAGGGGGATTGCAAAAAAACTCAGTGGCTTCTCAGGCGAATAAAGTGCCTTCTATTCTGGATTTATGTGTGTCGCTCTCAACGATCGGCGCCAGCGGACAACCAAACCAATTATTCGGATGCTTCTCAGATGAAAGTCATCGGCACAATATGTACTATATACGGGATATTGCTGCAAGTCTGGAAATGAAATCGCTTTCTGAGTTGATTGCGGATTCAGGCAATTTTTTCAAAGTGCCAACAGATGGTCATTTTCTCACTCAGAAGCAGCGTCTTCGACTGGCAGTGAACCTCGCCTGCAGCGTTCTCCAGTTTCACGGAAGCTGGCTTAAGACTCACTGGCGTGCCAAAGATATCATATTCATTACAGCCGCCGACATTGAGAATCCATTCGTTCGATGGATTGTTGGGGATGAGGATAATATGTGGGGCCTGCATGAAGGCAAAGGCAAAGGTAGAGCGTCATCACCCCTGATTCAAAGCGACATCCTGTTCCCCCTTGGTCTGGTTCTTGTGGAGCTTTCCTTATGTCAAACACTCGAGGCGCTGCGTACAGCAGAAGATGAGGATCGGATGGAAGCATGCGCGGATCTTAAGACGGCAGCTCGTTACGTTGACCTGGTAGCACAACAAAGTGGAACAGAGTACAAGAGGGTTGTGAAGACATGTTTGTTCTGGCCCGGGACCGAAGAGTTTGATTTGGATAACGAAGAAGTACAAGATGATATGTTTCGCCTGATCATTTCACCTCTGATTGAGAATCTGAAAATATTCGAAGGGGGATAAAAGGCTGTGGGGACTGTTTAAACTATCACAAAAGGCGAAAGTCATGTTCTTTAAGGGATTTCTCTAGTCTGTCACTTTGCATCAAAACCAGAAGATGCTAGTATATCCAATATCTTCCTAGCCATCAGAATATCAAGTTGGGTTTAATTAGGCTATGCACTAGATTGAGACAATGAAAAAGAGCAGTTACGAGAGAAGAAACACAAACCCCGTTAGGTAGGCAGCAAAAAAAAAAAAAAAAAAAGGGTCGCCAATTAGGAAAACTTAGTCGCATGATGACGACGGCGAGCGGCAAAAGAAAAGATGTTATTTGGGGGAATAGTCCCACCTATCATGTATCTCACACAGATAGGCTTATGCACGTCTTTTTATCTTTGCCCATTGAAAAAGAACACCAGGGTCTTAGCACCAAATCGCATCTATCTCATCCAATTTATTTCAGTTTGTTGAGTGATTCATGATGGTGGCTGGGATAGACTGCTGGTCAGAGTGACCTTCCCCCAAGCTCTGTTCCTGGTAATTTGTTCTATCGGGAGGCAACCGTCAGCTCCGCCAATGGACTAGCTGATTATTCTGGAGTAGAAGCACGCCAAGGATACGCGTTACCCTCGCGAACGGTGCCAGTTATGGAAGGGAATCTGGGGCAAGGATCGCCTGGTGGTCCCCTAGTTGTATAGCACTATGGCTTTCATACCTCTCTGATCATCGTAGATGTCTCTTTGAGGAATTTGTGTCCGCGATAAAAAGCCATGCCTGCCTCGAAATTTCCACGAAATCCGTCGACAGTTGGGACAGTCGGCTTTGCCGTGATACGACCTTTCATTCCACGTGCCGCAAACTCCATAAACGCCTTGAAGGTTTGAATATCGGGCGGATCCACCGCCTTCGGGTGTAGTGAGAGGAATCTGACGGAAGCAATAAGAGGCCTGGAAAAGTGGCTGCTTGAAGATGAAGTACTGTTGAGAGGCACTCACTTGTCATAGATGCAAAGTGCACGCCGGTAGTCCTCTTTTGTTCTCGGGAGAACGGCGCGTAATATCTCTGAGTTGTCATGGTTATCGAAATCCACGACGAATGTGAAGTTAGCGGTTTGGTCCTTGCTATTCGTCATTGTGAGGGTGAATAACCATTGATCGTTCGGCCAGAAGGACAAGGTGTGAGGGGACGCTGGTGGGAGACCGCTGCTGCACGCTCCCAGCGAGTGCTTATAATTCCTCCACCGTCGCTCCCCATGTCAGCCGTTCGCGAAATCTTTCCCTGTGCCAAAATGTGCAAAAGCGCCTTTTGCCAAAATGCCCTTCACCCTGGTCGGTTTTCGGGTGAAGAATATTCAGGTGGATGAACTGCCGCCTGAAGCCGCCTGAAGGCCACCTGGGTAAAGCGGCGGGTCGCCCAGCACCGAACGATGGGCGCTAGGTGAACACGGCCATACTTTTGGCTGTTGTATGTTTTTACTTCTTGCTCAACTATTGATTGGTTGGGCCTAGTTCTTTATTATAGATTTATTTTTATAACGCTGGCGACCTCTTGTCCTTGCTATATTCTCTGCCGTCTGATTTTTCATATCGCCTCTCTTTCTCCTAGATATTGGGCTCCAAGCTTCACTATTTCTACTTCCGTTATGCCATCGTTTCAGGGTCACAGCGCGCAATGCGCGCGTCTTCCAGTTTTTCTAATCTTACATTCTGGGTGTGAACGGTGCGTGGACTAGCTGAATACGGCCTAGAAAGTCTCACCATAGCCTTGGCGTTAGGGTTTGAGATAGTTTCCCTGTGTAAATCATGGAAGCCAATTTCGAATCTGAGCGTATGCGAGGGTGATAATGAGAAATCCGTGAAGCTAATGGCACGTGGATTTTGATATTCATTTTAATGAAAATCTGAAGTGGCCATATCGAGCATCATGCTTGGGAAATAAGGCATACTATGTACCATGGAAGCGCACGGTAAGATTCCAAGGCGATTACTGGCCACTCCAGGTCCTTGTTACATCTCGAGAATGTCACCGTTGTAAATTGGCCGGATGGTGTAGTTGGTCATCACGTATCCGGGCGCAACGGTGAATTACGCGATGCGGTTTAGCGTGCCCTATGAGGATTAGCGTCACTTGGCGGCCTCACGTCACGGTGCGTGGTGCTATAAAGTCCCCTCCATCGCCGCTTCAACTTTACACGGTTTTTTCACCCTCCTGCTCTTTCTTTTTCCCGGTTCCCCATGCACGACCGGCTGGCGAGGCATTTCTGCCATTAGTCCGGATCACCGAGCTCCGGTCCCCCCTTTGTTGCCGGCGCGAACCGTCCAGTCCGTTGCTGTCCTTTGAGCGATCGAGCTCAGATCTGCGGCGCTGTCCCTCGCCGTGATGGGAAACCTGGATGAGTAATTGTTCTTATTATGCACTTGGTATTAATTCAGGGTTCACCTACGTCCCGCCTCGCCTTGCCTTCGACACCAGCGTGCTTACCAAAACCAAAAAAAAAAAAAAAAAAAAAAAAAAAAAACAACCAGGAACCATTTTGGGATCAAGGTGATTGTGTGCGAAAATACAGGGGGGCAAATGAATTACATCAGTCTGCCCACTCTCGTCGACACGGTCCTAATTACCAAAAATGCACTTCATCTGAGGATAACCGTGCACATCTTGGACAAGAGTGAAGTGAATTTGACTGAACGCATCCTTCGGACCGGTGTTGTGTGGAAGAACTACTTGGGCTCTGTTATTGAATGGTAGATCTATTTCCGTTTTCCGGACACGAGAGACCTGTCAAAAAGAGGAACCTGGAAGAGCTTTTCAATTTCATTCTGTGGTGTGTATTGTGGGACAGAACGATATGAGGTAACTACATTGGTGTTTTCGTTAAGAAGAATTCATATACATTACTTGAGACCATTTTCTGCGAAAAGAAATCGAGAATAATCAAAATATTTGTGCTTATTCCCCAGATCCCACACCAGCCCGTATTCAGATCAGCCAATGTGTGGACATAGTAAAAAGTCATGAGACATTTTGAAACCATAAAACAGCACATTGGCTTTCTCGATCAACTGAAATCTCGAATGAAGTGCTTCCCAGACTGCATGATCTGTCGGTTGTCTGAGGAACCGATTCAAATCTTCCGATCGTTTTCCAGATGCGTCAAAATGCCAAGTGATTAAGGCCAATTTGAGAAGGGTGATGTGGCTGAGTGACCCCACGAGCGTCTTGGCGCATGCACACAGCATCGCCTCTTCTATGCGGATATGATCCTGGTCACGGCTCTTTTGTAGAGATTGGCAGGCTTTTAACACCAGGCTGGCATCATCGCTGAATTTATTGTCACTGGGTATTTCCAAGTACGTAGCAACAATTCGCGACTCCAGTATCGATGTCATGGCCGTTACCGCGGCGCTTTTAAGGAAAGGAATTGGGAGAGACTGATGATTTTAGCAAATAAGCACTGGTGACGAGGTTGAAATCTAACCATTCTGGAAGGCCTCTTATCCTTGGACAAGAAGATATTTCTTGAGTTTGAGCTTTGGGTGTAGTGTTATCGAATGAATTTTAAAAGAACCATCTATTTCTCTCTTTACCTGGTTCTATACCTCTTCATATATATTATTGAGCTTTCGGGGATGACCTGTTTCTCGCAAATCCAGCTACTTTCGCGGCTACCACGGTGGCTAGTCAGTCTGACGTCCTTCACTCGTGCAGATGAATTCTGGGATGATCAGGAGGTGCCATCTGACATGCAAGTGGATGATGAAACTCTCAACCCCGAAATTATCAGTCCCCCCTTTCGTCCTCGTACGGTCAACATGGGATTATCTTCCCGCGATCTCACATTGGATGATAGGCATGGTAAGCTTTCTTTGAATCATGAAAAAAAATCATATCTGACCAAATTTTCGGCATTCTATAGATGGAAGGCCACGTGCAGCCATTATCCAACCTGAAAATGCCCCGGATGATGAGACTCTTATCCTTCCTCCGATACCTGCGTACCTTCGCAGAATCAAATGCAGAGGCGAAGTCCTCGATCTGGAGGAAAACAGGATTACTTCCAATGGTGTCCAATATTTCTTCTAATATTTTCAGTATGTTGTTGGAAAAGCAAAGAGGATACGGACAATGGATCTCCCGATACGTTTTTTCTCCCCACTTAAAAAAGGTTGTAAACTAAAGCTCATTTTTCTAGTCTGGATGTTTAGGTGTCACCATATTGACCTCGGTAAAGAGGTTCAAAAGGATTTGGGACGTGACATGAAATCTTAACACGGTCGAGAGTCAAGGTCTCCTTTTCTCCGTTCAGTATTATGACAGATTTTACTGAATTCTTCGATGTGGATCATGGTTTCATGGAAGGCCAATTTCAGTACGCAACCTGTTGAAGTTGCAGATGAAAGTCTGTCAAGCAAAGTATATGGTACTTTGGAAGTCGGTAGGGCAAAAGGGGAAGTTGGATAAGGAGAAAATGCTTCGTATCCTTTGGGCGACGGCTTCCGATGTGAGCTCTAATGACTGAGATAGCGTTTTTGTCTTGAATAACAAGTAGAGAGTATTAATCCGTATATGTGATTTGATTGCTGATTTGAATCGTATTACCTAGGAGTTTCGTCCCTCACATGTAGACCTTTTTAGAATCTACATTATTGAGTTGTGGGGATTGCATGCAGCCTTGTGACCTAAGGCATCCACTACTGCAGCTTGCTACGATGCTCAATTATGTCTCATATTCATCCTAGCACCCTGCGTATCACATTATCTATCAGGCGATTATGTTGTTGGCTCTTTGTTTGCATCTCGACTCAGCTGCTTTGGCAGCTTCCATCGCGCATGTCAGGGTGCCCGAGCCGCACAGATACTCGAATATATAGGGGCTACCATCCGCCAGAACAGAATGGAAGTGAATAGTACCCGACACATACCCAAGCATCAGTTTCCACACACGGCACTATCAGTGAGTAAGGAAATCGTGTTGACTGCAGTGCCTTCTCATGATCCGAGCCTAAATGCTGCTTCATCTGTTGGTAGGATGATGTTTTGCGATTATTTTGAGTCCGGTTTCAAGCTCCTTCCCAATAACATTCGCGAAGAATTACTTAAGAGTTGGACCGAGATTGTTCGTCCTTTGATCTGCTCCAATGGCGATTTGCAGCACTGGCCATCATCTGCTACCAGAAACACAGGTCTGAAACTCTTTTTCCCTGATCATAGTATTCAAATCTAATAAAAAATAGACAGTTCAAAGCTGGTGTACATCTTGTGCTCTCCTGTGGTCGACAGAACTATCCTTGGAAAACTTTACATTGCTTTGGAAAGGATTCCAGCGATCCAAGAGTCCAAAGTGAGCCAGGTGGTTATTTTGGGCATATTACTTGTTCGGAAAGACGAAATCGCTGGCAAACGATCTTTTGCCTATCGTACCGCTACCCCAGGAAAAAACTCCTCTAATCCTCATCCAGCTGAAGCGAACTCATTGAACGAAAACTTCGAAAATAAAAAAACATCAGATCTACCTCCACCTTATCAGGTTATCAGCCACAGCGATCGAATTCAAGGCGAATCCACCTATTACACTTGGTCACCCAAGGACACCAAACCCGGCGATACAATTATCAGCTGCAGAGCATTCAATCCAGGTATTGGCGTATGGTATGTCAACGCCGTGAATGAACCACTTTATGGCCGAAGGCTCGACTTGCAGCATGAATTCCTGATTGAATGGCAAGAATTCACCCTTGGAGGTCAACCAAAGTAACTCAAGCCTCTGGGAGGAGTGTTGATTGGAAGTTAATTCATTCTCAGTGATTCTTTGCACAGAGCTTGTGTCGTACTTAGCAATGGCTTTCTCCTTCCCAGAAGAGATGACTTCTATCACCATCTGCTCCAAGACCCCATGGTTGTCGAGAAAGTCCGAAAAGCGCAGTTATTGGTGAATTATATCTAGCAGGCACATTCAGGTGAGTTCCAAAGCTGTGGAGTTTCTGTACGGGACTGACTAGGGCCATCTAAGTCACACCTATACGTCGTCAAATTTTGCATACTACCTGTAAGCCCTGTTTGCCAATTCCAGATCACGCACATGGAGAAGATCCTGCTAACTCAAGAAAGTGGATTCTCGATTCGACAGGGGTATGTTTTGGGTATAGCAAACAGCCCCTTGTTCGAAGGAGAAGCAGACTGGGAGGCTTTACCTGTTATGATACAGACCATCCATCACATCTGAGCGTGTGAAGAAACGATACATGCTTAAGATACTCAAACATATGCGCTGTATTCCAAACCATGACTTCATCATTTAAAAATGCCGAATAAGAAAAGTCGCATCTTTATTACCATCATACATCGATCGTAATTTCTGCCAGAAGCTTCGCTCCTTCACTGGTAGACACATTGGGCCTGAAGATACGCTACCACCGCCAGTCTCGGTTATCTTTATGGTGCGCATATCTAGCCACATGATATTGTACAGCACATGACATATCTGGATCTATTCAATTCATCTGAAAACTCATCCCTTTATCTTAATTGATCTTGTTGTTGGGCAAGGCAAACTAAGTGAGAGCCCTAGCGGCACTTTGAGCGCTGCCAAGGATATTGACCTAGTTTTCGAATATTCCATCCGTAAAATCAATAACTTGAGCCTTTTCAAGAAGACCACCGACACTCTGAATGAATTCTTGGTGTACAGGGTCATTGCGGACATAATATTCTCGATCCGCGGCACTGGAGAATTCCACGACAAAGGCGTGCGAAATTGCGTTCTATATTCCGAGCAAATAACAGATTAGCAAACAGCTCATCATAGATATCCAATAGCCAATACTTCCTAAATACCAGCTCGGATGAAGAATATAAACCGACGCACCTGAATTCCTTCAATTGAGTTATCTATCCCACCGGACGACGACTTGATATATGGCTTCTGGGACAATGGATGAAGACAATCGTCCTTGAGGGCAAGCATGCGGGAGCAAACCTATGAATACTTGTTAGTACTGCTGATATATCTTTGAAGAATTGTGTTCATAAAATAACTTACATCGTTGATTACTTCAGCAGTGACACTTGATTTGAACTGGAAGAGAACGACATGAGTAATCGACATGTTGGGCGACCGATGCTCAGCCAATATGGAAAGAACCGATAAAACGCCGACCAAAGATACAGTAAAGAGTATAATCTTAAGCAGCGGAGATAGTAAGGTTCGCATTTTCGAGAGGTAGAAGAAATCTGATGAATACAGGCACGTGAAGCGGGGTAAACAGATGTCATCACGTGATTGTTCTAGACGGTTCTTAGTTAGTGAAACCGGATTATTGGTCATCAGATGAGGTCCATGGCGGACTGCAAGCAATCGTCGTCCATACCTACAGTACCCGTTATTGCTTTCCATGTCGAAGACAAAGAAGCGCCCTTTCCAACCCTAATCACATGTAACGCTAACCCACGCTAACCCAGATATGATCATTCCTGTATTTAAAATGTGTTTGCAAATTGTATGGCGACGAAGTTGACAAATAACACAAAATTGCATTACAGCGCAAATAGTGTAATCAAGATTTCCATGGCTTTGGGCATTTGGTTCATACAACACCCCCCTCCGCCGTCCACGAGTAAAAGGACCAAATCTCAACACCCCTACCATGATTCATAGCCGGAACAAATGATATAAGAAAACCCAAAACGAAGACATCCCGGGGTCGCTGTATTTTGCGTTGGCGAACCATTGCTCCCATTACTTAGTTGGCATTAAACCACAGAGGCAGATGCGAGGCCGCAGTACATACTTGAATCTTAACCAGTGCCTTCCGGACGAACCATATGAAGCGTTTCCTAGGCTATTCACCGAATCACACCATATTGCGCCAACAAATCCTCCATTTGCCGGTCCTCTCTGACAGCTGACCAAATTGATGTAAGGCCAGTCGAAGGAATTTTGATTTTTGGTTGAAAAGACAGAAGTAGTATAACAACTTCTGTATGCCTCTTCGCAACAGCTTCATAATGGCGACAAATTATTTTCTTTCCAGACGTCGGGGTTGGCATCATATTCGAGAAGAACTCTGACAGCTTCCGTATGTCCTTCCGTATGTCCTTCTACTGCGGCTCGAAAGAGGGCAGTCAATAACACAGAGACCAAAAATTTTATTTATAGCCTAAAAAGGCCAATATGCGTGTCGTCATAAACATCTTGTTGAAGATAGGGCTCGGCTTTCCAGAAAGGCACGAGGGTTTACCTCAATGACGACAAATTTAGCTCTGTAATAACTGTATTCCCTGCAATATTACTTGGATCAAACTTAAAAGAATGCTGACCCCGCCGATTATAGACACAAGCCAGAACGTCCAATACTGTAAAGTATCCCGCCGATCACGAATGAGACCGCTGAATGATTTTGGTTTCGCATCCTTGAGCTCTTTCGCAATGAGTTCGATCCTATCATACAGCACGGGGAAATCTCGAGCCGAAAAATAGACTGATCGATCTACAAGCGTTAAACTCGAAGAGTAGTCAAGTCGGCTCTTGGCACATAGTTGAGAGAGCAAAGTATCGAGTTGGCAGCCTTGCACTTGTGCGGGGCTAATCGTCCGACGGAAAAACTTCCTTGATGACGCTGACTGTCCAAATAGAAGACGGTAAGACAGAAGAACCTCCAGGAGATATTGCGAAATGTCATCACTATTGGCGCGGGGGTCTGCACAGGGTCCTTCAATGCTGGCAAATGAATAGATAATCCCGTGATTGCGAAGCATTTCAAGGCAAAAAGACGGATACCTGAAAAGTGATAGAGTCCTGCTTGATTTGTCATAATCGAGATGCAAGCACAATGAATCCACCCACTGTATGTGAACATGAAGCAACACATGCAGAAGGTATGCATTGGTTTCACTAGGGTATAACGGATGCCAAGTAGACGCCATTTTCTGTGTTTCACTTGCAAATTGTACACTTCTCGAAGATCGAGCAGGAAGAAGATTGCCAAATGCTTTTAGCAAAATAGACAAAGGGCGGTCAGATAAGTCGGCTGCTACCCTGTACGTATCAAACACAAGTCCCGATTGTGGTTGACGGGAGTCCTCGTGAATGGCAAGTTCTTGAACTGAACAAACATTGAAAGCAGCTTGATACAGCATAGATTGCCATCCAAGTATGGCGAAGATAAGAAGTCTTTGAGCTCCCATCAAATCTTTCTGACGATCGAAGAACTCAGCATCTTGTAGGTGTTTCAAAATTTCGTCGATAGAGGCTCCGTCGCTTTTGCGCACATAATCCCCGACCTCCTCATACAGTGGTGTCAAACTCTGCTTGGTCTGAAGTTTTTCGCCACCAACATTCAGCTCCCTCAGACAATATGGAAGGTTCTCAAGCTGCTGAGAAAGCCATTCATTGTACCAGCTCATATCGACTGAAAGGTATGGAGAGCTTCCAATAGATGCTGTAGGTTGAGTTCCCTGAATTCTATCCTTATAATTTGGCGTAATATTTGCAGTTTCTGACAAACTATAAATGCCAGGTCTTGTGCGAGAGATTTGGATGCCTGGAAGTGTGGATTAGATGGTGTAATTTTGATGGTTTGTATCGTGGCATTGAGATACTGACGGTCTTGCGAACGGAACAACTTCAATCGGACAAAAATAGGAGTGTACTGGGAATTTGCCCTTTGTTTCTTTGGTGGTGCCATAATGTGAAGGTGTCAAATCTCCGAAAAGTTTAAATCTTTGTAGGACATTTTGAAGAGATAAAAAGATATTAATACAAAGGGTACTAATACCCTTTTGTGATTTTCTGCCCCCATTGCAGATCGTTTCAGGTTGTTGCGTGGGGTACGGGCGCGTAGGTACGACCAATTGAGCTGAGCTTTGACCCATGTGGGCTCGTGAGTAACAATGGGCTAGGGCCAGGGCGCATAGGCATTTGAAACCTAGTCGTTTGGGAGACATCGATGTGACTAATGCCATAGCCTATCCAATTATATCCCTACGGAGCGTGTGCATCAGCATCCCATCGGCGCTTTCACAAGGCCGCTGACTGGCTGTGCTACACTAGCGTGACAAGTGTGCAGGCGGGCGCTACTGCCCCGCTTGCTAACCTTGGAAATAGACATGTCTCCTGACTCTCCTATGAACCCGGTCGCCCAAACCGGATAAAGTCCCAGTAGATACGTATTTTTGGCAATCCCTGCAACACTGTGGACTTGATTTAATTCACAAGCTCTTGCACGCTGTGAAATTGGGCCATGACACAATCACTGGTGATGATTAGGTATTGCTACCTGAGCTAGGAAAGCAAAGCGATTATATTGATTTCATCGACGGACAAAAATACATGTTGAGCCAGTCCTCCTTGTTTCGTGTAAGCATTGGCATTCGTTCTCTCGGTGCGTCAAACGTAAGAATATTATCTCGTTAACTACCAAAGCATCCATCCAACAAGGTTCATGAACGACTCATCCGTGTCCTCGCCAAAGGCTTCTTTTCCACAAATTCTATCTCGCCGACTCTTAGCCTCTATTTTGAGCTGTTCAGCTTTATGTTTTTCTCCTAGTTTATCCTCGACCATGGCCAGGAACCATAGTGCACGGGCTAGGTGGCCCTGCATCTCGACAACATCTTCACTAGCTTCTACCACTGCTCGTAACAGCTTTGCGGCTAAAATCGTCTCATCATCGGCCTCTAACATCCGAGCCACCAAGAACATGGAGTCAGCCACTCGAGGGCCTTTGTCTCCGAAAATACCCCTTCGGATAGAAATCGTCCTTGAAGCAAGTTGCTGAGCCTCTTCTTTAAACCCCAGTGTGTATTTGATCCTGGCCAGAAGTACGATATCCCCACTATGCTTCGGGTACTTCGAATGTATAACTTGTTCTTCAGTCAGACCCTGCAATTGCCAGCAACATTTAAGCGATTCTAGTGCTTCTTGGGGCTGTCCAGCACGGAGATGTGTCATGGCATAGATTGCTTTTGTCCTGCCCATATTCAGCGGGTTGTGCGCATGATGTATGTCGGTCGCTTTTGAAAGGTATTCAAAGGCCTCGGAAACCATTCCCAGCTCAGTATAGCTGCAGGCGATCGAATCATATATATCCGCGATTGGAGGAGAGCCTGGTTCTTCGAACTTTTCCCTTGCGCTCAATGCTTTTCGATACGCAGATAACGCTGTTTTTGGGATTGCCATATCTAGAGCCACGTGGCCTAAAAGCCGGCATGCTTGCGCATAGTTCCGAGTATGAGGGTCAATTTTGAGCTCAAGGCCGTACTCGAAGAAGTCCTGCGCAGCTGTTGGCTGCTCCTTTTCCCAAAGGTATCTTTGAAAAATGTGTCAAAAATGCTTCTTTTATAAGGAAATTCGGTTTTAGATAATATACTCACGTTCCTGCGCGGAAAATAAGTTCTGCGAAGAGCTCTGGATTGCTGACCGTGAGGCGATGCCTTTCAGCTAGCTTCATAAGCCAGCTTATATGTGGGAGAACCGCGCTACAAGTTTCCCATGATTCCCAACCATGACCTTGTTGATGAGACCTCTGATTCCAGGTGTTTGGAAAGCTGGAGGACAGAGCTTGAATCACATGATCAAGATACATTGAAATATTCGCCGCAGACAATCGTGAGAACACGGTGAGCTGGACGAGACGGTGCACGGAAATTGCTTTGGACGAAGAGATTCGATTGATGAGCGAAGCTCTCGTAAGGCCAATCACGGCATCTCCAAAACTGGTACATTTTCAGCAAAGAAATGCTTCTAGTGTTGGGGGAAAAGGGGGGGGGTTTCCATACTCGAAATCGTCCATCAAGAACAGCAACTCAGGCTGGGTGATGTCGGCTTTTTCGTTCGATAGTATCCATTCTGGTATATTGTCCGGATCAAAGAAGGCGAGGATATCCAGTAAAGCCCTTGATTCAATCGAGAGCTTTTGAATCGACATGCTCCAAACTGTACTCAAGGTGTGTTCGTATTGCATGGGTGCCGTAGATCTCGTGAATATCTTCTCGGCTGACTTTTTGTACACTGGCAGGAATTCCAGAAACGAATAGCCGCGGTCGTTTATGAATTCACTGATTTGAGCCATTGCTAGGGGGAAGCCACCAAGTAGCTCACATAGCTTTCTTGATGCTGCAGCATCGTCTTCATCTAAAGGTTGCCGACCAGTCAATGAAGAAAGCACTTCTGAGCCTGTTTCAGCGGTGAAACATCCGAGATCGATCACTTCAGTAGTTCGCTTGAGTGCAAGTGTCTTAGACCGGCAAGTGATAATGACAGACCCCTTAGTGCTAGCTGGCCAAATCTGTTCGAGCATATCATGGTCCTCAACGTTGTCAAAAATCAGAAGGAAGGTCTTTTCTGATACGTTCAACCAATCCCTCACTTTCTGGATTGACTGATAGTCATCTTCCATGCCTTCTGGTTTCGATATACCAAGCTTGAATGCAAACTTGGCTAAGGCTTGTGTGAACTTTATTTGTGTTTCCGCCGGTATCCATAGCACCGCATCATAGAGTTTCAGGGAGGTGTTTGCATATTGCAGTGCAAGCTGCGTCTTTCCAACACCTCCTATTCCATATACTGCGATGACTTTCAAATTCTCGGCATTCACTTCGGGTTGAAGAGCTTTTTCCAAGGCCTCTTTCTCATTTGATCTTCCAAAGAACCTGAGGTTAAGGCCGTACGGTACCATGTGACACGGGAGATTCAATTGTCTCGATTGGGATGATTTCAGCTCCTCCATTGCCTGAATCGTGTCAGCCGCATGGGCCTCTCTTGTGAGGCGCATCATATCAGCTATTTCATCGACTGTTCTGGAGTACCGGCGAATATTCGAAATCACCTTAGGAAAATCTTTGCTAAACTGTAGCCATGCGTTCCGACTAGGAGAGATATTGGGGTTGTTTCTGAAGAATGCGATCGAGTGTGCACAAAATACGATGATCTCAGTATAAGCGGCCAGAAGAGCATCTTCTAGTTCTGCTGTGGGTGGGAGTTCCTGTTCATATTTGCGAAATCTCGGAAGTGCACGACCTAATTCTTCGAGCATATCGAGGACTTGAGGGAGAACTGGCCGCGCAAACTAAATCCATTAGTAAGACATGGCAAGATTTTGAAGAAGTGATTTTTACTACCTTCATGATTAGGCTTATAGAGCCCCATATTATAGCAGCAACCTGGCCGTTCAAGCCTAAAGCTAGCGTAAGAACAGCGGCGAAATCATTCAAGTTAAACAGTATCGGCTCGAGCCGTCGCAGCAATCTTTTCCATGTCCCCTCCGCATGAGAATCGGAAGGTGCAACATCGTGAATTTGCTTAAGAAGGTCGTCCGGGCTATGAATGCCCCAGACATCTTGATCAATTGCAGGGGCCCTGACCCCGCCTTTCCTAAGCTCGTCGTAGTATCTGTCAATGGCTGCCTGCCATATTGGACTGGTATTGCTTCCGCTGGGTACCTTGTACGAGGTGCAAGTGCCCAAGGTAAGTTGCGACAACAGATGAATTTGATTATCTGCACTCATGTTTCAGCATCCAGGGATCGTTCAATGGTGATGCCTCGGGGTTTGAAAGTGCGGGGGTGGCATTATTGCGGTTGTGAACTGTCGTTGGGCCTGAACTTGAGCTAGCTGTTCTGGGCAAGATGGGGCTGTTAGCGTCTTCTCTTCGCGTGATTCGCTCTCACAAACTCAGCGAGAAAATGGGGTGCCTTGAACGTGGTTGAACCTACGACTCAGCTAGCCACTGCCTGCGAAGGAGAGCATTCAAAGTAACTGACTAACTAGAGAAGAGAGGGATGGAGGGAGGGAGAAGGCGAAGTGAGAAGGGACAGGGTCCGAACCAGTCCACACTAGTTCATCACCTGACTTCAAACAGAATTGTCGCAAACCAGGGTGTAGTGGATATGTGCTTCAACCAATGGAGTCGCAAGAAAGAGTCTGAATTGCTGTGTAGCCCCTATCCGGCAATTTATGGGGGCAAGCTGACTAATACAAAACAATCGGCAATTTAGATAATCCACCTCCGAGCTATGGATTCCAACAGCTAACTACTGACGAGGCGGATGGGCTGTCACATGATCTGAGATATTTTGGGTCGTCAACAGGTTTGTTTTCCTCTACTCAAAGCCAAACAGGCACAGCTTGTCGCACCTTTACTGTGATATCAATTCCTTGGAACTGTGGATCCTATTTGAATACCTATTTCGGTCGCCTATTCAAATTTTCTACCAGATCTAGTCACATAACGCAACTAATCGCCGAGTCACATCTGTACAACAAGTCCAGGGCCAAAAACATTGATTTATAACGAGAGCATGGGAATCAGTGAGGTCGACGCTGATATTTAGTCAGACTGGTGGATTCAATCTCTCATGCTACAGTGTCTTCAGAACCATTCGCGATTTCCATATCGGAAACTCTGTCCGCCGGTTCCGTATCGGAGCATCCGTTCCACCCGTCGGGGCCGAATAATTTTACACACTGCAACCTTGGAATACTCTCTCTATACAGTTAGGTATCGTTGCCTAAACAGTCTTGAATGAATAGCCACAATTATGTAACCATCCCATCTGACTTTTGCTCAATATCTCACATGATGTCTATCAACGACTCACAAGGTTAATTGTTATAGTCCATCATCGAATAGCGTGTTTAGGAAATCTCAATCAACTATCACGAAGCCATGGCACATTGTATCAGCTGTCTTATAACATAGCTCGAAGAGAATACCAGCTTGCTAGCTAAAACCAGTAAAATCACTCAACAGAGACTCCCACTGGGTGTCATCGACAGGGAACATATCGCCCAGGTCGCCAGAGATAGACGGCCAGGCTTGGGGTGTCATAGCAACCTCGTTGCCATTGACTGCCATCATGGACATATCCTGTCTTGCGTTTTGACGCGGTGCAGTTCCAACAATAGCCCTAATTTGATATGGATAAGAATGTGCTAGCAGCCGCATTTTAGAGCAAAGACTCCCCACAATGTCCGTCTCCTTTTCTGCAGCAGACATTCCCTCAAATTTCGTCTCCAGCGAGTTGGCAAGCTCTGTGACAATATTAGAATAATCTGCTGCATCAATAACGGCCTGCACTTGGACTTCCATGGCCGAGTCCGCTTGGCCAGTAATGAGATTGAGAAGGGTCAATACTGCGGTGGGAATGTAGCCCACTGCGGCACATAGATGAGCACTTGTAGGTATTGTAATCTGGGCAATCTCCGACACTGATAGATGTCTGATCATGTGAATAAGCTCCTTGCTTCGCTGGATCATACCCATCAGCATGGTTGTCCGGGCTGCGTCGGCACGATGTCCCATCCATAGTTCCTCCCGAAGAGATAATTCCTCGAGTCGTACTTCCGCATATTTGATTTCAGTGCGTATTGCATTCTCTGTAACAGCCGGTCAGTCTCCATCGACCATCTTGGGTCCATGACACACCTGTTGACGACGGGAAATCTGAGATATCACTTTCTACGCATGCCCTCACGCTATCAAATTGTCGCTGCAGAGTTCCGCGTGCAATCTTGACGAGCGACTGTCCACCACTTGCTTGTATCGAAGCGTAAACTTCATCGATAGTTGCCAAGAAAGACTGCAGGTGGATAAACGGCGCAATCCATCGATCTGATAGATGTTCGGTAGTTGCTATACCCTTAAGACACTCATCGGTCCGGCCATCATGCTTCATTGTGATCGGTCGGCCAAGTGTGCCACAAAGACTAACACATAGTTAGTCAAAGTCGCGCCAATCAGGGAAGACAATCTCACCCAGCCGACAGCCAATATGTACCGAGCAGTGCCCGCTGTTCGTCCGAATTTAGACGAGTCTTTTTGTGCAAGCTCAAATCATATAAAATGGAACCACAAAGCTGAATCAGCAACAAAAGTCGCGGGTGATATCTCTCCCCAGGATATGAGTACCATGCGCTGTGAACCAAAAGACCACGGAGCAACTCAAGTTTCCTCTCGGATCGTGCCACAATCCTCAGCGTAACGTGCTTCATAATTTCCTCGGCGACAACTTTGCGCAGAGGATGCGCACTGCCCATGGTCGCGGCCACGATGCACAAAAAGAGAAAAGGTTCCCGGTTCCTGAGGCGAGCAGCTGTCTCGCCGTGTGTAAGCAATACAAACGGAAACTTGGGCACGAACTCAAGCTGGAAGGTCTTGATCAATAGCTCAGCCTCGGCTTCGCTCAAAAGCCCTTGATCTACGATGGACGGCTGGCCCTCCAGGACAGAGGTGGTCGGCGGGTCGGGCCCGTGAGATGGGTCTTGAGCAGCATCTAGTAACGCGACAATATCTGTGGAAGCCGGGTCGGGATCACGGGATGAGGACGATTCGTTGGTGGGCAGATTAGATGCCTTAGAAGTACCGGGCGACGACTGTCCATTCTGTCGGGTCAAAGCAGTCAGCTGCGACGTTAGCTGGTCGACCTTCTTCTCTAGCATCTCCATACGGCTGCATCTATAATCAATACCACAATTTCCATGTGTGTTAGGAAGCTTGGGAAGTATTACCTCGGTGCAGCCTTGTGCTTCCGCTTCGTCTGTGGAAGGTCAAGATATGTACATGACTTGCCCAAACGAGCGCACCGCTGGCACAGGCTGACAGCATGCGGTGTGCATTTCGCTTTGGCAGCTGTACAAGCCACGCATGCCCTCCTCTTGATTGGAGATACTGTGGCATCCATGATACAGCGCAAAGAGCGGGGGAAACGGAGCGTCCGATCGGCGGTTGTGAATGACCGTTTGCTGAGCAGTTTGACCGGGAGAACCGGATCACCCGGTCGGCGCGGTTTGTAATCCCGCCCAAGATCTATATAAGGAAAAAAAATAGAACGATTATCACAAGGGCATCGGCAGCAGCAATTCAGTCCATCTATCACTGAAACAATCTTCTTACTTTTTTTGAATCCAAATTTTTTTAAAAATGTTTTCATATGCCATCACCGGAGCTTCCAAGGGCCTCGGTCGCGAGTTCGTGCGCCAACTCGCTGCCGATACGACCAACATGGTTCTGGCGATTGTGCGAGACCCCGAATCGCCCGGCATATTTGAGATCGCCTCTAGTCACTCAAACGTGCACGTTATCAAAGGCGATGTTACGGACCCAAAATCCATTCTCGAGGCTGCCTCGGCCGCAGCCGTCGTCACAGGCGGGAAGCTAGATGTGCTTATCCACAACTCCAACGCCGTTGATATGGCCAGCATGTCCTTCAACCCGACTCAGATCCCCTTTGATGCTCAAGCCATTCGAAAGATCTTCGACCTACCGCTCAGCACGGGTGTCTATGGCGGTATATGGACGACAAACGCCTTCCTACCCCTGATTGAGAAGGGCATCCAGAAGAAGATTGTGCACATCTCCAGCGGTATGGCGGATTTGGATTTTATCAATAAGTCTGGTGTCAGCAATGCTGTCGCATACTCAATCGCAAAGGCAGGGGTGAATGTTCAGGTCGCCAAGTATGCAGCAGAACTCGCGCCTAAAGGCATCAAGGTGTTGGCTTTAAGTCCTGGATGGGTTGAAACATGGGAGGGTAGGTTGACCTTCATCCTTAAAGCGGTGATGGTAGAAACTGATATAATCATAGGGGAGAAGCCTTCTCAGTTAATAAAAGCGAACGATGCTCTGTTGAAACTGTTCCAGGTAGCTGAACCTGAACTCAAGGGGCAGATTCAACCCCAGGAAAGCGTTAGAAAGTGCCTCCAGGTGATTGAGCGTTTGGATGCCGAGACTAGCGGCTTGTTCCTGAGCCATAATGGAGATAATACAAGGTGGTTCTGAGAGCTCTGGATACTGGTTAGTTGCTTCGGGGGCTATATCAAACATACATAGACGAAAATGCATGGATTGGTTACAGTAAACGCCCACATCAGATGTTTATACAAGAAAGCATACATGCGGGCTTCATTTCTATTTATACTATAGACACATCAAATGAGAGAACCCTCACTGCCTAGTTCCCTCCCCACTTCTTGTACATCATATCGTAGATCTGGAGGTCATTCTTGGCATCCTCCACGGTTGTCTTGATGTCCTTGTCATTGACGAAGGCATCGTGCATCACCTGGAGCTCGGCAGTATACGCATCCTCATACGAGGAAAGCGTGTTGCGACGCTGAACCTCACCATGCTCATTGACCTCCTCCACCTCAACATAAATGGGCAGACCCTTCACATATGGGCTGTCATACTTGATGGTGACTCTTTTTGTGTCGCCGTACACGGTGATATGAGCATCGAAAATGGGGACCTTGTCAATGCCGCTCTCATAAGTGGTGGAATAGGTCGAGCCGTCTTGATTACGGAAAGTCATGATGGCGCTATAGAAAGGGTCATTGACAGACACACCGTCCACCGACTCTGGGAATCCTAGGGTCTCGCGCATGAGGGAGATATCGTGAGATCCCAGGCTTCCCAGGAAGCGGCAATACTTTTTTTCTCCTCCGTGATCTCCTGGTTGGGGAAGGCTTCCTTGAAGAGGGCATCCAGACGCTGGTTACGCTCTTCGGTGGAGCTGGCAGGGTAATCAGAGTTCTTGACCTGGAATGTACCGCTCTGGTCCACGAACTGTGCATTGGGGCCACTGAAATCGCGGACACGGGCGTACAGAATCTTCGGAATGCTGGCAATCTCGCGCTTGAAGGCGTTGATGTAGCTTGGAGCATAGCGGCGCATGTAGCCCACGAAAACACGGGCGCCGCCAGTCGCATTCTTCTCAGCGTCAATGATAGACTGGACGGAGGGCAACGACAGGGAAACGGGCTTCTCGATGAAGACATTCTTTCCCGCCTTGAGACCCGAGATAGCTAAAGGGGCATGGCTCTCGTCGGATGTGAGTATAAACACCACCTGTACGTTCTGGTTGTCGATCACCTCCTGCGGTGTGGTAGTCTTGTGAGGGACGGAGAATTTGGCGGCACAATGGTCCACAGTCGTGGGCGACAGATCACAGATGGACTCGATCTTGAAAAGGTGCGATAGAAGCAACAGACAAGGTCCATGGCACACCTGGAAAACCTCCTACATCGGTTGTTAGCTTAGATGCAGTCACCCGAGAGCAAGCTGAGACGCACACCGGCCCCGATGATTCCAACACCAAGTCTTTGAGACGAGGTCATCTTGGTCAAAATGTGCTAGGCGGTAGAAATTATCCGAATGCGTCAACGTGACACGCCAGAATGTCCGATGTTTGATACAATCGTCGTGGCTGGACTGCAGAATGGAAAGCAACTGATTCAAGCAAGCTTGGGAGGTGCGTCACCGCGGGGCGGAAAGCTCCCCCGCCGTCGGCCTCGCTTGGCGGTCGCCCGAACGTCCCTTATCAGACAACATTCCCGAAGATACTAAGGTGCTCTGCACCTACTCAGGCACCGAGCCTGCGGTACCTCACCCGCATTAAAGAGCCTGGGGCTCGGATATCTATTCTCACTGTCGACATTCTTCTCTTTCTTTTGCCTGTTTCCTTCCCACAGTCGGAAGTAGGGGAAATAATCCATTTCAGACACCACCACCTCAGGTGATGCTCATTCTTATCGGTAGCTCTCTCTTGCAGTCTCTCCACGCATTTAAAATGCCATATCTTACGGAATCGACAAAAATAGCAGCACCACACGGGCTCCAAAGACTGGCGAGATGAGCGGACAAATCTGATCAACAGGACCCCTTATTGGTGGAGCAACGACCGTGACTTAGCGGCATGCAGGGCGGCTCTTAGGGTGACGCTTAGCCTCCTCAACACCTGGGCTCATTTGGGGCCCGCTCCTATTTGAGTCCCGGCGGGGCGCACAAGGGTCGATTGCCTCGAATATTTCTTGGCGGTAGTCGCCCCTCGGAAGGCATTCGGTTTCATGTTTCCATTTTGTCAGTGGTTTGTTCGTGACTCGGAGTCATGGAGCAGCCGAACTCGAAATTGTTTTTAATCGGCTGCCTTTTTAGCGAATCAAGTCTGGATGGATACCAATGTTGGCACTGGTGGTATGTCGTTGACCATCACATTCGATATGGGCTTGGACACCCAGGTCCCTATATCTCTCGGAGGGGATTGATCCTGGTCTCGATTCTTCTGGGTCTTGATATCCTGATTCTCGTACCTTTTGCCATATATGCAACGTTTACGCCTCGATGGACGTCGACGATGGACTCGTTTACTATGATGAGGATGGATGCAGCGGTCGCAGCCAAGGTGCCTTTGCTCCTTGGTCAGGAGACAGACAAGATTAGTGCCATTGATGAGATCTCAGGATGCGTGGGCGATCTGTCGAAAGAGAGCGACCTCAATGGCAAATTAGGCCTGGGGGGCTCCCCGGCCACCGAGTTCAAGGGAGAACAAGAGGTTTGAGTGCTATGAGGGAGATAGAGAGCATTTCCCGAATCGTGCATAAAATACGAGGATACATCAGAGAGCATACCAGGAAGGAAGGCGGAACCTGCAGATTTAGTTCTACAGAATACAATCCATCTCTCTCGGTGCAGTCTCAAGCAAGAGTTCCTTATTACGGTCGCAACAGGCAAGAAGACCATGGCAGCTAGCTATGCTGGAAGAAACTGGACTGACAAGGATGATGTTCATGAGAAAATAACCCCTTACTGCTCCCCACATACCAAGGAAGGGGCCAGCTCCTTGTTTCGGCCATCCTTCATGATGCTAGTACTAATCAATAGTTTCCGATCATCATACAAGGCAAGAGGCAATGGAACAATCAAATCTGCCCTGTTATTCTCATCAGCGAGCGTAGTCATGGTGGTATAGCACCTGCTTTCATTCGATGAGCGGATAGGCTGGTCGCCATTCCCACAGGGCAACCATACTGAACTCAAATTGAAGCATGCAACGTCTTCTGCAAGCACCAGTATTGCTCCGGCTAGACAAAGACAAAATAATACTCGTAGTACAGGTAATCAACATTCCTTCTATCTTCCAAGGTTACTAACTTCAATTTCACATCACAACGACTTTGGGCGGTGTAACTCTAGAGAAAAAATAAGTCACCCTGGTGGGGGCGGCCCCCAAACACGTCGAGATTGATCTCTGCCCGCACCATTTGGACTTCGACCCTTCCGCGCCAAGCCTGGGAAGGCTCGTGATCGGTTGGCCACCTGCCGCATTGACGCGACGCCCGAGGAGTCCTTGTTGATCGCGGCGGGGGTTTAAATTTAGAGCCGCCTACCTTTCGCCGTATCCTTCTCTGTCCTGCGTCTTCTTGAAAATTTCCTTCGCCGTGAAATCAATTCACAACTACATTCGCGATGGATCACCACCAAAAAACCACCCAAGCCAGCCAGGGTGATGCGGTTGAGTCGACGGTTACTGCCAACTCGACCACCCCAGTCAACGCCACCACGACTGAGACTGTGACCGCGAATACAACAACCTTGCCAGCCGTGGAGAACGTACCGCCCATAACTGCTGAAACGCAACCGCCGCGATATGAAGAGTATGTCGTCGATTCGGAAAATGGGACCTGAGAACTCATATCCAGCTACTAACCGGCTTCGACAGACACAAAGAGATAGTGCCAGCACCAGCACCAGCGGTCGCACCCAACACGATAAACGGACCCCCAACGGAGAAGACCGCATGGCAAGCCGCCACCCAAGCTCCAGCTCCCCCGGCGGGACAAGGTCTCGTCGCCCGGACTGCAGTCGAGCTCAGCACACTCGATGAAGAGCCCCGTCTGATCAACTGTCCTTTCTGCTACCAACAGACAATGACAAGGGTCAACAAGGAAAGCACCGGCTCCACAGGGTGAGTATACATTACACTGATCGCTCTCGTCCCGGGAATGATACTAATGCCGTCCAGAATGGCTGCTGTCGCCTGCTGTCTGTTTGGTGGTATTTGCTGTGCCTTCATCCCATACTGCTTCGAGATGTGCCACGACTCCCACCACTTCTGCACAAATTGTGGCCAGCAGGTGGCGATGCGACCACACGATGGACCGGTGCAGGTGTATTCGCCCCAAGCCCCTGTGGTCAGTGCGCCCGGACACGTTCAGGCACCAAAGGTGGCCGCTGTGGCCCATGATACTAGCGGCAAGAACTAATTTTGCCCGTGCGACCTTGCCACTTAATTTTTTTTTCGTTTTGGCCCTCGTGTTCGGGCCTGTTAGCTTCGAGATATCCTTTTGTTTTCTCTAACCGAGCCCCACTTAGGATGAGGCTCTAAGGAACTTAAAGTTCTGCCCAGGCCGGGCTGTGTACATACCCCAAATGATCTGGGAATGCATGCGAGCGCATGCGCTGAGCAGTGATTTCTGAAGGTTAACTCCAAAAATATGGAACATGAAATCTTGTGTAGGCTCGTATCAATGAAAGAGACTCGGTATTCATCGAGTGTGGTTCGTATCGAGTGGGGGCGGAAGATCATTTGAAAGCGTTTGCGATGAACTTTGACTTTTCAGGGCTTGCTCGACAAGTGGAACAGAGTTTAAAGTTGTTAAAATTAGAATTGGAAATTCTACTTTTATCCCATTCAACTATCCAATGGGTCTGCCTGAAGACCACAGCACTGTCCAAGGTTGGAGTTTGAGGTACCTTGGCTTGTTTCCATGGTTCTCCTTTCAGCCTCAATCACCTACAGTGATTTCTGCCACCATACTAAACTCAGCCAAATTCCTTTGAATTGTGGTTTTATTTTTATTTTTATTTTTCGATTTCGATTGCTTATCTTGTCCCTATATACTTCTCATTCATCCATTCATTGCTCCGTAGGGTGACCAAACGGATAGGCAATGGACTCACTTAAAAAACGATCAAGGGCTTAATCAAGCCTGGCTTCCGTTCGATGAATTCCTGGAGGCCAGTCACAATATTTTTGAATGAGATAGTCTCCGTAAAAATAAGTGAAGGCTCAAGAGTCCCATCCCTGATGGATTGGAGCAAAAAGTCCCTGCGAGTCCGGTTCGGATCCGCCAGACCCGTCCACACCGTAATGCCCTTCATCTGTAGCTGTGCCAAAGGCAACTCAACCGGACCAGATGGAATGGCCACCATAGAAATTCTTGCATTCAAAGCTGCGACAGGAGCCCAGGCATTGAATGTGCTCTTCACTCCAGCTGCATCCACAATGGCCTCTGCACCGCGGCCGTCGGTGAGTTCTAGGACAACCTCGGCGACATCTTCCAGCGATGCGTTGATGACATGGTCTGCCCCCATTGCTTTCGCGACTTCCAGTCGATCAGATATCACATCGACAGCAATCACCTTGGCGACTCCCTGCAGGCGTGCACTATGCAGAGCACATAGACCGACCGGTCCGGCCCCAAAAACAAGCAGCGTGGCGCCAGGGCCGACAGCCGCTCGTTCGACGCCCGTCCACCCCGTGCAGAGCATATCCCCAACCGTCAGAGCCTGCGCATCGCTGACCCCATCCGGAATCAACGACAATGTATTATCGGCGCAGGGAACGCGCACAAATTCAGCCTGGGCGCCTCCCAGATCACCCAGATTCTTCCCGGACCCAAAGATGCCGAAGCTCTCGCAGGTCTGATATTTGTATCCGCGGCATGCGTCGCATTGATTGCACCAGACCCCCGGCGACACGGCGACCCGATCTCCCAATTTGAAGCCTCGCACGTCCGGGCCGAGCTGGTGGATTGTTCCGACGCATTCGTGGCCAAGTGGGAACCCCCACGGGGTTTCTTCGATTTCGCCGAGGACGAAGTGGACGTCGGATCCGCAGATCGTGGTTGCGCTAACTTTGACAATCACATCGGTCGGGGATTGGAGAGTGGGTTCGGGGGCTTCTTTCAGGGCGAAGTTGTTAATACCTTCGAGAACGAGGTGCCACATTACGAGAGGATATTAGATGGGTAAGCGTAGTCGGGCAGGAGGGCTTCTTGGAGGGACCACCTTAGAAAGATGGCACGACCGTGGAATAATCGCTACTACTTGTAGTCCCCACATTTTCTATTAGCCCCCAAATCTCGCGGGCCAGAACCTGCCAACATCAGCTATGCTCTGATAGTACATTGCTGTCTTTAGTGGACTGTAACTACCCGAAATCCGATACCTGGTTTTGGCGTTTCTCTTTGTGGAAGCCTCACTAGATTAGTATACTGGTAAAGATGCTGGCTAGTGCGAGCTTCTAGAATTGTAAACGAGGGGCTTTAAGCAAAGATTCTCCATTACATTAATCTCATCTTGCAGCATTCTGGCAGACTATGGAAATTGGACTTACGTCTATATCTATGTCTTCCCCCCCTGCTAAGAAGTCAGTGACTTGGCGCTTTGATATCCACATGAATACAACAATAGCTCGCATCACGATACACCGGTATAAGGAATATGATTCTGGGCACTAGAGTGTCACAGTCCTACTGTAGATATCACTAATAGCTGGAATTCCTCGCCCTGGCTGGATCCTGCAAGGCTACGGTTTTCCGGATGGTTTTCTTTCTGCCTCCTCTCGAGCTTATCTCGCAGGCAAAAGGATTTTTGTCCATGCAGCCATACATCTTCGAGTTTACCTTGAATTCATAAACAAAGATGAAACAAACTCCCGGTGTATTATCATTGAGCTGATGATGGAGGGGTGTTTAGCAGGTGCCTGAAATCGCGGCGTCACGACTTGCGAGACTCGAATCAGCAGCCGCCGCCAAGAAGATGCACTCCACGCGTCCTGATCGCTCGCAGATCTGCGGAGCTGCCAGTGACCCCCCGACAACTTGCACTCCTCGACTCCTTTCCTCCCATTCCTGCTCCTCTTCCCATCCTTCTTTCCCCCGCACCGCCCTTTTGAGCTTCTAGCTTCGTGGGGTTCTCCGCAATTGATCACCATGGTCGCCGAGCACCTTACCATCCGCAACAACACCAGCACGCCGATCGTCCTCAAGCGCATCGAGCGATTCGCGGCCCCAGAGCAGAGCAGGGGTGTCGACGATATCACCTCACTGGCAAAGAACTTCACGCGCGTCCTCACCAACCAAACCCGCACCGTCGAACCCGTCAAGTCTATCAACGATGATACCAAGCCATTCGACGAGGTGACGGGCATTGACCTACGCATTGAGCCCTTCACAACCAAGAAAACCGAGCGCAAGGCCTTCCTGCATTCGGACAAGGAGCGCATGCGCCTGGTCTTCGAGGTCGATGGCGAGCGACACCAGATCCAGACGCCTGTCCCTACCACCGAGTCCGCAACAATGAAGGCCCTGGCCGAGAACCCCAAGCACCGCTTGACAGGCGTGTACATCACCCCGGAATCGTACCTAACGATTTTCTCGTCCGCCAACCTGAATGCCTGGATGCGCGAGCTGCGTGATGATACTCTTCTCTCCGCCCTCTCCATCCCTGGCACTCACAACTCGCCCACCTGCCACGTCGCCCCGCCCTCGGTGCGCTGCCAGGCGGTTAGCCCGCGCGAGCAGCTGAGGAACGGCGTGCGCTTCTTCGATATTCGTGTGCAGCCGCAGTACCCGGATCAGCCGGACAAGGACGAGCTGATTCTCGTGCATAGCGTCTTCCCCATTTCGCTGACGGGCAACAAGTACTTCCGCGATTTGATGCGTGAGGTCAACGATTTCCTTGAGCACAACCCTTCTGAAACCCTCATCATCTCGCTGAAGCGGGAGGGCCCGGGTAACGCCAAGGACGAACAGCTCGCCAACATTCTCGCCAAGCACTATGCCCGTCCCGACAGCCGCTGGTGGGTGCGACCCAAGATCCCGACTCTGGGCGAGGCCCGTGGCAAGGTCGTTCTCGTTCGCCGGTTCAATCTGCCTGATGGATTGAAGAAGGAGCACGGTGGCAATGGCTGGGGTATTGATGCCGCTGCGTGGGCAGACAACACTCCACACGCAAACTGTCCCAGTGGCCAGCTCTGCATTCAAGATTTCTATGAGGTGCAAGAGACGCTGAACATTGAGAAGAAGATTAAGTTTGTCAATGAGCAAATTGACCGCGCCGGTCACTGTCACTACCCCTTCGGAGTCCAGCAGACTGCGGAGGATACCAAGAAATTCCCTTTCTATATCAACTTCCTGAGTGCAAGCAACTTCTGGAAGACTAACACCTGGCCCGAGAAGATCGCGGCCAAAGTGAATCCCGCCGCAGTGGATTACATCTGTCGCCAGCAGCAGCAAGGTGATGGTGATTGCGGTACCGGTATCCTAGTAACCGACTGGGTCGGCCTAGATGGGGACTGGGATCTTGTGCGCTGCATTGTGGGAATGAATGCCAAGCTGCGCCTCAGACAGTGAAGACAGTGAAAATGTCCCTGTTTGACGAAGATTATGGGAGGGACTTTGGATTGATAGTTCAGTGTCATGCTAGTACATGAATGATATGCACTACCGTTACGAATCCCCTTAAGAATCTCGATGTTTTGATTCTTGCACAGTATACAGCCATCCTAGGTAAAAGAAATATGATATAAAAAAAAACAAGGCTAGGGTCCTCTAGGATGCAAAACCGACAGTGTGGCTTATTATACAGAAATAATTGCACATGGCCGAAGCCATATTAGGACGACTCGCTCTTCTCGCCCTCGCCCTTCTCACCCTCACCCTTCTGCTCGTCCTCCAAGACACTTCGTCGGCTCTCCATAGTGAAGTAGAGGCTCTTTCCAGCGCCTTCCAGAGTGCTGGTGATGCTGGAGCCCATGCTCTGCAGAGCCATAACGAGCTGGGAGCGCAGGCCGTCCATGCCGCCCTCGATGCTGCCGACCCACTTGGTCTGGTCAATGTCGAATACCTGACCGTCAACACGGGCAGCCAGAAGGTTAATCTTCTGCAGACCGTTCTGAACAACGGGGTCGTGGTAGTCGGGGTTGGCCTTTCGGGTTGGCGCCGGGAAGCCGGCTTCCTTCGGCGTCAGGATCGACAGTGCAGCCTTCATGTGTTCGGGGGAGACGGTGGGGATCGAAAGAACGGCCACGGGGCCAACGAGAATCTCGGCAAGCTCGTGGCGGCCCTTCATGTGCTTCACCGCAGCGTGGGCGGCGCGAGACAGATCATGGGTCAGCGAAGGGTCGTCCTTCGAGCCGGAGATTGGAGGCAGCTCGGCGGAGGTCTGAGTAATGGGGTCGACGGCGCTAGGAGGCTTGCCGGAAGTCTGGGCGGCGTCGTTGGGTCGGAAGTACTCGACGATGCGCAGGGCCACCTCGAAGATGCTGGTTTGAACAGTCTGCACCTTGACGTAAGGGCCCAGAGCCGGAGCCGTTCTCCCCTCGGCAGCAATCTTTTCGTCGACCTTTTGTAAGGCCTTGGAGAGTTCTCGGCGGATAGCGGCCCATTCCATAGACTTCAAGTTGTTGTGCTGGAACAGGACCATGAGAGGGGATGTGCGGAGGAGGGAGGTGTATTGGCGGAGGAGCTGGGACCGACGGTACTCGGGGCTTCGGTGCGAAGGAGGCTGCGAAGGGGGATTCCGGGCAATTGGCGCAGTCGACCGTGTCATTTGCTCAATAGGAGCAGCTGGTGTGACGGCCGGGGCTGCGGCGGTACTGGCACACCGAGCGGCGATGCGGATTTCATTGGGGTATCGTAGGGCTTGTCGCCGGAAGGTCGTGATACGTAGCCGGGGTGGCATTGTAGCGTATGAAAAGTATGCGGAGGTTGCGATAGAAGCAATTGCTTAGAGATGGGGTGGACCGAGATGAAACCTCCGACGGCGCGATATTTTTTGAGGCCCAAAGGGGAAAGGCGCGAATTGGGGCGGTGAGTAACCATGAGATTTTGCCGGCAACCTCATGAGGGGCTTGACTCATTCGGGTGAGCATTGTTTCTGCTGATCTCGAAAAGGACCTTTTTGACTTTTCCTCTAGGAGATCGTCAATTGAAATCCTCGTTACTTGCCATAATGACTTCCAATCAACCCGCCGAAAAGGCTGGAAAGCCTGAAGTTGTCTCCATCTCCCCTCTGCTTCAACGCCTGGCATACCCCGCTACGTCTGAAATTCGAGTCAGCGCAGAGGACATTGCTTCGGCATTTGCTTTAATCTTTGAAGATCGCCTTTCCGATATCCAGACCGCAGCACTGTTGACTCTGCTGCACTCAACTGGCAAAGACAAGCAAGCCGACGTCATCGCCAAATGTTCCCATCGCATGAGAGAAGCTGCTTGTCAAATTGACAAAGCTTCTTTGAAGAAGGTTGTCAAGGCTCGTGGAATCAGCGAAGGTAACTACAAGGGTGGTCTGGTAAGTGTATACAATATTCCCTTAATTTTAACCTCTTTCATCCAATTGACTGATCGTCTTTCTCCAGTGCGATATTGTCGGAACCGGAGGAGATTCCCATTCGACTTTCAATGTCTCGACAACCTCGTCAATCATTGCGTCCCCACTTCTTATGACTGCTAAGCACGGAAACCGCGCCCAAACTTCCTTCTCTGGATCTGCCGATGTCCTCAATGCCGTCCAGCCCATTCCTCCGAACATCTCCGCTGTCAATGCGGATAATGTGGCCAAGGTCTACGAGAAGACAAACTACTCGTTCTTGTTCGCGCCCAATTTCCACCCTGGGATGATGTATGCCAACCCAGTTCGCCGAAGTCTTGGACTTCGAACAATCTTCAACCTCATGGGACCTCTTGCAAACCCTATTGAATGGGCAATCGAGGCTCGTGTGGTGGGTGTAGCTTACCAAAGTCTCGGTCCTGTCTTTGCCGAAGCTCTGAAACATGCCGGTGCCAAGAAGGCTTTGGTTGTTTGTGGTGAAGAGGATATGGATGAAATTAGCTGCGCCGGCAAAACAAATTGCTGGAAATTGTCAGAATACACCAACCCTGCCTATAAGGAGTCACCGAATGGTCAGGATGATGATGATGACTCAAGTGATGACGAGGAGAACCCTCGGACCTTGGTCGAGATCGAAACTTTCTCGCTTCACCCCTCGGATTTCGGTCTGCCTACCCACCCTCTTACTGAGGTCTATGGGCGTAAGATGCCCAAGGACAACGCCGCCAAGCTTATGAGCATTCTGCGTAATGAGCTGCCCCGGGAAGACCCTATCTTGGAGTTTGTTCTTATGAATGTTGCTGCCCTGCTTGTTACTTCTGGAATCTGCGAGGCCGAGACGAGCAACCTGGGTCACGGTGATGACGGCAAGGTCATCACTGAGCGTGGTCCGGGTGGCGGTCGCTGGAAGGAAGGTCTGCGCCGTGCGCGCTGGGCAATCGAAAGTGGTCAAGCTCTGAAGTGCTTCGAGCAGTTCATCGAGGTCACCAACCAACTCTAAGCGTGCTGGGCACAGGAAGTGGGATATAATCGCATATATTTTCTCGCATTTATCTCCATTTAAAGTCGACGGGCCGGTGCACACTGTGATGCAATATTTTCTTCTATTCGACTGTTTTTATTTCAATATTTACATGACAAGCTTTTGTCATAATTTCGGAGTTGTTTTAAGGCAAGTCATATATCATCATTACCCTAGGAAAATTAGTTTGGACAGCCAGCGATAATTCAGTTTCAAGCCAACCAAATAATGCAATATATCATTGCTGGAGCGAAGCAGAATAATTCAAGATACTGTGTTCAAAAATTGCTTGGGCTAGGTGGACAGACCCATCCACGGAATCATAGTCTCGTGTAGTTCATATTTTGTTCTGTATGAGAACTCCAAAGCGCCATTCAATGCATCATTCGTCAAAGCGAGCGGGGAAAAAAGTGGGAAATATAAGTGACATCAAAAGTTGTAGCCGTTCGCGAATTTCATCAACTCCACACAGCCGAAGACTCCCAGGCCAAGAACGACTGTCCCTCCCCATATCAAGTGATGAATTTACCGGGCCTCGAACTGGACCATGCTATATGGTGGAAACGGAGTTAGTTTATGCGCCGCTTCATTGATGAGCGGTTCGACTAGAATCGAAAGGGATTCTTACCGCTTGGTGCGCTCCTTGTACAGCACACGATGGCCACAATCCTTGCAGCGAATCGGGTCGCCGCGCTTCAGGGGAACGCGCGCGTTGCACTCGCCGCAAAGGTAGTTGACGGCGGGGTTGTCGACAGCCATGGCGCTGAATCCGCTGTCAGCGAAGGCGTTCTGTCCGCCCATCGCGGGGACCTGGTAGGCTTCGCGAGACATTTCGGTGACGAGGACTTTTTTGAGGCGGTTAACGTGAAGAGTAGGGATCTTAATTTGCTGAGGCCGACGGAGTTTTGGAGCAGAGGAATGGACGTGGTGAATGTCGTCGAGATTCTTTTTTCGCGGCGGAATCGGAACCAATCAGATTACATAATCAAACATCAGAGCTCTGCTGAGTAATCACAACTTTGGGAATGAATTCGGGGCACTGCAAAGAATTTGATCTGTTGGGCTCACAAACTGTTTGAATTTCGTTCTGACCTGACAGGCATAAATGGCTTTGTGTAGCCATTCTATTTGTAGTATACTGTTTGGAATGTCTATTCCATTTTGGAAAAAATGATCTTTCGGTGACAGCTGGTACTGTATATGCCCTGATAATGGTATCTCCGAGGAAATGCAACCAAGAAAAAAGGAAAGGAAAGGAAAGGAAAAAGCAACCGGCGCCATGCAAAGTGATAAAGGATTCACCAAGTATACAGACTAGGATTACCAGCCACCGCCGATCTTTCCGGCAAGCTCGACCACGCGACTTGTGTCATTGGAAGTGTCTTGCTCTTTTCCGACGTCGCTTTCCACTTTGCGGTAGGTCGTATAGACAAGCTTTGAAAGGGAGATTCCCATGAACTGCGACCATCGGCGCAGTCCTTCGTGGATCTGGGCTTCCTTGTCTGCGATAGACAAAGAAGGGTTCTGGACCTCGACTTCGATATCAGAATCGGATTCCATGGAGTAGTAGGCCTCGTCCACACGGGCAAGCCAAGCACGCTGTTCGTGTGGTGATGGTTTGGCTAATGTATCAGAGGATTCTGGCGTTTCCAGAGTCTGGGAAGAGTTCGCGATTTCACGAGCATCCTCTATCCGGATTTGACCTCCACCATTGGTGCAACCACCAGGGCAAGCCATGACCTCGACATAGGCATAATCTGACCCTGAGCCTCCGGAGGCGGCATTGCGAGACATCGGCTGACGACGATTTGCAGCCAAAGGCTTCGCACCAGGAAGCCTCGATACTCGGGCAGGCTTCAACTTTCTGACCAGATTCTGAATGTTTCGGAAGCCATAGTATCGTGCCGCCTTCATAATTGGCTGCCCCTCTTGAGACGTGAGTACGTATTCAACGACGTCCGCGTTTCGACCGCGATTAGTCACCAACTCGCTTCCCGGATTGCGGGCTTGGAAGGTTTTCAGAACGTGATGTAGGTAGCCACCAGAAGTAGAAGTTTCCAAAGATTGCTGTGCTGGGGAAGTCTGGAATGAAATGAAAGAATCAAGTGTTTTCTCCGGGAAAGGCAGGTTGTAAGACGCAGGAACCGGTTGTAGAGGCAGTTTCGGCAGCGACAGACCTCGTGAAGAAGCCAACGAAAGAAGTTCTCTTGAAGTGATGACACAGTCGACGTCGCGAATAGGTGGCTGGGCTGGGGAATCTTCCGGTGTATAGTCGGGTCGCCAGGATACATCCGTGAGTTCCTCTCGGCTAGCTTCCAGTTTTTTATCGAAGCATGGCATAACTGCCAGATGCCAGATTTGAGACGGGTGTACACCAAGAGATTTGCTCAGAACGGTCTTCAAGAAGGTTCCTGACAGAGCCTGTGGGGATTTCAATCTTGATAGATGGGGAAGAACAAAGGGATGTGTCTTCTCAGCATAACAAATCCAGCCTGGACATGCCGAAGATAAAATTGGTCGTTTGGGAAGGGCGAATTCTTCCCCGTTGCCCACAGTAGTCTCCTTTGAGTTGAGCGACTCCGACACTTCGTCAGCCGTTAGCACCAAGACAGCTTCACGCATAACATTCGTGTCGACAACCCAAGCAAATCCACCCCCATGCTTGCCGCCACCCCGCAGCCCCTGCGGGCCGCGCAGGAATTGGTCGATAATGTATCCCGCTTGCCGCTCCGAGATGCCATAGGTTGCTGCCAAGCTGGCCCGCACTTGCGGGCTCACACTTGCAACGAATATCTTCCCCTCGCCCGATGTCTCGATATTGGCTGAAATCCCGGCTTGTCTCTGCTCCAAGGTAATTTCGGGGTGCGCATCAAGGGTGTTGAGGACCTCGGTATGGGACTGCAGCGAAATCAAAACAGCCTCCGCCGATGTCACACACCCAGAACAAGCAAGACAATCCGTCAAAGAGATCTGGGCCTGTGGAAGATTCTCGGGCTCGACTTTGTCTTCCGTGGTAACTTCGTACGGATTCTGCGGAAATAAGATGTTAACAAAATCGAGGAGACAGTCAAACGGCGAAAAACAACCAAACTCACCTTTTCCTTTGCGCTTTTCTGCGGAAGGGATTCAACGGGCTTGATACACGCGACCCCAGGCGAAATAAAATCGTTCAGATCATCCGCCGACAGGATCGCGCTCATTGTGGCGGGGTACCGCTGAGAGCGAAATCAACCCACACAATCGGAATGAGGTAGAGCAAGCCAAGATAGGTCGACAAAGAGTGTTATGCACTCGTGAACAGGGGGTTTATAAAGGAAATGAGGGATCAGAGCGTGAAATGAGTCGAAAAGGGCAAAGCAATCCTCCGAGGGTCGAACCAACGAGCGATGCCCGCTTTGTCATCTGTGGCGACATCGGCGTCGATAAGATCCGATAAGCCCTGATCGCCTGTAGTCCGTGACCGCCATGCTCTCATTGGCTGCATGCGAACTAATAAGAACTTTTAAGACTCGGACTCGCCATTTGAAAAAGATGCCAAAGGGCTGAAAGCCCACACTGGACTGGGACTTTTGTCGGATATACCTTGAGTCTCGTCGAGGTCAATAGGGTAGCCTTCTTTCTTTTGACAAGAATCCATTAACAAAGGGAAAATTCTCACTTGCCACCTTTCTGATTTCAACCTGATCATGGGTGCCACATCTTTCATTGATTTTTCTTTAAGGAACACCATAGGCCCCTCCAGCTCTTGATGGAAGCTACAAGCCATTTCACCTCTAGCCTGGCTCTTGTCGTACACCCTGGTGTGCGAGTCTCATCAAAGCTACTCGCTCATCAGAGCACAAATGGCGTCCGTCTACGACAAATCCTTCAACAAAAAACTTGAAGGAAACATACCAGCTGTCGCTTATGAAAGGAGTGGCAACCGCAGGCAAGATCTACGCAAGGTAGCTACAGAGACAATTGGAGCAATACCAGCTATCTTGGAGGCTTTGGAGAGGGCCGGGAAAAGTCCTCGATATAGCTGTCTTTATACCGATGATGAGGAAGGAGAGATCTGCCCTCATTTGAACAGCGACAGCCCTTATTTTCCAGACCACACAACAGAGATTAAAGTTGTTAGGGACGACACCCTGGATGCCGCAGACAATCTTTCGCATTCGCTAGGTCTTCCAAGCTCCCTCGCTACTGCCCCAGTCTGCATCCTCAACTTGGCGAATCAATCAGTAATTGGGGGAGATTATTGGAATGGATCCAGAGCACAGGAGGAGGAGATCTGTCGCCGGACTACACTCGTCAATTCTCTGCATCCTCACTTCTACCCAATGGAAGATTATGAATTGATCTATTCCCCCAGTGTCTATATAATCCGGGAGAATGGCTCGAGAGCAGGTTACAAGTTCATGTGGACTGAAACTCCTGAGACTCTGCTCGAAATCAGTGTGATCACGTTAGCTGCAGAGTGCCGCCCCAAATTGAACTCTGCCGGTGACGACTCCCTGTATGCTGAATCCCGCGAACTGATGGAGGACAAGATGCGCTTGGCGTTGCGGGCGGCTGCTAATAACCACCACCCCAGATTGGTTCTTGGAGCATTCGGCTGCAGAGCTTTTGGGCACCCCGCTAGTGCAGTTGCTGAGCTTTGGCGCGATGTTCTGTCGGAGGAGGAATTTTGCGGATGGTTTGAGACCGTTGTGTTTGCTGTCTACGATACAAATCCACCCTACGAAAACTATACGGCTTTCAAAGAGGTCTTCGACGCGGGAGTGAAAATCTCTGAATATGAAGAAAATACTAGAGAGTGATGCGTTGTCGATCATGACCGACGATAATGAGATTACGGGTTATGGCAGCGAGAAAAAAAATGAGTTAGCGGTAACTGAGGCTTATTTCTCGCGCGATGATGCCCAAGGTTCCACGAGTAAGTTGACTAGTAGTAAACCAGCTGATGGCGATGGCAATACCAACGTTAGTCCACAGGACACCGCCATGGAAGGCGCGTGAAGTTACACTGTGTATTCGTTCTTGTTGATACATTTGATCTTAGTGTATGTTGCGATAGATATTTTTGGACAATGAGCTCGGGGCATTTCGCAATCTGATATTTCGAAAAATGTCTCAGAAGTTGTAATCGTCAGCGCTTAGGGAAATCCAACCCATATAAAGGATCGCTAAGTCTTGTCAAACTGGGAGAGGTTTCAAGAGTAGTTGTGTTTACAATGGCTCTGGTTTGGGCCGTCTCAGCTCGTCATCCAACGGCTTCCTAGCCCAGACACGTTTTCTAGATAATGTTAGATAATGTTAGTCAATGAATGCTTTAAGGCAGAGCAATGAGAGCAAAGAACTTACGCTCGTTGGTAGGCGTGAGTGTTTGGATTCTTCAACTCCGACCGAATCTTGCCCACGTAAGCTTGGACTTGTTCCGGAGGCCAGGGATTAGGCGCGCCGAATTTGGTGAGAAGCCACATTCCCCATCCTTCTAGGCCTGCAGACCACATGTGATAGTTCATCAAACCAGCTTCCTTGAGCTGCTTGTCCTTGGGCCAAACCCCAATGGGCCATTTATATGCTTTCTCGTGGATATTGATGAATCCAACACGCTCGATTGAGTCACGCATTGTGTTGATCGTGTCGATACCGCGACCGGATCTATTTGCGCAGCCGAATGTGGTATCCCCCCAGGTCTCAGCCATGCTTCCTGCGGGAATGCTGTTATCATCGGACTCCAGGTGGGCGTCCAACTCGAGCTGTTCAATCCAACCGCCTGGCTTGAGGTTCCTATAATATGAGAGTAAGAAAATTACCCAAAGCACGAAGAAAAGGAAATTGAAATGTACTCATAGCATTTTTGGTAGACGCTGTGCCACTCTTCTGCTGTAAATGATCCGAGCATGATGCGCAAGTGGATGAAGTCGAACGGTTCACGCCAAGTCCACTCGCGCAAAACGTCATCAACCTCCAAGATGCAGTTCGGAGGCATCCATGTTACGGGCGGAGGAAAGAGATCTACACCTCGAACGGTGGCTATCGCAGGTTAGTGCCCATATGTTAAAACATTGATCTGGGGCGAACTCACTTTGAGGGAACATGTCGGCGCAATCACTGAATGGCGGTCAGTCGGGATTTCAGATGGGCTTAGGTAGGTATTCAACATACATGGCCCAGAGTCCATTGCCGGTTCCGATATCGAGAATGTTCTACTCGTTGTCAATATGCGACCTTGAAGTTGACTGCCATCCGGTGTAGCTTAGCTACCTTTGGTGAACCCCCTACGGGCGATCGGAATAGTGGGTTCGGCCGATCGCAGTCCAACACAATGGCGACGGCATGACTAGTCATGCTCTGTCAGAATAGTTTTTTTGGTCACGCTGAGTAGAAAAGAAGGCAGAGGATGACCTACCCGGCCTCTAAGCTTTCGAATTGCAGTTCATCGGCAGGGCTCCTGGATGATGATCAGAATAGGTCCCTTGGCGTTACCACGCACGGGTCGAGCTGCCATGCGGTGCGGGTTTTCCTTGTTATTGGGAGGAGCCAGAGATGCCCGCTTACCAATATTCGTTTTCTCTCATGGTCTGATATCTGCAAAATGAGTGAGAACAACGATCAACGACCGGATTGGGGATCCTGACTTACCGGCGTCCATTCTCGATAAGCCCTCGATAGATCGAGGACGAGAGTGAGGTCGTTTCGCTGCATCGATCACGTCCACAGTTAGGAGAGCTGACTCTCTGCTCGAATGCTGATCAGGGCAGAACACACGATTGATAGTCGTCGGCAATATTCGTTTGCGACAGGTGCAGATCGGGATCCTAGCTTGGAGGTGAGAAACGCCACGTGAAGAGGAGCGAGACCAAGACCCCTCGGCCACTCACCACCGCGATGTTTTCATTTTCCGCAGCCATGGCGGCACAGACAGCGCTCGGGCGCAATGGCGTTCGATTTTTGGCGGCGACGGGCAATGGAAGTGGATAAGTCGAGAGGGGAGGGGCACAGCAGGTCGGGTGCAATGTAATCCTCGGCTCTGGCCCATTTAAACCAACAATACTGTACGTACTTTTGTTACAACCATTGCGCTGCTTTTCGATGAATAATTTCAGGGGATTTTCCCATTCGTGCGACTGGTGAAACTCACCAGGCCTCGCAGATTCAAGCGGACCAATTGTGTCACTATACTAGTTTATACACGGCTGATCCCTTCTGTCTTTGTGGACGCGAGAGCGATCGGCCGCGCCGCTAGCCTCTCCCTGAAGACGATATGCATAAAGCATGCCATATGTCCTTCTGGAGTCCGCCGCACATGTGCTTGTGGACCCCACCCTTGATTGTACTGCCCGCGATGATCGATGGTCGTTTCGGTCCCTGTGGCGGCCGGCGATTCATCAGATAAGCCATGACGAACTCTCCCAGTCTCGAATTCTCATCCCACCCTTTTCAGCTTTTGGACAATACCGTCGGTTGATGGCTTGAAATGACTGTGCACTGGACCTTAGTGCTACTGATCTCTGGGTACCCTAGGGTAGGATACCCTCAGGCAGGCGCCGTACTGCATAGGATATGTACATCAATTGCACATTTTATGAGAATGTACGCGATCGACGAGTGACGGGTTGTCGACGAGTTGGAAGCGGCGAGTGCTGCGCAGTACGGTACACAGCAATACCGTTGATACATAATGGTGTCCGTTGATGGGGCGGTGGCTGTAAATTACAATACAAACATACTGGGGTACGTTACCCTCGATACTCCTTTTCTCGAGGGTGGTTTTTTACATTTTATAGACGAAAGACTTCAATTACATACCCTCAGGTAGAATGCTGCAAATTGCGTGATGTCCACCTAGTCAACTATTGGAGATTTTACTTCCGCGAGCGCGTCGACCGGCGCCGTCCAACACTAGGTTTCTCCTCGTCCTCTTCATCCTCCTTCACGGCAGATGCGCTCGCCTTCTTTGATCCGCGACTCTTAACATCGGGCTTCTCGTCGAACTCTGAGTCCTCTTCCATTTTCACGCCCCGCTTCCGTTTGGAGTTGGCTGCGGTGCCATTGGCAGGTTGCTCATTGACATCTTTTGAAACAGCACCTGTCTTCTTCTGGACTGCCGGGACTACTGCGCTGGTGCGGCCGCCAACAGTAAGGAAGGTAATCTTGTCACCATTCGGAAGAGTCGAAGACTGGTTCTTCTTGCCCTTGCTCCATCGATGCTTGAAGAGCCAATGCTCAGGAAATTTCTCCGAGTCGGCAAGGACGTCGATCGCAGTAGAGCAAACATAGTGCATGGCAGTGTTGAGCTCCTTGACTTGGTCGTTGGACAAAGTATTGCTGTATTGCTCCGGATGGATTTTTGCATGATAGAGAATTTCATCACTGTAATTAGAATTGTCAGCAGCCGCGTATCAACATCATCAGACAAACATACCCCATCCAGTTTCCAATCCCGCTGATATTGGCTTGGTCCAGCAAGAGAGCCTTGATGGGTACTTTCTTGCTCTTCAACTTCTCTCCCAGCCAAGCCGCTGTCACTATGTCCTTATCCGCCACGGGATCTGGTCCATTCTCCTTGAGCGGAGTATGGTTTCGAATCTCATCGGCAGGGCATTCAACGAGACGGATCCGACCCAGCCTGCGTGCATCGACAAACGCCGCCTCGGATTTTGGTTCATCACTTGTCTCAAGTAGAAACTTCCAGTATTTTGGCGGCCATTCTTGGTCCGCGGGCTTGTCTGAGCGATAGTAATAGGTATCGGTATCCTTGATCTTCAGCCAACCAGCCATGCCGAAATGCATCACAGCATGCGGTGGAGAAGACATTGTGATCCAAAAGTATTTCCCTTGCTGGCCAGCACCTATGACCTTTTTGCCTTGCATGGCCTTTTGGAATTCGGCCGCACTGGTGCCCACTTTGCCGTATATAACATCATCGTGCTGAGCTTGTACTTTGGAGAGTGTCTTGCCGACCAGATGTTGCCGAAGAAAATGAACGATGCGCGCAACCTCTGCGAGTTCAGGCATATCAACGATTGGGAAGATTAGATGGAAGTAAAAAATGCAGCGGTATCAACCAAAGAATGCACTATATGTACAGATGTCGCGCAATAAATGTCAAGTCATCGAGAGCCTTGACATGCCCCTGCTGAGACGCGACACGAGGTCACATGACCACTTTGCTGAATGTAATTAGTCAGATTCCTCCCGCCAACCCCGATGGGGCGGCCGAATGATGACGCCGTTGCGACTCGGAGCTGGAGCGCTTCTCACTTGAAAGCACACTTGAACATTTACTGGGAAACCGTGACCTTTTCCACGAATTACACACGACTCGTCCCGTTATTATCCCTGTCGGCTCTGCCGCGCTTCGGAAATTCAAGCCTTGACTGCTGTCTGTCTGCATCATTCATTGTCTCCACTCAAGCTGGCGTGGTTCTGGGTTAAGACAACAGATCGAAGTCTCGAGGAGCACAACGAGAAAAACATGCCAGGAGCATCATCCACGGAGGCTCCTGCATTGACTCCTCAGTTCTGCTTCAACGAAAAACTTCTCCGAGGTTTGTTCTGCCACTCAGCTCTTCTTGGCATCTCGGAGCTTCATCAAACTGATTTTAATCCTTTTTCAAGACTTTTTGCGTCTTTCTCGATCTACTATAGATGACTCTATAGCGCAAAACCTCAATGCGCTACTGACACCTGCCCGCGAGGGCTTCGATCCCTCCTCTACCGCTGTGCGACAAACCGACTCGAAAGCTCGAAAATCGATCGATCCCAACACTTGTAGCGGCTTCAAGAATAATATTCTGTTTCCATCATGGCAAACTCGCTCGGATGTTTTGAACTACTGTGCTGGTGTTGCAACAAGTCCGGATCCTGATGACCCCGACCTGATCCTACGAGAGACCGAATCCGCACGGGATCGAGAGCGGGTGGTCAACGAGCGACTAGACCCGTATTCGGCGCGCTTTTTCCCCAGAGAAGCGAGAACTGAGTCACTAGCGAACCTGATACGAAACCAGCGCACCGTGGAAGAGATAATCCGGGCCCGAACTTGGGGCATGGTGAGCGAGAGGTGCGGTGACTCCTCGTCTTGGGAAGCCGCTTTAAATAGCTGGCGTCATAGCAACCAACGGTAGGCCACCGACCTTGGAGTACGAGAGGGCCATTTCGATATGGTCTAGCTTTTATAGTCTGACTATCTTGGTTTTCCTATTTTCTTTGGGTCTGACGGCTGCACCGTTGCTCACCAATGTATATTACATCATGCATAGTATATAGCGTTCGCTTCATGAAAATGAACATTCACATCAAACGACTTATGCCTCCTGTGTTTCTCTTGCACTACCATCTACCATGTAAAAAGCGCTAGGTGAATCGGAGCTAGAGGCACATCTATATCAAACAGATATTTGCATTTGACTGGGTTGGGTCATTTCAAATACCCCCCAAAAAAGCTTTGCAAGGACACCGGGCGGTTACACGCAGACGCTGCTCGGGGCGGATGCATTGGCTTTTCGAGTTTCTGCATCCAGACGCAGACGCAAATGTGGACACGTCGGCGACATTGAAATCCTGTTCAGCCTCGTTTTAGCGCCGCGACCTGCAACAGAGTGCAATTGTGGTTGCTGGCAACTATCTTATCGGCCCAGTTGTTCTGCCAAGGTCGGACTCGGAGACGCCGCTCCCCGCACACATCGATTCCTCCCTCGCACAAGTCAATCCCTCCAGCATCGCCCACCATGCCGCAACCATTGAACTCCAAGGACCAGTCCTTGTTTCGTCAAGTGGTTCGCAACTTTGAGCTGAAGCAATACAAGAAAGGTGCCCCCCGCCCGCCCCTCTCAGTCGTCCGCCGTCAGTTAACAGCGTTTTCATCTCGATAGGCATTAAAACGGCGGATCAGGTCCTTCGCAAGAACCCCAAGCATGGCGATACGCAGGCGATGAAGGCTCTGATCATGAGCCACCTGGGTCAGTCGGAGGAGGCATTCGCGCTGGCGAAGGAGGCCTTGCGGAACGATATGAAGTCGCACATCTGCTGGCACGTGTACGGTCTCCTATACCGGCAAGAGAAGAACTATGAGGAAGCGATCAAGGCCTACCGCTTTGCCTTGCGACTTGAACCTGAGTCCCAGCCCATCCAACGGGATCTGGCCCTCCTCCAGATGCAGATGCGCGATTTCCAGGGATACATCCAGAGTCGCAGTTCCATGCTCCAAGCGCGCCCCGGATTCCGACAGAACTGGACTGCGCTGGCAATTGCTCATCACTTGGCCGGAGATCTGGCCGAGGCCGAGAAGGTTCTGACCACGTACGAGGACACTTTGAAGGATCTTCCCCACGTGGCCGACATGGAGCACTCCGAGGCCTGCCTTTACAAGAACACAATTATCGCGGAATCTGGAGACCTGGAGCGTGCTTTGGAGCATCTGGAGAAGATTGGATACCGGTGCACTGATGTGCTCGCGGTTATGGAGATGAAGGCAGACTACCTCCTGCGCCTTGGCCGCAAGTCCGAGGCCGAGCAGGCATACACCGCTCTTCTGGAACGTAACCCAGAGAACTCAATTTATTACAATGGCTTGATTCAGGCTAAGGGCATTCCGGAATATGATCACAAGGCTCTGAAGGCCCTGTATGATGAGTGGGTGGAGAAGAACCCTCGCGGCGACGCCGCTCGTCGCATTCCCTTGGATTTCCTGGAGGGAGAAGACTTTAAGCAGGCTGCCGATGCATACCTGCAGCGAATGCTGAAGAAGGGTGTCCCATCGCTTTTCGCAAACATCAAGCTTCTGTACACCAACTCCGCCAAGCGCGATACAGTGCAGACCCTGGTGGAGGGATACGCCTCCAATCAGGCGGGCTCGCAGGCGAACGGCTCTGCTGAGGGCAAGGTCGATAGCAATGAGTTCCTAGCTTCATCCTACTACTTCTTGGCTCAGCACTACAACTATCACCTTAGCCGCAATCTTCCCAAGGCCCTGGAAAACGTCGAAAAGGCCATCAAGCTCTCCCCGAAGGCCGTTGAGTACCAAATGACCAAGGCCCGCGTCTGGAAGCACTACGGAAACCCCCAGAAGGCGGCAGAGGAAATGGAGAAGGCTCGCCTCCTGGACGAGAAGGATAGGTACATCAACACCAAGTCTGCCAAGTACCAGCTCCGAAACAATGAGAATGAGCTTGCCCTCGACCTTATGAGCAAGTTTACCCGCAACGAAACCGTCGGTGGAACACTGGGTGATCTGCACGAGATGCAGTGTGTGTGGTTCTTGACAGAGGATGGCGAAGCGTTCCTGCGCCAGAACAAGCTAGGCCTTGCTCTCAAGCGTTTTCACTCAGTCTACAACATTTTCGATACCTGGCATGAAGATCAATTTGACTTCCACGGCTTTTCCCTTAGAAAGGGAATGGTCAGAGCCTACGTTGATATGATTCGCTGGGAAGATCGCCTCCGCGAGCACCCCTTCTATGTCAGAATGGCACTTGGCGCCATCAAGGCATACCTGCTCCTCAATGATCAGCCAGACCTCGCGCATGGCCCTATTCCCAGTGGTCCTACTGGCATTGATGGCTCCGAGGAAGAGCGTAAGAAGGCTCTCAAGAAAGCCAAGAAGGAACAGCAACGCCTGGAGAAGATTGAGGCCGACAAGCGTGAGGCAAGGAAGGCAGCAGCAGCAAATGCTAAGAGCGTGGACGGAGAAGTCAAGAAGGAGGACACTGATCCTCTCGGCAATACCTTGGTTCAAACCAAGGACCCGCTCAAGGACGTCATGAAGTTTTTGACGCCGCTGCTCAACCTCAGCGCGCAGAACATTGAGGCCCAATGCCTCGGTTTCGAGGTCTATATTAGGAAAAGTACGTATTATTAACCCGGTCGGCATTGTCATATCATCGAACCCAACAGCTAACAACATCAAAAGACAAGCATCTGCTTGCCTTGAAGTGCCTCTCCGCCGCTCACGCTATTGATCCATCCAACCCCAGTCTCCACCTTAACCTTCTACAATTCCGCAAGGCGCTTGACACCCTCTCCGAGCCCCTCCCCGCTGAGACTGCCGAGGTTGTCAATGCAGAGTTTGAGAAGTTGCTTCCCAAGTCTCAGAAACTCGAGGACTGGAACGAGTCTTTCCTGTCAGCAAACAAGGAAAGCATTGCACACGTTCACGCTGCTTTGTCAAGCCGTCAGCTTCTGAGCCCTGATTCGAAGGCCCGGAATGAAAAGGACCTCCAGGCCACCCTGGACTCTTCCAAGATAACCCTCGAGGAAGCTGTGTTAGGCCGTGATTTGCTGAACAAGTGGGGAAGTGACAAAACCATGTACGCCGAGAAGGCGAGCAAGAAGTGGCCCGAGTCTTCGGTCTTCCGGTTGGAGTGATTTGGGCTTAGAATTCAGTCGCCGTCTTGCCCTCCACTACATGTTAACACACCCGTGGATGAAGTCGCTCACCAGCGCGACGTTGCCCTTAAATCCAACGTGTGAACCCAATGACATGTTTGAACATGATCCGGATTCCCAGTATGCTGCAGGATATCTTCTCGAAAAGAGAGATGGAGCAAGTAGGGCAGCCTGCACAATCCACCTTCTGCAAGTATCCCAAAGAATCAAAAAATGCACACATCGAGAGTTATTTCATATCCAAGTATTAAGTTCCTACCAGCGCAATATGTAAGTTGGCTACTGAGGGAGTAACTGACACAAAACGACGTAACGAAGATCTGCAATGAAATAAGTCTTCCCAAGTGTAAGCGTGGCGAAGCACCATTGCCCCAAGCTATTATGGCCAGTTTACAAAGTGAGGGAGTGGAGAGTAGAAAGATTCGGAGGCTAGATTGCGGATGCCCTGTACAGACCATAGAATAATAATAATAGTAAAGCGCCTCTAATGTACAAACCGAGGAGGGAGGATGGATATGCAAACAACAGAAAACATGACGCTCCTTCAAATGAAGAAGAATGGAACAAGAACACCCGCAACCATCTATGTATAGCATACAAATCAAGATCCCTCATTGCAATCTTCAAGCACCCTCCTCGCCATCAATGTTACCCAGGATGGATTTGCGACGGATAGTTTCCTCATCCTCGCCATATCCGTAGTTGATCCACATGCGCTTCCAAAAGGGGACGGGCGCCGGCCGTTCTTCACCGAGGATGTACTCCTTTTGCTCAGCGATCCGTTTGGAGCGAGCCTCGTCTTCTGGCGACAGGACAGAGTGCTTCATACGAGCGGCAATACGCGGATCCAACACAATGTCGTCGAGCCACACGCGCTCCTTGTCATCCTCATCACGCTTGTGGACAGACTTGTGCCACTCCTTCTCTTCGCCCTCCAGTACAGCCTGCTGCTCGTACTTTCCGCGGGGCAGCTCACCAATGGGGCCATCCAGGGGTGCACTGGAGTCAACGGAGACTTCACTGAGCTCCGAATCAATGCTGAAGGACTCATGGCGATAGGGTCTCGCTGCCGAGGCAAGGACAATGCCAGCAACCTCGCGACCAATGCTCTCGGCGAGGTAACGTTGTGTAAGGTAGCGGTACATGCGGATAGGAGTGTTCAAGAAGCCGAGAATATGGGGAAATTCGATGGGGATAGAGCTGTCAAAGGATTGGGGGAGAGTAGGGGGAAGGTGTGCTGAAGGATAATCGGCGGTGGTGATGTAGGCGTCTGCGCGACCAGCGGGCTTCGAAGGCTTGTCTTCCTGCTTCTTCTCCTCGGCCTTCGGCTCATCGGTCTTGTCCTCGTCAATCTTGATGTCGTCGAGCTTCGTCACAGAAACCCCCTGCTGGTCAGTCGGTTCAGGCTGGTCGCCAGCGGCAACATCCTTCATGGTCTCCTCTGCATTCTCCTGGACAGAGTGATCGACTGGTGCCGCCGGCGGGTCCAACGGACCCAGCCAACCTTCATGCAATCCACGCACGTATTCCTTCCAGGTGTGTCGACCGATCACGAGATCGCCCTTGGGAGCGGGTTCGTCTTTCACACCAATACGTTCACGCATATCGAGAACAGCCGCTTCGACGCTAGGTTCTTCGACGACTGTACTTGGCTCGCCGGCCTTTCTCCTGAGTTTGCGAATATGCTCCGCGGCTCCAGCGCGCACATCTCCCTCGCGACGGCCCTCGATCACGGTATAGTCCAACGCGGCCGCCGTCAAGATCGGCTTGACATACTCCTTGAAATGATCCCGAGCGACTCGCAATCCATCACCCGGCGGGGCTGCAAGGTAAACGGTCAATTTGCGGCGCATCTGTTCCACTTCCAATGGCTCCTTTGCAATGTGAGCCACGAGTTCACACCACTTTTGCTGCGCGCGGCGCTTCTCTCGTCGGTCGTAAATGATCGCACTGGCAAATGATCCGGTGATGGTCCAGAAAATCATCCAGTTCCGGGAGGGCAATCTGAAACGGAGGTTGGGCAAGCCTATTGCGACACATTGTGTTAGTGTATGGGGGTTCATCCATCCCGGACTGGGGAGGTGTTCGTACCCATCATTTTGAAGACCGGGTTTGGCGGCTTTGGGGGCACCTGAGGCTTTCCGGCTCCAGGAGCGGCAGCCGAACTAGATGAGTCTACCATTGCGAGTGATTTGGGCAGCAGCAACAGCACGAAACACTTTGCGGAGTTGGAGCTCCGCGAAAAAAGTCACCCGGCGCCAGGTTGATCCGCGTCACGTGCCATAGTCTATACCGTCGGCACTTTTGTTTCGGGCTCGACATCGTGTCAACCATTTAGAAACATTGGCCTTTGGGCACCTTCAGCTGTTTGCCCTAGAAAATATTCTGCTTGCTCTCTTAATATTGTATCGTTCCGCAGATACTCACCCGCGCTCCTTTGGGGTCCGGCCGGCCTCCGATTCTACAGTACATTATGTACATATGGCGGGGGTCGGTCACAATGGGCCAAGCCCTAGAAAAATTTCAGCTGCAAACCAGACTGGAATCCTTGCAACCCCGGTAGTTCGGCCCTCTCCCTGAATTTTGTTGGAACCGCCTCCGCAAATTGTACTCCGTGCAGCAGGATACGATGTTGGCTCGAGGGGTTCGCGGCTACGTGTATCCACTGGGCCCAGGCGATCCAGGGCCGATCCGAGATATACGGGCGCTCCAGCGTGGGAATTCTCGCCGGCACGTCCAGTGGGAAACGTAAGAAGCGTAGCACACGGGTGACAGGCGGTTTCAGCCTCCATCTTCCAGTAAACAGAGGCGGAACCGACCAGGGGCGGCGGCATTGGTTGTGGATTCAGGTTGCCTCCTGAGAGCCACCGCTCCTTTCGCTCCCCGCCTTCTCCTTTCCCATCCACTTTCTTCCTCCAACTCCCCTCCATTTTGTCTTTCGACTCCATCGATCGGGAGCAGGGGCCGTCACGATGGATCCCAACAACAATAACAACCGTCTCAACATGAATTTCGGCTACAATGACCGGAATTACAACGCGGCCAACAGTCGCGCCTATCCCACCACCCCTTCCGCCTTTCCCCAGCCTATCTACCAGACTCAGGGGGCTCAAGACTATGTTGACCCCTCGAACCCGGCCTACGCTCCTGGCTATTTCATGACGAATCCGTACCCTCCTCAGACCCAGCAACCCTACGCCCAGCAACAGCAGTATGCGCAGCAGCAGCAGGCCCTGCAGTCGCCCCAGCCTGCCTACCAGAACCGGATGGGCTACGCCAATGATGGCACAAATGGCCTGATTCAGCAGTTTTCGAACCAGGACCTGAACGCCAACCGTGGGGGCTTCTTCGGTCGGGCGTCCTCCCCCGCTCAGCGCCCTCGCACTGCAGGGGGTTCGCCTGCTGGGCCAACTCAAGCTGCGCATTTGGCCCCGCCGGTTCCTCGCAGTCCTCGACCACCATCCGAGAACGAGGAGCTGCAGCGCTTCTCCGACAGATACTCTGAGAATGTGCACAAGCGGGGCAAGGCCGCGAAGGAGCTCGTCACGGTCTTCTTCCATGAGAACATCGAGCGGGCCCGGGATCGTAACATGCGGTGAGTTTTCTGTTTCTGTGATTTCTCGTGCTTTGCTGTATCAGTGCTGACGTTTTGTTCTGTTCTGGCAGTTCCGTTGACCTCGACAAGACGCTGCACGACCCGAGCGTCGCGGCTGAGAAGAAGCGCAAGGATGCGGAGACCATTTCAAAAAGGGAATCGGACTTCCTTCGTTTCTTGCGAACCAAGGAGACCCCGCAAAACTTCCAGACCATCAAGATCATCGGCAAGGGTGCTTTTGGTGAGGTGAAGTTGGTGCAACGCAAGACCGACGGCAAGATCTATGCTCTTAAATCTTTAATCAAGACCGAGATGTTTAAAAAGGACCAGCTGGCACACGTTCGTGCCGAGCGCGATATTCTGGCAGACTCGAAGGATAACCCTTGGCTGGTCAAGCTGCATGCCTCCTTCCAAGACACAGCTTATCTCTATCTGCTGATGGAATTCCTGCCTGGTGGTGATCTGATGACGATGTTGATCAAGTATGAAATCTTTTCGGAAGATATCACTCGATTCTACATGGCTGAGGTGGTCATGGCTATTGAAGCTGTCCACAAGCTTGGCTTCCTTCACCGGTAAGTGACTTGACCCATTAATGACTGTGATTTTTGAGCATTCTGCTTTTTCGATTCCATAGCGGCCGGTACTAAAACGAAACCCACAGTGATATCAAACCGGATAATATTCTGTTGGACCGTGGCGGCCATGTGAAGCTCACCGATTTCGGCCTCTCGACTGGTGGAAAGAAGACCCACGACAATGCCTATTACCAGAACCTCTTGAAGAACTCTACATCAAAGGATCGCAACCGTAATTCGGGTTACTTCAACGATGCTATCAACTTGACAGTCTCCAACCGTGGACAAATCAACACATGGAGAAAGTCTCGCCGCGCTATGGCCTATTCGACCGTCGGAACTCCCGACTACATTGCTCCCGAAATTTTCAATGGCCAGGGATACACTTATCTGTGCGATTGGTGGTCTGTTGGGGCCATTATGTTCGAATGTCTTGTTGGCTGGCCTCCGTTCTGCGCCGAGGATACTACGGATACGTACCGAAAGATTGTGAACTGGCGTGAATGCCTCTACTTCCCGGATGAGCTGGTTCTCTCGCGTGAATCCGAGTCTCTGATTCGAAGGTATGTTATTCTTTCTTCTTATACTGACATGGCGGGTAACTAATTAGACTTATTGTAGCTTCTTGTGTGATCCTGAGCATCGTATTGGTAGTGATGGTGGACAACACGGCGGCGCAAGTCAAATCAAGAACCACCCCTTCTTCCGTGGTGTTGTTTGGGACCAATTGCGAGGCATTCGTGCGCCATTCGAGCCTCGTCTCAGTTCAAACATTGACGTGTCATATTTCCCGATTGACGAAATTCCGCAGGAAGACACCAGTGCCATTCACCGTGCCCAGGCTCGTGCTATGCCAGACTCGCAGGAAGCCGAGATGAGCTTGCCATTTATTGGATACACCTACAAGGCATTCAATGCCTTCCAGGGCTCTTAAAACTCCAACATGAGACATTCATCAGCTGGCCGACACGTTGTATGGCAAGGAATAGGAAGCAGGCAGGGCTTGCATTTATCATCTTTTGACCCACATGTATCTGGCCTATTTGAGGCTTGGATGTTTTGATCTCTCCACCACGAATTGTGTCATTCAGCATGTATCAGCGCGATTGTTTCCAGGTCATGACCCCGAGCGCCGTATTTTTGGTTTCAGTTGTGGATATTTAACGTACTCATCGTCATCGCGATATGAATCGCGCCAAGAAAAATGAACACTCTCGAGAAATGCCATATAGATCTTCCTAGCATATTGTGTCTTCAATGTTTCAGTTGAGAAAACAAAAAAAAACTTGTGAGATCTGCTTTTGTTGCATACCACCCCTAGGTCGTAGATTGATGAGACTGGGCAGCCATAATGGCCGTCTAATGTGGACTTAAAAGGCCTTGTAGCTACAGGAGAGCACTTGGTGACTGATAAAAGACCACTCAAGTCAATTGGTTAGATGTTTGGATATCATGGCGGCTAAATTACAACTTTTCCCCTGAACGCCGAAACTGCAAAACCCATAGAAATTGGCTGAGAAGAAACCCCGTTGGAAACCCCCCCCCCCCTTGGAACAAACCAGACGATTTTCTCGAAAGAAAAAGAGCAAGACGGGAGAAATGGAACCTATAGAACATCTCAAGCCCCCATGGGCGCCAAACCAGGCACACCACTGAAACGCTCCTCACGCTCTGTCTTGAACATAATCTGCACCCAGAACTCCTTCGTATCCTCGTCAAACCAAGTCCAGTATTTTCCGTCGGAACGGTCGATCTCGCGAGCCTGCAGCTTGAACGCACAGGTCTGATAAGGCTCCGCCGCGACAAGCAGGTACTGGAAGTTCTTTTCCGCCTCATCAAATTTCTGCTCGAATGCCGACATGAAACGCACTCGCGGCTGGACACCAGGAGTGATCTCCTGATACTGCAGTTGGAAGAGCAAACCGAGCTGTCGAGTCAGAGGATCACGGACCTTGGTGATCTTGTATCCGGGTCGGCCGATCTTAATCGTCTGCTTCTTGACCTGCACACCCATGGCACCCGGCAGGGAAGAGGGATCGCGGTTCTTGCCCTCGCGCTCCTCGCGGGCAGCTCGGCGAGCGAGGTTGGCCTGGTGCTTGCGGCCCTGCGTGTGGGCGAGGTAGGAGCCGTCATTTTGGTGAACCGTCAGGCAGAGACGGCATTCGAAGTTTCCGACGTGGTTCTTGAAGAAGTAGGGATCCTTATCGAGGTCGATGTGTTCCAGCGCGAGCTTGCGAAGGCGCTCGCGGCGGTCGGCGTTCGTCGCGGATTGGGAAGCGACACCTCCGCCTCCAAACTTGGAGCCCGCCCGATTCTGAGCATTGTCGTTAGGACCTGCCGTCTATCATTAGGAAGTTCGAGGCTTACCTGGTAATCCATCGTTGTTTCCGTTGGCCGACACGAACGAGTTGGAAAGGGTGGTGAGGTCAAATCTGCGCGCCTCGAGATGCGCGAAAAACGGCGAGTTATGTAAGCAGACGGCGGCCGATTGGAGGTAGTTACAACACGCTGCTGGAATTCATGACGGCTTTTATATTCCCAAAAAGCTACCAACTCTTCGTCTTTGGTGATGAGCGACTCACTTGTGGGCCAGCGCCGGTCCTTTGATGGTCAGCTATGCACCATTCGCTATGTAGGTAGTGTTCAGGGCACCACCGGCGACTGGCTAGGCGTTGAATGGGACGACCCAACTCGAGGGAAACATGCGGGGGAGCATAAGGGCGTCCGCTATTTCACATGTAAGTCTTTCTGGTTTGTATCCACGTATATGACCCGTTGTTGATTCAGTCTCCAGGCCAAAGCACCTACCCCACGGCGGGGTCTTTCGTTCGCCCCTCAAGACCATCCGAGCTGCCCAGAAGCTTTCTGGAGGGTCTCCGTGCGAAGTATGCCTCCGAATCCGAACAGGAGCTTGTGAAAGAGTCCCTGACAGGCAATATTCCGCCAAAGACAGCCATTGAGATCAGTGGTAAGGTTGTTGAAGAAGTTGGCTTCGACAAAATTCGCAAACAGCTCGCCGAGCTACAAGAACTGCGGATTGTGTTACTGGACGGCCTACGCATATCGGGAGTTCTATCCTCCTATGACCAGCCGGAGGATGAGGTTTCTCGGTTGGCACCAGAGATTGCATCTACTTGTCCCAAGGTTATGGAGCTGGACCTTAGCCGCAGTTTATTGACCCGCTGGCGTGATATTTGGCAAATTTGTAACCAGCTCAAGAAGCTGAAGAAATTGAGGTTAAAGTAATTCCCCTTCATCATCCAATCAATCTGGGTATAGGATTTTAAGTCGCTAATTTAGTTACACAGCGGCAATCGGTTGCATGCTTTGGAAGATAGCCTTGTGTTCGAGGCAATCACCGAACTGCATCTAGAAGAGACCCTGTTGAGTTGGGAAGAGGTATGGAACGAGACGAATATCGATAACTGTCAGCATTAAACGGCAAAAACTAATTCATTCTAGATTGTGACCGTGGCATCGCGATTCCCATCACTTACATCACTCACAGCTTCCGGGAATCAGCTCTCCACACTCTCACGCCCGCTGACCAGCAGCATTACGAAGCTGACGCTCGAGAACAACGAGATCACTTCGCTATCTGCCATTCGGCATCTGGCGAGAATGCCAAACCTCGAGCACATTTCGCTACGAGGAAACAATATCACCTCCATCAATGACGACAAAGATACCAAGCCGGACTTCTACTTCCCACACACTGTCTGTTCCCTCGACCTCTCCCGCAACAACATCTCCTCATGGGCCTTCCTGAACGACCTTTCTAGCATGTTCCCATCACTTTCAACCCTGCGTATTTCTGGAAACCCTCTCTATGACCTCTCTCCCCTTCCGCCTTCAGTCGCAGCAGCGACGTCAACAATGGGCGCCTCCAAACCCATGACGGTTGACGAGGCATTCATGCTTACGCTATCCCGCTTCCCGCCTTCACTTCGCATGCTGAATTTCAGTACCATCTCTGTTCAAGACCGCTCCAATGCAGAGATGTACTACCTTTCCCTCATTGGCAAGGAGCTATCTGCCACTGCCGAAACAGAAGAACCAGAAATCCTTGCCGCGCACCCGCGCTATAACGAGCTATGCGATCAATACGGTGCACCAACAATCACTAGGGCAATCGTGGGGGATGGCTCGGGTGGAAGGACGATCCATCCCCGGTCCGTAGCCGCGCGACTAGTCAAGATGGCATTCCGTTTACAAGGGCAGTCAGGCGGGTCCGATATGCAAGTCCAACTCAAGGAAATCCCCACTTCATTCGATTCCTACCAGGTGAAAGCTCTAGTCTCACGGCTTTTTGGGCTCGAGCCCTATAGTTTCAAGCTCATATGGGAAACGGACGAGTTTGACCCGGTGGAGACAACGACCTTGGACGATGGCAAGGCTGATTGGGATGAGGATAGTGAGGACGAGATGCATGCTTTTGATCGCGCTTCTGCATCCGCCGATACGAGCCGATTTGTTCGGAGAGAAATTGAGCTAGTGGATTCCACGAGAGATATCGGGTTCCTGTTCCAGGGGGAACTGGGAGAAGTGAAGATTCGGGTGGAAATGTCTGTATAGCCGCCGCTGTCATCGACAGGCATCGACTGGCATCGAGCCATGTTTTCTGTCAATAAGCATCTCTATTGTGTCCAAGGATCCAAGATACAGCAAGATAATACAAGATTCCCGAGAAATACGTGTAGTCTTTTTATTCAAACCATCAACTGATCGACGTGAGCCATCTAACTGATTTGAGTTAAGATGTCACGGGGTATGGAACTCCCGCACCCAGAAGCGAGATATGCACAGAAAAATGTTACAGAGAAGTCGAACCTGTTCGGGGGACAAAAAAAAGGTCAGAAACGCCATAGTGCTTTGCTCGCTCGTCACCCAGATCCCCCGAACCCCGATGAAAACAAATCACAAATATAAAGTATCATCCAAAGCACTGAAACGCCTGAGCCATGATGCTTTTGAATCTCGAATGAGTGGTGTAAGGGAGCGCATGTAAGAAACTCCATGTGGCCACGGAGTGAGCGAAGATGTGAAGAGCTCGGCAGAGACAACAAACGAAATCCGATAGAGAGAAATACACCGGGATATACAGATCATTCACGGGCAACCCACCAGGATCGAACTGCCATACAGCAGATTCGTTTGTAGATCTGTGTGGTACCCTTGCCTTCGGCTTCCTCTTCGATGAACTTTTGTGCCACGAAGAGCTTAGTACCTGACTCCTTCTCGCTTGTATAGCCAACCTTGGGCAGATTATTAGGGAAGTCAGCCCATCGTTGGCCAAGATGTCGTGCAATAGCGATAGAGTAGATAATGTCGCGATTTTCGTAAGTGTCCAGCAATTGACGGCAGCGTCCGAGGGTATCGTCAATTTGCTTAGCCGAGCTAGCTTCATTATCGTGAAGAGTGAGAAATTCGCCGATCTCACTCCAGAAGTCCAGTTGTCGTTGCATGAACTGATCTGGCGGGTTGGGTGGGTTGGCGGCTTCCATTGATTGCGGCCTAGACAAGGAGTTCTGATACAGGTGGCTCCAGCTCAGGAGAGCCTCGACTGCATTTAGACGAGCAGTGGTAGCCACCAAATTCCAGTCCTGGCCATATTGTGCGTTCTCTGACGCTGATACCTGGCGGCATAGTACCATGCTTCTCCAGATGATCGAAGCTTCAAAACTTTCCAGGCGAGCAATGGTGTTTCCATCGCTTAGGTTCCAGTCATTGAATGCGTTGATCAATGCCGAGTAATCTGCCATGAGCTGTGCATCGGCCATGAGGACCGGAAGCGCTTTCTCTGAATACCACCGAACTTCCAAAAGCTTATCAATCGCGGGGGCGTATGTTGCCAGGAACACGGCCTGGATTTCTTCGAGTCGGCCAGGAGGAAGTGATCCAATCGGGTGAGGCGGAGGGGGTGCAATGCCCCTCAGAGACATCAAATCATTGACATGGAGATTTTTCGCTAGTAGTAAAGACAATTTTTTAGCTCAGGTTAAGCAATGCGAATCAGGGGCTAGTGGATGGAACAAAAGCAGCGGAAAAAAGCGTTGGCAGCCCGAACACACCTTTGTATGTAGGCTCTGAGCCCTGAGGCCCATGATCATTAGAATTTTGCATATTTGGTGGGTTGGGTGGATTGCTCGGTGGAAGTGAAGAGTCAATGGAAGCTCCGTGGTCGGGCTGGTCGGTCGAGGTGCTAGGTGATTCCGAGTGAAGAGATGGCGCAAATGGCTGCGAAGATGCTGGCATGTACCCAGGAGGCGCCGAAGGATATGAAGGTGTCGAGGGAGCAGGAGGGCCCTGAGGATTGACGACCAGTGACGGAGGAGGGTTTGGAGCTGGCTGGATGGCCGAGGGAGTGGACGCTTGAGGCCTGAACACCGGATCGTAACCGAGGCACTCACGCTTGCTCTTCACGCAATTTCTGCAGACTGGATGCCCTTCGTCGCACTATGAAAACATAAGTCTCTCGCCCGGAGGAAAGCGGCGTTGGAATGGGGGGAGGTCGTGGGTTGGGCGGGAGATAAAATAAACGATGGCGGGGTTTGCGGGCGCAAGCGAGGCCGCCCTGCGCCCCGCGAGGGCGCGCAACCGCAACGTGCAAAAATTCCATGCATCACGTACCTTAATTCTGCGCTTGCGACAAGTCAAGCAACCGGTTTTCGTGCGTCGCTTAACCTCCTTCTTATGTCTGCCACCAGACAAGATCTTATTAGGGTCCCCGGGCATTGAATAGCCCATCTGGTTCGAATTCATGCCAGGCTGCGGCACATTGGAGGGATAACCGGTCATGTACTGCCCCATAGACGCCATCGGAGGCATGTTGGATGGCATCGGAGAGCCAATGGATACCTGTGGGACTTGGCCGTGCTGTCCCTGTCCGCTGTTGCCAGAATTTGGGTTTACCGAGGAAAATCCGCCATGGTTATGATACATCTCTGTACTTTGTTGTTGCTGATAATTCTGCGGCGGTTGCGATTGGAACTGGTGCTGAGTCGGCCCCTGAGGCGGTTGCTGCCCATCGTAGTGCTGCTGCGGCCCTGGACTTTGCGAATAATGGTAGTTGCCGTTGGACGGCGCCTGGTAGTGATTCGAGCCATTGACAGACCCCGGCTGCTGGGTCATATTGTGGCCATGGCCCGTTGGAGGATCGGTCGAATGCTCGTGGTGGTCAAAATTGCTATCGTCAAACGTGTGGTCATCATCCATGGTTGGAATGTCAGTGCCAATTGCTGGAAGCGAGGCGTCGAGTGAAGGCAGAGTTGTGTCGATAGCCGGTAGCGATAGATCTGGAGCGGCGGAGGAGCCAATCGAAGGAAGCGCTGAATCAAAAGAGTGCAGTCCCGGGTCATCAAAGGCATTGTGGGTTTCCAGAGTTGGGATCGTTGGGTCCATTGCTGGTAGAGTAGATTCCACAGAAGCCGTCACATTCTGCATTGGGATTGGGACAGGGGTGGATGCTGTATGGCTTGTTGCTTCATTCGAGGTGCCGACGTCCGTTTGCTGGGCTGTGTTCACATCCGACTGGCCGACTTCCACTTGCGACTCGCCCATCGGAGCTGGCTGGGGATCCGAGTCCGCTGGGGGTGCCGGTTTCCCTTCGAGGGACTGGCCACCGGCTTGAGCGGTGGGTTGGCTCGTCTCTGCTGCGGGCGCATTCGATTCGATCGGCGGATTGGCTGAGTCTCCACGATTGGGGTCCGTCGCTTCTGCCATTTCTCACGGGATAGACTCCCCGGGGAGTTCACAGGTCCAGGCGATGCGCAAAGCGTGGGGAGATAGTATCGATGTCCCGTTTGAGACAGACCGGGTTTCGAGGTCAAAGGTCAGAGAGTTTGTCGCTGAGCATAGGCAACACACCAGGTCGGTCGGAAGAGCACGTAAGAATCATTTATCTGCTGGGATCTTCGGAAAGCCATGTTAGCGATGTTCCCATTTCGAGTCTGTGGTGGCAGGCCGTGTAAATCATTGTCAAAGACAAAATGTTTCAAGAAGTACAGGAAAATCAAATGAACAGGGTAATGATCAAAGTGGTCATCGAATTCCACCAGGGCCCTTCGAAAATGAATTCTTCGCAGCTGTACGCTTATCGCAAGGTTGCGATGTGCCAGAATCCTCGGTCAACGGGCTCGGCCATGGCAAGACGATAGGCTCGTAGGCCCCGATTCCTGCTGGATAAAGCGTCGGAGGAAAACTTTTCAGTGGCCCAGAGAACTCGATTTCTCCCTTCTCCATCCTCATACCGGACGACCAAGTTTGACTCGTCGCATTCTTCGTGCTGAACAGCACGAAGAAACCCAGAGACAGACCCCCCGCCCACACTTCGACGTCCCGACCGGGGATCGAACACCGGAGAAGTAACAAGGGGGCCGGAAAATGCTTTTGGGCACAGAGAGTCGATCGCGGAGCCGCGAAGAAGGGGAATCCGGGGGGTCTGCGCTGGTGGAAGAGAATGCGCCTCGAAGGCCATGATGGAGTTTGCTGGGCTGGAGAAAGCGCGATTGCATCAGAGAGGCTAGACTCACCGTAGAAAAGGTCTCCTGAGTACAAAGAGAAAAGAAGACGGGGGCGTTGCTGGGAAACTCGGCGAGTCCGGGGTTCGGTGGCAGGTAGGAAGAGACGCGCGAAGTTGGAGCGAACTAAGGGAGCTTTCCTTTCCGTCATTCCCAGTCTTGAAAAAAAAAAAATTGGTGGCAACCGCAAGACATGCTCTACTCTGCACAACAAACCAGTGCATTACTTGAGTTTAGTATTCTATTTTTCTCAATGGCAGGGCCTAGATGAATTTCTTCATGAATCCTTATTGTTTTGACTATATAACGTTCAATTTCTTTTCTTTCTGCATAGCACGAGCCATCATCCCCGCCCGACCGATCTATGGAGTCGGAGTCTAGTGAGAGTATACTTCTTAAATGTCTATCTTTTCGCGAGCTTGGATTGGCAGGACACTTTCACTCAATGACTTGTCTGCTAACTAGTAATTATTGCATGAGCAGTGATCAGTTTGGCCACTTCCAGACGGTAATAAATCCGTGGGAGGGCCGATGTAATGACCCTTCGCTAGGTATGGAAACCAGCGGGCCAAGCATCCAAGAAAAATGCAATCCGAGGCCGAAAAGGCCCTGCGCGTAAAATCTGTGGAGGCCGATCTCTCCAAAAAGATCTAGTACATTCTCCTGAATAGAGATGCCATCAAAATCAGATGTACCGTAGGCTTTTTCATGATCAGTGTGGGGAGCAATGATGGGGTATCGAATAGTTGTGACCGCTTTCAATATAATTTCTAGAATCCATGAACAGCCTTCTTTCTCAGACGTTATTTTCTCATGACTTTGGGCTTGCGCTTTTTGAACCCGAACCCAATCGTCTCTTCAGCTGGTTTTTCATCCGTCTTAGGCACGGAGCCTTCCTCGATCGCCTCTGTCTTAACATTTGTTGACTTGTCAGTTTCCGAGGCAGTCGAATGTGGAGCCTCGTCTTCTTTCTTCCCCAAAGGATTGAGACCCTGTTTCTTTTCCTCGATTTCCGTTTGAGTTGGTGCGATCTTGGTCTTCTTCAAATCCTTGGTAGAGGCAAGTAGAGCATCCAGATCATCGTCATTGTCCTCTTGTGCGCCAGGGTAAGCTCGCATTTTCGAACCCCAGTTCTGGCTGATAATTTTTCCTGGGATCTGTTCTGCACGTTCATCTTCTTCGTCGCCATCATGTTTGCGCTTGCGAATGCCGATGGACTTGGCAGCTCCCTCTGCTTCATCCGTGGCAGTGTTGGTCTGGGGCAACGCCTCCCATTCACCGGCTAAAGCCATGTCCCCCCGGAACTCCTGAGGGATCGCGACACCCATCTCTGCTAGTTGAGCCATCTGCTTCTTCCGGTCTTCTAAGCTGACCGGTTTCTCCACAGCCTTTGGAGCTGGCGCTGCTGGGCGTCCTGATGGTGTAGCGGCGCCCTTGGCCGAAGAGGACCCGCCTCCGACAGCTTCCCGCAGTCTTTCAACCTCGCTTTTTGCTCGCTGTGATTCGCGTTGTTGAATCTCGTTGTTCTTATGGATATCTCGGAGGAAGCGCTTGAGGTTTCCTTGGTGTTTGGGGCTGGCTTCATGTTGTGTCTTCTCGAAGGCCGTGTCGCGAATAAAGATCTTGCACTGCTTGCACCAGTGGCGCGGCTATAAGAAAGGGGAAAAGTTTAGTAATTTGCTCAGAAGCAAGTTCCCAGAACAAATACATACCGCTGACTTCCAGTATTCGGCCATCGCGATCCTTTTGTATCGACTGGTGATTTGGCGCAGCGTTGAATCTCCAGCTGCGATTTGAGTCGGAGGCGCGATAAGATTGGCGGCCATCAGCCAAGGCCAAACCGGTGCTAGTCCCAATGCGGTAGTTTTCTATGCCACGATTAACTGGAGATTAAGTAGAAAAAAATTGAAAAGAGAACATAAGACTCGAACATTAATTGCACAATATTTAAAAAATAAGCTTGGGCCCAAATAGCCACTGAGACGCCCTGCGGTCTGCCTATTTGTGCCAATCTATATAAAGTAATCTACATCTTAATGCACAATCAAACTCCGATGGGACCTTACAAGTCAGCCTGCTCGGGGACGGGACTCTTGAGCTTTCCGCTCTCGATACCCTGGCGAATATTCGCGATAGCCCACTCTTCCATCGCAGTAAGAGTCTAGATGTCCATTAGCTCGTTGGTTTTCGCACAGCAGCAACGTATGACTCACCTCCACAGTATATGTGCCCATGTGAGGTACTAGCATCACATTCGGGTTCTTGATCAGACCAGGGTGAATTTTTGGCTCTTCCTCAAAGACATCAAGGCCAGCGGAGAGGACCTTGCCGTCATCCAGGGCTTCAACCAGAGCAGCTTCATCCATGACCGCGCCGCGGGCCGAGTTCACGACGACAACACCGGTCTTCATCTTAGCAAACTCAGGCTTTCCAATGATATGATGGGTATTTTTCTTCGAGCAGTCAGTATTTAAGCTTCCATGATCATTTTAAATTCACTCACGTTCAAAGGTAGGTTCAGACTCAGCACATCACTGGTCGCCAGCAGCTCATCGAACGTCACATATTGGGCTCCTCCAGAGAGTTCCTCGCTCAGCGGCCGGCGATTGTGATAGATCACCTTCATTCCAAAAGCTTCTGCCTTCTTTTTCAGATTACGGCCAATGCCGCCCATACCTAAGATGCCGAGAACCTTGCCCTGAGGGTCGTGACCGAGGGCCGGGGCTGGCTGGCCCCGCCATTTGCCCTCGCGCAGAGCCTGCATGCTCGTGTTAAAATTCCGCAGCGCACCGATGATCAGGAACATCGTCACATCAGCCGTAGCGTCATCAACGGCAGTGGGGACGTTAGAAACGCGGATTGGCGGCTGCCGAGAGCTGCATGCATGGACATCAACTTGATCATAACCGGCTCCTGTTCGAAAAAGATGTGAGTTGAGGTGAACAGCCTTGATAGAAACTCATGATGTATTATTAAAAGCTTACCGCAATGCGCAAGATATTTCAGTGAGGTTGGTAGTGCATTCACAAGCTCTTCGTCCACTAAGCCAGTAATGCTAACGGAGGAGAAAGTGCGGTATGCCGCTACAACTCCGTCAAGCTTTCCATCACGGCATTCCTGAATGAAGTCTGCGCGATTGGTGGCAATTGGCCTCACAAGATCTCCCAATTCAGTCAGTGCATTCCAGGACTTTTGCGCGCTATTGTTGCTTCTGTCAATGACAGTCCATTGAGGAGATGGGCTCATTTGTGTACGCACTGGTCGATGCTTCCCAGAAGGAGAATCTTAGGGCTCGTCCCGTTGGATCCCATAGTGATCCTATTATGTCGTAAGAACCTTTATAGTGATTCGTTAGGCTATGACCTCTTATGATGCAAGTGCAGAATGCCATTCCTCTGCTCTCTGGCGAAGGCGAAATCCACACAATACTGACACCAGTCACCTGCTCCTTCTGGAAGCACAGACAAGGTCCTATTGGTTTGGCAGGAGAATTTTCATATACGTTCACCATGAGCAGCCTAACCTAATGCTTGCGTGGAACTTACCGATAAGAAACCAACCTTTTGCCTAATAGCTCAAGGTCTTGAATCGGGAACAGGGAACAGAAGTATGCGACACGTTGTCGACAAAGGCAAGTTCGCTCAACGGTAGGAATCAATAATAGAGGAAGGGTTCTTAAGGGAAGACAATAGAAGGAATTGCGCCTGTAAGAGTCATAAAAGATACGAAGCATCGGCCGAGAAATTTGCCCCACGCGAGAATTGGCTTTATCTCGGGCAAGTCCCCGGTGGCCGTATGTACATAGATTTCACTCTTCGGGGCTCTGCGCGAATCAAATAGCTGACCCGGGTTGCATTTTCAATCCACAAGGCTCTAGTGGCAGCCTAATGGAGGTGAATTTCAATTACAAATGTTCCTAGTAAGGAGGCAGCCTGAGGTTATCGGACTCGATCTTTCGAGCATCTAGTGGCTTCGGCAAATGCGGGGTAAAAGGTTCCGGGAAAAGACCGAGCTGTCGGAAAACGTGAAGTAAATGAGAGGGTGTCTCATGTCCATCATCTCCATGTCTACAGACTGGAAAAAATATACTTGAATATTACAGGCAATCAACAAAAGAGTAGTTTCCGGGTGGTAGTGCCAGCGAAATCTTCAGGCTAGAATGATACTGTACAAGTTCTGCAGAAGGCAATTCAAAGCTGTACTCATCCCTCTACGAGAATACGAGTCCAGTCAAACTTCCTCCACCGTTTTTTGAATCCATCCATTCGTCGGTCACTGCCTCGCTGCCAGCGACCCTGTCGCTTGATCACGTCGGGGGCAACGTCCAGCATGCCTCCGATGATTTCTCGAGCAAACAGATCCCCGCGAGGCCAAAGGTTCTCATCTTCCACAATATGACCCAAACCACCATCAAGCTCAAACCACACATGGAAGTAGGGCATTTCTTTCACCAGGGTTCGGCGGAATGCGGATCGGCCCAGGCCTTGCTTAGACTTCGCCAGAGTGTCGATGAGCTTGCGGTGTTGAGACCACTCAGACTCGGTACTAAGGAAAGCCTCCTTGAAGAATGCGGGCGAGGTTTCACCGAGACTGTATGGCAAGGGAACCGCCTCCATGGAAGCATGTCGCTTTCGTTGGGGATGAGCGGCATTCTCGTAGAAGATCACATCTCGACCTTGGTCATGATACATGCGTGTCAGACTCTTCATAAAGTTTCGAATTTCTTCCCACTCATCGTCATCACATTCCACGAGGTTCGTCCGGTGCTGAATGGGGACAATGGTGGCTCCTCCTTCACTGACTTCAGGTTCAGTAGGAAGTGTGAGGTAGACTCTAGTCGCGAGGGAAACGACAGGCGCAATGGGCGGTGTGTTGGTATCCTCGCGGTGGCAGAGGGCACAGTTATCCAGGATCCGGTTCATTTTTCGGAATTCGTTGATTGTCGTATTTTTCAGGTCAATTTCAGATTTGTGCACTCTCTTTGCCAATTTTGAAGCATTGTCGTCCATATACTCCAGATCATTCTGAATGGGAATTAGACGAGGACGGCCGAGGACATGGATCGAGATGTATAGTTACTTACCACAAACTTGGAGTCGCGCGAAATACGATCTGCCAAACGCGAGCCTTCTCCCCCAGCTTGACCTCGGGTCTTGCGTTCCTCCCGGACCATATCTTCAATAGTCATATCTTCGTTTGCTTCGACTTGGCCTCTTTCTCGACCACGCTTGGTGTCAACCGCCTTGACTTCGTTTCTAGCACCGGCGAGCATCCGATTATCCTTAACACCGAGGACCACAACGTCCGACTCCTTACGGTTGGCCATGGCAGCTGCCGCAGCATTGTATTGTTCCTCCAGCTCAGCCGCATCCGGCGCCTTCCTGAGCTTGGCTTTCATCATTTGAGCTTTCAAACGATTCAATGCAGTGAGATCTAGCGGTTGAGTGGTGTTTGACGGAGGCTCTGTCTGCATCGTCTTGCCCTGACCATCTGCCTTAAGCTCCTCTGCCGGGTCACGAGCATGCTCATGCGAGCCCCGGTGAGCTTTGTTCTGAAGTTTTCGCTCCTGGAACAACTCTCCGCTTGGTTTGTCTTTGCCCACATAGGACTCGCCATACATCTTGCGCCGGTCTAGTTCGGTCTCCTCTTCGCGAGCATCGTCAAAGAATCGCAAGTCTCCAAATCGCTCCACGGCAATATCTTCAACAGCTCTGCCGCTGGACTCAGCCTCCCTGTAGACGCCCTTAAGTTTGGTCATGCGCCACTGGGACCCCGAATCCCCAAAAGTGTAATCTACCTCATGCTGTGCCGGCTCCTCATTAATGTCTTCCAGTGCTTTTCCTTCCTTGAGATCACGGAGATGGTCGTTCAGCTCCTTGTCATGTATCTTGAGCTCGTAGTCGGCAGAAAGCATCTTGGGTTTTGCGGATTCTTCTAAGCGTTTAGGATTCGGTCGATGAACGTAATCGATATCGAGGGCTGAGGGTGCTTCCATCCAGGAGTCTCGCTTTAGTTGGCTGGGTTCATCTTGTGTAGCCGATGTGGACGCGGAGGGCCTTTCATCATCCCTGTCAGAGTTCTTGTGTCGACGCTTATGGTCGCGATCGCGGTCGTCCCCGTGGTCAGGCGAGTAACGCGAGCGCTTGTGCCGGTGGCCATCGCCATCTCGGCGTCGCGACTCGGGACTCCGTCCGCTTTCGCGGTCGCGGGACCTGGACGCATGTCGTCGATGATGGTGGCTAGAGCGGTGGTGCTTTGAGCGTTCTCTGCTGCGATCGCGGTCGCGGTGACGTCGTTCTCTGTCGCTCCTCTCCCTGCGTCGGTCCTGGTCTTGCGCCAGGGATTTCTCAAAGTCTTCCAGCGTCATGGTGTCGGCTGGTGCCTGGGAGGAAAAGCGAAAAAGAAGCTACAGTGAAGACAGCTCCCGCCGAATGACGTTAGGCGCGCCGGGCGGTCGCGCAACGTCGATCCTCAGATTCCCCGCGCCTAAAGAATTTCCCAAAAAAAAAGCCCACCAAGTTGAGCTCTCAACCTCTACATCTGCAAAGCCTCTGTGGGAACTCTCAGATTCTACACTCGCCTGCACCATATCCGTTTTCGATTTTTCGACAGAAAGTACGCTCCAGTCATGGCGTCCCCGGCAGTGTCTGTCGTCTGCGTGGGAATGGCAGGTAAGTCAATCAACCAGGCTACATGCGAAGGTGCCATGCGGAGGAATATGGATTTGAGAAAAATTATTGACCATCATATTTCACTAGGCTCTGGCAAGACAACTTTCATGCAAAGGATCAATTCCCACCTACATTCCAAAAAGACGGTGCCATATGTTCTCAACCTCGACCCCGCTGTGCATTCGGTGCCCTTCGACAGCAACATCGACATCCGAGACTCGATCAACTACAAAGAAGTGATGAAGCAGTACAACCTTGGCCCGAATGGAGGAATACTGACTTCCTTGAACCTCTTCGCCACCAAGGTCGACCAGATCATTGCGCTGCTGGAAAAGCGCACCGCGCCCAACCCCGAAAATCCTTCCGCAAAGCCGATCGAGCATATCCTGGTCGATACACCGGGGCAGATTGAAGTGTTCGTATGGAGTGCATCGGGAAGCATTCTTCTTGAGACCCTCGCGTCGTCCTTCCCTACCGTCATTGCATACATCATCGACACCCCGCGGGCCAGTTCCACCAGTACATTCATGAGCAACATGCTGTACGCATGCAGTATTCTTTACAAGACCAAGCTTCCGATGATTCTTGTATTCAACAAGACTGATGTCCAAGATGCTGAGTTCGTCAAGGAGTGGATGACCGACTTCGACAAATTTCAAGAAGCTCTGCGAAAGGAGGAGGAATCCGGTGTCTTCGGTTCCGAGGGTGGGGTCGGCGGATTTGGTGCTGGAAGCGGATACATGGGTTCGCTGCTGAACAGTATGAGCCTGATGCTGGAGGAGTTCTACCGTCACTTGAGTGTTGTTGGCGTGAGCTCTATGACAGGTGATGGCGTGGACGAATTCTTCGAAGCCGTCGAGACAAAGCGCCAAGAGTTCGAGCGTGACTACAAGCCTGAACTTGAGCGCAAGAAGAAAGAACGTGAAGAGACCAAGGCTAACCAACGGGATATCGAACTGGGTAAGCTGATGAAGGATATGAGTGTCTCGAGCTCAGGCCGCAGAGAGCGTAAGGGCCCTGAAACTGGGCCGGAAACTGTCAGCGAGGCTGAAGACGAAGAAGAAGATGATATCATCAAGCGTGGTCTCGCTTACGGGGAAGACAACAGTGATTTGGATGACGACTATGCTGAAGCTGCCGCTGACGATGACAACGGTCTCTCGCAGCGGTACAAGGAGGCTCTCGCGGGCAGTCAGAATGCTCCCTCGGATCAAGACAATAGCTTTACGAGATACCTGCGGGCAAGCGGCATGAACCTTAAGTGAAGCATTATTTCATTTGGAGTTGCAATTCGGCTTCGGAGTTGGGGGAAGTTGTCATGGATGGCATTCAATCTTTTTCTTGTTTGGTGGGACAGCAGCAGCAAAGTCCTAAATATAAATACATAAGTAGAAATGACATCTTATGATTCTTTTCAAGTTGTATTTATTCAATCCGCATACAACTGGGGCTGCAAACCAAACAAATCCAATGACGTCACATCGCCCGGCTGCATCATCGCGCATGGCAGCTTCCAGCCTGAAAGCTTTCACCTTGCACAATATCGACAACGGGCTTAAGGTACACTAAAATCTTTCCCAATCAAGAGAGCTGTTGGTACGACGCAACCTGATCGCAGCATAATGGATGTGAGTCTATCCTGCTTATAGCCCTAGCTGTCTTGATTAAGCATTGTTTCCTACGTCCATGTTTGCTGAGACCAATGCACAGGTTTTCCACGCATACACATTCTCGACGGCCGCATGGCTTTCACTACAGAGTGTGTCTCTGATTACAGGTCCAAGCATGGTCGTTGCCATGCTTCTGGATGAAACGAGACCTGCGTCGTGTAGGCTCCCACCCACGGTAACTCTTCGTTGTCAAAGACTAGGCTAACACTTTGAAAGCTATGGAGGTTTACTTTGCTCGGTGTCTCGGGTTTAACCTCCTCACTATCGCAGTTTTGACTGTGATGCTGACAGGCTCGATTCCGCTGACGGCCACGGTTGCGGAACCTGTGTCGACGGAAGATTCGGACCCCAAGGCTCCGTATGCCTTACCTACTTTGATGGTGACATCTGCTTTCCATGCTGCTTCAGCATTTTATGCATACACTTTTTATGCTACAGGAGGCCAGGGAGCTTTCGCTTTGTCAGTTCTTGGGAATTCAGTCCTGGCTGCCATCGGCCTCTGGTGCGTCCTCTTTGCCAGCAGCAATGGCAAGATCAGTCGCAGGACTGGCGCTGATAAGAGAACTACCGGCTTCCCGTTTGCCAATTCCGAGGCAGCCAAGAAACATGCCGGCAAAAAGGCTTTTTAGGTAATGTTTATTGGGGTTGGACCTAGTTTCAGGTATGAAGGAGAGTAAACCGCAACGTGTGAATCTTGATTGGATGTCCTCGGGACCGTCAAAGCTCTTAATCAAGGGATTTGAAGAGAAAAAGAGTGACTCCTGAAGATGTGTAGTGCTGATAAATTGGAGTCTTCCCTCGATTCAACTTAGGCGTAAGAGAGCTATGATTTATTTTTAACTAATACATTAGGCATGAGACTGCAATTTCAGGCAAAGACAAGGTCAAATAATCTGTTGAATCATCCTTTCAAGCGAGAATTCGGGTCAAGCAAGGTTCCTGGCGATTATTAAAGTCTGGGTAAATGGCCTTATTGGCGTTCCTTTGTAGAAGATTACTGTCATGGTCGTACTGACGGTAGCCGCTGGGTGGTGGGCCGGACCACGCCGCTTCAACCGCCCTCCCTTTCTTCTCCGCATCGCCAAAAGCAGCGCTCCTATCCCCCACACGGCTATGGATTCCGACCTGCGGCCTCCTTCCCCTCGTCCCCTAGCGGCTACGATCAGCATCGTCGATGAAACGCCAAGTTTAGCTGCGCAGCTAACTTCTTTCCATCCCGACTCGCAGCCTTTTGCCTCCTTTCGCGGCCTCGACAATGTCGCGCCTCAGTCTCATATCCACAATGCGACGCCCGTGGCGGGGCAAGACGCGATAGCTTTAGAGACCAGTGCGCATGGTGCCCCGGGGGATGAAATCGCTCTCCTACAATCAACGGGTCAATCCTTCCAGCAACCCACTGGCAACTACGATGGACTAGCACCGGAGCCAATGGCAGCGAGTTTCGCGGGTCAGTTGCAAGGCATGAAACTGGTCCCAGATCCGCCAGATCTGGAATTCTGGAGGGAGCGACTGTTCCACATTGATGAAACGATTACTATGAGCGAAGAAGAGTATGAACACCATTTTCCAGGTGACTCCGGTTCCATTCTATCGACCTTGGGAGGATGTGTTATCAACCAGTATACAGTACTGCTGCTAACAGCATCGCCTGCATAGATTCCAGACATACTTCCCACACGTCGACAATGTCTATTCCCACCGCTCAACCCAGCGCTACAAACGCAGACCATTTGTTGCTCACTATTGGGACTGTCGCCTCAAAGGTCGGCCTCCCGGCACGCCCAAGTCCGACGATCCGAATAAGAAGAAACGCAAACGCACTGCAAGGGAAAGGGATCTTTGTGATGTTAAGATCAAGATTACGGAGTACTTACCGGGGGCCGCGACTGTTGACAGAACGGGTGGGTTTGAATCATTGCCTGCAGACCTATTGCCAGGAACACACACTTTATACCCTGTCCAAAGCAACCAGTCCTTCGGCGTCCTTGCGCCAAACCCCCACCTCCCACAAGATCATCCTGGAGCAGGTGGGGGAAGGTATTTCGCGATCCAACGAGTGAATGGCAATGGTGCGAATGGAAAGAATGATGGCGTGAGTGGGGGCCACCGACACACACTTGAAGAAAGCGATCGTGTCAAGAAGAATAGCGTCCAACGCTACCTTTTAAAGGAAGGTAAAGAGAAAAAGAAAGCAACGGTATGTCTGACATTTCCTGTTTGAAACAGCATGGTAGAAGTTCGGCGGCTTGGCTCCTTCCCCGCAAAGCTGCGAGTTGGCTACGTCACAGTGGGCACTAGCTATACTGCATGTTTCCATCCATCCGTCCACTCCGTCGAAATCTTCTTCATTTCTGTGAATTTACCGCTAAGATTCAAGCTTCACCTACAGCACTGGCGAGTCATGTCCGATTCACAGCAAAAGACGTATCACACGAAGGCGACAGGCCTAGCCGCTGCAACGGCACTTAACCATTCAGCCGAGACAAGCCTCAAGCTGTATGGAAGCTGCTTCTGGTAATCAATCCCACATGCCTATGTGTGATGCAGATAAATACGGCCCTTGTTGACGAATGACCGCTAACTTGTTGATTGTCTGAATCAAGTCCTTTCGTCCAGCGCGTATGGATTTCTCTTGAACTGAAAGGCATTCCATACCAGTACATCGAAATCGATCCATATCAGAAGCCCCAGTCCCTGCTGAAAATTAACCCACGAGGCCTTGTGCCAGCATTGCAGCATGATGACTGGGGCTGCTATGAAAGCAGCGTGCTCATGGAATATGTAAGGAATCTCCAACCAGTTGGAACCATCCTCGGTTATGCTAAATGTATTGGCTATTATAGATTGAAGATTTAGGTATTGGACGGTCACTTTTTCCAGCTGACCCGAAGCTGCGTGCACATTGTCGGTTATGGGCAGACCATGTCAGCCCGCCTGCCCTCAACGAATGCTGTTATCATTGCTGATGAAAAAGCAGATCAACCGGAATATTGTACCAAGTTTTTACCGAGTGCTTCAAGAGCAGGATCAGGATAAGCAAATCACCAATGCTCAAGAACTTCGGAATGCTCTCAATCAACTCATGACAGCCGCCCATCCCGGCGGGCCATTTTTCATGGGATCACAGATTTCCTTTGTGGACATTCAAGCTGCACCATGGGTCCTTCGGCTTAGCCGAGTGCTGAAGCCCTACCGAGGATGGCCAGATCCCGAGGAAGGGGGCAGATTAGCCTCATGGGTGACCGCTATTGAGGCAAACGAACATGTTCGCGCAACAACCAGCACCGATGAGCTATATCTGGACAGTTATGAACGCTACGCCGGTAAGAAGGCTTACGCTCTTTGCATAAGCTGACATAGATGCTGACTTCGAGGCCCCCTGGCGCAGAAAATCGACCGAACACATCCCAGGTCGCAAATGCGATCAATTCTGGACGAGGTCTCCCGTAGACTCTCTTTGGGCCGGGGGGTTGTCGCGCGAGTCGTTGAAGAAGCTGTATAGCGTTCGCGCCGTGACCTGAGGCACAGGCGTGAGAGTAGGAATCTAACCCACTGTACTTTAACTCGCTCGCGCACCTCTGTTCCCAAATCCATAACCACCTCTTCCGCTTCCATCTGGACCTCGTGGGGTGCGAGATGGCTGTTGTGGAGCGGATTGCTTGTCTGGAGTATTTTGGTTGCTCTGCTGACGCTCGCGCCGTTGCGGGTGTGATCCATTTAATCTAGTCGTATTAGAAGGATCGTAGAGATTCTTAGACCGACTCGATGCCGTAGAAGAGTCTCTTTTCTCCCGTCCTCCACCTCGACCTTTGCCTTTACCTCGTCCCTCGCCTGATTGAGGCTGGCGAGGAGGAGTCGTACTCCCGGGAGATGAGTTGCCCGATGTTGTCGCTGATGGGCTACCAAAAAGCCTTTCACGGACCTCTTCGTACTTGCGCTGCTTCTCCTCAAGATTCTTAAGTGCTATTGCCTGGCGTTCTTCTGGGGTCGGCTCGGGAGGCTTGTTAGCCTCTTCATCCGAGTCCCCGTCATCGAGGCCTAGTTGCCCGACGCCAATCGCAGCACTGTCAACGTCACCTGAGGAAGAGGTTTGTCGTGTCGCTATTTGGGGCCTCCGACTAAGCAAGGTCACGGTAGGCTTGAACTCCTGTTTGAGCGGTACTTCAGAGCGGGCTTCAACAAAATGGAATGCTTGCGTAGGAGCTTCACTATAGCGAGTATTCTGGTTAGCGCCGAGATATCCAATATTAAATGCTTGGGTCCAAAGAAAATCATACGCTTCTGCCCAAAGCTGTCTGTTGAATTCAGCTTGTTGCGCTCTGCGCTGAGCCTTTGTGACTTTAGATGAGACCTTCTTCTCGGGCGGCGGGGTAGGCTGATCGGCTATTTTCTGTAGAAGTACGCAGCGGGTCAGCGCCTGAATGCTTGATACCAAATCGCAGACTTTGATGGAAGCTTTCGCCCAAAGAGATGCTCGGAGTCGGCATAGAGATCGAGAATTCCACATACATCAGCTTGGGATTCCCAATTGTCATCCCATGCGTCCGGTACTTCAGGCTTTGAGCTCATGGCCCTGAACGAGTGTGCGAAAGAAGGGGACGTTGAATTGAATGGAGGGAAATCGGTAGATGCTGGAAGCAAAAGCAAGACCCGATATTTCCAGGTGGTCTAGTGACAATGAAAGTGGGAGAAAAAGAAAATTCGCTGTGTAATGCCCAAAAAGAGGCGGCCACCGCCTGGTCCGCCGCGATCTCCGCTCCGCCTTCACGATCGCTTTGATCGACACAGTCAAGGTCTCCATTCCACCTCGACCTTCTCCAGCAACCGTCCAAATGGCTCCAAGTAAGCTCTCCCTTCTCCGATACGGCTCCCATCCTTGGAAAGTTGAATCTCAAATCCACTTGTTAAGCCATTATCCACCCCCACCTTGCCTGACCTGGCCCTCCCGACATCAGTTCCCTCATTAACAAACAAGACAGACTCCAAGGACCCCGACGGCGACTCCGAAATGGCCTCCTCCGTTGATTCAATCCACGCCGATTCCGATGGCGCAGGGAGCGGTGCCCGCACTCCAACTCGCCCCGCCCAAGCTTCCTCGGCCGCTGCCGCCGCCGCCGCGTCGGAGCTCTCTCCCCCCGGCTCTCAGCCTCAACAAAGCTCAGAGTTCGCGACGATCAGTAGCCTCGCGGCTGTACCAGACTCTGATATATCCGGAACTGGCAAAGGCGCTGATGCGCCAATCGCGGCATGGAAAAGCAAGCGCGCCCAGGAGGATTACCAACGAGCCATGGAGAGTGTGATTGATCAGGACTTCAATTTGAGTATGTCCAATTTGGAATAATTGGCTCGACCGCAAGCTTCTGGCTGACCGTTGCGTTAATAGATGAGTTCGGAGATCCATTTGATGAGAGAGATTTGGAGCAAAAACTATCATGATCCAACCGCAGATGTGGCTCTCCCGCCCCCCTTGTGTGCCTGTCAGAGGTAGCACACGATATGAATTATGAGAAACGAACTTCATACCAGCTATTTTACCTGTATCTGGATCTTCTAACGGTCCTGAAAACCAAGAAGACGATAGCTTCCAGCGACCATAAGATCTATCGCCTCATGACTCTTGGCTCCGGTGTTGAGATGAACCAGCAGCTCTCGGTTGAAATTCTTGATTAGACATCTCCTCGTCTATTCAATGGCTACATTGATAGATATTTGAAGCGATAGCCTTTTGCGTCTAAAATGAACAAAAAAATGGCTATTATGCATACCCGAAAACAGGACCTATACATGAAGAACCGCTGGATCGGCTGAAAGCCTTGTGGCTTAAATGGAGTAAGCGCCATCGACAGTCATTCCAGTCCCGTAAGTGAAACTGCTCATTGGTGACGCGATGAAAGCAATGGAATCAGCAATTTCTTCGACCGTGCCGGCTCTTCCAGCGGGTGTTCTTTCAAATTCTTTATCCATCGACCCCGATTCGATGGCCTTGCCAATCAGGGGCGTATGTACGTAACTGTGAAGTATGGAAGGTCAATATTTTCCAGTAGATTGAAGAAACATGAACAACATACCCGGGGCAAATGGCATTGATTCTAATTCCTTTTCGCGCATACACTTTAGCATCCTGTTGGATTAAATCAGCCTTGCGTTCTCCGATGCCGCCGTTTTCGAAATTCCCATACCGTCTTTGTGAGCCCCATGACACCTGGTGTATTGAATTAATAATTAGCGTTGCTTTACCCCCGAAAAGGTATGGGTATTCCACGCTGAGCTTACCATGTTTGGACGCAGTGTAGGCCGAGACGCCCACGGCGGGCGGAGGACTGGAAAGGCCGTACATAGAAGCTATATTCACTATAACCCCGCGTCCTTCACGGTCACTACGAGAGCTGCTTGCAGTGTCAGCTATGAAGGTATTTTTCAATGTTCAATCTCTCGGATGAATAGAATACTCTTGTTTTAACATCTGCTGGAGGAGATGCTTTTGGCAGATCCAAACACCTGTCAGATTGATATCAATGACTCTTTTCCAGTCTTCCAGTGCCATCTCGTGGGTTGGATCCCGGCTTCCACCAATTCCAGCACAGTTGATACCATAGTCAATCCTTCGGAATTGTCCTGTTGCTTGTCTGACAGCTTCTTGTATGGATACTTCATCAGTGACATCGGCGGGAAGTATCGCAATTTCGGTCTCCGGGAAGTCTATTTTAAGTTGATTGCGGGTTCCCTCAAGAGAACTGGCTTTATGATCAAGGAGAGCTAGTCGGTTGACTCCATATCGCGCAAAGGCAAGAGCCACGCCTCTACCAATCCCCGATCCAGCACCAGTAATGAATGCGGAACCCCTCAGTCCGAGCATTTCGTTTTGTATCGGAAATAAGACAGTGTGAGGCGGTTATGAATTTTGATGAAGCCAGATACGAAAGGAGTCATTTATTATTATCCAAGCGTTAGAATCGAAACTGCATCGAAAGCGGGGGCATCCCTTACCTCGGAGCTGCTGCTATGTTTACCCGGGGTCTGAACATTCCCAGTGCATTTCACAAACTATCAAAGTTTTCCAACTTTCTGGGGACAAGAATCTTATTGGAAACGAGCTGGCTCTAGTTGCTGTACGACTCGACCATCGCTCTGCAGGTGCGGGGATTTAGATCTTGCGGTGTCGAGAGACTCTTCACCGTATGGGCTCTGCCTAATAAGGACTAGCGCCGGAGGATCCCTAATCGCTCTCGCTAATTGCTCCGGTTGATCACCAACGCCCCAGGAAATCCGGAATATCTCCTTATTCTCATCGTTGCACGAGGTAACTCTCCGGTGTTCCCACAAGGAGTACTTACTATCAAGCATGCAGGAAGACACTACGCCAGCCTCACAAACCTCAGGCGCCGAAAGGTCCATGAGAGTCTGTGATAGATGCATCCGGTAATACCTAACGATTCAACCGCGATCAATACTGACAAAGACAACAGAAAGAAGGCAAAGTGTGAGATTGCTCCTCCCACTTTGGTTACAGAATTATGAGCTCACGATTTCTCTACAGGTGACCAGCGACGACCCACTTGCTCCCGATGCTTTGAGCAAGGAGAAACATGCAGCTATACCTCAGTGCGGCGTAGGCCCGGGCCCCAAAGAGGCTCTCGTCATGCTTCCAACCTGACTCAATCAAGGCCTTCCAGTAAGATACCTTGCCCTGTCACAGCCAAATCTACTAGATTTATACTAACCAGATTGGTACATAGATAAAAATATTCCGAGTAGAAGCTCAGGCATACCAATCCAAGGCTTTTCCCGACCGACGATAGAATCGAAATCCGTGTCAGAGATTAATGAGTCGACTCTGTTTCCATCTGATTCATCGCCCACGACAAGGTACTCGGCACAGTCGCCCATTCAATATAATGTATCTCTTGCTGAGGAGGAAAATCTGTACGATCTTTCGTTTCCCAGCAATCGGCTTGTTGCTAACAGTTGCCTTCCTTCCAGTCTAGATAAATATTTCGACATTCTCCACGATGCAAATCCGATTTTCTCAAAAGAAAATTTCTTCCAAAACTATCAAAATTCGCTATGCAGTCGAGAGCTTGTCTCTACCATCGTTTTGATCACCGCAAAGCTCACTGGGTTCCCAGTATCGATAGGAGAGCTCGGGTTGGATGCTCTAATCGACTCGCTGTTAAGCTCTAGTATTTTAGACGACGGGTTGATTGGAGACTCACCTTCCCTTGATCAATGTCGTAAGTCTTGCCTATTGGCTCTCTATGAGTTCCACCAGTTCCCTGGAAACCAATCATGGATGCGCATTGGAAGATTAACGCGCATGGCCTATCGCATGGGTCTTGACCGACTTGAGAATTTACGAATGCTATATCCTGAATGGCGGGTCCTCGATAGGGAAGTCCTCCAAGAATGGCGAACATTATGGTGGTTCATCTATCGCCTCGATTCATACTCCAATATCTCTTCAGGCACGCCATTCCTGATCGACGACAAGTTCATAAATACCTCCTTGGTATTATCATTTTCTAGTTCGAGTTCCGGGAGTGATGGTGCTGCTCCAGAGAATCTGCGCATGCCGTCCAACCCTGAATTTTTCTGGAAAATCATCCCCGCACTCAGCTCAAATCCAGAAACTTTCCTGCAGAATGCTCACCTAGTCGCTATATCTGCCACTCGCCAGGCAGGAGTTGTTCTAAGACATCACTGCGTGCTTTCCAAAGAGGAACTCGTCGACAAAGACTTCAGTGCATTCGAGCGACATCTTTCTGCTCTTCGCCTGGCCCTTCCTTCAGGCTGGTTTAACCCCAAGCGCAACGCGTTCTCGAATGAGACACAAGCATACCATCATGGAAGATTGAACAGTGTTATTCTTCTCTTGATGTCTCAGCTTCTCATATCGATCATTGGTTGTGCCATAGCGAAAAATGATGAATGGCTTTCCAATTGGCAGCGTATCCTTGAGACTTGTCAGGGTATTGCGTCGGTTGCAGCAGAGTATGATACGTCTTTCTGTATCAAAGTCGATCCTGCAATTTGCTTCGTTTATTTTACTGCGCTTATCTTTCTCGAGATGCACAGAAAGTCAAGTACTTTTTCTGTACCTGATCTGCTGTCGAATATTGAGCATGATCAAACTGTACTCCGTTTGCAACTTGAGCAGTTTGCAAAAATTTGGACATTGCCGAAACTTCTTATCAGTAAGTTGATGTTGACTTTTTGAATGATGCACGGCTCTAATCTCATTAAGTGTCTTGTGCGAGCTTCAGTGAATCAATATCTGGTCCAATTTCCCAGAATGAGATTGCGCTGATCCTATCACGGTTTGAAGCGCCTCTTCATCCGCGCTGGCTGCAGTTTCTCTCGGCTTCGAAGCAGTCTTGAATTCTCCCGTGTTGGAATGTATTTATATTGGACTTGCAGAAGAAAATACAATTTACAAAAAAAAAAAAAAAAAAAAAAAAAATATATACTAAATCATAGCTCAAAAAAGACTCAAGAGTAGCTGGGCTACCATGAACTATCCATCAACTTGCTTCAACTTCACCCACATACCACCTTCAGGCTTGGTGGTAATGATACCAGTCGGAATGACAGGCTTCCCTGGATATGCCAACTCAACTGCAAATGTCCTGACAAATGTCGCAACAAGAGCCCGCAATTCCACCTTTGCGAAGCTCTGGCCAATGCATGTATGTGCACCATGCAAAAACGTCATAATCGCATAGTTGCTACTTGCACCTCCGGTGTTGTTTGGCCTTCCCGTTTCTGTATCGATCCATCTCTCGGGCTTGACTTCACATGCAGTCGGTCCCCACAGTTCTTTACAGCGGTTGATTGTGTATGGTATAATGAATATATCCGTTCCTTTCGGGATGCTTTGGCCGACAATTGTGGTGTCCTTGTTAGGGACTCGCATGCTCAAAGGCACAGTGGGTAGATAACGCAGCGTCTCATTGCAGACTCCATTCAGCAATGGAAGAGACTCTAGCAGCCCGCCTAGGTCTTGATCCGCATCTGTTAGCGGGTCCTCGAGAATATTCCTCTGGATCTCTTCACGCAGCCGAGACTGTATCTCTGGATTTAGGGCAAGCATATAAACCACCCACGTAAAGGACGATGAAGTTGTTTCGTGTCTGAATTTGAGTTTTAGCAGGTTGCCATATGGAGTAGGATGGTCGAAGGCATATCCACTTACCCAGCCGCAATCAGCGTCCTTAGTTGGTCCACCAGCTCTTCGTCGGAGAATTCGTTTGTCTCCATTATTTTAGAGAGTATATCCTTAGCTTCCGCTCCAGGGAGCTTTCACTTCTCCCTCTTGTCTTTGAGAAACTGTGTGCAAATCTTTCGAAGAGAGCTCACACCATTCTCAAGCTGCCCTACAGCACCTCCAGGGATAAGTCCCATCAACCAATCCAAGCCGAAGTTCATCAGTCCAAAAATAGCCATTTTTGCTGGTGTAGGCTTCAAAACATCGTCATGTGTCTTGGCCAAAATATCATCCGAATTTTCCAGCGTGTCAAAGTCCTGACCAAATGCCGCAATACCGATGATATCAAGTGTCACCTTAGTAGCCCAGACATTGATTTTTGTAATGCCCCTCGCCTCTGGTTTCTCCAAGACATCTCTTTGTAGCTTCTCTGTGAGCTTCAGCGACTTCCTCCAAAACGTTGGATACAAGTCTTTGATGTTGCGAAGTTGAAGTTCGGTAGAAGCCGCTTGCGTTGGAATTTGTGAACATCTCTCTCGGAGAATATTAACCCGTCTCCTAGGACGTATCGTAGAAATTTGCGAGCACCCGATGGCATTTCAAAATCGTATGGTCTCTTGACTAGCACCTCGGCGAAAGCTTGGGGGCTTGTTAGGAGTATGTTACTCCCGTTGGAGAATTCCCTGTGTGGATGAGGCCGTCGTTAGGGACTTTATCCATGAATTCAAGGAAGTCTGGTCCCATGGGCGTTTTAAAGCGGGATGAGCCCATATCCAATAAATGGATAGCCTCTCTGGGAAGTTAATGAGTGATTGACTAATTAAGTAGCTTGGGGTTGGGCGGTTTAAAACCTTTGGACCAGGAAGGTGGCGCAATGGGCTGATGAAGCTAGGGTATATTTCGACTTTGTAAAACGTCCACAAAAGCAGGATTCCTCCAACTGCAAGCCAAAAATTGGCTTTCGGGTTCTCCTTGATATTCTGCGGAGAGGCTTTCATAAAATTTGATTCAGGCTGCATGGTCGTAGCTAACCCGGACACACAGAGAGCCAGAAAAGGAACGACTGATAGTGTAGACTGAGGTTTGTTTACGACCCTGGGAGCTACCTAGGGTTAGAGTCCGCTCAAATAACTTCCCTTTTGCCCATGCACTCCACTATCGGCACCGTGGGAGATCTCGGTAGGAACCCATGTGAGATCGATCTCTCGTACAATGGCGCCTCCTGGGAAGTGTAGGTACCTATGTACCTAGTTGCTCCGCATCCAATAAATAGGGAGAAATTCCTCCGGCGGCAACTTCCCGAGTCACCCAACCAGATTTCGGATGATCGATGCTCGCGGAACTGTTTCGAAGGCACTTCCTTGGGTAGCTCCTGTATATGTCACAAGTTGACGCGGATTTTGGTATATAAAACATTGGTATACTACCTATTACATTTGACTGATAGATCATGCGCTACCTAGAGTATCGAAGGAATATATTTCCACCGTGAGTCTACCACGAAATTATCACATTCGAACACAGATCAACTTCACACTCTGAAAGGACACCTAAACGATAGACACGTTTCGTGTAGCACCAGCAGATAGTAAGTAATAAACAAAACCACAATCTCTCACCAATCTGATTTGCGACCGGCCTCCACCATGCCCCCTCGCACCACGTGAGCTGTCATGGTCGGCCCAACCGAGTCTAGCGCCCGCGTTGGCCGGACAACCGCCCTTCCGTCCAAAGCAAAACCGTCACCACATTATCGCAATCATCCCTCAGCATCAATTCGGCATTTACAGTTCTATATTTAAGCGTTCTTGCTTCTCCCCGGGCGCGGGCTGTATCCGTCACGTATATTCAAAAATTCCGCTTTATTATACCCACCCTCCGAAAGGTGCAACCGACTTGAAAAATTCCGATGACCGTTTGACACATTCCACACGCGTCCACACCAACAATGAGCACCGATTCTGCCCAGCCGCAGGCGCAAACATGGTGGGTCGACTCTTTCTCCGCGAGAATATCTTTCACTTGATAAAACCCACATTTCGGACACTGCAAGGATTCAGTCGCAAGCATCCCTGGGCCATCAGGGGCCTGCTCCTTCGCGTCCCATGTTTACACCAACATCCACACCTATTTTTTCTTTATCATAAACTGACTTCAGGCGCCTTGGCGCGTGCTTCAATACAGTGACATTGTCGATTCCGCCGACGACAACTCATTTAGATTCACCCCTATCAAGGCCATACGCGCGCTGCCCCGTATTTGGGAGCGCAAACCATCTACGCCATTCAAGGCCGGACTGAAACCACGAAAGCTCTGGAAGCGCGTCCAAACGTCATTTTCCGGCATGCAGCCTTTCCAAGATACGAGCTCCATCATCGAGAGCGACGCGCTGCAGTCCGCGATCAATTCGACTAAGGATTCAAATTTTGTTCGTGGCACAAAGCGCATGCGTGTCGGCTCGGACGAAACTGAAAGTTCAGCAAGACTTCCTCAGTCGGGACGTCAATTTTTCGAAACAAAGTGGGAATCGGAGGCATCCCGGAAACGACGTGAGTATTTTGTTCTGGATTGTAAGCTTTTCGCAATGCTAATGGCGCGTCACAGGCAAATTACCTGACTCGCCCTTCGATATCTTTGATGAAAAATCAGAGAGCGCGCCTATTCTCGATAGCTTTCAAAAGAACCAAGCACTGGGCACTGATGAGAAGAAGTTGAGCCATGCTATCAACACTGTTGATATGGATTTCACCATGGCAGCGTCTCAGCCTCTCGACATTTCCAACAACCCCCGAGCACCTCGGTTTTCCAAGACAACGCGCTGACCCCGATCCCGGAATCACTCGTCTCCGATACAATTGTGACCACGATCAACGAGGAATCGAAATCGGTAGATGAGGAACAAGCCGGCCTCAGAAACGATACATCTGGAGAAGGAAACGCCGACGCAGCACCAACACCCACAAAAGCCGTGCGGGCTCTGACCCAAGAACAACAAGGCAAGCTCGTACGATCAGCACTACGGAGCTCGCTTGACGGGGAGGATGCTGAGCTGCTCAATGACTTTTTGTCCAAGGCGAAGGCGAAGCGTGCCGCCAAGGCAACACTGGTCAATTCTCAAGGAGGAGAGATGGATAGTCTCGAAAACTCCTCGAGCCCAGAGGAGCCATTGAATGCTGATTGTTCGACACCAAGGTCACGCCGTGCCCTGGAGGACTTGGACACCAACTCCCCATCTCCTGTTAAAGTCCAGGTTTCGCCCTTGAAGGGCGATGTGATCCCTGGCGATGAGTCCCAAGCAATTATCATTCAAAAAGATGTTCAGACCGAGGAGCCTGCCCCTGCAAGCTCTACATGCCGGCGCAGCACTCGTGTCAAAGCTCCACCAGCCAACGCGCCTTCTGGGCGCAACACGATCTCTCTTCGCCGGGCCAAGGGAACAGAGTTTGTCTTTCTTCAGCGTACCGAGGCGCAGGAACTGGCATTGGCTACGAAGCGAAACACCCGCAATAACCGGGGCAATTCAGTTATGCCCAAATATGCCCTCGAGGCGATGATGCGGCCCGATCAAGTCTCAGATGCCACCGAAAATGATCGACAAGAACGCTCGGACCGAAAGGGTCACAGTAGCCGCCGGCCACGCAAGCAAGTCTCATGGAACGAGGAGCATCTGGCCGAGTACGAAGATGAGGTACAGCCCTCAGACATGCAAGTAGAAGAGGTGGGGGATCACAGCAAGCATAACGTCGGCGGTGTTGCTTCTCGCGCACGATCTGGAGCAAAGCGATCGGAGAAGAAAATAGCTTCGAGTCATCGCAGTAGCTGTAGCCAGGTGCAACAGCCCGCCACCGAGCAGAGTGCAGATGTTGAAAGCGACCCAACCACCTCGACTGCAGCCGTCTCTTCAGCCACGCCGCGATCACGACGGGTGCGGCGCTTAGGCGAATCGACCATGACCTCGGGCACCCCTGTGAAGACAGGCAGTGGACGCATCCGCAAGCCTTCGGCGGCCTCAGCCCCCACAGTGGCTGCTGGAGGGCCTTCGACGCCCACTAAGGGACCGCGCCGGAAGTTGACTCCCAAGTCCCCCAGCTCATCGATGCTGCCTACTCCGGCTGTGAAAAGCACTGAACAGTCGTTTGCCAGTGGAATTCCTACACGAAGCACCAATAGCGAAGCCCCGCAGCGCAAGAACATGATTGAAGCCAGTGCCGGATGCACACCGATGCCGCGACGGGTACGGGCTCGGTCGTGATGTGATGACCTGCATATCTTAATTGTTCGAGATGGTCTGACTGGATTATAGGTTGGGCTGATTGTCAATGCGCATGGTCTTGCTTATCCCATGGAGAAGGGCGTTTTGCTTGTTTTTAAGATACCAATGGCGCATTGCTGTTTTTGATATAGTCGTTTTTCACATTAACTGTATTCCAATTCATTTTTACTAAAGTACTTCTTTCTGTGTTGCTGTATAACTGCCGGTGGCTGTCTGCCCTACACCTACGGGATGACGTCTGCCCTCTTCACGAAGACCTGCATACTTTCCGTCCCATGTGGTCTGATATCTGACAGTACCTTAACTTCCCAAAAGATTTGCAACCCCACACCCTTCCCAAATTCCCATCATTCTTACCAAAAGGTACTCTAGCACATGAGGTTGTATTAATAACAACAAGTTCCCGACATGCGAGATAGCGTCTAGCCCTCCCATCTCTGCGGGGTATTAGTGTAGTGCTGAGTTCACCCCCGCAAGGCTCCTCTTCGGGAGATGGGCGAATGGTACCATGCATTCAGGCGTTCGGGCCCTTTGATTTCCCTGTGGTTTCGTTTCATCTGGGGAAACTAGAGCGGGCACAGGAATGGGGACGCCCATTCGCCAAGATCCAGATAGAGGATGGCGGGCTGCCTACATAGCCCCCGGCAAGTGTATTCATATCCCCATATCCACAGCCAGTCCAACAATACTCGTACCTAGGGTTGTGTCACGTTTGTCATGAGTATATAGAGGATTACCCGAAATACGAAAGAAGCCAAGGATTCATCCCGGCTCCAAACGGGCATCAAAACACCTCTCAGCTCGCTTTCGGGGGTTGGAATCGGCACTGGCATCGGGTTGCACCTACCACCGGCCGGTATACCTGTCATTCCGGAAATATTCACTCGTGGCAAGCCCAAACACGGGATGATCAACTCTCACAATTGAGACCAGGGGTTGGCTATATCAGCCAAACATGTGTGAGCCTTTGAACACCGCAAACTTCGGATCACTTTTGAGGGATTTACAAAGTAATCAACGCAACGCGCAACTAATCTCCGTCACTACCGGTCCTAATTAACTATGACCAATAGACACTCAAGGAGGACAAGACTCGGACGACATCTCACGCGAGTGGATTTCCACCACGAACGAAAGTAGACAGTGGGGACTTGATTCATGTACGAAAACATCAGGCCAGTCCTGGAGGTAACAGACTACATTAGGGTACCATCCCATAGGAGGTACCCTGGATTCGCACTTGTCAAAGCGCTAGGGTGCCACTGTAGGCACCGGAATGTAATTTCTTTCTCCGGAGGACCTTAGGGTGGTATAGGATTGATGAGAATTGATACAAATGAGGAATGTTGCTTCTCAACTGGAGACCAGGCTTAACTGCCAGTGGACGACCAGCTGAATGAGCGATACCTCATTGGGAGTCTCGGTGTTGAGCCCTCCCTCAATCTTCTCATGGCTTCATCTTCCCCTCCGACAATACCCGGTCCCTCTTACCTTCCCTCCCTCTAGAAAGCAGCCGCGCTAAGCTGCACCGGGCAAGGCGACAGCGCTAAGCCCTGATGCTGCGTGGCGCAGGGGCTCCGAGCCACACACGCGGGATGACATCGTCGCACCGGAGCACTCTGCTCCAGTCCCGCCCGACGTGGATTGTTGCTGGAGACATTTGTGTATTAGATGGTAGATGGGCCCCAAATATTCTCTGCACCATTTAGCAGTGAAAAATCTGTGTGCTCGCTTCTCTCAGAGGGGCTCTCAAGTAGTGTGCGAAGTGTGGTGGGGAGGGTTGAGCTGAGGCTTTCCGCGATTGCGGGATAGTTGCCTTTGGCGGCGCCCCCCTCAACGCCAATGTGAAGAATGTCGAATGTGGTGGTCGCCGGGGATCAGATCCCTGCTCGTGGCGCCATTTGCCTTTGCAAATTTACAGCGGTAATTTCTGCCTTACTGTAAACTGTATGCTGAACTCTGCAAATCTGCATCCATTCCGAAGTTCCAAGTCGCAATGATAGGCTTCATCCGCGTGGATCACTGCGGGGTTAAGTGGCGAGGGCCGGATTGTGTGAATAGCGCCGCCAGTAGTAAGCAGCACCGTGGTTGGGACTACGAGTACACGAAGGTACACCTCGATTTTAGTTAAGTTGCCAGGGAATCACGGACAGTTTAGTAGTGGTGGATATATCCAATTCATCTATTCTTTCGTAACTTGTTCATGTCATCTTCCAAGAAACCCTCAATTTTTGGGTATCATCCTCGCGCTCTTCTTTTCTTCCAAAAAAGGATCAAATTTAAGCAGACAGGTTCTTGGCAGTCTCCTCGGGCCACACGTCGTAGCCGAAGGTGTCCTTCATGTTGACGAAGCGGAAGTGGCGGCCGGCAGCCACGGCGTTGATGGCGGCGAAGTCGGCATCGGAGAGCTCAACGCTCTTGAAGTTGGACTCGATACGCTTGGGGTTGGAGCTCTTGGGGAGCACAACGTAGCCGCGGCGCAGACCCCAGGCAATGAGCACCTGGGCGAGGGTGTTGCCGCCCTTCTCGGCGATCTCATTCAGAGTCTTGTTCTCGCTAACACGCTCGCCGGTGGTGGGGACCTGGTTCTGGGAACCCAGAGGAGAATAGGCCACAGGCATGATGTTCTTGGAGAAGCAGTATTGCACCAGCTCCTCGTTGGGGAGGAAGGGGTGGATCTCGATCTGGTTGGCGTGAGGCATCACCTTGGCGAACTTGGCCATCTTCTCAAGGTCGGGGATGGTCCAATTGGAAACACCAATGGACTTGGCCTTGCCGTCCTCGTACAGCTTCTCCATGGCGCGCCAGGTGGGCTCGGGGTTCTCGGTGAGGTCCTTGAGGATGACGTACTGGGGGCGTGTTAGCTCGTCGAATAGCTTCCCAACAGCTTGAAGCTTGCTGAAGCTTGAATCGTGCTCACCTTGCCATCGGGGCCCAGCTTGGGCTTCTCCTGGCCGTCCTTCTCGGCAGCAATGGGCCAGTGGACCAGGAAGAGGTCGACGTAGTCCAGCTTGAGGCGCTTCAGAGAGTCCTCGACAGACCAGAGGACATCCTCGTAGCGGTGCAGGTGGTTCCACACCTTGGTGCAGACGAAGATGTCCTCACGCTTGACGGAGGGGTTCTCCTTCAGGAAGTCGCGGATACCATCACCAACCTCGTCCTCGTTGAGGTAGTACCAGGCACAGTCGAGGTGGCGGTAGCCGGTCTTCAGAGCAGTGGTGACGGCAGTGTAGGTCTCGCCCTTGGAGCCCTCACTGGCGAAGGTACCGAAGCCGACGCCAGGAATCTTGACGTTGTTGCTCAAGGTGAAGGTCTTTCCGTTCGACATGATGTATGAGACTCAATTGGGGGGAGGAATAGATTGGAGAAAAGAGAAAGAGAGGAAGAAGGAATAATAAGGGTGATGAACAGCAATGACGCCGTTCCCGGGCGAAGGTGGGGTGGAGGGGTACTCTGCAGTCGCCAAACGACCGCCCACTTCTTTCCCTTCGCAACCAAAAACCCCCCACCGCAAACACCAAAACATCCAGCATCGTCCGCCATTTCCACCCCCAATCCCCGCCGCAACCCAGACGACCCCGGCGTCGATCCATTGACGCTCCTGATGGCGCCCGCACCCTCCGCCTATGCACGCAGCCGGTGCCTGGGCATCGCCGAGTTGCCAATATTTCACGCGTAATTTTCAAAAAGCGCGCCATGACATCACGGCCACCCGAAACGGTGCTGAGAGCGTTTGACCCGCCCGATCGTCATCGGCTCCATCGATCTCATGCAGTTCCACGGGCGAACTGTGCTCCTGCCCAATAAGCCCTCCGACTCGGGCGAGGGTGCCTTCTCTTGCTTCTCGTGAGCCACTCGGCGTGCGGCGCGGCTTTGAGCCGGCCCAGCGAGACCCCCATTGGAGCTCCTGCGTGGCCAATGAGACACGGCCTCATTCCAGTCGGCCGTCCGGGCTGGCTGCCTGTATTTCTGTCTGATCCTGCTGGGTTCTGCCAATCTGTACTGCGCATGCCCGTGTATACGGTACGCGGCGTACCGCCCAACCAGGCACCGGGACGCAGGTACCCTGTACCGCCACCCCGCGAATTGACTCCAGGCCATCATGGACCACTCGGCCGCAGCGAATGCAGAGATACTGTTGACATATGACGATAATACCTAGGAATCATGTTTTCGGACAGAGTGGATCCGCCCCCTCTCGTAACCATGCAGACAATAGAGCGATACCACGACCATGCTTTACTTTCCAAGGGTTAGTCCAATTGAGCCTGGTCTCCCAGGGGGCTCAGAACCGGTATCAGGAAGCCTCTCCGTATATATACGCGGCTGCCTTCGCCTTGTCCGTGCCTCTTTTTCTCGTTCTTTCTCTATCCCTATTCATCTTTCCACTCTTGTCATTATAATTCTTCCCATTGAATCTTGGTACTTTGTCCGTGACTTCTCCATAGTCTTGCAGGACTAATAGTTCTCCCAATCCTCTGTCTCCACCCTCCCTACCCCACCCGTCGCGCATCCCATCATGCCTCGCTTTGAAGACGCTGATTTCGCGGTCGTGTCCGCTCCTGGTACTCCTCTCGCCGAGGGTCCAAATCCCTTCGCGGCCACGCGCCCTGGTCTCTCGAGAGGCAACAGTGGCCTGGCCATCCCCTCGGGGAATGGCAACACCGTGGAGGTCCCTGCCTCGCGCAGTACACTCAGTGATGCCGCTGCGCTGATGCACAACCTGAGCCTATCACCTTCTATGAAGGAGCGTCGCGGCTCCCGCAACTCCTTCGGTACCTCTCTTCCCATTCCTCGCTCGCCTCGTCAATCCCGTCTGGGCTCGAAGCGCCCTGGCGTCTCTCAGGACATCCTGGCCTCGCAGGTTCAGGATATGTCCAAGGAGAAGGTTGCTGCCGCTAAGAACATGGCCTTCGCTTTCGATATTGACGGTGTCTTGTGCCACGGAACTGAGCCTATTGAGGAGGGCAAGAAGGTCTTGAAGATGTTGAATGGTGATAACGAGTTGGGAATCAAGATTCCGTACATTCTTCTCACCAACGGTGGTGGTAAGACCGAGGAAGCTCGCTGTGCGCAGCTTGCTGGCCTTCTCGAGGCCCCCATCTCCACCGACCAGTTCATTCAGTCGCACACTCCCATGCAAGCCCTGTCCGAGTACTACGAGACTGTCCTCGTGTGCGGTGGTGAAGATTTCAAGGTCCGCGAGGTCGCCGAGACCTACGGATTCAAGAACGTCGTTCATCCCAAGGATATCATGGCTTGGGATCCCACAATCTCCCCATGGGGTATCTTTTCCGAGAAAGATCGCGCGAACGCCAAGCCTCGTGATTTCTCGAAGATGAAGTTCGACGCTATCCTGGTCTTCGCTGACTCGCGTGACTATGCCACCGACTTCCAGATCATCATGGATCTGCTTCTTTGTGAGGATGGCAAGCTTCTTACCAAGGCAAAGGATCCTGTCGCCAACCGAATTCCCATCTACTTCTCTCAAGGTGATTTGGTGTTCGCCACCAACCACAAAGGTCCTGCCCGTCTGACTCAGGGTGCCTTCCGTATCGCCATTGAAGCTCAGTACAAGGCCCTCACCGGTGTTGAACTGGAGCGTGTTGTCTACGGCAAGCCAGAGCGTGCTACCTACACCTACGCCGATGAGGTGCTCAAGTCCTGGATGGAGCAGATCCATAACGAAAACAAACTCCCCGAAAATATCTACATGATTGGTGACAACCCTCAATCTGACATTATCGGTGGTAACATGTACGGCTGGAACACTTGCCTGGTTCGCACCGGTGTGTTCCAGGGCAAGGAGGGCGAGAACGACTCTCACAACCCCGCCAACTTTGGCGTCTTCGACACCGTGTATGAGGCTGTCACGGCGGCCATCCAAAAGGAGCTTGGCCAGGACTTCGGGCTCAAGTGGAACCCCAAGGTCAACCCTGTCCTTTCCGGCGACGCTACCTCAGCTGTTGAGTAAGCAGCGATACGACACTCGCCAGGATACTCTGCACAACGACGCACTTATGAATTTATGGGCCATCGGTCCGGTCACGCTGAACGACACTTCAAATCCCCACGATTCGCCGCTCTTCGCGAAGCTGGGAATTCCTTCTTTCTGTAGTTCTGATACATGTCCTTAGACTTGTTTATTTTGCATCTGTCCCTGGGTCTTTTTACATTTTGGGGTTAGGTGACCTTCTGATATCCACAGTCACAGCAATGGTTTAGCAGTTCTGCGTTTGAGCCTCAGAATGCTTGTCTTTTCTTTAACATGTCTCCTTGACCTGTTCTTTTAGACTGGATCTATTCACTTCTTCCGCTCTGATGGCTTTTGATGTAACAAGCTTTGGGTTCTTATTCGCAAGCACCCATCTTCGGCCACTGAGCATACCATTTCCATCAACTTTACCTGAATAGACTTGAATCATCTATCATCTTATGTTCTTTGTACTATTTCCACGTTATTTATTGGAATACTGCTATCCATTTGAAACCCATGGCCATCTACTGCGTGTGCCCAGAGTTTACAAACCCAGTCTTGACGAGGGCTGGATTTCCTTCTTCCTTTGGCGCTATATAGCAACAGCTTAGACTCATCCGCAACCCCATGTTTCGTAAACGAAGAATGAGCCATAATCAATATGTCGAAGATTCTAGAGCCAGGAAGTGAAACAAGTCGTTATTTTGAAGAACCAATGCCTACGGCGGATGTCGAATAACAAACAGGCGAGCTTAATCTAATTCCGACTCGGGTAGCTGCAGCGTTCTCGATGCTCGATGTCCAAATAGGCCGTGAGTATTACAGTTGGTTCTCCCTTTCTAGCTCTGTTTGCTTTCCGAACACCCGGGAAGCGGAAGTTGAGAAGCCGGACACCTGCATCAGCGTCCACCGCTGTCCCAGTAACTTCCTGAAAATAACTCCGAGTATAATCTGTTTCTCTGCATCCAGGATAAGAAGGGGCTTTATGCAAGCCTCGGTTCATGCTGCTGGCGAATTGCAGGCGGAAACATGGGATTGGGCGGCTTAGATTACTACTAATACGGCGGTCTGTTGTTAAAGAGCCAGGACGAAACTAAAAATTTCACATTCCATTTAAAATACTTCCCTTTTCTTGTATTTGAGAGTTTCTGGTACTGCTGGTATCGTCAGACTGGTTTAGACCTGTTTTGAGGTGTAGGTGAGGATACAGTTCTAAGTATCCACTTCGTGATCCACACTGCCTTAAAATGCCCACTTTTATAAATTTCAATCTGGCAGTACCTGTGACAATCTCATAGAATAAATATTTTCTTGTACTTAGCATTTGGAGTCAAAGTATTTGTTAACGTGGGACGAGGGGCTAGTCAACTTCATATTGTCTTATAGCAGCATTGGATTCACACGTTACATCTACCTACTATGCTCGGAATGATGCATTTTCTACTAGAAAATCTGCCAAACGTACAGGCTACGCTGAGCAGATGTTCAAGCAATAAAAAGTGTTAGAAGTATTAAGATTCTACTAAGATCTCTTTGGACCTAATCGCCGGAAAACTTCATAACATCTAGATCATACAATCACCCATTAAAGACTGATATCATCACAGGAATCCCAATGGCACTTATAAAAACACTAAAAGAACAGAGACATGAGTGACTGAACAGCCGCATCTGCTGTCATACTGTTGACCCTTTCCTCATCAAGTACATATATCCTCGGCAATCCTGGAACAGTATCTTCTCCTAGAGCCATTCGCGCCGCCGCCTCACCAGACAAAAACGCCTTGTCCATACCGTGGCCATTGTACCCAGCCGCAATCCATTCCCCTGGGCCATGGCGACCAGAAATCGAAGACGGGACAGGGCCAACCAGTGGACGTCCATCGGATGTGAAGGCCATGATGCCGGACCATATCTGTCGAACCTGATGCGGCTCCACATTGGCGAAGATCTTTGGTAGGACCTGAGATAACTTCTCCTTAGTAGCTTCTCCGACGGTCGAATCATCGCTATTCAACAGCTCAGATAGTTTCTGGCATTCGCCTCCAATCCATATATCCCCGGTTTTGGCATTCTGTTGCGCGTAGTGATATTGGGTATCCCAGAGATCGGTTTCAGGGTCATAAGTAAATTTGTTCACCTTGGACCACGTTGTCCGATCGCCCAACATGGGGAAGTTTGGCCCCGGTTGCTGTGTCGACATGGTACCTCGAAGGGGAAACAGTCGTCCCACTAGGTTCGGCAATAGATGACCTGCAAAGCCATTCGTGCAATGGATAATCTTATGGGCTCGAATGGTGCCTCGGGGCGTAACGAGCGAATAGGGTGGAGATTGTGTCTCCTCATATTGAATGGTTTCAACCGGCGTGTTTGTCTGTAGAGTGAAACGCCCTTCGAACTTTCTCAACAGATTCTCGAAGATCGCGGTGAACAAGCGATACGGCCATAATGCTGCTGCTCCGTGCTGTTCAATCAAGCCGACCACGTTGTCTTGGAATGCAAATTCCTAGGATGCGACATTAGGTAAATAGCACAGGCATAATTTCCAGTGAAATTTTCCGTACACATACCTTGATTCTCTCCCGATCCTCGACGGTTTTGAACTTGAATAAACCACCAGGATATGAATCATTGTACAAATTGACAGCGAGCTTGAAAGATTCCAGGGTCTCTGGACTGGAAGTCGCACACCCAGATACAACTTTCCGCAATTCTATAGCTTCTCGCTCGGAGTAGTCTAAGCTCGCAGCGAGTTCCAGCAGCCGAGCGGCATTGGCTTCACTGAAGCGAGCCGATTCAATCGCAGCATCTATCCCATGCGTTTCCACATACCCGGGAAGCTTCTCGATAATGTTGGATCCAATATGTCCGCCATTGCGACCTGTCGCGCCGCTGCATGTTTCTCGGGCTTCCAGCACGGTTATGCGTAGCCCCTCGGCGCCGGAGTGATGCAGTAAGGCGTGCGCAGCGCCGCAGCCGGTCACGCCAGACCCGATTACCACAATATCTGTTTCCTCGGCGAGGTTGGACTGGATTTTGGCGACGGTGGGATGTGGTGGCTGCTGCCAGAGCGATGGTGTTGGGTTTGGGCTGGGCAGGCCGGGAGCCAAGCTGATACGCTCTTTGACCTGAGCACTTAAACCTGTATCGCTTTGCATCAGCTACTCTCACCATCTCAAAGCAATATATAAATACCAGCTGGGACCCTGGACGATGACAGGGTGGATGTGTGCAAGTCAGCAACCCCGCGGCATTTTCTGGACAGCAAGGGTCGAGACAGGCCAGTAGGGAAAGATAGGTATATCTTACTCGCGGTATTCATGGTGAGAGACGGAGCAGTGTTATACAGTAGAGGTGGAATGAAAGCTCTGAGATGTCATGGCATGGATATATGTCGTAAAGTAAAAATCCTTAAATTCGATGTGATGTAGGATGCGAGAAACTTAAGTAGCCGAGGCCGGCATCCCTGTCTTTGATCGCCCTGAGGCAACAGCCCCAACAATCTCCAATCAGCAACCTCAGAACATGCCGGTTTCTGCGATGTGCTAGCCGCCAAATCCACTTTTGATTTGCAGAACGCGTCCCTTCCATAGTCACACGCGCATAAAGGTGTTCTGGTCGTCATTATCTTCATACTCTACCAATCAAGTCTCGAGTAACATGCCGGTCCGTCGCATGAATTCATGTCGGCACCATAATTCGGCATTTAACCCAAGACGATCCTAATGACATAATATATGAATGTTGGTAGCTGTTGGATGGAACCAGGTGCCTGTGAGGTCTCCACGTGCGTCGACCTGCCTTTTCCAACCGGATGTGGCGCACCGCGGTATTAGATACGATTGGACAATCAGCTACTATCTCTTATCTCAAAACAAGTGTCAGATGAATTCATGTGAATTGATATTAATGAAATAGATGTGATGCACCGAAACCATTTATCTTTCCTTGCCATAGGAATTAACTTGCGTCATTCATTCAAGCACTTGGTCTTCTGGTAGATAGTAGTATTTAATTAGATACCCACCGACCTCCCTCTGTGATGACACTTCACTCGAAGCCCAGGGTCCGAACTACCTATTCCACCTCATGATAAGTGCTGGGATGCAGTTAAAAATCACACGTTCTTTGGTTGGAAGAACCCTCTCTGATTCTGTACCCATAGACGTTTTTTACCAAGCAGATACATTCGCATAGTCATGCTTGGTATCACGATATTTTCCTTTGTCCTTTTGGTTATTCCAAGAGAATGGAGAACACCTGTGAACCCCCGAGGCTAGATATCCGATTCAAACGATGACGAGTGGTTCATTTATCTTGACTCCTGATCAGGCATCGGATACCTGAGCCGATTCTCGTCCGCTCGATGTTTGGGGGAAAGCACTTCTTACAACCCAAACGCCCAGACAGCTAGCTACTCCTAATCCCGCCGCTCTTACCACAGCTACCTTCTCTGCCGGTTCCTTCTCTCCTCCGGCCACTACAAACTCTCTCCCCCCCGGCTCATGAGCGGCTTGAACACTTAAATATGCGTCGCGAAGCACCAAAGGTGAGTCTAAATTCCTAATTATACTTCCTAAGACGTTCAGAATACTGATACCAAGCTAGCGATGCTACATGTGTAACGGCGAAGGACATATAGCGAAGAATTGCTTCGCTCAAGCTGTCAAGGCCCACAAGCGAGCAACACAGCGGAATCGATTCCACCCGTCAGCGTCCACCTCGCCCTCAGAGAAAATTAGACAACGGTGCACAGAGGCTCTTCGTTTCCCGACGAGACTTGATCGGAGATGGGCCACACAGTGGGATCGTGCTACCAGGCAGCTGGCTATGGTAAACCATACAACTAAGCCAGTATTGATGAGTTTGGGTGACCAGATGAGCACACCAGGCAATCTAATAAGAATCTGACAATGCATGGAGCAACTACGGACTCGATATCATGATACTGATTGCATTACGAAGACAGCGCTTGACGCTTGATCAACAAAGGGACCATTGGGTGAGACCTTGATGTAAGAGGCTCTTGGTTGGACAAAGAGACTCCACTAAGTGCCTATGCGATGCACGTCGGGACAACTCTCTGCACGCGTCACGCGGACGACGGGTGGATTCCATCCTGCAGGACCGATCATTCTTTACGAAGCCGAGTCGAGCAGGGGCGTTGTATGAAGGGTATCCAGGGTGAGGCCAAGGTTCTCGGCGCCGCATCGGCATCCGCGCCAGCGCAAACTATTGTCTTGTGTCGACAGTAGTGTGAGAATGTGTAGGACGGCGATGATGATCAAGATCACCACCGTTCTCCACGGGGGTTCAGCGGAGCAAGGAGACGCAGATCACAACGCTCCACCCTGCCACCGTGTTTTTGGGTCGCCGCCAGCCTCTCCGAGTGGATAGACCTTGGCGGGGACGCAGGCAATTGGGGCGCGCAGCGCGAGAGGTGCGGACAGTCGGCAATGTGGCCTCTTTGACGAACTGATATATGAGGGTTCGCTCGCAGACGGCATTACCGGATAACGTCATGCAGCACGACCGTCGCCCCGCCCGACTGGGGGCCAGCTGTCTGTCCCGATTACCCCGAAGGCCCCGGAACTAAGCCTTTGCCAATGCTGTCGCATTGGTCTCACAGGTGATCGGAGATGCGAATCTGGTCAGCATGGCGATTCAATATCCCGGATGTCCTCTCTGCCGTGTTCTACGTCTAGCATGAATCCCGACACGCATACAAGCATACAAGCATACATGCTGAGTACGAGACCGAGACGGCTGGAATGCAGGACCAGGCTGGGCAGGGGCTGGCGAATTTGGCAAGTCGGACTTGGCTCTGGAATCGGCCTGGATCGTCTCTAGGAAGCCACGGTGTCGGTACAGCTCAGTCGGCTAGCTGCGTGGTTCGTCGCAGGCTTGCATCGACGGATGGGAATCGGACTACACCTGGATAAACGCCGAGCGAGCAGGTCAGGTGAGCCATTAGGTAATGGTAATCGCGGTGCCCCGCAGCATTGGCCAATCACCGGTGCAGCTGAACAGATGCGGTTACCTAACAACTGAACTGAACGTGGTCTGGGGTACCTTAGGGTACATCCGACGCGGGTTGATACAAAGTACCGGGGAGTTCATAAATAACGCTATTCATATATAAAAGAACTTCGTAAGTACCAAGTAACCATCGGAAGAGCACACCTGACGACAGCACACCTGACCTGCCGGAAGGGATTTTCACTTATGTCATAGATTCAAGTTGCTCCCCGCCACCCAGGGTATAGTGAGATCCGTACATTGTGAATGGCGGGCGAGGGCAGGTGATTCCTTTCCTGAGATCCCTGGGACTAGACAATCTAATTCTTCTCCAACTGGAGGCTCGCGTGCTCAGTACTTCAGTTACCGTACATGCTCGCAGTGTTCACGCTGCAGGAGGCTCGATGACGCTATGCCTTCCGCTCGCATACACATTTTTAGCAGCGAACAATTTCATAAATCCCAGTCGTAATGTCTTGCAAGGGAATAAAAAGAAAAACAACAAATCGGCTCTGCAGGGGTAGCTTGTTTAGTTATGCGACCAGCGACCCAAACTCAAGGGTGCTAACGCCACTCGCCTCCCACCTTCGCAACCTCCATTTCTCTACAACCCTCTGCTCGTATTCAAGTTACTCTCATTACCATTACCATTTCCATTACTCGACTCCTTCCTCTTACTTCACACACTCTCTCTTCCTCCTACTAGTGGCACCATCGGTGGACACTTACCCACTCGCCGTGCAACACCGGTTCGCCCTTTTCCGTGACTAACAGCTTCGCTTTCTCGTCCCCGCCGCCCCTCCCTTTTTTTTTTTTTACCTCCAAGCCCTAAACCGCCCTGGTCCTCTGCCTTTTTGTTGTCCATTGACCGACTACCTCTTTTCGTTACAAATCCGGGGAAGCTCCTATTAGGCTCGTTTAGTATTTGCACATTCTTTTTTTCCTGTCCCACTTATTTTCCAAGGTACCTCCGAACCGCGTGCCTGGGGCCCTTTATAGAGGGCCCGCTCTCACCATGGCGTCTCTCACCACTACTCCCCCTTCGCACTCCAAGCCGTTGGTCCCGCGATTCACCGTCCCCTGTGGTGATCACATCCACTCCCGCGACTCCTCGCCCTCGTCGTGTGACACTCCGGACGGCTCGAGGTCCAGCCGCCGCCCGTCCTTTGGCTCTATCAAAGAAGACACCGACGACGGTGAGTCTCCGAATTCGCAAGTCGCGCAGAAGGAAAGGAACATGACTCTGATCGGCACAGGTATCGCGCAATCATTCGTGGACACTCATCATCCGCCTTCTCCCCAGGAGCCCAAGGAATCTCGTAAGCTGGAGCTCCGGGAGATGCAGCAGAGCCCCGACTTTTGCTGCCCGTGTGGTGGGTTCCTAGGGTGGAAGCAAATTCGCCTGGGCGGAAAGGGCCTGAGCCGTAGCTATGGCGATCTCCGTGGGCTCGGCAACTTGCAGGCAAAGGGTTGGGCGTGGGAGAACACCAACACCGGACGCGAGTTGAAGCCTCCCAAGGCCCCGGAGGTCGAGGTGGAACCAGTCCAGCCTGCAGTGCCGCCTCCAGGCACTTCGGCTTTGGAGAAGCTCCCGCCCGAGGTTCTTGGTAAGATATTTTTCTGAGCGGAAGGAAACGAAGAAAGGGAAGACGGTATGCTAACCGATTGACAGACCAAATCATCTCCAACCTAGCCTTGGATCTGCCGCCCAATGGCTATACTCCTCGAAATGTCGACTTGATCGCGTGCCTCCTGACCTCGCACACCTTGCACGCGGCGACTCTCAGCGTACTTTACCGAAACATGACTTTCCCGCACTCAATCATTTTCTCCAAGGCCCTAAACCACATGTCCCAATACCCGGCACTGGGCACTCTGGTGCGCCGTCTCGACTTTTCCCACTTTACATCCGTCGGATTGGGTCGCACTAAGCAAATGAACGCGGAGATCCAAAATCTGACCTCGCGCACGCTTTTGAACTGCCTGGATCTCTTGCCAAACTTGAAGGAATGTCTGTTGCAGGAACACTTAGAGGGTGATCTTAGCGTGGAGGTGATTCGAAAGTTGTTCATGGGTCTACCAAATCTGCGCGCGATGGACTTCTGTGGCTGCTCTACTCAGGCCTTTTCCCAGGTTTTCACCGAGGCGTTGACCGCTGGCCCGCCCTTGCCGATGAGCTTGCCCGGCTTGAAACGTCTCTCGCTTCACGAATGCAGTACCATCCCGGCACCCATGTTTGACCATCTGCTCTCGCGACTCGTCAACTTGACCCACCTGGACTTGACCCACACTCAGGTCAACGATTCGGCTCTTACTGTCATCCCCGAGACTGCGCGTATCAGCCATCTGAGCCTGTCTCGCTGCACACGCCTTCGCAGCTCCGCAGTGGTCGAGTTCCTGACCACCCACCCTGCGGTTTGTGAATCGATTGTTTACCTGAACCTTCTGACGGACCCCACCCGTTTTCGCCTGCTGGAAGAGGAGAATGTCTCTGCATTGCTGCCCAAGCTTCCCTCGACTCTCCGCTCGTTGAACTTAGGTGGTGCTAAGGTCACCTCTGACCACGTACCACTTTTGGTCCCTCTGACCAAGCACTTGCAGGAATTGGGGTTGAGCTCGGCTGATCTCTCAGTCAAGGATATCAACTCTTTCTTCACCAAGGAAGAAAACGCTCCTCCCAGCACCCTCTGCTACCTCGACCTTGCCAAGGTTCCGCAAATGACTATCGGCGCGATCTTCAATATGAGCACCTGCCTGCTTCTGTCGGAGCAGAGTTACCCTCTGCAGGTGATTGAGTTCAGCGAAAAGATCATTACTCCTCTTCGTGAGCGCACCAGAACTCAGCGTGTGTCCGTCGGTTGGACCGTCCGTGACCTCGGCCGTCGTGGCTGGTACGTTCGGGACCCCGCGTCCATGCCCAACGAGCCTCTTGACGATGGATCGCGCTACTGGAAGATGGGCGCGCGCTGGTGGGGCATGCGCAAGATCCCTATGGCCGTTGGCGAGGTCGGTGGTATCTACGGACACTACATGTTCAAAAAATGAACATATCCGACACTTGAGCTCCGCTTCTGAGCCCTTGCTTAAAAAATGCAACATTTATCCCGACTTGCATTTCTCTCCATCTCTTTTATTTTTTCTGGCTGTTTTTTGTGTCAATACCCTTGCTACCTTTTTGGTTTTTATTGTTTTCCCTTGCTCTCCTATGGTGCACTTTCCCGGCGGTCTTTTATTTGACGATTACGAATGATGATATCCGGTCTATGCATGGCGGCGCGCAACATGGCTTACGAATTTCGGCATTCTGGCTTCTGGCTTCGGGTTCGTGCTCTCGGTCGCGTCTTTTGGTTTGCATAGCAATCAGGATCTCCTCAGCGTTCTGTTTTGTTCATTGGCTTTAAACTGGCGTCGGGTGATTAAATTCGGCGTTCTCGCATCACTCTGCTCATACACGGATTGTCAACCATATTTCTGGGTTAATCCACAGTAGCTTCAATTTGTAATATCTTAACATCAATCGCAAACTGTGGTTCTGACTTGAGACACATGTGACGATTGCTCCAAATTGAATAACCTTAGGTCAAGCTTGTACTTCCATATCTGACGTATTTTACCAATCACGTGACCATTTGATACAAAGCTGCGGCTCTTCGTCGTTGCATTCACTCTTTCCCCGGCCGTCTCTGCGCGTCGAAGACACTGGACCCTCTCTCTTCGACCTCACCCCGAGGGATTTGCTCATCCCGATGGGCGGGTGGTTTTATTGACGCTGCTCAGAACAGTGAAAACTGTCGAGGCCCGCGACAATGGCGCCTCCAACTGGAACGGCTTCGTACAAGAAGAAAGACGGAACTTTGACACTGACCGCAGATGAGCAGACGCTCACCTGGACGCCCGCTGTGGCCGGTCCTTTAGCTCTATCTATTCCGGTGACCACGATCACAAGTGTGTTGCTATCATTGATCCCCAGCGCGCAAGCCTGCCGCGGTCGCTGACACCGATCCCCAGATCTACAACAAACCCCGGCTTCGAACCCGAAAGTCATGCTCAAAGTCTTCGGTGTAGCCACGAGCGCCCCGTCGAATAGCACCGCCGAAGCATACACCTTTCTTTTCACGGCCGGTCCGGATGCCCGTCCACAGGCAGACGCTATCAAAGACACGCTCAGCACTCGAATCAATGCGGGAAAGGCGGGAACACCTACCCAGACCCCGAGGCCGGGAGCGAACGGGGGAGGTGTGTCGGCAGCTATGGCCATTGCGAACGCAGTCTCGTCGGCTGGGATAGCGAAGAACCCGTGGGATGATGACAATCGACTAAAGGGTGATGTGGAACTACAGCAGTCTCTGTTGAAGGCAGATTCTACGTTGCAGAGGATGTTCATGGAATCATTGCATACAAAGCCAGAAACTTTGAGTTCGGGACAATTCATGTCGCTGTTCTGGTCGACCCGACTTCATCTTCTTCGGGCACACGCTATCGAGCGAGCGCAGACCCGTGGCGCCTACAACGTCCTTTCCTCCCTAAAACCGCGTGTCGAGGAGAACGTGACTCGACTGAATATCAGCAAAGAGCAGATCCAATTGATCTTTACACAACATCCACTCGTCAAGCGCGTGTACGACGAGAACGTGCCCAAGTTGAGCGAGCAGCAATTTTGGTCGCGATTTTTCCAGAGTCGACTGTTTAAAAAGCTGCGTGGCGAACGTATCTCTGATGCAGATGCTATTGATCCCGTGCTGGATAAATACCTACAGGATGATGCGGCAGACATTAACCGCGACGCAAATGTGCCGCATTTTCTGGACATGGCTGCCAATGAAAGCCACCACAGTCAACGCCGTGGAAACCGGCCCGACCTGGATATGCGTCCTTCTGGTGTCGACAAAGTTCCCATCATTCGGACCCTCAACAACTTGAGCCAAAAGATTATGGCCAATGTCGCCCCGGCCGATGGCGACCCGAGTGCTCCTATTGGTATGACCGAAGAAGCGTGGAAGAAATTGCAGCTGCAAGACCTTCGAGGAGATGAGGAACAGGCTCGTCTAACCCTCAATATAAGCGACCAAAATCGCTTCTTCTCCCAAGCCCAGGAGGATGGCCAGAAGCGGGCACTCGAGCAACAAGATCCGGACAAGATTCTGAGTGATCTTCGTTCAGAGATTAAGCAAAGCTTACCTTTGGGTGGTACGGCACCAATACAAAGGCTCGTGGACCCTGGTGATGATGAAGACGAGGAAATGGAAGACGCATCTACTAGTCGCCGAGCTGTCGGATCATCCGCGGCCCTCCACGACGCATTTGCCCAGATCCTGAGTGCCGTTCGTGGGAGACGTACCCACATGAATGAATCCAGCACTTCTAATACCTTCGGATTGTCAGCCGGTCTTTACGATCGATTGACCTTGACTCATGCGACATCCACAGAATTCTTGCATCAATTCTGGCAGGCTTTTCTCTCGGGAGATCCGGACCGCGCCGGCGAAGCTGGCTCTCTGTCCGAGTCATTACAGCGCGCAATCGATCGAATCAAGGCTGTTGCAAATGACGCCGAAGCCGAGCGACAGGTTGAGGTTAATCGGCTCAAGCAGCACGCGCGCGAAGTCTATGAAAAGTCAGGGCGTCGGTTACGAATGAACCTGGATAAGGTAGAAGGTGGCCAAAAAGCCGTCAATCAGCTGCTGGGACCTACGATGCACGCATTAGAGCTAGCATTAAATCGGTACCAGACAACACTGGCGGAACAGAAGAAAGAGGCTGCCTCGCTGGGAGTGTAGATTAGACTGCGACGACGGCAAAAAACGAATAAACGTGACGACTTGCGTTATATACGAGAATTTACTTCTTCAAAACATATTGGAAAGTCTCTCAATGTTTCAAATCCACCTTCAAATAACCAGGACTAATTGTGGTAGCAGACGCCGACTTTCAGCACCGTACTTGTTGTTCTATGTACAGTATGATCTGACTAATACCGAGGTACAGGACAAATCATCATTTGCCTGGTCTCTAAAAAGAGATTCGAAATAATCAACTCTTAAGAATAAGTCTCGAATTTATGACATTTTAGTTTTACTCGATAGTGCCGACAGTAATACAATTATAGAGCTATACTTCCCAAGGAAGGGGCGTGTCCGTAGAAATCAGTAGCTTTGCGACGTCCATTTAGAGGTTCTCCGACTGCCGGCAACCTCGACTTCCGTCCTCCAACTCCTCCAACCCCCCACCACCAAATAACCGCCCCGAATGGTCCTTCGCCCAAAATGCTCACGTCCGGCTTGACCAATACTCCGCTCTCGAAGTCTCTTCTGATCTACGTCGTCGTATCCTCAATCGCGCTCTCAATCTTGGACGTCAAGCACCTCGCCTCAATCCATGCCTCTCCGCACTTCTGGCCCTATGGGCAATTCTGGCGCGCTTTATTCTGGCAAATCGCCGGCTTTGCCAATTCGACAGAGGCGCTCTTTGCTGCGATGCTGGTGTACCACCTCCGCGTCGTGGAACGGGCATGGGGAAAGCGAAAGATGGCCGTACGTTTTCCCCTGCTACCCCCAATTCTCCAGCTTCCAGCTATGGAATGAAAGGAAATATAGCATCCAAGATACTCACCACCTGCAGACTTTCCTTCTAACAACCCTTCCCTACACAACGATCCTCCCTCCCTTCCTCCTCGCCGTTCTCGTGCGACCTGTCTCCCTAAACAACCTGAACTATCTCCCATCGGGCCCAACAGCAACAGTATTTGCTCTCCTAGCACAATATCACGCCTCAATCCCACATATCTACCGCTATCGCATCAGCACAACGTCTTCCTCGAACACTGCAGCAGGGACAAACGCCGGCGACTCCACCTCCAGCCAAAATAACACCCCAAGCAACAATGGCAATGGCACGCCTAAGCCACCCCCACCAAGCCTATCACTTCTCCTCTCCGACAAATCAACAACCTACCTCATCGCCGCCCAACTCGCGCTCTCCCAATTCCCTGCCTCCATTCTCCCCGCCGTGACCGGCTGGATAATAGGCATGGCCTGGCGCGCCGAACTGCTTCCGGGCCTCTCACCATCTAGCACGGGCTTTCGTGTTCCCGCGTGGCTGGTCGGTGAGCGCGAGCGGAGAAGTGGAGCTGCGATCGCCGCTGCTGGCGAGAGAGAACGGTTCGAGGATTTGAGGAGGAGGTTGGAAGGGGAGGCTGAGGCCTCTGGCTTGGAGGGTGCTAATTCTGCTGCGTCCAGGAGAAGGAATCCCGGTGATAGCTCCGATGGTGGACTTGCGGAGAGATTGAGATCGGCATGGTGATACTTTATATTGGACTTGACCCGTCTCTTCCCTTGATACAGCTTTGTGAATAATTCTACAGAGAAGTAAATCTGTCTTGATACCGCGGTTTCCCGTTTCGCCGTAGCTTGGATTGTTCTATGTTTGTGTTTAGATACTGGGCTCATTGTTCTGACTCATGAAACAACGTTGACCATTACTTGGATGGATACGTAGAGTATGAGGCGCAGAAGTATTGAGTGCTTGATTTCTGGGAAGCTAGATGCCAGTATAGATGGCATACGATCCTCAAGCAGAAGTGTAAGAAACTAGAGATAAAGCTAGTAGTAGTCCATTCAATGCCGCAAGCGGCACTAACGTCCGTTGCGACCCCGCCGCATATTTTCCTTGCACTCGGTACAATACCATTTGACTGTGAAAAAGTTAATTTCGGATTCAGATAGCTTGGTAATGGAGACACGTCGACTTACCATTCTTGCCAGGAGGTTTGTGTAGTCCCACACAGGCCAGGTGGAACCACTCGCGAGGGCAAGCATCATTGTCGCAAGCCACCATCTCGCCAAAACTGATCTCATTGCAGTAGCAGTACCGCGGTTCGCCCTCCTCATCTTCGTCGTCACCCTCATGAAGAGATTCATCGTCGGAAGGAATGACAGGAGCCGGTGCAGAAGTCTTCTTGCCACCCCGCTTCGGCGCGGGATCTGTACTTCGTGTGGGTCGTGAGCGTGACTGCGTGGTTTCGCTGAATGTAGATAGTACGGGCGTGGAGGTTTTGGAGTTTCGGCCTTTAGCAGGCTCGGCTTCGACTGAATCGACAGTTCGTCCATCCACATCATCGCGCTTAGCTCCTGCGGCACCGGCGCGTCCAATAGTGTCACCATCATAGTCACGGTGATTATCACCATTGCCTGTCTCGTTCTTGATGGATCCGTCGCGAGGTGTCGATCTGGGATCGGCAGGTTTCGCTGAAGAGTGAGAAGTATTAAGGAGGATCCTAGTAACTGAATAAGTCGCGCGGGAAGACATACAGGAGTTGGGCTGGCCCAAGCGATTGGAGGCAGAGGACGTAGGCCGCTGGCGAGCGTTGCTCGTCTGCCCAGCATTCTGCTGGGCTCGTGAAGACTGTGGGCGAGAGGTGTTGGGGCCCGGGCTTGCAGCTCCACGGGGGGCATTGAACGTTCCGATAAGAGGCGAAGGGGCCAACACGGGGGAGCCAGCGTTGGATGCAGCGTTGGGCCTAAGAGAATCCAATAGTTAGTGACATGCCATTGTCGGGAGATGAAAATGTGAACATACTTCTTGCGCGCTACGGCAGCATTGGCGTTCGGGGCACGAGATCGCTTCTTTTCTGCGCCATCTTTTGACGACACTCGTTGACTTCCGGTACCACTAGCAGAGCGTTCCATAGGTGCTCCCATGTCCACGGCCGTGGGCCGTTCCACCCTGCGACGTTTATTTGCTTGATCAGCTGTCGCATTATCACCACGAGATTTTCCGGTATTCGTCTTGCGAGCGCCGCGAGCCTCCTCATAGTCAGCATCAACGGCCGCCCGGCGTTGCTGCTTCCGCGCCTGGACCGCTTCGCGCCGGGCTTCGCTGCGGCTAGCAGCCTCGGCCTCGTGAAGTGCGTATGCGAGATCCTGTCGCTGAGAAACGGCTTCCCGGCGCGGTCGCTCATTGGTAGCTGCCTTTGCGGTGTTCTTGTTCGAGTACGCCCAGTGTGTCAGACTGCCAAGACGGGCCTCCTCGCTGATTTCTCCAGCGATGTATGGGAATACAGTATCCAGTCGGGAAATTTGGCGATCCAGCTCCTCATTTGCATTTGAGATTACATGGTTCTTCTCATCCGCTGTCATCATTAGATCGGAGAGGTTCTGTCGTACACGATCGAAGAGGATTCGACGGTTTAGGCTTTCGGGCGTCTCGGGAGGCTGAGAAAGGTCCTAGAGGAGCGGATCTGTCAGTAAAATCGTCGCAGTAGCGGGTTGGATGTGGTCTTATATCGGAATTACTGACTTTTGGTAAGAATTCCTCACGAGCCACCCCTCCAACAATAGGCGTCGGGACTGGAGGATGGGGCACTGGCTGCGACTCCGAGGCATCCTTGAGCAACTGCAGCAAATTTTCTTCGAGTGCCCACGCTTTCGCATCAACCTCCTTGAGTAGGGAGTTGTGTCGGCGGAATTCGTGCGGAAGGGCGGTGATCGCGTCCGTAAAATGAGTGAGAGCAGGATAGAAGCCATGAGGAACAGGGGGCGTCACAGGACTCTCAGCTACCGAGCCACGGCCAAAGCCGAAAGAGGACCGTCCGGCGGTTTTGGATGTTCGCGAAGGATTCGTCCGCGTTTGGCGAGCCGATTGACGTACGCCGGAACCCTGTGAGTTGAGGGTCGAAGAAGGGACGGCAGACATGGTGAAGGTCAGGCTGGGGTTGCACTACCAGAAGAGCTTTCCAGACGCGCCTGACCCGACAAGAATAAAACGGACAGACAGAGGGTATGAGGGTTGAATGGCGGAATTCAGTGATCGAGCAGAGCGCGATCCCAGCAACAACGCCTGAAGCCAGGGAGAGGCGACGAGAGGGGGAGCAGCCGCTGAGAAGTTTGGATGCGGAGAAGAGCATCGGGCGGATCAGGTGAGTTTTCACCTTGGATATCAGGCATCACATATGCTGACTCATGGCCAAGCAAAGTGACGTCATTTCAGGAACGTCCGTAGCGCGATCGGCGCGAAGTATGCCCCATCCATACTAAATGCGACTAAGTTTTACTTCTACTAGTAATACTATGAATCCTGGTCAGCTGGGGATAAAGCCCCAATCTGCATGAATTGACCTAGTAGCCACTATCTACAAAGCGCATAAGGCTCGTAGATCAGGGTTTTTGAGAAGAGTCTGGCTAGGCGGGATGATACGCACTCCAGTTATCCAATGCGTATGTACATAAAATTCCTGGAAAGGAAAGAGGAAGCAGATGGTTTCTGAAATTTATTTTCCCACGACCAAGAGTATTTTTCAAGAAATCTTAGATTTATCTATTGTTCATTGGCACCTCTCCACCCCGCTTCGGGAGTGTTCACCTCTGCCTGTTTACACCTGGCCGCACCTTCCCAAAATGCCCCAAACAATCTCTGCCGCCTCTTCTTTTATTCTTTCTTCCAACGCGTCAACCTCCTCCCTGTCAACATCCTCGCCTTCCATCCTTTCATCTCTGACTCGCCTAAGCTTTCGATTCCTTCGTCGCCGGGGGCTTGCAACGATGGCCTCTCAGATGAATGAGATGCAGTTTGCGGAGGATGGCATCGGTGTACGTCTTCGCGGTGAGTACCCTCCCTGATCCCCCAAAGCATGCATCGGACTCCAGCTAATCGAATTCTACAAGACTTCTACACTCGCGTCCGTCATCGCCTTAGGGGCCACAACAAGCGTCAGGTCTTCGTGGCCCTCTTTTCTCGTGAGAGCCACACCGTTATGCGAACTCAGCCACGCCGAGAGATGTATCACGATGACTTTCTCTGGAGCATCTTGATTCGCCCAAAGCATCGCAAGGGTTCCGATGCCCTGTGCGTTCAAGTGCGCAGCACCGTCCCTGAACCGGTTCCTCGCGATATCCATGGCCGCCCGTGGCGCTTGGAGATGTTCTCGAACTACGAGCCCAAACAAAGCCTTCGCTACCTGGGAGAGTTCATGATCGGTAAGCTCCCCAACAACTTGCACACCTCTGTTCTCTATCACTTGTTCGCATCCGTCCCACTTCCCCGCCCTGATGCTCTTGATCCGGAGAATGGTGTTACGTGGATGGAGAATGCTATTTGGCGTCTTCAACAGGGCAAGCTTGTGGACCAATTCGACATCAACCGTTTCATGGACGAGTGCAAGTATTACGCTACCGCCATGGTCCACCAGCGAGAGTACTGGCCCCCATCCCGCGAAGAAGGTGCCCCGTCATTCAACTACACCCTTCGACCCCGTTAGAGGTCAGTCTCCACCTCCACGTACCGACGCCTCTCACTTGTTCACTTACTTACAATGGCGAGTTGACCTTTGTTTGTTTTCGGGCGGGAATATGGATTTCGAATGTAAGATTTTCTGGTTGATTTTTGTTTGTTTTCGAAAGGGAAGGGGCGATATCGAATGTAAGTCCCCATGGCTACTTTTAACAGCTACTAGGAAAATGCGTATTGAAAAAGGTAGGTGTCTACCACAACTATTTTCCCGAGACCCCCATAACAACAATGTTTTACTGCATAGTGTGATTTTCGGGAAGTGGATAAGGAGCTGCTTCTGCTTCAATCCTCTTGATTGAGAGCTCGATCTACTACAAACAATAGTTCCTTCAAAACTGTTAGTATGCTCGGGGACATCACTTGAGTTGCCACCATGATCCTTCCATTGCTTTTAAATTGCTGGGTCAATATTCCCAATGAGAATCAGCTAACATCATCAATTATTGGAATCTACAACTGCAAAAGGCCAGTCCCCAAAGAATCTTATGCAATGGAGATTTACTAATGAAGAAAAGGTACATCCGGAATCCTCAATGCAATCAGTAAATGAAATTTGTATTTTACACAAGCATAAGTTAGTCGATGTGTAGACGGGTCCGTCTATAAGCACAAGCCTAAGACAAAACAAAGATCGTATACACAAGGGACAAGAACAAAAGGGAACCCATGCAGACAAGGAAAGGTGGTACAAATGAAACAATAGATAATGGACGCTAGCGCCCAGGCGACTCAATGTAAACAGGAAAGCAACCCAATCAACCAGCCAGATGCACATTCTCCACAACAGATCCGGTATTAAGCGGATTAATCATGGGGAGGAACAATGACGGATTTACTCGCCCTTGAGGCGCTCCTGGTGGACGGAGAAAGCATCCTCCAGGAACTCCTGCTCCTCCTTCAAGTGGACGGCCTTGAGTCCGGTAGCGACGGAGGCACTGGGGGAGCGACCGGCGTACAGAACGTGGCGGCGGTTGTGGTGCTCGGTCGAGTTCAGGAGAGTCTCGATACGGGGCTGGGCGTAAGACCAGGCACCGGCGTTCAAAGGCTCCTCCTGACACCAAACAATGTTCTTGGCGTTGGGGTAGCTGTCCAGGTTCTCCTTCAGCTGAGCCCAGGGGAAGGGGTGCAGCTGCTCAACACGGGTGATGGCGGTGTTGCGGATGCCCTGGGCCTCACGGTGCTTGATGAGAGTGGCGTAAACCTGGCCAGAGCACAGGATGACACGCTCAATATTCTCGGGGGCTTCGATAGCGGTGCCGTGGGCGGGGTCGGGGATGATCCACTGGAAGTGAGAGTCATCGGTGAAGCTCTCCAGGTCAGAGCGAGCAATGGGGTGACGCAGCAGAGACTTGGAGAAGAAGATGATCAAGGCTGAGGATTAGATGTGAGCATTTGGAAAATAAGCAAATAGAAGGGAGGGAAAACATACGCTTGCGGAACTGGCGGTGGATCTGGCGACGCAGGATGTGGAACAGGTTGGCGGGCTCAGTCATGTAAGCGATCTGCATGTTGCAGTCCTGGTGCTGACGGTCCAGCTTGTCGGCAGAAGGGAACACGCGAGGCTCTTCGTTGCAAAGCTGCAACCAGCGCTCCATACGGCCGGAAGAGTGCTCGGGACCCTGACCGTCATATCCGTGAGGCAAAGAGACGATCAGACCAGAACGCTGCAGCCACTTGGATTCACCAGCGGCGATGAACTGGTCAATGATACACTGCGCATTGTTGGCGAAGTCACCGAACTGAGCCTCCCACATGACGAGAGCCTCGGGGAGGTCAGAGAATAACCATACTCAAAACCAAGGGCACCGAACTCGCTCAGGGAGGAGTTGGAAATGACGAAACTGCCCTGCTTGTCACTGATGTGCTGTAGGGGAGTGTAGGTGGCCTCGTTCTCCTGGTCGTGCAGGACAGCGTGGCGCTGAGAGAAGGTACCACGCTCAACATCCTGTCCGGAGATACGGACGTGGTAACCCTCGTCAACCAGCGAACCGAAGGCAAGAGCCTCAGCAGTAGCCCAGTCGATGTTCTTACCCTCGTCGACGGTCTTCTTGCGGTTGGTCAAGATACGCTTAAGGTTGCGGTGGAGGGTGAAGCCCTCAGGAGCGCCGGTGCCGGCCACCTTATCAGCAATGTGCTTCAAGGAGTTAGCACCAACGGCAGTGGGGAGGTGGGGGAGCACCTCGGTGGCCAGCTCCTTGGGGGTCTTGAAGTTGTTCCAGGCGGAAGTCAACCACTCCTTGCTAGTGGGCTGGTAGTCCTTGCTGCGGTCGAAGCTGTCGTTCAGCATGCCCCAGACCCACTTCTTGTGCTCATCAATGTCCTCCTTGGTGAAAGTACCCTCGTTAATGAGCTTCTCGATGTAGGTATCAAGCTGAGCCTTCTGAGAAGCAATGCGCTTGTACATCAGAGGCTGGGTGAACGAAGGCTGGTCAGTCTCGTTGTGTCCCTGTTTACGGTAGCAGACCATGTCGATAACAACATCGCTCTTGAACTCCGCACGCCAGTCAGCAGCGACCTGGCAAACGTAGTTGACAGCCTCAACATCGTCGGCGTTCACGTGGAACACGGGGGCATCGATAGACTTTGCAATGTCCGAGCAGTAGGGGGTGGAACGGGCAAAGCGGGGATCGGTGGTGAAACCAATCTGGTTGTTCACGACGATGTGGATAGTACCGCCGGTGGAGTAGGCGGGCAGGGAGTGGAAGCCCATGGTCTCGTAGACAACACCCTGACCAGCGAAGGCAGCGTCACCGTGGAGCAGAACACCCATAGCGGAGTCGAAGTGGGTCTCATCCTTGTTGTAGTGCTGGATGGCACGGGTCTTGCCCAGCACGACAGGGTCCTCAGCCTCCAGGTGAGAGGGGTTGGCAACCAGAGACAGCTGTACACGCTTGCCGGAGGGAGTAGGGCGCTCGAAGTTCATACCCAAGTGATACTTGACATCACCGGAGCCCTCCTCGGACGGCTCGGTGGAGCCAGCGAACTCACTGAAGATGGACTCGTTGGGCTTGCGAACGACGTTGGACAGAACGTTGAGACGACCACGGTGAGGCATACCGATGACGATGTCTTTGATGCCATAGTCGACACTACGGTCAATAAGGGCCTTCATACCGGGCACAAGGGTCTCACATCCCTCCAGACCGAAACGCTTGTCGTTGGGGAACTTGGTGGCCAGGAAGGACTCGAAGCTGGAACTCCAGATGAGACGGTCGAGGATGCGGCGCTTGTCGTCAACCGAGTACTTGAAGGGCTCGGGGATCTCGAAGCGGTCACGGATCCACTCGCAAGGCTTGCGGTCGGGGATGTGAATGTACTCGACACCGTAGGAGCCGCAGTAGACCTTCTCGCAGGCGTCAATGATCTCGCGCAGAGTCATCTTCTTGCGCTCTTCGGTCAGGAAACGGGGTAGGATGCCAGGTCCGAGAGCGAATTCCTGGTCGAGGTCGCGCTCAGTGAAACCGTAGTGGTCAAGCTCAAGCTCCTTGGGCTTGCTGTAACCAAAGGCCTCGGCCTCGCCACGGATGCCGAGGGGGTCGATCTTAGCCTTGTGGTGACCGCGGGCCTGGTAGGCGCGCACCAGAAGCTGAACCTTCAAGTGGTTTGTCACGTCAGCACCAGCGGCGACACCAGCGCCGGGCATGTCCTGGGGAACACCGCCGGTAGGAGTCGGGACAAGGGTAGGGGGGAGGAGTGAAGGCCTGGGAAATGGGCATGTTGCCATCTTCCATGTTCTTGAAGTAGGTCTGCCACGAGATGTGGACACTGGACGGATCCCGCTTCCAGGCCACGTACATCTCGTCAATATAGTTGGCGGTGCTACCCTGGAGGAAAGAATCATTCGGGTCCTAATTCACGTCGCGCTGTCGCGTTAGATATAGATCTAATAGACCAGAGTTGGGGAGATTTCTCGTCGCGCTACATCACACTACTACATGCGACGAGGTTATCAAGCATTGACTTACCACTCCAGGAGCAGGACCCTCCGCAGAGGAGGCATAGAGCCGGGCACCAGTGAAGGTGCGGTCGACGACAGCGAGAGGTCGGCGGGCAGTCAGGTTGAAGCTGGAGGTCTTCGAGGCGCTACGAGCGCTCGAGGCCAGGTGGAAAGTCCTCCGGCCGGTGGTGGAAGCCACACCACGCAGGTTGGTGGCCTTCAAAGCAGTGTTTCTGAACATTGCGGGATTTTTCCGACGAGGTATAGGGAAGAATCCGATCGGAGAGAGGAAGGTAGAGAGGTATTATCGTCCTAGGTCCGTAATACGATCAAAGCTGAGGCAGAATCAGGCTTAACCTGTTCAGTTAATTTGGTGGTCAGCTTCAAGTTGACAGGTTGTTGTTCTTCTCCTGCCGAAGAGTACCGAAACACGGAGGAAAGGAAGCAGGGAACACGTACAGATGTAATCGCGCCAAACAGGTGTCGACTAGTATTGCCGTAGCACCTGTATAGAAATGGAACTCATCAGAGAGCAGAAACTCTGCTGACAACACGGATTAACTGGGGATGGGAGTGGAGAGCAGAAAAGAGCTGGGCGCAAAGAACAAGCAGAGCAGAACCGGACCGGGCTGGAATGAGGCTGGTGCGCTGAGTCAGCCCGGTCCGCCCGAAGCATAGCCGATAACCTGCGCGGCCACGCCGAACGAGCCACACTTCGTCACCGCCGGCTAAGCATTTCGGTGCTTTGCGGGTGATTTCGGCCCAATCGCGCGGGTAGGCATTACGTAGTAGTATGTTCAGGTCTCCAACGCACCCTAAAAATGCCTCAAGAGGCAACATCCAGCGAACGGAGAGGTATACTTACCGCCAAAAAGAGGCATGAAGTAGCAAGAACACAAAAAAAGCTTTTAGAAATACCTATTAGGAGATCAGGAAAAGATATCTCAGTGATGGAGTGTCATTAAATCGTAAATAATTCGCTGTGGATAGATGGCATGCATCCTAGGCTGAAAAAAAAAACGCCCCAACGGCCCAATTAAATGGAACATATTATTATATCCAACCTTCCAATGGAGGGGGTCAATGAAGTTTTACAATCCATTGGGTCGCTGGCTCCCTGTAGTCGGTATATCATCGCCGTATGCCGCACAACTCGGCCCGTTGTGTCCGCTTGACGGGAGATCGGCGGAACGACCAAGATGAGCGTCTTTGAGTGGTGAAGCTGTATAGCCATGGCCGTCATCTTGCTGATATCCCATGCTCTCAAACCAGTCATCGCCAGAGGGTCGAGCATCGGAAGGGCTGGCTTCCACAAAGCTACCACGATTCGAGGAAGACAGGTTATGGGGAGGCGGACTGCCGGCACTGCTCCGCAGACTGCCATTGCTGCCACCCCATGCACCCCGGCGCAACTTCATGAGCGCGCTGAGCGACATCTCGTCATCAAGGTTTCCCATATCGACTAGCTGGGCTAAGCCTGGGCTTGCCAAAGACGGGTTCGAGTGAGTGGCCCCGTGTGCTTTCAGCGAGATGACCGAATTGCGTGTGCTCCATTCACTACGTTCGGTGATGGGAGTCAGACTGGGCTCTTGGAATTTGCCGCGGCTGCTGAAGCTGCGCGAGATGCCCTCAACGCCTCGCGGGCCAAAGTAGCCACCGTTTGTCATCTCGGAACTGCCATGTGCTTGCGCGTAGAAGCCAAATTCCTGGCCATAGAATCCTTCGTCGTCACACTCCAGTGCCTCCGCATTGGCGGCTGCAACAATTGGGTCGTCATAATAAAGATCGTCATCAAAGATCTGGTCATCATAAGAATCTTCGTATGCGGCCATGTCGACCAATTGACTCAGATGGCTATCATCTGATACCAGTCCTGGCTGTGACTCGCCTGTGTGGGATGGTTGAGAAATGCTTTCTTGTGCCAGAGATCGATCGCTTGTGCTGAAAGTGCGCTCAAAATTGCCCTTGGCTGTTGCTTCGTTTGCTGCGAACGCCAAGGCATTATGCAATACTTCCAGGTTCTGTTCTGTCAAGACGCCGCCGTGAGCCCGTGCAGGTCCCATATTAGGGATTGGCTCCCCAAGCGGCCCACGCTTGATCGCCAGCGCTTGATATTCACTGGCCACACTGGGCATATGCTTGAGTCCTTGACTGGCATTCTCCTCAAGCAGAATTTCTCTTTCTAGGACATCATTATTGGGTTCTGCGTTTAGAGGGGGTGGAGGCAAAGCCGGTCCTCCCACTCGCTTTCGTTCGTATAAGTGGCTAGTCTCGTCATCGAAGATGGACTCGTCAAAGCCTCCACTTTGGTTTTCAACGTCCAAATCTCCAAACTCGCCGTCATCGAAGTACAAGTCATCGTCCTCTTCATCAAGAACTTGCTTGCCCTTATCTGCGGCCGGAGGAGCCAGACCAACGGGAGCAGGCTGCTGCACCTCTTGTGACTCGGATGTATCATCACCTGCGGGTTCCTCTGCAAATTCTTGTGCAGGCGGTGCTGCATTCGGTTCTTCTCGTGGGACTGGTGCAGGTGGGAGTTCAGGAGGTGCAGGTGCGATCGGACTGGCGACCACAGGTGACAATCCTGGAACAGCCCAAGATTTGATATCAGGGGCTGGCGGTGCACGAAAGTAGTCGTCGTCATCAGCGTCGGCATTCACACCGGGGATCTTTTCTTCCAGGCCGTCGAAATCATCCAACATGTCTTGATCAAAATCTTCATCAAAGTCATCAAAGTAGCCGTCCTCCAGCTTGCGCGCAGCTTCTTTCGCTTTGTGTTTCTCCTCCAGTAATTTTTCCTGGGTAGACGACTCCACGCCCCCCATGTCGAAGCTAAACCTCGAAGCATTGCTTCTGAGGTGTCTTGGTAATCCTGAGGAGGGAGGCCGGGGCACATTTGGAATTGTATCGTCGTCTTGTTGCAATGGTGGAGGACTGGATTTGGGTGAGCTTGCAGGGAAATCCCCGGGAAGCTCTGCCGGTAGTTCGAATGGTGGAGAGACGGTGTGCTCAACTCCCTTGGGGCTGTGGTCCGGTAGGCAAGAGGGCAAATTCTTAGCAAAAGGCGGCAAGGACTTTTCGTATCCCGGTTGGGTAGGGTTTGTTAGCAGGCTCGACTGGAGGTAACCCTTATTCTCAACCTGCAACACGTTTTGGTCGTCCTCGAAGTGTTCTTTGAAAACAGGGGAATGATCGCTGTGTCTCTTCGCTGGATCACTAAAACGACTTGTGGGGCTCTGAACGGTAGGCTGCGATGGTGAGGCATCTTGTCCCCCATCAGGCGGGCCGCTCAGGGTGCCTGATACATTGCGGCGAGGCCGAGGAGCTGAGAAGTCGTGAACAATGTTTCCTCGAATTCGGGGATCGTAGTCGTCTGGAATCGCAGGAATTATGTTTGACGACTTATTTTTTGGTTCGTCAATTCGGTGGTTCCCCATCTGAGACGAACGTCTGCGTGCGAGCAGAGACATCGGGTTCAGGAGATGCAGCATTGTCTTTCCTGATTTGTGGTGGGAATTATCCACAGAGACATCGCGTTCGCCGGCCCTCCGAGCAACTGAACTTTCCGACCTGATATCCCTTGGTGGTACGAATGGTTTATCGGCCGGTGACTCCTCGGGCGAAGGTCTGATCCGAAGATGACTTGTGCCCGGTGCCGCAGTCGGCGAGCGCTTCTGAGATTCGCCAGCAGACGTTTGCAAATTCCGTAATCCCTTTCCTCCAAATGAGAGTCGAAAAGGTGACGTAGGCTTAGAGTTAGACTCGCCATCTCCCTCTGGCCGTAGCCCGCCAACTGAGAGTTGTGAGTTGTTGTGTTGTGTTGTAAAGACAGGTTCGGGCTCGGGCTCGGGCTCGGGCATGGCTTCGTAATCTCCGGGGCTTGAATACGGACGGTTCTGGTTCTCTTTCTCTTTCTCTTGCAACGGAGACGAGACAGCAAGGCTAACGCAGGAGGACAGCGGCGCTACGGAGGAGTTGATGAGCTTGGAGGCATCGCTCTCCAGTGCGGAGTCGGTCCACGGCGGGGCATCGTGCGAGAATTGTTCATCGAACGACGTGGTAAGGATAGGTGTGTCTGGGATCTGAGGAAGCTGAGGAGGCGTGCTGAGCGGACCGTCTATTGCACCTTTGGGACCTGGCGATGACGCGGGCGCTGATATGGGCGGCGCGGTGGAGCGGCGGTGGTCTCGACGCCAGTAGGAGAAGACGGTGGACGGGGGCATGATAGCCAGTGATTGAGAGCCCGTGCAGCACCGGTAGACACCGTAGTTGTTTCTCAAGGGCCACGCGACTCCATTGCTCTCAGTACCTGCTGTGGAGGCGGCGCATTAGAAGTTGAAAGGAGGCGGGCCGTCGAGTCTCACATACCAGACACCGGTGGGGCTTGCAGCAGCCACTGGGCGTTGCGCTGCCGAAATGAGCTGGATCCGATGAGATGAAAGAGTGGCGGATGTGAAGATAATAACCAGCGAGCTAGCTGTTCGTCCGAAGACCGTAAAGTGGAAAGGAGGTGGTGGTGTGAGAGCCGCCGAAAACTCGCAGATCGACCGTGATAGGAGACGTAATCGCTGCAGCTCCACCCGCCAATGCTGCTTAGGTACACTCGCGCCGCGGGTCTCACTTTGGTGCAGCAGCTGTGAGGTGCCTGGGCCGATTCTATATTTATCCCTGCATCCTCGGTCTCGTATCACGACTCCATGTGATGCGCATGCACCCTAATAAATACCTCCTCGGACTTTATATAGGAGCAGTGAATGTCGATCCACATGGTTTTGTCCTTCCTTTGCTCTATGGCCCCCAATCTCAACTGGACGACATGTAAAAATACTACTACTAATGTATAAGACTAGTATGTACTAATGGTGCATGGATCTACTTGTTAAATCAGGTTTTGACACAAATATAAGTCTTGTTTGATGGTCAATACAATGCTCTGCATAACGTGCAAGGATATAATAGCTCCATTCCAGAATTTCAGTCCCAGACTGTGGCAATTGAGGTCAGTTGATGGAAACAACACGTTCCCTTCCTAGATATCACATACGAAAGACACTATTCTACACGGATTTTCCCAAAAAATAAAGACGCCTAGAACGACGACGCTATGAAGAGCAAACAAATCAAACGCTGAAAAAAAAAAAAGGTTTGTACTTAGAAGCGAACGCTCTGTCTCCAACGATCAATGACATCTCGTTGGACAGGGTCGATGGGCTGCCGGGTCATGTTAGGGCCACAGCCACTCGCATAGGTCATGTTGTTGTAGGGATAAACTGGAGGATAGGGCGTTCCGTAGCCATAAGGCTGGGCCATCGGGTATCCTGCTGGTCCCTGGGGGCCCATTTGCATCGGCATAGAATACATGGACGCTCGCTTTGCGACTTGCGGCATCATGCCGTGGTGTTGCGGAAGAACATCGAACGATGACTGATGGCGAGCGACATGGGCAGGACGAGATTGGGGGAGAGCAGCCATGCTCCGCCGCATCTGAAGATTTTTAGCAGTTGCAGGCCGCGAATTGTTTTCCTTTCGCAGGCGGTTGCGTCGTTGCGCAAGTGTCTCCTCTTGCTCAGGCGCCGGCTCCTTGGTTGGCGCAGCTTCCTTGGGTGCAATTCCCGCCCGAGTATCAAACTCGGCCAGGAGATCACTTGTGAAATCGCTTTCCGCTGGATTTTGTCCTCTCAGTCGTCGAAGCCGTTCAGCTAGCGTCTCGGCCTCGACTTCATTGTCACTTTCATTCTCAGGCTTGGGCTCCTCCATCTTGGGCTCAGCTGCGTACACGGTGACGGGCCCTTTTTCAGGCACTGGTTCACCTCGAAGTCGAGCGCGACGAGCACTCAAGGGTTCATTTTCCTCGACCTGGCGCCTTGCCATAAGGCCGATTGGCTGATTGTCATCGTCGGGGTTGGCTTTTTCTGGATAAAGCATAGCCAGAGGAACGTCGTCATCATCAGCAACATTGTGGCCATCCCAAGCCAGAGTCACCGGTCGTCGCCGTCTCTTCTCGCTCTGCTTTTGAGCCATTTCATCTAGCTCGAGCAGCGTAGTACCCATACCCTGTGCTTGGGAAGCAGTGGGCATAGCTGTACGCGTCCGTTGCTTTAATTCGTGTTTTCGCAACTGTAATTCTGCAAGTAATGTGTTTGGCGGTCCGACGTAGTCATCTTCCTCGTCTTCTTCTTCGCCTTCGCCTTCGCCACTTTCCGGGGAATGATCGTCGCTCTCGGTTTCCGTTCCGCTACTGGACCGCTTATCGTGCGACCTGTGATGGTGGTCATCGTTTGTTTGATGTCCAACTCCCGACTGCATGGAGTCCTCGTCGCTCTCCCGGCTCTGTTCCTGGCCCATTATGTGCTGGGAGTTGCGCTGTGGTTGTCCTGGGGGCGGCTTTTTGAGCGTCTTGCGCTTTGCATGACCGTAGACGTGCGAGCCAACGTGGCCAGCGAATGGATGGTCCGTAAAGGCCGAGACAGGGGCATAAGCTGAAGCGTCGAGGATACTATCAAGTGTCGCAACTGCAGAGTCTTGCTTCACGTCTATCTCAAGAGATGCCTTTGGAGGATCAAAGAAGACGCTTGCGCGGAGCTGTTGTGTCACGGTAGACTGCCGTTTGTCCTTTTGATTGTCCTTCGTCTGTGTTTGCTGGGATGCCGTGTGTCTATCTTCGGCGGCAATGGTGTTCATCAGCTGGGTCCGGCGTTTTTCGCGGTCCGCAACTGGCTTGCGAGACAGTTTCGGGGGCAGATTCAACATGCGGGGAACCGGTGCTGGATAATACACCATCTGCTCGCCCGATTGGGGTTCCTTGTACGATTCCGGCTTGGACGCCAGAGGAGGCTGGATGAGCGAGAGGCGTCGCCCGGATTCAGCACGCTCGAGGGGAGAGAAATGAACGCCATCAAAATCGGTGAACAGGGTGCGGGCCTGCTGGAAAGTATCGCCCGATGCGGCCGAGGCCGGCCGCTCGACCTCCTCCGTCGCATGGTGTCCATCATACTGGTTGTTGTACACCTCGCTGGCGTGGCTGTAGATCTGGGGTTGTGGGGCGGGGAGGATCGACAATGGGGGAAGAGCTTGGTCGGCATAGTGGCCATCTTCGCCATGATCAGGCTCGGTCACCTGGGCGAGTCGAGACGCCCCGGATACGGAACGCTGGCGCGTGGAAAAGGTCGATCCATGAGCGGAAGCGACGGTCACCGGGGAGAATGCACCATTCCGCATGATGACTGAGTTTGAAGCTGAGCTGCATGAACGCCTCTTCTGTTCCTGGTCCATCTTGCGGATTTCGCTACCAATGTCCGCCGAACTCGAGCTTAGCCGCTCTGCTGTCAGCTCGAGACGCTCTACATTCCCCGCGTAGGCGCCTTGGATGGATTGGAGATCAGGGATCGGATGGCTCAGGGGGATAGGGAGGTCGCTAGAGGCGCTGCGCAAGGGGGGCTCGGGGGAGGAATGTCGCGCGACAGCTGTATTGAGCGGCGGCATGCGGGAGCTGTTCGATCGCTGATCGCGGGCATGATCGACATCGACCTCGTAGTCATCGTCCTCGACGACGTCGTAGCTGGTCGAGGTCATCGAGCGGATCATCGAGCTCAAGTCCAGGCCCGCCTTATCGGTTGTCCTGGCGGATTCCAGACGGCGTCCTCCGCCCAGGTGATCGGCGTCGCGCAGTTGCTGAAAAGCTCCGTGAGCGGGTGATGAGGCGCGCGAATCGTCGGAGCCGAAGTGGGATGCGACCTCGTCGATCTGGGCGACGGCGTTGTAGGCCATGGTGATTCGATCGGGGTCGCCCTGCGACAGCCGGGCAGTCTTCGGGTAATGGCAGAAGAGCGCGGGCACGAGAGCACGGAGGCGCACCGTACAGTGACCGCGTTCCGAACAAAGGCCTGTGACCGAAAGCAAAGAGAACTTGAGGCAACCCCGGCAGGGGACGTCAGGTCAAAAAGCAAGCGGCGCAGGGACAAGAGCGAAATGAGACAGGAACATCGGTGTGACGAGAAGTTTCGAGGTGTTGGAAAGGTTTTCACCGAAGTGCCGGGCTAAACTTGGGCGTGATACAACGATTTCCCCCTTCATTGGAATGCTTCCCGGAGGCGAAAACAGGGTAACCGGGCCAAGCCACCAGCAACTGCTTAGTGCCTCCATGTCTCGGACCAGTGAAGATGGGGGCTTTCGTGGTTCGAGACACCTGCAGCCCCGTGGTGGATGTTTGGTGGGGGCGCAGGGCACGAGCGTGCGGTCTGGGCTGTTGAGTCCGCTACACTATACATATTGATGCACGACGCTAGTACGATATATGCTACTCTCAGGGTATAGATTGGATGGTTCGCATCGCAGAAGCAGAATCAGGCACAGAGGCTGCCTCTCGACGCTAGCGGCCTGTGAACCTTGGGCGAGCCCAATTCTAAATCCGGATGAAACTATTTATTCGCTGCTGCATCTGTGAGTGGCTCACAAATGTTGTCCGCCCTGACAATAATATATTTCCAAGCGCAGTCGGGATCAGCTTGGATTTACACCCACACCTCAAAAAGGGATTTCAGGGAGCTTTTGATCAATAGAATTTACATGACTCCTATGCCTTGAGGGTCGCCTTTTTTCGCAAAAAGTCCACGTATGCAGAAAAAAAGGCATATGTTCTCCGCAGACCCACCACTAATGTGAAGCCGCAGCACCATGACTGATGAAAGAATGAATCAAGGCTTGACGAAGGTCAAAAAGTCCAGTGATAGATCGGTGAAGAAACTAGCCCCCGCCACAGTTTCAGGGTAGCCAGGCGAAGTCACAATGCAGTAATCAGTAAAGTTGCCTGCTACCCGACTCTTCTTGATCAACGCCACATACTCGGACAAGAGACAACTCTTTCCCGGTCCATCGTGGCAACCCACAATGGGATAGACCGCATCGTTGAACAGGACCCGAATATATGGGCCACCAGACGAGTGGTGACTCGACCCCGAGCCACAATCGAGCACTTCAAACGTGACCGTGCCACGCATCGTGATAAAGTGGGCAATTTGATAAAGATGATGGGCCGGGATGTGGGTGTCGGGGAGAGGATCCTCGTGGTCGAAGACACCCATGGAGGCCGTCATCTCCGCAATCTGATTATCGTTTAAAAACGCCATGATCAAATTGGGGACTGTGAAGTCATTTCCGCCAGCTTCGATGCCGGTTTGACCGGGCCCCTTGATGAGCAGTTCCGTCAGACTCTCGAGGAAAGGGAGGAAGAGTACGGGGGCGGGCCCGTCTGCACCAGGTCCGACGCTGTAGTAATAACTCAGATCCTGCGAGTAGGCATAGTTGCGCAGCTCGTCCTCGGTGAATACTCCGCACCACGGGCTGAGGTTACCGGTGATCTGACTTTCATACCCGCACAGGTATGGGAAGAAGAGGATGTCGGTCTCGTCGAAGGTGAGGTTGCCGCTCACCAGTGAGTTGATGCGCTTGAGAGCCTTAGGGACCCAAGTGGCATCGACTAGGAAAAGGAAAGTGGTCAGCTTGGAACCATGCGCCACGAGATCATCTCACCACGTACAGTCTGTGAATTTGTTGCCGCCGCTTGAAATAGAGGAGAATTCTGGGCACGCATCTGAAGGCCCGAGCGAGTTGCCAATGGCATTTACAGAGCCAGTCGAGTTGACGCTGACGACTGTCCCATAAGCATCAGCAAACTCGTAGAGGTAGCCGTTGACAAAGGCCCGGGCGGTCTGGACTACTCGTGACTCGTTGATCGGATTCTGATATTGATTGGCCCAGACAAAGAAAGGGTTGCCATCCTCATAGAAATCGGGATCTACAACATGTTAGAAGAAAAAAAAAAATGACATTTCGGGGGATTTGGCGAAACCTTACAGCGAGCCCGGAGCTGGTAGCCAAGATCGCTAGCCTGCAAATGATGAGCTTCGTTCTAGCAACTGCGAACCGAATTGTCTATCATACCTCTTTCCATCCCGTCATAGACTCCTGGGCAATTTGAAGGGTTGGATTAGTCAGTATTGGACTCCAGACTTTGATGAAAGATAGCGAACCACGAGCATCAAAACCAGTGCCATTGACAGCAATTTGGATCTATGCATTCTTGTGAGCAAATCGAATGATCTACGGGAGTACGAGAGTACGAACCTTGTCCTGAATCCCCACCCAACTATTATACGAGCCTGGATCGGGAAATCTAGAAAAAAGAAGACTTAGCGAGTAATCTCGACTTCGTCATACAGACCATCCCTTACCTGCTACCGTGTCTCACGACGTAAGCCGCCTGTTGCACCGTGCACTTTTCAGGCACACTGTTGTCCACCCCATTGACATTCGGTCCCGCAAAGTATGGGGTGTTGCCACCCGAGTACTGCAGAGGGTTCTGAACTGTCTTGCTTGAAGGGAAGACAATGTCATTAGCGGGGGCCAACACCGCAGCATGGCCCGTGTGGCTGCCAGCAGCAGCGAAGAGACAACGCTCATTTTGATGGAGTTCGCCATGCTGAAATTGATTGATGAACCCCCTGTGACGATATACATAGCGATCATGCAACATTATATACCCTAAGGTAGTCCTTCGATCGACGAAATACCTGGGCATGCGTTAGCCTCGCCGGATAGCCGCTATTAGCGTCAACAGGAGCCGATAGATCCCCCGAGCCTATTACTGGCCCAAGTGGCGGAGCAATCACGCCGTGGTTATTCAACCGAGATAAGCCGAGAAGAAAGCTGCGCTGTGGCTCATCTAGAAGTTCATTTTCTCTGATGGCTAGATGCCATGGACACGTTAATTCGATCCAAATCTCAACGCGACTAGAATTCAAATCCAATAGTTGTATGCTTTTCAGAACGTGCTTAGGGGTCCACAGTCGAATATTGATTTTATTTGGCTGGGCTATTGCTGTAGCCACTCTGACCACAATAAATTTTCATTATTTAGATATATGAATGCACAGTAAAGTGTTATGGGAGCCGATGCAATCATGAGGAAGTCGTGTTGGCCGTCTTATCCAGAAAGTCTGAGCCCAGCTTTGTCAGTGCTGACGATTTCAGCGCAGAAACACTCCTCTGGAAGTCGGCAAAGACGGCCGTAATGGTCGACTGGCCACATGCACTCTCTTGATGCTTAGCAGTGCTCGTGGTATCTCGCTTCTTGAAATTGATGCCTGGCGAAATGGTCACACAGTTATACTGTGACTCGGCCGCCCGCAATTGACAAATCTCCTCAGTCTTGCAATCGCCTGAACACAATTCGACCTTCCACCCGCGAGTCTTGCGCGCAATATAATCTTGGAATACCGAGTCCTCCTTTTCGAAGACCGCGGTGATATTGTGCCAGAACGCGGGTGTGAGCTCGGCGGCACTATCGGTGATGGCTGGTTCAACCAGAGAGCCATAGGCTTCCTTCGCGGAGTAGTACTTCTCCCACTTAGGATTCGATTGATATGCTGGATTCGACATGTTTGCAATGTACACAGTGAAGTCCAGGATGCCAAAGGTCACCGGGTCCACTGAATAGACACGGAAAGTAGGGTTCCCCGATGTAGGTGTCAAGGCCGGTGCAATATACGACATCATGGTCGCTGTGTTGGCATTCTGGTCGGTGTAATTGGAGTACGAGATTTCGAATTCGTCCTTGTGGGTATGGCCGTAGAAGGCAGCAGCGATAGTGGCGTCATAACGTTGGATGATCTGGTTGAAGTAGTTGGATCCGTCGTGGAAAGCATCACCAGAGCCCATGGGCATATGGCCCAGAAGCCAGACTCGTTCCCCTGCGGCTTCGGCCGCGCTGAGCTCAGTAACAAGCCATCTCAACTGACTATTGGGGTCGGTTTCCATGGTTTCCTCGTACAGCCAGAAATTCTCCTTGTAGTAGAAGTTGGTGTTGAACGAGATGATGCGTAGGTTGCTGCCGGGATGTTTGACCGAGTAAGAGCCGTAGTTGTCGGCGGTGGTTGCGGCTTCGGATCCAATCCATTGACTCCAGCCCGAGGAGAGAGTGTCGTAGACCCACTGGCTGTCAATCGTGGTGTCAATAGCAGCTGGTGGAAACGAGTTGACAGGGGCCGCATCGTGGTTTCCAACAACACCGTAAACCTTGTTCAGATAGGATGGCATCCGAGTCTTGTAGGCATCGTTGAGGTCGTTTGTAACCTCGGTTTCATTGACAAGCCAAACAGCACCCTCGACCACATCGCCAGTAAAGATGGTAAATGAGGCATCAGGGACTAAGTGCTCAATGGCCCCGTACATGCTCTCTTCCAAAGTCAGCGGCGAATCGCAGTTCGAGTTTCCATATCCACCAGCAGGGAAACTTGTATTTCCTGGGGCATCGGATTCGGTGTATGGGCGGCAACAAATGTTTTTCGTGCAGTTGTAGCTGGACCGATTAGCAAATGAGCAACGAGGACAAGAAAATTCAATCGCATACTTTGCACCGGTCTCATAAGAGAGATCAACATGGATGTCGCTAATGTGCACAACCTGAATAGGAGTCTCTCCGCTGGGCGATGGTCGAGACGCGTTGGAAGGCTTCGCAGAGGGGAACTCCACCGTGTGTTCGGTCACGTCGGGAGAATCGCATAGTCCAAAAACGGTCGAGCAGAAAAGCGTTGCAGTCTTGGACGGAATATGCATGTTTCGCAGATCATGCGCGAGAATCGGCCCTTCGCGAGAGATTGCGCCCTCGCAGACATCCTTATCCTCAACCTGGCTGGATGTCAGAGTGGTTTATGGGTAACTGAAAGAAAGACGAGGGACTGACACTTGCCAACACACAAACGTCGGTAATCACATCCACGAAAGCATCGTTGCCCAAATGGGCCAGTCCTTGCAAAACGCCAAGTAGTGCCTATGTTTCGGAAGTTCAGCGACAGGAGTCTTCAGAAGATCAGTTTGATTTTCAGAAATTGACCGACCTCGCATGCGCCACAAGTAAATGCATTTTCAATGTCGGATAAAATGTCGCTCACGGTGCTCTTCTTGACTAGCTCTCCCTCCGGTGAAGCGAAGGCAACGCCGAGAAGACCCGCAGCTGTAATCCACCGCAATAGAAGCATCGCGAATTCCGCAGTGTTGGTGTTGCCAAAGAGGCCTTGATGGCGATCATCCGATTCCCGCGAGGTTGCGCGACGCTCACTTTAAAGCGCGTAGAGTTGTCGAAGTATAGTTTAAGCTTTGCCTGGCCCGCGTGGATTAATTTCCCTGTCTTGCATTCAGGCTGAGCCAAGCAACAAAATCTCCTGGCTCCATGGCACGTTGATCTCTTTTGAGCAATGATTGACTGCGGCCTCTAAGCGAAGCGGAGTTCAAGGCATCTCGAAACGTCACTCTCCCGCACGAATTCTGCAGATCGCTGGACAGCAATTTGGGTCTTCAGGGTCACTAATGGTGGATAAAACGTCTTAGCTTGCAATTGCTAACACGGATTCTCCGAGAGCGTCCGGTTGGTGCCGTATGGAGACGCTAAGAGACAGTCTATCCCCTGAAGAACGCGAGTTGGGTCCAGCGCAAACGGGGAACTTGCCCCTTTTGATGCGCTATCGCAGTGCTAGGCAGGCCGTTTTCTCTCCAGCCGGCTACTCTATGGTACGCTAAAAAGCCGATAACGCTGATCGCGGTCTTTATTTAGCTCTGGATTTCTTCGGAAAACGGGCGACTTTCATGGTGGAGATATGAAGACTTCGTCGTCTCCGTCACCATCAACCAGCATCGCCATCCACGAACGGTATTCATATCGGCAACTCTCAGTCCTTGTTGAAAGATAGTAGCAATTGTAAGGTGGCTTTTGTCATATGCACTTGGAATCATAGAGGTTTCTTTTTTTTACTTTTTGATCTCAGGCAAGGAAAGCTAGAGTGAGGGGTATCTGTTTTGTTGTAATTCAAAGGAAGATTGCTTGTATTCCTTCTGGACAGAAAACTTGAGGGTTCATATACACAAGCGACCTCCAGATTGATTTCCAATCAAAGCTGGTAATTCCGTGAGGTTAGGAATTGATTCCGTTACGATACGACATATCACAACATGTTTAACTGTTTGACGACCAAGTTTTGTGTGCGAGGTAAACACGTCCAACACCCTACACTACAGTACGAAGGATTAGAGTGAAAGTAACCAAAAAAACGGCAGATCGGTCAGGGTCTTTAAAAAAGATTGGTCAATCAAATGGACTTCAAGTTGCTCCGGCGCGATCAGGCGTCAAGGCCATCAATCACACCCGATTAGGAAGCCTCGCACCCCCACACACGTGACCACGCGCGTCTTTGGATGGCGGAACGCGCGAGTCGACCACCCTCGACCGGCTGCCAGCGACAGGGCATCGCGACCGGTTTCGCGACTCAACCAATGCGCCAAGATGTCGTACTATGACGTTGATTCCATATTGACCGATGCGCAGGTAAATTTGACTCGCAGAGCTGCCCTCGCCCTCGCCCTCGAATCCGTGTTCCACTCCGTGACGGCTTCACAACACCAGCAGCTAACACCCGTTGCACACAGAAACTGCCCTGCACATTCGAGCTCGAGGTGCCAGGTCTAGGTATTCTCGAAGGCAACCCGGGTGAAGATGTGCGTTGCCCAGCTGCACGACATTGTCTTCCATTGCTCACCCAGTCCAGATTAAACCGGGGACCCGCATCGATCTTCCATTATGGTTGGGTGAGATGCTTTCCATCGGGTGAGATTGTCCCTCAAAGATCATTTTACCCTAATACCAGATCAAAGCCTGTTTTGGGAGCGATTTTGACCCTGAAGGTTTCTAGAGCACGACTGGGGACGTCCCGTCTGGTGACCCTCGACATGCCGCCTGCGCTGTCGGAGCGAGTGATGAATGCACTGAAAGCAGACCCTCGAACCGTTGACCTGCGTGCCTTGGCACCCCACTTCTACAGCCTGAGCGAACGGATTCTGGAACTATTCGAAGAAGAGGAGATGGTTGACGTGTTGACCGAGGTAGGCCATTGACTGCAGCCCCGGCAGGTCGAGAAAGGCTGCAACCGAGTGGGCAGGTATAATAACTATTGTCCGTCTAGACCTTTAAGAGGCGGGCGGCCGAAATCTCCGACCATGCCCATAACCCGCGTGGCGCCGTTGGTGATGGAGTGGATTTCCTCCGCGGGCTGGACGAGACGGAACGTCAGCGTAAGTTTGCGTTGCATGGACTATTGCCCCCTGAAGGCTACTACTGGAACGGGGAAACTGACAGGTCACAGTGTTCCGAGCGGCTCACGACCGGGCGAAAGAGATGCGAGTGTGGTCTGGGGAGGCGAAGAAGAAATGATAGGTGCGGTGGCGCGGACACGGGCTGAGCTGTGCTCGTCCCAAGAGGTCCAAGTACTACTGCTACAAGTAGTACACATTACCATTAGTCGCAAAACGAAGTTGCCTCCCACAATAGGGGCAGTGGATCTATCAAGCGAACCTTGTCTGAATGAATTAATGACGATCACCGAAGGATTTTATCCTATCTCTACATACTGAAATTGCTGGTTGTCCTACTGCCGTGGGTTGGTACATATTCGAATAACGGACCGGTGCTAGACTCGGTTAAAAGAATGGATGATTGGAGTTCCATCACATCCTCATCACATTTGACGGCAGTTGGCGTATCGCGTTTGTGACAGGGCAGAAGTCGTACTTTGGCCGGTGGCACACGGTGGGGTGGGCCACGCGACGGCGTTGCTTTTTCTCCGGCGGTTCAAGGTTGACTTCGGTCCAAACTATATAGATACGATGTGGATATCCATTTCGTATACCTGAGTCTTAACTCGATAGTCGCATGTAACTACAGTATGTCGCACACCCGTACCTGAGGGTATCGTCAGCATTGGATGGTGGAGAAGTGACGCATTTCGCCGACCCGAGCGAGGGGATAGCTGAAACCCGACTCCACGGACGCCTTCCGATTGGGGCGCAGATGGGCTGGATGTCAGGGCGATCGCTCCGATCCTTCTAGCTGCTTGGGGTACAGCGGGGGCTGGGAATGAGGCAAAGTCAAAAAAGCTCATTCTTCCATTCCCGTCAGCGTGCGCATTCCGGTCGTCTCCCAGTACCGCAACAATCATGCGTGCTTCCTAATAACAACCGGGAAGCACCCGCTGTAATCACCAACGCTGCAGTTACCTGAGGGTACACTGCGCGAATGACTCCATCGACCACGGCACTGGCCTCGGATATACTCATCACAATCCCCTGTGATCCCTCACCTCGACACTCAATACCTCTCGCCCCTGCACTCGACTAGTGGCTCGAACCTTTCGACTGCCCCCACAGGTTCGGGCGAGCCCCTTCGGATTGCTTTTTGCACCCACTCCCCATCTGCTTCCCTCGCTTCCTGCAGACGGTTCTTCCCAACCTCAGGATCATCCAATACATTGTCTGGCGATCGCCCAATCGCGGCAGGGCGGCGACCATATCCGTGCCTCTAATTGTCCGATGCCAGTGGAGGACTCCACGCCGGGTATTGACTTTACTGAGCCCTGATTGCGCAGGACGCAGACGGCATCGCAAACGGGTGATCCGCATCGCATTAAAGCATGCACCGCGGCCATGGACGCCGCAAAGGACCAAAACCCACCGCGCAGCTCGGCCGCTCCCTCGCGGCAGTCGCAGCCCAGCGTATATCATTCTGAGACTGCCCCATCCGCCCGCAGTGCTTCCTCCACACGTCGCGCCAGCAGTAAGCCCCTTCCGTCTCATGTCTCTCGCAAAACAAAGCATTCATCAGGACTGACTCCCGACATTTTCGGCGCAGACCAGACAGACCGTCCGCAACATCCATCGCTCACTCGTGTCAAGGGCAGAATCAACATGAATACCCCACCACAGATGAGTCCTGAAAGGTCCTGGTTGAAGGACCAGTCGCCAGTGCGCCCTGGGACGGGCACACCCCCTCGATCAACAAGTAAGTACTGGTTCTACCCAATGTTGTCAATGATCCTGAGCGGGGTGGTGGGGAGAGCCGAACTGACTTTCGAACTCCCGATAGAAACCCCGGAAAGTGGTACGCCCACTTTGGTGAACCCGGCATCTAGTCTACTCCAAGATCTCTTGAAGGAACAACGCGCCCATCGCACCTCTCGCGGGCCCGCATCCGAAAATTGGGATGGCAGCCGTCCCAGGACGCCCGAGAACCGCAGAGTCCAGGAGGACACGGCATCGGAGAAATCGCAAAAACCGAAGGATGTGCTCGGGACTACATCTCGGGAACAGCCGAAGGAGATGGGCGTCCGAGAGATGGATCAGGTGGGTCCCTCGGTAGAACCGCTCGATCGATTAACACAAAACTGACCCCTGGTTCAGTACGTTTCGAAAATCACCAAGCTCAACTTCGACCTGAAGCTGGAAATCTTCCACCGCACCCAGCAGATGGGAACCATGGAGAAAAAACTGGCTCGGATGCAGGAGATGGAGGAGGAGCTGCAACAGATGCAGAAACTCGAAGAAGAAGTGGTGGAGCTGCGTGCAGTGAACAAGCACAATCGCAGTCTGCAGGAGTTGAATGATCAGCTTCGCGAGGAATTGCAGAAACGAGACCAAGCTGTCACCGAAGCGGTGCAGCTCATTTGCCAGCTGGAAGCCAAGGTTGATGCTTTGGAGATGGGCAGGCCTATTTCACAGATATCTCTCAGCCGACTGGTTCTGGACGGGCCTAATACAACCTCCCCAAAATCCAAAGCGGCCCTAGAGATTCCCGAGCGCACATCATCCAGGCGCGCTTCGTTGAAATCGCCTGATTCACGCACCCTCAATAAAGCTCCATCGTTCTTGCGCGCAGACAACAAAAGCACCGCTACCTTGCGCAGTCTTTATGCTCCAGAGGTGAACGAGTCTCACTCTGCTTTGAGTGAACTGACCACGTCGGAGAGCTATCACACCATGAACGAAATACTGGATTCAGAATCGCCGAGATTGAGCGTCCTGAGTGAGTGCAGCGAGTTGCAACCGTACGACACCCCTATCAAATGGGGTCAATTCGACCAGCTGGATCTTCCTGTTCGCAAGGCTCCACCATCCACGAGCACATTCGACAGCTATATCCCTCCGGCCGAGAAAGAGAAACAGAACAATGGCGAATCGATTGACCCGTGGACGGAGTCGGGGCCGGATATGTCGCAAACCATTATCAGACGACGCATGGATCGACCCTCGTCAGATGCCTCCAAGCTTCCCCCTGCTCCGTTCAACCTTTATTCAGCCAAGCCCGCAGGGCGCTCACGGCTGGACGAATCCGTCTTTGGTGGTGCGAGACTACCACCCACGCCGGATACTATGAGCACAGCTCATGTAGCCGGCCGCAACGGCTCGAACGGCAGCATGGCCGCCTCGGCGCGACGGAGCCCCAAAGCTCAGCAAGACCAGTGGGCCGTCGGTCGTCCCCTCGAACGTCATCGCTCGGCTGATGAACTTTCGACTCGGACTCGCCGCAGCTTCAATGGTAGCGACGTTACGGGCAGTATGCAGACCAACTGCAGCGACACTCCTCGTCTTGGAGTGCTGAGCCATGATGAATCGCCGACAATCTATCCGTTCAACACAGTTGCTTCGAAGGCCAGTGAACTTCTTGGCCCCGGTAGCCCCAACAATCCAGCCATGGAAACGTCCGGTGGCCATTTTCGTCGAAACAGCAGAGATAGCAAAGAAGCAGCAGCAGCAGCAGCAGCAGCCCCATCTGTGCCGCCCTACCAAACCCCTACCAAGACTGTCAGACAGGCGAAGTCAATGGAAAGCGAATCATCACCACCGTTGACGCCCCAGGAATGGATTGCTGCAGCAAAGCAAGGTCCTCGGTCTCGCAAGGAGCGCGCTCATGGTCTCCATATTGACCAGGACGAACGCGAAGATGAGCTACCTCATAATGTTATCAGCCAGGCGGCTTTTCATGACGATGGTAGTGTCGACTCATATCCCATGGAAACTGATGCCCCGGGCATTCCAACTCTGGATATGGCTACTCTGAACATACTTGAACAGCCGATCGCTGAGGCACCCGAGGTACCTGGACCTGTACCGAAGCCTGAGGCAGAGCAACGACGGCGCTTCAGCTTCCGTCCTGCTTTCCTGAATCCTGCGCATACTCCTCGACGCCTCCAACATCCATCTACTGCACCTGACTTGACGGATGAGGAGGACGAGGGTGCTCCGTCGCCCATCATCCCCAAAACGAGGAATATGGGAGGTGCAGCCCGGCGTCCTATGTCGCAGATCATCACCAACTCGGCCGAACTCTACTCTAACGTCCCTGCCCCAATTGCCCCAAGCGCAGGCTTCGTAAACGAAAACCATGTTCACAAGTCTTTCCATCAATCTTTGATGGAGACCCGTGAGGGACACGCAGCCCTTCCAAACGCATCGGCCACAATTGCTGGACGCCCAACGACATCGCATAGCGCGGACCACAAACGTCGCAGCTCCCTTGGCATTCTTGGATGGATGAAGGGCATGGGTGGCAAGCGCTTGGAGCATGGACCTTCTGATGTGGTCGACAAATTCCCTGAGTTTGTCAAGGATACGCGCCCTATCTCGCGCCTCACGCACGAGAGCAGTCGGTTCACATTGGGTCGGCCTGGGACCCCGGAATCAATGGATGCACCCGTTGTCCGTCCCCGGTCAGAGTTGACCTCACACTCTGACGATCAATCTCGTCGGCCGCGCTACATGGGCCGCCGTGCTCGCAGAGCTTAATTGTCGACAAACATTCTGACGCTGCCTCATTGCCCTCGTCCCCACTTTGTATTTCTATGATACCCACCTTTCATACGAGGCAGCGTCGGGAATTTGACTATCGACTCAAGGGCCTAGCCCTCCTTTCCAAACTCAGTGAACAGGAACAAGTGATGGCTTTGTACACTTTCATTTATTGTAACGAAGTGCCATGATTCCGAAAACTTTCTGCTGGCCGGGAAGAACTGATTTAGCAAATGGGTTATGGGAATGTCTAAACTGCATATTTAGCGAACCAAGGGGGTGGGTGTTGGTTACGTGCTAGTTTTTGAATGTATTCTCAGAGTTTTTCTTTGAACATCTCAGTTTGCTTTTCAATCAGAATTACCCAGGCTTTAGCTTGCCCTCACAAAACCTCCAAGGGAAAGAAAGACTCCATATCGACGAGTTCAAGTATGCATCCTCTATCATCATTGCGCCTTGTTTCTCTTTCTCCTTTTATATCCGTTGCTAAAGTCCATAACTTTTTGGCATCCTGGCCAACTTCTCACCCGTAACTCCATTAATCACCTTTCATCATCAAAACGCCAAATCGCAAAAACCACAAAACAATCACATAATACACGAATTGAAAAAAATCAGAACCGCTTCGCAGGAGAGTGTAAGAAGCTTCAGTCTTTACTGCTAGTACCAACTATTTCCTTTCTCACCCAACTTTTTCTTTTGAGGATTGAGAGAGATTACTCGTTGGCCAGGAAGCGCATCGGCAGTGAAAGCGGCCTCGAAAATACTCGCGATCCCACGTTTTGCATAGTGCGGATGGTGGAATGCATCGTAGTCGTCGCGTAGTCCATTGATAGCACCCCACTCCGGAACATGGGGACTTGTGCCATCGCCCAAATCAGTCCAGCGTGTCACGACAATAGCCTGCTTAAACATGACACTGCGCGGGTCACTGCGGTCCTCGGAAAGTTTTACCTCGATGAGATATTCTGTTGGACACTCGGGACAGCGACGCATGGGCCGACAGAATCCGCAAAGGGTCGTTAGGGAATTCGGGTCGAAGTGCTGCCCCTTCCACCGATCCTTGACTTTATGCTCCACTCCCTGGAGGCCACCCGTTTGCCTCGGGCTGGGGATATGACCGAGCGCACACTTGCAGGCGGGCATTAGTTCGCCGTCGCGCCAGTGCGCACAGGCGGAGAAGTAGGGCCAGTAGTCGTCACGAGAGAAAAGAAGTAGTCGCTGTGACGATGGCGGGAGATCTGGTGCCGCGAAAGTCTGACTGGTAACTTTCATCAAGAGTCGGCCATCATGGATGTGAAAGCGTGAGCTAAATGACCACCCGTCTCGTTGCCAGCGCCGACCCATATCCTCCGCGGGAATACCGTATTTCGGACCGAATCTTCGCGAGCGCATCACGAGCTGAACAAATGAAAATGGAAGCATCCTGCCCTGGGTGATGCGATGTCGTGGTGGCGGGTTCAACGCGTTATACGCATTGGCACAGTTGAATAGCGGGTTGATAACATGCGAGGGCTTGATACGTTCCTGGCCCTCCTGCGTGCGCCGATGGTATCGTGCGCATGGGAAACAGAGCAAGTGGTGCGGAAGCGATTGATCAATCCGTATCAGAAACTCAAGCTTATGCTCGTAGTTCTGCGTCGCATCCAGAGCCAGGAAATACCTCGGTCCCAAACGACGGTACAGCGTAATCGTCGCAATCGCCAAGCTCGCCGCATCAGCAGGATTCAGATACCAAGCAATTCGAGCCCACAGCCTCGGCGGCAACTTCATTATATCCCCCTCCCCGGGTTCCCGATGCTCATTATTCTCCCCCGCAGGCCCGTACCCATCGTCCGGATCCAACAAGCCCAACGAGTGAATGATAGTAGTATAGTCGCGGCGTTCACCCAATTGCGTATCGACATTCGCGTGCATCTGCTTATACTTCTCACGATGCGCCTGCAAAGGTGCGAGATCCGGCATCGGAGGCGGTTCGTCGACGCTGGGACGTGCGGCCAGCCGCAGGTCGGTCGTCGATCGACTGCCCTTCCGGAGGGTTTGACGGGATTTCTTGGGGCGCAGCGCATTGGCGAACATGGACCGGAAGCCCTGCTTCTGTCCCGGGCTGTCGGCCGACATGGTGGGTGGTGAACTGGGGGTTGCGGTGTCTGTGGCTTCGAGGATGGCCCTGCTGGGCGATCATGAAGACCCTTGGTGACGCGCTTACGTGACGGCCCGCATCGGCCCGGTCGAGCCACATCTGTGGCTGTTCTATATATAGTGGAGCTGGGAGTGCTCTTTTATGTTTGTATTGCTGTCAATTCGTCTCATGGTTATTTACACTTTCTCTAGACTTCAGTTCGAAGTAATTGCTGGGGCTAGGCATGGTGCTTTAGAATTGGAAGAGTGGGGAACTGGACTATCGTCTACTAGTTCTACTACCTAGTCGTTCTGCACAACCTTTCAATATACACCATGGCAGCCGATAAAAATTCAGCTAATATCAGCACTACTACCAAAACAAAAGTCTTTTTAACTTTGGTGTATTGTGCAGTCTTTCATGTGGGACCGATAAAACGGTACTTGGCATACCTTATGCGGGGCTTTTCCATAGTTCGGTTCTCATCTCTTCCTAAATTAGGGTACGTAGATTGATCGCCTCAGTAAATTCCTTTCAAATAGATGTGAACTGAACGGTATGTTTACTATTAAGGGGACTTTTTCCCTTCAAGCCTTCGTGGTCCGGTTCATTGATTCCCATTGCGCCGAGCAAAGCATCTTCCGGACATCAATGATGCCTGCAAGGAATCCGCGGCCCCCCTCCCCCCCCTCCCCGGGCATTTTCACTTACTTTGACCCATAAATTCCCAAGTTCTCCAGATGAGGCCCCGCCCCAGACTAAACCAAACACCTTTTTTACTTCTCTTGCAATAGCACCGCAAGATGTCATCGAATAGTCCAATCGTCCCGTTCTCGTAACCTCGGTTTCTGGGGCCGTGACTGATCTCCCCGAGAACCTCCCAGAAGCAGCTCGGAATGCGGACACAGAATTTATTGTTGACGACTGGATGTCGGAGTACAACATGGCTATTCACGGAAGTAGCAAGGTTGACAATGCCAAGAATCACGATGCCGAAGCCGCCTATGAGCACACTTTCATTTGAGACACTTGTACCAGCTTTTTCAGATCTAGCCCGGTGGGGTATCAAGATGGCAGTCAATGCAAGTCTTCCGACACCAAGAAGCTATACAGCCGTGGAAGCGCTGGTCCAATCGAAAAGACTAGACCTAACTGTCGCCTGGGTTCAAGGCGAAGAGGTGTTGGACTTGGTTCAGAGATGCCAGCAATCTGTCGTCGACTTCCAGAATATAATTACTGGCCAGTTTCTGAGCGAGTGCGAGTTCGAACCTATTTACACACAATGCTATCTTGGATCTTGGGGTATCTGTGAACCCTGAGACATGGCGCTGATATTGTGATTTGTGGTCGCGTGGCAGATGCTTCGTCGACGATGGCGGCAACTGCATACTGACATGGAAGGCAAGTTACTTCCCTAAACAACTTCCGCATAGCCTCATTGGGGGTCGTCTCATTGAATGCTCAACATACGTCACTGGTGGAATCCATACAGTATCCAAGTCGTTTCCCATGGGTATTTGACCTCTTCTCAATTTTCCTATTGCAACGATTCTACACGATGGTCCATTTCTGATCGAAATGCACGAGGTTCCCGGCCGCAATGGCCAAGTCACGATTGAAAAATGCAGATCTCAACTCCTCTATGGGATTCAGGGTAAAAGGTACTACAACTCCGATGTCGTTGCCATCATCGATCAGATCCAATTCGAGTTGACAGCACCCAACGCTGTCTATGTTCACAATATCAAATGGGATAAACCACCCGCGGCTACTAAAGTGGGCATTACGGCCAAAGGTGGCTTTCAAGCAGAAGTCCACTACTTTGCAGTGGGCTTGGATATCGAAGAAAAAGCCGCTTTGCCTGAGCGTCAGCTTCAATACTATCTTGATGATTGCCCGCTTCTCCCAGTTCAATCAAAGTCACCGTCTCAGGCTGTGCCAAATCCAAACCGGCACCTCAAGACGAAGCTACTGTCGACATTCGAATCTTTTCCCAGGCGAAAAACGAAGACGATTTATCACCAAACAAGTTCCTACGCCCCTGCTGGAACCTAATCCTGTTTACCTATCCGGTATGAGCAGAAACACTGCATGGTATTAATCGAATTTAGTACACATGCTAAAATACATGATATAGTCGAGGTATCTTAGGTTGCGTAGAAACTATTGTGTACATCCGTTTAAGCGAAGCGCTTCTCGGCGGCCTTCCAGTTGATAACCTCCCAGATGGCCTTGAAGTACTCGGCCTTGCGGTTCTGGTAGTCGAGGCTAGAGAGATAGTCAGTAAGCTGGTCTCAGACTTGGGGGACAAGAGGTTCTTACTAGTAGGCGTGCTCCCAGGCGTCAATACCCAGAAGGGGCTGGTACTGGCCAACAACCGGGTCCTGGTTCTGTTCAAAGTGTCAGTAGCTGAAAATCATTGTCATAATGACTTTCGCGCTGAGTTTGCCATCACTTACGGCGTAGGTGCGGATGCTGATCTGGCCGGTCTGCTGGTCCTTGACGAGCCAAGCCCAGCCACTGCCCTGGATTCCGGCGAGAGCAGTGTTCATCTTGTTCTGGAACTCGCTGAGACTACCATAGGTGCTGTCGATGGCCTGGGCCAGGGCACCAGAGGGTGCCTCACCACCACCGGCGCTCTTGGGAGCAAGGTTCTCCCAGAAGAGGGTGTGGTTGAGGTGACCACCACCGTTGAAGTTGATGGCGGGCTTCAGAGCGATCTGGGCAGAGATATCGCCCTTGTGCTGAGCCTCTTGGAGCTGCTCAATAGCGTTGTTGTAGTTGGTGACATAGGTGTTGTGATGGTTCTTGTGGTGGAGCTCCATGATTTTGCCGGAGATCGACGGCTCAAGGGCACCATAGTCGTCTAAGAATTATGTTAGTGTCTCGTTGCTCCTCGTGAGATGTACTTGACTTTGAGAACAGACATCCCGGGGTAACCGGGGCCAGCTCGACTTACAGGAGAGGTCGGGCAGAGTAGCTTTGCCGCGGGCAAAGGTCATGCCCGCAGCGCCAGACTTGAAGGAAGCCGAAGCTCCCGAGCGGAGAGCAACGCGGGCAGAGCTGGAGAAGAGAGCAGCAGCCATTGTGGAATGTAGGTGTCTTTAGTTGGGGTGAGGGAAGAGTATACAGGGGATGTTCAATTGAAGTGAAAAAGAATGGGTAAGAGAGGGAGACCCAGAGCTATGAAGTAACCGAGCTTAACGTCATCTTGTTTTCGTCGGTCGGCCATGAGTTTCTCCGACCCGCCGTCTCCACGTGAATTTCACGAAGCTTTACAAGCTCCGCGACTACAAGATCATTTACCCCCCACAGCCTTCAATTTGCGGCGCAAGCGTGAAGCCATGGAGTCGCCTTCGCCTCTATATTCCGGCCAAAAGCGCAAAGTCGACGACATGACCTCCTCAAACGAAGAAGACGCGCGCCCGACCACCGGCTTCCGTGGTTTCGCCCGAGCCCGCGATCGCTCTGAATCACCTCCTACAATGGCCGGTCTAGGTAGCGGCTCTCGCAAGCCTTGGGGCCAAACGGCTAATTCAGCAGCTGCACCACCCCGAGGCGGGATGGCCGGTCGCGGTGGAAAGCTCGCGGGAGGCAACTCGTTTGCTGCGAGAATGATGGCAAAAATGGGCTATAAAGAAGGGCAGGGTCTTGGATCTAGTGGCCAGGGTATCGTCAAACCTATTGAAGCCCAGGCACGTCCGACAGGAGCCGGTCTCGGTGCGGTTCGCGAGAAGACCAAACAAACGCGCGATGAAGAGAAACGAGAAGCTGCGCGCCGCGGCGAGACGATCGAAGATAGCTCGGACGAAGAGAAGCGACAGCGCCGAAAGAAGAAGACAGAACGCAAAACAGAGAGTCGCAGCGGAACGGGCACTCCAGTCGCACGCGCCAAGCCTAAATACCGGACAGCACGAGAGATCGAGACCGATATGGAAGGATTGGAGGTGCCGAATGTCCTCAAATTTCTTGTTGATGCCACGGGCAAGGAACAACGAGTGTTGACATCGACAGCTGGCTTGATGAGCTCACAACAGTTCGTGACTCAGGAAGAGGGAGAGGCCTTGAAAATTGCACGACGTGCTCGGACGGACCTGGAAGCTTTCGCGGATGAATGGAAGGGCTTGACCGAACGGAAAAAGTTCGTTGAGATCGAAGAGACACAAATTATTGACGAACTGGATTCGTACCAGGCCCGAGTCGACCGTCTTACCGGGTTGGTTGCTGCCGTTCAGAAGTTGGACATCTTTGAACACAATGAAAACATCACGTCCAAGTTCGATGAGATGACTGAAAAGCTTGAGGCCATGGAGTTGAAGTATCGCGACGTCATTGATGAATATCGACTGGCAGAAACTGCCGTGGCTGCAATTCACCCTCTCTTCCGGCAGGCTATGGAGGAGTGGGAGCCTCTTCAAAATCCTACATTCCTTGTCTCCAATATCAGTCGCCTCCAGCCGCTCCTTTCTCGCCGGAACGAGAAAGACGAAATCCGACAGCGACAATCTACATCACCTTACGAAACGATGATATATTCATTATGGTTACCGCGCGTGCGCTCAGCACTGATGAATGACTGGGACGTTCATGACCCTTCAGCTGCAACAAACCTGGTTGTGGCCTGGAAAGCGATTGTCCCACCATTCGCATTTGCAAATCTTCTCGACCAGTCTGTTGTACCGAAGCTCAGCGGCGCCTTGAAAGAATGGAAGCCCCGAAGCAGTCGACGACACGCCTCCGAGCATGACGGTCATTTCCCATGGTGGCTATTCACTTGGTTACAATACCTGGATGACCGACACACCAACCCTAGGCAACCGACAGGTCTCATGTCGGATGCCAAGCGCAAGTTCCGCGTGGTTTTGGATTCCTGGAGCCTGCGCCGGGGCCTGGTGAATGGCATCGAGCTGTGGCGAGATGCATTAGGGTCGGAGTTTGACGTATGCTTGCGCAATCACCTGCTTCCGCGCCTTGCACGTCATCTCCGCGAAGACTTCGTTGTAAATCCGCAAGATCAAGATTTGACAGCATTAGAGGACGTCCTACGTTGGAAGGACTTCTTCAAGCCCCAGGTGATGGGAATGCTATTAGTGTCCGACTTCTTCCCCAAGTGGCACGAAATCCTATATATATGGCTCACCAATGACCCTAACCATGAGGAAGTCGGCGAGTGGTTTTCGTGGTGGCAGACTCAGATCCCGGCGGAGATCAACGAGCTCACGATGGTTGAGGACGAGTGGAACAAGGGTCTGCAGACTATGGATCACGCCTTGAACCTCGGAGATCGCGCCGCGGCCGAGTTACCGCGCCCCGAGCTCCCGACGCAATCATCGCTTCCCACCCGACAGGATGCTGTGGCTGAGGCAACCGCAGCAGCAGCAGCAGCATCAACCACCGCCCCCTCTCATGTCAAGTCCCGGGCCGTCAACGAAGAACCCTCGTTCAAAGATATTGTGGAGAGCTGGTGTATGGAGCAGGGTCTCATCATCTTGCCGCTCCGCGAAGCACACGCGCAGACCGGCCAGCCGCTCTTCCGCATCACCGCAAGCGCCACCGGCAAAGGCGGCGTGGTCGCATACTTGCAAGGCGACGTGGTGTGGGTTCAGAACAAGAAAGCCAAGGAGCTTTGGGAACCGATGGGCTTGGAGGATCAGTTGGTCGGGCGTGCCGAGGGCCGATAGGGCCTCCCACCCACCGCATCGAATACAGTTCATATTTTATGTTTAGATGGCTAGAGTTTGATTACGACGATATACCCAAAATTGCATCACCCCATTCATGCATCCGCATCTGGCAGTCCTTGGAGACCCTACCTGACAATAGTGTACCCCAAAGCACATACTACTGTACAATAGGTACACACACTGCTGCGCGGTGACGTGGACCTCGTTTTCCCTGCAACAGGCTGAGGCGACCCACCTAGGCACCTTTTCGACCCACCGCCAGTCTGGGGGCCAATTTATTATTGTATCGTCTCATCGCTCATCCCGCCATGCCAATCTTACCAAAAGTGTCAAAAAGTGCGAATAACTTTGATTACATGGTTTGTCTCATCACCCACAGTGAAACGGGCACCACCTCGGTTATATTGCCATCACTTTTGAAAGGGCCGGGATCTATACTGGGTTCATACAAGAAACCTGCCCGGGCGTCATTGCCTCTCAACGCAAGCCAAGAGCTCCCAAGAAGCTCCAAGAAGCAAGTCAGCTCAAGTCGCCATTTCCCGATCGTCATGCTGTTTCCTTGTTTTGTGCTACGCTGGGCTTTGCAGCTCAACCAGTGACCCTGCGGCTCCTCGTCTCCGGTTCCCCAACTTTCTTGGCACAGGGGCTGCCTGCTGGCTCCTCTGGGGGCCACGATGTCGTTATTGGTCGCCTGAGTCGATCCAAGTCCTGCTGGAGGCGATGCAACCCCCACCGAGGGCGCGGTGTACAAATCATGTTTGGGCCTCAGTGCCGGCCGGAGCACACGCTTTAGAAAATGTATGGGGCTTGATTAATTTTAGATAATTCAGCCTTGAGTAAACTCTCGGCAGCGAGCTGGCATTTGACAATATATAAGAGCCTTGCATCACGCAGCAGCAGCCCCAACTCTTCCCCTACAGGTTTCTGAGCTTCTGAAGAGGGAAAAAAAAACCCTCACTCTATCCGAGTCCACCCCACTATCATCAGCCCTACAGCCATAATGCAAGCAAAGACACTCGCTGCTCTCCTCTTCGCCAGCCTGGCCACGGCAGCCCCACAAGATTCCGACGCCACTTTGGTAGGAACAAACACCGGTGACTCTGGCGATGCGGTGCTAGGCATCCCGACCAAGGTTGCGAGCGAGTTGTACTCGGCTCTGCCCACCTCCGACCAGAATGAGCTGAGGACCAACCCGGCCGCCATCTCCTCTATCTGGAACGAATACGCAACCAACACCGAGTGGCTCTCCAGCCTGCCCTCGGATGCGCAGAGCTGGGCCAGCGACGCTAAGTCCTCGGCATCGGAGTGGCTCTCTTCTTCTGGCTTGGGAACTGCCTCGGCCACGACCACCTCTACCGATACCACGACCTTGATAGGCTCTTCTGCCACATCTACCAACCCTAGCTCCAGCTCCGGTTCTAGCTCTGGCTCCAGCTCCGGTAGCTCCACCGCGAGCACCACGGACTCGTCTGAGAGTGGTTCTTCTACTACTGCCAGCGAGAGTGCTAGCGGTACTGGTGGTAGCGAGACCTCGACCGCAGGCGCCCCGGCCGCTACTGGTGGTATCGCGTTCAGCCTGGCCGGAGCTGCTGGTGTTCTGGGTATCGCTCTTGCGCTGTAAGAAGGGACGAGGAGTGTATATCAGTTGATCGTCTCCGGTCCCGTCAGATCGTTTCACAACCTTGGAAGTTAAGGACTATATACCTGTCTAATCTGGGCGCTGTGCCTTGGGATAGTAGTTTCGGTCTCCTTTCTGTCCATGTTTGATCGGAGTTGGTCTCACTTCGCTGTATTTACGATTTTTCTTTTGGTGATTCCCCATGCATCAGTCTTACGATCACGACAATACATACGTATCTAGTATCCAAGGGTATTTCCGGGCTCCCACAGATCCCGACTGTTCATTGTTCTGTGTTTAATGATTGCGTAACGTTTCATGTTTCACCCGTAGACATTGCAGAAGCCGCTTTGTCTCGAGAATTCCGTGTTACAAGCCAACAAAACACCTGGTCTCGCGGGTAGCTACTCAGTTTTATGTAGTAAACAACCATCGGAGACGCCACTCAGGGAGGCCGAAAGGCGAAAATAAAGCCGACGCTAATGAACTGGCCGATGACCAATGGTCAGAGCGCCACCAGGACGATCATCCACTCTCTTCTAAGTCGACCACCCCCGTTACTAAGTACAAGCGACGTGGTCCACGACAAAGACATCCCAAGTGGACCGCCAAGGCGTGCTCGGCATATTCATCGATCCAGCGGAATCCGGAACCAGTAACTCCGAGCCCTACCACCATCTTAGTCAGCCGGCCTGGTGAGCGGATCTTGGAAGGTGACGCAGCCAAGTGGAGCCATCCCGGGGCGATCGCCCATTGCAGCCAACCAGAAACGCGGCAAAGGTCAGCAGCATCGAGTTCACCAATCGCGCGGGCTGGATTTGTCGTCGCCTGCTCGCAACGGCTGCCCGTCGGCGTCTCATTCGTCTTTGCTTCTTTCCAACGGAGTCGTAGCGTTCGGCCTGATCGCGGACGCTGACCTTTGACTGCGCTGTCATTGGTGCTGCGCCCATCAAGACGCCTGCATCTCCATTTTTTTTCGCCGGCTTCGATTGCGCTAGACGATGGAGTCTAGCATTTTTTTCCAGAGTGAATGAGAGCCGGTGAGGCGGCCAGGCGGCGCGTAGAGAGTTATAAGGGACGTGCGTGGTCTTCTGGAATTGTCAGATCAGCAAGAATTACTTTGCTTTTGCAGATACATCGACTTCTCTGTACTTCGTCAGATGCATTGTTCCTTTGTTGTTCTCTCCATCATCCCGAGACGGGTTCCACGACTCCATTGAAGCCTGCTTTTTAGGCAAACCTCCCTCTCCCCTTTTATCTTTGCTCGGTGCCTCTTGTCTTCTTCCATCTTCCTCTCAATTTCCCCCTGGCATTACACCTGCCTTCGTGTAAACGGACCTTGACGTCAGATACACTTGCCACACACCCTGCATCGACGTGTATTGCGTGATAATCTGTCGAGCTTGGCCGCGACTCTATCATCTCCGAGCGGCCCTCAGGACTGGAACGCGTCCCCAATCAAGACTGAAGAAGCCGGAAACGATCAATCAACAGTTCCGGCATCATGGCTCTTCTCTTCCTCAAGCAGAAGCTGTTCCCCACACAGCAATCCAACAAGCTCTCCAGTACGTCTTCCCCCGCAATTGTACTTGCTTTTCAAAAGCAACAGCACAACGGTTAGTTACTGACCCAGTTCTGTAAAGATAAACCCCTCCTCGCCCGCACCGATGACGACGATACCCTCCGCGGCGGCGACTCAGATCAGGACATTGAATCGCAACGCTCATACGACACTTTTGGCCGATGCATCAGCCGTGACGATTCCACCCACAGCGGTGGCAGCAACAGCAGCTCTCGGTCGCGCGTCGACCCGCGCATCATCTCCGATGCCATTCTCGGTCTTTCCGACGGCTTGACCGTGCCTTTTGCTCTGAGTGCGGGTCTTTCTGCGCTGGGCAATACCAAGGTTGTTGTGTTGGGTGGTCTCGCTGAATTGGCTGCGGGTGCAATCTCCATGGGACTTGGTGGATATGTGGGAGCAAAGAGTGAAGCGTAAGTTTATTTAAAGAATGACCCCGTGCCTATATCATATGATATCGTATGATATAGTGGTTGTGCAGTTACTGACGAGGATCCCCTGCAGCGAATCATATCAAGCCACAGTCCGCGAAACACAGGCGCTAATCAAGTCTGATTCACAAGAGACCCAAGCCATGGTGCGCGAGACTTTTGCTCCCTACGGCCTGTCGTTGACAGCCATCGAAGACATCACACGGGACCTGCATGTTTCGCAGGATCGATTGCTCGAGTTCTTGCTGGCTTTCCACCACCGTGAATCGGAGCCCGACTGCAACCAGGCCTGGATCTCGGCTCTCACCTTAGCTCTGGGTTACTTTGTTGGTGGATTCATCCCGCTAATCCCGTACTTCATTGTGTCGCAAGTCATTACCGCCTTGTACTGGAGTATCGGTGTGATGGGTGTGACCCTGTTTGTTTTCGGATACATCAAGACTTGCGTTGTCCGTGGATGGCGCGGACACGACAATATCGTTGCTGGTATCTGGGGTGGTGTGCAGATGTGCTTCGTCGGTGGTGTTGCTGCCGGCGCAGCGATTGCTCTGGTGCGCCTGATTGACACGGGTAATGTTTAATAAAGCATTTCTGCGTGGGATTTGAATAACATTTAAGCGACTGATTATTGCATGTGACGGGTGTGCCAAAAAGCATCCTGGCGTTTGTGGCTTCTCTACTCATAATGACCTCGACTACGATTCTCATCTGCGAGCATTTCTCAAGTGTTCCATCAATTAAGACATAATTTTATTTTATTGTTCACATTATAGACTGTGCACACATTGTTAGGATATTTTCAATAGTATCAGCGGAGACTTTACTCCATCACACAAAGTTTGCTCGCAAAAATCGCAGTCTTTTCCACCCAAGCCGCGATCATTATATCAAATCACCTCGCCAGTGCCTTCTGAACCAGTGTCTTCGCCCGCTCCGACAGCTGGATCTTGAGAGCCTCCTCGCGACCAGCGGGAGACATCTTGCCCCAAGTCTTGCGAAGGATATCGATCGTCTTCTCCTCATCATCAAGGTCCTTCTCAAACTTATCAAAGTGGTCATCCAGAAAAACCAGACAAGCCACATCCTCCAATGTCTGCGTATCCGGGTCCCCAGCTTTCAAGCCCGTCTTGCGCACCAGGGCTGCAACACGGTCCGCCTCCTCTTCTCCATATCCACTCTCAACACAAATCTCCTTTACCAAATCAGCCTGTCGTCGCTGCTGTCCCGCGCGCCAGGAGTGATACCCGATCTTGGTGGCGGGGTAAGAGCTGCGCGGGACCTCCCAGCGGCGGAGGTGCTGGGCGCGAATAGCGAGGCGGAGAAGCTCGGAGGCAGACGGGTTGAGTCGTTCGAGGTAGAATGTCATTTTTTGGGCGTAGTGGAGCTCGTAGGGGATTGTGGTATCGGCGATGGTAATTGTGTTCGAGTCGTCTCTGTGCGCATCGTCGATGCGCGCGAGGGCGCGGTCGTAGGACGTCATAATTAAGAAAAACCGTAATGCTTTGCTGTAAGGATATACAACTGATTCAACTGAGCTGGGAGAGGTGTGTCTTACCTAGGAAGCTCTGGTGGAAGGTCGAGAGGAATGGAGAATCGAGTCAAATGCGGAGTGACGCTGCGATTCGCCGATAACCTTTTGCCAGCAAGCGGGCGGCGACGAGTAACCCGCCCCCGCTGATTGGCTCTGCCGAAGTATACCACCAGAGGACATATCCATGCTGCTTCCTAGGGGATGCTGACCCCAGGAGCGAGAGCTTTTGTTGCTTTTCCGGGGTAAGCCCCTGCTCAGCAAAATACACCATTCTCAGACGGAGGAATCACACAAAAAACGCCTCCAGTTGATGCAGCAAGTTTGTCGCCGCCAAGATATTGGCACAACTCAGCCATCCTTGGCGTCGACTCCCGAAGTGAGTCAGTTTTATCTGATGAGATTATCTGATCCTTTCGTTGTTGATCTCAGCGAGATCCAGGCAAGCTTTTGGTTTTCTCCTCCAAGGGGTTTGAAGATTTTGCCCAAGATGGAGGCCGATCCGTTCAACCTCCAGCAATACAAAGCCGAAATCTCGCAAAAGAAGAACTGGCTTCCCCTCCCCACTCAACCAAACGAAAAGCTCAACAATTTCTACATTGACCAAAACGAACTCATTGACGGCTTCCTCTCCAGCGGTGATGAGGAGCGCCAGAAGGCCCTGGACACAGCCAAGAATGGCGGCAAGGTAAAGCTAGCCGTGCGAGCCAGTTTCGTCGTCAACCTCTGTCTCTTCGTCATCCAGCTCTATGCAGCTATCTCGACCGGCTCCCTTGCCCTCTTCGCCACTGCTGCTGATGCCTTCATGGACCTCGTTTCCTCCATCGTGATGCTCATTACCTCCCGTATGTCCACTCGTCCGAAACCATACAAATACCCAGTCGGTCGTCGTCGTATCGAGACAATGGGCATCATAATGTTCTGTGCATTGATGACGGTGGTTGCCGTGGAGTTGATTATCGAGTCAGCCAAGTCATTGGCGGCAGGAAAAACGGAGTCCAGCGAGCTTCAACTCATCCCGCTGATCTGTGTTGGCGTTGCGATCTTCTCCAAGTTTTGCCTGTTTCTGTACTGCTTCAGTCTGCGTCGGTATCCGGCCGCACGGATCTTCTATATCGATCATCGCAATGACCTTGCAGTCAACGGGTTCGGTCTTCTCATGTCGGTAGTTGGTAGCCGGCTAGTGTGGTACCTAGATCCTGTCGGTGCTTGCTGCATTGCGCTGCTCATTCTGTTCTCGTGGGTTTCGACGGCATTCGAGCACATGTGGCTTATTGTCGGAAAATGTGCCCCGAGGGAGTTTGTGAACAAGTGCATCTATGTTACACTCACACACGATCAGCGGATTCAGAAGGTGGACACGGTGAGTTATTTCTTCTCTGTCAACGAGACAATGGATATCGACCTGACAATCCCAGTGCCGGGCATATCATTCGGGCCAACAGCTATATGTAGAGGTTGACATTGTCATGGATCCGGAGACTAAATTACGCGAGTCACACGATGTTAGTCAGGCATTGCAGCGCAAGCTGGAGGGACTTGCTGATGTTGAGCGGGCATTCGTACACGTGGACTATGATTATTCTCATGATGTCCACGAAGAACATCGACCTCTGTATGATCCTGATGGCACAGGATCCTCGATCAGGGAGCTGGTAAAGAGGTTATGGACTCGGCGCGATGATAAAGAAGAAGAAAATGCTGTGTAAATAACGAAGACCTATCAGATTGGAGCATTGATGTATTCGGGCAGGGTGTGACAGGCGACAGCGGTGAGGATGCATCACCACTAATACCTTAGGGTACCCCTTGACGGGACGAGCTTGCAGGATAATAAGATTTTTAGACCTGCATTACTCTGCATAAGTCCTTCGAAGTACCGACATCGACTGATTGTTAAGGTCTTGTTTTGTTAACTGTGCCAAGAAGGGTGCAGCACTCCCCTCCTGCTATAAGCGTGCTCATTCCTCCAATTTGGATGATGATCTTTTAGCTGATCTAGTTCATCCCGTCAGAATGGAGCAAAATGTTGCCCTCGAGAGGGGAATCCAGACCAGTTATTCGTCCGCTGTGGATCCCCTCGACCTGTCAAGCAAACTGCAATTTTCTCCAGATACCCAACACGCCGAGGGCAACACTCATGGTCAGATTTTGAAGCCGGAGAACATGACCACAATCCGACACATGCCTGGTGAACATATTCATCAATGCATACACAGAACACTTCTGCTAACATCAAGTACTAGTTTCCATCACCCAAGGGCGACACGATATGGTTTTTCCACCACAAACTGCGAGGGAACTACACCGGTCCTTGCCCAGATCAGGATTGATATGGATCTCCGATGCTGGCCATAGTGCGAAGGTAAGAAGCCATCATCTGTGACAGACTCATTTCTCAGGGGAAAAACTAGAAAATTCTAGGAACCTGGGACACGAGTCGAGTTGCTTCAAGCGTGTGATGACTACGCCAGCCTCTAGGTCTCTAGCAGTTGCTGAATGAGCAACGGGCTTCAGGATTCAGTGTCAAGATTGAATTTGCAAATAATCGTCCAGATCATCTCCTAGGCACTATCTGATATGAAAAATCAAAGAACTTTAGCAGGTCGTGACTCATGATGCCAAAGGTACTGGCAGATAGAAAACAGAAAAGCACGAGTGGCACGCCAGGCCCTCTTACTCCTTCTCCATCGACTCCGACGGTCGTGAGGAATTGCCAGCTGCCTGAGAATCCTCTTCACCCATCTGGGGTGTTCCTGTCGTGTTTTCATTCTGGGTTTCATTCTGGGACGCCTCTCTCTTGGGCTTGGTATCTTCAGGAACAATATCACCGTCCCTATCCGTAGTAGTTGTCTCACCACTCGCCTTCGGCTCGCCGATGGACGTAGAAGCAGAAGCCTGTGGCTGAGCAGTAGATGTCTCATCGATGCCAGCATCCTGATTCTGCTCTTCGAGAGTCATCTCCACCCCTTTGCCATCCTGCAGGCCCAGGTCCTCGACGCCTACAACTGGTGGTCCACGGGCGTGGGGGACCTCATCGGAAGAATCTGCCGGTGGGGAAGTAGTTGTACCTGTACACTCCTCGCCCTCAGCCTGTGTTGCCGCAGGATCCGCGGCGTCTGGCACGCCAGTATCCATATCCTCTGCTGGCGCGGGTACAGGGTCCTCTGTACGAAGATGCATTAGGTTAAATGAGGCACACAAAGATCGCGAACGGTACGTACCATCTTCTAGTCCAGCAACGCTCTCGGCTCCGTAGGAACCAGCGGTTAACCACGGGATTGGTGTGAGAAGCGCACCACCCAGGGATTCATCGCTACCCAAGCTATTGGCATAGTCGGGGGTCAAATAGGTGCCCGCGCTATTGCTAGGTTGCACAAAACCATTCGATTGGGAACTGGTGTTTGCAGGTGTGGTGAAGGGGAAGATATCGGCGCTGCTTGTTACGGAGATGACGCGATCCACGGCGCGCAAATAGGCGGGTAGCGTTCGGTAGTGGGCAGTGGGGTGAAGGATAAGCTCTGCGAATCTCTGAATGGTGTGAGGAGGTTTCTGCATGAAGTGTGCCTGAATTGACGAGCGGATCGAGTTCAGCAGCAGCGCAAGCTGGGGAGGAAGGGAACCGTTGTCGTGAGAGGAAGATTGAGTTTGGGAGTCAGGCACGCGCTCGGTTGACGCAAGAGAATCAGCTGTTTCCTGGGACTGGGAAGTAGTTTGCGGGTCGCCAGGGGCTACATTCTCCTTGTGACTGCTCTCAAGAGGAGCAGTGTTCGCGTCGGTTTGTTGGGAAGTAGACTGAGGGTACGAAGGCCGATCGAAAGGTTGCGCGGGCACTTTGGGCATGGGGAACACCTCGAAGACGATCTAGACGCGATGGTCAGCAAATTCAAATTAGCAAGGTTGTCGCATACCCAGTACGTACGTGGTTGAGCCGTTCAAGCAGTGGTCCGGTCATAGCAGCCCATTTCTCGCTGAATTGAAGCATTAGTCTCGCGTGTCCAAGCACATCTCGATTCACGACCGACTGCACACATACAGGTCCATTGAGCCGCCATCGGCGACTGCCCTCAGAGCTTCCTCGTCTATCGCAACCATGTTAGCCTCGTCCACATCTTGAAAATCGATCGCACAACTTACCTAAAGACATTGCCGCGGTGCTTGGGAGCTTGACGCCGGCCGTGATGAAATGGCGAGCGTTGCTGGGGCGGTCGCAGTACAAGTGTTCGATTGGCTGCGGCTTCATCTTATCGATAGCGATCGTCCGGTTCCGCGCACGTGACTCCCTAATTTTCGGCGGGGCAACGCCGATGAGTCGCACCTCCACCTCCAGTTTCGACAGGTTGTTCCTGCAGCGCCTTGAATTCTCCTCGGACCGCTTCTTTCCCTTCTTTTCGACTTCATTTCAGCATGTGGAACTCTCCCAAGGTGGGAATCCTCGGCGGTGGCCAGTTGGGCCGCATGCTCGTGGAATCCGCAAACCGATTGAACATCCAGGCCAACGTCTTGGATGCCGAGAACTCCCCGGCCAAGCAGATCAGCTTTCACGACGGCCATGTGACGGGCTCTTTCAAGGAGCGTGAAGCGGTGCGCCAATTGGCCAAGTCCTGCGACGTTATAACAGCCGAAATCGAGCACGTTGATACCCATGCCCTCGAGGAGGTTGCCTCCGGGGTGCGCGTCGAGCCCAGCTGGCAGGCAATTCGCACCATTCAGAACAAGTTCAACCAGAAGGAACACCTGCGCAAATATGGCATTCCCATGGCGGACCACCGGGAATTGGTCAAGAACACACCCGAGGAATTGACCGAGGTCGGAGAACAATTGGGCTACCCGATGATGCTGAAGTCGAAGACCATGGCATACGATGGACGTGGTGGGTAGCGTCCGAAATTCCAAACCCTGTTATATCAAGGTTCTAATCATTGGCTTAGGCAACTTCCGCGTCAACTCTAAAGCAGATATCCCCGAGGCTCTCGAGGCTCTCAAGGACCGGCCCTTGTACGCGGAGAAGTGGGCTTATTTCAAGATGGTACGCATGATCCCAGACTAGAAAACTCGCATATTTCCACGGCCCTATACCTAATACCTGATTTTGTTTGCAGGAGCTAGCTGTCATGGTCATCAAGACCAAGGACGAAGTGCTGTCATACCCCACCGTGGAGACGGTTCAGGAGGACTCAATATGCAAGCTGGTCTATGCTCCGGCTCGTAATGTGTCGGAGGCTATCAACAAGGAGGCCCAGGCTCTTGCCCGCAAGGCCGTTTCTGCCTTCGAGGGCAAGGGTGCCTTTGGTGTGGAGATGTTCCTCTTGGAGGACAACAGTTTGATGCTGTGCGAGATTGCCAGCCGCATCCACAACTCCGGCCACTATACTATCGAGGGCTGCGCTCTGTCACAGTTTGACAGCCACATCCGTGCCATCATGGACCTCCCCATCCCCGCCAAGAGTCTGGAAATCCGCCAACCCTCCATCATGCTCAACATTATTGGCGGTGCGACCCCCGACTCTCACTTGAAGGCTGCCGAGCACGCGCTTTCGATCCCCAATGCCAGCATTCACCTGTATAGTAAGGGTGCTGCGAAGCCTGGGCGCAAGATGGGCCACGTGACTGTGACTGCTGCCACCATGCACGAGGCTGAGACCATGATTCAGCCTCTGATCGATGTTGTCGATGACATGCGCGCTCAGCGCACCGATATCAAGACTAAGGCTCAGAAATCTGGCCCATCGAAGCCCGCCCCTCAAGTGGCGGTTGTCATGGGCTCCGACAGTGACCTCAAGACCCTCGTCCCCGGACTGAAATTGCTGCAAAACTACTTTGGCATCGAGCCTGCCGTGGAGATCACTTCCGCCCATCGCACCCCTGATTACATGGCAGAGTACTCGGCCGAGGCTGCCTCTCGGGGAATTAAGGTAATCATTGCTGCCGCTGGTGGGGCCGCTCATCTCCCCGGTATGGCCGCTGCTCACACTGCTCTTCCCGTCATCGGAGTTCCTGTTAAGGGCAGCTCTCTGGATGGTGTGGACAGTCTCTACAGCATTGTCCAGATGCCTCGTGGTAAGCTCAGGATTCCTCCCTTGCTACGTTTCATGAATCACAGCTAATCAGCCGCGATAGGTGTTCCTGTCGCCACTGTCGGAATCAACAACAGCATCAACGCCGCGCTTCTCGCGGCCCGCATCCTTGGTTCTTTCGACCCGGCCATCCAGCGCAAGGTAGAGGCCTACGCCGAAGAGGCACGTGCCGAGAACATGGAGAAGAAGGGCACCAAGCTGCGCGAGCTGGGTTGGGAGAAGTATTTTGAGCAGATGTAAAAAAAAAAAAACCTGCTCATTGTATCCGGCTCGCTAAAAACTCAAAAAGGGATTTAGATATGGTCCATTTTTCATTTTGCACGAGATAAGACGCTCTGCACTCGCGTTGTATACCATGACACAGGGGGTGCTTTCTTTTAAACGAGATCCTAGACGACAATGAATGACATATTCCGAACTACACTACATCTGCATCAATTACATCATGACTCGATGACACCATTCACTATGCTAGAAGAGAACGGCACGAGACCATTGTACTACTCCGACGTTCGCTATCTCTATTTCTCCAGGCTGTCAAGCCGTTTGGAGATCAATTCAATTTTTTGGAGTCTTGCTTTGGACAAGATCTTCACTATTCCAGATGCGGGCATCTACCCCAGTCGGACTCCGACCGCGCGCCATGGTAGATGCTTCGACAGTGACCATCCCTACCGGATTCTGTCCGCCATGCGTTCCATAAGTTTCAGTCAACCGACTGACTTCCATCTATGGTTTCAGTTTCACAATATTGCGACGATGGGATTCGTGGTTGGTTTATCTATGGACCACAGTCAGCCGGGCCAATTAGTAAACGAGGCATAATTTATGGAAAACGCCCCTTATCTCGGAGCACAGATCAAGCGGCCGCTCATTGGTGGAACATGGCATCACTCAGTGCTTCACATGCACTGGGGAAGACGTGCAGAACCGTTCATTTTGTTGGGTGTTCGATTCACCGAGGGCGCCTTGAACATGTTGGGTTTGTACATGGAGTATAAACGCCTCGCCAGCAGCCTCAATGCTTGGAGTTTCCCAAAGTGTGCAGGCCGTTTTCGGGGCCCGAGCGATTAGCCTTTGGCCTGCCCAGAGGTTCCCCTCACGGCTGACCTATCGCCGGCCGCTGTCGGCTGGCCGCCCTCGCGCGGCTCCACTGGAGGGCTATCAGGGCCAATCATTGGGCCGATGGTTCTCCAGGCAAATCGACTATGGGTCGGCTATTATCTCGCCGCCACCTCCTGTAGGGTACCTTTTTTCGCCTCGTTACCTCCCTCGAGCCCCCAATGCTGACCTAGTTCTTCATATACACATACCCGGGTCCCCTACGCGCCCTTCTATGTGTATATGACACTAATCTATTCTATTCTGTCCTCTCTTCCGCTGTCTCTTGTCTATACTGCTATTGAATGGCCACGACCTTGATGAATCCTTTGTAATCTCCGAACCTCCGGCTCCGCTTCTCCCGCTCGACCACCGCAGAGAATGTGCTATGTCCAGCAGCGACTTCTTCGGCAGCAGCTTCGGCCTAGCCGAACGCTCGTTCACCGATAGTCTTGCCGAGCGCACGGCAGTAGCCTGCCTCGTTGCGATCGCCTGGTACAATGCGCTGGAGCTCGTCGTCCTGTGCTTTGCCACTTTCAAACGATATGGCGGGTGCTACTTTTGGTGTCTGCTCATCTCCTCCATCAGCATTATCCCTTTCGGACTGGGATACCTGCTTATCATCTTCAATATTTACGACAATATGTTTTCGGTGGTGATGGAGCTCATTGCGTGGGTGTGCATGGTGACGGGGCAATCGCTCGTCCTCTGGTCCCGATTGCATCTGGTCGTCCACAGCCCAACCGTCCTCCGCTGGACGCTCGCTATGATCATCGTCGATGCCATCGTATTCCACATTCCAGCGTCCGTCCTCGAAGTCGGGAGCCACACGAACAAATCCGCCCTTTTCACGGCCGGCTTCGATATCTTCGAACGCATCCAATTGGTGGCCTTCTCCATTCAAGAAGCCATCCTCTCTATAATATACTCATGGGAAGCAGTGCGACTGCTGAATCTCCGGCCGAGGGCTCACTTCCGATCCACCCTGGTTCAACTATTGGTGGTCAACCTGGCCATGATCTGTATGGACGCCGCGATTATCGGGGTACAGTACTCCGGTCTCTTCGACATCCACGTCACGCTCAAAGCCTTCGCCTACAGTGTGAAACTGAAATTGGAATACGCGATTTTGGGAAAGCTGGTCGATGTTACGACGGAAAAGTTCGGAAGCACCAACTCTGCTCCTACAGACCTGTCGGATTTCGTGGATCTCTCCTATAATCCCAATCAGCCACCGGCAGATAGCGACAGTCAGGCGCGAATCTGTGACACCCCAGAAAACATAATTCACCAACGCCCGCGCGGCTCGTCCAAGCAATCCTCGGACGCACGAGTGAGCTTGAGTGACACCCCCGATTCGATCAATGGGATACTACGATGATGGAATGACTGTATATAATATTTGACGATCTTGTAAATAACAGAATTCACACCTGTACATTGTATCTACGTATATTTGTCTTGTGATGTGCTGGGCTTGGAATGGCGTGGTGCTGTCATGGTGTTGCGGTACCAACCTCAATATGTACGACTACACGCAAAGCAGTATGTGTTCACAAGTGTTAGGGCTACCTTCTACAACGTCATTGAAGCTGCCATTTGATTATATGTGGCGATCATGGGAGATCGTACTTTGGTTTTGTGGTCCCCACTGCATAGCATATAATCCTCCAATGCAATGAACAGACCATGTTTGTAATGGGGCTTCGCTATGGAACAAAATGTCAATGCTCACAATATGAATATCAAATCTGGCACAAATGACCTCAAGAGGCTGACGCTTCATGTTACTTGAGCGTACACTAATTTAGTGTATTGTAGTGTAGCACCTGTGAGTGTAGTTTACAATCTGGGAAGGTGGGAAGGCGAGCCGGTGAATGTGAGTGAGCAGTACCACGCGGAGTATCGACTGATCAGTGTTGGATGAAGCTATGCTCGGTGGGTGAAGGTATCACATATCGGGCTTCTGGAATTTTCCCTATACCATTGATCGTCACGGGTGGCCTTATAAAGCCCCAATTCAAAATGGCATGGGCAATGCAGCGCGACTTCTGCAATCCTTTGGAGGTGGCTTCTATCCTGGTTTTCGATCGTCCAATTATTGACAATTGACAAGGGGACATTACCGGTGCTACTAGTAGTAGTAACCTTGCAAAGCTGGAGACCATGTAGTTGAAGTCTACTGGTACGCATGCAATGTATATATTTGTGCCATGACATTCTGGCCAGTCGGATGAGAGCAAATATTTCCCCCGCTTCTCATCGTCGGATGCCGCCGCACTTTTGACACGTCAAGATGCTGATACGAGCGCAAACAATATATCCGACTCAGATATCCATGCGAATTTCTAAAGATCCCAAAATCACCATTATCCTCTCATAGACTGGAACAGTCAACTGATATCAGCTCACCATGACCCGATCAGCACTCGCTCCATTGACGCCTACCCAGCTTGAAGAAGGTGCATCCAAATGCCTTGCTCTCCAGCAATCTGGCCAAGATCTCCACGGCAAAAGACCATTCGCCGCAATTCTGCTGGGCCCCGACAATGCGACACAGCTCATGTCATCGCTGTCGCTGTCACACGTGCGCCACGCGGAGTGTGAGCTCGCGCGCAATGCGGCCGACAACTACGACTGGGATTATCTTGCTGGGTGTACTATGGTGTCGACCTGGGAGCCATGTGCCATGTGCGCAGGGACGATTTACTGGGCGCATATCGGACGGCTGGTATATCTCGCGTCGGAAAAGACGCTGCAAGATATGATCGGGGCGGGTAACCCTGAGAATCTCACATTGGACCTACCTTGTCGCGAGGTCTTTGTGGCTGGGCAAACCAAGGTCGAAGTGATCGGGCCATTGAGCGACGAGGGCTGGGAAAATAGAGTGGTTGATGATGCGCGTCGGTACTGGTCGAAGTATGGTCAGTCCTGAGGGACCATCGCATGCTAGTCTGGTGCTAAAGAATACGGGCGAAGATTTTGGCGAACGGATGTTGTACAGAGATTGGAAGATGCGGACTGTATAATATATCCGCATGGACGAGCCAATAACCATTGAATCAACATTCGCGAAAACATTGGTCGCAGATCATGACAAATCAATAGTTGGCAAGGAGTTGCGAGGAGCGCTCCACTCGGGCAGGACTTTTGCTTCACGAAACCCACTATTGTTATTATGCTCTGATCCGATCGAACGGTCGAGGGACGATCTCTGAATGGGGTATCCGAAGAAAGGAGAGCTCTATTTCGCGTTGGGTCGGAGTACTCCACAGTGGGTAGCAGAAGCTTCCCTCACGCCCAACCCACATGGCAGAACCTTGGGGGACAAAAGATCGTAATTTGTTAAACAGGGAACACTTTATCAAGCTAGGAGGTTTTTGGCGATGAGCTCAGACGAAGAAAGCGCTGGCGTTGTATCTGCACAGCCCCATAGCCACACTTGAGGGGCCATCCGCTCAGGCGATCGAGCAGTCCTCGCTCCCTCACCACTAGTGCAAGGGGAGCATTCTGGCCAGACCCCAAGCTCTCCACTGGAGGTCCTGGGTGGCTGTGTAGACGAGCTCAGGAGTCGCGTGTTGCTGATCGCTCTCACAAGCACCCGCGTCCGAAATCAATAGTTTTTGCGAAGGGGGATGCAAGAGGGGGCAAGAGGGATCCCACCGACACAACTATCATTTCGAGTGAGTGCGCGTCTTGCATTGAAACGAAAAGAAATTTCCGAGCTCAGGTGGTGCCATGTCATCCTTCACAGCGCAGAATTGACGTCAAGCTGATGCGGAGGATCTCAGATCATTCTGGTTTCAGGACCACGCCCGGTCGAACCTGGCCGCGACCCACTCTGGACCGTGTGCCAAGAGAGAAGCTCGATCCGGAAGCTTTGCAGATCCGGACACTCATATGTGGCTTAAGCTGGGGGCACTAACAGCGACTAGTGGCGTGTGCGACTGGATCGTCATGATCCGGGAGCCTGGAAAACTGAGCAACCTTATGGACGGGGGTATCAGACTGCAGCTAAGCTCCTCCCCATCCACTGGGGGGAGCAATGCTGAACGAGTCGACGACCTCACCACTAAGACGTGCAGAAAGAAGTAGCATGGGCAAACAGGCGAAGCAGGAAAGACGGCCGCCCACGAACAATTGGGGGAATCGCGGTCCGCGCCAGACGACAACGTGACGTCACCTCTGGTTGCATCAAGAAAGAAAAAGTCAGGGCAAAAACCGGGGGGTGCGTTGCTCCTTCCTTCTTCCAGTAGGGATTGCCTACCAGTACCGCTCTTCGAAGGAATACCCTACTGTCATACATTGCCCGCGCGCCTGCCGGGGTATCTTTCATGACTAGTCGCTGTCTACCTCATATTTAATACCTCCGTCATCCCTTCCTCCCACTTTCCCCCCTCCCTTCCTGACATACTTCCCCTTCATTCCAGTGATACCCCCCCCTTGTTGTGCAAGGACCAATATTCCCATACTCCCCCCCAAGTAATCGCTAATTTCCTCTGGTGAGTATTGGCCTGTTTGTCTCTGTTGCAAACCCCCGTGTCGCGCTAACCGGAGCGTGTCCAGTAATACTATTTTGTCCCTGGCCGCTCTCCGGCACTCGATCCTCTCGACGCGATTGTCACGGCTGCCATCCCCATCATGTCTGTCAACAAGCCCACCGATTCTAAGCAAAAGGAGCAGGTATGTGATGCCCCATTGATGCCTCGATGGCAACGAGAAGCTTCCTGTGCAGAGAGGAGACCATGGTGAGCAGAGGTACTGACGAGTGTCGCGCGCGCTAGGATATCAACGCCAAGCTCCAATTGTTTGGAATCTTTCACGGTAAGTAGTGGTATAACGCCATCTGGACTGGCTGTGGAATAGGTCAATTGTTAATGCGCTCATCACGATAGGGTTCAAGAACAACAAGCTCCCCTCGGTTAGTCTCAAATGCTTTCGGAACCCTACTCCCACCGTCGCGCGCCTTGCTAAACATCAATCTTCTCTATTTTTATAGAACAAGCAATGCGATGTCGCTCTGAACAGTGCCCTCAACTCCAAGGCGCTCTCGTCGCCGTCGAATGAGCTCTCCTCTGAGGGCAAGGTCCTCCTCAAGGATCTGCGCAACGTCATTGACAACTCCAAGAAGCTGCTCCTGTCCAAGAACGATGGGGAGCTGTTGCAAGACTTCATCTGGCAAGCCCAGCAGATCACTGCTGGTGATGCCAAGGGCCCTAACGTCGGCGTCACCAAAGAAGATGGCAAGCAAGATGCCAGCAAGGTTGCCGATGGCCTGAAGACCCTGGGCACCCTGCTCATCACCAACGGAGAATTCCGCAAGATTCGTGAGTCTTATGTCGCCTACATGTCCATCCAGTTCGTCTTGTCTAACAGTGCGCAGTGAGCGATGCCACCGTTCTGGTCCGCGACATCGCCGCCGATGCCTCCCAGAAGGCTGCCAACCAGGTCCGTCCCTCCGAGGAGAAGCTCGCCCAGATCGATGAGCCCGCCGAGGAAAACACCTGGCACGAAAAGCCCAACATCTCGAAGGATGATATCAAGAACAAAGTCAAGAAGAACAAGGGCGTACGTATATGGCTCTCCTAGAAGACCATGGTATAATTGCTAACACACCTACTAGGACAAGTCCAGCGGTGCCTCGCCTCCCATCGCGGAGTCTGAGACCAAGGATGAAGATGCGTCTTCGGTCACTCCTTCCGAGATGAGTCGTCGCCAGAAGCTGGCCAACCAGACCAAGGAGTACCTGTCCGAGAAGATTCCCAAGGAGCGTCGCGAGCAGACCATCTGGCGCCTGAAGAAGATGGTCATCGAGGTTCAGGGCCACGCTGACTACCAGCAAGCCATCGAGACTCTTCTGTCCATGGCCGAGAAGTATGCCGGTCACACCAAGGATGCCACCCAGCAGAGCGGCACCGCCGTTCGTGATGTTCGGGACACCGACAGTGTCAAGGCTGTCGAGTACAACCTCCGCACTCTGATTGAGCGTTTTGCCAACAACACCTCTTTGTCCGACTTCTTCGACTCGCTGAACAACATCTACCGCGATGCCGACAAGGACCCCGAGCTGCGTGGCTGGTTCAAGAACATCGACACCTACATCCGCAAGTGCTTGCGTGAGCAGGGCTTCATTATGGAGGATGAGAGCAACAAGCAGTGGAATGAGCTGTACGACAAGGGTCGCTACCTGCTCCGCGAGCGCTACCGCTCCCACTCTGACCGCATCGTTGACGAGATCAAGTTTCTCGCCGAGCAGTTCGACAAGGACCCTCAGAACAAGGCCCTTGCCGAGTCCATCCAGCAGCTGTTCAAGGATCTGGGACGTGATGCCGAAGGCAAGGTTGTCTTCAAGAAGCACCTGCTCAAGGACATCCGGGATGTCATCATCCCCGGCATTGTTGAGAATGTCCGCTACATTCCCATCCCCCGCATCGAGGTGTCTGACCCCATGGTCGATGTCGTCGTTGAGAACCTGGTCATTGAGAGTGACAACCTGATGCCCAACGTTCTCGAGTTCGGCAGTGACAACTACTTCCGCTGGGGCCGTAAGAAGGTCGCCAACAAGCGGGACAACAAGATCATGATCGCCGCCTCTGGTATCCAGGCCGACCTGCGCGATGTCAGCTACTACATCAAGAAGAAGCAGGGCTTCCCTTCGATCACCGACACCGGTGTTATGGATATCATCCTGGGCGGCGAGGGCTTCAGCTTCAAGGTTGCGGCCTCCACCGCTGGCAAGGGTGACAAGCAGCACTTCGTCAAGCTGGACAAGGTGTCCGTCAACATCAAGAACATGAAAATCAAATTGAAGAAGTCGAGCCACAAGATTCTGTTTGCTACCTTCAAGCCAATGCTCAACCGTGTCGTCCGCCCCGCCCTGCAGAAGGTTATTGAGGCTCAGATCCGCAAGGCCTTCAATGACGGTGATGCTTTCGCCTATGAGATTCACGGCGAGGCCAAGAAGGCCCAGGAGGCTGCTCGCGAGGACCCCGAGAACGCCCCGAGCATCTTCTCGCGCTACGCCGATGCCATTCGGGTCCGTAGCCAGGCCAAGGCCAAGCAGGCCGAGGGAGCCGTCAAGCGTGACACCAAGGTCCAGACCGTTATGACTCTGCACGATTCCATCTTCCCTGACATCAAGCTTCCCGGTGGCATCTCTACCAAGGCCACCGAATATGCCGAGCTTGCCACCAAGGGTGAGCGCTGGGAGTCCCCCATCTTCAGCATCGGTGATGCTTCCGAGTCGACCGATATCCCCTCGCAAGGGCCTGTCACCCGCAAGACTCACACCACCGCTGACGGTGTTCCTGGTGGTGCCGGTGGTGCTGCTGGCACTGCCGCTGCCGCCGGTGCTTCTGGTGCTACTGCCGCTGCCAGAGCCACCAACGGTAAGGTCGACAGCTACCCATCGCGTGGTTTCTCGGATGAAGTCGACCAGGCCTTCGTCAACGACAAGACCAAGGACATCAGCAACGGTGTCAAGTCCACTACCAACGGCACTACCCAGGTCACCAATGGCTCGACCTCTGTCGCTTAAAAATGGCAAACAGGTAAAAGGTACAGCGTGCTACGATACATTCTCGATGGCATTCGCATATAGGACACAGCCCACTATGTGGGTCCATTTCGATGCCCTAATTCTTATGCCGTTTGGATTTTGAAATTTTCTTTTCCTCGTTTCGCTTTTCAAGTTATGATTTCCCCCCATGCAATTGTTTCTGTTCTTGTATGAGTACTATTCCAGTCGGTAGCCTAATACAAATGCCACTACTGTTCTGCGAGCTGCTCTCTATCATACTAATTTAGTACAATTGTACCTAGGTATAAGCGTATGGTGGCCGTGGTAGTTCATGGCTTGGTCAAGCTTTAGAGCGGGAGGGTTCCATGGTTAAGAGATTTTAGCTTATCCGATCCACGCGGTAGCTCGATCCGAACTGCCCACCCCAACCCCCAACTTTTGATTGAAGGCAAGAATAGTAGGGAAAAGCTAGGCAGGGGTATTTTGAAATTGCCATTATTGTTCATAGCCTTGGCTGATGAGACAAGCAGGGATGAACAATACGATAGTAGTGAGGGGCAACTGTTTGCCAGTTGTGCCCTAGTCCGTTTTGGGTTAGCAATCGTCACCCGTAATTTCCAGCTGACATCGAGCCTCATTTCACCTGGGAGTCACTATTTACGTCGAAGCACAACCCTCATGTGGGGTTAGCGATAGAGAGGGAGACTCGAGCCCATGCTATGCCTGGAGATCAATCGGAAAACCGTCTTCTTGATTGGTTGCAGCAGCAGCCAGATGATCCGCTGCGACCTGATACCCCCGTCGAGAATGCGGACACGACATCTGCTACCGAAGTGCAGCGCGTGGGCCTTCGTGGAACAAGCGATGCAGCTGGTCCAAGGAGTTCATTAGATGATGTCCTTCACCATGATCCCGGAGCACGCGGTGACCTTCCCGAGACCATCGGTCTACCAGATTCTCTGGCATCTTCATCCCCCACAGTCAACCGGGAAAGCATCAATTGGAATAGATCGGACAATTCTCTGGAGGACATTTTGCAAGTCGGTGCTCCAGCGATACCATCTGCGCCATCGACAAATTCACGGCAAGCAGAGAGATTACCACTTGGAAGGCCTCTCAGGCGCGTAAAGAGACGAACGACCCGATATACCTACGATAAAATCCTTGAGAATGCAGGAGAAGTTTTGGATTACATCAAGCACGGCAATGTGTGCAAGAGGTCTCGTCACGATGGCACCTCAATCATCTACTACGATTATTCCGAAGGAATCAGATCAGACCCGAAAGTGATTAATGAAGCCTATCAAATTTCGGCTCTAGGCTACCCTCCGCAAGAGGTCAGCCAACGTCTTTTAATCGTGGAGGATTTGTCTAAGCCGACAATAGATGCACTCGGGGAGACATTCAGCATCAACCCGGAATTTTTCGAAGAGCACTTGCTGAATTCCGGATATGCGGGTCCGGATTATGACATGCTACCTGCTCGGACATGGCCGACAGCACATCTGAAAAAATCATACTGTTCGATGAGATGGATTCGTCCTGTTTATCGACAGCCCATGTACTCTTCGAATCGCACTATGAGAGATCTTGTCAAGGCTAGCACAAAATCTAGCAATACTGCAACACAGAAGGACCAAAATAGTGATTTGTCCTACTGGTCGGACGAGGAGAAGGAAAATGAGAATAGTGCGGATGGGGTTGAACATTTCACACGTTACGGGGTCGTCACTACGCGAGTCTCTACCAACATATTTCGGTCGGACTGGGCACTCTGGACTGACCCTGCAAAGACGGCAAATATGAAGCGAGAATGTGGACTCGAAGAGAGACTGTCGATCTGGAAAGGTACCCTTCTAGGACGAAATTGTGATATTGGTCAGTGGTCCAGCCTCGCAGAGATGTTTATGGCTTCCACTGAGGACTAACAATTAGCCCAGTGATCATTCTTTCTGACCCTTTGCCGCAGGTAGATGAAGAACACCCAGCACCGGAGACCATAGATTATGATTCAGGTATCTCAGAGACAGATATCGACTCCGCTGAAAAGGGTATTGCTCATTTGATACACGAGACAACGCCTCGGTTTATGGGAGATGCGACCATATCAAAGCCTTGGGATTACATGATAAAAAGTCGAAAGCGCAAAAGAGTAGTCCCTGCCAGCACAAACTCCGAGAAGAACATCCCACTCTTCTCCCATAAAGTGATTATCAAGCAGATCGCTCCTCGCCAGGAACTTGCAGTCGACCTGGATCATGTTTTTCGGACATCTGAATCAACAAAAGAATTCGGACAAGGCCTCGGATATCCAAGATCAACCTCAGAGGGAATCCGTGAAGAGATTGAACAACAGACTGGGCAAGCTAGTTTGACTAGGCCTTTAATCCGAATTATCAAGCAGGATAGTCTGGCGCTTTTGAAGCAGCTGGGCCACGTGTTTGATGAGATCGAAACAGGAATCTTGGATGATATAAAGATGGAAGACCGACTATCATCCTGGCGACAAGTCATTGGCCGTGCGCAACGCGAGTTACCCGAGCTTCAAGCTTACCTCGAGCCTTTTCTTGCCTTTGTTGCCTCGCTTCATCCTACCCGTATAGGCGAGAGCGGCTCAAGCATAGAATCAGATGTCACAAAAGACATCCAGGAGCTCATGAATGAGATAGCACATGTATCCAGTCGGCTCCAGCGGACTTCGGCTTTGCTCACATCCAATATGGGCTTATTGGATAGCCGGCGCTCTATCGACGAAGCTCTAGCTGTAACCAGATTGACCGAGCTCGCATTTTTGTTCGTCCCTCTCTCCTTCGCAGCAACCATCTTCGGCATGCAGGTCGACCCATTAGCCGATAACGTGCCGATACGATCTTTCTTCATTGTAGCTATCGTGGTCACGGCATTTGCCTACCTGATGCGGATGACCATGCGGAGCAGATGGATTGCCTACTTCAAGATGTTCATGAGAAACCAACTCCAGAGGTACGCCGAAAGTCACGGCCACTCGATCCCAACTCGTTCCATCCCGATTCTTCTCTCGCTTCAGTATATGGGAAATCGACTTCGGGTTGGCGTGAAGCGAGGCCGAAGATGGATACTCAGAACGGCAAGGACGTTGTGGCGTGTATTTGGGTTCGTAATTCTATTCATTGGCGGAAATGGGGCTGTACTGGCGGCACCGCTTGCTCTTCTCTGGACAAGAGACTTGGATTTCCATATTCAAATTGCAGCGACTGTCTCAGTACTCATGCTTGTCTTAATGACCGTTGGGCTTTCGATCTGGCGTATGTCACGCTCCGATCCGGCCTTTCGGTCTGCACTGCCGCGACTGGCCATCTCTATCTATCGGCGCTTCCCAACATGGGCCCAGGGAGCACTGATTTTCTTGAGTCTGTCCGCTTTATGCCTGGTCATACCAGTGTCGCTTATATGGACTAGCCCGCTCGCGATGGGTATCAAGTGTGGACTCATGGTCCTGGCATTTTTGCCTGTCGGATTTGCTGTAGCGTTCAAGTTTTTCTGGTGGTTTATGAATTACACATAACTTTGACAGCGATCCCCATGAATTGAGGGTCTGTCTGCTCGTTTGTACTCAGAAACCGTACGAATACATCAATTTCACCTGTACTAGTGGTAAGATACACGTGACTTTTTATGTGGTGTGTGAGGGGAAGTCAGATGAAATCACGAGCCTCACTTCTCCCGAGCCGCAGTGCTCTACTAGTCGGCATATTAGAGAGACGATGTTTCCTTTGTCGAAGTCATGGGTGTAAGTTCCAGTTATCAGTCATGACTTTCGTCATCGTCAGCGCTAACCAGGACTGGGCAACACAGGAGATGGTTGCCGATGGTCGGCTTCCATCATGTAATGATGATTTTTGTGGCTTTTGCAATCACGATGCTTTGTAAGAATTTGTCGAAATAGTGACCTTCAGCTTTGTCCGGGATTGCGGTTAACATCAATTCTAGCTGTTTTGCTCGCGGGCTGCACTTCGAATGGCATGAGTGGCATCTACCTGCTGTCCTTGAGGTACAATGCCCCAGCTGATTCGTTCACTACGGCGCCCGGACAAGTCAACACGCTTATCGCGCATTCCATCCATAATGTGTCACAGACAGGGAATGGAACAACTTTGGAGGTGCGTGCCGGCTACATGGGACTCTGCGTGGGGCAAGTAGAGCAGGCCCTCGATGAGGTCCGCGTTTGCTCTAGCAGTGCGAAAACATTGGCCAAGTTTATCTCGGCGGAGACAAAAACTGTCACCCATGGGATTTCTAGCATAGAGACAACACCAGACCCGCTCAACTTGATTATGGTTGCAGAGGAGTTTAGACAAAAAATTGTCTTTGATGGATTCATGTAAGTGTGTTGAATTTTTCCCAACGGAAAGAGCAAGCGGTCATAGTATGGTGTTAACTTTGGATGCAATAGATATCTTACAATCGTGGTGTGCCTCGTAGCATTTGTTCTACTGTCTACATTCCCTGCCTGGCACGAAGAGAGAGATGAAGATGGTTCCGTTGTCGAGGTTAAGCCGTTCCCATCACGCCCGGTAACCCAGGCCATTGCCATCGCATTGGTGGTCGGATTCGGACTTGGGCTTGTTTCCATATTATGGCAGCACATCAATAGTAGCTCTACTGCATCGATGGCCGAGACCCTCACGTATGGTGCCGTTTCGGGCCACGTTGGAGCAGGCGCAATGGCGCTTGGTTGGGTTGCAATAGGTATAATCGGAGTCGTGGGTCTTGGAATCGTTGCCATGATTATGAGCATTTCTCTCATTCGACTATCAACTGACGATGATTGATGGTCAGTATTGAGCCGAGTATATTTAAGACTTCCTCGGTGGGAGTTCCTTATTATCGATATAGGAGCCTTGGTCTCGGGGGATGGGGGGATTTTGCCTAGGTGTCCGTCTCATTGTTGTGCTGGAAAAGCGATCGCAGGAGGGAGAGGAGCGGGACAAAGAATTTCTATAACCTGACTTCAAAAATATATAAGCAAAATGTGTCATTGCGTGGCAGTTGGCCTTGAAGAACAGGATGCTTTTTCCAGCTATGGCCTGGACAATTCTAGACCCTTAGGCAGCAAAGTGTGGGGATTTTCATCAAGGAGTCAGTCTTGTAGCAAGTCGTTTGAAGCCAAGGTACAAAGCAGAGCACCATTTGGTGTTCACAGAGCTTGTGTCCAGCCTTGCCTAGTCTAGTCGCCAGTCTGTGGAAAGACCACTCCATGGCAGGTCCCGGCGACTTTGGAAACTTATCCAAACAAAGAAACCAATCCCGTCAACACCAAAGATGACACCGCGTGAGGGTATCTGTACGCCTTCGCCGGGACTTTTTGGCAAAAATGCCTCTTCCCACATCCCAAGGATGCGGCACGAAAGAGATTTGGCTCGTAAAAATCACCTGTCAGCGACTGGGCTCATGATATCTGAATGCTTTGGCCGCCACGGACAGCCAGCCACCCGCCAAATTTCGGAGAAGTGCCGTCGGGTAATTTTCGGTTGGAAAATACGAGCTAGACTCCGGACTAAAGGACGAACTGCCTGGGGCCAGGACACGAACTGGTGCGACCCCAATCAGAACGAGAACTTTTGGTAGGCAAAAGTCGTGTCATCCCGGGCTGTCGATTCTCCCGCGTCGTGCATTGATGGGATAAGCAACCGATGAGAATGATATACTTACGGGCACAAGGACCTTCTCATGCAGAAGAACTCAGAACGCTTTCCGCAAAGCAGGGAAAATGTTGCCTTGATATGATATTTTTTCAAAGATCCACGGTCACTCCGTACAAAGTACAGATCGGCAACATCAAGAAGGAAGCCCCTCCAACAAACACTAATTTAGATTGGTTGGGGTCAGAGCGAAAATCCAAGCCGAGCCGAGCCTTTGGCGGAAAGCTACCTTCGCCACCTTGCGAGCAGCAGCAGCCCTTGGCTCATTTGTATTGGAAGATCCGTGGCCAATGAGTTGGTTGCATTGCACCCAACACGGTGTGTCCATGGCGTGATTTTGACATACGAGTTGCAGTACGGAGTATGCACCACAATCGTAGTGCTCCGCGGGCGGGATATTTGACGTTCCACCTCAGCATGTTCATGTGTTAATGGGTCTGGTGAGGATATCAGCAAGCGACCTCGGATGAAGCAGAATCAGACCAAGATAAGAATTTTATCGAGAGCGACTCGCCCGGAGACATCGGGATGGATCCCTTTCTTGGTCGGGATGGGGTGCTCTCAGCCGTGCCTGACCCAGCAGAGCGGGTGCAGTGAGCTGCCGGGCCGTTCGGAAATAATCTCCCTAGGATGACCATCATCCAAAAACATTCCATTTGCCCTTTCAGCCCCCAAGGTCTCTTCTAGAAATTGAGGCGAGGGGAATTTTCGCTGACTAGGACGTCTTGGCTTTAGATCTAGTAAATAGTTAATCAGACTATTCAATATGTACCCAGATCATACTGACCGCCGAACTATTCGATTCGTATTCCGACGGCCCTATGGCGAGCCCCACGAGAAGAAATCTTGTAAAAACAGAGAGAACTAGAATGAACTGTGGGCTGAGAAGGGTTCAATAATATTGATCTCGACCCAAGAATCTGCGCAGGCCTCACCCGCGGGCGAAGCAGAGGGAAGTGGAGCCGTCGTGATCGGATCTGGGAGGAGGAAGCAGAGGTATGGGGCGTGGCAGGCCTGACGAGCCGGCTGGATACATCGCGGCAACCACATCTCTGCTGGTGAGGGCCCTGGAGCCAAACTCTATCGAGGGGATCAAGCTTATCCGCGGCGGTAGGTCGACAAGGATGTCCAGCGGGCCCTGGCGGGAGATTGGGATAGTCTACCCTAGCTCGCACCCAGGGCGATTTTAGCGCGTTAGCGTCTCCGGGGAATCTCCGGATCGCGCCCACTGGGGATCGGACGCAGGCACTCGTGGTGCAGAAGGGTCCATGGAAAATTCCATGCAGGTCAGGAGACACCACAGCATGCCACAGCATGCATGTACGGTCGTTGGAAAAACGTGCTGCGGGTCATGGCGACTGCGAGGGCGTTGTGTCGTGGACGCTATTGAAGTCTCGGTCCCTCCTCCCCATCCAGTAGTTCCTGTTCTGTGTATGCCTGAAAGAGCAAAACCAAATCAAAGACAAGCCCTAACAAACCATAACAGTCATCATGATGATGCCAGTGGCTCCCCAAGCTTTCCCGCCGATCTCTTTCCTCTCCAAGTGCCGGTGGCGTGCCCAAGTTTGAGAGGCGGCCCCGTCCGCCCCTCTCAGCGTCGTCTCCTGGCGGCTGCTCCTCCTTCGTTTGTCCTCGAGACCCAGTCAGGGCATTTCAGGGTCGATAAGGGCCACATTGGATTTCCTACCCCTAGCCATCGGCCGCGATCTGCCAATGGGGTCCCCCAGGGGCAGTGGGCCGCTCTGCCAGGGCAAGTGGGGGCACTGGAGCCGCAGGCAATCAGGGACTGGCGTGACTCCTTCGATTTGGCTGCGCGGTGCTGTGCTGGACGATGGAAGAGTCGAGGACTAACCTGTTGGAGGCGCAGCGGAGTCCCGGCGGGTCGATCGACACCGCCTCTCGATTGACCTGGCGTACTTTTGGCCCAGTGGGAACCTTAACCTCTTTTCTGCTCGGCACTTCGCTCAGGCAGGTGTCGTTGCCAGCAGATCAATGCATGGCTTGGTCCACTGATGGTCGATTCCTCCGAGACAACGCGGGAGCCCTCCGTCCTTGACACGAAAGACTCACATATTACCAGGGATGTTTCCCTCTGGGACAACAGGTGTCGCGGCTGAGACAGGAACCGCCATTTCCTGCAGCCTCAAAATTATGTTGTTTACCTATTGCTGGATGAACGGAACTCCCGACCCAGACTGTGCAGGCTGTCGATCGACGGCATTATTGACTGCCTCCGGAGGTATTCGGCCCACTGGGCCCATATAAGCTCGCGCGTGAGCCAGCCACAGCACGCCCATGTGTATAGCGATGAACCTTTGTCTCCATTGCCCCTTGACCTACACCTGCTGATCTCAATCTGGCCGCGCTGTGTTTTTTCGCTCTCGTCGCTCTGCGGATTTCCGGTGATATCCGGCTCGATCTCCCGAGGACGATGAGGTAGAGGGATGTTCATCGACAACAACGCTTCCCGGTTCGGGGGCGGCGTGCAGTGATTAGGTTTACTGGTGTGTTGATTACATCCAGTCTTTCAAGTACATCACTATCACTGGCCTTGCATAGGGCTGCTCAGCCATGTTAGAGTTCCTTTTCGTCAGTATTCCTACGGAGCATAGTCCTGGCATCGACACGAGCTCCACGGCAAATGGACCCGGCTTCATTTCCCTGTCGTCCAGACCCTGGTGGATTATCCACCAGGAACTTGGTGCTGAATGCTCAATGAGGCCCCGACTGACTGGATTAGGTTTGACACGCTGGAGACGCAGTTCCACTCCAGCTGGGACTTTGCCAAAAGTGAGCGCCTCTAGTACGGACGAACTATGCCCACCGGGTCACTCGGGATAATCTGCGCTGCCCGCGAGAGACCCGCTGCAGTGGAAATTGGTCAGCGATATTAGGGTATGCCCGATGGTGGAAGAAGACCCTGACGCGAGTCCCCTGCTCGTATAAGAGTTGCTGCTGCTGCTTCGGCGGTAAACTTTCTCTTCTTCTTCTCCAACCCTCACTGTCACTCCTTCAGTCAATCCGACTCCAGTCTCTCTTTAATACTTTTTTTAGTCGCATTCACAATGAAGGCCTCCTTCGTCACCCTCCTGGCCCTGGCCACCGCTGCCATCGCCGCCCCTACTCCCGCTGGCATCCCCGGTCTGTCTGACCTGACCAACCTCGCCAAGCTCGGTGACCTCACCAACCTCGCTGGTCTGGACGGCATCACCAAGAACCTCAAGCTCGGTGACATCACCAAGGAGCTGAACCTGGAGAACCTGCCCGTTGTCTCCAAGGTCGGTGACCTGACCAAGATTCTCAACCTGCCCTCCACCTCCAACTCCGACCAGCAGATCGGCGAGTCCGGCCACGTCGTCCAGGACCTTGGCCCTGAGCTGAACAACATCCTCACCGTCACCGGCCCCAACCTGCAGACCCTGCTCATCAAGCTGAGCCCTGAGGTTACCGCCCTGGTCTCCGGCCTTGGTCTTGGCGCCCTCGGCGTCCCTCTGGGTGGTGTCGTTGCCTCTGCCTCCGGCCTGGGTGACCTTGTCACCGGTCTCGGTCCTCACGTCGACGGCCTCGTCACCGTTGTCGGTGCTGATGTCGGTGCTCTGCTCATTGGTCTGTCCCCTGAGGTCGCTGGTCTCGTCTCCGGTCTGGGTCTCCCCACCGTCGGCATCCCCGTCGGCACTGTCGTCGCTACCCTCGGCAAGAACCTGAAGCGTGATGTCCCCACCGGCAAGATCGTCCAGAATGTCGCTCCCCAGGTCAAGAGCACCATCACCGTCACCGGTGGTAACGCCAAGAAGCTCCTCATCGAGCTGTCCCCCTCCGTCGCTGCCCTCCTCACCGGTCTCGGTCTCCCCTCCGCTGGTGTTCCCCTCGGTGAGGTCGTCAAGACCGCTGCCGACGTTGGTGACCTGCTGAAGGACATCTCCGGCCCCGTTGAGGACCTTCTGACCGTCACCGGCAAGGACGGTGACGCTCTCCTTATCAAGCTGTCCCCCGAGGTTGCTCAGCTCGTCACCGGCCTGGGTCTTCCCTCCATTGCCACTCCCCTTGGCTCTGTCGTCGAGACCCTTGGCGAGAGCCTCTAAATTTAGACATGCCTGTGAAAGGAAGCTTGTCTGAAAGGCCTTTTTTACGCCGCAATGGATAGCGTTTTGGGAGCCTTTGCGAATACCCCGCAATCTTCTTGTGCATATTTTTTGGACACTTGAAAGGGTGGTTTCTTGTATGACTTCTGAAGACAATATGGGACGTCGTTTGTCCCGTCTTCGCACATTTACTACTTTTATTTCTGTCCAGTCAAATGACATTATAATCTAATGTTATACAGAGTCTTTCTCTGCCTTCTGTATCGATACCCTTGATATATGATATGACCATGTAATAGACATTGTAACAATATTCATTTCTCCCAAAACACTTTCATATTTCCGATCTCTCTATTCCTTCCCCACTCAATATTACCATGGCCTGAACCTACCACGAACGGATTCTTGAACAGAACACATTGCATGAGAGCAAAGTCTTGTTCCCGTCACTGGATAATAATAGGATATCACTGGAGGTCTACCTGATCCCCTGCCTGATTAATATCCAGTTATAGTTGCTATCTATACTGTAGTAAATTGATGTGATATCTCAGCGTTGAAGAAAAAATTTGGTATGTCATGGCGGGTGGGGATTTATATATTCGTACATTATCTATACATAGAAGAAAGCCTAAAAAACCTAGCTTTCCCATTCCAATATTATGAAGCTCCAAGCTCCATTAGTGCAGTAACATTTTTAATAGTTGAATTTGTAAATCTATGAAAAGTCAGGATGGACTGTTACAAACACAACAATGTATGACTGTAGCAATACGCTAATCTAGTAGGTAGTGTAGCGTGATACTGCAAAACATTGTAGAACTTTGATTGAATCTGATTTCACTACACCACGAAGCAGGAAGGATCTGCCCAAGGCACTATTGATGCACTTTATCGCTTCATAAGGGTTGCTGGTTGTGAACTCATGCTAGGACAGTGACACACGAGTTGTACAAATTGATACACATGCAGCCAGCAGTAAAAACAATATTACACAAGCTTTGCCTGAGCGCAAATATAGGCAAAGCGAATCAAACGGTGACCGAGCGTAGACTCTTAAACATCAATTCATCCCAAGTGGTATCCTGAATATCCGCTGCCGGCCAGCGGCAGCATGGATGATGGCGCTTGCGAAAAGGCGCCCTGGCCTGTGGCATATCCCATAGGGTTACTCATTAGCATATCCTCCAGGGAAGCGGACTCCTGCTCCCATTCTGCCAGCGGGGATTGCAGGTCCCATTTCCGTGCACAATACTGCAGCAGTTCCCGAACATATGATAGACAGCGGATTGCCCGCGGTCGGCAGTTGATCCGATCCTCTTCGCCTAGCATGGGCGGATCCGGGGTTCCTGTCGGGACGTCAGGGAGAGTGGGGACAGTAGGACTCAGGAGCAGGTCGAAGTTCTCAGACAGAACTTGAACGAAGCGTCGGCCAACTTGGTGGACACGTTGGATATCCAGGAATGTGAGGAAAGGGAGGACGCTCGGATTCTCCAGCACTTGGTGAATCTGGCTGATAAAGTCCATACACCGGTCGAACAAGACCGCCTTGCTGTAGTCACAAGGTACAGGGTATCGATGAGACGGCGAGATGAGAATGATGATGGTGTATAATAGCTCAAGGCGGTAGAGGAGAGAGAAGTGGTTAGGGGCGTTTTTGGGGCACTCGTGGAACCATTGCCGAGTCTGGTAGCAGAGAGTCCATGTTTGAACGAGTGCTCGTGAGGACTGTTCACGTGAGCTGTAATACATGTCATGATATCCAGAAGACAGTATCTGTCGTATCCTGACAATATGGAGTGCCGGGGATGGGTTTCGGAGGAATATATGGCTGTGTTCTGACGAACCGCCCCCAACGCTGGCCGAGGGCATGACCACATCAACGGAGGCATCAGAAAACGAGAATGTCCGTTCGAAGGCAGTGCTCATTCCTCTGGTATTGTTATTAGTATATAGAAGAGGCAAAATATTCTGGAGTCCTCCAACGAGGTAAAATGATCTTACCGGTCCAGGCAATAGAGGCAGTGAAATACCCGTCGGCGAATGTCAAGTCGATCCGTATTTGATAAAACTTCCGCCGGAGGGTCTTGGTGAAGACCCAAGTCTATACCAACACGAACGGCCATCCCGACCAAATGCCAACTACGAAAGCGTCCCGGATCCACCAACGCATACTGCGCAAGGAGAATAATAGCTTGAATGCAAGTGATTGACCCTGGTCGAAGCACATCTTCGGCGTAGGTCAAGGCATCCGACACCAGGGCCAGTGCCTTCTGATGGCTCTTGTCGTTGTTCTGGTAGGAAACCGCCGCCGAGGAAATGGCGAGGACCATGCGTAGCATCCAGTGATCAAAGGGCTTCGCAAACCGCCCATCGGACTGGTACACGGCGTCCACCGACGTCCAGAAACTGGTTTCCACAAAGAAGGGCAGTTGCACAAACACATTGTCAAAGTAATACTGTAGTAGGGGCGTCGCTTCGTGGCGTGCGGGTAGCGAGAGGGGAGCGCGGTGGCGCATTCCCCACTGTCGCGACAGATAGCAGCAAGTTGGCGAAGGTGGTTTTGGACGTGATGCCATGGAAATCCCGCGATGTGGCATTGACGGACAGGAAGCCAAAGTCCCCGACGAGGTCATCGATATCGGAGACCTCACGGCGGTGAGCGGGGCCCAACGGGCCATCCGAGGAAGTTGAGGTGATCGACATCTCGCGCGCGACGCCATTGCCCTCGGCAGAGAGGGAGTTCTGACGGTTGCGCAGCTGGGCAATCTTCTTCTCGAGCTTCTCGCAGTAGCCCTCGAGCGATGCGACGTAGCTGCGCTCCTTGCCCTTGGCGAACTCGTCGCTGGCCCCCGAGCAGGTGCTGGCCTTGCCGACCTTATCGCAGGCCGAACAGGCGGGGAGCTTGCCATCGCACTTGATTTTGGCGGTGCGGCATCGCGAGCAGGCGGCGACGGGGCGACTGACCTTCAGCAGCGGATTATCCAGGAAGGTGGTGGCCGTCGGCATCCTGGCTGCTCATGTCCCCGGTGTTGTCCTCGATTGAGCTCGTATTCTGGGACTTGAGAGGGAGGAAATCGTTAGCGGGCCGTTCTGGCACGATAGAGGCCGTAGCGACTGGACCATCCTTGCGTGACCCCACCCGATCGCCGTTGCGGACTCACATGATGAGGTGATATGGGCTCCTGGCTATGCTTTCTTCCTCCCTTCGTTCCTTTTGATGGCGGCCGTTACGCTTGTCCCCTAGCTCGAGGACCTGCATAAGCAAAAGGGCGGGTTAGCGAGGGTTTACTGCACGCCGATATTAACGAGGTCAGCCTCACCCGGTGACTTAAAAAGTAGAATGGACCCCCAGAGAGAAGAGACAAATAAGAATCAGAACAAGCCTCTTCGAGGGAACCTTTCTGAGAAGTCACGGGCTCGCAGGTCACGTTCTCGGCGGAGGACGAGGAATATGATCTCCCGTGGAACTAACCTAAACGTTCCGTCCTTACTTGCTTTCCTCCCAGCACCTGAGAAAAAGACCAAAATTCCCCCTCAGACGGATCTCGCTCCCGACCAACGTTTTCTTTCCATCCCAATTCCAATTTCTCCTTATCTTTCCACGCTGGGCCTTTTTCTTACTCGGCCTCGGATTGTGCGCCCCTCCTTCGTTCAGCTGCCACTGTCCGTTCTCAACCCACCTAGAGCCTCCCGACGGCCAAATCGCATCGTCGCCAGCCCCCTCTCTCCCCCACTCCCCGCCCTTCCGTCGCTTCCAAACTCCAGTCCCCGTCGATCCAGATCTGGACCGAGGGCCGTCCTCCGACATTCCTGGTGTCCCACCATGGCGTGTTAATTGCTCCTCTGGACCTTCCGACCGTTGGAATTTTCCCGACCTTACAGGACGTTGTTCGCCTGTTCTCCCACTTCTGGACCCCACACCCACCCTTCTCCCCGACGGACCATGTCGACTGTGCCAAGGGCACCTGGTGGACCGATTGACCTTGCCGTGAACGGCCTCATTATACACCACCTGCGTCGCATGTGACCTGCTCTCTTTCTTTAGATCTTGCTGCGGGCTTTGGCGTCATCGGTCTTTGAAGAGCGAGTCATGACCCAAAGCGCGCATCCCTCCGCAGGCCAGCCGTCGCCCGAGTCGCCCTCGTTTGAGCCGCCCGACGGTCGCATCGCGCACACTTTGACTGCCTGCACCAGGTGTCGACAAGTACGTATGATGCAACCTTGCCAGAGTCTCCCCCCTCCCGCGGGAAGCAAACTCAATTACCGTCTTCTATATGCTCGATGCCGAGATTAGATCAAGACTGTATCCCTTCGCGCTCCTCTAGCTTGGCTAACCTGTTCTGTCGTGCCGTAGCGTAAGTCCCGATGTGATCCTGGCATCCCACGATGTGCCCCCTGCGAACGAAGCAACGCCAGATGTGTCTATTACGATTCCACGAGAGACACCACCATCCCACGAACATATATTGTCTCGCTACGTGAGAAGGCCCGCGCCCTGGAGAAGGAGCTCGCCAAGGCCGAAAAAGATATTCAGCACGCCGCCGACGCGGAGCTGATGGTGCGGGGCGCTGGGCGCATCCGCTTCAAGGACAACGATGAGCCACGGTATCTGGGTGCCTCGAGTGGCATCGCGATTACCCGGCTAGTCATGGAGCTGGCTAAGCAAAATACCGATTCCAAGAGCATCAAAGATGTGGTGCCCGAATTGACTGCCCATGAAATCAAGGCGGCTTTCGCGCAGGAAGATTCGAAGCCGACCTCCAAAGTCTACCCGATGATCAGCTCAATTCCGCAAGCCAACCTGCCTCCGCAAAACTTGACCTACAAATTGATCGATCTTTTCGTTGCCAAAGGTACAACATCCACAAAATATCGAGACCGGAAAAAAAAGTTTCAAGCTCGTGGCTAACATTTTCCTTTTAAAGCACAAGCACTCCTCCCAACATTACATGAGCCGAGCTTTCGACAAGACGTGGAGGAAGTCTTCAACGGTTCCACCGACCCCTGCCAGAACTTTCAGCTTCGAATGGTTATTGCCATTAGCATGCAAAAATTGAGCCCGGACTACGCCGGCCTGGCCGACAGCTACTATCTAGCAGCCCTGCCATATCTGGAGCCCACCCTGAAACAGATGGACCTGAGGGCACTACAATGTTTGGTCTTGATTGCTCAATACTCCATGCTCACACCCACACGTACAGCGGCATATTGGGTGGTCGGAACGGCTGTGAAGCTGTGCCAGGAGCTAGGACTGACCGAAGAGGCCACCATCACCAAGTCTTCCTGCGGCCAGCCCTTGAATACATTGGAGGTTGACATGCGCCGGCGACTCTTTTGGATTGTCATATCCATGGAATTCGGACTCTCTCATAGTCTCGGCCGGTCGAGTTGCTATAGTGTCACTCACGATAACCTCGATGTCAAGTTCTTTGAATTGGTAGATGATCGTTACATCACCGCCGAAGGGATTGTCCCAGGAGCAAAGCCAATCATTCCCAAGTGTCTTGCAGTTCACTTTTTCAAGATGCGTCTTCTGCAGTTGGAAGGGCGGCGGCAACTCTATTTGAACCGAAAGGAGACGCCCGTCGACGATCAAGATCCATGGTTTGCTCAGATGAATGCGAAGATCGATCGATGGATGGCAACTTGTCCCAAGCATGATGACGGGAGCGGCTTGAATGTGAAATGGTAATGTTCCTTTCTCTACTTGTGTTCTTGCGGTATACATTTTTGACTCATAACCTTGTTTGTTCCCTTCAGGTTTCAAGGACGACGAAACACGATAGTGATTCTAATGTACCGGCCGTCCCCTCAAATACCCGAACCCTCGACCAACGCAGCCAAGATTTGTTACGACGCGGCCACATTCAATATTGCTATGCATCGAGAACAGATGATCACCAGCTCCGTCGATTTGACCTGGATATTCACCCAATCGCTTTTCATGGTTCTCAACACTGTTCTATGGACACTCTCGTATCCTGAAATTCGAAAGGAACACCCCGTCGACGAAGTACAGGGCTATCTGGACATGGCCTTAGAAGTAATTGTCTTTGCCGCCGAAAGGTGGCCGGGTGTTCAGTCTGCTTTGCTCCTTTACAAACGCCTCGTGGCTGCCTGTCTGAAGGCATACGACACGGAGGAGTCGTTCGTCGTGCATTCTCCCTCAAACCATCCCACGCCAACCTCTTCTCAAGGGGTCATGACCCCTCCTGCCATGTCCAGCCCTTCGAGTACTACAACTGCGTCTTTCTACTCTCACCAGAACTATCGCCCTGGAAACCCTTCTATTGGCGACGCTTCCTCAACCGGCACCTTGTCAAGAGGCCACTCCGCCGACCCTTCAATATCATTCCAGGAGCCAACACCCCCAGCCTTTACCGCCGACCCATTAAAGACGACGGGGATGTCACATGCATTCGGCATGCAGCCCCCATCGACTACGACCCCCGGGACCAACGACAGCCAATATACAACCCAGGCTTACTGTGCACCAGCTGCTCTCTATCCGGACGTGTCCATCGACCCTAATACCCCTTACAACGCAATTCCATCGGTGGTTCCGGGACTTCAAGGCTGGGATCCCAACTTTTCCCTGGCCTCCACGACCGCTGGGCACCTGGCGTACATAGACGCCAGCGTCGATCCCATGCAATGGACGTCCTCCATCGGGGACCAATATTCCCAATACTTTAACGAGCCATTCCCAGTACCACCATGGCGGGAGCGGACATTGAGTCAGCAGGAGCAAATTGAGCTGATGGCATCACTGGAACACGACATCCCCGACGTATCTGCTCAGTTGGTACGCGAGTCCAATGCGTTCTACCAGTCATGAGCTCTCGCGGAGGTCTCTCTTTCAATGATCGTCCCTGGGAGACTTTATGGACTAGTGGAGAACCAGCGATTTGAAATACACTGGATTTGTTTTGAATTCTGTTTTCTTGTTTGGATCGGCAGGTCTCTTTACAGTTTCTACGGTATACCTAACTACTCTCTATGCTCATATAGCTCACGGCCAATTTGGGTCTGACGAATTAATTCTTCTATCTCAATTTCTCTCCACTGTCTCCAGTCTTGTAGGGGGCTGGCGTATGCAATTTTGACTGTTTCCTGTAAAGTATCCTGGGCCAGTTTGTGGGCTTTCAGAAGCGAAAAGTCATCAACAGCGTAAGAGATTCGGGTGAAAGACAACACTGGAGGATAAAGGAGGGCAAGAAACCTGGAATGCCTTGGAATAAAGCGCGGGACTTGCTTGAGCCCGAAAAATAGATTGAGAAAATGATGTGAGATAAGCTGGATTTTGCTCCAGAATTCAAAGATAGCAATTTATTAGTTAGTTCTGAGAAGACCTACCTTCAGGCATATGCAGTATTAGTACTACAGGTTGTCGTAGGTATAGTTCGAAGCCATTTTGCGTCTTGATGGTGTAGGTATTTCCAGCTTGCTCCTCCAAGTAAAAAGCGATAAACAAAGCTCTTATATCCTGTGGCATGATAGAGTAACCCATTGTCTGCATATTCATGTACGCCTGCATCATTGGGTCGGAGTGAATGCGTGTCGGAAGGCCTTGTGGATCCCCAAGCGGCCTTCGAGGCGCCTGAGTCCCGCGGCACGTGACCTTCCCGTTTTGCCTCCATTGAATCTCTCGCCGTCTTCGACCGTCTCGACCAAACCAACCCCCCTCCTCCCGCCATTCCATCAAACCTCCGCCCGATACCTCTCCGCGTGGATTTCTTTCGGTTTCCTGGAATGCATATGATCTGATCCGGCCGTGGACCGACCTGCTCGCCCGTCTGAGTGACCGACCGTCGACCGGCTGCCCCCTCCCCAGCGCCAGCGCCAGCACTCGTGACGAAGCTTGCGATTCGGACTCCCCGCCGGTGGATCGGAGTCTATCTCAGGTTGGAAGGTGCCTGTGAACTAGATCTTCACTAGGGTCTTCATGTCTGAGCGCGATCCCTCGACCACCTTCCCAGCAGGACCTCCTTCGCCCTCTTCTCCCGCTGCCGGGTTCCTCAAAGACAACCGCCAGCTCCCCGTCTCCTCGGATCACATCCCCCAGACCCCGACATCGCCTCCGTTGATGTCGGTCAGTGATTCGAGCCATGTATCCAACTTTGCTCCCGCCCAAACATCACCGACCCAGGTGACTACCCAACCACCCAACACTTCGTCTCCTCCTTCGTCCGCACCAATGTCTACTCAGGTCTCCCAACAACCGATCGTGAGTATGACAAACTCTTTCCCTACTCCCGCCAGTAGCGTGAGCGGTCAACTCGCGAATACAACCTCCGCCGAGGACGCCGACCAAAGGTCCTTCGGCTCGACAACGCAAGACTCAACGAAGACCATGGACGTTTCGGGTCACCAAAAGCCAGAGGACAAACGAACAGATCATGAACGACAGCAGTCGGTATCTACTACCGCGGCAGGTGGACGGGATCTTGCCACGGATCAGACAGACGGAGACGCCATGGACGTGGATAAAGAACCGCTCCCACAGGCCGAGACTCGAAACCTCGGCTTGGACTCCCTTCAGAATGACTTCAGCTCGGCTTTCCATCTTTGTAAAAATGGTGTGCACCCCCTCCCCTGGTTTGGTTGTAGTTTTCATGGGCGCAGTTGCATGATTGCTCTGCCCTTTGCACATTCTGGAACTCGAACGTTATTAACCTTCTCTTTTTGCTTACTTGACAGCTCCTACTGTGACTGGACCGAATCCTGCAATGGACCTCATCTCGCTCTACGGGCTCGGCCCGATTGCACAATCGGTGGCACGGATGGACCCTAACACAGGAGAGAAGATCAATCGTTTGCGAAAGTCGTATGAAGGAAAGTTGAAGGGACTTGGATTGGCTGGTCGAAACAAGCCCGTGAAGCAGGAGCCTGGCGCACCTGGCAGTCTACGGCATCTCACTCTGTGGCCGGAAGAGGAGTGGCAAAACCAGAAGGTCGTCGGGAAGCAGATCCAAGTTGCCGATATTGACAGTGCCCTGCATGGCTTGCAAAATCGGGCTATGCAATTAGAGCCGGGCATGGTACCCAACAATGATTTCTGGGAAGATGTGCTGGGTCACGAGAAGCCAGCTAAGAACCAAGGCTCCGGTGATACTGGTAAAAAGTCTGCCAGTGCTGCACCTTCTCCAGCCCCTCGTTCTATCCTTCGCACAACCACGCCGGCAGCGGTCACGCAGGAGTCTGAGCGGCCCCGAGCCAGTCGTGGCCGGAAGAGACATTACGATGACAACAGCTTCGTCGGCTACGGCGAAGGTTACGCAGATGACGATGATGACACCGGTTTCTACTCGAACGGCGAGGGAACCGGCAAAAAGAAACGAAAGAAGGTGAGATTCAAACTCTGAGTCCTATTCCTGCAGCTCAAGGCCCAGGACCGACGGGGATCATACTAACCTCACTTGACAATAGGACCATGTGTCCAAGGTTTCCACTCCGCTCTCTGAAAGAGGTGGAAGTTACGGTGTAGGCATGTTCGGAATCGGTGCCCGATGAATTTTTTTCGAATTTGTTTTCGCAAACAAACAGAAAGAAGGAAAAAGTCTTCATGTCTTTTTTCTCATATGGACGAGGAGACGGCGAGGGCAACGAAATGCCCAGGCGAGTCCCGGATCCTCTATTTTTCTTTTTGCTCTTCTCAGTACATGTTGCATCACGGTGCTGGATATACCCGGCTTCATCAATCGGACGGCGTTTCAGGCTGGGTGGGAAATAAGTATTCAAACACGGATACGATTTGACATTTCTGCTGCTTCTCTTCAAGGTCTGTCTTCTCTCTTTTTGCGCTTTTTTCCCCGTGCTGTTTTTTCGAGATTTCCACTGCTGTAATGGCCGGCTTTTTTTACCGCGTTGTCGCGAATGGGTTTCTCATGCCCTCGGACCTTTTTTTTTCCTCGTTCAATCCTTCGGATTGTTGGGCTCGGCGAGTCCCTAGACATCGTCATTACTCCGAGACAGTTTAGGCTGGTTCGAACCAGTGAATTGACAAAATAGATGAAATCCTCTCCCCGGTAATCGAGTAGGCTCAAGTCATAGCAATCGTCATAGAAGTGGACGAACATTACCGATTACTGAGATCATGGTCGGTTCGCTGCTTACCCCAGGCGGTTTACTTCTTTCTCACTTTCCAGTGAGGTTTCCAGTACCGATCCATTCAATCCCGGCGTTGGAAAATTGCGCTGGACTAGAGCAACTACAGCCATTCGCTTGTCGGTGGCTTCTTCGAGCGCCCCCAATCCTACAACATCCACTACCGAGGATCTCTAGCATAAACATTCATCAGCCACGGCCAACCTCCGGTGGCTGAACAAGCAAACACGGCGAGCCCGCACCCACCAGGAGTCAGGATGGCTAAAAGGGCCCAAAGTAGGGCTAACAAAACGACTGCCGAAAACTCAACAACCTTCTGGCTCATTCGAGATGCTTGCCATGTTCGATGACCGACTGGCGATTGGCGGGTTTCGAGGCTCGGTCCGTCGCGCCCAACGTGCACATTCAACCTTTTCGGCCGTCCACAGCGACTGGTCGGAGATGGCAAGGTGCGTCAGTAAAGCCGGACTTCTGAGAATTTGAATGACACGTCAATACGAAAGATCAACACTTGATCTGATTCATCGTGGCGCAAAGATGTACGAGAACGAAGCGGGCAGTGCTTGGTATACTCGTGGCCGCCCACTGTACATTCCACTTGCACTACGAAGATAGCGTCACGCTTGTTAATGTGGCGACATCCCCAATCGACCCGCCATGTGGCAGATGCGCCGCATGCCGTAAACTGCGACTGAAGACGGATATCGTCCATCGACATATCCGCCTCCCCCGCACATTTCTCTACCCTGCGGTTGCGCAGACAGATGCATGAGACTCCTTGCTGACTCTGCCAATCCCGAGGATCGAAAAGCCGACACTAGCGTGCAGGACGGACGCATGCATCAAAGAACCGGTCGGTGAGAACATCATGCCCTGGCAAAGCAGCCACGGAGAACATCCATGTGCATGCCCAACTCCAGCCCAGACGGTGTAAAGGCTCGGCCTACTAGAGCTTTGTGCTGAACCTGAGGCTCCCAAGCTGACGAATGATTCGGGCGTACCATCTCAACCGATACGGCAATGCCGAGAGGCTCATTCCAACATGCTTGGCTGAATCCCATCGTGTTTTCATCCAATAACGAGTCTATTTTGCCTGAACTGGGAATGGTATAGAGCATTGGGCTGCAGGTTTCCAAGTGAAATCACAATGCATGGAGATCTGTGTTACTATTCACAGATGCTTTCCAGTCTATTGCTCGAATCAGTCATAATCCGCAGTTCATACTTCTATGATAGGCAAGCGGGACACACGATCGTGCATGGATGCCATAGCCCTACCTCCGTTCGAGCAGCCGCAGGCGACACTACAAGGATTTACAGCCATGGGGGATGCCTTATTCTTCAGTATAAATGATCTTTATACTGTTGTTTATCTTTAGGCGCTCGATATCATATTCTCTTTTTTCTTCTGTTTCACCCCTTTCTTTCGCAGCAGGCCTGCTATCAAAAAGAGTCATGTCTGTCGATACAGAAAAGAACCAGTCGTCAGACTGGCACCCAAGCTGGCAGCTCAAATGCATCTTCGCCGTTGTTGGGTTGCTTAAGTTCATGGCAGCCTTGGATGCAACTTCAATATCTGTCTCGCTTCCGGTAAGTCCTTGAAATTCGACTAGTACACTTTTGCTCTTACGCAGAAGCACCGCTAATATGATATATATCTCTAGACTATATCCGATGATCTTGACGGAACGGCTATAGAGGCCTTCTGGGCTGGAACGTCGTTTCTCGTCACCTCTTGCGTCTTCCAACCCGTCTTTTTCCTCGCACCTGATATATTTGGACGCAAATTTATCCTTATACTTACCGTGTTGTTCCTTACTTTCGGCTCGATATTGGCCGGTGCCGCGGCAGGGTTTGCTTTGCTCCTGGTCGGTCGGTCATTCTAAGGGGTGGGTGGTGGAGGCATCATGGCTCTGACGGAGTTTTTCATCGCTGACCTGATTGCCCTGCGAGAAAGAGGAAAGCGGTTCAGCATTCGCTCGGGTACTTGGGCACTCGGAACTGTCGTCGGTCCACTGATTGGTAATGGTTTACCCAATCCTCTGCGTCATGGAGGTGGATCTTTTGGATCAATCTTCCCTTTTTTGGTCTGGGGTTGGTCTTGATTCCGGTATTCCTCAAGCCCAATAACACGACAGTCCCTTCGCTGTGAGAAAGCCTGCCCAAGGTGGATTATATTGGCTCGTTCTTGTTCGTCGCTTCGCTGACCTCGTTTCTTATTCCCATTACCTGGGGCGGCGCTATGGACGTGTGGACTCATGGCATACCCTTGTACCTCTCCTTCTGGGAGCCGCGGGCCTCGCTGGTTTCACTACATGAGCGCTTTGTCGCCACCCAGCCACTCAATCCCCTCGTGATATTCAACAACATCGCCAAGTCGGTTAGTTATGCTGGTTGTTTCCTGCACGGCGTCATCCTGTGGGCTATCGTATACTACCTACCGCTGTATTACGAGGGCTTTTTGGGATACTCGCCCGTGGTATCCGGTGTCGCCATGTTCCCAGAATATTTCACTGTCGCCCCGATTTCCGTGATGACTGGTTTCATTGTTGCCAAGACTGACCGATATCGCTGGGCCCTCTGGTTCGGCTGGCCAATCTCAATTCTCTGCGTTCTTGACAACGAATCGAGTATCCCCAAATGGCTCTACATCAACCTTGTCGCGGGTATCGGTCTCGGCACCCTCTACCCGGCTGTGGTGCTCGCCGTCCAAGCCGCCGCAAACCCAAACTACCCCCACATCTCTGTCACCATGACGCCGTTCTTCTGGGTTTTTGGACAAGCAGTGGGTGTCTCAATCGGTGGTGTGGTCCTCCAGAACTGCTTCAAGCATGAGTTTGGGAATCATCCAGAGCTTGGTCGGTCGGCTAGTGCACTTGCGCAGGATGCATCTAGCCTGGTCAAATATATCGAGACTCTCCAGGAAAACAGCGGGCAACCAACCTCATCGAAAGCCTATATGCCAAACCTTTGGTAATTGTCTGGGTGATTATGTGTGGTATTGCTGGGTTGGGTCTTTTCCTGAGCCTATTCACGAAGGGATATACTTTGAATCAGGCTTTTAGCTCGCAACAAGTTCTTCAGGAGTCACCTTCTGATGTTGAATCTAACCGGACTACGGAGACAGAAAAGAAAGAACAGATGACTGAGTAATTGGATCTTGGAATATGTGCTTTCCAATGTTCTCGGCTTTATGATAGTGCATAGATTGCGCTCATATTTGTATGTGGCTTCTTGGGTTGACGTCTTGGTTTATTACCTTCACGATGTGCTACATGGTAATGACAAGAATGCTTTTTCTTCTTGCCACACTTGGCATGTATCCAGTTACTTGGCTTGAGGTCGTTCATAACTCACAAAAAGCATTGTATTGTTCCGAATACGACCCAAGATACTGGAGTTGATGTTCATTTGTAGGCGAGCGGTGCAAATTTTAAGGTTTGAACCTCAACCTACTTCAGCACCTTTCTCGATATTTACTTTCATCTCATGTTTTGTGCTAAAGCTTAATCATATAAATATTGATTTTGTATTTCCCAGGGCCATGAGCAATAATTAGCGGCTTTCGTCATCTACTCTGGTATTCCATTCGCCCCGTCGATATTGTCTCAGCTTCAACTGCTAAGGTTAAAGTTTGGGATCGGTGACTAATCTCGCGTTCACTCTTGTAACTAAATATTGCTCAACGCTTCCATCTTTAGGGGAATAAGCAGTGGCTAAGTTCCAGTAGGTTACATAAATAAGGTTTGCCATTCTGGGACGCGATTTTTCGGTCGCTTTTATAAGGAATCCGGCATGGAAAGAAGTAAAACAATACGAAGAAGCCACCCGCGAGTACGTATCAAAAGGTGGACGTTATGCAGGATTCTGCCTTGGAGCATACCTGGCTGGTAGTAGCTTAGGCTACGATATTCTTCCACCTGATCCCGACGTAACGAACGAGATTACTAGCCTGGTAGACAAGTCGGGGACACAAGAGACACCGCAATCCAGGTGGACTGGCACTTTCAAACAGGTCCTCGAAAAGGTGAAACTGACCATGGACGTTGGCTCTATTTTGAGGATGGAGCGGTTATTCAACTTGCAAAAGATACATTTACGACAGTGATAGGAAGATATGCGACCAATAACGACATTGCTACTTCCGTAACACCCTTCGGGAGAGTATGAGTCGGGGTCGTTGGGCCTCACGCCTGAGGCCGATGAAAGCTGGTGTGAGTACTGAATTATTCTGTAACAAGACGTTCGCTAATTTGGTCTCAATTAGCATAGACTATGGATTGAACTTGACGAATCCAGATGGGATACGCTTTGACATTGTGCACGACTTGATCGAAACAGGTATAATGACTCACTGAAGATCATCTTCATCACATCTCTGTCAGTTCAAAAAGCGCTCTTCCCTACGACTGTGTAATGGTTTATAAGCGATATTTTTAGAAAATGCAAAACCAAAGGTATCAAATGAAACGACAATAAATCCATTCAATGCATTTATACAAAAGAGGTATCGAACATAGAAATGATTTCCAAAAACGCCACAAGTGTATCAACCGCATAAACCAGAATATGGACATAACAAGCCCGAAAGACATCAAATAGATGTAGGTATGTCAGTGAGATTTAGACAGAAAAAATTAGATCGCAAAATGAACACAGATCAAACAGGAGGCTCGACGGTTTGAAGTGGGACATAGCCATCATCTTCACGAATGGTTGTACGCTTCCCGGTCGCCGCGGCCCACAGTCCCATCGCAGTGTCACCAACCCAGCGGCGAAGGGAACCGGGATGGTCAGACGAGAGTATCTTCGCAGGTGCCCACCAGCTAGCCTTGCGACCGTGGCGTGCTCCGTTAATGGGGATAGCGCCGGATCCCAGCTCTTTCTCAAGTCGCTCGGGGTCCATCCATGATGGGCGACGCCAGAGCTTAAGAAGCAAACTGCTCACAACGACCGAAACGCTGGAGAGGGCCATGGCAGCTCCTGCTGCCATTGGGGGGAGCATAAACCCTGTGAATGGCAGGAAGATACCCATCGCGAAGGGGAGACCGATGACGTTGTACAAGCAGGCCCACACCAGATTCAATTTGATACGGGTGAAGACTGCGCGTGAGAGGGAAAGACTGGCCGGGACCGAGAGGAGGTCATCTGGACGCATAAGGACGATGTCTGCTGCTTCCACAGCAACATCAGTTCCTGATGCTAGAGCAATACCAACTGATGCAGTTGCGAGAGCGGGAGAATCGTTGATTCCGTCGCCGACCATTGCAACCCGCTCCCCGTTCAATTGGAAGTTCGAGATGATAGTTCGCTTTTCAGAAGGCGAAGCTGATGCGTGGACCGAAGCTGACGGAATGCCAACCGCGGAAGCGATGGTAAGTGCTGTAGAAAGAGTATCACCCGTCACCATCGACGTGGAGATACCCATTCTATGCAGGGCTGCCACAGACGCAATTGCCGTACTTTTTACACTATCTAGAAGAGATATGGTTCCAGCGTAACGACTGTCGATCGCAACATGGATCCGCGTGACTCCAGACGCGTTCGGTTTGGGAGGCGCCACAAGGTCCGGGTTATCGTGATGATTCGAAGTGTCGGGATCCGCCGATGCAGGGACAGAAACTTCTCTTGACCGGAGAAACTCGGCATTTCCAAGAAGGATTTGGTAGCGAGTGCGTTCGACGCTCGAACTGGGTTGTACAACAGCGGAGACACCCTTGCCAACAGAAGCATGAAAGTCACCAACGCTTCCTGGAAGTCCGTCCTCCATACCGTGGCCAGATTCGGATTTGGCTTCGGACAGAATAGCACGGCCAATGGGATGCTCACTGCCCATCTCCGCGAGACCGACAATGAGCCACCATAGTTGGCGTCGCCAATCGTTGGTAGTCCAGTGAGGCTCAATTTGCGCTTGGGACACGCTCATCTTCCCGGTTGTCAGTGTGCCAGTCTTGTCAAAGACCACATGAGTGACTTTGGTGGCGGCCTCTAGAACGGCACCTCCCTTGACAAGGATCCCATGCTCTGCGCCAACTCCAGTACCGACCATGACCGCGGTAGGGGTGCTGAGACCCAAGGCACAGGGGCAAGCAAATACAATGACGGAGATGCAAAGCTTCAAACAGACCATGACACGACCACCGCTGTCTGCCGACTGGAAGATCTTCGGCGGGTTCTGCAGTACATGGCTTAGGAACATCCACCCAAAGAAAGTGATCATACCCAAACTGATGATTGTTGGGACAAAGTAACCAGCAACGATATCAGCCATGCGCTGAATGGGAGCCCGGCTTGTCTGTGCATCTTGAACCAGCTTGACGATCTGGCTCAGCTGAGTATCTTTACCAGCACGGATGACCTTGAAGTCGATGGAGCTTGTACCATTCACAGTGCCCCCAATGACATGGCTGCCCTTCTTTTTATGAATCGGCAATGCTTCACCAGTGATCATACTTTCATCGACGTAGCTTTCACCACGAATGACCAAGCCGTCTGCCGAGATCTTATCTCCGGGACGGAGGATCACGATGTCTCCAACCTGAATCAACTCGGTCGGAATGATCCTCTGGTTGACTGATACATCGTCAGACAAGGTGTGGTTGGTGCCGTCGGGCGCTCCTTCCCAGCCATCGGCCATCTTCTCAGCTGCGATGGGATCGTCGTAGATGGTGGTCATTGATGGTGTCAATGACATCAACCGAGATAAGGCGGCAGATGTCTGCCCCTTTGCTCGGTTCTCCAGCCATCTTCCCAGGGTAATGAATGTTATTAGCATTGTGCTAGTATCGAAGACCGTGCTTGGCCGCATGTGTTGATCGTCACATAAAGCCATGACCATGGTGAAGCAGCTGTAGAAGAAGGCAGCCGAGGTACCCAACATGACAAGAACGTCCATAGTCGGGGACCGGTGTCGCAAGGACTTGAAACTCGTAACATAGAAGCGTCTCCCAATTCCGAATTGCACGGGGGCTGTTAGACAAAGACATACAAGATCTCCGAGGTAGAGGCCTGGAAGCAGTCTCAAACGGCCAAAGTCGAGAGCTGGGAGGTACATGGGCAAAATCATGTTGATCAGGAAGACCGGAACCGCAAAAGATACGGAGGTGATGAATGCCCTCCGCCATTCCTGAATTTCTTTGGTCTTCGATAAAGACTCAAGCTGTGCATTGGTGTCGTCCGTGTCTGTAAATAGGGCATTGTATCCGGCCGCTTCGATGACTTCGAATATGGATCGAACGCCTATGACTGATGTGTCGAAGGCCACCAATAATTGGGTGTTAGACATGTTGATGGAAGCTGACTTGATGCCTGTTCGGTTCGTGAGATCATCCTCCAACGCTGTCGCAGCCGAGATATCTCGCAGGCCGTGAATACTCAGGTTGATCTGCTGTGTTTTTTTTGACAGCGGTTCCTGGGCCTCGGATGATACGATCGACGCATCGAATCCAGCATCCTCCACCTTTGCCACAATATCTTTTGCCGAAAGGGTCAACGGATCATGTACAATGACGGCGCGTTCCGCCAAAAGACTAATGTTGAACTGGAATACACCATCCACGTTGGCGAAGGCTCCCTGGACACTGGATGTACATGCGCCACATGTCATGCCGCGCACTGCAACAGTGGTGACCAGGTGACCGGTTTTATTTTCAGTTGTGTCGGCGAGCGTCGACGAGTCTTCCGAGTCCGATGAGAACTTTGTTTCCAACACCCGGGCTCCGAACCCTCGGTCTTCAATATGCTCTGCTATTTGTTCCGGGGAAATCGTTGCTGCATCATGTTCTACCACCGCGCGTTCCGACAGTAGCGACACATTCACCGAGTTCACCCCGGCGACGTCTTTCAGCCCGCTTTCGACTGCTGATGTACATGCGCCACAGGTCATGCCTTCAACCGCGAGGGTGGTCGTGGAGGATCGAGCCGACAAGCCATCGGCACTGGCGTCGGCCGTCTGGATTCGCTCTTCTGTTGATAGAACAGCCGCGTCGAAACCACAATCCTCGATCATTTCCGCGATTTTGGCCGGTGCCAGTATTGACGGATCGTGCTGAACGGTCGCGCGGCCCATAATGAGGCTCACCGAGACCTCACCAGCACCGGCGACATTCCTGAATGCGCTCTCGACAGCGGACGTGCATGCTCCGCAGGTCATGCCGTCGACCTTGAGGGTTGTTGTGGCCATGGCGGGGACTCGCTCGGCGGCTATCGCATCAGCCGCGCCACTTGTTTCGGCGAACATGAACGGATCGGAGGATTCGGAGGAGAGGACGGACTATCGCATGAGGGCGAAGGAGGTCGGACGGCGCAGGGCGCGATGTGATGAGATGAGGGGATAGCGTGATAAAGGATAAAGTGACGGATGGTTCGGATCGACTGTGCCCAGATCAGATCATTCCCGCATCAAGAAGACAATAGCCGCTGTAGTCAAAGCAAGCTGCAATGTCAACATCAAAGGCCACGTCGCCGCAAGCACGCAGAGGGAAGAATAAAGAAAGAGGCGAAAGGCCGGGCGGCACGGGAGAAGAGGATTAGGACAGGGAGATTACGCATGGGGTGGATCGGGATCGTCTCCGCCGCGTTGAGGAATGCGTTGCCGACTCCGCCGGGCGCTTCAATCTATTTCTGCACGCGCGACTGGCCCATTGCGAGCAGCGAGGCGTCCGATTTCCATTAACTGCAGTTTCCAGGATGACAGCGGGCCCTGAAACACCGACGGGCTGTCAGAGGCTGTCAAAAGCCCTAGAACGTTTCAGCTTCACTGGATGCCCACGCTGCTTAGTGCGTATCGGCCTCGGAGACTCGGATTGCATACCACGCCCAGAATGCAAGTCCTGGCATCATCCAGGGAGGCCATGCACGTTGCTGAGGCTTTTCCAGGGCCATCCCGGCACATTCAGGTCCTTGTGCGAGGGTGCTATACTACAAGTATGGTATATGGCACAACCTACAGTAAAAGGTAGTGGGGGCGTATACTTCCCAGCGCGGACGTGTAGATAAGATCATGGTGTTTGCATCCAATGCAAACAAGCTCGCCTTCACTTCCTCCGCCCGCAACTCGCATCAACTGCCCGCATCTGCCTGGCAAAGTGAACAGCTTAAATTCACTTCCCTTCATTCCCCTCGAATTGTGTCGCGCAGGATAGCCCCTTGTTGAAGCACGTCTGCTGTCGCTGATTCCACTACCCACCACCAGAGGTCCCACCAGCTCCCCCGTTCATCAATCACTCCCATGGATCAAACACACGCCCGCGCGTTGGAGGCTCTCCAACCGTTCATCCACCTTGCGAACTCCAATAGTGCCACATCGCCACGGTTTGTCGCCAATATAATTACAAATGCTACGTCCAGTCCACACACCTACGTTTTTGCCGAGCTGTTGGAGACCGAGACTGTGCAAGCCCTAGCATCACCGGACACCCCCGCTGAGTATCAGGGCTACCTCAAGCTACTGGAGATCTTTGCTTGGGGGACATGGCAAGAATACCAAGGTATGTTATACTCATCGCTCAGAAGCAGTAGAATTGAAAGCTAACGTAGCCTGCCTACAGCAACCCCGAATCTTCCCAAGCTCAGCAGCGAGCAAACCCTCAAGCTCCGCCTCCTCTCCCTCCTCTCTCTAGCTGCCACCACGAAACCCCTCACCTACCCAGCTCTCATGACCACCCTTTCACTTTCGTCAACTGCTGAGCTCGAATCTCTCCTAACGACCGCCATCTATTCAAACCTGATCTATGCTCGTCTTTCCCCCCGCAAGCACCTCGCCCAACGTGAATGTCACCGCAGTCGCGCCGCTCCGCGACGTCCAGCCACAGTCCTTGCCAAAAACGATCTCTTTCATTACTGGATGGGAGTCCTGGTCCGGCTATGTCATGGCCAATTTGGAAGCTGACATCGCGCGGGTCAAGTCCAATGCGGCAAAACGTCAGGCCAAGGAGAAAGAATACCAGGAAGGTCTCGCTAATGCGAACGAGCGACGACAGGCTACGACTGCAGGTGGTAAGAAGTCAGATGCATATTTGTTTGACCGTCAGACTGGAGGGCGCCCCGGGGGCGGAGTTGGAGGAAACAAGCGGGAAGCAGATGATATTGACCGGGACGATGGGTTCTTTGAAACCGGAGAAGGTGCTGCCGATTCTCGCATGGATATTGATGAAGGAGCTGGGGCTCGTGGTGGCAGCAGGCATTCGAAGCGCATACTTGGGGGCAGAAAAGCTTAGCTTCACTTCCAAGCTCAAAGGCCTATTCATGACTAAAATCGGGATGCTGACGAATTTGATGACCATGCTCTGCTACTACTAGATCATTGCACAAAGCGCAACACTCAGGCACCCAATAAATGCCCAAGAAGACCACTTCGCGCATCTTGATGAATGGAATTTGGGATTTTGCATTCATGAGGCCCTAACGGCAAGACTCGTAGAGAAACATGTGGTAGATACAAGAGATCGAATGTCAGAAGGGGTATTGGTAGAAGGTAAAGACAACGATGAACAGTGACAAATATGGACACGGTAAGGAGAAGGGGTATGGCCACCAATGGTCGGTGGAAGATGAGGGGATATTAACATCATCGGTCCATTGTACAAGTTCCGAAAAAACTGGACGCGCAAACCGATGACGCTAAGTATCCAAAAAATTATGCTTCACAGAAGCAGGGCCAGAATATGACAATCCGGACGCCGGTTTAAAGACGACTCCAATGGACCACGGGTGTGCAAACAGTAGAAGGTCGAAAAGCTGTTGACACCCGCGTCTTGAACCTGAGACGGAAGTAGACAGGTGACAATCAGCGATCATTAAGGCAGGAAATAACGGGTTTACAGCATGGTGCCCGGAACAAAGATGAACAGGATACTCAGAGCGGCGGCGGTCAGGAAGGCGATGGCCGCAGTGACCAGGGCGCGCTTGTTGAGTAGCTTGCGGACGTAGGGCTCACGAATCGGGGCCCAGTTCATGAATGTGTACTCGCTGTAGCCGATAAATGCCATGACAGGGTCGATCTTGTACTGATAAGAGACAATGAAGTAGGCGGCAACGGCAAATGGGAGGATGACCCAGCAGCGTATGTTTCGGGGCTTGTTGCGGAGAACCACGTAGAAAGCACCCCAGAAACCGCCTCCGAAGCTGATGAGGGCAAAAGCCAGGCGAGCGATAATACTGAGGGGGACGAGGTTACCGAGAGCCTTGGCCTGCAAGAAACCCGGGAATGCATCGCGCTCCATGGCTTGGAAAACGTAGTCTTTGGCGGGGTCGAATACCTCAGGGTCGTCACGGTTGTCGTCTTCAATTAGATTAATCACGGTAGAGACCATAGATTCGGGTAAGATTATCTCTCGCTCAGAGCCAGGAAGGAGATAGGTGTAGAGGATCTTTTCAGCGCTGGCACGGATATCATTACGCGCCACGGTGTGTCCAGGCGAGTTCGAGTCACCCCCATTGCGGGTACCGGAGCTCGGGCGGGGTTGCTGGTCATTTGAATCGGCGCGATGTGCCGACTGGGATCCAATGCTGTTCTGGGGAGAGTGCGACGAGGTATTGGCGTCGGAGCGCAGGAAAGCAGACAGACGATGGTCGGCGTCCCTATCCTTTTCATTGGCTGGAAGACGTGAAGGTCCAGCCTCCTGCAGCGGGATGTCGCCCAGGTTTTCCAAGTTCTCTAGCATGGCAGAAGATCGTTTGCTGTCGGCTCTCTCCATATCAGGTGTCGCAACAAGGACGGAGCGACGTAACTCTCGAACATAGTGACGGCAAAGGGACATATGCTGTGAAACATCGAGCCTGTAAAGAAGAGAAAGCTTGTTAGAATCATGCCCGAGTCTGATTCGGCGCCGGATGGTTTGTCTTACCAGAAGTCCAGATAATCAACAGAGCGTTGCTGATCGCGCATGTAAATGTAGAACGAGAAGAGGTCGACCGGAGCCAGTGTGCGCCGGCTGAGGACTTCGAAAAGGGTGGGCAGGCGATTGCGCTGCTCCACGTCGAGAAAAGAGTCTGGCGACGCCATATTTGCGTATTTGGGGGAGCTGTTATCGGTGAAAAAGTCCAGCACCGGTGGTTGTCGTAGAGCCCAGGCTGGGGCGCAAAAGGGGCAGGGAGCTTCTCAAGACGCGTGGCTGGCAATCCAAACACCACGATTTCTCGAGAAAATTATCAAAGATAATCTTTGTAATTCTGAAGGAACGAAAGGAGCCCTATTGGGGTCCGAAAGAGGGGTAGCGAAAAGAATCGAGTCTGGCGTCGTAGGACACGCAATGGGGTATCCAGATAGGAGAACCCCTGGGACCGCGGCTTTGTCGCACAGATGGGGAAAAAACCACTCCACAGCAGCCGTAACTCAGAAGAATGCAAAAGACAAATTGTCCATAAATTGGGAATTGAAACGAACGAGGCCAGGCTCAAGGGTAAGGGTGAAGGCACAACAGGAGTCCAGCCTTTGCATTCTCGGGCTGAAACAACACCGCAACAATATTATTCCGGACCCACCTGTCAACCCGCGTGAAGAGCATTACATCATAAAGGGAAGTTATATTTTATACTGAAACCTTGGTTGAGAATCGACTGAAACGAAAACCTACTAGATCAACTATGCTATGTCTGGTTAAAAATCAAATGCCATGAATCATTTCCATAGCACCGTGTATGGTCGGTTCTTATGCTCCGTAAAACTATCCACAGGGTATTGGTAAAACCGAGTGCCTCCGAACGCCGCGCCTTGTGAACACCCTCGCAAAAGATATGAAAAAAGTAAGAGTGAGCTAGTGGTGGCTGGACTCAGTGCCCTTCACCCAGATGCTAAGTATGGATGGTTAGCTCGTGAAATTTTAGCTGGGAATGATCATGCGATTTTTCAACTTACCGACCACTCGGGGATGTTGCGAATCTGCTGATACATGAACTTCTCAAGTTTGTTCGCATTCTTCGCATACGAGGTGCTCTCGTTGTTGTAGCGTCGGCAGTTGTTGAAAATCAACATCGCGTCCTTAATGAAGTCCTGCGGAGTCGGATACATGTCATTCTCGTGCTTCTCCTCCATCGTGGACAAATCCATCGGCTCTAGAATCACGTCGTAGTAGTCCGGCACTTCGTCACGATTCACAGGCTGCGTGAAGGGCCAAGCAGCACTATGATTCTGCATGTCATTCAGCAAATGTAGCAGTTGGTTGTAGTTAGGTCCGTGGCGCGGCTGGCGGGCAAGTTCGTCCATATCAGGCGACCATCCAGATTCCTTGATTGCAGGAATGGCGAAGGGGTCGATTTTAGTCACACCGTTCTTCCATTCCTTCGGGGGCGCGTGAACTATATATGACCTGCTAAATGCGCGAATCTTTGCTTGAACAGCCTCTTTTTGCTTCAGAAGCATTCGGCCTTGTTCGAGGTAACGAATCTTAGGCACCATTGTGCATTGCATGATGGTACCTCCCTCGTAATCTTTGATGTACCCCATCCAGATAGAATTGTCCAGTGTGATCTGTTTGGTGAAGCCCTGTTTTTGGAAATAACCAATGGCGTAGTTGTCGGCATATGTCAAAAAATGCATGATTGGCGAGGTGGCTTTGACATAGTCCTACCCAATGGATGTTAGATTTGAATAGTATTGCGGGTGCACAATCGGAATTGTACCTTGAGATGACACATGAGATGCGCACCATAGCCTTTGACTTGCTGATCAGAGGAAATCGCACAGAACACAATTTCGGCAAACTTCCGGCTGTTAAACGGGCGGTATGTTATACCCCTATGGCAGCCAAGTCAGCCTCGCTCCAGTGTATGATCCTTGTATTCTTCTATACATACCCTACAACCTCCAGCGGATGTTTGACGATTGCGATTGACAGATGTGATCGATCATAAACAAGCCGGGCGATGTAGTCTTTAGGCATTTTTGGAAGCTGCTTTTGGAAGATGCACTTCAAGCCAGTGAGGACGATGAAGCTGTCATGCGACCCGTCATTGTTGACCACGCGGAATTCGATATCACCTCGGCGTTCCTCCAAGACGGCAGGCTGCAGCACACATATTAGTCGGTATATTCACTCCATGCAAGTCTGGCCCGATCGTTTTGGTTTGCGCGGCGCCTGGGGAAGGGTGTGAGGGGAGATAGCTCACCTTTTCGGGGAAAGGAACGATTCGGAGTGGTGGTTTGTGTAGTGCGCCGTCATCCTAAGCAGATAGAGTGAGCAAACAGTTAAAAATCAAAATATAAATGCAAGGCGCCGGCGACCTACATCCTTTTCCGGGGAATCGGTGCGTGCCTTCTTGCTGGCCTGCTGCTGACTATCCTGGGAGGCAGGCTCCTCCGAGGCCTTCCTCTTTGAGCCTATGCAATGCTGATTGTGAGTCGCGGGTAGTATTCCCAGCTTCTGGAACGGCAGTACTCACTTTTGGGTGAATCAACTGCCATGGTGGGTTGGTTGGAGAGATCGGATGCTTCAATCGCGTTCCTTCGCGATGTCCCCAGAGTTCGGCACGGGTGATCATTGTTCCGACGCAATCGGCCAGATAGCCCAGACGCGCCTCCGCGCCAATCTATAATACCTCCGACTTGACACCTGGAGCTTCCCACCTCACTCCATTCCATTGTTGAACTCCACCGCAGCCACTTCCTCACCCATGTCTCTGAACGAAGTCTGGGAGGCAGCCTCCGCATCCCCTTTCCAACCTGTTGTGTCAAAGGACGGCCAGTTTTCTGTCGGCTTCAGTCTTCTCCTTCTTGGTACGCACGATTGGACATTGCTTGAGAGGCCCTTCTGACTTTTTTCACAGCTTTAATCTTCACCGGTCTCTTCGGCTTGAGTGAGTTTCTTGCAATCGGGGATACTGAATACTCGCCTTGACTGACATCATCGAACAGATCGATCTTTCCTTAGCCTTGCGTCCCTCGGTGTCCCAGCTTCGTTACTCTTTGGGTGAGTGTATTTGACTTATGGTCAAATTCCTATTTCCTGTGGCTAATATTCTTTCAATTGAATAGTTTCGGAGCTGTGTTCATGATCTGCGCCGTCGGAGTCTATGTTTAACGTGATACCCATACTCTTTCCCCTCCATGTACGATAAACGGGGAATTCAAAGGGAATTGTACTGCTAGAAGTTCCCAAGCCATCTGAAATCCGTGACCCACAATCTTCCTCGCCGTTTCGCGCTCTTCAAGCTACAAGCTAGCAACTTCGCCTAAAGATGGAGCCACTATTCACTTGCGTCTCCAATAACGCCCATCACCTTTACACCCTGCTCTCCTGCATTGGCTTCGCCTCTAGAGCGACTGTGCAAATCACCCCCGACGGCCTTCGATTCTCAGTAGAGGAAGGTCGCGTTATCCAAGGCTTGGCTTTTCTTGACAAAAATCTTTTTAACAGCTATTCCTTCACCCAATCGACCGACCCAAAGGACGTGGAATCAAATGAGAGTGACGATTCCTCAAATGGAGTTGCATATCCTCATTTCGTTGTTTCGCTTTCCGCTCTCCTCGAAACATTGAAAATCTTTGGTATCAACGACCTCAATGAGCCCAATGGCATCCGAGATACTAGTTTCCCGCAAACTAACCCGGCGTCAAGCGCATTTAGCGCACCTGCTTTGCTTATGGATCGCTCTTGCACCTTGCAATACGCACAGCATGGAGCTCCATTAAGCATTGCCATCACCGAAGCAGGTGTCAAAACTACCTGCGAGCTTGTGACCTATGAGCCGGAGGATAACGAAACCGACATACCCCTTCAGCGTGACGCCATCATCATGAAGATCATCATGCGCTCAGCCTGGCTTCATAATGCCATCGCCGAACTGGACTCATCGGCCCCAACAATCCTCAAGATGTCTGCGTGCGCTACACGAGAACCATATTTTGCACTCGCCGGCGCCGGTGGTCCGTTTAGCGAATCGACTGTGGAGTTCTCTGTTGACCAACACAATGAGATTGTTGGTGGTGCAAGCCATGCTGGTCAACAATCGCAGTCTCACAAGGTTCTAGCCGACGATGGATCATCGCGGGTACGGGCAACGAGGGCAAAGCTAGCACCAACTGTCACTGAAACTTTTCTTGTGGCACCGCCAGCTTCGATGGGTGAGCGAATCAAGCAGAGCTTTCGCTTCGCTCTCATCAAAAAGGCAGCCCGCGCCATGTCCGTTGCAAACAAAGTCAGCATTCGAGGTGATCGACAAGGGGTGCTCAGTTTGCAGTTTATGATCGAATTGGATGGTAACAATGCCGCCGGGAGGCCTGTTGGGGCGGGTGTCAAAGCTCCTGCCGGCCCAGTATGCTTTGTGGACTTCCGTTTTGTACCACTGCTAGATGAAGAGGAGGCTGATATGGATATGCCGGCCGGCAATGAATAGTTTACCTTACGAATCACATCCATTTGACTACTGTGTTCTCGGGCCACCGATTTGGATAAGATGTTTTGACTGAGTGTCTGCTAGCCACGATTCATGGTACAAGCAACTCGATGAATGCGCCAGCAAGGCAGTCCCTCTACAATAAAACTGTATGTATAAAACTGTAAATCCAATCAAAGTAAATTGCTGTCAACCTCGCCACCAACGCCTAGATATGAATACGTCTCCATGATAATCATGTTTCTTAAACTCCCGCGTTCGTTCTGGAATTTACATGACCTTTGAAACACGTTAGCAGAAGCACACAAAGCTAAAAGATCCAGCAATATGATAAACATACCTCTGCAATCGACTGTCTCTCAATGATCGACTTTTGTCTTTCGTTCCGAGACACACGATAATAGTAGTCACTGAAATCTCCGCATTGCATATGGCGCAAAAATTCCTCGTCGTGGGTAATGACGATCAACTGGAAGTTAGACTGCTGCTGGCGAGCGCGAATGATGTCATGCAGCGACTCGGCAAGCGATCGAATGTTATCACGATCCAAATTCGTGGTAGGTTCGTCAAGAGCGATCAAACCACAGTTGACACCGAAGCATTCCGCTAACGCAAGGCGAATGATGATACTGGCCAGTACTTTCTGACCAGCGCTGCAACGTCCTCGCATGTCCATTTCTGCACCCGATTTGACCATGCAAACGCGGTAATTGTATGAGCGATTGCCTTTGGCGTTCTCGTTGTCAGATCGAATGAGGATCGTGTCGACATCAGTTCCGCGGTACGTCTTTTGCCAGAGTTCCCCGATAATTGAATTGATTTCCTCCATCTTCAAGCCATGGTATCGCATGATTGCCTTGTCAAGGGCTCCTCCATAGCGGGCGAGATCTTCCACTGCAGCCTTTGTGGTTTCCACCTTGATATGAGATTCTTTGTATTTGGAAGCCGCATCTTTGTAATCTGTATTCCAGTCTGCCAGAAGTTGCATCAATTGGTCATCCTTAGACTTCATTTCGCCCATCTTGCTGGCCTGTTTGGCAGCAAGTGCATTATGTTCGCGGGTCCAACGCTCCGACTCCTGTTTGAAGCGACTGCGGTCGACTTCAGCATTTTGTTCCTCAAGTTGCTTGACCTCGGCTAAGACCTTGCGCAAAGACCGATTCGCCTTGCGGTAAGTAAGATTATCCGAGTACTGGCGTTTCGTGTTCTCGCTATCCTTCAATTGGGCAGAAATCTTGTTTATCTCGCGTGTGATCTCATTTTGCTCAGCCTCAAGCTTGCTGATCTCTTCTTCAATCTGGACAAGCTCTCGCTTGCTCTGCTCGAGTTGAGTTGGACCACCTCGTTCATTATACGAATTGATGTCATCATTCGCAAGATCGAGTTGGTGAATACTTTCCGAAACACGGTTGATCTCATGCTGCAAACCTCGTTCGCGTGCGTCAGCTCGTTGGCTAATATCTTCGTAGCGGGTTTGAGCCTGCAGCAGTTCTGGCGACAGACTTTCGATATCCTTATCTGCCTGGTCGATGATCTCTCGCTGTTGAGAATTGAGTTTTTTGTATCCCTCCATCCGGACGAGCAGATCGGCCTTCTTCTCCAGTTGAAATTTGGCATTGTTGAGGCTATCTCTCACATCCCTGAGTTGGAGCTCCAGCTTGTTCATTTCAGCTTGTGTCTGCTCCTTGTCACTGGTGAGTTTTGCGAGCGCCTTTTTCAGCTCGCGGGATTTGTCATTGGCACTCTTGAGTTCATCTTGGATATCATCCGAAGAGCGACCTGTAGAGACACCTTGTTGTTTTGTCGAAAGCTCCTCGATATTGGACATGCTGGATTTGATTTCAGCATCATATTTTACGATTGTGCTGACTGTCTTGGACAATGCTTCGACATCTCGCTTGCTTTCTGATTTCTCGCTGACTGTTCGATCGTGGGCTTCGAGCCTATCAAGTAGCTGATCTCGCTGCGATTCGCATTCCTCCTCCTCCTTTTCTAATTCCGGGATATCGGTCTCCTTGAGACGAATCCATGAATCGTACGCTGCACTGGCTTCCCGTGCAGTTTTGAGCGCCTCCTCTAGACATTTCAGTGACTCGTCTTCGGCGTCTATACCGGCCTTCTTGACTAGTGCCTCCATTTTCTTGGTAAAGTTCTGGAGCTCAGCTTCGCTCTTGAATGGGCGCTGGCAAGTGCGGCACATCTTGACCTGTCTAGCTGCCTCGAGGCATCTGTTGAGGTATTCACCCATACCGGCGAATTGATCCGCATCCTTGCGAGCGAGATCATATTGTGCTTGTCGTTCCTTGACAGTATCTGGATATTCCGAGGGCTCTGCTTCGATCGCCTCGCGAATCTCTTTGACACATTCATCAAGTTCCTTCTTGCGTTGTTTCAGGCTCTTCTTGGCATTTTTCAGCCTGAACTCGACCTGTTCTAGCTCCCGGCTCACACCATCGCGCCCACGTTCCGCGTCGGTCAAGCCCTTCGTTTCAACATCAAGCACATGCTGGAAGTCGTGCTCTAGCGTTTGGGGTTGCCAATCTGAGCCAACACATTTCGCAAGACGGTCTCCATGGGCTCCCCTCATTGTCTGCAGGCTTCGTTCTTTTTCCTTCGCATCCTTTTTGAGATATTCCAGCTGCGCCAGTTCCTTTGCTTTCTTCGAAGATTCTATAAGCTCGCTATTCAATTTAAGACTATCGTCTTCGAGGCGCTGGATCTGAGCATTGATGTCTTGAATTTTCGTATCCCAGGATGAATTCTGCGCCCGTTCTTTGGCATGCTCAAGGCTCGAGGTGATGTCCTCGATTTTGGCCTCTAGAGAGGACTGGATTCCCTCGTCGACATCGATTTCATTGAGCTTTCTCTGATATGCTGCCGACTCGCAGTCATTTGCTGCGATTTGTCTCTTCGCGGCGTTCTTGCTTTCCTGGAGGGCGGATTTCCTCTGTCCAATCTCATTGAGTGTTTCTTGAACTTCGCGAAGCTCTTTTTGAGCCTCTCGCTTGACACGTTCAAGAGCCTGATTTTGATCCCGCAGGAAACGACGGATCCTTTGCATGAATGCATCGACATCAGCTTGGTCCATGTTGCCATCAACACCACGAAGATTATTCCCACGGGCGATATCGGTGATCATATTCTGGCGCCTTTGCAGCTGTCGCTCGAAATTGGCCTTGTCGTTTTCAAACTTGCCATTTTCGGCCTGTTTCAAGCCCAACCGGTGCCTGGTTTGCTCGATCCGTTCTTTGAGGTCCATGTAGGTCTCTTTTTGGACTTCTTCCTGTTGCTGGTACTCGATCTGCTTGGTCTCGAATTGCTCCAATGTGGACTCAAGCCATTCATCGGAGTCATCAAGCTCGACGAGGTGATGTTTTAGGTTCTCAATCGTCGTTTCGATACTCTTGGCTTCGATTCGTTTTCCTTCTAGCGCACCAAGGATCTGGGCGTAGCTTTCGGATTCCTTCCAGGCCTTGTCAGCTAGATCGGCAACCCGGCGCATCTCTTTGGACATTTGATGAGTCTCCTCTCGCAGAGCCTCGATTTCATCTTGCAGCTTGACTGATCGCTTTTCTGCTCGATCGGCCTTGTCTTTGTCTTCTTTGGCATGCTGTTCCATAATTTTGAACTTGGCCAGCTCCTCATTTTGCTTCTTTCGCAATGCTTTGATGTTGTCGATGGCCTTGGTATACTTCATGGCTTCAAAAATCTCGTCGAACCTTTTTTTGAGTACGGACGGCTCACTCATCGGCCACAAGCTCTCGTCCTGGTGACAAAAAATGACCGAATCCAAGACTGCCTTGGAAACACCCAGGTACTGAGGCATTATTTGGTCCAGCTCTGCCACCCGTGAAGAAATGGATGCACGCTCGCCATTCTTCACCATCACCAATTGTCCTTCCAGTGTCTTTTGTTGCCTCGTGGTTTTCTTGACCGTAAGCTGCAAACTACGTGTAGCAACCATCTTTGCGCCGGAGGTGCCATTGAAAGAGAGCTTCACCTGGGCAAGAACTTCCTTTTCGCCACATAATTTAGGGTCATGGATAAAGGCGCCGCCTTTGCTGTTCGGAGGAAGGTCACCAGTGGTGGCATATTTCAGACATTCGATGATGGTCTAAATGATGTTAACGCTTGCCTCTGTCACCCAACAACTTGAATGCTCTGACTCGGGTTCGTACCGTTTTCCCAGAACCGTTATATCCGACGATCAGAGTTAAAGGAGTATGAAACTGTATGGTCTCGCTGCGCGTGTTATCGAAGGACCGAACCCTTAAGGTGAAACAAGCTGGTTAGCACATGGTAATCACATTGTTAGTACATTATCACATCCATGGCAGAGTAGCCAGGACAAGTACATACCCCAAAATCGAGAGTTTGTCTATCTTCGCTATATGTCGTAATGTTCCTGATCAGAGTCGGTCTGAATGCCTGCTGGTTGGTCACACTTACACCTGTCATGTCGTTAGCATAGGCCAAGTCCGCGGGGAATGATCCGCGCTCACATTTTGGGACGCCCACGGAGGTTGGCGTTTCGGAATTCTGTTCAAGAGCAGCGGTGGTCGTATCTTTTTCACCCGCGTCTTCGCTCTGCGTATGCCCTGTGCCGTCGCCGTGCTGACAGAGTGCTCGGGTCGCTCGTGAATTTGTGATGCATCGAGCTTCCCCACTCAGCGGCGGTCGCGCTGGCGCGACACGAAGTCACGTGCCGGGCCTAGTGTATTACTTCAGCAGGATGACCCCACAGGATCGGCGAGCGCCTGTCAACCTGAGCGGCCGGCTCATATTTCCTGTTTTCTCGCTTTTCCCTCACGAGTCCAGGCCATCTGTCTAAGATGCACTGGCAAGAGGTCGAATCGCTGGGAGATCTGACACTACGGATTTCGCGTTCCGTCCCACCCGGCTGAGAATGATCAATTCCACCACTAAACTATACCGGTTGTGTTTCCAGACACCTCCTCGGGAATGAGCCCGTCAATCTCTGGTGATCCCTGAACTCCCAAGGCGCCTAGCGACTCCAAACTCACCACGGCGGTAACTTCCGACCTTACTTCCTACTCGCTTCCCGATCAAAGTCCTCTTGATATAGCATTAAGCCAACAACAGCCCTACAACAACATGTCCTTGCCCGCCCCACAGTCGCGGACTGGCTCCAACGCGGGGAACCAGGGTTACCTGGTGAACCAACAGAATATGGTCGGGTCATACAGACACTATGGGATGCAGGGACCACAGCAAGAAGGATACAGTACCCAGAATGATCCGGGGTGGATCCAGCGAGTGTTGGAGGAAATGAAGGACATGCTCGTCCTTCTCAACGCTAAGGGCCGCATCAACTATGCGTCGCCATCCGCCAAACAGATCACCGGTCGCGCAGCGAACCAGTTCGAGGGCAGCTTCCTTACCCAATACATACATCAAGGCGACAAGCATATATTCTTGCGTGACATGGTCGAGTCGGTCGAGTGCAACCAGCCGTTCCGAACTCATGTGCGATTCCAAAAAGCCAACAACACATACTGCTTGCTAGAAATCTATGGGCATCCCCATATCGCCAATCCAAATCCTTCCCAGGAAAGTAGCGGAGCTAGCCAGGATCGTTGCATGGGATTCTTCCTCACGTGTCGGCCCTATCCGCTCAAAAATTCACAACTTCTCGACTCCTTCCTTGAACACAAAATTGAAAACGCGCGTCTGGTACAGCAAATCACCAAACTGAAACAGGAGGAAGAGGAGGAGGCAAACATGTCGCGCATGTCTTATAACAGGGTGGAAGTGGGTAAGCCTTGGGGCGAGAATCCATCTACTACTGCACGACAGGTGGTCTTGAGCGACCAGGAGTCTACCGAGACCGTAGCTCCAAACTCGGACTCGTCTGACGAAAACCCCTCTCTTGATTACTTTGCGAATAATGCTCCGCGTGCCGAAAACCTGTCCCATATTGATGGTATTGAAGTCATGACCGGCCTCTACTATGGCGATGGAGAAAGATCACAGGGTCTCAGTACTGGCGTCAACCCAGGCAGATTGGTTCACTGCGATATCGATATCACTACTGCAGCAGATCAAGCACGCAACGCCCAAGAGGGTGACCGACGAAAGAGGCTGAAGGACCAACACGTCTGTGGTGATTGTGGCACAGCCGACTCTCCTGAATGGAGAAAGGGCCCCAATGGACCTAAAACTCTCTGTAATGCCTGCGGCTGTAAGTTCAAAAGTTTGTACTTTCTCAGGAGTCGCCATAGGCTAAAAAAAACACATTGCAGTACGCTGGTCCAAAAAGGAGAAGAAACGGCAAGAGTCCACCTAAGTCTTCCTGTCAAGTTTCTAAGGCGATTGGGGTTTCTTTTTTCTTTCTCTTCCTCTCCTTGGTTTGGCGACTTTTGTCCGGATACCAATCTCGGCTTTCTCATCATCACCTGGCACCCCTTTTAAGTATTAACCCCTTGGTGGACCAAATCATTGCAGTGTTGATAGCACTGGAACCACAGCGGCTTCGTGCTTGACACTCGGTACAGTATCTCAACGAAGTCATGATCGTTTTGTATTTCGAATCTGCTTGGGATGTGGTGTGCATTCTATTTGGGTGTTTTCTGAAGTCTATTTGTTGTTTTGCACATGATTTATCAGCATACGAAATAGGAACACTAAAGTTAGCTTTTTTGTATTTCATGATGAATGATTCAATGTAGAAAGATTAAGATGACAGTCTCCAGGCCCCCGGGGGTCTGGAATGTTTCATACTCGCACGCCATCAGATGATATGTACTGCTGTTTGTATATTGATGCTTCAAAGGCCATCAAAGATGGGCCCAGTCCCACTAGAAGAGGTACTCGGGAGAAGGATGAAAAATCTGGTTGCTATCACCAGACAATTTTGAAAATGAGGGGAATATGTATGAACAACAAAGGATGGTATCATAGAAAAATCAGGTTTAGAACGCATGCACGAGAAGAAAGCTCAGTTCTTCATTGCCTTCTTTGGAGGTGGCGGGAAATACATAGGCTGGGCAGGTGGCGTCTGCGCCTCTGTCGTTTGCGGCTGACAAGGTATCTGGGGTGTAGGCATGCTCGAGTTATCTCTTAGTGGGAGATCGGATGAGGTGCTACCACTTCCGAGACGGTTGAATGCCAGATGGCGGGGCGTGAATGGCGAGATTGGAGCTCCGTGCCTCACGGCGGGCGAAGCGACCATTGGAGGAAATCCGGGGGTTCGAGGGACCATTCCAGCAGCCGACATGGGAATCATGCTGGGTGATTTGAGGATTTCTTCCTCGAATTCCTTCTCGATACGTTTCTCCTCTCTTGCTTCCAGAACTTGCTCCTTTTCTTCTTGGGTGATGAAGCAGGAGTGGACGCTGATTCCGAATTCCGCCACATAGATCACGCTGCGTGGGTTAGCCTTGCTATCTATGCTTCGGGGGTTGGTTCAACGTACATCACAATAACGGTGATTGCGAAAAGCGACTTGGCTTGAGCACAGTATCCAATATTTGACGGTTGAGCAGCAACACTGCAGCTTTTTGTAATATACCATGGCGGCCCAGGCTGGGGATGTTGCGGGTCGGACATATCACTGCCTGCTTGATAACGGGCCGCGACAATGTAGAGTGCCACAAGAGATCCGTGAATTGTCGCTGCGATCGGAGGATGGAACAGATGCATCGCATGGAGAGGCAGCTTGACGATCAAGAAGAATGTGCTCAAAACACCAAGGACCAGGTTGTAGTTGGTGATGCTATTTCCCGCCATTGGTTTAGTTATCCGCTCGTTTTTTATACGTTGGTCGACGAAGCCAAGGAATACATACAAATCTGACCAGACAATAGGGGCCTTGTAGGGACGGTGATTGGCAGCTGCATAGAGTGCCTCATCTGGGGCGCTATTAAAGCCATTGTCGGCACCATCCTGCCATAGCAATGACCGGTAGAGGTTGTGTGAGGCGATACCCGTAAGAGTCAAGACGACGATGGTAAATGGGAATTCAACGGCCATCAACCAGTACGTCAACTTGTAGTGCCGATGCTGCCTGGGGAAGAAGAACTGCATGGTGGCAGTGACGAGCGGGCGCGATCACCTACCGCCGAAGCGCTTCTGTTCCAAGACAGCCGTTTCGCGGGAGAAGTGATGGCAAGATTAATGAAGTATAATGCGATTCGGCCAGGCCGGCTGGCTAAGATACCCAGTCCTTAGCATGTAAATCGCCAGAGGTTGATAGCTTTGCACGAAAGGCAGAGAGTTCAGTAACGCACGAGTTTGGGCGATCTGGGCGATGGGCGTTAGATATGAGCTCGAAAACCCCAGGCCACCGACACTGCTGTCGCCCATGGCCGGGGCCGCAGAGAGGGGCACGAATCAGCAGCGTCAACGGATGCAGAGAGCCCTGGCAGTGTTTTTGAAAGATGCGTCTGACCAATGCTTGACGGCGGCAAAGCGCCAGCACCAGCACCCCGGCATGCCTGTGGCACCAATGGGAGGCCGACAGTGAGGGTGCGCTGCCGGTCGTCACACACTAGCGAGTGTGATGGGAGGACGGATCTGCACGAGCGCTCCGCTGAGAACTTCAGCACACGAACTCGGACGTGCTAGTTGCATAGCGACGAGTGGTGTTGGGCGAAACGCTATGGTGGAGAAGGCAAGCTGTCCCTCTGTGATCTTGCGTGCATCTCTCGTCGTCGCTTCCCGAGTGCTTGCAGCCGTCCCATCCCAAGGCACTTGATCCCTGTCATCGGAGTCAGCATGATATTGTTAAACACTAAGACGGCAGATAAAATTTAAAAAGATAAATAAACTCACCATGGGGAGTATGTTGTAATGGTATGAGGTCGAGTGCGGAGTGGTCTACAGCGTTGAGAGGCCCTGCGTCGAGAATAGAGCTCTGGTCATGTGGTCGACTGCACTGTGATTCCCACGCAGCTTCGACTTGTTCCAGGCACACCTTGACTGTCTCTTCCCGCTCGATTGCACATTCGCACATTGCATAGTCCGGCCCACCGGATCCTGGCCTTTTCCTCTCACTTGTTGCGCACTCGACCGACTTGAACAACCCCCGCAGCCCGACTTGCTCCGCCGGCGCTAATGCACCGCGGCGTTTCGCTTACCCTGCCAGACGTTGGTATTGATAACAACCATGAATTACGTAGGCGCGAGTAGGGATACTTCACTTCGCTTGGGAGTTCAAGATAGGCTTCTCTTTGCATTTCCCACCCAAAATGGATTATATGTTCCTGTACGTACCGGATTTTAGGCCACTGTCGTGACTTTCCTGATCGGGATGCCGCCGCTTTAACGAGCGCACTCATGGTTTTGCTCACTGAGTATTCACAGCACAGGTTGACAGCTCACAGATCACTTCGGAGTGCATAGTAATATATCATGCGACGCTCAGTGAGCACTCTAGTCAGCTCAGTGAACAATTCGGTCAGGCCAGGGATCACTCCGGCCAGGCTCAAGGATCACTCTGGCTAGACAGTGAGTAGCATGAGTAAACAGAATCAAGTCATGTGACATTAGTATTTACCCGTCACGAATTTATTTTGCGATGCTAGCGTCGGGCCCTAATGACTTATCCATTAAATGACTACCAATGTTTTCAACACTCCACCTTCTTTCTGAGCTAATTGGTCTTTATTATTCGGAAAACTGATGACGAATGAAAATATACGGCTTTTACCTTTGGTGGCCAATGCAGATTTTTCTTAGAAAATAGCTCTCATGGCCATCAATCTGAGAGGTATAAATGCAGCATACCCTCCTTCCAAGCTTGATGACCCATGGCGGAAATTACGGAGGAGTTTGCAACTGAAGCAGTTCGCTTTCTGTTCCATTTTTGGTTCCTTTTGCAGTCATTGTGTTATTTTTTTTGCTTTCCGTTTCTCAGTATGGGGGCCGCACATCGGAGTTGCGACTTAGCAAGAGAAAGACGCCGTGCGCAGCGCAAAGAGACTGGTTTTTGTCCTGAAACACACCGAGCGGATGATGCCATTCGTGACAAGCATAAGCGGACAAATGATGTCAAAGACCCTCATCACAAGTACGTCCGACTATAGATTGAGTAAGTGTGCAGGTCTACACTATGTTTCATAACATTTTAATGAGTTTCAGGTTTCTCATTGACAGCGGAAGAGCCGCGGAAGCTTATGAACTAAAAAGGGGATGTCCACCTCGACCAACGGTGACGATAACAACCCCGTGGCACTTTCTGACCTTATGAAGACCAGCGGTTTGGACAGGAGCCTCATTAGTGCCATCATGGACTACCACTGCTACCAGGGCTCCCGCCGTCGAGCCTCAGCAAGGCTTCTACACCCCCACAAATCTTAGTTACAACATGGTCGACCCAAAGGTCATCGCAACCCTCACTTGCTGGCACGATATTGTTGGACCTGCTTATGGCTCACTTCATCGGGTCCTGACTAGCGGTCCCAATGGCCCTGAGGGAAGCGGGAAGAAGACGGCGTTCCAGGTCACCCACAACACCACGCAGAGCTTCTACGACTGGCTTGAATCACGTCCCAAGCAACGCGCGAGCTTCAACGGGTACATGGCCGCAGTTCATGCAGACACGATGAAATGGCTTGACGTGGTGAACGTTAATGAGGAAATCGCACACAACGCGCACGAGAACGATGTGGTCTTTGTCGATGTCGGTGGCGGCGACGGTTCGCAGTCTATCGAGGTGCAAAAGGTACACATTCTCGGCGGTAAGATAATTATGCAGGATCGTGTCGCCGTTGTCGAGGCGGCGACAAAGGCACACGAGGCCGGCGTGGAGACCAAGACATACGACTTCTTCACTGAACAGCCTGTCAAAGGAGCCCGGGCCTATTTCATCCAGTTCGTCCTTCTCAACTGGGCCGACGACGACTGCGTGCGCATTTTCGCCACCCAGGCTTCCACCATGGGTCGCGATAGCGTGCTGATGATCGTTGACTACGTGCAAGGGCACAGGTGGGAGACCAGGAGCGAGCTCCCATAGCCGGACTTGTGGACTCCCGCGGGAGATTTGGCCGCGCGATTCGTTCAAAAATACCGTAGGTCGGTCCGCTGCCAATTATCGCGAGCTTCTGAAACACTCTGGCTTGGAGTTGACGGAAGTCAGGGTCTTCACCCAGTTTGGCCAGGCGGTTATCATGGCCAAGAAGCCCAATTCAGCCGTGGATGGCTCTTGAGATGCAATCACAGCTTCCTAGCTACCGCAAGCCTGTAATTTTCAGTTTTTCATGCCATTTCTTAACTTGCAACCTACAAATTGGTTTCTTTTTAAAAGTAAGCACTGTTGTCGCTGTTGCTTGTGTATATGTAGCGTGAAAGGAATGGTACTTCTACGCTAGGTGAAGCACAAAAAAAGGATTATAACGTAATTCACCACCGAGTGAGTCACCCACCCAACTACTTTCTACTATATAGTGCATTTTATCAACATTTTATCAACCATAAAGCCAATATTTATTGATCAATCTCTAATTGGACATGCATTTCTCTTTTGCCCTATCTCTCCACCTGTACATTTTGGTAGGCGTCGTTGTGATGGTGCTACATCAGTTTGAATATGCTGCGTTGGTAGTGCTGATAGTAGTGCTGATGCTTGTGGTATAGGCTCAGAGGTTTGTATGAGCTTATGAGCTTTCTGCCCTGATAATCCTCCATCATGTGGTATTGTCTATTTGATTGATGTCGCTTTTGCTTCTTTTCCTCTAGCTCAGCACAAAAACCTTTGTTTTCTTGCTTGGTAAAATGTAGCTCTGTTATTACTTGCCCAAGTGCTTTATATGCCTGGTCAACCACTTGATTTGTAGGCATTGGCGGACTTTCTGATTGATATTTAAGTAATGTTTTGGCTGATATTGTGTGCTTTGTGAGCTGTGCAATATGTATAGGTGTTGTAGGGTAGTAAATGCTTGATTGGCTTGAAGGTCGCTCAGGTACTGGTGTTGGTGTTCGAAGCTGATTATTGAGCTTATTAAGCACTGATTCAGGGTTTATTGGCACTAAACCAGCTGCTTTAAAGCTATTTTTGATTGTATCCGATTTAAATGCGTCAATGCGAGCTTGTGGGTATGCTGCGAGGAAATCATGCTTGTTGATATGATTGACACCAAGCTGTATTTTTTGGTCAACTAAGCTTTTGTATGAGTGCTTTAGTAATGCAAAAAAACCTAATATTGAGGGGCTGTAAAGGTGTGAGCTATGAGCTGGCATACAGATTGGCATAATCTTATTTTCTGAGCAAAGATGATCGAATTATGGTGTTAAATGACTGCCGTGGCCGTCGAGGACTAGTAGTCGATATTGACCGAGTGTACGGGGTTTTGTCGATGGAATAAACACTTTTTGAAGCCACCAAAGGCCTATTTCATCAGTTTTCCACCCATTTGCGCTAACCTTGAAGTGCCAGCCAGATGGAAGATCATCAAACCATGATTCTTTATAGACTTTGCCTTTAAAGATAACCATTGGTGGAAGCGCTCACTCTGAAGCGCTGATTGACTCAATCACGATTAACCAGGTGCGATTTCCTGGCTGTAGAACCGATCTCCAACCGTAATATCCTGCTCGCGTAATAACTTTTGCAGTTCCGGTAAGGCCCATCACAAAGCTGGTCTCATCAAAGTTATAGATATCCTCCGATAGAATACCGTATGTAGTGATCGAGTTTGTACAGTAGTAAACCACTCGCATAGGACCTTTGGATCCTCCTGTTGTGCGTGTTTATAATTATATCGCCGAGAAAAGCGAGATTTAATCTCCGGATGGTGTTTAACAAATTTTGTGGCCCAATTTTGGCCTATCAGTAGTGTTGCTTGTACCGCGATGTTGTAGTAATAAATCAGTCATCTCTCACACTATTGAGGCCTAGGTGCTCCACCACGACCATACATCGATAGAATCCATTGTAGAAGCGAGTTTTCTCTATTTCTGTCAATTTATGATCATTTGAGCGCGTTTCACCACGACTTGTAGTACCGCGGAGCGGACGCGTGAGCGTACAACGATTGACCTTGAATTGCTCTGCAGCCTGCCGAATTGAGCTGAATTCCTGGTTTTCTATGGCTTGTATGGCCAATAAGATGCAGCCCTCTTATTGTACAGCATCCTAGCTTGATCTGACTCGATTTGGATACATGGTTGTTGATAGAAGATAGAAGAACGCGTGGAGACATGATCTTTTGGGTGGCTCACTCGCCGGTGTGGCTCACTCAGTGGTGAATTACAATATATGAAAAAGCAGTGTTCAAAAAAGGCCGACTTGCTTATTATCGGGGGCAGATATTCCCAAAGCATTTATATAATAGCGGTGTAACCGAAAATTTTTGATGTTACTTGGTGACCGTGTAATACACATACATACGTTACTGCGCCTTACTTGCCCCATTCGACGGGGTGATCCAAGGAAGTCGGTCCCACATAGTCTGAGAGGGGATCCCGAAGGTCCACTTAGGAGAGTCACATCACATAACAACTAGGGCGCCCAGCTAACAAAGAATTACTGTACAGTATCACGGGATAACTGTCAGGTGATCTGCTATTCCGATCCTTTATATCCCCGAGCCGGTCGTCGCCGTCCCAGCCTCAGTATCACTATCGTCTTTTTGCTGTGATCGCGTCGCGCACTCAATATCACGATCACCACAATGGCTGCCGCCGCCGCCGCTTACCCCCAGCTCACCAAGAGCAAGCCTGAGGGCATCGATCTCTATGCTCGCTTCGCTCTTGCCGGTGCGCTGGGCTGCTCCATCACGCACGGTGCCTTCACTCCGGTGGACGTGTACGTGTTCTCAATTGATTCTCGGTCCAAACACAGCTCCACCCACCATTTTCTGAACTAACTGAACTGGGAATCCCCATGCAGTGTTAAGACAAGGATCCAACTCGACCCTGCCACTTACAACCGTGGCATGATTGGCAGCTTTCGCCAGGTCGTCCGCAACGAAGGTATCAGCGCTCTCGCAACAGGTATCGGCCCAACCTTCGCGGGCTATTTTATGCAGGGTGCCTTCAAATTTGGTGGCTATGAATTCTTCCAGCAGAAAATAAATGATATTTTCGGCAAGGAAAAGGCTACAGAGAATCGTACAGCTGTTTATGTTATTTCGGCTGGTACTGCTGAGTTCTTTGCCTCGATTGCATTATGCCCCTTGGAAGCGACGCGTATTCGTCTTGTCTCGACACCTGGCTTTGCCAACGGTCTGATTGGTGGCTTTGGGAAGATCCTGAAAAATGAGGGTATTGGTGCCTTTTATTCTGGCTTTGGTCCGATTCTCTTCAAGCAGTACGTTCACTCAATCAAAGAACCCCATTATAATAAAGAATAAAAGCTAATCCTAAAACAGGGTTCCTTACACAATCACCAAGTTTGTTGCTTTCGAAAAGGTTTCTGAGGCTATTCTGAGCCAGTTTGACAAGCCCCAAATGTCTGCCGGTGCCTCGACCGCTGTGAACCTTGGATCTGGTCTGATTGGCGGCTTTGCAGCTGCCATCGTGTCGCAGCCTGCTGATACTATGCTTTCCAAGATCAACAAGACGAAGGGTCTGCCGGGTGAGAGCACTGTCTCTCGGCTGGTTAAGATCGCCGGTGAGCTTGGTCTCCGTGGATCTTTCGCTGGTCTCCCCACTCGTCTGTTCATGGTTGGTGGCCTCACTGCGGGCCAGTTCGCCATATACGGCGATATCAAGAAGCTCCTTGGTAAGTGTGTTTCTTGTTCTTCGATTGCTCGGCTTGATATGGAGATAAACTAACCTGTTCTACAGGTGCTACGAAATAGAGAGACAGGGCCGCGAGATATCATCCGCCAGCTTCGCCGAGTTTAGTCCAAATTTTAGATCATCCAACCATTATAGAGATTATGCTTAGCTCTATCATAGATATCTACTTGTTTGATAACGCCTCTCGTGCATTATTAAGAATTTGATTTAAGCGGAATCGACCCCTGATAACGTCATCCCTACATGCTCATCTACTTCTGGCCTGGCATCACGTTTATAATCGTCACCGTAATCCCTAAAGACCGCCTGACGACCGCCACTTGTTTCACGTCCTTTATAGTCGCTTTTTAAGCACTGGAAAGCTTGTTGAGACATAACTCAGCGTCAGAGGCAACTATACCTCAGCAGACGCTTCAGATAGACACGGCCACAGTTTGATATGTCCAAGAACGTGCTCAAGTTAGGAAGTAAGCTCCCACTGCACTTTTGATTCGGTACAATACATCAAGTGAATCTTAATCTTAAGCCCGGTCGAGGGTGCTTTTGGTGAGAAGGTCGATGGCAACGGTGTTACCAGTTCGCGAACTTCCAACACGCGGATCAGTTTCAGTCCGCTGCACTCATCCCTGGTCGATGCAAAGCTGCAAGTCTGGCGAGGTCATAGTGCTCAACAGGGTTGAGCTCAATGTGGGAGCTGCAAGGGATGATTGATACCAAAGAGGCTTGCAGCCGGTCGAGCACACACAACCCAGAAATGACGCGGTGGGCTGTCTTTGTATCAGTGGTTACTTCTTTTGTTTTTTGATAGCTTCCGTCCTTTATTGAAACTCTAAGTCCACCATCTATTGGATAGTGGCCTGACTCATAGTTAACTTTACGCGAAGCAAATCTGATCGAGCATGATGTTCCGCAGTTTGCTCTAAGCTTAGTTTTCGCTGCTTTCAATTTCGGACAATCAAATCAATGAATCTTGTTTCTATCCAGGTTTTGGCTATATATTTATCAAGTATTCTTACGGGATTCAGAATTTCATAACATCCTTGAGAAATGCCAGCTGGTCACCCAAGAGCTCATCAAAGTTCACATCCTTCAAAATGTTCATATGGCCTCTACCTTTTACAATCTCATATTTCTTCCGTGGTGGCTGAAAGCTGTCAAATATGCACCGCTGGAACGCGGGCGGCACAATCTCGTCATCCTCAGGCATCAGAATCGTGACGGGCTTAGGGCTGACAGCCGCGAACAGCTACAGGGACTTCCACTTGGCGTGGCGGTAGAAGCTCAGGACTGTCAAACGGTCATTGAAGGTCGGGCATTCTTCTTAGCGCCGTGAACCCAGGCGGGCAAATGGTGCCTTTGCTCCGGCGTCATGTTGGACAGATACTTGAAGTGCATGAGGTGCCCTCCCTTATCGTTGAGAAGTGGAATGTACTCAGGCAGATTGCCACCAAGCTGCTTAGCGCGATCTGCGATCGCATGCGCGACGATGACTGCCTCGTCTAGTGGATTGAGACACCAATATGGCATCAGACTCTGCGCGATAACCGCCTTGACGCGTTTATCAAAGGCAGCAGCCTCGAGAGCGATGCCGGAGCTATAGAACAAGCCCCAAATAGCGATGCGGTTTGGGTCGACCCAGCCTCCGTCTTACAGGAACTCTTTAACCCCATTAATACTGATCAGTATACGTAGACTGAGCACAAAGGAAAAGTTATTTAGGTACTCACAGTGACAGCATCGCGGTTGTCCTCGGCTATCTTCTGTGGGTCGAGATCGTTTCAAGGTAGACCGTCGCTCTGACCCAGCGTGCGTGAGTCATAGACCAGTGCTGTCACGCCATTCTTTCCGAACCATTCCGCTACGCTCGCCACGAAGATCCCCTTTGGGCTGTTGAACTAGTGGGGAGAGGAATTAGTTTTAGGTAAAGAACGAGCTGAAGGCAACTTCTTGGAAGGACTTCAGGCTGATAAGATTAAGGTCTTTAGGAGAGATTGTCTTGGGAAATATTTGTACACCTTGCCCCACATTGATTGAAAGCCTCCGAGCGTCATGAAAAAAGCTGAGCCGTACCACGAGATATCGTCAATGCTCTTGAATTCATTGGTGATCTTTGGAATCGCAGTCGCAACGATGGTCTAAATCGAAAATTAGCATTCCACTGTGTAATTTCGCATCATACAACCACGCGGAAATCTGAAGCGGTAATCTTACCTGGTTCAAAGAAAAGAGAAAAACACTGAGTACGAGCGCAACGACGATGAATGCGAGCATGACACCATATGGATATTCCGTGGTATCCTGTGGCTCAGATGCTTCATCCGCAGCTTCTTCATCGGTAGCAGTCTCACCGTTTTCGACTGTGAATTCCTTTTTCTCTGTCTCCTACGCGACATTAGAAGACGACCTAGTGGATCGCTCGTTAAGCTCGAAGTTCTGCTTTCCATTTTCAGCCTCGTGATGAGGTGTTGTTTCTCCGCTTGCATCGCGATTCTGTGCGTCCGGCAAGGGAGCTGTTTAGGGTGACATTTTGCCGTATGGCGCTGTCCTTTCGGCTTGGAATGGGAATCCGTCTATGTTAGTGGGTTGTTGGAAAGATGCCAAAAAGTTAATCTGGAAAAATAATGGCTTCTGCCAATGTGAAAAAGAAATATGGCCATTAAGACTTGAACTCTGTTCAACAAGACAAAGAGACCTGGAGCTAAGCTCGGCGTTTTGCGCCCGTAAATCCGGAGGTAAGTCCTTAAATCCGTGATCGACATCCCTGTCCGATGGTCTGCGGATCGGCCCGATTAAAAACGCCGTGTATAGGGTCTGTATTGTATCTGTATAGTATTGTACAAACTTTTGTTTGTGGTGCGGATGTATTTTCGAGTAAGACAACCTTGACGAGAAATGGACCAAAGTCATTGAAGCCAAAGCAATTTAACAGCAAAATAACAGCAAATTAGAAACATCAGTTTGTGAAAATCATGACGATGCAGTCTGAACAGGCACTACCAAATCGGCTGTCGACCAGTGATACATGGCAGACTAGTAGCTCAGGATGGCTGAGTTCACCTTTAATCCCGGCAAAATTTATTTTCTCTATTAAATTTCACACCCTTCACACTTCAAAACTGATATTACTTATACTAGTACTTTTCAACGAATGATAATCTCGGTTGGATTCCTCGAGACGCAGCCAAAGAATACTCTTTGAACTTGAAAGACAAATCATTGCCAAAAAATAATGAAATTCAGGACTAACAAAATATAGTCGAACTGTACGAAGTGAATTGATCAATTTCATATTATAGGACTCAACATTCGCAGTAATGACCACGGAGATCTTGCATTGCAATCTCATTGTTAATCCCAGTCTCCGTCTAGGACAATTTCCTTTCCCGTTTCCTTGGCATTCAGAATTTCATCGATAGACCATGGCCGGCATACATGACCAGGGGGTATATTAGTATTGACAACCTGACTTTAGTTCTCGATTGCGTATTTTTCTGAATCGTGTTTCCAAATCCAAATACCAAGTATTCAGATTGGCTTTGTGAAGCATTTGCATCGGCAAAGCGATTGCGCATCTCATGGTTGAGGACGCCTAGCAGTTGTAGGCAAGAAGCTCTTTCAATCTTGCAGCATAACAGAAGACGTGAGATACATTCAATATCACTCAAAGACCGCGACCAACTTGAGTTTATTACGGACACGGGTCGACCAGGGCACATCCCCTTTCCTGGCAATTTGTAAGCAAGCTGCCAGAGAGACAGCATCTTCCATACCCAGTGCGGCACCATTCCCGGATGATGGAAAGAAGATGTGCGCCGTATTGTCAATTTGCACGACTCGTCCGCCCGGGGAAGTCCAGCAAAGTTGCGGCTCACGCCACACGAGTTTGAAGTTGTGGATCTGATCCTTTTTAGTCTCCTTGATCAATCGATTCGCGAATTCTGGCCAGCCATCAATCGTTGCCGTAGTCTGGAGAACAAATTCGGGCTCAAACCAGTTGGACCAGGACTCATTGCTGTTTCCACGGTTCTAGTATAGCACCAGTGATTGATATTTCTAGACAATGGTATCTTTTGAACCGTACTCGGTATGTGAGGTACCATATCATATCATCCTTTGTTTTCCCAAACAGTGCATTCACCTCTTCTCTATGAGCAGGACGACCATGAGATCAAGTGAAACGAACCCCATCCATAGTTGTGTGGAAGACATTCCATTGTCCAATGAAGGAAATTTCTCATCAATAATGGGGTCTTGAGTAGCCTGGTCGATAGCACCTGGAGTGTTTAAGACTGATCACCCCCAAGACTGTCTGGACTTACTGGCATACTAGCACAAAGAAAGAATCATTTATCAAGATTTTCAAGAACGAGAACCCATCGCCCCTTCTTTACATCATTTCACTAATGGTACAGAAGTTTAAATAGAACCTATCTGCTCCAGAATTTCGGCCGCTCTCAGGGCCTCTTCAGCGCAGCATGATCCGAGTCTTCAGGAACATGTTCAACACCTTTGTCAACCCCATCGCTCTTAACTTTGTTACAAAGAGAATAGGCTGTATGGGCATTCAATATTCATGAGCCCGCCAACGTTAGGTTAGATACCTATGATACATTAAGGATCCTTGTATCTGTGTAATCTATAGCCGCATTTAGTTGTACTCACTACTAGGGGTGGTTCTTGGCTCAAAAGATTTCGAACTGCCCCGCACCATCTCGAGGCCCACCCCTGACACTACATGTCACTGACATCCATGCCCACCACTTTCAGCTAAACAATCGATCATGCTGCATCCACCACATTCTCCCTGTGAACCACGCTCGCCTTCATTTCCACCGCCACCAACTCTTCCACTCTGCTATGCAGACTTGCCCGAACAGCTTCTTGAACATTCTTGTCAGTGCTTTCCCTCACAACCTTGAGAAGATTCGGTGTCTGCCCGTCTCTGCTGAACAACAAATCCACTGCTTCCAGTGGCAATTGGTTTGTCTCTGGGAAAAAGAAGTACACGACCGGAATTGCAGCAAAGTTGAGTACTGCAAAGACAATGTATGACTTATACCCAATGTTCGTAATCAACACAGGCGTAATCTCCACAACTAAAAATGTGAAAGCCCATTGTGAGACAACACCAATGGCACCACCTCTCACACGAAGCTTCAGTGGAAGGATCTCGGATGGGTAAATCCACATATTTGCCTGCCACCCAACGGTAAAGAAGGTGTAGAAGATATAAAGTACAACAACTGCACCGTAACCCAGACTCTTGGTACCTATTCCGACAAACACTGCGGAAAGTGCCATGCACAATGCCATACCAGCAGATCCAAAAATGAAAAGTTGGCGACGACCAAATCTATCAACAGCCCACCAAGCAATCAGGCTTGAGAGGAAGAAATAGACTTGATTTCCACCAGAGACCAGAAGTGCATCATGACGACTTAATCCGATGGAATGTTGAAACACGTATGGGCCAAGGCTGGAAATAACATTGGAACCAGTCAACTGTTGCATAGCATTGACCCAGAAGGCGATGATGACTCTTGTTCGTCCAGAGACACCACCGTTTTTGAAGATATCTGACCAGCTGCCATGTTTAGCTTCGATCTCAACCGCGTATTTGACTTGACCAATCTCTTCAGCAACGTCTTCAACCCCTCTGAGAGCAGCAAGACTTCTTGCGGCGTCCTGAAACCTGCCCTCTCTAACGAGGAATCGCGGTGATTCGGGGAGGAATGGTATGTAGCATCCAATGATGATGCAAAAGAAAATCTGGAAGGCGCAGGGAAATCTCCATTGCACAGAGCCGGAGTAGGAAGCCATGCCGTAGTCCAACCAGTTGGCGATAATCAATCCAAGGATGAGATTAGACAGCTGCATAGCCGCCATTCGACCTCGAGACTTAGGGTTGGCACATTCTGCGAGCCAGACGGGAATAACGGTAGTCATCATTCCCAAGCCGATTCCAGATACAACTCTGCCGATCAGGAATTGCACCACACCAAAGGAGGTGGTTTGAATGATAGCGCCAATAGAGATGATTATAGCTCCTTTCATGACATTTGGCTTTCGACCAAATTTATCGCCAAAGAGAAAAATGTAAAGTGCACCAATCATGGCTCCGAGCTCATATGAGGAGATGAGGAATCCCAGCAGAGATGCACCTGGATTGCCGAATTGGTTGAGAAATTCGCTTGATGTGGTGAGGCCTCCCATGAAGCCAAGGTCGTAACCGAAGAGGAGAAAACCAAGACCGCAGCAAAGGGTAACAGCATACACGAGGGGTTGGCCTTTGAGGCCGACAAATGTAGGTGAAGACATTGTGGCTTCCTGGTGAGGTTGCAAGGAGCGAGTAATATGGTTGGTTCTGAACTATTGCTTCTCGTGGAGGTCGAAGAGTTATTTATCAGCTAGTTGTAGAATCCCAAAAACCGACCATCTCAGAGCCTCATGCTGCTAAGCAATAACCGATAGTGTCTCTTCCCCATGGGGAAGATGTTCTAAGCTTCACGAGCTAAGATTTGATAGAGCAGCAGCATGGTGACAACCCTGACTCCTGGAAAGGCACGGGTATAGCAGGCGAATGATGATTTATTACACACGATCATTCGCGACCTGGATTATATGGCGGAATCCGTGGGTAGGTAAAATTCAACACCACCTTCGCCTTTCCCGCAATGTACTAACATCTAATTCTAATTTACCGAGGCCACACATTTAGAATAGGGCTAGCCTCTGTCCCTACGAGCCAGATCCGTCAATCGCTGATATAATGATACTTGGTCCACATCGGCAACTGAGGTAACATTGGCCCTATTTCGGGTTACGCCCAATTTCCTGCCATAGCCGTTCATTACTGGCACAACCGACAACCGGTAAATGACGTCGAGCCATGGTTTTGTCATGATTCTGCCAACTCGAACTACTTGTACGTTAGTTTAAATATCTAGTAACAGGCGGACACTGGGGACTCAACGTATCTTCTCACAGTGCTTTTCACCATGACATCTTCCGCCAATACCATAATTCAACAGCATGGAGATATCGCCTCGACGCCATCGCAAGTCTTCGGTAAAGGCAACTTGATTTTGAGAATTGGGTAAGAGCAAAGTCATTTGAATTATGACCTCGACTAATGCACACCTGAATACGTGCAGGAATGGTGGCGCAGGTAAAGTGCATGGATGTTGGTTACGACCATAATAGGACTAATGTGATGCAGGTGGAACAGGATTGCTCGAAGCCCTTGCAAAGGACTATCTATTGGTTCAGAAGAATGCCGGGAGGATTGAATGGATTTGTAATCATTCACGGAACACCCAGTTGGCACTTCTGAGTGGATATGTTGATATTGCCCTCACATACGAACGCGAACAAGAGGAAATAGCTGTGTCAGAGGGCTGGGCCAAAAGCGCGGGTTGCATATTCCACGATCACTTCTGTCTGGTTGGCCCAGAGCACGACCCGGCCAATGCCAAAGACGCGAACTCCATTGAAGAGGCCTTCGACCGAATTGCGAAGAGCCAGTCTTTATTTCACAGTAGAGACGATGGATCCGCCACTATGTGCAAAGAACATGATATCTGGCGCCGGTGTCATAGGACCCCATGGAATGATACACCGGGCTCCTCATCGTGGTACATCAAGGCTAAGCATAACCCGGCCGATGCTATAAGCTTCGCTACTGCTGCTGGGGCCTACACCCTCAATGATCGATCAACATTTTTAGATCAAGTGAGCTGTGGTAGGGTTCGAGGCTCGACTGTGTTTTTTGAACCAACAGACCCTTTCCATCCACTCATGAATTCATGTTACGTTCTCTATGCACCCCAGTCCTCAATCTGCCGCAACGAACATGTTTCCATGTTTATCAACTATCTAAAGTCTGACCGCAGCCAAAGTTTGATTGCCAGATATGGAGTGGATAAAGCAGGAGTTCCATTATTTGCCGCAGTTAAGGATAAAATTGCGAAGTCGTCGTTGGTCCGCGGGAGAGTCAGAGATGGTCGATGGATACTGAGCGACCAGCGACTACAAAAGCTTTAGTGCGTTCTTGATACTGTACAGAGACTTCATTTTCGCATATATTTCCTGATATATGTTCTGCTCAAATAAACTATGTTATTAACATGTTCGATTGTTAGATTTAACTGTCTTAAAGATCAGGTATGAGGAAGGCAGGGTACGAGGCGATGGAAAATAAATACAACTTCCTAGAAAAGATACCTGGTCTGCGTGTCTTCAATGGTTCATCTCTATTATCTACGTTTCTATAGACTACATTTAACCGTTTCTTATATACCGAATTGAAGAGGTTGGCAATTGAACAAGGTGGAATTTAGGTGCGAAAATGGTGTGCCAGTTAGTCGATGGGACTGAAAAGACCATCGGAAAAACGAAGTATCAAATGGAAAATGCCTGGCAAATGAAGGAAAGAGGGATCATCAAGACAATGAACAAGATCAGCTTCACTGTATCTATAATTTTTTAAATATGCTTTTTGATGAAGAAGCGAGGATCCAGTAGGATTGAACGCTGAGGTGTCTCATAAGCGACAAATTGAGCAGATTGAGAGATGTTGCTGAAGAGATCTAAATGTTGAGGGTGGATGGTGATAAAATCCATGAAACAATACTGCTATCTCGATTAAAATAGCGTATTTTGAAGACCCATTGCAAGCAAGCACTCTCTGTGGTAAATTTAGCGTATTTTCAAGATTAATTATAAGGTCAAGGGATTAGGAAATACCGGGTCTCATCACATAGGTTAAGTTTCGGTAACATTATGAAATAATAAGTCCATGAACTCCAGCTTAATTTATCTTATTTGCGACACCAAAGAGCCCTAGTAAACCAAGGATAGCACAAAAATTAAGTTTTCATTGATGATATAGGTTCATAGAGACAACAACGCATAAACTTCTAACCCGGCAGCTGGACTAACAGTCTCGATACCTCCATCTGCCGGATAGACAAATGATGCGACGTCCCTTTCAGCTGGCTGATAGATATACTCTCCATCTATTCTGTCTGCATTCAATCTGACTTCTCAAAGAGAATACTATCGCTTTTCTCCGCGCAGACTACCTCATGAAGAGTTGACTGGGAACTGTTCTGGAAGGACTTATCGATGCTGTTGCAAACCGCAAGGAAGGGCGTTTTTCTTTGCCACCATATCGGTGGAAAGCAAATCTACGGCTTTTATGAGGCATCTCAGATGTCTTAGGGAAACAAATGGTGTAACTTCCTCGATGAGAAAAGTGAATAGCCACTGTGTAATAATGCCGATTCCGTCACGGACACGAAGCTCAGCGGCAACAACTCAGAGGGATAAATCCACATATTGAACTGCCATCCAATAGTGGAAAAAGCGTAGAAGATATAGAGAACAAAAAGACGATCCGCAGTCGAGATTTGTGGTACCAATTCCAAAAAAAAAACCGCCGAGAGGAGTATGCTCATCCCCATACCCAAGGACCCAAGCAAGAAAAGACAGCGTCAAAAGAACTTGTCAATCACGTACCAAGGAATTACACTACAGTGGAATAGACAACTTGTAAACCGACTGGGACCAAAAGAGACTGATAGCGATTTAGTCCAATCGAATGTTGAAAAATAACAGGAATGGCCTGTACTAGCTATGAGATACCAAACATTACCGGCCAATCAGTGCAACGGAATCAATAGGGGAAAGCAAAAGATGAAACGAAAAGAGTGGTATTCTGGTGGACTAAACTATCGAACGTCGACGGGGTTGAAATACCCTCGAGAATACCCTTGACTCGGAGGTTACATATCTGAGGTGGTGAAAAATGGCAAAAGTACGTGTCATCCATAACTAACGTGGATCCCGGCGGGTCCGTCATCCCTGCCGGTCCGTCACCCCATCAAACCTTCAAATTTTTACCCTTTTTTAAACATCATTTACCCAACCAAAACACCATTAAATTGACAAATTAAATCTTTTGCGGGCATTTAGAAAACCTATGCCCTTTTCCGCCACATTTAGAACACGTAATTTGCCGACGTACAGGGGGCAAAACAGGAAGTGTAGGTTCAACCTGGGGTTCTAGAGCAGGTGTAGTATCAGATATATGTCTTACACCACCACCTCCCTCACCACTAACATTAGTAGTGAGGTCTAAAACCTCTGTTAAACTACCTTTATTAGGTATTCGCTTCTTTGATTTCTTCCTCTTTTTCGTCTGCTTTCTGTTTCCCTCCCGTAAACGCTTTATTTCATCCCGCATTAAGATGTGCTCGTGAACTAGCTTAACCGACATATTGTAAAACTGTTGAAGATCACGTTTTGTAGGCGAAGAGATCTTATTAGCCGCTGAATTTAGACCACAATCGAGCCTAGATTTGCGTTTTTCTAGCTGCTTAGTCGTTTGAGGGATGCCAGTGGAGATATTGCTGCCTGATGTTGAACCTTGTGAAACTGGTCGATCTGGTAGAGGCGGAGATTGAAGACGAATATTGAGCTTTGATAACACCCGATCTGGGTCTAGTGGTACTAAACCAGTAGCTGCGAAGGCACTCTGAATGATAGACTCTTTAAATGAATCATCACGGGCTGCTGGAAAAATATCAAGGAAATCATCTTTCTCGATAGAGTCGATGCCTAATCGGGTATATTCTGCAACCCGCGTTCCATAAGAGCGCTTTAATACAGCAAAACAACCAACATCAAGAGGCTGTAAAAGATGAGAAGCATGCGGAGGCATACAGACTGGTATGATGTCGTTTTCCTGGCAAATCTTGTCGAATGTTGCTGTAAGATGACTGTCGTGGCCATCAAGGACCAAAAGACGATGTTTCCCTCTCGTCTGACTTGTCGTGTGCGGAATAAAGTGATTTTGGAGCCAATCAACACCAATTTCATTACTTGTCCAGCCGTTTGGACTAATGTTAAGAGCCCAATGTTTTGGAAGGTCGTCAAACCATCGTACCATGAAGTGTTTCCCCTTAAAGATAACGTATGGTGGGAGCGCTCGTCCAGGGGCGCAAATTGATTCGATAACAGTCACCCATTCACGATTGCCAGCTTGTAAAACGCCCCTCCGACCGGTGTAAAATGACTGCGTAATAACCTTCGTCGTCGCACTAATTCCCATCGCAAACCCCGATTCGTCAAAGTTGTAGATATCATCTGAACTGATACCATATTGAGCTATCGTTTTTTCGATAAGCTTAAACCACTCCATAATAGTATTTGGGTCTTCCATTAGGGCGCGTTTGTAGTCATATTTGCGAGAGAATCGAGTAGTAAGCTCAGGATGTCGTTTGATATATTGTGTTGGCCAATTTTTGCCAACGGTCTGGAGGGCATTATCTCCGCGGTGTTTAAGCAGTAAATTGGCCATATCTCTCAACATCGCGATTGTAAGCGCAGCGCCTCTCTGATCCATAGAGATTAACCAATCCTGAATTGATTCCTCTTCCAGTTGCGTGAATTTATGGCCTGTACCTCTTGCTTCATATAGATTAGGAATGCCCTTTATCCGATCAGCAAGAGTTGTGCGCGGGACATCAAAAGAGCGAGCAGCAGCAGCTATCGTGGTATTTCTGCCATTTTGAATAGCCTTAATAGCAAGAAAGATCCTGCCTTCCTGCTCAATTGATTTTTGAGCTTTTTGACTGCGTTTTGGGGGTATGGTAGGCGTTCAAGAATAGGTGGCTGGGTAGGGGCAGAAAATTTGAGGAGAGATGACGGACCGGCAGGGATGACGGACCCGCCGGGATCTACGTTAGAGGTGCGGGGTATTACATAATACCAGATCACCGGTAACCCCACCCGGGGTTGTCGATCCGGCAATTGCAGGATATTGCTCGAAGACAATCCTGCACAGTCAGCAGCAGCAGTGAACACGCAAAGTGGGTGAATTCAGCCGGAGGTGGCGTTGTCAAGGATTTTCTTTTTGGGTCTGTCGCCTGCAGGTCTTGGGCGCTGTCGGCCTCTCGCTTCCCAGCGAACAACGTGCCAAGACGGATATACTTAGTCCATCTCAAACAAGCTGAAGGGGCTTTCAGAATGCTAGGCCTCACGTATCTTATTCGCTTGGCATATCAGACCTCGAATGCCAACCAGGGAGACAGAATGCTTACCAACACCTTCTTCCTTCCCAAACCCGGGTGGGGGTAGCGGAAAGGAACTATGCCACCGTTTCAGGAGGAATTTCTTGAGCCTCACAACCCTAACATGACTGTTACGGATACGGGAGGGACAAGTATTTTTCATTGAGGTTTGTCCTCCTGCTCCGATATTGACGAAGGTGAAGCCAAGCGCATGTGACCCCCTGGAACTTCTGCAGGTAAGCACTCCAACACCAAACGCGCAAATCAAATCAGACCAAGAAGTTTCACCAGCACAATGTCTCAAAGTCGGTCATAACCCAAGGAAGTGAGAAGAAGGGAGTGAAAGATGGTACATTAATTAGGATGGAACCATCGATGCGAGATCAAAGTATCTGTGGTACTGACAAATACAACACATCACGGTGTAACCATCATGACGGATGATTCGAGATAAATCGTGGCACTGTCACTAACGGCAAGGATAACAACATAAGCTCCAGTGACATACTGGCTGGCCGCAGAAAAGCGAGATCTAGATTGGCAACGGATGGGAGGGCGAAAAGAGTTGGCGATTCAATCTGAAAGGAGATTCAGAAGGGCGTAAATTGGGGACACGTACCGAAAGCGGGAGAACAAATGGAGAAGGAGCAGCTTTTAGTGCTTATTTCTCAAGAGGTGCGAGCCACAATGTCCACAGATCTCATTATGCTCCAAAATAGAATTAATTATGACCTGCTTGCTGATTTTATGCGGTTGCAGGTCTCTCGATTTTGAACCCAATCACCAACTACAATCCGTACAACCCAGGCAGGATTCAGAACCTTATTCCTTTTTGCCCACTGCGCTGTGAGATATACTATGGCTCAAGTCACGTGGATGTGGACCGAGCAATTCATTAGCTCCTAGGGCCTGGTGACTGAATCGGAAGAGAATCAACGTCAGATATGAATTTATCGAAGAATATCAAGAGAATAGATGTATATAGAAGCTTCATGTCAGAAGATTCGAGAAAACTCATTGCTGGCAAGAAATTGTGTGTCACTCCAATCAATTCCTTCACAAAACGAGGTGTCCATCGAGCGTCGCATATTAGTCAAGTCAATATCATTTGAAACGGTACCGCCCAAGACAAATTCACCGATTGCTTCTAAATCTAGCCACGAAAAGCCGTCTTGGAGATACGGAGAACGGGTTTGAAAATGAGGAAGAGGTCGTGCTTGGTCATCAAATGTTGAATTTGCGTCATCCGTGACAGACGGTCGATCCGCTCGCTTCCATAAGACTTCGAGCAGATTAGCGTATCTTGCCCCAAGTTCTGAGGATTCCGTTGTCCCCTTGCGCAAGGAACTGATTGTGTCACCAATAAGTCGTCGAACACTGGCACGCTCGGGGTAGGAGATAGCATTCAGAGTCCATATCTGTGCAGTGTTATACTTAGCAAAATAATTATCTTGATTCGTCACTCTACCTTATATAAGAAGACAGCAGCATTGACGCAATACCTGCTTCATGGTCAGCAATGTAATGAGCCTTGGAATCTAGCTAAACATACAAAAGAAAACGGATGGGAAACCGGTTCAAGCTTTCAGCTGACGGAATATAGTTGTTGACAATAGTCAATAGCGCCTTCGCAGCATCTATAGACTCATACATGAAGCGGGCTTCGGGGAGTGATCCGGGGCTTTCGTTGTAGGTGTGCCCATTTTCCATACCGGGGAGATTTGGTGATATTGTGCGAAGGGCAGCTGCTTGGAAGGCGAATGCGTTGGCGTATAATCTCAAATACTCATACGACAATTGGAGCAATATCTTTATGTTTTGAGAACCTGGAGTTTTCCAGTTAGTACGCGCACAAATCTAGGGGCTGAGAGATTCAGCTCACATGTCAAAGAACCCCAGACACAGTTCCATGCTGCAATTGCTCCTCGAAAGTCATCCAAGTAGGCGGCATAGCTCCCCACAAGCATCATCTGTGCGCCGGCACCCATGTTGCAGTAAAGGACCTCGTGTACATTAGTAAAGATCTGTGTTAATTCCAACCTCGCCTGGAAGACACTGGAGAAATTCTCCTCTACCAACTGTTGGGACTCCACAGTTGGAAAGCCATAACGGCCATAAACAATACTAGGCTCCAGGCCACGACACGCAAACGGCCGGCCTATTCTGACAGAAATTTGACGATCAGATAAGTAACAGGCTGTTCAGTAATCAGCCATAACTTCAACGTGTCAAGGTACAAAAGGCCTGCTTACCCGCCCACGCTAGGCGCTCCCGAGAGGCATTCGCGCCTCCATTCCTCGAAACATCATAGAACTGAGTTCGATCTAGCCTTTTGGAATATGCTAGCCGGACAGCAAGACCGATATGCATCCACGCTGCCATGTCTTCTTGTCCATAACCCAAGTTGGCGGATTCGGGCAATGAGCATTGAGGTTCCCACTCTGCGAGCAACAACAAAGCTTCAACTGCGTCCACCCCGCATTTCTTCCCAGCTACAATCTCTGTTATTAGGGAACGCATGTATTGAGCACAAGTCTCCAAAATATGCTCTCCATTGGCCATATCCTTGGCTCCAATCATGCATATTGCAGTTAGCAGATATGGCTCCCCTCGCGCTGTTTCGGAAATAAATGCGCGATTCAAGGATTTCTCTGGCGCAATGGGGTAGAATGGGTGATATATGGTGGCAAAGCTGGAGGAAAAGCGTTTGTCAGCGATATGAACTGCAGAAAGTGGCGGTTTCTGGTTACCGTTCAACAAGATTGAGAACCTGGGATGGTGTCAAGACACCAGCGTTGACGAGATGGTACTCAAGCAGGCCAGTCTCGGGGACCGTAGCCTGATTTGCACTACATTGAGCCATAGAGGGAAGACGCGAAGGTTCAGTATAGGCCGTGGTGTTTGTTGAGGCACTGCCAGCGATTTGACTCAATATTTTTAGAGCGTCTGAGGTATTGTGCAAGTCCGTCGACGCGAAGGTATTTTCAATAACACCGGCAGATTGAACTGAGTCACGAATTTCGGACAGATCATGAGCGTTCCGATGAGTGGCACTAATTGAAGCGGGCGTCGCTTCCTGCGCCTCCTCCGGATCTTCTGGGGTTGAGTATTGCCATTCCGTCGACACACTGCATGCCAGCGGATCATCACTTTTGCGTCGCCGATATCCGCCGCGGTTGGATGTTGCAAGGACGCATTCGACACCGGCGTGGACACATTTTTGGCATGGGGGGCCAAGGACATGACCCGAACCCGCTCTGTGGTGTTTTAAAAGGTCAGTTCGGAATATGTACCAGCACTCAAGAACAGAGCTTCGGCTATTCGGGCTGATTGTCTTACAGTACACATTTGGCTTTGTGATTCCTGCATCGAATGCAAGCCCGTGAAGTGCGCTTCATGACGCCTTCGAAGGTAGGGGTTTTAAGTAGACATCTACCATTCCGATTTTATCATTCTGGAGGTGCGCTGAAAGAACGGAAGTTCAAAGCTGGAAGGTGGCGAGCGGCATTTGAAACTGAATCGGCTATTCATCACGTGGACTTGAACTCTTGTTGGAAATCGAAGTGGATCATACCGTTGCACCAATAGAATGGATCAATGGTCTGAATTGCTGAAAATGCCCCTATCTGACATTTTGTATGGGCTCTGGTATTTGACTAATCTTGGTGGAATATAACTAACAAGCTTCTTCCAGGTATCCCACCGATTCTGCTGCATTCCGACAACTCTTTGCCTAACACAAGCTGCTGAATGCCCTCGGTCCGCTCGGGATACGTTAAGGAGTTGGGATGATAAAGAGGGTAGAAGGAGAAAGCACTAGACCTCGCCGAGCACATGTTTTCAATATCTCCCCACGGGGTAACCCCACCGCAGGTTTTGCGCTTTATCAACCCATGGATTCTTGGGGGATACACGCGAGGGCCCCAAAATACCCAAAACGGGAGAAATCGTGAATAAAACTGATTAGTCACCTAGTGTAATATTGGTATTTTTATACTGTCACGCTTTTGAGTGGGTATTACACTTTACCAGATCGCTGGATTTCCGTCCTAGCTCTTATTGAATCAATATTGCTACAGCCCTTCACGCCGGAGAGCTATTTGGCCGTTACTTTAGAAACTCTTCAAGCAAGAAAGCTTGCTTTGTAGTCGTACGACAGGTTTTGGCGTTTTAGGGTGCTTGGTCGACTACTCGGTGGTGTCGGCGTTCGGAGTGAGATATTAAGCTTGAAAAGTACCCCTTCTGAGTCGATTGGGACAAGTTCAGTAGCAGTGAAGCTATTTCGAATAATATGTGGTTGAAAGGCTTCTATACGCGCCCGACAGTAATCTGCGAGGAAATCGAGTTTGTCGATATGGTTATATCCAACCCCAGCAAGATTGCTTATAAAGCGACCGTACGCGTGTAAGCGCAGCAAAACACCCAACATCAAGCGGCTGTGAAATATCCGATAAATTCGATGAAATCGATGGCATACGAAGTGGTATGATCGTTTTTTTGTACAAATTCGGTCGAATCGAGGCGTAAAATGGCTACCATGCCCATCAAGAATTGATAGCCGATAATTGCCCCGTACGGGCGAATTCGTTGATGGAATGAAATATCTTTTGGACCCGGCGAAGACCAATCTCATCAGTTGTCCACCCGTATTCGAGACCTCGATTCTCCAGTCTCCCGGGAGGCCAAAGCACACGATTTCCGCTAAAATTCACCAAGACAGACCCGCGGGTGGTCAACGACCAACATTTAAAGGTCAAGAGACATCGAGCGGGCGCAAGTTACGGAATTAGGATATTCATAGACAATTCCTAGCCTACTAGCTATGCCAGGGATATTTTGCCTGGTTGACAACCAGATCGGTTATAGAAAGCCCTTGGCTGCTTTTGAGGGTAGATATTATCCTGCATGAGCCACAACACTGTCGCCGTTGGGCAAAGCACGGGTATAGCAGGCAAATGATGATTTAGTCTTACCAATCGCGACCGGCGGTCCCATAGCGCAATCCTTGGGTAGGTAAAGCTTAACGCCACCTTCACCCTTCCCCGCATTGTAGTAACATCTAGCTCGATCATACTGAGCCCCCGGGCCAGCCATTAAGATAGGGCTAGACCCGGTCCCTACGGGCTAGATTCGTCAATCGCCGAGAGATACTCGGTCCACTTCAGCAACTGAGACAATAACGTTTGGCACTAAGGCCCTACCGTTTACTACAGAAACACGGTCATGTGTACGATTGCGCTTGGGGTGACTAGGACTCTCCTTCTACGCCACGTTGCCTTATGTATGTGGGATTAGCCTCAGAAAGCCGAGGGCCTGGAAACCATATACAGGCCGAACCTTACGTCCTTGACCATCCATTAAGAGACACAGCGCCATCATTTTCGTATTTTTTTAATTTCAGTATAACTTCTCGACAGCTTTGAGTAAAATAAAATTTTGAACCAAATTTCACAATACTTCCGAACTCGGCCGAAGCTGAAATAGCCTCAAAGAAACAACCGACCACTCACAATAAAACGGAGACTGAAGTTGAAGGAAGCACCAACCGTGGATCGCATCAGGCTTCGCATACGAGCAGATGTGCCCTTCTATTTCTCAATTCCTATTTCTCTCCCCTTTTCCATCCCTCCACCTCTTCCCACATCGAACAATGCGACCTCCTCTCCACTCATGTCACCCACAAGCGCTTCCAATATCACCAATTCGTTGAAGACCGCCAGCAATGTAGTACAGTCATACGTACTCGTGGTTTGCGCAGTCGTCGCCTGGTACAATGCAATTGAGTTGATCATCCTCTGTTTCGCCTCGTTCAAACGTCGACGTGGGATATACTTCTGGAGTTTGCTCGTTTCATCTGCCAGCATTATTCCGCTATGCCTCGGATATCTCCTGCTGTTATTCCCTACAGGCGTCTCTCTATATGCCTGTGTGACATTAATCCTTTTCGGTTGGGTCTTCATGGTGACTGGACAGTCCGTGGTTCTGTGGTCAAGACTTCATCTCGTACTCCAGAACACGAGTATTCTCTCAGGAGTGCTGCGGATGGTAATAGTCGATGCCCTCATCTTCCACATCCCTATCATTGTGTTAATGTATGGGACAGTGACAGTTCCAGGTGGTGCCTGGTCACGCGGCTACAGTGTGATGGAACACGTCCAGCTAGTGGGTTTCTGCGTGCAGGAGTCCATCATCTCAGGGATATACGTATGGAGTACCTTGCAGTTGCTGCGGCTAAGGCCACAAGGCCGCCCGAGCGCGATTCTCTATCAACTTCTCGCCATCAGTATCATTATTCTTATTCTCGACGTCGCAGTCGTCATCATCGAATACCTTGGTTACTATGCCGTGCAGGTAATGTTCAAGCCGGTTGCCTATAGCGTCAAGCTCAAGCTGGAGTACGCCATCTTGGGCAAACTGGTCACCGTTGCTTGCAGAGAGTATACCTGCCCGGAGTTGCCTTCCAGTGCAAATGAGATTGACTACTCTTCGTCAACTGTCATCGCATATCGAGTATCGCCCCAGTGTCAATGGATAGCAAGGCCTACTCCAGCTTCAGGGAGGAAGATTCACTGTGAAAGCTCTCGTCCGATGTGATCGTCACTGGCCACTACAAAACTCATTTGCCTTATGACTTGAGAACCAGGTATACCATTTAGTTAATCGCGTGCCATCCATATCTCCCCTGACATGCTATATGATTGAAAGAGTCAATATTGAGATGAGATTCTTTTCCGAAAATCGGGGACGGGGGAGGAAAAAGCCCCATAGACCGTCGGATAAACCAATAAAAAATATTGTCGGGGCATATCCTCCTGTCAGAACAAACTAGCGATGACCCACTGCTAGCGTCTGATGGATAGCATCCTTTTGCTTGGTGTACGCATTCTTGCACTGGGCTGCGGCTCCGGTGTTGTGACCGCCGAGCGCCGGCGTGTGTTAGTTAGTTAGTAGTTAAAAGCTATTGTGTCCCTAGCAATTCCCTTAAGCTGGACCACCCCAAAACACATATTAAATACGAGGTTAATATTCCTCTATGATTCAACCACGAGGAGTATTTTCCCTTACCTTCCAGGCTTTGTATTTCCTTGGGCTTAAGGAATATATGGATAATTCCGAATTATCTTAGAGAATCATTGGATGCTTTACTATAAAATACAGCATTATTTTGACGTTTCAGACGAAAGTACATACAGTATATCCTCACTACTACTTAATATCACTCTCCTATATTATCACAGTAGGCTAGGGATACTACGCTGATATAAATCCTTAATCTCTTGCTGTAGGAAGCCCTAGTGATTGAAACACCATAGTAAATGCGACATTTTATGGTTTGATATTTCAACACTGAAGAGTTTGTACAAAGTCGTAGGATATTCTAGTGTTTAGTATGTTATACTAAGCATGATTATTATGTCGAGAAGTATTTCGAGGCATCTCCAGGTAGAGATATATATTGAAGAGGGGAACGCTCGATGGCAGCACGCGCTGAGACGTGCGGGTCGATTCAGCAGAAAAACCACCACAAAACACACGCGTAGCAATCAGGAAATAGCGAGAACCCCAAGTGTATGGGTCAGGTCGGGGAGGTGTTAGAAGGTGTATTCTAGAACTAGCTATCCGGCCACCGTATACTGCCGGCTATGTCACATAACATGGATGGAACCCATGTAGTAGGGGGAGGGAGTCTCCCCACTACATTATGTATCACCTGATCGGCGCGTATTTTTGGTAATGCAAGTAAATAATATTTCAGTCTACATCTCAGTTAAGCCATCCTATTTTTTACTCTAAGGAACACTATCCTATCAAAAATAAAATAGAGCCGACTTCTGATTGTTGATATACAGTGACAATGACGACTTTGAACTTTATTCACAAAGAATTGGGACTAACATGGAGTAGCACAAGAATCGAACTAATTCTTACTGTAGAAACAATTCAAGACAGTTCTGTTTTACACAGTGACTGGAAACTACTGCGTGAGCTAAGCCCCTTCGTCTCGAACCATTTCGGTGTGGTCAACCATATGCTTAGCCGCGAACAATTCTCTTGTCACCTGCTCGTCATCGCCAGCAAAGAGCCGATCAATTTCTTCAAGCTGAAGGCCTAAGATTTTTTAGCATTATCTCGGAATTCACGGGGTATTCCTATACTAACCTTTGGTCTCTGGGAAGAAGAAGTAGATGATCGGAACCCAGAGAGTATTCAAGACGGCGAAGATGATGTACGTCTTCCATCCTATATTGCTAATTGCGGACGGCGTGACCTGCACGACAAGGTAGTTGCAAATCCAATTCGCAGCTGTGCTTATTGATGAACCACGCTGCCGTAGTCTTAAAGGTAGGATTTCTGAGGGATAGACCTGATCGGCTTGATTAGCAAGGAAGCGGCTAAAGCGCTGGACATAAACTTACCCAGACAGTTGCTTGAAACCCAATAGTGAAAGCTCCTTGGAAAACGAACAACATGGCTGCTGCCGCAATACCACTCACGTGGGCAATTGCCGTGTTATTCTGAACCTGGTAAATAAGAGCCGTCTGCACAACCATCACTGCGGCCATGATTGAAACCATAGATAGCAGCAGTGGACGTCGACCGATGCGATCAATCAGGAACCACGGAATAAAAGAGGCGACAAAAAACCATGTTTGCAAAAAGCCTGACATCAAACTGGACATATGCTTTGAGAGGCCAACAGATTTCTCAAATAATGTCCCAGAATAATAAATGATGGCGTTGATACCGCCCAGCTGCTGGAAGATCTGTATGCCACAAGCAATAAAGAATCGCCTTTGGCTCTGGATCTTGTCATTTTTGAGAAGGTCCTTCCAAGATCCAGCTCCCACTGCCTTTTCGACGGCGACGGTGCGAATTATATCTTCATGTAGGGCCAGTACATCAGAGTCGGGCATCTTTCCGTGGTTCAAGCGGCGAAGGACTTCCAAAGCCTGGTCATGACGGTCGTGAGACGCGAGCCACCGAGGGCTTTCATCCACGACGAGTAGAATTAGAAGCATAGGAAGCAGAAATGCGCACTGAAGGATAACTGGTACACGCCAGGAGTAACTAGCGTCACCTGAGGAGAAGGCGTAATCGATCCAGTACACTAAGAGGATCCCAAGATTGAGGGTTGATATCTGCATACAGACAACTGATCCTTGTCAGTAAATAGTCAGGATTTCTCTTTTCGGTAGACGGGGAGATGTACACAAGCCTCGGGAAGCCTTCGGAGCAAACTCAGCCTGCATGACTGGTACTGTCGAGTTCACCATGCCAAGACCAATGCCAGCGACCACGCGCCCCACAATAAGGTGGGCTCGATGATAAGCCGTAGCTTGTAAAAGAGAGCCCGTGATCAGCAAAATAACGCCAATGGCAATACTCTTTTTGCGTCCAAGTTGTTCCCCAACAACTGCTGTGCATATACTTCCTAAAAACGCACCGATTTCCATAATGGAGACTATAAGACCAATCATAGTAGGGGAGGGCGAGTTGAAGGTATCATTAAAGGCGGTTTGATTCACAAGACCTCCCATCAAGCCGTTGTCAAATCTATCTCTGGTCAGTCAACCCTTCGGAAGCCTACATCTCAATCCTCCCATATACAGACCCTATCTGCATGAAGCCAAGCGCCGTCAAGGCTGTCACGGCTCCAAAGAGAGCATTTCCTTGTAATTTCATGTTGCCACGGCTGAAGTAGCGAAGCAATATGTGGCACAAAATTGTGGAGAGTGATAAGGAGAAACGTCACTAAAGTGTGTGGTGCTGGTCAGATGTTGGACTATGCCTCATGCGCCAGTCCTAGGTGGGGGACATCAAGAGAATGGGAAATCTCAAAGGATTTATACATGTGAGAGCAAGGAACCCCCTGGGACAATTATTTTTGTTGAGAGTAGGTTTACAGGCAGGGGAATCATTTGGTACCACCTGACTTGGAACATTCGTGTGGCGCCAAGCTTTCACCATGGTTGGTGGACCAATAGATAGATGCTTTCCCCCAGATTGGCCAAGAAGCATCCCCGGGTTTAGAGCCGACCTTAATCACTTCGGATCACGGGTAAATGCTGTACCCCGAAATGATATGAATTCCCGTCGGCAATTGTAATGGCTCGTATAGGAGATACGGCTGGTGTCCAATAACCTTCGGGCCTCTGTCTGCGCTTAAGACCAAGACTGTGGGGATGGCGTCAAACTTTGCCCGAACTCCTGAGAACGGTTCATATATGTACCTTCTCTAATACTCCACTTCCAGAACGCTTCACTGATAAAGCGGCTATTGCAGAAAAAGCACCATTGTCGATGGAAATATTCGATGGCATCTGAACCATAGTCATGAATCCAGTCAATCAATCGATAATCAATTTAAACTTTCACTGGCCCGAATACCCTGCAATTGCCGGGAACACTAATTTTTGCCGCGCTTTTGAGACTTTGGCATTGGGTTCTGGGCCGGTTCTAGAACGTTGACGACAATCGTTTTATTTCTTTATTTTCAAATGGGCTTTATTGTCACCCTTTTCGACCTACGGAAGTTCTAGGTCTGCAATAATCATCACCAGCATTCCACTACCAAACCGAAACCTCGCCTACCATGGGCTTCCAAACGGCGAACGCAGCCTTCAAGAAGATACTAGGATCGGATCCGCGCCTGGAAATTTGTCTCGAGAATTACGCGTATCCCTTCGCTCATGAAGCCGGGGTTTTCATTCCCGAGACATGTGAGGTATTCATGACCAGCAACCGAATACAAGGGGCGGATGGAGAGCAGAGAGTGCAGATCTCCAAGTTTTACGTGACAGACTTGGATTGCACCCAAGAGGAAATCAATTCAGAGGTTCTAATGGCCAACGGGGGTGTGAAATATAAGGATGGTATCATTTTCTGCTCTCAGGGCACTCTGACACACCCATCTAAAATTGTGTGCATGAAATATTCGCCTCCCTTTGAGACCGCAACTTTAGTTGAGGGATTCGGTGGACGTCAATTCAATTCGGTGAATGACGTGGTTATCCATTGTGATGGATCGATCTGGTTCACGGATCCTAGCTACGGCTACGAGCAAGGGTTTCGGCCACCACCTCAATTACCCAACCAGGTCTATCGTTTCAACCCGCAGACAAATTCTCTCAGAGTAATGGCCGATGGATTTGGAAAGCCCAACGGCATTGCATTCTCTCCAGACTGCCGTATCGTCTACATCACGGATACTGACAGTGTGCGCGGCGACGGCACTACTGACCTCTTCCGCCCGTCGACTATGTAAGTATTCCTTTCCTAATCGTCTCTCCAGATGTGTGAATATCCCGGTTGACCACACTAAATAGATATGCATTTGATGTTACATTGCGTGAGGGAGAGCCGTTCCTAATCAACCGACGAGTTTTTTCCATGGCAGACGTCGGGGTGCCTGATGGCATCAAATGTGACATGGATGGCAACGTTTATAGTGGCTGTGGGGATGGAATCCACGTTTGGTCCGGGGGAGGCGTTTTGCTAGGAAAGATATTGGTTCCAGGAGGCGTTAGCAACTTTTGTTTCGCCCGACCCGGTGAGATAATTGCGCTAAATGAGCACCGGGTATGGAGAATTGCGCTGGCTTCGTCTTGTCGGGGCTCTGTATTAAAGCTCTGATGTTCTCAGTTTCGGTTTTTTTGTCGTTCAATGGTGTTATTTGTAAATTAAAAAGCCAAAGGAATTGGATAAAATCATATAATTTGGTAAGTATTGAGAATCAAGTTCTTCGCGAGGATATAAACCCTAACGGTATCTATAGCGTAATTTTACTATTGACTGCGGTGAGTCGACCCAGACCTTTTGGGATAGACCTCCGTGCTGCATTATAATTGTCTTCTAAGGACATCATGACTAGGAATTCGGTAGTGTTAGCGGGTTCTCCTCAGCTACGAATTATTAGGGAGTAGGTTCACGTAGCATGCTAGAGCGCGTAATTTGAAACCACACTTCTGGGGTGAAATGCAGATTAGTCTTTGAATAAACTATTGCCAAAAAGGTCTTCACAAATTTTGCGGCGGCTTGGGGCTGTTTTACTGCTGGTTCTAGAAACTACGAGAATTGTTTCTTCAAATGTTTTCGAGTGGTGAGCCCGTGACTCCGTGCCCGGCTATTGGACTAGGTAGTGTCATAAACGTTATTTTGGAAGCATATTGAGAAGCCACCCAGTGGTAAGTTCAAACGCCGAGTTTACCGCTCAGTAGCCGCCTGGACTTTCTCTGTTTTTAAGAATCACCACGAGGATAAGAAATGCAAATATAAATTGAGAGGCCCTATGCAGCGTGGCAGTCTCAGAAAAGGACCCGAGCAAATGATCTAGAGCAATATTCCTATCTGCCGACCTTCCACCATCTCATTTTGAAACCATCAGGATAAATCGAACATGGAGCCAGACAACGATATCAGGGGAAGACTTGCCTTGATCACTGGTGCCTCTGGAGGGTAAGTGTCTCCTTCTGGTCGTATAAAGATCGTGACTGACATGACCCAAAAAAGGATTGGCGCAGCTTGCGCCCGTGACCTCTTCAACCATGGTGCATGTCTGGCACTGACATATTCCACGAACAAATCCGCCATCGAGGCTCTCATTGCCGAGCTGAAAACCCAGGATCCGTCCCGCCACGTCACGTCTCACAAGGTAGACTTCAGTGACGTGGATGATATTGCATCTATGTTTAGGCAAATCCAATTGCTACATGAGCAGCCTGGGCCAGATATCCTGATTTCGAACGCCGGCTATGGCAAACGAATTTCAAACATCATTGAGATCCCACTTCAGGAGTTTGAAAAAATGATTCATATAAACCTCACGTCCTCATTTCTGTTATCAAAGCAAGCCATTCCTTATATGGTCTCTCAGAAGTGGGGGAGGATCATTTTCATATCATCAATCGCGGCGATTGGCGGCGGAATAAATGGTTGTCACTATGCTGCAAGCAAGGCTGGTCTAACTGGGATGATGAAAAACTTGGCGACGAAACTAGCGCAGGATGGGGTCACGGTTAATGATGTCGCACCTGCGATGATCGGTGACACTGGAATGATCCCGGACGCGACACTACTGGCTGGAACAGCGGGCGATGTGTCTAACATCCCAGTGGGACGACTAGGTACTCCACAGGAGTGCGCAAATGTGGTAACGATGCTCTGCAAGACAGGCTATATGACTGGGCAGAGCATTCTACTTGCTGGGGGCTTGAAATGAGAACTATGTAGTGTGACTATCTCTGATTGCCTCCGCATTTGTAACTACACAATCGTACCTGATTATTTTAAAGCCAAGGAATAATATGTACCATTTTAGAGGATGAGTCGTTCAGGCTTAAGCTTTTATCAATCATGGGTAATAGGTTTCTCCGGACGACAGTGTACGCGAGTTTGGCCTAGTAAATCTATCGCCATCATCCTCTTTCACTATAATCACATCGTGTGAAATCTAAAATTTACGAGGATGAACCTTGTAAAGCAGGTACTGTACTAGGACAGGAGAGCAAAGAGACGAGCAGAGACAACCGAACACGAGAAGGAAGGAACCAGTGACCTGGGACGTGACCTGGGATCCAACCAAGCACCAATGAGACAGAGGCTTGGCGGGGGAGTAGGGTGTGTGTTTCTCGCAGTGTTTCTGGCAGTGTCAACGTCGGCGTCGGGCAGCCGTGGGGTTGGTAACCCCTTCCACTCCGTTCCTTCGTTTCAGAGCATAGATCTCTACGCTTACATGTGCCGTGTACCACTTCCTAAGCGAATATAATTTCTCGCCGAGGCCTGTCGTGGCCCAGAAGCCGTTGTTGCCTTTTGTTATCCTTATGGTGTGCGGCTTTCAAACCGGTGGGACGCTTCGGCAAAGTCGAAGACAGCTTCCCTTGTCTTCGTCCGCGAAGCGTAACAATGTTAATCTTACTCCTTCCCTCTTCTCCAGGTTCCCATAACAAGTTTGACAAGCTGTTAAACGCGTCGCCAACCTTTCCTCTGAGCTCCCGCCGTAGCTCTCTTAGCTCCGGGCAGTCCAGCAGTACCTGGGTAACACTCGGGTGCCAGTCAAGACGCCTGGATATGGCCACAAATCAGCGATGGAGATATCAAATATGCACAAATGATAGCAAGAACAAGCTCGATTGGATGAGCAGGGAAAAAGAGAATAGGAAATGAGCAAACAAAGGACTACACCAAAGCCGTCACAACTTAGGATCTTAATTCCATCATGTCAATGCTTCAATTAAAAACGTTAGTCTATCACAAGGCTATTTTCTCTATCCATGCCTTTCCCTGTCCTAAAAAGACACCCATCATGACACATGCGCGCGAGGAAAAGTTATAAAATCTGCAGAATGAGGGGGAAAAAAATCGCTAGAAGACATAAATGAATCGGGAATCTTTTCATAACACCAACAGCTCAGTAACAGAGCTTAGTTGATGTACTTGGGAAGACTCTTGACGACACCGTCCCGGGCGATGTCTTCCAAGGCGATAGTGACGGTCTCCACAAAGCGCTTGTCACCACGCAGGTCGTCACCGAACAGAGACTTAATGCTGAGCAGTGGCATGGGGTCGGTGCCACCAGCAAAAGCGGCGGCGTGAATCTCCTCAAGCATGGGGTCTTGAACCTCGAACTTGTTGCCGTTGTCATCAACACCCTTGATGTAGTGGAAGTAGGCGGCAGCTGTAAAACAGAGACGACGGAAGGGTCCGGTCACCCAGATGGCTTCAGCAATGGTGGGCATGATGAACTGGGGGATCTTGCCGGTACCACCACCAGCAATGCGAGGCAGCTGATCCCTGATCGGGGGGTTGGAGAAACGCTCGATCAGTGTCTCGCAGTACTTGTCGACATCGTGACCCTCAATGTCAGGGAGAGTGCGCTTGGTCTCCTCCTGCATCATTTGCCAAATGAACTGTCTGAACAGTGGGTTCTCCATGACCTCGTGAACAAACTTGTAGCCAGCCAATTGTCCACCATAGGCAATGATAGCATGGCTACCATTCAACAGACGAAGCTTGTGCTTCTCGAATTCAGCAACCTGCTGCACATTCTTGACAATCTGAACTCCCACCTTCTCAAAAGGCGGGCGGCCGTCAGAGAAGTGGTCCTCAACAACCCACTGCATGAAGGGCTCAGTAACGATAGGCCATGAGTCTTCGATGCCAAAGTCCTCAGCGAGAGACACCTTGTCGGCAGCGGATGTTTGAGGAGTAATGCGGTCGACCATAGCATTAGGGAAATGAGCATTGGTGTTGATCCACTCCGCAAGCTCGGGGTCACGGAGACGAGCGAAGGAGACAAGCATGTGGCGGGTGATAGATCCATTTCCTTGCATGTTATCACAGGACATAACAGTAAATGGGTTCAATCCCTGTGCGCGGCGGCGAGCCATGGCGTGAAAAAGGAATCCGAAAGTGGTCTTCGGGGCATTGTCAGGGTTCAGATCGTGCTGAATGTCGGGGTCTTCGGTCTGGAGTTCGTGGGAGTTTTCGTTGTAGTAGTAGCCGCTTTCGGTGACGGTAAGGGAGACGATGTGGGTATCCGGGTGTGCCATCTTCGCGATCACGGCTTCACGGTCGTCGTGAGCCCAGAGGAAAGAGTTGATGCTGCCCATGATCTTGGCAACACTCTTGGTGGCAGAGCGCTCAACAATGGTGTAGAGGTGGTCTTGGGAGCCCAGGGCGTCCCGCATACCAACATCCCATGGCTGCAGACCAACACCGCAAATTGCGTAGTCGGTAACACCGTGGTGCTGCATCAGTTGGTTCATGTAAACCGCCAGGTGAGCGCGGTGAAAACCACCGACGCCAACATGGACAATTCCCTCCTTGACAGCATCACCACGCGGGAAGGTAGGGTATTCGATCGGCGCATCGGATGCGGACACGATCTGGGGAAGGTTCTTGCTGTTGAGTTTGATGGCCCCCATTGTGAAAGGAATTGAAGGAAGTGGATGAGATGAAAGAGAGAAGATGAAAAAATCGAAAGAGGGGAGGAGCTTGGGGAGATAAATATTATGAATTGGCCGCAAGCAGCTCTTCTTTGTACTGGAGGTCACCGCCACCCGGACCCGCCGCTTTTGGTAAAATTGATAAAAATGGAGAACAACCCACATCATGTGGCGGGATGCAGTGGGGGCCCCAGGCCAGAACGAATGAAAGATGCATTTTGGAATCCGCTCCCTCCTGTGTCGAGGCTATTGCTCGCGTCACGCGGAAAATTCGAATGTCGGGGGGAGCTGCGCCCCGGTCTCCCCAGAAACAGTACGAAGTATACAACCCGTTGAGATATGCGGGCGGCCAGGATCTGGAGGTCACCTGCGCCTACGGTTCTAGATTTCTTCGATCAATTGACCTTGCTAGGATCTCAGCAAGGTTAAACCGACACGCCCAGCCATGATTGGAGGGCTCGCCGGGTTTCACGGGACCATATGAAATTTCTTAAATTCTTAAAACTCTTAAGATTTCTTAGATTCGTCGGACTAACCTGATTAGGAGATCCCGCGACGGCTTCGGCCAGAATTCTCAGGCCACAGGCACCCCGGCGGCTGCCCTACAGGGATTCGACTGGCTGGAAGTATTTATAGCCCTCTCGGCTTTGAAGATTGAATTTGCCTCCCCCCTGATTGGTGCCACTTGGACGACACCTTGACTGAATCGAGCATAGACAAGAGAAAACTTGCAACTTTGCGATGTCTCGTGGGCTCCGGATTACAGTGCTGCAGTGAAGATCACCCCTCCGGTCCGGGGGAAGACTTCCCGGCTATCGGCAACCCCCTTTTTTTTTGGCTGTCGACAGGGCCTAGGTCGGGACTTTGGTCGCTCGACACTTTGACAGCTGTACACAGGCCAACACATCCTCGGAAATTGAAATCTCTGCTCGGCCACGTGAAGAGGGCCGTGGGGCTGACGAAGTCCTGGAGGAATAACAATTAGTCGCGAAGAGGGGCAGGGGAATGTGTAGGATCGCAAAGATCAAATCCACCCAGCTCCATAAAAAACTCCATAGCGGTGCATATCTTGGGTGGGGAGGGATCCATTGGCAACGGGATCCCCCAGATAGGCTTCCCGAGAGACCATCGGCCTCGCACAAGTTGCCCAGGGTCTGGGTGCCTTTTACCCGGCATCGCAGCGATTGTCGCTCGACCCACAATTTCCGTCTCCAATGCTTCGATGCAAACTTATTTTGTGAAGCGGCGATCTGTAACGACGTGCTGTTCACCTTGGCTCTGCAATCGAGGTGGACCTTGGGAGTTCGAATGTCCCATTTGGGCAGCTATCAATCACGTGCACCGCCATTGGCCCTTGACGGCCGGGGCTCTTCCGCGCAGATATCGATCTGCCATACTAGTACCAATGTACCGATGGTATAGGCTTGGGGGCCAGTGAACATTTGCATCGGCCCAGCCAGTCGAGGATCATCCGGTCTCCGAAGACGGAATATACAAAATAGCAGCATACTGGTCTTGTACCTCCGATGAGAGGCTCCCGACCGCAGTTCCAGGCAATCCCGCGACTAGCGCTCTACCTCCGTGGCCAACGGCCCCAGCCACCACCGAGACGGTGCTTGTCGGGATCACTCGTCAAGATGAGCTCGCGACGCGAAGACTCAATCCCGCATGAGCTGCGCACGGCGGCCGAGCCCCGACAAAACAGGCTGTACCCTGTGCATCTGTCACATGTGGAGGAGATCAATCTCTCCATCCGACTCCTACACTTGGCCATCCCTCAGGAAAATAATAATGTATGTTGGCTCAATTCAGTCTTACGTGTTGCAAGTGTTGGAGATGTCCCGAGATGTCCCTTTTATCATCTCAAAAATGTGCTTTGATGGTGTGGGCGGAATACTCAACCATCACATTGCATATCCTGCAACATCAGTGACCTATATACATCGCAATCACATTGTAGGCACCATGCTCACGCATTTTTAGGAAAACCAGCAATCATTCGCCTTCCTCCCAGGCCAATGGCTAGATGTACACATCCCGTCCATCTCCAACGCTGGTGGTTTCACCATTACCTCGACCCCAGCAGACGCCCAGCCGCTACCATCCCTTGATTCTCTGCCAGAATCCCTCGCCAGTGACAGAATTGGTGCCCTTAGTGCTCCAACTCTACAGAGTCGGACGCCTTATGTAGAATTGGCCGTTCAAGACTCACCCTCCAACCCAGCTGCTGCATGGCTATGGAGACCAAAAGAGGAGATTCTTGGACAGGAAATCAATATCCGCGTTGGTGGAAGCTTCACCTGGCCACCAACTGGAGTTGACATTCATAAGATCAAAAATGTGGTCTTTATCGCTGGAGGCGTTGGTATCAAGTATGTTCCATCGACACATAATTTTGGGGTCTAGGACACTGACACGCTATAGCCCGCTCATCTCGATCCTGTCGCATCTGAACAACCAGTCACAAAATACTCATGCTTTAAATGTCCACTTCTTATACTCGAGTCGACTATCACCAGGAGAGGATAATAAGCCTCTAGAGACGAAACTGGAACAAGTTTTGTTCCTGCCGCGACTTCGGTCAATACTTCGCTCCCAAATGCAATCGCAAAGGCTCCGCATTTCTCTAGTGCTCTTCCTTACTAACCTCGATACTTCCCTACTCGATTCTGCTAGCCTACCATCAGACCTGACTATACAGCCACGAAGGATTGGTGACGATGACCTTCGCTCCTCAGTCATCGGCAGAGATGGTAAGATGGACCCGCACGAGACGGTCTCATATATCTGTGGACCGCCCAATATGACCGACGACTTCGCGGAGCGGTTGAAGACCGTCCTCGATGATCCCGAAGGACAGCGCATCTTTTTTGAGAAATGGTGGTGAGAAACTCAGTGCCACAATACTATTCCTAATTAAACGGGGTTTCAAATGCGTTTTTTGTCGGGAAAAAAGCGCAGACGCAAACATGGCAAACCTATGTTTAGCATCTACTTGTTCTCGCAAAAAGAAGACGCAGTGAGAAATGACCACATATTCAATAAGTTGAATCATCCGTCGGACGCCGACCTTTTGCAGGAAATGGAAAAAAAAAAAAAAAAAAAGGAAAGGGAATATATGTACAGTGTAAAAGAAAGGGTGGAGCCGTCAACGACAGAAACGACAGTATAGCCGGGATAAAGCGACCGGGGATCAGTAAACAGAAAAGAGGAGAAAGAAGAAAATGGAAAGAAAGATGTTCTCCGCTAATATGCTTCGCTGGAATCTTTGACGGCACCGCCATCGACAATCATCATATCATCGATCTTATCTTCGGTTTGACCCCATTCAAGACGTTTGTAGGTCTTTACACGACCAGGGCCCATGTCGAAGTCGAAGAAGCGTACTCGTCGAACGTAGTTGTCGTAACCACCGTATCCACCTAGACCTCCGCCGCCACCGTAGCACATCCAGAGGGAGGGTTTTTCGTTGGTGTCTTTCTCGAGCATGCAATAGTCGTTTGCGTGGTCGCTGAGCCAAGTTAGTATCCACAGCGGAAAGAGATATGAAAAGTTGGATAGAACTTACTGTCCACCACTGACAAACAAAATACCCTCTTCTTCGAGAGCATCCTTGAAGCCAGAATTGAAGCCCGGTGCCGTCGGGGCCTCTTTCCACTGGCCCTTGAAGTACAAGTTGGTGCTCCGGTATTCGGGCAACGGAATATGGATGAAAGCAACGTTCATATGGATGTGGGAGTATTCCTGATGTTTCTTTTTCAGGCTTTGGGCGGTATTTTTGAACCAACGTATCTGGCTGGGTTTGAGCCAATCGTAGCCTCTAAATTGGCGTTCGTCGGGAGAGTAGGAATGAGTGTCAAGGAGGTAGAAAGTAAGGGCAGAGTGCGTGCTCTTGCCACGGTCGAGAACTTCGACAATGTAGTTTCCGACGCCGTCAATGTCTTCGGGGCCGGTGGTTGAAAGGGAATAGGGAAGGTCCTCGTAAATGGACATGAGCTGTGCTCGGCTCAGATCGCCTTCATCGTCATGGTTTCCAAAGATGGCTGCATATGGGATCTTGCGGTCAACGAGAAGTTTCACAGACTTGAAGAGGGCGCTCTGAGCATCAGGCGAAGTCTCTCCGTTAACCTGATCACCGCTGAAAACAACCATATCAGGCTTCTCTTCATCGAGGAGACGTTCCACAAATTCCAAGGTCCGAGGATCAGCCTCGCACTTCTGTCCAGGTACAATTTCCGCCGGGACAGGGTCACGGCAGTCACCTAGGCCAGTGCTCAAATGAAGATCTGCCAGCTGCATGACCTTGAATTTTCCACCTTCGTTGATCCTGGGAGTAGGCTTCTTGTTCTTTGTCGGGTTTCCTCGTCGAATACTGAGACGAGTCTCCAAGCGTTCTGTCCACCCGTCCAACAGCAGGGGGTGTATCCTTCACTTCCCAGTTAGGACGAGGGTCAACAGCGTCCGCGCCAAAAAGCACATCGATGTATGTCACTGCCTTCTCTGAGTCGCTAGCGTGACGGGAGGAGGATCGTTTCAACCAGATGCCACCAGGTCGGGATTCCCAAGCCTCCTCCACCCCCTTACCACCATTGGCAGCGGTATAGTCAGTCGGCGGAGTGAGGCGACTAATCTTCAGATCGACAACCACTCGGTCATCAGCTCCCAGTTCACTCTCCTTCTTCCGCTGAAATTGGATGTAGGCAGTTGAGGTCCACCCCGAGCGCAGATAGAGGTCTTTGTTGACGCGGTGCCAGACATCCGGGTCCGACTTGCAATTCGAGAAAGGGTTGAGTGAGGAGCATCTGATGACCGTGACATCGGTGATCACATATCCGGGGTAGTGCATGGGCAGATGGCCATGGATGGACTCGGGGAGGACACGGAATCGGTTATCAAGGAACACAACGACGAGAAGCACAAAAGAAACGATTAAGCCGAGCTGGACGCCCGTGCGGACCTATAGAGAACGAAATATTAGCCAGAGATTCGAGAATCGAGTAAGGGACTCGTACGAGCCGGCGAGCCATGATGAAGGTATCACCCTTCCAAGGACTTGACCAAGAGCCGGGAGGTGCACTGTCGCATGATGCCACCCACTTTCAAGAGGGTGTATTCCAGGCCACGAGATGACCAGCAAGTTTAGGCCAATCCACAGAGCTCTGGATCCATAAACAAAAAGTGAGTAGCGGAGAGTTGTTTGGGGAGGGAGCGAGGTCGAGGTCACGGACCCGCAAGGCGGTCACGCTGCAACTCCTGAAGGGTCCAGCCTTCTCCGCTTCTACCATCAGGGAATCGTCTCTATTTCAACGTCGATGCTGTGCAATTAAATGGTCTAAATTCTGATTCGCAGCCACAATATTATGGCCATCTTATCTACCAAGTCCTCCCAAGTCTATGTGTTTATCTGAGGTAATTTACGCAGTCTTGCTGACCTTCGCCACATCGACGGGCGACACCTTACCGGCAAGGATATCTTGGGTAGTCGACAGGATGGTGGACCAGTTCTCAAAGGTGGTGAAGGGCATACCACGGCGCTCGCAGAAAGTGACAAGGTCTATCTTTTTGTTAGTATTGCAATGAAACATCGCATTCTGCACCGCAGCAAGGTTGGATTTGAATTTTACCTTTGCCAGCCTTCGCAAACAAGAGGTTGGTCTCCGCGGCGGCCGACAAATCGGACACACCATCGCCGGCGTACAGAAGTACCGGTCGCTCGCCTTCGGGCAAAGCAGCGTACGGCTTAATCTCGAGGGACTTGTCGTGGCCGAAGTGACTAGAAGAGATGGGTCGTGAGCATACGACATACAACACGGGCGACCCACAGAGAATTATGAAGGCGCATTAGATGGCTTACCTTTCGTCATGGTACTGGATCTGCCAGCCACCTTCGCTGTTGATATCCTTGCCGTCGCGGCTCACTACCTCGTTACAGACAATGTGGAGGTGGTCACCGGGCTTGTGGCCCAGGAACTTCTCGAGTAGCGCGCTGATAATCGGCCTCATTCCGGAGGACAGAATTACAATAGGCACATTGTTGTCCCGGGCCCAGTAGTAGAACTTCTCGAAGTACGGATCCAGTTTCATGTTCTTCAGCAGAGTCGCGATACACTCGTCGTAGGGGGTCTTGATGCTTCCCAGCATCTCGCGGAAGGCGTCCCTGGTATAGAAAAGCGCATAGTCAGCCCATGAAACCTTATAAAGCGATAGATCGTGGCATCATCCCTACTCACCGGAAACCAAGTGTTTCGTCGAGGACCTTCTCGTTCAGTTGTTGGCGGCGCTCGCGGCCAAACCCGAGATTGTCAATCTGCGCAAGAGAGTCAGATTAGAAATGCGGAAGTGGTGCATGCAAGACGGACCATAAAATCATTGCCTGCGCTCAGTTCATCGTTAGCAGTCTATTCTCAAAACCGCGGTTGTCGCGCAAGAACTTACTGTCGTCAACGGTGATCGTGCCGTCAAAATCGGTGAAGAAGATCACCTTCGGGTTTGTTTGCATATAAGGGAGTACGGTCGAGCCCATTGTGGCAGAATGCGAAAGAGCGTAATTTGAAGAAAGAGGGACAGAAGAGGGACAATTTTTGGAGAGGGAATGTCGGCAATTGACACAGAAATGTAGACAGATTAACGGAGGAGCCCCTCGGTGAGCGGCGAGGGGAAGCCGGGGAGTGGATCGGTTTGGCGGTGGATCGCCGCCTCAGTGGGTTTGGGCATGGCAGCGAGATTTTCCCGTCTAGGACATCTTAAGCTCCAGCATGGCTCGTCTGCTCCAATCTCTGCGGCGAGTGCTGGGCAGCCCGCCAGCGGTTGGTTCAGCTGGTCCTCACGCGCGGTCATTCGATACCGACTTCTCCATTTTCCGCGGTACGTTTGCGACGACCTCCGATTCCACCCCGTCGGACCGACAGGGCTGACAGACGCGCAGAGGGTGATCGGATCGTGCTGCACAATAAGCAGCCGATCCTGACGAAGCCATTGAAAAGGGGCGACAAGACAAATCTTCGTCGGGGACATCTAGAGCATGACCGTGTCATTGGAAGCCGTGTTTGGGAGACTGTGCAGGCTCACAAAGGTAAGTAATTACTATTCCGATGAATAGTATACGCGCCGCGACTGACCGATCAATCATTCAATTAGGTCCGGACGTCCGACCAAGTCTGCCAACCTTGGATGAATATGTTGCCTTGACTCCTCGCCATGTGACACCGGTATGCGCACCGTCCCAACTGTGAACAAAGTCGGAACCACCGCTCACAACGGTAGATCTATCCCCACGATGCGAACTTGATTGTCTCCCTCCTCGACCTCCACCCCAATACCCCCGCTGCAGGCGAAGAAGGGCCACCGTCGATAGAGATCCTTGAGTCTGGGACTGGCCATGGTTCCTTGACCCTCCACCTGGCGCGCGCTATTCATGCCGCCAACACAACTCCCCCGCCTCGACCCGTGAAATCTCAGATTCAATTCCTAGAGGACCGGGCTAAGCGACCAGGCGAAGAGGATTCAGAAGATGTGGGAGGCACCGATGCTGTCTCGGGTGTCGACACCGTGCAAGAAGAATGGAATGCATGGCGGGCGCAGCGCAACGCTGTCATTCATACCGTAGACGTCTCGTCGAAATTCTCGAAGCTCGCAGAAAAGAACGTGCAAGGGTTCCGACGTGGAATGTATAGCGGAGATGTCGATTTTTACGTTGGTCCCGTTGAGAACTGGGTTGCTGAACAGATGAAGCGACGAACCAAGTCTGGCGTGCTATCCTCGTTGACATTGCAGCGCTCAATGGAGCCATTCCTGTCCCATGCGATTCTGGACATGCCATCAGCACAGCTCAGAATACCGCACGTGGCACCAATCATTAAGCGCGATGGATTCCTCATCGTCTTTGTGCCGAGTATCACCCAGATCGGTGATTGCGTGCGTTTGATCCGCCAGCATCACCTGCCGCTCGTTCAAGAGAGAGTGGTGGAGCTCGGTATGGGCATTTCTGGTGGCCGACAGTGGGATGTTCGGCTCGCGATCAAAAAGTCTGGGGCTGACCCGTCTTCTTGGAACACAACTTCCGAGGCAGATGAGGCATCCGCTGATGAACCAGAAGATGTAAGCGAAGCCCCTGTTACAGAGGCGCCGGCTAAGGAAAATGAGCAAGTCATGGTCTGCCGACCCAAGGTCGGACTGCGCACTATGGGGGGCGGCTTCGTTGGCATTTGGAGACGTATAGAAGATCTCCCTTCCCGGTGATTTTGGGATATACCCCAAGGCATTCCCTTCCCCTTCATTGTACTATAGCATTTGCATATACACTGTACTAGTATTACCCGGTAAAATTATTGTCATGTACAATCACATAGATCGCATTTAATAAGTAACAATACCGAACAATATGTTCAAGGACGATCTTAACATCTTAACCAATATGTAATCACAGCTTAGCCTCAATCCAACCCAAAAGGTCGGATGCGAACTGGGTCCTAGTTTCAGGTAGCTCAGCCTGCAACTTGTGGTAAGCACCAGCATAAGAAGCGAACACGACATCCCCCTTCTCCCCCAGCAGCTCGGCCAACCGCTTTGTGGCCGGGTGGCTAGTAATTCGATCCTCATCGCCGTGGGCAAGCCACATAGGCAAAATATCCACGCCCTTAATCTGGTCCTTAGAGAGGTGCTCTAGCCACAATCCCCGGTCCAGCATGCCTGCCAGTTGCTCCAGGGTACCGGTCTCATGGCACAACTCGTCAGCCTGGAAATCAGCAATAGCCTGCTTGTCCCGCGTCACATGGTTAGGGTCGAGCGGGGAGTACCGCTGCATGCGAGGGAAAAGTCGACCTGCAAGTCTTCCAGCGATTACGGTCAAAGTCCAGGGGCGCGAAGCCGGATCCAGCGCGATGAGCGGTGAAAGAACAAGCAGGCCGGCGAGTTTGGGTCGGGAATCGGACTTGCGGTATGGCGAGTCCGGGTGCAGAACGTAGGTTAGGATCTCGCCGCCGCCCATGCTATGTCCGGCTAGAAACAGAGGAATCCCCTGGGCCTCGGCTTGCGGCGCAAAGCTGAGGAGAAATGAGTGCAGGTCTGCCAGGACGACTGATGTGCCGCCGCTGTTGCCGCGGTCTTTGCGGCGTTTGAATGTGCGGCCCCAACCACTAATTTGCGAGAGTTAGCCCTTTTTACTTTTCGCTTTGAACGGTCGCAGGGAGCTCAAGAGAAAGAGTTCTCTCATATGTAGGGTATCCGGTACATACCGCTGGTCAATAGCTCTAACCTCGATGCCCGATGAGGCAAGAGTTGGGAATAGCTCATAATGGGTATTGCCTGGTGGAAGAAGTCAGTAGGGCCATCTTGCCTGCAGGCTTCTTTGTCTAAGCGCTCACTGTGATCGCTGAATCCGTGGATAAATGCCAAGGTTGCTCGTGGTGATCCATCTGTCTGAGCTGAGGTTAGATTGACATCGACGTCGATAAAATAAGATAGCAGAAAGTGGAGATGGACCGACCTTCCAAGTTTTGGTATACGCCTCGAGCCCGTCGGGCAGCGTGTGGGTACCTTCTTCGATGGACATTATTGAGGATAAGCGACTGTTGAGAGGAGTTGTCAGAGCTGACTTGGGATCGATAGCGTGCTTTTGTTGACGGATCTGACATGTGATGCCGCGTAGTCAGCACTGCAGAATGATGGATGCCCCCATAAAAACGTGAACTTCTTAACAAATGAGAGTCTCAGTATGACCAGCATTCAAGTAAGTAGAGCTCGATAAGTTATGAGAAGCCCGCATTTTCGCCTTGGCATTTTTGAGAGCACTGGAATCTACATTACGACCTACAAGTTAATTTCAGAAATTTCAGAAGTTGAACAGAGCCATGTTCTATGCTTGACGGGATAGAAAGTATGGCAGAACAGGTACATAGATCAAAAAAAAAACTCCCATCGCCGATAAAACAAATCAAAAAGCAACCTCGTAAAAGCCCTTCGGAGGCCACCTGTTCCACCTGAACACCAACCCTGCCCTCAGCGTCGTGAAACCGTCTCAAATGACGTTAGAGATTAGGAGAGATGTGAAACAGAGATATTTCAGGAGAAAACTCCATGAGGAGCAGCGGAGACATGAAATCAGGATGGAGGAAAGGGAGAGAGGGGGGCGGGAGGCGAGAGGGGAAGGCGGGAGAAAAGCGATCCCATCTTGTCAGTGACTACGTGCAGTAGCCAATGCGACTGGAAAACGCTTTGAAAGCAAGAGGTTAGGGGAAAGCGAGACGGAGAGAAGGAGAAAAACAGGCATAGGAGACGAGTTCATAAATGGAAGCAAAACGCAGAGAAAGAAAGGGGGCCAAAAGAAGAAACGACAACAAGAAAGATAAGAAGAGGACAAGACACAAGGCAGTAACATGAGATAGCAGGCAAAAGACACCTACCACTACCACAGATTCCGAAATGACAAGAGGTACAAAAGGCCAGAAAAAGATGAAACCCCCAACTTCACAAAACACCCGTCTCAAAAGATCAATGCTCCTCATCAGTGCCGTTGCGGCCCGAAATCCGCATCCACAACCTTGCCCTTTTTCTCTTTTACAGTAAACTCCGCAAACAATGCGACATGATCAGATGGGAAATGGAAATTGGGGAATCCAGGCACCCTGCGAAGGTAGTCCTTGTCCACCTCCCCAAGCAACGCCGACACATACAGGGTGTTGGATGAGTACCACACATAGTCCAGAATATCCTTGAAATCGGGAGTGTAGTTGGTGAAACTGAGCTCTCCAATGGAACCATAGGCCGATTTCAGCTTGAACGGATGAGTCATTCCAATCTTGCTCAGGTTGCCGTACAGTCGTTTCTCCAGATCGGGGTGTTCCTCAGTCAGACGTCCACTGGCGATCAAGTTGTACGCTGCAGATCCGGGTGAGGAATTAAAATCACCACACATGAGAAGCGGGATCTGATCACCACTGGTGTATTCCTTAGAAGGCGCCGGCTCTACTGTCGGGGTCGTTTCAGAACCACTTTCGGCCTCGGAGAAGCGGAATTTAGCCTTGTCCACGCAAGGAGGATGCTTGGTCCAATTTTCCGAAAGCTTTGTGATCTCCTCCATGAGAATGGCGGTTTGAATGAGTTTGACGTCCTTGAAAGCCGGATCCCAGTAGAGATGGGCATTGACGACCATGAATCGTGCTCCGGTCAATCGGTTCTCCAGGAAGATCACAACAGCAATGTGGTCCTTCTGCCACAGTCGGTTGTAGATGTCATCCTGTCCCTTCGCGTCTGGTCGTCGAACGGCGGTTTGACCAAAGTTGATCAAATGCTTGTCCAGCAGGATGTACTTGGATGCCTTGAAGAATGTGGCACAGCCATCAATGGTTTTGGCATCATCTTCGTGCATTCCCATTGCGCGCCCACGGGGCCAGTAAACGCCCTTGTAATCGTTGTAAGCAAGCTGCTCGCGGAAGAAATTGTTGTAGCTTCCTTGATCAACTTCCTGAAGACAGACGATATCCGAGCTGTGGGATCGTAATTCATTAAGGATGAGTTCCCGGCGAAACTCCCAAGAAAGGACACGAGCAGGTGCGTAGCCGTAGTGAGATGCAGTTGCGGAAGAATCGCAAAGGGTGTTGTAGGAAAGGACTGTGATCTTCTCGGCGGGGGCGTCCTTGGAGCTCTGGGTTTCATCAAGAATTACCCAATCACGATCAGGCGGAGGAATGTGAACTGTGGTTAGAATTGGGTTAGTACACGCAGAGATCATGAGCCGGAGCTCAAAAATCGGAACCGGAACTTACCTGGCATCTCTTCCTTGAGATACTTGATCAAGGCTTTCGTTCCATCCTTCATGATCTGAGACTTGAGCACATCGTTGAGGGGGTTTCCCTCAATTCCCAATGTCTCCAGGCGGTACAGATAACCCATTTCGTAAGGGAGAGTGCGGATGTGGTTATCGAAAAGGAGGAGGTTCTTAAGGTTGGAGAGCATGCCGATCTCCTCGGGGAGCTCGGTGAGGTCATTACCGGACAAGTCAAGGTGAGTAAGTTTGCGTAGTTGGCCAATCGCCGGGGGAAGCGTCTTCAGTTTGTTGTGGTTGAGATACAGCTTCTCGAGGAAGTCGTAGTTGAAAAGTGAGGGGGCCACAGCACGCAGGCCCTGTCCACCAAAATCGATTGCATTCCAACCCTGTCGCGAGGCTGACTTCTTTGCGGGGGTTCCATTCCGAGCATCATTTCCATGTTCCGAGGGGTCGTTTTGGCTAGGCATGATCGAAATCCCCTTGGACTGCTGTGCCATAGCCCGAGCGTGGTAGTGGGGAGAACTAGCCTGTCGCGATTCAGCGGCAAGCTGGAGTTGCCGTGCCCAATGCTCACTCATCTGATCATCCATGTCCTCGTCCACCGCGGACGGCCCTCCATTTTGGATGTGGCTGGTCGTGAAATGCGGGGTTGTCGTGGCGAGGGTTCCACCGGAGAAGGTATGTTGGGAGATATTGTGCTGCGCTTGGGCATGGTGGGGATGGTGATGTTGTTGTTGAGGGTGGTGAGGGTGATGGGTTTGTGACTGAAACTTGGCGATCTGCATGCCAAAGCGCTGGTGGCCCTGGCCGCCACTCATCATGACATGTTGTTGTTGACCGTACATGGCGAGAGTGTTCAGAGCGGCTGATTGGTTCACTGGTGGCGATCGAGAAGGGGATGGAGTGTCGTGGGTGAGCTTCAGTCGTCCCGGGGAATTGGTCCCGTTCGGAATGGCGTGTCGTTGGTGCGAGTGTTGGTGCGGTTGTGTTTGGAAATAGAATTGCCCGGCCCCAGGCTGCTGGAACCTGTAGGTACCATCTGCCATCTAACGGGGCAGACGAGACCGTGGCTTAATTCCCTGGCGAAATACCGGGGGGCGGGCGAGTGGGAGGAAGCTTGAAACGGAGGGAGCGAGTTGAGAAGTCGACGATCGAATACGGTCTTTGCTCTTGCTCCACATAGGGTTCTGCAGCTTAACAAACCCAAGTACAAATTTCAAGACTGGGTCTGGTGGCCACAGAAGACCTTGCGCGGACGTTGGAATTGCAGACCGTTCCGATTAGGATTGAGCGGTACCCGCAGGGCGAGAGGCAGGTGGGATGTGTCACAGAGTCGGGATCGCAATCGAGCTGAATAACCAAAGGAGAGTTAGATCTTGTTCATTCGGGATCAGAGGCTGCACGGCCCGGGGAGTGCTTCGTACGATTGTCTCATGGGAGGGGCGTCGATAGCAGGGACAAGATGACAGGCTTGAGTTGGCGAAGGCGGGAGGTAGCTCACGTGATTCCCGGATGTGACTTTGCCAAGACTTTGGAAACAGCGTCGGTTCGCGTTCCCACTCTTCAGCAAAGTACCGAGTTGTTATGCCAGTGTATCTGAATAATTGTGGGAGACTTGGATATTGAGGCTCTGGGGCGGCTGACATGGGCGAATTGTCACGACAAGCCTTTTTGGTCAGATGTAAGCGCGACTAGTACCGTGACCTGCGGTACCTATGATAGATTGGGCCTGGTCTGTCGCCGCGTGCCAAGCATCAGGTCATCACTTATAATTGACTCTGATGCGTTCCTGGGCACCATCATATGCAGAATATTGACAACTCGTGGGAATCATGTATGATGTGTTGAATAAATATTCAATTGGGGTAATGGCTCTTTATATTGGATCTAAGATTTTTGGACAATGAACGAACTCAAGAGTTCTCGCAGTGACTATTAGATATTTCTTGCACTGTCCTACCCGACGATCAAATAAGAGTAGGAAATAAACAGCGTAGCAGTACTTAGAAAAGGCCCAAGAAGTAGTAAATTAATTATGCTACTAAGTATAGTAGGCTGCAGTCTTTGCTCTATTCAGGTTGCAGCTCTTGCACCTTGCGCTCTAGTAGCTGATCAGTAATGCGACCGCTTGAATGTAGAGCTATCCTCATGAGAAGCATATCGCAGTTCTAAGCCTGTTTGAAAGTTGCAAATTCAGTGCAATTACGCTGACCGAGCGATCGGTATAATGTCATATAGCTCCGACTATTGCCCTGTCTGCCCCTGGGCTATCCATCAAATGGGACGGGCCCTGTCCCGGATTGACACAATACTTGGTGGCAGTACCGCATATACTAGTGCCCCCTGATTACTACCTAGGTAGTAGTACGAAAATCTACCCCAGACGGTGTGTCTGATCTGGAAATTCCTTCTACTTGACGGATAGTACCGACTGCCCTTGCAGGAGTAAGTCGTTTCTCTGCGCCTCTTTGCCGCAACAAGGAGGCTCACTAGTGCGAGCTGCGTATACCTCCTTAGGTGGCTGGTGCCCGGGTTTTTGCCGGCACACTAACCATCGATCCAAAGTATAACGCAGCTCTGCATCAGCACTATTGACTTTACCCCAAATCCCCAAAACCCAAATCGCGAATCCAAAAAAGAGACATGTGTGATGCCTTTTGTCGATCACGAGGCCCCACCCCCTTCGCCTCTGTCTCGGTGGCCACCAAGACACACGGCTGCCTGCGCCGGGGCCCGTGGCCCTCGTGGCGTCCGCGCTCTCAGCGGCCATCGAGCACTCCTCCCCGCCGTCCCACGGTATTTCTGTGGTGAGGTCTGAGAGTGGCCGCGGCTAGACCAGTTCGCAACACAGAGATGCCGCGGCGACAGAAGAATCTGACGAGTCCTAGGAAGTGCCGAGCAAAAGTACGATCGGCGTGCTGGATGGGGCTGCAGGTACGAAATGCGTTGGCAGGTACCCAGGGCCCGGGTCGGTGGGGAGAGTGTCAATAAAGATGCCCGTGTGCCAGCGTCCGAGCGAAGGGGGATATTATATCCAGACGAGCAGGCCGCGGCTAGGAGCAACGTGCTCTCCCACCACCGGGCCGGGGGCTCAAGACGAGGGCACAGGGCAGCCCGGGGTATCAGATAGAGGAGGGGCTATTCATCGCTAGGACCCGTCTCTGGACCTGAGAATTGGGTGGACAATGGCGGATAGGGATCTACGGTATTCGCCCTCCCTTCTCCGTCCCGGCCGATTCGTGTCACGTCCATCCATTCTACCCTGTGGTACTATAGTTACCACTGTACAGTTATACTACTATACAGTAGTACACAGTTAACTACTGGTAGTAGTGACTCGGACTTTGGCCCTGTACTTTCGGCCGTGATGCATCGCATGCACAGTACGAGTCAGTGGCAACGCCGTAATAGCCCCATGCGCAACACCGAGTACGAGACCCAAAGAGCGAGAGTTGCGACTGATAACCTACCTATACTAGTAGTAGTACCTTCTGGACGGTACGGAACTGCTCCTCCCGCGAGCAGGATCGACCCCGACGTCGCACGTGTCAACCCACGCACGCACGCACCGGCGGGAGATCCCAGCTGGAGCCTTCAGGATCCTTCAGGGCTTTGGCAACGGTGGGCAGTCAGCTGCTCAGTCATGAACCGTTGCCTCGGGAGGTCCGCTGGCGGGACATCCGGGTGCATGTCCGTGAATAGTTCCCGGAGCTATCCATTCGCCTCTTGCGGCGAATCCAGCTGGATCTTTGGAACGAGTGGTCCCAGTGGTCCGTGGCACTCGAGTCGATGATGTCAACAGTCAGCCATCGTCGCCGACTCGTATCAGTCAGATGTTCGGGACTAACTACTACTAGTAGTAGTAGTAATAGTAGTGCTGCGGGGGAGTCAACGGACAAAAATGAGTAGTTGAGGTCGTTGGACAAACGCGACGGATGCGATTGGATCGTCTGGAGAGGACTACGAGCAGCTAGTGTCGAGACTGCCGGTGCCGTATAAATACTAGTAATATTCATAACCAGAATAATGGACTCCATTACGTGAAGGAACTAGCTCCCTTCTGGACTCGAGTGGATACTGTTCAATGCCACTTCGATCCAGGGGTCACTAGTACTGCACTCGGGAGACACGGACGCCCTCTTTTCCTCTTTATTCCCCCCCTCTTCTTTAGTACACTGTGCCGCGTTCGGAGGCTTCTCTTGCAGCTTCACCTCCAGCTTTGAACCCTGCTCGGTGTCTCGAATCCAGTCAACATTGGGAGACCGTAAGGAAAAAATAGAAAAATTTTCCCTTCTGCGCCCCGATTGCACTAAAGAATATTTTCCGAGCCGCTTTGATCGCTTCGGCTTTTCTACTTCTAATTTTCTACCAACCGCACTTCCGGACTTCCTCCCCAGGCTGCGCATACTGCGACGGCGATTCTGTGGTAGCAGAGTAACGACTGAACTGTGGAACGAAACGAAAGACCAACACATACGACGCAGACGAGCATGTCTCACAGTTCATGAAACAGCCCAATTACACGCCGAGAATGCGACCGACCGGAGCACCACATTAAAGAACGACGGGGACAATTCGATGCGCTTGAACCGGCGATGGACATGATGTCGGCAGGGACGGCCTCATTCGTCGCGGCGTCCGGCTCGGACGTCCACTCCAACCTCAGCTCGACCTTCGCCGCAACCTCTTCCTCGTCCTTGGGCTCCTTAACCGACTACAACACCTACCCTCTCACGCGACAAGGCGATCGTACCTACCTCCGCGACCCCGACAACCTCTATCCTCTCCCATGCGACCTCCCCGAGATCCACCGCCAGAGCCTGCGCACCATGATGCTGCTGCGCGTCTTTGGCGGCCCGTTTTGCAACCCCCACCTGGCCAATCGCCCGCCCAAGCGCGTCCTGGAGATCGCCTGCGGGTCGGGCTTGTGGTCGGGCCTGTGCCACGAGTACTTTGTCCGGCACGGGCAGCCGAACGTCTCCTTCGTCGGCATCGACTTTGTCTCGTTCGCCCCGGACCTGCGCAAGCAGGGCATGAACTGGACATTCAAACGACATGATCTTCGCAAACCCCGCCTCCCTTTCCCGGACGACTACTTCGATCTGGTTTTCATCAAGGACGCCGGCATGTGCCCGTCCAGCCCGGCGCAACAAGCGTCGGGGTTGAGGGAACCCCTCCGAGTCTTGAAATCGGGAGGCACCTTGGAGGTATGGGATTCCGACTGGGTCTTCCGTTCGCTGCTGCCCAACCCGGCACCGGCCCGCAAGACTTCTTCGAAGGAACAGGAGATTGCCGACCAAACCGCGACTTATACTTTTTCCTCCGCCACCCCATTCACACGTGCTCACAACAAGTTTCTGGTGGACTACAATTCCTGGATCGAGAAATCATTTGACTGTCGCAAACTCACGGCGGTGCCCTGTGCCACCATCGGGCTCTCATTCAATTCGGAGATCGATCTATTAGAGAATATCGACAGTCGCCGCATCGCTATCCCACTGGGGGAATTACGATGGGAGCGTGAAGGCCAAGGCAAAGATTCCAAGGGCCGTGCCCGAAAAGCCTTGACGCCGGAGCAGTGCTCCATTCGGCGGACTGCGCTTCTCACAGTGATTCAAATGATTGAAGGGCTGGAGCCCATGCTCATAGAAGCTAGTGGGAAAGGGCGCGACGAATGGGACCGGTGGTGGGCGGCCATGAACACCGATCTCTTCCAAAAAGGCGGCGTCGCCAGTGGCGAGTGTCTCGAAGTCAGTGCGTGGTGGGGGAAAAAGAAATAAGCCCCCCCCACGCTCTTCCACAGATCCTTTCGGTGATTTCGGCAGGCACGAAGCAAAAAAGAAAAAAAAAGAAAAGAAAGAAAGAAAGATAGTGATCATTGATTGCTCTTCGTATTGGTGATACCCCCAAGTTGTGATGTTTTATTATTTGTTTGGTTTCCTTTTCCTTTGGTTTTTGCTTGGTCCTTTCCGGGGTTTCGGGGTGCATATGATCTGGGGGAAAACCGATTGCATGAGGCTGTTACGGCAGATACTCGAGATCTGCGACGAGGTGTTTCAGGAATTCTCATAGCGCTTTTTCAGCGTCCGGTACCGCTTCAAGTAGTACCTAGTTTGGTGAGCTGGTCAGTTATCATCGCCAATAGAAGTCAGACTCTGGGGAGGTCAAAGGTTGTGATCGCACGATGTGCTATGATGTATGACAGAAATGTGTGCGAATCATGAAAATGTGTCTAACCCGGTGTTGTCCACGGGACAAGAGAGATATAGAAGAATAACAGAATGACCTTCAATATATGACCATGTCGGAGTCCGTAGGAAGTACATCCGAGTATTGTCTCGAGGATGAAATCCAGTATGATGCAGGGGAAGCCGAAATAGGGGATAGCGTAGTTGCTCACAATGCTTCAACCTCTGAACGAAGAAATTAGTATTTGAGATGCCATAGCTAGAGAGCATCATGGTAGAAGCTCACCTTTCTTCACGAATTCAGCTCGGGCTATGGCCTTCCGTATCTCGTCCTCCTCGTTGATATGTGCTTGCTTTGAAAACGCGCGATGGAGTCGATCGCGGAAATATTGATATCCGAGAGGATATTCCCGGCCTAGAAACAAGAGCTCTAGGTTCCATTTCATAGCTAGGTCAGCGAGTGCTAGTAGTGACGCAAGCTCCAAGCTCAACCTCCGAGTTCCGCACTCTTGTTGTTTGATGTCGCCTGGAACTTCAGATGATACGTTACATACCTTTGTAGACGGTGATCACCTGTCGGCGCAGCTCAAGATTCACCATTGTCTTCCATTCGCTGCGGCCTGCCCGCGGTGGCTTTGAGCTTCAGAATGGTGGATGCGGAGATGTTGGCAGCGTCGGGAATGATCCGCCCCGCATATAGCCGGTTTGGACTCCGCATCACGTGGTGCGCCGAGACTTCCCGTAGTGAGTATACGTATCTTCTTCGTCCGTACATTAAAAGTGGCATTTTCGATCTAAAGGCGATTCAAAATAATAAAGCTTTGAGAATTTCGGATTTTTGATTTAAACGAACTTTCATTTTTGTTGGTTATCATACGTTCCTAGGCGGGTATTTGGGTATGCCGCATATGCGTTTCATCCCCTGGGATAGTGGAGCTTAGTTGGTAAAACAAATTGTATGAGATTAATTATTGAAAAGCTAAATTTTGCTGAGGAAGGGAAGTATTCAGTAAAGGTCCGTGTGAGAAGTTTTGATAATGTCAGCGCCCTTTTCGCCGATCATATAGACCGGATCTTGGATACGACAATCCGGAATGACGTGGAAAACAGAACATCAATCACTCGAACATTCTTGAAGCCATGCACTTTCAGCTGGCCATCAACAACACTCTTGTCCATACTCTTGGATAGGCTATAGGTTCCACATGGATCTAAATAGTTCGAGTTAGCACGATCCAATGTTCTAAAGCGCTGGCAGGCACATACAGTATCCAGTCTGCGAGCGTTCCAGAATCATAGTGTCCATGGCCTCGTCGGAGTTCCGCGGCATAGGCCAGTATAGTCTTCACCAATCATATCCTTGAAACCCTCGCCATGCATGAGAATGTCATCCTCATATCGAATACCCTCCCGTATGGCGACCACATCCAGGAGGTTATTGAAGTAATTGGTGCTGATGTATGGATCGTCGAGTGGATTTTCAGATCGCAGCTTTACCCAACCGGGATTCGAGATGGGGCGCAATAAGTCAACTATAACAGTGAACCAGCTTCTTTCTGGGGAACGGGATTATGCCATTGGAAAGCATCAAAGAACATTCGCTAGAAAGAATTAGTTATTAGGCGTGAGGATATGAAAGTATACAATTTGTACTCACAACGAAATCAATTTAAACGCGCGGCTGTCCAGCTGGACCAAACAGGTCCTTGCCACCGTTGTCCTGCTTTGCCTTGACATACTCTTTGATTCTAGCGAGGCGCTCATCAATACGCGAGTAACCGACTAGATCCAGCAAGTCGCTGCCTAGGGGGCAAAAATGTTTAATGGTTACGATTGTAGGCGGAGACAGCTCCTGCTTTTTGCGGGCCAGCTCGGAGCAGGTGGTCACCCAAGCCTAGGCCGTGTTTTAGACGGAAAACATGTGGCAGGATAGGGTGGTCAGGCAGGTTCTGGCCGACATGCAGCGAGCTGGAGATGGCCTTCATGCCGAATTGCGCCAGTGCATTTTCCGGTCCGATTCCAGATAGCATCACCCGCTTCGAGGATTCGTAAACTCCACTGCCAACAATGACCTCCTTATATGCCTGGGTCTTAGCAACCTCGCCATTCGGCCCACGAACTTCCACCCCGGTCGCTCGGTCGCCCTGCAGAGCCAACCATTCGCAGTGCGGAGGACGCAAAAACATGGACATTCGGTTTCCCAACGAAAAAGGACCAGCTTGAAGACCGCACACCTTTGTAAATGGTGTTGATGCATCGAGTCAAGCCTTTCTATGTGCCGTCGTAGATATTGTCGTTCACTTCGAGACCTTTGCTCTGCCACGCCTTCAGAAGGTAACTATGCTGATTGGCGCTTTCGCATAACCGTCAGTGCTGTGCCAATTATCATTTTTGATGAGAACACTCAAATCTAGTCGATGCTGGTCAGACTCAACATTCCAAGCAGATAAAATCCCGTGGTATTTGATTCTTGGGAATGAGAGCAATCAATAGTTAAAAAGACAATGCACTTGGAAGACGAGGGCGGGAGTTGGGCGATGTCAGCGGTGCAATAGGAATACATTACGGCTGCCGGTGCTACCAAATGTTACCATGTGCTCCCATGTTCGGTGGTTGATGCGTACTTTTCTCTTGTTTTTAGCTCCTGGTTTGAGACCTATCTAAGTCGACATTGCATGCCATGAGCCGGAATACCCACTTGGCCAGTGTTACCTGCCATTGAAATACCGAGTCTAACTATGCTATGGAGGTAATCACAGAGCTCGAGTTTCCAGTTGTGCAAGGCAGCAGTAGCCTCCGGGCCGACGGGGCCGCGGTTGGGGACGCGGGGTTCTCCCCGGGCGTGGCCCAAGCTTCCGAGGCTGGCCGCATTCGCGATCGCGGATGATCGCAGCTGCGTCACCCTAATCTTTTCCCTACAACAGCGCCCACCATGATACCCCGATCGATTTTCAGCAGGAAGTTGCTTCACTCCATTCCCGTGCCCCCCACAAGCCGATTCCTTTCTGCGACCTCCCCAGTACAGAACGCCGGCACCTCGGCCCCGGTGAAGCCTCCTGCACGACCGCATGGGATCGACCCGCGATGGCTTACCATGATGAAGAGACGGGTGGGCCGCTGCATGATGTTTGGTCTCAAGCCGGCTCAGGTGGACGAGGCAGGCAAGATTCTTCAACAATTAGCCCGGGACTGGCGCGAATTGATCGCGGGCAGTGAGGGATTCCTGACTGATGAGAAGCGATGCGGCTTGTATCGGCACAATGTGGTCTGGGGAGAAATGGTATGGCCCCGGAAGCCCTGGAATATTTAAACTGGGGAATCTCGAAGTTACTAACGCCTTGTTTGCGAGAAAATAGGACGTCATGGTGAGTGTCAACCCTTATTGCTTGCGAAAGGGATGCGCAAATATCCCAGGTTTAAATTGAAAGTTTGCTGACATCTGAATCAGGGTATGCTTCGATATCGCTCAATTTGCATTTGACTACCCGATGAAGGAACTAATGATGAGATAATGGACAGGACATGTCAACAACGTTACCTACGTTCGATACGCCGAATCCGCCCGAGTGAACTGGACACGCAAAGTCGGAATCCATTTTGACAAAGCGAACGAGAAGCAGTGGCTCAATCTTTTGAACTCGACCGGTATTGGGCTTATACTGCGAAGCATCAAGGTCGACTATAAGTTTGTAAGTTCATTCAAATGGGTCGGTGGAATGTAGAGGGTGTCGGACCGGGTGGGACTGACGAGGATATCGGTTACAGCCCATGATATTCCCAGACAAGATCTCTGTCTACCACAAGCTAGTGTGCGACCCTTCCTCGTCGATATCCTCCCAGTCTGCATTCCAGCTACAGGTCATGATCATGTCGGAAGCCAAGCAACGCCCTGCAGCTCGTTGCCACGAGGATATTGTCACATATGACTACCGCAAGAACCAAAAGACCCCCGAGCTACCATACTTCATTTTTGAGCAATTCAAAAATATTTGGGAACTGCAAGAGAAGGCAAAAAAGGAGTGGCAGCAGCGAATTTTGGCAATTGAGAGCCAGGTCCGAACTCTAGAAGTCGAGAGTTGGGATCGCGCAGACGCAGTTGAGGATACTGGCTCGGCATCAAAATAGACGTTGAAAGAAGACCTTGGAGATAAAAAGGCCCATTGAAGAGCCTCGTAAATAGGCAACATAATAGACATATTGACTCTTGCTATCCTGTCCCATTCCATGTTCCATAGATCGTGAACAACTTGAACGTAGCCCACTTCCCCACCTTTCCGCTACCCCAGTCTCATTGGGCCGGTTATATGGCCTTGTCTCCAGGCGCGCGCAAGCCAGCACTCGAGGGCTCTCAAGCAACCAACGCCCCACTGGAGTCGCCTACTCGGCACCGCAGTTACCTCGGAAAGTGGGCTGTTCTCACTGGAGCGCTCACTGTAATGCCCCTCAGGTGGAGGATGCCCCGGGGTCGGACATCGCGGGATTCAATAATTCTCTCATTTCGCAGCAATTCACGGCCAGAAATTAATGCGCACAATTAGTATACACGATGCCGCAAGAAACACGAACTGAGCGACTAGCAACATGGGCTGCCAATCTACGATATGGCGATATCCCGGATGAGGTGGTCCAAAAGACCAAGGACTTCTTCTTAGATACTCTAGGCTGTGCCATTGCCGGTCGCCATCATCCGGCAGTAAACGCGATGGCTCAATTTGCGGTTCAAATGGGTCCGTCTAATGGCAAGAGCGAATTGATCGATGGTGCTTTGAAGTTCACGACTAGTCCGGCCTTCGCTAGTCTGGTTAATGGAGCTGCGTCCCATGTGGTTGAACAGGATGACCTCCATAACCGGAGTATTATGCATCCTGTAAGTTCTTTTTGTTGACAACCCTCCTTTACCTTTTCATGTACAAGGTGAACATATTGACTTTGTACTAGGCAACTGTTATCTTTCCTGCGGCTCTTGCTGTAGCTCAAGATCTGGACTCCAATGGAGAAGAATTCATCACAGCCTGCGTTGTTGGCTATGAAGTTGGCTGTCGAGTTGGCGAGTTTCTCGGTAAAAGCCATTATGAAGTATATTCCCCAGAAAATGACAGTCTCTTGTCACAAGGTTAAAGTAGCTTACACTGAAGCAGCGCTTCCACTCCACCGCAACAGGTGGCGTCATTGGTGTCGCAGCCGCAACAGCACATCTCCTCAAGCTAAGCGCGGAGCAAACATTGTCTGCAATTGGAACAGCCGGAACTCAAGCAGCAGGGTTGTGGCAATTCCTTATGGATGCAACACACTCCAAGCAAGTTCATACTGGAAAAGCATGCTTCGATGGGATCTTCGCTGCCTATTCCGCTCGAGACGGCCTCCTTGGACCTGCCGATATTCTCGAAGGGCCTAAAGCTATGGGCGTCGCCCTTGTTCCCGGAGATACGCACCCTGAGGCAATTGATGAAAATCTTGGAAGGGATTTCGAGGTTTCCCGCTCTAGCTTTAAATGGCACGCCTCGTGCAGACACACTCATCCCAGCGTTGATGCGCTTTTGAGCCTAATGAAGAAGAAAAGTGTTATGTTTGATGATATTGAATCAATTACGACACGCACCTACCAGGCTGCTGTGAATGTTCTGGGTCTAAGCGGGCGAGGCGAGACTGTTCATCAGAGTAAATTCTCGATGGGCTTTGTTCTGGCGATTGCGGCGAAGAAAGGGCACGCTATGATCACCGACTTTACTGAAGATGACCTAAATGACGGCTCATTAAGAGATTTCCAAAACCGTGTTACGATGGAACTTGATTCGGACATTGATAGGGCGTTCCCAGAGAAATGGAAAGGCACTGTCATTGTCACCTGCAAGTCAGGACAGAAGTTCTCTGAGTCTGTCGAGTTTGCAAAGGGAGATCCTGAACTCCCCTGACAAGGTGAAGTCTCTAGGATTCCAGGTAAGAAACCAGTCGAGGCTAACACTGAAATCTTCTTGCAGGGAGGAAATCGAGAGAAAGACACGAACCCTAGCCACCTATGGAGGTTTCACCGATACTAGCAAGGTTGATCTAATAATCAAAAGAGCGTGGAACTTGGAGCACGAGAAGAATCTCCAAGGATTTGTCTTTTAGATTGATCCAGCGAGGAGACGCTTCCTTCCCACCTGGGCAATGGTCCAGATACACCACGCAACGATACATACATATTGATTTCCGGACGAATGGAGAATACATGGAGGCCAGACAGTACCTTAAATGTCGAGTCATGAGGAGCGATGTTCATATGCAACTATATGGACGATGTATTTCATGCAAAAAGGTTACTCTAAACAGCCAATCTTCAAACGCCATGAATGCAAAATTAAAAGCACATAGAACAAAACAAGGCTTGTGTATGGTGCAGGTTCCAACTCCGGATCTGCATGCAAATGTGTTGAACAGGGTATCTCATCACCAGGTTGGACAGTGTCAATGCAGACAATCACAGTGAGAATATGTTCAGGTCTCACGGGACTTGGGTCGAAGGGGAAGCGTGGTGGAAGTAGCAAGCTCTGGAGCTTCTGAAGTTTGAGCGGCGGAAGGGGTATTATCTTCTTTGATGATGGGTTCGTCCACACCTTCTGGATCCTCAACAGATTCCACTATGGACCCCGCCGGATTGGATACGGCCTCGGAGGCCTGCGAAATGTAACTTGCTTCGAGATCACGACCGTCTTCGTCTTGGTATTCGCTGCCCTCGCCGCCACTCAGCTCATCATCGTCATCATAGTCTTCTTCGTCAGCATCCTCCTCTTCCACAAAAATATCAACTTCTCCGTTTTCATCGTCGTCGCCTTCGTCCTCGTCTTCGCCATCATCCTCATCTTCGCTGTCGGTGGTAGAGAAATCATCCAAGTCCTGAGGCGTGTCACGCCAGTACGTGAAATCTGTGTACTCCTCGCCGCCTGATTGCACCAGAAGGCTGGTTGGAGGGAAGAAATGATCCAACAGCTCTTGCATCGTCACATAGCTGCTCTTATACTTGTTCAGACTGAGCAAATCAAGAGAAACCTCAGCGTTGGAGTTGATCGTGAAGATGCGCGTGGAAGGAATGTTGACAGTTCGATAACTCAAGGCATCGGTCAACCGATTTCCAAATCCGGCGTAGAACGGATTCTCCTTCCCGGAGAATAAATTGAGGACGTCGCGCAAGCAAGCCATCTTGAATACCTCGGGCTTTCTGAGATAAATCTCGCGTCTCAGCGCAGCCATTGTCCTGTCTGGACTGCAGATGACAGGACCTTTTGGCAGCCGATAGCCATCTTGACAAACACCGTACAGGTATGCGCGAGTGGTGTCCGACTGCCCGACTGATCGACTGGTAAGATACATGATGTTGTAGCCATTGTTGACAATATCGGTGTATAACTTGGCGACTCCCGCATGTGTCCAGTCACGTCCTATCATGTTCAGAACATGTCCAAGGGCGTCCGATCTGCGATTGGTGGTCAGTATCATTTGCAAGAGAGAAGACCTCATGGGGATGAACATACTTCGTGATAGTGCCATCGATATCTGAAATGACAATTGGGGTATTCCCATTCCAGAGATACATAGACGCAGTGCAGGTAGCCTTATTAACACTGAACGACATAGTGTTTGGGCCGGGCTTCAAATCGAGAGCCTTGAGTTGATCACTGGTCAAGCGCAAGGTTTTGGCGTAGTTGCGCGTCTCAACCGCAAATGAATCATGCATTGGCGAATGGGGCGGAGTGGGAAATCCAGGCTGAACATCCGATTTGGTTCGATGATGACGCGCAGTCAAGGACGGATCCAGAGGGCTGCGGTCTCCCTCACTGTGATAACCCGGGTCTGAAATCGCATCTTCGCTTAATGCAGTATTAGGTCGCATGGAGTTTATTGTCGCTCTCCGGTCAGCGGCCTCCTTTGCCTCTTCACTGCTGTAAATCCACAAGTTGCCATGCTCATCTGCGCCGATAAGGGCCCCAATGTCATAGCTTCCTTCCAATTCCTCTGCTAGAATCTTGCGAGCTAGAACTTCGGCCCGGAGAGCATCCTCCTCGTTACTCTTGTAGCCTGTCATGTCCAACATGAGATCTCCGGTCTCGTTGACATGTGATGGAATGTTCGATCCGGACAACTTCTTGGATAGCGAGATAGCTCGATCCATCGCCTCTTGAGGAGACACCGGAGGAGGGCTGCGGGGGCGGTTGAGTTGCTTCGCATCATCGTCAGAAGTCGGCTCTGCACTGGCCATGGAAGTTCGATCACCAGGTGCAGATTGAGGAAGCCTGGTCGAAAGTATGTTCTCCGACACCGAGTGATCGAGCGAAGGTTTCGAGTTGAACGGGGCGTGGAGGGCAGGACTGAGATCCGAATCTACCGGAGAACGCGACAAGGGAGTGATTGTACCTTTATGACGACACTCGCATTAGAGAACCCGAAAAGAAGCAAAGATCGATTATTCGACTTACCTAAATCTGTAGTTGCCCGGGACTGTCGCGGAAATGGCATGGTCGGCGGCGTTTTCGCACCTTCAGAGACAGCATCACCACTCGATTTCTCTAGATCCAGATATTCTGGTTCTTGGAGAGACGACTCGAGGTCTTCAGTTGGGACCTTCGGGCTACTCGCTGGAGATACCAGCGGAGAAGTTTGCAGAGATGCGGGGATATCGTCCGTGGTTTCGAAGACAAAAAACGCTTCGCCTCCTTCTCCCAGTTTCATAGCATAGTCTTGTTTCACCCCATTGACTTTAAATTCCACCTTTTTTTCGAACGGACGCAAGAGCGAGAACTTGCCGAAGCGGACGTGAAAGGGCGAGCAGGCGAGGGTTCCTTGGAGGAAACATGTTAGCCTGAGCCTCGGCCAGGGAATTTCATCGATATATTGCTTACCATCTTCTTGTTCTATCACAATCACATCGATAGCTCCGCTCAATGTCGCCGGGTTGATCGAGTTCCATGTCTTGGAGACAGAACCGCTGATACTTCGGACGTACTGCATGGCGCCGGTAGGGTTGAGCACCCCGAAGGCACAGCTCCGCGAAGATCTTCAGGCTCGAGGAAACGAAAAGGATGTGCAGGGTGTCGTCGAGGAAGTGGATCGGCAGGAGGAGGGGAAATGGCAGGTCCGTTGGGAGTCGGAAGTAGGAGGAATCGCCGCCGCCAAACGGCCCATGTGACACTCAGCTAAGGAGCAGGTGCATCACCACCGCCACAATATTTGTGCAGGAGATGGGAGAAAATAGAAAATGAGGGAACTGACAAGAGAAAATAAGGTCGCCCAGTTTTCTCATTAACTAGACGGGGTCTCCGGATCTGTTGGTCTTCTTCAACACATTCAACACCCAACGTTTATGACTAAGCACGGCCAACCTGCCGAGGTCGTTCGCGTTGGCTGTTTTCATTTGGGATTAGCGGCCGATCTCGAGCCCGTGATTGCGCTAGCCGTTTGTGGTCATCGAGTACTGCTGCAGATGACTCGGTGTACGAGAACTCGTCGTCTTTCGACAGAGTTGCTCAATTTTTTGGCAATTAAATAGGTCATATTGAATTTATTTTTCGATGAATTGCCGTATATTGGCGAATTCTTCAGTTAGCTATTCTCGTTTTACTTCTGTACTGATTTGATGTCTCCTCCTTCAACAATCCCTCCGAGTAACCCGTTAAAGACATTGTGGTACATAGCCGATATTATTGGTATAACTCATCTGATGGGTTTGAGATCACCATAGTCTCAAAAAAGAGACAATCCCTCACTAACCGTGATATACAGTCATGCAGAGAGTCGAGCGCGGGGAAGGGTCATGATAGCGCTGACCCGCTTGGGAGGAATCTGACTAATTTCACGTGACACGTCCCACCGAAATGGAGACAGGCAGATCAAGACAGTAACGGAACTCTCACAACTCACCCGGTCCTCGCTGCCCGCGTCCATGGGTGCTCGACGCTGGGATGTATGAGCCACTCCACCTCGCTTTCGACGCTTACCCTACCGTCGTCCCACGAGTGAGGGTTAGAGGCGTCATGGCTCTCTTTCTGGCGGTCTCAATCTTATGGGCTCTGATCTGGTGAGTTCTCATGTTGCTCTGTTTTCGCCGGCTCCCGACTAAACTTCACTCGTCTTAAGGCTCCTTTATCGAGCATGGCAAGTCTGCCAGACCCCGAACGATATCCTAGTCGAGAAACTGGGTCTGGACATCCCACCTCCCCAGAGGTTACCCTTGAAGAGATCACGGCACGTGAGATTCGCCTTGCATGGAAGCAACCGGACTTTCACAATTCAATCCACAAGCATATCATCCAAGTTAACAACGTCAAAGGTACGTTACATCTCGATTTCTTGGTGCATGGCCAACCTCCTGGCAGTCAGACATGCTAAAGATCTTTAGTGGGCGAATCGAAGCGAGCAGAAACGGCCGTCGAAATTTTGAACCTTGTTCCTGGCAGCGTCTATCACATTTGCGTGCTTTCAGTTAGCGCAGCGAATTTCCAAACTCCCAGCGCGATTCTCCATACTCAAACGAAATCTCTTCCATTGTCCCGTGCCCAACAAGATGCTACTGCCAGCGGACCAACCATTCGAGCGTCGATTCCCAAATCGACAATCGGCCTGCCAGCACCCTCAGCACCGGTTATGTCCCGCGAACACAGCGCTGGTCAATTGCCTGGCAAGCGGCCTTCTACTGGTCGCAAGCTGTCACCTGCAACCGGAACGACCGACACAATGCATGGTCATTCTGACGAATTACTTAAAAACTCTGCGAAAAATAAACGGGATGAGACACTCGAACAACTGGCGGACCGACTGAAATGTCTGCAGCAAGAGAACGACAACGTTGAAAAGCAAGCAACGGAAGAAGAGGACGAACATATCGCCCTCCTAAAGGACCTCGAGAAACAGCGCGATGAACTGAAGAAGCGTGTCAAGGAGAAGGATGAAGCCAGTGGGGATTTGAAGAAGCATGTCTCCAAGTTGGAGAGTGTCAACCGTTCCGTCCAGGGCGAAAAGTCCAAGCGCATGAGACTCCTTCAGCAGAAAGAGGCGGAGCGCATGAAGCGCAAGAATGACATTTTGCGCTGGCAAGAAAAAGTTGCTCGGATGACTAGCGATGCTGCACAAATCAAAGAAGAGCAGACGCGCCTGGAGGAAGATGGGCAGACTCGAGCCGATGAAATCCGCAAAAAGATTGCGGAAGAGCAGGCGGATATGAAAACCATCGATGACGATATCCAAGATAAAGGCGGTAAAATCAAGAAGCTGGAGGACGAGAGACAGGGTCTACAAGGTGGTGACACTGAAGATGGCAAGGAACTGGACCGAATCGACAATGAGCGGGCCCGGCAGTGGGAGGTGAAGCTGGCTAACTTACATGCCCGATATGCCACACTCGTGAACATTCATGCCCAGGCCCAGCAACAGTACCAAGAGGCCCAAGAACGATTGAAGTGGCTTACCACGCAGCGACCTGGTAGTTCAGGGCCATTTTCTTTGCCGGCATTGGATTTGGACATGTCGAATACTGCAACAATCCGACCTCGCCGCCACCGCAGCTCCTTGACCAGCAATGTTTCTTCACCCGTCAACTACCCTGGAGTCGAATCAGCGTTCCCAGGAGGTCTAAACTACAATCCGCCAACTACAAGCTCTCCGACATTCCCTCCTATCTTCAATATCAACAACGGGATGACTCTTCCCGGTCTTGCCGATCCGCCTGAGATTATGCGGTCTGATATGGAGACTTCGTTTAACAACCCGCAAATGAGTCCCCGCGCCGATGCCTTCCTGCCATCCGATCTTCTGGGAGACGAGGAGTCGCCTGAGTTCCCGCGGCCCGTCACTCACCCACGGTTTTCCACTTTGGATTCCTCAAATAATCCATTGGATGGCTTTGGGCATGGTCCTGCATCGCCCGTTTCTTCGGGGAGCAGGCCTGGTAGCATATTTGCTAGTCCGCTTGAAACGCACCATCGACGGGATTCGGACTCGCAGGCAATGCAACTATCCGTGGCAGGGGAGGAGCCAAAGTCTGCGTCTAGAAGACTGTCAGGAATTTTCGGTTTCCGCCCCCGCGGCAAGACCTTGGCTGACGAACCACCGATGCTGGGAACTTTGAAATCTGGGCAGAGTCAGTCTTTCCCACGCAATGTTGATGAGCTGGACCCAATCGGCTCACGGAGCCGAAGGCTCAGCTACTCGGGCAACTGGGCCAATGCCATGTCATTGTTTCCCCGGAGCAACACAAGTGGGGTTACGACAGACAGTTCTTCGGATCATGTCCCTTCTCGCCGGGCCGCGTTTTCGAACATTTTCTCATCAACTAAATTTGCGAAGAGTGGTGCCGCTAGCCGTGGAAACTCTGACTTAAGCACCGGATACAACCAGTTTAGCCCTCGCCACGATCCTATCGATCCATCGTCTCTGCTCGGTGGTGTTCGTCGCGGTTCTATCTCTCCTCGGCCGTCCTCCACCTTTTCTTTCGACAACCAAAACCAGCTTCCGCATCCCTCAACGGACAATCGACATTTTGGTTGGCCTTCAACGGATCAAACTGGTCACCGCAATAGTCCCCTTGGGCTCGACTGGGCATCCCCATCTACATGGTCTAGAGCGCCATCACGCCGTCCATCGATTCAATATGGATCATCAGGCCATCTCCCATTGGGATTAACTGGTGAGCCGGATTTCGTCGAGGACTCTCACGATCGTCAACTCCGGCCGCTCCAGGCCCCCATCGGCACTCGGCCTTCTTCATCCCATCGTCCAATCACCCCAAAGCTGAATCCCGCTGCCCCGTCCTTCAAGGGAATCTTCTCCAGCAAGAAATCAGACAGAGGCAAAGACAAGGTTAAGGATCTTGGCGCACCCTTCGATCTCCAACTGGACGATGGGTCTCCTGATGAGCGTCGCACGTCTCGCGATTCCCGCTCTCTTTCTCACTTTGGCGGTGACTCGTACGAATCCTTGGAACGCATGCCATCTGGTACATCGGCGGACAACGCATCTAAGGAATCGTTTATTCGCAAGATTACGCGCAAAGGCAGCTCTAGCAAGTTTAGCTCTTGGAAGGATCGCTCGGGTTTATTCTCCAAGAAGGGCGACTCTTCGCAAGGAGACATTGACGAGGATATGGCCAATGAGACGCAGCTGGGCAAGAGCATGGACAGTACTGTGTCGAGTGTCCCCTCGGCCGATCGTTCTACCCGCAGCAGCCTTGGCTTCTTCTCGCGCAAGTCGCGCAGATCCGATAAGGCCAGCGAGACGAGCGAGCGGACTGATGAAACCGGTGACGAGGAGATTCCTGAAGTTGCCGAATCGTGATACCACTATCGTTTTCATTTTCCACTTTTTATTTTTACCTGAACCCTTATTATTACCCACATTCTGGAGTCACATACACACTGGATATCTGGCATACTTGACCAATTATTCTTACTCAAATATTACTATCAAATTATTCTTATCCGATTTCCACCCCGTAATATTGATCAACTAGACGGGTAGACGATGGAGAGCGCTGAGCAGCCTAATACGTGGTCTTGATTATGATAGAATCGTCTCGACAGTGCAACAACCTTCAGGATAGCTAGGATGCCAGGTACGATGGCTACAAAGCGTGAAGCTCGACCGTCTACACGGATTTGATACTGCAGAGCGGTATTTGATGTACTGCCCTGATCAAGTTTATGACCGATGCAAGCAAACACCCCACTGAAAAGAGAAAAATAATCAGATTAAATATATGACGGGGCCCGGTATAGGGTGCTCTAAGGCAATGATTATCTACTAGACGACCACCAGGAAAGCAACTATCTTAGGTACAGTGTCGCACTTTGTCACAGATCTAATCGCTTGCAATGCGGATGGGGTGGGCCTCGGTGTTGAACACAAAGGAGTTTTTGCTGCCTCGCTGGACTTGCCATGCGGCATCTATAGTGGGTAATTAGCGACTGCACTTTTGGGTTTTCAAGGCATGTTGGCAAATACATACCCTCGGAGTGGGCGAGGTAAGAGTATTTCATGACTTCGGCGAAAAGAAAGCTTTCCTGGTTGTCGTACTTGGAGCCTCCGTTGGCCTTGTTGACGTTCGACACGGCCGCAAAGCCGGAGTCAGTGCGGCAAGTTTCATTGATCGCGACAAAGGCATTCCAAACCCAGTCACGGTACTATATGTTGATCAATTAGATTCCATCTTGCAATTCGGGCATGGGAAAGGTTCAAGTGGATACTCACAATTTCCTTGCCAGTAACGCGGTGTGCATAGTAGAAGCTCTCAATAACCTCAGGGCGCAGGACGTACGCGCCGCTGCTGATATAGAAGCCAGCACGCTCATAGAAATCCTTCTGGTCAGAGGGAACTTTCTTCGGGTCCCAGCCCCAGGAGTCAGGGCCGATCTTCGTCAGGGTTGAGTTGTAGGTCGCCTCGCAGCCATCGACAAGCTGAAGACCGAAGTCGATGAAGTCCTGGCGGTCCAGCACGGTACCACCCAGGATGAAGCTACCGCCGTCGAAGCAGGTCAGGTGCTGGGAGCTGAGATCATAGTTTCCATTATTGTACGAGCTCAGGAACGTCAGGTCCGAACGGGGCTGTGGGTGCGACGCCAAGTGTTTGATGGTCGACTCAGCTGCGAGCACCCAGCGGTCCTTGTAGGTGCTGAACCGCTTAGGGTCGTACACGTACATCTTGATCAGATACTCATAGAAAGAGTCGTCGCCTCCGTTCCACGAGACTGAGCCGTCGGCAAATTGGCCGTCCCCGATGTTGATAGAGCTGCCCACGAGGCCGGGGAATGGCTCGCCGCTAGATGGTTGCGGGTCCAGCAAGTACGACTCGGCTTTCTGGCCCAGCTTGGCGTATTCATCGTTTCCGGTCAAGTCGGAGAGACGCGTCCATTCTAGAACCAATGTTCCCGTCACGGCAAGCCCATTGGTTGTCGCGCCGTCGTTACCCTTCGAGGTAATGTTGAGGTTATTGTATGGAACTCCGGATGGGGTGTCGAAGGCAAACTTGAGCACATCGGCCAGGTTCTTGGACTGGGTGAGTAATTCGTCGATGAGTTTCTGGTTGTTGACAAGATCGCTAGCGGGTCCCTGCAGCAAGTCGTAACCCGACAGCATACCGGCCAAGTAGCGGATCGTGGTTTCGAACAAGCTGACGGTATCGGAGGTCTTGGAGAAGTCGATCTTCGCGACGTGCTCGAGAATGATGTTCACGACATCGGCCTTGCCCATAATGACCGCTGTGGAGAGAGCGTCGACTGCGGAAGCGCCCCATCCGTTCCTATCCCCGACATCGTTAGCCTTGCCGAGTCCTCTCCATCACCTGTTGCTGGATATCTGCGCCGAGGACACAGTGCTTACCTGGAGTCGGCATGGCCATTGCTAACCGGAGTCAGCTCGTCGTGGGGAAATGCATATTTCATATAGCCATCCCACGCATGCTGGAAGGCCTCCTTGACGGCATCTGCTTTGGCCTGGTTGGTGGAGGGTTCCTGGCGCAGAACAGCCTCGGTCTCGCCGTAGGGATAAGCTACCGTGGAGCCCACGAGGCCCAGGGCCGCGATAGGGAGCGACAAGAGAACGCGCATGGTGTGAGGGGTGAGCACTCCAGGACTGAATGGATATAGTAAGGAACGGAAAGTTGTATAAATAAACAGGGCAGCGCCGGGGTATCACGATGAGGAATTCCAGTCGCTAACGAGGGACCACCCAGGCGGGTCAATGCGACTCTTATATGCAGGGCGAGTTGGAGGTGGATCGGCGACAAGTGTGGGAACGCATGGGGGGGAGCACGAAAGGGGAAGCCGAGGCGTCACATCGATCTGTTTACTTTCCCGTACCTGCACTTCCACTTCCACTTCCACTTCCACTTCCACTTCCACTTCCACTTCCACTTCTTGCATTATTTATTATTGCACTTCCACTCTTCCCTTCGTCGCCCTGGGGATCTGCACGCCATGCCGGCAGTCGATTGGCCGTTGTCATGCCAGTTCTGGCCCATCGGGGGAATGCTGTCCCACTCTCGAGGGGTGCTGGGCCGAGTCCGACCAGCGTCACTCCGTATGCAAGCCGTCATGGCCCGATCGCGTGTCCATAAAACACAACCCTACCTTACCTTATTTACCCGGACAGCGACACCCGGTGACGGGGGCAGATGACAGGATGCGGAGTCCGTTCCCCTCGAGCAACTTTGAGCTTGGATCCCCCAGTGGCGTCGGGAAGGGGGATCGCATGCACGCTCGCACAGGGACCTGCAACCTGTATGTCTCGCGCTCATAGCCATGGCGTCACGGCGTAGACTTGCCGAGTGCAACTGAGTACTACTACTTGACTAGTAGCGACTAGTCCAAGGGCGTATCCAGACTCCTCCAGAGACACACTTGCTGCCCCAGAATCGCGCGCTAGGGTGCTTGGCACCGGGGCTGATTGCAACTGGTGGAGATGCTAAGCCGGCCATTTCATTTTGGGCATCTCCTGCTCCTGCAGATCTTCGAACACACCCATAGTGCCGTCGAAGCCTACGGCTGGTAGCAAATGGACAGGTCTGTCGGCTTTGGCGATACTTCAGATGTAACATGTTGATAATTCTGCTTCCAACTGGCCAAGGGTATACTAGAGGTATATACTACATGGAAGAAGCTCCTGCGCTGGGCACCAGAAAACAAAAACACAGTTACTCGGTCATTTAAACATGTATTCAAGTTGATTAGACTATCTTGGAATATAATATGCTCAGACAATAATTGTGAAGTTGGGCCTGGGTCACCCATGGATGCGACTCAGGAACCCGATGCTGTGTAATCGTCCAACCTTAAACAAAATAAGTGGCAACAAACTTGGATCACCCTGGCTAGAACAGACATATCGCGGACTTGGAACGAAATATCACCCACGAGAATTTAGATTTTCTCTCAAATAGGTATGAAAAATTGATCCCTCTCAGTGGCGTGGTCTGACCAAAACAGCAGTTGGAAGCGCAACCCAGGGGTTTTCAAGATGGCTGCGTGGATCAGATTTGTCAACTCAGCCTGATCCTAAATGCGAAGTATAGACGGACGACTTTTTGCGAAAACAGTGGCATAACTGCAAGATCTTATCTTCCACAGCCTGACTCGTTTCCTCGTACGAAAGAGTTTGATTACTGTCGAAGCCGATCAACATCATGGGATCAACTGGAAACACCCTCGTCGTTCGTGTACCCGCAGGACAACCCCCTCAGTTGGTCCAGGAGCAATATCCGCTGCCTTCACCCAACGCCGGCCAGGTGCAGGTGAAAGTATCGCACGTGGCACAGAACCCGACAGATGGTAGGCTCCTATGCTCTGTATCCGATGCGAATTCGCCGCAACTCACTGTCGGCCAGTACAATGTTTCGAGGTAAATGCCTTCGAAGACGGGGCGGTCCTGGGATGTGACTTTGTTGGGGAGGTAACCGAGCTTGGTAGCGGGGTGACTCGTCTTGCCAACGGTGATGTTGTGGCGGGTCTCATCTGGGGAGGTAGGTCCTTGTTTCCATTCGGAATTTCCGGGCCCTGACGAAGGCACTCACGGTCCTTTCATCATAGGAGAGGTCAGGTCCCCGGCTTAGGTGGCTATAGCGAATATACCGTGGCAGATCAGCAAATCTCCTTCAAGCTCCCGCTGGGTATCTCGAAGGCGCAGGCGAGTACTGTCCCCTTGGCAGCAGCGACCGCATGGCTCGCCCTGTTCTCCAAGGGCTGTTTGAATCTCGACCGCTCCAGCGTCACAGACACCATTGTGTTGGTGTGGGATGGCAGCTGTACGCAAATCCCATTCATTCCATCTGATCTGTTTACCAGATGAGACTAACATGAGATGAATAGCCAGTGTCGGTCTTTATACAATCCATCTGGCGTCTATCTGTGGTTTTGACGTGATCACAACCTGCAGTCCTCGCAATGCAGACCTAGTGCAGTCTTGCGGGGCCAAACATGTGTTCGACTATAATGATCCAAAGGTCATCGAGCACATTACGCAGGCTGCTCCCAATCTCCAACACATTTTCGATACGATTGGCAATACTACGTCCTCGTCCATCGCTTCTCGAGCCCTTGGTGACCGCAAAGGAAATCTCTGTACTGTCCGGCCGGGAAAGGCCAACACCGAGTTGGTCACTCCCAATACACATGTGACTGATATCCTCGTGTGGACTGCATTCCTGAAGGACCATCGCTATGCCCAGTTCCATTGGCCGGTAAGCGACACACTCATGCCTTTTGTGGTCATTCTTGAAAAAATATCCACTTGGCTAACATCCAGAATCACAGGCCTCACTAGAAGACCATGAGCTCTCCCGTGAGCTATTTGAGAATCTACCAACGTGGTTTGAGCAGGGTTTGGTCAAACCGAACAAGCCCCGGGTGCTTCAGGGTCTCCAGGCCGTCACCAATGGGCTCCAGGAATATCGGGATGGCATCGTCTCTGCCTATAAAATTGTGTACAAACTATGAACCATCAACTGAGAGTGGAAGAAGAGATCAAAGAATATAGTCGAATGCCAAGGTGAATGCGATGACACTATTCGATCAACTAAAAGCAACTGAAAAGTCCCGAAAGTGGAGTGCGATATCAGATCCCCGATGATCGGGTTGCGGCAGATGATTCAGCGGCGGGCCAACCAGACCGGGGCAAAAAAAGAGTCATCGCCTTTCCACATTTTTCCTCTCCACGCGCCCCCAAAACTCCGCCGGGGATCTCGATATCCTCGTCTTTTCCTCCGATCATCTCTCTGGCTTGATACTGGATATTCGCCCACCATGGCCACGCCCCTCCTTATCTCCTACCCCTCCAACCCCACCTCCGGACTCTCGCTCAAGCAGATTGCCTACTTCGGCCGCGTGCTGGTGAAGGTCGCGAATCTGCAAGAGGCCGAGCAGTTCCTGCGCCAAAACTTCCGCAACCTCGATGTCTACGTTGAGGCGACTGCCGTCTCCTCGGCCGGAGACCTCGTCGACATTCTGAACGCCGGTGCCGCCAAGATCCTCATCACCCTCGACCAATTGACTGCTCTTTCCCAGGAACAATCGGTTCCTTCCTCTCGACTGCTCGTTTATGCCTTGGCAGACAACCAGCTGGACGCTTTGCAACAGTGGGTCGCCGCCAATGCCTCCGAACGCAACGATGTCGGTGTCTGCACCAGCCCCGCCAATGTCTCCACCGCCGCCACAAAATTGAACATCAGCTCGGACTCACCGCGTCTGTTCGCAACCTACGGAGACGAGACTGCGTCGGAGGAATCTGTGATCCAGGTCACGCAGCAGGGCGCAATTGCCATTGTTCCCTCTCAGACCTTGACTGTCGAGCGGGATGCTGCGGGTCAAATATCTGCTGCGAAGTTGATAGCTGCGCGGGCTGTTACCGACCAGGCCAATGGTCTGTATGCTACATCCGTTACCGATGAACGGGGGTCATGCCTGGGTATGGTCTGGAGCAACGACGAGAGCATTGCCGAGGCTCTTCGCACCGGAACCGGTGTCTACCAGAGCCGCAAGCGCGGTCTGTGGTACAAGGGCCAGTCGAGCGGTGATGTGCAGGAGTTGATCCGCATCGGGTTCGACTGTGACGCCGACTGCCTGGTGTTTGTTGTAAAGCAGATTGGTCGTGGTAAGGCTCTCCTAATTTCTTCTTGTCCTTTGCGACGTGTTGCTAATTTACTCATTCCAGGCTTCTGCCACCTCGGTACCGAGACTTGCTTCGGAGCTGCCGCTGGTCTGTCTCGTCTTCAGAAGACCCTCTCGGCCCGCAAGGCGGACGCCCCCGCTGGATCGTATACCGCTCGTCTCTTCAACGAGCCCAAGCTCGTGGAGGCCAAGGTGATGGAGGAGGCCGAGGAGCTATGCCGTGCTACCACCAAGGAGGAGATCGCCTTCGAGGCTGCCGACCTCTTCTACTTTGCGCTTACCAAGTGTACCGCTGCTGGTGTCACTCTGGAGGACATTGAGCGCAACCTCGACCTCAAAAGTTTGAAGGTGAAGCGGAGAAAGGGCGATGCCAAGGGCCCTTGGGCTGAAAAGGCTGGTCTGACTGCTCCTCAGTCGAAGCCGGCTCCTGCCCCTGCCCCAGTTCCTGCGCCGGAGGAGGATCGTACCACGCGTATTGAAATGAAGCGTGTGATTACAGCTTCAGCAACTGCCAAGGAGGTCAGCGACTTCCTCAAGCGTCCTTCCCAGAAGTCCAACGACGCCATTGTCGGTCTGGTCAAGCCTATTATTCAGGATGTCCGCGAGAACGGTGATGCTGGTGTGCTCAAGTACACCCACAAGTTTGAGAAGGCCACATCACTGACCTCCCCGGTCATCCACGCTCCTTTCCCCGCTGAGCTCATGAAATTGTCTTCTGAGACCCAGGAGGCCATCGATATTAGCATTGGTAACATTGAACGGTTCCACTCGGCCCAGAGGGGGTAGCAACGACGCCCTCAAGATGGAAACCATGCCCGGTGTGGTCTGCTCTCGTTTCTCGCGTGCCATTGAACGTGTCGGTCTGTACATTCCTGGTGGTACTGCCGTACTTCCCTCCACGGCTATGATGCTGGGTGTTCCTGCTATGGTGGCCGGCTGCCAGAAGATTGTTCTTGCTTCGCCTCCTCGCTCGGATGGCAGCATCTCCCCGGAGATCGTCTACGTTGCGCATAAGGTCGGTGCCGAGAGCATTGTGCTCGCCGGTGGTGCCCAAGCTGTGGCTGCTATGGCCTACGGTACCGAGAGCATCAGCAAGGTGGACAAGATTCTTGGACCCGGTAACCAATTCGTGACTGCGGCCAAGATGCTCGTGTCTAACGACACCTCCGCTGGTGTGAGCATTGACATGCCTGCTGGTCCCAGTGAGGTTCTAGTGATTGCCGACAAGTCTGCCAACCCGGCCTTTGTCGCCTCCGACTTGCTAAGCCAGGCCGAGCACGGTGTTGACTCGCAGGTGATTCTCATTGCCGTTGACCTGAACGAGAAGCAACTGCGCGCCATCGAGGACGAGGTGGACGCTCAGGCCAAGGCCCTCCCCCGTATGGACATTGTCCGCGGCTCCCTGGCTCACTCCGTTACCTTCGTGGTGCGGGACATCAACGAGGCAATGACCCTCAGCAACAACTACGCCCCCGAGCACTTGATTCTCCAGGTTGACGGAGCCGAGGCTGTGGTTGAGCAGGTCCAGAATGCCGGCAGTGTCTTCATTGGACCCTGGACCCCCGAGAGCGTCGGTGACTACTCGGCTGGTGTCAACCACTCTCTGCGTAAGTTCATGGCTATCTTCTACTCCTTTCAATACACAGTTCCAGAATTAACAACATTCCAGCTACTTACGGCTACGCCAAGCAATATTCTGGTGTCAACCTGGGATCATTCCTGAAACACATCACCAGCTCAAGTTTGACTGCCGACGGTCTGCTCGGTCTTTCGAAGACTGTCGAGACCCTGGCCGCGGTGGAAGGCCTCGAGGCTCACAAGCGGGCTGTCAGCATTCGTGTTGCACAGATGAAGAAGAACAGCTCGTAAACATGGAAGTATATTCCCCTGTCACGAATGATGCGCGATGATTTCAAAATAAAAAGGCGAGGAGAATCTAGGCGGAAAGGAGTGACCTGTTGTGAACGATACATTTTTATGAGCATATCCCATAGGATACCGAATACCATTCGTCGTTATTTCAATGACCAATTCCTTCCCTATCTGGGACATCAATTGCGGCTTAGCTGTTCTGCGAGATGACCAGAACCACACCGGCATGTATACACCGGGTCTTCAGCACCCAATCCTCTCGCCTGCATGGGGTGGAGGCCACCTAGGATGTCAACGGTCGTGCTTTCCACCCAGTCTTCGAGATCGAGGAATCGGGAGGCGAGGGACTAACATAGCAGCATCGCTGTCGTCACCTTTCACTGCCTGTGGGGTTGAAAAAACGCCACGGGCGATTTGAATGCTGTGGCGGAGTGGGCGCTAACCGCTTACGGAAGCATGTGCCGCCTGGCTTGAGCACTGCTTATTCTTATTTCTATCGCAGGGTAGTCGGATACGAATTCCCGATGATCGATGGGGCTCAGCTTTTGAGGGCCGACTCCCACCGGCGCCAGATGTCGCCTATTTGAGCTTAGCGTTGAAGCTTTGCTAAGAAGGTTGACACTCGAGCTGCTTTTTAGCCCCGATGTGCTTGTCGTACCACAATAAAATTATGGGGTGTATATAAGCGGTGTCTTGCTTCTTGGTAAGGGTGCTAGTATTATAAACCTCAAACACATCTTCACACAATGCGAGCTCTCAACTTTGCTCTCGCTTTTATCCCGCTTTTCACGCCCGCCGCTCTGGGCGGCCGGCTTCCGGGCCCGTCTTACCCTGCGCCGCGAGACATCAGCAGTGATTCCAGCCTGGTAGCTTCTAGCTGGAAGAATGTAACCACAACTCTGGACAAGACCCTGAGTGGTGGCGGAATTGGTGATGTGGCCTCTGCTTTGCTAAAGAACACTACCTTTTCCATGGGTATGTTTTCTCTGCATGACGAGGATGCGCAATCTTTGCAGTATCACCACACAGCTCTGTCCAACCTGAATGGCACGTACGGCACCAAAAAGGTCGACTCCGACACCATCTACCGCATCGCCAGTATCTCCAAGCTCATCACCACCTATGCGGGCATGGTTGAACTCCATGAGAAAGACTGGAACACGCCTCTTACGGATATCTATCCCGCACTCAAGGAGTTCGTCAAGAAAACAGCTGTGGACTTCGATGCCGTGCAAGACATCGAGTGGGACAAGATCGCAGTTGGTGACATCGCGTCACACATTGGTGGAATCCCACGTCTGGGTCTTCCCATCAGCTCGGACTTTCTGATCCGATCCCTGGTAGACCCAACTCTTCTGGATACGTGGGGTCTGCCACCTCTGAATGAGACCGATATCATTGCCCAGTATCCTTGTCTCCAGAGCCTTGGATCAGAGTCTTTGAAATGCAGCATCGAAGAATATGTCCAGGGCATCGCTTCCAACCTGCCCCGGTATCAGCCCGCTGCCAGCCCTCTGTACTCCGACAGTGGATTTTTCCTTCTCGGCGGCGCGTTGGCTAATCTAACCGGAATGTCAATGGACGACTTGTACCGCAAGGGTATCTTTGAGCCCCTCGGTCTGAAAAATACTTTGTCTTCGCCTCCATCGGACCCTAAGGACATTGCCCGCACCGTCATTGCCACGGATCTGGCCTCTGATCTTCGAGATCTTCCTATTACTACCCCATCTGGTGGCATCTACTCGACCATCAATGACTTGTCCAAGATTGGAGCGAGTATTCTGAACTCCACCCTTCTACCTGCCGAGAAAACGAGGCGTTGGATGAAGCCAGTGTCTTTCACTGGAGATTTGCACTATGCTCTCGGCCGCCCATGGGAGATCTATCGATATGAGCATAAAGAGTCTGGCGTTGTCACAAACATCTACACCAAGCTTGGCGATTCAGGAAGTTACGCGGGCCTGCTTGTCCTGGTGCCGGACTTCGATATTGGCTTTACCATCCTTGGCGCTAGCAATGGACTTGTCCACACACAGGCAATCCAAATGGTTGCGGACCTCCTCACGAACTCGCTCATGCCCGCTCTGATGACCCAGGCTCGTCACGAAGCCCTCGTCAACCTGGCAGGAACCTACGCAGCGAAGGATGCCGACCTAAACACCACCTTGACCATCTCCGTTCCCTCGGCCTTCAAGTCGGCGCCTGGCCTTGTTATCACCGAATGGATCAGCAACGGCACAGACATCAAGAACCAGCTCGCTGCGGCCTTGATCGATCTTGTTCCTCAAATTCCCGCACCAGCACCAAGCCCCAACCTGGTCAGGCTTGTGCCTACAATCAGCGACATTGTTGCCACGGGTCAGATCGCATTCCAAATGGAAACGGTCAACCCTACAGGTCCAATCGCAGGTCATCTGTTCACCAAGATGTACGGTGCCGGAGACTGGGTCAGTACCATTGACCAGCTCGTGTATCATGATATTCCCATTGACGAGTTCGTGTTCCACGTCGACAAGAAGACTGGGAAGGCACACACCGTGACACCGAGTGCTTATAATGTTGAGCTGAAGCGGAAGAGCTGAGCTTTTCTTGAGACACATTCGGGATGAGCTCAATCTCATCTTACCTCTGTTTGGATAGACTAAGATTCCCTCAAGACTAGAGTATACTTTAGAATCTCTAATGACATTGCATTTTATTCGCCATGCTACTCTCTGTCCTACGATTGTGAGGAGTGGAAATTACTGTAGTGGCCAGCAGCCTCTTTATTTCATTGGCAAGCCTCGCAGTGCTAAACTAGCCCGAAATGCTCCATCCGAGAGTCTAGCCGCTAGCAACGAAGCCCAATGATGTCAGGTATCCACATAGTTCACACCACCGAAATCAATTCCCAAAGAGTAAAAAGAAAAGCGAGAAAAAATCTTGGGGATCTTAGTAAAAAGCCTAAACAAGTAGGATTATTCCTGGACTATCTCCAGTGCGGTATCATATATTGAACAAAACAATATTCTCCAGTACTCCAGAGCGAAAGCTCTACCATCCATGCACGCCAACGATTGAATCACAATTGGGCAACGTCATTGAGAATAGAAACCTCCTGGCCGGGCTTGAAGGCAGGCAGACCCAGATAAGGGCAACCATCGCAACGGAATGCGTCACCAAGTGCACAGCTACCGCAGGAGCCGGTCTTGCCCTCGACGGTGAAATCCAGCTCGTTCAAGTCGTCTGTCTGCAGTTTCATCACATTGAGATTCTTATCGGCGTTCGCGCGGCGCTCCTTATCCTCGGCTTCAAGTCGGTCCGCCAGACCACAAGTACAGTCCTTGCAGGCCTTCCGCCTTCGGCCCGTTTTCGGCTGGCACTCTGGGGCTGCAAATCGTTAGCAATTTTTCTCCCAGAACGGCATGAATGAACAGTAAAAAACGAATGAGAGTCAAGACATACGCGGCATAATCGGTCTCGTAAAATCTTCCTCGTCGATAAGAGAGTCCTCATTAATCAACTCATCATCATTATCATCCCGGTCGTGGCTATTCGCATTTATGCCATTGGTCGTAAATCCAGGCACTGGTATCCCAGCCGCCGGATCTGGAGCCGTGGCAGCCTTCTTTTTCTTGTTCAGACCGAACTGCAGCGGAACTGCGGCGGCTTGCTCGATGTTGGGCTTCTCAAAACCGTTTCCGGTCTGTACCAGACCGGCCAGAATAGCCTCCATGGCCTCGGAGATGTCCAGTGCCTTATCTTGTGTTTGGAGCTGAGCACCAGCCTTCATGGCCGGCACGAGAGCGGTATATACATCCCGAGTCAGTAGCCGCAGAGCCTCTGACCGCCGGGAACTATCGGAGTCGGTAAGAATAAGGACGAGATCGTAGGTGTTGGATGGAAGGGTGACGACACCGGCAGAGAGCCGGTCGAGCATTTGAAGGTCGGTAGTTGCGCGGGGGAAGGTGGAGAATAGGTCTCGTAGTTTGTCCTCTTCGGTAGCAATGGAAGGGGGAGCGAGGAGGAGGGTCCGCGAGGTGTCGGCGGGCTTGGGCGAGGAAGCCATGTTGAAGTCACTATCGCTCGTGTCAATCGACACGAAGGAGGGAGCCATTGTGGGAGAATGGGAGGCAGAGACGGAGGTTGTAGAGAAAGGAGGAAAAGTGCAAAATGAGGGGTGGCGACATTTCCGATAAAAGATAAGTTAGTCATCGCCCATTTATAATACGCCGCGGCGGGTGGAGCTTCGGCGGCGCCAAGTTGCGACTAGTTCTCCTATCAGCGCGCGGCCATTACGCTGGAAGACCTGCCCTAACACAGTATACAAACACGCGGCGGTTTGGCGAGGGCCCTGTGGGGTCACAGGAATCGCCAGCCATCCACGCAAGTCCCAATAGCATCGACAGAATGAAGATGAGAGCTCAGGTCTGACCGCCCACCAAGGACGCTGGAAAGGCCTTAATGCCTTAGGCACTAACACAAACAACAACAACAACTTCCTCATGTTGGCCTGACCAATCAGCACGCGTGAACAGGAGAGTGCGAAGCTCACTCTGCAGAGAGCAATCAGTCACCAGAGGAGACAAACACACACTGATCCCTCCCAACACATATCGCACTGTATGAGCCTGGGGGCCGACTGGCCTTCGAGGAGAGAACGGATGTTGCGGATCAAGTGTGTTGGTTGAAGATGATGATGCTACTACCTACGAGGTAGTATATGGGAGTAGCTATTCTGTGCAGATAGTACGTCCAGTAGCGCAGGCACATAAGTTTGCCCTGTACAGTTAGGCAGCATTGTTGGAAAGTTGGCAAATACTTAGGCCTATATACGTACCATTTTTCCTCTGCCGGGTGGGGCTTTCCTATCTTAGCTGCCGCCGCTTTCATGAGAGCGCTCAGAGTCAGGCTCACTGAGTAAATTTCAGTCCAGGCTCAGACTCACTGAGCTGCTCATTGTAATCACGTGATTAATTAGTGAGGTCCAATGAGCGCTCAGTGAGTGCTCAGTGACTGTTATTGGCTGCTCACTGATCCATCACTGATTACTCAGGATTTATCCAAGGCATCTATTGAGCACTCAGTCGACGCTCAGTCCATACCTAAAGGAGCGCTTTGCCCCACAATACTGTTTATGTTACGACCTACTTTTTGATGGACCTCATTTTTCACCGTGCTCCTGTTTTTTTGAGGTACTCGATCGTCTCGTTCCTCTCTCAAAAAATAACGCACTAGAGCACGATGACACAACAATGGAAGGCTTGGGTCTTATCTGCCATCCATCGGCGCGCAGAAAAAACGCCTTCCTCGATCATCGGACTACTAAGATCTGTGCCCAAGTACTGAAGTACAAATTGAAGCTATGTCCCTCATCTCAAGCTCCCGCACAGATTTTCCTTCATCCTCTATTTCAATCTCCCCTTCAATTGATTGCTTCTGGCGTTTTGTTGTGATTCTTTCAGTCATGGGTCGGAAGCTCTTCTTTGCTCAACAAGACGACAACGCCAAAGAGAATTGCCGAAAACAACTAGCAAAGAGCGGCTATGTTTTTGGCGCTCATGCAGCTGAGGACTCTATCTGAGCAAAAGATAAAAGGATACCCAGCAAGTCTGCCTCGGAATTTCTGGGCTACAACTGTGCGAGAACCCTAGGGTTCGAGTAGCATATGGAGCTCTTTTCTTCAGGAAATGCTCTACTTTACTGTATGCTTAGTCTCGTAGTCGACGTGGCCGTAGCCGCGCTCGACATCCGGCAGAGACTGGAGGTTCATCTGTATCTCCTCCACGGCACTGGAAGCTGCAGAAGCTGTAAATTAATGGTACGTTTGTGAGTACAGTAATCGTCTCCAAATGCCTTGTGGCCTGCTGGCGGCTAGTGGATATCTCAAAAACGAAGCACCAGCGCCCCCAGATTAATGGGTTGTAAGATACTCAGCCGTATAGAAAGGTAGTTGATCGTGGTGAAGAGAGAGGGTGGTGAAAAGAGAGGGTGGTGAAAAGAGAGGGTGGTGAAAAGAGAGGGTGGTGAAAAGAGAGGGTGGTGAAAAGAGAGGGTGGTGAAAAGAGAGGGTGGTGAAAAGAGAGGGTGGTGAAAAGAGAGGGTGGTGAAAAGAGAGGGTGGTGAAAAGAGAGGGTGGTGAAAAGAGAGGGTGGTGAAAAGAGAGGGTGGTGAAAAGAGAGGGTGGTGAAAAGAGAGGGTGGTGAAAAGAGAGGGTGGTGAAAAGAGAGGGTGGTGAAAAGAGAGGGTGGTGAAAAGAGAGGGTGGTGAAAAGAGAGGGTGGTGAAAGCATAGGTGGTGAACACCCCCATTACAAAATTTTAGAATAGGATATCACAACCAAAACGTATTAATTAATCCTAAACTAGGGATTTTTACATTGATTAATCTTATGCCCAATCGTTCCACATCCGCTACACCTAGGTGGAGCCCGTTTAGCCGGTTGAACTGGCTGATTAGGCAGATCGACCTGTTCATGCGATGCTGCCTCATGACCTTCTACAGGCTCAATCAGCTGTTGAACTAGATGTAGGCCCCCTTCGACCGATAGACCCCCTTCATGTGCGATCTGCCTAGTCGAACGAGTGCGCTTCTGGCGTTTCTTCTCATTCGCTGCGCGTAAATCGGCATTCTCCTTCAATAGTGGAGCAGTGGTATGCAGCGATGATAAGTGGCTCTTCACTAGCTGATTAAACATAGTTTTCGACGGTGTAGGAGGGCTATTCGATCGCTGTTTTAGAAGCTCTTTATACATAGAAGCTTGCTTTTGTACCTGAACCACTGTCTTCGGCGTTTTTGGTGTGAATTGGCTAGATCTGCTGCTTGGTCGGCTTGATAGTGGTGAAGGCGTTTGAAGGGATATATTAAGATTGCATAGCATCCTTTCGATATCGATTGGTACTAGACTAGTAGCAGCGAAGCTATTTCGAATGATGTTCGGCTGGAAGGCTTCTAATCGTGCGCGAGGATAGTCCGCTAGAAAATCGAGCTTGTCGATATGATTATAACCGGTCCGCGCTAGATCGCTCACAAAGCGACCGTACGCGCGTTTAAGCACAGCAAAACACCCAACATCGAGCGGTTGTAGTAAATGTGACGAATGCGAAGGCATACAGGGCGGTATAATGTCGTTTTCAGAGCAGATTCGATCGAATTGAGGTGTTAGGTTGCTACCATGCCCGTCCAGGATTAATAGCCGAAATCGCCCTCGTACACGCGAATTAGTGCATGGAATAAAGAGATTGTGTAGCCAGCGTAGGCCAATTTCATCAGTAGTCCAGCCGTTATTCGATACCTCAGTGCGCGAATTCGTAGGAAGATTTAACGATTCAAACCAACCAGCGATATAGACCTGGCCTTTGAATATGATACACGGCGGCAGCGAATAGCCATCAGGGCATATCGTTTCGATCGCAGTAACCCATTCGCGATTTCCTGGCTGTAGGATTGATCGCCGACCGTAGTATATTCTGCTCGCGTAACAACCTTCTGCGCTGATATAAGGCCCATTGCGAATCCAGTTTCATCGGAGTTATAGATATCCTCTGGTTGAATACCGTTCTCCTCGATCACGCGCTGCACCGTCGAAAACCACTCTCGTATAGCGTTTGGATCTTCGTTAAGAGCGCGCTGATAGTCGTATCGTTTTGAGAAGCGCGTTCGAAGCTCATCACGTCGTTTAACAAAGGTTGACGCCCAATTAACACCAACAGTTAATGTTGGGGGGGGGGGGGGGGGGGGTTGTTCCACGCGGTGCAAGAAGGATATTGGCCATCTCTCGTAAAGTAAAGGGCCTAGGTGCTGCCCCACGCGAATCCATAGAGAGTATCCATTCAGTAAGCGAATCCTCTTCTAATTGGGTCAATTTATGGCCGTTTGGGCGTGTGTCATCGCGAGAGATTCGGCCCGCGGCACGCGCACGTAGGGTAGAGTAGGGTATATCATATAGCTTTGCTGCTGCGTGAAGAGATTTGACACGATCGCTTTTGATATAGCATAGGGCTAATAGGATCTTGCCCTCTTGATTAGCCGATTTTTGCGAGGATTTACCACGAATTGGTGGCATGGTAGTTAGTTGAATTAGGTAGGGTGGTTAGAAGACGCGATTTTGGATGGGGTTATCCGCTCGGCTGTGTTAACCGCTCGGCGTGGATTACGTCAATAATAATTAGGACAGTTCTATAGTTATACAGTATGGAAAAGGGTGTCATGAACTACGCTGAAAAGATGCGAAGAACTATATCCTGATCCGCAAGTCTTTGTGAGATTGGATCATATTACTGTATGGTCTACACCCTGACGTCTTGATTATTGCGCTACAGCTTAATATAATTTTACTCTCGTTTTCTTTCCTCTATTAGATTGTTAAGTTGACATACTATCATACGAGGCTTTCAAGGGGATATGGTAGACCCTGTCATGCACGTTTACTTCAATGCTTGATTCGATTTGCTTGTGTGGATATGCGTATTGAGTAATGTGTTTGAATTTCTAAGTGTGGAGTATTCCGTATTTCTTCTCTAGCTGTCTACATTTACTTCGCAAATGCAGTAACGAACGTATTCCACACCAATACATCAAGGCTCTTCCTCGCTTCCTTCACAGCTGCACTCCCCAGTACTTTCTCTCTGATCTAAAATCTCAAAGTCAGCCAATTGTTCTCAACCCACAGACAAAATCGAAAGATATTTCAAGCTCACCTCACTACTCTCCCACCCCAACACACCAACCCACCTCTTCTCCTCTAGATTGAGACTTGTCCCTTGAATACCATCGCCATTCCCATTTACACCACCCGCCTCTGCAATCGCACTAACAAACTTCTCCCACGCCGCCCTCGCCTCCACTACTTTCTCATCCCTCTCCCCGATCTTCACCTGCCACACCTCCGTCAACGCACTTCCAAACACCTCACTCGGCCCGAGATCCGTGTTATATAGCTGTGGGACTGGCGGTGCAACAGAGTGAGGCTTCACGAAGGATTTGAAGTTCTCGAAATTTTCTGATGCGACAAAGGTGTTGAAATGCGAGGCGTCTTCCCACTCTGTCGAAGAATCAGCATCAGACTATGTTCAAATTTGCACGAGCGCTAAGAGGAGGGAAAGGGATGATAGTAGGACTGGGACGGAGATGATGACAGTAAGAGAAAAGAAAGGAGGAAAGGGAAAGAAAATAGGAAGGAAGAGGAAATGACGAACCAAGCCCAACACAAAGTCTGAAATCCCCCGACACATCATTGCCATTCTCGAGGAGAATCTTTCCGAAGTATTTGGCCTTGGGAGGAGTGGCATGTGTATCAAGGATCTTGATGAGTAAGGGTGCGATCTCGGTGGTGAATGTTGCTTCCGTTGCGGGATCTGTCTTTAATGTTGGGACGACGAACTCGGTGAATGGCATTTTTGCTGTTGTGTTTAATCGGGAAATTGAAGGATAAGAAATTGTATGTGAGATTGAAGAGCTTGGAATTGAACTTCTTATATATAATCTTCCCTCATCCACTTTCTCTCTTCCGCCTCATACTAATCATTCAAAAACCCAAATGGCGACACTCACAGTGCGTCCCGAAATAAGTCATAGATCACGTCATCTAACAGAACCTCAGGCCGAAGCCGAAATCCACTCGCATTTTTAATCAGGTAGGCTCTCATCGTTGAAAATTTTCGTGCCTTACAGGGTAGTTCCGGTAAAATTCCCGCCCCAATTACAAATCCCACACCAGAAAAAGCGATCCACCCCTCAGAGGGGGTTAATCTATCTGATTGATGAGAAATCTGAGTAATCCACAAACCTTACCCAGACCTTTTCTCCGTGAGAGTGGCGGTGGTGTGTGTCTGGTAAGTTTCTAAGGGGGTACAGTAGTATCAGAGAGCAAACTTGTAAAACAGCCCCGCGGGCCCCACCTGTCTCGTAATAATTCTCGGTGGCTCCTTGGAATCGCTTATAAATGTGATTTTTTTGATGAGTGATCAAAGCCGTGCTGCGTGCTGGTCTAGTAATAAGCTAGCAGAGTAATAGGGAACTGGGAATAAAACAGATCAACGCTAGTTTCTCGGCCTATCTGCCGTGATGAGTGATCATTGATTTATTAGCTAAATAGTGGCGAAACCACCACTAAACGTCAGATCAGACCTCTGACGTCGGCCAAGAACCGATATGATCGCTCATCTTCGTAGCGGAACCTTATTCTACCGCACATTACGGTAGCTCCATTGACTACAGTAGTCAAGGTCTAACTCTAACATAATTGGTCCATTACTACGGAATAAGGTTTCTATAAAAGACTGTTTAGCGAGACGACCCACTCCTGGCCTCGGCTGATCTGCTCATCACTAACACTATCTCAGCCCTCCACGATCTACTACGTGACGCCATGAACAACCAAACAAATATGGTTCACGAAAAAGAAAGGCAGTCTGTTGCTGACAATTACCGGCATTATTCTCCCGGAGTTCACATGAAATTTACTAATTAGAGATTAGCGGCTATGTCTTCTTTTGTAGAGGAAAGATGATTGCCGCCATGTACATTCTATATCTGCCAAGAATTTCCAAGTTACTGTACTCTTGCACTAACTCCAATTCGGCTTTGTGTCTGTTCGTCTTCCTTCTTAAAATCTCAATTTTTATGTAAGAACAACCGTAATATTTAAGACTCTCAATGATATCAGTAAACTGTAGTATACGGCGCTTGGTGGACAAGCAAGGTACGAATAAATTCAAAAATATAGGTACGCTGTAATTTGCCGCATTCAGCCGACCTTATCCTGAAGCCTAGGAACTTCATATATAATCACTTTGATGTCTTATACGCTTGATCTGACCACTACTTGAAAGTATCTCATCCTTACTTGAAGCGTGGTAACGGGGGTGGTAGCCTTTCAATCCTAGGGGAAATGTCGCGATATTCGAAAATCTAAGATGAGGCATGATATTGAACGTCATTGAGTAACTTTTTGTAGTCCAAATAAGACCTTATTCCTATATTACTGCATAGTTCCAAAACACCTCACAGAACATTCGACTTGTGGCTTGGTGGTTATTTTTCAATATTCACTTATGTCCTGGTTCATAGATCCATTATCAATCATGCCTGTCATTCTCCAGCAGTGGAGGCTTACTTACTCTTAAGCGACAAGATCAATCAAGAATGCGTGAAAGCCTTGATGCCTTTCACAACATCTCCCACAAAATCGCCACTCGGCGCAGGACATCCAAACGCCCAGAATACGTGGGGTAAGCCTCTATAATATTCAAGCTGGACCGGGACCCTATGAGACGCCAAAATTAGGACGTAGGATCTAATATCGCGTTCTGCAAAGAGAAACAACATACCCGGATGCCTTCAAGCGATCATGGAGTATCAGGCCGTCGTCTCGAAGAGGGTCGATCTCACACACGGCAAGGTATGTCGGTGGGAATTGATGCAGTTCCGACTCAGCGTTGAGAATGTAAACGTCGGGATCGGTGGGTTGCGCCCCGATCGCGTCTATAACGGCGACAATGAGCGAAATGCAGCAAAGGGATACAGCGAACTCGGTGCCAAACTCACCGTGGAAACGGCCCATGGTTTCTTTTGTGCTAACTGGACCATCGGCACACTCCTCAAAGGCCCGGTACCGGTCAACATAGCGCGAGGGCACGGCGTCAGGGTGGAGGGCGAATGGAACGATGGCTGCGACGCCCTTGACTTCGTCTCTGCGGCCCAGGGAGATCAGCCGGCGCATGAGCGTAAGAACAAGAGTACCTCCTGCACTTTGTCCAACAACAAAATATCTCTCACGATCGCCGTTCAAGGCAGGCGCGTTCATATAAGCCTAGACTGTTAAGTCTTTCTTTATCTTTCCGGTGGACGTTGTAACTTACCCAGTTCCACGCCTCCACGGCGTCATCTAGCTGGGCGGGAGCCTTGTATTCCGGTGCAAGTCTATAGCCGACCGAAACTATCACACAAGGCAGGCGTTCGGCGACCTGCCTGCAGAAAGTGTCCTCGGAGTCCAAGTCTCCACAGCAAAGCCCGCCCCCGTGGAAATACAGTCCGACAGGAAGTGGATGGGTGTCGGCATGGCCAACGGTCGGCGTGTAGATTCTCACCGTCAGCTGGGGTGTGATCTTTCTATCCTCTGTAATATATTATATGTTAGAGTGCGCAGTCAACGGGCAGTGGTATGGAATCCTCTGCACGGGGATAGCAACATGAGGCCCGCTCTTACATACCAACAGTAACGTTCGGCGAAATGACTCGAGTTGCATTAGCCTGATCATCTAGAGCTTTATACTGCGCGCGCATAGCATAAACGTCGCCGGTCAATTGAGGGCGTTGGCCTATGGCATTTTCCACCTAGATCCAAATTTGTGAGCCGGACAGGGATGGTTGCGTTGCAGCCGGGTTTTTGTCACCTTGAACCATGACTCTGCTATCAGTGTCTCCATTGTACAATATGCTGCGACTTGTGGGTAATAAGTTCGAGATCCCGTTACGCTAGGAATAGACTGGGAAGGGAGGATACTTCGCGTTTGCCGTCTGCAATTTATAACAGCTAGCCTTCGCTTTAGGCACTAGGCCACTCAAGGTAATATTGGCAATAGCCTAACCGGCATAATGAGTAACCTTTCCCGGACGGTTGACATCACCAATTTCTAGTTAATGAGAAATCTGAGTAATCCGCAAACTTTACCTAGGACCTTTTTCTCTGTGCGAGTGGCGGTGATGTGTGTCTGGTAAGTAATAGAAGTTTGTAGTATCGCATGAACAGGCTGATCTGCCTTCGCAGCCAATTCAACCGGCTGGGAGGGCTCCGCCTACCTGCAGTGAAATTGTAATGGGGGTACGTGATCCGCTCGGCCGTGGATTACGTTACCACGGCTGACGATGGAATAAGCTTCCCCTGCGAAGATGAGCGATCAAATCGGTATTTGGCCGAGGGGTCAGAGGACTGATTAGAAATGCTCACACTTTTGGCTGTTTAATGGTTCCTATATCTTCATGTTAGGTTGTTAACAATCTACTACTACCTACTACTGCTAATATTTTATGGTCGGATCTTTATAAGATATCACTATTGGCTGTAGGTATATTGATATTTCATATAGAATACTAATATTTCCTAGTGGATAGTAGTATATCCTAGTCTATACTACCCTTTAACGCGTGACGGGTGTATATTACACATAAATATTAACAGAAATATCCACCCAAAATAGGAAATTTCTTGGCAAAATTATGCACTCCAGGTTCCTGCAGGTGCGAACTGGGAAGTACCTGCAGGGTCGTTAGTCCGGTTTCGGTTCTAAAAGTTAGAACCTGAGACCCGGATGGTCCGACTCCAGGTTCCGAGCTGTGGAACCGGAACCGGACCATGTCGAGGCCTAGTTGTCTGTTCATCACCTGTCTGCTTTCCTTGATATTTTCACTTCCTTTCCACAAGCCGGCGGGAGACGAGAGGTTTTTTATCCGATATGCAGCAAGCTTTGATTCTCAAAGAGGTCCAAAGGCCACTGGTACTATGCAGGCGACCTATTCCTGAGCCCAGTAGGAATCAAGTTCTTGTGAGGATCGTTGCAGCCGGAAGTATGATCCGTTAATGCATTTATTTGTAGGGAAGAGAAGCTAACAGCTTCTAGTTAATCCTCATGACCAAAAGGTATCGTGAAGAAAACTTGCTAACTAATTGACTGTTTGTCGAATTCTCACTCCCGTAGGGTCGAGACCGTGGTTTACTTGTTGAGAAGTACTTGCCTCATGCGATCCTAGAGAACGACATCAGCGGTATTGTCGAGAAGATCGGACCAGACGTCCAAAGGTTCTCCGTTGGATATCGCATCTTTGGGCAGTCTAATATCCTTTCGGGCGGTCCTGACCAAGCTGGCTTGCAGCAATTCTGCATCCTTCATGCAAACTTTGCCGCTCCCATACCCCTGCATATTAGCTTTGACGAGGCAGCGACATTCCCCGTTAATGCCATTGCGAGTTTTATCGCCCTATTCGATTCGTCTGGATTGGATCTAGCACCAAAGTTTCTGGGCCACGGGGTGGACTACGCGAATGAAGCGATTCTCATCATTGGAGGTAGCTCTAACAGTGGGAAATTTGCCCTTCAGTTCTCTCGTCTCGCAGGCTTTGGGAAGATTATTACAACAGCGAAGGTCCGCAGCGATGGGGGGCAATCCCTCCGTGACTTTGGTGCTACTCATATTATAGATCGGGAGGCAGCGGATGTGGAAGATCAGATCCGTGCGCTGGTGGGCGATGACTTGTTGTACGCCTTTGACACGGTTAACGGTGCTTACTCGGGTGGTGTCAGCCACCAGCTGGCGCTCTCGCTTCTGTCGACCACGAAGAAAGGGTCCTTGGCAACATTGGTGCGTGGAGAGGCTGATCCTGCAATTGCAGCTACAAAGACCGCTGGTTTCAAGAAAAATCAGATTGTCGGAGTCAGTGATCTGCACCAAGAGCTGGCTGCCAAGTTCTGGATGGAGTTGCCAGGTTGGATCGAGAAGGGTGAGCTGAAGCCGCTGGACTTTGAAGTCATAGACGGATTAGACGCGATGAGAGTCGACAACCTGCTGGACGACTACCGTGACGGTAGAGAGGTAAAGAAGACTCATGTGCATCCCTGGGGACTCCATTCTTGATATGCAGTTGCCTAAATTAACGCCAAACTGTCACATATAAAAAGTACTATTCCAAGTATCGCCAGGTCTCACGTGGCAAGCATTGAGAACAAGTAGTATTCTGTAGTCACAGATGAATGGTCCCAATTAACCGCCAGCACAGACTAGCCGAAGACTGGTACATATACAGGAAGTTTGATGTGCGCACATCCCGTGGGCACTGCCTTATTTCTGTGAATATGAACGCACCAATCACATCGAAGAGTCCAAGAAGTTTCTACTCAATGCGAGGCGAAACGTGTGCTCGATATCTTCTCGGCGAAACGCAGGGCAGCGACCGAGGCAAATGCTGGAATGAATAAGATCTGTTCCTGTTAGAAGGGCAATAGCAACCGATATAGGCTCACTAAGTGCATACAGTCAATAAATAGTCCTACATCCAGGACCCAAGAATCGCTTGGACCGGTATATTTTCGAGGATCCATACCCTGCGCCGGATTTTGATATTAGTCAGCCATTCATACTTTATTGGCACACGGAAAAGTACCTGTGTATCTGATATCCATCCTCCTGCCTGAATTTCTATGAGATCCGCATTATAAGGATGCATATAACCATGGGCTGATTCGTCCATGCCCATGACGTGTTGAGCATTGGCACCTGTTACATTGGAATGCCGGGGATCCATTGAGAATGCGCGGGCGGGAACCCTGCAAAATGCAGTATCTGCACTTAAAAAGATACCTTTCTCCCCAAGATAGCCTTCCACGTCATGTGAATCAAGCCACTCGCCATTGAGGCCAAAATCGGCCAGAAGGTCATGATCGCTCTGGAAGGATTGTGGCTCTGTTTTTTGACGCACAAAAGCACTCACAAGTTCACTCGTCGGTAAGGCATTCGGAGGAAGGATAGGCTTTCCTGTGCGATCTCTTCGAGGATAGTGAGTCCCAGCACCACCTAGCAAGTAGAAGGGCATATCCCATATCTCTGGAGCTTCGTCTAAGCCACTTTCCAGGATTCCTTTCATCTTTTGGACTATAGAATCTCGGGTGGACAGAGTTAACGTGAGCCTGAACACCCGGTTCACAATGTCTGGATCAGAGGTTGGATCTGCCAACAATTTATATCCATTTTTCAGACAGGCTCGATGCAATCGGCGTTCAAAGGATGTCTCGCGGAAAGACGCAGTAGAAGAAGATAAGAGATGTGAGTGGTGCAGAATCTTAAGGAAAGCACCATCATCTATAGCGCATGGCACTGGTTCTGAATGGTTGACAATAGGCCGGGTAGATGTTGGAAAGGACGAATAACTGTGGGCTGACGTTTTGCCCCGTCGGTTGTTTTCTTGGTGGTCGGTACTGTTAGACGAGGAGATCGGACTAGCTAAATGAAGGGCCCCATTGACTGGTCCTGATATCGTCGACTCAAAGTCGTCTTCTGACTCCTGTGAGAGCGTCTGCTGCTGTCTCGCTTGGGTCTTAGTCGATGCGATTTCATTCATTTGAATTCTACTGCTGCCTTCATTACCCGAATTTACAGCAGTAGAAATTGCAAGAATCTGCGTGCGCAATTGTCGCAGCGTTCCTTCAAGAGCCGGTTCCAAAGATACACCGGATCTTTCTATTTGACAGTGGTACGCTTGGAACGTCCGATGTAGATTCTGAATCTGTGTCTGCAGACCTTCAAGTCGGTGCTGCAAAGACAAGGTTATTGTCTCCTTGCGGTAGCGATAGGCTCGCTGTGCTTGTCGTAATTGTAGCCTTCGGTGCTATAATCTCTCAGAATCCCCTCTGCCAAGTGTATATATGCTGAGTCGTAATAAACCCACCTCAGAAACGGGTACCTTAGTAGTACGCTTCGGTGTTCGTTCCGTAGACGAATCACTTGCACTGCTCATGATACTTCTCCTCGATCGCTGCATTTTCACTCGGTGTGGATGCTAGTATCTCTGCAATGATCGTGGCGAATATTCGTACCTTTCGCGAGAGTCAAATTGACAAGTTAATGATGTGCGCGATTTGTAATCGTCATAGAGTACCTCCCGCACTAAGCCCGTTTCGGCCGGTGGGTACAAGCGTGACCAAGGGTTGACTTTAAGTTCTACGCTTCTACGCTGCATTCATATTGCCCCCACTCTAATGTACGCCACGTTATGATTTGGGGATATCAGGTGCTAAACTGAAGGAAAGTGGAGAATCTGAACACTAACACGCGCCTTTGGGGTCCAAATTCATACCAATATGATCTGCGGAAAATTCAAGTTTTCGGGGGAACGAATTCGTTTGCGGCGAACAATGAGAGGCTAAAACGCGAGAGAAGAGAGAAAAGAAAAGTGCTGTAACGGTGGTACCCGCCTTCATACCCTTCAGTTTCCATCCTTCGGATCTTTTTAAACTAAGGAGTGTTGCCCTACATCGTTTCCTGGCGTCAACAGTTATTCAGAGGTACGGGGAGGAGACAGCCTCTGCCTTCCAGCATGGTCTGGATGTCTGCCTTTCTTGTTCGCAGAGTTGAATGTAGAGATGACAGGGAGGGAAGTGTTTTTGAAAAAAAGTCGACCTATGTTTTTAACGTTATATTCAAAATGCACTCCTGCGAATAGATTGTAAACCAATATTATTGCTTCTTCTTTTAAACAGGGAATCAGCGTACCCTCCACCCGATCGGTAATCAACAAGAGAGCCTCGGCTATGATTAGTAAGTTCATTTGTAATGTGCAAGGCGGAGCAGAGGGAATCCCATAGAGGACATATATAGGTATGTTCCCACTGCTCCAATCGCAACTCACCACTCCTCGGACATCCATTCAGTCTTCTTGTATCATGGCAGGGGAATTGATTTTCATCACTGGCGCCACGGGATTCGTCGGTAGTGCCACGGCTCTCGCTGCTCTCGAGGCAGGTTACCGACTACGAGTATGCGTACGAAAGGCGTCAGAAAAGCTCCAAGCCCTGCTATCGAAGTATAGCGAGCAGGTTGAATATGTTACCATACCAGATCTGACAGAGGACACAGCTTTCCAAGGAAAGTTAAATGGAGTCGACTACATTCTGCACCTGGCCTCCGCTCTCCCTCGAGGCACAGACAAGAAGGACTATTTCATCCCGGCTGTGAAAGGAACAACTGTCTTGCTGAAGGAAGCTGCCAGCGTCGCAAGCATCAAGAAAGTCGTCGTGACATCGTCCAGAGCTGCTCTGATTCCGCTCACTGGAGTGCCCGCAGGCGGTATCGTGAAAGGTAGGTCACTCTGGTTTGGTAATTCTCGACATCAGCTGATTTTACATTTTCCTTCTTTTTACAGAGGACAATGATTGGGACTTCAGCGTGGACGAGACTGCAAGCTTCGAGGATCCCACCGACCCTGATGCCACGGCTTTCAGACTATACCACGCATCAAAGCTGCTGTCCAACAACGCAGCTTGGAGCTTCTGGCAAAACGAAAAACCCCACTATTCCTTGGTGTCACTTCATCCAACCTTCGTGCTGGGGCATAACCTAGTCCAGTCATCTCCAGACGAAATCGGATCCAACAGTGTTCTCTGGAAGCCTATCATGACGGGTACTATCGACCGTTCGGTTGCTGGAGTGCATATCCAGGACGTTGCCGAAGCACACATCAAAGCCCTGATTCCGGATATCCCAGATGGGTCAAAGTACCTGCTGGCCGGCAAACCAATAACTTGGAAGGAGGTCGCTCAAATCGTGCACAGGGACTATCCTAATGTCGGTGCAAAGATTAGTATGGAGGTTGAGGGGGGAACAACGCCCTACGACAACACCAAAGCAGAGCAAGAACTTGGGATGAAATGGCGCTCCTGGGAGCAAATAATTCATGAAGTGATGGATCAACAGCTTGGCTTGGTCAAGGAATCAACCAAGTAGATCCTAAGACGGGTTTCAGGAGTGTTTAAGGAGTGTTGTGATTCAGAGGATATCAATGGGAAAAAAATAGGAGCCTGGTCCATCGGACTCTATGAACAAGTGAAAAACATGAGAACTTCTAAAGGAACAATAAGTCTGGGTAGAGAGCGCGCGATGTTCATCGTATTGCGCCGACATTGTTAGTACAGAGAATGTTAATATCGTCATGAATCCAAAATACGTGAATATGGCCTCTGCGCCCAGAAGGCAGATCACGTGGCAATTTATCGCATTTACTATGTGTTTTGGGGTGGGCGGCTCGCTTGGGAACTACGTTATGTCATTGGCCCATTTGGATTCAAACGCATTTCCGCTTCATTCAAAACATTTGAACACTACTTTCCACTTTTAACCCCTATCTTCCTTTTCTTTCGTTTCAGGGCCGATGCGCGCGACGCGCGCGTCTTCCAGTTCCCCTCTTCAATAGATACAGGTCTAACCCTAATGCATGAGCAGTGCGTATCAGTGTAACAGGACAATACCATCAGTACAGGGGATCAAACAAGCCCCTCCAGCAGTTCCACTCTTGCTTATACGGATGAGGTTAGTCTCGTATTCTCGTATTCTCGTACTCTGTTCCACCCATGCTAAGCCCGCAAGAACACTGGTACCCACGACTCTTTTTCGGCCAAGGCAACTCATGCCGACTAAATGAGCCGGATTTTACAGTTGGAAAATTATCTCCGGTCATATTTTGTTTCTGGCAAAGTTGCAATTTGTTATGGAAAATAAAGAGCGAGTCGATGATCCTGGCTTTACAGAGTAATTTTCCTCAGCTGGGTAACGAATATAAATATCAGGTAAACCGCCGTCCAAAAAGCAATCTCACTCACAATACCATTCCATCGTTCTGATACTTTCTATTGAGTGGATCAGAATGAGACTTAATCGACCGGTTGCCCTACTGGGCCTTCTACACGCGAGTGTAGCTTTGGCAGCTCGTTCAGCAAATCACAGCCCTATATCTTATACCAACCAAAACGGAACGCGCCTGTCCTTCGACGAGCAGACTGTGCTCAAGTTGTCCTCAGACGGCAAATTCCCAGCAGTTGTTGTCCTTGACTATGGACGCGACGTGGAAGGATTCGCCTCCTTTGATGTCGCTCGAAAGTCCGGAGACACTTCTATATTTGAGATGACCTACAGCGAGACTCGCGCTCTAGTTGATTCTGAAATGGTACGTGGCGATCTGTGTCTAGTCATAATGAAGCCGTATCTCGACTAATGTAATTTATCTAGGGCGATGGTCCCCTCCCGTTATCTGCTGCCATGGACACGTACCGGATAAACCGTTACAATATCACTGAACCAAAACTCTACATCAACCGTCTGCTTCAGGGAGGCTTGAGATATCAGAAACTCAATCTCTCCAGTGCAGGAGAGGTCGAACTGCCCTTCGTCGGATTCCGCCCTACTGTTTCTACGACTGCGGTTTCCGATCTACCCGGTTCTTTCAGTTGTTCTGATCTTGTACTGAGCCGCATCTGGCAGGCTGGTGCCCGAACTGTGCAGCTTAATGAGTTGCCTGCCAATTCCACGCCAGAATTCTGGATTATAACCGACGAGGGCGCGTTCGTGGACAGTCTGGCACCTCAGCCATTGTCTACAGATTGGAGTCCAATGCTCACTGCCTATGAGTTACGATTTTCCGTCAAGCCAAAGTCAGGAGGATTTGGCTTTACCGTTCTAAGTGACACCCTTGGAAGCGGAATTTACATTTTTGTCAATATCGCCAATTCTTCTATCTCTGCTTACGCCGGCTCTTCTGATCTCTCTGAATCCCTTGCCTCCGCGACTTTGCCATCATCCGTTACCTTGAACAAATGGCAAACAGTTCGCAGTTTAGTGAATACGACAGAAATCTCTGTCCAGATAGATAACACTACCGTGTTACAGTTCTCCCAGAGCGCTGCCTTTTCTGGTTCGTTTGGTCTAGGTGCATCCTTAGGCCACTCTGCTACATTTGCCGATCTCTCCCTCTCGGTTTCCGGTCAGCAGATGTATTCGGCTTCTTTGAAAAATGCATCTTTCCTGCAAGACTTCCTCCTTGGTACAAATCCATTACCTATTAGTGTGGATGGCTCTCGGAGAGACCGCATTGCTTATGCTGGAGACTTGGATATGACCACCGGCACAGCATTTGCAAGCACATATGGTCAAGAATATATCAATGGTTCTATTGAGTTGCTGGGCTCTTACCAACTTACGCCCGGCTTTTTTGTCCCGAATGCCAAAATACAGCAGCCTGCTCGAACTAATCCGGTTAATGCGAATATCACCGGTCTCATCGGCTATTCGTTCAGTATGGTGAGTTCTATGGCTCGCTTCTATGAGCAGACAGGCAATGCCGATTTCCTGAATCGTTGGGCACCAAAGGCTGCTAAGATGTTTGATTGGGCTCACTCTCAAACCCTTCCTAATGGCCTTTTCAACAGCTCTGACGTCTCATTTGGCGGTGATTGGAATTACTATGATCCGGCTCTTTCTGGAGTTGTTGCCAAATTCAATATGGTCTATGCATATTCGCTCTCTCAATGGATTCCATACATGGAAAACACAGGTCTTAACAAAACCATGTATGAGGAGCGTCTCAGCTCCCTGCAGAATGCTATCAACAAACATCTGTGGAGTCCCTCACAACAAGCATACTATCTGTCTGACTCCCACAAGGACTTCTTCTCACAAGAAGCGAACGCTTTAGCTGTGCTGAGCGATACAGCTTCTCACAAAAGCCACAACCCTAAGACAGTTTTGGCAACGATGGCGCAGGAATTGATCGTACCTGCCGGAGCACTCGCCTTTTCTAACAAGAGCGCTGCGAGTGGATGGGCGCAGCGGATCAGTCCCTATGCCTCTGGCTATCACCTGAAGGCTGCATTCTATGCCAACGACGGTGATAGTGCTCTTCAACTCCTTAAAGGCGTCTGGGGTCCTATGAGCGATCCATCGCATGCCAACTATACCGGTTGCTTCTGGGAGGTTCTGGGTGATGATGGCACTCCTGGCATTGGCTCTTCTACATCAATGTGCCATGCCTGGAGCTCAGGACCTACCGCTGATTTGAGCCGCTACGTTCTTGGTATCCAGCCCACGACTCCGGGCTTCAAGGATTGGCAAGTTGTCCCCCAATCGCTGGACTTGAACTGGGCGCATGGAAAGCACCCCATTCCTAATGGTCAAATCTCCGTTGATTGGTCATTTGATAAGGCCGGTCTGCTTCGAATGGTGGTAATTGCTCCCCAGGGCACCAACGGAACTGTTTATCTTCCTGTTCCCTTGAAAAAGAAATTGAATAAGTACCGCGCCTCAGGCTTTTTGTCCGATAACAAAACTTTCTTCGTCGTTCAAGGTGGTGCGAACTTCACCTTCCAACAAATGGCCTAGATCTATATCGCAGGGAAACGACGTGCAATATTCGGAAGTCTAGGGCCCCCACACTATCGTTCATCTCCTGTGATAACTCTCGCTCATGTTCCAATATTTGTATCTAGCTTTTTTCTTTTTTGTATTTATCGATAGATTCTTCTGGCCGTTCACATGATATATTTGACCGATCAATGTGTTGTTAGTGAATTCTCTGTCACGAGATTTGCCTGCATAAGTATTGAAGTAAACCTCAGACGGCCATTGGCTGCGTGTTGCCTTACCAGGTGGAGGCATTCTTCCAGGTAGACCTGTCCTGATGGCATCCGTGATTGGCGGAGCGCCATCAATGCCGCTTGGCTGTCTGCAACGATGACAAGGCCGTTTCTCGCCTGTGCCGCCCACGGTTCCGTGGTCTCCAAGATGAATTTGAGTGCCATTTCGATGGCACGGAGCTCGACAGCGTATATAGTGGACGTGTCTTCGCCACCCATTTGGCTGTGAGCGTGATGATCCTCGAGATCAACGACTACTGCTGCTCCAATTTTTCCCTCGATCCCACTCCCGTCGGTGTAGAGAATCAAGAGTCTTTTTCTTGGGTCTTTGGATAGAATGTGGTCGTGAGTTTTCACTGCCATGTCTCTGTCCTCGATGAACACTTCCGGCGGCGCTTGCCATGGTGCCTGGACGAATGCCTTCCGACTCTCCCAGTCCCTCGCCAAAGTTCCCGGGGGAGCCGTAAGGCATCCGCACGTTTTCCAGGCTTGCGTCTCCATCGGTGTCCATCCAGACCAATCTCTCTCGTCCACCGGTCGGCGTCGTAGCATTTTTGGTGGGACAGCGAATGCTGGTCCAGTCCGTAACCGTAAAGCCGATTCTTTTACAAGGCCGTTCCTATGGATCGCAATTGGTGGTAAGATCCGTGGAGATTCAGGAATATGATGGTTGTACGTTTGTCGCATATTCTGTCCGTCGCGAGGAATGCATGATAAACGCCCCGTTTGAAGGCTGCTAGACCGAAAAATGGAATCGACCGGCTGATGAACAGCCCGTTCAAAATAAGGGGCTGGTGGTCAGTTGGGTCCAAACCCTCAGAAGCTGGACGCCCACCGGACCCCACGTATTTTCGAACAGCGACAGACAGATTTTTGGACTAGAGGCTGTGGCCATCACATAATTATACAACTATCTGCCTATAAAACTATGGCTTATCCCTAGTAAATGGAAGACCCATGATCCACTCATGAAGTCTGTCAGGGTGCGTCGGCTTCAAATGTTTCTCTGTTCTTGTCGATCTATCTACCCACAACTGCTCTTTCGATAGCGAAGACTGCTCGCTGAGCAATGTGGAGAAAGAAGCGAGCGACCAACTCGAACGCGAATTGGAGGCCAACGGAACATCCAAGGGTGCCCCAAGCTTAGAGCGTCAGATGAGTGTCACACTCACTATCTCACCGAGTCATGTGTAAGACTGGACTCCATTGACGCATTTCGGAAATTATATCAGAGTTGGTAAGGTGATCCTATTCTGCTCCTGATCAAGCTAATTTGGAATAGGAGAGATGCCATCCTGGATCAATTTGAACTAGATCGCCTCGAATTTAAGCCATAATAACGAGACAAGTGTGGCTGCGTATCGATCGTCGTACCAAATCCTACTCTTTATCGGCAAGAGAATAAAGATGGGTATTGCTCGACAATTTATTGAGGACATTCGGTGCGGGACGGAGAACGTGGAGAGAGTAATCTCTATTTATGGAATCAATTAGTAACGACCTGATTTGTTGTTAGATTTATTCCTGGGCTTATCGCAATATTCATCAATATGGCTGTTGAAAAACGGATTTGTCCACTGGCCAATTTAGACGATCCCTGCGTTCATGGCTAAACTTATGGTTTCCACACCTCAGAAAAGCGTTTAATCATAGACTTGGACGGAGGGATTGATTTCAGGTGGGAAAAGTTGCAAAGTCCTGAGGATTCTGATCATTAGGGTTGTAAGTAACTTACTATCAACTCGTTCGACTTGAAAATAACGTACACTTATCATCGGTCGTGTTGACCGCCACTCATTAGTAGCGGGGATGAACGAGGGCGACTCGAGTTTGAGCTCCAATTTTGCTATATTTACTTGAATAAATTCTGAGTTAATTCCTGGTCTGTCAATGGACGGGCCGCTGTCATTTTCCAGTGGCACTAGGATTGGGGTTACAAAAATTTGTTCCAGTAGGTCTGCCGGTCCCTACCTAATAGTAAAGAAAGCACATGGATCACGTTCGAGAGTAGTATATACCAAAAGTTCAAGACTCTTAAGATAGAAGAGGTCCTCATTTGCAATGATACTGTATGTGTAGCCCACAGGCATGATGTAATGTAGCTTCCAGATTTATAGTCAGACACAAATTCCTGCCATTACCGTTGCGTACATCGGGCTCCGCAAAGCTAAGGAGAACGAGTAAGCTCAGAACACCATCTTAAGTTTGAGCTTGTCTTGTTTGACGATCTCGTCTTTCTTCTCCACAAGTTCCTTCATATCCCATGGACAGCTCACGTATCTCCCACCCAGCCACTCTCTGCGCTCAGCTACCAACCACGCAATCGTATCACCCGCAATGTCTGGCCGATCAGGGAATGCATCTCTCACCCGCTGCGGCATGTCCTCGGAAATCTTCGTTTTAATCGCACCCGGATTCACACAAAATGACAAAAGCCCCTTATCACCATACTCTAACTGCAAAGACTCTGTCCATCTCAATACCGCAAGCTTTGAGCTTCGATAACTTCCGCTTCCTGGGCGAGCGGTCAAAGCCCCTGAGGAAGATACATTGATCATTGTGCATAGACCATCAGCACTAGCACGAGTCGACAGTTGCATAGGGATGAATGTGCGTGCCATGTTGAAGAGTCCATGAACATTGACTTCCCATGTCCTCCAATACACATCCGAATCGGAGTCGAGGAGTGCCGCGTGGGGTTCCATATGTGCCGCGTTGTTGATGACAATATCTAGGCGTCCATCAAAGCTTCGTGACACGAGTTCATGCATTGCTTGGACACTTTCTTGGCTTGCAATGTCCACAGTGCATCTTAGCACCATAGGTTCGGGGCGACCGGCTTGCGTTGCCGCCAGCTTTAACTTCTCAGCAAGGTTGGCCGATACACCGTGGAGGTCGGCTATTGCTATCGCAGAAGCCCCCGCACGCGCAAAAGCTGTGGCCGTGGCATACCCTACTCCGTCCTCCCACGCGGCCCCGGTGATCACAACGTGTCTCCCGGCTAGGTCCAGCCTTAACGGAGAAATGTAGTCGTAGGTAGTAGAATGAATGGTCGCAGTGAACCGGCCACCAGAGAAATCTTTGACCGCCGGCATTGTTGAGTAGCAGGCGGTGGTAATGCAACGAAGGCCATTGGGGGAAAGGAGAACGCAGGGAAGGGATCAAGCCACGCCGCCATGTCTTCAATGAACATGTTGTGAAATAATACAGTATTTTAAAACGATAACAATGCCGAAAACAAATGCGTTGCAAGAGCGCAGAATATCTTTTGCACATTAACTCAAAGCGCGCCTAGCGCGGTTTCAGGTTCGAGCCGTCTTGCAGCATGAGTATATTAGTTGTATTGTTTTCGAGTTATGTGGGTCACGACCCAGTAATATAGATACAGATCTAACCCTATCAGTAATGCATGAGTCGTGCGTATCAGGGTGACAGGACAATACCATCAGTACAGGAGATCCAACAAGCCGAGTAACAATGCATGTGTGTTCAGACAGGGAATTAATCCGGTGGATCTATCGCCGAATCTGTGTTACGCTGGGATCGCATTCTCGCATTCTCGCATTCTCGTATAGTCGCATTCTCGTATAGTCGTATAGTCGTAAACTCGTATTCTTTCACTCCGCCTGCTGCACAAAATCTTTAATCGGGTCGACTGGATTTTTCAGTTTGTGGTGACGGTTTAGGCTATTGCATCTAACACGAGCCAAGTCAATTATGAGGTAGAGTCTACATGGGAATGTACACCACAGCATCCACAGCTGCTCAATAACCAACGATATCCGAATATTGTTAGGACTCTTAAAGTAGTAGAGAAATATCTCCTACCCTGTTTTTTAGCTGAAATACTAACCTTTGTCCTTTTATATTCATTCTAGATCCGAGACTTTGCTGTCTTTATCAACACCAGTCCACAGCGCCAAAAGGCCTCTCTTGATGTTCAAGCACTAGAGCCACAGCTTGTTCCTATCCAGGATGTCCGTACACGATGGAACTCTACCTTCTTGATGCTTGATCGGGCTAAAAAGCTTCAACCGCATATTGATCGATACTGCACTGCCCATCACCATACACATTCAGGCTCAATAAAGAGGAATGGCGACAGGTTGAATATCTCCTTCTCCTCACCAAGCCATTTTTTGATTTCACAAATGTGCTATCAAAAACCAAAGATGTGACTATTCACCATATCTTCAGCATCTATAACAAGCTGTTCAATCATCTTGATCTTGTGAAGAAGAAGATACAATGCAAATCAGTGCCTTGGAAAAAGAAGATGCTATCAGCACTTGAAGCTGCAGATGCAAAGCTCAGAAAATACTACAGAGAGACGGACAGTGAGTCCTATAGGTCAGTATATGCCATTGCAACTATCCTATGTCCATCAAAGAAATTCGATACTTTGATAATTCAGACTGGAGAGGCGAAGATGAAAATGGGAATAGGGTTGACTGGATGAGTCATTACTGGGACATTCTTCAAAGTTTGATCGCTATCAACAACGATACAACAGAGAAGAGCAACCAGCTGGTGTTAGGAGAGCATCTTATTCAGTAATAGATGAACTTGATGAGCCGTGTGGTTCACAAACAGCTCTACAGGCTGAGGTTGATCGTCCAGATGATGAGCTTACTTAGTATCTTGCAAAAGGTAAGTTTAATTATCTAATCCACTATTCATATAACTAGTAACTAATTATAATAATAGATCTTATAAAAAGCAATCCCCGGATATTCTGGAAGGATCACGAACAAGAATATCCTGTCCTTGCAAGGCTTGCACGCGATATTCTATCCATACCCGCAGGTGGAGCTGGTGTTGAAAGGCTTTTCAACTGCGCTCGCGATATATGCCACTATTGTCGAGAGCAATTAAAAGAGGATACAATCAACGATCTAATGATCCACCTCTGCTCAACAAAATTTGAATGTGAGCATGGTGAGCTTGATCCAATCAGTGAAGATGAGGAGCAAGAACAACAAGCAGATAATTCATCTGATCATTCAGACAATGAATTACCTGAGCAAATAGTATCTGCAACTCAGCCTATAGCACAACGCAAGCGAGCAAGCAGTGCCACTGAGCCTCAGGATAATACTGAGAAATATACACAGGGGCGATCAGGAAGGATACGGAAGAGGCCAAAAATGCCAGAGGGATTTGAGATAAGATCTAATGTAAATAGTCAAGGCCCGTGTTTACAACTAGATCAAGAGCTTGCCAGGTTAAATCTAAAGATTAATAAGATCAAAGAAAGAAGGAGTCGCCGTAGTCTGGGATATAAGCTGTATTAATGTCTGTTAGGAACAAAGAATCAGCATCTTAATTCCCAATTTTGCCGATTCTTACATACATACCAATACTCCAAAAATACCAAAAAAAACATGCATAATCTATGCAGATTCTTTTACATCACGAGGCTTGGCATGTTTATATTGTTTATATCAGGATGGGTACCCGCGGTTATGCCGCAGCCTAACAGTGATCCACCCCGGCTACTGCCCTTTTTGCCTGTGGAACAAGGAAAATACCGTAGAAGACCGATTAAATTATTAGCTAAACAGTGGCAATTTAAAGCAACATATTGAGGAACAGTATATAAATAGAGATCAGAGTTACAGAATGAAGTCAATATGCAGATGTGGCTAAACTTTCGACGGAGAACGTGGCCTCCGACACTATTTGTATGGCATCCACAGGCTAAACAATGCTATATAGCTAAGTCCGAAGCGCTAGAGGAAGAGAAAGCATACAAGGCGGAAGCGCAAAAATCATTAGTAGAGCCGGAGGAGGAGGTGGGACGCCCTAAAAGACCTCGCTTCAAAGCTATCCGCCTCCATGTCACGAGCATGAGTATCAATTGTCAAACAACATTTTCATACCCGTTCCCACATTACATGCCTTCGTTGAGGAACATCCCGAGCAATATTATTGTTCAAGTTCGAGTGATAAGTCAACTAAAGACAGCAGAACTAGCTCAGTTGGTTCCTGCTTTTCTGCAGCAAGTTCTCCGCTCAGCTCGCGACCAACAACTCCAGGATTGGAAGTCATTGATCCGAGAATTCTTGAGCCTTTGGAGGTCCACAAAGAACGCGGACACCAGATTTGTGATCAAGATTCTATGCAAACGAGCTCTCTTGAAATACCTCTGGATGGACATAAAATCAAAACACGATCATTCGATGATGCAGCACATTCACTGTCTCATAATCAAAGGTTGCCATTCAATCCACTCCTGTTTCTGAGGCGAATAGGCCTCGCACCTTCGATCCGGCTCATCGCCACACGGAGGATGTGTACCGATCTTGCGATCCCGTTGCCAACCAGCTACATTCCCTCAGTCCATCTTCAAATGAGGTTGAGGTCACAATAACGACACCCATTGAATTAGAAAATCGAGGAGGGCCATCGACAGGCATTACTGCAAGCAAAGTGAATAAGAAGAAGAAACACTCGCAAAATGACTGCCACGTTGTCATGTCAAGCAACGGCGTATGTTCTGATGCAGAGAATGAGCACGAAAGTCATCTTCCCGCCCATCAAGGACCCACCAATGGAACCACACCTCTTGGAGGAGATTCTTTCGCTAATCTCAAGAAACCCCTTACCCGAGCCCAGTAAAGCCAACAGCTGATACAGTAGTTTTAGAACTATTCAACAAGGAAAAAACTTCGACAGAAGCTTAAGTCAACGGAGAAACGGAAGCTTCGTGAGCTGAAGAGCCAGAATTGCTCTCTGATTCTTTTTGTTAAGGGGATGACTCGCGTAGCCTTTTGACCTTCCATCGTTGCAGCCACCCTACACTTGAATTTTAGCAAGTGCTCGAGTCTGGAATGATTGTAAGAGATCCTTTGTAAAGTCTTCAGTTTTGCGGTCAGAGCAGCATTCTGAGCGGAATCCTCGGAAGCTGGATAGGCCCTACTGAGTACACGCATTGATACACGACGTAATGATGACTAGGCCATCATATTATTCCCCACTGGGAGGCCTGAATGCTTGACCGAAAGGCGACCCCTTAAAAACCGGATGTGTAATCCAACTAAATAAGACGTCCACTTCTTCAAAGGTACGAATAAGGGTTCCAATTGGTGGTATAGGGAGTCGTTTCGACGACTCAAACCACGCAATGGACATTTGGGTCCACCAGACAATGAGTCTTAGTTCGGGAAAGCCATCGCGCTTCCTTTTGGCCAGAGCTTTCAGGCCTTCATAACAGGAATACCAAACCGAGATTTCTTCATAGCATTCTTGCTGTTGCAGCTGTAGCTCTTCGAGCTTTGGCGGTAATGCAAAATCACAGTTTGAGCCTTTGCAATACTCTAAACAGCTAATTGGTATTGCCAATTTCCTGAGGGAAGAGAAAAGCATAATACTCCATGTTGGTGTGGTCCGACGGATGGAACTACCATCACTAGCAGCAATAAATATGTCTTCGAGTGTGTCCGCATGGAACCGTAGGGCGCAAAGAATTGCATCTAGGGACAACCAATCATGTACCATATGTGATATTACAGCATCAAGCTCGGCGTCAAGAGTGAATCGTTTCAAGGACTTCACAGAGTTCAAGAGGCTAGTCAAAATGCCAATAGATTGGTCCACATCAGTTAAGGCGTGAATGCGAAGATCGATAATAGGTGACGTCTGGTGCCTCTGTAGTGGATCTAGATCTACCCATTGACTTTCCAGTTCAAGATATTCGATTTGTAGGATACGAAGTGTTGGAATCCAGAAGTGATGTAGAATAAGTTGTACCGGTTGAGGATAATCGGCCATGTCACCAAAATTGAGTCGTAGATATTTGAGGAACAGCATGCCAGTAAGATCCAAATGCGGGGAAGGCGGGCTCAGAGACAGCTCTTGAAGGTGTGGAAAGAGGTTCGAGATTTTGATCTTATAGCTGCAGTCGAGACCTTTCGGGTCATCCAGCTGCAGATAGAGTATTTTGACAAGACGGCTGTGTTGAGGTCGAGCAGACAATGCATCAATAAGCCCGGCGAGGTGTCCTAGGTTGTAGGTGCCCCCACGGGAGTCTCGCGATGTGGACGTTAATGGTAGCTGTAAATGCATAGAGCGATACAGGATTGGTTCAATCATATCTCTGAACAGGCGACACACTTGCATAATTTGGACTAAACAGCCACTGTCGGGAATATAGCTGAATATGACGCTTAAGATCTCGGTCGGAAGTTCCACAAGTAGCATGTTAGGTCGAGCAAAGACTGATGCCATCTCTTGTGGCAGGAAAGATACTCGTGATAATAGATTGACTGTCCCTAAATTGAGGGTTGTTGTATCTGTTGACCTGTTTTATCCGTAGTCTGTCCCTGCCTGGCTTTTGGATTCCAAGTCACCTGAACTGGGGTCATGTGGCAGCAGTCAAGCAGGTAGAATCTTCTCGTTCGCGTCGACAGCTTTAAGTATGCTCACTTGAGGCTCGCCGTACGCCAGATTACAGAATCGCTCTTTTAGGCTCAGCAGCAAAGTGTAAAAATCAATGGAGATAGGCGGGAAGGTTTGTTGTTGCCTCGCTGTCGTCGTTTTGCTTGAGGTGCATTTGACCTCCGCCGAAGGCGGTGTGTTGGTAGTAGAGCATCCTGCACATTCGACGGAGTTAAGGAGTTCCCTTCGACCTTACGAAATATCATTGGTGACTTCATACAGTCAAGAAGGGCAAGGAGAGTATAGTTTGCCCGTAACGATCACCTGTCGCCGCGGCCTTATACTTATTTGTTGTGATATGAGGCTGGTGCTGATCAAAAACAAAGCAGGCCGCCCAATGGATTGCGAGCTGTGAGATACCCCGCACCCTCATCGCTCCAGGGCCACCAGTCCAATACTCAGCCATTTTCTCTCATTGTATCGTCTCTGGTGATTCGTCTTCCTTCATATCCCCTCACCAACTGTGCGATTAAGCTTAATGGAAATCTATTATGGTAAAAACCTCTTCACGGTTTACAAACCAAGGAAGATTAAAAATTCAATGAACTAAAATATTGCGAGATCGTCATTCTCGTGGGCCTGGACACCAATTATTTGATAATTAAAACTAGGATGGCGTTCAATCCAAGATGAGATGGTTGGAGGTTTGCCACTGCTGCTTACCGGAATTGGCCGACAATAACGATGCCAAGAAATGTAGCTCCTGGGCCTAACTCAGATACCAAGATAGCATGAGTATTTCTCTACCTGAGATCAATATACACGCTTGGAGGCTACCCTGATTAGCTGGTATAGGTACGAGTGAGATTTAGTGCTCCAGCTGCTCAGCTGGCGGGCAAATCCTAGTAATATGAGCTGAGTGTCCGCAATCTTTGGTGGGTTAAATGACCGCCTGGGTGTAATATCTGCTTGAGAATCCTTGTGGAAACGTAAAGAGGCTTCACAATCCCAGACTCGATTTATAGCATTTAGTCTACAGGCAGTATGCATAGAGATATAATATCTCAAATTGGTGACTTTCCTGTAGCACTGTATACCCTCATCGTTTGATGTGGTCCTGAAGTACTTCTTCTAGAGTTATATGTCATCATGAGGAATTGATGTACTGGCTAGTACTGAAGATGTCTAATAGAATCAGACGATAGATTGAAGGTTGTTAAGATCGGTTGAGCGATCTCAGGGGTCTCTATTGTTGAACTATGGTATGTTGTGTAACCACGTTAACGTAATCGGTAAGCGAGCGCCACATGCAAACGAGCGCCGCACCCCAAAACACCATATTAAATGCGATAAATTACCACTTGATATCCTGCCAACCACTGTTTATCGTAGGGTATTCCTATGATCTAATATTCTTTGTGATATATCTAGCCTGGTTTTAAAGTCTCTAAGAAATTTTGAATTTGTGTCATGGATGTAGATAGCGCATCTTTTGTTTGGTACATCAATATAAGCGTTATCATTAAAAAATGAACCGGGGGGTTAGGGTTTTAGGATTTGAATGCGATTATTCTGCACAGGAAGCTAATCTGGCAAGCTTGATAGAAGTTAGCCGTGAAAACATGATCCTTCACGTAATGCACAGGAATTGACGCGTAAATTTACCAAGCGGATTATTGTTGACACAATTCACACATATTCACACGTACGACCTACACTTCTCTGACCAGTGACAGTGTGCACGACAACATGGGGCCATCCGGCCACGAGTTCAAGTTATTGAGCAAGGTGATTGATCTGGAGCGTTGAGGCCGAATGTTTACGATGGACGGTCTGGGTTATCGATACAGATCATTGGATTCAAGATGGAATCAATATGTTCACCGGAGAGTCTACAGATTGAGCTGATTTTCTCAACTTAGCCAACTAAGGTCCAGGCTCCTGGGATTTTTACGCGAAAAAGTTGTCCATCATTGAGGTAATCAATTTGGATGTTTAATCAGGCAAAATTGATAGATCAAACACCATTCGAGTGTTCCCCCATCTCCCTGGTCCTGTTTAAACATGCACTCCCATGGCAATATGAGCTATTCGTGTACTCCTTCGGTTTGCCGCTACACCTGCTGTCGTCCATAGAATACTGTCCTAACCAGGTCCAGATGGATTGGGCCGCCGACCCGCAAATAAGTGATAGATGGACGATGCTCTTGCTTCTCGGCACAAGTCCGTCATATCGTCTTATAAACGCGTGTATATGATGGATCCGTCTGATACATACATAAGATGATGCAATTTTTGAAAGAAATCGAACTCGAGGAAAGGCTCTTTGAACCCAGTTGACGGTGGGGAATAAGTTCTAGAGCTGAAATGCTGCAGGCCCAATCGTTTGACCTCACTCAAGAGCGCTCTCGGGGGTTGTAGTGAAATGTTTCAAGGTGAGACACAGCTTATCCAATAGCGTCTGTAGTTCGGCTTCCCCAACCAAACGACTTGGGCCTGTCAAACTAAGCTTCAATCTGTCATTCTCGGGCACTGAACAAAGCTCGAGGGCGTCATGAGGAGGCTCAATAGGAATATAGTCCATTAGCTCACAGTCGAGGTCATCAGCAGCGTGGAATTTCGTCTTGGTTGAGAAGTTCTGATGAATAACTAAACTTTGCGGTTGGCTTCCAGCTGGCCAGTCGGTGCTGTCGGACACGATGGTATTCCATCCCGCAGTATGAAAGGCTAAGCCGTGTATATGTTGCCTCTGAGTAGCGTGAAGGAGGTCAAGGGCCGTCGTGCATTTCTGGTATTGGATACGGACTGGCACTTGGTTGAAACAAATCCCAACGGTTCGGTTAATCCCAGGCACATCCATACCACGCGTGCTCACGAGTTGTGCAAACACAATATCATCACTCCGGGTCACATCATGGAGAACCTTGGTCCATGCCGCCTTGACAACGGTAGCCATCGTGATCCCCCTAGGGGGCTGCCCGACTGCAACCTCAGCAGAACACTGCAACTGAAGGTTCGGGGACCCGGTCTGCTGTTTGTTGTACGGCAGCTTTGTGATAGCCGAGCCCGCGAGAGATTCTCGCCAGAACTTGAATGCTGCTGGGGTTTGCCGGAGAGCTACCTGTCGTGCATACAGACCATAATCCGTGGGCACGGCCAGATCCCCTTGGCCTCGATAGAGACAGCACAAATCGGAAACGATTATCTCTTGGCAGCTTCCATCATATTGGGCGTGGGAGAGCTGAATGATGAGCACATTCTGCTCGGCAGAGCCCCTGACAAGTGTGAATTGCAGGGGTGGAATGCCCAAACTAAAGGCGCGCTTATGATCAACGATACACATGTCCCGTGCAACGGACATTGGATTTTCACCCGAAGCGGTGGTGTGAACAGTAATGGAAACGTCTACCCGGTTCAGTATCACCTGGTGAAGTGCGCCATCAATGTGCACAAAGAGTGACCGGAGGGTAGAGTGCGTTTCGACAAGTCGCTGACAAGAAGCCTGGAGCTGAGCGGCATCCAGTGGCCCGGAGAAGCGAAGCAAAAAGCACCCACCTTCGTGGGTATTAAACAGCCATTCTTGGGGCTGTGTGCATGGGTAGACGTCAGAGATATTCTGGATGTCAATTGTAGCAGTACTCTGCTGCATGAGCTTTTCCTTAAGCGCATCACTTGAGGAAAGGTCATCCATATCTACGAATTCCTCATCACGGGCTACACTTATCCCACGGTGCTCTGCTAAAGCGGCTAGAGATAGTTGCTGAAAGACCTGTTCCGAACGAAAAGAAAATCCGGCTTTGCGAGCCTGGTCCACCAATTGAATTGTCGTGATAGAATTTCCCCCGATCTCAAAAAAGCTGTTGTTCAAGTTGATGTCCTTGGGTTCAGACGACAGAATTTCGGCACAAATTCGCTGAATAGCCGCCTCATTGCCGGTGCACGGTTGACGATGATCTTTCTTGAATAGAGGATGGAATTTCTGTAGCTCATTCCCTAGCTCGCCTGCTTTATTGCGCAGCAGCCTGCGATTGAGTTTGCCAGATGGAGTCAGGGGCAGCATCATTAGAGGCACAAAATGCGTCGGGACCATGTACTTGGGGAGGATATCGTGTAACTGGGACCACGCTTTCTGACTCTGGAGTGTGAATTCGGCGGATGGGTGAGCAAAGAGATGACTGTCGCCGGCTGTATTGCCAAGTCCCCTGTCATTTGTCGACGTTATAAAGGCAGCCAAGACAGCATCATGTGTTCTTTCTTGACTGGGTGTGATAATTTCCGCGACCACAGCGTCCGCGGCGGGGAACTGTCTTTTCAACTGGAATTCGACTTCTGCAAGTTCAATTCGCTGTCCTCGCAACTTGACCTGCGTCCCACTGCGTCCAATGTACTGGATCGAGCCATCCTCAGGTCGGTAACGAACAATATCTCCAGTCCGGAGAAAGCGACGGCTCTCACCGGGTCGAACCTCCTGCAGCCATGCGGGGTTGTGAATGAATGCGGCCCGAGTTTGTCCCTCATTGCCGAGATAGCATCTGGCTAAGGAGGGACCCCCTATTAGTAGCTCGCCTTCGGCACCGATGGGAACTAGCCTGTCCGGGTCGCGTGAATCAACAATCCAACAGTCCGCAGCAAATGGTAAGCCGAGGTCAATGGGAGATGAAGATGTGCTTTTGTTATCGATCAAGGTGCCTAAGCTATTTTCACTCTGTCCGTAACACGTCCTGAGGGTGACTTTACTATGCCATCTGTCCAGGTCAGAGCGAGTCATGCTCTCCCCAGTTAGCATTAAAGTTTTCAGGCTGGGTATAGATTCAGGGTCTAGAACGCGAGCCACGGAGGGCGTGATTTCCACCCAATTAATATCGAAATCACGCATTGCATCGCGAAGACTGTCCTGAATCTTCCTCTCTGAGGCTACACACAGACAGGCCCCTTTCATCAGACCAGTTATATGATCGAGGATACTGATCACGAAAGAATAGGAGGCGAACTGGAACACTCGGCTCTGGTGATTGAGGCCGACGCGGGCTGCATATGCATCAACCCCACTGCACACTGAAGCATGTTCGATCACCACTCCTTTAGGCTCGCCGCTAGACCCAGATGTGAATGCCAGATAGACTGGATGGTGGGGACTAACAGCAGGAAGGGGTTTCGACGATGATTGTATAGGATCCAGGCACTCATCCTGGATAACCAGAGCCGGAGGTTGTAGCTCACGGGCTCGTGCAATTTGCGCTGGTGAGACTAGGACCATTGCGGCTTGGGAGATCCGGCAAAGGGATTCGAGGCGTTGATGAGGCAAGGACGGATCCAAAAGGAAAAACGCATTCCCGGATTTCATCACAGCCAGGATGGAAACAGCAGTCCACATAGACTTTTCCGAGAGCACGCCGATGAATTGCTCAGAGCCCGGTATGAGCGAAACAAGGCGGGAAGCCAGGTGGTTTGCCAACTTGTCAAGCTGCGAATAATCCAGGTTTCCATCCCACGCGCATACGGCAGGGGCCGACGGGGTTTCCTGGCATCTCTGAGAAATCACATCGTGGACGCACAACTCTTTCATGCACGGATGAACACGGGAATTCCAAGATTTGACCCGTTCAAGACCATTGGGATTAAGTTTGAGGAGACTCTTCAGGCTTCTAGTCCTATTGGATTGGACGCAGCTCAGGACATGCACCAGCTGGGCCAGCACCATTTGCGCCATGGCCGACGACATGACCTCTGGGTCGAAATCGAGAACCATATGATATGCATTATCCTCGATCCCGCCCGTCAGCGATAAAGGACAGGTAGAAGGAATGCTGTCCGGCAATCGTGTCGTAGCCTTCGGGCTTGATGTGCCACAATGATTTTGCCGGAGGACTAGTATATTTGGAAACCGGGTCGATTTTGCAGGGCTCAATTCATCCTGACACAGGGAAGCTGTGCGCGTGAGCCCCTCCAGAAATTTCAACGTTTCATCTACCGAATCTTCCGGTTTGATTGTGACCCGAAAGGGACAGACCGAAGTAGTTCCCTTGGAGGATCTGCAGTCGCTTAGACCGAATATGGCATCACTTGCGCCCGTATAAGCGGAAATGACAAGCGCCCATGCAAGCTGTATGATAGACGATGTAGACACTGTTTCTCCCTGGACCGGTGTGAGGGGAATACATGCAGTGTATCTTTTAGTTGCGTGGACGCAGTAGGATTCATCTGGCAGGACAGGGAAAGCAGTTGGCATTAAGTCATCGTGTTTTTCCTTGAGATCTGATTGTTCCAGGCTCAGAGTCTGGGGAGTTGGCAGGATTGTCATGGTGTCAGCAACAATATATAGCAGTGTCTCTGGAAAAGGTCTACGTCGGGCGCATGCCTCGAACTTTTAAAGTATTAGCTCGTTCAGAACAATTGACCCACTCGTACGATTTAAGTGGACAAGCCGAATGTTGATAGATCGAGGCGCTCTGAGTTCGCGAGTGGGTAGAGCTCAACCTAACACAGTGGTTCTGGTTCCTCGTCCCGTCCCGGTGGATCTTGCCGTACATGACCAGCCACGCAAGCAAGGGGTGGCCGCTTTTGTCCAGTCAGAGGTGTTCTGCTTTTGTCGGCTGTCAGTGCTGGGGAAAGAGACCTCTTACTAACCGCCTTTCTAACCGCCCCACCGGGCGCCCCCAATCAGCTCCCGCAGCTAAGCTCAAGTTTCCGGAGCCAGTCGAGAATAGCGGTGTAGTTTTGAATGGCGTGTCCAAGGAACTCGCTGTTCGCTGGAAAACTGTCTGGATTCTTTTATGTTCTTCGGATACCTCTGGAACGATCGGGTATGAGATTTGGCTTGGACTGAGCCAGCTAAAACCTATGAAACTTGTAACAAACCCCTACGCCAGCTTCACGTCGTACAAGAACACCTACACCAAGGTAGTATTCAATATCATGTCCAGAATTATTATTCTACTATAGAGATCAAACCCTACATTAGGTTGCCTCTGAAAACCTCCGACAGGTGCTTGATAGCCTCTATATTTAAAAATTTGAGAAGCAATTTGCAAATCGTATAGGAGAACAAGAGCCGGATGAGCTAGATAGACAGATACAGCGAAGATGAGGACTTTTCTTTCAAAAAGCTATTCCCGGTCCGCAGGAATCCCGCGCCGGAACGTGCGCTCCTTCGCCCAGGAATCGGCGGTGAGACAGCAGGGTTTCGACAGAAGTAGTCGGACCCTCTGTGGCGCACTGGCTGCATTTTCCCCTCCTTCTGCATGACCCTTCGTGTTTGATTTTCAATCAACCAGGACAGAAGGTTGGGAAGCCATAGTAAATTGCATGGAATCTTGTACTTGAATAAAAGTGTTCCGTTGTGTGTTCTTGAAGGATCCTCAAGGAACAGTCAGTGTTGCCTCAGTCTGACTTGTCGGCACCTGACAGGCAGGCCTTTCACCTTGCAAGTAGATCTTATCCTTACGAAACTACTAAATTTCTTGATATTAGGACTGACGCGCCCCCGCCAGCTCTTGTTCATATCTTGCTATGAACCGTTCTGCTTGAACAGTGCCCGTGTTTAGAATTGCGATAGTCCGGAGGATTTCCTGAAAGTCTATTAGAGAAGTTGTGCTAGAAGACCGGGATTGTACATGCCGAGTTGTCCACAGTTGTGGACTCTAACGGATCGATCATTGAGGAAATTGCAAGACGCGTGGTTTTAAATTGGCACCACCGTCCTTGCAGTTTCATGGCTGATATGCCAGGAGATAAGCAGTTTGATTAAGGACATGACTGTATCCAGAATGTTGTTAAGGGCAACCAGCTGTAACAGATCCAAACCAAATTTGACTTGCACAAACTTGGAGATTATCCGTCAGGGAAGCTTTACTGTTAATAATCACATCATTCTTACAAATCTCTGCTTAATTGGAAGGTGGAGATACAGAAGTGCATTGATCCCGTCACTGAGTAAAGTCAGCAGTCTTGGAAGCCAAAAGATGGACTCTGACAGAGACCCAGGGTATGAACCATGTTATCTCCAGAGGGAAATAGCAATAGGAACCTGGTTCAGATAGATTATCCCGTTGTAAATGATAAACTGGCTCACCTCGGACGCAATTTCATACCCTTCAATTTCGGACGCGATTCGTTTGACCACCTCTCGTCTCTTTAGATGCACATGTTGAGTTTGGTTTGCCTTGATAACCGCTGATAGTACATCATTTAGCCAATATGGAATTCCATTCTGCATCAGAGATAGCCATCGAGTTGGAAAAGGTAGTGAACCTGGTGTAGATACCTAGTGAGTTGGTTGATCGAGGAGAGGAATTCAAAAAGTGAAAATACATTGCGGAGATTTCCATGGCCATGTTCGATATCTTGCACAGGCAGCTTGGTTGCTCAGAGTCGCCATCCGAAGATGATACAAGACTTGAATACTGAGTTTACAAGAATCTGACTGGCCAAGTATCGATTGCCCTTGACCAAGGTGAACCACCTCCCCATCTTTCATAGCATAATGGGTGTTTCTACAAGCGCGCGTGCGAATGTCTCAGTCATCAAGTCAGATTTTTGATAGCCAAAGTCCGAAAATGAATGCTATGGTCAAAGTATGTCATATTCACAGTTGTAGACTGGACATGTACTTTGTGGGCTATGGATCCTCATGCTTGCAACCCGGCGGTACGATTGTACTAGTTCAGTGATCGATCCCCCCGATCGGAAAACTGTCCAAGCGCCTCGCTGATCTTGCAGGAAATAAGATCTTCATTTTATACAATCCTAGTAGGGCACGTAGAACATAATCAATGGATAGAGTTGATATTCAACGATGCGCCGGAACTCCCCGTCTATGCTGGTATCAATACAGGAAAATATCACAAAGTGCAGATTAGATGTGGTCGGTTGACCGGTCATCAACTCGTAAAGCCTCTTCGGGCCGCTAGCGCTTGCGCTCGCGAATTTTCCACTTGACGCCGTTCTTGTTTGTACCTCCAACTGAGTTGTCCATCTTGGCCCGCTGCCAGTCGGTCTCCTTCTCAGCGGCTTGAATGGCAGCGAACTGTTTGCGCAGCGCAGTGAGCTTGTTCTGACGAGACTCAACGGCCCGCTTTCGGAGTTTGCGGGCACGACGAGCTTCCACCAAGGCTTGCCGTTCGGCGGCGAGCTGCTTGGGAGTCTTTCGAACGGTCTCCTTGGCGGCTTCTTCTTCCGATTCCTCCTCCATGGCATCTTCATCCTGCACACGCTTGTTCTTCATAGTCCGCTGCTCCCCGCGATCATCGGCAAAGATCACTTTGCGTGATTTCTTCTTTTGCGGAGTCTCGTCAAAATCGAGGTCATCCAGGTCATCAAACCCTCCAAACTCATCGTCGTCGTCCTCTTCGCGTGGGGGCTTGTCTTGCGTCTTGATGCCAAGGGTCTGATTCATTCCATCCTGTAGTTGGATTTCGCGCTCCAGGCGCTCGATTTCGCGACGAATTCGTTCCGACGAGGTACGGAGGTAGCCCTTGTCTTGGGTCTTGAGAAGTTTGATGGCCTCGTGGCTCAATCCACGAGCCGCCGCCGAGTCTCGTCCTCCGGTGCCTCTTCCATGTCGTCCTTGCACCTTGTTCTTCTCGCCCATCATACCAAAGTTGAACTCATCGGGGTTGCGGTCACGCGCCTTCTCCTCGAGGCGCTTGAGTTTCGCCTTCTTGGCATTGTAGTCTTTCGCACGGAGCGAGTAGTCCTGTTCCAGCAGTTAGTTCTGGGGATTCATAACATTTCTTGTAGTAACTGTACGCAATAGAAATAGTACTAACCTTGTGCTTCTCAAGAATACCCCATTTCTCACGACCCTCGAGCTGGCCACGCTCGCGGTGGTTTCGCCGCTGAACGGCGTTGCGCATAGAAGACATTTTGAGCGGCCGTCAAATCACTGGAGTGGGCTTTGCAGCTAAAAAGTCCCAAGCAAGAAAATACTGAAAGATTTTCAACAGCTTCAGAGGAGAGGGAAATATGAGAAGCCGGAAAGAAGGCCCATCCGACAGCACGAGTGGTGTGAGAGTCGAAGGTTGTACGGAAGTTTTTTTTTTCTGCTTCCGCCTTTTGGCTCTCCGCCCGAACTTCGGTTCCTCGCGCTCCGCATCAACACACCTCTTCCTGCCAGGCCTTCTCCTCGTCCGCGAACTCCAATTGTGCGATAAGATCAGCTCGAATCATCTTCTTGAAGCCTCGCCAAGCTCTTACTGGTCTATAAATCGCTTAATCGCAACTCTTCCCCCAGATTGCCCCGACAACGTACCACACTTGACATCGACACGATCTGCATCAGTCCACCTTGATCTCCGTGATCAAGCTTGTGATTCTCAATGGCCACGCCATCTGCCTCCTCCGATGCCTCGTCATCAACCCCTACAGGCCGCAAATACAATCTCCGCAACCCCCTACCCCTCTCGGCCACGCAAGAGCAGGAAGTCAAGCAACTCTACTATAAGCGAGTACGAGGTCACTGTGCTCCCGAGATCAAGGGTAAGTAGCATTATCGTTCTTGATTTAATCATCTTGCACCTCTGTACTCCATCTTGGGGATCTTTTCACGCTCCCGAATCGGCCGAGAGTGGTGTCACGTACTTACATATCTCGGTCTCATCCTTGCCGCATGAATGATCAATGAGCTCACAAACTCCTCTTCTAGCCTTCGCCGAATGCGCCGTGAATCGTACCGTTACTGCTACTTGGGTATGCCGCCAGCAACGGTTAGCTATGAACTCATGCATGGTGACCCACGCAACCCGGGAGGAGGAGGATCGCGCACGCGAGGAGTGGTTCGCGACATACGATGAACGGCGCCGTGTCCGCGACGAAGAACTAGTGCGGGTGGAGAAACGCCGTGAAGAAGTGATCCGGATGATGCGGGAAGATGAGCGGAAACAACAGCAGGCTCAGGGGAGGTGACCTGTCTCATCTCATCCTTTTTCTTCCCCTTCGATACCAGACTTTGGTTTGGTGGGTGTATATTTTTCAATATGGGCTTCGGCGTCAGGGCATACTATTGCTGCTTGCATTGCTTCTCGGATCAAGTGAGCACTCCCTCGTGGATGCGATTCATTTCGGTTGGAAAAGTGAGGTGGTCTCCGAGACATCGGACCACAACGTTTCGGACGTGGCATTGGCGAGAAACCATGCGTGGTTGGAGATGCTTCGGTCCTACTTAGCTGGACCCGACCTTGAACCCCTAAGTGGCTGGGCCTGGCTGTCGAGTCTCCGGGATTTCTCTCTCCTCACGGCGTACAAATAGGGAACGTTAGGCGTTTCTACGGGCATCTGTTTTGCATGATCTTCCCAATTATGGAGCGATAGGATGACAATTTGTTATGTACATTATACACAAGATCCATTTCTTGTTCTCATTCGCCAGAATATTGTTTTCTCGTTTCTCTACTCACCCTGGGCCCAGAAACTCTGGTTCGCAGATCGGGCTTGCTTTAGTTTCTGGACCGAGTTGGAAAGCTGACACTCGCGTAAGGTATCGCATTGCGCTTCTCGAACATTTTAATGATAACGTTCCTGGATATCGCGCCTGTAAACGCCGTAAACACCGTCTAGCCTAATACATAGCTGATATATGCCTCCCCCAGAAAGAGAAAGAAATCCGGGATTTAGGCATCGTTCATTTTCTGATCTTCATCTCCTTCCCCAGCCTCGCCCATTGTGGTGTCCTCGCCGAACAGGTCCTCCATCTTTCCATCTCCATCGTCATCATCACCACCTTCGCCTTCCTCGGCATCAGCCGCCGGACCCGAGCCAGACTGCTGCGGTGCATCAGGCATATCCTCCTCTCCTTCGCTCTCCCATTCATCCTTCATATTCCACCCCGTACCAGTGAGGCAGAATCGCTCTGGCGGCAGCCGCATACCCCCGACGAGCACGCTTTGGTTCGCGGCACCAGGTGCTGTGCCGTTGGGCCCCTGGGCAGCAGCATCGAAACCGCGCGATACACCAGGAAGAGCAATACGGTTTCTCTCCGATGCAACCTCCATCAAGAAATCCTTCGGGAGACCGGTCTGGAACTGATAATGCAGGCGCGACGCAATGCTCAATCGAAGAGCTGGCAAAGACACACTGCTGACCTCCGCGGACGCAGACCCCTTCCCTGCCCCTGTTCCGGAACTATCCGGCACAGCACCAGCATATCCTTCCGTGGCGAGGTGCACTGCATCTTGAAGTACGTTTGAGGTGTAGCGGTATGCGAAATCGAGGAGTTGGAGGGGAACGCGGTCTTGGTATCCTCCTACGCCGAGTGAGGCCAGGAGCATGTGCACGAGTCGCACGTCGCGCGGTCGTCGCGATTTTCCGCTATCTTGCAGAGATGTGCCGGGAATTTGTGGTGGCTGTGTTGTGGAAGTGGTGGGTGCTGTTGCTGGCACGGTGCTTGATGCTTGGGCAGTGGTAGTGCTTGCGGCCGGGGCGGCGACGCCGTTGGCCGCTGTGGATGATTCGACTGGGGGTGAGGCGGGCTGAGTGGCTGGCGCAGAGCCCTGAGCCTGGTTTGGGGATGCCATGGTCGTTGACGTTCAATTGATGACGCCGCGGGGGTGCAGGTGGTCGAATCGCGAGGGTGGAAAGATGGCAGAGGTTGTGTGATGCAATCAGCGATTGACTAGAGGGTGAGCTAGTGATAGTCCGACAGCATTACCAGCTCTGCGACATGCCTCCAGGGCCAGGGCGATTGGGAGGTAAGCTGGGGGGCGGTCGTCGAGATCGAAGTGGGAGATCGCGACGGGGATCTAGTGAGGCCGAAAAGAAGGAGCTTCACTGGGGCACTAACCGCTTTAGGTAATCACACTGAGGTCTGTCCGGGCAAGTAAATTATGGATCAACTGCTGCCTGCTACTATTCTAACATAATTGCTAGGTTAATGAGCTCTTTAATCTTATTCAGATTACCCACTGTAGGCTTATTGTCTATTTCCTTCGCTTGAATAGGATTGTTGCAATAGCGCTTCGATCTGAAGAGCCTATTACCCCATCCCATAATCCGAAATGTACTGAATGATGCATTTTACATAGGCCCTTAAGAAGCGAATATACCGAGACACTCAAGTACAAGATCTTCCTTGTTGTAGTAGGTGCAAATCAAGTTCAGGTCCCATAGCCCTCCAAATGTTAGATCCGAGTCGTATAGAGCTGGGCCCAGCACTCCCAGTGGGCGGCTAACATTCCATGGGCGGGTCGCCGACACCCGCACACAATGACTCTTCAACGTGACGAATTTGGTCTTTCGTCACAACGCGGGATACCCTGAGACAGGAGCAAGGATGGCGAACTCCAGGTGAGTTTTCATGCCATCTTCATCTATTTCAGGGCCTTTATCAACATGACACAGGTTTGAATACGTCAAGGACTTCGAGCAGCCGGACGGTCTGCTACCCAATACGTGGATCGTGGTGCGCATCGATGGCAGGGGATTCCACAAGTGCGTTCTACTTTAGCTCCTGCCTGGCTGACCCGAGGCTGACTTGACTATGACTAGACTGTCGAATCATTATCAATTCATCAAGCCCAATGATCGCCGTGCACTGGATCTCATGAATGCTGCCGCCGTCGAGGTCATGAAGGAGCTCCCCGATCTATGCATTGCCTACGGTGTCAGCGACGAGTTCAGGTGAGTTCATTCCTGGGGATCATCATCCGAGAGCTATTGTGCTGATTAAAACCTGCAGCTTTGTTTTTCACCCCAGCTGTCAACTCTTCGAGCGACGGAATGCGTAAGTTTATCCTTGGTTACCGCCCTCTTTGTCGGTTTCTTGAAGTGGTATTATTAATATGATGATGTCTCGTCCAGAAAAATTGTCACTACCATTGTGTCAACTTTTACAGCGTACTACATTCACAAATGGGCTGAATTCTTCCCTTCCACGCCTCTCAAGCCACCGTATCTGCCCTCTTTCGATGGTCGAGCTGTGATCTACCCATCGAGCGCGATTCTCCGAGATTACATGAGTTGGAGACAAGTTGATTGTGAGTTTCTTTCCAAACTTGAGAGGCTCGATGCCATAGACTGATACCTTTATTACAGGTCACATTAACAATCTCTACAACACAACTTTCTGGACGATGGTGCAACAGGGTGGTATGAGCAATACAGATGCCGAGCAGGAGTTGAAGGTATGTATTCGTGGTACTTGTTTTCTGTGATTTCATTCCCAGACACGGCATGGGATATCAACTTCGACTGACTTTGTCTTCCAGGGAACGGTCTCGTCTGATAAAAACGAAATTCTGTTCAAGCGATTTGGTATTAACTACAACAACGAAGAGGAAATATACAAGAAGGGAAGCGTGTTATACCGCCAGGTGCGTCTCTTCGCACGCTTTATAACATATCTATTGCTAACTTAGTACTTCAGTTCGAGCTCCAAGAGCCCAAGGTAGCTCAGTCAGAAGAGGAGGGCTCTGCCGTGCCGCAAGCAGAGACGTCTAGATCACAGCAGGACAAGCTTAAGAGATTGAGGCGGAAGGCCCAGGTGGTTGTCGACCACATCGATATTATCAAGGATGACTTCTGGCTGAGACGACCCTGGATTCTATCCGGTAAGCCGGGTAAGCTACCCGGGGTCCCAGCTTAGAGGCGATACAATACATTGAGGAAACAATGAGACATGACCAATGACCTTTTTGTATGGAGAACTTTGCCAAACAAGCTCAGTAGATGTCGCTGCCTTGCGCGGACAGTATCGCTTGCTTCAAATGATCTACTCTATCAAAGACATTGTTCGAGGCAAAATGGGGTATTTTTTACATATAAATCCAACTGTCAGATAGTCCAGCGCGAGTCATCAAAATGCAATATGTCACTCATTCGCCGAATCAGACATTCAAATCAAACACTGGTTGTAGATTTCTTCTCTTTTTTGTCCTTCTTGAACTTCTTCTTTGTATCGGGACCTTTGCTGTCTTTCTTCTTGGACTTCTTGCTCTCGCTTTTCGCGTTGTCCTTTGACCGTGTGGGCGCTTCGTCTGTCTCTGTGGCGTCTTCGGTCGATGAGGGTGTTGGGTAGTCTTCTTCGGCGGATCGTTTGGAGCTTTTTGAATTCTTTTTCGTGGCCTTGACCTCGCCATCCAGAGTATCGCTATCGTCGGCCCCGCGAGATTCCTTTACCTTGTTTTTCTCCTTCCGCCTTGCCCGACACTCCTCCTTGCTTTCCTTGCGTTTCTCCGAGTCGGAAGCCTTGCTAGATGCCGACACCGTTACGTCCCCTTCGACCTTCCGCCGCTTGCGCTTCTCCTCTTTCCGCGCAGCCTTCTCTTCTTCCTTTTTCGCGCGGCGATCGGTGTCTTCCTCGTTCGAATTGCGCTTTCGTTTGGACTTCAACTTAGTATTATCTTTGGTCTCGGCGCTCGTATTCTCATTCGTCTTCGTTTCTTGGATGGTTCCTGGCAGCTCCTTCCCGCGGACGAAATAGCGGTACAGTTCGCTCGTCAACGCATTGCCTGATCCCGCCGACGCTGTGGCAGTGGCATCCTCGCCCACTCCTTTCAACGCATCTTCGAAGCCGCGAAGCCACCATTGATTCGTCGGATCTTTGGTCGTCTTCTTGCCCACGCCGTGGTTATTTTGCTTCTTCGCGACAAGGATGGGCTTTGTGAGGCCGAGACCACCGTGCGGGCCAGGGCGCTGGTTTGCATTGAGAGGATTGCCGGGGCCAGACCAGCCGTAGCGCATTAGATACGCCTTGGCGTCCATTTGTGCGATAGTCGGGGAAGAAGCGACCGTGGAGATTTCGTCGGAGGTGTAGGATGTGCGGTCGGTGAGGAGGCGCAGGCGCAGATTCTGCGCCGTTTTGGACAAATCGAGATACCAAAATATATATATATGAGAAATTGATTCCCAATATTCGACAAGTATAGTTGTTTTTGGGAAGGGTTTTTCAGGGACTTTGTCCCTTGCGAACAGGTTTGGAGAGAAAAGTGAACGGATAAGACCAAAAAAATGGAGGTTCAGGGCGATAAGAGTCTTTCGACACCTAAGGCAGAAATATACCAGTGGCTCAAAGTCCGGGCGCTTGGCACTGCCCTACTCGACACTCGATCGTTTCATATTTCACAAGTGTTCGTTCGTCGTATGATCGAGGCTTCTTAGTTTGGCTTGTAAATTGAGAGAACGATTTTCAGAGATTCATCGAGTCCCGCACTTCATGTGACTCGAAATTTAACATCGTTTCTTCATCTCTATAATAATGTACTCCACTCATACACGGTGTATGCGATCTCAGATATATATTTCACGAAACCACGGTACTTTCTGTTGAGATGGGCTACGACGAAGCACTGAATATTGAATGAGGGCCTGCTAGACAAATTGACCTTAATGGAATTGACAGAACTTGGACTTGACTGTATTATGTTGTCTACGTGCGATTCTGGGAGTATTTATCCCTGAAAGGGCGGCAAGCCCCTGACAGTAGTAAATCCCTCATAATCGGTCTCGATCGGGGTTCTTCCATGAAGATCTCCCGAATGTAGAATATAATGGTGCAAGAGAGCTTGAAGCGTATATCAAGCTCAGTGCCTCCGGTTTCCTTGGACAGGCATGCCGAGAGAGGTTGGGAATGAGGCATCAATTCGGTGCCTTATCCTGGAACCTCAACACCTTCACGGCGCAATCACATCTTGTACGGATGCTACAATCCTGTGAACAATATACAGTAGAGAAGTATACGAAGAAATTAAAAAGACCAAACAGTGTGAAGTAGCACTCACATTAATTTTACACTATTTGAAGGCTGATAAACCTGAAGAGACATGAATTGTCATTGGACATTGCTAACTGTTTTTACCCGCCGCCAACTCCCAATGCTACACAACAGAAGACGACTGCACGCAGAACTGCGTCCAGCCGTAGCACCGTACACTAGTACGGCTTGAAACGGTCCTTCTGTTTTTTATCCTTCCGCGATGTCTTCGCAGTTCCAGCCTGGGCCTGAGCGTCTCCATCATCGCCGAGCTTCCAGATCCGCACATATCCATCCTCACCGCCAGTGAAGACAGATTGGCTCTGAGGGTTCATGAAGTGTTAGTCACTTGCGCGGCTCGTTTTAAGGACTTGATATATGAACATACCTGCTCGTCCAGATACACTGAGCGAATAACATCCTCGCCATGTGCACCAGGGAGGTGCCAGACGTTGTCCTTGTCGAACTGCCATGCCGGGTTGGGAACCAATGGGACCAGATCCAAGCTCCTTTTCCTGTAAATGGGGAAGAAACAACGGTTAGCCCTTTCCACAATTCCAGAGATACACAACGGTCTGACTGCGGGGAGGTATTTTTGCAACGGTACACATACATCTTGTTTCCGGCGGCGATATATGGCCCCTGGCTACCAATGCACAGCTGAGCGACATACTCGCAGTCTAGCGGCTCGCGCACATCGCCAAAATGCACGGGCTCGGGCCCCTGACCAGGCTCGTCTGGGTCGGTGGCGGGGTGCACAGAGAAATGCTCGTCGTGGCTCAGGGCGAAGATGGTGCGATCAGAAAGGAAGCCGGCATGGTGTACGGAGCCGTGGTTGATGACCTGTATCAGCGCCTCGTCCTCATCTGTCACCGTTGTATCGTAGATGTTTACCAGCCCGTCCGTGCTGCCGGACAGTAAGACATTGCTGAGGCTCGGGTGATATTGAAGCTGTGTACCACCGGCGCCACGCAAGGTGCCGATTCCGGATTAGCGTTTTCTTCTTCCCTCATGTTAAAGGATTAAACAAAGAGGAGTATAGGCTCACCTCGGTAATATCATCATTGTGGCTCTCCACGTATTGGAGACTTGGTGCCTGCGGATTTCTGATATCCCTGGGTAAGTGAATTAGTGAATCGAAGCCTGGCGTGTTCACACACAGGAATTAAAATGCGCGTGCCGCTAGATGAGACGGCCACGGTTGATATCTTGAGATGTAAGCATACCAGAAAGAAACGATTGCCTGGGAAGACACGAGTTCTGAGCCGGCGACGATGGTGTTGGTCTCTGAGTTGCAAGCCACCGAGAGGACAGGGTTATGTCTTGCTAGAATATGCCTCGGCGTTAGCCCCACAGCAAATGACAAATATAGCCAGCTACATTCACATGGAAAGACCAGGCTAGGGTTATCCCTGCATTATGGCGCAGGAATTCTCCGACGTCTGTTGAGCACATCCTAGCTATGCAGCCTAGACTGAGTACCAGGAAACACCAGATGCAGATGCCGATGCCCTGGCTTGCGAAGAATACGAACAGAACATGAACAGAACACCCCCCATCCGACTGAACTCACCCATTTCCATTTGCAACATCGTGTTCCCAGTGCGGACATCCCACAGCTTCACAGCTCCTTCCCGACCTCCCGTGGCCAGGAGCTGGGAGTTGCTCGTAGGGTAGCTCCGGAGCGAGGTGACGCCTCCATCGTGGGTTTTGCGGGAGACCACCAAGACGTGATCGAGACGGTTGGCATCGAATACTCGCAAGGAATCATCCGATGAGATGGCGGCAAAGGAGCCCGGTACCGACGCGGTTATGGAGTAAATGTAATTCTCGGCCGGCAGAGACAGCGTCGAAGCGGCCGCGGCTTTGAGAGTCGGCATGATCCTCACGGTCTTCCAGAGGTGTCGAAGCCCTCAGGCTCTTTAGTTCTCTCGTTTTTGGTAAATCAAAAATGATTTTCTGTTTTGGGTGCGGGTGGCCCGTCGTCAGTGGCTTGGGCGACACAATCCACCAGAGGCTTTTGAGTAACGTCAAGGCGGCGGACAGAGTTCGAGACGGGGTCGATCTGCAGCAGGCTTGATTACAAGTGGCCGATCGGAGATTTTCCTGGCGTGAGCGGATGTGAGAAAGGCGTCGTCGGCTTTCCCATGTGTTCGAGCTGTATACCGCTCGCGGCCGGCGCCACGGAAAAATTCCCTTCGGGACGTGGGGCACCGCAATCTGCACCTCAGGTATACACCGCGGCATCGCCATACTACTACCCTATGGACAGTGCACTACTAGTAGTAAAAAGATACATCTTGCAAGTGGTCAGATTTGATTTAAACTCCATGTCCAGGGCCCGAGCTGGGACTTTATGAATGGATGTCGATGCGGAGAAATTTTGAAGCCGGCTGGATCACAGTTTCATTGCAGGCCCGAGGGATTCAAACCGGACCCTTTGGGACATAGTACGAATACTACAATTGTAGGATAGTAGGAGGTACTACAGATCGGCCCCGGCTCAGCCAGCACAGTATGTTGCAACACCCGTAGAATCTTGCAGTCCCAAAAGATATCAATGTAACGCGTGCGGAGGAGGGCGCTCCAAGTCCAAGGTTACACAACAATGTTCTAGAAGGCGCCAGGGACGGAGTCAAGTCGCGACGAGTCAGCGGCCAGCGCGAAGGGCCGAACAAGGCCGTGAACCTTACGCAGCCCAAGTGGGGGGAGAGCAGCAAGAGGCGCACCCAGGCGCACCCTAATCCATACATACTAACTCATTACTAGCAGTACTAGCATCGACCTACCCTGGCTGCAAGGGAGGATCGCCCCCAAAAAGAGGATGTGATCCGTGGGACGCGCGAAAGACGAGGGGACCCGTGATGGCCGCGATCCACCGTGAAGGACAGAGTGCCCCGACTGCTCCAGGTACTGTATACCTCCACTGGGAGCAAGTAGATACAAATTGCAGATCCCCTGGCATGCTGATCTGGAAGCGCCGGCTCGTCTTCACAGTTGCCTACACTGCCGGATCGGGGCACTCGAGGGAGTGGGGGCTGAGACCAGCAGACAGACTTCGACATGCTGGTTTCATGGATCTTCAGACGGGCTGCCAAGGACCCCCGTCTGGCTGAACGGAGAAGCCCTCTGTACTTCTGCTCGGGCGCAGAGGATGCACCACGGAGAAAGTCATCGCAGACGATTGGCTCCGGAAGCTCGACGCTCGAAAGACCCCGACTTGACGATTCGGGACGAAGAGCGGAGCCCAGGACTGACAGATGAGATGATTGTCCGATCGCAAAGTTCGCCAGTCATTAGCGCGATGGGCAAGGGCGCCTGCGCTGAGTCAAGCCTTGGAGTGGTACTCGTCAATGGGCCTGGGAGTACCCAGCGACCTGGTAGGAGGGATGGTTGACCAGCAGCGCGAACCGAGCACTTCCACGGCGTCGAGGGTGTTGCGTGAACCCGAAGCTCTGGGTAGCCCTGGACGGGCACAGCAGTCGGTAACATGGTAGCATCATAAAAAGAGCACTAGAGCACTAGTCGTGTACGGTACAGGCTGGTATTTGAAAAGCTGCCGCAAAAATAAAACAAATCGGAGGACATGTCCTCTTTAAGACACTTAAAGCCTTTCCTCTTCTACCAAAGTCAGTGTGACCGAGTGGTTAAGGTGCTTGACTCGAACGCATACAACTGTATTGGTATTACGCTTGTATTGCCGACATCAAGTGTGTTCGCACGCACAGGTTCGAATCCTGTCGCTGACGATTCTTTTTTTGTCATTTATTTTTTTCCTGGTCAACTCTTTCGAGTTGATTGATATATATTTACGTGGTTCTCTTAAGAACTGGTACAGAAGCCGTTATGAGTGCATTATGATCCTCTCCGGCGCCTTCAAGAGCCAGTCGAATGCGGATGGCAACCGGCCTAAGGGTTTGATTACTGGATAGATTACAGCCCTCGAGTAATTATGGACTTAGTCCCACTACTTGAAAAATTGAACCTTGTAGCCCCATTGTTAGGTTACTAAAAAATCACGTCAAATACAATTTAATTGCGATGCCTCGGGAAAAGGAACTCTTGCGGGACTCTGGGGACAATTAATCTAGATCGCTACTTAATGTACCAAAGTTTGTGATATACACCATTCTCATCAAAGCCTAAAATGGGAGCACCTGAAGTGAAGCATGATCCTAGCTGGGGTGGTAATGTACTTCGTAATTCGTTGGAGTACGTCTCTAAAATCATCTTGTAGAATCCTTTTGTCATCCTTAGCTACATAATTTACGAAGCATACCCATATACTCATCCATACGTCCTACAGAACAAGCGTAATGTGTGGAGGCCTGCAAGAAGCCTGTTGGCAGCAACTTGGAGCTACTCATATGATATTTTGAGTAAAACCGAGGGGGATTCTTGCGTACCGGAGCGATGTTCGTTGGAACACTGTGAACGTGACAAGATGTACCTGGACTTGGGCATACATTCATGGATAGTCACACTGATGTAGCGCAACCTATTCGGACCACCGCTAGCAGCGAAGATGATGGCCACGGACTGGCCCAAGGTGTTCTCATGCTTCAAGTTCCCCGTGGAGACAGCTGGACCACATGGATTTGTCTATACCAAGGTAGCCGCACTTGGGCCGGCTAGGCCCTGCTTGGAAGCCAGGCGACCCCATGTCGAGGGCTGAGTGGAAAGGCCACGAATTGCCTGCCAAACCCCACGCACCACTGGGACTTTAGGCAAGGCAAAAGCCCCGCGCTTTCTGCCACGCACACCCTTGATATCCTATCCCTCCACGGAAACCCTAAGGAAATGAGTCGGTAGAGATCGGGAAATATAAAGTAGTAGAAGAATCGTCGATCAGCCTCCTCCGAGACACCTTTTCGGAGAACCGATGCAGCGAGTTGGGGGGGGCTGGGTTTCCAGCTATGTTGCTCGGGCGATGTCAGGGTGGGTGTTGGGAACATTTCCCAGGGGAGTAAAGCAAGAGGTCTAAGTATTCTCCTACATGCGTCGGTGCTATACCACTACTAGTGGTGTCCAGACTCTTCCCATACAGGAGTACCCTTGATACCCAAGGAACCCGAGGGACTAGAAGTGCATGTACATCATTAATATAACAGCGAGAAATGGCCCAGACGGACCGCGTCCCGCCCGCGTTGGAGTGGAGCCGTCGATCCTACACTCGGTGGCCCTAGACGTGCCCTAAGCGGACAGGGCATTGACGCCGTGGGGGCAAGATGCGTTGGTAGGGACAACACCAGTGAACTTGAGGGTAGGAATCGGTATCGTACCCCCGGTACAGTACCCGACGTAACTTGAAGGTATTAGGGTATGTACCTGAGCAAGACGATCCGACGAGGGTCCTAGTGCACTGACCAAACCCGGGGCTGTGGACCGGGTGTCTTCGCAGCTGGGATTCCTACGTATCAGACCGACTGCTCCCCCCCCTATGCCCGATCGACGAGTTCTTTCTGAGCTCGGTACTTTCTGCACCTCTCTGCGCTGCTCCCCTGTGGGTTCGCTTCCCTCAGCTTTAAACCTCCCTCCTCCCAACGCCGCCATCCGTGAATCCCCTCGACCTTCACGGCTGCTTTCTCCGCCCCGCCATCCGTGGATCCCCCCGGGCACAACTCAGCGGCTACCCAACCTTAAACCTGCCGTGTTTCCCTGGTTTCTCGCTTCTTTCCCCCTTCTCGCCTCGCTGGATCCGCCCTTGGGATGTGTTTGGGATTGGTTGAGTGGTGACGAAGCTGTTGTGTGTGCTCTGCCCGGACGCGACTGTTGACTCCTCCCCGGCCCCCCCAAGTTGACCACAGCAAACCTGGGTCTGCCTCGAGAAGCGTCCTCGCTCGACTCGTCTCCTCGATCCCAGTCCCCTCGGTGCATTTTGTCCTTTGAATTTCGAATCCTGTCTTTCGATTCTTGACGCCCGGTGTGCTGCTGAGACGGTCAACCCACAAAGGTGCCAGTCCGGTGGATGCTCTGGCCCCGACGAAGTGCGAATCGATTGCTCTACGACCTCCCTGCCTCGACCGTGCACTTTTCCACAATCCAGCCCGAGTCACCCACTCTACGCACATACAAAATCAACAAGAAGAGCCAGACGAAGCCGCGACCGCCCATTCCGTAGCGCCGACCCAACATCATGACCTCCCCTCCGCCCCCGAAACGATACAAGTCCGAGTCGACGCCCGCCAGCGATGCCGGCCGATCGAGATACTACCACTCCCAATCGGTTCCGTCGAGTGAGCGGGCGCGATCACGGCAGACGTCGACCGCAATGGACATTTATATGATCACCGACCGTGATCCGGCGGAGAGAGATCGACGAGTTGCCGGCCGTTTCACCAGCAATGGCTCGGTCGCGTCGCATTCTTCCGTCGTATCCCATGCTTCGCACGCCTCGCATGCCTCGCGCTCGTCCCCGCCAATGCTCATCTCTAATCGCAAGTATGTGCTTACCTCCCACGGGGAGTTTTGAGGGACCCGCGATCCCCAAGGCAAAGATTCGAATGACTGACCTGTCTTGTTTACGAACCACACAGAATTCCCGAAAAGTATCCTCCCTATAAAGAAAATGGTCGCTTGTACCACAGCTATCGCAAGGGCGTCTACATGCTCCCGTGTGATGACGACGAACAGGATCGCCTTGATATCTTCCACAAGCTTTTCACGGTCGCTCGAGTGTCCGATGGCTTGATTTACGCTCCGCGTCCGCCCAATTCACGGATTCTCGACTTGGGATGTGGAACAGGCATCTGGAGTATCGAGGTCGCAAACAAATACCCAGACTCGTTTGTTGTCGGCGTCGATATTGCCCCGATCCAGCCCGCCAACTACCCGAAGAATTGCGACTTCTATGCGCCATTTGACTTCGAAAGCCCGTGGGCTCTTGGCGAAGACTCTTGGGACTTGGTTCACATGCAAATGGGTAGCGGTAGCGTTGTGAGCTGGCCGAGTCTTTACAAACGCATCTTTTCGCACCTTCGCCCGGGAGGCTGGTTTGAGCAGGTGGAAATTGACTTCGAACCGCGTTGCGATGATCGCTCGCTGAGTGGACTCGCTCTCCGTCACTGGTATACGGCGCTGAAGAATGCAACTGAAGCTCGTACTCGGCCTCTGGCGCACAGCTCGCGCGAGACAATCCGAAACTTGCAAGAAGCTGGCTTTACCGAGATCGATCATCAAATGGTCGGGCTTCCCATGAACCCCTGGCATAACGATGAGCACGAACAGAAAGTGGCCCGATGGTACAATCTAGCCATCTCTGAAAGTATCGAGCCACTCAGTCTGGCTCCGTTCAGCCGTGTCTACGGTTGGCCCATCGAGAAGATTCAGCGCATTGCGGCGGACGTGAAGGCAGAAGCGTTCAACAAGGACATCCACTCGTATAACATCTTGCACATCTATCAGGCACGCAAGCCACTGGCCAACTAGTCAAGAAGCTAATGCTTTTGAACAGCATTCGGCCATGCTCAAAAAGAATGACCTGGTCTACGTTTGGTGCAGAACGAGAAGGAGACAGAGAGCTAGGGTCTTTCTTTTGCTGTACTGCAAGATCCCGTGATGAAATACGCACTACGCAGGACTCGGGCCATCTCTTCTGTTGCAAGAAGTCGCCACTTCCCTTCACCATGGTTAACAATCCGACCTGGGTCGGAACAGATTTCACGACCACATATTTCGCGATTCTGAACTTCAATTTTTCCTCGAACTGGCGCACGAGCATACAACACTGGCAAACACCACGCCACGCTTCTCAAACCCATTTGATGACAAATTTGACGACTACATTATCCCTATGCTAGCAAAAAGTCGCCCGCATTCTTCCCACAAGAGCAATCCTTCGCCTTGCAGGCAGAGCCAAGGAACCAAGAGCATTGATTCCAATTGAAAAAAGACACTCCGCGGCGCAGGTTGATATGAATACGTGCCAGCAATTTTCCCACGTGCGCCCATAAAAGGAAACTGAAGCCTATGACCATGGCTCACTTTGATATGCTTGCAACTTTCTTTCCTTTCGTCTTTGCATGCTGCTGTTTAGCATCTATGGCGTTCTGGGCCGTGTTTACTTTGTTTCTGCTTGGTGTTTATACCCAGGTTGCGAATTGCATCCTCTTTAGCTTATGTACTTGAGTTTGCTAGCCAGCACCCAATAAATTCCTTGAATCATTTTCCGAACAATCTGTCTAAGTATGCTTTCCCTTTTTCGTGGATAAAATACCACCTGGATGTTCTCGACCAGTGAAGTTGTATATTTAGAATACAACCACCAATGGGTATATTGTTATCATCGAGCATAAGGTCATGGAAGCAAGGGTTCACCCAAAGCAGATTTACTATCAGATGGAGAAACTGGTCCTGATTTACGAACATACCGAAGCCAGATGAATCCCCATGTCCACTGAACGCCATCATACCTGCCAAAACGCCACTAGTCTCATGCAAATGATAGTAGATACCGCGTATAAAAACGGATTGGTCGAACATGACTCGGCATTTTTCACCGCCGGCGGTTTCGCCCTGCACCACGAGCCACTCCATTCGCAGCAGGCCGGGACTCTTTATCCGTATCACCGTTAACGGGGTCCCTCCCAGCACCAGGCGTCCGTCGTCGCATGGTACCTGGACCGACGGCGATGATGTCTTCTCCGCTATCACTATCTTCAATGTCAAGGAGGACAGGTACACCGAATGCACGGGCAGCGTCAATTTCAGCGTCGCTTTTCACCGGGTCGAGTGTGACAGCGTCAGGCTCTTCGTCCTCGAGATCGAGGCGTCGTTGATGGACTTGTTCGGCGGGGTGAACGTCGAATTCATCCTCGCGCTCCAAATACTCGACGTTCTCCTCGACCTCACCGAAATCCGGGGCCAATGCGGACCATTTTTGTGGACTGATGATTGACCAGGTATGAATACCACCAGTCTCCAGGCCACAGGCTGCAACCATGGGCCGAGATGGGTGCCATTCGACCACGCCCAACTCCTCTCGTGGACCCTCCAGGATCTTGACAAGGGATCCGTGTCCACGTTCCCAAACGTAGACGTCTGGGTTCATGTATGTTGTTGCCGTAACGAATTCGCCGGTAGAAGAAAAGGTAACATGGTTCCAGCTTAGTCGGTTAACCACATCTTGGAACTTGTGCTCGACCTGAAGTTTGATGCTGGAGGGTTCGAGGTCGATTCCCAGTTGGGAAAGATCAGGCATGAGAACGGTACGGATGACGCGGTCAGAGCTGTTGATCAGTAGGTCTCGTCCATTGCTAGAAAGGCGGAGGAGAATGACCACTCCGTTACATAGACGCACGGAGTGGATTGTGGTACAGGTTTCCGTTTCGATGATATTGATCCATCCTTTGGAGGTACCTGCAATTATGTGATTCCCGAAGGCCGTGAAGATGGTGACGCAGGTAGAGTGCTTTGCATCTTGCGCGGCTTGTTTCGCTGCTACTGCTGGGTCCAATTCTTCGCCACCTGTGGGCTGTGGACGGAGCGGCGCGGAAGGGAGAATGCGCTTGATAGGTTTCGGGGAAGAGATGTCGACCAGGACGGGTTGGTCTTCGAAGAGCGAGGCGACAAAGAGGAGACTAGATGGGTTAAAATCATTAATCAGGCATTGCTTATGGAATGATGCATACGTGGGGGAGGGTGGTCGTACTGATTGAATGGGTGCAGCTCAGCGATGTACACTGGCGCCTCGAACCTGACTGTGCGCACGCGTGCGCCATCTTTCAGGTCCCATAGGATACACTTCCAATCTTGTGAGGAGGTGAGGAGATATCTGCCATCCCGTGACCAACTGTCCATATGTGTTAGCCCCAGGTCCAGCAGGGAGGCCGCCTCGGCTCGAGAATAATAAGAGGATCGTACCTAATAGATTGAATTTGGCGGGTATGACCTTGCAGCTTGCGTGCCACGCCGTTTGTCTCAATATCGAAAATGACCACCGTACCATCCACCTATATGTACTGGTCAGCCTTCAACTGGTACCTCACATTGTGTAGTCAGATGTACAAAGGCGCACGAACACGTCCCGAAGCTAGATAGTCGCCGGTATGGTTGAATCGCAAACAGGTCGCATGGCCGCTGTCTAGTTCACGTTAGCTTTGTAGGGAACAGGAAACGTCCTCCAATGTACTTACGAAGCTTCTCCGTGAGAGTGTCGGGGTAATCCTGGGCCAGGACAAAAGGATCGATCAAAGAGAGGTTCATTGCGGCGGCGAGAAGTGAAACTCTCGGATTTCAGAGCGCACAATCCGGGGGCCTAGGAAAAAGGCCAGGATTCCTGTGAACAAACATCCAACACGCGCTGGGCTCAGACACACATGAAAGCAGGTTCCTGTGAAGTGGTATCAGCTGCTTATTTTCCAGCCTATCTGCCGGGATCGGCCGTGAGGTCGATAACGAGATCATTTACAGGCGGTGAGCCCCATCAGTTGATCTGCCCACTGCCAAAGGGACGCGACAATTCATTGCTCCGGGCAGGTTCTGCCGGTTCCCACCGCCTACCGATTCACTGCCCAGGCAGTGACTGGCGCGCTAGTGAAGACAGGGAAAACTCGAGCCCCATCAACCGTGAGGCATCTCTTCACCATCTCCCTTTCAACCCGCTCCGACTCAACCCCCCCCCATCACCTCCCCATCTCAGAATATCGTGTTGCACCTCGCGATACTTCTTCAAGAGTGTCTCTCACGCGAAGTCCATCCACGCGACCCCTTTTTTCTCTTTTAGAGCTTCGTGACGTTCGGAAGTCCTGGTCGCCGGCGCCCTCGTGGCAAGGGCTGCCAAAGGCCTCAGCCGGCCAGCTGCTTCTTCACCACCCTCGTTTCATCATCGCTTCGTCTTTTTCGACCTTCGGCCATCGAGAAATCCTGTGCCTTTGATAGTTTTCGCGCGTTACTGGTTCCGGATCTTTCGTTTTCGCCAGATTCGCGCCGGTTCTTCATCACCCGCTGAATCCGGATCACCACTCCCTCGATCGCGCAATCACAACCGCCACGATGTCGAACGTTTTCTTCCCATACTCCAAGGCGCCTTTGCGCACCATCAAGGAGATCCAATTCGGTCTCTTCTCCCCGGAGGAGATCAAGCGCATGAGTGTGGTTGCTATCGAATACCCCGAGACAATGGTATGCGGTCACTGTTTTATCCGTTTATCCTTTTTTGCCCTCAAGCTATCTTGATCGAGATGCTAACATTGACGCGAAATCCAGGATGAAAGTCGTTCACGGCCACGAACCAAAGGCCCGAATGACCCGCGCCTCGGAACCATCAATCGCAAGTTCAATTGCGAAACTTGTGAAGAGGGCCCGAAAGAGTGTCCCGGACACTTCGGCCATATCGAGCTCGCAGCTCCCGTGTTCCACATTGGTAAGAGGCTTCGGACTATTCGACAGGGAAGTTTGAGCAAGGCTGATTGCTAACTCTTTGTCAGGTTTTGTGACCAAAATCAAGAAGTTACTCGAGACAGTGTGCCACAATTGTGGAATGATCAAGGCCAACAGGGTTAGTCATCCCTCGCCGGGATGACAAACATTTGAATGGCATGTTTTTGCTGACACTAAGAATAGTCTGATATGAAGTTCAAAGAAGCCCTCCGCATGCGAGATCCCAAGCGACGATTCGATCACATCTGGCGACTCTCCAAGGATGTCAACATTTGCGCAGCTGACCCTACTCCCGAAGACGATGACCATCCTGACGAGAAGGGCAAGGACAAGGATAAGGAAGTGTACCTCCACGGTGGCTGCGGTAATGCGCAGCCTACAGTTCGTCGCGAGGGAATCACACTTGTGGGCACATGGAAGCCTACCAAGGCCATGGAAGAAGAGGGCGCGCAGCCGGAAAAAAAGGTTATCACCCCTGCGATGGCGTTGATCATCTTCCGGAACATTTCTTACGAGGATGTTCGCGTCATGGGTTTGAGCAATGACTACTCCCGTCCCGAGTGGATGATCCTCACAGTTCTCCCCGTCCCGCCCCCGGCTGTCCGACCGAGTGTTCAAATGGGATCGAACGGCATGCAAAGCGAGGACGATCTGACTTACAAGCTGGCTGAAATTGTCCGCGCCAACCAGAATGTTCAACGCTGTGAGCAGGAGGGTGCCCCAGAGCATGTTACTCGTGAATTTGAGTCTCTACTGCAATACCACATCGCCACATACATGGACAATGACATTGCTGGACAACCGAAGGCCGTGCAGAAGAGCAACCGCCCCGTCAAGGCTTTGCGAAGCCGTCTCAAGGGCAAAGAAGGCCGCCTGCGACAGAACTTGATGGGTAAGCGTGTCGACTTTTCTGCCCGTACCGTTATCACTGGTGATCCCAATTTATCTCTCGATGAAGTTGGTGTACCCGTGAGCACAGCCAGGATCTTGACGTACCCGGAGGTGGTCACCCCGTACAACATTGAAAAGATGCAGGCTTTGGTATCGAATGGGCCTTTTGTTCACCCCGGTGCACGATACATCGTTCGAGACACGGGCGAGCGCATTGATCTTCGCAATTCCAAGCGCGCTATTTCCACGCAGCTTTATTACGGCTGGAAAGTGGAACGTCACCTTTTGGATGGCGATGTTATTCTGTTTAACCGTCAACCATCGCTTCACAAGGAATCAATGATGGCTCACAGGGTCCGTGTGATGCCTTACTCGACCTTCCGACTCAACCTGTCGGTTACCACTCCTTACAACGCCGATTTCGATGGTGACGAAATGAACTTGCACGTTCCACAGGGCGAAGAATCTCGCGCAGAGCTCACAGAGCTTGCTCTTGTTCCCAAGAACATTGTGTCTCCCCAGCGTAACGGCCCTCTCATGGGTATCGTGCAGGACACTCTGTGCGGCATTTACAAGATTTGCCGGCGGGACACTTTCCTTACAAAGGAACAAGTGATGAATATCTTGCTTTGGGTTCCCAACTGGGACGGCACTATGCCTCCACCTGCTATTTTGAAGCCTCGTCCTCGCTGGACCGGAAAGCAATTGATTAGCATGGCCTTCCCCGCAGGGCTCAACCTGATGCGTGTCGATAAGGACGGCTCCCCACGCTCCGAGAAATTTAGTCCTCTTAATGATGGCGGACTGCTGATTCATGGCGGCCAGCTGCTGTACGGCATGCTTTCTAAGAAGACAGTCGGTGCAAGTGGCGGCGGTGTCATCCACACCATCTTCAACGAGTGGGGCTGTGACGAGGCGGTGCGATTTTTCAATGGTGCGCAGACTATTGTCAACTACTGGCTACTCCACCACGGATTCAGTATCGGCATCGGTGACACGATTCCTGATCTTAACACCATTGAGAAAATTGAGGAAGCTGTTCGCGAGCGCAAAAACGAGGTCGAAGAGATCACTGCCAGTGCTACGGCGAACACTCTTGAGGCCTTGCCTGGTATGAACGTCCGTGAGACATTTGAGAGCAAGGTTTCTCGTGCGCTCAACAATGCCCGTGATGAGGCTGGTGCTGCAACCGAGAAGAGTTTGAAGGATTTGAATAACGCTATCCAAATGGCTCGATCTGGCTCCAAGGGATCTACTATCAACATTTCTCAAATGACCGCAGTTGTGGGACAACAATCAGTGGAAGGAAAGCGTATTCCATTTGGTTTCAAATACCGCACGCTGCCGCATTTCACCAAGGATGACTACTCTCCGGAATCCCGTGGCTTTGTGGAGAACTCTTATCTTCGTGGTCTTACCCCCACCGAGTTTTTCTTCCACGCCATGGCTGGTCGCGAAGGTCTGATTGATACTGCCGTGAAGACTGCCGAGACTGGTTATATCCAGCGTAAGCTGGTGAAAGCACTTGAAGAAGTTATGGTCAAGTATGACGGTACTGTTCGTAACTCCCTCGGCGACGTTATTCAGTTCATCTACGGAGAGGATGGTCTGGATGGCGCACATATCGAGAACCAGCGTGTCGATATTATCGTATGCTCTGATGAGAAAATGCGGGACCGCTTCCGTGTCGATGTGATGGATCCCGAGCATTCCCTTGGACCGGAGGTATTGATGCAATCCAGTGAGATCGCTGGTAACATGGACGTTCAACGGTACCTGGACGAAGAATGGGATGCTCTTATCGAGTCTCGGAACTTCCTTCGAACTGTGGCTAAGGGAGACGAAGAGATGATGCAACTGCCTATCAACGTCACGCGAATTCTGGAGTCGGCGCGAGCTACTTTCCGTATCCGCGAGGGTGCAATCAGTGACTTGCACCCTGCCGAAGTCATTCCTCAGGTGCAAGGCCTCCTTGATCGCCTCGTTGTCGTCCGCGGTGATGATGTTATTTCGCAAGAGGCCCAGTACAACGCTACCTTGCTGTTCAAGGCTCAGCTGCGCAGCCGTCTTGCTTTCAAACGACTGGTGACAGAATATTCGCTCAACAAACTTGCGTTCCAACACGTTCTCGGTTCCATCGAGAGCAAGTTCGCGCATGCGGCAGCTAATCCCGGTGAGATGGTTGGTGTTCTCGCTGCCCAGTCTATTGGTGAGCCCGCTACCCAGATGACACTGAACACATTCCACTTTGCTGGTGTCTCGTCCAAGAACGTCACTCTGGGTGTGCCTCGTCTCAAGGAAATTCTCAACGTGGCCACCAACATCAAGACACCGTCTATGACTGTCTACCAAGAGGGCGATAAGACGTACGATAAGGAGAGCTCCAAGCAGCTGCGCAGTGTTGTGGAGTACACTAGCCTGCGGTCTGTCACTGAGGCGACCGAAATCTACTACGATCCGGAAATCCAGACTACCGTCATTGAGAATGATCGGGATATGGTGGAGTCCTACTTCATTATTCCCGAAGACGCTGGTGACAATGCCTCCCTGCAGTCCAAGTGGCTACTCCGTATCATCCTGAGCCGTCCCAAGCTCCTCGACAAGGGTCTGACTGTGCAAGAAGTTGCCGCAAAGATCAAGCAGGCCTATCCCCGCGATATTGCCGTCATTTTCAGTGACAACAACGCTGATGAGCAAGTTATTCGTATCCGCCAAATTCAAGATCCTAAGGAGGAAGATGAAGACATTGAATACGATGTGACTCTGAAGAAGTTGGAACAACATCTGCTGGATACTTTGACTCTTCGCGGCGTTCCTGGCGTTGAGCGTGCCTTCATCAACGAGAAGAGCAAGGTCCGCGTCCAGGACGATGGTACTCTTTACACCAGCAAATCAGATCCTCTCTGCAAGGAGTGGGTTCTCGAGACCAGCGGCTCTTCGCTTGCGCCAGTCCTTGCCCTGCCAGGCGTTGACGCTACCCGGACCTACTCCAACCAGTTCATCGAGATTTTCGAAGTGTTCGGTATTGAAGCTGCACGTACCGCCGTGCTTCGAGAATTGACTCAGGTGCTGGCCTTCGACGGTTCCTATGTCAACCACCGACACTTGGCCCTCCTGGTCGATGTCATGACTGCCCGAGGCTACCTGACTCCGGTTACTCGTCACGGTATCAACCGTGCCGATAACGGCGCGCTGATGCGTTGCTCTTTTGAAGAAACCGTGGAGATTCTTCTGGAGGCTGCTGCGTTTGGAGAACTTGATGACTGCCGTGGCGTGTCAGAGAATTTGATTCTTGGACAGATGGCCCCCGCTGGAACGGGAGAGTTTGATGTTTATGTGGATCAGACTTTGCTCAACACAGTTGTATCCAGCAAAGCTCGCTTCGGGGTTGCTGGAGAAAAGGATATGCTCATGTCTGACGGAGCTGCCACTCAGTATGATAGCGCCTCGCCTATGGCGAGCACGCCTTACCTGGTGGAAGGAGATGCGGATGCAAGTTTCTCTCCCATTCGACAAGCTGGTTCAGAGTCTCCTGGTTTCACCAGTTACCAGCCATCCGATCCTCTCAGTGGATTTAGCCCTGCGGCTCGCAGTCCTGGAGGTTACTCCCCCAGCAGTCCATTCAACACCAGCCCCACATCCCCAGGCTTTTCTCCGTCGTCCAGCTATTCGCCCACGTCGCCTGCGATGGGTTTGACCTCTCCTGGGTTCGCCATGACCTCTCCTGGATTCTCTCCCGCCAGCCCATCTTTCCAGCCGACCTCTCCGGCGTACTCGCCTACTTCGCCCTACGGCCAGTCGCCCACTTCGCCGTCGTATTCGCCTACGTCTCCGGGTTTCTCGCCGACGTCGCCCAACTACAGCCCGACGTCGCCCACTTTCGCTAGTCCGACTTCGCCTGGTTTTAGCCCGACGTCCCCTAGCTACAGCCCTACCAGCCCTACCATCGGTCGTGCTGGTCAACAATTCTCACCTACATCGCCTACTTCTCCCAAGTTTACTCCTGCTTCGCCTGGATGGTCTCCAACGAGTCCAAACCACTACTCGCCGACGTCTCCTCGCTTCCCTGGCTCGCCGGGCTATAGCCCAACTTCCCCCAAGTACAGTCCATCGTGAGTTCTGCATCCTGAAATGACCAGTGTTTCGAAGTTGTTTAACAGTCTATTAGATCCCCTCGCCAATGAGTGTCGGTCAGGCAAGGCACGCCCATGCAGGGTGATTCTATCCTTGTACCACCATCAAAATACCCACATAAACCACAAAAAGAACCATCTTGCACTTGAGATCTCGAACTCGGATGACCATTTTTTACGATTCGGGCAATTGCCCCTTCGATTGTATTTGTTGAGCAATTTTCTGCGAGCCTTTCGCACTTTCGCCGTGTTTCTGCCTCATTGAGATGCCCCCAGTTCCCGCCGTCAATTCGTTTCCAAAATTGCGAACGACATTTATTCTTAACTTTTTTCACGGCCCGAATGTTATCAAGGATATTGAGACCCTGTCTCTGTCTCCCAGCTGCGACCTAGCTCTTGTGCCTGGAACGTGGGGGACTGGGCGGTGTCTTGAAATTCCTTTGAGACATGTCATGGTTGCCCGTTTTCTTATTTTTCTTATTATTCTTATTTCTTTGCATGAAGAGCGCAATGGGGACTGTATTTGTTTCGAAGTTTTCCCGTTCTGTACACAGAAATTAGGGAATAAATATAAAAAAAGATTATTATTAAACACATCCCTTTTCGTAGATATTTTTGGTAGTGGCTGTTGAGTGTTCGGATGCTAATCCCTGGCGGTCCTCGAACTAGATTACTTGATGATACACTACTAGTTTACTTGCATGACAACTCGTTCGCGAAGTCATGTCTTTTAGCACTACACTAAATTAGTATAGTAAGCATCGATAGCCTCTGGATGCATAGAATGGGAAGCTATATTAATATACACACAAGAACTGTAAATACTTGGAAGTGGTACAAGAACCACTTCGAATGAATCTCCTAGAAAAATTTACAAAGGCTCGAAAAGGGTATGATCTACCTAAGAACAGTCGAACGAGCGCCAATTGGTAAATTGTGGTCAAGCGTCCTGTCTCAGTTCAAAGTGCGTATCGAAAATGTTTAGACTCCATGTCTGTCATGTCCTTGAAGCCATCCAAAATGGCCTTGGAGCTGATTTCTTCTCTAGTCCCATCCACAGCTTCAACTTGTCCGTCTCTACGTGCGTTCTCCCACCTCATGACAACGTATGCTAGAATGGAAAGCACAATAATCCCTGCGTAGCAGACTAATAATCCGGTGAGTGCAGAATAATATCGCGGGGCTTCGCGGGCGAAAAAGATGTTGGCACCGGCAACATTCCCAGCCGCGTACATTGTGAACCATATTCCATTTGCGAAAGCTCTCTTCGTGTGGCCTGCCACGTTAGTGGATAGAAGGTTCCAGGAAACAATGACCGGGGCCCCGATGATATACTGGAGCCAAGTGCAGCCGACAAGGGTCCAGCGGTGGTCAAGACTGGTAAACCGAATACCCAGCAGGCCACCAAAAGGAACAAGACTGACAACGGCGAGAACAATGCAGCGTGAGTTGGGGACATATGTCGCCACAATTCCACAAATCGGAACTATAGCGGCTTCGAAAGCTCCGGTAGGTAGCTGAAGAAGAGTTGCGTAGATTCCACTGAATCCGAACCCTTTAATCAAGGAGGAGGCAAAGTTCGACACGCCGCCGTTGATCACACCGCACGCGATGCCAATGCACGCACAGCAGAGAACCTTCACGTCGTAGACATTTTCGATCGCTTGGCTCAGTTTGATTTTGCGTGTTTTCACACCGATCATGTTCTCTGCCACCCGGCGGACAGCAACGACCCGTTGACGATGCGTCAAAAACCGCGCGGAGCTGGGGGAATCCGGCATGACTGCCAGAAACACACCACCACAGACGAAGTTGAGTAGACCGATCGTCAGGAAGATCAGCTGCCAGCTATGGAGGTTTGTGTTGTGAGAGTGACCGAGACCGAATCCCAAGAGAGCCCCGACCATAGTTGCCATTCCGTTGGCACTCAGCCAGATCGCCATCCGCAAGGGCTGTTCAGAACGCTTGTAGAACATGGACGTAATAACCATCACTAGAAAAATTAGCCTTGCTGTCACGTTCATTCGAGACCATGACACTCACTGCAAGGACTGACCCCTGCTTCTGCCATACCAAGAAGAAATCGAAGAACTAAAATTCCCGCGTAGTTCTTTGCTCCGATATGGGCAACTACAAGGACACTCCAAGTCAAAAGCATGCCGCCCATGTACTTGGCGACAGGTAGCTTCTGGATCAAGAGGTTGGCAGGAATGGCCCAGAAGAGATATCCAAAATTGAAGATGGCTGCCACCCAGGAGTATCTCTGACCCTCGAGTCCGAGGTCTGGAATCAGCGTATAGGCTGATGCATAGTTGAGAGACAGCTTGTCTATATGGAATGCCGAGTGTGAGCTGCAGCCAGGCCGTGTGAATAAAAGGGAGACATGGGGTACCATACCTAGGAACTGGATCACGTATGTGACATAGAGCTGGAGTAGAAGACCGGCGGTCAGAAAATCACTCGTACAGATGAAGGTGGTATCGACAGACAATTGGCATAATCCTCCAGTCGAGGATACGGAGCACCTTGGCCCCCTCTTGCTCCAGTTCTTCGGCGGACAACTGCTCGGCCTCCACATATAGATTGGCGCCGATATCGTGGACTTCTCCGAGTGCGAAATCCTTCTCCACAGTGGATGGATCCACTTTGGCCTTCTTCAGCTCCATCATGACGACCAGGTGGGCTTCTTAGGGTTGGCGTGTAGATGCTGGGATGTCTCCTCCCCTGCACCAACTGCCCGGCTTAAATACCTCGATCGAACACTGAGCCGTTATCACTCGCCAAGCAGATAACTTGTCTTCTCCTCATCTCGATGCTGGCTTATCCCTCCTCAGCGATAGGCGGACTGCTGGCGGCTGCTGGTCGGTTGGTGGTGGAGAAGAGCGGACAATACTCCGCCGCCTCCGCTTTCCATTTATCAATTCCGGCAATCGTGAGGACTTGCTTCTTTGAAGTGATCTCTCTCATCGATGTGCAATCTATAAATCACGGCCGCGTTCCCCACATTTTACTCAAGTCAAATGCAGAATCACAACATGACCTCACCACGGCCCGATCTAGACTTCAGCCTGCTCGATGCGAGCATTCTAGAGCTCCAAAATGCACTCTCCTCCGGAGTACTCACTAGCGTGGACTTAACCGCGCGGTATCTACGACGAATCAGTGTCTATGATGCCAATGGACTGAAGCTCAGCGCCGTCCCCATTCTCAATCCAGCAGTCTTGGACGAGGCAGCAGCCTCAGATGCCAGACGAGCCCAAGGACTTCCGCAACGACCGCTAGAAGGAATTCCGTTCCTAGTAAAAGACAACATCAAAGTGAAAGGAATGGTCATCGCAAATGGGTCACCTGCATTTGAGAAGCTCATTGCCAACGAAGACGCGGCATGCGTGCAGATTCTCCGCAATGCAGGCGCAGTCCTCATCGGCCGAACAAACATGCCTGCGATGGCGTACGGAGGAATGCAACGCGGAGTTTGGGGACGCGCAGAGAGCCCCTATAACGGCGATTATCTGGCAGCGGCCTATGCTTCGGGCTCGTCGAATGGTTCTGCAGTTGCGACAAGTGCGAACTTGTGTGCATTCTCCCTGGGGACAGAGACTGTTTCCTCTGGCCGATCGCCCGCCTCGAACAATGCCATTGTCGCATATACGCCATCGAAGGGGTTGCTTCCTCTACGTGGCGTCTTTCCTCTTTATCCGACCTGCGATGTCTTAGTGCCACATACGAGAACGGTGGCTGATCTCTTCCACGTCCTGGACGTTTTGGCCGTCTCGGATCCGACCCCAACTGGCGACTTTTACAACGAACAATCAGTTGTCTCCATTCCGTCAATATCTTCTCTTCGACCACAATCATTCTCAACGTTAGGAGATGTATCGTCACTCAAAGGAAAGCGCATTGGAGTACCGTCGATGTACATCGGAGGCGATGACGCCTCGGTTCTTCCACTCAGCAAAGTCAACACCCGCCCTTCTATCATCAAATTGTGGAAGAAAGCACGCCAAGTGCTGGAAGCATGTGGAGCTGAGGTGGTCGAGACTGATTTCCCCTTGGTGACAAAATACGAGTCGAACGCATCGTCAGGCCAACTCGTTACTGTCTCGAATCTCCCAGAGGGATGGGCTGCCAAGGAGCGATGTGAGGTGGTGTCGCATGCATGGGATGAGTTCGTCGCTTCAAACGGACAGGAAGATCTCCTGTCTCTAACTCGTGTGGACCCTGCCACAATCTTCCCTCTTGCACCCGGTTCACTTCTCGGTACGCCTGAGGCAGCAAATAAACCTCGCTGGGGTGAGATCGTTGAGTACCCACGTACCAAGCCTGCTTCGATTTTGGAGATCCCTGGGATGAAGCAAGCAATCAAAGCACTCGAGGACGCTCGGAAGGAAACCTTCGAACAGTGGATGGACAAATTCGGCTTGGATGCGGTGGTATTCCCAGCCAACGGTGATATCGGTGCTGCGAACGCCGATGTCGATAAAGATGCGTCTAATTTTGCCTGGAGCAATGGGGTGAAGTATTCAAATGGCAATCGGCCAATTCGTCACCTCGGTGTGCCAACCATTTCTGTGCCCATGGGAATCATGGAGGATACAAAGATGCCAGTGAATCTCACGTTTGCTGGGAAAGCATACGAAGACAACAGCCTTTTAGGCTATGGCTACGCTTTCGAGGCTGCTACGAAGGCTCGCATCAAGCCGTCTCTTACCCCGGCTCTTGACACAGATCATATTTCCAGTGGCACTAAGTCTCAGACGTCTCTGACTCAAAACCGAATGGAGCTGAATGTGAAGTCCAAGTCAAAAGATATCAGGGACTCAAAGGTCCTCGTTCAGGTTACGGGGACTACAAGCCTTCCAGTGAGACATATTTCTTGCTATGTGAATGGAGATCCTTGTGATATTAGTACTATTGAAGGTGGCAAATGGTCACTTGCCACTTCATACCCAGCGTCTGAACGAGACGATCAGTGGAAGCCCTGGGCGAGCCCAGCATTGAAGCAAACAATTGTGACTGTGGTGGCATACTCTGATGACGGGTGTACAGATGGCAAGCTGATCCTGCTGTGATTTAGACAGAAATGTATAAGATGTCACTTGAAATCATTTCATTCTCTCATGTATAGGTATCTTTAATATATTACAAGTCGTATGCCATCCCAGTTTCGTAGTCGTCTGGGACCTCCTCATATTGGACGAAGCCTCCATACATGACATCTTCAATCATACCCAGGATTGCGCGGTGGAGATGCTTATTCTTAAGCTGTTGTAAGTGTGATTCGGCCTCTTCCAGGGCAAGAGTCTGATCTCCTGTGGATTGACCAGTATGCCATAGAATCTTGTGATGCAAGAACTCGAAAACCTTCGAATATGGTATCGCATCTTCCCATCGGTCTGCAAAGCCCTTCAGGTTTTTAGTGCATGCTTCGATGGCTTCTGGTGAGTCGTATGTCCGGCATCTTTGGCGCAGACTAGGACTGTCCAGGATAGGCCGCGTCGCCCAGATTAAATAAAGGAGCATAACTCCGGCCCGGAACTGGAAGACAAGCTATCAAATGTCAGAATGGAGAAAACGCCTAGAATGGTTGAGGGTAGTACTTACCGCAGACCAAGTGAAGCACATCACGTGTCCTTCTTCCTGGAATTGGCGGAATTTGAGACACACTTCGACAATGGCAGAGAAAATCTCATCGGTTCCTTCCTGATCAAGGAAATTGCGTTTTTCTTCCATCAAGATCAAGATGCTATAATCGTACAATTTTGTCATCCAGTTGGGATGGCAATAACCGCAAGAGACCTTATCAGTTCCATAGCGAGGGATGTCCTGCCTCCAAAGATCCAAAGCCAGTTTGAGAGAAGAACAAAAAGCGTCTTTTTCTTCAGAGAACTGCCATCGAGAGCTTTCTAGTGACCTCCTGATATTTGTTTGAATCTTTCGAAGTCGGAACAGATGGCTTATGGCGGGGTGTGTTTGGGTCGGCGGTTGGACCGAGTCTCCAAGCTCGAATAACTAATAAATGTGTTAGCAAATTGCAGAATAGGACTGTGGGCGTGTTACGAACATCATCATCAACGGCTTGGTATGCCGCAGATACGGGTCGGTCCCACCCAGAGGCCACAATCTCATTGAGCATATAACAAGTGATGAACATGTTCTCTAATGAAGCCTCGCCGGAGGAGTCGATAGCTCCATCCTCTTGATTGGCCCGCATATACTTTCGCATTTCGGTCACTGCAGTGATACAGAATGGCATTATCGAAGAGACACTCGTGGAAATCTCCTCTGAGGATGGACAATGCAAGGCATAGACAATGAGAAGCAGAGATGCCTGAATTTGCAGGACCATTGATGTATGACCCACGACGTGCGGATAGTAGTTCATTGCAGATGCGTAGAGTTCCTTTGAGCGAGTCAGGTGCGCAGGGTCTCGGTGCATGGTGCTGCAGAGCAATGCACCAATGGCATATACCATTCGCAAAAAGAAGTACCTCCACTCTTCTCGATCTTGTAATGTTCCCTCCTTGTGCCAGGTTTTCCAGGTGGTCTCGTTGAGGAAGGGCCATTCGCGGTGGGCAATCGAGAAATAGATATTTGTGTAGAGCCCCGTGAGCCACGGAGTATCGTCTCCGAGAATTGGGTACGCCGAATCCTTGTTGAGACGGAAAAAGTCGAGATTGTCGTAGTTTAGATTGGAGAAAAGATTGGCGAAGTCTGCAGAAGGGAGAGGTGATTGACAAGGTAAGTCTGCTTCAAATAGTACCAAGGCTCCATCTCCAACGGCACCTGTCGTATAGTCTTCCATTTCTGCCTGGGGATTTGTCTGGACACTTGCATCGCGCAACTCGACGTGAGCGCCCGCGGTGCGTGGCGAATCTTCCAACTCCGCCACCCGTCTTTCGAGTTCCTTCAGGTACGCGACCGGGACGGTGATGCTATCCCCGGACCTGCGAGACCTTGCCGGAAGACACTCGGCACTTTTACGGCGACATTCGCCACAGGTGGGCTTTGCATGGTCGCATTTCCGCTTCAAGCGGAAGCAGCGAGCGCAGGCAATCTCTCTCTGCTTGAATGGGCGCGACATGAGAAGTGCAAAGGGAAGAATGCGGGGGCGGAGCGGAGAACGATTGATAGTTGATATTGATAAGAAGGTTCTCGGGTAGGCGGCTACAATTGTAATTGGATACCATCGAAAGCAGATAACCCCCGGCACATCGCCTCGCAGACATCCCCGACTCCGGCACGTCCTCATTCTCCCGCATGTCTCGCCCAATCCTCACTATCGAATCCACTTTCCGGTCGAAGTATCGAGGCCGATCATCTTCGGGCTGATATTGAGCATCTTCAGCATACACTCCATCGTGAACTCCTGACGCGAAAAAGTGTTAGCGTAGGCCTATAATGGCTTAATTGAAGACATTCCCCCTGTCGTACCTCTTCTTCTCCCTCGTTTTCCTCGATTACATTGTCTTTGCCACCCGAATAGCCCGGCTGGTCACCTTCTTCATTCTCGTCTTCGCGATTGTGATTCTCGTTCTCGAAATCCCATCGGGACGTGTCTAGCCTGCTGCGCGCCCTCCAAGCTGCCAGACCACCCATAGCCTTGACTCGCTCCTGGGCCCCTGTAAAGACCTCGTCGGCTGCATCCTGACTGACGAGTCGCCACTTGAGGATTAAGGCTTCCAGCTCGGCATCCTTGGTCGAGGATTCGATCCGATGAGCCTGGCTTGCATTGTCGAGTTCCGTACGTAATGAGGCCAGTCGCGACTGCAGCCTCCGCTGCTGCTTTTGCAAGTTGAATATCTCCGTGTCGCCCTGAGGGGATTGTGCCGGTGTCGAGAGTCCGGTGCGTCGAGGAGTAGACTTGCGTAGATGGCCAACAAAAGAAGCATCCGGGGAAGATGCACCTGCAATTGAATCTGCACGGAATACCAGGCGCGTCGGAACGGGACCCGCACTCTCCTCGTCATTGAGGGGGTCAGCTGCCTCTGGCGTTCGAGGAGTGGGCTGAGGCAAGTCCTGGTCGACGGCCAACGGCTTGCGAAACGGGGACTTGAAGGGTTTCGAAAGCGCGGAAGCTAAGTCGAGGCGACGACGTTTAACGGGAGGGCGATCACTGCTCATTGTGATGGAGAAAATGAAATACGAGGCACGAGGCTGCAAGTTGAATAAACGGGACAAGGGAAGAAGGGAAGGATGGATGGAGATGGAGAGCGGTGGAGGCCTGAACCTTGAGGCCGTCAATTAAACGTGTCCGATGCCGTAAGGAAAGTAAAACTATCTACAGCCGAAAAATGGCATAAAATACAGAATCGTCAATGTCCGACGCCTCCGGCCACCCATTGTGGGAATTCCGGATCGCCAGGGCGTGGGAAGAAACCGCGGTCGTTGGCATTCCCATTGTTCGCGTTCTCATTACCTGGGTTCGCAGCGTTCTGGTTTTGTCGGTTGCGTTGCTGCTGCTGTCGGATATAGACTAGCACCAGAAGAGTCGCCGCCAATCCAACAATCAGAAGGCCTTCAAGCATTCCCTCATCGATATCGAATTCAAGGTCATCGTAGTACCCGTCTTCATGCTCCCCATCCAGGCCGCGCGATCCGATGAAGTCATCATCGTCCTCCCGACCCTCGTATAGTGCATCGTAATACTGTGCTTCGTTCTCAATAAAGGCCGCAACCCACTCTCTAAAGGTCCGACGTGGCCTAACATCTATCGGGAAAGGATAAATGTCAGTAACCGACCCTCAACAATTAGTATACCGGGTTTGCTTACCTTCGTCATCACGGATGGGGTTGATATCACCGTTTGTGATGCGATTCCAGTAACCCCGAACTCTCAATTTCAACAAACTCAGCTTGACGGGAAGATACGCCTCGCTGTTGGTTTCAAGTGCGAGATCGTAGTATCGCTTAGCCATGTGGAAGTCCTGTTGTACAGCAACTCCATTCTCGTGCATCCAACCCAGGTCCCAGTATGCCTGTGCGCTGCGATGGGCCTCGGCGGCATTGTGGTAGCATGCCGAGGCCTTTTCGGGGTCGGCCACAGTGCCCATACCGGCCAAGTAATAGTCACCCATCTTGATGAGAGAATCAATGTTTGCTTGTTTGGACGATCTGGTCCAATAGATCAATGCCAGCTCTGGATTGTGTAGCAAAGGGGATCGAGCCTTCTTCGTCCACGGCAGAAAGGCATCAAGGGAGAACAAGGAGCGCTGCTCATCCAGAAGGTATGCCACATTGGCTTGCGCATATTCGTACCCCTGCTCTGCAGCTAGTAACGCGGGAACGAGAGCGGCCTCATGGTCACCCGTTTCGTATGCTGTATTTGACTCTTCAAAAGCCGAGTGAATGACCTCGGCCTTCTCTGCGACGAGTTTATAATAAGCTGCAGCTACACCACAGTGCGGCTGTCGGCCGACACCGAAGTGAGCCATTTCCGCAAGGTAATAGTATGCTTCCATCCATCCCCAGCGAGCCGCAAGCTCGAAGTACCGAGTGGCCGTGGCTACATCTCCTTGGTCCAAGAACAGGGCACCAAGCCTTGTCTCTGCTGCTGGAAAGTCCTGATCGGCGGCTTCTTTGAAGTACAAAGACGCTTTGTACGCATCTTGGGGGACTCCGTAACCATGGAGATACATCAAACCCATCTGGTGTTGGCAAAGGGCATCTCCGTTATCCACTCCGCGCCGGAACCAGGTGAGCGCAGTACCATAGTTCTGCTCAACACCCTCGCCTCGAAGATAAATGAGGCCGATATATCCTGCCGTCTTGGCAGCCAGCTTGTCAAGTCCGGCCGGGGGATTGGGGCTGATAGACCCATCCTTGGCCCAGTATTTCTTCGCAACAATCTTGAAGTACTTCATCGCGCGTTTGAAGTTACGAGGAAGATCACGGGCTCCCTCGTAGTTCATCTTTCCTAGTGTGAAAGTTGCTTTCAGCTCGCCCTTGCGGGACATGAGATCGAGATATTCCAAAAGATCCTCGATGCTGGCTTCGGCCGTGGAGTGGGCACTGTCGCGCGCATTGAATCCAGAGCTCGAGAAACTGGCGCCTTCTCCGTAGACACCACCATCCTTTTCTGCCCAGCGATAAGAGTCTCTTGTCATGGCGTGGCCGCCGGGGGGTCCTGACCGATAGTAGCTGATCGCCTTGTCGGCCACCTTCTTGTAATAACGGATCGCTTCGTTGCAGTTCTTGGGTGTACCGATCCCTGTGTGGTAGCGATACGCCAGAGTCATTTCGGATCGTGTGTTTCCTCCTTCGGCCGCGAATTCGTGGTACATCAAAGCTTTCGCCTGGTCGCGTTCGACCGCGTTGCCAATGCCTGTCGCATACATGAATCCAACCATGGACTGAGCAGTACTGTTCCCGTTCAGCCATGCTAGATTATTGTACCATTGGAATGCCTCACTGAAATTGCGCGGGTGGGTGAAGTTGCCGTGGAAGTTCATTTCCGCCAGGAGAAACATCGCGTCCGGATCCTCATCAAGTTCCGCAGCAGCCTTGAGCTCATCCACTGCACGAGCAACATTCGGTCTGATTTTGTGATCAACCTTGTCGGAGGCAGGCCCATTCAGGAAGAGCAATCGAAATGCTTCGCGGCCGTAGTGTAGGGTGTAGCCGATCAGGCCGTTCGGTTGGTTAACGTGTAGGGCTGCCGGTTTCTCGGCTCGTAGGATATCCCAAGCATGTTGAACTAACTCTGCGATCGAAAAGCGTTAGACGCGCTGATGCTATGAAACCCCTCGCGCGACAGGACTGGATTGAAACTCACGACTGACCGGCCGGGGCTTTCGCTCCGGGGGTGTGAATGCAAACTGTTGATTGTCGGCGTTTCCTAGAGCGGCGGCCGATAGGCCATCATTGCCGGGGGCCGGGGTTGACCCTACTGCGCATGTGGATAATAGCACTGGGAAGAGGAGTCAGCGAGCTGTCGGGGTTCCGGAGTTGGAGCCTGGGAGGCATACGTAGGGCCGGCAGAAAGCAAGGGAACGGCGTCCTCATGATGCCTGCGATATGTGAAAGGAGATCAGGAGTGAGAATCGCATCGCGACTCGTGAAAGGGTGCGAGTCGGAGAAGGTCAGCGAGCATCAGTGATGTAGTTTCAACGGGCCACTTGGCTAAACGGAGCTTCATTTTGCCGAGGGCGAATCACCGCTCCGAATGTATACCTCCTTGGCACAACGAATTGTGAGCTTACCCTAGCATCTTTGTTCTCGTTCTTTTTTTAAATTCTACACGGGCTTAAGTGGGATGGGCTTCAATATTATTTTTATGTGAGAATGAAGTCAGTCGACGGAGACCTACTACCTGAACTGCTAGTACACGGTACTAGTAGGAGACTCGACACCAGCATGCGATGGCGATGTCGAAAAAGAAGCAAGCTGAAGCCATTTTACAGCACCCAAGTCATGTGTAAGGCAGACAATCAATTTATTATCGGCACAGCATGGCTGATTTTCTTCCACGTGTTGCTGTTGCCATCAAAGCAATTTCTCCAATACACCAAAAAGACTTGCCCCGGTCCGCAATTGTATCCAGCAATGTCCTCTTCAGCAACGCCCGGAGGCAGACCATTCTCAGGCCTGAATATTCCATACTTACATATACGAGCTTCTTCAGGAATCGTAGCCATATGTGAGCCGGTGTGCCTTCCCAGCGCTAGGCTATAGCTCTCTTCAATCTTCATCAAGCTCTCGGCCAGTTGGGCGACAGGCGTGCACTTGAAGAACCCTTGCATTGGTGGCGCCTGTCGCAACAACTTCAGGGCCTTCCTTCTAAGTAATGGATCGCGGCATTTGAGTCCTGTGAGAAAGAGCGGAATACCGACACCCATTTCGAAGGTGAAAGGCGGCTGGGCACTAGTTGGCCCAGCCGTGGCAGCAAGGGCTAACACGGCCTGCTCGACAATCGTCCTGAATCTCTCGATATGGTAGTCGTATACAAGTTCCCTTTGGGTTAGACACTCAGAGACGTAGATAAATGAGGCTGCATAGTATGTCAAAAGCACAGGCTCAGCGTTAAGGGGCACTGAGGATCCAGGGTAGACTCCATGGCACATGTTGATGTATGCCCGATGCCAACAAGTGAGCTTGTTCAAAAGAGACTGTTGTCGGTATATCATATCTTTGCTCGCAGCAGAGTCGCCTCCAACCGCCGTGAGGTGTTCTTGTGCTTCCCGCTCGAGCAGTTGAGCTTCGGTGGAGAGAACCGTGATGGATAACCGTGCCGCGTCGACGGATTGGAATGCGCTGAGTTCCTCTATCTCCGCGGGCCTGTAAAGCCCATTCGCTTGAACGCCCGATATTGTGAGAGAAATTGCGCCCAGTCGCAAAAACAGAGGGATAATGGTCTCCTCTAGGAGAGCAGCTTTACTAGCGGAAACTCGCCCATGACCAACTTGAGCGCGCAAGTCAAAGACCAGGCTCACGCCTTGTCGGTAGAGCTGGAGGGCTTCTTCCACCCGTCCCTGCATAGTCTCTATACAGATGAAGAGAATACAGCTGATGAGCGCAATGTAAGGGTCGGCGCCTCTCCTGTCGAACTGAGATTGGATACTCGAAATTGATCGTGAGTACCAAACCAAAGCCTCCTGTTGGACTTGAGTGAGGGACCTTGGTTGTTGACGTTGATTTCTCAAGTAGGTGAAATCTAGGCATTGGTCTGGATATTCAAAAAGAGCACTGATTGCGATCATTGCATCCCACACCGCAGGCTCACTTCGGCAGATTTGTGGAACGACGGTCGTCCAGAAGTCAATACTCATGCCACTAGCAAGCTGTGTTGACGCATACTGAAAATAATATTCAAATGCTCGGCGTTCTCGGCGGCCTGAATTTGGCGATAGTGACAGCATGTCGCTGGGAATCAGAGCCGACGGGGTAAAGGGACCCGTAGATGGTGTCTCGTCTTCATAGTCGCATTTTCGTCCAGTAGTGGAGCAGCGAAGACAACTAGGCTTTTCCTCGCCACATTTCACTTTCCGAATTCTGCCAGCGGTTAGCAGGGGGTGCGTAAAGACATCTGGAGAGGAAAGCGTACTTGCAGGTTTTGCAGCCGGTGCGAGATTTGGGAGCCCCAATACGGCGACTGGTGGGGATTTCAGTACCCATGCCTAGATCGAATCATATCCTCAATCCATCAGTATGGGCCCATTGGGTTATCGAGGGTGAGACGAACCTAGAGACGAGGCTGAACATGAAATTCGAACTGGCGGGGAACTGAGCGCGCATGCCTTGGTGCCTGAGGCGACAACAGATGAGGTCTGCGAGAGCCGAGGATACAGCTTGACTTATTGAAACTCTTACTACTTTGAAACGAGGAAACTGCGAAATAATAAGGTAGGGTTTAATCCGTTTGATAATCCGATAATCCTAGGAGCTACTGTGAGCGACTAAAAATAGCTGGGTTAGGACTGGATTCCTTCTCGATATCTATATGTTTGTTCTCCAGCACTTCCCCATTCATGAATCTTGACCATATATCCTTGAGATGCGACCCAACTCGATACAGATCTTGTTGAGTATCTTTTCCATTCAGCATCGGTGCTGATTTCCAGGTTTCCCACTTTCCAAGCACAAATGGAATGTCAATGCAGTGGCAAGCCCCAAGCGAGCTTGCTTGGGCCGACCACCCAAACGAATAAGTAGTTGATAAGCCTCCCGCATCAATTACCTGCTGCGAAAAGCATTGTGATGGCCACTTGAAGTAGCTTTGGGTGATGTACCATGTGCCCAGGGCCTCCAGAAATGGACCTAGGACAGGGAGCCCGAGCACATTCGATGGTCCCATCATACTAGCAAAAGGGCGACCATCATGAGCAGTCCATCCGATTAGGATCGGGATGTTCTTGGCTGCTTTCGCGACTTTCTTATCAAAATCTTCTTCTGCTGGCAATGGTTCAAATCCAAGGTTTGGAGCAAATAGCATAACTTGGTTCTGGACCGGGTCCAACAACAGGTTCTTTTGCAAAGTGAGCAATTCATCGACAGTCATTCCTCTAGGGTCTTTGGTCATAATTTCCTCTGCCTTTCTGGAGAGTAGGTGTCCTGTAGGTGTTCGCTCAACCAGCTCCCTTAGCGGTGGACTAAGTAAAATCGCGCGATGGAACAAGCCTGTCGTCTTTTCGGCAACCATCAGACAGATAATTGAATCAGCGCCTGCCGACTGGCCGACCATAGTCACATTCTGGGAGTTTCCACCAAAACATGATATGTGGTGTTGTATCCATTGAAGAGCAGCGCGCTGGTCGAGGAGTCCAAGATTGGCAGGAGCAATTCCTTCCAGTCGGAGATACCCGAACACACCGAGTCGGTAGGTGATATTGACGCAAACAATTCCTCTCTTGGCGAGATCGACGGGCTGGTAACAGTCTAGATCACCCCCACCGGAAATATAGGCCCCGCCATGTAACCAGACCATGACGGGAGCATCGTGGACATCTTTGGGTGCAGTGATGGAGAGGTGCAGGCAGGACTCATCTAACCGATGGCCCTTGGTCAAGGGGCCCATCACCGACTCCAATCGTGATGGAAGCTGGGGGCATATTGAGGCGGGCTCTGTGCAATCAAGGGTTTCATTCCAGACATCGGGAGGCTGAGGGGGTTCGAATCGTTGGGCTTTTGCGTAGGGAATCCCGCGTGCATGAACCAGACCATCGACAGTCAATGCCTCAACGGGCCCCGAGGACAACTCAATGATGGCTGTAGCCTTCATATCGGGCGAGGATTTCAATTCCGTTGCGTTCAAAGGAGATTCGAACTTTTCTCGTCTCCTTTATTCTCCACAAGTGTCGGATCATCCGATGGAGCTCGGATTTGGGGGTGGCTGGGGACGGCACGATCCGAGTGGAGGCGCGGTGGGGAAATGCAATTGAGGATCGACGCTCTAGCCGGAGGATATACTACATTACACTAGTGTACAATCAGGATGGACTGTGAACAGCTGATATGGTTAGATCCATCACTAATTATGTATTTCTGCATATGACATTAAATGAGTCGTATTGACACATGTTAATCAGCCTTTTGAGGTACTTGATCCGCAACTTGAGGCTAAATCACATCCTGGCAGAATAGCTCATATTACATATCCGCAAAAGGATTCCATCCACTTTCAACCATTGCCACTGTCCTTTTTGTGGCCTCATCGAGATCCTCCTTGGGCAGTGCGAGAGCTTCATTGGCCGATTTCGTGGCAGCAAAGTCGCTGGTGGGATTGGAGGCCAAAAACACACCTCCATACAATTTCTTGGCAAACCCAGTGAAATTTCCCTGGGAAAGGTCATTGGTGCCATCTGCAATGCGCTTCTCCACAGGCTCATAGGTGATCTCCCAGTCGGAGTCGGTGGTGCCTAGCACACGGTGAAGGCTGTCCAGCATGTCCCGTTGTGAGACACGGAAGCTACAGATCGGACAATCTTCGTTCTTATAATCGGCCAGCGACGGAGAGCTGCCCGACTCGGGAAGACTAACGAGTGCTGCCAGAGCGCGTCCACATTGATCCCATGAGCTGACAGTGATAGTGCGCTTGCCATCATCGAAGAAGGTGACTTTGCGATCCTTGATTGTAAAGCCGAACCACTGTTCGCCGATAGCCAGGCTCCATTCATACCAGAATCCACACGACAACTTAATGTATGACGAAACCCCATTTTTGGTGTCATTGACACGGTCCACAACCAACCTCGAATAAGATCCTTCCTCCCCCACATCGCCGGGGGCGAGTGGGTAGCCGTAGGCATTAGGCATGATATAGGACACACCGGCCTTGCCTGCAGCAGCACAAATTCGGCTATGAAGGTCGTCCGGGGCTCGAACTCCGAGAGTGATAGCAACAAATTGCTGTCCCTTTAAGGCCTTGATGATGGAAGCCTCGTCGTCATAGTTCACCTTCTCGACGTGGACACCGTCGGGGACTTTGCCCTTGCTATCTTCGCGAGTCAGAGCTGTGACGGTATGCTTGCCACCATCGACGAGGGCCTTGGCGAAGGCTCCTCCAATGCGCCCGGTGGCCTGGAGAATATCAGTCAACATTCCATTCAGAGATGCAGGCATCGCGGCCTTGGAAAGAAACTTACGCCAACAATTGCGACTTTCTGGATCGGCTGAGAAGACATTGAGAGAGTGTTCAGGGAAGAGTCCATGCGATTTTGCTTAGAGACACTATTGAATGCATATCAAGTGTTTCCTTTATATATCTCTTGCTGGTCGGCCTCGACGGAGTCAATGACGGAGAACGGTCTTAAGCCTCGGACTTAACAACGCGCTAATCGCGATGCCATTTGGGGTCCACCCAGCGCGCTAACCGCCGCACGTATTCCAATGCCTAGCATTCGATCAAAGCTAGTTCCACGCCTGACTGGAGTGCGATTGTCCTAAACCATAAAAGTAATTGAACAAAAGCCTCCTCAGTGCCTTTGACGGTCCGTCGGCGATCCTTCGGGTCCGCTGCAAAAACTCCGAGTCCGAGAGTCCGAGTTGGGGGCCTCGGAGATAAGTACTCGTAATGTTCATGCAATGCACCAGTGACCGTCGCAAAAATGACAGAAAAACGTAGTGATTCTTTGACCTCTTCCGTAAGCTTGAGGGTGATCTCATAGACGCTACCCAAAAGGAGCATTCGGTCGGAGGACGAGCTTCTACTAAGAAGAAAGGATAGCGGAACGTGAACAAAGGCCAATTAGTCTATTATTGTTGCTGATTGGGCATTAAAGAAGCCTGGGATATTGTCAAAGGAAGCATTGATTGAACAGTTTCAATATATGAAACATGTCAAACTAGCCGTGCTCAATGCCTTTGTTGCTAGTCATACTCTGTCCCAGCAACATGATCTATATATACCTCGAGCCTAGTTGGGCTTAGGTCTCAATATTCATTCACTTCGGCCAATCTGAGCCATCACCTACCTGAGGTAAAGCTTCATCGTTCAGGTGGGATTCAACGTTCAAACAAATAACAGGTACCTGGCTAACTACAATTGAGACAGTGACCTCATCATGAGTACTCGCTGTTATGTTAACGTCCACTTGCCCGAGGAGGTCCTTCAGTTCAGCGACAAACTTTTACTCGAGAGAATCCGGATATGCGTTCTTCGCTTCCGATACTTTTGTACTCTCTCCTGGAGCCCTGAGAATGTTTACGAGCCTTACTCCCTATCGGTCTTAGTCTACAACCCACTCTACTTAGAGTCTTTAGAGGACCACTCTGATTTAGTTTTCGATAGGGCCTTTGACAAAGTCGAGCAGTGGATTCGTGAGCTCTCCCGCAAAGGACTTCCCTTTTCTCGAGAAGGGAATTTTCATAACGAGGAGGCATACCTCCACGGTCCTAAGGCCCCTATTATAAAGACACTTGTTCATCAAAGAAGAGTATTCGAACCAGCACAAACAGTTGATGGGATTGACCCTTGGGCTGGATTAATCTTCCTCGATGTTCAGTGGCTTTTTTGGACCATTTGTTCCCTCTTCTTGCTTAGTATTTTCACTCTTGTTTACTACGCATACAAGATTGTTTCCCCTTACGTTGCTCCATTAGTATACTTGGTGTGTCACTACGATGGATTGTAGCCGAATTGTGACTGACTCTACCAAGAGAGTCATTGGGAAGCTTGAGTAAGCCAGAATACAGGTAAATGCTGGGTCGTACACTTTCATGAAGGCACTCAGTGACTACAATATCAGATTCAATGGAGGTGAGAGTAGGAAAGACTTGTGGCAACATGAAATGATCATACACAGGACGAAATATCTTGCAGCACTAACAGACAGGTAAAATTAGGATGAAAATGATAGCTCCAGGATACTAAAACGAGCCAAAATCTAGACAGATCAAAATACTAGTGAGTTCAAGTGTATGAAAAATCGTAGTGTTGTGACAACAACACCCCATATTTTAACACTTGGAGATGGTGTTTAGATACAGGTTACCAGTATCCTTTCAGGAATTTTTCAGGAATCTACTGAATAGCGTGCTGAACTTTCATTCATTGTCTCCTACCCTACTGTAGTATTCAGCCATCATATATACACGTTACATATCGCATAACTTTGAACATATTGTAAGCACGATAATATCGAATTCAAAATATCAGATCATCAGTCTATAATTTCGTAGAATTCCTTTGTCGAGACTCGGTGTCAACATTTTCATTCCATATTTGATCCCACCAGCACAGAAAGATCATGAACCAAAGCACAGCTGAGTCAAATCAGGCTTTCTCGATATACTGATGAAAGATTTGACCAATGCTCTTAGCACTCTTCTTTGGAATACGCTTCTGGTCATTCTCGTAGTCAACATAGGTCACGCCAAAGCGAGTCTCGTAGCCCTCCGCCCATTCGAAGTTACTGCAGTCACGAGTCAGCATTTGGCCTGCAAAAAGGCATGGAAGGGATATATACTCCATCAGACTCCAGGCCATGTAAGCCCGTACATTCACACCGTCCAGGGTATATGCGTCTGCCATAGCACCGATATAGTCACGGAAATATTGCACGCGGAATTCATCGTCCAGCAACTCCTCCAGGGGCATGTCGTTCTCGCCCAGCACACTGGTCCCATTCTCAGTGACGTAGATCTTGGGGTATCCATACCGTTCACTCAACCACTTAAGGAGTTTCCGGAATCCAATCGCACAAGGGCGTAGCCAGGGCGACTGCGTAATTGGTCCGATGCTTTTACCGTTTTTGTCTTCAAGGAGCAGTTCCAAGTTACCCGCGATATCGTGGAGCTCTGGCTCGCCCGTTTTCGCCCGAATGTAGTTCGCACAGTAGTGGTTCATTCCGTAGAAGTCGTTGCTGCCTTTCACCAAGGCAATGTCCTCCTCGGTCCAACTGGGCAATCGGTCTCCCAACTGCTTGATCATGCTATCGGGGTACTTGCCGTGATAAATGGGGTCGGCGAACCAGGAAATGGCAAATTCGATCTTGCGATCGCAAGCTTCAATATCGGCCGAGTTCTCGGGGTCCCAGGGCTCGGCCCAATCGCCTGTTTCCTTGTCAATTCTGGCCCAGCTAAAGAAAGGAGTGTGCGGCACAACCATTCAATGTGATGCCAATCTCGCCTCCATCTCGTGGCTTGAATTCATCTCGATAGATCTTGACGGCTTTGCCGTGAGCCACGAGAATACTGTGTCCCACGATCCACGGCTCCGTTGAACCATCTCCGACAGGGCTCTTCAATCGGTCGCTTGTATGGCCTGGAGCGAAAGAGCCAAGATTATATCCCAGCACACTGCTGCACCAGGGCTCATTAAAGGTGATCCAGTGCTTGACTTTGGATCCGAACGCTGTGAATACAAGTCGGGCATAGCGTGCGAAGTCAGCAACAAATTCTTCTTTGTTCAAAAACCCGCCATATCGCTTGTTGAGTTCGTCCGGAAGATCCCAGTGGAAAAGAGTCACCATTGGAGTGATTCCTGCCGCATGAAGATCATCAACAAATTTCAGATAGAACTGTAGACCTTTCTCATTGATGGGGTCATTGCGACCTCCAAGAGGGATGATTCGAGACCTATTCATTCTATCAATATAAGAAGGATTCAACGTTAGGATGTCAATTTTATAGAAGCTTAGGTACGAACCATGAAATCGAAAACCGATAGGCTTTGGCACCGCAGGTTTTCAACAAGGCGATATCCTCGTGGGTTCGATGATACGAGTCGCACGCAATCTCGCCCGACCCGCCACCCGCAATCTTGCCAGGAATCTTGCAAAAGCTATCCCAAATCGACGGACCACGACCATCCTCGTTGGTAGCGCCTTCGATCTGGTAGGCGGCCGTCGCAAATCCCCAGACAAAGTCGGACGGCAGAGTAGAATGAACAATTGATCCCATTTTGATTGCGGGAAACGCCAAAACAGCAACGTGCAAGATAGGCGATCAGCTAGTAGGGCTGCTCCCAGCGTATCGTCGTTTATATATCGATGGGACCATCTGGCAAGGTAATGAGGATGCTGGAGAACTTCCCTAATTGTGCTAGGAAACAACTCCGGGAGACCGGAGGAGAGGCCGCTCCCAGAGCGTCGGGCTGTGGAGCCGCACCGCGGCGTCTGAGTGGCTTGGAGGATTCCACGGGCTGGCCGGCCCGTTCACCGCAGGTCTACAAGTGCTTGATGCAGATAGATTCACTAGAAACAATGCTAATACATATTTAACCCTTGCCAAGCCCCAAACTCCGGAAGACTATGCGTGTCCGATTCGTTTCATGGTTTCATGATATCTCCATTCCATCGTCATCGCCATCCATCTCGGACAGCTCGTCGGCTGTAGACCCCAACCGCAGTCGTGAACCCTTCGAGTCGCGATCGCACTGGGGGTCTCCGCTGAACGTGCTCACCATTTCGAGCTCTGGCCCTGCAATGATACGACCCTCCGTGTCGACCACTTCGCACAGCTCGATCAGACTGTGATGGCTGAGCGACTTGAACCCGTCTGTCCGCACCACGCGACCCCAGTGTGTCAGGCAGAACTGTGCGGCTCGGCGCATCAGCCAATGCTCGTTGGTCCGCCCAGCACGCTCCCAGACAATCGCAGCATTTTCCACGTCAATTTCGCGACTCAGCCGATTCACGCAGAGCAGGCGCAACTTGGGCATGTCGTAAAGATTGGCCATGACCAGCATGCCCGCCACGTCGATCACCGTCGAGCAGTACTCCGGATGGCCCGCGATACTGTCCGTGTACAGGTAGTACAGAAATGCACGGACAACCGAGTACGGTTCGGGAATATGCATGCGTTTCGTATGGTATTCCGCCATCTGTGCCGAGTAGAGACGCTTGAAATGGGGCCAACGGAGTTGCAAAATGATTTTGTGGACATGGATGGGCGCCGAAGTAGACGAATTAGGCTCCACAAAAGTTGGCCTGGAGTCAGTGGGCGAGCCAGACGGTGTTTCGCCGGGGTCATTTGATATTAAAAAGTCGTGATCGTCACGGATCGCGGTGATGACAAAGTCAGCACCACTGCCCGACTCGGGAGTCTGATCGAACACGGCAGAGAGGTCAGACCCCAGTCCAGAAACAGGCGACTGTCCGGGTCGATCAGCTGGCCAAGGGGCATCTTGTTCGGGTGCTTCCGCCGAGAGCTCGTTGCCCAGCAGGCCGTACTTCTCCAGGTCGATTGAAAGCACTTCGCCCATGTGATTCTCGTCGCTTCCTCCTGGTGCATTCGCTATATCGAGGCTGCATCCCAAAAGCCATGCCTTAGTTCCCGCCTCATTGACCGTGCAATAATGCCACCTGTATCCAGGCCGGAAGATCTCTTGGCCGTCAGCGAGCCGCTGCCAGCGCAAGGAATTGAGTTCTAGGGCGGACAAGTTACAGTCATGCGACCGCACAGTCTCCGATGGAGTGATCAAGTCCAATAATACCCCCGACGCAAAGGATTGGAAATGGGTACCAGAAAACAAAGCGGGCACGTGCGGACCTGAATGGAATCGTAGACAGGAAATGGCGCCTGGGGCGAGTGGCTTACGGCGACCAAAACTGCGGACTTGTACACTGGCGGAATTGGCGGCGTAGATCCCCGACCGCGGAGACATTTGCTGAGAAGGACTAGAGATGGAGTCTGGAAGATGAGCCAGAGTGATCCGTGTATCCGGGGTGTCCACGGTACCTTGGGAAGAAGTGATGCCGGCCAGCGATGGGGAGCCTTTGAGGTCGAGCCACCAGATGTCGGTTGTTCGCTCCATATTGGGACCCAATCCACCGAAAATCCAGAGACGATTACCCCAGACCCAGGCCGTATGATCGAATCGGGCAGTGAAGCTCCATGTACGTGACCAAGTCCAGGTTTGTAGATCCAGGTAGGTGAGGTCGTCCAAAATCACGTTGTTCTCCCCGGTGACTCCGCCAACAATAAAGAGCTTGTCATCATGTATAACCGCAGCATGGCGTGCCCTCCCACGAGGGGCCGTTCCATGAATTTCGGGCATTGTCCAGGTGAAAGTTTGTAAATCGAGGATGACGATGTCTGATAGATAGTCGCGGTGTTCATTTTCGCCGCCGAATACAATCAGCTTGTCGCCTTGGTACAGGGTAGCGGTGTGTCCTAAGGGTGGAGAGTTTGTAAGTGAAGTGAGCTCAGGCAGTTTATGAGAGAGACCACTTTACCCATGCGCACGCCAGGAATATCTCCATAGTTATCGACCAATTCCCATCGCAAAGTATTGAGGTCCAATCGGAGCACATGGTTGTAGACTAGTTTTCTCAATTAGCACAGGCAGTGGTGGAGAGGCGAGCGGCAGAATTCCCTGCCTGGGCGAGTAACAAACCTTCGTCTGTATACTGGTCGAAGCCACCGAAGGCATATATGTGATCGTTATTGCAGTACGTCACCGAGGCATTGACCAGACATGCGGGGACATGACCCTGCGCTTTCTTCACACTGGGGCGGTAGTCGGCAGCCGAACGGCCTCCAGCGGGACTGGCCGGCAGCAGGTATGCGTCTTGCTGCTGCATCGAAAAAGCAGGAGAGCGAACTCTGCCAGGGGTGGTCGGATTGGAGGCTCTCGAAGATCCAGCCCAAGATGACGGAAGTCGTGCGGGTGGGTCAAGGTGGAACGGGGTGAGGTGGGGGGCGTCGTCGGGTTCGCCATCAGGCGGTGTCCGTGAGAAGAGGCACGAGTCGCCTCAAGTGAAGCAAGTGAATTGTTCGACTTTACGCTCAGGGTTATCCGGCCACATTGTGCCGCTTGCGCGAAATCTCGTCTTTTGTGAGGCAACTGGAAGAGCCACTACCGGAGGCGATCGACGCCCAAAGGGGAAGCCACCGGCATGTCATGTGCATCAAGCGCTAGTGCCCGATCAGGAATGGCGCACCCGTACCTGAGGTAACGGTTGCCGGGGCGAGCGTGCTCCATACTCAGACGGGCATTCTATTTATTCGCCATACTTCCTGCCATCCTTTTTTCCTCTCCATCTACCATCTTCCCTAAAACCCTCTCGCATCAGTTCCTCATAGCACTACTGCATTGATAACTTGGTGGCTGGTTCCACCTTATTTGCTTAATCCCTCCGCGAACAGAACCACGACCAGTCTCATCATGGCGACTGCTCAGGTGTCGACTCCTAAGAAGAGTCACCATGGGCTTTTCTCTTCGAGAACTGCAGGGTGCCGCATGCCCCTGACTCCGTCGCCTCACACTCGTGCCACCGCTGCAACTCCCCAGGCTTCCGATCAGTCGTCACCGTTCACTCCATCCCGTCCCGCCGATGCTGGGAGCGACAAGTCTAAGTCGGTCTACGGAGGCAACCTGTCTTCATACTTCTCTAAGCCGTCGGGTCCCAAGCCTGCGGTTCCCAAGCAGCCTGTCTCCAAGACATCACGAACTCACCGCGACTCCCCCAAGTCCAACATCGCTCGTCGATCCCGCAAGTCCCCCAAGCATCTGGAGCTTGGCGTGTCTGACTGGTCCTTGACTGGTACCGGTCCCTCATCTCAGACTCCCTCCAAAGAACGCACGCGCCGAGAGGTACCCACTCGCTCCCGCGCCGGAAAGACAACTGTTCGAATTCCCCATAACGCTGGAGACCGTTTTATTCCAAATCGGGCTGCCAGTGAGGGCCTTGCAACAAGCGGTGCGGCCAAGCCTGAGGAGGGCCAGCGTCCCAAGACCAGCGGCAACGAAGGATCTTCCGTTTTGGCCTCCGCTGCCAGCGCCTTCGACATTAACGGACGTGGATCCGAAGAGGACCTTACGGCTGCTCTTGAGAACATGGGCTTGGAGGACAACGAGCCATCCAACTACACCCGACCCGCCCCGGACGCCGTCGCATACGAGTCCTCTCTGGCAAACGCCTGTGGAGTGAACCTGAACACCCGTATTCTTGCCTTTAAGCCGCCGCCTCCTGAGTCGTCGAAGCCCATTGACCTCCGTGCTCAGTACAACCGCCCTCTTCGCCCTGCAAAGTCACAGTCTGCCCAATTCCGTCGCCGAGTTCAGACAGCCCCCGAGCGAGTCCTTGATGCTCCCGGTCTTCTGGATGACTACTATCTCAACTTGCTGGACTGGAGCTCTGGCAACCAGGTGGCCATCGGTCTGGAGCGTAATGTCTACGTTTGGTCGGCTGATACCGGCTCGGTCAGCTGCCTTCTGGAGACTGCCCCGGACACCTATGTTAGCAGTGTCAAATGGAGCGGCGATGGCGCCTACGTTGGCGTCGGTCTCGGCACTGGTGAGATACAGATCTGGGATGTCGAGGAGGGTTCGAAGCTTCGCAGCATGTACGGCCATGACTCTCGCGTGGGCGTTATGGGCTGGTCCAAGCACACCCTGTCTTCCGGTGCCCGCAGTGGTCTTGTTTTCAACCATGATGTCCGCGTTGCCCAACACAAGGTTGCCGAGCTGGTGTCTCATACCTCAGAGGTTTGCGGCCTTGAATGGCGTTCCGACGGCGCGCAGCTTGCTACCGGCGGCAACGACAACCTGGTTAACATCTGGGACGCTCGCTCTCTCAGCGCTCCCAAGTTTACCAAGACCAACCATCGTGCCGCCGTCAAGGCTCTCAGCTGGTGCCCCTGGCAATTGAACCTGCTGGCCACTGGCGGTGGCTCTTACGATCGTCACATCCATTTCTGGAACACCACCACCGGTGCTCGCACCAACAGCATCGACACTGGATCCCAAGTCACCAGCCTTCGATGGAGCAACCACTATCGCGAGATCGTCAGTTCCAGCGGCTTCCCCGACAACTCTCTCAGCATCTGGAGTTACCCAACCCTGGTGCGCAACGTTGAGATCCCTGCTCACGAAACTCGCGTCCTGCACAGCAGCCTCAGCCCGGACGGCCAGATGCTGGCTACCGCCGCGGCTGACGAGAGTTTGAAGTTCTGGAAGGTGTTCGAGCGCAAGCCCGGCAGCAGTGCTTCCGCTTCCCGTGAAGGCGGCGTCGGAAGCAAAGCCCAGCTGACCAAGTCGATGACTATCCGTTAAATTCAATCATTCGAAGACTCCCCTACTAACCTTTGGCTGTGTTGCGTGCTTTCCGAGCTCTATACCCCCGGTTCATGGTGATCTCTTGCATTGATGGGCTGGGACATGCATTTTGTTTTTCTCAGAAGGGTTTCATTTTAATTGGCGTAATTGGCGATTCTGGTGTTATGATTTATTGCCTTAAACCTCTTCGTGTACAAAATGCCAATTTTTACTCTCGTCATGAACAAATCGTCTCCAAATTGCTCGTAGTCTCTTCACCGTGGAGTTGCCTGGGTGAATCTAGACACCCCTTCCAACTTTTGGGCGGGCGGCTCTTTGATGACTCAGCACCCGGAACTGGAGGCATTTCGACCGCGGAGGATCGACTTTCACCTTTCTTTAACCCATCGGCCGAGCTCGCTTTCACCCTCACCTCTCACTTCCGTATCCCCGCCAATATCGTCTGGAAATCACTTCCAGCCCTCTTTCACCAGAATTTTCGCAACGAACAGGTTCACCCTACGCTATCGCGTGACTCCCGGAGGCGTGTTCGACCAGCGCTCCAACGGCCTCCCCCGTTGCGACGGAAGGCAACAACCACCCTCTGGTCGAGTAACCGATATCGCAGTACCAGCTCTCTTCAGCGCCCGTCTCATACCCGTTACCTTTCCAAAAATTAACCCCATCTGATCTGCGCCACCCCTATTCTCGCATCCCGCCGACATGTCCAACCAACAAGTGGTAAGTGCGAACCTGCGACAACATGATCTACATGGTCTCAGACCTGTCGCAGACTATTTATCCTTCCAGCTATTCTTGTTGTTCGATGGCTGATCTCTGTCTTCTTCACAGGGTACGGTGTTCGAGAAGGTGATCCAGGAAGTCTGCGACTCCTCTCAGGTCGACTTTGAAGAAAGTGGTGTAGACCAAAAGACGCTCCTTGATCTGCGCGAGGTAAATTATCTCCCCTTTGTTGTTCCTTCGGTGTATCTGGATGGTCTTGGTCGTCGTGGCCCAGAGTGGGCGGCCAAAAGCGGGGAGCCCCGAAGTGTGCGGGAGGCGGTGCTTATGGGGGAACACCGGCTTTTGAGGCTCCCTTTATACGTGGCCGCCGCTACCCGCTTCGGGGCTTAGGCCGCCAAGCCATCTTCTGTCCACCATCTTACTGTCTCTTTTTCCACGCCATCTTTGCTGACCCTTAATCTCACAGACCTGGCAGCAAAAGCTTTCCTCTGTTAACGTCGCCCATTTCCCCTGGGATCCCGCTCCTCAGCCCACTCCTCAAGCTCCTGTCCTCCCTCCTCAGGCTACTGTTCCGTCTAACGCCCCACGACCCCCTCCTCAACAACATGTGCAACAACAACATGTGCCTACCCCTGTCTCTCTTCCGCAGGCGCCTCCTGCCTCAGCCCCCATTCCTCAAGCCGCAGCAGCAATGGCTGGTCCTCGCATCAAGACCGAGCCTGGAACCAACGGACAAGGAGCAACGCCCAATTTGACCAACCCGATGGCTCCGAATGTACCTCCTCTTCACTCCGCCTCCGCACGAGAGCGGGCCATGAACAATGTCCTTCACAAGTACGGACCTGCTGCGGCTCAAACTGTGAGTCAGCTTCAGCAGCCTGGACAGACCTATCAACAGCAGATGCACGCTTCCAATGGCCAGATGCCGCAGATCAAGCAGGAGCCTGGATATCCACCCATGGGCCCTGGTCAAACTGATGGTGCCGATGACTCCCTGTCCGACTGGAAAACAGAAGTAGCCCGTCGCAGACAAGCTGCCCAAAATGGTGAAGGAGACCGGACTCTTAAGGCGCATCTCAAACAGCAGATGCTTGATCTCGAAGCCGGTGGTCTCCTTCAGCCCTCCACCGGATATTCGACCTCGATCATGAGTCGTGCAGCTCTCACCAACTCTTTTGGCCAAGATGACGTAGATGATCCGTCTTCGTCTGCCCCGAGAATGCCTGGCCAGACCGACGGCACTGATGACCTTAAGGTGGAGCCTAAGGAAGAAGCAGACGAAGACGCTATCAACTCCGACTTGGACGATCCCGACGACCTGGTTGCCGAAGATCACGACGCCGATGAAATGGAAGGTCAGGTCATGCTTTGCACCTATGATAAGGTCCAGCGAGTCAAGAACAAGTGGAAGTGCACTTTGAAGGACGGCATCTTGACTACTGGTGGCAAAGAGTCAGATATCCCTCTCCCATGACTCATTTTGGCCGAGCTCTTAACTAACGTGATATCTTTAGATACGTCTTCCACAAAGGCCAAGGAGAATTCGAGTGGTGATCGAAGCGATAGCCATCTGACTCATGTCTCACGTCCAAATCCGTTTTTTCACGACTTTTCTTGGCTGTAATATTTACAAGGCTTTTGCTCTTCTCCATTGAGTACTTAGGTACCAATAAAATCCAAGTGAGAGCCCTCGAATTTCTTCTTCCTTTTTCAGACGGTAGGTACCCAGCGTTACATTTTGATCCTTTCACGATTCTCTCCTCGCTCCCCTTTGCCCCAAAACAATATCAACCATTGGCGATACATTTCACGCCTTTCAATCTCGCGGCTCGAGCTCCAGATAGCTCATGACATTTTTTTTTACAAGTGATGACGGACGTCTTTCACGGCTTTCAATTTACGATGCCCCTGCTTATGAGAATGGCAAACCCAGCTAGGTCACCCAATATCGAATGCAATCTGCCCGTAAGACTTCTAAGGTCAGACGTAGAGGTCCAAATTACATTGCAGCGTACGGAAGGTTATAGCGGCCAATGCTCACTTTCCAATTTCAAGAGGGCATGATGCCTGAAATTTAGAAGCTTATACCTCAAGCTGATCCCCCTGCATAACAGCCATCAAAGCAGTCGCCCCAAAGAGTCTTCTGAACGATCTGAGCAGTCACCTACCTGCCTGATAATATTGCCTCTCTTAAACTTGTGCGGGCGATGAAGCTTCAACAAGCGTTCTGAATATGAAGGCTTTTCGTAGTTCTAGTAGCTTTTCGTATGTCGGTTGGATGAGCCATGAATCGAAAACATGACCTGGCATCAACATGGGCAAAAAGAAAAGGAGTGAGCTTTGGCCTTTATAACCCGCCGTACGAGTGTCTTAAAGTTGATAATGTAAAATATGAGAGAAGGTAGCAATCAAATAAAGAAGATAAAAAGTCAAAAGTGTATAAACCGTATCTACAAGATCCGACGCCAGAGAACCGCACTTTTGTAGCTTCACTTTCACGCCTTGTCCGAGCCACAGCCCATCGAAGTCACAGAGAAGATAGGGAATGACCAGGTCCTTGAAAGAGTGTGTTGAAAGTCCTTTTGATCAATCATTGCCACGGACCATGCGTGGAATTCCGAATCCTATTATTCGGAACCCATTCACATTCTCTTTGGAATTTTGCCGAGTGCATCTGAGTGGAGCCCTCAAAGGTCCATCCAGTTGTCCCAAGGCTTGCTTCCCTTATTCCAGTACCCTCTGGTCGACAAGTAATAGACGAAATCAGAAACATAGTGAATCCGATCGTAAAACCGTTGGAATAAAATAAACACGAAGCAAAAAGCCAACCCATACAGAACGCAGAATAACATGCAAGCCGTTTCGAAAACAAACCACAAAGAGCAGAACAGAACAGTATGAACACATTCCCCTTGTTCCATTACTGCCTCAAAGCCCAGCAAGTCAGATGGAGCAAAAACATAACCACGATCTTCTAGACAGATCTGCTGAGGTGCTGATCACTCAGGTAAGTCTATTACCAGGCCCGGCGGTAGTGCAGATTACCGGAAGTGGCGAGGGATATCGAGCAAAAAAAAAAAAAAACCAAAACCAATGCGAGAAACGTTAGGTGGCAGCAAAAGCCAAATTGTGAGCAGGGCATCCCAGACAAGAAAAATTTCCAACGAAAATCCAAAAAAAGATCAAGCTTCAAAACTCCAAAGTCACCGGGCGAGTCATGTCATCATGTGGGAGCGTAGAAAACCCCGAAAGACCGTCGAGATTCATTCGCATAATAGCTGGGTATTATGTTATGGACAAGGAAAGGGGCTTTCACAGGAGGCCTTCTTCGCCAATTCCTGGGAGACCAGCTCCAGCAACATTGATGTTCTGTCCCTGCATGACCCCACCGCCGAGATTCAGGTTGCGACCGGCCGCAAGCTGGAAGTCGGGGTTGCATGGTGGAGAGTGCGATTTGTGATATTTCAACCCGTTGAGGTTCTTATATCGCTTGCCGCATACTTCGCATCGGTATGGCTTCTCCTTCTCCATACCCAGAGTACCAGGATATGGGGTTGATGTCTCCGGGTTGACAATCGAGAAGGTACCATCGGCATTGTCGTGTAGTTGTTGATTATTATGACCATGCTGTAGGAGGATGCCATTAGCTTGTGTTCAAAACAATCTGGAGTTGTTTATAAAGGTGGATGGACTCACAGCCTTGTGGTATTTGAGGCCATTCTGGTTCTTGTAGGCCTTCTCACATCCGATGACAGGGCAACGGAACGGCTTCGGTTCCTCGTTCGGGAGGATTGAGGTAGTATCTGGAACGCCAGCCAGAAGCTGTTGTTCGCGGATCCGGCGCGCGATATCGCTGTTGGGGCCATACTGAGCTCCACTGAGCTTGAAGTGAGCGTTCGGCGTCCCCATGCCTCCGCTGGGACTGAACAGCCGCTTAGCGGGCTCGTCGATGCACAAATCGACCATATCATTATTTCCAGTGAACCGTCCGAATTGCCCCTGGTTCTGACCCATGTTATTCTGCATGGTGAGGTCGCCGAATCCGCCCACCACACTCTCGTCGATTTCCGCCGGGGTTCCAGGTGCCGAGGAATCGGGGGTATTTCGAAATTGCGAAGTCTGAAGAGGGTTGGCCATTAAAGTCGGGGTATTGACGGAGGAGACGGTTGGATTATTCTGTAGGGAGAGCGGACGTCCAGATCCGATCGGCGTGCCAGGTTGGGAGGGCGTGTTGAAGCCCTGATGGCTTGGAAGCATGCCCAGATTTAATTGCGAAACCTGGTTGGAGTTGCCGAATCCGCCCTGGCCACCTTCACGTAACTGAGGGGAGAAGAGCTGCGAGGTTGTGCCATCGCCGTCACCCATAGGCTCGTCCAACTCCATGTCATCAATCGTGTCGAGATCCGCGTGCTGGGATGGCGACGGATTCTGGCCCATTTTACGCTGCATATCCAGAGTTCGGTCGGGCTGCAAGCTGCGCCCTTGGCTGCCATGTTGCTGGCTCTGTTGCTGTGCGATCGCCGCGGCGGCCAAAGCAGCCCGGTTCTCACCCTGGCTCGGGCGATGTCCTTGGTTGGGCGACTTGGTCGCATGGGCTTCTTCGTAGTGCTGTAATAGGTCATGGAGCGTCGGTAACGTCACACCGCAGCACGAAAAGTCCCGCATGAAGTTGGCCTCCAGCTTCGGCAGATATGACGAGGAATGGAAGGAAGGTGACTGGAAGGTAAAAGGCGAGGTGCCGGTCATAATGATACTGTGTGGAAATTTCCTGGTCAGTTTGCGATGCTGTGCAACAGCTATGAGGCGCACAGGTTTTCCCCGCGGCCTCATGAGGGAACACTTTTTTTCCGACGACTCACTCATCGCGTATCCAACTCCCGACAGACACACCACCCCAGCTCATGCCGCCCACCAGGCTACCTGCAAGCGATTCGCGTCGACCCTTGTCGCGGTTGGACCCCGACATTGAAATGGGCTTCGTCCCGTTCCCCCATTGTGCCGTAGCAGCGCCGATGGAGTCCTTGCGAGGCGGCGGCGCCTTGAACACCCCGAGCCCTCCGCTTGGATGATGCGATATACTACCCGTACGCTCACCCGTGCCGGCTTTCTGCAGTGCCGAGGTGAGATTCGATGCCTGCTGCCCCGGTGGTGAGACCGAGGTCGAGTTGCGAGTGGCGATGTCGATAGGAGCGGCGCCCGTCATCGTGATAAGGTGACGTGACCGTCAAATAAACCGAAGGAGGGGAGAGAAAGAAGGAAAAGTAGCAAGGCTCGGAAAAGAAGGGAAATGAAGGTGCAGGCCAACGGGGCCTGTCCTAGACAAAAAGTTGTCGGAATTTTGGGATTCCCTTTTGTCAGCGCGAGAGGGGCACGCCAAACCCGAGGGGTTGTTGGAGGTGAAAGTGACAAGAAACGGGAATCCCGCGTTGAAGCGTGATCAAGGTCCCCGGGGGAGTTTAAGAAGATGAGAATGCGACAGAGGACGTGCGATATGAATGCCCCTCGATGGATGTGGACTTTTGGGTGGATGGCGGTTTTGGGCGGGTTCGAGGAGTCCACCCTCGGATGATGTCCCGCTCTGGTTTGGGCCCAGCGGAACGCGGTGCCAGAGGTCGAGTGGCGATGGCTCGACCTTAGATTTATTTTTTTTAAGGAACAAGCGCAATCCAGATCAGTTCGAATATGTTAGAGAAGAGCACAGAAACGCTCAGCTTGCACGCGAGGCAGGATCTCAAGGGGAAGGCAGGAGGGTGTCGAGTCGTCGAGGGGACTATCCAAGAGGCCACCCTTCCGCTTTGGGGATGGCGTGGTTACGGTATTACGCTACACGTGATGAGGCGCAAACGAGCCCGGATCCCGCAGGTACCCTCAATATACCTCTAGGCAGGGTGTCTTCATCTTGAAACAATTTACTACTGTACATGCATGCTACCCCATCAGGTATACCCCGTATTAGATCTCACGACAGAAACCGGGGACATTGCCCCTGGCCGGGAGTGCAACGATAAGATCGCGGAATGCGTCGATGACGGGTTGGGGTTGTCCGATCGCGCTCCCACGATGACAGTCACCGCTTGCAGTCCAGGGACGTCATGATCGGTCATTACGGTACGAGCCTGAAACTCTGGGCCCGACACTAGCGTATCGATGACTAACGGGGCTTGGCCGAGTGCATGCTTTGACTTGCTCTGCTCGCTGCAACCCTCATGATGAACCACGAGGGATTGCTCCTCTGATCAGTGGAACACCGCCAGCGCCTGCACCTTTCATATTCGCCGACGGGAGAGGATTTTCATTAAGAATTTCCGTTCTTGCCGCTGCTGGGCCTGCGGGTGGAGCAACTGGCTCACATACCGATTATGGATCTCTCGCGACCGTGGTTCTTTGTGCAGAGGCCGGTTATCTCCACTGCTCCCTTCTGCCGATACGCTCAATGTGGCAGGTGTCGATGGCCCATCCATTTGATAGCTGTACCTTGAACGTACAAGCTGCAGGGCCAGATCGCAGCTTGAGCACGGAGTAGATCTGGGGTTATGCAAGGGGCAAGCTGATCGTGGTGGCAGATTTCGTTCAGCCGAGGCGATGGTCTCCGGAGCTTGTCCGACGCCGTTCGTTCTCTGTCGTTCAACAGCGTCCTCTGTCTTCCGGTCTTTTTCCGCTCCTGCGAGGATAGCTGGATACTACGTACTCTTCCAGACACCTCCATGGAGGAGGTACGGTATGAACCGTGACTGCATACGGTATCTCCGTACTCTGGATGATACACGACTTGGCGCCTATATTGCCCCTCAAGCCCCAGCGATCGGCCTAGCGATATCCAACGTGGCGACCCCCCAAAGTTACAAGGTATCATAAGTCGGGAAACAACGGGTCTTGGCTTTGGCGCTAGAAACACGGCAGAAGCATTCGGTCAGCCTTCGATCAATTAGCGGCATCCGGAGTCCACGCCTTACCGATGGTACAAACACACCGCCCCAGTTTGGACCCTCGGAGGGGCTGGAGGGGCTCTGCTTGCTGACTCGGAGTTCTGATCGCCCCTGATCTCCCCTGTCGACCTTCCACGTAGCTACGGAATATCTACTCCGGACTTCGTGGCCCGATCCGCTCCCTCGCCGAACAATCCTCGGCTAACCCCTGCCGATGGGCGGAAAACGAGGTCTACTAACCGGCAGTGTCACCTTGTCCTAAAACAAGGCGGCTTGCCGCGCGGTTTCCCCACGGAAAATATTCGGTCTTTTTCGTTTAGGCAATGTGGATGTTTCACCTCGGGCGACATGACCGTGGAGATCCCTTGCCACTGGCTGGAGACAACAGCCATCCAGTGCAGATCGACTTCGGTAGCAACCTTCTGCTGGCTTAAAGTTGCCCGAACTGGGAGAATGATTAATCTATTGCGGGACTTGCCATGGACAGTTTCCACGTTTAGCTACGATAGCCCTCCGTAGTCACGCCAGATCGCCCTCCATTGATTTCGTATTAATTAGAGACTGCTATCGATCAACTATGTATTATTCAACGCTGAAGGAAACAGCCCCCAGAAGATCTGTAGGTTATGCCGGGGAATTTTGCTACCTAATATCCAATAGTCTGTTTCGAACCGCTTGATCTAACGGTCGCTGTTTCCGACTATTGTGCCGATGCGAACCCCGTGCCTTAGAATTGTGTATAGTCTTCGGAGTGGAGAACACTTCCATGTGATATAGCGGCGATCGCTGTTTCAATAATTACAGTCGTCCCATCGCTGATTCTTACCTGGATAGGTTTTGTCGCCTACCTGAAGAGCAATTTAGTGTTGAAACCAATGCCCTTGAAATGACTCCCTGTCAATCCTCTCTTTCCTGCAATGAATGCCCAGGACTTCAAATATCATGAGTATGTATGAATCTAAAGGTAAAACTAGACTTCCTGTGCTCTATAGAATCGACTATATCGCCCTATATTCACATCTACAATTGTCAAGTTGGCTTGATCAATATTCAATTTTTTTATGTCGATGTAGCGTGGGAAAGCGCATTGTTCCTTGGTGCTCTTAACCGTGGTCGTTAGTTCTCAAGCCATGAATAGGCGGAAGGTTATCTTCGACGATGACTCCTCCGTACCTAAGTTAGACCTTGTGAGTCAACATTATGTTTCCTAGAGGGGCTGTGAGACTTTCAGGATTACTGATGCTTGTGGCAAATAGAGTTCGCGTGATTGTTCAAGTATCGCTCGAATGTGCATCATCTGGCCCCGAAAGTTTCATGGTGTCTCCTTCACGAATCTCAATATAGGAGCGTAGTAATTGTAAACCCTCAAGATGCCTGTTTCAAGCTAGGAAGGTTATGAGCCATTTTTACTACATTTTCCTCTATTACCAAGCCTTTTACATGCTCATAAATTTCATTTCTTGGCTCTGTGTTCATTTCGTCTTGCTTTCTGCTATGGGTCTGTGGAAGAGGTGCAATTTTACATTATCACACAACAATCGTAGGAAATCAAATATTAAAGATTCGGAGTGCCGCTCCTATCCTTCAGCATGGAAAGCTTTCAAATTTGCAGATAAAGACTCCATGGAATCTGAGGATTAAGATCTATTTTAATGCACCAACAAATTCCAAGCCTTGCACAAGCATTGGATGGACTAGTTCTAGGTTGTCAAACTTTATTCTCGAGGTTTTCACAAATAGCGGGGAACATACTGTTATGCTGCAGATTTCAATAGTCTTTTGTATCGGGCACATCATGTCAGGATATTCAGGTTATCTCACGGATGCTAGTGTCAGAAACGTGATTATATTGTTTCGCATTAATGCCTGTTCTCCGTGGATGTCGAAAACAAGGTAATCTAAACTATCCTGCTTCCAGCCTGCCAAGAAGCTTCCTTGTATAATTCTCTATCGTTTTACTGCGAGCGGGATCCCAACTTTTCCAAAACAAATTTTCTCGGGGTTACAGGTAAGACATGCCCAAGGATGTGCCTTTTGCGTGAGCTTTTCCTCAGCCGGAGCATATTTTCAATTACCCAAGCCTAATTCGAACGAAAATGAAGAGACTACAGATCCTTTAGCCGACAGTTTTGATTTAAGAATTATCTTCGCGTGTTTGGGATGTTCGAATGCTAGTCCACTTGTACCTAAGTCGGTGTCAAGACCGGCTGTCATCCCATATATAATGTTCTGGGATGCATAGCTTACCAAATTGAGTGTTTGCCAGTCTTCTTGAAATGCAAGTGAAAACATGAGAGCTGAGCATAGTCATCTCCTTGAAAATGAGGAAAAACTATAGCATAAAGAGAGAAGTGAGAAGGAAAAGAATACTATGTGAGCGTAGGTAGCAGCCAACTGAGACGCACAGCCAAAGGATTCATTTTGGAGGTTGATGTTTCCACACCTCATTCATCTCAGGCCACACCCCTGCCATGGCTTTGATGGTCTTGATAACTGCCAGGTTCATTTTCCAATCAAGTATCGGGTCAGCTACCTAGAAACCTACGTGATCAGCTGTTTGGATAGCTATTTTGCAGAGTGATGCGCCATGCAAAATGGTTGGGATCGGGTTAGAATAACATTGGCTCCGCCTCGGAGCAGAAATTTTATTTTTCCACTCGCATATCCAGGACACATAAACTCAAGAATTAGCAGATACCTGAAAGTTCAGGGAGGGGGGTGTGGCTGTATCATTTCATTTCATTTTCTGGTCTTCTCCAAGGGCAGCTAAAACGATTCGGGGCTCCTAGACATGGTCCTTAATATACCATTTTTTTCTGATTGTAAAAAATGTTCCCCGCATCTGATAGCCTAATGCTTCATCGCCGACCCAAAAATGCTTGGATGTGGGACCCTACCAATGAGCTGAAATATAGGCGACTCTCCCCGCACCCGTTCCAAGCCACGCATTTCGCCGCGAAAAAGATAGGATATAATGAAACGAGTACTATCCGGGCGCCGAATCTCCCCGATCTCCAATTATCACTATTTCTCCAATTCCTTAAAAGTTGTCGTTTCCCCGCACCTAGACTGGGACGTCGCTTGGAGCTCGGGTATCGTTCGGGTCTTTGCGGGGATGTGCGGAGGCATGACTGCAGGGATCTAGAGTGGTGTCCGTGAGCATATGGGAAGCTTTAGTGTTTATGGCCAAGCATTTTGAAGCTTATTAGTGTTTTTTGGACAGGGTGCGCGGGGTAACAGTATTGACTTCCGAGCGACTGTTTATAAACTTCCTAGATAGGTATCATGTTGCAATTGGTTGCGACATGGAAGTGAACCACAATGTATCATCACACATGGCATGAACCCACTCTATCTTCATACCCAAAGTCTAGAATACGCTCATCCAGTATTAGTATACGTGTGGACAGTGCTGAGTGACATTGTAGTATATAGTTCGATGTAGAATTGAAATGTTCCCTGCAAATCGATCCGATTCTTTCCACGGCTCAAGATAGGTTTTGTATATCAGGGTAGGTCGGCTGGCCATATCGCAGCGATCGTACCTGTCTAGCTATCGAATCTTGAGGTTCATTTAGAAGACGGTCTCCGTTTATTCACAACGTTTATTTGCATAGTCATAAATTGGTTCGTGCTATCCTAGCTAATCGCAGCTCATCTATCCGGTATTTATGATGTGTCAATGTTACTGTACATTTGCAGTAGAGACAATTTATGGACTCAGACTTTGCTGACTTCGTCGACGATGAGGCTTTCATCCGATCAGAGTCGGATAAGAAATATATTAGTGAACTCTGAAGATTTGTCATGGAAACAAACCCATTCCGCATCGAATCGGAGCCTAGGGCCATCCATCTGATCCCGGCATTTGAATCCCTTTCCCTTGATTCATCAACAAGCCCACGGATTTTTGTAGAAGCTACTGGTTGACAATTTTACCCGCCGGCTCATCTCAATCGGCACTCAACATTCTGGATAACTATTATTGAAACAATGCATCTACACGATCAAAATCCTGCCAATGTAGCACGCGTCATAGTCATGGACAACCGACCATGTGACAAAAGGGTCGGAGAATTTCATTGGGTATAGCGATCGAGTAATGCACCCAATAGCTCACCGAAATGTAGATAGGTAAGCATTGCACATCATCCCTCCAGATCTTCACCGGCGATGCGGGGTGGAGACGAGAAAGGGGCCAGATGGATTATTGATGAGGGGGAGACGGGGAACCCCATCACCGACATTCTTCCTCACCGGGGGACCAACACAGCCGTTTCAAAAGTACACGAGAGATAACCCTGGTCGCGTGGACCAATGTCGTAGGGAGTGCGCTGAACGTGTACATCGCCACAGTCGAATGCAGATGGCCAGTCGAAAAAAGGGGTGGCCTGAGAGGAAGCCCATCCTGGGAGAATTGTCAACGGGGGGGCTTGGCAACATTGGCAAAGGCGCCCAAAAAGGGATTCTGGAGATCTTCAGAGTGCACGGCTGACCTACCCTGTGCAGTTGTGCAACTGTGGAACACCATGCATGCCTGCGATCCGCGATAAGCGGTATCCCCCAGCCTCAGTTTGATCACCTCCACGGTGTATATCACAGGCTTGGCTGATCATCATCGACACTTGGCGGTACTTGGCAGGCATTTGAGATGGAACCTCCCTCGCATCAGGGGCTTACTATTGTCTGGGCATTGACGATAGGGAGGGGCAGTGCTAGAATATTCGTTAGGGTATGCTTGTCTAAGCGATCGCTTGGTCGTAGGCACCTTGGTAGGAGGAAGGATATATGTGGATGAACAAATTGGATTGTATTCTTGCCCTCTGGGCTTGGTATGTAGTCCGGAAAATGAGATAAACGCTGGTTCAAAATAGACCAGATCAGATAGCGCCACTAAACACCCCCTGTTGCTTTTCCACCTTCGACCAGAGGTGGCCTCGTTCTCGAGGTGTGCCTTGTCCTTGTCGTCTGGGTTGAACCGACCGTGCGGTCAATGAGATGAGGGGACTGCTAGATACAATGAAAGAAATGAAATGAATCGGTCGCTGATATCATGGTAAGACATTGCGTGAATCGAAAGGGACGAAGTTAGGCTAGCGAATCAATCACTGGGAAGATCGTCTGGATGTGTGGCCTAGGTAGAGGAAGCCGTTGGGCAATGTGGCAGCAACATCGTCGAATCGAGAATCATCTGACGAAGCAGAAGAAGTGCTGTTAGAGCGGTGGATGGAAGACTCAAAGTCAGAGTTCTTCTCGTTGGAATCGGTCAGGACCTGCTCATCATAGGCACGAGGGTCCGGACCAGACTCGGTGGGCGACAAGACAAGGAACTTCTTGCTTGGATCGTAAGGGGCCGAGCTAGCGGCAGAGAGGACGAGGAAGTTGCGAGGAGGAGGAATGGAGTGCATTTTGAAATGAATTGTTTTGTGTGTGGGTGAGGAAATTGCGGGATGGCTCGTTTCGGTACTTTGGTGTAGACAGAGCTGCGGGATTGTAGAGTCAACTTTGGAGAAAGTTCGGGATAGCTTGAATCTTTCTGATGAAACGGGTGGAATCGGTCAGACTTTATAATCCACGAGACGGACCAAGGGACCTTGGAGAATGAGGGGCACGATATCAAGGTGAGCGCCATTGGCGTCGATCCAGCGCATCGCTCGTCTCAGCCGGAGGCAAGTGGATACCCGATGGTCATGCAGGCCAGCCCTCCCCCGCGATTGTCGCCCATAATAGAGAATCCCAAACATACCGGACACTCACATGTCTTGGCTCCGCAAAGAAAGGGGGCCTTCCCTTGAAGCCAAGACGTCACTATTGAATTTCCAATTCTTCAACTTCGCCTCTCTTGGCTGTGGAATTTCGGTCGCACCTGGCGGTGATCGGTCTGGGACCAGCCATTCCTCCTCCGCCATGGCGAATATTGGCAAGTATGCACGACAGCTTTCGCCAGGTCAGCGAGATCAATGGCCGAATTGCGCAATTCTTTCCGAGAGGAAGGCAGGCGGACCCTACGCGACCCCGTTGCCAGCCGACAGCCAAAGAGAGCCCCCAGAGAGAACCTCGGAAGATCCGCAGCCAGGAGGGGCCAAGACCTCTGGGCGTGCGAGGGCTGTGGATTTTCACAGGCTGCGCTGCCTGGCAACCCACCACTTTACCTGTAGCGGGTTCTACATTTCCAATTTGTGCTGTCCGGAAAACCTCTGGGTCTCCCCTACCTCCAGGGCGTCTGGGAGGGTGCTGGCGGGGAGTGCGGCCCTCGCACAGCCTCCAGTCCCCGTTATCGACCGCTTGCTCCGATCATCCCGATTGCGTCCGTTGACGGCTCCGATTTGTTTTCTCCTTGCTCGTAGGGCGGCGTAATTCATTGCTGTTTGTAGCCACAGAAACGTGCCATTACATCATGGCTGGCCGAGAATGATTCGCGACGTGAAGAAGATCGTCTTTTACCGAGCCCCCGATTGACTCGGCTGCTTGTTTAGCAAATGTGGGGGGACTGGCGTTGCGAACATGTGAGGAGGTCTGGGCTTGGGTCGATCATTCTGAGACGGTCCGTTTGGTGTTTGATGTGTCACAGGCCGAGCAGAGTGCAGAGAGAGCCCGAGTTGAAACCATCCAGGCCGGGCTTGGCTGTTTCTGCACAGGCAGAAGGCGCGGCTTTGTTTGGTGTGGGGGGGGTAGGAATATGCATTCCTCAAAAGCGCAGCTGTAGAAACCATGAGCCGTCACGTGGTGTTTCCGGTCTGCGAGCACAGACTGGATCCATCGGGCTTCCTCTGACTTCCTATTTTGACCATCCCACGCTGTGCTTGCAAAACCAACAGCGCCAAAATCCGGTGGTTGACAATGCAAGTTGGGCGACTCTCTTCTTTGGCGCCGTCGTGACGTTCGGGGAGTCGATCTCCCGGCGCCAGGAGCCTCATCTTCAGAAGCGAATGAGCGAGGCGCCTAAGCACTGCCAGTTTTTTCTCTTCTTACCACCAGTCGTGTTAGCCTGGCGCGGACCTCATTGGATGGGAATGAATGTTCTGGTTCTTCGGTGGAAGCCATAATGCATGCTCCCACTAGAACGAGGAACATGACCATCCTGTGCTATCACATCCGGCCGAAAACAATCACTCTACAATACCACCGCGCCTCACCGTAACAGTCGCTTTTTGTCATTGACTACTTCATCCGAGCTCTCGCTACTAAAAATTTGCTTTCGAAATGTCTCATCACCTTGCAGCACTGCCGGGGTTCTTGCCGCTGTCACCAACAATCACCAACTGCGGCAACCGTAGCGAATATTCTGTTCGACTGTGCAATTGAAAACCGGGGCCGGAAAATGGAGACTCATGTGACAGCTCTTGATTGAGGCTCATACCTCTGGCCGGTCATCGTTATCCAGCAACCCATCAACTCGGCTTTCTCCATTGATCATAATACAGGTCTACTAAGGCTTTCAGATCTGACTTGGACGTCCCCAGTTATCCTGGGAAATATCAGCAGCTCTAGGAACCTACAAGCTCTCTCAATGATACAAAGGCTAATGTTGACTGGAGAAAGGCCGTTCGTGTGAGATATGGGGGAATCCGCCCCCATCTACTCTTCTCAACACCAGCTGTGCCGCCCCCCCCCCCCCCCCCCCTCTCCCACCAATGCGCACCCAACACCACCACGAGGTCTGCGGCAGGTGTCTTGTTCCAGCAGAGATTTTCTTTTGCAAAAAGGCATGCGACATTTGTCACAAGAGCGAAACTCTGTATCCGACTGTGGGCTGTTGGTACAATACGCCCGTCCCATTTGCCGAGATGGCCAGGTCTGTTGGGTGTTCATAATACGAGCAGTGGGTTTGATGGGTGATGTCAAGCACAGTGCGCAGCAGCCAAACTCTATCCGAGATTGAGGGTGGTCGAAATGGTCAACGGTTCGATGGCTGAGTGACCTCACTGCTCGCTATTGGCGTGCGCAGAAGGATCACCAGGCGCAACCCACTGGCCGCCACCTTCCGATGATCCACCTAATTGCCAACCGTATCTCCTGTTGGTGCGAATTGATGCCCACGCTGAAGGGAATTGGCGCATGCCGACTTTGTCTCTGCCCTCCAGGGTGTCTTCGCAGCACCACGCGAGTGATCACTAAGTCGTTAGATGCATAGGCATCGGCATCGGCATGCCCTGCAGCGCCTGTAGAAAGGCCCAGTTTAGCCTAGTACCTTCAGGGGTGCTTTGCACGGGTTCTGTTGTAACTCAACACAGTCACTCTTCTCGGATATCTGCACGGGTTACTATAAAACCCCTTCAAATCCCTCTTCCCCTCCTCATCTAACAACCCAATTCTATATACGCGATCGTTTCTCGGTTTCTACTTGAATTTGCTCTCTTCTTTATTTCTTACAAACTCTGGTCCTACGCCATCAAAAATTTCAAAATGTGCTCGGTCTACATTTTCCTATACGATTGTGGCTGCTGCATCAAGGAGGGGGTGTTGTGCCATGTGCCAAAAAAGGCACACCATACTGCCACGGTATCAAAGAGCATTTCCGCGCACGACATGGCTACAAGTGTGCTCAGCACGGCGGCTAGAAGCTTTGTTGCTGTTAGTAGGACTCATGTTTCTCATAGTTCGGCTGGGTAGGGTTTGCTCACACGATCACATTAGGCCAGCAACATGATCATACGAGACCAAGCTACTCGACTCAACATCGGTACTCTCAAAATGGTCATCAAAATGTTCCGTTTTGCAATCGAAAACGAGAACGGCTCTGAAAAGATGTTAGCGCCTCATATCGTTCGCATGGATCTGGAATGCGACTTCATTAGCATTGTTTTTCCGCAGCTGCTTAATCTTGTTACCATAGCCGAAATGTCTTGGAAGTCTCTGGCGGTTAGTTTATTTCGTTCTCTTTTCTCGGTTTGAATTTTCTTGTGACCTTTGCATTTGTCTACGTGTTATGACTGGTTTCCGCCCTGTCATAACCCACATTGCCACATAGACGTATCTGATGCGCCTCTTGATTTTGTATTTTCTCTTTTTAGACATGCCATATCTCAGCATTTTTTATTTTGTGACCACGACCACTTCACCTGAACCTTGAATAAATTTGGAACGATCTCTACCCTCAACACGACGTACAACCCTGCTCCGGTAACGAATTCTTGGAATGAGGCTCTCTGGCACAATCGATCGGTGATCCCGATGACGAATCGGGCTCGCCGATATGCACCAATCTCTTTGTTTGAGACCTGACTGATCTGAAATCTGGATTCAACCAAGTCCCTAAAAGCGGACTTGAATTTTTCGCGCTTATCGTGGCTTTCATTACGGAAATTGCAATACTTCAGATTACCCCGGTCTGCTACATTGTCACGATTACATGGAATGGGATTGGGCAGAAGCAAGTTTCGATTCGAATTGTCAGTTGGAGAAATCGAGGATACAAGGTCTACTCGAGCGCCTGATACATACAAGGGGTAGGAGGATAGTCAGAGACGCAAGGGGACGCGTGCGTAGATGGCGCCGCCATTACCGATTTTCTCCGCTTCTAGGAAACTTCGATCTAATATAGCGCATATCACATATTCAATTTCTGTACTCGTACTAGAGTAAGAACTGAGGATGGGCAGATTTATACCTGAAAAGTAGCTCCTTGTCTAAGGCTTTAGCAAGAGCATACGCCTGGGTGTTTACAAATCGAGAGCTCACATTCGAGCCGAACATGTAAGTGAACTCCGTCGATCATATCCGGGCGTGCGTGGGCGAGTCCCGATACAGGCATGGCCACGTTGCTGTGCATGTGGGAACCTCTGCCATGCATGTTAGATTGCCGGCACCAGCGACGATCTGCTGTCACTCCATGTAATCGAAAGTAACGGGCAAAAAGCCGCGAGGTCCGTGTGGCCGTTAGTTCTTGGTATGTAGCTATCCATGTGTGCCTATCAGCCACGTTCCGTGTGTTTCCTGGGGTCATTCGACCAGGGCGTGGTTTTATGACGACAGCGGTCCAGCAAGCCTCAGACGGAAAGCAATGAGAGCATTTCTTTGTCCAGATCAGCAAGACCATGGCGCAGAAGCCCACCAGGGCATGATGAAATAAACGGAGGTCGTGCGAAGAGTACTCGGGTCACAATTGGTTGTTTCACTGAGCTGCAGCCACCAGAATTTACATTTAACGAATGAGCTGGACGCGGTAAACGCGAGCGTAACCTTTGATGCTAACGATAGGTCATCGACCGCGGACAGATGCTCGTGGGTTGCATTAGTCCCGCAGGGGGTTCGTAGTCATCTGATTGCCGGGTGGGAAGTAAATCACTACCGACTGGTCGACCTTTTGTTGTCCCGCTATTGATTTCCATTGACACTGAATCCTTTGAAATAGATCCCAGTATCCTTAAATAATGTATATTGGGGCTCTGAGAAGCTGGCTAGCTTAGGTGGAGGTGGTGTGCTGGACGTATCAAGGTAATCCCGGACGCCATCGACAGACTCAGCCCCCCAGAAAGAAATTCAAACACGGCATATTCTTGTTAATCGGTCTTTTGTAAGTACCTTCGATGCATGATGATCACGTTTTCGCCCCGGCGCCAGGATCACTGGACGGCCGAAGAAGGGGGCGGGTAGGCCGCGATGACCGGGGCCGCAGGTTGGCTACGGGCTTCTCGAGGAAGACTCTAGTTCGGTCGCAGGGTCCCACTGCCCAGTACTAGTACACTAGTACTGTAGCCTCGAATCCCTTCCCTTTGTGGCCAGGAACTTGAAATGTGTGTATCAAGCTGGGCCATTCAACACAAATTGCGTTGGTTCTCTGACATATAACAGGTGGCCGTGTTGGGATAGCAATACCGAGCGACGTAAAGATCACCAACAATGTGCTGTGTGTTAGCAACCAGTTGGGTACTTCGCGAGAATGATATTTGATCAACTTTGCGATCTTTTCGGTCCTTAACATTCTTAACATGCGCAGGAACGAGCAAACTCAGCTCGTCGATCTTCCATGCTGTCCCCAGATCACGTGGCGCCGCGTCAACGGAGCTGCGGCTCGCCTGGTCCGTTTCCCAAGCTCCTCCCGCTTTCTTGCGCGTTTCATGAGCTCATGGAAACCACCGTCGCGTCGCACATGTGATGTCCATCGAAGTCGACTGGGCAACGGCCACCTCCGGCCCGGACGGGGAAGCGCTGGCGGAGCGCATCCGCGCGTTCGTGCACGACAAGTTCCAGCAGGTAGCGCTGCCGCGCTTCATCCGGTCTGTTCAGGTTCATTCTTTTGAATTCGGAACTATTGCCCCGGACCTCGAAATTAAAGATTTCTGCGAGCCGTTTTCAGACTTTTACGAGGAGGACGACGATGATACTTCAGCGACTTCTGAGGAGCTCGTCGACGAGCATGGCCGTCCGTGGCCCGGACGCCATTCGGAGCTACACGAGTCACCCTATGAGGAAGAAATGCTAGGCCATAGTCCAGGGAACTTCAGCCACCATCCATACCCCGGTGAGGGGTACCAGCCTTCTGCTCTACGCTCACCATTGCCCCTTGGCGACCACCTGAACCCACATTTCCTTCCTCGTGCTGGCACTCCTGGTATACCCGGCGGAACCTCGACCCTTGGCTACCATCTCATGTCATTGGGAGGTCTATCAGGAACACAAACTCCTCTTGCGGCCGTAGCAGGCGGCACACCCTTTGCGAGTGGATGGTCGGACGCAGGCATGGCACATGGCAACAGGGCACGACCGCAGCGCGCATCTACCCAATTACACCAACGTACCGACGCCGATCTAGATACCACCCATTCCGCATCACGACCCTCAACCGCAAATACACACCCTTCCCACCCCTCAATCGGACAGACCGGCAGCAGTGGATCGAGAAATAGCACAGATCCTGCTGATATACCCCAACCCTCCATAGAACCTGCCATCAATCCCTCTGCTCCACCTCCCCCACGTATGCGCGAGCGCCGCCCGGAAGACTTCCAGATTCTGTGCCACGCCAGGTACGCCGGTGATGTTCGCATGTCTCTGACTGCTGAAATTCTGCTCGATTATCCGATGCCCAGTTTCGTGGGTCTTCCTCTTAAACTCAATGTCACCGGAATCACGTTCGATGGCGTCGCGGTTGTTGCGTATATTCGGAAGCGTGTCCATTTCTGCTTCCTGTCACCTGAGGATGCGGCGGCCCTGCTCGGTCCCGAGGGACAAGGAAGCCAGAATCCTAGTGAGGATGGCCGGCCCCGGTCTGGTGGAGACCAAAAACGACAGGGTGGATTGTTGCAGGAGATACGTGTGGATAGTGAGATTGGACGCAAGGAAGATGGCAAGCAGGTCCTGAAGAATGTGGGTAAGGTGGAGCGCTTTGTTCTCGCGCAAGTACGCCGTATCTTCGAGGAGGAATTAGTCTACCCCAGCTTCTGGACTTTCCTCATATAGCGCATCCGATTCCGACCTGCCTATGAGTACCCAGGAAAAGCAAGCTACATGTACAGTTACGAATACAACGATTTTGAGAAAACTGATTTCATGACCATAGAACCCTATCTTTCAAATGCAAGATATTCTTGCCAAAGTTTAAAATCGCATGTTGGGTAAAAGGAAAGCGGATGCTTTCAGGGCATCGCAGGTTAATGAATTCCCTTCCAGTTTCTGGTGATGTTGGATGCCAAGGGAACAATGATGTGGGAGGAATTATCTCAGTGGGGAGGGTTTCCATCCTGCATTGATCTCAGAACCGAAGGGGAGATGGGTGCTGAACAAATGTATGAACAGTCCTTGAATAAGCGTAACCAGTAAAAGAATCGTGTACGGTATCAATCGACAATGGCAAAGACTTCAAGCCCGGGTCTTCATTGCTAAGGCTAAGAACCGAGAACGAGTTGAGCCCATGTGAAAAAGACGAAGGCTGAGAATTTTGAAGTTGCCTTTGCAGAAAGACACTTTACATGTCCTTCTTAACGTTCTTATCTCCCTTGTCGGTAGAGACCTCGTCACCGAGCTTGTGGTACTCGCGGGTCAGGCCCTCGCACTGCTTCTTGAGAGTCTCGATGTCGCGGTCCTTGGCCTCAAGCTCTTTCTTCAAAGCGCCGATCTCACCAACAGAGCCAGCCTCGGCAACACGGGCAGAGTCCTTGCCACCGGACTTCTTGTTGCCCTCGAGGAACTTGACACGGTCCTCAAGACGGAGGACTTCGAGGATCATGATGTAGGTGCGGTTCAAGATCAGGGAGAGGAACAGGGTGAAGCCACAAAGGTACATGTTGCGCTGCGAGTAGAACTTGCGGGCCTGCACCTCCATGCGATCAGTACCGAGGTGAGCAGCTCTGTTATTGCGAGAGTTGGTTAATGCCTGGTCCCATAATCAATTGGAAGAATCTACTTACCCGACACCGGCGCCGTCCTTGGAAAAGGCAGCCAGCTCCTGTTGGACCCGGTAAACGCGGTTGACGCTGTCAATGAAGAGAATGAGGATGAAAATGAAAGTGATCTTTGGTATTATGTTAGTTGCGTTTAAAAGGGGGTTCTGCCAGCTGGAAAGTACCTTGAGGCCATATTGAAGCTTCGCAATAACCGGACTTTCCGAGACGAAGGCAAAAAGCTTGCGCTTGACGGTGAAGGGAAGAGGAATGATGAGAGCCAGGAAGACGGCCATCTCAAACACCAAAAGGAGGAAAACCTAGCGTTACAATTTGTCAGTTCATGGTCCCAGGAGCGACGTGTGAATAAGATTGTGAAAGCTGCCCGCATGCCAGGCTGCAATCTCACGCGACTTGGCCGGTTGGCCAGATAAAGCGCCCGAAAGCCCAGTATCCTTGAACAATACATACGAGACTGTAGTAGAGAGTCATGTTGGCGATGATTGTCGGTCTGGGAACTCGTGTGCGAGGCTATTCGTGGTGATCAAAAGGGGGCGGGGGTGGATGGAGAGCTTCGGTGACAGCTGGCTTGAGTAAACAATGCCAGTGGAGCAAGTGGGCGGTGAGATGTAAGATCCCAAGCTGGGTGCTTTGTGTATGAGAGAAGAGGTGGTCAAATTGAGCAGCTCAGGGAAGATGGACAGTTATTCAAGTGCCTGGCCAAGTTTCAAGGTGTCTTCATGGGGAAGTTTTCCTGCCTTGGGGAAGACGTCATCGTCATCCCCACGTGACCGACGCGGAGCTGTCAATCCCATGATGTAACTTGAGCTACGAAGTTCAACCCTATGTCATAGACTGTCTTTCTTTGGGTAAGATAGAAGATAACTACTGAAAGGCGGTGCTACGATTGGTACTGAGCGCCCAAGAAGAATATCAAATGTATCTGTACTCATTCGCAAAATATGGCATGATTCGTTGGTTGAGCTCGCTGCGAGTACTATAGAATTTTGATGTGTATGTACAAATTTTAAGCGCCAGACTTACCCCTCTGCTTCCTCGTAAGCATTGGACTTGTGCTTAGGATCAAACTTGAAGTCTGGGTGGGCGGGACCGAGGAACATCTCACTAGATAGAATTGTTAGTACGCAGTCAAGTGTGAGGTACAGTGCAGTAGGATAGTACTTACGTGAGCTTGATCCAATCTTTGCAGTTACCGCTGGCCATCAGGGTTTCCAGCTCATTGCGGCCACGATAGGCAGGAGGCCTGTGGTTGATCTTTGGAGGTAGGTATTCCAACAAGCCGATGGGAGTATAACGGTAAGCAAAGCTCAACCATTCCAGTAAGAACCGGCGAGTGGTACCCACGCCGTGCTCATCGGAACCCCAGGTCTCAAGACCGTACTTGGCAAACTTCTCAATATAAGCCAGACGTTCCGAGGCAGATTTGTCCAGGTACTGGCCTGTCTGGATCTCCTCAAAGAGCCAAGGCTTGATAAGAGCACCACGTGCGATCATAACCGAATCCACGCCGGCGTGCTTGATGTGGTTGTCGTAGTCGACGTGCGAGTAACAGTCACCGTTCCCAAGGAAGTAGGTCCTGCCGCCGTTCGGTTGATAACGAGCATCAGGTTCTCGGACGGTGTCGGTGATATCGTCCTTCTTTTCATTCAAGCGCTTGATGAGAGCGGCGCAATCGGCGATATAGCTCCAATCGGCCTGGCGAGTATACCGTTGCTGTCTACTCCGGCCGTGCAGAGTGATGGCCGCGGCACCAGGAGGACCAACGTTCAAAATGCTAGACTCATGACCACCAAGAACAACGCGCTCGACGAGCTTAAGGGCCGTAGGGAAGTTATCCTTGGTTCCCATGCGAATCTTGACCGTAATGGGAATTTCCTGCGAAACAGCATTCATACCACGAATGATCTTCTCCAGCTTAGAGTGATGGTCAAGGAGAGCAGATCCGGCACCATCGCGGAACACGAGCTCAATGGGACAACCACAGTTCAGGTCGATCACACGTAGGTTCGGAGTGAACTTTGACAGAACTTCGGTAGCCTTCAATGCCTGCCAGGGCTTGTTGGCCGTGATTTGAGCACCAAACTTGAAATCTTTGGAGTTGTCATAACCTTGAACAATATTGTCTCCCGGGATTACGCTTGGCGGGAGCATTTCTGACTCGTGGGCCTTAAGCAAGGTCCACTCGGACTTGTTACCTTGGATGAGTGGCATACTCATGGCCATCTCAGAGTAGGTAAATTGGGCACCAAGATCAGTGCAGAGTCTGCGGAAAGGCATATTTCCTTGCGTGGTCAGCGGCGCCAGTGTGGGGGTTTCGGGACCAAAGTAGATGCGCCGCTTCTCGGATGGCATGAAGGGTGGTTCGGTATATTGAGCACGGTGCTCTTCCCGCTCTTCCTTAGACACTTGCTTGGAACCTTCGTTTGGCTCTTCCTTGGATTCGTCTTTGGGCTCCTCAGAATCACCATTCGCCTCAGCCTGCACCTTCTCGGCCTTTTTCTTGCCGTGGAGAAACTTCTCCAATTCCTGAGCCGCCGTAGTGAGCCATTCGTTGTACTGGTTCGCACGAGGTGTAGTTTCTTTCTTGCGCGCCAGGGCAACCTTATCCTCCTGGGATATTATGTTGACCATGCGGTCGGCATTTGCAAATGGAACCAAAAGCTGAGCCTTCTGCTTACGTTCCTCGTCTTCCAGCAAAATCAACTCCTTCTTACCATCTTCGGTCTCCCTTTCCGTTGAGTGAGTGCTGACAAGACGGCATCTCCACCCAGCAGCACAAGTTCCACGGGCATCCCACACGGGACAAAGTCCGTTGAAGGTTGTAAGGTCCTCGCGCTTGTACTGCTTCAAATAGGTTCGGAGATCATGTTCGAACCGGCACTTGTCGCCGAATTGACACTCCTTTGGGGAAAATTCGGGTGTGAACGCGACGGACATGCACAGGCCCTTTTCATCTTTAGAGGAGCCGAAGCTACGGTTGGTGTTCTGGCCGGTGGGCTTCTTTTTCTTCTTCCTGTCCTTCTTTTCCTCCTCGCGTTCGGTATGAGAAGTTGCTTCAGCAGCGTCGTCGGCATTCGCGGGAACTTGAGCAGGCCGAGGGACGGCTGAAATTCGGTATCTTGTTTCAGTCGAAGTGTGAGTTTGCTAGTTCTTGGGTTTCGAGAGATTTCGGTCACCTACTCTGCCTTGATGGGAGCAATTCCTCTATCGCGAGCGTCCTGCTGCTTTTCTTTCATCTCCGGTGTCTCGTCCAATCGCGCCTTCTTGGATGGGGGCTCTTCGGTACTTTCGACGCCGGCGACACTATCGCTGGCATCGCGCTTGGTTGCATCCACCTCCGCGAGTGTTGGGTCGGCCTTCGAGTCAATGCTGGCCATTTTCGGCGACCGATTGAGTTCAAGTGGTTCCTTGAGTTACGCGCCTCGTTTGGCAGCGAGCGGCTCGGTGCCTTCTGGAGCAAAATGGCTTGCGGAGTACTCCCAAATTCTATCAGAAATTCGCGGACTGCGGGCTGGTGGCGCGGAGAAATTTGCTCTGTTTGCAACTGAGCGAGCGATCTCATCTATTATTGGTTTGTGGACGGTAGTGGGTCCCAGTTTTGATGCACTTTGTGCACGTGACTTTGTTTCAAGTTTGTTTGCTTAAGGGTCACATCAAACACACCATCAGCTTATTTAGGCAGCAAGTGTGAGAGCTTCCAACTACTACCTAGTGATAGCCAGGTCCCACACGAGCACACTGATGCATCTCGTACCCCTGAAGCAACGACCCTGGCAGACATAAACCTCCCCACACGTCTCCCCGTTACCATCACTAGTAGGATCATCATGAACATCAAAAGCTCTTGAGCCCATACTCCTAACTATACTGGTACTACTAGTGCCACTAGTGCCAGCGAAAATTGACACCAGCAATGAGCTTTCGATTAAAACTGTAGGCCTGGGGCTAGTTTGGTAGTATATGGACCATGGATTAGTGAGGTATCGAAAGAATTAACATTTCTGCGTCGGGTTGTGGTTAAATATGGTATTCAAATGTGCTATATATATACTTTGTAAACCAGGCAACGTTCAGAGACTAAGGTTAGAACCAGAAGCTTCCACCACAGTCTGACGATCAGTCATGTCAATCGCTCCACATACATCGATGCTACTTGATCGACTGCACCTGCAGATACATTCAAAACTGATCGAGTCATGAGCTGCAAGCTGACTATCTGCGCCACACATGGTCTGCCCACGGTCCACCAAGTGTGGCATTGAGGCAGTGCAATCATGGAGAAATGTGGCGGTGCACTGACTTCATGGAGCGTTATCTAAGCGCCCAGACCGGGAAACTCATAAGAGCGCCCCTCCCTAGACTTGGCTGGGGCCTGGAAGTGTGTTTTCTTTCCATTATCTTCTCGCCAGGCTGCTTTCTTTGCTTGACTTGCTCGACATTTACTGTGGCGTGATTAACGAACCTTCGTACGACGTCATCGTCTTATCCGTGTTATCGGCGTCCACATTGATTGTTTAACATCTGAAGTGCCGACCTCTAATCCCAAGCACCGTCAACAAGCATGTCGGGCACGACACACGATCCTAGACTGCTCTACAGCGTCAACAATATCCGCGCATTCCATATCCAGGATGGCGAAGAGCAAGAGTTGACACCGTCTGGCCCGCAGACGCTCTCCTTGCTCATGGTCCCTACATCCACTTCGGCGCCGACGCCACCTTATGCCGCCAGTGCGGGCACAGAGACACCGGAGGAGGATTTCTACCTTCACCTCTATCTCCCGCCGGAGCTCGATCTTGCGCTGCCCGCTACTACTCAAATCTTCTATCAGCCGCCCGACAGCTACCTAATCCCCCGCTGGGACATGGCGCCCGAAGTGGGCGCCTTTATTCGAATCCAGTTCCCCCAGATTGGCGCAGGCCCGACCAATGTCACACAAGACGACGTTGACACCTTTGAAACCATTCTCGCACAATGTACTGCCTTCCTCGATCGTTCTCCCCCCAGCGGCAAGTCTGACGGCCACGCCGCTTACAACCCCGCAGACTATGCACCGGGCGAGGGGTATGTTTCGTCTTCCGCCGACAAGAAGGGTGACCATGCGCATGGGAAGATCGTATTAGTGGACGAGGAGGATGGTAGCGTGGTTGGCGAATTGGGCGATGGGTACAATGTGGTGGAAGATCCGGATGTGAAGCCTGGGTCTAAACGTGAGTCTTCCCCATTAGCCTCCCTCCTTGTTTTTGACCATCGATTAACCATCCTCGTCTTGGACAGGCCCCGTTGGAATTGAACTCCCTAGCGAAGGCGAGGGCAATCGAGTGAGCGTGAGCAATGTGTCCGAAGAATACCTGGCGATGTCGCGACACCCTGCGTATCAGAACTCGACAATTGTTCAGACCTCTGCCACAGCATCTCGCCTGGTGGTCATGGGATCGACCTATCTGGCCAATGCCCTCACCAGCGGTGCAGACAGTTTCACTAAGAAGGTGAAGCCCAACCAGAAGCCCGTTACCTTTTCCGACGCCACTCATGCCCGGATCCGTAAGGTGGGCACGTTTTCGACCGGAGCGGCGGATCTTTCCTCCAAGACACTTGGTCAAGTAGAACGATATGCCCAGAATTTGGGCGCCTCCTTGTCGCGCAAGGATGCTTCGCGACCGAAGGGATTCGACAAGAGAAACCCGCCGTCCGACTACAAGCCCGGCGTGTTGAACAAGTCGATGATCGCCTTCTCCACCCTGGCGGATGGGATCCAAGAGGGTGCAAAGAACATGCTTCTTACCAGCTCGCAGGCGGCTAGCACGATGATCGGGCACAAATATGGCGCCGAGGCCGGCACCGTGGCGACGAATCTCACCGGTGGCATCAAGAACGTCGGATTGGTGTATATCGATGCGACCGGCGTCAGTCGGCGAGCACTGCTGAAGTCGGTGGCTAAGGGCATGGTGGTTGGGCGCATGCGGGACGGTCAACAGGTGGTGGTGGGCGCCGGTGACGGGGGACAGCTCCCCCATGACGCGCAGGCCGGACCGTCGAGCTTCGCGCGGGATCCAGTTGCCCGGGGACCATCGCCGAACCCCACACCTCCTCCTGCATACGATGCATCAGGAACACTATCGCTCGGCGGCACGCCCATGTCAGGGGCCAAGCGGTAAACAACGCCAGAAAAAAAACCCCCCAAAAAAACCTGGGAATCATTTGGAATGGGTAGATGCGAGCTGATCATTGATGCAATCTGCACCTGGCGTCCTGGTGGTTTTGGACAAGCGCTCTGGATTCTCCTCTTCTTCTCCTATTCGTAATGCCAGTCTTGAATTTGTTTTGGATGGGATCGCTGGGCGTGGGCGATTCGCCTCGATCCGATCCTGTTTGTGTGTAGATAGTCCCCTCTCGCGCGTCAATGCCACGAACAAAGTTTTGCTCCGTCATGCCTCCCTGCTTCCATCCGAGCTCTCCGGCCAGTCGTCGCCTGCTGAGCTTCAATTCTCCGACAAACCGCGAGCCCCGATTTTGATCAAGATTTCGGCCGGGTGGGACAGTCGCAGGTCCATCATCGATGAAAATCCCAGCAGGGATAAAATCCCGTCCCCGCCAGCTCCCAGGGCCGTGCGTTATCCGTTGGCGCCGAGATTTCGCCATCGTTGCCGCTGGGGCTCGATAAACCCTCCGACGTGGATTTGCCAGGGTCGGCGTTGCCAACGCATCACCCGCTTGACAGTTGGCCTGGCCCACTCACACACACCAATGAGGCTGATCCCTGGGGAGACAGCAGAAATATCAGAACAACCAATTGATGCCATCCCCACACCGACATCTGAAGAAAAGGGAATTGGAAGATCAACTCAGGGAGCGGTCTCGACGCGATTGCCAACCTGACGTGGAGGACGGGAGCGCTGCGGTGCCGTTGGGTGGAGTGCGGTGGGGCTCAGCGCGTCCGGTGCGGATACTCCGACTCTGTCAGGAACCAGCCCGAGTCGCGATTTTTTACTATTTCACTATCAGGTCGAGGCCGGAGCTTACTTCGTCAACTGAGAGAGCGCAGGAGGTCGTGAATTAACCTATTTTTCGCGAACCACCCGCCGGGCAGGCCCAAGGTTACAGCTGGAGACTGGAGCACCGCAGGATCTGCTCGATCCGGCGCGTATCCGTGGATTATAAGCAGCCCTAACCGTGGGCGCTGGTGGGTTTCCCTGCGTTTTCCTGGGTTTCCCTGCGGATGTAAGATGCCTTGGCAGGAGTATACGGGGAAGCTATACAGGAGCAGTTGGGGTCGTGGCGCGAGCAATTGTACGACCGGGAGCCACGGCCTTTGAGCGAGGCGCAATGGCAATAATGAAATGACCTCGCTTTATTTTGAGGCCATCCCCTGGCCGGCGGCAGCTCGACGACCCGTGCCAGCAAACCTCGAGACCTTCATCTCCATCTCAAACCACGGACACGCAATCTGCAGGGTTGACGCTCATCTCCACACCCGTTCGCAACTGGCCCAGAGACTCTCTCTGCAGACCGTCCAGCGCAAGATCTGCTCCAGGATGTCGAGGATCTCGAGATTTGATACTATCGAATCGAAAGGTCCCAGATCGCGCTTCCGGGGGCCTAATGACGATCGTCGGTTCTAGCGAGGAGCCCACTTTTCAGCGATGCGAAACAGCCGGCGGCCCCCCTTTTTTGAAACGGGCTCGCACTGAAGGCCTTTCGTAGTGGTCAGCAAATGTCCCAGCCCGACTTACGACTAGCTCCAGGGCATGAGCGTGATGATTTCGGTCGTGGATCGTTGACATCAGCCTGGTCTTTGCGCACCCAGAAGACCCTCAGACCTGCTCAGGCCGTCCGACCTTCCTTTTGCTCTCCACATGCGAGGATCAGCCCTCGGGCCTCGCACCCGTTTCGTTCTATCACAGGCGCAGCAAGGGGATCCTCAGAGCAGGAAATAGTCTCGCCTGTTTGTGTACCGTCTGCGTTGCGCGCCATCCTCGGCTGGGATGTGGTGGCCATACCTTGGTATAGGGCGCCCAGTACTGTAGTCGTGTCGTAGGTGCGAGAGCTCGTCACTCGCCTCTCCTTCGTACCCTTTGCCAATAGCAGTAGAATGGGCAGCTCGCCCTCACCACCGAGTCAATTATTCCCACCCTGGTTTGCCTCCCTGTATCGCGCCTAAATAATTGCAAATGCAAGCGTAAAGGCCGGTGCTATCTCGACCCCAAAGCTGGTTTGCGGTAGATCCGCTGGGCTCCCCCAGACTAAACGAAACTAAACCGACCAAACCCGTATCTTACCCTCTCTCTCCTCCCCTTTCCCACCCTCCGCATCCTTCGTGAGGTCTGTCTCGACAACCTCCTCTCTTTCTTTTGTTCTTTTTTCTTCGTCGAGCCTTCCGTCTTCTTCGATTTTCCGCCCCCCTTTCCTCCCCGGTGCTTTCCGCCGTTGCCCTCGGGTCTTCCTCCCTCGCGCCCCCTGTCCGTCGCCCCTCGCCCTGGCTTCGATCATGTTCAGTGTCGACAATTGATTTCTTGATCGTCTCGACAAACACAATCGCGTCTGAGACAGTCTGCTCCCGCTTTTCTCTCCCCCGGCTTTTCGGACAACGTGCAACCCCCTCAAAGGTCGTGGGTCGGAAGAGGGGACTTGCCAGAACTGCAGTGCAGGTATCTTACTCTTAACCTCTCTTTCTCTTCTCTTCGCTGCCTTGTCGACGCGTCGTTTCGTCGTGTCCAGGCTGCGACCGAGTTTCCCGGCTGGATTTTCGAGTCCTGTTCGTGCGTTTCTTGTTCGCGACCACTGGCGTGGCATTCCTTTCCACCCCCCATTCCTCCGATCGAAGCTTCTGTCAGTTCCCACCCACAACCTTCACCCCCCATTCCTTGACGCCATCCCACATTTTCCCCCTTGTCGATTACCGATAGTACCCTAGCGCGGGGACTCAACGCTGACACTGCGTGTTCGCCCCCCGTCACAGTTCGTGAGGCTGAAGTCGACACTCGGCGAGTGCGACCGATTGCCCAACCTCCCCGATTCTCGCCAAACACCCTCGGGAGGGCTTGGTGTTCCCTGCGCGTCAATTGTGCCAATCGCAATTGGCCTCAAGCTTTGCTCCTCGACAGTTACTTAATAAAACCTGTCGCGGACTGTCACTCAGCCAGAAAGTCTCGCCGAGCTTTCTGCGCATTGAATAGAAGGTATGCTGGTCGCCGCCATGCAAACACCTTCCCCCGCGCCTACCCGCTCCCTGGACGAGCATCTCACACAAGTGTATGCGACCGAGTTTGCTAACCACTTCCCCGAAGCCATTTTTGAGGCCGGCCCCCGATCAGCTTCTTCGGCTATGAGCACTTCCCACCCTTCGGCCGCGCCACTCTCCGCCCATGATTCGCCAGTATCAAACCAAACGGCATTTTCCCACACCCAGAAGCATGCACGCAACAATTATCCCGATATGCTAGGTTCACCACCGGTCCCGCCCCCGCGCGGCTCGTCTACGCACCACAGTCGCCGCAGCCCCAACGGTTCGTCCGGAGAGAAAGGATCACGCCATGGGAAGAGCCGGAGTGATCGCAAAGAGAACCGTGACCGGTCGCGCGACGACCGCAATGGCAAGAGCCGGTCACGGCGTGCAGATCCTCTGGAAGAGACTACTCGTGAACCAGGCAAATCGAGAACTTTCCCCGTCTCCAGCTCCCAAATCGAACCGGAGGTGGAAAACTTGTCTGGACAAGGGGCTCTGGTGAAGGAATCGAGTACAGTGATCAACTCAGTTATGGTCAGTGACCCCGTTGTGGATCGGGAAAGAGAGCAAGTGCGACAAGTGGGCGCGTCCCCGGCCGACACAGCTGAACAGACCTCTGCGGGTCTTCCAAACGATATTCCCGAAGATGAGGTTCGAACTGGCTATCGTAGCCGACACGACTACAACAACAATAATAATGGCAACACGATCAAGCGCAAAGAGACCACCTTTGGCCATTACATCCTCGGCCAGACCCTGGGTGAAGGTGAGTTTGGAAAGGTCAAATTGGGATGGAAGAGAGATGGTAGCATCCAAGTCGCTATCAAGCTCATCCGTCGAGAGTCGCTTGGATCGAACCCCAGTCGGCTCCCAAAGATCTACCGGGAAATCTCAATCTTGCGCGATCTCGCGCATCCTAACATTGTCCGCCTTCACGAAATGGTGGAAACCGACCGCCACATTGGTATCATCATGGAGTATGCATCTGGTGGTGAGCTATTCGACTACATCCTCAATAATCGCTACCTGAAAGACAACTCTGCACGACGGCTCTTTGCGCAACTCGTTTCTGGTGTGGGATATCTTCATAAAAAGGGCATCGTCCACCGAGATCTGAAGTTGGAGAACTTGCTGCTGGATAGGAACCGCAACATTATCATCACTGATTTTGGGTTTGCCAACACTTTCGATCCGCATGATCCGCTGGACGAGGAGATCGAATACAACTTGACTAACAAGGAGTATGTGAAGCGCAAGAAGTTGGACAAGCCAAATGCAGCTGGGTTGCGGCGGGGTGATCTGATGCAGACGAGTTGTGGTAGCCCCTGCTATGCTGCCCCGGAGCTTGTCGTGAGCGACTCCCTGTACACAGGGCGTAAGGTAGATGTGTGGAGTTGTGGTGTCATTCTGGTATGTGATAAAAGTTGCAATTGTTCTGTGATTTTTCTTATGACTAAACATTTCTTTTTGTCTAGTACGCGATGCTGGCGGGATATCTGCCATTCGACGATGACCCAGCAAACCCCGATGGAGACAACATCAATCTCCTTTACAAATACATTGTCACCACCCCTCTCACATTCCCCGAATATGTCACCCCCCATGCTCGCGACCTTTTGAGGCGTATCCTGGTTGCCGACCCTCGGAAACGTGCAGACTTGTTCGAAGTGGCTCGTCACAGCTGGCTGAGCGAGTATTCCCACATCGTCTCTCATATTACCAGTAGCACCACAAACGTTGCGGACATTGCCAACACGACAATTCCGGCCGAGACACAAAACGAAGCACCCACTCTTGCTCGCAGCGCATCGGTTCGAGAGCCACCGAAGACACACCAGAGCCCCGTTCCGGCTGTTGGTGGACTCAACCATCACGCGGGAGACATTTCCCAGGAATCGCCAAGCGAGAAATCAAAGACTTCGCGTGATGCCAAGCGCAGAACGGTGCAGGTCGAGTATGTTGCTCCGCAGTCCCAGACCGCACGTGGCGAAAATCCTGTGGAATCGGGATCACGCACACGCCCATCAGCTCCTAAGGAGGAGCAGGGGCCCCCAGTACCGGAGAAGCCAATCGAGCCCATGGCGGCCAAGCCCAGGGAAAAGCCGCCCATCAACTACGACAAGCCGTTGCCGGGTCACTTCCCCCGTTCGACCTCGGACAACGCGGCCGTCACAGGGACACATACCAGTGCCACGGGCCCTTCGTATGCCCGGCCGACAACAGGGGGCTCTATGGCCTCCTTCAACACTGGCAGATTACCATCCCGAGGCTCGTATGGGCAACCTGTTGCCCCCATGGTCACTACGACCAACACCGAAGGTCGCCTGGCCCAACCCAATAGCCGACAATTTGCGCTTACGCAGAACCCGGCGCATGCATCGAATACCTCCGTTGGTCGCCCAAGTACACAGCAACTCCCGTCGGCATTCAATCCTACTCCGCGACAAGAGCCTCCGCCAAAGGGCCACAAGCGGTCAAGCACAGTTTCCAGCCTCGGCGAAAAACTGTTTGGTCGTTCCAGCTCCATTCTTGGTGGGCGAAACTCGCAGACCACTGCTCCTCGCTCTCGACAGAAACGGCCACCCCCTACGAGCATGAAGGAGAACTTCCCGCGGGAGGATTCTCGCATGTCTATGGATTCTAGACGTTCCATGCAGTATGGACACAATAGAAAGACCAGCGAAGCTACTGGGGAGGGCCGTCCTCGTCGATTCTCTCTTTTGCCACCCTCCTTCTCCCTCAAGGGATTCTCCTCTGCTGGTCGCGCCCAAACACCGGAGGAAGCGTCACAGACACCACGTACGGTTGATCCCCATGGTCCGCCACGCCCAGCTACTGGACCTGCTCCGACCCGCCCCCGTGCGACGAGTTACGGAACACAAGACGCCATGGGCATGGTGAGCGAGGGACCATCCGATGAAGTCCATGAAGAGCAGAAAGACAGCGAGCAGCCCCTCAGTTACGAGGCTCAGATAGATCAGCAATTCGCTGAGCTCGGATCTCGATTCGATCAAACACAGGACTCATTCGGAGCCATCTCGTCAGAGCAGGTCTACCAAAACGATGATCCCCATTACGATGGACGCCATTACACCTACTCATCGAAACCGAACTACTACGACGACTACAATGGCAACTACGATAGCTTGCCCCGTCAGTCGATGCAAGCTGGCCGATCTGGACGTGGACCCAATGTTCTACAAAAGAACAACCGCAAATTCGCCGATGCCTATGAGTATGAGCGCGACCTGTCCCACCACTCCGGTAGTTCGGGCGCAGCCCGTAAAGTTATGGATTTCTTCCGCAGGCGCGCCAAGTCACGTGCTGGTGATGACCGGTGAATGTATCCATCAATTCCTCTACCGAATCGAAAAGCGAACCTACATCTATCTCGCACCACCCGGAACAGTTATCCAGACCAGACAAGACGAGGCGGTCTATATTAGGCCGACTTCGCCCCCACCAAAGGCAAAGGCAATATTCCAACCCGCTTTGCCCTGTTCCAATGCTTCATTTTATCCTTCACCTGAAAAGAGCAGTAAGGTTGTTTTGATAACCATGTGATACCCTGCTTTTGTTCTCTCCATTCTGTGCATGAAGCGAAGCTTTTTCTTCATCCGCCGGATGTTTTGATTAATATCTAGCATGTTCATTTCCTTTGTTAAGAATACATTTTCCTTTTTCTTTGCTTAATGTCTCTTATCCTCGTTTTCTTACCCTCTTCTCCCGCCCCTTTTATTCTTTGTGACTCAACATTTTCTTCTCTTGTTATTATTACCTCTGACTGTAAAGTGGGACCTCTGCCGTTTTTCTTCAGAGACAATACCTTGTGATCATTGCAATTCCCCCGCTCCCCCCCCCCCCCCCCGGTTCTTAGCTTCTGTCTTATACGGGAGGTTCCTTGAACAATAATTCAATTGTTGTGACACTATTTCTGGACTGTGTATCGTTAAGGTTTCTTTACACCCGCCGCGGGGTTTCAAACTGGCGTTATCTAGGTAAGCTGTTGGCCATGGATTCTGCCGGTTCTCGATAGGGCATCCTCGATTTTGTCAAGCTTCACACCATTCTACACAGTAGAAAAGAAGAGAAACGCATGCAAGTATTACAATGCTTATTCAAAGCCTGGTATGTATTAAACTTGTGCTATAATTTGTCCAAGTCATATGTACAAGAGAAGGAAAATATCTCAGGCACTATCCCTGTACCTTCAGATGGTCAACCTTTACCAGATCAGCCTCCTTATTCAAGCTCGCGACTTCTGCCGCAGCAAAAGGAATTCCCTCCATAAGCCTCTTTTCCTCAGTAATCATCTCGATCTCACCAGGGAAATAGATCTGTTCCACCCCAGCCATCTTCTCAGACTCAGTAACCCGCTTGTAAAGATAATCCATCCTCTCCTTGAACTCTTCCATCGTCATAAACAAATCCGGCCTGATAGCAACCAGGAAATGTCCTACATCCGCTGGTTTCGACGGGTCATAAGGATTGGTAACATGGCCTGCAAATGCAGCCCCAGAGAACACGCCCGAAAAGACATCCATCATGATCGATAATGCTGAACCTTTAGGACCCCCCATGGGCAGCATAACACCCTCGAGCGCCTTCGCCGGATCATCCGTCCGGTTCCCATCCTTATCAAGAGCCCAGTCATTCGGGATCTTCTCACCCCGCCGAAGAGCCTTGTAAATCTTGCCGCGAGCGGCAATAGACGGCGCCATATCAAGAATAAACGGTCTCGCCTCATTCCCAGAAGGCGCACCACACGCAATAGGCGAAACACCCATCAGCTTCTCCTTCCCACCCCAAACAGGTAGCGCAGGCGACGAATTCGTAAACACAAGCGACATCATCCCCGCGTCCAAGGCCTGCTTAACCAGCCACGCCGACATCCCGAAGTGATTCGAATGCTTGATCGAGACCATGCCCATACCGAAGTCCTTTGCCATCTCAATGGCCCGCTCCATGCCCTTATGCGCAGCGACGAAGCCAAACCCATTGTGTCCGTCGATCTGCACGACGACCGGCGTAATTTGGCAAAGGGTCGGGGTTGCCGCTGCGTTCAGCGCGGCTTGTCGGATTCGCTCCATGTAGCTGGGGATCCGGTTGCTGCCATGTGTGTCGACGCCTCGAAGGTCAGCAGACACGAGGCACTTGGAGACGATGACGGCGCTTTCTTCTGGTGTGCCGTTTCCGATGAGGATTTGTTGGACGAAGGATTCCAGGTCCTTGTGATTTATTAGGTGCATTTGCTGGGGTTGGGTTTCGGTGGCCATCTTGAGCAACCTTTTGGAATTAGTCTGCAATTTTATCTTTGCAGGGTTGAATTAGTTGTGGGCGTAGTTGTGGTTGGTATGGAGTTGTTGAGCTTCTTTTCAAGTACGCGGGGAGAAAGTTGGGGAAGCGGATGCGTCCCGCGCGGGGCGTTGCCGATAGCGAGTTCGGACGAGATGGGGCAGAGGCTAGATAGGATTGTGCGTCCGGATTAATCATTATACGGTTCAGTGTTTATCATGCATTCTATATCTTTCTTATGATTCCGAGAATTCATATATTGCTATAACTGACATGAATACAGGCAATATTCAAGTACTGTTGAATACTTCCCACATAAGACTGTCAAAGTCCGGCACCCCAGCAAAATCCATAAAACCTCCTGAAATCGAATCATTCAACCAGCTAGTACCGTCCATATTGAAGCCGCAGTCATCCATTAGAGAGGTCATGGATGGGGTGATGTCCACTGCCGAATCCACCTGATCAGACAACTCGTTTGCCGTGCTGCTTTGTGGTGTCTGTGCCACACCTGCCCTTTGTGTTCTCGTTGCTCGTGGAGATTTGTCAAGGCTTCGTAATTTGATCAATCTTTGTATGGTGGCACCAGATAGTTCATGAATGCAGTCACGCGCCCGCCTGGCTTCGGCCCAGTACTCTCCGATACTGCTGAGAATATTCAGACTGATGCCTGTATCGGCCACCAGATCGTCAATATGAACCTGTGATGCAATTTGGGGAAGTCGCCATATCATATGGAGCATGATGAGTGCACTAAGGAATATTGAATGCACGACGAGTCTACTATACAACATCGCTTCCTGTCGGTACAGATCTCCAAATCCACGAAGTAGCTCCACCGTGTGCTGAAAACATTTCGCAAGCGCATTGTCCGAGGGCTCTGGGATGCCGGGACTAGGTCGGAGAATCAATATCATCATCTCATGGTATTTATTCTCGCAGATCTTCGCAATGGACTGCATTCCAGCTGATCGTGGGATATCCGCCAACCATGACCCGAGATTGTCGATCATATCTTTTTGCCATTGGTATATGTCGACGACCGGAGGGTATGCATATCTTGGTGGGTTTCTGCTGATGCTGTGCATGACATATTTGATCTCGGAGTTTATCCGCGCCAGCTTGAACAGGTGGATCGAATATGTCATGTGAGAAGGTGGGCTTTCTCCGGTCCTCTCTTGCACAGCGGATTCGGCGAGGTATTGATCAGCGATGTCAAATGGTAGCTGATGACAGTCAGCAGGTAGCTCATGGTAAAAACCGTTGTGCCTTTTGACTCACCCGAAGCTCGCAAGCCTCATCTCGAACTCCGATTGGCCTACCCATCATTGTCCCCAGTGTTCGATCAAAATTATAGACCACCCAAAATATCCGAGTTCTCATCTCTTGCTCTAGAAAGGATATCGGAAATGCCGGTGATGCACGCACATCGCGTTGCAGACCCAAGTCAATCAGCGCACCCAGGCATTGATAGTTCAAGCTCCATATGTTGATCCCGCAAGATGGGTTATGGAGCGCGTAAACCATAAGCAGAAGTAGACTCTGGAGCCCCTCCAGAGAGCCTTCAGCACAGGCCCTTTCAAAGTGTTGTGTGGCTGCGGTGTAATAGCCTTCGGCGGGAAGTCGTAGTCTGAATCGCCGGGATAGATCCGATGCTGCTATGGCAAGTACCATGTAGACATGAAAAGCGACGGAAGGATGCGGGTCCGCATCGGTGTACATACTTTCCAATCGCTGCATGTGGGATGGCTCGTGTAAGAACGGGTAGAGAAAATGGACGGAAGTGAAGTATTTCGAAGACAACTCAACGGCATCTTCTTTCTTGTTAGGTAGTGAGGCAGGGCTGTTGAACAGCTCGGCTGACAATGAAATGGGGTCATTGGAGCCGCCATGATTTCCAGCTGGACCTGTCCGTCGGCCGGCACTAGAAAATACGAGGTTCGCAAGAAAGTAGCCACTCGAGGGACCGATATACCTCGGCTCGCCGCCAGAGGATAATGACACTAGCCCGATTTCATGAGCCTGTCTTGACGTGCGCGGTGGCTGAGGGTCCTCCATAGGCCCTTGGCGCTGTCCATTCTGGCAAGGTGGTGAATTGAGGGAGATGGATGTATGGTTTTCTTCATAGGTAGGCTCAAGCCGTGAAAGGTCCATCGAATCTGGTGGACCATCTTCAAGATCGGCGGTAGTCCCTTCTTCACGGACTAAGGACTCGAGCCATTGTACTCGTTTTTGCAGATTTGCAATATACCTAGCACCGAGTTAGCTCATGCTTGTAAACATCCGATCGTGGTGTATAGAACCCACGAGCGATTGACCTCCTGCTTGCCGTCATTGACGCAAGCCACATTTGCCTTCTTGCATGAAGCGCATTGCGGTAGAACCCCATCACAGCGGATTTTTCGGCGCTGGCACCTTCGACAGGCCGCACGGTTCCTACTCCGGCGTGGAGAATCCATTTTTTGGGCTGCAGACGTCTTTATGGGCGAGAAGAGGACGAACGACTGTCGTGGAAGAAATCTGCGGAGTTCTTCCGTTGGCACCCGCCACTTCTCACGCTCCAACCGCGGGCCGCTCCCGCCTTCTACGGAGGGACTCCGTCACTGGGGCGCCACGGTATAAAGAGTCGCAAATCGCCTACACTAGATGTTGGTGGAGTTGTGATCACTAGTACTTTAATATGACCATCTGCCACATCGGTAATTTGCAAGAGTGACTGATCAATATATTTGAATTGCCACTGACCTCGATACAGTCTTGTTTAAATTTCGGGCAGACACCGCCGTCACGACCCGAGACGAGTTTCTTACGCAAATCAAGACGCTCAAGTCACTACCCTGCGTAAAGAACCAAAGGCTCATTGTTGGTGGGCCCTCTATTACGGAGCCTGCGGAGAAGAGCAAAGGATATCAGTATGCCTTGGTGAGCTATCATGAGGATCGGACTGCGTTGGACGCATATCAAGCAAGCAGTGAGCACGAAAGGTTAGTTCTTATAGGCCATGTGCATCGGCATAACACTTGTGCAAGTAATATGGCAGCTAATCGAATGATCAAGGGTCACTCATGCATATTTTATTCCCTACAAAGAAGATCTGGTTCGATTTGATTTCGAAGTAGATTCAGCGGATGAACCTTTGCTTGGATTACAATTTGGTTGATTATATACATTTCGCGGGGTTATCAAACAAGAATGATAGTCAAAAATTTTCAGGAAAAAGGCCCAGTCAAGATTGCTTTCGCTCTTCTCCTGGAACGGACTGGAACTCCACACTCACCGAGCTCGTAAGTTGAATGTCTTGAGGGCTCAAGTCCAGTGTCGGTGACGGCTCAGGAGCTGGATTGCTCGGGCCACTAGCAGAGGCACAACCAAAAAGACTACCTCCTGTTTGTCGCCCCTTTCCAAATGTATTAGAGCCGAAAAGTCCTCCTCCAACTGGTGCATGATATGCGACAGCATTTTGTCCTCCATCCATGACGTCGACCGCGTAGATCTCCCGACCAAGTTCTTCGGCATAGTCCTTTGCCTTGCGCACCGCATCGCGAATGGCCTCTCTGCGCACCTGGGAGCCCAGGGACTTCTTCGTAGCGTCGGTCAGACTCCAGTCGATTGCAATGATTTCGACGTTCGAGTAGCCCACAAGCTGGCCGATGACCTCACTCAGCTTGGTCATATCGCGGAACACGACGCTGAGGGACATGGACGCTTGATACACCTTGGGCAATTGCTGATTGTCCCGGTTGCGGGGGGTGTAGTTCCTCGTGCGAAGGAAAGTAGAGGCGACTTTGGTGACGGCCGCATCTGCAGTGGCAGTGCCATCTGGAGCCTTCGGAGACAGTGCCTTGAAGAGTTCGCTGAGTTCATTCGATCTCGCAATGACCTCCTTGGACACCACTTCTAGTTGGGAGCCCTCTGATTCGACAGTAAGTCGAAGAGTTCCCTGTTCGGCCAGGCGGATGGTGCTCGACTCGCCACTTACTCGGATCTTGAGGGGCTCCATGGTGTTTGTGATGAATGTGTGTGATGTTGTTTTCGGCGGGGGTGGACCTTAAATAGCCGCGGCCAGCAGGCATCAGGCACAGCCATGGCGGGCGGCCCCACTGCAGGACATCGCTCCGAGAGTAGCTTGGCGGCTGCCATTGCTCCTGCTGCGCCTCTCTAAGCGACCGCTCCAATAGTCGCCTCCGGTATCTAGTGTAACCTGAGCTACCCATGCATCATTGAAAGTCAAACATGTATGCTACCTTAGAATTTTGATGCATGTACTAGTACCTGCTTGACTTAAGACCCGAAATGGTCGAGGATGTAGATCTTGTGATCGCGTAGGTGACTGGGTAGTTGACTGGGTATAGATTGCATGGTATTTCTGCTGGATATACTGATCATAAGGCAGAAGACAGATCGGAGATCAACGTAGGGATTACCAGCTCGAATGTCTTAGTGGGCAGGAAGGGTCGTGGAGTGGTAGTACTGGATTTCACAGTAACAATCGAACGGATCGCAACTTATTTTGATGCATGTATTCACTCGTAAATCATGCCTGATCTTCCTAGACCCATTTAGAAGTAATTAAAATGGCTCAAACGGCAATAACTCCGTGTGGCGCATTCCACGCCGGGTTTCAAATCCTCGAGAACCTGACCAGCAGGCGCCTCTCCCTATTTAACGCCTGTGGATTCATGCGTAAGACTCCAGCATCAATTGCTGGTTCCTTCGTATATTGTTTGTCTCTTCGGGATGTTGAAGTCCGTCCATGTTGGGTCGGTATAGTTGTGATTTTCCGGACCGGCTGACATTTTCCGGGTGGCTTCGACCCGAACCGCGTTGATCCTCTCCACTTCATTCTCAAGCAACAACCCAGCCGAGATGGCTCGGGCGGACCATGGAGCTTGCCCAGAAACACTTGTGCCCCGTTGAAAAGACCGAAGTATGACCTCGAACATACTCCGCGCCACGGAGGGCCCTCAATCCCATTTCCCAACGCTAAGAGCCGACTCAGGCACCACCGCCAGAAACCAGCCATCAAACTGCAGACTTGATCATGACTGTGGCTCCCAAGGAAAGGGATACGACTGCTCCCTTTGCCCTGCTAGGGGATTTTGGTAAGATGATGCTGAAGTGGGGTACGATTGAGCGAGCGATGGTTGGGTTGCGGCACTGACGTTGGGCTTGGACACCGAGACTGTTCGCTGAGAAGGGACGAAGGCAGGAGCGGTATGATCGATCGATGGCAATGTAGAGGATTGAAGAGTGTCGTGACACGGTCTCTGGTTCTGGCTTGCCGGGAAGATCTGGGAAATGCGCGACTCGGGCGGCTGTTGGCTTGGACTCGCGGTGCCAGAAAAGCTGATCTGTGGCGCTGCGACGACGATCGAAGGGGGAGGCGCCAGGCGCGATCCCGGTTGCAGGTTGCCGTCTATCATATACGACTCCATACGAGCCGAGAACTCCGACTCTGAGGTGTCGCCAAGAGATGGCGACCGCGCAGTTGCATATTGTTGCCAATCGTGTGGATGGGACGATCGGCTCGACACTGAAACGGCCGATGGTGTTCGAGAGAGTCGTGATGATGGAGGATGAGACGTGCCAGCGAGATAAGACGAGGGAAGGATCGTGCCGGTGGTCGGTATGCTTGACGCTGCATTTCCAGGATCCTCGTCAAAGGTCCATCCACTCCTATAGGAAGCAGCAACCTGCTCGTCGCTCCCAGCAATCGACGGCCGCCCTCCGTAGGCCAGCAGGTGCTTCAAACGGCCGACCTCTTCCTCCAAGACAGCATTTCGCTGCAGAAGCTCATTGAATCGTTCATTTTGAGGGCGCATTTCGGCAACCTGGGCCTGCAGGATGGTGACTTGGGTCTCAAGCTGTTCGATGTGCTCCTTTGTTCGTTGTCGGATTGACCGCTGGGCTTCTCGATCATTTGCACGCTTCCGTTCCAGCTGCTCAGCGGACAAAGTAGAGACTTTTCGGGTCCCCGAGCGAGACTCACGCTTCTTGGGAGGCCCTCCGCCTTTACTACTCATGATTTGTCGAGATGCCGGGGCAGCAAAGTGAGGCAGGCCCCAGATACGGTAGCCTGACCTTCCTTGACCCAGTCGCCTCGTGCAAATAAGGCGTTGCTGGTGACCATGGGTCTAGCAGTGGCCGCTGGAGGAAAACGCTCAGCATAAAGGGACGGAGATGACCACTTTCCCCGGAAGAAAGCCTTCAGGGAGACGATCTGATATTATTTTGGGGTTGGTTTGACCTCGTGCGGACGGCCCCCTGGTTATTACCGGGCCGAGCAGGGGTAGAGCAGCAGGAAGCAGATAGTGCGGGATGCTTTTAGGCTCGAACTACGAATGGGAAGAGACAGAAAGAGCCCAGAAGAGAACAAGCCAGACTACTCGATTACTGCGATTTGCGATCTTCGGTGTGGGCGGACTCGACGGCAACGGCCTCCCAGGGATCCAGTGCCTTAAAAGGTCTCCTTTCACCACGACACTCATTCTGTGAGATTCTCCGGATCGTCGCTGGCATCTAGAGCCTGGCCCCAAGCAACACAGCAATCTCAAATACGGCACGCACCCAACGGCTGGGCGCAGACCCCCAGAGAGCCAATGAGCAGCAGAGAGCCGCACGAACCCTGTGGGTACCCCTAAGCTATGGACATAGCGTGTCTCCGGGCTTTGCGCCGGCCCCGTCGACTCCGTTTTGTGGGCAGATGCGCTTGCCGGAGGCAGTCAGGAGCAGTTAGAAGCAGCTTGTTGCGGTGCGATACGCCCTCCGACACCGCAGCCTTAACTAGTATAGGGCGCTGCCCGCCCATCGTTATCCGATTGGCCATTTGCACGAAGAGAAGCCTTCGAGTACATACATCCAACATCTCCTTTTTTGTGATTGCTTTTAATTTAGATATCCTAGTGATCCATTCAATAACGGGTACCCCAATCGCTACGGCCTGGCAGATTCCAGAATTCTCGTCGGTTTCCGTGTCCGTCTCCAACCCCCCTCCCCCAAGGTGAACCTGGCCTTGGCCCAACCTCACTCTCATTGTCAAAATTGATCAGGCTCTCGTTGGCGCAATTAACATGGCCACAGCAGATGCATACTTGGCCCCTGCGATATTCCCAGCCTGGCGCCCTGTTGCCTGAGTCGTCAAAGAGGCGAAAACCCGAGTCAACATGCATGTAGTAGAATCAATAGAAACAGGAACTACTCATCCTACCCTATGGTGCCTTCTCCGAGGTGCTATGTACTGACGATGAAGCGCTTAAGGAGCGATGTACACTCACCAGAGGATTTATAAGGCTTACGACATCAATAGTGCAAATTTCCCAGATGGAGTTTCTGCTCATGTTCTCTTGGCATACTTTCAGTCGACGTTCTTCTAAACAAGGTCCAAGTCCCAACAAAATACCGATCATTTGTATTGGATATCTACAGGCTTACGCAAGCTACTGTACCACGCTGGATGATAGGCTCAAATGTAACCTTCATTAGGCGCGGATGCAGTGAGCGTGCCCTAATAGCAACAGTAGCAACGCCACGGCGCGAGGGTGGGCCTGCAGCCCGGGATCGCAATACGTAAGGAAAAGAAACGAAAAAGGCGAAGGCAGATATGCCGTGTAGATCAGTATCCAGTTAAGTATCCAGTTCGTCGGATGGTTTAATTATCCCTGGAAGGCAGAATCAAGATTGTTCCCAATTTACCACGCACCATATCACCGGTACGTCTGCCATACCCTAGAACTACAGATGCCATCGGTACCTCTCGATACTTACTGTGAGGGCTTAGGCCAACCACTCCGCACCAAAAATAGAACTAGAAGACATTTTCTAGACACCCACTCGAGGCCGATCACTGCGGATCCGTGAAATGGCGGGGCGAGTGAGGGAAATTGCACTTCGATACTCGGCGCGGAGGTAATGTCATAGAGGATATGAAATGGCGTTGGAAATGCACGCCTGGCACAGTTGATCTCCATACACGGCCGAGCCGGGCCAATTGGAGAAGGCGGACGTGTCATTACGATCCGGTTCAGTCGCAGCCTTGTGGCGTCCCTCAGGTCTCGCTTGTCAAAGCCCTTCCTGGACACCCAAAGTGGCACTGCACGGGCTTCGGCGATGTTTCGATGAAGATTCCTGATCGACTCTAAGGCCAACCGTAGAAATTCTTCAGTGCAAGCAGATTCTACACAGCCTGGACAGATCCAAGGCCATGACTCCCAGATGGGCGGAGGATTGTGATCCGCAACGCAACCAACCTTCCAAGTAAGGTCCAGGAGAAGAGTAATCTTAACTGACAGCCTCGTCAGGAACTAGACTATTCTTCGAGTCGTTCCCCAGATTGCTCGTAAGGGATTCCAGCCGCCAATCGCATCGGCGACGAACGTTGTCCCGAGATTCCCGACCCTCTCGCGAGTCGAAGACTCGGCTTAGTCTTCTGCCTGGACCTGATTGACCCAGCCTGACGAGCATCATGGGTCAATCATGATGCCTGTGACACGGCAATGGCAAGGTTAAATTGCAGGCCAAGCTCCTTCAACCAGCGTTAACTGGTTTTGGCAGTCAGTTTTCTGCACCGACTGCAGGATCCAGGCCGGATCCGATCTGACCGGGATCCGATCTGGGTGATGCCATAGAAGAATCGAGAACTCGGAAGAGTCCCTCTCTGGAAAATGCGAGTAAAGCCGTGCGGGCTGCGTGAGTCAGGGTTGCGCGGATCGGTAAGTTAGTTGGCGATGGAGCTCCGACGACCACATATGTACATGTCAGGTCAGGTGATTGCCACCGTGTTTTCTCCCGGAGCTTGGACACCTATACCTCCGCGCTCCTCCACCTCCAATTCCAATCTCGGATGTGGTTTTCGATAGCCGATGGATACGCAGGATCTACGGTGATCCTGTTCGTCTAACCTCAAAATGGACCCGAGTTACAAAGCTCGGAAAGAGGCATTCGTCTCGAACCTCTCCGGAAGCACCATTGGCGATATCAACGCGGTGACATTAGTCGCGCCGGTACGATCTAGCGATCTAGCCCTCCCCCTTCAAGTTCAAGCAAAATTCTAATAACAATGATCTGCATAGGCTTCCGTCCTTTTGTGGTCCGCGCTACAGTCCCGCCTATCCTTCTTCACGCCGTATGGTCCCGCAGCTCTGCTGACGGACTTCCTGCTCAATGTTCTGGCCATTCTGTTCGCGACAACCGCTTACTCGTCGGCACCCCTCCTCCTCAACATCTTTCTCATCTCGCCGGCAGTCCTGCTGTTCATGACCCACCATCCTATACGCCCAACGCCGAAAGCCAAGCCTCCCCGCAAACAAAATGCCAACGATGAAACAGCGAAGGAACATGCAGAGTCCTTGCCTATCCACCCATTCCTGTCTACATACCGTGCGGCAATGATGATTGTCACCTGTGTGGCTATTCTCGCTGTGGACTTTCGTGTGTTTCCACGCCGGTTCGCAAAGGTCGAGAATTGGGGAACCTCGTTGATGGACATGGGCGTGGGATCTTTCGTTTTCTCCGCAGGTGTGGTCTCTGCGCGCGCGGTGCTGAAGAGCCGAGCCTCGCGATCAGCCAAGGCTGCCTTTTCACAAAGGCTGCTTGGTTCAGTTCGCCATTCCATTCCTCTGCTCGTGCTTGGCCTAATTCGGCTCTGGAGCGTCAAGGGCTTGGACTATGCCGAGCATGTAACTGAGTATGGGGTTCACTGGAACTTTTTCTTCACTCTGAGTTTCCTACCCCCTTTTGTGGAAATATTTGACTCTTTGACTGTGTTCATTCCATCTTATGAAGCGCTCGCGATTGGTATGGCGATTATCTACCAGGTCCTTCTGGAGTCAACTGACCTTAAGGGCTTCATTTTGGTGTCGCCGCGTGGTGATGATCTGATCTCCAAGAACCGCGAAGGCATCTTTTCCTTCATTGGATACCTGGCGATTTTCCTAGCTGGACGTGGCGTTGGAACCCGCATAATTCCGCGAGGAACTTCGTCGTCCACGAACACCCAGCAAGCTCGCAAGTCAGTGCTTGTCAACCTGACATTGCAAGTGCTTTTCTGGTCGACCTTCTTTTTCTTCAACTCCACCCATGCATTTGGCTACGGTGCAGGAATTCTGGTGTCGCGTCGGTTGGCAAATATGCCGTATGTACTGTGGGTTTCGGCTTTCAACAGCGCGCAGCTGCTTATGTTCTGTGCGGTCGAAACCGTATTCTTCCCTCTTGGTCATAGAGCGGAAAGCAAGGAGGCCGAGGCAGAAAGGACATCCTTTGCGACAAGCCGGGTGCTGAATGCATTCAATCACAGCGGACTGGCAATTTTCTTGATCGCCAATCTGTTGACGGGCGTGGTAAATCTGAGTATTCCGACCTTGGATTTCAATGTGCCGTTGGCCATGGTCATCCTCGTCGCCTACATGGCGATTCTCACAGGTCTTGCGTTGGGTATGCAGAAGGCCAATATCAAATTGCGCCTGTAGATTTATCGTTAAAATTAATTCATTAAGTGTTTCTTTCAACTACTAGAAAGAAGAACCTGCGTAGAGTGCGCCTACCTTGGAGTAAATATACATTTGATCAAAGTGGGTCCAGGCATGTGATATCATTGCTCCAAAACATCATCGCCAACTCCGCATCTTGCGGCATTCGAGCTCCAGTTCTGATTTCAGCTGTCTTTTCAACATGAGTTCCGACAAGCAACCGTTTTTGAATTACCCGCCTCCTCGCGAGGGTCCTTCAGTGCCCTACAAAAATGAGACTCAGTCTATTCCAATCTTCCGAGGCATACCCTTGGCAATCGGCGCGACCTTGTAAGCTCACAGCAACCCTGACTAGCTCCTTGAACTGCAGCTAATGGCTTATCCCCAATCAGGATCCACAATGTCAATTTTATTCAAAGCCACTTCTGGCGCAATGCTGGCTTCGGCGTTATTCGCGAAATCCCGCATCTTCATCAATACCCCGGCCGCTACGATCCAACCGTGATCCCCGTCGACAATGGCTCCAACGATACCGAGGCACCTACCATTGCGAAGAGAAAGGGATCGAATGGCTACTACACTTCGGCCGACTACCATGCGCTATACGTGTCGGGCGAGTTGACCCCGACCGCGGTCGTAGAGAGACTTCTTCCTCTGGTTCGACGCGACACCCAACCTGCCGGCAAACACTCAACTGCATTTCTCGAATCTCAAGTAGAGATAATCCGGGCAGCTGCAGAGGCTTCAACCGAGCGATACCAGAAGAGACAACCACTGGGCCCTCTCGACGGTATTCCGGTTGCAGTCAAGGATGAGGTCCATATCACTGGCTACAAGCGGACATTGGGAACCAAATTGGACTTCAAAGCTGGGAGCGATGCTACTTCCTGGTGCGTGCAGCAATGGCAGGATGCGGGAGCTATTGTCATTGGAAAGACCACTATGCATGAATTGGGTCTTGGTACGACACTATCAAACTTTTTTGTCGTCACGCCTTATTTCTAACGTTCTACAGATACTAACAACAACAATCCTAACTTCGGTACTCCTCGTAACCCCCACAACAAGACCTACTATTGCGGAGGATCTTCGGGCGGCTCAGGATACGCTGTTGGAGCCGGGCTGGTACCCATCGCGCTCGGCGCAGATGGCGGCGGCTCAATTCGCATTCCGTCCTCGTTCTGTGGCATCTGGGGACTGAAAACGACCCACGGACGAGTATCTGGGGCTCCGTCGATGAGCCTCGCTCCCACCGTCGGTGTTCTGGGTCCCATGGCATCAAACATTGATGACCTCGCTCTCGCATATCGTATCATGGCAGCTCCAGCCCCAGAATCGCAAGACCCAATCTCTTCGCAATTTCCCAAGCCCGTTCCAGCGCCATCGGACCGCAAGCGTCCCAAGACGATTGGAATCATGCGTGAATGGATAGATCGAGCCGAATCCCCCGTCCGCGCAGTCTTCGATACAGCACTCGACTATTACCGTCAAAACGGTTACCAGGTCATCGACATCACCATCCCATATCTCCCCGAAGGCCAGCGCGCACACGTCTTGACAATCATGGCAGAGATTGCATCAGGTGTGGATGCCCGCCAAATTCGCCAACTCACAGCTCCAAACAAGGTCCTCGTCTCAATGGGAATGTACCAGATCACTGCACAAGATCTCCTCGCAGCTCAGCGCCTTCGCAATCTCCTCATGACACACCTTTCCCACCTATTCCAGAAACACCCCGGTCTCATGATTCTCTCTCCTACCACCCCCATCCCTGGATGGCACATTGATGGCGGCGAGGCCGATCTTTCGCGTGGCCTTTCGGACGGCAAGACCTCCGTGAGAAACATGGAGTATGTTTGGCTGGCTAATTTTACTGGTTGTCCTTCTATCAACTGTCCTGCCGGATATGCTCCTGATAGCGGTGTACCGATCGGCATTATGGCTATGGGTGAATGGGGAACAGAGGAAGATTTGATCGACTTTGCTAGAGATGGAGAGGCTATCTTAGATTTACCAGCGGCCCAGCACCCAGCTGCCAGCGAGGAGGTTCTCGCTGCAAAAGGTCTGCGGACCCCATCTGCTAAAGAGTCTACCTGGGAAGATGTTATTGCGAAGGCTAAGGAGGGACAATCTACTTAAGTTATTGAGGCGCGCTTTGTATTCCTGGCTTTATACATTTTCATGTCTATGTTTATTGTGAAGCGATTGAATGATTACCTGTCAAAAACAATACCGTCTCATATTCTGCGTATTTGCTTCTCCTACCCTGAGAAAGTAGTTTCTCTATTTCCAAGACTAATAGTAAATGTCAAAGTCCACAGAATGCGCCGAGTCCAGTGATAATGTAATCCCAAAACGCCAGCAGTTAACCAACTTCAGCTAGATAAAAATACCCTGCTCCGGGTTCGGGATGAAGAATTGACAACCAAGACGCGAACTCGCAGCCTGTTGCTGGAGCTGGTGCAGAATCTCAATTTCAGGAGGTGGCCCGTCATTGAGAGTCTCTTTGATATGAATAATGTATACAGATAGTCCCGCCAACGGAAGAGGATCTGCTTTAGCCCATTGAACTGAGGTGGGAGCGGCACTGAAGGGCATTTCCTCATCACCTTCGAGCGGATCAATATCATAGTAGTTCGGGTCAGACGTTCTCGATGATCCCCATTCGGCTCTTCCAGCTGCGCTGCGTGTTCGCTTTATCGCATGCGGAATGGCGTAATTGGTAGGGTCAGAGGTAGGAGCGCTATTCCGCTTGCGCTTTGAGAAGGGCATTGGTGGATTATAGATATCGTATTCACCTCTACCCTCACGCACCTCCATCACTAGCTTCGCGAGAACTCTGAGCTCTGCAATAAGGTGTCTTGGGCACAGGTGACCATAAAGGTAGGCGTCCTGGGCACTGTCGGTGTAGGAGCATTCTATGAAGATAGCACGGAGAGTACCGGAGACAACCTTCGGAGCAGCCGTCTGCCAGACACGGCGATTATGTGGCTCAAGGGCTACCGAGTCCGGCTCGAGGTCGCCAAAGATGATTATCTCTTTTCCGCTATTGTTGTCATGGAGGAAAAACGCAGAGCTCTCAACGGTTGCCATTGGAGGTTCCTTATTGGCAGCCCCGAGACGCGGGGAGTGCAAAGGAGAGTAGAAGCTAGATATCTTGTTAGCCGGCTACTCATCCGCAAAGCTGTAAAGCAGATCCTCACCTACCTTTGATCATTTTGGTCAATGGAAACTGCACGAGAGGGCATGTAATGATCGGTATGCGAGGTAAACACAGTACTATTAATCCTGTGATGCATCGCAGTCTCGGCATGGTATCGCTGTTTGCATCGTCCATGACTGACGGACAGACATTTGGTTGATATGCCACGACAAGCCCGAACATAACCCCTGAGATCTCCTGTGCCCAATCTGGGATTTCCACCCTCTACCAACCGGTTGTATGTGAGCAGACCTGCACCACCATCTTCATCCGACAGGTTCGGCCAGATCACATCATTGAACATGTGGTTTTTAATGGCCGCAATCACGGAAGGGAGAGCAGCCACTGATTTCGGCCCATTACCCGCTTCCACAATCGGCGTGTTGATTGCCAGGCCTGAGATGTGATCAAGGTGCGGATGCGTAATGAGAACTGCATCAATAATGTCTCGAAATACATACGCTCCATTGGCCTCAGCGGTCTTGAAGGGAAGTTCAAGGCCCGCAAACGGTCCAGACTGAATAACACCATTTTTGGCACCTTGAATATCGCGCTTCAGCAAGCGAACAATCCCCGCAAGAAGGGTTCCCGCATCCACAGCGACAACGGAGTCCGGAGACCAGCCCGTCGAGGTCGATCGTACCAGCAAGCCAGTCACTCGGTCCTCGCGGGGTCCACCTTTTGGGCCCTGGAGAGTGTTAGTTGATATTCCCAGTGCAAGTCACGCGCTATGACAGGCTACCACCTGTCAGAACCCGAGGCCAATTTCACATATTTGGGAACCGTGAAACAAGAACGAGGACAATGACATGGATCATGGACCGACGAAACACTGTTCTACACGTGATCCCCCCTTGGAACAAGCAATGAGCGAGTCGGATGCTTACCAGAACAATAACCTCGAAGGCAGCTCCTTCACCCAATGGCTGCTCGTGATGTTCCTCTGTCCCCACCCTTGACTGCGGCCTTGACTTGACCTGCGTGTCCTTCTTACCCCTCCGTTTTACCGGCATCTTGGTAAGCTTCTCAGCGTGTCTAGAACCCGAGCTCCAAAAGGTCCCAGAGTGACACCAGTGTGAGGAGCTCTGCTGCCTAACTTCGGCGGCTGCCCAAAGCTTGACGGTGCAACTGTCTCACCAGAAACACCCGTATATCAATCCGTAGCCGGCTCGGATCGCACGCGGCTAACAGAGACGGAATTTGCCGAGCTCAAACGCGCTGCGGGAGGGAGAAATAAAAGGAATACAAGAAGATTGTGATCTGGACTGTCGCTCGCTTTGCTGCAGACCCTAGCTAGCCTCTCGCATAGCCACTTAGGGTCGCGCAGGGAAGACAAAGATGCGGTCAGGAACAAGGAACAGGTCGAAGGTTCGATGTGCGCTTGGTGCCAACTAGGGTGACAGCGTGCGTGTGATACCGCGTCGCTGCTAAGACGAGGGAGCTGCAGCGCTCAGATAAGGTCCTCCGCCGGCTGGGGAGACTCCGCCCAGTGTGGACCTTTCCCCAGCTTGTATGACCGCGAGGGCGCGCTTTGTCCAGGTCAGCCCAGGTGCTACTGCACGCGAAGCCCAGTCAGCGGGATGCCAATTGGGTGATCGCGGGGATTATGTTAGATCGCTCGGCGCCTGCAGAACCAGTCCGGTGCAATATATCGGCGGCGCAGCTGATCGCTCGGGCAAATCGATGCGATGCGCGCGGCTTGTGGGGTCAATGACGACTGGTCCTCGGCGGATGTGGAGAAAATGTTGGGAACTGGTGAGACAGTTGACTGGGCAGCTGAGGGCGATCTTATGGGGTTTCCAGCGAACAGACAGTTTCGAGCCGAAGCTCGGAATGCTGGAAACTTGAAAGGAAGACAAGGGCGCGTCTGGGGAATATTGGGGGCGGCTTGGCGGCTTCTATGGGCGCTAGCGGTTGCCAGCCGACGAGCAGGCATGTCTCCATTCAAATGCTCCATTTTTTATGCCGTTGACTTTCTTTGTTGAATTGAGCGCTGAATTGAACACTAAGCGAATATCCTTTGAGATTGTTGAAATGCATCAAATCCACGACCTGGAACATGTGATCCATCGCCTAAGACAATCGGTCAATTACACCATAGAAAACAATGCCCTTCATACCCCGTGGCAGATATTGTGAAATTCGACAAAACTTAGCCAGATAGCAACGATCATTGATGCTGAAAGAGATGTTGGGCACACACGGACAACAAAGAGAACAGCAGGTGGATCCCAATCACTTTGTAAGCCGTCAAAGAGTTATTACACTGATAAATTCGTGAGGTCACATCACATTTCTTTCAGGACCCCGGCAAAAATATATTACGGGACCACATCAATGCATCAACGCAACAACCACGAGTCCACGCTGATTTTGTGGTATACACTAGTAGTGTGCTAGCTTTTCTACGGTACCAAGGGCTACAGAATCTACATGAGGTGCCTCGAAGAAAAGATCCAGTCGAGTTAAGAGACTATCGATGATTGCTGGGAGCAGGGCCTCCCCGGGGTATGAGGATGCTAGATGACAGAATGTACAGACCTGCTGCCAACCTTGTAAATGGATACAGCAAGAGCGGGAAAGTAAAGCGAATGAAGAGGGAAGGGTTCGCAGCCCGCTGTACATGACTTCATGAGAAAATCAGAGTCGAAAGATAAAACACAAACCCCATTTCCGGCCCAAACAATAAAGCACCAGACCCAGTAAGATAAAAGCACATTCCATAGACCAGTCCTCCCAAATTGCTATAAAACGCCATTCCGTGGACTCGCTAATCAAAACAACAAAGAAATGAGCAGAGTGAGAGTGAGAGTGAGAGAATGAGGGCTCAGCCGTTCTTGGGATGCTTGGAACCCATCGGTGGTGAGGGCATAGTATGTTCATGAGGAGCGAACGTTTAAATAATCCGCCGGGGAGACTCGCAAGTATTTAGTCGTGGTCGCTCTCTTCCCGGTCCACCGCAGCCTGATAGCTCGGTAGATTCTGGGGTGCCTGCTCGGGGTTCGCCGGAGGGGAGCTCAACTCGCCAGAGTTCCTGGCGGGGAATTCCAGGCTGGCATCACTGCCCCTGCGACTACTCCCGGGGCTCGAATATTCTGGAGGCGGGACCCCGTCATCATCAGTTTCACCCGCTGTTGCAGGATGATTGCTTTCTGCATCCCCAATCCGACTGGACCCTTCACCAGCGTCTTCGTTAGAAGGGATGTGGGCCAATTGAGCAAGAGAAATGTCGGTGGGAGAACGGATAGGACCGGGGCTGACTGCCTGAGGGAGTCCAACACTTGAGCTTCTTGCAGTGTGGGTCTGGTAGACGCGCTGCGAGATTTGGGCGGCGCTTTCACGGCCCGACTCGAGTAGAATGCTGCCTTGTTCGCTGCCGTAGGGTGGGGGCGGGGCCAGGCTGCCAGTCATGGGGGCCAAGCCCCATTTCTTGACATTAGCCTCGATAAACACGAAGCCCATTTGGCCAAAATTAACATGAACGCTGCAGGGGCCATTGGACCCAACGGTGGGGAACAAATTTTGAGTGCGGTAGTTGTGAGCGATATCTTCGAGCCTCTTGCCGTTGCGAGTGAAGAAGATAGTACCCGATCGGGGTCGGTAGCCAACTCCAATGACGTCGCCTTGAGAAAGCGGTGGCCCGTATGGAGTCGGGGCAAATGGCTGGTTGTGTCTGCGGTGACCTGTAGATTCATAGGCGACGGAGGTTTTGTGGAAGCCTGAACAGATATTAGCTATGCTGCCTAGCCCAGGGTATAGACCTTACGGTCATCACGGGACCACAGAGGCGAGGAGTAAACATACCAGGCATTCGGAAAAGAGGGTAAGGCTTGGTTGTAAGGCCGACACCAATCATTGTTGACTCCGGTTTGTCGTAGATCTTGGCTTCCCAGTAGTAGACCTCATTCTGTTTCGGAATGGGAAGATTGGTCTGCACACTGCACTCGGAATCGAAGAATTCAATTTCCGTGCGTCCTTCGACAAAACAGTTTGCAATCTCCAGTTCCGGCTGGAATTCCCAAGCGGAGACGCCCTTTTCTTGGATGGCAAGGAATTGTGACAGAGAAATGTCGGTTTGCATAGATTCGGGCGGATTGGCTTGAACGAAGGCTGAGGTGGATGGTTAGAATTGCGATTCAAATCCACGCCCATCGCAGAATATCTAGTTTCGACAAGCTCACCTTTTGCTCGAAGATATTCCGATCGCGACAGGTCATCCATGCCCTCCAGAGCCGCCTCCTCCTCCCGCGCAAACGCCTGCTCATCGTCGAATTCGCCGGGTCGACCAATGCGATCGAGCAGAATCCGGCCGCGGCGGGTATACTTGAAGAAGAAAAAGATCGCGAGAACGATAAAGGCGATGGCTGCCGAGCCAAAGGCGGACAGGATCCCAATCAGGATACCTTTGCCGGTCGAGCCGGAGGAGTTGCCACCGGCGGCAAGTGCGCGGCCATTTTCGTAATCGGAGGACAAAGTCGAGAGAACATGCTGCAGATTGTTCTGGAGTTGTTGTTGCGATAGAGCGCCGGGGGTTTGGTCGGCGGTTGGGACGGACGAAGCGACGAGGTCGAGCGGTGACGTCGTCGGGGTGCCTATCACTGTGCTGAGAGTTGAGGGAAGGCCAGCGAGCGCACCGGGGCTCGATGCCTCAGGGCCCTGCATCGTTCATTGACCGAGAGAGAAAGACGAGGGTATCAAGCAGAAGAAAACACCAGAAGGAACGGTCGTCGAGGCAGAAACAACGGAGAGGGTAAAGTGGTGGAGGAGGTGAGATACGTCGGAGTGGGCGACGGAGGCGGATAAAAGCGCCCTGGGTTATCTAAGACGCTTGCGGTCCAGGCTGTGCTAATGTATCTTCGGCCTAGGCAAGTATGGGCATTCAGGTTATTATACCGACGGTTCCTCGCTAGACACGACTAGGGCCGCCTGCAAGGCAAATTCGGTCTCGCGTCCTGTCTTTGAGTCCCAGTTGCGCCTGGGCCTGTTCTCCAAATCGTCCATGGATGGCGGTATCAGGCGGTTGTACAGGCCATCCCTACTCAGGATAAGCCTCCTTCGCTCCTCTTTTCCCCTCTACCCCTCGTGGCTCCCTTACTTGGACGGGAAAGTGACCCCTCTACTCGCTTCCTTCTCCCTGTTCTTTTCACGAGACCCGAGCTTCGAGCCTCGAGCCTCGATCGGATCATGCGTGCCAAATCCCACACTCCTGGCGGCGCGAACTCCTTGGGGCCCGATGTGATCATCAACTCCGTCGACTCCTACCGGATCCGCATTGCGGTCTCTGGCACCTCCCTCGATAAATACCCTGGTAAGCCTCGCTTTCCTCTCCTTCTGGGCTAGATAGGGTTCCGCAAGGCCGTGAGACGACCTGTCCAAAACCTTCGTGCCTTTTGGCGAACTATTCCCCCTTCGCGATCGCTAGTTCCGTCCCGACCGGTGATCTTCCTGCCGACACTGGAGCTGATCGTATTGTCTCCCTGGCACAGCCAAACAGCACGCGCGCAAGGTCGCACGCAAACTCGGCGTCTCGCATGGCCTGATCTTTCTCGCCGGTCAACCCACCGTAAATTGGCGCGACTCCGACCAATCGCGACCGTTCCGACAGCGACGATACTTCTATTATCTCAGTGGCGTGGATGAGCCCGACTGCTCTTTAACATACGATGTCGCATTGGATATATTGACGCTCTACGTGCCGGACTTTGATCTGCACCGGGCGATCTGGATGGGACCGACCCTTTCGCGCAAGGATGCCCAGGATCGATACAATGTTGATCGGGTTCTCTATCAGTCATCGCTGAAGCCGGAATTGGAGTCATGGTTGAGCCAGCGAGTCCAGAACAGCGCCTTGTATGTGGTGCACAAGTCGGAAATACCTGAAGGGCTACCGACAGAGCTCCCTCTGGACACGAAGCAACTCATGCCCGCCATGAATGCGGCTCGAGGTGTCAAGGACGAATACGAGATTCGCATGATCCGCCAAGCCAATAAAGTGTCGGGACTAGCACATCGGAGGATCTTGGAAAGCATCCAGAAGATGACGAATGAGTCGGAGATCGAAGGGTTGTTCCTCGAAACTTGCATCTCTCATGGCGCTCGGAATCAAGCGTATCAGATCATCGCGGCATCCGGCCCGAACGCGGCTGTTCTCCACTATGACCGGAATAATGAGTCTCTCTACAAGAAGCCTCTTGTGTGTCTCGATGCTGGAGCCGAATGGAGCTGCTACGCCAGTGATGTGACGCGGACATTTCCGCTCTCTGGGGAGTGGCCCAACTCGTATGTCCGGGACATTTATAGATTGGTTGAGCGTATGCAGGAGGAATGTATCAAGCAGATTCGGAGAGGAACGCGTTTCCTGTCTCTGCATGACCTGGCCCATGATATTGCCATTGATGGGCTTTTGACTCTCGGTGTCCTCAAAGGCGGCAAGCATTCGGAAATCCGAGCATCAGGCGCCTCAAAGGTCTTCTTCCCACATGGGCTTGGCCATCATGTCGGACTCGAAGTCCACGATGTCTCCGAGTCTTCAATCATGGCGATGCACCCAGACTTTGACCAGGAGCAATATGGCCCGGTCTTGAATGCAACTGCCAGTCTTTCACCTTGCACCGTCTCCGCGCCCCTGCTGGAAGAGGGCATGGTGGTGACTGTGGAGCCTGGCCTCTACTTCTCACCGCTGGCTCTTGCGAATGCGCGAAAGCAGCCATTCGCCAAATATATCGATTTTGATGTTGCCGAAAAATACGTGCCGATTGGCGGCGTGCGGATCGAGGATGACATCCTGGTGACCACCAATGGCTATGAGAACCTTACCACCGCGCCCAAGGGCGAAGAGATGCTTGCGGTTATTCGTGGGTCTGCGTAGAACTTGAGCGACATAGATCGCATAGTATAATGTATATGAAGTACCCCACGTACCCCAGGTACAAAATTTTTCGGGCTACAATATTTCGAAAGCATTTTTTGAACGACACAAGTTATAAGCGAGTTATACGCGAAGAGGAAGCATAACGTGAAGAATTCATCTAGAAGCCTAGGCCTTCTGGTCCTACATGTCTCAACGCTGAATTCAAAGTTAGATCTTGCGGAGCTTAGTGTTCCTAATGAACGATCAGTGCCCACTGTTGACCAGCGATCTTTGCATTAAACGACGACATTCTCGGATTCGGCTTCGGCTTCGTATTCGCATTTTCTCCTCAATGAGGCAAGACTGGGCCCAGTGCATGCGGTCCAAGAGTCAAATGTGTCCATTCATCAAGTGTGGTGTGCCCAGGAACCCACCGAGTTATGCATTTCAATCGGATGAGAGGATGGCCGACATTCTCTTTTGACCAGCTCAAATACTCGTGGTTCCCCGCAGGATGGTATCCTGGAGGGCATCTGCGGCACTTACTACATTCCAACGCTGCATCGCCACACTTTCGATCAATACTAAGAAGCTGCCTGCGTTTTGGAAGCAAATCAACACTGCACAATGACTCAGATCAAAGATGTGGAAGCCGAGTTGGTCTTTTGCAAGAGACTTAAGTGCCAGAATCTGGAGGTAGACTTCACCAAAGCCAAGCCCGAGGTGTGTCTGGAATCATTGAAAAAACTCAACGAGAGTCGGACTGTGCTGGTGAAGGACCTTCGGGGTCAGGAGAAGCTGTTTAGTCTGGAACAGAATGGGTTTCAGTATGTGTGGAACGACATGCCCGAGCTCGAGGGTGCGGCAGAGCCGAGCCATGTGGAGACTGTAATTATACCCAGGACGGAGGCCCTTGTACGGCAGCTGTGAGTGTCTAGACCTCGAGGAGGAATGCGTTAATTTCATCTGGAACGAGGGTTGCTGATCATCGGGTCCAGAACTGGCGCCACGAGAACTGTCTCTTTCACCCATCGAGTGCGATGCTTCAGTGTCGATGAGGGCTTGCTTGCGAATAACCGCGCCCCTGCGCATAGCGTGCATTCCGACTTTACGCCTGCGGGTGCGCTGCGCAACCTGGAGTCGGTGATCCCGGACGCAGACGAAAGGGAGCAGCTGTTGCAGCGTCGGGTCATGGCCATCAATGTCTGGCGACCCTTGAAGACGGTTCAGCGAGACCCTCTCGCCGTGTGTGACTGGACCACGCTGGACTGGCGGAATGACCGCATCGCGAACCGCCTCGTGCTGCCAACCGGGTGGAATGAGCTGGGCAAGTATGCGTTCAATGCGAGTCAACAATGGTATTATCTTGCGCAGCAGCAGCCACAGGAAGCATTGATCTTCACGCAATTCGACAGCGAGCAGGCGGATGAAGGAAGCATGACGCTGCCTCACACGGCGTTTGTGGTGCCGAATTCGGAGACGCTGGCAGCAAGGGAGAGCATCGAGATCAAGATGTTTGCCTTCTTCTGACGGGCCCACGTGTGTTTCGGTTGTCCAGGAATGGGCGGTCAACCCTGGCTAAGAATGTTATGGTGGACCTCCCAGAGGTTTCAGGAATGCTCCAGTGTGAAGCGTCGAGCTACGTGGACCGGTCCACCATAGCAAGTGCTGGCGTCTTGGGCATCGAGCGGTGCCTTCAGGTCCCGGAGCGAACTCTACGCGAAATTCGACGCCAGAAGCAGGTTCTGCGTCCTAATGCCGACTCTACCCTAAGACTGGGACTCGTACGGAATTTCGCGGATTCATTTTTCAGCTCGCAGCTTTCGGACCCCGGCGAGTGTCTCCGAAGTGGCCTATGCTTTTTTTCCTTTTTTCTTTTTTTTTTTTTTTTTTTTTTGCCCTTTTCCCTTTTAAGTCCGAGATCGCATTGCCTGATGCGATCTCCGTTCGGTCCGCACGGCAGGGCTGGCCCAACGGCATCGGAGAGCTGTCAGGGCCGAGCAGGATTTTCACGTCATCCCTGGATTCGATTTTTTCTATTGTTGGTTTCAGGCATTCCAATTCCACGCTGCACAGACAAGAAAAAAAATAGGAAAAAAGATACATAAAAATCCAAAAAATGGTGTCAGTCATCACCTCATTGCCATTTCAAATCCCTCGTGGTTTTTGTCATCGATTCGTAGAAGCTCCATCACGCGATGGCTATAGCGTCAGTCAACTGATAACTGACGCAGCGCATCACGCCTTTCCGAGCTCTAGCGCCAGGGTTTGGCGCCATTTTTTAAAGCCATGAGATGATCGACTTCTGGATGGTTCCACTCTTTGCACTCCCGACAAAAAAAGCGGGTCGCTCGCCCATTAGTGACTCACCCGCCGACTCATTCTATGGGGACCCGGCTATCCTGTATAAGAAGCCGGCCACCCCTGCAGCAGATCTGAGATTTTTGCTCAGTACCTCATCTCGTCCTCTACAGGGGGTGATGGTCGCTCCCCTCCACCTCTAAAAGTCCTTTTTGCTCTCTGTTCCTCGATACCCGGCTGGGGATAGCTCCTTCCAGTCCCAGCTTGCACGACCCCTTGAGGATGGGCCAGAGACACAACCGACGCCGAACACGCCCTCGCTCCCGCAATCGAAACACCGCTAGTCAAGATATACCGGCTTCGACAGTCTTCCATACTCTAGGCTCGCCATTGTTGGCCACATCATCCATTTGGCCGCCCCAATCTATATTATCGGAGCTGCCCGCCACGAGCTATCAACCTGCTTCATGTATTTCACTTGGATCGCCGGCTCCCGCACACCTTGCCCCGACTTGGCACTATGGGTATACGGCCTGGCAGATCCGTGAGAACGCCCCGCGGGAAAGTGGCGGATTGGAAGCCGAGCAGTGTCGTCTCTTTGGCGGCGAGCCTGGCGACGACGTGGGTCTCTGCTACCGCATGCTGGAGTATTTTGGTGGACTCGATTATATCGACTCGTTAGTACCTCCGGCTTTGTCAAATTTGTGATATCGTTCAATCTCTGACTCATCTCCACAGTACACGCAACAGCACTCTCGGAGATTGAACAATGCGGTCCATGATCCAGCCGGGGCCATTTCATCCCCATCACAAAAAAGAAACGAAATCTCTTTTCTCGACTGCGATGATTTTATGATTTGCATCTATGAAAACAAAAACACCGCCGAAACATGGCTACGGAACTCACTGCCCCGGGTTAGTGTCAATTCGTTCCTCGCCAACCACAGCGCGCCTACACAACCCAGAACACCTGATCCCATGGAGTCACGCGGGTCCCCGACTTGTAGCAATGAAGATACGCCCCTGAGGGTATCGGATTGGTCCTTCTTGACCCGGCCATGTGGATCCAGGTCCGCGGTTTTGCGCCCTTGGAGAATGACTCATGCGTTTCTCGCCCCGGCTCAGGATAGTTGAACTCGCGTCCGACTGAGTGATCGGTTGTTGACGCTCGAGGACCTATCCGGGCCTCACGAGGGAGCCTGATGATGATCCCAAGCCCGCAGATCTGTTCTGTTTTATCCACCCCTGCGAGGGGTGGATGTACCTGGCAGCCGCTTATAGTGGCATTCGACGGACAATACATTTAATTCTGAGGGGTAAATAACTGGGTATTGCTGTAAATTCCAGTAGCCTGTATATACTGTTAGCTCCCAGAAATTCTGAGAAATTATCTTCATCAATCACACATTTTCCGTAGATGCATGCCTCTAGTAGTCCTAAAAACTAGTCAGATCTAGTTAGTTAACTATTTACTTGGCCCAATACACTGTGGCCTGGGGCAGTGATCCATGTGATCCACGTTATGCGATTCAAATCTAGTCACGTGACCCAGATTATTCGAAAAAGTTAAGGGTCTCACCGCCTGCGCCGCGAAAAGGAACTGCCGAAGGCGGTGAAGTTGCTTGAGGACACGGTCATCACCAGATCAGGAAGTGCGTGGATACTCCCCTTCATCGCTCCTTTGTTTCTCGGCCATTCCCTCGGTCTCCATGGTTTAAACTCTTCTTCGCTTTGCAATACTGACCAACGGCCGACGCCTGCTCTTTCGCCAAAAGCTCTGCCCCTCTCGATCCTTCAATACCGCGGCGGCAACCGCTGTCGCCCTAATCTCGCCGCAACATGTCATCAGATTACACCTATGATGAACAGGTGAGGACTACATTGGCAGAAATTTTTTTTAAAATCTATGCTGACAGCGACACTTTACGTGTTTTCAGGGACAATTTTTTCCCTTTTTCATCCTGACCTTGAGCGGCCTGGTCACTCTCCCTCTTACCTACAACCTCCTCCGTCCAAGCAAAGGTGAGTTCTGGGAATCAATTATTTCCGCTTTCAACCGACGCGCTCTGACTAAAATTTACCGTCTGCAAGATCTTGAAAACACCGCTCCTCGCATCAAGTCGAACTTTAAACCACAACATGCCGACCTGGTCGAGGCGCAGAAGCGCAAGCGTCTGCGCAAGGAGCGCAGAATTAAGCGCATCATTACCGTCATTCTCGGATACCTTGTGATGGCGTGGATGATTTACTTGATTCTTGTGACCGCCAGGACAACCGCGAAGGTGTACGATCCATACGATGTTTTGGGCATCTCACGGGTATGTTTTGTGGCCCCTCGGCGCACATGTCGAGAAATATTCCCATGATGACGCTGTGCTAACGAATTTCTTTGAAATAGAGCGCCGACGAGAAAGCTATTTCTCGCCACTATAAGCGTCTCTCTCTGATCTACCACCCCGATAAAATCCGCCCTGACCCCGCCAAGAATGAGACCATGGAATCGCTGAACGAGCGCTTTGTTGAGCTCACCAAGGCTTACAAGGCTCTCACTGACGAGGAAATCCGCAACAACTACCTTCAATATGGCCATCCCGACGGCAAGCAGAGCTTCAGCATTGGTATTGCCCTTCCCAAGCTCATTGTGATGGAGGGCAATGGCAAGTATGTCTTGCTAGTCTATGGCGCTCTTCTCGGCGTTCTCCTGCCTTACATCGTTGGAAAGTGGTGGTACGGCTCGCAGCGATACACCAAGGAGCGTGTTCTTGTCGCCAGTGCCGGAAACATCTTCCGCGAGTACAAGGACGACATCACGGATGGTGGCATTGTGAACGCTTTGTCTTCTGGTGAGGAGTTCAAGGATATGCTGAAGGGCGCCCAAGCTGAAGCCGGTTTGGCCAAGCTGGAAAAGAAGGTTTTGTCTGAAAATTCTTCTTTTTTGTCCACCAAGGACCGTGAGAATCTCAAGAAACTGGATAACTCGACACGCCGAAAGACTTTGGCTCTGTTGTGGGCCTATCTTGGTAGAATAGACCTGGATGATACTTCTCTGAATTCTGGTAAGATTGCGTCGGCATTGCACACACCGTTAGAGAAAATGCTAACGAATTTGGGAAATTTGCAGAAAAGTATGAAGCGGCTCCTATCGCTCTTGCTTTGGATGAAGCCTTCACCGCGATTTCTTTGGCTTTCGGCAATCTTCGACCTATTCTTGGTTCTTTCCAAACTTCTCAGAACTTGATCCAGGCTGTGCCTCCAGGCTCATCGCCACTTTTGCAGCTCCCCAACTTCACAGATGCTGTCGTTAAATCTGTGGAAGGGGAGAATGCCAAGAACCACATCAATGTCCAGAATTTCATGAAGATTCCCGATGCTGAACGCCGCAAACTCGTTGTTGGCGCTGGTCTCCTGTCTGAGAAGCAGTATACCGATGCCATCTCGGTTGCACAACAACTGCCCGTTCTGGAAGTCTCCAAGGCGTTCTTTAAGGTTATGGGAGAGAAGGTGATCACACCCAGCAGTCTGGTACAACTGGTTGTGAAGGCTCGATTCGTCCCGCCGGGCTGCACGAATGTGCCGGCTGTCGACGAACTTGACCTCGAGGACATTGATCCGGATGAGGATGACTTGGATGCACTTATGGGCCGCAAGCCGGCCAAGAACCGCACCACCAAGCTTGTGGATGGCAAGAAGGTTGAGAACAAGGTCGAGACCATCCAACCGCCTCTGGCTCACGCCCCCTACTTTGCCCGGGACCACTCCCCCCGCTGGCACATCTTCCTGGCCGATGGCAAACAAGGCAAGATGGCCGTTCCCCCCTTCACCTTTACTACTTTCGACAAACCAATCATCGACGAGGCCGGCAAGCCCACCTTCAACGTCCAGACACTGAAGATGCAATTCCAGGCCCCGCCACAGGTTGGTGACTTTAACTTTGTCATGCACATGGTTTGTGACAGCTATATGGGTCTCGATGCCAAGATGGACGTGACGCTGCATATTGAGGACCCCGCCAAGGCGGCTGCCTTGGAAGAAGAAGACGACATTAGCGAACCGGATGAGGGTAAGTTTGATTCCGCTGCAATGATGTTCACCGAAAAAGCGAAACTCTAATACTAATATTTTTTATTGTCTAGACTCTATTGCCGGTCAGATGCACGCGCTGAAGACCGGCCAACCCCCGAAGAAGAAGACCAGGAAGGCTTCCGACGACTCCAGTGATGAGAGTGACACCGACGGCGATGCAGGCGATACCAGCGACACCAACACGGAAACGGAGGATGAGGATTGATCGCATTTGACTTGCGTTGATTGATGAATTGTATCGGGGACTGTGCTACCTAGAGGGCATTTATCTCAAGGCTCCTGTTCATCACTTGTTCAACTCTTTCAACACATTTTAGCTCATTATTTCTGGTTTCATTTCTTTTTCTTTACTTTTTTCCCTTTTCCCGCTTCAGGTATCTTCGGGGGTGTCCTTGATTCCTTGATCTCTCATATATTTTGCCTCTCGTCATGGGATTCTCTCCAGTGTCCCTCTTGTATGTTCATCTATCGCATTCGTCTACCACGGGGAATAGACGTGGGAATACCAAAGGTTCCATCTACAATACGCATCGGGTAATCAAATATAACCACTGACCTCCTAGCTCGGACCCCAGAGTCTGGGCTGTACACCTGACTCGCCTGCGGATGGAGTCTCCGCGCGTAGTGTGTAACAAGCGCTTCAACCTTGGCTGTCACGACCATCAAGACAAGCATGCTCACCTACCTGAGGCGGTGCTAGCATTGCCCGTGCTCCTGGTTGGCAAATGGAGTGAATACGGTGATTGGGTTGGTTCGGTGTCCTGGAGATGGAATTTTGCCTATTCTGATGCTTATGACTTACACGGCCATCCCCGTCTGTGTCTTGTTGTGGCCCCAAGCTCCCTGTCATAGATCAGAGCTTTAGTGTAGCTGAAGAAGCAGGAACTTGGTGCTTGGGATTTGACCCGAGGCGAAGAAGACTGGGTTGACCCCGTCTTCGAACCCTGGGACTGTCTATTTTCCTAGATACATGATATGATTCGTGGGAATCGTTAGTGATGTAGTAAAATGGTGAGAGGTACACGATTTGCTTTGCGCCAAATAACAAATCCTTAACGCCCCTTTTTTGCCTTCTAAGACGCGCGTCTATAAGCACAAGCACAAACACAATTCTACCTGATGGGTACCAGGATAGGCAAAGAGTACCTGAATTTATGGGACTGGGTTGTGTCTCGTATCTCAAACTAGATGGGGAATGAGATGAGGAAAACAAGGGGATGGAAGGGTGGAGGGGTATGAAAGCCGGAATGAGATGCACAGAGTAAAGAAGGGCAAGGACATGAACAAATTCTGCCACATGCATGCGTGCCCCGGGGTGGGATATCTGCCCTGCAGTAATAACTCCGTTGAGCCTGTCGATTAGCTAACCTCCGAGCTCCGATGGGAGATGGGCTGATAGGGCTGTGAGGAGGATAGGTAGAATGAAGTGCCTTCTCGCACTGCAATTTCAAGTGAAAGTCGAGAAGGGAGAGAGAATAGAATGGATAGAACCGAAAAAAAAAGAAGAAAGTATGGAAATATAGATAAGAAGCGAAAGAGGCTATAGGGCTGCCCAGCAGCCAAGTCCAAAGAAGATCCGATGGAGGAGAGTTGAAACGCCAGAAGAAGGCTCAGTACTCGTCCATCTTGCCAGAAGGGAATGCCCACCCTGACGCAAACCCAGGATAGAAGCCCGAGTCCTGGGCCTGGTACTGGAAGTCGCTCAACATGTCACTGGACAGGTTACTCATTTGTTGAGTGTGTGTCTCAGGCATGATCCCGGAATGTAGTCTAACCGCAGGTTTGACATCGGGCTGACCATCTGCCGAGTTGCAAGCTGCATCGAGGAAATAGCCAAACGTGTGATCATGAGAATGAGCCGTAGGGGCAGAGGATGAAGCTCCGACACGGACGTGAGGTGGGATATCACTGGCGCCTAGCTCTGTCCCGGGTATTGAGGACCGCGGAATCGACACCATGTCCTGGTATCCGGTGTCGGTGTAATTGTAGTTCGCCGAGGGCACAGACTGCAGATCCCATTGCAGCTGCCATCCAATATTGCTTCGTCCTGTGATAGGAGTAGGAACTGAGTTGCAGACGGACGGCCGTGAAATCGTTGTTGGCGAGGGCTCTGGGGGAGTTGTAGGCTCGGGAGATGGCTCTGCAGTAGCACTGCACTCCGTTGATGTGGACAATAGCCGTAGATATCTCAAGTCCTCTGTATCCTCGTCTGGCTCATCTGCGTTTTCCTCGGCTTGCTTGATGAGTCCTAAGCGATCGAGGATTGCATGGGTCAGAGGGTAGCCATCTGGCGCGTCTGCGAGTGGCTCGCCCGGGAACCCTTCATTGTTGATGCAGAATTTATATAGCTTCTGCAGGGCTTTGACGACCAAAGAATGATGTGATTCAAGCATCTCGACGAACCTGAAGTCCAAAGAGAATTTTTTGGTTAAGTGCGCATTCTTGTATAGACAATGGTAATATTCAGTACTCACCCTCGAGAGTAGACCTTGGTTTGAGTTGCTTTCCTTTCACGGAAAAGACACGGGTGGTTGTATACCGAGCAGCGGTTGCAAGGCTGTTTCCCGTCACACTGAATAATCAAACTTTTTTTAAAAGATTTTCTTTTTCATAATGCAGGATAGGAACAAAATTGTCAACTCACCTTTGTCTTCTTCACGCGACAACGATCGCATGCCTTGAGGACATGCTTTCGCTTGACCCGGAAGACGCGTTGGTCCCGCTTATCCTCTCCCGTCCTCGAACGGTGTTCCAGCTCCGACAGCGAGGCCACGGCAAAGTCATCGATGGTATGAGGAAAGCCCTTGGGGCGAAGTTTCGGTTGCCACGACATGGCTATTTGTGCAGTACAAAACACTTGAGGATACAAGGTCCAAGGCAATGGAGCGAAAAGGCCAGAAGATCGGGGAATGGAAAGAGGAGGTGGATTGTCAAAAAAGCAAAATAAAATCGCAGAACAAGAGCCGGGTTTTCGAAAGGTCAGAAGCTCTTTCTGGCCTGCAGGAGAATGGAGCAGGTGGGGTGGGTGATATGGAACCCCGAGGACTTCAGCCGCCGGTACAGATCCCTTCCCCGGGGTTGATATCATGATTATCAAGGCGTGGTGCAAAGAGAAGCCGGGGCCAACCCCCTCAGTCAAAACCCCCTCCTCGTCTGGTCTCCCCTCTCTCCTCCAAGAGGCCCCGCACCGCATCAGCGTGGGATGATCATGCCCCGCGACAGAGGGGGAGGGTATAGATACCGGAGGGTGACGTGGAGCGGTCTGTCAGAAAGACAACCGGGGGACCGTTCGATGTCTCGCGACATCCTGTGGCTGTGGGAGGTACGACGCAGGGATCCCCGCGCTCCAATGAGTGGAACCCAGCGGACGCTTCCTTCCAGCTTGACCTTGCGGAGGGACGGGGACAGGAAGTACGGAGGACACGCACCGGTCCTCGTCGTACCCACCGCACTAAGATGAGCACGGTCCGAGCCGTCTGGTGGATCTCTGGGAGCGGGCGTATACAGTAGAGGAAGAACGCCCCGGTCCGTTTGGGCAGCAGCGGAGCGACAGCCACTTGATGGGACTGGAGCAGACTTGGTGATTTGTCCGTGGGGCAATCGCGATGGCGTAACGTCTTGTCACACCGTTGCCAGGGTCAACACGTGCGATCCAAGCGGCTAAAGGCGACTCAGGCCTTACTGGTGGTTACGGGTTTCGTCCGTTGCTGTTGGCCTTTTGATTGTGCGCGCTGACAGCGTAGGCCCATGCGGTGGTGGGTTTTGCCAGTGACCTTCGATAAAATCACCTGATATCCTTGCAGCGAATGCACAGAAACGTGGTACGGCGTGATATGTTCTTGGCCATGGGTGATCCCGGGGCATGATAGTGACGGGGGTGGTTGTCATTTGGTCTGCAGGGGGAAGAGAAGGCGAAAGACGACACAATTTTTCCTGTTCGAGTGACAGTGACCCCGTCTGGGAGCCTTGGAGGCGTACCGATGGTACTCCGAGGGTATTCCAGGCGTATTTCCAAGGGTCTGCCTGCGCTGGGCATCGTCATCCGGTGTACGCAGGAAACTCGGGGGGTATCCTGTCCGCGCGGGCTGTGGTTCTGCCAGCTGAGGTGAGCCTCGGGACTGCCGACTGCTTGAGGGCTCCCTCCGAGTAAGCTACGCTTAGCAGTACCCTTCTTGTACCAACGGAGGAAACACAGGCGGAACAAGGCAGCAGAGCACAATGCCAATGCGCCAAATCAGATCCCCCGGGGACATTGGAGGATTGGAAGGAGGAGGATCATCCAAGACGCAGCCCTAATCAGAACGGTTGATCTTGATCTCAGATGCACTTCCTCAACAGCTTGAGGGCTGCTCCCAACCTGTACACAGCCCGTGCTCCATGTGTGACCACCGGCTGTTGATCTACGGTGTATTTTTGGGGTTGTTCTGCTACGTTTTCTTGGGGGACTATGAGCAAAAGGGAATGGTTTCATCCCGAAACCCCGGCAGACACCGGGTGGGCTGAACCCGAGGCTGATCAAACTCGATGGATTCGCTGTACTAGTAGTACTATACTAGTAGGTACTAGTAGCAATATACTAGGGGTAATATGCGTGGGAGGCGAGAGGCAGCAACGGACAGGTGGAGAATCCCGGTTGCTCGAAACAAACGAAACAATAGCGCTACTGATTCCGTGCAGAGCGCACGCCCTTTGCCGGGGGAAGCCGAGAAGAAGATGCAGATGCAAGGCTACGACTAGTGTCCCGCAGGTCCATGAAGAGGGCAGGAAGACCACGAGGCCAGAAAAACCGTATGTGCTATATGGCGACGATTCTATCTAACGACCAGATCTCAATGACTCACGGGGTATCAAATCAATGCGCCCCCTTCTTTCTCCGTTTTCATGTCCTTGCGCTTCTCTTCTTTTTCCCCCTTTCGAGGCCCAACCTGTCAGATTAACCCGAGCGAACGGTAGAAAACACTAAAATGCAGATTGGCAAGGTGATCCACCCTGCATGACAAGCCTGGCGCGTGCCCAATGGGGCGGCATTGTTCGTGAAATCAGCAGGTCAACGGTAATCTTCTCGTCAGGTACGTCGGCTCGTTCACCCGACCACCCCCAAATGGTGGAGGGCTGTTTGCCCCATTGGAGGCCCGATTCTGTCTCCTGCCATTCACGCGGGTTTGGCATCGGGGAGCAAGATGCTCGCTTCACCCTTTGCAAGCAAATCAAAGCTCTCTTCGCTCGTGGCGGTGGTGGGACTGGACACGGAGGCGTCGTGGGTCGGTTCGTCTTCCTTCTCGTTTGTGCCGAATTCGGAGTGATTCTCCCATCGGCGATCACCAACCCACTCGATGCCGTCACCAGCGCCGCTGATGCGCAGGCGGCGACGTTCGCTCTCGCGTTCCAGCAGAGGCAGGCGATCGCCTCGGTCAGGAGTCTGAGACTTGTCGACCAGGGGAAGATTTCGTTGGTGCCATTCACCGAGGAACATGCCCTCGGGGTCGACCTCCTGCCGCACCGCCAACCATTCATCCATGTCCTCGCCGTACAGGTCATGAAGCTCGGTGGAGTCAAGGACGTTGAAGTTTTTCGCCCAGTGAGGTCGGGCGCCCATGTCCCGCATGAGCCACTCGAACGCTTCATAGTACCGTCGTCGGCACGGCGGGTCGCGAAGGTAAGGGCGATAGAGTGTTGCATTCAAGTAGAGCGTGGGCCCGTTGTGGCAGGTCGGGTCGAGGAAAGGGCGTAAATTCGTGTTCGCCGTCGAGTCTGACACTCGCACCTCGACGGGGCAATGCACCCACAGGCCCTTGGAGGAAAAGGGGATGCGCGCGGTCTTCATGTCCCCATGCAGCCACGCCGACAGACGGCTAATGGCCTCGGGACCCTCCTCGAGGGGCAGCGCCCATTCATTAACGAATTGCGAATATAGACAGTTCATCAGCAGACCAGTGCGGGCGGGCTCAACTGCCTCGGTGACAATTGATCCTGCCCGGAATCCATATTGCATTCCAAAAACAAACCATTCCACCCACGGAAGGATACGTGGGAAGTAAGACGACAGCGCCAACAGGTTGCGGTAGATGTGATACCCGAGCCAGTCGCCGTAGAAGTTGCTCGGCGGTTCGCGCAGCGGCTGGTCGGTCTTGTCGGCTCGCCAGACGATCGCTCCCTTCTCATACGGAAGCCACCAGACACGCACGAATTCGTGTGAGTTCCACAGTCCGTTGGACCATTCCTTCAGCACCTGGGACAACGAGTATCGCTCCTGGCGCCAGGCAATATTGAATGACGGCCGAGCCTTGAAGGTCACCTCTACGACGATTCCGAGTGCTCCCAGAGACACCAAGGCGGCGCGGAAGAGAGACGGGTTGTTGAACGCGCTGCAGCGCACGAGTTGTCCATTTGGCAAGACCAGGCTCAAGGACTCGATGCACTCCGAGAGCAGGCCGTGTCGGAGCGAACTGCCATGTGTCCCCGTCGCGATAACACCAGCTATTGACTGACTATCGATGCTCCCCAGGTTTGCCAGTGTCAGCCCATACTCCTTCTCGAGTCGAGCCCCCAGTCCACTCAATCGAATGCCGGCCTCGACAGTGACAGCGTGGGTATCGGGATCGACGTGCAGAATACGGTTGAAGTCATCGAGGTTGACGAGCCAGGACGAGGTGCAGGTGAGGTCGGAGGGCGAGTGGCCGCTGCCGACGGTGACGAGACGACGGCGACAGCGGCGGGCGAGAGTCACCAATTGCTGGATCTCCGGGATGGATTGAGGGCGAATGTAAAGCTCCGGTCGAGAGAAGAAGGTCTTGGCCCAGGTGTGATGCAGGTGGTCGGAGGATGCGCGGAAAGGGACCGCGGGGTCGAGCTTCGCCAGCTCGCGGGCGACAGTGGGATGCATGGTTGACATGAGGAAGGGATCACGGCATTCTGCAGGGCTATCACATCGTCTGGTATAGGGATCGGGAGGATCGGGAAGTGGTGGGGGAGAAAGGGAGAGAATCGGCACGCTAAAAAAAAGTCGAGATGGCGACATGACGGGTTCCACCTGCTACCACGTGCACACTTGTTTGTACTTCAAGCATGAGCATTCCAGGCGACCACTACTTGAACGCAGTAGTTACTGGTGATTCTGAACGATGTGCGACGATGGATGATTGATTGGCAAGTCCAGACTTTCCTCCATGGCCAGGGCCAGCCGAGGTCGCTTCCAAGGTTGTCGCTGTTCTTGCGCCGGATGGGCGGGTTCCTCCGTGGGCTGACCATATACAGCACCGTCAATTACCATCGTCCTTCTGGCAAACAGGAAGAGATAAATAGCACTGGATTACTCAAAAAACGCCCCCATGATACTACCCAACAGGATATCACAAAAGCATCTTTAACTTCTAGAAGGTATGTACTGTCGAGCAGTCGGGAGAATATTCCCCTAATTGTTGACTGGATTGATAAGCACCTAACCTTCGAAGATAGCAAAACTAGTTAGTTACATAGTGTAATCACTACCCTAGGGTGCCGTATTTTGACAATTTCGTGGTAACCAAAATATGAAAATCCAAATTATGAACAATTTGGATACGCACGATAAGCTTCGAACGATTCTAGAAGTCTGCGAGAGCCTCAGAACAGCCACTAACCGACATGTGGCTTCTGATCTTCGCGACTCCACCATGCAGGTTCCCCTCCACTGCAGTTGGGTACTTTGGGTTGCGGGGTATCTTCATCCACAGTCGCCCCAGTCGCCCATCTTCTTTAGCGATAACTTGCTGGTTGTTTTGTCCTATAGAATCACAGGGTAGGAAAAAGAGTTCTCTATTATATACCATTCGGGAGAACTGGCTGGAATTACCTCACAGTCTTGCGGATCTATAGGATGTACTATGTACAAATAGGTCAAAGCACAGGCTCAAGCGTAGGCACTTTCAACAATGCTGGAGACATACCCTGCCACATGGTCCAAAGGTCTAAGCTATCAATATCGGTGGTCCACTCCTCGGGCCCTGGGACCGAGATCTTCCAATCGTGCTCCTTGATCACCGCGAGCAAAGCCTTAAGGTTTGTCTTTGCACTGCTCACATCGTTGGCTGACACGACAAAGGTAGTCTGACAGAAGCAAGCAAACGAAAGCCTGTCATTGAGCACGGTATTGATATGATTCTGCCACATTTGAGAAGAAAACGGCGTATCAAAAGCCAATGCATTCCACTTGGAAATATGTCCTTCCGCTGAGGGAAGAGCCGGGAAGTATTCTGGTGGAGCCATGGGCCATGCACAGTAATAAATATGAATCCTGCCTTTGCGAAGATCGCACTGGGGTGGTCGGCCTGGATCGTTTTCGAAAAATCGAAGAAAACGTCCGAATATCGCTCTACTGGTGGGCTATGGTTCAATAGTGCCCTCTCAGTCGAAGGCTTGAAGTCATAGCTGATATAGAGATCTAAACATATGTCTGTCCCTTGTAGCAAGATGGGATACCCAGGTAGCGGCTCAGCCGACTTGAGCATAGTGATTACCTTGTTTTGTTCCATGTCAAAGAGAATTTTCAATATAGTCCGCGATTCTCGATGAAAGAGTTTCTTCTTGCGAAGACCACGGAAAAAGTTCGGCTGCTTCTCCAACACATCCCTAGCACGCGTTCGATTGCCTTCCGATTCATATCGAAGGACATCAATATTGGGATCCAGGTGTAGTGAGTCCTCATCGGTAATGCATTGCACCCACCGGTTCTGTTCTTCGTCTGGGATGGAGGCTCGGATCGCCTTCTCCAAAAGCACCTGGGCAGCAGGACCACCGGCCAGCAGAGCTAGAATATCAACGACTCATTGAGGAGTGAAATATTGTGCCGGGGCTCGATCGAGGATGACAAATTTCAAGTAGTCTCGTCTCAAGCATCTCTCTTTGATCCCCCTGGCAAGATTCATGTCCGGTTTAATGTTCGCGAGAGACCACTCAATTATCCAAGGCGCATCGTCCAGGCTCTCGTCACTTCGAACTGATCACCTACGAGTAACCCAAGGATCTTCTTCGTCTTTGTCATTTTGCGAGAAGAATTTTGGAAAGCCCTCCATGTCGTAGACAACAACCACAAACCGATTAACGCGATTGACAAGCTCTTGGGCCAATCGTTCTGCGGCCGGTTCATCTTTTGTCATCCGACCAAATGACAACGGGATTGTCTCTGTGTTGTAATGCCGTCTGTATTGGCAATAGATGGAATCGGAGGGTCCGAGAATCACTTCGAAATCGGAAAGAAGCTACACATAACAGAGAGTGGGGTTTCACGAGGGACATGATCTTTCAGCGCCCACTCAATCGCATCGTCATTACTTTTGCTATATCTACCTAGTGCGATAAGGCGCTGGATGCGCAGCAAATCCTCGAACCCAAACCAGAACTCTTCGATGGTTGTCCGGTGAACAAGGTCGATAAAATAGCTGTATAGTATATCCCATCCGTGGGCTGTCATAGCCTGCCGTTTCTGATCCGTGACAACTGGGCCGCCTAGTATAACAGCAGATGCTTCATCAGGAGTACCAGATTCGTCACACGATACAACGTAGTCAGAAACTGCGTCGCGCACAAAATGGAGCATATCCGATCTTCCCATTAATTCGAAGAATTTAGTCACGTCTTCCAAAACTCCAGGGAACGCTGCGAAGAAAGGGATCAATATTGCCGTTCTGTGCTTTCCACAGTGCTTCCTCGTCGGCCTGCCAAAGTAGGAATTCGCGAAGGACATAACGTATGACATGGTCGCCTTCATCTGGTTGTCTTGAAAAGTCCCTCGTGGAGGTCTTGTATGGTCAAGACAGAGACTTTGAGAGACGGGCATATCTCATAGAACCGTTTCAAGTACCCGTCAGCCATACCGTGTAGAGTTTGCTTCAAGGCCCTGACATAGGAATCTTCTGCAATATGACCAAGATCAGACCACGGCGTATCCGGGACTAGCATGGATCGATAGACCATCTTGTATTTTGGTTCCTCATCTTCTGACTGTGCCGAGGCCGATCCGGTTGCATCCTCGATCTTGTGTTTTAGATGTTTGATTTCCTTAGTCAACTTCAGAATCCGCGTGATGTCCCCGATTGCCGAGGTAGGGTTGAAGAGTCGCTGGTTCACTTCGGCCCTCATCCTAATAGATCTTTTCCCAAGAGCGATCTTTTCCTGGGCCTTTGCAATGTCGAATTCATCCTCGGGAAGCTGGAGTAGTATGTAACCATCCTCTGCGCTTTTGTATATCTTGTAGAGCTCTTTGTATTCGCGTTGGCGGATATGACAGCGGGAATGATCCGGCACATCGAGGTCTCAACGACACACCGTCCCATCAGCCTCCAGGGCAAGACATCTGTGCCTTCACTCCTCTCTCGAAGAGGCTACGTTTTCCGGCTCAGTTGTAATGTTGGACGTGACATCGGGGAGAGAAGAGCATAAGTAGAGCAGAGGAATAGCCGGCGAGGCAGGTGAGGGTGTTCTCTCCTGTCTGGCCATGCAAAAGTCCCATGCATGAACCAACCCAATCTTGGAGTCTTGGACAAAGATGGACTGATAAATACACCATTGACCAGTCAGAAGCGGTTAGTAGACGCCCGTATGCGAGTCTCGCCAACACCTGCCAGTGGATTTTGTTAGCCATTTTCGCTTCCGATCTAGCACTGAGTGAAGCAACTAGTGTTTTACTATCGCCGTTGGCGTTTTCGGTATCGGAAAGCCCCTGGGATAACCGCCGAAAGTCAATGGCGCTCCGCTTGCCAATACGTGCTGGAATAGTCCTGAAGTGGACATGCCCTCATAGTCTTTCGGACTCCTAGTTCTTTCCTACCAGTCCAAGGCCCTTTACGCTCCAGTGGACAACTTCACTTCACATTTCGACCATTTACACATATATCACAAGTGTTGCACACGATGATCTGAATAAAAATATTTCAGGCTTTAGATGTACATCCCAGATGCTCCCGCCATGCTCCTCTAGGGTACAGTACACCGAAGAATAAAAGACTCCTGCCCTCCCACGAATGTTCTCCATACTAACCGAAATATGCACAGAGAAAGATAAGAATAGAACGACACAGATACCCACCCGAGGGTAAGACTAAAAAATAAAAATAGAACACAGTGAAAATTTGAAAAGATGAAGAAATTCAGGAAATCTCAGCATCAGTTAGATTTAACCCCTCTCCGGGGATCGGATTGCCTCGATCGCAACATCCAGTGGAAAGACGACAGGCGCATGCAGGGAAAGCTGGTCCCATTTGCGGAAAGCGCTCTGGCAGCGATCCGGGACGCCACCGAGGGCAACAAAGCTCTTTGGGATAAACGGTCGGTCTTGAAGTGAAGCTGCGAGAATTCCGTACTCGTGAGCAAAGACGACAGCGGAAGCAAACTCGGCTGACTTTTGAGATGCGTGTTCACCGATGATGCTATTATAAAAGTTAGTAACCATTTTTTTCTTTGTTTCACTGCTGGAGCTGAAGACTTACACATAGATCTCGAAGAACGTATCGAGAACGTAAGCATCTCGTTCGGTCAAGTCCTTGTAGCAAAACGGTTCAATTTCTCGTACGGTATCGTTCGGTCGAACAACCGGTGAGCCCGAGCCCGGACGACGCATCCAGAAACGAGACGGTTGACCCATTTCGTGGTCCACCTTCAGCAGTCGCGTGCGGAAGTGATCATACTTGGGCTTGAGCTGCCAGTACTCAGAGGCCATGAGCGGGTTGCGCTCGTTGGTTCCCGCAAAGTCTTCGAAAAAGCTCTCCGGTTCTTGGCCCTCATCAACCTCCTCGAATTCTCCAGTGAGGCCCAGATCCATACTTATGAGACGGGCTGCACCGGTTTCTTCGGGGCTGCTTCCTTTGCCCTTCCATAGATACAGCTTGCCGAAGGGGGCGGAGATAACAAAAGGGAACCCAGAGCAGAGGTTGCGCAAAGAATAATCAACCTCATCAAAGGCCATTTGGCCCAGGTGCTTCCGGCCACAGAGCATGTACAGAGCCGAAGCGTTGGATCGGGAGCTAGACCCACGGCGTGTGATCATAATACCTCCGAGCGCCTGCATAAATCGCATAGGCTCTCTGCCTTGACGAATGACATCCAACTTGCAGCTATTATCACGGGCGATCTTCTTTGCGAAAACCTGCGCATCGTCTTGCGCACCTCCCGGAACGTCATCTCCACACCAGAGGTACACTTCCGAGTGATTGCTCTCTTGTGCTTCGAACAAATGCACACACAGGTACATGCTTCCCTCATACAGCACGTACTCTTGGTTCGCTGGCAGCTCTTGCCGCTTGCCATCCCCAGTGAGCTCCCAGATTTGACGTTTCATGGTTCTGATCTTCATAGTGTCCACTTGGCCCATCAACATGAGTTGTGGATCAATGTCCATGCGGTCTCGAGGGTTGGGGAATGACTTGAAGAACCGAGCAATGAATTCGCGAGCATCTGCAGCTTGCGCAACCAGTGATGGAGCAGACATTTTCCGTGACAGGCGATGCGGATCAGAAGGTTTATCGAGAGAAATGTCGGACCCCTTACGAGGAACGGGAGGCGAGTACTGGGTGCTGGATCGAGGAGAAGAGTCTGCAACTGTCACCCCGGGAATGATCCTTTGCATCGACGGTGTCGGCTGTTCCATTCGATTCTCGCCATAACTGGTCCGAAGGGGTGACGGAGAAGTAGAAGCATACCGAGCTTGCCGGGCCCACTGCGGCTTTTGTGCAGGTGTCGATGGCGATGGAGAAGGTGAAAGCGACTGAAGGGGTTTTGGCGGAACAGGGGGTCCACTGGATGGGCTCACTGCTCCCGGCGACCCCATTTCTTGGGTGGGAGTTGCGTTTTCCTTTTCACTTGGCGAAAGCATATCGGGCCCTCTTGTGGACACAGGAGAAGGGGGTACATTCCGCAGCCTCTGTTGCAGTCCGCTGGTGAGAGCATCCTGGAAGCTGGATTTCACTGGCGGCAAGGGCTTGTCGACGGGGCTCTCTGTTGGGGCGTTTTCAGTATCGAGAATGAAAGTGTTGTCTGACAGGCTCTTCGTCTTGGCTTCTGAGGGGACTACAGGTTCAGGGGCAGTCGGGGGGCTTGTGACTTCGAGAGACGAAATTGCACCCACCTCCATAGTATCCTGGGTGGATGAGACAGGTGGAGCAGCAGTCCCCTTAGGAAGCCGTCTCTTGGGTCCCCGAGCGCGACCCTTCGTCATATGGGTAAGGGACGAAGATGACGATGAAGGCGAGCTTTCACCAGAGTTCGAGAGGGGCATAACCGGCTCCCTTTTCGATCCCTCGTTGGCAGCCGGGGGACCTCGGGATAGGAGGCCTGCTAACGCAGGGTTGATACGGCCTGCAAGTTTCCCTTTAGCAGCCAAGCACGGGGTTGCAGCTGGAGTCGAATCCTCCGCTACTTTTGGCGAGGGCGAGTCAGGAGTTGAGCTGATCGCCTCCCCTATGGGGTGGCAGTCTGCTGTTACAGCTGGCTGTGACTCCTCCGTTGTGACATCCCTCTCGAGGTTTGGGCTGTCATTCGGCTCAGCCTCAGTCGCCTTGGACTCGCTTGTCATTGGCGAAGTGACATAGTGCTGCTCAGTCTCATTGGCAGCAGGCGGGGATACAGACGGCAAGGAAACTGGGGAAGTCGGCGAGGAGCCATTGTCCCCAGAAACGGAAGAGCTTTTCTCACGGGTTGGTGATCTGATGCTGCCCGACTTTGACATCAAGTTGCGCTTGGCAATGGCTTCAGGTACCGCAGTAGGAAGCTTCTCCGGTGCGTCTTGCTCCCCTGCAGTATTCCGTCGGATGGACCCCCCGCCGGCCTTCATCGCTTCCTTTTGCTTGACAAGACTGTCCTTGAAATCGTCGACTCGCTCTGATTTCTTGGGTCCACCAGTAACATGCAGGGCAGCTTTTCCCCGAAGAATGTTGTTCTTCAGCTCATCTGGAGCGACATAGTTGCGAGTTTCAGTCTTTTTAAGCTTGCCAAACACATTCTTGAACTCTGGCTCTTGTTGCGGTCCGGTGTCCTTTGCAACCTCGCGCTTACGCAGGTTTGCTCGAAAATCAATCACAGGCGATTGTGGCGGCTTCGCTGTTCGAGGCGACATCGGGTCGCGCGTGGGAAGCGAGAAATTCGGTTTGAGCGTCAGAGCAGAAGGCGCTGGCTTACGAACTGGCTCGGGTTCGAGTACGAGCTCGGGACCGGGGGTAGGTGTAGGTTCTGGAGTCGCTTCGGGCGTAGTTTCGGGCTCAGGTGTAGCTACAACCTTAGGCTCGGGCTGGCTGGCTGGCTCAGGTGGAGCATCAGTCTCGGTCTGCAATATTTTCGACTGAAGCTCGGGTTTGGCTTTGGACTCGGGCTCGGATGCGGGCTCGGATGCGGGCTCGGATGCGGGTGCAACAGGCGATAGTTCCTTCGTCTCTTCGGTCACAGGCTCTCGTTTCAGAGACGACAATTCTTTGTCTGCGCCGGGGGTCGGAGAACTGGGTGCAGTCTCCCTGGTTCTGGTGGCACTGGGGCTACCATAGATCGAAGGGGCTCCGGAAATACTGGGTTTCTTGAAATGCCCACCCGGGGGAGGTGTGCGCATCAATCCAACCGGGTTCACCTCCTTGAAGCGGCCCATATCAACGCTACCCCGTGATTGTCGTTCTCTTTGCCAGGCAGGTTGCGACGGTTGCTTCTGGTGTCTGGGAGACTCGGGAGGTCGATTCAGGGCGCTTTCTAACCAGGAGGCCTTCTGGGGGCTCCAACGTCTGGGGTCCATAGTTCGTGAGACGAACGGAGAGGAGGTTTCGGCACTCTGGCTGTCAGCAGTCATCGAGCTGGTGGAACGGGTGTGGCCATAATAGGGAGGTCTGCTCGGGCTATACTCCTGACGGCTGGTGGAGAGTTTTCGAGGATTTGAAGGGGTTGTAGGTCTTTCGGTAGACTCTGCGGGGCGCACCACAGTTGCCTCGCTATGACTCGACCCAGGGCGTTGGTTAGGCACCGATGAGGTCTCCGGACTCTTTTGCAAATCAGTTTTGGGTGCCAGGTCACTGACACTGGCCGTCAAGCTAGGGGCCGCAACACTGTTACGATTCGAGACAATCGAGTTGCTGCGACTGAGACCCTGCGGGATTTGGGCACTCCACCGCTTTGACACACTATCCGATCTTCGCATCATCGCACTCTGGACAAAGCCGCCGAGGCCCTTCGTCGGTGAGGTTGATCGAGACCGTTCGGGAGACATTCGCCGCTGGGTGGGGGATGCAGACATGGGCTCTTCGGTGGGCCCTTCAGTCTGGGGCGGGTCGAGCTTGGGAGCATCTGACAGTGTTACAGGAGACCCCAGTCCGGTCGCTGGAGATACCGATGAAACGCTCGAAAATCGGTGGTGGAAGCTGCTCTCCTCAACTGTAGACGCGGTTCGCGGTGGGGACGGCGATGCATCCCCAGCTTTTTCTGACCGGTGATCTAGCTCTGCTGTTGATTCGCGGCTTAGGTCTGGCAGCTCTTGACTTGCACCCAAATCTGCCCCGGTTTCTGTCTGTTCTTCAGGCTTTCGGTGCGCGGGCGAGCTCAGCCCAGGGTCCGGGGTTTGTCGAGACCAAGACGGGTCCTTTGACGAGAGAGATTGGGTAATCTGGCCACGAGACAACTGGTCTTGATCAGATGCAGTGGAGGTATTTCTGAGATGACTGGAGCGAGTTGGAGATGTCGAGCCGGGGGACCTGTTGCCGAAATCACGCGAGCCCGGGCGTTGCTGCCATGACAAAGTCCCCGTTCGACTTCGTGACAAAGTCGGCAGAGCCCGAGTTGGGGACTCTGGTTCCGAGGATTGAACCGATCCCCGTCGCTTGTCGGCATCCAGTGGTTCTCTCTCCTGACTCAACTTGGCTGTTTCCGCTGTGGCTGTTTCTGGGTCTTGGGTCTGCAAAGTGGGCTCAAGGTGCTCTGGGGGATCGATCGATGGTTGTCCGAGAGAGGAAGCACTTAGTCTCGAGGGATTTAATGTGGGCGAGCCGGCAATTGATCGTGCTCGCTCTATCATCGTCAGGGCATTAGTATCGTGGGAGTCATGAGTGGGGTCAACCAGGCCATGACGGCGCGGGGCCCCGAAAGTTGCGGTCTCCCAAAACGAGCGCGCCATCTAGAATTCCCCAAGGTGAGATTCTGAACTCACCAGCTCGGCGGGCCTGTCGTTCCTTGCGGCCCTGCAGAATATCCTCCTCTAGCTTCTTGGTGCGTTCCTCATCTTCCTTGTCGCGCTGGTCGCCGAGTCCGCGGATGCGCTGCAGAAAGTCGTTCACGTCCTCCGATCCTTCAAGGTTCGTCGCCATGATCCGTCGCGCGTCGCCGCAGGTAGGCCCAGTGGAAAGAGGGACCTGGTGCTGAGCGAGACGAGGAGTTGTGATGGGGAAGAATGGCAGAGCGGAAGAAGGGCTGAGGTGTTCTCCGCCCTGCCTAAATTAAATGGGGATGGACACGATCCGTCCGTGATTATTGGCTCCGATCGGCCATCCCTTCAGCCCTCGGTACTTGGACATGTACGCCAATATACTTTTTTTGTGTTTTTTGTTCTTTTTGTTTTACAATACTTTTTGATGTACGCGCAAACCCCGATCGAGCTCAGGCATGCCGTGTGGCAACCAGCGGCGCTGTTTGTTTACTGCCGGTTTGTGGAGCGGATCGCTTCCAGGTTCGCGCCCCGCAGGCGGACTTGGGACCCATGGGACGCCAGAGTGCCCGATTCCGGATTTTACGATTTTTCTGGTGATTCCCGAAGTCAGGCCGACAAAAAAAGATTGTTCAAGCGCACTCAATGACACTATCGCGCCAGATTCGATCTATCAATCCATGCCTTGCAGCAACATACAAATCAAGTATAGCCGGAACGTCGCAAATCAGAAATCAAATTTGAGATCAAAACCCCCTGCAAGCAACACGCTACTGTAGGCCATGATGTAATCAAAATGGGGGTTTTTAAGTTGTTTCGGGAACGATTCTGTCGTGATGATTGTTTCATGATAAAATATATATATCTTCGGCATCATGCGGCTTCCCGGTGTCGAGGATCCGACTGAACAAACATCACACGAGTTGAATCCCCCTTTATTCACGGATGGGATGAAGTCCAAAACTTCGTGGTCGGATAAAAACTTGCATCGGACGCACTACACCGCATGGAAGTTTCTTGGACCGATCAGATTGAAATCCAACCGTGGCGCAATCACAGGGATCCTATTGTCAGGAAGACCGCAACGGTAGCCGGGCGGCCGTGCACCAATGAAGCAGTTATCGGACCAAGGGAAAGAACATAGGATGACCATATTGATATTGAAAATGTAAACAATCGAAGGATGGGTATTCCAGGGTCGACTGCCCAGACATGGTTGGTGCGTGTGCGAGACAACTCACCATGAATTAGTTGACCAAATCAAATCTAATACAGGAATAGTCGGTCTTTGGCATCCTGTACTACCCATTCCAAGCCTTCATGGAGATTTGCGCCTGTCATGGCACTGCATGGAAGAATAGTCCACTTATGTGTTTTGATCAAATCCAAGCCCAGGCGCTGTGAATCGTCAAGTTGTTAGAGATCGGTCAAGACCGGCTTATGGCCTATGCGAGTGGACTCCATTGACAATCAATACTCACCTCGCGCACTTCATCTTCGGTCATACAATGCTCCACATCGGTTTTGTTCAAGAAAACCAGGAGACTGGCTCCCATCAAGCGCTGGCGACCATTAGTTTTGGAGTCCGATTAATTCGGCAACGGTGGGGACGCAGGAGGCATACCTCTTCTAGGAGCAGACCAGCCAGCTCCCCACGACAGTCCTCCACCCGCAATCGATCGGTCGCATCGACGACCCAGACCAAGGTATCGGTCTTTTCAAAGTAATTTTTCCAGTACGATCGGAGCGTCTTCTGTCCGCCCACATCCCCTGCTCACAGTCAGTGCGGTGCGGGTCGCTCCGGGCTGTACGACTCACAGATGTTGAGCTTGTATCTAGACGCAATTAGTTGAGAGCCTGAAAATGAAATAGGGGAAGTGGAGATAGCGGACGAACCCCATGAAATCAATCGTTTTGATAATAAACCCCAGTGTTGGGCTCACTGAGGTGACATCTTCGTTCATAATCCGTTTCACGATCGTCGTTTTGCCGGCATTGTCTAGCCCCCTATGGCCAAGGCCATTAGCACAGCCGTTGGATTCGCAGAAAGCAGACTCACAGCATCAGTATTCGCATCTCCTTGTCCTTCAGACGAGCTTTCCTCAATATAGACAGCATGGCGATGGGCCCGTGGCCTATTTCGATTTTGTCGGAAGAGTTGAGAAGGCGGAAAAGTTCTGGGGTTGGTGGGGTGCATTGCGGCCCTGGCATCGGATCTGCTAGAACGGCAACACAACATACGAAGAGAGTGGAAACTCTGAAGGGTATTACGGTGTCCAGCATCAAACCGCGGTGCTATAGATCATATATATTTGTATACCACACAATACTGAATTAGGCAATCTTTAATTGTGTATTTTATTGGAAACTCAACCCATCCTGTGATCGCGATGGGGGCCTCGAAATTGAAGCCGCAATCAACAAGCATCTCACGACTCCACAAAACATGAATTGTGCAGTGTGTAGAACTTTACCAAGAAAAATTGAAAAGAGAACAGGAACGAAGAGGAATCGGTTGCGAGACAGAAACGCGTGGTGTAACTTGGCCGTATTGTTGTCTGGAGGAGGCATCGCTGCCTGGTGAGAATACTTTTGTTATGACACTCCAAGTTCAACAGTCTGTAGCCTCAAAATTGTTATAAAAACCTTCGGAGAATTTTCAGTCCATGGGAAATGAGCTGTATAACAATATCCTTCATTTCGAGCGAAAGGTTCGAACCACAAGTAGCAGGAAACGGAATCAACCACCTTTGCTATTATCCCGGAGGACAATCAGAACATAAGTTATAGTAATGTTTTATTTTATGTGCTTGTGCTTAGGTTTGTCTACGTGAAGAATTCCTAAGGATTAACTATGAACAGACAACCAGCGAGCTCGGTGTTCTTGTCGACTGGAATTGCAAGAAATACCCATCAGTATCGTCCTATCTGGCATAATTTGTGCAGTTGTGACCCTTAAATGAAATCAGTAACCATGTTATCTATGCTATAATAAGCCAAACCCCTTGAATGTCAAATGGTAATGAATCCCCACCTCACCAGGCTGAAGTATGCAATTCTGTATGCGCCTGCATAGAGCCAGCAGTGGCCATTGTCCATGCAACTTCTGATAGATAGGCTCCAGCCTGATGGGACAGACGGTCGAAGTGGTTCGGAGACAATTGGCCCCGTTTGGTTGCTTCGAGAATCCTAGAATTTGGTTACATGCTAACTTTGTCATCTAGATCAAACGTCTGGTGCATTTCTCGAGCTCTCCGAGGAGGTGATTTGAAGTTTACCTAGGATAGCCCTGCATTTTGAAAACATCGCAAACCGTGGAATCTCGGAGGTAATATAATACTAATAGGATAAGCGGAATTGTTGAATAGAATGAGGGGCCTGAAAACCCATTGCTGTGGGGACTTGTCTCAGTGCAATCGAAAGTTGAAATGACGGATGTTGAGAAACAGAGAACATCAAAAGACTTCAGTTACTGCTTACTGCAGGTAGCACAGCGGAACTCGAGGAAGTAAAATCTTCATGGGCCTGGTAGTGTAGATGTCTCCAGGAGGAGTGGAGACAGCGGGACCGCCCAGCCCAATTCCGGCTTAGGTCATCCAAATTATCGCAGACCGCCCGGGGAGCTTTTTTTTTCTGCTGTTGATTTCGTTTCGAGGTTTGCGCAATCGTGTCTGGGGATTGAAAACGCTCCAATTCTTTTTGCGAGAGCTCCAGTGGCCTACGTCTACATCTTTGACATTGGTCATCTACTCTCGCCTATACCATGGCTCCTAAACCGACAAAGCGGAGTGCCGCTGAGGACGACGATTTTGTCCTGACGCTGTCCGACGACGAAAATATTCCCCGCTTCGACGACGACGAGGAAGAAAACGACGAGATTGACGGAAAGGAATCGACAGTCGACAACAAGAAGCGCAAGCGTGAGGCCGAGACTCCCAAGTCCAAGAACAAGAAACAAAAGCAACAAGCCAAGAATGTGAAGGGCAAGAAGGGTAAGGCCGAGCCTGTGCCCGAGGGGTCAGAGGAAGAGGAAGAGGACGAGGAAGAGGATGGAATGGGCGCAGGGGATGACGATGGTGCTCTGAACCCCGACTTCGAGTTTGACGTCGGTGGTGTTGCCAATCGCGGCGTGACGGAGGGCTTTGATGGCTGGGGTCTCGACGACTCTAGACAAAAAGGCGGGGACAAAAAGGCGGTGGATATCGACGACATTATCTCACGACGAAACGCAAAGAAGGAGGCTGCGGCTTCCAAGAAGCAAAAGAATGCCGCGGCTCAAAAAGAGGAGAGCGACGAGGACTCCGACGATGAGGAGGTCAGCGGTGACGTGAACGTGGATTTTGACGACGATGAGCTTATGGCAGACGACGGTTTTGGCATGGGCGTGGACCAGGATGAAGAGGAGAGTGAGGCTGAAGGTCCTGAAGTCGGCTCTGGCGCCGAAGACAGCGAAGATGAAGGAGAGGAGGACCAAGACTCTGACGACGACGCTGCCTCCGATAACGACTCTGTCGCTACCCCTGTCGGCCACCCTGACGACAGAGGCATGGACCGCGATGACTCCGACGCCGAGAGTGAGGTGGACGAGGAAGAGCAAGAAAAACGCAAGGCTTTCTTTGCTCCCGAAGAAAAGACCGACGAAAAGAGCGCGGCGGCGGCGGCTAAGAGCACCTTCCAAGACTTCAACCTCTCTCGTCCCATTCTACGAGGATTGGCCTCGGTTGGATTCACAGACCCTACACCTATTCAGCGGAAGACCGTCCCCGTTGCCCTATTGGGTAAAGATATCGTCGGTAGTGCCGTGACCGGTTCAGGAAAGACTGGTGCCTTCATTGTCCCCATCCTAGAACGTTTGCTCTTCCGCCCTCGCAAGACTCCTACCAGCCGTGTTGCGATCTTGATGCCTACTCGTGAATTGGCTGTTCAGTGTTATAATGTCGCCGTCAAGCTCGCCACTTTCACCGATATCACCTTCTGTCAGCTGGTCGGTGGTTTCAGTCTGCGTGAGCAGGAAAACATTCTCAAGAAGCGCCCCGACGTGATTATTGCTACGCCTGGTCGTTTCATTGATCACATGCGCAACTCGCCCAGCTTTACTGTTGATACCTTGGAGATCTTGGTTCTCGATGAAGCCGATCGTATGCTGGAGGATGGATTCGCGGACGAGTTGAACGAAATTCTCACAACGATCCCCAAGTCGCGACAGACCATGCTATTTTCCGCCACCATGACCGACACTGTCGACAAGCTGATCCGTGTTGGATTGAATCGCCCCGTCCGACTGCAGGTCGACGCCAAAAAGCAGACCGCGGTGACGCTGACCCAAGAGTTTGTTCGTCTTCGCCCCGGTCGCGAAGATAAGCGACTGGGTTACCTTTTGCATCTGTGCAAGGAGATCTTCACCGGACGCGTCATCATTTTTTTCCGCCAAAAGAAGGAAGCGCATCGGGTGCGCATCATTTTTGGACTGCTGGGATTGAAGGCTGCTGAACTGCACGGTAGCATGAGCCAAGAACAGGTAAGTTCTCGAAATTCCATTTTATGGTGGACCCACGAAACCACAGACTACGTTGCTAACTGAGCATCCAGCGTATTAAAAGCGTGGAAAATTTCCGTGATGGCAAGGTGGCCTTCCTTCTGGCTACGGATCTGGCCTCTCGTGGTCTGGATATCAAGGGTGTGGAGACAGTGATCAACTACGAGGCCCCACAGAGCCACGAGATCTACCTACACCGTGTCGGTCGTACCGCCCGTGCTGGTCGATCCGGTCGTGCCTGCACGATCGCGGCCGAGCCCGACCGCAAAGTGGTGAAGGCCGCCGTCAAGGCCGGCAAGGCGCAGGGCGCCAAGATTGTGAGCCGGGTCGTGGAGATTTCGATTGCGGACGACTGGGCCCAAAAGGCCGAGGATCTCGCTGGGGAAGTCGAGGAGGTGCTAGAGGAGGAGAAGCTCGAGAAGCAGATGGCGCAGGCCGACATGCAGGTCACCAAGGGCGAGAACCTGATGAAGCATGGGGCGGAGATCATGTCCCGCCCGAAGCGTACCTGGTTCGAGACAGAGCAACAGAAACGCGCTGCCAAAAAGCTGGGACGGGCGGAACTGAACGGACCGCCGGATGTGCCCAGCAAGAAGGATAAGATCAAGCTGAGCAACAAGGATAAGAAGCGCATGGACGATGCAAAGATGCGCCATGAGGGGAACATCGGGTGGAAGAAGGGCAAAACGGAGCGCGATGCCCCGAAGACCAATGGCAAGGGCAAAGGCAAAGACCAAAAGGGCAAAGGGAAAGGCAAGAAATAGGGAATAGGCTTTCCGTCTAGGCCTGATCCGCATTTGCTACATCATTGTCATCATTTTTCTCGTTGTTCATTGTTCATTGTATACCTAGGGCTATTTTGTATAGATCGCACATATCCAATATCAATCGTTGGAACCCTGCTCCTGTGCTGCTTGGCATGATCTGCTTATCAATCGACCACACCATTACCCTACCCTACCATTCCCTACATAAGTTGATCCCTGAGACATCCTTCGACGCTAGAAGCAAGTGGATCGGCCGCGCCCGGCGACAGGCCAACAAGAGGCGCATCCACACGGCGGCGCCGAGGAAAATCGCCGCATGCGATGGAGCCGGAGCAGCAACTCCCCCCGCGACGATTGGCCGCTCGTCAAGATTGCCCCCGACGCCTTAAACTTGGACTAAGACTTGCCGGGCTGACCTGATCCGAACATCGCGGCACTCCCACTTCCTCCTTAGCTCACTAACGTCGCTAGCACCGTCCGCGTCGCTATCGCAACTCCACTGGCGAAATCTTAAAAAAACCTCCCCGCGATTGCCCAACGCCCCACGCTGGGCCCCGAAATTTCGTTCTCCCTTCCTCCCCTCTCCCTCCCCAGGTTTCCAATGGGGGTCGCGTGTCGCCATCGCGCCCCGTGATCGTCTCGATGGTGGTCGAGGGTTCAGGCATGGCCGACGTGCCTCTTAAGTCCGCTCTCCCGCGGAAGAGTGCTTTTTCCTGCGAGGCCTGTCGTAAGCGCAAGGTGAGCGGAGAATCGGGCAGATTCCGAGCTGCTGGACTATAGGGTCAACAAGCTCGGAGCTCTGCGGCTCGATGACGATGACGAGGACTGACGACCCCGGACAGGTTAAGTGTAACGGAGCTAGTCCGTCATGTTCACGATGTGCCGCCAGAGGCGAGGTCTGCGTCTACAGCCTGTGAGTGCCCCTGTGCGCGCCGAGCGACCGCCGCGTCACTGGTATCTTCGTTCCCTCCTCATGAGGAAACGGTGGCTGATTGATCCTTTCTCCCACTTTTTGCCCTATAGAGCTCCCACTCTATCCTATACCAAGCAGCTCGAGTCTCGAGTCGCCCAGCTGGAGGATGCGCTGGCCAAGCAGCAGGCCGATGTGGATACGCGCAAGGTGAGCTCGCCAGCGTCGGTAGCCGAGTCCAGTTCCAGCGCCGGCCGCAAGATCAAGACCGAAGACGATGGCCAGGAGTTGGCCCGCGATTTTGATGGCCTGAACGTCGAAAACGACGGGCGCATCTCCTTCCACGGCCCCACCAGTTTGTTCCAACTTCCCAGCGGGCTGGTGAACGAGAGCGCGTCGACGTCCCATTTTGCACAGGAAATCGAGGCCCGGAAGGAGCGACTGATCAACAGTGCGTGGCGAGAACGGGCCTTCGAGCAGATGGCTGCAATGCCGGTAAGGCTCTGATCCGCGCAGCTTCTGGTTGGCCTGAATGCGAGACTGATGTGACGTGCAGGAGCCGTTTCAATATCTCCTTGATTCCCATTGGTGCTGGATTCAGCCACTTTTCAACTTTGTCTACCGTCCGGCCTTTACACGTTCGTCGCCTTCCTATCTAGAGTTCCCCTCTCTTGCTGATGCAGGCTTTGCTGACTTCCTCACACGACAGGAGACATGAAAATCCATGGACCTTACTACTCCGATATCCTAATGAACGCCATTCTCTCTCACTCGGTACGATGGTGCAAGGCAGAACCTCAGATCGGTCCGCTGCTGGACTCCTTCGAAGGCGGTGCGTTGTTTTATCAGCGTGCGGTGTCCGGGCTGCACGACTCACTCAAAGTTGGTTATGCGGGCATCCCAACGATCCAAACACTGCTGCTCCTCAGCGCCCAGGAATGTGGTCGCGGAAATCGGACCCAAGCCTGGCTATACAGTGGCATGGCATTCCGTTTACTGGACGATCTAGGCATCTCAATTGACAGTCGCAAGTATCCCGGAGCGGCACAGCTCAGCGACGAAGATGTCGAAATACGCAACCGACTTTTCTGGAGTTGCTATTTCTGGGATAAGATCGTCTCATTATACTTTGGTCGGGCACCAACCATGCAACACTCGCGCGTGAGCCCCCCACGCATGATCTGTAAGTTATTGAATGGGAAACCATGGCCATTGTCCTGACAATACCTTAGTGGATGATACCTCCGAGATCGAGATCTGGACTCCTCACGGCGTGAGCTTCCCTGACGGGGCGCACTATCCGCCCACACAAGCCCATTCCACTTCGTGCTTCATGAAGATGTGCGGACTGGCAGAGATACTCAACCAGATCTTGGTCCATATTTATGACCCCATGCGTCAAAATACCGAGGCAGAATTTTTCGACTGTGTGCAGGAGCAGTCCAGGAACCTGAGTGACTGGTGGGATGATCTACCGGACTACTTGAAGCTTTTAGCTACCGAACTACCGCCATATTGCCCTCCCAGCCACATAATGACCTTGAAGTATGTCTACCATTTCATGCTGGAACACTCACATTCATACTAACATCGCATTCCCAGCTGCCTATATCACACGATCAATATCCTGCTTCACCGTCCGATACTTTGCTCTCGCAGTCTGCTCAAGACTCGCCAAGATTCCTATGACACAAACCACCTAGTACAGTGCATGGCCTCGGCGACGACCATTCTATCATTATATGATCTGTACCGCCGGACATTCGGCGACAACCACGTTGTTTTGTCTCTGGCGTACAGCATCTACACGGCGGCCTCGATCTTCCTCCTCGAAATTCAAGCCCTGAAGTACGCCGCTCCAGGCACCCTAGACAAGCTCAAGTTTTGTGTCTTTGCCCTGGAGCGCGTCAAAATCTCCAATCCCGTCATCACAACCGCTCTCGACCTTGTATACCTAGAGGTCCAAAAACTCCAGATCGACATTGGTATTAATCGACCTGCCTCCACTGAGAAACAACACCAATCTCAGCCCCAACAGCAACAACAACCGCCACCCCGAACACATACGAGTCAGTCCCCATCCGTGGAGAGTAACCCCTCTCGCCACGTCTCTCCAGGCCAGCAACATCAGCACCAGCTTCAACAAAGCCGCGCAACCATGGGCACTCAACCGACCACCACAGCACCGAACACAACTGCCTCAATGATGCCTGGATACAATGCTTTCCAGCAGCAACCGGTGTCCACCTTCGATCTCTCGCAGATGAACGAGATGCCACAGATGCCGGCAACACATCTATTAGGTGGAATGCCCAATGCTGTGATGACGGTTGATGATCCCGGATCATACGAAATCACACCGGAAGTCTTCGAGGCATTTTCGTATGCACAGCCCATCACGACGAATGTGGCTTCGTTTGAGACGAACTGGGCTGGTCAGACTTAAAATTATTTAAAAAGCGATTAGATGTAGGCTTTTGGTACTCTTTTGTACTTGATGATTCCCAAGCGTTGATTTTCTCACATTTGGTGGTGGTATTCGTTTCTCTTTTCCCGCCTTGAACAAAAGTCGAGCGACAGGATGAATAGTCCTGAATAATTTTCTCTTCTATATACTCCAAGTGGCTACGTACATTAACAGTAGTGTAATTGTATACGAAGTCTTCAATGGGTGAGTGATTGTTGGACCGGAAGCCGATACCAACATTCGAAATGCAATCTTATATTGGGCTCTTATATGCCGACTCGAACTTTTGTTGGAAAGGGTATCGATGTCACCCCATGTCAATGCAAATATTAAACATATGTGTAGGTTGGGTATATATGAAATTATACACCGAGCACTCGTCAGAAAATAAACGAAGAAGACGGGCTGCACGATGAGGGTGCGATGAAGAAGAATATTGGAGTGAGTGTAAAGCCGTGAAGTGGTTAATCACGGCGAGATGCAAAATCGAGGCCGCAACAGCCCCGTCCGGATGAAGGTATCACAGGGAACCAATTAAGAGGACTTGTGCATCTCGGTGCTGATCTCGTGACGAGTAACAGTTTCAGTCTCGTGGCGAGTAGTCGAATCAGCATCATAGTGGGTCGGAGAATCAAAATTATGGTGTTCCTGACCATCGAGTCCACCGACAGGCTTGGCGTCACGTCCGCGGAACATTTTCTGATCCTGCTCGTGAGAGACAACGTCAGTGGTCTCAGAAGAGTTATCGGAGTCGTGAATCTTCGCCTTCCAGCGGAGGTACCAGGGTCCGTCGAAGAGCTCGTCCATGCGCTCGATGGGAACATTCTTGGTCTCGGGCATCCAGATACCCAGAACGACAATTCCGATGAAACAGATGAGACCCCAGAAAAGATAAGCACCCCACACGTGCATGTTGGCGAACATGTTGGGGGTAACGCGGACGACGGCGAACTGGAAGAACCAGTGAAGACCCATACTGGTGGCGTAGCACACGTTGCGGATACGGGTCGGGAAGATCTCGGTACCGTAGAGGTACGGGATGGTGCAGAGTCCGATTGACCAGCCGACGGCGTAAACGAAGACGGAGGCAATCGCGGCATCGGAGGCAGACTTGTTATCAGCGGCGCCGGGCTGCAATCCCATGTAGGCACCCATGTAGATGTGCGCCGCCAGCTGCAGAGACAGACCAGTCAGCGCGCAGCGGCGACGACCGAAGAAATCGATCAGGCCCCAAGTGAAGGCCATCGTGAACACGAGCTTGACAATTCCATAGGCACCGGAGGAAATGAGCGACTGTCCGGAGCCAGTGACACCGGCATATTCGAAGATAGTCGTGACATAGTAGGTGATGCCGTTACCGCCGGTCCATTGGGAGATTGTCTGCATGGCCATGAGCAGCCAGAACCGCTGGCGATAGTTGGGGTTAATCTGAGATTCCTTGAGTGCTTCCCAGTTTGAAACGGACTTCAGGTCTGCGCGCGAACGAGCCTGGCTATCGATCTCCTCAAACTCCTCAGTAACGCTCTTGTCGTCGACCGGCTTGCCACGAAGGCGGGCGAGAACCTCCTTGGCTTCATCGTGGCGTTGCTTCGAGGCAAGATAGCGAGGGGTCTCGGGGCAGAGCCAGGAGAGGAAGAAGGCGATGCCGGTAGGAATCAGGGGGATGGCTTGAACCAAGCGATATTGCATGCGCGTGGTGGGCAAGTGGAGGTCGGCGCCGTAGTTAATAAAGAAGCCTGAGGGGGCATTCCAATATTAGCCTAGAAACGGTTGATGAGGACACTGGGTAGATTGAAGTTGGAACTTACCCATGGCGAGCACCAGCAACAGAATCACCATGTATAGACTAACGGCCAGACCCCGGGTGGCCTTGGGCGCCACTTCCGACAAGTACAGGGGTGTCGTGACCGTCAATAGGCCGGCGCCCAGTCCCGCAAAAATTCGGGAAAATAATAGCAAGCCATAAATTCCTGACGAGAATACCTGAATGAAGGTTCCAATCACCCACACGATCACGGCACCTCGCCACGACCACAGACGACCGATACGATCGTTCAAAGAGAGACCCGCGAGGGCACCAAAGGCAGCACCGAGGACATTGAACGAGGTGATGTTGGCGGTGCGGTTGGCCAGGCCAGTGGCATCGCCCTTCCAGTTGGAGGAGAGGAGGTTAAAGTCGATCTTGAAGGACTCGAGCTTGACGCTGGCACTGTAGCCTCCTTCATCATAACCTGCAGCGATCGGAGATCCGCGGTCAGCACTTTAATACTGGCATGTTGCTTTTTGTCTCATCCAGACACGCCTGCGGATGTTTTGCATATGTTTTGGCGTGATCTGCAGTCCAGATCTGACGGTTACCCGCCCACGAGGGATCGGACGAACCTTTTGGGATACTGCCACAGGCGATCACCAGGACCACAAGGGCATAGTAGGGACTCGTAGTCCAGCGCGCCGGATCCAGCCATCGCATGATTACTTCAGATGCCCACCGTCAGCTGTGGAGGCGTGTAAGAATCTGGGGAAGCCGCAGCGGAAGAATCGGCAGAGAGTGGGTGCTGAAAGGAGCAGCTGTGGATTTGAAGAAGGAACCGCCTGAAGGGCTTGCTCGGCATCCCGTGCTCGTTGGGGCGACTGCGCTCGGTCAACGTCCGAACCTCTCCCCTCTCCACCTTCAAACCACTGCTGCGCTTCGACGATCCCGATGCACCTCGAGGCCAACTGAGAAAATTCTCCGGCCGCCTGGCATATCTGGGCATTCCGTGTATCCTCCCGCGCCATCAAGGGTTCGCAGGTCGCAGACGCAGGGTGCACGGCACAGCTCGCAGTGTGCGACTCCATACTTCGTCAGTCGAATCGCGCCGCAGTTGTAACCCGCATCCACTTTCTGCTTCTCGCGCAAAGGCTCCGCTCGACGGTAATGCCCCTTTCTCTCCCATCAGTGGGCTCAATTGTTTTGCCGGATGACAGAGTCTCGATCCGGGAAACAAGGAGAATGTGTCGGACCTCGCACGTTCGCCGCGGTGGATGGACGTGCCAGCTGGCTCACGGACGACTTCCGCTTTCTTCTCCTCACTACACCACGCCTTTTATCCCACGCCTGCTGGATAAGTCGTTAAAGCCGAGGGTGGGTCAGATCTGATGCCCGTACCGTGTTGGACAACGGCACACGGCAGATTTTTTAGATGATCGAATTTCCCTGCTTTGAAGGCTGTTAGTTCCTCTGTAACGGACGTTGACCGATACCCCCCCCCCCCAGGCGGCATGATACCGGTCAGGACTGCCGTCAGGGTGACCCCCAGTAGTATCAAAGCCTGGTCGTCGGTAAGTACAACTGTCGGAGGCGTTCTTTCCATCTTTCTGCCTCTGCTTGAGCATTTGCATGTTATCGACCAGCGTTTCTTTTCAGCATGCTTACTTCGACTCAGCCTCATTCTCATATTCTGGGGAGCACGCGGCGTATCTCACTCACTGGAGTTCCCTCGCCTCGATTTGACCGGCGTGCGTCCCATGGTGCCGCGCCTGTCAATCTGCCTGTCAAGCAAAGGGTTCCGCCGCAATCATGGGATAGCCATATGCATGTCGTGGAGCCGCAGCGGTTTCCTATTTCCAAGTCTGCTGTATATGAGCCCTCTGTTCACACCCTCGAAGATGCCTTGACCTTCGAGTCTACTCTTGGTGTTGAGAACCTCGTCTTCGTTCAGCCTTCCATCTACGGGACCGACAACTCTTGCTTGTTGGCCGCCCTCGCCAAGCTTGGCCCTGCCCGAGGCCGAGGAGTTGTGGTCGTTGACCCTGATACGATTGAGCAGGAGACATTGGACGAGTGGCACGCTCTGGGAGTTCGTGGTCTTCGAGTCAATCTGCAGTCTGTGGGCAAGGTCATGGAGCAGAGCGAGCTGGAGGCCACATTATTCCGCCACGCAAAGATAGCCCGACCCCGTAATTGGATTATTGAGGTCTACGTGCCTCTAAAAATGATCCCTATGCTTGAGTCGATTGTGCCTCGCCTGGGTGTTACCGTCTGCATCGATCACTTTGGCAGCCCCGAGCTCCCTGCCATCTCCTTGTGCAAGGAAAACCTGCCCTTCGACCCGTATACGCTTCCTGGTTTCCACTCCCTAATCTCCCTCATTCGCACGGGGAGCACCTACATCAAGGTGTCCGCTCCCTACCGCCTGACCAAAGATAACGGCATGCGTGACCTGAAGGCCATGGCCCGAGAGTTCCTGTCTGCCGCCCCAGACCGAGTTATCTACGCCACCGACTGGCCCCATACTCGCTTCACCGGTGTCGATATCAGCCCGTTTACAGAGTGGTGCCTGGACCTTTGTACACACGAACCTGGACTTGCAGATAAGCTTTTTCGGAGGAACACTGAGCGCATGTTGGGAGCGGACTCCGTCTGAGCGAAGTTTTCATTTTGCCATTCAGGGCGATTGGATTGTACATAGCATTCTTCCTTTCCCCTTTTTCTTTCTCTCTCTCCTTTTTTTATTTCGCATTGGGATGTGGCGTTTTTGTATTACTTTTCAGCATTAATATATCCAGCGGTGGCTTTGCCAAAAACAGGCCCTCGCATAACCTCTATTTCGACATCATCAAATACTATTTGAGTATTACAACAGACATATGATGCACATTCTGATCTTGTGATGTATTATACCCGATGTCTATTCAACGGACCTTATGGACATCGAAGAGGTAATTCAGTTGCAAGATGTTCCACATCGTCGTATTTAGCTATCAACATGGCCACTGCTTCTCGTTCGTTGCGCTTTTAGATATCTTCCACGTTCTGGAAAACGGCGTGCGACGTGCAAATTTTCTTGGGGCCCTATTACAGTCAAACAAGATTAGCCATTATTTCTTCTTCACATATAAAGGAATGCAACTTACGATTTCGTAGCAGCAAGCAGGTCGAGATTGGTCTTCACACAGCTGAGGAGTCTTCAACGATTTGCCTGTGATGATGTTAGTCAACTGCAACGGCACCACTTGATAGAGATATTCGAGAGAGGTCTTACAGTCCTCGGCCTCATTGACGGTCTGTCCGTTTTTGAGCTTAGGGTTGTTCATAGCAGGCTTCAGATCACGGCAGCAGTAGGGAGACTGGACCATTCCGGTGTGGTCTTTGGCGAAGTCGCAGCTCATGTTGATCTTGGTTGCCGAGCCCAGGGCAAGGGTGGAAGTGAGGGTGAAGAGGACAGCGGAGACGCGCATATTGATTGCTGAGAAGCGTTTCAATTAGGTCGTGATTATTGATTGTCGGGTATATTGAGGATAACAATAATCAAAGACGGGCGTGTGGAGGATGATCAGTTCAGGTATACTTGGGGCGATTCTAGGGTTCAAGGGCACTCAAGCCTTGTTGAGCTACGCAGGAGCGCCTCACCATGCAGGAAACTCCTTGTTGCATTGGCGACTTTGGTCAATTCCTCCTTTCTACGCAAGTATGGAGACGAAGATGGAGACTGTGATTGGGTGGATGGTGGTTGGTGCATCCCCTTGCATTCCTGTGTCGCGAATGTGGACGGCGTTGTAAACAAGGGCTGCTCCAAGTTGTGCGTGTCGCAGGGATGAGACCGTCATGTGAGATCTTGTTTCTTTTTCTGGTATAATTGCTCAATGAGCTCATCTTTGGAAGCCTAGATTGCCCCAAAGCACAAAATGAAACTGTGCATGCTTCGGGCACCCTGCCAAGATAGGGGTAGTTAGATGAAGGCCGAACATGGAGATTCTCAAGTTGCTTCATACTTCACAATGCCAATTCGAACTTCATGACTCTAGCCGTGCATCCTACTGTAGCAGTGTTGTACTCATCAATCCCATATTCTTCAGATGGGTTGGAGGCTGTGCCGAATCCAAATAGGATCTAGTTAGCATCCGTGCTGCTGTACATGATCCGGGGTCATGCGAAGACTACTGCAGGAACGGGCGCCATCGTCAACCCGCACCAAAATTTAAGGGGCATGTCCAGCCCTACTGCTGCTGTTGGCTGTCTTTGTTGCGGTGTGCTGCGGCAACAAGAATAGCACGTCCCCACCTGTCCCACAACGGTTATGTGACGAGATGTGGCCAATAGGGATCATGTGACTGGTCACGTTCGTTTGTTGAGGCCCAACGCTTACCTCAGCGGTCGTCGAGGGCTCCCACTGGTCGATGCCGGCGGGCGGTCATAATAGAGCCCCTCCCCAGAACAACAGGGCTCCCCTCCCAGTCCTGGACACCACACTCCTTGATATCACACCCTAGCAATGAAGCACACTACCGCTCCCGCCGATATGGATCGCAACGTCTACATCCCGCTCTGCTTCTGCCTCATCTCCTTCGCCGTCCTCGCATACTCTCATTAGTTGTCTGCTTGGTGACGTCGGGATACCCCAGATTCCGCCCCAACCAAACAGACAATCAGATGAAGACAACTCTTGCCTCGCCGTGCACCACGATGAAGGCACTCGCCCCGGTTTCTTCGCCCCTTGCATACAATACAAGCTACAGCACCAAATCGCTTCGCTTTGGGTCGGCGGAAGATTATCATCCAAGACCCTCGGACCTCCTGCATACTAGATCGCCGTCCGGGGATGAGAATCGCGGCAGAACACCGACTCGAACCTCACACTGTTGGTTTCTTGGAACTTCAATCAGACCGTCTACCAGTTCTTGAAGGTCTTCCGACCTTTCAACATTCTGGCGTCCTCTCTTCATATGCCACTGTGAAACCTATCCCAGTCACCTCATCTTCCGCTACGCCTCAAATACCTCCCGATCGATGCCATGTCGCATGGGGCTCAAAGTCCTCTTGATGTGATCATCTCACCTCGGATTGAATCTATGTCCTCAATCTCTCCCTCTACAATCAATACCCCCGATTCAGGCAATATAGAGATACCAAGAAAGCTGGATCTTCACTCTCGACATGATGCCCTTGACACATTCCTTGATCCCCTATTTCTTATCGTCAATAATTCCATTTCATACTGTCAATTATGCATTTCTTCTGGACTGATTCTTGCTGCGTTGATATGCAACTGCGTCCGAGAAAACTATATATGGTACCTAGCATGAGCCCCTCGTGACATCCGTGATACTCTCCATTGTTTGTTTTCAGTCACTGCTCCCCTCACCGCGATGGTATACTGTCCATGTCTGTCGCGGTTGCGCACGGCAGTGCGATATCACATTCTTTGATGCTTCAAGGCGCAGTGTGCTCTGACGGAATACTTGAATGGCTCATTCATCTTACAAGTCTCGGCGATCTCTTATTTCCTTCCGGTTGCCTGGGTCCCCAGACTGGCATCTGAAGCTATTATTATACCCCGCAATCTTGTTTCTTATTTCGATTTTATACCAGAATGAACCGACAAATTTACCACTTTTTTTGAATACTTCCATAGATGTCCTTGCCACAACCTAGCACACCATCTGATAATTAATCATCAAAGACCGATCTCATTCCCCGCAATTCGCTCGTCTTGAGCCAGGCTGGGCTGATTTGTCATCACGTGGTCCCGCCTGATTTTCCCTTGCGCGTATCAAAAGCCGATATCGTCACCAGCAGCAGCTGTGTTTTCTTCCCCTCCTTGTAAATACAAATACCCCTCCTCCATGCTTTTCCGCTCTCTCCCCACCTCATCCCGGCTCAGCTTTCGCAGCTCCCTCCTATTCCGGCGCCCCGTTGGCAAGCAAATCCACTCCGGTCGACTGACCGTAAATCGAACCCTGGCTACCCTTGAGCCCACGCCCTCGTCCAGCTCAATTGCTCCGGGCCCTCGTCTCTCCTCGATCTCACGTCACCTTTCCTCTTCCCCCGTATCCGAGAACAACAACTCCTCGACAATGGCCCCCATCGAAGTTCAGCAGTATGACTACATTGTCCTCGGTGGTGGAAGCGGCGGTAGCGGTAGCGCTCGCCGCGCAGCCGGCTGGTACGGCGCAAAGACACTGATCGTGGAGAGTGGCCGCTCGGGTGGCACCTGTGTCAATGTTGGGTAAGTTCCTTGGTGCAAGGAGCTGCAGGGATGGCAGCTATGAAACTATTTTCTCGATCTCGGTGCTAACCGGAATCTTCAGATGTGTTCCCAAGAAGATGACCTGGAACTTTGCGACGATCAACGAGACCCTCGAAATCGGCAAGCACTACGGCTACGACATTCCTGAAAACATTAAAAAGGACTATACCCACTTCAAGAACACCCGCGATGCCGTCATCAAGCGCCTGAATGGCGTTTACGAGAACAACTGGAGCCGGGAGGGCATCGACCTTGTCCACGGCCGCGCCCGCTTCGTCGAGCCCAAGGTGATTGAGGTCGCCAATATTGATGGAAGCGTCTCCCGCTACGCTGCCCCTCACATATTGATTGCTACTGGTGGCCGACCGAACATTCCCAAGGTGCCCGGTGCTGAGCACGGTATTACCAGTGATGGTTTCTTCGAGCTCGAGGAGCTTCCCCCAAGGTCGCCGTTGTTGGCGCTGGCTACATCGCCGTCGAGCTGGCTGGTGTGATGAATGCTTCCGACGTCGAGACCCACATGTTCATCCGCGGAGAGCACTTCCTGCGCAAGTTTGACCCTATGGTTCAGAAGACCATGACTGACCGGTACGATGCCGCCGGTGTCAAGCTTCACCGCAACCACTCTGGCTTCAAGGAGGTGCAGCTCATCCGTGACGGTAAGGGCAAGGACCGTTTGATCAAGCTGATTAGCCACGATGGCTCGGAGCTCGAGGTCAACGAGCTTCTGTGGGCTGTTGGCCGTGCCCCCGAAGTTGAGGACCTGCAAATTGACATTCCTGGCATCAAGCTGAACCCCAGCGGTCACATTGGTGTCGATGAGTACCAGAACACCTCCGTGGAGGGTGTCTACGCCCTTGGTGATGTGACTGGTCAGGCTGAGCTTACACCTGGTAAGTAGTACCCATTTAGAACCCTGGGTCTGACTTCTCTTTTATTAACGTGAGAAAAAGTTGCTATTGCCGCCGGTCGCCAACTCGGCAACCGTATTTTCGGCCCGCCTGAGCTGAAGACCTCTAAGCTGTCCTACGAGAACATCCCGACTGTCGTCTTCTCCCACCCCGAGGTTGGTGTCGTCGGTCTCACTGAGCCCGAAGCCCGCGAGCGCTACGGCGACGACAAGATCAAGATTTACCACACCAAGTTCACTGCCATGTACTACTCGGTCTGTACCCCCGAGGAGAAAGCCAAGAACCCTACCGAGATGAAGATCATCTGCGCCGGCCCAACCGAGAAGGTCGTTGGTCTGCACATCCTGGGTCTTGGTGTTGGTGAGATGCTTCAGGGCTTCGGTGTTGCCGTAAAGATGGGCGCCACCAAGCAGGATTTCGACAGCTGCGTTGCCATCCACCCGACCAGCGCCGAGGAGCTGGTTACCATGCAGTAAATTCTGAATTGTTTCCGATAGAAAACATACATACGAACATCATTCTGGCTAGAGCCTATTTCAATCACTAAAATATGTTTCATTTCACCGACGGATTTTTAGATGAACTACGAACCGCCATGGCATGATACTTGCTGACACTTATGGCAGACCCTGACGAACATCTGTGTGCTCGTTCAAGCCCCATGCCTGTAAGCTAGAGTCGTGCACAGTCGTCCGCCTCATATCCCGCTTATAATTGCGCAGAAACGGGCCACCGACAGCACGATGCATTGTACAGGTGTTATCCCAGATGACCAGGTCACCAGGGGCCTGCCACTCGATCTCGACGGTATTGCTCTCGCGACTGGCATGCTTGAACAGTCTGTCACAGAGGCTCTGCGATTCGGCTGGCTCAAGTCCCTCGATATGATGCACATGAGCTGCAATGTACAAATTCATGCGGTCAGAGGTTTCATGTCGCTGGACGATCCTGTGTCGACCCATCAGGTAATCGAGTGGATTGATATGAGCAAATGCTACCGGGGCGGCCATTTTGCGTGAGTGATGCATAGAATGGCAAGCGATGTAGTTCTTTGTGAGAAGTTCTTCTTTCAGCTCTGCTGGTAGGTCGTCGAATGCTGTCCGGGTATCGGCGAAGGCCGTATGTCCTCCCATTCCTTGCGGCGGGAGCTCATGAGCTAGAAGAAGAGAATATCCTGCACGACGAGGATTGAAGCTGGAGTCGACATGAAACAAGTCGTTTCCCTGATTTTTGCCTGATTAGCATGACCAAAATTTTCAATGCTTTTGACTGATCATACCTTGTTGGCTTGTCCGCGAGGACTATCAGCGTCGAGGATAGACCCATCAATCTCGACGTTACTCACGTCGAACAACTCGGGGTATTTGAGACAATTCTTCCGACCAGCGGCGATGTAGGGCTTCACGTCGTCCAGCTCTCCAAATTTCCGGGAGAAGGCAATGTGGCTTTCGTCGGTCAGTCCCGTCTTGCGGAAGACAACCACGCCATACTACGTTGTACCAGAGCGTCAGATGTGACAATCGGGAAAGATCAACTTTTAAAATCCTACCTTGGTCACAGCTTCGAAGATTTCCTTGAATACCTCGTCGGAGAGAGGCGAGGTAAAGTCAACTCCGCGATCTCTGCCGCGAAAGTGGGATGCAACTTTTTCACGGAGATGAGAGAAAGCCATTTCATTCGCGACCGTCATCGGGATCAGAAGTTTTGATGAACTTAGATATATTGGATGACAATATCGGTATGATTGTCAGAGCTTGGTTGATAGCAATGGCATCGGAGTTTATATTTGTTGCATTTATACCGAACGTTCAGTTCAAGATCGGAGACAAGCAAAAGCCGACAGCGAGGCTTCATCAATACCCGATCCGCCTTGAGCCGGAGTGAGATTATCCTCGGTGCAGAGTCGGGCAATCGCTTTTTGTCATTGTTTTACTACGTCATGGTACAATGTAGCTGCCGGCTGTAAGGCTGCCGAGGTATCCATCTTCACCCATCTATTGCCAGATTTCGGAAGCCAGCTAGTCGGACACAATCAGCTGCATTTGACGGCCCCCTGACTGGGTCCTGCGTGCCACAAGATATAGTGTAACACTGCATATTCGGTAGGCTACTTTTTATATGATGATCTTTAGGAAATCTGGTAGAACATGGAATTTTAACATGCAGCTACAACGATCCGCTCGGTCAAATAGACTGGTTGACTAATGTTTCTGAAAAGGATTTTCACAATGAAAAGAGATATTGTTTCAACTAGATACTTGACATGCTTAGAAAATATTGTGAATTTTGTTATGTGATAAAATTCTACTGAAGCTTTCATGCCCATGTTTGAAGGTCTAGTACAACACGTCCCTGTAACTGTCCATCCTTCATTTCCCCGAAAATACGATCCAGGCTCTGCACATTCTCCAACTTAAAGGACGTAGAGACAACTCTCTGCGCCATGTTCAGAGTTTCGATCGCATCTCGTCGGTTACCCACAGTGCTGCCGACAATGGCGAGCTGCTTGGAAACCATGAGGTGAGGGCAGGCATTCTCGATCGGTTGAAGATCACCAGGAACACCAACACCCACCAGGATGCCGTTGAACTTCAGGAAATCTAGTCCCTGAGCGTACGCGGCATTGTTTCCGCTACAGACAACCACCGCCGCGGCGCCCTCGCCTCCAGTGGCAGCCAGGACCTTCGCAGAGGCGGCTGGCCTTCGTCACTGCTCGAACACTTGGTGATTTCGATGAAAACCTCCGCACCACACCCCTTGACGAACCCCTCCTTTGACCCGGTGTCAATTCCAATAACCCTGAAACCCAATCTCCCGACTGAGCCTTGCTCTTTTTCAGGGCAGAGTATACCGTCCCTCCGCCACACAGCAATGGGGCAGCCATCTCACTGGACAGTCCCTCCGGGATAGGAGTGACATAGTGGGCGGGGGCGAGAACAAATTGCTGGAAGGTTCCGGCGATGTGTAGCCAGAGATCTTTTGATTGATGCAAATACCATCTGCACCAGCCAAACAAGGTGCGCAGTTGCCACAGGCGTATGCAATCCATTTAATTCCAACACGATCGCCGATCTTCACACCGGAAGAGTCACTGAATGGCCCCATTTGCGCCACAATGCCCACGCCTTCGTGGCCGCCAACCTGACCAGCGGCAACAGGCTCAGATAGGAACTTCCACTATATTCCGCTGTCTTCTTGTATAAGGCAGCGGTCTTCGGTGTATTCTCTCCTATGCAACATACCGAAATTATCCAGCTTGTGCACAGGTTCATTCGCGTGCTGGAGGATGCTGCTACTAGCGACTCTCACATCGGATTTCGCTATTCAGGATTGTTAAAGCGATTCTGGCTTTCCGATATCAATCTTCCAAATCCATCTGCGAAAGATCATCCATATACGCAAATTGATTCAAATGCCCCTCTTCCTATTGGCGAGGCTTCTGCTTCAATGCACGGCGTTGAAGAAAGTCATGCTCATCCAGATATTCAACTTTCCTTATCAATGGACATGCTCACTCCAGATTTCAATCTTTTCTGTCCGGACTTTTCAAGTCTTGAATCCGAGCTTTTCGATCTTGGAGCAGGGAATTTGAGGTTTCCAATTCAACTAGGAGATGTCAATTTAACACCTTAGATTCTCCAGGCTCTCAATATAAATCAGAATAAAGAAGCACATTTGACAACTATCAGAAGTAACTCGTATCAAGCCACATTGCGCGACAATTCACGCACGTTCCTCGTGAGTGACATCTTTCTTCTCACCGACACAAGTAGAGTCCATCACTCTTTCTAATTTGCGATTGTCAACCGCCGTTCTCCAGGCCGGACGATTTGAGCTCAGCAGTCCTTCAACCTCCTCCAATGTTTTCCCTGCCGTCTCAGGAAAACAGAAAAATACATGAAGGGTCATTGCAAAGCTGAAAACGCCGTAAATGAGATAGGTCTTCCACTTGATGTTAACAAAGGCTGGAGGCGTAAAGTAACTCAACGCAAAATTAAACATCAAGTTGCTGGCCGTCGAAAGGGCAACGGCCTTCCCGCGAAGACCCAAAGGGGATAGCTCTGGAGGGTACACCCACGAAACTGGACCCCAGCTTGGTGCAAAAGATGCAACCACCAGATATGAACAAGCGATCACGACCTTTGCTGGAGCTCCAGTGATGGACCAGCTTTCTTCGGCAATATTGTGCAGTCCACCTGGTGGTGCAGGAGAGCCGTACGCGCCCATGAGTCCTGCGCAAAGAAACCACCACATAGTAAGAGAGACACTGCCTGCCAATAAAATGGGTCGTCGTCCAAATTTGTCTAGGTACAAGAGCGCCGGGACAGTGACGACTACGTTGATAACATAATTGATAGACGATGCGACTAGGTTGGAATTGCCGCTGAGGTTTGCCATTCCAAACACGAACGTAATATCTTGGATGTGGTTAGTGCATTTCTGCCAGGAAAAATGGAATTCGATGACACTCACAATACATGATGACGTTGATTCCGGTTAAATGCGACCAGATTTGGACAAATAGACCAATATGAAGACGCCACAGCATTGCAGGTGTAGCAAACTCGCGGAAGGAACTGTCAGAGTGAAGCCTTTCCATATCACAGGTTTCTCTCAACTGTTGAATCTCCATTCGAACCAGGTTATCGTCAGGATTGTTGTTGGCATGAATCATTGCAAGGATCTTCATTCATCCCAGCGATCCTTTTTCGCCAACCACCGCGGAGACTCGGGCATCCAGAAAATCCCACCGAAAAGAAATATAGCTGGAATCATCTGTAGAGCCCAAGGGGTTCGAAACGCCGCTGTTCCTGTCAAAAACGAACAGCCGTATGAGATGTAGAACATGATGAGGATGCCCCAAGTGATCGCCCATTGCTGGGTACCGACAACAAGGCCGCGCATATGTGCCGGTGCAAGTTCTGCGACGTAGACTGGGACTTGAGCGGAGCAGATTCCAACACAGACACCGTTGATGAATCGGCCCACAATTAGCATTGGGAAGCTCTGTGCCGCACAGGATATGACACTCCCAATGATCCTACACAAATGTCAGACAGTAATTCTCAACTTTGTGATCTGCGATAGAAACGAACCAAATAACAGAGCCAATTTGGATGGATAATTTTCGTCCAAACATGTCCGTGAGCAATCCGGATACAAGAGCGCCTATGAAAGATCCTCCTGGCATGGAAGCTGTAATGCCTCCTTGTATCAATGACTTAGGACCTGAGCAGTCAGGCGAGTCATCGAATGGGAAGCCATGAGGTCCCTGATTGAAGTAACATTTGTATCGATTCGTCCCCATTCTGAAAAAGATCAATGATGGAATCGACCGCAGTTTATCGATTGATTGACGTACATTGCGGACATCGAAGAGAGGTCGAATCCAAACAGCATACCTCCTATCACCGAGATGGCTGTTATGATGTAGATGTTGGTGATCATCTTGGAAGGCAGGTACCGGGTGACCGGGTTAATTTCTGTCAAGAAGTTTGAGCCTTTTGATTTGTCTCTGAGTATATAGGTGCCGGCATGAAGTGTTCGGCTTTTATAAGAAATCCAAGCTAAATTAACTTTATCACCCCACAGAAGGACCTGGGGATGATCCGGGGAAACCACTAAACTAATTCAAAAATTGCCGAAAGGTGGCCCGGTTCGTGGGGAACGGGATATGTGCTCTTCTACCATCTTTTGCCATCCAGGCCGAGAAGAAATAATAATAATTCCTTGGTTGGCTATCTTTGGGGTATTTACACCCTGAGGCGCACGCTATCCTTCATTCATGATCCAAATTGCGGATTTGTGCGGATCGGCATGGCTTCGGACGGCTGTAGATGGGTGAATGTGGCCGCTCACTAGGATAGCACCCGCAAAACAAAGAGCATCGTCATCTCGAGAAAGGTAGATTGAGGTATTTCCCAAAAAAAAAAAAAAAAAAAAAAAAAAAAATAAAAAAATAAAAATAATAATAATAATAATAATAATAGATGGCAAATATGATACAAAAAAATGACAATAGTCGTTCTCTCTCTCCCAACGCGGGATATTTCTCCGTTCGCAATATGTCCGTAGCTGAGGTTCTAGCGGCTGACAACATAGGCGACGATCGCAGCGCCAAGTGCGACAATCACGGCCCACCGAGCCAGGCCGCGTCGGATATGATAATTCGCAACCTCGGGAATGGCATCACCGTCGTTGACATGTGGGAATGGCTGGTCTTTAGGGATTTCTTTGCCGAGGGCCTTGCACAGGGGCTCCCAGCCATCGCGGACGTCGAAAAACACCAAGCGGTCCTCCGGCACCACCTCTTTCAACCATGAAACATGCCTGAGATATGTTTGGCGAGTCGGAATAGCTTCTCCGTAAATTTTCACCCATTGATCGCGCAGGAGAGTGATGTACCCAATGAAGTGCCGCATACCAGGGAGTGGCAGGAGAACTCCTTGAATGAACCACATCAGTGTCACTCCTCGGACATGGTCGAGGCTTTTCTCCCATTTCACTGGATCGCGAATTGTGCATATCACTTTCGCGTTGGGGTACAGTTCCATTAACTCGGGAACGAGCTGCCCACCAGGCGCATCTGTGATGGCGGCGTAGCCATCCAGCTCGCGTTCCATGAGCTTCAACGCGGCTGAGTGATCGGGACCAGTCCCCGCCAGCCAGTGCTTCAGAATCCTGGCCCAGACCTTGATCTGCGCTGGAGGGCCCAGGGTGGTTTGAGTGCCGCCATGCCAGATGGGGCCTTCCAGGAGGATTTCCAGGGCCTTGCTGAGGGACGCGGTGCCAGTGCGCGGAAGGCCTGCTCCGATGACTTGGAATCGGGTGCCTGGATGTGGAAGGGACGCATTTTGCCCCATGCTGACGGCAATATGTAGATGCCCCCAGGGCTGTCGTAGCTGCGTTCCACGGAGCGATGCGAAGAAGCTCTGACGTCGGTGTGGCCTTATCTAAAAATAAACAGGTGACCGCTTCCTCAGGGTCCCCAATGACGAGATCCCCAGCATCAACCGATCGCAAGTCATTTTGGACATCTGTCGCATCTTTTTGGGAATGTAGAATCGGGATGAGAACAATGCCATTCTTTTGTTCTAGCGTACTTTTGTCTCACTCCTCCCCCCCCACCTAGACAGGGTTGTTCGGCAATGGCTGGAAATGGACAGACGCCAAGCGGCTTGCCAAGCGACTACTATCTAAGGCTATACTTTTGTTTTGCTGTCTAGTGGTGAAGAAAAGAGACATTTTTAAGCAAAATTGAAATCGACCATGGCCGGAGAGCATGATCTTTCTCAACTTAGCTTATTCACCCACAATATTGAAATGGACAAGTCACCTCTCACATCGATACCCACGCAACAATTTGTTCAATCTGTAGTCCAGTCACCGACCAAAAAAGAAAAGCCAGCCAGACTGGTCCGACCGCTCAAATATCGTCAAAATGTACATTATCCAGGAATTGTGAAGCCAAACGTTAACTGTTACATTTGATTTCCCACCACGAGCAGCGCTGACGTCTACTTGTAACACCCGAGTACGAATACGCGGTCGACTCGACTGATGGGACAACGCCTACTACAGAACTACTCCAGTAAATTCTCGGTATATCAACACTGATCTGGTTCGATCTACGCATTAGTCATGGAAATGACCGCGGAAAAATTCAGATGTAAGTTATGAAATTGATTCGACGTCATTTCGTATAGCACGATCATGGCTCAAAAGATGATTCCTCTCCCGTGCCCTGGAAAAGAAAGTCGGGAAACCCCGATTCTCGGCGGAGAGATCCTAGCTGAAGAAAACATGCACCTTAAAGCTCTCATTGGTGACATAAGTCTAGGTAGATCTTGATGTTTTGTTCAAAAAACCAGACCCTGCGGATGTAAGTCCTCGCCCAAGCCATGGGAAATAGCTAGGAGGCCAACACAAAGAAGCAGCCCGGCGAGCAGCTGGGCGCGTAGTATCGGCAGCGCCTGCCCTGCATTCATGCAGACAGGTGTATTGGAAGATGATAACCGTTCTCAGAGCCCGACAGACAATAAAAAAAACTTGACCAAAATTTACTCAGAAGTTCAGTCTTTCGTCGTAGGGGGCTGAGGGTCGTCGTGAATGGGGCTGGTGGCGACTTTGTCCAGGGCCACGGCATGCAATGCTGGCTTCTCGACGTCATGGAGGAGGCCATCCTTGCGACGCTGGAGTTGCTTGAGAACCCAATCGGCAACTTCCTTGTCCTCGGTCATCGAAGATGACGGGTGTTCGCCAGGTGCCGGGTTCTCAGATGGTTTCGGGGCAACTTCATCAACGGCCTCACTCGGCGGACGCATGAGGGGTACAAGCCATGCGTGACGAAGGAGCATATTGTAGTTAGGTCGGTTTTTGGGGTTCTTGTCGAGACAGGCCCGCACGAATGCGTGAGCTGCTTCAGAGTACCCGGATTCTGGGAGATCTGGAGGTTCACCATGGACAATCGCCTAAAGAAAGAAAATTTAGTTGGTATGAGATCGTCTTGACACAGCAAAGAAGGAGAAAACTCACATGAAGCTGACTGAAGATGTTAGTGAAAGTTTCAGGTGGGTACGGATAACGGCCCATGGCGCATTCGATAATCGACAGGCCCAGACTCCAGATATCACTCTGCACGCTGTATGTTCCTCCACTGGTCGCTCCAGATTGTTGCATTCCACCACCGGCAATTCGCTCCGGTGCCATGTAGCTCTGGCAGCCAATGTTGGTCTTCGCGATACTGGCAACCAGGTTTCCGCTCACGCCGAAATCGCAAATCTTGACCTGGCCCTTGCTGTTGACCAGAACGTTGGTTGGTTTGACGTCGCGATGGATTATATTGTGCTCTTCCTTGAGAGCTTTCAAGCCCATAATAGTGGACAGCGTCACCTTTCGCAGGATGCTTTCAGGAACACCACCTTCGTACAGCTTGTCGATCGAACCTCCGTCCATGAACTCAACACACATGTAGACGGCACCTTCTTGGAAGAAAGCACCGTAGAAATCGATGATGAAGGGCGAGACACAACGATGTAGAATATCCAGTTCCATAAGAATTTGGGCGAACTTGCTCTCATCCAGCTCGAGTCGGATTTCCTTCATAGCCATTGTCACTCCAGACAGATTATCCTGGTGAACTGTGTCCGAGCCATCGTCCTGTCCAGGCGACCGGCTGACGATTCCACTCAAGCCCTGGCCAGGTTTTCGGATATGCGGACGACTGTGTCGGACTTTGTAAACGGTGCCATAATTTCCCTTGCCCAGTTCATCTAACCGATCGACTTCATCCAGGGAGATTTTGAAACTGTGGCCCGAAGAAAATTCGACGCCACCTCCATGCAAGATTGCCTTGTCCTTGAAATTCAAGGTACCGGTCTTGGTGTCGATAAATTCCGCATATTTGCTGAAGGCTGACTCTCCTCCACCTGCTCCTCCTCCAGCACCACTACCAGATTCGTTCTGTTCCGTTGGCTTTGAATCGGTGCCATTGGACGGTGGCGGAGCGCCGCCCGTGACATCTGACAGCTTGAGGCCTGGTTTCATACGCTTAGCTGCCAGTCCGCCGCTCGGGCCGGATTTTGAAGATGCGGGGGAGCCACCGACGGCGGGAATCGACGGCGACGAGGCCCAATTCTTGTTGTTCGGCCGTGTGGCGGCCGGCATACGGCCGGCCAAAGCGCCACCCGCACCGGCTTCATGAGACGTAGGTATTGTTCCCGTCGAGGTGGTATGAGGCAATGGAGCGCCTTGCCGGGACAGAGAAAACGCCTTCATCTTTGCCATGATGTCCTGGTTGAGCCCGCTGACCCCTTGTGAGCTCATCGACGCTTGGGGCCGTGGCGGGGTACTGGCACCCCGCCGAGCGGCATTGACCTGTCCGAGATGCGTCGACGAAGCAGAAATACCTGCGTTGGGGTCGCGAGACGGCAGGAGGGAAGGAGCCGATGTATGGCTTGAGGATGTTGCGGATGACGGGGCTTCGACGGGGGACTCGGCGGGGGTTGGCCGTCCATGTTGTGTCGCAGAGGATCACGGGGGTCGAGGAATTCGAACCGACGACAAGGGCCGGTGCAATTGGTGTGTGGGTGCCGTTTTGAAGTCTGGCTGCACCGGGTGTCGGCGCCGTTGAGAGACCGCGAGCGCAAAGGGGGTTGTGGGAGAAGTAAAGAGAAGGGCGGCAGATAGGAGGGGCCAAGGTTGACGGGGATTCCTTGGAAGGCGAAGTCACCGCGCCGACAGGAAAGTACGGAGAACCGGGCACTTGCCCGCCCGCGACGACGTCTCCCACCTGCGTCACTCGCTTTTCACTCTAACTTGATTAACTACGCTACTGCAGCAGTACTAACGCAACTCCAACCCCAACCCAGGCACCGTGAGCCCGATCGCGCTGGTTTCTACCGATATTGCATTGATTTCACGGAATCCCACTGATTTCCCACCCTTGTCGCCCTCGCACCTTCAACCGGGCGGTCGTACCAGCCAATCACAGCGGCAGCCCAACCCAAAAGCAGGTTTTGACACGGCGGAGTAGCACAGTCAATTTACAACCTGCCGTGCGCAAAGCACCCCGGAACATACCGAGGACTCCATTCGCGGACGCGCGGATTGCGTCTTCGCTGATCTCGGATCGCCCTCTGCCACCCCCGTGCACGGTGGACATGGACATGCCGGGTTCTTTCCCCCGGGGTTAACGGCCCTGGTGGAACAGCTCGGCGGCCGTTTATTCGTGGGAGCAGAACCATAATCGCAAGTCATTGACTTAACAGACTCCACTTGGAACGGTGGCTTCTCGGCCCGATGAATCTGCGCCAAGCGGACGAGAGGAGACGGGTGATAAGGATTCGTACGTACTTTACGTCCAGCGCATCAGGGGGAAAGCGTGGCACTTCCAAACAAGACGCCTCCAGATGCGCCGGGGTCTACCAACCTGCATTGCGGGCGACATGACCTCATCTGAGCCGGCGTGATATGTACAGGAGAGCTGAGAAGCACATGCACGGACCCGAGACCCTGCTCCCCCACGGGGTTCCGATCATGTTGACTGTACAGATTGTCTCCGTTCTTCGTCGGTCAGGCACACCGCCATGGTTTCGGTCTTTGAGCCTCCTCGGCCCATTGGCGAAGACACGTATCTACATGAGCCGCTGGCCAAAACCAATACTCCTGGATCTTTGGCACCTGCTCTAGCGATCCTATGCACCTGGGTCGGAGGCGCCACGCCACGCCGCATCAACAAGTACCTCGCCCAGTATCGACAGATATATCCGTCATCGGCTCTCCTCCTGGTCACAACGTATGTTCCCAATACGGCTGTCCGGCCCTTGAGATGAGTTCGCGACCTCCTCAAACCAGCTCGCCGTGCCATCTGTCGGATCTTGGCATTGTCAGCGCCTACCAACGACGAACTCTGACGACCACGGGGAACATTACTTCATCCCTTTTCCCATGCGGGGGCCACATGGGTGTGCAGCTGGCTCTTTCGATAAAAGAAGAACCAGACCGGGGTGCAATCTTCTTCGAGCACCTTCAGGGAATTATCCTCGACTGCTGCCCTGGGGATGATGCTTTAGAAAGAGCGTACTGCGCAGCCCGTCTGTCTGTGCCGTAATCGACGATGGCACAGCTTTTGGGTGACACTATGCTGTATCTAGCGTTGTCTTTGTTTGATAGCCTGTAACATGCTGGCATTTTACGAGCAGTGCAAGACCTACGCGTACTTCTCCTTCTCAGCGACGATACTACCTTTGGCTCGAGTGCCCGACGTTTGTATACCTGCTCGAAGGCAGACGTAAAGGTGGGCTGAGGAGATGTCCAATCACACTACGAGGATGCGAAATCCCAGGGCTACATTGTGCGTTAGATCCTTTTTGAATCTGGCTCGCACTGCAGACTGATCATAGAAGAAGCGAGCCGATATTGAACAGCATATATTCAGAGGTTCTGGCAAGGTGGAGATGGACATGTCGGATTTAAGTTTCATCAAGGACCCATCGGATGCTATTTCCACCCTCCAGGGATCAGCTCCATTTGCGCAGCCGACTTTAAGCGGTGATGATATTCTGTGACAGGCCACTGCTTATTTACGACGTGTCTGTACCACTTCGAAACCAAGGTAGTAGATACAAGCCCCACAGCTGGCGAACGAATACTGGCTGCGGGAGAGGGGAAAGGGATATACCAGCCTTTTTCCTATCACGAGATCATAAACGCAGAAGGATCCAAGAAAAACGTGACTAAATCTTTGTATTGGATATTCAAAACTAAATGCTGCTCTTGGCCAAAAATTCCAAGATCTCTTCGGCGATGAGCGCAGTGTCACTCTCGACGGCAAAGTGGCCTGCATCAATCAATTTGATCACAGCCTGGGGGAGATCCTTTTTAAATGCTTCGGCACCGGGAGGGATGAAAAAAACATCGTTCTTTCCCCAAATTGCCAACAGCGGCACCTGCGAATTTCGGAAATATTCGTGGAACTCATCATAGCGGCGAACATTATTCTGATAATCGAAAAACAGATCTACTTGGATCTCCTTATTACCGGGTCGCTCCATCAACGCATAGTCGAGCGTGTACGTCTCTGGTGCGATTCGACTGATATCTGGCGTGCCATTCTCGTACTGGAACTTGGTCATGTCGAGGTTCAGCATGACTTGATCAATCTTGGCTCGATCTTCGGATGTGTTGTCGCTCGCCCAAAACTGCTTGATCGGAGCCCAGACGTCGCCGAGGCCTTCGACGTAGGCATTTCCATTCTGTGTTATGATCGCTTGAACGGCGTGTGGCTGCTGGAGTGCAACTATAAGCCCGGTCGGTGCGCCATAGTCGAAGATGTACATCGAGAATCGGTAGATGGAAAGCTCGTACAGAAACTCCGAGACCGTCATTGCCAGATTGTCGAATGTATATTTGAAGTCCGCGGGTGCTTCCGTGAAGCCGAATCCTGGAAGGTCGGGGGCTACCACATGGTAGTTTTTGGCCAGCAGCGGGATGAGGTGTCGATACTGGTGGGAGGAGGATGGAAAGCCGTGAAGTAATAACACGACCGGAGCGTCGGCCGGGCCCTGCTCACGGTAAAAGACCTTGACCCTGGTCTGTGGAAGGCTGATAGATTTGTTGTCTGGAATACTCATTTTGAGAACAGATGGAAGCTTCGGAAGGAGACTGCCGGTGGGAGGTATAGTAATGCTGAGACTTGCTGACTTGCGTCTGACGCGGAGAGGGGATTCCGGAGGTCTTAAATAATGGGCCTCGGGCCACTTGTCCCAACTGCTGATCCAAGGATCCCATCATTTATAATGTTTGCAGTTCCCACGAGTCTTTCCTGCTCTCGAAACGCCGTGAATCCTTCTTGTTTGACATGCGGAGTGGATTGGCCGCTTCGAGCGATGTGCAAACACTCAAGCAAACACCGGTGGGGCAGGGCGTGTTTGCAAGATTTGCAGTTTGTGTTATTGGTCAGCTAAGCTGTTTGAAAGAGACACAAACGACTCAATGACGTGGTGTGATGACTATGACTATTTGGCGTACCTAAGGCAGAGCCATGTATCCAATTATATTGAAACGCTTTGGGTGGGCCTGGTGTTATGAGTCGGTACCTTCATGATGGAACAGCTTCGCTGGTATTTGAAGTACTGCCAGTGTACTACATTCTTCGCTGATCGTTTACCCAAAAACATGGGTAATTTGGGAAGAGGCCGACTATATCAGTTTTGATCTCTTGCTAGATATGTTTCTAGTGCTCTATCCTAGAGATTACTTATGCTCCGAGCTTTCTCGGCTTCGACTTCTACAACGGGCTGGTACCAAACATTATGCTTAGGCTGCGGCACATCCGCTCCAATGGATCCTGACGCCGCTCCGCAATCTGCGGATTGCGGATGCTCCTCAAGATCCTCATCCGCGCTGCACCATACAAAGTGTCTTCTTTTCGTCTTTTCTCAATGAAATATTATGAAATGATATTGTATCTCGGTTTAGGAGATAATCTTATCATTTATTATAAGTCCCTTCCTTATTTTTACTGCAGAGGCATAGCTTAAGATGATGTTTTATTTGGTTTTACAGAGCCGGCTTGAACTGTATGTTGAGGTTCCAGGATAAGGCACCGAATTGATGCCTCATTCCAGACCTCTGTCGGCATGCCTGTCCAGGGAAACCCGAGGCACTGAGCTTGATATACGCTTCAAGCTCTCTTGCCGCCATTATATTCTACATTCAGGGGATCTTCATGGAAGAACCCCGATCGAGACCGATTATGAGGGATTTACTACTGTCAGGGGCTTGGCGCCCGTTCAGGGATAAATACCCCAGAATCGCATGTAGACAGTTTGATACAGTCAAGTTCAAGTTCTGTCAATTCCATTAAGGTCGATTTGTCTAGCAGGCCCTCCTTCAATATTCAGTGCTTCGTCGTAGCCCATCTCAACAACTTCGTCGTGATATATTCTGGAAGAGTTTCGGAACCTGGTGTCCACGAACAAGTACAAGCGAGCGACTTGATACTGCATATTGGGCCGCACCCGACAGATATCAACCCAGCCGGCTTCAAGAGCGACATACACATATTGAGACAATCGTATCCTAGAGAGACACCATTGAACTGAAAGGGGAGAGCTTCCAAGGTCTTCATATGAGTGGTGTCCTAAGGAGACTCTCTGAGACTCTTCGTTTGAGCAGAACAAATTCAGAAAATTGTCGCATGACTCCTTGCGGGGGATTGACTAATCAGGTCGTCGAACGCCCGAGATGGCTGGCCTTCTGAATACCCCTGAATATCAGGGTCCTCGAGAACGATAATCTCATTATCCTCGGCATCTGGCTCTTCAGAAATCTCGGTTTCTGGGCTATTTGGTGAGCCTTCAGGGGTGGCACCCCTTGATTCGATAGGAGGTAAGTCAGGATTGTGGAACAGTTCGAAATCACTGCCCTCGTCGATGATGATATCTCTGACTTCGTGGATTGTGCCTCTAGGCCGACCGTCTTTGTACGGCCAATAAACTCGGTATACTGAACTGTGGTAGCTACCATATCCAACGAGCTTGCCCATCCATGCCCGCGGTGCAAGGTGCCTGCGTGACGGGTTGCGTCGAATCTGCTCCTGTTGTAGTACAACGTACGCATCACTGCCGAGGATGCTAAGAAACTGAAATCTGGCTTCTGGCCGTGCCGGATCTCGTACGGGGACTTGATGCCCTCGATATGCCTCCCGTGATAAGGGAGCATGTTGCGCAAGGAAACAACTGTGCGCATGACTTCAGCCCATAGGAACTGTGGGAGGCCGCTGTCCTGGAGAATCGCCCTTGTGCGCTCGCCTAGCACACGCATGAGGCGTTAAATCTTGCCGTTTTGCTGATGGGTGTACGGCGCGGATAGGAACCGTGCGATGTTGCGGTCCTTTGCCCACTGCTGTAGCTGCATATCGATGAATTCGCCTCCGTGATCAGACTGGATGGCCACGATTGAATCCCTTCGCTGTGGGACCTGCGGTGCAGCTGTTCCTGGGATAATAGCTTCCTGAGCGATGTCGGACAACGAGTGGAAACTTTCGATTCTAGTTTCATGGTCTCGTTCGTACTCTTTGGCGAACTCCTGGATGGCCCATTTGGCGCCATGCTTGTGTCTCAAGAACTTGACGGTTGCCCAGCTGTCATAGTCATCAATGGATGCTATCCAGTAGCGCCCTCCGTCGAGCGACCGGCATAGCTTTCCGCCTCCACCGACATCGATGTGGACGAGTTCTCCTGGCTTGGTGGAGCGGCGCAACCTTGGCATCGTACGGCGTATGTTCTGGTGTGCCTTTGCAATAGTGCATGGTTTGCAAGGCTGCTTCGGGATTGAAAGTCCCTTGATGTCGATGCCAGTAGCAGTGCTAGCCGCTTCGGCTACTGCCTTCATACCTGGATGGCCGAGACGGCGATGCCAGGTCATGACATTCGGCTTGCTGCGGTCAAGTTTCGTGACTGCGTCCGTTCTCTCTGCGGAGGTCACTACCCTTGGGGTAACTTGGACCGTCTCTGTGTCGAGTATAGTCGTTTGCGAGTGCTGGATGACCTTTCTGACATTCAATAGCCAGTTGTGTTCACTTCGACTGCCTCGTGCGAGGACTGAGCCGTCCTGTCGGTGCAGGATAAGGCTCTTCGCCCGGCACTCCGCTGTGATTCCTTTGTCGGCTAATTTTGATGCACTAAACAAGTTAAAGCGGAGTCCTGGAATATACAGGACGTTGTGGACGCGCACTTTGCCGCCCTGCTTTGTGCCGTTATCGAGGATCATCTCGACATCCCCGATAGTTGCCATCGTCTCCTGCGTGGCCAATGCCATATAGATTGATCTGTTCGATGGTCTTGCAGTCCCCGGAACGAATTAATTCGGGGACGAGATCATGTAGTCGTCGCATGCAGTGTCGACGACCCAGCGCTTCATATCAGGGGCCACTGTTGCGTCCGTTGATAGCGCATAAAGAGGTGGCTCCACAGGATTTCCCTCGACAGTCGTCGTTATCAATGACTCTGTCTCCTGTGGCTTGCCGTTGCTAGTGCTTTGCACATTACTTCCCTTAGATTTGTCCTTAGGCCTCTTTTCGGGATGTTTTCGCCAGCAATCCGGTTCAGTATGGCTGGGTTTGCGGCAGTATGTACAGGTCTTCCGTGAGCCCTTCGATTCTGGCTTCGAAGAGTTGTTCGTCGCGGCGACCATAGACCATTTCTGGTGCTGTCGATTCGCTGTTTCCTGAGTCGACAGTTCATGGACGATAGAACGGAAGTGATATTCGTCCATAGGGTTGCGCTGCTCTTTGGCGATAGTATCCCAAGTGGTCTTCCACCCCGTCCATTCGGGTGTATCGAGACCAGTGATAAGTGCAAGGCATCTACACCATTCAAATTCGGGAGACCAACCGCGTCCGACAAAGATGTCGTTCCAAGCGGCCTGAACTTTGCGGGCATACTCGGATATGCCTCTGCATTTGCTATACCGAATAGATATAGCTGCTTCCATGCCTGACCGTGCAATGCTCACACTGTTCGCTGCGTACTGCGTCTCGAGTAGCTTCCAAAGCAAGTGTGGCTGGTCGGCTAGTCGTGCTACGTCTCTGCTGATCGATTTTGAGACGTTTTGCACAATGGTTCGTCCGGCGGTGTAATTCAACCGTACCCACTCGAAATATAGGTGGTGTTCCTCAGGTGGCGCTACCAACCTATTCTGGCTGACGACGAACTGAAGGAGGCCGTTAGATCCAAGCAGGATCAACATATTCTTCTTCCACTGACGGTAGTTCCGTGCCCCATTAAGCTCCTCGATGACGGTTTGGATTTCTCCAGCCCTACTATGAAGCTTGGTCAGGCTTTGGAGACGCTTCTCCATATTGTCATCAAATATGCCGGTAGCACTACGGGGTGCTATGCCGCTGGCAGATGGGAGACGGTTCTGAATGCCTCGAATACCCTGGGGAGCCGTACGGGCGGCTGCCGAAAGGGGTTCTATCTCATATCCTCCTCCGAGGGAGGTGGTCGAGATAGCTGACGGTCGATTTGTCGCTGCTCATCATTCATTTCTTCGGCTTCATCATCATCAAATGCTCCCTCGGGAGATCCCAACGGCTCCAAGGGAGCAGGATCAGGACCTTCTGGATGGCCTTGATCTTCTGGAAACGCTCCGACCGCGCTTGCAGGAGCGTCGGGGGCGTTTCGAGATCGTCCGCGGCGAGTTGCAGGCGCCATACAGGTGGCAGCTTGCGAATAGCTTCACGGACCGGAGGATGGCTCAGGGAAGAGAGTGAAGATGATAGATAATCCTGGCTTCAGTGGTCAGCCGGGCTCATAACCTGTTGAGATGGGCTACGACGAAGCACTGAATATTGAAGGAGGGCCTGCTAGACAAATCGACCTTAATGGAATTGACAGAACTTGAACTTGACTGTATCAAACTGTCTACATGCGATTCTGTGGGGGTATTTATCCCTGAACGGGCGCCAAGCCCCTGACAGTAGTAAACACCTTATAATCGGTCTCGATCGGGGTTCTTCCATGAAGATCCCCTGAATGTAGAATATAATGGCGGCAAGAGAGCTTGAAGCGCATATCAAGCTCAGTGCTTCGGGTTTCCCTGGACAGGCATGCCGACAGAGGTCTGGAATGAGGCATCAATTCGGTGCCTTATCCTGGAACCTCAACAGAAGTTGGGTAGGCTCTCGTCGATAATGCCTTTGGCCATCAGGAATGCATAGCTAGGTATATTTGAGCTCTCCACGAAAGCTCCAGTTGGCTGGAGGCCATTCCATCGTGCGGCCAGACTATCGATCAAGATAGCCGGGCTCTGCGCCATTTGCGTACGTTGCGTGATAGTGCTGACGGCCTTGTCTTCTTTGGCGGGGGCGTTTGGTTGAGGGTCCTTGAGGGCCAAGGGGGTGACAAGGAGAGCGTCGTCAACGTCCATCTGTACCAGGTCCATGGGGAACCCAATGTACACCAGTTTGCTAGTTGGATAGCATTCGGTCGCGTCGATCATTTGAGGTGCGTTTTCGGAGAGTCCAACAGTACAACAGCACTGGAGATCCGGGAGCTCATTTCCATGAAGAAGTCATGGTCACCATATCCAAGGGTGTGGTGCATGACCAGTCGCTTTTCTTTCGCGGCGGTGGATGGGAAGCCAACAAATGTGGATCACCGGCACGAGCTCAGCACTCGCACCCGTGATGGCATTCAGGGCCGGCAGCTCCCCCACACCAAACGTAGTGACAACTGCAGAAACTCCTTTGACCCGGGCATATCCATCGGTGGCATAGACTGTCGTCGTCAGTGGTCTAGTTTTCACGATCTTGTTGTTGGCTCCCGTCGCTGACCTGCATTGAGCCCATTCGCATTGCCCACCGACTTCAACCCACATTTTTCAACATAGTCGAGCACAGTCAAACTGAATCTCCAGGAGCTCCAAATACTGATCTAATGTTGAGTTCGTGCACATGACAGAGATACTGCAGTGGAATTTGGTGGTCAGTACTGGATTATTGTTATAGTGATACCTACCTGGGTAGGCTTGAATCGGTCGTACCTCAGCGAGATGCGTTGTTGAGATATTTTATATGTCAACAATAGTGACAAGAATCACTGTTTGACAAAAATGGAGATATTGAGAGAACAAGGTACTTCAGATGCGTGGTATTGTCCAGGACTGGGAACTTTGCCGGCAGTCCTTCGGGCCTGATATCTTTTTATGGACCTCGCCGAGATCAAGTCCCAGACATACATATCGCTCCTATGATCTCAATTGAGCAATGGCACCTGTCGGTCAAGTGTCATTTCTATGATCTACATTCCATAGTTATCATACTACTTGCGTAAAAAGTATGGAAATCTAGTCCTTCAATGGAAAGGTGATGTGGGTTTACGGATTTGGGTATGTACTGTGCGATATACAATGTGATGGCGAGATCAATTCATTCATCTGCATTTGACGGAAATGACTGTCTAGCAAGTGCAGCGCGGTTGTTACCTAACTTTCTTCTGAAGATACCAAGGCATGGTAGATATGCTGAGTTGGGGCACATCCCGATGTCGCAAGCCAGATCAAGCTTAGTGAGCCTCAGTATGCGAGGGCTCCTAGTGGAATTGCGTTTCTTAGTCCCACCAGGATGTGACAAAAAGCAAAAGCAAAAATTTAATGTGACAAGGGTCCCGGTAGGATGTTGCGCCATTATCAATATCGAGGAGTATATTGTCGACGCAGACCAGGAGACGAGTTTTCAAGAGAACAGCGATATAGCGAAGAGATCCACTAGACTTAACTTCATTGGGGAAAAAAGGAAAAAGTGTACTTCAACAGATTTTACTTCTTTTGTACAATCTCGCCCACCACATCTTGAATGGCAGTATGTCGACATGCAGGGTCTTGTTTGGGGTAGAGGTATGATGAAACCAGAAAAGCAGTAGCGGTGCTGATCTTGATTTTCAATGTTTCACCCCCTGATCGATTCAAACTTCAAATTTTACGGAGTAAATATCCGTTCTGCATTGTTGATTCCGATGAGTGGAATGACGGCATCGCATCAGTCCAGGCTTTGCCCTGACGCAAAAAAGATTCCCAACTACCATAGGATAGAAAACAGAGTCATTACAGTTTAATATTATCTGTGATATGGAAATTGCTATCGCCATGCTGAATCAACCCCATATTCCCCCATTGCTGCTTAGGCAATTCAAGGGTCAGCAGAGAAATCTTATTGCCATTGGAATAGGATCAGTACAACCATGAGTCGGACGTAATGTGAGAGAATTTCCATGCAACAAATATGCCTAATCCTCAAAACCACATATGACAGAACTATGGTTATCACCGAAACGACCTTGGTCAACCATAGTACGAGGCCCTAGCTACAACTGGTGAGGAATGCAGGACATAATGCACCCTGTAGACGCAACAGACTCTAAATGCAATACTAAATCGAGTTCTCGATTTTAATCAAATGAGTCTAGCACATTCTGAAGAGACCAGAGAGCATAAGCAATTAGTAATAAAAAGAATCATACGTCGGCAGTGCTACAGTGACCTCAACTTGGCGCTAACCGCAAGGAGAAATCGAGCTCCCCGTGCCGCAAAGTAAACAGACATCCGTCCGCAAGACTCTCCGCTCCCCTCACTATGCCTCACCTGCGCCGACAGCCAAATCCCCACGACCATCACGCAAACCAAGGACCCGACGGCCTGGGCAGCCTCCGGGCCCAATTCCAGACTCCTCCCGCGCGGCACACGCCCTCCAACCCAACCTACCGCCACCCGCCGTCAACGGGTCCGAATGGTCTAACACCCGAACCAGCGGCCGTGATGGCTCCGCCAGCGTCGCTCAGAAACCCTTTCGCCATATTCGGGCGGGATAGAGACCAGAATCGACCTGAAACACCGGCGCCACTGCCAGAAGAAGAACGTGTCGAGGAGTTCTTCGAAGACTTTGCTGAAGACCCGCAGGAGATGGAGGATGCTGCCGCTGAAGAAGAAGAGCAACAGGAGGATTCAGATGACGAAAGCTCGGTGTGGATTGATCCAGACGAAGAGGAGGCTCGACGTGCATTGGAATCAGGTGAAATTCATGAGTCCGAGTTTGAGGAGTCGGAGGACGACGAGGACTACGAAGACGTGGACGTGGACGAGGAAATGCACGATCGAGGTGTGTATTTCCACAGTAACAACAACAACAACATCTTCCTTCAATGACTGACACTTTCAAATGCAGAGAAATCCTCTTCCCCTCTCCCTCCCAACCTCCGCGAAATCTCGTCTCTCGCGTCCTGGACTGTCTCTACTTCCAAGCCTGGCTGTGGTGTTTCTGCCCTTCGAAACCCTTCGCCAATGCAGTACTGGCAATCCGATGGTCCACAACCACATACCCTTACGCTACATTTCTTCAAACTAGTCGCCGTGGTGCGCATTCGGGTATACCTCGACTTCGAATTGGATGAGAGCTACACCCCAACCAAAATGGTATTCCTCGCTGGCATGGGTGGGAATGACCTCGTCGAGTTTGCAACGTGGGAAGGTGACGGGCCGTGTGGCTGGGTCGACGTCCCCCTGACCGGAGTCGGAGGTCGAAACGGAGGCTGGGTGCGCGAAGATGAAATGACGCACAACCGCCGGTCGATGAGCGCGCAGCAACGGTCTCAGGACGGCCCTACAAGGCAGGGGCCTGTAAACGAGAAGAACATCGACCGACAGGGACAATCCGTGAAAACCCCCAACGATATCTACAATGGAAATGTACTCAAGGCCATGGTGATTCAGATGCGCGTGATGGAGAACCATCAGAATGGCAAAGACACTCATGTACGCGGGTTTCAGGTTTTCGCATGCGATGACAGCCGGCGTCGTATGGCTGTCGCGCCGTCTGCTTCCGCGGATGGCCGTCCTGGTCAGGCCGATGCATCTCGGCCCTCAAGCCAGGGGACAGATGCTGCACGGACTAGCGTGATGGCTGCTTATGGACTGGAACAGCCAGACTGGATGGGTGAGCCAGTCATCCGGTGAAATACTTATGATGCTGGAAGATCGCATAGCTTTTGTATCAGGCGTAATGTACGGGCTGGGTGACTTGAGTTTTCTTCTTTTTTTCTTTTGCAATGTATTTCCAGCGGCTTCGAGATACCCTCCATGTTTCATTATGAGATTGGAGCGACAATGTTTTACATCCCCCCCAGAGTGGTTTTAGAGCAGATATAAAACATCCCATCATTATGTTTCAGCTAGGATCATTACTAAAAAATTCCGAAAGGGTATTCCATTTTATTTTCCTACACTATTCATGTCTCGTATAGAACCTATCAGGTTCCTTATAGCCACTTATTTCTTGTTTACTTGAGCAGCTTCTCAAGCTCGGCAGCAACAGCATCACCGACCTCGGCGGTGGTGGCCTTGCCACCAATGTCACCGGTGCGAACGCCGGCCTCAATGACGTTGCTGACGGCCTTCTCGACAATGCGGGCATCATCGAACATGCCGAAGGAGTACTGCAGCATCATGGCGATGGAAAGGATGGCGGCGACGGGGTTAACAATACCCTTGCCAGCAATATCGGGGGCAGAGCCTAAGGATGAAATATTAGGAAATTCTTCTTCTTTGCTGTTTAAAGAGAAAGAAAGACACATACCGTGGATAGGCTCGTAGATACCATTGACACGGCTCTTGCCATCGGGGATACCGCTCAGACTGGCACTGGGCAGGAGACCAAGGGAACCGGGGATAACGCTAGCCTCATCTGAAATGATATCACCGAACAGGTTGCTGGTGACAACAATACCGTTCAGCTGACGGGGGTTCTTGACCATAATCATAGCAGCAGAGTCGATCAGCTGGTGACCAATCTGGACCTGAGGAAACTCCTTAGCCATAACCTCAGTGACGACCTTGCGCCACAGACGGCTAGTAGCCAGGACATTGGCCTTGTCCAGACTCCACACGGGGAGAGGGGGGTTGTGCTGCAGAGCCAGGTTACCGGCCAGGCGGGTGATGCGCTCAATCTCGGCGCGAGAGTAGGGCTCGGTGTCGAGGGCGAAGCCGGAGCCGTCGTCTTCCTTGCGTTCGCCGAAGTAGATACCACCAGTCAGCTCACGGATTATGTTGAAGTCGACGCCACGGCAGACATCGGCCTTCAGGGGCGAGCTCTCGACCAGCGAGGGCGCGGCGAAGTTGCAGGGGCGCAGGTTACCGAATGTACCCATCTCCTTGCGCAGACGCAGGATGCCCTGCTCAGGGCGAACGGCGCCAGTTCCCCATTTCTGTATTCAATGTCCTTGTGAGTATACCAAGCCGAGTAGTGTTTTTTTTTTTTTTTTTTTTTTTTTGGGAGATGTTGTCGGACGTACCGGTCCTCCAATGGCACCAAGCAGGACGGCGTCGGCCTTTTTCGCAGCCTCCAGGGCCTCGTCAGTCAAGGGGGATCCGGTAGCGTCGATAGAGGCCTATTGTTTGTCTATTAGATGTGGCCTTTTTCAAGGTCTTGAACGAGTTGTACTTACACCGCCAAGCAGGTGGTCCTGCAGGTTGAAAGTGACATCACGGTTCTTCTCGATCACGCGGAGAACCTAAACACAATTGCGTTAGGACTGATTGCTATAGAAGCTCCAGTTCGAGAGACTCGTATGGCTCTCACCTTGATGGCCTCAGCAGTGACCTATATATGTCCACGTATTAGCTATGATTCAAAGGTGCCTTTACAGGCCGAGGGGCCTCAATTGCCCAGGGAAGTTGGGCAAGCCACATACCTCGGGACCGCAGTGGTCACCGCCAAAAACAACGACATTGAAGGAAGACATTGTGCAATTGGACCAAATAAGCAGAAAAGTTTCACAATTAGAGGACGCTCACTTGGATCGCAAGGGGAGCTTTAAAAAAGGTGGGATGCGGGTGAAGTCGACCCCGCCGCTCCGAGATCGGCGCCGAACGGCCCACCACAACGAAGGGCGGGCTGCCACAATGAGAGCTTGACCTACGACCTCGGCCGCGCAGAGCCGCAGCTAGCCATTGGCAACTGCCATGAGAAAATGTATAGGATACCCACGAGCAGACAATTGCCTTGGTTTGCCCTTCAATTAGACGTTTCGTGCTCTGATCTGGCAAGCTTTATGCTACCAAATTGGCAAGAGACAATGACATGCATTAAATGATGTATAGCAGTGGCATTAAAGATATCAGACCAGCATAAACATTGAAAGACAGGTTCGAAAGAAAAGATGAAAAATTGAAACTCAAGGGGCAAATGGAAAAGAATAAGCGACACAACCCCTTGTGTACTATACAGAAAGGTCCCAGAACCAGCCCATTCCATAAGGACCGTCCTATTCCGCCCAAAACGCTCGTCAATAGGATTTATTTAACCCGCCAAATCAACCTTACCACGGAGGGCCAAGGCGACAGCTGCTGGAACTGTCGGCCGAAGCGCCCCCGAAATCACAGACCGAAGCTCCAAAACATGCATGACCCGAGAAAGGGTAAGAGGGAAGGACCAAAAAAGGCCATTTCGGCCGGCCGGCAACCAGCCGGAAACCACCTGTGCAACTTTGTGCTACAGGGAGTACTTATTTCTTACTGTTGGCGCGTCGGGCTTCGAGGTCTCCCTCTGCGAGCCATCGGCTGGCATTGACCAGCTGGACGACATTGACATACTGCTTGAAAGCCATGACGGGCAGCGAAACAATAGTGATGATCCAAGGGAAGGTGCTGTCGATCTTGTTCGCACGCGCCATCTCGAGGGCACCTGCGCTCCAAGGGCTGGCGAAGATACCGCTCAGCGCGGGATTGGCGGGAGAGCCGGGCTGCACAGAGGACGGCTGAGCATCGGGCACGGGCTGGAGCAGCGAGGGCGACAGTCTCGGCGAAGAGAACGAAAGGAGATAGAGCCCGATGAAGAAGAGCTCGTTGAGGGCGCAGCAGATGAACAGAACAGTCTAAAGAGAGGAGAGCAGCGTCAGTATATAATCACCTCTCCAATCGTACAATGCATGGTCTTACCTTGCTGTGATAGTACTGGTAGAGAATCCAGCTTCGCTCGGAATCAATCGACTTCTTGTGGCTCATGTTGGAGCCACCCATGCTCAGGGTAGCATACATGTGCATATAGTGACTGGCCATGTCCAGGCAGATCAAGCTCTGGAAGACGATGGCCCAGCGAGGCCACGCCGAACTCAAGAAAACCAGCAGGCATGCGGTGGTGCAGCGATCAGTCACCATGTCCAGTACTGCGCCGAAAGTGGTCGACTGGTTGAAGTACCGAGCTGCGTAACCATCCAACGCATCCAGCAGACATGACACGCTGTAAAGAAGGGAGCAGGTGCGCGGGTGGAGGGGCATGTAGTAGAGGGAGGCGATGGCGAGAACGATACGGGAATATCCTGGAAAATAATTGCGTTAGCCATACAATTTTCGAGCTCGGCGATCACGGCACAGATGGAAGTGTTAACTCACCGATGAGATTCGGGGCGAAGAGGAAGACGTTCTCCTTAGGTTCGTCGCTCAACTTGGATTTGCTCCGTTTTTTGGAGGGCGTCCGCTTCGACGGGGTGGACACGTTGCCATTGCCGTTTGCCGACTCTTCGCTCTCGTCCCCCTGGGCAGCGAGGGCCGCCTTTTGTCGTCGTGTTCTGGCGCTCATTGTGTCTTGAGGGGAAAGGGTGGGTTGGGTCGTGAAGATGACAGCGCAACAAGCACGGGACTACTCAACCACGCTTGGCAGTTGGACCCTGGATGAGATAAGGATGATAAGGTTGGCAGGTAGGGTAGCGATAGATGCAAGAAGCGGAGCTGGAGGGAAATAGTCCGGCCCTTTTGGCTGTTAAGGAGGGATAGGGGGATTGAAAGGAGAAAACTCGACGGGGCGATAAGGAGGGTGATAAGCCAAATTGCGCGTCACGGTTGTAAGATGGGACGATGACGCGACGAGGCCGAGATCGCAGGCGGTCGAAGGAGAGAATCTGAGGAAAAGGAGGAGAGCGAAGGAGAGGATAGATCTGTCGGGTCCGTCCAGCTGGAAGATCAGGTCCAGGAAGTAGGGATGGGCGGTTGGCAGCAGAGGCCCCTGCTGTGCAAAGAATGTTTACGGGTCGCCCGGAACCTTGGAAGCTTTCCCCACGCGGCCGAATCCACCTTCCGTCTACTTTGAACCAGCGAAGCCCACAGCCAGAAAATTGTGATGTTCGATTTCGCAAAAAAAATATATTCAACAAGTACGTAGCTCCTTGACTTGAAGACATGGGAAGTATAGTAGGTAAATATATCAGTGTGGTATTTATGCGAAGTCCACAAACCCTGCCAGGCTCAACGATTCGCGAAATTATGTACAATGGGGCCGAGAAAGAGCCCGAACTATGTACAGACAGCCAATTCTACAAATATGAAACACCGGTGACTTTCTCACGTCCGTGACCTGCGCGGATCTGTGGCATCCTGTCGCCGCCACTCGCGAGACTCCTTAGTTCCCAGACTGCCGACGCCGCCTTCCTGACGTCGCTCCCAACCACCGAGCCGGACAACGAGGCAAGTGGCATTATCTCCTTCCTTCGTCACCTCGGTCGCAAAGCTCACCACATCGCGCGCGCCTTGCTCGGGGGTTCGCGCTTCCTTGACGATATCGACAATCTCCTGATCGGCAAGAGTCCCGCTAATACCGTCTGACATCATCACGAGGAACGAAAATTCGGCAGGACCCATTTCGACGCGGCGGAGCTCCGGCTCAGCAGAAACACCAATACGCTTGGATTGGACATCCCCAAAGGCCCGGGTATTTGCGAGCCCGCTCATGCGCTCCTCGCCAAAGGAGTCCGTGACAAAGGTTGTAGCATAGCGGCGAAGTCGACTGGCCTCAATGGGCGACGACGGATGGTGGTTGGAAGTGAGGGGCACGGCTGCGCCGGTAATGGTTGAGCACAGCAAGACTCGAGTGTCGCCGACGTGAGAAACAAGTAGACTAGAAGGGGCAGCAGGGTGCCAAAATGGAGTCGGGGAAGGCGTCGATATCATGGCAATGCTGCCGGTGCTGCCCCCTTTAAATCGCGAGCGGCCACCGATCTTTGGAGTGCGAGTCAAACTCGGGCTGTGGAGGATCTCATCTTCGTTCAATGGCTTCTCGGCCAAAACGAGGTCATCATCCCGCTTGGCGGCTTGCGCCTTGACAAAGTCCAGGTCGGCACGCAGAAAGGCATATTCCAAGATTTCCTCAATAGAGACCTTCCCATTGGATGTCGTATCCATTTCCGCGTCGTTTTCGTTCCCATAGTAGGAGAAAGTGGTCGGTTTGAATCTTTTGAAGTAGCCACCGACTAGCCTTCTCCAGTTCTGCACAAGATTCTTTTCAAGATCGCCGATCCGCTGACGGTTACCGTCTTGCAGGACTGGTAATGTATCGCCTGCATTTGTCTGTCGTCGTGCGGTTCGGAGAATCGAAGAGACCTCGAATTCTACAGCAGTATCTTGAATGTACTCGTGAAGGGTTTCCTTCAAGAACGTGCTGCACTCTGACCCGCCGTGGCCATCGAAAACTCCAAAGTAGAAGACTTGCGGGTCGCCGGTGGCGGTCTCCGCCCCGCGGGACTCACGCAACCCCCCGAGGGACTCCTCAGGCGTTCGATTGTCAGCGACGTAGGTGGTCGCTTCGCAAATGCAGGGAGATCAATAACACCAGCTTGATATGTATCTTCGTTTGCCGGACGGGTACCGCGAGCAGTGACGGCACCAAAGTGATGTTTCGCGCTTCGCAGGGGGATCCGGACAACGGTCGTCTCTCGGCCAACTAGTTGTTGAAATGAGGTCGGAGAGTGCGGAGTCTCGCCAGTATGCGGTATAGAGGCAGAGCGGGGGAGCTTATGAAAGGGAGCGATCGGTCCCCGAGGATCCGGATGAAGCGATGACGATGGCAGATGGGTGACGAAATAGTCGTGGAACTGTGGACGTTTTCGAGCAGATGGTTGGCCATCATGAGGCGCGACATCATTGCTTAGCGCCCGGCATCTTCGAAGATGTGTGAAGCCTGGACGGGCGCCCTTTTGTTAGCTAGCTGCTGAGTACAGGCTGCGCCGTCGTTGAAAGGATCTTTTGAATGGGGTCGGAGATAAGACCGAAGTACCTAAGGTAGTGCGTTGGGGATCACGTACTGTAGCTGCCAGGCAAGGTCCAGACCCGGCCCGTTACTCGCCTCGCTGATATGACAATCATGAATGGCCCATTGATTGAGGGTGACAAGGGTAGTGAGGGAGGAATGGGATGTCGCAGTTGAGGCGTGGGGGACACATTTCGCTGGCCCGAGCGTCGGCAGATAAGGCGACGGAGGCCGGCAGCTGCCCAGCGCAATTTGCGACTCCGCGGAATTACACGCATCGGGTAATATCTAGGTAGACGGAAACCACGCTACTCGATTTTCATATGTAGACTATGGAGTGCACTACGAGAGTGGATAATGTGGGTTGCGAATTTAGGCAGTTATTTTATTGCAATGTTAGAATCTGGATCTGGGCGTGAGAACTCTGGAAGTTTACGAAAGGAAAACAAAATCCACACACTAGATACGTGATCATGAAGAAAGGTGAGTAGGATGAGTTCATTGTTAACGCCTTTCCTAAACCTTTAGAAGTCCATGATGCGCTTTGTGGAAATGAAAAAAAAATTCGTCGAGTAGGGGGATCGACCGAAGGATCACTGCCACCATAGATTATTCCAGGATGCGCTTGCATAGAAAAGAAAACGAAAACAAAACAAATTCATCGGGATGGGAGAGGGGGGGGGGGGGATCAACCAGAAGGGGATCACTGCCGCCTTAGTAAAATCGTAGTGTGATCAGCCAGGGTAGGCTTGTCGTAATGGCCGAAAGAGAACACTATCGATGTAGTGGAAAGTGGTGAGAATTGGCATCTAACAAAAGCAGGATCAATCGAAGAGCCTAGAGACAAACGTCGGGAAGCTCTGCGTGAGAAAGTGCCTGTAAAGATATGCCTAGAGACATGGTAGTGAGTGGCCATTAGAGGGCCTTGGTGCGGGAGAAAAGGCTGCTGTAGACAGCGTCCACGACCGGCTGAGCCGTGATCATCTTGCCGCCGAAGAAGCGCCCGTTCAGACCCTTGATAGCGTTTTCGCCACCTTGAACTCGGTCAAATTTGAGGTAAATGTCGCCTTGGGAGTTCGAGTCTACCGAGATGTGAACAACATGGCCATACTTCTCTTCGCACTCGGCGCGAACATCCTCCTCCAATTCTTTAACCCAGCCTGAACCCTCCTCCTCGGCAGGGTCAAACATGTTTCGAAGCATAACACAGCGGCTCGCCATGTTCACGTTGAGAGGCAGGGGCTTGTGCTCTGTCTTGGGTCGGAGGACTTCGCGCTGTTGATCAGCAGTCGGCTCGGTTTCATCTGTTCGCGCGAGTTTTCTCATCAGGGCATCTCTATTAAAGTTGCTGTAGTTTACTCCCGCGACGTCTGCATCGTCCAAGGCACTGGCACCGCCGGTCTTGTCGTGATCTCTGCCGCCGGCACGGTCGAAATTGTTCGAACCACCAGCTTGAACTCCGCGACCTCCATGGCCCGAGAAAGAAGAACCCTGGTACATTTGTCCGTTTGTAGCCGAGTTCTGGTGGCGACCGGCTGCAGCGTCGAACTTATCGTTGCCAAGCCCAACTCTGATGGCCCGACCAGCAAGTTCAAACCCATTCATCTTCTCCAAGGCCTCACGAGCTTGGTTAGCATCCCGAAACCTTGTGAGTTGTTAGCAACGGATCATTAGGCAAGTTGAACTTGGTGTTTTCAAGTTTGAAGGGTGCACTTACTGCACGAATGCGTATCCTTTGCTGCGACCATTTTCTTTCTGGAGCTGAACGAACTCAAGTTCGCCGAACGGTTCAAAGACATGCTGTAGATCTTCTTCAGTGATACTGAAGTGGACATTACCCACATAGAGTCTGTGAAATGGAGCTGAATGCGATGATCCACCGGAGCTCGCCTCCGGGTTGCGGGCTTGTCGGTTCTTTTCGGCTTCGGTCAGTTGGGCGATGATAGGGATGCCTAGAAGCTTTTGGCCGGTAAGCTGAATCGCAGCGGGCACGGAGTCTTCATTCTTGAACTCAACGTAGCCGACGCTAGGTTATTTCTGGTAAGCAACAAGTTAGAAAATCTGGAGATCAAGTTCACTTACCCCTTGGAACGGCCACTAACGCGGTCCTTCACAATTTGAGCCTCCTTGATAGGGCCGACTTTCTCGAAGAAGGCGATCAGATCCTTGCTTCTCAGGCGGATGGCAAGCTGTTGAACAAAAATCGTGCGTCGGTCGCGTTCATCCTCGTTCGGTTCAGGGGATTTGGTTGGGCTTCGGCGGCGAGTTCGGCCACCCCGGCGTCGCTCATCATCGCGGTCACGTCGGGAAGGGCGGTAGTGACGGTCATCAGGCGAACGCGAGCGAGTGCGGGCACGGCCACCGCCGCGGTAGTAATCGCCACTGGAGCGGTAATCGTCGCGGTCCTGGCGAGACCGGCGGCGGTCACTGTCGCGACTCCGGCTCCGTCTCGCCGAGGGCCGGCTGCGATGGCTGCCATTAGCGCTGCCGTGGTCGCTCTTCATTTCATCGTCGGCGTCAACGTCACGGTCTCGGCGGCGGTCACGGCTGCGGTCACGACGGCGGTATCGGTCACGAGAACGAGACCGATCACGGCGGTCCTCTGCATCCGCTCGAGATCTGTCATGCTTGTCATCATTCTCGGGAGTGGGATCGGCGGGGGCGGCTGTAGACTCAAGAAGAGCCTCGACGTCGAGTGGGGCCGACATTTTTGAGGTCTTTGTCCCCGAGTGCGATCGAAATGGCAGCTGGGGACAGGGGAGAATGAGCTAATGGAAGTTGATCTGAAGATAAGAACTGATATGAGAAAGACGTCAGAGCCCGGTTTCGTGAAGTCTTGTCGTTGCGGGTTTGCGACAGTCAGTGGATGATGAGGAGGAAAGCGAGACGGCTGTCGAGGCGGAAGTTGTTGGTCAACTTCCTGGAATCATGTGACATTTCAAGTTTTGTTTCCGCCTACGATTTTGCCACCCGGCACGGCTACATTTGACCGCCTCAGGTAGCCAGTCTGCCATACTTTTCATGAAAATAGTAAAAAATACTTAATTTGATCGTGTAGAACGTGGACATGGTACGTTTGTTAATGGGGCTATGTTTATTATTTTTTCTTTTTTTTGGTTGCATGAATGCTTGCTTGTGTTTCATTATGATTAAAGATTCATATACACTGATAAGTGATGCTTGGAAAGGAAGAGACAGTACTTTAGGTAGAAATCGACTTCCTGGCGCATCGAAGGATGAGCCAAACGAAGTCACCTGTACATGAGAAGAAAAAACCGTAGAACACATGATCCAAAACTCCTCGGTTGCAACGTGGAAAATGAAGATGTACAGTCTCTAGGTGGAACATAATCACCTAAGGCAAGACTCGACGTGAAGTCATCAAGAACGGTCTTTTGCGACTAGAACAGTCTGAGGTAGAAACTTTACTGAGCCTTGGCGCCCTTGGGGGACGGCGCCTCCAGTTCAGTACCAAAGACACGATCCCAAAATCGACTAGTGACGCCGAATCCGTTCTCGAAGTCGGCGTAGTGATGCTGAAGATGGTACTTCTTCAGTTCTTTGTAGTACAGAGGCAAGCTGCGTGGCAATTAGTACTATAATTTCACTGATAGGAGACGAAGTAAAAAACTTACTTGCGATGGTGAAGGAAGTAGTGAGTCAGATCATAGCAAATATAGCCGAACACGCCACCGCAGAAGACCTGAACGGCCGCAAACCAATTGTAGAAAAAGACGGTATGGGCCAGCTTCCAAAAAGGAGCTGCCAGGATAATAAACAGCGATGGAGGCATGACCAGTCGGTACTTGTCCATTGGGAGATAGTGATGGATACCATGGAGCAGGAAGTGAAGGGTCAAGCCAACGCGGTTGTCAGGGAGCCATCTGTAACAAGAAAAACGAGTTAGTAACCTTTAGAAACACAGATATATCTTTGCAAATGTCGTAGCTCTTACTTGTCAACGTGGAAGAGGAAGCGATGCATCAGATACTCGATCAGCGTCCAGAGACAAACACCGCCAATCCAGTACGCGGCAGCGGCAGAAGGGTCGCCGAGTCCGAGGGATCCGACCATGGTACCGTATGCGACAGGAGGCAGCCAGATCATGGGCACCACATACCAGGCGGTTTTGCTGAGGGGTTCGAGGAAGTTGCCGAAGAGGGGTGCGGATTGGCCTCCCTTGTAGTGGCGGGGCCGATGGATCTGCTCCAAGTAGAATTCCTTGGAGAAGTTGCTGTACCACAACTGAGCAAACAGGGGCTTGTTGAGATCGAGGAATTTGTGCGTCTTAAAATCCTGGCTGTAATCGGTCTCAACAGACAAGTCTTCCTCCTTCGACATCCCAGTGGTTTGGTAGACGGGACTGGCATCCGAGACGACGGAATCGATCCCGGTAGATTTGGCTTTGCCCGAAGAGCTACCCTCCGAGACAAGGAATCCAACATGATAGTCCTCGAGAATCTCATAGGCAGCTTCGGTGTGCTCGTGAGAGATCTCGTCTTTCATAATTTCCGTCACGTCCTTGCCGGCATAGTCTAGAATCAAATCACCCCCGCCCGGATGGTCCTCCACAAACTCGGTGACATCGTAGACCTTGCGACCGATGGTGATATAGCAAGAATTGGCGCTGTTATGCGCCTCGACCTCGGTGGCCGTGAAGGTGGGCAGAACCCGTGCCGGCATTGTATTTTTTTTCCCTCTTTTCCTTTTTCGCAGTTGCTGTTCCAGGAGATCGAGATCAACCGATGGGATGAAAGATGAGAATGGGCGGTGCGGAAGGGCGATCGGAGGAGAGGGTGAGAAAGGGTCGATTGTGATCGAAGTTCGCGGCGTCGAGAGTCGAGACTTCGGAGGGGCGCGGGAATAAATTATTCAGGGGAGGCGTGGCGTGACAGGCCCCGTTTCCGCCCCGGCAAACAACGGGCAGAATTTTGAATTGCTACTCGCCAAACCAGGTTAGTTGGATGAATGGTAAGGTGGGAGATCAGGCCACGAACAGATCGAAGCAGGTGGATGAGATGGCAGCTGGTCTCTTTGTCGAATTTATCGCGCCGAATCAGTATTGTGCTGTATTGTTCCTCGGCCGCAGATGATCGATCGCCTTAGTTAAGCAGCCTTGGCAGGGCGGAAGGAGTTGCATTTTAGTATTACTAATCGGCCGTGTGCAACTGTAGTTACGATCAAGTCTGTATTAAACGTATTGTACTATAGTAGTCCTACTTCTACTTTTGTATATTTGAGTAGCAAGAGAATATAATGGTTGGTTTAGCTTTGCAACATTCTGAGAGTGGCTGATCAAATGCCCCGCAAATTGCTGACACAAAACTGCGGTGAGGGTTCCAGCAGGACCCCCAGGTATGCTCATACTTGGGCCCTACACTACAGTACCTTAGGGTGCTCTAGGGTGGTGGGCTAAGAAGTAGTAGACTGGGTCCAACGCCACCAGCGCAAGAGGCTGACCGGCAGATGCCCCCCAGGCACATGCACCTTTACTCTTAACGCCTGGCCGTTCGTGCCAACGCGCCCAAACACGTTGTGCCCGTCTCCGTGGAGAACCTGGGATTTTTCACAATTCCAATCTCCTTTCGCCCGGTCTCAATTGGGCGCTGATGCATTGGATGCTCATCCTATGGGATTGCTGCCCCGGACACTGCGGGACACGTTCCAGCATTGCGGTGGACCCGATCCAAGGAATGCAGGTACTTGCTCCCGGACAATTGAACAATCACAGTACTCCCATCTGGATGTACCAAATGCAGGACAGCCTGGACTCCATCGGGAGCTTCGCATCACGACGATCGTTTGTTTGTGCTGGTCGTGGCAGCTCGAAAAGGGCTAACTTTCCCCGTACCCCACCAAGCCAGAATGCACGCATCATGTTGGACTGCTCCGTTCCCGGAAACACTCGAGCGACGTCGACAAAACAAGACATCTGTCGCCAGGAAATTGTCAGGGATTAGCATCACGCTAGCTCTGCTTTAGTGCCCTCTGCAGCCCCGCTGGGGCTCCCACGCTTGATCAAGTCGGCTTCCTTTACAATCCTCCTTTTTCAAGAATCCCCAACCACGTCCCTGTCAATTCCTCTGCGCAGCCACCATGTCGGCGGTGGACGATGCCCCCGTCAATCCAATCCTGAACTACATCCAGCAGCTGACCGAGACCAAGAAGGGTCTGCCTTTTCATCAACCAGTCGCCGTCTTGACCTCCCACACTGTTACCGACTCTGCGACGCTGTTTCGGCTGGTGTCCGAGATTGGCCCTCACATCGCGGTGCTCCAGGTCCAAGCCGATGTCATTGACGACTGGTCGGACGAGGTCATCGACCAATTGACCTACTCTGCGAAGAAATACGGGTTTATCTTGTGGGAGGGAAGTCGCATCCTCAATTCCACTGTCAATCTCATGGGCCGCGGGCGGGCCAATTTGGCAACCCGGAAGACGATCGCGGATCTCGCCAAAGGGAGATATGTAAATGGCGCCGCCAAAACGGCAACCTGGGCCAACCTGGCGACCTCCTGGGCGTCGGGGGTGGCGTTGGACCAACAGGAGCAGGACGTCCTGCTCCCGACCCTTCGCAAAGCAGCTCGGGAAGCTGTCGCGACCACGGCAAAAACAATCGAAACAGAAATCTCCGTCGCGGACGGCGCTGAGCCTGTCGAGCAAGAACAGACCCCAACATCTCCGCCAACTCAAAATGGTTGGCACGAATTTTCGGCGGACATGGGCTACGCATTGAGGAAATCCTCCACCATATCCGTCACGGAGAGCGTCACCCTCCAACCCCACGTCGAACCGGAAGACGGGGTACCAGCTCCACCGTTGTTGTCCCGCGCCATGGCCCTATGCCTGCCATGCGATGTCGACACCGCATTCACCTTGGAATTTCGACAGGGCACCATAGCGGCCGCTTGTGCCAACCAAGATTTCGTCGCTGGCCTCCTTACCAGCGAACCGTTGTTCTGCGAATACCACGGAAATAATTTGATCGATCTCGCTGTCCCGGAGGGATGCGATGTGTCAGACGAGATGGAGCATAATTTGCTTGCCTACTCGCCGTACCTAGAGCGAAATCACTCCGTCGGCCTGTTTTCACTGGTTCCTCCTGAGCTCGCCTATGCCTTTGAATCGGATCCGATACACACCCTCAATGCCGATTCAACATCCCCAGGTGGCCAGCCTCGGAGCGTCGCCAAGCTAGAATATATGGTCGGCAAGGCATTAAAAATGCGCGACGCCAACCGCAAGGAGAATGAAGGCAACCAGGTTCCTAAGGATCTTCCAAAGGGCCCCAGTGTTCTCCAGTGCCCGATGGTCATTCTGCCTTGATTGAACACTGCTCTACCGCTCTCAGCTCCCGTCGATCTTCTCAAAAGCAAATATACTTCATACCCTATTGAGCCTCTATATCCCCGCCTATAAAATATCATTGCCCGCTGGAGCACAGAAGCCCATTTATCTGATCTCATTCTGAAGCATTCTAAGGCCGTTTATATCCACAAGCCCTCGCATTTATCCTGAAAAATTATCATTTACAAATACACAATCTACTCGAACCCTTATAAGCCTCCTAAAATTTGCTCCATTTTCTTGCCTCGTTATCTGATGCCCGCCTGGACTTTCATTAATTTAACTACAGCTCGGGGAAACCGTGGTTTTCACCGCCTTCTCTGATAAAACAACCAAGACACGTGCTTAGTAACGCCTAATTGTCAAGATCAACTGAGCAAGATTTTGAACGCTGCAACGTCGCTAGCATTTGAATTTGATTTCTCTGCGTCAGTTAGCGATTCAAGTAGGTCATTGGACTCGTTCAACTGCATTCCATCTCTGGTTCATCTGTTGCATTGGGCCCCCACATCATCGACTTTGCCCACATATGGTCAGCGCTCCATTGAGGTGTACCACCAAAACGAAATCCCGAGAGTTGGAACGAGAGTATGAAAACCTGAACAGCGCCAGGAATATATATCGAATTTCTGCTCAAGGTATTACTGCATATCACTCTCGCTCAGAAGAACACGGATATATCCCCGCCTCCCCCACTCGGCGGTAAATTGCATCAACTTCACGAGGTTTAGGAGAAGCAACAACATTGAAATATTCCAACGTGCCGAGCATGCCGTCAGACACCAACCCTTCAACATCTCTGACGGAGGGTGGATCTGGTGCTGGCGTGACAGATGATGATGTTGTTTCCTCAAATACTCCCACCGCTCGCCAGCGCCTGCGCGCCAAAGACATCAGTATCGTTCCCGGAAGTACACCGACTTCTCCCATTGTCATCTCACCCAATGGGGATATCATTTTGGAATACATTGCCATGTCCTCAGAGAAAAGTCACTACTGGCAAGTATCCAGTGAACAACTGATCAGTGGTAGCCCTTATTTTGGGGCGATGCTGGATTCAAATAAGTTTATGGAAGGGAGATTACTTGCGCAACAGCGACGGGCTCTGACTGAGGGGGCCAATTTAAACACACGGGATACTTTGGCAGACAAAATTGATTCAGCGTCACTGGCTACATTGCCTATCGTCAAGATTCCCAGCAGCCCAAAGTCTGAGTTATGTGGTATTGAAGCGATACAGCTGTTTCTGAAGATCCTTTGCCTCGATATCTTGGATCCAGAAGCAAAGTCCGCTTTTCACAATGACCTGGCGGTTCTGCCACCATCGCTTGTTGCCAAACTTATTGATATATCCGAGTGGTTCAACTCTATAAAACCGGTTCGGCGAGTGTTACAAGAAGCCAATTATAGGGGTGGTGTCAAATGGAAACCCGCGGTCTCCACAAAGGTGTTCAACCTTGATATGTTGAAAATGAAGGAAAGACGAGTCCGAGAAATGATTGTCATCTCAGCATTCATTGGTCTGAAGGATATCTTGAAAGCCATGACCCATACATTGATCATTATAGGATCAAAATTCTGGCAACAGGGATTGGAAAGACCGAAAACTGAAGAATATTCGAATTGGAAGTATCTTCCCGACGGCCTGGAAGGTATGTATCATCATGTTTCCCAAACGCGAAGCGAACGCTCACTAAGATGTTGTTGTCTAGAGGAATTGTACCACCGGCGGCAACGCGTCTTGAATACGTTGACAGATTTACAAGCCCACTTTCTGCGTTCATACGGTGGACTTGAAAGAGATGAATCAGATCGGAAACCAAACACAATCGGCCCAACGACTTCCTATCGTCCCCCTGAACTCCAGTGCCGTAACGGTTTGGCCAATGGCATGCAATGTGATGTCTTTCATCTGGGCCAAATGTTGCGCTTCTTTGCGTTGCGGACCAAGACTGTATTCTTGGGCTCTACGCTCATCGACCCGGACTTTAGCATCGAAGAAAGTGACCCCGACGAACCTTTGGAACAAAATACTAGTGGGAAAGCAGCTGTCTCCAGCGATGAACCGCAATTTGCCATCAATCAGGTGATCGCGGGTCTAAAACAATACCCCGACTACCAAGTCGATCATAATCATGTCGGTTGTGGAATCCGACGTCGCCTCCTGCCAATCTTGGACGGGATCGAGAAGTTTATTGCCGACAATCGAGGTCTACTGGGGGTTCAGGCGAGCCTCTGGGAGTCATTGGAAACCCGAGCGTTGAGTGCGTGGTCAGGACGGGGGGCACCGAAAAACCATACGATCGAAATTAGGTTCTCGAAAATCACGAGAATTGTTACCCCATCCGGCGCAAGGACCGACCAATTCAGCTCTCAAGAAGATCAGGCTCGTTTGATGTTCACTGCTGCAAAGTACAAATGGGAGGCCTAGGGTGGGCTATCTGAACCTTTGGGAGAGTTACATAAAACCACGTCATGTTGGTTACAGACTGCTATGACGGAAGCGTTCGACAGGGGAGACCGGTCTGGACCTGAGCCCCAAAAACTTGTTGGGTTCTTCGCCCTTCCGGTCGCTTTACCGGTGACATGGTCTCGCTTTAGCTGGTACGATAGCACTTCTCTGTGACAAAGCATCTGGTAACTCAAACAGGACCCTGGTGCTGGAGTGAAGTTCGAAAGCTCGATGTATAGTATTTGCACAGTCTTTGCCAATGGAAGTCCTAGAGTTTGAGACTAGAGAGGTCATTATCCTAAAATGTATCGTGACGAAAACGACAGTAGTTTAGAATAGTGTAGAAGAGGCTTTGTGGAGTGATCAATAAATGAGAATCTGAATATCATCAAGTACGAACTTCACAAGAGAAAAGTCATGCGAGGCTATCCGGCGATGAAGAACTTTTCCTTGCTTTGATTTTCTATAATACCTTTTGTATGGTTATGTTTTGATCGGATGAACAAGAATACAAAGCATACAAACCAAGTTCAAAATGTGACAGTCTGAGTTCCTTCTTTCCATAATAAGATCAGTTCTTTTTCAAACAGTCTATCTTCTTGTTCAGGTGACACTTTTGTAGACAGAAAAAATTGACCGCGAGAGAAAATCAATAAACGGGATCGCCCCAGAAATAGCCCAGATCAAGATCTAGATTCGATTCTGTAGGGAAAAAGGAGCCGGTGATCTGACCAGTCGTCGGATCGTATGGGAAATACTCGTCGTAAGAGCTTCGACCCGAGAGTGATTTTTCGGGCTTGATAAATGAGTCAAGAAGATCTGGTGGCTCCAGTCTGTAAGGTGCGGATATTCCAAGAGGAGTGCCGGATTGGTCCATTGGTGAGCAAGCGATGGAGTCCATGTCGGCAGCAATACTGCCCGCCGCAGTCGTGGATGGTAGCGTAGTGGACGTGTCAAAGGGAAGATGGTTCATGGCCTGATCGTCCAAGATGAGCGCGGCTTCACCGAGGTCAGGGGCATCCAGAATGGAGGAGGCAGAGGACTCTTCATTCTCGGACAGCTCCGAAATATTAATGCAAAAATGGGGCGCAAGACGGCGTAAGAATCCATCACAGAGTCTCCAGGCACGTTCACAGGCTGGGTTGGTTTTCGACAGTGTGGACAGCCAGCTGAGGGCTTTGGTGGCCGCTTTCGAGACCATTGTTGCCTTCTCGGGCACATGCTGTGCTTTGAATGCCAGTTCCAACAGGAGCACCGTGGTAGATTGCATGAGATAGTGGAGTGTACACCACCAAGGAGAGATCCGATGCAGAAGGGCTGCATCAAGGGAATCCGGGAATAGTGTCAACATGTGGCATGCAGACTCGACACACTCTGCCGCCGTCTTGCTGCAAAACTCATACGCCTTGTCCCCATCTGATCGAGAAGAGTCGAGTCGACATAAGCAGGGACGAGTAATCCCGATTTTGGTGCTGTAGAAGAGGAACGCAAGTCCCATTCGCTGTCCCAGAGGACATTGCGATGTCTGCGTTGAGGTAAAGTCGTAGGCCGATGGAAGATTCATGAACCAAGAATCGATCTCGAGCATCAAACTCTGAATAGTAAACTCAATACTTGCCCATGGTGCTTGCTGCGATTCGGGGCTGTAGAGCTTGACTGTCATTCTCTTGGCGATTGTTGTGAGCGATGTCAACTGTAAGAAATATAATGACATGCACGGGGGAAGGCTTTTCAGATATTCAGCACGGGTAATCTTGATATCCGCTTCTGCACTTTCATCGTTTGTGTCCGAGTCACCGCCAGAATCAAGATTGGCAGTGCTGCTATTGAGCGTTATTCGCTCTAGAGGACTCGAAGTACTTCGGCCGACGGTGCTGATGAGGTGAGACACTTCTTCCTTCTGAAATTCGCTTTCATCGAAAGGCTTGGGGAGAGGTGTGGTGCAAGAGCTATCGGTGATGCAGGATGGACGCCCCGTGATGACTGTCAGCAGATGCTCAACAGTATATAGTGACCACCAGACACGATATCTGATCTCCTTTGACGTATCCGAAGTACAAGAACCCACATTGCGAAGGTGAAGACCAAGGGCTAGAGCTCCTCGAACCGCACTTCCGCAGAGCTTCCAGGCTCTGGAAAAGACAGTAGTGTAAGTGACAGTACTGGGTCTAGCATTCGGAGAACTGACATACCTGTTGATGTGACTAAATGCAATCATATAAAAACAAGCCAGTCCTTCAACTTGAAGTTGCTGAAGATCAGGGTGATGCAATGACTGATTCTCCAGGCTCAGCATCCTGGCCCTCGTAAAATAAACCCCATGGTCGTCTTCATCTTCCTTCCAATCCGCATCTGTCAACTGAGCATGCTTTGCAGCGATGGCAAATATGAGATTCAGGATGGCCAACCATTTGTTTCCAGGCTTCAAAGAGGGCTGGCTGAAGTAGACTTGGAACTGCGAGACGAAAGTTGAGATCCCAATGATCGGGAAAGACGGATGGACAGAAGTCAGGTAGGCATTAAGCAACTTTGTTGCCGCATCTTTGGAGGGGACGACGTTGGGATCGACTTTCTCGGAATTTGGAACTTCAAGATCGTCAAGATAGTAGTTCAGAGAGGCCATCAGTGGGTCGCTGGAGTTTTCTGGTAGTGGCGTCAGCGTGGGAGAAGGAAGAGCATTCTCATCATCTGCATTCGACATGCTGCAGGGCCATCCCTCATTCTCGTTATTGACCTCCTTGCTAAGCTTCTGCAGCCAGGTGATCTCAGAGCTCTTTCCGATATAACCAGTTGAGCGAGCTACCTCGTCTCTATTGAAGTCTTCCTCGGTATGATCCACTTGGTCCAGGGTCGCATCGAAGGAGGGATGCGAAGGAGGAGGCTCTGAGGTTAGCTTCCGTTGTCCGGAACCATCGGCATCGGCATCCAATGCTAGGTCGGAAGCGGAGTCCTAAGTCTATCTCAGACATGGCTTGCTTATGAAAAACGTATCAGGATCCCTACCACGGCGAGGGCGATGTTCACGAGCTGTTCATCTGAGACCCCAAATCGATTGCTCAGCTTGCTGATGACGTCTTCGTATGCTTGCACTTTCGCTGACAAGCTTGCCAGTTGGCTTCGCGGGTTGTGTACTTGCATCAGTATCTGGGCAAAATAGCAGAGACGAGAAGCCAAGAAGGTACTCACCGCTTGGACTTTTCTCTTTTGCCATCAGTGTAGCAACAGATGATGCCCGCCTCTCGACAATTCCGGCACCCAGACTTGTCTCCGGTGCACTTTGTCTTTCTCTGTCGACAGGATTCGCATGCACGACGAACATGGCGCCGATGAAATCTTCCTGGCGAGGTAAATGCAGACTCAGCGCCTTCTGCAAGGCGTGGAATAGCCATCTTCTTTGCTCCCAATCCAGAATTGGCTCCCTGGAAGGATGATAGATTATCCTGGACGCAGATTATGAGATGGTCTTTTCACAACTCCACAGACAGAATACTTACCACGCTAGATAACTGATGGCAGGTTTCTGCATCAGCACATGATAGCTTGAACAAGCTCTGCTGTTCGGCCCACGTTGGAAAATGGATGCTGCTCATTGTGAGGCTTGCACAGATTAGTCACGTCAAGGTCTGCCTCCATCGGGTCACTTGTAGTCAGCAGGTTGTCATGATGATTCGAGAAGACCCCGGTTTGAAGATTGCATTACCTCAAAATATCTATGGTGTTTTGTCGAGACCTGATGTTTCATAGCATCAGGGCCTTACAGAAACCAAGATGATGAGACCAATAACAGACTTATAAAAGCACTGAAAAGCGGAGCCTCTGGAAGAAAGGAAACATTGCGTGCGAAGCAACCAGCAACTCAGCATACTCTGTCTGGGTCAGCACACGCAGGTCAACCTAAATTCGTCCGGCAGATGTCCGACAATGACGATGTTCCTAAAACGAAGTGACCACACCGGTGCAGTATGTTGAAAATGGCCGCCGAGTTGATGTTCAAGCTTGATCTGCGGCATATATTTGCCTCCTGGAACTGCCGGCATTTGCAGAGGCAAATCTGAGGTCCTTCGGTGGGCAGATTTGCTTGTCTGTACAACTAATGGTACAGAGAATTTGCCATCAACCACTAAACTATGGCGGCGTTGCATCCAATTACGATTAGTGACATCCTGGCAATGTTCATGCAGATGAAGCAACCTCCCCGGTGTCTCTCTGATCCTGCTTGCGGCTTTTGTGTCGGTGACAGGCCTTTTTTATCCACGGATTTTGCATCGGCTGTAGAAACCGACAGTCTGTAGTATCCGACGTGGAGGAGAATGCAAGCGGTGTTTGTATAGCCTGGGGAGGCCGAGGAGCGGTAATGCTTCGGCACCAGCAACAACCAAGTTCGGCAGGGCTCCAGCCATCGAAGCCGAGACGGTTATACCTACCAAGTGGTTTCTATGGTACTAGTAGCGTGCCTCATGCCCCCAAGTGGTCGGGATGGCCCAGGCCTGCCACGCAATGTCAGTCTGACGTTTGAAGTAGAGGCGGGCGGGTGTCTGTTGTCGCTGGTTGAAAGCGAAGAACCAGGGATAGGCGAATATCATCCATGGACCAGCTCTTAGGTACGAAAAGCTTGACGGAAGTTGCAAGTCATGCTTTGTCCAATTCAGGTCAGTGCGAATAAGAGCATCTGAAGCGTTTAACTCTTCAAGTCGCGCCTGAAGTTAATAATTCTGACGTTGTGAGATGACGCGCGGATGACCAAGACGAGCATCACCAGCGGGATGTTGCACTTTGCTCGCTAGACGTGGAAAAGAAACTGATTGTAGAGCGATACCCATTTCAGGGGTGAGGTCAAATCATGATCAGGTCTAGTTATTTTGTGTCAATTTTGGGTAAGCTAAAGACACGGTCCTGGGAAAGGATGTGAAAGGCAATCAGATAACAGGGGAAGCTTGGAACACGGTCTTGATGGCAAACGAGTGCCAAAAAAAAAAAAAAAAAAAAAAAGGAATGCCACAATCCGAACATCATTAAGTAACAAACTCTATACAATCCGACTCCAAAATTACTCGATCAGGAAATTCTCCGCAACACTGCGTACGTCCTTGGAGAAGCCGGTGCTCTCCCCCTCCATCTCCAGGAGGGAGGCACTAAGAACATCAACATCCACGAAGGGCTGAGCCTTGGTGAACCGGACGCTCATTGGGAAGAAGGCATCCTCATCAGCGTCGGTTGATTCGAACTCGAAGCTACCGGAGGGGTTCGACTCGTCGACTGCGCCGAGATTCCAGTCCAGGCTGTCGCCCGAGACCTCGTAGACGGCATCGAAGCTAGAGACAGCAGGTTCCGTGGCGCCGTAAGGAATGGTGACAACGACATCCTGAAGGCTATCCGAGCCGGTGAGCTCATATTCGACCGTCACAGTGGTCGAGTCAGAGCCCTTATTCACCCATACGGTAAAGGTGATGGGCAGGATTTCAGCGTTATCGGCTGAGCTAGCCACGCGCCATCGCAGGACGCCGATAGAGTTGTTTGCGGGGAACCGCTTGGAGGTGTCCTTGAGTTGAATAGCGGAAGAGTTGGTAAAGAGGGCCTTGTCGACGTTAGGGTGTGTCCGGAACTGAGCACCATGGGTAGGAGTGGCCTGAAGATCAAGACGGAGCTTGGTGAAAGATGGGTCGGTGATACGGAGCTGAAGGTCACCCTTGACTTCGAATGATTTCAAGGCACCTTCCCGAGTGAGGGTAGCGGAAATGGTCTCAGCGATTGTAACGTGAACAGGCTCGCGGTCTGCGGTGAGCGACTCGCGGGCGGAGGGGACCTCTGGCACAGGAGTCGAAGTCTCTGAGCCGACCAACGGGCTGGACTCCTCGATTTCGGGGCCTAGGTCACCGCGGACCTTCTCGTAGATATCAGTTGCCTTGGACTTCTTGCCAAGCTGCATACCCTTACCGCGGGTGGGGAGGGGCCTACTCAATTCCGCATGTTAGCAATCACACATATCACACCAGACATACTTCCACTCCCAAGATTCAACTTACTTGGCAAATGCCTTCTTCTTCTCTGCCTCGTAGGAATCGTATGTGTCGGGCACAGCCGGGCGTGTAGGAGGTGTGTAGACGGGGTAGTTGGGTGCCCTCGGGGCAGCAGCGCGACCTGTGCGGGCAGCTTCCTTGCGCTGCATCTCCAATTGCTTCGCCTTTCGCTTGCGCTCCTCGCTTGCTTCCAGTTCTTTGTTCTGTAGATGCATGTTAGCATGAAGTAGCCCCGCAGCCCATCTCTAGACGTACCCGCTCAATGATCTCCTGGATTCTCTCCTCGTGACTCTCCATCTCCAAAAATGTCTTTATCTGAGACAGCGAGAGGTTCTCCCGGTATCCCAGTGTCACCAATTCGTCGAATGCGCTGAGCAACTCAAAGGCATTGCGAAGGATTTCTCGCTCGTCCAGGCTCTTGCAAATGCTGGTAGTAACTTGGGCAAACAAATGGAGACTGTCAATATCTTGAAGAATGTTTGACTGGCGGTTGGTGATCAAAACAATGTACAACTCGTCCAATGGCTGGTAGACGAAGCGGACGTTGTCCTGCTCCACGGTGGTGTGCTGGGTTCCCGAGTCGGCGAGTTTGGGGAAGGAGGCAAGCAGGGCTTCAATACGTGACCGAGCGATTTCGCGGAACTGGCGCGAGAGAACCGCTTTGCCTCCACGGGTGCATATCGACGCTGCGAGAACGACCTGTTGTGGGAGCACGGAGTTAGCATTTGGGCCTCACGGGCATCCCGCCGGTGTACGGGTAGAGTATACCATTGTGAGAAACGAGAGAGGTCAAGAAACAACAAGTAAATTGGTATCGAGGGTGCACCACGAGATATCGGTGGACTCTGTAGCCTGACGAGCCCTTTGTGATGTTGATGGACAAGTCGTCCGCACGGGCAGCTACTCTGTTCTCTTCGGCCCGTTGGCCCGTGCGCCCACTTCCCCCTTCGCTTAGTCGGCCTTGGGTCGCTGCACTTTTTCTTTCATTCAACACTCACCCACCACCCCGCCGTTTCCCTATCGCAACAGACCGTAGCCGGTTTCGAATTCACGTCTTGCTGCGTTCACCCTGCCCGAATCGTTCTCTGGTCGCTTCTTTCCCCGCTTTTCGCCATTCTTACTCCTCTCTAACCGCCACCGCCGAACCACGACACGTCCCATTCATTTTGACTTTTGACGCGTCTTCATGTCATGACCGCAACATCTTCCGCTCCATTTCAAACCATGGAGGTCCCTGCTGCTGAGGACTCGATGGAAATGGCCTCACCCTATCATCAGGAGCAGGTCGATGATTTCGATATCGACATCGACCTGATGGAAGATCATGTTTCAAACATGGATAGCGACATGGTCGGGGTCGATGACCCCGCAGCCTTGTCCGCCACAGAACCTGACATGGTTATGTATGATGAGCCTTCCCCAGAGTCGATGGTTGACGCCGAGAACTTCGACCTCCTTGATGCGGATGAAGGCACCGTTCCAAATTACGAAGCAGACATGCTGGGAAGTGACCAGGACGAAGAACTCGTGGAAGATGTGCCCACTATTCAAGTCGAAATCACTGACAGCAACACAACTGAAACCCAAACGGACAACTACCATGTTCCAGAACCCGCCGAGACTATCGAGTCCGCGCCCTACGTCTCAGATCATCGCACAGAGACGGTCACCTCGGAAGTCATCGCAGAGCCACGGTCACAGTCGGAAGCCGAGCACACCCAACAGGGAATTCTTCTGGAGTCAGGTCAGACGGGAGAGGTCCAGGCTGAGCAACCCGAGGGTACTCAGGTCAGTGTCAGCAATGACCAGACCGAGTTTAATGAAGCTGCTCATTCTGCCTTGGACAGTACCGTTGATATAGCTGAGGATCAACCTGCTCACACTCACACGAGCCCCCTTGCCCAAAGTGCTCAGGTTACTGAACCGGATGTCAGCAATGCCCAAGCTGAACTCGATGAAACTGCTCATGTAGCCTTGGACGGGACCGATACTGCCGAGGATCAACAGTCTGTTCACCTTCAAACTTCTTCCGATGGCCCTGAAACCCAGGTTTCTCAGACAGACTCTGCTTCGAAAGAAACCGAAGTAGAAAACACTGAGTATCCTGTGACTCCTAAGCCCCACGAGTCACACGAGTCACACGAGTCACACGAGTTGGAACATCAGACCCATGAACCCGAATATGAGAACCCCGAAGATGAGTCTTTGCACCCAGTCAAGGTGCTTTACCAGGACAACGAAATTTCTCTCTTCCCGCCCCTTGCAGGAGATTCGGCGGAGACTTTTTTCCTCCACGATGAAGAGATTGGGTACGACAATGTCGGTAGACTGTTCAGTTGTTTCCGAGATGTTCTTGGGGATAATGTTGCCAAGGATGAGGTTCTTGTTATTGATATCGATGCTCTTGGTATCCAAATCACGGAGGTAAGCAAGAGTTCGTCAACCCTTGTCCGGTTGCTATATATACTCACATTCACACCAAGGACTCGCAACATACATCCAAGATGACCTTGCAACATATTTTGGACATTTACGTTCGCCTCAGCTATAACGATGGCATTACCCACCCAGATCCGCTTTATCTCACGCTTACTAGCAAAATTTCTTCTTATTCTGAGTTGGCTGGTCTGGACAGTGCTGCAAATGAAGGCAAAGGCCTCTCTCAGATCCACGCATGGGATGTAGACTGGGAGGATGAGGGCAACGAAGGTTCTGCAGCATATGAACAGCCCGTCGAAGACTCGCATGTCGGTGAGCCTCAGGGCCAGTCTGCACAGGCGGCACATGCCGAAGCCCCTGATGATGGTTACTCTGAACATGACGGTGCTGACACTGGTCCTGTTGAACCCGTACATGAACAAGGAGAGAACGAAGAGGACAATCATGATTCGACGAGAGTTCAGTCTACTCACGAAGAAAAAGGTGAAAACCACGATGATTCTGAAGCTCAGGATATCGAGCCCTCGACTGCCACTACTGGTACCACTTCGAACCCCCACCCGAACGAGCAATCGCCACGTGGATCTACGCACTACATGGTCCGGCAAGGGTGGGATTCTTGGGAGGAAACCCCGAGCAAGGAAAGCCAGAACGAAGAAGACCAGCATGAGGAAGACCAGCATGAGGAAGACCAGCATGAGGAAGACCAGCATGAGAAAGACCAGCATGAGGAAGATCAGAGAGAGGAGGTTCACGCTAGCCATGATCACGATGAGGAAATTCCGACTCGGAATAGTGTACACGCCGACCATCGAGACTTCGATGATTTCGAAGACGAAGCCACCCACGAGCAGAACTATGTGCCAGAATCAGCGGACGATACGACTGCTGGTGATCTTACATTTGTCCCCGATGAAAAATTCACGCAGGAGAATGGTATTGCGCCTGATGACCAGGATGGTACTGCGGGCCTTGATGATAATTCCTTTGGAGAATCCGAGTACACTCTGGACAACACGCCACAGGAGGATAATCTTGATTTCCCCGAGCAAACCTTAGATCCCGAAGATGACTTGCTTGGCATTGCTGAAGACCTGGTGCAGACTCCTGACCAAGGCCGTCAAAACGATCAGCTCAAGTATGCCGAGGAGGATTTGGTCTCTCCCCATGACGACGATGCCGCAGCTTCGCCCGCCGGAGAAGCTCAAGACAACGGTCCTCACTCCGACTTCCAAGCCTCGGAAGCAATCGAATTGTCGGGAATTGACCCTTTCTCTACTGACTCCCATCCCAATGACAATATCTCCACGTCTGCCCAAGGGGCCCAGGAGAAAGATGAGAATGAGCGAGACCCCACCAACGCCACCCCCGATTCTAAGCGCCACCGACCTTCAGAGGCCACCAAAATTGAGGGAACCGTTTCTTCCCCTCCTAAACTCCACTCCTGCCATACCCCCAAGTCTCTCAAACGGATGCGTGAGGCGGGTGATGTATGGATTCGCACGACAAGCCCCCCCTAGTGTCAAACGCCGCCGATCCTAGGAAACCACTATGCGCTCGCCGTCTTTCCTCGATTCACATGCCCTGCATTATCAGACCCTTGGATGACTAGCCAGCGTGTGATGCGATTTTCACTTTTGGATGTCGGCCTCTCAAGTGTTTCAGCAGATACAGCGGAGTAACGAACGACCTAGCTACTAATATCTGCCCTAGCGACAGCTCGACTTTTCTGGTACGAACAGGAGACATTTGCCCGACCCCGGGGTTTCGATCGACTAACCCACCCCAGGTAGGTATTTAATTGCTCTTTGAACCCTCTAGCTGCCCGGGGGGCCACGACCTCTGGGAATTCGACTTTAGTGTGGACCTCGATAACCCATGAATCGCCCGTTTCGCCATGGTTTGCCTCCTCTCCGAATGTTCCTTTTCCCAAGTTGTTCTATGGGGATGGCATTATTTCTGGATTTCTTTTTTATTTGATTCTCCCCGCACGATACCACCAATCCCGTTCCCGGCTTCCCGCAAAACTGTTTCAGCGTCGAAGGAGTTGAGGTTGTTGTCCATCCCGGTCGGACAGTGTTCCATTTGCATCTCACATAGTTACGCGGCGTTCGGGTGTGGGATAGTTTCCAGTTTTTTTTTACTAGGTCTAGTGCCTGCAATGCAATCCTGGGATAACCTTCGAAGCTCAGTCTTGCATGAACAATGCCGTTGTGTAGTACCTTCGGAATTTGTACCTTGTGCAACGGCAGTTCCAGTCAGGGTTGATCGACCCGGACGAGCCTTGGAAATTAGCCGAGATCCACTCGTGCACCGCATGTCTAGATTGATTGGGTGTTGCCTGCGAGTTGCTCGGGCTTAGCGTGGCCAGCGTTGCTTTCGGCGGTTCACAACTTGTGAAGTGTTGGGGCATCCGCCGCCACGCATTACCCTACATAATGTAAGGTCAGGTTGTACTTAGGGCGGCCATCCCACCCCCAGGTGTCTTCATATAAATACGAGGGACCTAGCCTAGGGTCTCGAATTACGGGCGACATGTGCGAATGCTATTTTTCATGCATTGCTACCTACTGTAAAGAAGGCGATCGATCAAGTATCTTCTGCAGTATTTAGGTAGGAAATGGCAGTATAAGGCCGGATATACTTCGCAGTGTATACTCTCATGTATAACATCAACATTGAATATTTACTTCGTAGAAGCCCATTCAAGGGCATCTCCTTCCAAGCGAGATCTCATTAAAAGCGCCTTGGAATTCCGGTGGACCCCCGGTCCGATGTATAGACACGCCGAATGCGGTTGGACGAGATCGATATGAAACGACGATCGGCACGGCGAACTTGGGACAGGGTCCAACGCCCCTGGCCTTTGCTTCGCTCTGCCTACTGAATTGCCCATGACCACTGCCTCCGCGTAGAGCTTCTGAACCCATCCAGTGTCTCGTACCTCCCAGGACCCAGCATCCTCGCGCCTCACAGCCAGTGCACCTGCGTCTTTTGTGATCGGGGGCCTCTTGGACGGCAGCTCGGACTCAGCCGTTACCTCTTACGCGTCCTGGTCGGCCCAGGCTCGAAACGGAACCCCACCGCACGCAGGCACCAAACACCTCCTTCTGCCACCGACTGCGTCTGCGCGCGACTGCGACTCCGCGACTGCTTCTTTTCCTCGTTTGCATATTCATTCTCCTTCTCCGCAGAAATCTCGGGCTGGCTCATTTTTCTGCTTCGCCTCCCTTCGTCCCGTTCGCTCTGCCGCGATCCCCTCGTTTATCGTCCCAGTCGCTCATTTCCGCCTCCCTCGATTCTTGCATTGTTGGCACTGGAGGCCGTTCGACAGTAGGAGCCCTCTGCTCCTCGACGCATTCAAAATGATTCCAGACAAGTACGCTCCGCCATTGCCTTCTGTCGCGACCCTGTGGCCAAGTGGCCACATGCGCTAACCGTCTGTCACCTGCGTCAACAGATATGTCGGGCTAATATTGGCCATTCTATCCACCATGGCAATTGGTATGCTCTCAGTCGATCTCGAAACCCTCGTGACAATATGCTGACTGGTGTGGCTAGGTACGAGTTTTGTGATCACAAAAAAGGTGCGTTGGGTCTCCCGCGCCGACCGTAGCAACTGAGCTGCGGCGGAGGCGTCAGTCGAGGAAGTCTGGAGGAAGCTGGGAGTCGCTGACCGTTCATTCCAGGGTCTCATGCAAGCCTCCGAACGACATGGATTTGAGGGTGAAGGATTCTCATACTTGAGGAGCCCAGTGTGGTGGGCCGGTGTCATCATGCGTATGGGACCTTACCCATCCCAGGTCACAACGCCAACTGGAAGCATAGACTAACGGGCATCACAGTGGCTATCGGAGAGATCGCAAACTTCGCCGCCTATGCGTTTGCGCCCGCTATTTTGGTCACGCCGTTGGGTGCGCTCAGTGTTTTGATCGGGTTCGTTCACCTCTTCCCTCCAACAAGGTGGGCATGGCATCATAGCTCACAAAATGCAGCGCCGTCCTCGGTTCATATTTTCTCGATGAGCGATTGGGTACATTGGGCAAGCTCGGATGCGCCATGTGCCTTCTCGGCTCCGTCGTCATTGTCCTCCATGCGCCTCCCGACACACCAGTCGACAAGATCGAGCAGATGCTGGCATACGCCCTTCGCCCGGGTTTCCTTTTGTACTGCCTGGCAGTTGCGATTTTCTCGACCGTTATGATCTATCGCGTTGCTCCGAAACACGGCAAAAAGAACCCGCTCATCTTCATCTCGATCTGCTCCACTGTTGGCTCAGTCTCTGTGATGTCCATCAAGGCCTTCGGTATCGCCGTTAAGCTGACTTTGGGAGGCCACAACCAATTCGGCCGTCCATCCACCTACATCTTCGCGATTGTCACCGGATTTTGCATTTTGACGCAGATGAACTACTTCAACAAGGCATTGAATGAATTCTCCACTTCGATGTAAGTACCAGTAAAGACGAGTTGTCTGAATCTGTGTTGTCGTAGCGTTGCTGACCAAAGCCCGCCCCTCTTTGCAGTGTGAACCCCCTCTACTATGTGACATTTACGACCGCTACGCTTTGTGCTTCCTTTATTCTCTTCCAGGGATTCAATACCACCGACGCTGTCAACACCATCTCCCTCCTATGCGGGTTCCTCATCATCTTTACTGGCGTTTACCTCCTCAACCTCTCACGACACGATCCGGACGGACATCACCTGGTCAACCCCAAATATGATGAAGACGGCGTCCCGACAGATGGGATTGCGAGCTTCCAGACTCGACGGTCGATGCAGCTTCGCCGCAGCGGTGAACCGCACCGCCGGAGCTCGTCTAGCATCTACCTGAACGGACATGGCGACCGCGAGGGACTCATTCACTCCTACGATGTCGAGAATAACGGTGCGATTGGCCTCGAGGATCTGGCTGAGGAAAGCGACGGCGAGCCGGGACCAACCTACTCGCGCAATGAACAGCGAGAGCGGGAACAAGATCTCACGGCAGAGCATACTAAGCAGAATAGCCATGCGTGATCTTGAGCGCTCCGTTGTATAGCGCTTCCGTCTCGTGAGGTCCCCGACACGACGCCTTTCTCTCATCACATTTCTCCTCCCGAACTTACCAGCCCTGCCGGCTTCTCCTCCGCTTCGCTCCGCGAGCTTCCTGTGTATTTTTACTGCCTCATCTAAAATGCCTGTGGACCTGCGACTCGGGCCCATAACCAAGGCGCTAGGCATGCCCGTATGAAACGATTGGATATGACTGGGTTTTCTGAATGGTTCTTTCCTTGGTCCTTTTTCTTTGTTCTTTTTTGCTTCATTTAAATCTGTTGATTTGGTAATTGGCGAGAGGCATCATTGTATATACCGTGTTCATTTTCATCGAGACTTCCTGGCAATAGATTTGGAGTGGGTGGGGCTCCTCCCCCAACCCCGATGATGTATTCGCTGGTCAGCTGTCGTGGGCACTTTACATCCGAGAGAAACTTGCGCATGCGCTCGCCCCACGCGGAGGCCCCGAAGGCTGAACGCAGGCTGAATTTTTAGGGTCGACCCGGGCGCCGACTTTTCCCTTCTCCCCGCATTTCCTGCTACGACGCGATATGCCGGGCTTGCTGCGGAAACTGGCCATCGTTGCCGCGGTCGACGGCTTGATCCTGCATGCGCACGGCGTCAACGGACCCCGCCCCAATAATGGAAGTAACAACGAGGCCTCGTCGATTCGAATCGACTATAAGACCAACAAGATCACCGCATTGCCAGCATCGGCCTCGGGGACATTAGAAGGCCGCGACGTTTTGGAGGCGTACGGTCTGGTCGGTAGGTCTTTTCCAACATATAATCCCGCGCTCGACCGCCAGTGTACTTGTACAGCCAGCCCTAACATGCGTCGCGAACTATCAAACAGGACTCCTATCTGTCTCATCCTACTCATTCCTCGTTTCCATTACCCAGCGCCAGCAGGTCGCCCAGATTCGCGGCCAACCCATTTATGTCGTCACCAATGTTGCCGTCATCCCTATATCCTCCCAAGCAGATGCCACACACGCAATCGCACAGGCCCGGAAAGAAGTGACACAAGAAGAGCCCGATCTTGACTCGGGCTCTGACGAGGATATACCGGATAATGCCACTGATGGCGCAGAAACGGAGATCGGAAGCGTGTCCACGTCCCCTGCTCAGACCTACCACGCCCGCGGCATGAGTGGGGGAAGTATCGCTGAAGATGTGATTGAGAAACGAGTTCGGTTTGGTCGATTTGCCGCCAACTGGCTCTCTCGTAAGAATCTCGGTCTGCCACGGCCCGGTGCATTGGAGAATGACGATGTGCCCGAGTCGCCCTTTAATGATAGCCCTCGATTGTCTGGGGAAGGTTCCGAAGGAACCAGTGAAGCTACTGATCCCGCTGCTCCGCAAGATGCAGGTGTTGCTCAGGATGAGGCAGACCGTCCAGGGTCTGATCAGGCGACAGAGCTGTTGCCGAAGCTGCTCCGATATACGAAGTTGTTGTTTTCTTCGCACAATTTCTTTTTTGCGTATGATTATGACCTCACACGCCCATTAAATGCACAGGAGAACCGAAAGGCGCAGCTGCCTCTCCACAAGATGGTGGATCCATTGGTATGCTCCGATCAAAATCCTACCTAGGCGGATTAGAATTTCTAGCTCACTTATCCCAGTACTTTTGGAATAAGCATCTCATGTCTACATTTATTGACAAAGGTGCACATGGATTCATTCTTCCCTTGTTGCAAGGATTCGTGGGTCAGCGAGAGTTCACAGTCGCTAACACTGAGAAGCCCGCGGACGAATCTGTCAGTGAGAAACTCACTGAAGGCCGGATACTGGGTGAAAGCCAGGAGGCCGAAGCTGTGGAGACCACGGCACCTAAGCGGAACTTTCTTTTGACTCTCATTTCACGACGCTCAGTTAATCGCCCCGGGTTACGCTACCTCCGTCGTGGTGTGGATGATGAAGGAAACACGGCCAATACCGTCGAGACGGAGCAAATCCTCTCAACACCAGATTTGGATCCTTCTCACAATGCCTACTCATATCTGCAGCTGCGAGGCTCGATCCCATTGTACTTCTCCCAGTCGCCATATGCTCTCAAACCTATCCCGGTGCTGCACCACTCCGCTGAAACAAACCAGCTTGCGTTTGCAAGACACTTCCGAGAACTGAGCCGGAGATATGGCAAAATTCAGGCTGTTTCTCTAATTGATAAACATGCTGGTGAACTCAAGCTGGGTGAGCAATATGAAAGATATGCTGGGGTTTTCAATGAAGCGGGTGGCATTGATGGCACACCACTGCGTTTGGAGTGGTTCGACTTCCATAACGAATGTCGGGGTATGAAATTTGAGAATGTCTCACACTTGGTCGACCGCGTGAAAGGAACTTTGGACGAATTCGGTTATACCATTGTCAAAGATGGTGCATCGTTGTGTCGCCAGGCAGGTATTGTTCGCACGAATTGCATGGACTGCCTGGACCGCACAGGAGTTGCGCAATGTGCTTTTGGGCAGTGGGCTTTGGAGCTCCAGCTGCAAAATGAAGGCATCCATATTGACTTGGGTGGAGACTCATCGACTCAATGGTTCAATACGCTCTGGGCGGATAATGGCGATGCTATCTCGAAACAGTACTCGTCCACAGCTGCGCTGAAAGGAGACTACACGAGAACCAAGAAGCGAGACTACCGCGGAGCTCTCAACGACTTAGGTCTTACGCTCTCGCGCTACTATAATAATATCGTCAACGACTATTTCTCTCAGGCCTGCATCGACTACCTTCTCGGAAATGTTTCGACGCGCGTCTTTGATGAGTTCGCCATCGAGCTGCAAACCACCGACCCAGGCATTTCAGTCGGCAAGATTCGCCAAAATGCCATTGACACCAGCTGCAAGATTGTCATCAGCAGTCCCACGGAAGAATTCCTCGGCGGCTGGACCATGCTTACCCCCCGCCAACCGAACACCCTTCGCACCCTTCCCTTTGAAGAGTCCGTCTTGCTTCTCACCGATGCAGCCGTGTACAGTTGCCGCTTCGACTGGGAAACAGACAAAGTACTCTCCTTCGAGCGAATTGACCTCCGCTCCATCTCCCGCATCCACTACGGTACATACATCACGTCTATTCTAACAGATAGCCAGTCCGACGAACGCAGCAACGTCGGTCTGGTCATCGTTTACCGCGACGGCGACTCCAATGCCCTGCGCGTCAACACCCGCTCCCTGCAGACCAACGTCCCTTCGGAGAATCTCGAAGCCACTGCCAGCTCGAACGGAGAATGGGATCTGGTCTCTTGGCTGCGTGGGACGAAGCGTGCCACCACGCGATTTGTGGCGTTCAAGTCACTCCCCGTCTCGAATCCGGCCGCTAGCCCTCGTCTTGGTCCCACTGGCGGCAGTGTGAGGGAGCTGGATCGAGTCCGGACCATCTGCCAGGATATCGAGCGGGCGATGCTGGCCGGGGATGGTCAGAATATGGATTCGGCCTCTTGCGTTGAGAGCATGAATATAATCTCCCTGGCGGATGCGAAGAAGCGAACGGGGTTCTTGGAGTATCTTGTCTATGATGTTAAGAAGCTGGTTTGGGCTTAGGGTTACCACTGTGAGGTAGCCATGTATATTTTTCGGTGTGACTTAATGTCACGTACCTAGCTATCCTCATTTTAGCCCATGATAGTACCTACCTAAGACAGCATACACGATTTGACGCACATATATATTTACACTCCGACCTGCCTCTGGTAACACCCTATGGTTTTGTATTTAGTGTAGTCGTATCGTATTGTGGAAAGGTCAATCGTGTCCCTCGTAGTAGAGCTATTTAAGTTAAAATGGGAAATCGGAGACTCGACTTGGTTGAAGTGGCTCCTTCCATGGTTTTATACAAGTGAGATATCATTGATATCTTCCGCGTAGACCTCGAGGGCATCGTTGGACCAGCTGATACCGAGATAGTCTCTCTCTGCTTCCCAGAATACTCTCCAACTGACTTTCTGGCTCGTACAGAATCTCTGAGTTCTTTTTTGTACGCCTGGCAGTGCCTTCAGTATCGCCTGACTGCGCTGCTTGACCAACCTCCACCGCCGGCGGTGATTTCGCCTGCGCAGCCCCCACCGCCTTTCGCCGCCTTCGGGCGTCGTCGTTTTTTCTGCCCGCAAGACCAACCGCCCCTCAAACTCGCAGAGCAGTGGCTTTGGAGTCGATCTTCTTCCTGGTCATCTCTTTCTCTGTTTCCTTTCGCCCCTGCTATTTTTGACCTCCGTCGATCAGGCGTCTTTGCTATTCGCGGGGAACAACGGGCCCGCACATTCTTGGCGGGGCTCAACTGTGCCACACGCACTTTTGCTCCCACCCGGTCGCACGTTCACTTCACCACTCCAGCATGGATTGGCAACCGCAAGATGAGCCATTGAGGCAGCTGGCCTGCTGCCTCCGGGACTCACTGAATGGCCAGGACCAGTCGATTCGCAAACAGGCCGAAGAGGTACAGTACTCTAATTTTTCCCGCTTTCTGCGCCTTGACCACGCCGGCACATCCCCTCCTCCGATGTCCCCCCGTGCAAGGAAAGCAGAGCAGCCCAACAAGTAACGGGAAATACTGATCATGTCTTCTGGCCTGCTAGATGCTCTCTCAAGCTACCTCCTCCCCCGACTATGTCAACTACATCACCTATCTTTTTTCCACCCCGCAGGCCCCCCCCCGCTGTGGGCATGGACCCTGCTACTTACGCCGTGGTCCGCTTCGCTGCGGCCATGAACATGAAGACCAAGCTCTGCATGGCCTTCCGTACCATCAACCAACACAGCCTGAACTTCATTCGGTCCGCCGCCCTCATCGCGCTGCAAGACAACGACCGCCAAGTCCAACGAGGTGCCGGAAGCATCATCACTGAAGTGGTGCAGCAGGGTGGTCTACTGGCTTGGCCCGAGGTCCTCCACGAGCTGCTCGGGCTTGTCGGCAATGTCCAGGGCAATGTTTCCCAGCCCGCACAAGAAGCCGCCATGGCGGCTTTGTTCAAGGTCTGCGAGGACAACCGCAAGATTCTGGACCGCGATTACCAGGGCCAGCGCCCTCTCGACGTGATCATTCCCAAGCTGATGGAGTTCACTTCCCGCGAAAGCGCGCGTGTCCGATCGCTCGCTCTGAGCAGTATCCATGTCTTTCTTCCACACCGCTCGCCTGCCCTAATGGCTTCCTTGGATCTTTTCCTTTCGCAATTGTTCAACCTTGCCGGTGACCAGGACACCGAAGTGCGCAAGATGGTCTGCCAGTCATTCTCTCAGCTGGTGGAGTTCGCGCCCGAGAAGCTGATTCCGCACATGGAAGGACTCGTCAACTACATCATCATGCAGCAGCAGAATCAGGAGGATCCCGAGCTCGCCCTGGACGCTGCGGAGTTCTGGATTGTTGCCGGGGAGCAACAGCGTCTGCAGCAGGCGCTCGCCCAATACATGCCGAAGATCATTCCTGTCTTGCTTCACAACATGGTGTATGAGGAGGACGATGTAATTCGCTTGATGGCCGACCAGGATGATGCCGAGACCGAGGACCGCGCCGAGGATCTTAAGCCTCAGTTTGCCAAAACAAAGGCCGACAAAATGAACGCTCCCAAGCAGTCTGACGGCGCCAATGATTCTGCTCCCCAACAGGAGGAGGACGAAGATGACCTGAGCGAGGGAGAAATTGAGGACTCTGAGTTTGGTGACGACCCCGAGGACGAATGGACTCTTCGGAAGTGCTCTGCTGCCGCGTTGGATGTCTTCTCGAACGTGTACCACGATCCGATCTTTGAGATCATTTTGCCCTACCTCAAGGAGACCTTGCGTCACGAACAGTGGCCCAATCGTGAAGCGGCCGTCCTCACTCTGGGTGCTGTCGCCGATGGATGCATGGATGCCGTCACACCTCATCTTCCGGAGCTGGTGCCCTACCTGATTTCTCTCCTCAACGATGCCCAGCCTGTTGTGCGTCAGATCACCTGTTGGTGTCTGGGACGGTACTCCGAATGGGCCTCCCACTTGAGCGACCCCGGCCAGCGGGTGCAGTTCTTTGAGCCCATGATGGAGGGTATTCTCCGTCGGATGCTTGACAACAACAAGAAGGTGCAGGAGGCTGCCGCGTCGGCGTTTGCCAGTCTGGAAGAAAAGTCAGACGACAGCCTTATACCTTACTGTGAGCCTATTCTTCGGCAATTCGTTCAGTGCTTCGGCAAGTACAAGGACCGCAACATGTACATCCTCTACGACTGTGTTCAGACTCTTGCCGACTGTGTCATGACTGAGCTGGCCAAGCCCAATCTCGTGGAGATTCTTATGCCTGCCCTCATCGAGCGTTACAACCAAGTGACCGATCAGTCTCGAGAGCTTTTCCCCCTGCTGGAGTGCCTTGGATACATTGCTGGAGCTTACGGCGATGCCTTCTCGCCCTTTGCAGCCCCTATCTTCCAACGCTGCGCCAAGATCATCTACCAGAACCTTGAGGAGTCTATTGCGTCTGTGAACAATGACGCTGTGGAGGAGCCAGACAAAGACTTCCTGGTCACCAGCCTGGACCTGCTCAGCTCCATTATCCAGGCCATTGACCCTCAGAAGAGCAGCGAGCTGGTAGGCCATTCGCAACCGCGGTTCTTCGACCTGCTTTGCTACTGCATGCAGGACCCCAACCACGAGGTCCGCCAGTCTTCCTATGCTCTGCTGGGTGACTGCGCGATCAGCATCTTCTCTCAGCTTGAGCCCTTTATCCCGAACATCATGCCCATCCTTATCAAGCAGCTTGACCTGGACCAGATTCCGGATGACGACCGCCACACTGGTTTTAGTGTGTTGAACAATGCTTGCTGGTCGTGCGGTGAAATTGCCGTGAATGAGAAGGCCACCCTGGGCCCTTACATTGAGAAAGTGTACAATGGGCTGTTGGCTATCATCAACAACGAAGAGATCATTGACTCTGTCAACGAGAACGCAGCCATGGCTCTCGGTCGTCTTGGGCTCTGCTGCGCGGACCTCATGGCCCCGCATCTGAGCGAATATGCTTCTCCCTTCCTGAAGTCGATGAACAAGATCGATTTCACCCGCGAGAAGGCGTCTGCTTTCATGGGTTTCAACGCCGTTGTTATGAAGAACCCCCAGGCCATGGAGTCGAGCCTGGCCGACTACTTCCAGTCGATTGCTTCATTCCCCAGCAAGTCGCTGGCGCAGGAGGAATACCGGGATATCCAGACCTCATTCCAACAAGTAAGTACTTTTCCCCCCGTGAAAGGGAGGAACCACTCTCTCTAATGCACCGAAAAGGTCCTCCAAGGCTACAAAAACATGATACCCAACTTCGATTCGTTCCTCTCGCAGCTTCCTCCGCCTGTGGCTCAGAAGCTGCGTTCTGTCTACCAAGTCTAAGACTAACCTCTTCGCCTCCAACCCCTGCTTTCGCATCGACCGCTCCTGATGCGAGACTACTTTGCACTGACAGACCTTTAACTTCCTTCTTTGCTTGCTGGGGGATCTGACCACCCCCACGAGCTTCATTCTGCCCTGGATTCAGCGTTTCCTCTTTATGTACCTCTGTTTGTTCTATTTTTTTATCCGCATCACGGGCTTGCATTGTCCTCCATCTGACCAGGAGGACTGAACTGAGTGGATAAAGAGGTCAAAAGTAGGTCAATATCAATGTGAGATAATGAACTTTCATCTGGGCGTTTTAATTTTTTTCTCCTTTTTTGCCTTTTTTTCTATCCTGGTGTATGCCCCCAATGTTGGCTGCATATAACCCTCCAAGATTATGATGATGAGGCAAGGCCCATGACTGAGGTCAGAGAACGAACGCAGATGGTAGAGGAATGATTGCGAGGATGTGATGTGCTATGACTGTTTCTCTCTGTTGTATCTGACCTGACTGATTCCGGTTTCTTTCTCCTATTTGCATGTCCATGCCCGCTGACCGGATCGTCCCTGGCCAGGATCGAGTCCGCGTCCAGCACCACCGCGCATGATTTCGACTTTAGCTTAGATACTAGATAGATTAGATACCTAGGTAGATTCCCCTATTTGATGCATATGGTCCAAATGCAACTAACTTCCATCTCTCCTTCCTCCTGCCTCCTCTGGTTTTTAGTGTGTCGCTCTCTCTCCGCCGCCCCAGGCAGATCCACATCTCCTCAACCCCTCCGATATTCTTGGCAGCCACTGTCCCCGATCCCCTCATCTTCATTTCTTTGGGGAGGATGCAGGAACTTGGCAATAGTGGAGAGCCACGATCTGTGCAACAGCTCACTTCAACGCCTGGCCTCGCTTATTTGACGCCTCGGGCCTCTAGCTGGCTCCCGCTCGTCCGATGATTGGCCCACGTCAAACGCAGGCCAGACGCGAGCCTTTCCTGATCCTGCCTTTTTTCACGAACGTCGCGGAATTCCCTCCCGCGCGATACTCATTCATCCCTGCTCAGGCCGGGCACTGACAGGAATCACTCCGAAAGTAGTCTCGGTTTGCCTCGGTGTGAAGGGGAATTGGGCTCGGCTTATCAGGGTGAGCTGGGCCCCTTATGGACGTGGACGCTGGAATCATCACCTCGGCAGCGAATGGCGAATGCCCAGGCACATTCCCTCGCGGAATGATTCTCTTTTTCAGTCGGCCTCCCTGCAGATCAAGCTAAGGCCCTAAGGCTATTCTAGGCAACTGACCCCTGTCGACTTTTACTATCCAAAGGCAGGTATACCCGTGGGTAATCAGGGTCGTGCTATGCCGCAAAAGGCGGTATCCCACGAGCTGAGGTGTCTATTTTTTACTGTCTGATGAGCCGGTATCTTTTTTTTCCCCCATTTCTGAGATTAATGGTTTTCGGGAGATGAGATGACGGACCCCTTGAGACGCGCTGAGCTCGTTTCGAAGAATCAGGGGCTCGTCGGCTTTTGGACTTTTGCACGGTGGACCCTCGTTTCATTTTCAGCCTCAGCTGCGTGTCACTTGCTTTGGACGCGCACTGCCTCAACGGTCGCTCTTTTCCCAAGAAGGGTAGGGGCCGTATTCCTTATTTTTGATTGTCTTCCCAGCGTGCTTCATGCATGAAGCTATCGAAGGACGTCCCACGCGGTACGCTACTAACCACTAATGCAGTGTGCCCCAAGGAAATGGTCTGCAACCGCATTAGGAAAGGATAGGAATCGAAGAACATGCATCGTTTAGAAAGTCTAACGTACACTCCTATTTTTATTTTTATTTTTATTGTACACGTTTGGCCCCCTGGCTTCTCGGCTTCTCCGATACGTGCACGTGCAGAGCAGAGTAGAGAATGTGCCTAGAAACAATCCATGTACCGCAGATGCCCATCCTCATTCTTGATGCACGCCGCAAGGTTGACACAGTCCTCATTCTTGCTGCCATTCTCGTAGTTTTTCAACTGGGCGTGTAAAAATGGTTCGCGATCTGGGCCTTCCCACTGAAGGTTGATATCCGAAGCATCGTCGGTAAAGTTCTCGGCGCTCCATGCGAATTTACCTGCAGAGCCTGGTTATTCTTGGCCATGGGGTTGGGGATTTGGGGTTCGAGGCCATGCGTCGTTCAACGTGGTAAATAAACAAGAGTATTCTTGTGGTGTCTGTGTTCTGCAGTTACGGCTGGGCTTACCTTTCTTTGCCCCAAGGACATTGTTCAGATCGAGTTCCGAATATGTCGCCTCGCCGGAGCGCCGCTGGCAATATGCGCAGAGGACGTGTCCATTCTTAATATGGATATCCATGGAGGTTTTGTGGAATCCCATTCTGTCTGATGCTCACGGCTTGATTGGTAAATAGAAGAACTGGGGCTTGCAAGCTCCAATGAGAACACAATTCAATTGATATGGACTAGGACGATGTCTCGGCAGACGACAAAAGATCTCGCGCTGTCGGGCTCGAAATGTAATCCTGCACCCAGGAGGAAAAGGGAAAAAGAAGACAGACCAGAGTCTAAGCCCCCAAATGTCCGCGATTGACAGGTGACCTTGATCGAGCAGGGGTCTTGCCCCATGACATCGGTATGGTGTCGGTGGTGCGCCGTTGGGCCATCCCGCAGCGGGAGGCGGTGGCTCTGCATCATGCTGGCCTCATGATGATGGGGTAGTTGATTGAGAGGATGCCTGGGATTCCCTTTTAGACTATCTTCACTGCCAGCTCATGCCAGCCGGGCCGGACAGGCAGACATCCCCGAAGTTGCGCCAAGGTCATCATGACTTCATGCAGGGTGAGATGGCTCTGGGGATGGAGGTGCCATGCGATGCATGGTCGGCAGACGGCGAGGGCGGTTTTCAGCCTCACTGCTGGCAGCTTTCACAGTCATCGGGGCCAGGACTACGGCGAATGCAGGGGTGGCTGAAGAAGGTTGACGCTAATACTTTATTTGGGTCGGGAGGCTGTCAACGATCGCGATGGGATGGGAAGGATCGAGCTTGATCCTCCAGACTGATCATCATCTCGCTGCCTGCGCCTACCTGCACATTGCCCAGGCATTCTCCGTACCTTTGTCACATCACCACGGTCCAGAATGCTCGAACATCATTTCCTTTGGATGATTGCCTCCGGACTAGCGTGGTTCGCACCGCTAAAATTCTTTCCGGCTAGGGGATCGTCAGCCCCCAACATCATTGTCAAGCGTACCCGACAGAACGGTTGTCAATTAGGATGGAGATCTCGACGGATCGACGAGGCCCAGTAGTCCATACTGAGCCTACTTACTGTAAGAAGTGGTGTTCCCAGACTAACCCTGGTGGAGAGGCTATGGCCCACTCGTCCAGAATGGCCTCATCTTGGCGCCTTAAAGTTGGCTAGCGTGGGCGTCCCGTGGGCCGTGCTTTCTTCATCTTTCGCTGGTTTCTATTTGGCGAGCGCATCTGGGGTAAGCTGTAGTTTCCAGGGCTCATTCAACCCATCGTCATCGATCATTCGCATGCCCATGACTGACCGGGGTCAGGCTTGGCTTTTCTCCCCCGGGGTCGACTTGAAATGTACTGGTACCTGCGAGAGACTACTGCGGGAGACGGGGATGTCCAGACACATTACTCCAGTAAGATACCTCTGAATGATGGAGACGGGAATGGAGATTGTGCGTGGGGACGGGAGATCAAGTTCCCCCGAGGAGATCCTGCATCGCTTCCTACCCCCTCCTCCAGTAAAAAGAAGTGGAGCGCGCAAAAGGATTCCTGGCGTGTCGTTTCAGGTCCACGATGGGAAATATCCGTTTCGCACGGCAGCCATGCTTGAATAGAGTTGGGCTGTCAGTTTCATTCCCGCGACTTGGCCCCCAACTGCTGCTCGTGGTGCTGGCCAATCTCGCCCAGCTGGACCCGCCGGTCTAGTGCTGATCGCAACCGCTACTGCACGCCCTAGCCCCGTTCTGGCGCCATGTCGCGAGTGCCGAAGCCTCACCTGGTCCACTGGGCCCGAACAGGGCCACCATCGGAGCCAAGCCAGCGTGCAGGGCTCGAGCATGCCTCTCTCCTCTGACCCGAACTTCGCCTCTCGTCGACTCGACTTGCGGAGAACCGAGCTTGCCCGGCGCACAGCCCATGGTTCCCCCCATTCCCCCCGACGGGATTCTCCGCTACGCCATGAAAGGAAGGGAGCGTACTCGCCTGATGTTTGCAGGGTCTTGGCCTCTTGGCTTCGTCAGCTTGCGGTCTCAACGATCGCCGCTGGCCTAAGCTTCCATGTCTTGGCTTTGGTCTCTTTGGGAGGGATTCCGCGAGCTTGTCTTGTCTCTGTCCCGAGGGCGGAAGGGCGGAGCATGGAGAGGAGGAACTCTAGTCTTGTCGTGACACAGATGACTATGATTGTACCACCCTGGGATCGTGGAGCCACGTGTGTGCTGTTCTGCTGTGCGATCTCCTCTACTCTGTTCGAATGGACCACGCTACATTCGTCCCTCACCCGCAGCTGCAAGAGGCTACACCGACTCTGACATACGCCGCTCCCCAGAAAAACGTGGCTGTCAGGGTTAAACTGGCGGTCACACCAGCGAGATCTTGCCTGGCTCTCTTCTCCATGTATCCCCCCCCCCCCTGGTCTGGGTCCCGGCGCACGAGGCTCTTGAATCTCTTCAAGCGAGCTAGACTAGTCTCTTTGACCCTGGACAGTACCCCCAGATCGTCCACGATAGTGCTACAGTAGTGACATTTACTCCCCTGGACCCTGCAGCGCTTGCCCTGCCACTGTGTAGCCAGCCCATCGGCATCGGCTGCGACCCTTGCTACCCTCGCTGCTCACTGGTGCAGCTAGGCACGAGAGATTATTGTTCTCGATCAGGCCCAGTTCTATTGCCCATCCCCCTGTCGATTCGCTGTCGAAACCCTGCGGACTCCCTGTCCATTTCCCCCTTTGAGTTGCCCGACGCCTTTTTCGCCTGCCAAAGTGCCACCCGGCCAGGGTTGACCTGGTTCGCTCCAGTTCTCGTCCCAGTCTATCGGTAACTTCCACCGCGACGACAAAAAGAGACAAATGTAAATTAGAAAATAAAAATAACAATAAAATAAAAGAAGCAACTTCACAGAGACACAGAGTTCCAGGGTGTCGGGGCGCGATCGCGGGAGAGGAGACGGACCCAAGAGACCGGTCTTACCTGCAGAGTTCCCCCGGAGGTGAAGGTATTCCTGCCTTCCCCCCTTTCTTGTTTCCCAACCACCCCCGGCCAGACCAGCGTTCTTTCTCCTGTCAGAACTGGCGATTTCGGTTGCCTTTACCGATTCCGTCCGTGACGAGCCGTCTGACTCACGGGTGGGAGCGGGTCTGGTCCACGTTAACCCAATCGACGCCCCCCTTTACCCTTCGTGGTATACGGTGGCTGTTTGGCCCTGGGACGTTGCGATCCACCAGCATTCAGGGTCTCCGATCGCGCCTTGCGAGGCAATCCTGGTCGATCAGATATACATGCCCCTGGGCGATCGGTCCCTGCCAGGACTACGCATTGCTGCATTTTGTGGGAGTGCTCTGTAGAGTACTCTGGTAGGGCTCTAGTCGTACCTTAACGGTGTGGTGTGTAGCAATAATAATACCCCAAGGTAGTAATAATATGCTCTATGCACTTGACTTTGTCGATCGCAGCCAACTCTCACTGCAACGAAAAGGCACGTGACAGAAGGTCTTACATGCAATGTGTACCTCATCTACGCCCAAAAGCAAAACTAATACCAAAAAAAGCAACGCAGCCTCCGCCCCTTCTCTCCCCCTTTCCCATGCCTAACCCTAACTCCTGCGGAATGGTGGCCCATCGGCTCCCAAACGGAGCACACAACCAGTCCGCTGGAAACACGCAGAAGAGAGAAGTCGAGATCGGAGATCCCTGGATCTTCCCTCGGGAGATGCACCCCTTTGCCATTCGCTGGAATTTCGAGAGCTCACATGCAGGTGGACCTCCAGCCGGCCGGGACGAAGCTAAACCGTTGGAGGCAGCTGGATAATCTGCGAAAGGCAAATCCTGTCCATGCCTTTCTCGGAACCCTGGGTCATACTAGGAGTACACTGGGTACAGCTAGTACATACTAGCAGTAGTTACTTTTGTAGGCGGGAGATTAACTAAGCCTCGCCATGTGGAGCCCAGCATGGCCCTCGTGAGGGCCATCCTGGTCGTCGCTGCAGAGAGGCTCAACACTACGATCGTCGGGCCAATCCATTTCTGGTCTGAAATTATTCGCTTTAATCTTACGATGAATCATTTTTCGCTGGATTTTTAATTTTATTATTTTATTTTTCATTTTAGTTTATTCTACTTTGGTATTTCCACCTGGGTTTTCACTCTGGTTCTTATTCGACTGCCTCCACCTGACCGTCGGCCGCGATTCTCTCCATCCAAAGCTCTGGCAGACTCAAAGGCAGCCCATCGCCCACTCTGACAGCATCTCCTCTGCTCATCGCCCCCAATCTCTGCGTCCCCCGGTTCCCGAGTTAGCTGCCAGTCCTTTTCACATCGAATTCCCCGTTCGATTCGCCCCCAAATCTTGGCTTGAGCAGTTGAATCGTGCAGCTGCTCGTATTTCCACGTGCGGAATCCCCATCCCTCGACATTCCTCAGGTTATTTTTGGGCCGATCGTCCATCAACGTCTTTTTTTATAAACTCTCTGCTCTCGCTGCGATCTTCACTCGATCGTCTCCCGACGAGTATATCTACTGATCCAAAGCACGGCTCCGGTTTATCTCCCCCACCGTGCATCGACGCTGCTTACCGGGCAGCTTCCTGCCCGAAATTCCCCGTCCTCACCTTCCCCTCTGACCATCAGACCGTCTGGTCTGCGTGAGCTCTTTGTTTCTTCACCTTTCCTCTTCTAAATCATCGTCGCCATGGCCGGTCCCGGTGGTGGCCCTCCGCGCAAGAGCCATACAAAGTCCCGCAATGGATGTAAGACATGCAAGAAGCGCCATATTCGTTGCGACGAGACCTTCCCACAATGGTATGTCTTCTCTCCTTTTGGATCTTCCAACGATAGACCTAACCTCGACCTTAATAGTCGCAATTGCACCAAGCACAACTGTCGTTGTGACTACCAAGATGTTGCGGCCATCCAAAGCAGCTCCCCCACTTCACGGCGGAGGCCTGACCTGCTGATGTCGCCGGAGATCGAGATGGAAATCGAGAACTGGCAAAGAACAGGCATCCCTCCTTACTCCGAGCTGATTCAGTGTCCTCGAGCTGGCTGGTCGGGACTCTCGCGGGTCGACCTGCGTTTGATCCACCACATCATCGGACTTTCCATCGATCTACATCGGCGAGGGTTGAGTGCCACGACTGTGTGGGCGCAGAAGATGCCCCAGTACGTACCCTACAATCAATCTTTCGGCTCATCTGCGAGACTAATAGCGTAATCTGCAGCTTCCTTGCTATCGGACTTTCTAACGACTTCGTGATGAACGCCATCTTGGCTCTTTCAGCCTTGCACCTCGCCTACCTCACGCAAGACCAGGAGACCAAGCAGCTTGCTTATCACCACAAGGTCACAGCGCTTCGAGGCCTACAGACCGCCATCGGCGCATTCTCCAAAGATAACTGCGAGGCTATCCTGGCAGCTTCCATTCTTCTTTCGTGGCAGGCAACGGAACGGTGAGTTTCTCAGACAACAATGTCGATTGCACAGCCAACTAATTCCATAACAGTCAAAGTTGGACATCACTCCAACATGGGATTTCCACTGTCCTCGATTCAATGTACCCTTACTGGAAGCAGGAGTCTGAGTTGGCACAGCTTGTGGAAAGCCACCGCGCATTTGGCGGTTCGGATTACTCACTGTCTCTGGATGAGGACCTGGGACAACTTGACCAGACTATCCACGCTCTGCAGATTGCCCGTAAACGAGTCTCTCACAATTCCGAGTACCACACACGCCTCGGTGAGCTGGTCGACTTCGTGCAAAAGTTCCGCAAAGACTATCCTATACAAACTCCCGAACAGGCCTTTGAGCGCATTCAAGTGCTTCGACAGTGGCTTTTCTGGATGCCCACCTCCTTGTTGCGAGGCGGCGACTCGGAACCCAGTGCACTTGCCATTCTCTCTCAGTACTTTGCCGTCGGCATTGTTCTCGACCGCTTCTACCCCGAGATGGGTGGCGCATATCTCGGTGCGTTATCCATCGGGCCTATTGAAGAGATGTACCGCCTCCTCGCCGCACACAATGCGAACGATCCCTTCAACGAAGAGTTGAGCCTCGCAATCACATTGATGGACTTACCGCGGCACGTCGTGGCACGCTATCGCAGCCTTCTCGCCTGGTCGCCCCACCCTTCGATCGAGCATTACTCTCCTGGTCCGGCGAGCCCATACCACGGCCTGACCGAATACCCCATCGCCTCGTCCTCCTCTCCCGCATCTGCGTCTCCTTCTTATATTGCATACACTCCGCCTCTTCAATCTCCTCCCGCAGTCACCGTCGCCGGCTCCGGTTCTCCCTACCAACTTGCAGATGGCTACGTCACCGCTGCCCCCTCGCACACCATGTACCCGCCCTCTCCGCATCTCCTAGACAACCACGATCCACAACTCGGTCTGTCTGGTCTTAGCCATGCCGGATCCATCCAAGGAGCTTCAGCCTTCACACCCCCCATACGGCAATGACGTTCTCTGTGGCGATCTGAGTCGCGCGGACCCCACACTGGGTCTCAACATGGATCTATATCAGCAGACACAATCCTTTGGGATCTCTGGCCTCTCAGCCCCCGAGACTTGCTGGACATGATTTGACGAAAACAAAATACCCCGTTGGCACTTTAATACGACTTTTTCTCTTCAAATTGGGGATCTTTGGTTTATTCGGAGTACAACATTTCGGAACCGGATTCGGAGAACATCTTTTCTCTTTTCTTCACATTCTATCTACTCGACTCTGTTTTGATACTGATGTCTTTGTTTAACACTCTCCTCTTTTGGTTTTTTTTTTTGGTATGAGCATGAGCGTTGGTGGAAATTCCATCCCAAACTGAAGTAAATGACTTCTAAGTGATATATACCCGGTTTACTCACAAACCTTTCGTTGGCATGATTGGAGCATCTGTATGCTAGTTTCTATTATTTCACTGATTTCTGATTTCTTTTCGTCTGAAATAGATTCGATCCAGATCATGGATCGCATAATATCTACAATATGAAGGCCTACTTACCATTCCATTCCCACTCCACTCCGAAATCCGCCGTATCCATCCCCCTCACTATAGGTAAAATTCAACCAGACCCCTCTTCTAAACATAGCACGATCGACATCTCACCCAAAACCAACCCCTCCGTCCCGTGCAACACACAATTGGAAAAACTCAAGATCGCCAGGAACCGGTCCCGCTCGCTAAAGAATCATATACTAAGAATAGCCTCATCCAAACAAATTAAACTACGCTCCACATTCCTCATTGGCGTCCCCATCTTCGCGCGTTACTTGAACCCCGTCGCGCTAATTCCCGCTAGGAACAAGGTAAATGGGAATCCTCGTATTCGGCGGCTGCACCCCCGTTCCCCCGCTTGGATCGTGCTTCCTCGCGTGGTGCAGGGTTGGTAGCTGTATTTAGCAACATTATAGACTAACAGGAGGAATGGAGTTTTCGTTTTTTATCTTGATTTTTAGTGCATATTTCTTTGCTTTGATGTAACGGACCTTGCAGTTGACCCTCGGCTGCACCGCGCCAAGCCTAGGAAGGGGCTCGATCGGCGTGGTAGGGCTGGTGATCGCTGCCGTTTTTAGGCTTTCTAAATTTATCCCTGCAGTTTTTCTTTAGGCTCTGCACGATCGTGCGTTTCGTTTGGGTTGCTTTTAGACGTCGGAGGGTGTGCTGGAGGGGTTGGCTGGTATCTGGTCCCGTCATGGTGTTCGTGATGGGCGTCTACGATGGCACTCTTTTTTGTGTGTTGCGATGCCAAGGAGAATCTACTTCTGAAGATGTGTGACACTAGATCTGGCAGGATTGCATCTTTTTTTATTTTTGGTGAAGATCTTGGCAGGTGCCGTCGTTTCATACTCGTAGGCCGTTTTGACCTTTGCAGAGTAATGTGTCAACGCGAGAATGATGAATTGTCACTTTCTTAGAAGCCAAGGAGCTTTTTATAAGTGTGCTTACCCCACTGAGAACTTTGGAAAAAATGAACGTGGAGCAATGACTTTGTTCGCAACTATGTGACTGCACATATTCTACAGCTGATAAGAAACTCAGGTCGCACACACACCCTAGTCATACCAAAAATCCTCTCTGGGCATCGGTGATACTGACGTAGAGTAATCATCCCCGGAACCACAAAATTCTTATAAGAGCAGCCAGGCCTGATTTACCAGTGATTCTAGATTCGAACATGGAGGTTTGAATAAAGTTTAAATTCCTGGAGAATGCACGCTGTAACTTGTCCGAAAAGGAGGTCTATTTCATCCTCCCTCGGTTTCCCCGGGCAGATATAGGTTGGCAGGCCTGTTTTCAAGCAGAAAAGGACTTTCTTGAAGTTTGATGCAAGCATTAAAAGATGGGCTTGATGGAAAAAAAATAAAAATAAAAAATAAAAGGACATTAAGATGATCAAATATCTTGTCAGCCATTTCAATACTCCCCAAAACAATAGACAGACTCGATATCTTTCCAGGTTCCAAGTAAACAGCTATTATCCAAGGCAATGTGAGCGAAAGCTCCCTACTCTGGCCAAATAACCACACCTCTCGCCTAATTTTCAACCCCATGTTTAGTGTCAACATTTACACGTGACCATAACACGTGACATGACATAAGTTCCGCATCTTGATATCAACGGTGCTATCGAGCTCCACAAACTCTACAAAGTCTACAAAGCACACCCTTCGTTTTGATTCCTCTCTTCCAGCTCTTCTAATCCACCGAAACAAAGATAACTTGGCAGAAATGGCCGACACAGGTGGCTGGAGCACTATCGAGTCAGACGAGGTAGGACCGATCCCTCTCAACCACTCCGCAGCAGCTAGCTCACGCTTAATGACCAGGGTCTATTCACCTCCCTCATCGAGACACTAGGCGTGCAAAATGTCCAATTTGAAGAACTCATTTCTCTCGACGCAGACACAATACGATCCCTCGGGTACACCATTCCCTCCAGTGGACCTCCACCCCCAAAGCTCCGAGCTAAACAACTGACACAACTGAAACAACCAGCTCCGTCTACGGCGTAATCTTCCTCTTCAAATGGACCCGCGAAGCAGCAGGCGCCCGCGCCGAAGCCCCAATCGACGGAGCTTATGACGAAACCGCAACAGAAAATAATGTCTTCTTCGCCGCGCAAACAATCCAAAACGCCTGCGGCACCCAGGCCATTCTCTCCGTCATCCTGAACCACGACAACCCGCCCAACCCGCTCCCGCCAATCACCCTCGGCAACGAGCTCGCCTCCTTCAAGGACTTCACGACCGGATTCCCGCCCGAACTTCGCGGCGAGGCCCTCTCCAACTCTGAGGCGATCCGCACCGCGCATAATGCGTTTGCGCGCGCTAGTCCGTTCGCTGATGAGACGGCTAGACCGCAGGATGAGGAGGGCGGGGATGTGTACCATTTTATTGCATATACGCCTGTGAATGGGACGCTGTATGAGTTGGATGGGTTGCAGCCTCATCCAATTAGTCATGGGGCGTGTGATCCTGGTTCGTTCCCCGAGAAGGTGATTGAGGTGTTGCAGAAGAGGATTGCGAGATACCCGCCTGGGGAGACGCATTTCAACCTCATGGCTGTTGTGGAGGACCCGCGGCCGAGGGCGCGCGAGATTGGGGATGCGGAAACGCTTGAGCGTGAGGAGAGGAAGAGGGCTGCGTGGCAGTGGGAGAATACGCTGCGGCGGTGGAACTTTGTTGGGTTTATTGGGGAGATGGTCAAGGGGGTTGCTGGGGCTAAAGAGAAGGAAGGGAAGTTTGATGAGTGGGTGCAGGCTGCGAAGGCTGAGACGAAGAAGAAGATTGAGAGTCGACGAGGTTAAAGTGTTGACTGGAGGACCTTTCAACAGGAGATGTGTCTTTGGCCGGGAATATGCTGTGCATGACGTCGATAGCACTAGAAATGATTTGCAGATACCCAGTGATGAGATGCGGCAGGCGCATTCAATACGACGTATTATAATGATGATTTCCATTTACTCTTAAGCAACTTGTTATATACTGGCATCCACTTCGTAACTCATGATCATGCACGAATCCCCGCTCAGTAATCAACAGCCCGAGCTCGGATATGCTCGACCATGGGCGCGGGAAGATCATCCGTATTCACCAGGTTCAGCGCCAGCAGATCAGACCAGAAGAACAGGGCTCGGTCCTGGGAATAGGCCAGGTAGTCGAATTCTTCATCCTCGTCAACATCGGCATCCACGGTGGGGGTCTTTGCACCCTGTTCGCTGGCGTGCTCATCATTCTTCTCGGGGCTGGCATTACGCGAGGCAGCAGCCATCTCAGCAATTCCTTCCTCCATGCCGGGGATCTTGGCCTGTACAATGCCCCATGCGGTCCACTGGGCCGAGTTCATCACGCGCCACAACCGAGTCTGATGCATGAGATACTTGATCTCGGCATCGAGCGCCTCCTCGTTTGACTTTTCGACCTGCGATTGTTGGCAGTTAGGCTCGGGGCCGTCGTCGAGATTCAGGGGAGTGATGGCTGCCGCATTACGGCCACGCATGGCGGGGGTTCCTTGCGGTGACGCATTGCCAACATTGGGACGGTGAGTGAGGTAAGTCGACACGAATCGATACTGTTCTTCTGGGACAGGGTAGAGGCGGCTGTTGCAAGCCCATGGGCGTTCTTCATCGTGGTAGTTGTAGCACCATTCAGTCTGGACAAAACATTTAGAAGAAGGCTTCAAAGTGTGAGCGAGGATGTGAAACTTACAAAGTGGTTAGCGAATTCAAATCCAGGGGTATTGGCCGACGAATATTCAAAATCAATGACAACGAGCTGCTTATGCTCATTTGCAGGAAGAAGAAGAGGGGATTGTGTGGCAGGCTCCATTCGAAGTAGGTTGCCATATTGCGTCTGGACAAATCAATAAAAGATCTTCAAGGCATAAAGGTGAATACCGTAGGGTACTTACGTCGTTATGAGCAAACACCAGCTGCTTTTTGATTTCACTAAATCCCCCGCAACTTGCCAGCAGCCAAGCCCGATAGTTTTCCACGGCCTTGCGGAACACCGCCCACGGCACACCACAGACATAGCCGCGTCGGCGCCATGGTTCTGTGGCGGCCTTCGCAAGGTTTTGCGGGGAATCTAGTTGATTGTCCAGCCAGGTGGTAACCTGCTCGCAGCGGTCCACCCACTTGTCCCAATTCTTGAAAACCATAGGTCCTCCTTCCCGCTCCTCTTCGAGGAGTTCGATACCTTCGTGAAGCTCGCGCATTCGCTTGGCGATTTGCTTGGCAGTTTCGGGGATGCGAAGCTCTTTGGCTGTGAGGGGGCGCGCTTCGAAATACTCTTCGAATCGTCCATTTTTGAATGTGCCCAACACACGAGGACCGATGTTCTTTCGGCCAAGGCGACGCAGGATTTGGAGTTCTTTCTCACGGTCGATCAGGTGGTCGACCTGCGGACCATAGATACGGAGTAGCAGCTTTCTGATATCAATTAGTCGATAGACTCAAGTTATAAATCTGAGGAGACATTGACTTACGGCGGTGGCTTTCTTGGGACCACTGACGCAGAACCGCTTTGTGTCTTGGGCGGGGGCAGATTCTTGGGAGGCCCAACCACATATATAGCGTTGGTCATGGCACCGCTGAGACGGATAACTTCCATATCGCAGGCGTTCTCCATGGACACCTTGCGCCAGCCCCGCAGCTGCAGGGTATGCGCCAGTCGCAGGATCTCAGTCTTAAAGGTCACCCAAGCTTCACGGCCCTTGGAACGCTTCGACGAAGAACTGCTGTCGGCCGTTTCTTCCCCTGCGCCACCGGTATAAGCAAGTGTCTTGGAGTTGTCCAGGAAAGCCTCCACGCTAGGCACCTGTGCCTCGACATCTGTGTAGTCGGACTCGGAGGCAGAGCCTCGACGAAGACCCTTCGGACGGCGACGAGTGACCTTCTTCACAGCCTGCATGGGTGCCAATCCGTCCACACTGCTTGCACCGGCGTACTGGAGGAGGATCTTTTCCAGTTTGTCAAGGGAAAAAGTGCTCTCTGAGCTGCGGTGGTGTTCCTCCGACGACCGCTCTGCACTCTCCTGCACACATTCTGCGGCATGAGAGGCAGCCTCAGCCCGGCGTGCTTTGCGCGCCTGCCGCCTGACCTTCTCATGCTGCAGCCATTCCGACACTTGATGGAACAGGCTCAATTGTCGATCCTCCTCGGTCTTAGTGGGCTGATCCGTTTCGTCCAGCACCGGATTCTCCAGCTTCACGCTCGACTGGCTGCTTACGGCGGAGGGCATTGGGGCGGGATGGATGGGCGGGCGTGCCGTCACTTTGGCCACGGGGGCTCGATATTGTTTCAACGTCGATCCTTCCGGTGGAGAACCAGGATTCGCGCCGTTCGACAGGGCCTTCCGCAAGGAGGGAATGTTCAGGCCGGTTCCCGAGATGGCTGACGGATCTACCGGGCGTTGGCAGTTAGTATACAGATCTAGAACCCCGGTAGGCAGAGGCAGAGGCAATGGACAAAGTGCGCTCGGAGGAAAGGTGCGGACGTCACAGATGATCCACTTCGGCGGCGGGCGTCAACGCAAGGGACGATGCATACAGGAATGGCGGGGCAGATGGTAGAAGGTCGCGCGGGCAAGATTTAAAAGTGGCATTGTACTCGGCAGAGTACACGGGCCGGGAGTGCGAGAAGGAGAAGCCTACCTGCTACTTCGGGATCGGGGCCAGCATGTTCCTCGGTGAAGGACGGCATGTGCTCCTAGCGCATCCGCCAAAAAACTCCACAAAAGAATGGCACAAACGGGTCGCAGGGGGCGGGTACGGGTCCAGAAGTCGGTCTACTGCCTGCTGGGATTCCCTGAGACAAACACAGGGAAGACGTGTAGACTCAATAGGCAGCCGTGGAGGCGGGGGAGGGTATTTTCGAACCCCAGAAAAAAAGAGTCGCGGGGCAAGCGAACGGAAGTGTTCCAGCGGTCAGTGAGCAACGAGACCCTTGGTCGTAGTTCAACCTAGCCGGTATAGACCCAGGGCGAAGCAGTAGCTGGCGACGGACAAAAGCACAGAATCGAAATCCGACAGAGGACGCAGATGGAAGCTTAGAAAGTTCAATGTCCGCAGCAAGAAAAAGTGGCGAAAAATGCGCTTATCGGGCGTGGCTCAGGTGATCGCGTTGCGGCCTGGCGGATCTGGCAGATTTCAGGGCCTCCAGGGTCACTGCCCCAAATTGCGGTCTACTATCGCCAGTAGTCGGGCCACTCGAGTCCCAGAGCCATGTACCACCCGAGATAAGAGCGCGGACGCCTTCCATGACTATCCATGGCTATCCATCAGCCTTCAGGGGCCCGGTGGGTGCCCAGCGTCGAGTCCGTAGCAACGAGACTCGGACAATGCGATACATTCGATACATGGCGCAGGTGGCTTGGTCTTCTCAATGTCGCGTGGGGAGAGGAAGCATTGGTTTATCATTTGGCGCCATGGGAAGCTTTCTTGTTTGTGTTTTTTCACGGGACTGCCGCGAATCTATTGGGCTGGGGGGATTGCGGACCAGCCCAGCTTAGGAACCGGTCCGGGGCTGAACAGTGGTGGAGCCGGCCCTGGCACGCTGGTGAGATCGGGAGGGCCGAGTCACGATGCATTGTGAATGGCACATGGCATTCGGTGGACGTTCAGCCGTTGGCGACGAGAGAGGTGGTGGGAGAGGAATACACGAGGGCTGCATCTGAAGAAGGAGGGGTGCAAAAATTACCGTACGCTGAGGTATCCCTCATAACCGGTGCCGCCCGATCGCTCAGGCCAGCATTGTATCTTACGGATCGTCGAACAGGTTCGAACAGGATGTCAAATAATGATGTAATGATGTCGGTGATTTTTTATTGTATTCGTAGTCGCAATCGTAATTTATGTTGAAGTGTGAAGCTCAGGAAAGGCACGGTATGGTGAACTAATTTTACCCTTCCGTCATCGTCGAGGCGTCGGAGGGAGTAGTGCAGCCAATTCGAGGCCTTCCCTTCGCTGTCCTGCTCCGACGAGACGCTAAATGAGTATGTACGATTGGCAGCAGCCGGTACACATACTGGCTGCGCGAGTAAACTGCTCACTTCAGAAGCAGTGCGGGAAACTATCCCTGGGTTTTCTTCCAAGGTGACATTGACATCCACAACATCGGCGGCTGGGCCACACATAAACAAGCCCTGGGCAGGTGGTGCCTCCCAAAGGAATTGGAGTGCTCGACGTCGAAGTTGAGGAAATGGGCATTTGAGGCTCGTGATGAACAGGGGAAGGAACACCATCTCAAACACGAAGGGCGGTTGCTCCCCATCGACATTGCTAGTGGAGGCAATCGCAATGGGCGCATAGTCTAGGATTTGCGCGAATTCAGTTTCATATGCATCGTATGCTGTCTGATCGGGGTTCAAGCAAGTTTGGATCTCGATCAGGACACTCGTATAGGTCATGCATTTGGATCATCGACGTCGTCGCCTGAGAGTTGAAAGTTGGGCTTTTGCGGCGACGTTATGGCCAGGAAAATAGTATACCAGTGTTTGAGGTGCTGCTGCAAGTATTTCTGACGGGTAGCAAGGATTAGTGCACTATCTCGACGAGCATCATCTGTTTGCGCCCAATGAGTTTTCACGTCGAGATCCAGGGCCTTCATCTCTGCAACATTCCTACACAGCGTATTTCTCGCGTCGTCAGCGGTTGCAAAGGCCGAGACATGATCAATGGGATGCAGATCCCAGTGCTGGTCCACCCAATTGTTCATAATGTGGGAACACGTGCCCAGACGGCGGAATATGGGCGAGAGAAGAGCCACCGTGGGCGTTGCTGGGGCATCGACCATCATCATCTGCGCTCCTTGTATGTAAAGACCCAAAGCTGCTTTGCGGTTCCCCTGGAGGAGCTCAATGACAATGAAGAGAATGCAGTTGATCAAAGAGATATTCAAGTCTGATGCCCTGGTTGATGCGTTGCTGCAGAGCAGCCAGAGAGCGCGAGTACCACACCAGCGCCTCGTGATGGGACCGATTTTTCACAGCAGTTGGGTTGTTGATCAGCCGCAAGGGCAGGCATTCATGAATCGAGGGTCGCTCATAGAGCGTGCTGAGCGAAATCACAGCATCCCAAACCGCCGGCCGGTTCCCCACGACAGATATGCAGCACGGAGCCTCTCCAGAAAGATAGATCGAGAATGCCAGAGAGCGACGGGCCGGCCCGATTTAAATAGAATTCAAACGCACGTCTCTCTCTCCATGCTGGGGGTGCGAAGGCAGTGTCATTTTCAACGGGGGTGACTGAGCAACTGTGGATCTTGAGTCCGCACTGTAGCGACATTGCCGACCTGTACTCGCACATCTCACGCATTGTGGCTTTTCGTCGCCACATCGAACCCATCGAGCCCTGTAGATGCGCTGTTATATGGAAGTCCCCTAAAGTCTAGGAGAAACTCACTTGCAGGTATCGCAGCCCGTCCTGGATTTGGTGCTGCCGATGCGACCTGACCGCTTTGCAGCAGGGCTCATTGCAGAAGGCGCCCTTGGAAGACCCAAGGCTCTTCTTGGAGCCTCTCGGCCTAATGGTGCATGCTCCGAACGACGCTGTCGGGGCAGGCTTGGGAGGACGGAGAGGACGACAACCAAGGGTCGTGTGGGGGCGGCGACTCGGCTCCATCCCGACGCTAGCGCCGACTGGTCTCGCGCCCCCAAAGAAGCCAAATTGAACTATACAGTTGTGCCTAGCAGGGGATCAGTATCTGCAGGTAGCGTTACTAGTACCTTGAATGTTTTTGGAGCTTAAAAAAAAAAAAAATATTAAATTCCTCCGCATGCCTAGTAGTCCCGGGGGGTTCTTCTGACGCCCGCACCTCCATCCGAGCGCACATTGCTTTCTTCCAATTCTCATCTCTCGAGACTCTTCTTCCCCTGGTGGAGTAACGATAGTTTACTGAATTTGCCCCCTACGCTCACCAATGTTCTCCCGGGCGGTCACATAGTGATCGTGAATGGCAACGTTAAGCCAGATGGCCCCGTCCGCTCGCTTTTTCCGCCCTATGGTCAGCTTCCTACGTCACTCGCCGTATCATTTAGAAGTGACCACCGTGTACCCTCATTGCGATTAACCATACTGATAGATATCATTAATGCCTGATGCATACTACCAGTCTCTAAAGTAGTACCTTAGAGTTTTTTTTTTTACTTCCCAGTCGACTGTCTAGTAATCTATGGTCGCCTGATTCACGAGCTAGCTATGAACTTTACGCCTCGGGATATCTACACTAAATTTTGATCATGAGATCGACCAGATCCCAGACCTTTCTGGTACCAACACTGGTGCATGTCTTGAAATACGATCACGGTGCACCTGGACATAGGATGATACATCCATGCGTCAACTCAAAGACACCACAACACCGCAGCTGTCAGCTTACCCTGCCTCCAAGCAGGCTACATGTATGACCCATACCAATCAGCCAACTCGGCACGGAGGACCTCTCGGCCCTGCCGATCCCCCGCTGCAGACGCCAAGCCACGATGAGCCCGGTCGTGGCGATTGTGGAGCCGCGCGAGTGAGACATCGACACGCGGATCCTGTTGAATCAGGGCTCTGACCCGACGCTATTCTTGGGGGTTGCCGTGCGCTGCCCGCGGCGGTATAAAGCCCTCATGTGGTGCCCGTATTCCCGACATCACCTCCCTCTGCCGATTCCGTCTCTACCCTCAGTTCCAACCATCATATACCAACGCATCATGAAGCTCTCCGCTGCAATCCTCACCTCGCTCCTCGCCGCCACCGCGGCTGCCGCGTTCGACAAGAACCAACGTGAGTTGTGGAACCACCCTCTAACAGTACTTGGCAATCCGAATACTAAATCCGGGATAATAGCATGGGGAAAGCGTGACTACGCCTGTATCAACGTTTACCAGGGCATTCCCGACCACTCGGCCGTCACCGAGGGCCAAACCGTGCACTTGCGTTTCAACCGCCAGCCCACACCTCGCTGCAGCGACCCACTGGCCAAGTACCCGGCTAGCAAGTACAGCGTTTGGCTGTACAACAACCCCGTCCGCAATCTCGACACCATCAACTTCGACGAACAGATCAAGATTGCCGACAACATTCCCGGTACCGCCGGTACGGTCAATGTCAAGATCCCCGCCAACCTGCCCAAGGTCAAGAATGGTGATGTGTGGTATCTGAGACTCGACACCTCTCTGAACACTGCCCCTCAGGTTCGTATTTCTTTCCCTGCATATTGTCTCGATAGAGCTTCTGCTGACTACATTGTGATAGATGCCCACCCTTTTCAACGCTGCCGGACCCTTCACCATTCACGACGCTTAATTGAGCCCAGCCTAGAATTCCAATTTGGACTGCCGGTGCTAATGTTGCATTCTTGGTTCATGTTGAGATCTTGGGGTGTCCCTTCCATCTGCATAGCCTTCCACTCCTTTAATATCTATAAATGTGATGAATACCAAATGAGCTAGATCCGAAATTTCCTTTCGAACGATCCTCAACGTAGGCTGTATCATTCCATGCCCCATAAGGGCTGATTCAAAGCTTGACCTGGACGGCTCGACATGTGGGCCGTCCAGCTTTCTATATGAGATCGTCATTCTGACTTCGTTCTCGTATAGGCTGTACTTCGCCTCTTGACTGTAGAATACAATTTAATTAGTGTACAGTCGCTGGTGCCACCCGCTACTTCACAATGACCGAAAGAACATGCTTTCAGTTCTACACCGACTTTTCTTAGCACATGATTTCAAGCTCTTTGCGCTTCGCAGTGCCGTCCCCACCCACGGCTGAAGCTGAGACATTGATCAGCAGATCGATTGTGGATTTCTCGACGATGCAACATTCTAATCTGAAATTCCCCTGCATGTAAATGGAAGACCTTTGGTTCTCCTTCTTCCAGCAAGGCGAAACAAATTGAAGGCCGAATTGACGACCCAATGTACCATTCGCCTCAAAACCTTCAGTCCCGCACGAAATAGTTCATCTACGATTAAAACATATTGTCAATTGTGGCGGCAAAGGCCTTTTCCCGACTGACGCAGCTGGGGTCACATTGCGGTGCTTTTAGCCCACATAACGCACTCCATGGAGCCTGGGGCCCGAAGTGGGACATTCGTATGCTATAATACTAAATTCTATGGAGAAATCCGTGTTATCCGATTGAGATGTCCTATATTTATCGATTGGCTTATATTTTGCTGCGCTGATGCTGTAGCCTATATCTGGAATTTAAAAAGTTGGGAGACCTTCACAGGTACCCTGTTTTCCCAGTTATATGTTCTTGATTTTCTGGCGCGTCAAACTCTTTCATTATCACAGCTTTGCAGTTGACTTGATGCCCGCAATGCATTCGATCTCCACGTCTGTGCCCATTGGGAGCTCCTTCACGCAGACGCAAGTCCGTGCCTGTGTCATATTGTTAGTACCTCAATCAAAAGTTACGCTCTTGAAGATGTTGAACACACCGGCATAGGCTGAGCAAAAGTAGCAGCATAGATCTCGTTCACAGCACTGAAGTCACTCATGCTGGTAAGATAGATATTGCACTTGACAACATTGTCCAGACTTGTACCCGCCGTTTCCAGGACTGAGCGAAGATTGGAAAGGATTTGTCGCTGTATGGAATATAAGTAAAGATTCTTGAGCAGAATGCGGTAGAAACGCACCGTGCGGTCCTGAATGGACCCTTGAACAAGAGCTCCAGTATCTGGCTTGCAACCGACCTGGCCGGAGCAAAAGAGGAAATCACCCATTTGGATAGCCTGGGAGAGGAAAGGAGGAGGTACCGGCGCACCGGTCGACTTGATCGCGGTTTTAGGGATAGACATTGTGTGTTTATCGTTGTCTGGCTGATTTTGGATCCGATGCCGCGATGAGAATCTGATTAATATCAGCCTGAGAACCACACGGTGGCATATTAAAAGCAATGAGGTGGGGAGACCTACGGGGCGTATTACTAATTGCTGTGTGACTCACGTCCGGAGAGATTGCGCGTGGGTCGACCCCGACACCCCGCAGCGCGGAACCAATCGACACCAATTTCCAGCGTTGCCCTCCACCATCGGCGGTCCACTCAGTCGATTTGACAGGTGGATACCGCTAAAGACATTTCTTATCACAGCAGTTTCCGTCTCAATTGAATGATTGGCATCTTTTTTGTGTCATAATACCTGCTAGTGCAATTCTTTCGTGGAATGTGAAGGGCTCGCTGCGAGACTTATGTACAGAGCGGATGGCCGGAGAGGAATCAAGTAAAATATTTTATTTTTGCTGAGTTATCAAAAAAACTGAACATTTGTTAGGTACCTGAAAAGCCAGGAATGGTCGTGGAAGGACACAATAGGCACAATGACCTTCATTATTCAGGACAACTCAATTTCCGGTCATAGTGAACCCACTCTTGGCTAGCACAAGTTGGGTAATAGAGGAATTTGCCTCGCAATCAATGCCCATAGCCCTAGCACGACGGACAATCCACCCATTGATATATTGAATTTCAGTGCTTCGCCGCTTCAGAATATCCTCGCGCATACTACTTGAGTTCTGCGCGGTTTTCTCGATGGTATCACGCAGAACAGACTCCAGCGAATCCGTCGAAAACTGATCACGATTAAGGGAAAGTTCCTGCATCTCCGGCAGTTTTTGAAAAACTGCGGAAATTTCCTCCAAAAGGCGTCGTTGTAAGGGTTGGAGGTCAATATTATCCTTGATGCACCCGTTTCGGACATCGAGGAGTGCGGTCAGAGGATTTAGGACGCAATTAGATGCCAGCTTGAGCAGTTGGACGCGGAATAGATCAGGCCATTCCATCTTTTCGCAGTGGAGGGCTGTGGATTGAAGTAATGTATCCAATATATACTGAGATTGTGGCTGCTGTGCACTTTTCTTTTGGCTGTCCACAATACCAAGTGCTGCAGTTCCGCTTGTCCCCGACAGGATAGCTTCTACAGGAGACCGGAGGTAGACGCCGTGGCGCATGATACCGAACATGTAAGTTGGCCGAGTAGACGGATCCACGAAAACTCGTTGGTTGAGGTCTTCGATTTGTCCGAGACCATTCTGAAACAAGCAAACAGTCGATTGCGGTCCGATGCGATGACGAATGGGTTCCAGAGCGGAGACCGTCGCGGAGGCTTTGACGGCAACAATCAGGTTATGAATATGGTCGGATGAGGTTGACTCGCTCAGCAGCTCAGCCTCAAAGCCCTCTCTCTGGTCCAAAGTGCCATTTTCTCCAACTCGAAGGCCGAGTTTCCATCCATTGGATGCGATTTCGTCGTACAGTCCCTTCCGATGAGCCAGTAGCGTGACTGGGGGCGGAGTAGATAGAGAACGCAGTGAGTGGGCAATGAAAGTCCCGATACTGCCCAGTCCCAGGATGTGGATGGAGTGGGCAGGGGTCGGCATGGCGAAGTCTAAGGACAAGTGCCAGCCGTGAGTTGGGCGGAGACGGAACCTTGCGCAGTGTGGAGCAGGGCGGGTGGGCTCGGCGGGCGCGACGCGACGACATTCGTGGAAGGGGCATCATCTGAAATTGAGATTTTTTACCACCACGACACCTTTAAGAAGCATTCAAGTACTGATAATGAGTGTACTTGATTTCCAGTATCGCCATACTCTGACTGAAAATAGGCAGTTCCATCAATTCCAATATTGGACACGACATGGAATTTTGACTATGTATACTTGGTCTTTGCACCAATTTCTTAACCACCTATATGCCATTAAAAAAAGTACTAACTCAATCATATCACGATGGTGGTATTCAGCTGTTCATTCATAGATTAAATTTAGCACAAATTGCCTTTAATCTTGATTGCCTCAAAACAAAAATCCGTTTAGTGTGGCTGGCTCCGGTCGGAATGATCAGTATTTTCGAGATACACTTCAATCTATGAACAAAGCAGGTGAGTATTACCGAGAAGGTACGGAGGTAATCCGTTGCTGATCTCACCTTGTTGGTCATCGTAGAGTCTACATTCTCGCAGCACAGACAAGCAGCCAGACCCAGGGTTCCAAAAGCCATGGATAACATGGCGACCACACTAAATAAACCCATCAGAATTTTGTTATCTTCCCAAATATGGCCGTCAGAATAACTCACAAGATAGGCTTGCAGTAGGCGTGGCTCAGAGCAGCCTCGGCAGCAACCGCAACACGGGGCTGTACTCCTTCATCGCAGAAGCACCTGCAGACACAGCAGTCATTAGCTCGCTGACTTTTGATTAGGGAGACCGGCTGCGATTGCTGCACTGGTGGATGTACTTTATCATGTACTTGGTGAAAATTTTGCTGTAGACAGTTTGATAGATGGATGTAGCGACTGAAAGAGATGTTCGTGAAAGCATGAAAACATTCGATATCCAGGAAGATAAAAGCCCACCTGCACCAGCCGCGAAGCGGATACAACCTGAGATACCTCGACTGACACCGAGGTTCTTGTGCTCAACTCTTATTTGCGTAATGGCAATACTCAAATAAATCGCCCCGCTAAATCCCGTCTGTGAGAGGAAGACAAATGCAATCATCGTTTCCTTGTTATCTGGGGTCACGATACCCAGCAGACTACCGAAGAGAACCATGACGAACATCGACCCCATCAACTGCCACTGCCAATGTCTGAGCTTGCTACCAAGTGTCAAGAGAAGCATAGCACCGAAGAAATGGCAAAGCCTTGTGGCAGGGACAAAACGATCGAGTATCGCCAGTCAGCGCCGCCATTCGCGATACAACTCCGTGATCATCTGCGGCCACAGAATGCTTGAGGAGTAGTAGAACATATTCACGACGCCCAGTGCGATAACGGGTGCGGTGAAGTCGCGACCCCATGGGCTGGAGAAGATGTAGGTTGGTGTGAGTGGGTATTTTAGATTGCCGAATGTTTCCCAGATGGCGAATGCGATAAGTACTGCGGCTCCGAGTACGAGGGGAGCCACGGCGTGTGCGTCGTTAAAGTCGTAGACACCTGCCCAGACAATGCCCATTAAGAATGGGACTGCGCCGCCGATGAAGAGGAAAGCGCCTGTGCGGATAAATTAGCTGAGAGTTTCATCTAATTGGAGAGATATCATACTTACCAACGTAGTCCAAAGACTGGAATGCTTCGAGGTAAGAAACACCAAGACTGAAATTTAGTTAGTTTCTGGACACGACAGCTCGTAGCATATAGGACAACATACGGAGTGGTTTGGTGGATGATATAGGAGCAGTAAGCCCAGAAAAGACAATCCCTGAAAAATAGCCACAGCCCAAAAATTCCATGCCCAAGTACCAAATTCATAGTCAAAGCGTGCGGTGACAGGCGCACCGATCACGGCGATATAGACGGTGAAATTGGCAATGTCCACACCGATGTGTCGCCATTTGTTGGGTAGAAGCTCTGGAAGTGCGAATGTCGCCACATGAATCGAGAAGAACACTTTGTCAGCTAAAAGTACTGCTCCCCTTACAGGGATATACTCATACCTGGCAGTTTGCTCCACCGAATCAGGATACTGCTAGTCCGGCAATTATCTGGTTCGTGTTTTTGGCGGAGGCAACGATGATATGGCCGATGAAGCAGACCAAGTTTACTAATATCAAGAACCAGCGTCTACCCAGGAGATCTGTGTTTGGGCCGCTGTCACATTGTGAGCATTCTGCATTATAGTATTGAGGAGCGTATCTTGAGACAAGATCAAAAAAGCACGGGTGAAGGATATCGTCCATGCCTACCAAACATTTTTAGGCTGGTTGAGTAAATGGTAGTAGGTAAAACATACCTGAACAAACCAAATGTACCCGTTTGGATCTCCCATGTCCGCTGAGACAGAGTGCCAATGGCGGACATGACAGGCACCGGCCAGAAGGAGAGACCATAATCACAAGAGATAATCTAGCAAAAAGTATGATCAGTCAGTGTGTCGACAAAGAACGTAACTCGATGACATACACAAGAGACAATCCATGTTTTAATAGTGACGACCAGAGGTGCAGCTGCTGGAGCGTTGACGTCTGTAGATGACCCCAGGTCAGAAGAGCGCGCAGTGTCTTGCGCCGGACCTTTCTCGTCGTCGACTGTCATATTAATTGTAAGGTGTGTGGGTGTTGAATCGACAGAAATTTCGCAATGCAAGACAGAAAACAACAGAAAAGAGGAGCGGTTGCAGCAGGAAAGGGCTTCTAGCCATTGCAACGATAGAGGCCCGGCAGTCACTCCACATAGTAATCTCTTCTGAGAGCCGCTAACTCATAGCCCTGGCCAAAACCAATCATCAATGTATCCTTGGCAGCATATATGGGCGCTCGGACTCCAGTTCGTTTACCTTGTGGACCAGAAGGGAGAAGAGCCCGCAATGGTTGGACGTTGCCGGTAAGAACCACCGCTGTGGTGCAGTAGAGTGAGCGCTTCTTCGAAGCATTCTGAGTCAGTAAGACCATGTAAATGCACTAGTTGATGTTGATCACCTTTCATCTCACAGGATAGCCGTCTCTAGAATGGCAACCCTCAAACTCGACCTTGGCATGCACAACCGACAGCTTTGGCGTCGACGATCGCTGCATAAAGCTTGACGAGCTGAAAACGTTGGCCGAAGAAAGCCAAGACCCTATTTTTCTTAGCTCGAGTCTCTCTCTTTGGTATCTGTCAAATTGGTACCTTTGCAAGCGTTGATCCACATTGTCCAGCTTTGTCTGCGTGTCTTCACAGTCGATTACCTGAATAGAGTCGATATTTCAGGAATGGTGCCGCTTCACTGCAGTTAGCTCTGCATAACCCATCAAATTTTCTCTGTCGAGGAGCTCACATGCTTGGTGAGAGGTCCATCACGGCTCGCATTGTCTCCGGATTGACGGAGAAGGGAGTTTCGATCGCGGGAGCGGATGGCGTGGCCTACGTCCAACGGCAGCCATCCGCAGTGAGAACAGCCACAGCGGGCTGGAGGTTTTCCTTCGTGTTTGGCGCTTCCATGTGCATTTTCATCGCATGGAATGTTGTTTGATTTATCCCTTTTTTGCTGCGTCGATAGCCCAGCTCCAACTCATTTGAATACCCTTCCCACCGAGACTCTATCCTCCTACTTGGAGGAAACACCTCCTATTTAATCCTCCAACACAGTAGCAGCATAACCTCCCGCATCCACTCATCGCAAAACGCATGCTGCTCCCGAAAATATAACCCGCTATCCGAGATCTCCACAGCCAGTCCGAAAAGTCTAGCTGCAGGGAGATGTGTCCCATATGCATCGGTCAATCCCCGACCCGCGTCGCCTCCGTTCACGAGCTGCGGGATGACCCGGAACACGGATTGTAGCTCTGTAAATCAGTTCTGGGGGAATGCGCGGAAGTAGTGCTGTGCTAGATAACTGGTCAGAATGACACCCTTCAAATCGGCGTCGATCGACAGCAGGTCTGGCTCTGGGGTTGGGCCACGGGCTGCCCTAGGGCAATGGGATGTTGTGCGTAGAAATTGGATCGCTCGATGACCCGCGCGTTGGCGAAGACGAAATCCAGTCTGTTGTTGACTTCGAAGGATTCCTGGAAGGCTTGACTTAGGCTGCTGTATTTTGTCACGTCTGGTGTAGAAGGTTGTGCGAGGGAGTTGCTGGGTGGTTTGGGAGCCGCGGGAGGCGTTGATGTCGAGGATGTGGACTTGCCAGTCTGGGCGGGCTGAGAGGGCTGTTGCGACTGTGAGGCCTATTCCGCTGGCTAATCATACAGTTAGATGTTCGTAAGGTATATAAAAGTATGGAACAGCCAATAAACTACATATATCCGCGTAATACACACTACTAGCACAAAGGTATCGCGAATGGTGTTCAATTGCATGCGAGTTGCTTAAGCTAACTCGATCCCTATCATGTAGGCTTAAATCTATGCATGTAGCTAAATGCTCGAGTCTTGATCAAAAGTCATCTAAAATATGAGTCGCGTCGTATCACCCGCTTGCAAAAGATGAAAAGTCAACGTAGCAAGATCCGTAATCCACGACGGAACCCCGTCGTAAAGTAGATAGTCATCATCATCAGTTGTGATAAGTCACACTCCAGACGTGGAATCCGCGGCCGTAGGTCATATCCTGTCCACTGTGCAGCCTCAAGTTGCCATCCACATCCATATCAATGTATTGACCGTTGTTGGCATACTGCAAGTTGTATCCGAGGCCGTTGCCCAGGAAAATGATCCGGATCCGGGCGGCATACTTCTTGTCGCTGTGCATTTCGCCGCGAGTTCCGATCCAGCGACCATCAAGTGCACTTTGGATGTTGAAGACCTCGCTTTCTTCATCTTCGGTGTACCAGAGGATCCAGCGGTGTTCCTTTCGATCGACTTCAGGGCGACTGGGGCTCGTCGTGAGGTGGTCATGGCCCGGGAAGCTTCGCAGGGCCCTGCGGTTCTTCTCGAAAACCAGGTAGCGACCTTCGGTCAGATAGCCAATGACCTCCTTGAAACCATCCTCGAAGTACAGAGCCTCGGTCACATTGCTCTGCTCGCCGTACGGAACGGGAGGGCGGGTCTGGCGGTGACGCGACTGGCATTGGGATGTTCCAATGTAGTTGCCGTTGTTATCCGTCTGAGGATCTGGGGTGTCCGGGATATGCGGGAGAGAATAGTCGGGCTAAATTGGTCAGTATCCCACCTCTTCGATAGAGGGAAGGGAATGCTTGGAAACTTACGTGATCCAAGTCCAGAGCGTTGACCAGATTCGACATATGAGCGCGACGCCAGGGCACCATCTGGTCGGTCTGGATCTTCGAGTATCCTCGGGCAGTCAACCACTGCTCGACGAACAGGATCTGCGAGTTATGATCACAGCGCTCGGTGAACACACGGTTGCCACGAGTCCACGGGGAAACCATGACGAAGGGAACACGGAAACCTAGAGGTACAAAGCTATCAGACGCGTTTCTAAAGAAACACAGTTGAAAGTACTCACCAGGTCCAACAAAGACGTCACCGAAAACTCCATAGGGATCCTTCATCCATTCTCCTGGGGTACCGGGAGGAGGGTGGAAAGGAGTGACATGGTCACCGAAGCCGCCAGTTTCTGCAACACGCATTAGCAGACGAAGCACACGAGATAGACAGAGCCATCACGTACCGTCGAAGCTGATCATGAGAAGAGTAGAGGAATACTTGGGGCTGCTGGTCACGGCATCCGTGACCTTCTTCTGCAACCAGCCGCCATCCTTTGGCATGTAGGGAGGGTGCTCGGAGAGCTCGGTAGGACCAACAATGAAGCTGACCTCGGGAAGCGTGCCCTTTGCAGCATCCTCATAGAACCGGTTCAGGCCCACAAATGACATGCCCTTCTTTGTCAGAGGGTGATCCTTGTCAGCCTTCTGGAACTGGTAGAACCAGGCGAGAGGATTGTCGTCAAAGTTGTTAGTATCCTGATATAGCTGCCAAGAAACGCCGGCCTCTTCGTAGAATTCGAAAATGGTCTTCCACTTGAGCGGGTAGCAGCTGACCCCGGGCTTCTCGCATCCTGGGAATTTTGTTAGCGCTGAAGCAGATACATCATTCGAGACAGAGAACATACCGGGCATCTCGTTATTGTCAATATAGACTCCACCCTGATGGGGCTGCTGAGGGCCGCCGGGGACATTAATGGAGCCACTGACGAGGGTCACCCGGTTGGGGTTGGTGGCGGTAATTTGCGATTCCTATATGCCAGTGGTCAGCATCTATATTCTTTTCTGGGAGTGACTCTCGTCGTACCTGATACATGTCTGCAGAGGTCCATCCTTCGGCAATAGCAAACTGGACCGGAATATCGTCACGCTTGTAGTATCCCCAACTCCACGGCGTGTTGTTGAGCGCCCAGTGGTTGTTCAGACCGTGATTGTACGCAGCCTGGTTTGCATAGTAGCCATTGTCACCAGCAGCCATGCACTGGATGGAATCCAGGGTCTCGCCACCCTTCCAGCCCAGGTAGAAGGGCAGAAGCGTGTTGGTCCGGTCCGACATATCCGGATCAACCTGTCTGATGCGGTTGTTAGCAAGGCGATTCATACTTGAAATCCCTCGTAGATTGACTTACTGGTTCCAGACGGACAGTCCATCGGCATTGACTTGCACATTGGGGTCATTAAAACCCCGAACACCGGCCATACTGCCAAAGTACTGTAAATTTCAACTGTCAGCCATCACAAACCAGTAAACAACGGGGGCTGGCGTACCGTGTCCTGAGCACGATTTTCCTGCATGAAGATCACGACATGCTCAATATCCTTGAGAGAGCCTGCGTAGACGGGCGAGCTTGCCAGGAGTGCCGCGAGGGCGAATCCCAGGAGCCAGATCATTTAAAACGCAGTGGGGTTGTAGCAGTTGGATGATAACGTAGAGTAGTTGAGGAAATGTAGGTTGAGGAGGTGTAGTTCGGGAAAAGTTCAGAGGAGGATGAAGAAAAGAGCTGCCAATTGAGCACAGACGGTCTAGCTATTCGATCTCGACGCAGCGTGACGAGAATGACCAAATCACACCCCTCGATTGGAGCATGCGGCGAGGGGATCGCCAGTTCTGACTGCGGGGAGGCCCCACGTGCCCGCAAACGCCGGCTGCTGAGTGGCTGGATGGGCCTTTGGCCGTCTGGGGGAGGCGCCCTCTTGCTCGACCTGAGAGCAGCTTAAGGCAGGAAGGGCAACTAAACTCGAGAGCCCGCGAGGGCAGGGCGTTCTCGACGGAGATCGGACCCTGGCGTAGCTGCACGTCTCATCCACCTTGCACGGCGCTGATCCGCGGTTCGTCCCCACGGCTAAGGCGCCGCATGACTTGCAGATCCCCTTGTCTCCGTGTCTTTGCCCTCCGCAAGGGCGCTCCGTGCGGGCCTCTTATACCACCCGACCGCCGACACGAAGAACTAGAGCTTTCCATCATGGAGAGCCAGAAGAGTCGGCGTCGAAGAGGGCCCCCAACGCAGGAACCGCCACAGTCTCCCAAACAGGTTGCACCGCAGCCTCCACCCCGTCCCTGGCTGACCTGGTCGCTGGCCACGGTCCTGCTGCTGGGATTGACCTATTTCCTCCGTCCCGATATCTACTTGACAAATTGGATTGGTCCATTGCTGGGTCACGGCCATCTCCAGGGGCTTGCCGATGACATCGACCAGGAGGCCACGTTGCGTCCGCGCATTGAATTGCACCCCGAGCATCATGTGTATCGCGCGCCCGTCACACATTATCTGGACTGGCGGGTCACAACGGGCCAGCGGAGGCCCGACGGCGTCCTGAAAGAAGTATTTTTGATCAATGGTGGGTATTCCAATTCGGTTTGTCCGCAATGGCAACGAAGTCGCCTGATAGCGGGAGCGTTCCACTAATAGATTATTTGTTCTCCCCGCTTTCTAGATCTGTTCCCTGGTCCCACCATTGAGGCTCGTTCGGGAGATACATTGGTGATCACCGTCATTAATTCTATGACAGAGCATCCCGTGGCTCTGCATTGGCATGGTCTTCATGTTCCTAGTAAGTACTCCTGTCTTAATAATGTATTCAGCGCACGCAGCTGACATTGCTGGTAGATGGCGTGGATGGCGCGGCGGCGGTATCGCAATGCCCAATTGCACCAGGCGCCCAATATGTCTATAACGTCAGCCTCCCCGCAACCCAGAGTGGGACATTTTGGTATCATGCGCATGCTGGGGTGTCGCGGGGAGATGGACTGTATGGCGGACTGGTCGTCCATGCGCCAGCATCCAAGTCGACGGTGCGAGGGTTGATGGCCCGAGGTGGGAGCGATCTCGATCGATATGGCTACGACAAGGAGCTGCTGCTCCTCATTGGTGATTGGTATCATCCTCCAGCAGAGGACGTGCTCGCCTGGTATAAAAACCCAGGCAATTTCGGCAACGAGGTAGATTGAAATCGAGAGGAAGCGAGATGTGCGTATTGCTGACTAGATGGTAGCCAGTTCCGGACTCGCTCCTTGTCAATGGAGTAGGAAAGTTTGACTGCGGCATGGCAGTGCGGGCGCGTCCGTTGGACTGTATCCCGCATCTAATGGACAGCTCATTCCTCAACCTCGACCCGAACCGATCCTACCGCATACGCGTCGTGAACACGGGGTATGGCAACGCAGCTTCAGGATCTTGCAAGGCAATGTCTGACGTATATTTGCAGATCTCTCGGAGGTTTCTCTCTCGATTTCGACCGAGAGAACCTGGAACTCCTCCAGGTAGATAGTGTTGATGTGGAGCGATCACAGCAGAAAGATGTCAACCGTGTGGGGATTCTCTACCCGGGACAACGCATGGACTTTGTCCTACGCCCTTCAGCGAAGGAGGGAAAAGGACCGTCGTCCATGATGGTGGAGCTGGATCAAGAGTGAGTCTTACTCCTAGTTAACCCCGCCTCACCAAACACATGCTTACCCGTACCCTAAAACTCATACAGGTGCTTCAAGTACATGAATCCAGCCCTAACACCCGACCAACTCTTCCCCATCTACTACAACGGCATATCCGACCCAGATCGTATGACTCTTGTCCCCAGTATCCGCAATAAGCTCAACATCCAGGAGATACCATCATCCGCTTCAATCCTGGCAACTCTCCCCGAGAAAGCCGACGAAACTCACGTCGTCTATACCAAAATCCAGAAAATGGCTCGAAATAATAACTCGCCATATGGATATTTCAACATGACAACGTGGAAACCGCAAAGCGATCCTCTAGTCCCACTGATTGCTCTCCCCCGCGAAAATTGGGACGCGAACCAGTTTTCATTAACCACAGGGCCGGGTTCAAGATGGGTAGATCTAGTCGTGAACAACCTCGACGAAGGTCCCCATCCATTCCACCTGGTATGCAATTACCTCCCTAACAAAATGTATCACCGAACGCTGCTTGCTGACAATCTCCAGCACGGCCACCACTTCTTCATCCTAGCAATCCACGAATCCACCTTCGGCTGGGGCTCCTACAACCCCTTCGAAGACCCGGTCCCAACCGGCTTCGACGCAGAAACTGACCCTGCTCAACCCTATGATCTCTCGCGCGCCGCACTCCGCGATACAGTGCAGATTCCCAGTCGCGGATACGCGGTTCTCCGCTTCCGGGCTGATAACCCGGGCATTTGGCTGTTTCATTGCCATATTCTCTGGCACTTGGCGACGGGCATGGCGATGCTGATTGATGTTCAGGGTGATCCGGCTGGGCTGGTTGCTCATGATGCATCGGTGCTTCCTGCGGGCGAAATTTGTCCCCCATTAAGAGCATAAGGTTACCCTAGGGTACTTCTACGACTCATGAACTCATAGCGTCAATACCAAAAGAATCTGGTGCTTTTCTATACTACACTGCATAAATTAATAGAACAGTTTTAGTACGCAAATATACGGTGAGGGAAACGATAAATTGTACGTGAGAAAGGAAGGAATCATGGTCGTGACTGAATACAAAAAACCAAACCCAACCCGTTCCGAACATGTGCGAGGACTCTAACGCCAGGTAAACGCTTGCAGAATTTAATAGAATCATAAGCATGGGCGTGGCTGACGAATCAGCAATACCAAGCTCAGCCTCGCTGGATGTAAGATAGTACACGATACCACGCCAGTACCAGCTTAGGCGGCGGCCCATTCGAGGACTTCCAAGGCACATACGACCAGGATGAGAGTCGAGGGCAGAATCCTACAAAATAAAGTTAGCGGTGTAATATCGCAAAGTGAAAAGATAGAGGGAACGTACCAGACAACGTAGCTCTGGAAGAGAAGTTTCGACATCGCCCCGACGTAAACATTGTTAATCTGGCAAATTTGCGCCAATTGCAGTGCAGACGGGGCACCGGTGAGGAGGAAGCAAACAACGATAAAGATAGGGTCATCGAGGATACTGATCGGCACGAACTTGGCCAGAAGCGCGAGGAACGGCGCCATGATCAGGGTTGGAAGGAGCATGCGCGCAACCAACGAGGCGATGATGAGCTTGCGTTCATCGCTGGGGTGTTCCATGTCGGCGAGCGCTTCTTCGGACAAGGTGTTCTTGGCTAGGTTGGCGCCAAGAACGACGAGGATGAGTGGGACGGCGACTTGGGAGTTTTGCTTGATGGCGGTGGTCACTGAGTTACTGATGAAGGTGCCGTCGTCGAAGAAGAGGGCTTGGAGGGAGGGGACGGAGGCGACGATGATCGCTACCAGCATGGCCCATAGAGGGGGTTCATGAAGTCCCATACGCCGTGCAGGAAACGGCCGAGCCCGTGTGAAAGGACTGACAAGCATTTCTGGGTCTTTTGTGGGAGTCGCGCGTAGACTGCGCCCGTTTTTTTGGTCCAGGATTTCTGGAGAGTGGTCGAGCGACGGCGGAAGGATCTCTTCCAGCGCTGGGCAAACGTTTGTTCGGAGGAATGGGATTCCCGGGCTGTGGTTTCCACATCTGGGAATGAGAGTATGTCCTCCCCGGTACTCTGGCGAGGCAGGAATGGTCCTCGGGGAGGTGGTCCGATGGTTGTTGGTGATAGATCAGAGTGCTCATCATGTACTGCTTCATCTCTTGAATGAATCGAAGAGACCTTCGAGTACGAGTAGGTGCGGTTCGAGACTGGAGTCTGATCGCCCGATTGGAATTCGCTGTGCCCGTTAAGCTGACCGTCAGGCGCTCGCAACAGACTATCTGAGCTGCGCGTGCGAACGAGTGGCTCGTCCGGGTCCGTCTGTTCTGGGTTGTCGGTATACCGAGCTTGTCCCTGCTCGATCAACGACGACCCACTCGAGCTGTTATCGCCTTCTTCGAGGTATCGGTCTTTCGGCGCCAACAAAATGTGGTATCCCCAGCTCCAGCGCACCAGCTGACCCAGCTGCTGGAAAATCAGTAAGTATAGAATGCCCCGTGCGGCCACTTCGTCGTCGTTATCGTTCGGGATGCGGTCCCAGTGAAGACCTCGCAGGGTTTGCGATAAAGACATGACTAGGGAAATTGGGAGCGAATTGGAGTTGCCAAAGACCTATCAGAACAAATGATCAGCACTTCAATGTTCATGCATAACGGCGGTTGATGGAGTGGGGGCGGTCATCAACACGATAACAAGAAAATGAAAGTCCACATACCGCCATGGCCGCCACGAAGTTCGACTTGCGCTTCTTGAAGCGGAAACATCGGTTCACCACCCAGGCACACGAGTAGGACACGAGGGTCTGAACCACAAAGATGACCGGAATGATTGCCAAGTCGGTGAGTTTCTCGGCCGTCAATTGAGATCCTAGTTTGACGAAAACTGTTCTCAAAAGGGGGTATTGTTAATTCTGTATCTTTGTTCCACGCGATAGGGGCAGCATACTCAGGCAAGGAGTGAAAAGCGTCACATTGAGGTTTGCCACCAGCTTCTGGGCATCGGCGTCGAAGAGACCCTGCTGGGCGGCGATGTAGCCGGGCAGACTGACACAGATCACCTCCAGCACGGCCTCGAAGACGAGCAGCACCAGATAAAAGAAGGAGGGGTGCTTGGGCTGAGGGCTGGCACCTGCCGTGAAGGCGTTGGCGACCAGCGAGTCTTGAGCGAAGGCATTGTACTGGAGGGACCGGGGCGCGGTAAAAATGGCCATGAGGCAATTCGAGGAGAAGGAAGGCTGGTCCTGGTCCGCGGGGACAGGAGGAGTGATGAAGAAGAAAAGAGAGCTCGCGATAAGGAAGCTTGGCTGTGGCTGTGGGGATTGGCATTTCACTGGATGTGGTCTTGGCCCCGGCCGCGTCTCGTCCCGCTACCAGGGTTGCCCTGATTGACTATTTGTTGGTCGCAATCAAGTTGCAGAGCTCGTTTCATACGCGCGGTGTCACCGGTCGGTCTTGGAGTGGCCAAATTAAGTCATAGTTGGGCAATGACGACGCTGCTGCGTCCAATTCAGCTACTTTCATATGACCTGTAGCTCGAATTTGCTACCATTTCTATACAACTCGACAGGTAAATGTCTGAGCGACATCTCCGGACGCAACCGGGTGAACCGTGGATCCGCAGTGACGCAACTCTTTGGGCAAATTACGGCGGGGGCTGGGCGCACGTTGTGAGCTCCACCAGGAATTGAAGGTACATCGAGGAACTTGGCAGTTCTGCGGCACAACGTGGAATTGAAGGTAGCTCTAGGTATCGTAACAGCAGCCTGAGTCTATACGAAGGTACCCCGGAGTTGGCAACAGAACAAAACTCTTTTAGATTCAATCGATCAGATCGCTCTCGGCCGCTCCACTGGATCTAAAGGATTAGCCAAGAGGGAGACTATGTACGCAAAAAATGCAAGAATTAAGGGCTCCAAGGCTCTCGCCAAAATGGTATATTACAACAAATGTCCAAGGTCACACCATCGGGTGTCCACAGCCATATACTTCAGGTGTGGAATTACGCCTCCCCGACAAATCCAATTTTCTCACCCACTCGGATGCGCTGGCCCTTTTCGATGCTCCACGCCCATCCATCCGGGCGCTGATCTTCAGGCCAGCCCGCGTCAATCGACTTGCGAGTGCCCAGCGGTGCTTCAAAGACCATCACGATCGTGCTGCCCAGCTGGAAGCCACCCATCTCTTCACCCCGCTGCAGGGGGTGTCCGGCCAGTGTACGACTGGCATGGAGATACGTCGCCTCCACAAATCCAGGGTCCTGCTCGCCCCGTTTCGCAGCCAAGGCCGCAGCCATGTCCGCCGCGGTGTCGGTGAGTAGGCTGTTGGTACGCAATTCCCGATCAAAGTTGATTTTGATTGAGCCCACGTTAGTGGCACCCACGGGCGTGTAACTAAAGAAGCCCCAGCGCCAGCGACCCAGAAGGGCGACACGTTCGTTGAGAGTGAACAGTCCCGGTAGGTGACGTTGGAGATACGGAGAGACCGAGTACAGTTCGCCGGCGAAGTGACGACGGCTCTCCACCACCCACGCCGTCGGCGAGTGGAATCGGTGGTAGTCGCCCGGAGCAAGGTAAATTACCACATAGAACAGTGCGTGTTTGTTAGACATCCGAGGCGCGTACCAAGGGGTATCATCGCCACGAGCCAGTTCCTCCTGCACTTGCACTTCCGAGGTCGTCTTGGATGTGGTCGATGCATCAATCGAGCCTCGTCGCTTAGCCGGAGTCTCGCCGGACAGCATAGTCGGAAGAGTATAGGAGATTCCATTCATGCGAGCAAACTCCTCGTCCGACCTGAGCTTCTCGGCATCCTTTTGGGTGCCTTCAGCGGCCGTATCGGCTAGCCGCTTGCTGTGGTCAGCGTGTGTCGGCGTGGCCGCTCCCAATAAAGCATCCAAACTGTACGTCATGCCCTTGACTTGTTCCACCTCGCCACGTTCGATCATACCAAACTGCAGGATCCGGCCATCGGATGGTGAAAGAAGGGCTCGAGGGTCCGGGTCAAGAGGTCGCACCCCGGGTTTCAATTTGCGGTAGAAGAACGCCGCCAGGTTCGGGTACGTGTGTAGATCGGGCTCGGCGACTTCACTGAGGTTCACACCAAAGATCCAGGAATATAGTTTGAATCCGGGGACGCGGAAGTAGTAGGGGAGTTCGATCTCGTTGAACCGGCCCCAGAGGCGCGACATGGCTTTCAGGGGTAATGTCGACATAAACTGCACTTGCCAGGAGCCCGTGGGCACGATGCGCGGCCGACGCGGTGGTCGACCTCCATTTTCCCAGTCCTCACCAGCGGCATCCTGTGCCACGCGATCCCGCTCCGCGCGCTGGGACTTGTAGAAGTGTAGAACCCCTAACAGACCGATACCGACACCGACAGGGATGGGGTACCATTCTACCTTGGTGTTGCGCAGGGCAAAGCGTAGTCGAGACCCAAATCCTCCCTTGGTGTTGCTTTCATGATTATTATCCTTATTGTATTGTCTCCATGACTTGGACGAAAAATGGCGCATGCTGGCCTTGTGGCGGGCAGTTGCTCTAAACGAAAGGACTTCCATCGTCGCTGCGCCCCCGGTTACCGGGGTGGCGGGATGGAATCGTAGAAGAGGTGAGTAGTTTAAAAGGCGCTTGGCCATAGTGTTCAATCCATTGGGTGCTGGGATCGACGCATCGTCCTGGCCGAGGTTGATGACCGCTGAACGTGAATCGTTTTTCTTCTCCCAGATCGGTCTCACCGCCCGGCAGAACTGGCACGTGGAGCATCGCATACATTCAGGATGATCGCGCCGCGTGTCAGTCGTTCTCTTGCCCACCACACTCCTCGTCACCGGGTTTGTCCAAGCTCTATTCGGTTCGTCCCTCCGGATTCAGCGCCTATCGGTCGTGGTGCATGAGTGAATCCCCATTAACTGCACCGCGAATCAGCAGCCTACAGACCTATTTACCCCGGGCTTGGCTTTCTGCCACATCTCCCCAAGCTCCGAGTCTCAACCCACCTAGTCCTGTTTCCCCATTCGACATCATCACTTCGCCCGCGACTGCCGACGCAACAACGCTCGACTGCTGCTCAAAGCCAACAGGCACATCGCATTCCAATCGCCAAATCCTCCGTCGCCCTGACGTTCTCGAGGTCGCCGGGTCTCTCCCAACTACTCTATCCATCATCCTCGGCGTCCTTCATTAACTCCGCTCGCGCCGACTGCACCTTACCCTACGGTTCTGTGTCCTTAGCACAACACCAACTCTCATCCACGCTTCAAGCCGTGAATCACCGTCCCGCAGCGGTCGCTTAGCCATTGCAGTCATACTGCAGCTGGAACAAACACAATGAGTGACCCTGTCGAGGACGGAAATGCAATGAGCGGACCAACTCTGCAAGAATGCTCCAATGAGAGCACCACGATCACTCTGAAGGCCCTTTGCTCTACACTTCCACCTCCCGGCTTGTTTGTGTTCAAGGACCAGCCCCTTTCAGAAACCGTTGGCCAGTTCAAGACCCGACTGGCGGAGGCCCTCCCAAACCGCGTGGAACCTGCGGATCTAAGGCTGGTCTTTTCTGGCAAAATTCTGAATAAAGACAACGTCGCTCTTGCGGAGGCCCTGAGTTCCCTTCCGGTGAGTACTAATGCTCCAATTCACCTCTAGGTTTCCTTCGCATCAACCTAACGTCGACCTCAGGGTGACACAAAGACAGTCCACCTGGTTATGCCGTTGGTCACAACTTCGAAGCTCATTTCGAGTCCTCAGAATGTCTCCGCGCCGTTGAACTCGAGCCATGCTTCAACCGGTGTAGCGCCTGTGGGCCAGACAACCCATAGAACTCGATCTAGTAGGCAGGTTCCCGTTCAGAGGCATTTTGAAAATTCGTGGAGAGTTCCGGATCAACAAGACCACTCTCGTCGACCCTTTAGCGTTGCGCTATCCGAAGCAATGAACTGGAACTCCCTTGTTCGGCAGGTTGCGGAGATGGAAGATCGAGCCAATCACTCTTCCATTCCCCCCACGGAAATTTTGGATGAAACTCGCCGGCGAATTCGATCAATGCTACATGAGAGACGAGCGCAATCTCATGGCAGGCCCTTTCGCGACACATCTGATCCCTTTGGTCCCCTCCCTACAGTGGAACAGGCGCAGGCCCTGATGGACCGTGTTCATGTTCTCCAAGGACGTGTACAACAAATGAGAATCCAAAATCAGTCTGCCAGTGACCCATCTGAGGCTGCGAGACCCAATGGCTCAAATGCGGCCCCTCAAATTTATCTGATAACCTCACCTGGTGGCCAACAGAGTCTCATTCTCCCCCGGGGTATCACCATCAACACATCTCAAAATGGTGTGTTGCCTGAGCCGCGCATCGGCGATACTCACCCCGGAGTAGCTGAATTGAACCAGGCCATTCGGCAAGGGCTCATTGAGCACCAGAATCGCCAGAATCAAAACCGTCAGCAGGAGCAGCAGCCAGAGCGCAGACCGGGCGCTTTTCTACGCCAGATCTGGCTGTTCATTCGCCTCTATTTCTTCATTCACATGCTCAGTGATTCTGGGACGTGGACCCGGATTTTCCTCGTCACTTTGGCTCTTATGGCTGCCTTCGTGGCGCCTCCTGGTTTCCCACTGCGTCTGCGCCAGGCTATCATCGATCCGCTTATGCATCATTTCCACGCCATTGCCCAGAACTTCGGGGCTGGTGATCAAGCCGCACAGGTCCACCAAGATGGTGGAGGTGCTCCTGTTCACCAAGGCTTACCTGGACAGATTATGCAAGTTTTTCGTCGCGTGGAGAGATTCCTGATGCTTTTCCTCTTCAGCCTGGTGCCTGGTCTCGGTGAAGGGCAAGTCGAGATTCGCACTCGGGCCGATCGAGCTCGACAGGAAGAGCAGGAACGAGAGAACCAGCAGGAGAACGAGCAGGGTTATGAGCAAGACAATCAGCAAGACAATCAGCAAGAAAATGAACAAGATATTCGACAGGGCGCTCAGCAGGAGACTCATCAGGAGACGCAGCACTGAATCAGCAAGATCAAATGCAGGATCACCCGCAAGGCCACCAGCCAGAACCCCAGCCGCCACACGAACCAATGGCGGGCATGATCCTGGTCTCATCAGTTCATCAAAAGAAAGGAAAAAAGCACAAAAAAAGGAGTTCTAGCGTGACGAAAGGCACTTCTGTCATGAAGTAGCCGGGATGTTCGATATTCTTACGATACCACATTTAGCGACGGCGTATTTTTACTGGGCTAGTGGTCAATTTACCAACGGGACAAATCTGCGGACTCTAGTCCGATCTAGGACGCATTTTTTCACTGATAATCCATGTACAGTAGGGTAAACGTAGGAACTCCAACCATTTAATCCGTCTTGCTTCCAATGGTTCTTCACACAGTCTTCTTTATCCTCCGATCAACTTTCATCCGCACCGCGGCCGCCAGCATCGTTGCAGCTGTCGCCATTGAGCCCGCGTAGAAAATGGCTGGTCGATATGCTCCAATCCCACCAGCCTGGCCACCAGAGGCATTCAGGATGTAACCGGCAATTGGAGCTCCCATCAGATAACCACCCAACCATCCACTAACGATCATCCCGACAGCCACAGACACCCTCGCGGATCCGAACACATTCCCAACGACGGTGGGCATCGTCGAGAAGAAACCTCCATTTGCAGACCCATTAATCACCACGAATGCAATCAGCGGCCCAATCGAGCTGGACACTGGCCACAACACAAAAATACTCAGTGCGCTCAGCAGCAAGGATAGGAAAAGTGTGTTCAGCGAGCCCAACTTATCACACGCGAACCCGCACGATAGACGTCCAATTGCCGAGCTGAAATTGAACGCAGCGACAAGGCCGGCTCCCGCGCTGGACGGTAGTCCGAGTGAAGAGGTATACAGCGGCAAAAAGAAAGCCGGCACGAAGAGTGGGAATGTTCCAATCACACCGACGGCGAATAAGACTGCGAAGCGGACATCTTTGAACAGACTCCATTCGACCATCTTCGCTGGCTTGATCGCCGCGCGCTCCTTGATCAGCCACGCAGCTGGCAGACCGGTTGCTATGATCATGAAGCCTAGGATGCGGAATGTCCAGGCAATCCCGACACTCTGGAGGAGGGCGTCTAGGATAAAACTGATGACAGTACCACCAAGACCGCCACCAGCGTAGACAATTCCATTGGCGATGCCGCGTTTGGCCTTAAAGTACTGCGCCGGGGTGACGGAGACGACCTGATCACTTTAGTATATTCTGCTACTTGGTAGGCATTATGGAGAGACCACTTACCATGAAGCATAGACTAGTCCCTAGTCCACCAATAAACCCCCATGTCATGAAGAGCCCCGCAACACTGTTCACTGCAAATCCACTGAGGATACTTCCCAGCCCTAGGAGGAAGATACCCAGACAAGCCGTGATCCGTGCACCGATGAGACGAATCACTCGTGCATTAGGAACAGCCAGCAAGGAAATACAGGCAGGGCAGAGCGAGCCCACGAAGGCCAATGTCGAGGACGAATATCCTTTCTTCTCGACTAGTGCAGCTTGCATCACACCCCATGTATACGATGCACCAACGAACCACCAGGTCACCACTGCACATGCGAAGATAAGAACCCAGCCATAGCCACCATCGGGAACTTGAGAGTCCGCAATGAGAGACTGCTGCATGACCTCATCGGGTTCTGTCTCCGGCTCATCGTGAGAAATAGGATTCCGCTGTCGCTCGCCGGTGCTATGGTGGAGATTGTGTAGCTCGACTGCCGTCGTTGGCAGGGTTTGCGTGGCGGTTGCCATGATCGATGATCAGCCCTTAATCAGAGTGAAGTATAGTTTGATCAGAATTTAAGCTGCAGGCTTAAATTTAAATCCCCCAAATCTTAATTTGACGGCATTATTAATTCTTGTTGCTTTTGGGCGGTTCCACGTGATGTCCTCCGCGGGTAGCCGACTGTCACTTCGCGATAAGTGGAGTCCGAAGTCTATGCTGTGGAGCTGGTCGTGACTCACTGCTGTTTGCATTGCTGATGAGGGGTAATCGTTTTGATAGCGGTGTGTACCGGTGGAGTGGTAGATAATGGGGTAGTGCCTATGGTAATCAATCAATCATCTACATCGTTCCAATGAGGGTATGCTGAGAAAGTTTCCCGTGGGCATATTGAAAGTCAACAGTGTAAAACTCTAATAATGTTGTATAGCGTAAAATCACTGAATGACAGGCATCAAGTCTAGTCTAAGGGTATATAGATCTCCTCATAGCTTGGTCGTACCAACGGGCGGTTCCGATGGGGTCATAGAGTTGGTATCGAATCCCTCTTCCCCATTAAAATGCCTGTTTGGTAAAAGTCTAGCATCAGCATTGGTCATTGTCATGCATTAAACAGCAAAACACTTACCAGCCTCGTTCGGCACCACCACTCAAGAAACTGCAGTCGCCATTCGACACACAGTCCCATCCACCCCCAACACCTTTCCCATTTTCCCACTCAGGGACACCATTTGACCGGTATAGTTCCGTGCCATTGGCCAATATCCCTTCACCCTGCTTCAGCTCACCGCTTCCAGACGGGTTCCGTCGTCGGAAAGTGCTCAATCCCGCCGTGAATACGTAGAAGTCCTCGACAGAGCTGTCCTCAGGCATATTCCCGGTCAATGCCCGTCCCATGGCAATAAGAGGCGCGGCATGAGCGCAGATCAACAAGGACTTGCTGGTTCGCTCTTGCGGAGATTGGCCTGCTTCCAGCTCATTGATTTCGGCGTCCACATCGGCGATGATCCCCTCCAGGGCTGTGGCGACCCGATTGTGTAATTGGGCGATTGTCTCGCCTCTTGTAGATGGACGCAAAATAGGCGCGTACTTGCTCTCTGGGGTCGCATGCAGAAGAGTCGGGAAATACTTGCGCATCGTACTTGGTTCCGGGTGTGACGGGTGGTGAAACCAGGTCGTCGGGCCAAACCATTCGCTTATACAACGTCAGGTAGGTTTCGAAGTTGGTATAGGGAAATCTTACGCTAGTCCGTTCTCGAGTCTTACATCTAGGTCTGCCGTGGGTTCAATTTGACCGTGTGAAGAGACCTTGGCGCCAGTTCCATTTTCGGATTTAGTTTCCTGGTGTTTGCGCTTCAGTTCCTCGACTGAGGGCTGGATGGTCTGCAGACATCGGTAGAATGGGCTGGAATAGATCCGAAAAGGCTTGGGATGGAAATCTGGGCGAGCAATGTGTACCGCAAGCTCGTACGATTGGCGAACACCGTGTGAGGTTAGGGCAGGGTCGGCAGGGTTACCAGTTGGTGTTGGAAACTGCGGTTTGTAGGTGCCGGTGCGGTGATCAATCGTCCAGTTGAGACGATGCTGGACGGTGTTAGCAGATCATTGTCACGGACTCGTCTCAAACGCTTAAATTATCGTGTTTCAAGGTTAAGAGGTGACTCACACCGTGGCGAGTCAGGTATATCGTGTCCAGAGGCATTGTAGTTGAAAGATCAATTGCAACGGACTTTGCGGGGAAATAAGCCAGGGCAGAATGGAGGATAATTCGGGCGGTGAGGTTGGGCCTCGGTCCGATCACCAGCATTTGCTGTGCAGCCCGAGGGTACGGAATTGACAAGGGTTGAAAAAGAATTTAATTGAATGAAGCTGTGCTTTTATTTCGTTCATTCGGGTTGTTTTTTCTATCCGTTAGTTAAATCAATCAAATTGACCAAGCTCACAGCGTTGTCGGAGGCATCAATAGCCAAAGTTTGAGGGTAGATATCCTTAGTTCTTTGCAGCCAAGTCAGCTATGATGGCATACTATCGAGCAATTTGTCGGCATAGCTCATAGTTTACTTCCATTGAAACTTACTGCGTAGCTTTCGTTACCGATTCATTGACGAAAGCCTTTATTCACCCAATGCTCGCATGGTTTTACTCGTATGTGAGCCGAACCAATCAAGTTTTTTTTAGATTAATGTTTGAAAATGGGGTGGATATGGAGTTCAGATTGTATGTCCCATAGCACCGTACATATTATAATACTAAACTTGGCCTTCCAGTCTTGAGATTATACTAAATGTGCCACACAGCAGTGTTATCTGTCGGGCTACAAGAAGACCATTTGGTATTGCAGAACCTACCAAGGAGACAAAAAACGGTCCTGGATGGACGATCGAACGGTTGGGCGAATTGAACGCGGCCTCGATACCTAGCGATAGGCCGATAAGCCCAAGCCGAGATCCTACAAAAGAATACGTTGACTAGAATCGGTAGCATTGGATCGGAACCATGTACTCTGCAGCTGCAAGGGGTATATATCTCCGCTACTATTCATTACATTCCCAGGGCCCAGCCCAAGCATGAGAAAAACCAGTCAAAACTTAACTTTTCATTAATTTTTGAGTTGAAAATTTTTTAGAGGATTGACTCCATCTAGTAGAAGAAGCCGAGGAGCTTGCCAGCAACGTGCTTGCGGCGGGCCTCCTCGTGGTCCATAATACCAGCGGAGGTGGTCAGGACGACGAAACCGAACTGACGGGAGGGAAGGAGCTGGGTAGCCCACTTCTCGAGGTCACGGAGCTGGACGGGGTAGCGGGGGTTGATGACACCGCACTTGTTGAGGCGGCCGTTCAGCTGGATGACGATCTTGCCGGAGCGGTGGTCGTCAACCTCCTCGAACTCGCCAATGTAGCCTGGAAGAATAAGATGTCAGCATGTTGCGAAGATTTAAAAGTCGCCAAACACGGCATTGCCAAAAGCGCTTTCGGAAACATGTAAGATCTCCGCTGAAAAAAAATTCGATCTATCGGGTACTTAAAAGGCAGACGTCGTAGGTTGTCGAGACCGGCCGCCTAGTTATCAACCCGAATAATTCCTCCAATGGCAGACAAAACCAGGCGAAAAAAGGAGAAGAAAAAAGGAAAAATCTTTGAATGTATCGATAAGACGTACCGTGCTTCTGCATGACAGTGAGGAACTTGACGATGACCTTGGAGGAAGGACGGATCAGGACTTGGCGCTTGCCAGCCTTCTCGGCGTTGTTCATGGCGTTGAGGGCATCGTTGAGGACGGAAGTCTTGACCATTTTGGCGGTTGTAGAATCGAGATTCTCAAATCAGGGAGGTGGGATAAGAGGTATCTGTACGATTCGAAAGGGTTAAGTCAGCCACCAGTAGTCTTCGAGCGCAAAGAGTGCCCCTTCGCAGGAGTTCTTCAGCCCGTGCCGGGATGGGAGATGCGTATCATCATGACCTGCTGCAACTGCCTAGGCCAGTAAAGATCCCGCTATTACAGAAAAGCCAGAATGATTGCGTCTCCCAGACTAGCTGTGAGGCTGGTTCAGGGGAAGGGTATGCATACCTCGAGGATGAGTTGGTCCTTCGGTTTGGGCGTGTCGAGGATAAAAATCTGGCGGAGCTCGGCGAAGTTTGGGTAGTTGCTGGCTGTGCGGCTGGGGCACCTTAGGGTTCAGCGGGAAAGCCCTTATCAAGTTATGATCACGTGCTGATAGCCACACCCTCAGTGCAGTGTCGGTGCCTCAGGTGTCGATAATTCTAAATGGCGGCGTCGTCGAACTCCAGAGCCACAAAAAAAATAAATAAATAAAACAATAAAACATAATTACGCTTTTACATATACTATCATAAATAATTGCATGAATCATACAGTGGACAGGAGGGGGTGGATCTATACAAGGAGTGTCCGGTGAAACAGCACGGGCTGAAGGTTGAAGAATACGATGACATCCTTGGGAAGAGGTGAACGTCGAAATAGCTTTTTCATGACAGTGATTCTTTTCTCAGCGGGGGAGAGACATGATTCAGGGGATACATGATTGGGTGCAGTACATGAGTAAATTCCGGGGATTGGGGGGGGGGGGGGTTTACATGAGGTCTGGGGGCTACATGACTTTAATGCTATCGGGATGCGAAGGGGTCTTGTCTAATTAAAAACCAGGGTACGGGAAGGTGTTTAAAAAAGGGTTGTATCACAAAACAAAAGGAGAAAATAAGATAAAGAAAAAGGGCCATGAGGGGAAGGGGAGGGAGGGAGTTCATTTGAGTAAGTCATCAAAGGGGATGGGATAGCACGCAAAGGGGGAGAAGTGCTGGTGAAAGGGGGGGGGGAGTAGGTTGAACGGAGACCAAGAGCAAGGGAAGAAGGCTTGGGGTAAATCTCCGAACAGACAAGGGATTGGGAAGACAAGGCAGTTTGAGAAACCTGTCAGCAACAAGAAACGATGCCTCACGGTCAAAGTACCAATCTGATGCGAGGTTTCGAGCAAACCCGGAGTTTCCGAGGTTTCCAAGGAAGCGGTAACCCGTGGGTGCATGTACCACTTTCCAAAACCAACGCCTTCAAAATCATTACCGTAGAGAAAGAAAGGCGACGCACGGAATCTTTCTCAATAGGATGAAACTCTCGAAGACTCAGAACTAGGCCATGTTGATTTGGCGCTTGACCTGCTCCCGAGTCCAACGAGCAGTCTCGATGGTCCGCGGGCTAAAGGCGCGGGTGGTGCGAGTCTCACGAACCAGGGCGGTAACCCAGTCGTTGCGGAAATAGGCAGCAAGCTCGCCGTTGGGGAAGGCATCCGCAAGGTCACCGAGAACACCCATGGAGGAGCGCATCAGACCCTCACTGCGAGTGCTCTCCTGCGAAATGATGTGCAGGAGCTGGAAAATGGACTCGATGAAGGGCTGAAGTTGCGCGATCTGGGGCTTACCCTTGTAGGAAAGCAGGATACCACCCCAGGCATCCATAATACCCTCGCGCAGAGAGACAATGTAGTCGACCATGTCGAAGGGCAGGTCGGAGCTAGTGGTGACCGAAGAGGCCTGCTGGAGAACACCGCCGACGACGGTGAGGTAAGTATCAAAGTGAGTTCCAATAGCCTGAGCAATATCACCAAAAGTCTCGAGAATGGCGGGCTTGAGCTGGTTGGTAGAGGTCTGTAATGTGATTAATGAGTGGATGTCCTTCTTCGACCTATACTTGTATTGGCGCCGAACACTTACTCGCAAAATGCTAAGCAAAAGGTTCATGAATGTGTCGCAGAAAGGCTGAACCTTCTCGTTCAGAGCACGAGCAATGTCACTGACCAGGCCAATGGCCATGGAGCAGAGAGCAGGCTCCTCTTGGTTGCCAAGAGCGTTGTACAGGAAGGGGCTGAACTGCTCCATGTACTTGAGGAAGTCCTCCTCCAAGGCACTAGCGATAGCACCAACGGTGGCAAAAATGACATCGGGGACGCTAGACTTAGCACCCACGGTCTGCAGAACCTGCAGAAGGACCGTCATGATGCGGTCAGCCTGGGGCTTGATATCGGTCTCGAAGCGTTGGACGATGGCCAGGATGACACTGATCAAGCTAGTCTGCATCTCCTCAAGAAGCATGCGGTCCTCAACGCTGACAACCTGTTGCTGCATGGGAATGGTGTGCTCTAGGCGCTGAAGGATGACGTCGGAAAGGGTGGCAACCATGGGGAGGCTGTCATTGGCGGAGTTGAGCACGAAGGAGTTGAGAACCTCGTACCCAGCAGTGCGGAGCTGGTTATCAGCATCCTGTCTAGATTTGATAAGGATGCGATTAGGGATATACTTTATGGTATAACTTCCGATACGAAGTTTAAGGTCGAAATGGGTAAATACGTACCGCTCGGTCACAGTCAGGAGTGACTTGACACTCTCCTCGAAGTGCTTGGACAAGGGGTTGGTTTGGGAGCCTGCATCGCCAGCAAATCGATCGGCAACATTCATCAAAGCCCAACAGCAGGAACTGGCAATCTTGGGGCTACTAGCGAGGCCGTTGAAGAGGCAGGAAATAAGAGGCTGCAGGTGAACCTCGGGGTCGAGGACCTCAGGGCAGCAGTCACAAACGCGACCAAGAGCATAGGCAGTGGAGTCGCGAACCGAAACGGAAGCATCCTCCATCATGCCAAGAAGGACTGGCAGGGCCTGCTTGATAAGGGGTTCCAGAACGCGGGGCTCGGGACCCTCCATGATACCACCAAAGGCGGCGACGGCGGCATCGCGACGGCGCCAGTCTTCGTTACGAATGTTCTCCTCAACGAAGCCCACAACGGGTTGGATAACATCACCTTGTACGCACTGAGCGTAGAGCTGCAGGGCCTGGTAGGCGGCACGCGAGACGTTGTACTCGTCGTCACCAGCGTCCTCGTCCTGACGACACATGGCCTGCAGAAGGACAGGGACAACCTCGCGGGTGGCGACACGGGCAAAGCCGAAGAATGGACGAGGCTCGATACCTTCCTGAGCAGCTTCCGCGTTGTCGTCCTCGATAGCAATTTCCTCCTCGCAGACGGTGCACCAGAACTCGATGGCAAGCTTAGCGACTTCCTCCTCCTCGCTCTTCATGCCCATGATGCTAAGGCCAAACAGGGCCTTCTCCATGTAGAAGCGCATCTTTTCGTAGTAAGCGCCCATGATACGGTTCAGGCAGCCGAAAGCACCGCCCTGCACGCGAAGATCCTCGGCCTGAGTGGCCTCACAGACAACCTGCATGATGTAGTTGCGTTCGCCCTCGTTGTCCATGTTCGAACGCACAAAGTCAACGGCATCACTAAGGGCGTTGATGGCGGCGAATCGAACATCCATGTTCGCCTCCTCCCGGCGAGCACCCTGCACGACGGCAGTGAGGATAGCATTGGAGTGTTGGACCAGGCTGGCGCGGAGGTCGGAGTCTTGCGATTCGCAGATGTAACCAATGGTGGTCAGGGAAGACTGCTTGAGGGAGTCGGTTCCGCTGGCCACGTTCTGGACGAGAATGTTCATCAGATCTGGCCACTCATTGCGGGGCAGCTCGATAGCAGCAATCGAGACGATCAAAGTAGCGGCGGCATTTCCAGACTGGGAATTGGTAGAGTGCAAGGTCTTGAGGGCGAGCTCCTTGATCTGTGTCTTGGTCTCGGGAGTAATCTGTTGAACCCATCGCAGTTGTACCTCGCGCAGCTTAGCCTGGTCTCGGAAGGTGAAGGCGTTCTTCAAGGCGATACCGGCAGCGACACGAATGTGAGCGGGGCTCTCATCGTTGGCCAGTTCTTGACCCAGTGTGATAAGGTATGCGGCCTGCAAAAATCACGAAGTGGGTTAGCGGGCTGTTCGGAGCTCCAGGGGGGATCACCACATGTCTTGCGACAGGACATGAAGCCAAGGGAAAGGAGTGTAAGGAGGGATAACATACGAAGTCGACCTCAGCCGCGTGGGCGAGCTGTTGCTCGGCATTGGTACGCTCCGCAGCGTCTGCGGGAGAGAAAACACGGTCAGCGAGGGGTTCACGCACAGTCGGAAATCGAGGCTGGATGGGCACGAGCACGACCGAGAAGGTCGCACGTCCGGGTTAGAGAATGTCAAAGATGCAAACTTACCTGGCGCGAGAGTACTCTGCAGCACCTGACGAACATCCATGGTGGCTGCAAAGAAGGAACGCAGAGGATGGTGGTGATGTGGGGGTAAGGGACGAGGAGGGAAGGAAAAAAAGAAAGAGTGGCGAAAGAAGTCGTGGAAGCCCTCTCAGCCCGGTGGGATAGAAAGAGCAGATCCAGGCACGAATCAGAGACCACGGGGTGTGAAGGGTGTGGTGGCAGTTGAGAATCCCTGGAGTGGAAGGTGGGTGGGAAAGGACGGGGTGTTTTTGTGGATATGACGAGGCATGCAGTGGCCGCGAGGGCGTTGAGCAGTAGAGCCTTCGGGGCGCAACCGGCGGAGCAGAACGGGTGCGAAGAAATAGCGGAGGCTAACGCTGAGAAAAAAAAATGTTTTTTGAAAGGTGTTTGAAGCCGGACGCAGAATCCAAGGTAGATTTCGATGCCAGAAAGCAGCCGGGGGGGGTGAAGTTCAAACAGGGGCGCGGCGTGATTGGTCAGGAGGAAGGAGTCACGTTGTTTATGCCTGAGGCAGAGATGTCTAACTTTAGCAGGGATTCTTGCTGGGCGTCCTAAGTAAATTTTTTAGCTGTACATCTAAGATACCTGGAGCTAGCAAATTACAGAGGCCTGATAAATCAGCATTCGGATCTTCTACGACAACAAGCCAGCACATTATTCGTGCCGACGTGACGACGTCTAACGGGCCTGGTCCACCTCCTGTCTGCTTGTTTTGGTTTTCCTCGAAGAAGCACCTGCCAGCGAATGGCCCCAGCGACCGATCCTTTTAGCCCTGTCCACACACACTACACATTTCACAATTCCACACTTAAGGTGGAGCCCGTTCCTGGTGCCTGACTCGACCTGTCGGACTGCATGGAAGATCCTAGAATAGTGCGAGATAGTTCACGAAAATAGCAAGGGGCAAACCTAACTAGCAACTCTACACTGCTAGCGCGAGAACATGCAGTATACAGGCTCAATAGAATATGTATCAACTTCCATCAAGGACAACAACGCCATTATTCGTAAGAGCATTGTGCCGTGGTCAAAATTAAGCGCTGGACAGGTTTGATTCCAAATTCTTCCGTGGCGATTGTCCTATAAGTGGAGCCGGTTCTTGGTGCGTCAAAGACAAAAGGCCGAGATCTTTTCAGGGGTTCTTAACCCTAAGAATAGAATCGTACTTCTGTTGCTTATTGTAGAATGTGCATACTTACCTATATAAGTCGCCCGTCTCCTCGAGTTACTGTACGTATGTGATGTGACTGGAGCATCGGGCAAAAAGCAATCAAAAGAAGCTGAAAGAGAATAAAAAATAAATAGTCATAATGACTAAACTAACCATCCTAGTCGATCCCTAACGTCGCTAACACCAAAGAGAACAAAACTGCAGTGTGTTCTCATGTTTCCTGAACCCATGATCGATCGACATTCTCCTTATCTTCCTCGACCTGTTCGTCATCTTCCTTCTCAATAGCACCATCCAAGTCGAACACATCATATCGGCTCTTGTCTTCGTAGAGCACGCAGACTGGCCGGCGGCCCTTGCGTACATTGACATCCATCCAGATTGGGTTCGTCTGAGCACCAGCCGAATTGAATACATGTCGAACCGCGCCCGCCTTATTGAGAGAAGACAAATCAAATCGTGTGGTTGGGACATTCGGCCCGGGCGTGACCGGGTTAGAATCGCATTCGATGTAGTCGAGTAACAGAGTGGTCGGCTCTTCTTGTTCTTTGGGCTGTGATTGTACAGAAGTAGGTTGGAAGGGAAAATTGAGGAAGTATGATCGTTCTAGTCGTTGATTAGCATCCTGGGAATGGGGATTATTGCTCAACCAGCAATTAAGGGTATACTCACCAGTAGTTCTCCACAGCAAAGCAATGGTGTTGTCATTCACAAACCGGAGTTGGAGAATTTCGCCTTCTTCGAAAGAAACTGCCGCTACAGAGGTGCTTCTCGTAGAGCTGACCCCGTTGACAGAGTCCAGGACCGTGCGGTAGATGTAGAACGATGAATGTGAGCTGCGCGAACGACTCACAACGTAAATAGAACAAGGATTTCCTTGTTCGGCATCTTCATAGCAAACCTCCGCATCAAGTACTTCCTCCTCACAATCAGAGTGCAATACCAACGGGCAATGGTTCAAAATGCTTCTTCGCTGCGTCAGCGCGATCTCCTCAAACACCCTATCGAATTGTTTTCCAAGGCGCCTCGTCAAGTCGCTCATTTTCGGCGAGTCAACACTCGTCCCGTCCCCTCCCTGGTCTTGTGCTTGGCGCTGCTGATCAAGCAGGGACATGAATTGGTCATAGAACGAGCCGTCATGTCCATCTGGAAGCCATTTGTCTGTAGGGGGAGTTGGCTTTATGCTAGGTACACCCATAATGGGTAATTGGCGGATGAAATTGCGCAGGACACTTTTTTGAAGAGCCCCTTTGATGTACTTCGTCGTGAGAGGGAGGTTGAACTGATCTCGTTTCTCGGCGAGATCTTCCAGAGTTTGAGATAAGGGTTCGGCGTTGAGGATGGCAATCTCATGATAAAGCCACCTGGAGAAAGCAGCAAATTGGACCAGTTCGTCATTGGCGTGACCGAGGATACGTTGGGCGAGAACATGGAGACAAGACAGTGTCTCGGCGATGCCGTTCAGCTTTGGGGTATCCAGGCCAAGGACGTCGCTGAGTTTACTAAACTTCGAGAGACCGATCAGTCGACCGAGAAGGATTTGACTCCGCTCCAGGGCTGGAAGCAGACATTCGTGCGTCAGTCGACGAATCGTCTCGTAGCCCCCAGCAACTGCCTTTTCCCACCTCTTGTGTCCCTATTTGTTGCTGTCAGCGGGTGATAAATTCAGCGGGTGATAAATGCGCGCAAATATAAGGAAGACGCACCCTATCGCCAACAATGTCCACAAGGAACTCCCTCATCGGGGCAAAGCAGTGACCAAAAACAAGGAGATGATAGATAGCCGTGACAAAATCGCACTGGCAATGCTCCTCCAAGTCCATATTGACCGTCCGCAAAAATCGCGCCGGTAGTTCTTGGGCGGTTCTCCATTCCATCTCGATAGTGTGTTGGACTTGCCCGATATAGCGAAGCAAGTTCTGCAGTTGGGTCGTCTTCGACGCCAGTAGAGATAGATACCGTCCGGATTTCGTGATGAACCGCAAGTCTAAGGTCACGAGCTTCAACGGAGATGGTGACGGTGACTTCGATGGGTCTGGTGAAATTACCAAAGCATGCGTTGAGCTCAAGGGATGCGAGGCGTGACGAATAACGCTGCACGGCTCTGCTGGCTCGGTCGAAGCGCCAACAGGAATTGAGCCGATCTCGAAGCAGTCAAAGATACGCAGATGAATACTGCCGTTGTTGAACCCGGTGACCAGAACATCCACTGTGTCGCTGGTATCCTTCACGACAGAGTGGAAAATGGCGTCAATAGAGGCCCGCGAGCTGAATAGATCATTTCCCCGCGCCGATGTGGGAAGAACACTCAGCTTCGGTAGTGAGTTGTCAGCATCAAAGAGAGCCAGTTCTCGAGGCAAATTGGCTTTGAGAAGAGCCTTGGACGGTTTAACGCTGGGCGTTACGCATAACAGCTCCTCCAGAGTGACCTGACCACCCGACTCCTGTAGATGCTGTTGAGCGGCTTTGCTATCGGTGAAGTTCATGCCCCAGCCCAAGCAAGTTATCTTCGGCAATGTGTGCTCACTAGGAGAGAGATCTTCCGCGATATGCTTGTTATATGCTTGATAATGATGGACAGTCTTGCCGCTGTATGCACTGAGGACGCGAAGAGACGCATCTCCACAGGCGACTGCAAGAAGATGACCTGTGATTGACAGAATGAGAAAAGCCAAATAGGGGCATACTCAGCTCTCCCCCGAAAGAGGGAACCGGGCCATCGCATCGCGATGTTATTCAGGAGCTACTCACCGTTCGCCTTCCACGCCAACGTCCTCACTTCGCCCTTCTCATCCTCCAAGTCTAACCAGGCATCACCCGGAAATGACGTGTCGATCACACGCTGTCCATTTAGGCGGAACACGCGCAGTTCTTCATCTGTAGTCACCAAGGCGACCAGGTCCATCGAGGGACAGTACGCCAGGGTGGTGTGTTTGCATTTTTCCCCCAGTGATTTCTTCCCGACCAGTGTTAGCTGGGGTCCCTCGTCTGCCATATTGTGCAAGTGGTAGACGGGACCGATCAGCCCATTCTTGTCGTATTTTGTTCTTGCTGGATGGCGGCCTTCTTTCGTTGTTGTTGAAACGGGAGAGACGCGGCGGACACTCCCCAAGATTCTTGGCGCGTGTTTTTGTGCGCGGCTGCGACCACCGACTTGTGAAGCCGAAGGGTACTCTAGGGGGTAGCCACAACAAGGCAAATGCAATCTGGTAAAATGTTTCTAGGATATAGAGAATAACTTGTACAATGAATATTTCGTGTTCTTGTTTCGATTGCATTGATAATGCTACTATGTGATGTCTATGTAAATTGTACAGGCGACCAGGCGGCCAGCGTCTGGGCCGAATAACGAATGGCTATAAAAGTACTAACGGTGCCTTGGATATTAAAAAGGCTCACCGTCCATATCAGACTGGATCATGTTCTTTAGATAGCTCAGCTCATCCATGAGCTCTTGCATGGTCTTTTTGCCCTGGGACGAGCCATCCCGAGATCGAGAACGGACCCTTTCCAGAGCCTCACGATGTTTCTGGCTTTCCCTTTCCGGCAGAATGATTGGAGAGCCATCCGGGCTTCGACGCGATAAAGAAAGTGCTTCGAGTGATTCAAGGGCGCCAAAGAGGGCTGCGTGGCGCTTCGGGTTACTCTCCACCTCATCCATCTGATCGATTCCCAAGCCCGAGCCTTGTAGACCAGGTGACGCTAGGGAGACCGCGAATTCGGGTAGAGACGCCTTCCATGGCGGGATTTCCCCAGAGGCGGAGTTCGGCGAGGAGGGCTTAGAGTGTACAGTGAGATGAGGCGTGTTGGGGTCGGTGTTGGTCATGGCGTCGTTGGGCTGGGACAGTTCTGGTGTTTTCCAGTCGTCCACGGCCGGGGACTCGTTAATTTCATGATTGTTGAATGTCGAGGTAGAGATCATGGACTCGGGAGAATTATCCTCATTCTCAGTCTCGGTGTCGGTGCTCCATTCGGAGAAACGGCTGCGCTCGGGCATGAACCGAGAATGAAGGGAGTCGGCTCCTGTCGTCGTCGTCAAGCTGGAGAAGTGGCTGCGTTGTACCTCCGCGTCCATGACCCTGTCGTGATCGTCGATTTCGCGTACGGCTTCGTCCATGACAGAAGAAGGGGTGTTGGGAAGCGTGGGCAGTCTCTTTTCATTGACGTCCTTTCCAGTCGGGGTCGTCTGATCGCTTGAATTGCTCGCAACAAATTCAAGGGCATCCTTGAGCGCACGGGTTTCATCGACCGTTCCAAGATTATTACCAGCAGCCGCGCCTCTCGGAAGGCTAGGCTTCCGCTGTTGAGGGCGCGTATCCACCTTCAGCAAGTTTCGAGCCGGAACAGCATCGCCGCCCTTTGCCTTCTGCGCGCGTCGGCTCTGGATTGTCGAGGGCTGGGAAACAGTCGTTGAAACAGGGACCGCCCCAGTGTTGGCGCTGATATCAGGCACCTTGCGGCGTTCGCCAAGGGATCCATCCTGTCGGAGAACATCGTTTACCGTTTTGGATCTTGGCAGAGGCGATGGTTGTCTGTGGCCGTCGAACTCATTGGCGGGCCGGAATGCAGCCAGAAGGCCCCGGGATCGTGGTGGAGAGGCAGAGCGAGCGACTTTCGAGTGGTACCGGCCGGCGCTGCCCGGCTGCGACGCGCTTCTCTGCACCATGCTCGGGTTTGGTGAGGTGCTATTGGAGTGCACAGCTGGGGGCTGATTGCGCAGTACAGTGGCAGTTTGCACGCGAGTCGAATTCTGGGTTGGCTGGGGTGGCTTTCGTGGATTCATGAATTTGTCTTCGGGGTTCATAGTGCGATAGTCGGCCTTTTGCGAGCTGCCGCTCCCTGAGCGGCCATGGGATCGGCTATCGGGTAAAACGATGGGGACATTCAGTACATTGACGGGCTGCCCTGGTAGTAGGGGGCATTTGGTTGTGACGGGCTCATTTTCATTGATGGATTCAATATCGTCATCCAGCAAATACTGTTTTTGTATGTTAATTTTATATTCTTGTTGACAAGGCATACAACCATACTCACATAATACCAGTACGTGACACCCATCTTCAGACCACCCGTACGCCATTGCGACTTGTTACCAGACGACCCTCCAGGGCCGTCACCCATGATATCCGTGAAGGTATGACATCCTTTCCAGTGACCAGGACCCACACGCTTGTCCCTTTCCATCACATATTGCCTCGTGAAATTGTCCCAAGATCCCAGCAGCTTGACCGATCGGGTCTCGGGGTTGGTGTTCAGTAGGAAAGTCATAAGGGTAGTCGATATCATCGCAGAGCTGCGATCGCTGGGAAAAAAGAAGGAGCGCGATATGATGCAGAGATCAGATCGCAACAAATGCAACGCAAAACAATGCTATGCGGGGGAAAGAAAGATGATATGGAACAATCAAAGACCAAGCAGACCCAGTATAGTACAACGCAAATGCAATGCAGAGAATGAAAACTGAAACGAAGGATTGGCAGGCAGGAATGTTCGACGGAAGGAAAGGAAAGAAAAGCGAAGAAAAGGAAACAAATTGAGAATCGCAAGATGTGCTGCGAAAGAAGCAAAGCGTCCAGTCGAATATATAAAGGTGCAGTCTTTCACGACCAGCCTGTAACAATAATGTAAACAAAGCTGTAAACAAAGCTGTTTCTATTATTACCGCGGGGGCGGCACGCAAGCACGCAGGTACAGCGTGTTCCTGTTTCAGGAGGAGCGATTGACAGCTCTAAGAATCAACCGGACGTTCGAGGGGCGTTTCGGGCAGCGCCGCAGAGACAACAGCCATGGCCCAGCCCAGGAAGGCAGCCCAGACGGGAAGATGTGACGCGGATGCTTCAGGAAGCGCGGGGAATTGGCAATTTCCCCAGCACACTGCAGGCTGACCGACAGAGCCAATGGGCGCGGGCACAGGCGAAGCGCTGGGTGTCCCTGCGTCTAGGGTCCGGCGCTTCGACCGGGGGTGTTTGGGAGGTGTTGGGTGGTTGGTGTTTTGCGCTGTTCCCAGCTGGAACTAGCTGTCCGTGGCGGTCGGATTTGAGGTTTTGCGAGATGTAGTACTGCGCGAGGCAAGAGAGGAGGTGCGCGAGGACGTTCGGAGACGAGCAGAGCTTTTTCTGCGGTGATGGGATCGGCGCTGCGGGGATTTGGTGATGACTTCAACGCCGATCGCGGGAAAATGTTGGATGGCCGTGGGTGGAGCTGCAGCGCCGGTAGGCTGATCGGAGCAGGTTATGCCTGGAAGTACGTTCAGGGCAGGCAGAGATATTTTGGCGAGGCGGTGGTGCGTCTGCAATGTGGTGCCGACAGCGAGCTCATATCATATAGCTTCAGCGGTGTTTGCTTTGGTCTGGCAGGGGCGAAAGGGGCAGATTGCCATCTACAGACGCGTGGGTGCGTTCCGTGGTTCGTCGATCCCCACGCTGCAAGGTACAAACTGCCCAGTTGGCCGTTTCAGCTTCTCAGCCTGGCTGCAACTGCTAGTCGCTGTGGATCAGGAGATTTCCCGACGCCATCGGGCTGCGCAGTCTCCGCCGTAGAACCCACCACCCAACCAGCTCACTCGTCCAGTCTGCAGCGCAAGGGCGCGCCTTCAAAGTGGTTTTCCCTGGTGCTTTTCAAGTGCCGATCAGCAGCGTGATTGGCAGCCCACCCAGGTTCAGCCAAGCAGTGGTCCACTTGGGGCTGGCAATGGCGGCAGATGATACGTCGGATTCGGGGTCGCCCATCTGCCGGCGACCTTAAGGCAGTCCCGAAAACAGTCCATAGGGTATATTGAGGCGAGATGAGAGGGAAGGCAATGCTACCATACAAGGCTAGTGGATGACCGGTCCAAACGGTGTCGAGCTGAGTTGCGCTGGGCAACTCGGATAAGGCCAAACTCCAACGCCTGTGAAGTCTGTACAAGAGAGAACAGGCTTGGACTAGCAGCAGTAGTGCTGGGGCGGCTCCATTTTGTGATTTCGTATTCGCGAGATAAGATTTATTTGCAGCAAGACCGGTCCACCTACGCTCTCTACAATAATGTGCCCTTGCGAGTGTATATCTCACTACTCTAGAGAATTCAAGCACGCAATATGTGAATGGAGAGAGACGTGCATTGACGTGGATGGACAATCGACACTATATCACCTGATACGGGTAGAGATGACGTCATACTCGACTCTGAGCCCAGAAGTGATTTTCCGTAGCATACAATTGTAGGAAAGTGGTATACATCGGATCCTACGGTCAGCTCCGGAAGAGTCGGTGAGTCTTCGGCGCAGGGTCGCTCCCTTAGTGCTAGTATAATGTAATGCCTAATGTAATGCTGGACTAAGCAGGGAGGCCTGGGCGCAATGGCCAGCAGGCGCCCAAAATTGGACGAGGATCTACCAATGTCGCAAGTGGCGGTGCAGACATGAATTTTGAAATCCCGGAAATAATGAACCCAATTCGCATTCCCATCGCCCTGCTACCGAAGGATCTAAGCGCCAGAAAAAGTCGGAAAAGAAAAGAATAAAAACATCAAAGAAGCGAAACCATAACTGCGTCAACGCATATAGTAAACTGTCGGGGTCAGACCTGTCGTCGATCATACTTCTTGTTCACAGCCCCAAGCAAACACTTCAAGATCCCCTCCGCATCTAGAGATCGCCCTCTCTTTCCCTTCCATGGCACTGTATCCACGATATCCCGAAGATGCTCATCCTTGCACCACCGGCCCAGGTCATCATCCAGTTCCTGCAGGTACCGCTGCACTCTCTGATCATCACCGATCTGGAAGAACTGAATGCCGACTTGCCACGGCAGCGCATTACACCGCGAGTGATCCAATGCCTTGGCAACCCGCACAATGACACTCTCCGCATCATCCGTGAACTCGCCATCGGTAATGGTAATGATATTAATTGGCTTCACGGCCATCAAGGGGTCTCGTAGGGACCCGTCCGCGTTCCGGTTCGCCTGCATCCGCTCCACGCGCGCGAGGTACGGCGTCAGGATCTCGAGGAGTCGTTTCCCGACCGGGGTCGAACCGCGCGGGTGGACACTATTGAAGATTTCTTGGACGTCGGCGGCAGTAGTGATATTGCTATAGGCGCCGGTAGTGTGACTGGTCGCCGCACGGCGGTGGTTCAAGAAGTAGATGTCAACCCCATCTGCATCGTACTGGGTGCAAATGGGCGCAATGGCTGCTATGGCTTCCTCGGCTTCGTGCCAGCGGGGTCCCATCATACTAGAGCTATCATCCACGAGGAAGATCGTGTCGAAGTCCTTCAGGAATGCGTAACGGGAGTCAGCATCGCCGCTGGAGGTGTGTGTGACCGCGTTGGCTTTCCAGTCTGGCGAGTCGTAGCCCGGTGGATCCCAGGCTGTCCTTCTGGAAGGGCGGACCATGGTGAAGAGTTTGTTATCACAGAATCGCGTGCGAGAGGGACTGTTTCCCATTGTGGAGGGTTCCGGGCTGATACTGGTGTCTTGGGTGGGTTGGCGTGGGCTATTGCGTCGAATAAAAGGGAAGGAGGACCCGAGTGATGAGGGTATGGACTTTTCTGGGACAGGCATGTTGAGGAATTATGATTTCTTCTGCTGGGTGCTTGATTGCTGTGTCTTCCACAGTCTGGGTCGGATGAGTGTTTATGACAGTATTATGACAGGAGTACAATAGAGAGTTGATGGGAAGATTTGAGGGTCAGGGAGTTTTTGAATGGAAGACTTAAGTGTTGTAGTAAACAAAGAGAGCCGAATAAAGGGGAACAACTCGTTTTTTATACTTTGAGTTGATATGTTTTCATCTATCTTAACGCTTCGCATCTCCTTCGAGCCTCCAGGCATGGATCGCCCGAAGGAAGCAAGGCTTTCTCAGCGGCTGTTGGCGGCTTCACACAGGTCGGGCGACATCGACGAGCCCCATCGCCCTACGATGGCCCGGCCAGATCCATGGTAGTTTGCACTGCTGCGCGGGGTCGCAACCACAGGGCCGAACTAACCTTTCACGAGGCAGAAACCGTTTCAGGACTTTTTGATTTGTGACAGGCTCGTGTTCTACCACTCCCTTGTCCTTCGCAAAGACTAGAGTAAGGCATTATGCAGTCACTGCCCGCCCCGTAACTCAAGCGTTTCTTTCCCGACAGCTACTCCCAGGTATGATTCAGGGGCTCCGCTTTCTTATGAACAAGTCAGCAGGGATCCACGGGGTGCACCACTTGGCTGCTGCTTACCAGTGTTGCGACAGGGCTGAGTCCGCTCAGCCCCCCACGCGGCGAAGGCGCAGCACAGACGGACATGCAGCCGCGCGACATCGAGTCACTACGATAGTAAGATGATGAGCTGCAGGGCATTGGCTGGCAGAGGAAGGAAGGCGATTTCATCATTGGTTCAGAGAGAGAAAATTAATTTATTCGCTAACTAACTACATGGTACCGGTCACTCTGTGTCATCTTATCATTATCCATGTCGTCCCATGTTCAAATCCGAGCCGAGCGCCTTGTGCAATCCCAATGCTTCCCAACTGCGCCCCACGATCCGTATGGACCAGTCGATGCGTAGTTACAGAGTTAAATAAAATTTGCGTGAGGGGTGTTCCAGGCATTCCAGAAGGGTCAGAAATCAGCCTCGGAGGCAGGGGCCTGCTCATAGGGCAGATCCAGCAGGGACACCGGCTGTTCCCTTGCCGAGCTTGCTATGGAGGCATGCTGGATATAGGGCACGTCATCTTCGCTCGGCGCAAAATGGAACATGCCTGGATCCAAGGCGATGATGTCCATCAGGGCCAGTGCCTGATCGATGCCCATCGCGTTTCCAATCATCCTGAGGCACCCAATCACCCACCGTCGAAGCGAGGAGGTGGGATGCTCGACCACCCCGGCTAGAAACAGTGGCCAGAGCAACATAAGTCCTCCAAGATAACTCTCGGGGGGCGGGCAGTTGGGCGACATTTCTTTCTGGTGTGCCCCCAAAATGTAAGGCACACTTCGGCAGATGTCGACTGCCAGACGTCGAATAGTCGAGCGCAAAGTTTTGCAGTGAACACGAAACTCATCTGATGGTGGATGACCCGAGGCCTCTGTGATCTTCCACATGCGAGAGAGAATCAACTCGCTGACAATGATGCGGGCGCAGCGATACTGATCCCATGTGTTGCAGGCCCAAAAGTTGGGGTATACATGGTACTGTTCGTCAAAGCTATCAATTCCGCGACATCGTTCTTGGAAGAGGAAGTCGTATGGCGACTTCGTGCGAGTTTCATAAGTGAAACCAGGTGGAAGTGCGGCCAGCCACGCAGTCAACTCGGCTTCGATACCCGAGGCTATCGAGACGATTTCGTGGTTGTCGGTGAGAGTTTTATCTTGGATGTCTGCTCGAAGGTTGGATAGTTTTCCGATGATAATGATGAGACGATTGCTGTGAGCTTCTCCCTGCCGTAGATGCATGGCATATTTGGTGCATTCTAGTAATGATTCCGGGACTCGACAGTCTCGTTGTATGCAACTAATGATCTGCAGACGGACATCATGTTAGAACAGCGACGGAGACGGGTATATAAGAAGGATACGGACGATTTGATATCGCAGATGCAGAAAAAGACGAAGGCCAGCTTCTGTCTTTAGTTGATCGGTGCCTCGCAGGTCGAGTAAGGCCGTGGCACCGGTAATATGATTTGTCCATAGTGCAATATCTTTCGGGGCCCGCGATGTGACAACCTACAAAGGCAAAAAGGGTTAGAGCTGAAAACCATTGGAGAAGATCTGCGTCGAGACTTACTTCATATATGGCGAGCAGCACGACAGCCCCCAAAGCTTGGTTGGTTTTGGCTTCCTCCACGTCCGCTAGGGCCGTGTTGAGGAGGTTTAAAGCATTGACATACTCCTTCCTCGCCACGTCCCGAAACGCAGTGATCCTTCTCACGCGGCAAAGCATTGCCGACGCCACGGCAGTCATACTAGCCCGCATCGCCTGGGAACCCACTGTCCCACCAGCCTGTGCCAAGAATTTGGTGACGAAATCACTCATCCAGAAGCTACCGGGAATAGCATTGGACTGCAGCAAGAAGCTGATAGCTTCCTCTTGCGTAGGCGCCGTGGGCTGCTGCACTTCCATCGGAATCTGCCAGGACTGTTGTATGAGAGTTCCATACAGTGGATCCGCATTGAAATCGAATAGGGCGCTAGTGTAGAGGTCTGCGGGAAGCTCAGGCTCAGAAGAGGTGTTCCCATCTGGGGAAGCAGTGCGAGGCGATCGACCCGGCGACCGTTTTTGTCTAGGCGCTGAAGAACTCGATGCACTGGAGCCCGCCACGGCTTTCTTGACCACTGATTTACTCTCGTCGCGAAACATCAGGGATAGCTGATCCCTGTAGCCGGGGCAGTCCCGCTTGGCCCGCACGCATTGCGAACAGGACGGCCGGGCTTGGTCGCAACGGATCTTCCTGGACCGGCAGTGGCCGCATCCTTTGCTCGGTTTGCCGCAGTACACCATGGTCGTTGCGACGCTGTCTGGCCGATATGTAAGGCTGAAGAGAGGGGGTGGTCATGTATTAAGGCGTCGGTAGAGGCCGACTGCACTGCCTCCGCCTGGCCGAACGGGCCCGTTGGGGTTAGGCTGCCATGATACCTTGATGCATCTACGTACAGATCGGGGGCTTTCCGACTGGAAAAAAAAGCAGGATGAGGCTCTGCAGCCAGTTATACTACTCCCTACTCTATCCCTACTTCAGTATTCGATATATCTATCCCCTCAAAGATTCTTTTTGTACTACAACTCCCAACACTTTGCGATCGACGCCCCGCTTATGTCATTCTCCTACACCCAATTAGGTATCTGGTCATGGAATTGCGCTAGTCTCACTCTGGATACCTCTGCGATGCACTGGGTTCGCTGATTGGCTGCAGCCACCAAAGCTTGGCTATGCAGATTTCTAGAATTCGACAATCTGCTTTCCTAGTTGGGCTCACCTCGAAAGATGTTAAATTTTCCTCCACACAGCCACGGATGGCTGTTATCAAAAGCAGTATGCAGGATGTCCCAAGAGACTATATAGCGAAGGGCGAAGATCACAACATAGTCTTTCAATTCATTCAATCCAATACATTGCATCTTTCCGACTGGACACTTTTCTATCCTCTCCAAAACTTCAACAAAATTGTAATATGCTCGACTTCCTGCAAAGAGAAGAACAGACACAACTCCGATCATGACCGTCACCTATCGCCATGGACTTTCGATCCTCGAACTGATCATCTACCTCCCTTCTTTCTTTGTCACTTGCTTTTTGACATACCGCCATGGCCTGCGCCGAAATAGCGGCTTCTTCTTTCTGGCAACATTCACCTTATCTCGCATTGTGGGAGCATGCTGCGATCTTGTCGCCATCGACCATTATACATTGGGCCTGTATATCGCCGCCGCGGTCTGCATGGCGATTGGACTGTCTCCTCTGATGCTTGCTCTATCCGGCCTCCTTTCTCGAGCGTAAGTCATCCCAACTCCACCTCTCAATTTTCCGGCCTAACCCCGCAAGTAGAAATCTATCCATCCAAAGAAAAACAGGCCAGGCCCCTCTCAACCAACTCATCTTTATCTTTTTCCGCCTCCTCACACTGGTCGCCATGGTCCTCAGTATCGTCGGGATCACAGCCAACATGAGCGCCGAGGGCCTCGCACACCCCGACATCAAAGTCAAGGTCGGCATGACCCTTTATCTTGTCGCAGCCGGAGTGTTGTGCCTGTTGCTCGCTTTCTTGGGCATGCACCAAGTATCTATGCAGCGCGGAGAAAAGCGAACAATTCTCGCAGTGGCTATCTCCACACCATTCCTGCTGGTCCGACTGATCTACGCTACACTAATTTGGTTCCTGCACGACTCTTCTTTCAGTATGATTGGTGGAAATGTAACCATCCAGCTGGTCATGTCTGTTTTGGAGGAATTTGCTATTGTGATTACTTGTATTGGCGTTGGGATTACCCTGCGGGTGGTCAGTAAGGAGAGCCGGGCGACGCAGGAGACTCATTTGGACGTGTACTCGCCCCAGCACAAGTCTTGAGTATTCATTAGAAACTTTCTGGATTTTATAGAGCGTTTGTTGCATATGCTTTCTTTTATTAGCGATGCTTTTCAAATTGTTCAAATACCTTACTATTACTACCAACTTTTTGTGTAACTATTCTAAAGATTACTTTCATCGTACCTCTCTTGCCTCAGACAACACTGATATTATGAGACATCTGATAGTATTTCAGACTGATATTCCGACTAGATGAGTAGAAAGGCAGATTCCTGCTCAGTGGACAGTCGTTGAGCTTGAGGTCGTTCCATTCACCTTGGGTCGCGAGGCACCAGTGTACAGAGTAGGTGAGTAGGCAGATAATCACTTGGGTGATTAGCTAGACGACTAGGTAGATTATCAGTGTTAGATGTCAGATCTATTAAGATATATGAGTATCCTATCAGCCGCTGTGGTCACATTTTATTGTTAGCTGAGACTGGGGTTGTAAGATGCATGTTAGTAATGACGTCTACGACAGCGGACTTTCTACGACTACTGTTTAGTTAATACAAACGCCCCAGGTTAGCAGATTCAGTCGTCGCTGACTTACCTTGGATACCAGAAAGCCATATGCGCGCCTTGCCTTGGCAGTCTTTTCATTCGCCAATTGCTTGCCCCAAACCATCAAAAGCAGGACAGAAGCAAGCAAGAAACAAGAGCAGGAACAACAGGCAAGGAAAGGAGATCCCAAAAGAAGAATAAATAACGGAAACCCAAGAGAAGCCCAAGTAGAAAACCAGGAGAAGTACCAAGGAGGAAACAAGACAGGCCAAGAAGCCAAACAAGAAGAGAGGACTTCATGATGGATCACCACCGCCATCGCGACCACGACCACGACCACGAAAACCAAGCCAGCAGAGCTGCTGCAGCCCGGCTGCTTACCCGGTCTGCCTCCAGCCAAGCCTGGCCTTGAGCCTGACCCGAATTCCCTTCGAGGGAATATGTGGGTACGGCGTTCTCTTAACACCGGTCTGGATCACGGCCCCCTCCCAGTAAGGGCGGTACATGCGGATCAAGCTCGGGGCCCAATCCGCACGAATTGCCTCGGGAGGCCACAGAGCATCGGGGCGGAGGGGCTTCCTCTTGATGGGCTTACCCGAGATCCGCAGGAACTGGCTGTATACCAGTGTGGGTGTTCTGGGGGAGGCAAACTCGGCCTCGCACTCGTCCTCTTCGATGATAATCGAGAGGCACACAATCTCTCTGCGTGCCTCGTTGGACGTGGGACGAGGGCCCTCGAGGGCCAGAGGTCGACTGGGAATGACGATTGGGAGCTCATCTCCCAGGGACGGAAGAATCACGGTGACTTTGGACGGGATCATGTTGTCCACGCCCTTGGGCAGCTCAACTTTCTCAAAAAGTTGGCTGGGTCGGCGACGGAGGGGAGGCGTCGCCAGACACTCGGAGGAGGTTTCAAGGCGCGTCTTTTCGAAGACCAGGCCTTGACGACGACGGAGGGAAGGAGTCGCCGGAGGGGTAGGAGGGAGAGAAGGAGGGGGAAAAGAAGCGCAGCCACAGTCAGGCAGCTCGATCTTATCCATATTGATGGGACTCAAAGAGGGCACAACGGGGAAATTCGGCGAGGCCACGAAAGGAGGACTCGAAGAGGTCACAACAGGAGCACAACGACGGGAGGTAGTAGGCATGGAGCCCCGAAGGGTCTTCCAGCCACGAGCGAAGAACTTCGAAAAGCGTCCCATTATGGTTTGAACGACGGGATAGGTAGCGATAGAAAGAGGTAAAAGGGTTGGAGGAAGAGGGAAGAATAGCAGATGGGTGCAGTATTCATACTGTTGCAGCCGGCGTACCGTGACAGTGAGTGCTCGTCCAGAACGCGTGCGAATGGCTCACAGTACGCCGCGGCAGTGAATTCTCACAACTCGACCCATCCCAAGCAGCAAAGGCCCAATACAACATTCACTATCTAACCCACCAGGCCCCGAGTGATTCCACGGGCAGCCACATGATACTCTACACTACGGTAGTCTAATGAAGTTATAATGAACGGTGTAGCAGATGATAGTGAGCACCATACGGTGGTAAAGTGAGTTATCCGGTGACATCCCAAGAGGAGAAGAGCGGCAGAATACGCCAAGTATTTCGATACACTCTGAACTAAAGATACCAACACTTGCGAATTGGCTGCGGCTTGGCCCTTCCCTGGCTGCTACTATCCACCGAGTGCGATTCTTGAACATCTATCACGCAAAGGCAGAAGCTCCCAAGCAAAACGAGACGCAGTGATCTACAGCATACAGATGGTCCGGGGGAACCATCTCATGGAACTGTTGAATCTAAGTTACGAGTGGGATTCCCGTCAAGGCTGCGGGTTGATCCGAGCAACACCACCACCAGCAGAGTACCCTAGCCAGCGCAAATTGAACTAACGATAGATTGATTCCTCGAAATACATTTAGCTCATTCTCAGATGGGCCACTTGCCATTACGCCCTTTTCTGCGGAGAGTCTACATTGGCCTGGAGCCCTCGCTTTCGTTTTCCAGTAGTGCGTCCACCGGACGAAGTTTCCACCTGCCTCATATATTCGCCACCGCTACTGTCGTCGTGCCATTCGCTGACCTCCCATTCTATTGACGTCGATTGATCATCACTCACACCTTTGCCTCGTCGAGCCCTCATCAGGCGTCCCAGACGACTACCTTCGACCATCTCTTCAAACCAAGGAATGCCGCCTAGCATACCCTCCCGGGTGCCGTGTCGGAAGTTCCGTGAAAGGTCCCCCGAACCACCGAAGGAGGGTACAACAACCGATGAGATGCCAGGTGGGGCAACAGCCGAGCCAGAAACTTCGTCTTGAATGTCGTCTTTGCCTTCGTTCTCGTCTTCATCATCAGACTCATCGTCGTCGAGGTCCGCGGGGAGAAGGTCGAGATCTTCGAGAAGCCGCTGGTCCTCTCCAAATAGACTACCAATCGCCACAGACATAAACTCCGCCTCGCCTCGGGGCTCTTCGGTCCAAAAGCTCAGCGGGGTTCCGCAGAAACCGCAAAACACACGCCGAGTTTGCGGTGCATGGGCCGGTGAAAAAGCACGACGGATCGAAGAATGTGTTTCGTCTGGGAAGAAAGATTCGGTGTGTGAAGAATACCAGTCAAGGGGCACGCGCAGCCATGCAGTGAGTGGGGTACCGTGGAATCGGCCTGGCGTTCATGGTAAGTACTTGCAGGACAAGGCGAGGGTCGCGGAATTATATACTTACGATTGTCTCGGCTGCTATCGAAGTAGACTTCGGCATGGTCGGTCACATCGTCAGGAATTGTAATCCTGTACTGGTTTCGACCGCAGGAGCATGATCCATGCAGTGGCTCGTGGGCCATGGTGGTATGGTTGTACGGGCAGCTGTTGGACCGGATGTGATTGACAGCTTGCGAGTCCAAGGCTCTGGGACTGGCCAGCACGGCGCGGGCTGGTTCGAAAAGCGATGGGTTGACGGATAAGACTGGATCGAGATAACTTCCCAATGGTCATCACCCCCATTTGAGAGGGAAAAGAAGAGAAAAAATAGCAAAGCAGGTGTGTGGCCGGTGGAGCCTCTCTATGACGTTTAAAGAGTGCCAAGGCCCTCCCAAGTTCTCCGCATGGCCTTATCAAATCGGCCCTATCGGTTCCCTTCCTAAACCTCGGGACCCTCCAACTCCGAACCCTCCCTCATACAACTGCGCATTCGCTTTGGGATCAACGTCAACTGCGTGTCCCGGGGTACTCTAAACTCTCCTTGTGCTATCGGTGTCTCCATTCTGTCCTTTGCGTCTTCCTTTGCTTGTCGCCCACCCGACTCCAGCTTCCAACATGAACCCCGACGGCGACGACGACCGCTCGTCTTCCACCCCGACCGCCGCGTCCAAATCAGTTTCCGGCCAGGAAAAAGAGAAGCCCCGTTTGACCGACCAGGAGAAGAAGAATAATCACATCGCCTCCGAGCAGAAGCGTCGTGCCGCGATCCGTGAGGGTTTCGACCGTCTGACTGAGCTGGTGCCTGGCTTGGAGGGGCAGGGCCGCAGCGAAAGCATTGTGCTGCAGAAGACCGTCGACTTCATCCACCTGAAGCTGCAGGAGCGTCACAACCTTATCGCCGAAATTGAGAACAAAGGTGGACGAGTTGATGATTCCTTCCGGCCCTCATAGGACGGCGCTCTTTTGCTGTGACTCTTCCACCACCCCCTCTTCGTCTCCTGGTGGTCATGTCTTGAGTCGATCCTGTGGAATGTGGTGTTCAGGATGTGTTGAGGGCCTGGCGACCACCTCTCTGACACGACAATGAATCATGCATCTCACGCAAGCCCATAAGAGTCTCTTCCGCTTCTTTGCAATTCTCGCACCGGTGAAACAATCTACGGCCGCTTTATTCGCCATAATTGATCTTCGTCATGCCACCCATGTCTGTTCGATCTACGAAACCCCGCAAATCCAACCAGCCCCCGCGGCCGCTGGCCGGTCCCGCGTGTCATATTCCGTTACCTGTTCATTGTGGGGGGTGTTTTTTCTTTCCTTTATCACATGTCTTATTTGTACATTTTCCAAATCTGTGTCGTCGAACTGTTCACCATACTGTACTTAACTTTGGCCGTGGCGGCGGCCGGGGCGTTTTAATGGTCGGCAATTTACAACACAATGGCTTCTCGCACACAATGCAACCTGTCTTTTTGGCAATCTGGAAATCCGGTGGACCTGGAGATCTCAGGGGGAGGCATTTTACTTGCCCTCTTCAACCGAGGACCGTCTGGGGAAATCACGTGTAGCCATCCGATTGGAGATCCAGACGACTACCTCGGCTCTCTTAGCCCCAAATGTACCAAAGCCGTTGAGACGATCGGAAACTCGGGGCTGCTGATTTGCTTTCAAGATTTGGGGCTGCAGAGGTACCCATATTCGGGCTACTCGATTGGTTCAGACAGTAGTACTCTAGGTTCGTGGCCGACGCTTCAATTGTACAGCACGAAGCGATCCTCGGTTACATGGGCGACCTTATTCTTGGGCCACTACCGAAAAGGACGAGGGTTTCGAATTTGTTCTTCTTTTTCATGTATTGATTGGGCTAGATGCAAGTAGTCAAGAATCTGTTTCTATACCGGTGGGGCATTCGTATCTCTCAGATCGATCGAATCAGGAGTATCGTGATCGAGCTGGTCTAGATCGCCTAGTCCAGTTAGTCAAGTTGTCGAATGTACGTCACCCTCAAGCTTACCTGGAGCATCAAAAGCAATTCGCAATAAACCCCCAATCTAAAACTGAATAGATTGCTAAAGATCAAATAAATCCAAATTGATCAATCGCAAAATGCAGACTCGTATAACAGCTACGCGCATCCACCAATGAAGAAATGAGTCGGTGGGGAACTGCGGCCGCCCATCCGCGTCACATCAAACCCACTTGAAACAACCAACCTTTGCTCCGAATCCTCAGACAAGAGCCCCCAACAGACTCAAATAATAGCCAAAATGTCCGACACAAAGGATCCCCTCCTCGCCCAAAACAATGAGCCCAACGATCCCCCGCCAGCCTACGACGCTCAATCAAAGCACGGCCGCGGGGCACCGCTCCCCCGCCCACCACCTCTCGCCCTCCCAGTGCTCAACGACCTCCGCTCCAGAAGGGTAATTCTGGCCTCACAATCGCCGCGCCGAAGACAAATTGTTTCCTTCCTGGGCCTTCCAAACATCGAAATCATCCCCTCCAACGCAGAAGAGAACCTCCCGAAAGAACTCGGCGCGTTCGAATACGTCCTCGCCACAGCAACTAAAAAGGCCCAGGCAGTGTACTCCCAAGAAGTGGATAATGAGGAAAAGGGCGAGCCGGCTCTCATTCTCGCGGCCGACACCGTCGTCGTCGATACGGTCAAGGGCACCATCCTCGAGAAACCCCGTTCAGAAGCCCATCATGTCTCCATGCTGCGGGCGCTGCGCGATGCGCGCGATCACAAGGTCTACACGGCTCTGGTAGCCATGGCCCCGTTGGCAAGTGCACGGCAGCCTGGGTATGCGATCGAGACGCATGTCGAAGAGACCGCTGTGCGATTTGACCCGGACTTGTCGGATGATTTGATTCTAGCTTATGTGCGGACACGCGAGGGCGCGGATAAGGCCGGTGGGTATGGATTACAGGGCTTAGGGTCGATTCTTGTGGAGAAGGTGGATGGTTCTTACGATAATGTCATTGGAATGCCGCTTAAGGCGACGTTGGGGATCATTGAGGCTGTTATGAAGAAGGCCGATGACGAAGATCGGTTGGAGGGGGATCCACTTCTTGAGGTGGATGAGGATGAGCTGGAGTAAGCTGTTGGAAGTCAGAATTTATCTTACTAGTTACACTGCGCTGCGCTGAGCTATACGTCTGTTTCTCTGGATAGATCAATATACCTTGGTTTACGGGATAGACACGAGATAATGGAAACTGCTGGTACAGATTGTGATATTTCCCTTGGGAAATTAGATATTTGGCACCGAGACAAGCTCAGGCAGAGACAAATGAGAAAAACTGAGCGACATATACATAGGCGAAACGCCTGAACCAGAGACTAAAGAAACACAAACACCCTTTTCAAATGATACCTGCGCTATGCGTTCCAGATCCGGCGCAGGGCCTCGGTGATACCGACGTCGTTGGTCTCGAACTCGTACAGACCGACAGCGGTGGTCAGGGTGAAGCCGCGCAGGAGCCACACGCAGAGGGCGTGGAACTTGGGCACACGCTGGGGGCGGAAATAATCGATGATGGCGGCCCTGGTAGACAAATTAGTGACTGTAGAGTGCACCGGAAAACCGAATGGATTTCTTACTGGAATCCGACGTGGGAGTGGGCAACCAGGAGGGAGCAGAGGACGGCGTCCATGACAGGGTTGAGGGAGCCGGCGGCGAAAGGAGCGATGGAGAGGGGGATCAGACCGACGCAGACAGCGCTGGGTTGTGTTAGTATTCGTACCATCCCAATTCTAACCCCGCAGGTTCGGAGCCAACGCATTTGTTCGGGAGATATGACGAACCGCTCAAAAGTCCAGTGGTAGCTGCCCTCGGAAGGGTGAGGCTTGGGAACGGGAACGGGCTCGTTCACTATTGCGGCAGGTTAGCATGCATTCAATGACGAACCTGCACCTTGTCCATCGCATATCTTGCCCATGATCCATAATTCGGCGTCTGGAATTGGTATATGCCGGTTCCTGGGCTTGAAATGCAAGGGCAGAGGTGGGACAGGATTGAGGTTCGGGTTCGATTCAGGTCGTTAAAACGTACTGGTTCCGTTAAGGGTCTCTGCGTGACAGATTAAGCGTTAGCCAACACACCCATCCCACCGGATAAGCCGCCCAGCACACAGGATCGAAATTCCACCCATCCTATGTCCTCAGGAGGCATCCAGGAGTCTCAACTTACGCGGCAACGGGGGCAGGATCTGCTTCCGGGCCGAGGCGTGGAAGGCGACGGCCTGCGACACTCCGACATTCTGGCGCAGAATGGGCGACCGAGTGGTCGCAAGAGTCTGCCGGAGCAGCGACGGGCGCGCGAATGAGGCCATTGTGACGAGGGGGAGTGGTAAGGATCGAAGTGTTCGCTCGCACAAGGATGAAGTTGGCAACCTCGGGAGTCCCGATCGGTATGTCATCCCAGTTCTCGGTCAGGTGATTGGTCAACGGCTGCTTGGGGGTTTCCGCCCAGCCGAAATTTGCCGATGCCCGTGCTGGCTGATTCCTTAGCCCGCACGTCGACACGGCCTTGGCACTGGCAAACCTGGGGTTTGCCAGCATAACAATCTACCTACTCTAGAGTGTACCAGTTGTGGATAGGTACACCAATCTGGCTCAGCATCTCATCCCAGCCAAACAGGCTTATTTGAGACCGCAAAACTAATCAGATACGCCCCTTCCTGCGATCATTTACTCCAGCGTACTATATATATTTCAGACATTACGGAAAAACGAACTCATCACGAGCTGAAGAAACGTGGAAGCATACTATTAATCATGATCTAATTGAAAATTACTCAACAATCAAGCGATATTCAAAACACTACATCAAGGTACCGGTTGCACCTCAGGAAATTTGAACCAACATTACACCGGTGTAGAAGCATTGTAATACATGTAGTGTACAGTGCGTGGTACAGTGATGTGAGATACAGTGCACTAGTAGTGTACATTAGGTGCCGGTGCCTGGGCGCTACCATCGGCAACTGATTTGGTACTAAGTGCTTGGTTGATGTATGAGGATACTGAATTATATTATTGCGGATAATAGCTAGCTATTCTCGAATATTGCATCCGGCTATACCTAGCCATCCCGCAGTCCTCCGTGTTGCGCAGAATCATAGCGGGCATCTCGTCATTGCAATTCCAATTTTCAAACGTTTCGCTTTCGTGTTGTCTTTGGTGGTCAAAAGAAAATAACACCCATCCCAATGCTATACGTAAACTAGAACTTGAGCACAGCCTTGCCCTTGTTCTTGCCGTAGAAGATGCCGACCAGACCCTCGGCAGCGTTGTCCATGCCGACAGTCTCGTGGATCAGGACCTTGAAAGAGCCCTCCTTGATCCACTTCTGCACACGCTCCTGGTGCTCCTTGGTGTAGACGTCGCCCATACCGGGGTCACCGACAATGAAGCCGCGCATGGTGATGCGCTTCACGAGAACCTGGTGGATGTTCTTGATGGGGTATGGGGCAGAGTTGTACTGCGAAATCAGACCGCAGACGACAACACGACCGAAGTTCTTCATGGCATCGAGAGCAGCCTCGAGGTGCTCACCACCGACGTTCTCGTAGTAGATGTCCAGACCCTCGGGGGCAAGACGCGCCAGGGCATCGGCGGGCTTTTCGTTCTTGTAGTTGAAGCCACCGTCGAAGCCAAGCTCCTTGGTGATGAACTCGAGCTTGTCATCCGAGCCGACGGATCCAATCACACGCAGACCCTCGTGCTTGGCGAGCTGACCGACAATCTGACCGACGGCACCACTAGCGGCGGAGACGAAGATGGTCTCGCCCTTCTTGGGCTTACCGATCTCGTACAGAGAGGAGTACGCAGTCAGACCTGGCATGCCCAGGGCACCCAGGAAGACACGGATATCCTCAATGCCGAGGGGGTTATCCAGCTTGCGGATGCGGGCAAGGTTGGCGTTGTCCAGAGCGATGTACTCCTGGATAGCGACGTGGCCGATGACAAGGTCGCCCTCCTTGTAGTTGGCGTTGTTGGAGCGGATCACCTTGGCAATGCTGGCACTCTCGATGGGCTTGTTGATCTCGAAGGCGGGGGCGTAGGACTTGACCTCGGCAGGGCGCATGCGACCACGCATGTACGGGTCGTAGCTGGTGTACAGAGACTGCAGGACGACGCCATTGTCCGGAGCGGCAACGCTGGAATCGTAGGTGGCGGCCTCAACGGTGAGATCCTGACCGGGGACGGGGTATCCCTGGGGGATCTTCTTGAAGACGAGAGCTTTGTTGGCCATGACGTAAATCGTACCGGTGGGGGAATTGGAGATCGTGAAGAGGGAGAAGGTGGTTGTGAAATGGATTTGACACCTTGCTGGCCGTGCTACCGGTGCTTTTATAGGAAATGCAAAGCAGGTTGCTCAAGCGGGGCAGGGAAGGGACCGAGGCACTGATTCATTTTCATCATTAGAAAGCAAAGTCGCCGCTTGCCGATGGGTCCCGGAGAAGCTTCTCGAGAAGGTTATTGTAGTAGTGCGCTACCTTGCAGTTTCAAGGTGCTGACGGACCCACCCGTTTGGATCCGGTTGCATAAATCGAGCACTACAATTTTCATAACATTGATCTAGATACTTTTGGGGGAGTAGTTATTGTGCATGCTACTCTGAAAGGATCTTTCACAACGAGGGGGCAACAGCTCTGCAAAAGTTCGCCCGGGGTGGAGTCCACCTGCTGTGGAGCTCGGCGGAACTGAAGAAGAAACTGGCCGACGGGCGACCGCCATTCCGGGCAAGAAAACCGGCGGCACAAGAAGACATCAATGCGCAAATGAATAATCGAGAATGTTGGGCTTGATTTCTCAGCACGGAGGTGGTTACCGCATGCGGCGCTGCGGGGAATCGCGCCAAATCGCAGCACTTAATCTCGTTTTCCGATGCAATGGCTGCAATCGCGGACGGTTATTGGTTCTCAACCGCCGCTTTCGAGATACCTCTAGGGACCCCGTCTAGGATATTGATTTTATGCATCCTTGTTACCGCTTGTTAGCGGCAGGGGTGGATGCACATACAACAGTACGTCCTAGTAGTATTGCAAGAATCTGCGTTTGTTACTTGAATTGTCTCATAATGGTCGGCCATGAGTTCATATCAATTAAACTTTCTATGCGTTGCCCAAAGCAGGCTCGAGGTATCAAATGTCATCACCAAAGCTATTTATTCATAAGACAAGCATTGCCCTTCTTAGGCCGTGCCGGCCAACGCACCAGATGCCTTCGAGATGAAGTAGTCCCGGCCCTTGATCATCTTGACCATGAAGCTGAAGGGAACCATGCCAAACACCTGTCCAGTGCCACCGGATTCACCCACAGGCACCACCATCATGACGTTCTCGCCTTGGTCATACGACTTGCGGTCGCCCTTGCCTGTAATGTCGACCTTGAGGTTGTTGGATGCAATCTTGGCCTGCTCCATTGCCTTGAATGACAGGCGCATGGAGTTGTTGGTGATGTCGCCGGCAGCATAGATGCCCTCAACAGACGAGACGCGCAACTCCTTGTCAACCTTAACCCAGCCATCCTGGTCGAGCAGATCCGCGGGGATGAAGCTGTTGTTGGGCAGAGCGCCTGTCGTAGGGATGTAGAGATCGGCGGAGATCTTCTCGCCGTTGCTAAGAGAAACAGTCCAGGCCTTGGAGCTACCCTCACCAGACACCTCAACACCGCTCACACGGGTTGAGTTGAGAACCTTGATCTTCTTCTGCCTCAGCAGCTTTTCGGCATTGGCGCTGGCAGATGGCTTGAGCATCGAGAGCACGCGATCTGTCGCGGATACCAAAGTGATGGAAATATTGTTGCCTCTCTGCTCAGCTGCCTCCGCGATCTCACCGGCTACTTCGACACCGATGGGTCCCGCACCACCAATAACGATCTCCTTGGCGCCAGAGATCTGTTGCTGGGACGCCTCGATGACATCCTGAATATCATCGTGATTGGACGGCTTGAAAGGGATCAAAGAGCCAGTGACAGAGCCATTCGATGCAGCCGTAGTGCTTCCGGAGGCGATGACAAGGTAATCGTATGTAACCGTTCTGGCGTCGCCGGCATTGGGGGTCACGGCCACGGACTTGGAAGCGGTGTCGATGCCGGTCGCAGTGCCGGCAATGAATTCGAATGAATCACTTGAATACTTGGCAAAGGCTTCTTTGATAGGAAGCAGGTACTGGTTGGATGGGAAGGCCTTTGGCTTGGCGACGATGCGAGGTGCAGCAATGTTCCAGTAGAAAGAAGTCGATGGGTTGATGAGAACCACCTTGACGTTGGGGACAGACCCGTTTAGCAGCGAGTGAGCCACATGCAGGCCAGTGTAAGAGGCGCCGATAACGGCAATAGTAGTGGGAGCCATGGCGGAGACGCGATGGTGGGTATCAGTCAAGACTGCGGAAATGCAGACTGTTAAATATCAAGACTGGGGAACGTAGCAGCTTTTATAATGCCGGCCTGCCCAATGCATTCCCGCCCCCATGTAAGCCTTGCAGGCCTCGTCGCAATCCTCCTGTACATTACTACTAGCAGCCAGTACCGAGTCGGGTAATCGGTATGAATCCGACGAATTCCATGGACTGCACTTACCATTAAACCTTGTTAGTTTGTCAGCCTCTACATACAAATTTGTGTGGCTTAGCAATCCTCTGCTTCCCACGCACCAAAGGCACAGTCCGAGTCTATTTCCGCTTACTCAGCACAGGTCGGGGTCCCAATGTGTCTGCCGACGAAATGTATGGCTGACTCGTGAATTTTGACAGTTTGACCCGAAGGTCGGCCCGGAACAGATGAAGCTCCGAGAAAGACATATACTAGTCACTCGTATATGCCATATCTTCCATTTGAGGTCAAACTGAAAGAATCAACTACCTAGTATTAGACACAATGGTCTCGATGACTTATGGGTCCGAGAAATAAGGCACCAAGGCATACAATTGTAAGGCCTCATGTCGGGGGCAAAAGGGTTATCGATAAGGATCATGTGACCGAGATTTTGATTTTGCGATTTCTGGCGCGCCCATCGACGGGAGTCTTCAGTTTCTTCTATTTTTTCCATTTTGTTAATCATGTTTGGTGTTGTTCGTCGTTTTGGTGCCTCTCAGGCCCTGCGGGTCGTGGCGCCGCGCTCCACGCCTGCGCGATGGACTCCCCAGTTGCTGAAATGGCAACCTTCGACGATTCGGTCTCCTGCCATCGGCCGATCCTTCCAGACTTTCCCTGCGCTGCGTGAGGCTGCTGCCGCTGCCAAGGCGGAGACCGACGATGTGTCGCAGCAAGATCTCATCACTGAATTCACGGACCTGCAAAAGTCTGGACTGATTGATCAGAAGATCATTCAGAACATCACTCACCCCAATCGCATGGGTCTGAAGACTATGACCGACGTTCAGAGCCAGACCATCAATCAGATGCTTCAGGGCGATGATATGTGAGCATCCGGAATGACCCGATAAGCATCTATCATCCCATTTCTAACGCTGACTCTCTTCTAGTCTCGGCCAGGCAAAGACCGGAACCGGCAAAACACTCGCCTTCCTTGTCCCGACGATGCAAAATATCCTCAGCGACCCCACCTTCACCAGGGCCCGCGTAGGACGCTATCGCAATGGAAACCAAGCCGGTGCAGACGACATCCGTGCTCTCGTCATTTCGCCTACCCGCGAGCTCGCCGAGCAGATCGCCGCCGAGGCGATGAAAGTCTCCGCCAATACTGGCCTGATCGTACAAACCGCTGTTGGTGGTACGCAGAAGAGATTCGGCTTGCAGAAGATTCAACGTGATGGCTGCCACCTGTTGGTTGGAACACCCGGTCGTCTCAAGGACATTTTCTCTGACCGGAGAAATGGCGTCTCGGCCCCTAAGTTGAATACTTTGATTCTGGATGAGGCCGATCGTCTCCTGGACCAAGGTTTTGCGGCTGAAATTCAAGAGATTATGGCCCTTCTTCCTGACCCATACAAGGTGGACCGCCAAACTCTCATGCTTTCAGCTACTGTTCCCCGGGAAGTGATGGCCATGGTGAAGCGAACGATGAAGCCGGACTTCAAGTTCATAAAGACGATTCGTGAGGATGAGGCACCGACTCACCTCCGGGTCCCCCAGAAGGCTGTCTTCATGTCAGGTCTTGAAAACGCCATCCCTACCGTCCTGGATATTGCCAAGGAGTACCAAGCTCGTCAAGTGCAGGACGAGAACTTGCGCCCATTCAAGGCTATCGTTTACTTCAACTCGACCGCCGCGGTTTCGCTTGCTGCCAATGTCTTCTCTGACCTTCAAACCTCATTCGAGGACCGCAGGTCTCCTCTGGGTCGTATGCAGATGATTGAAATTCACTCGAGGCTCACCCAGGCCCAGCGCACTTACAGTGCCAATGGCTTCCGCAAGGCTAGGGAGGCCATCCTCTTCTCCTCTGATGTGACTGCCCGTGGTATGGATTTTCCCGATGTCACCCATGTCATCCAAGTGGGTATCCCTCGCGACGCTGAGACCTACATCCACCGTCTTGGGCGTACCGCACGTGCGAACAAGACCGGCGAGGGCTGGCTGCTCGTTCACGACGGCGAAAGCGACTACTACCGAAAGATGCTCGGTCAAATCCCCATTCAAACCGATTCCACTTCTTTCCCCGTCGCCCGGGAAGACGTGTCCGCGGGCCTCACTCCCGGTAGCTCCATTGCCCAGGTTAAAGGAGCCATGGCTGAGATTTCGCCCGTCACCCGTGAAGCCGCTTGGCGTGCGATGCTTGGTGACGCCGTTAGGAACTTCTCCAACCGCCGCGAAGCTGTTTTCTCCTTGAACCAAATGGCTACCCAGGGATTTGCCCTGGAGGAGCCTCCTACCATCAGCCCCCTCACTGCGAAGAACCTGGGTCTGGACAGAGTGAGAAACATCAACGTTGCTGGAGGCGGCCGCCGCTTTGATGGACCCGGCCGTGACCATGACCGCAACTTTGGCCGCAGCCCTGCCCGTGGTCGTGGTGGCTTCGATCGTCGAGGAGGCGGCCATGGTGGTTTTAATGACCGTCGTCCCAGCTCCCGCAAGAACTGGGGAGACGTGGAGGGTGGGTTTAATGATGATATCGAAAGCACCTTTGACCGTCCCTTCAAGCGCGGCAACCGCCGCTCCTCTTACGGGCGTCGTGATGACTACTTCTAGACCTGACACGGCTTGTCTCACACCTATCTAGCAGGCGCTAGATGGATCATGTGTCTCGACGACACAAGAAAATCGATAGAGTACCATCGTTGCATTGGGCGGCGTTTCTTTGTCTTTTGGCTTGACGTCTTGTACAATATCTATTCTGTTTCTACTACACAGCTCTACTTCTCATCTCTTGTCTTATTTTCATGTGAATGGATATTTAATATCAAAATACTCTCCATGATCATCTCTATTCTCATTTATCTCTTTGGTCGTTGGCTTTTGAATGTATAGTATGACTTGACTGTGTACAAGAGGAGGGAGGGTATTGTGTAATAGATGATCATCAAGATGTCTCTGATATTTGACTAATATGATCCACCTAGGTTCCACTTGCTCCACAACTTCAAAGCGCATTATTATATCATGAAAGCCTGCCTAGTTAGTGTGATTTACCTCGGCGTACATTTTGAATACAGAAAAAAAAAACATAGCGAACTGTGAAACGTCTAGTATGTTCATTGGGGAATAATAACACCTCGACAGGAATTGAAAGATGGAAAACGTATGGTTCAATAACATACCCCAATATTTTGCAGTAACCAAATAAAGCATAACACAAAGAACTCCCATATCAAAAGGGGAGATACTTACAAGGAATAGTCCTTCAAATCAACACCACACTCATGTTCCCGCACATCTATTCGCGGGCAATCATGTGTTCCCGAGCAGGGCCGGTACCGATCCACTTGACAGGAACACCACCGATTTCGCGCTCGATGAACTCGATGTAAGCGCGGGCATTGGGAGGCAGATCCTCATAGCGGGTGACACCCATGGTGTTGGTCTTCCAGCCGGGAAGGGTGACATACTCAACCTGGATCTTCTCGGCGACATTGGGGTCGGCGGGGAAAGAGCAAGTGGTACGCTTACCGCAGGGCAGGACGTACGCAACACCGACCTTGATCTCATCAAAGTCATCCAGGACATCGAGCTTGGTGAGGTTCAGCGCGGTGTAGTGGTTAATAGCGTGGGAGTAGCGGGCGAGAACCAGGTCGAGCCAGCCACAACGACGGCGACGGCCAGTGGTCACGCCGAACTCACGGCCAACGCTCTGCAGCTTCTCGCCGTCGGCGTTGAGCTGCTCGCTAGGGAAGGGACCGGAGCCCACACGGGTGGTGTACGCCTTCAGGACACCGATAACCGACTTGATGCTGCTCGGGTTGAGGGCGAGCGCTTGCACGGCACCGCCCAGGCCGGTGGAGGAGGAGGTGACGAAGGGGTATGTGCCGTGGTCGAGGTCCAGCATGAGAGCGTTGGCACCCTCGACAAGGGTGTTGGGGGAGTTTTTGTGCTCTTGCAGGAACTCGAGTTGGTCGACGATAAAGGGCTTCAGCTTGGCGCGGTATTCCTGAACGTTCATAAACATGTTAGGAAACAGTTTTACTTAACTGCGAGGGACCCCAGACCGGGGTAATTCCCTTCCCGACGACGTACCTTGAAGCGGGCAATCTCCTCCTCAACATCATAGTTGATGTCGCCGAAACGAGCGCGGTACGCAGTGTCAAGTGTGCGCAGCTTACGCTCGAATGTAGCCTCATCCAGAACCTCGCCAACACGCACACCACGGCGCGCGGCCTTGTCACTGTAGCAGGGTCCAATACCCTTACCAGTGGTGCCGACCTTGCGACCACCGAGACCGGCCTCCTCCAGACCATCGACAACGGAGTGCAGATCGAAGCAGACGTGCGCGCGGTCGGAGATGAAGATGCGCTTGCCGGCAGAGGTCAAGCCCTTAGTCTCAAGCTGAGCGAGTTCCTTGAAGAAGCTGGGGACGTGGAAGACGGTGCCGGCGCCGATCAGGTTGATACATGAGGGCGAGACCAGACCGGAGGGCAGGATGTGGAAATCGTAGGTGACGTTCTCGTGGACGATGGTGTGCCCGGCGTCTGGGGGGCACGCGGGTTAGTATCTTGGGAAAAATTCCCGGCATTTTCTCTGAGTCAAATTGGAGGATAATGAACGTACTGTGACCACCAGCGGCACGGCAGCAGAGAGTCGCCTGCTGCGACAGCATGTCGGTAATCTTCCCCTTTCCTGTTCATGATTATTCGCAATCAGTGCTGTTCCCCCATCGACACTCCCAGCATCCGGATCCCAGTCTCGTCGGACACGTCCGCTTGTCGACAGCTGGAGAACGCACCTTCATCACCCCATTGACTTCCTAAAACAATCGAGACCATGGTGGCTGTTGTGTCGTTCCAATCGCAATGCTCAGATGAGTTGTTGATTGGCGATCGGGTCAATTGCAATCAATTGCGTTGCTAGTGGCGGGGAATTGGAAAGGAAGAGAAGTACGTCCGGCTTCGGATGGCGGGGCAAAGTGTTCTGGCGCGGGTCAGTGGTTCTCCTCGGTGTAGCATTTTGGGCGGCCCCATTTTCCCTGTGCATGGTTCGTGAGCGTGGGAACATACCGATACTCAACGGAGATTCAAAGAGCAGAGATCAGAAACCTCCGCAGATCCAATTGACTTCGGCCACGCCCGTGGTGACTCACGAGGGGCCGCTCGGTATTTTTTTTCGACGTATTTCTGGTATCGCCGGTACGCGGGGCTTTCTGCCTCAGGCTGTAAGGCTGCTAGTAAGGCACCAAGGCGCCTAGGGCAAGGGTTCCAAACCACGTACAAACTACAACACGCTGTATTGTAGGCAAGAGTTCTTGAATGTCAAATCTTCATACTTTGGTGGAAATAGTAATCCCGAAGTTACATTGTAAAACGCAAATACCCAGGGTATGCACATAAAACACCTTGCCGACACGTAAAAGAGCGGCGAGAAACTCCCGGCATTCTACTCATACATGCCCACCCAACGCCGACAGGCCCAGAGGTCATTCGTCGTAGAATTATTAAGACAAGAAAAATCGGAGTCGTGAAACATCTCACACAACCTTGCCCCCATTCCGGATCCACTCCCGAAGTCTGCCGAGACTCACAATGCTTTCACGATGCATCTCGCAGGCTACCTCCCAGTGCTTGCGCACCTGGATATCCTCTTCGACACTGCGCAAATAGGCGCTGAACCCGCCATTCCGACTTCCGGGCACAAGGTCATCGCTTTCAGAGGCGTCTGTGTCTGTGCGAGACGTATTTCTGTTCTCGGGTCCATCGTCATCGCCTCCGTTCACTCGGAGACGGGATGTGTCGCCCACGGCACTCATCCAGCCCGGTGCGAGGCCTGTCTCGATGGCTTCTTGTCGGGTGTTGAAGTGTAGTAGCATGCGACGGTTGAATGCGTTCCACTCGTGCATGTACGTACCCATGGTGGAAACATAGTAGTTCCACTGATCACGACGGAGAATAAACTGCTGAGACCCTGGCTGAGCGGGCTCAATTTCGGGTACGCGGGGCCGCTTCGGCGGATTAGGCAGCTTGAGTTCCCGGGGGCGAGTGTCACGCCTTGAGGTTGTCTGTTGCTTTGGCCTCGATTCGAATGGCAACGTAGCAAAGACATCATCCAGATTCTCAATGCCGCCGCTATTCGTGCTGGTGAATGGCGCGGTGTTCCGTAGGTTGTCGAGGTTAAAGAGGGGTGTCCGGGTCTCGGTCTTGGATGTGCCATTATCTGCTCGTGGTGCCTGCGGTTCCTTTGGCGCCGCAGGGGTATCTTTCGGAGCATGGGTGTTCAAATCAGGATAGCTGGTGTTGGCTGACCCTGGTGCGCTAGCAGATCCATGGTCCGAGGCGGCGGGATTTGGGCGCACCGATGGCACCTCCTCATCAAGATCCATAGCCTCAGGCTCTGCGTCAGCCTGAGCAGCTTGTGGTTGAGCATACTGTGGAGGGATCGTGCCATTGATCGTATCTCGGCTCTCTTCGGCTTCAGTTGCCACGCTTGCAGGCTGAGGACCACTCCTCGCTTTAGCCCCCGATCTGGCTTGCTTTTTAGGGCTGCGCGAAGGAGGAGTATTGCTCGATGGCCGAGTTTTGTTATCATCAGATACATTCCATGTCATATCTCGAAGTTGCTCTTTCCACTGATCGGCCGAAAATTTTGCCTGCGCAAATGGTGTTGGCGCCTGCTGTGGCTGCGGTTGGGGTTGAGAGTGGGTTCCACGTCCATTAGCAGGTGAAGATAAACCGTTTGTTGCTGCCGATTGAGTCGAGTCCGTGCGGTTCGTCGTTCGGCCCCGGGGACGAGTGAACGAGTTCCAATTGCTAAAGACGTCTGGTTTATCTTTTGCTTCTTTTCTCGCATTCGCGCCGAGGAAATCGAACTCGGCAAAATGTTGCTTCCAATCTTCTTCCGAAAATTTCTTGTGCAAGTTACTGGAACTATGACGACCAAAGGACGCATAAGACGGTTGTTTGTTCTCAGCAGATTCCGGTCTGAGCCCCGGGGGGGATCATCAGTAAACTTTCGTTTTGGGAAATGGAATTGTAGTTGATATTGTCTGCCTCAGAGGGTGGTACGTACCGAGGAATAGATCCATTAAACTGAGCTTGGCCTTTCGAGAATGCTGCACTATCTGAATTATGTCCTTCACACTGCAGTCAGTATCACAATTAAAACATCAGATCGTCAATTTTTTCTTCAATCTTTTCCCACAATCTTTTTGGGGAGAAACTTGAGGAGAAACTTGAGCGTCTGTGTTTGGTCGAGGATCTCTTACCTGTTCCAGAGCTGGAATCACCTTGTTCATAGAAATCGGACGGCTTCTTGTTGCGTCCCAGTCGACTCTTAGGCACGGCCTTGGGCTTCTGTGTACGTGTTGGGGGTGGAAAGAATTCCTCCTCGCTGTCGTCCCCATCACTCGAAGTTTCATCGGCGGAATAGGCTCGTTCACGACGACCCTTGGGGCTGGCACTGCGGTGCCGCTCTCGGTGAGAAGGAATGGGGCTTGGGGGATTTGTGCGCGAGTTAGAGGTCGGGTATCCTCCAGAAGGAGTACGCATGGTGGATGACCGTCCCAGTCTGGAGCTATTGAAAAACGTCTTCTCGCCACCGGATGTTGCATAGCGGCTGCTGGTACGTGAAAATTCGGGTCTTGGCTCAAAATCGTGCAGATCTTCAGAAGGGTCGACGTTGGATGGTTTCTTGGCCGTAGGTGGCGGCGCAGACTCGAAATACGCACTGCTTGGTCGTTCGCTTCGACTAGAGCTGGTGTATGCCGAAGTATTCCGGGCCATGGGCTCGTCACCTCCAGCAGTTCCGGGTGCAAACCCTGTTCTCTTCTTGGGAGAATGGGGGTTCGAGGAAGGGTTTTGAGTTCTAAAACTCTCCTGGTAGCGCTCATACGCGGACTTGGGGCGTGGATTGCCAAAAGGCTGGTTCTGTTGACGAGGCGTTCCTCCGGGAGTCGAGTGGCCTGTGCTAGGGTCGAATTGTCGCCAGCCTGAAGAGGCACCGGCATTGGCATTGGCACTGCCCCTCATGCCCGAGAATCCTCTGAACGCATCCGCTCTCGTCTGTGCATCGTCTTGTGGCGTATGCCATGATTGTTGTCCTGCACGTGCATGCGCCGCATATCGCGACGCACCTGCGGATGGTCCTTTCGGAGTAGATGTAGGTTGAGGCTTTGTGAAAGGAGGTGGTGCCTTCGTGAACGGGGGTCTTGGAGGTTCGTATGCACCAGCAGGCTGAGGCTTCCGCGCGGTATTTGTCTTCGGGGCTGTAGGGAATTTGCCGAAGCCTGCGCGCAATCGATCCGTATCGTATTTAAGGCGAGTATGAGGATCGCTCAGAATCTCATGGGCAGCTTGAATGGCTTGGAATTTGGCATTGAACTCGGTCTCCCTACCTGGGTTCCTGTCAGGGTGGTACTTGAGCGCTGTGCGGGCACTCGTGTCAGCGATAATCTCCATGCGCAATGTGCCAGGGCTCTTCTAAACACACCGAGTTTGCGGAATTGTCTTTTGATCTCCTCTGCTTCGGCGTTGGGGGGAACCTGCAGGTCCGCATAATAATCCCGTCGCACATCGGATTTCACCATCTTGATCGCTGTGTTGTGGCGATATTAAGAAGGCGTAGAATGGTCAAAAGGTCATCATAAACGGCCGTATCAAGCGTGGGAGCCTCCGCGCATATCCAGTGAAGAAGAGTTGTAGAGATTTAGTAGGTCAACGCAAGTCGCATTTAGCGCAGATCAAACGACAGTGTGGACGGGAGGAAACGAAGGTGACGACCGAGACCGCTATCTTTGGCAACTTAATCTCACCAGACGACAGTGAATAAGCTCTCCGACGACGAACAGTGAATGTACGGGTTGGGGGTATCTCAGTGGGTGCCGGTTGCTTGCAGGGCCCGCTCGGACAGGGCTGATCGAACCACGATCTGGTGGGGACGGGGAGTTCGGTTGTTTTGATCGCAGCGAATGGGCACGGCACCCTTCGCGAAAGTAGCGAGTGTGTATGGCGAAGTTCTTTCGGAGGGTGCGGAGAAGAAAGGATCGGAAAGACTCGCAGTTCGAGAGATTGTGTGGGCTGCGCACGAAGCTGAGAAAGCACTGGGCACCTGATGAGGTTGGAGTCAGGCAGTCGGGTCCTAGCGCACGGGCGAAAGCGACCAACGAAACGCGACGAGGTGCCTTGTCAGCCTAGACCAGATGAGTTGGCGTTGGCGGAGAAAAAAGCGGCTGTGTTTGTTTTGGCGCGGGTTGGTTGCTGCCCAAGGCATCTCCGCGGGAGCCTATTTTCGCAGGCGGGCATCTATTGTACATATTATGTAGGGTACTAGAAGAGAAATTACTTCAGCATACTCGAGGAAATCTAGATTTTTCGTACAATGACATTAACGTTTTATCTCTGTATATCAAATAAAATATATGGTATCCCAAACTCAGACACATTCAAAGCAAAAAACCAACCAAAAATCCAAACCCCGGACTCGCGAAACCGGTCCTGTCCTGTTGATCCTCTTTGATAATGCAATCCCCAGTTAAGCAAATAGTGGTGGTAGAGGTGAGAGAGGGGTCGTCGATGGTGATCAAACCAGCAAATCGGAAAAGGAGAGGTATGGGGAGGGGAAATATCCAAATAATAAAAATAGATACAAGGAATGAAAAGAAGAAAGGTCAAAAAAAAAAAGAATCAAAACATTACGCATCACCACCAGATGGGCCAGGTCCAGATCCGCCGAAGAAGTACCCTTCCAAGAGATCATAGTTGGGATTCTCGCTCCAATCGTGCTGGAAGTCCATGGCCATACCAAAGCCCAGATCAATACCGACGTTCTGTCCTAGGTTGGGGCCGAGGGGAGGCATGTTGTTTAGGTACTCGGTATGAGCATCTGTATCCATATTGGACGGGTGCTCGGGGTCCCCGGAGCTAAAATCGAGGAAATCGAGGCTGATGCCGGACTGGTTCTCGGGGTGATCTCCTGGTGGAACACCATGAGGTCTATTGACAGGGTTGGCAGCTACACTGCCAGGCGAACCTGACTGTGGAGGCGAATTGCCGTAATAGAATTGGGGATGCGGGCGCTGTGGAGAAGTGGGATTTTCGTATTTCATGTAGTACTCCATGGAAGGAGTGCGCTGCGCGAACGGGCGGGCTGGACGGTCGGCTGTAAACCCTGGAGGTAGTGTCTCTGGCTGGTCTGGTCGGACAACATATGAAGGCCCGCCAGGCCCGCTCTCGACTCGGGATCGGTCGGCCAAGGGTGGATTATCGCTGAAAAGGTCTGCGAGGTTCATGTCGAATTTCGGGACCGGTCGTGACGAGCGGGATTGGGTTGGCCGGCGATGCTGGCCCTGCCCGACTCGCTGTCCTTGGTTCATTTGCTGGCGTGCACGCCCAGCATACAACGAATTGCTTGCATGAGAGGAGGCATGTACACGAGACATATCCACTTGAGTTCCGAAGCCGGTTGTAGACAAACACATCTGGACTGTAGCTTTGCTCATCCGTTCAAAGGCGTCACGGCAGTTTTCGGCAGGTGGACATTTGTGCATCAAGTCGCCCAGGACGGAAGTCGCTGCAAGGACAGTGAAATCGACTTCATCTAGAGTGAGTCGGCTTCGGACCAGCGGCGAGTGCCAAATGGCATATAAGAAGGAAATTCCTGGAAAGCGGGGTCAGTCTTTGCTTGAATAAAGGCTGCGAAGCAAGGTGCGGATTCTTACCAGCCATAAAGATGTGGTGTGTAGCAAGATAAGTGTAGTTCACAAGGCGGACTCGGTGAAGCTGTCGATAGATCCGAATCACCTTCTGTCCAGCTTCAGCGACATTCAGATAGACATGGTCCTCTTCATCGCCTTCGTCGGGGTTGGAAAATGACGGGCTAGAGACATCGTCTGCCGGAGTCAGCTCACTGGCTAACTCTGCAGGGACCGTCAAGCTCTGCTGGTAGAGCAAGATGATACCCTGCCAGTAATTCAGCTCCAGAAGCTCAATTGAGAAGCGAACGCCCGTATCTGCACGAGTTGGGGCAGTCTCGTGCCATTCTACCAGTCGGCGGTGTACATCATGTCGCCATGAGCGGAACGAATCGAATCCTTGAAGGAAAGGCGATGTAAGTTCTGCGTGGGGTAGGATGGTCATGCTGTCTAATGCACGTCTTCGCACAGCACGCGCCTGTTGATACTGGAGGACGTCATGAATCTCAGACTGGAGCAGGCGTAGCTTAAAATAGTGGGATGCCACATGCTTGTAGGTGGGAGCTCCCTCCGGAGGAGTCAAGAGTCCAGACTTGGTGATGTACTTATCGTCCATCATAGACGGGAACTCGGTGCTAATAGCCTGGTCGCTAATACCAAAAGGTCGTCCGACACAAGTGGCAACAAGACGGTCGAAGCTGTATACGCACCACCAAAGACGGCGACGCAGATCCCGCACCCATTCACGACGGCCCCGTTCCCGAGCATCAATACGGGGCTGTATCTGGTTTCCATCTTTCGATCCGATGTCAAGACCAACTCCGTCTTCATAGTGAAGACCCAGATCAACCGCCAGGCGCATGGCAACACCAACGATATACCAGAGACCGGGGGCGACCGGTCGCAGCAGGGCAAAACTAGCCAACAAGAGCACAGCCTGGAGCTCCTCCAGTCCTCCGAAACCTTCGCTGGACGAGGACCCCAGGAACGACTCCAGGTGCACAATTGCCGAGGCATGGTATTCTTCCGGCTGGTATTGATGGCTGGAGAGTCTCGGCCGCTTGGTTGTGGATGAGGCTCGGTCACGGCCCGCGCGGTTCTCGTCATCCGAACTTTGAGGCTTGTCATCGAAGATGATACCAGCACCAATGGCAAAGACAATATTGAGGACATAGAGAGCACGTGGAGATCGGTTCTTCTCTTCTAGTTGATATGTGCGATCGAGAAGTTCCATAAAGTCACCGCGATGGAGAATGGGCATTTGGGGGTTGGCATGTTCAAAATAGAGATCGACCAGGCTCTCGGCTAGCTCTCGATCCGGGAAAGCAGCACGCTGCATCATGGGCTTTGTTTGCAGTCCGAAGAATGAATCGCGCATAGTGCCTCCACCGGGGCCGCCGGCTGCAGTCTGGGGGAGGCGATCACTCGTGCGGATGGAAGCACGTTCGGGCATATTTCCGGGTAGCGAGCTTCGCACTGCAGCAAAAACCACGCGAGCGAAGGAGATACCCGATGTTGAGCCGAGATATCGAGGATCAGAGGTCCCTTGCACCGAAACCATGCCGATATTTGACACCAGATTGTGCAAGCGCCAATTGTCCTCGTTGGCGGGGTCGCGGTCCCCTTCCGCGGTCTGTTCCCCTTCGGCTCTCTGTTCAGGCCGCTCATTCTCCTCCTTTAGCGGAGTGTTCTTCCATTGCGCTTTATCAGGGCCATCGCCGGGATGGCTGTCCAGAGCGGATGAGGTCTGCGCGACATCGCCCTCGGTCTCGGTCTTGACAGCCTCCTCTTCATCGAAAGCCACAGCTTTCTTAAACTCTATCTGATGATCCGCCAGTTGCTTTTCGAGATACGCGACTCTGGTCTCGAGGAAATACACGTAGCTGCGCGGAATCTCGCGCTTGGTGATGGGGTCATATCCAACGCAGCGGACGCCGGCTTTTTCACAGGATTGGCACCGCGGAAGGCGCTGGTCGCAACGGTTCTTCCGCAGCCTACAGCGATTACAGGCCGAGACATTGCGAAAGGAGGACGAGGACGAAGTTGAAACAGCCGTCGCAGTCGAATGCGCGGGCGACGTGGAAGGTACGGCGGAGGGGACGGAGGGGACGGAGGGGTTGCCATCGCGTGACAGCGAGGTCGCGGGGTCGGCTTGGGTGGGCGGTGTTTCGCCAGAAGGGTGCGGTCTCTTCTTCCCCGAGGAGAAGGGTGATGGCGGAGAGGGGAGGTTAGGCATTGTCAGAAACGAATGGCGAGAGCCGCAGACCTGCGATCATCTCTTGATGGTGGAGTTTGGCGGAGACGGCGGTCGGGAACAGCGGTTGGACACCCCGGGCCGAATCAGCGTTCATGATAGACCGACGAGGAGTTGCAGAGTCGTCTCGATGCAGGCACACGGTTCTTGTGATCCAGAACGAGAGAAAAGGAGGCGGCCCGCACTGCGCAGCGTGGACGTAGCGGACCAACTAAGCTCTCCGCGGCGCAGGTGTACACAACGGAGGGAGAATATCCTCCGACTGGTGGTGGCGGGTGGTGGAAGGGTGCAATGAGGGGGTTCTATGGAGAGCGCGAGACGTATCGCTACGTATGAGATGAACGAATGACCACCGTCCCGGAAGGACTGCGAGGGCGGACACGTAGCTGTCGAACGATGAAGGAGGAGAGAGTAGCATCGGATAGGGTTCTGGTGGAGTTTGGGGTCAGCTGTGGGCGACGCCGGATATTAAGTTTCCCGAGGGCATGGAGAAGTTTAGCACTCGGCAGCTCGGTACCCCAGATTTGTGCTGGCTGCACCGCCGCATAGGGCAAGGTCACTGCGACACAAAGCTGGATGGTGTCAGCATCGCTCGGAGGCCAGCAATTGGCCCTGCGCAAATGCCATCCACCGTCTGCTCAAGTCGCAGTGCGCACACAGTCCGGCGGCGGAGTCCACGACCCAGGTGGATCTCCCCGGGATATATCTGCTATCATTGGTGGAGCCGCGGAGAACTGACAGTGACAGCTGGAGAGCCTGGGGGAGTCCGCGGGGGGTGCAGGTGTGTGCAATGGAGAAAATTGGGAAAAGTGGGATGGGGGAAAATTGTATGGGGTTGCAGGCGGAGGTGAGGCTGTCTATATATGAAGGTACGTATGTCGCATGGCATGATTGCTGCACGGGGAAGGTGGTATAGAATCCGGTGGATATGCTTGGCTGCAGACTTGCGCCGACGACCTGGGAAGGATGATTACACTTTTAAGCGCCCGTGTGGGGGCCTCTATACTATGAAGAGGAAAAGCAGAGTTCAAGCAAGCAGGGCCCGAGTGACCAAAGGCCGTTCAATTGAGTCACTCCATTGTGGAGTCTATCTCGACAATCCAAGATCATGCAGCAGAAGAAAAAAGCACAACGCAAAAAAACAGTCAGATAGCCCTCCCAGATGCATGAGTATCATCATAATATATCCCGTTTCGATGCTCCAAGGTAAACATGAGAAAATGAAAAATGAGAATCACAGCATCACAAGCAATAAAACAAAACAATGCGATCAAGTGATGCTTTTTCCACACATATACATCCACTCTATATCAGTTGCGCCGTATCCAAATCTCGGGTGAGAAAATGAGAAAAAAAAATTCATGAGGTAAGAAAGGCAAACAGGTATCATGGCTGAAAATGAAGAAAGAGAAATGACAAGTCCCTCATAAGGACGAGAAACGCAACTGCGCCGACAACGATGAAGTCTTGCCAGAAGACCAAGTAGTGAAGTGAGAAAAAGAGAGAGAACAAAAAGGTATTGGTAGGTGTTTCTGGAGAAGCGAGAGGGCATCTTTTGCCCCCCGCTTCACAGTGCAGTTTGTAACAAAGTGGTGGAGGTGTCGAATTAAACTCGAGGCTGAGAGGTAAGATCTCCGTCTGAAGTAGGCAACTCCAGGTTCAGGTTGGCAACGTCGTAGTCGTGGTCAATGCTGGACCGGAGAGACAGCAATCGCTGCTCTTCCTCGGAGATAGTGGAGATCGATTCGCGGGGGCTGAAGGGATCGGAGAGGGCCTCTCGCTTCATCTCCGCCTCACTCATGTCGGGCTGGTCCTTGAAGCGCTCGGGCTGGGTGGATTCCTCCATCCAGAAAGATTCGATGGCACCAATGAAGCAGACAAGACCGCAGGCCCACCAGGCCAGCACGGAGTGTCCGCTCTCAAGCCCCTTGGAGTGCAGCAGACCGGTTATAGTCGGGCCAAAGGCTCTGCTGAGACTAGCGGTTGATGCAGCGGCACCGTTGATGGAGCCCAGGACCTTTGAAGTGGGAGCGGCATTGGCGAGAAGGATGGCAGTAGCAGGGAAGGCGATAACATGGAAGGTGATCTTGCTAATCAGGGCGACGTAGACCGCAGGCATCTGGAGTTTAGCCGGCAGAAGGATGAGATAGGGCACGGCAAGGTAGAGCGGCGGCCAGACAAGCAGCACGAAGCGGAACGTGCGCAGGGTTCCGAAGTGCTTGACAACAAATGGGAACAGCCACAGCTGGGCAATCATCGAATAGACCCCCTGCACGGCCAGCATGAAACCAATGGTCTTGGTGGGAAGACCCAGGCCGCCCGTGAACTCAAAGGGAAGAACAACGCGGTCGTCGGATTTGGGTGTACTCAGGAAGACCGGCATCAGCTGATCGAAAGAGACACTGTGGCTGTGATGGGAAAAACTGTCAGCACAAGAGGAATCCTGCAAGACACCTGCAGCGCGCAAAGCCAAGCCTTGCAGCTGAGGCGGGGGTCAAAGGAGCCAACTCACTAGGCCAGGATCCCATAAGCAACGATGGTGAAGATGACTTGTCGGGTGAACGCCTTGGGCGCGGAGGATTTCTGGCCCTCAAGGTCACACTCCGTGGCCCTGACGTCGCTCACGGGGCGCAGGCAGGGCGATGATTCGGCGCTCTCGTACTCGGGCGGCACGTCATCGTAGGCGAAATACTTGGTCTCCTCAACACCCACGTCGGAATCGTCGGGAAGTTGCACGCGTGAGCCCCAGCACAGGCTGATGAGCCAGTGGCCCAACTCGCGGCCGGGGTCGCGGCGGTGCTTCTTCTCCGGGTGCGTCTCCTCCAGGAACAGGAATCCAACCACGATGCCGCAGAGGAGCACGACGATGCAGACCAGGTTGGGCAGCAGGAAGGGGAATTTGTCGAAGAGCGTGTCGCGCGCGAACAGCCACGGGTAGTTGTCGCAGGGTTGGGCGAGAGCACCGCCCATCGCCGGCCCAATGATCGAGCCCAGGCACCACACAAACGGCATGATCGAGTACGCCCGCGGCTGGTGCTCCTTGACCGTGACAATCTCGGCAACTGTCGTCTGAAGCACTCCGATGTTCCCGTTCAGCAGACCTCCCAGCGCGCGGGCAATCATCGCCGTCGCCAAGTTGGGCGCAAACCCAAAGGCCACCATGCTGATGGCTGTTCCAATCAGTCCCATGACGAGGACGGGCTTCCGGCCGATGCGGTCGCTCATCCGGCCCCAGAACATCCCAGCGGAGAATTCGGCGAAGGTGAATGAAGAGGTGATCATGCCGGCGTAAAGCGCAATCTTCTGGTCGTTGTCGGTCACATGGAACTCTTCCACCATGTGGTAGACGTAGGGGAAAATGGACATGAATGCAATGGGTTCGCAAATGCGGACCAGCGCTGGAACATGTCAATGTCAGTATTCGTTCGTGATTTCATGGTGTCTTCCCTCTTCGATGTCCAGCTCGACGGTGCTGGGGGAGATGATTGTCCAAAGCCACATAGTTCGCCGCAAAAGTACGGACTTACCTAACACGAATAATTGCCGAATAGGAAATGCAGTCCAGTCTTCACCGGCGCCATGGCGCTGTCGCCGGCCTTGTAGACAAGCTGGTCGTTGGAACATTGTGTCGTGAAAAAAAAAAGAAGAAGAAAAAAAAAGTCGAGTGTTCGAAGTCGATAGTTCTAAAACAAAAGGGCGTAGTAAGACGCCGTCGTCCGCTTCGGAATAGTAGACAATCCCAGAAGGGCCAGGGGAATAAAAAAGTACCAAAAAGGTCCTTATTTGATTTCCGAAGTGGTCCCCCTTAGATTACCCCAGGTTAATGCGTCACGGTCGAAAGGGAGAGAATGCAATTGGTGTGGAGGCCGAAGGTCGGAGCAAGGAGCGTGGGTTGACTTTTTAGGGCTTCAGCATTGCTCCCCCTGCGGTTGGAAATTGTAATCGCAGGCCGATAACGCCAAGTGGGTGATCTTCGGCTTTAAATCCCAGGATGATGAGACACCTGCAAGGGAGGCGAGGGAAAAGTTCCGGAAGTCTCTTGGGGCACAGTCGCGCGAAAGTTTGGCCCTGTGGTAGCTTGGAGTAGTCAAAAAACCAAGGCAGGAATTCCAGAAATCGTGTACGTCGGAATTATCGCAAGATCGACAACCAGGCGCAAATCGGAATATTTAGGATTTGTTGCGATGAGGTGAGACTCTTGGGGCGAGCGCGTGGGGAGAGTGCGAGACAAGAGAGGAGTGGAAGGGTTGAAGGAATGAAGAAGGGATCTATGAAGAATCTCGATTGGGGGAGAGGGGGACTGAGTTTAAAGGTCCGAGGATGATGATGGGAAAGGGATTTCATTCCATGAGGACGAGGGGAAGGGGAGCTATTATATTACTCCACGGGTGTCGACAGTGGATAGCTCCATCTATAGAGAGTCGATGTGATCAGGCGCCAAAAGCAACTAAAACGTCAACCGTTCAGAGCATTTGGGAATTTCGGTTACAGCTGTACAGAGAAACCGCAGGATGCATATGGGCAAGCAAACATGTTGAATCAGGAATAAAGACAAAGAATAGTGGGTCGAGAATAAATAAATAAAATATTTTTATTCCTCTTTTTCACTTTTCCTTTTTTTTTTTTTTTTGAATTTTAAATTTTCTCTGATGGAGGGGGTGGGTGATTTTTCCAATTTGATTATTTCCTTATTTCCTCCCACTCTGTGTAATTCGACAGCAAAGGGCGGATCGGGGCCATCCGACTGGACGATCTGGCCAGTCAGCGGGCGATAGATGGCAGTCTTCGCAGGTAGGGTATTCAAAACGGGAATTCAAGGTTACAGACCGAACCCCGGGTGGGGGGGGCAGTAAAAAAAATACAAAGAAAAAGAAAAAGAAAATCATGAAAATCCCAAGGGGGGAGGGGGCTAAGCGAAAGAGACACCCTGGAGGCAAGGATGGGAGAAAAATCAAAAATACAAAAAAACGGACGGTGGAGAACCTGGACGTGAGGTACGAGAAGACGGGCATCATCGTCATCAGAAGGGGGGAACCAATGGTAGGATTTCGGGGAAAGGGATTCTGGGAAAGAACCCGATTGTCTGACGATTGATGGTCCATTCCTCGATCAATCAGAATCAGCATCAGATCAGATGGGACGCGAAAGGGCGAAAGTTTTAGTTCTTCCCTAGTGGCTTTGCCCCCCTTTCCCCTGGTTGATTCGACAGATCCGCTTGCACCCCAGATCCTAGCAATTGAGTCAGGGAGGGACACATCGTACTAAAACACTTACTGACTAACAGGTAAAAGAGTACCTAAGGGTACGTACCTCGATTACCATACCGTTCCGTGACCGATGATGGATCAACCGACTTAGGGAACCCACGGCCCTGAGCCCCGGGCCCCGGGGAACAGCAGGAGGCGAGTTTAGGGAGTCCTTAGGGCCCGCTAAAAGGGGGGGGCTTGGACGGGCTCACCACCGCGCTAACAGTGTCCGCATTAAGGTAAGGATGATCGTCTGGACTTTTTTTTTTTTCTTCGGTTTAGGTTTTGGGTGTTTTGGTTTTTCTGACTCCCGGAAGTCTGGTTTTAGTGTGGGTTAGTGAGATGATAGATCTAAACATGCTGCGGTCCTTCTGCGCCTCCCCGAGAGTTCGGCCTTTTTGCAGGGCCTAGACGAGATCGGGGTGATAATCAATCGCAGGAATTTGGAGGTCATTTTGGCGCCTCCTTTGGTCGAAATGGATCATAGTCATCCTCCATGACTCGATGGACTCGATCGCAAATGTACCGGAGGAGGGACAAGACTCAATGCCCTAGCAGACGCTATAGGCCATCGGCCATCAGCCGATCCACCCCCTGTCGCGGAATTATGGACATCTCAGCCGCCTCTTACCCCAAAGTCTGGGAGAGGCGGGAGATGAAGTGAACTCTGTTCCTCGGGTGCGTAGGATCGCCTTCCCCGACAGTCGTCGCGCCTGGGATAAAGAGGAATGGAGAGTGGGGCCCCCTCTTTATGTCTTGTATGCCAACAATCAACTAAAAACAATGGCCAGGCGTGTTTCGCATTGATTCGCTCGAACTGCATTCTAGATACTTGGAAGACGCAGCACCCATGTCTGCAGCTGTCGCAAATGCGGTGTATACGTACTAGTCGTAGGTACTTGGGTAGCGACCTGCTGGACACGGGAAAAGAGCAAAAGAGGCGATGCCAAAAAAAGCAAGTAGGAAACCAATGGGGTTGTCACTCCTCATGACATCTTCTGACGGGTTGACGGATCGGAGCAACTCAGCCGTTGAAGCGCCTATCATCCATCCAATTGGTAAGCTTTGAGCCTTCCCACAGGGCCGGCCACGCAGGAATCATCAACAGTGTTTCCACTGCCCTGGGCCAGCTAGCGTGCCTCATACATCCGTCCCCGAACCGGACATGCCTTCGCTGCTGTTCCTGTCCTCCTGAACCCGCCCTACGCTCCCCAATCATGTGGGATGTCTAACTCTGCTGGTCTGATAATTGGGTCTTGTCCCGTATGCGCCATGACGGTGCGAGGAAAAGGGGGCGAAGCTATTGAATCCTGTGGATCCTCCGGAGTAACGGGGAGGAAAAGACGTAACAGGGCCGATCATCCTGTCACTCGTCGGTGGGCAGTAGGCAATGATCATTCCGTACTGTACGGAGCATGTATGGGAGGGATACCAAAGAATAAAGTGTTCAGGGTCAATACGGGGCCGGTTGTTTTTTGGCGCCTTCGAGAAAAATCCAGCATCAGCTGAGCTTGTCACAGAATTCACCGACACTCCGGGCCTCGCCTGGTAGACCCGCTCGATGGCCGATCGCGTTTACGCCGTCCTCCGCGTCTTGACGGTGAAAGACCAGCTGAAAATTCAGGAAGCGCTGTCGACCGTTAGACATTTTAGCCTCTAGTCTTGGTCCGATCACGAATCGCAATAATTAGACGCGCAAAGACAGCAGGCAATTGGAAGCTTTGACGGATCTTCTGTACAACGTAGTATTGTGGACTGTGAAGAGTCTTCTCAATTCTTCGTCGACGTCAATCCACCCCACAGTCACAGAGATCCGTTAAGCCGAGTCATCTTCAGCGTTGCACTCGAAGAACCTGCAACAGGTCGGTAGCAAGTCCCTCAGAGTGGCATCTCATCGTCTGGATCGAATCTGTCGAAAAGTCGGTAAAGTGCCGACCCAGTAGAAGGGCCCAACGCGGCGGAGACCCAAGGGGCCGGAAACCTTTCTTTACAGAGTGGGACCATCTATTGTATCACGGCTTTGTGGTACTCTGTATACGAAATACGCGGGTTTCAGATATACAACAGAAGTAGACATGCAGTTCTCGCGGCCACGCGAGCCCAAAGGGAGGGAGGAAGGGGGGAGATGGTGGTGTGTGGTAGTTGGCCCATCTCAGATAAAAGCCGGTGAGTCCGGTAGATGCTCAATGGGTCGATGGAGGAGTCACGACGTCATCGCACTTGGGCAACAACCCTGTCGCGGCCAGAGCCGCCTTGGAAGAGAAGCAAAAAACGGTGACTTGCTCCTGCGTGGTCGGGCCGGGGAGAGGATAGGATAGAGCAGGATACTCAAGGCGAATGCGGGACATTCAAACGCATGAATGGTGCGATAGCTGCGAGGGTCCGGAGGATCTGCCACGAGTCACGGATGCGGAGGTCCAAGTGGTTGCGTCGAGGTCTGCAGCAAACAAGGCACCAGCTGGACCCCAGCAAGGCAGAGTCACGATGACCCTATCGAGATGTTTCGAGTCAACCCAAAATGAAGCGGACGAGGTCCAATCACGATTGGGGTCGCAGGGAGAGTGTCGGGCAGAACGCAGTTGACAAATCCTTCTATGCACGCAATGCATGGAAGGCGCCACGCTTTCAGGGCGCGAGGTCGACCACATCAGAAGGATAGGAAACACTGATGGCCAGCGAGGCCGTGACAGCTCTGGGGAGGAGAGCGGGAAGCGGCTTGATTCGATGTTGGTTGGGGTCGTGGGATGTAGCGGTGACGGGGTTGACAGCCCGCCTTCCTACAGCTACATTACCTTTGATGCCGTGCGTCACGCGCCGGACATCGGGTCTACATGGCCATTCGGACAGTTCGGAAGAGACTGGAGCGGGAAAACGGGAAAATTAAAGAAGAAAATAAGGAAAAAGCAAATTAGACAAAGGGAAGAGCGAGATGAGCCCAACGGGCGGTTGAGAATGCAATTTTCTTGACTAGGGACGCATGGAAGACGACCTATCGGTTTTGGTGTCGCGATCATGGACAAGACGGAGTCGATTTGCGATGTGCGATCGGCGGGTGAGCTTGATTGTTCTGCAGGCAACGAAAATCCTTGGTGGGGGTTGAGAGAAGGGGAAAGCAAGAGCAACCACCCTGGTCCCTGGATGATCCTAGTCACAGCCATAAGTAAGGCACCACTCGCCCCCCCCTACGGAGAGCAAAGCAAGTCGTCTCGTGTCGACCGGTGGAGCATCCATCGTGACAGCGGTGAGTCGCTTGGCTGCAGTGTTTCTTGTTTTCTTCCTTTGAAGTTGGAGAAAGGACTCGTGATGGACAAGACTGCGCTCTCCCTACTCCCTGTACACCCCATAGGAGTGAACGAACTATACAGCAGTATGGCAATA